AATAGTAATTAAATTATTACTAGATCTAATAGAAGATTATAAATTAAAGATTTAATTCTAGATTAGAAAATTTAATATTACTATAAATACTCTCTTTTATAAAGATTTATTTAAAAACAGATAATTTAAGAAATTAGTTTTATTATCTAAAAGATTCTAATAATATAATATCTATAATAATAAATAATAAAACATCTAGATAGCGCTAATTAAAAATAAAGATAAAAACGATATTATAAAATATATAAAATATAATAACTAGATAAATAAAGATCTTAAAAAATTTTAAGAATTAATTTATAATAGATATAACTATTAGATTTTTAAAGATAATCTTTTATTATATAACAATAGATTAATTATAATTAATAATAGTGATTTAAAAACTTATTTATTAGATAAGATATATTAATTACTAATAAATATTTATCTAGATATAAAGAAAATAATAGATTTACTTTTTTTTAATATTATTAGCTAGAGATGATATAAGATATTTAATAATATATTAAAAACTATTAAGTTTATTAGTAGATAAAGATATAGAGAGATAGATCTCTTAGTTTATTATAATTTCTTCTAATATTATAGTATCTCTAGTAAGATATAATAATAGATTTCTATTTATTTTTAAAAGATTAATATAGCTTTGATAATATAATAATAGTTATTTGCTATTTATCAAAATAATCAATCTCTATTTTATATAAGAAGATAGTAAATATAAAATAGATAGGAAGGTTATTTATAGATTATATTATCTAGTAAACTAGGTTATTAAATTTAATAGTTTCTAATTAAAGATTGTAATTTATATTAACTTTCTAGACTAAGTTTTATTATATTTTATAAATAAAAAGAAAGCTTCTTATAATTTATTATCTATAGATAGATAGATAGACTAAAAATACTAATTAGTTTATTATATAGCAATTATTAGACCTCGACAAAACCCAACTTAGGTCCAAGATCTGGACCCATACCCAACCCGTGAAAACCCGTGGGGGTGGAAACTTTTGTAATTAGTACGTTTTCACGTGATATATTTATATATAATTTTGTAATTATAGTATATGTATTGTAACTTTCACCCCCACAGGTTTTCCAAAACCTGTGGGGGTTCAAAAAACGGGTTCAAAAACGGGTTTTGTCGAGGTCTAGCAATTATATCTTTATATTAGTTATTATTAAGATAATTAGTTAGAATAACTTTTAATTATTAATTTAATAGTTACTTTATTTCTATTTATATCTATTAAAAAGCTTTTTTTTTATTAAATAAGATTATAAGCTTTAGATATTATTTAATTAAACTAATTTAATATTATAAGGATAGCTAGGTTTTTATATAATATAAGAGTTTATATAATAGATAAAAATAATATAAGACTTAATATAAAAAAAGATAATAAGTATATAATTAATATAGAAAAAATAAATAGATTAATAATATCAAGAAGTTATCTTTAATATTAAAGATTATATTTATATTATTATAAAAGATCTAAAATAAAAATAATCTAATAAGAAGTTATCTAATAAAAATAGTCTTATATTTTTAATTATTAATAAAGTTAGTTATTTTTTTAAACTATTATTTCCTTTTTAAATTCAATATCTATCTAGTCTTTATTTTTAAAAAGCTATATTATATAAACTATCTTAATTGTTTATTACTATCTAGATAGTTTTTTAATCTTTCCTTATTAATTAAGATTATTAAATATAATAAATAAAAGATAAAGAAGATTTTTAATATATATTTATAATATAATAGATTATAATATAAACTAAAATAAGCTAGAGAAAATTTTAATAAGATATGATATCTATCTAGTTAAAAACGTTTAATATATTTCTTAGTATATAAAGGACTTTTATAATTATTATTTTAAAAAGCTAGATCTTTTAAGATATCTAGATAAATAGATTTAAACTATCTTAAATAAAGAAAAAGATAATAAAAAAACATCTAATTATCTAGAGGATAATCTATTAATAATAAGAGATAACAATTAATATATTATTAGCGAAAACTTATTTTATTTCCTTTTTAAAAAGTCATATAACTATATATTCTATAAGCTTAAGAGACTAAGCTTAGATTTTACTAGAAGATAATGTTAAGAAATAATAAGACTATAACTTGAATCTATAACCTTGTGACTAGATTCCTATATAGGAAGAGATAGGAGTCTAATATACGTCTACCTTAGGTAATATCTCTATTTATATAGATCCTACTAGCTACCCTTGCTCTCTCTCTCTTCCTTTCTTAATTCTATTATCGTCGTTTCTTAGACCATAAAAATGATCTTTTCTTTTGTGCTTTGTCTATCTGATAGATATTAATATATTTTTTAAAAAGATCTATTTATTATTTAATCTTTTTTTTATTATTAAGTTTAAGATTATTTTATAATTGAATTATTATTAAATCTATTTTTTTTAGATTCTAATAAAAAGATTTATCTAGATTATTAAAAGAAGCTAATTAATTTTTTTAATCTTTTTTAATAATATTATATATATCTTTTATCTTTTTAATAATAATAATTTTAAATTCTTTATAATAAATAACTTATATTAGGATATATTAAATTTCTTTAGAATATTGTTTAATTAATCTATAACTATCTTAAAAAATAACTATCTTAATAATAATTTCTATTTATTTAATAAGATCTATTTTAATTATAAAGACTAGAATAGATATATTTCTTTATTATTTTAGTATCTTTAAATAAGATAAATCCTTTTTAATTAAATCAATTAATTAAATTTATATATTCCTTTTTTTCAAAAAATTAAAATAAAAGAACTAGAAATTATAAAAGTTATATATTTTTAGATATAAGGTTTATTAACTTAATAAAAGAAAAAATATAAATAGATAACAATATAATTATAAACTAATAGTAATTAAAAAGATCTTAATAATATTATCTTATTATATATAAGATTAATTTTTATTAAAATTAGATAAGATCTTAATTATCTTTCGACTAAATACCTTACTTCTAGAATAAGATTATAGACAAAGCTAGAGGAATCTAGTGGCAAATTATTATTGATCCACCTGACTGCTAATCTATTCACTTAGCAGCTCATTTAAGATATTAGTTTAGTCTGTCTAAGGTATCAGTATTTATTGTCACAAGGAAACATGGAGAAAACCCTGTTATAATATTAGCTTATAATTTTTTTAAATTTATTAAAGATAGAATAAATGTATTTTTAAAAGGTTAAATAATAATAGTTATTTATTATCAATTTAATTTTTGAATTTATATTAAAAATAAGATATTATTCTAGATTATTATTTTTAAATTTAATAATATCTAGATATATTAATATAAAAGATATTTATTAGATAATATAATTCGTCGTAAAAGATTTATTATCTAGGAACTAGTTATTATATTATTTTTTATTAAAATATTTTAAAAGATAGATATAAAATTAATATTAATATTATATATTTATAAAAAATCTAATTTTAATAATTTGTATAAAGGTTTTTTTTTATTAATTTAATATTATAAATATCTTATTCTTTTAGATTTTATTAATATTTATTAATATTTATTTATTTTATTAATTTAAAGATTTTATTTTTATTTAATTATAGTTTATTATAATCTAATAGAATATCTTTTTTATATTATTTTAAAGATTAAATCCTAATATTAAAGATCTAGCTTAATTATATAACAATAGATAGGATTCTTAAAGATTAAGAAGGATTTTGAGAAAGCACACTTTCTACAAGGAAGCAGGAGTTCAGAAACAATAGATTCATTGTAAAAGGGTCTCTGGGGCATTAAATGCCCCCAAAACGGGCGCGCAAACGGGAAGCTATCCTTGTCGCTTCGGCAGCGCCAGCGAGGTCGCAAACGCGGTCCGTCGCATGAAGCGGAAGCAGCAGCGATCGCACTCAACAGATTTGATAAAGAAGAGAACCTCAAAGTAAACTAGACTAAAGATAAATATAGGGGGATCCTTAGTAAACGAAGATGACTAAACGCAGCGTAGCAAGCAACTCCAGAGGGATCTCCTGTAGAAGAAGATACCATAACACCCTAGCTCTATAATACAGTGGGGACATCTATCCGAATGACCACGGGATGCTAGTGAGATTGGTTCTTATATTGTATCAAAAATATGCTCATTAATTCATTGAACGCACCCTGCCATATAACCCAGCATCTCTCATAGTTTGCTAGGGTTTCTTGGAATTTCCATTCTACCATAATCTGCCAGTTGGCGTGACGGCCGCTAAAGAGCCCACAGAGACCGCCATGTATATAGGTTGATGATGAAGATCATGGTTAATTAAGATTATACGCTTTGGCCCGCCATCTCTGGAAGAAAACATCATGGCCCTGGCCTTTACGGAGTTGAACCCGGTTCAAATATCATGCTTAACGCCGTGGACCCTACCTAGTCTTCGCGATTCATATTTCAAGCTTGCGGATCTTAACTTCAAGATCGACCGACCGATCTAGTCTACACATTTCTAAAGTGAGGGAATGAGTCGGTGTATCTGATCTACACAGAATGAACATTGTACTCCGTACTGTATGTGGTATCCTGGAAGGTAGCGTCGATTGTGGGTTGGCTATCTTCGACCCCTTGCTTTAACCCGTGAACAACACCATCATCCAATTTCACCGTTTCGTTTATTTCGACCTACCGTGTCTTTGTGCGATCTTAGACTACAAATACAATTCTTTGAGAGCAAACACTACTACTCCGTACTTCTCGAGGATAACAGCCACGTTCCTGGAATTCATGCTTCCCTGAGACTTGTGATAATAATGATGCTGATATCCCTCCCCGTTTCTGTTCTGTCCCATGCTGAGTATAGCCTGCCCGTCATGCCCCTGTTTGGAATCCTTCTAGCAACATTCCTATCTCTATCTTTCCTTTGGTGCGTGATTGGGCCTACGACCCTCCCTACGGTCGATGCCCGAACGACCCCAGATCAATATCCGCAGATGATCGAGAATGCAAGAAAAGTTGCTGTCATTGTTTACCAGACTTTTAACCCACAGACTACTAAGGTAATATTCATATTATTCTAGACCCACCGCATTTTTACCTTGAAAACCTACGCTGGCCCGATCACTATCCTTCCTCCAGAGTATATCGATGAAGTTCGCAACGATATACGTTTGAGTCTGGCCGCATGGTTTGCTCATGTATGTAAGCCATGTCAAATAGGGTGTGAGCTAGGCTGAGCAATCATGTAGGAATTTAGTGTACATTACGCTGGCTTCGAGGTGTTTCGTCCTGGCACGACGGGGGATGACATTCTCCAAGACGCCGTTACAATGGGACTATCGAGAGTATTGGGCAATTTGACACCCAAAATGGCTGACGATGTTGGCATTCACTTGGAAGAGGCCTGGGGAAGTGAATCTGGTAGGGCATCGTGCTTTATTTCATGGCTGGGTTACTCATGGTATTAGGATGGCAGAACGTTCCACTCAACGCCTCCATTGATTGCATTGTCGAGCGCGTTTTCGCATCAGTCATCTTCGGTTTGGACCTTAACTTCCAGGGGAACTGGTTGGGCAGCGTCAAGACATGCTTGGAGACAGGAGTCACTGCCCTAGGTCGGCTGCAAATGTGGCCCCCGCCCCTTCGGCCCCTGGTACACTGGCTCTTGCCATCATGCTGGAGATTGCGAGACCAGGTCCATAATATTCGTGGGATTGTTGAGGCTGCCATAGCGGCTAGGGTGTCCTCAGGTACTCAGCAGAAGTATGATGATGCGATTGAGTGGATGGAACGGAGTGCTAAGGGCAGACCGTATGATACTGCCATGAGCCCGATGGTCTTGTTTCTTGTCGGAACGAGCACCACTGGTGACATGTTGACTCAGGTTCTGTCAGACCTGTGTGCTCGACCGGAGCTTGTGGAAGAATTGCGACAGGAAGTGATGGATGTGAGGCAAGGCCAGAATAAGTGGCGTGGCCAGGATCTTCACCGGCTCCGGTTGATGGACAGTGTGCTAAAGGAATCGCAGCGATTGAAGCCATTTAAATTTAGTGAGCCTCTCGTTCAATATCTTTCCCATCACTGTTAACCACAAGCAGTGATGCTTCGACGGATCGCCCGAGAGACCGCACGTCTCTCGGACGGGACTCAGATTCCCAAGGGCTCGAGCATGGGATTCTCGACTGACCTTATGTGGGATGTCTCTCACTACCCCGATCCCAACCGATTCTACGCCCATCGATTTTTGCACCTGCGAGACACACCGGGATACATCCATAAGAGCCAACTGGCTTCGCCGAGTGCCTCGCATCTGGGGTTCGGCTATGGCCTCCAATCTTGTCCCGGGCGCTTCTTTGCCGTCGCATTAATGAAGATTATTCTCGCCCATATTGTGATCAAATACGATATACGAGCATCGGGGGATGGTGTGAAACTCGTTAACTACGGCTTCAGGGTGAAAGCGGACCCGAAAGCTGAGATTTTTGCCCACAAGCGACAGGGCGTCACTGTGCCATAGATTATTGTCTCTTTGGATATCTTTTCTTTGGGGGTTTATTCGTTGTAGATGGTGCCAAGACCAATAATCATGCTGAGATAGTCTTAGCTGGAGCCGTTGAACTACTACTCTCAACGCTCTGTAGAAGAGTTTGACTACGAGCCACCTCTATTACATACAGGCAGAGACTACCAAACAACTCTTTACATATGTCTTCGAGCGAACGAGTCACCTCTGCCCGCTCCCCCAATTCTATAGAACAAGACGTGTTAGGATGTCTTCCAGGGATCGTGTGGCTTCTGATCGGTGATCGGTGATCGGTGATCGGTGCTCAGCTACAGATGAATTGACGAAAGCAGGCTGCAGGTGATGGTTTTAGCAAGCCACTCGTGGTCTTTGATATTGCAGTGTTGGATAAGAAGGAGCCACGTAACAACAAGAGCTACACCGCATATTTATACAAAGAACATCTTAGGTTGTTAGCTGTATTGTGACGTAGGTATATGTAGCCACAAGTTCCCAGATTGCCTCCCCCTCAGTTAGATGTGAAGACATGTCTGATTTCTGTATGTGGAGTATGTACGGAGTACATATTAATTGAACTCAAATGACTTGCTTCTTCTTACTGGACGATATGATACTATGTACGGAGTATATGGAACAGAAAAGAACCCGTCACATTGCTGGCTTAGACAGTCTCCAATATCCCCAAAGCCCAAGTGAAAATACCCAATTCAATTTCAAGATCACTCCCACTCGCAAATTCAACATGGTTGTTTCTATAAACACAACATTTGGTCACATCACCATTGAAATCTTCAGCGATAAGGCCCCCTCTACCGTGCAGAACTTTCTGGACTACTGCAAAGATGGTTTTTACAATGGGACGATTTTTTCAAGGGTTATCCAGGGTTTCACGATTCAGGGTGGAGGATTTGATTGAGACATGAAGCAGAAACAACCACGAGCAAGCATCCAAAACGAATCTGATAATGGACTCAAAAATACCCGCGGAACAGTTGCAATGGCTCGTACAAACGAGCCTCATTCAGCCAACTCTCAGTTCTTCATCAACCTTTCCGATAACGATTTTCTGAACTTCTCCGATAAATCCTGGGGCTATTGTGTTTTCGGTCGTGTTGGAGGGAATGGAAGTGATTGATCAAATTGCAGAGGTGTCAACAGGGAGCGCACACGGCTATCGAGATGTGCCTGTGAACCCTATTGTGGTGGAGTCTGTGGCAGTGATAGAATAAATTGTTTTCTTTGCTGAGCTACACTTGTATAGTGATTTTCACCTGGGGTGTTGGACTGCAACTGGGCTGGCGACTCTTTCAACTTTGGTAGCCCGATCGATCAGAGCCTAAGGTCGCATATTCAAGTTGAAAGATATTTGTTTTCATACTGCCGTCGAACAATCAACTTGCAAATTCTTATAATTCTCAGTTCGACCCACGGAGGTGTCTGCCCTCCCTTGCTTCAGGTCAAAGGTACCCCCCCCCCGCCGAAGCTCATCCTCCCGACCATTCCACAAGGAAGAAACCCCGTCGACAGTTTTCTGGATACTACCATTGTTGAAAATGTTGATCAAACAAGACTTGAGTTGGAATTTATCCGCTTCGTAGACAACGAGTCGATCAAGTTGCCTTGACGATAAAAGACCACACACTATCCCATTGACTGGGTTGGTTGATCGTCAAGAAGAGCAAGATATGGACCCTAAAGTTTCATTCGGTAACCAATAATCCTAGCAGGATGTTGTGTAGGTGCTTCTTCCGGAGACCCTAAAACTATGGATAGGACGGCCGGATGTTGCGCATGATGTCAATGTAGAACTCGACAGGGCGAGTCAAGGTAGACGAAGGATAGCGATAATGCTTTGAGGGAGGAGAGGAAGGAAAGAGAATAGCCGGAGAATGACAAGGGGTTGCTAGGGTATATCCATGGATATGGATATATACAGGAGCACGTATGTACATTACCTTCCAAGGGTTGCCATCCGCAGCCTGACTTGGAAACTTGGTGTACTCTATACACATTGGTACTTTCAATGGACCAATCAGTACATATAATTCTCAAAGACCTCCACGGATCCACGAATGCTCTGTTCAACCTTGTGAGTAGAATACCTCCATAGATATAGCAGGGGTCGCAGGGCCCCGAAGCCTAAAGCTGGTAGAGAGACTCAGGTACACAACGTGGTGAGGGTGGTGAGGGTGGTGAGGGTGGTGAGGGTGGTGAGGGTGGTGAGGGTGGTGAGGAGCGTGGCAAGCTGCACAAGAGAGGAAAGATATGAGAGGATTAGATAACTATGCATATGTTGATCTCGATCATAAGAAGCTCCCCTTGGAAAACCGAGTGTTGTAGTCTGCGGCTTTCTTCACCATCTCTCGGCGCTGTGCACTAGAAATTTTGCCAGCGACAGCCATATCCTTTTCGCGATCAAATGCACGCGCACTTGGGTCGTCATCCTCTTCCTTGGCTTGATCAGAGCTCTCCAAACGGGTCTGTTTCCTGTTCTTCTCCTACGATTGAAATGTCGGGTTAGTTGCGGGTGCGAGAGAAGGAGGTAATGACGCTTCTCAGTTGTTAGATCAGAACAGCAATACTCACATTAAACCGTTTGATCTGGTCTTCCTTGGATTTCGTGTTGGATCCTTGGACCTGGGTCTGTTTTGTCGTGGAACCAACCCCCATCACTGAATCTTGGAGTCGCTTCATTCTTTCCTCCGGAGACTCAACCCACGAAGAATCCATATTCTTGGGCCCCGTTGCTGACTTTCCGGTGTTGAATTTACGATTCCGGAGCTGTGTAGGGTCGATCTTTGAGGTCCAGTCGGATTGAGAAGGAGGATGTAGCATCCATTGATCTCGTTGATTCTCCTTTTCTGGTTGGGTCACCTCTGGTGACTCCACCGCAATGGAAGAGTCGGCAACTGGTGGAGCAGACCCCGGCAAAGGATTTGAAGGAGGTAGGCAGGGACCGAAGTCGTCATCGCTGTCACTGCCTGTGTCGCTATCCGCTGAGCCTGAGCCCGTGTCTGTCGGGGCTGTCGAACCTGTGGGGGGAAGAGAAGGTCCAATCACCTTCCTTTGCTTCGGATTTGGGCTGGAGTGATCGTCATCCTCGAGCTTTCGCTTGTCTGAGTCTTTTGAGTCCATGGCGAGTGAAGAAGAGAAGTATCCATGAATGTGGCTGTCTCTCTATCTTATCGGCTATTTTTCGCTATCACGTATGGTAAAATGATACATAGTCGATACATGATCGACGTCACCAAAGTAATGCGACAGACTGTATCAAAGACATATCAAAGGCCGGTGATTGGCTAGTTTAGGTAAATTCAAGATACCTGTAATTTATAAAACCAACTGATACATGCGCCTTCCCATCCCCAACTTGCGTACGCCAAGCTCAACTTCTTTTCAACCGAACTCTTCTGGACTGGACATTGTAAGTATAACTAGCTCCTTGATATGGTTGACACCCTCGGTTATGTGGAAGGATTGGACTTGTGGACAGCTATTCACTATCTCTCTAGCACCGAGACCGCCTTTTCCGACCCCGCAGGATCATAAACAAAGCAGCAAAGCACATGATGCTTCCTCAACCACGTTGAATCTCGAATGGTGTGCAAAGCTGTGAGGATAATGGGCCATCCTCCTGCACATTGCAACCCCGGTGTGGACACCCCTGACCCAGAAGAGGGATCGACCGACAGATCCCCTCAGGGCTTATCCACTTGGGGACCTCAGCCCGAACCCTTGAACGATAGCGTGCCTATAGATGAGGCACAGAAACCCCGCAAATTTCTAGCACAGCCTGTCGAAACCTCATCGCGAAGTTCCAAGGCACACGACTCTGCCCATGGAGACCGAAACAATCAACAGCAAGCCTCCAAACAAGAAACACACCCAAACAACACCAGCGAGACCCGACCCCCGAGAAGATTTCTCCCGGAGCCGATTGAAACGACGCGGACAACCCACAGAAGAGCCCATTCGACCTCCGAGGTCCATTATACAAGTTCTCCACAGAGCAGGACGTCACCGGGGACTAGGCGATTCAAACCAGACCTGGTAGAGACCGATACGCGCTCGTTTCGAAAAGGTCAGGCAGTTCGACCCTCATCACATAATGCTGTAAGGCATTCAACAACCTGCAACATCAAGGCAGGCACTGGCTTTGTCCCAGATAGCCATGTGGAATCGGAATCCCAATTTTCGTATGCGAGTCTACTGCGTCGACAACAGGCTCGCAGACACTCATTTCGAGTACCTGAACTTCCATCGATCCCTTCCGATAGCAGTGAGGAGTCGGGCACCTCCAGATCGCACTCGGCCTGTACTTCGGCGCCAGGTTCATCGGACAAAGCGATCAAGGATTTGGCCGGTACCAAGTCTCGTCGCGACAGCTGCGGGGAGGAGTTTTCAGAATATCTGCTCTCTCTTGCTGCGCGATCCGCACAGATGCAGTTGAAAGATCAGGCATTAGCTGCTTTCCCCAACGAACAGACATATGAACCTGTTAACCATTTCGCCATCGATTATGACAGGGATTCCGAAGAAGACGCTCCGATAAAATGGAATACTGTGAAGTCTCGACGACAATCGTCAGCAGACCTCTCCTGGGAGCTTGAATACATGCGCCATCATAAAGAGGAGGCTGAAATGAGACTCCGGGCCATGATCACGTCTGGGCAGCCAAAGTCATCACAAGAACAGCAAAAGCATAGTCCACCGCTACTTGGAAACGATATTATCATACCCCTCAGCTCCTCGCCCGAAGGAACTATATGTGAACACTCGACCAAGAATATGCTATCACATGATGGACCAGAGTCTTGCACTGGTTGCGAGGGTCTTTGGTGCGCGGCACCCCGTCACGGGGCTGGAAAAGGCGCCGGCCTGTGGATGGGCACTTGTTCTAAAGAAGAGGGCCAGACGCGACAGGTCCATGGCCTTTTCCCCGGAATTGTAACCCCCATGGCTCGGGTTGACTCGGCCGGTGTCAGTAAAGGGCTCAGTCCCTCACCTTCACACACTCACCTGGACCGGCTGGCACTGTCTCCAGGCAACAGCAAACTTCGCAAACCCGCATCCCCAAACTTCCAGAAGGCCATCGAGTCTGAGTTCCACGATGGCTTTGTGACGCAGATTTACAACTATCTCTCCCTGGGATACCCGTGCCTTGCCCGATACTATGATGATGAACTCAGTCGAATATCCGGGATCTCCGTCGAGGTTCTCCGGCGCGATGATCTGAACACTGACGCTCGAGGTTACGTCGTTGCACCCGCGAATGACGATCTCGCTGATGCCTGCGCTCGGTGGAAAGCTCTTCGCCTCTATATTCAGGAATGGGCTCGACAGGAGCCCGGTATGGCTGACGACGAAACCAATTTGGAAGGATGGGGACTTCCAGAACGAAAAGGAAGCTGGGCAATCTGAATGATACAGTCTGATTCATCCTCCTCTCGAGCAGCGTGCATTGGTTTTCTCACGACCGAAATGATTTGTTGGATATTGAAGTTGCCCATTGCGATTTGGCCTGGCGTTCGAAGAGTTTCCCCCATTAATTAGATTGCGACTTTCTATGCATGAACATCATATAAACATGACAGCATGGCATTGGGCAAATAGCATAATCACCATCCAGTTGAGATTGAGTACAGCCAATTTTACTTCAGTCAATTTACAATATTGCTACGATACTATGCTTTACTGGGTTTCCCTCAGTTTTCAACCAGGGTGTGTATAGTGAACAACACCCAGAAACTTGATTGAGATTAGAAACAAGACCCGAAAGCGCGCAATATCTATTGATGCATGTTCCCCTTTCGAGCCCTCTCATGAACAATGCCTGGGAATATCTTCTGCTCAGGTAATCCGCCCGTTCCACCGACCTCGTTTCCGAGAGCAGGGTTGTTGCCAGGAGAGGAAAACTCGCCAGTGGCAACATGGGGAGACCGAGCCAACAATGTTGATGGAGTAGAAGGTGAAGTAGGAGCTGTCTTCCGAATCTCACCCTGCGAGCCATCCGCAGGGGTTTCAGTAGTCGGGTAAGACACAGTGGAATCTAGAGATCGAAGAATTCAAGGTCAGTAAACTGCATATGGTTGAATCGATCACTGCAAGCTGATTTCGTACCGTTTGAAGATCCTGTGTCTCCTGCCTTGTCTAGTGTTTGCTTTGCAGAAACCGGGACCGCGGCTGAAGACGCCTGCTCCTCGGTCCCATTGCTTTCAGAATATCGCTCGATCCTATAAAATACCAGTCAGCTCAAAATCGACACTAAAATGCACTACTCTCGCTCTCAATCAAGCAGATTCATTACTCACAGGGACAGTTCTCCGAGCAAAGTTTCATGTCGGAAGGCCTCGCGAATGTCTGGAACATTACTCTTTGCAACATTGTTGCCAGAAACACCTGGCAGGGAACAGCCCGAGCCGAGCCATCTAGCCTTGAGAGAGTGTTCGAAGCCACTTTGATCCACAGAGTGCTTGGCAAGTTCACACATGTCGACGGCGCTGAACTTGTAGATTTGCGCTGCGACAGAGTATTCCTCAATCAGAGGCTCCTTAGTGAAGGCAAACTGCAAAGGATCATCGGTGGATAAAGACACGTTGAGTCCTCGCTTGAAGAAACTTGCACATGGATTCTTGTCATATGTCAGGAATAAGGCATTGTTACTTAATGGGGACATGGCGATGCCAATCTGATCCAGATAGTAGAGATACTGCAACAGTGGAACCTTGCGCAGCAAGATTCCGTGACTGATGCTGTGGCAGCATAAGAACCCGACGGCCAAATGGTCTGGGTCACCGGCCTCTCCGCAATGCGGCCGAAGAACAAAGGTGTTGAATCCTCGGCGCTTGCGCCAGTTGTTGAGAGAGGCGATGTTGGCGAACATGAAGTACAGCCAGTAAGTATAAGGTGGGTTCTGTTTGGTGTTCCATTCGCGAGGAATAGGGTACTTTCGGTACAGTCGACGCTCCGGCTTGCTTTCGTCATCTACACTGTCAAATCCAACGACTCGCTGGAGGAAAATGTGAAGTTTAGGATGGCTGGAGGGATCCTTCGTCACTTCAAACAATGGCTGAAAGACGTTTGCAATGACTTGCTCATAATTCTCCATCATGCCACTCGACTTGTACACGTCGTAGAGACGAGGGACTTGAATCAACCAGCGGACGTTCGGTGAAAAGAGCTTGTTGTCGACTACCCAGGCTGCAAGTTTGTCCCACTCCTGAAGAGAACGGCCATAGATCGAGATTCGCCATTCCACCATCTGGTATTTGCTGGATTCTAGATCGGAGATCACCTCTTTGGTAATCTCTGCCAGATAGCGGCCCTTGATGTAGTTGTCGGTCTTGAGGAAGATTTCACGCAGTCGAGACTCCCCAACTGGGTTATACTTCAGATTGAATTTGTCAAAACGGTGGAACGAATCCGTGTGTGCCTACAGAAAGCTGGTCAGAAAGCGCTTACAAATGGCCGAACGTTAGAACTTACATGCATATCCAATGTATCGATGCTCAGGTCATAGGCAGTAAGGTTGATACTCTCAAAGACCTCTTTCAAGGTCAAATGCTTGCCGTCACGGAACAAAACAACCTCGTCCGGCGACTTTCTCATCTTGCTCTTGATGAAACGAAGCAAGTGTTTCTGATTCATGCAAGCGGAATGATGAACGTGAGTGTCGACTTTTCGGACGTTGTAGAAATCTCTGTGGGGAACCTTCTTGCTGTCCGCCATTTCCTGATACTCGTTCAATAGGGTGTAGAGCTGGAACTTGCCTTCCAGGTATGAGAGTCGCTTAAATGCGAAGCTCTTGGCAGGTCCATCGGTGGACACATCCACCACGGCATCCAAGTCCATGTAGAAATCCCGCAGCGAGGGGATCTGAACCACGGGCTTCTGCTCGTTGGCGGCCTCCTCTGACTCAAAGACCTGGTAGACACTGTTGCCATCGAGCCTGTAAGTCCAAGAGGATTCTGCTGGCAGAGGCAGCAATTCATCCATATCGAAGTCTTCTCCGATATCTTGACCCATCTTCCTCTTTTTGCCATTCAGATCCGACGGCCCTCCGGCATTGCCTGGCTGATATTCTTTGCCATCATCCCATGCAGGCTCTGGAGGGGGAGGGTAGATCTCCCAGTCTGGCTGGTCCCTGGGATCGTTCCCAGGTCCCTGCAAGGACAGCTCCATGTATTGGGCTCGACGATCCAAGAGCTTCTTGATCTTGCGGTAGATGGCGCTCAACTCCGAGGTCACTGCCGCGCTACTCGATGTGAAGCCACTCGCAACCTGGGCCTGTCCGATCCCCAACCCGGTGCTTTGCAGTCCCTCCGAAGCCGCTTGGTATGGTCCCTGCCCGTGAACGGCACTCAGGAGCGCCGCCTGGTTTTGGACGGAGCCGTTTGCCGCCTCTTCATCCTCCTCTAGGTAGTGCGACGCCTGCGGCTGGGGGGTCTTCCGGTTCGGTGTGTAGCAGCAGGGTCGAGGGATCGGACTCTGAGACCACGGATCCTTCGCCGGAGACTCCGTGGGAGGTATTCATCGAATCTGCGTGATCGGTGGGAGGTTCCTCAGGCTGGGTCTCGGGACGAGCAGGTACTACTGGACTCGGAGGGACGGTGTCGGTATTACGAGCAGCCAGCTGGTGGTGCTGATAGAAGAGTCTCGCCTCGGCGTGACTCAAGGACTTCTCATAAGCATAGTCATAAGTGGCGGTCTTCTGCTGGCGGTCTCTGGGCAGGATGTCCTCGGGTCGGTCTAAAGCATTGGGCTTTTCCTGGGAGGGAGTGTCGGCCGGGCTTTGGAAGCCCGGAGACGAGGTGGCTGATTCATCGAATGGTGCGTTGGCATTTTGACTGGAACTAAGATCGGGTTGAGGTCCCATGACTAGCTCGTTTTCGAGGTGTCCGGATGGTGCAGGTTGCACGGAGAAAGAAGCAAAGAGCTAAGGGAGGATCTGAGGAGATACCCCAAGGACTATTGTCGCTGACTGTAGCACTTGACTAGCAGAGACCAACAATGACCAGCAAATGGAATATCTTAGCAAAGAAAGATATCAGAAGAAGACAAGAACAGAAACCAAAAAAAAAAAAAAAAAAAAAGTCGAGCTCCCCACTTTCGGTGAGAACGAGGCTCGAAGAGAGTCCAGAACGGACGAGGTACTTGTGAGGTACTTTGCATAGTGGACTTCAACTTGCATTGAAGAATGCTACAGTCCCTTGAAAAGAGAGTCATTTTGTGAATATTTAAAAGTTCAAGTTCATCCCGATCAATTTCCACTAGTTAAGCTATAGCTAGTAGCCTTAGTAGCTCCCAATTGTGTATAGTGTGTATAGTGTCTGGTAAACGGGCTGTGTACCCCCTGAAGTACCTCTCCACCTTTAGGCTTCATCGTCCCCTCTTCCTTTCGCATCTCTCACATCTCTCTCTGCTCCTCTCTTACCTCTCACATATTTGTCTTCTCTTACTTCCACACACTTCATACTATCATACCAATCCTCAACCCCATACTGCCACATCCTCAATTGCGTCCTTTTCTTGTATTTGTCTTTCCTGCTAGGTGAGTGTTGTTTACCGCAGTTACGTCAACGTCGGTTCTTCCTCCTATTCCCCCAACTGTCTTGCCAACTCAACAACTGCCAATGTGCCAATGTGCCAACTTTGACAGGACTTGCCGCTAACAGCTCATGATACACAGAGGTTTTGTACAAAAGAAGCAAATAGTTGCCACGTGCTCGCCTCCAACTTCCTCTCCCTCCCCGCCTATCCGGAAGCCATGGCATCTCTCAACCTTTCATCCAACGGTCCCTCGATATCCAAAAGCTACCAAACAGTAGTGAATGCCCCTCCTCCATCTGCAAGCGGACAGTCCCCGACCGCTGCTCAATGGGCCGTGTTCTCGGTCTCTACCCCGCTGGTCAGTGCTTTTCAGCAGGACGGAGGCAAGGAGAGTGTTTTAAAGGTCCAGAGCTCCGGAGGTCAGTCATTCATATAACTCCACGGGGCTTCCCAGTTAACCAGGAAATAAAAAACAGAGGGTGAATTGGCCGATCTGATCGAAGAGTTCTCCGAAGGACGAGTGCAGTTCGCATATGTGAAGGTGACGGACCCAAACACCGGGCTTCCCAAGAACGTCCTGGTTGGGTGGTGTGGAGAAGGTGTGCCTGAACGGACAAAGGGATATTTCACCAGCCATCTGGCTACCGTGTCCAAGTTCCTTCATGTAAGTACCCATGACGCAACCGATGCGGTGAAGCTGACTCGAGTAGGGATACCATGTGCAAGTGACCGCCCGCGCAGACGGAGATCTCACCCCCGAGGGAATCATTCAACGAGTGGCCGATTCCTCCGGCTCCAAGTATTCCGCAGGCGAGGCTCCGGCCCCCGCCCCGGCCCCCCGACCCGCAGTGGCCAGTAAGCCGGCCTTCACACCAACTCGATCCGGAGGCATCCCACCGAACCCCGCCGCGCGCGTGCAGCCCGTCTCAAGAGCCAATGTCGACAATGATGGGTGGGGTGATGATGCCCCTCCCGTCACTCGAACCCAACTGGAGAAGGTCCAACCCGCCTACCAACCCACTAGAGTGAACCTGCAAGAACTGAAATCCAACCCAACTGCCACTCGTCAGCCCGCGGCTTCGTCGAACGATTCTGCAGATGTTGTGCGAGGAGGATACCAGCCAGTGGGCAAGGTGGACATCGCCGCGATTCGGAGGCAAGCCGCCGAGTCGGGTCAGTTGAAAGATGAGCGCCCATCGACGGTGAAGGGCTCTTATGAACCGGTTGGAAAGGTTGATATTGCTGCTATTCGCGCCAGAGCACAGAAGCCCGAAGGCGCCAGCGGCGGCTTTTCGCCGAGCCCTGCAACCCCGGAGCCGGCGACGGCCTTGCCTGAACGACCTGCGCCCTCGGTTGGCTCGGGGCGCTTGACAGATCTACCAAAGCCTAAGGTCGCCAACAAGTTTGGAGGGGGCCCCTCTTTCCCCGGAACCAAACCACCTCTCCCCGTGGGTCTTAACTCTAAACCGTCGGCGGCCGCACCGGTTGGCGTCGCCAGCCGAACTTTCGCCGATGAGGGAGGAAAGACCCCCGCTCAAATTTGGGCCGAACGCAAGGCCAAGGAGCGTGGCACCGCTTCTTCGGGTGCTGCTGAGCCTGCTCCCATTCCCATCCAAAGCCAGCCCAGTGGCCAAGGGGAATGGAAGAGCTCTTATGCCGGCAAGTCCTGGGCTCCCGTCCAGACCGCGCATGAGAGATCACACTTGCCTGAACCAGTGGCTGATGCCCGGGCCAATGAGCAATCCGAAGAGCAATTCCAGCCTCAGGCGAGAGAAGTACGTGAGACCTTTGCTCAGGAGACCCCTGCGCCTCCTGCACCTCCCATTCCTCAGGCTAGTCGCCCGGTGCCTGTCCCTGGGCTCTCTGCACCCGAGCCCGAGCCCGAGCCCGAGCCCGAGCATGATGCTCAGCAGGTGCTCCCACCGCCTCCACCTCAGCCTCGTTCCCCGACCCCTCCCAGCCCACCTGTGCGCGATAGCTCGCCCATCCGCATCGCCATGCCCGTTGCCCAGACTGCCCCAGAAGCTACTGAGGTGGCCGACGCCCACGAGGAACAACACTCGCCCCCTCCCACTATGCCCATCAGAAGTTTGCAGGAGACCGTTCCAGACGAGCGGGATCTGGAGGATGATTCTCACGATCTTGGCCGTGCTGCAGCCGAGGCTACCGCCCCGGAGCCGGAGCCGTCCCAGGGTGGACCCCGAGCCCAGATCCAGTACGACTATGAGAAGGCCGAGGATAACGAGATTGAACTTCGTGAGGGTGAGTATGTGACCGATATTGAAATGGTGGATGAGGACTGGTGGGTGGGTGTCAACTCCCTGGGCGAGCGTGGTCTCTTCCCGGCCAACTATGTTGAAATTGTTGACGACGGGGCTGCACACGCGCCCGCGCCCGTTCATCACCACGAGCCCGAGCCCGAGCCCGAGCCCGAGCCCGCGGCTGCCCCTGCCCCTGTCCCCGCTCCTGCTCCTGCCGCTGTTCCTCCCCCACCAGCCCCGGCCGCGGCCCCCGCTGCTGCTGCTCCGGTCTCAAAGGGCCGGACTGCCACGGCACTGTATGACTACGAAGCCGCCGAGGACAATGAGATCGGTTTCCCCGAAAATGCGAAGATTAGCAATGTGGTGAGTTGTTTATTATTCCACCAGATTGTTTACCATGCTAACCTTGTGTCTTTTATAGGAATTCCCCGATGATGACTGGTGGTTGGGTGAATACAATGGTCACCAAGGACTCTTCCCTGCCAACTATGTGCAATTGGATCAATGATCTGACCCTTCGCGATGTTATAAATCCAGGCTGCTCCAGACCTGATTTCAAACGTGTGTATTCTTTGCAACTACCTAGCATGAAATGTCAAGTGCATTCCTAGTTCCAATTGGAACCTCCGCATATCTTTTCAAGATGGGATTGTAAGAGTATGGGAATGTGAATCCTTTTGTATAGTATCTACCTTTGTATGCTTATACCGAGTCTTGTACAGGGTAAAGTACAGGGTGTGAAGCATTGAGGTATATAAAAATAGACGTAAAACCTCCCGAAATCAATGCCGTCATGGCGCATTATGTCAGCATCACGTGCCGCCGAAAAAGTGGCCATAAGCAGTTGTTCCAAGGTCGGTGCCGAAGTGCTTGGGCCCATGACAACTGCACGCGACTTCTCTCTGCGTGTACCTTCTCCTCCCTTCATCCCGTCGTTACATTCTGGGAGCCTCCGACATCATGGCTTCCCTGGGCGAGGATCTACTCGTCACGGTTAACAAGCTCCAGGACCTTGTCTTCAACACCATTGGAAATGACTCCCTAGATCTGCCTCAAATTGTAAGTCCGGAGCAATGTCAAGTCGCGGTGTCAGGGAGACTGTTATATCATGCTCCGAATCAGTACTGATATCTCCCGTCCCAGGTCGTTGTTGGTTCGCAATCATCCGGAAAGTCCTCGGTCCTGGAGAACATAGTTGGGAGGGACTTCCTGCCCCGAGGCAGCGGTATTGTCACTCGGCGGCCGCTGATTCTCCAGCTCATCAATGTTCCCAGTGAGCGCGATGACAAGCCCGCATCCGATGAGATTCATGTTCCCCACACGGCCGCTAGTGTTGCCGGTCAACACGAATGGGCTGAGTTCCACCACCAACCGGGTCGCAAGTTCGACGACTTTGCGCAAGTGAAGGCGGAGATTGAGGCGGAGACGGCCAGAATCGCGGGAAGCAACAAGGGCATCAACAGACAGCCAATCAACCTCAAGATCTTCTCACCCCATGTGTTGAACCTGACCCTGGTGGATTTGCCTGGATTGACAAAGGTGCCCATCGGTGATCAGCCGTCCGATATCGAGAAACAAACACGCACCCTCATTCTGGAATATATCGCCAAACCGAACAGTATCATTCTTGCCGTCTCGCCAGCCAATGTCGACCTGGTTAATTCCGAGGCGCTGAAGCTTGCTCGCCAGGTCGATGCGATGGGCCGGAGGACCATCGGAGTTTTGTCTAAATTGGACCTGATGGATCATGGAACAAATGCCATGGACATTTTGTCTGGACGTGTATATCCCTTGAAGCTGGGTTTCATCGGTGTGGTCAACCGGTCCCAGCAGGATATCCAGTCAGGCAAGTCCCTGTCTGACGCCTTGCGAGCAGAGTCAGAATTCTTCCGACACCACCCAGCCTACCGAAATATGGCCAACCGTTGCGGTACACACTTCCTGGCCAAGACTTTGAACACAACCCTTATGTCACACATTCGAGACCGCTTGCCGGATATCAAGGCCCGCTTAAACACCTTGATGGGACAGACTCAACAGGAGCTCGCCAGCTATGGAAACAAGCAATTTAGCGGCGAGGAGCACCGGGGATCTTTGATTCTGCAACAGATGACCAGATTTGCCGCATCTTTCATCTCATCTATTGACGGAACTTCGTCGGAGATCTCGACGAAGGAGTTGTGTGGTGGTGCGCGAATTTACTACATCTTCAACTCCGTCTTTGGAAACTCGCTTGAAACCATTGACCCAACCCATAATTTGACCGTTTCAGACATCCGAACGGCCATTCGCAACTCCACGGGCCCTCGCCCCAGTCTGTTTGTTCCAGAGCTGGCCTTCGATCTGCTAGTCAAACCACAGATCAAGCTCCTTGAATCACCCAGTCAGCGGTGCGTGGAACTGGTCTACGAAGAATTGATCAAGATTTGTCACACGTGTGGCAACCAGGAGCTCTTGCGCTTCCCCCGTCTCCAAGGAAAGCTCATTGAGGTCGTATCTGACCTTCTCCGTGAGCGTCTTGGGCCATGCGCAAGCTACGTGGAGTCTTTGATCTCCATTCAAAGAGCCTACATTAACACCAATCATCCCAACTTCCTTGGCGCCGCTGCCGCCATGTCCTCAATCATCCAAAACAAACAGGATGAGGAGAGAAAAGCTGTTCTGGCAGAAGAGAAGCGGAAACGCGAGAAGCGTCGCCAAAAGGAACTGGCTGCTCCCAACGGGACAGGGGGTCCTGACGAAGAAGAAGATTCGAAGTCCCTTCCCCTCCGAACTCAGTCATCCAAGGGCTCCCGGAGCATGTCACCTCACGTTAGCCGAACTGGGGAGAATGGCATTGCTGCGACTTTGAATGGTGCTCATCATAACCACGCCGGATTTGGTGTTGGTTCAAACACCGCTCGCGATTCCTTCTTGAACTACTTCTTCGGTAAAGAGGGTACACAAAACACCGCCCTACCTCCAGCAGGCGGCAGCTCCCACCGCTCCAACGCATACCCCAGTGAACCGAGCATTAGCCAGAGTATCCGCCGTGCCGAAGTTCGATCACCGGTCCTGCCCGCCGAGGAATACACTGCTCCCCAGCCCGAGTTTAGTGATCTCTCTAACTTCGTGAGTTTCCCCCACACATCCCCCAACTTATTGCCCGCTTGCAAGTGTGATTAACCATCTCTGTACAGCCCCACGAGAACACTGAGCCGGCACTCACTGACCGCGAGATGCTTGAATGCGAGCTCATTCAGCGCCTCATCTCATCATACTTTGCCATTGTCCGGGAGACAATTGCAGACCAGGTCCCCAAGGCAGTCATGCATCTTCTTGTCAACCACTGCAAGGATGTTGTGCAGAACAGACTTGTGAGTGAACTTTATAAGGAAGATCTGTTCAGCGAGCTTCTTTATGAGGATGATGGCATCAAGGCCGAGAGAGAGAAGTGCGAGAAACTATTGGAGACATACAAGGAAGCTGCCAAGATCGTTGGCGAGGTGTTATAGATTAGCCTGTTCTTTTATTATCTGTCCTTGAGGCCATCCCAATTTATGTACAATTACTGCACACCAATACATTGTTCTCCTTCACTCGCTCTTCTTGGTCTATCTATCACTGGTCCTTCTTCGCCGCACCTCTTAAACGTGCCCCTTCAAATCCATATAAGCCTCCACCCACAAACACCAAGGCCGCTCCGAATAGCACACCCCCAGCCAAGTGATTCCCAAACAAATAGATTGACAACAGCAAAGATGCAAGCTTACGCACGTTCAAGACAATAGTCACTGTCAACGAACTCGACTTTGCAGACAGGAGATGCACGCCTCGGATACATAAGTATTGAGTCAACGCGTTCATCGCCAAGTATGCCACTTGAACCGGAATCATGGCTAGGAGTTCCATGACAGCCTTACTTTGAATCAAGCCCAGTGCGCCCTGTACACTGTCCAAGGTCACCAATGAAGGCGACGCTGCAACAACACGCCACTGACCAACTAATTGCCCCCAACTCGTGAAGAAAACCGGCAGTGACAAAGCGTGGGAGTAGAAGAGTGCCTCTTTCCAATGATCTCGCCCATAAGTCGCATACAGCCGATCAGCGTATATCCCCTGGAAAGCAGAAAGGATCATTGCCAGAGCGAGAATGGTAAATCCTGTTACTGTGGTAACTAGGTCCGTCTCAACATGTACGGGGTCTTTAGTCTGGGCATCGGCCATAGCTGCCGCCGCGACGCCCAGAGTCAACATGCCCACCGATGTAATCTGGCCACGCGAATATCGGCGCCCGTTGTAAAGATAACCAATTATCATTGAGGCAACTGGGCCCGCAGAGCGTAGAATAATATGCAATGGGACGGAAATTTTGTATGCAAATGCCCAGTTGTTGAGGAGGTTGACGGTAAGAAAATAGAGCGTGTAGATCGTCCATGATTTCAAGGGGATAGCGCGGGGGCTGAGGAACAGAGATTTGGGACCTGCTGCCGGAGAGAGAAAGTGTGGAAGCGTAAAGAGAGCGCAAATAATGAATTGAGCGAATGTGATGAGAGGACCTGAGCATGTTTAGCTAGAGCAAGTCTGGTAGTGGGCTGCTTGCTTACCGGCCGTTGGTTGTTCCCTGGTATGTTATTAGCAAACTGGTGAATTGACCTCGGCCTTGCCCGACTTACTTGATAATAGCTTCCAATGCAAATACCTAAATGCTCCATCAGTCTCATCCCATTTGTTGTCTCTCGGTATAACGCACGTTTGCACAACAGCCTCCGAATATCAAAGAGACCATCAGGACCATATTCGTCCAATTCGGTATGAACGCATGAGCAGTGGCAGCGGCCAGGCCTGGAGCATCCTTTTTGAGCTGAGCATAGTCAATCTTGCCCTCTCGGGCATGAGACACGGTGGTTGCGCTTTCATCTGACAAATTCAAAGGGGCTCGCGACCGATTGACTCGATATTCGCTTCCTCGCTTGGAGGAATCATTATCATTGAGCATCCTACAATGGTTAGTGCTGAAGTCACGCAGGAGAATTGGTGAACATACCTGTACACAAAAGACGTACGTCGCAAATGGAGTGTTGATGTGAGGCCGAAAGAAGATAAGATAAAAGAGATCACGGGGTCCGGAGATAAAGCGGAAATAAGAGGCACATCTACTTTCCAAGGCTCATAGCTTCGTATCTTCGTGTTATTGTTTATTGTACATTTTATTCTAATCCACAATGTCGTCGTCGCTGAGAAACAGTTTCTCCTCTTCCTGAGCTTCGATCCTGGTTGGTGTGGGCTCGGCATCATGACTGCCATACCCAACAATCTTATTCAATTGCCACCAGTCCGGATCCTGACGTCGGATGATTGCCATGTAGGGCAGTTGATGGAGCAGCAGATCGTGTCTCGGCATCATAGTCACCACTCCGTGGTTCTCATCTGACCTGCCGACTTGCACACTCTTCCACGAACTGACACCTGTCATGTCAGAGGTTTGAGACCCACGAGACGGATCGAGGAGTCGATTGGACCATGAATCCAGCAGTCCTTCGATCTCCTCGGAATCTCTCCACAACCGCAGCGAAGCTGGATAGAACATTTTGTGTGCATCGCCCGCTCGTTGTCCTCCGGATCCAACCTTCCTTTGGACAGGGCATGGCAGCGCAAACAGCAGTCCCCGCGCGGCGACTTGGAAGCTCATTTCGTCCTGTCGCAAGGCATCAACACCGCCGCTGAAAGTGTTGATGCCGGTGCCCACGCCTGCGCGTCCACCCCCATACCGGCGGTCAGCGCTGAGAATTTCGCTGTCAGAGAGAGCCTCGATACAATCCCCAAAAGTATCCGTAAAGTTGTCTCCATGGCAGGACGGGATATAATTTTCGTGGAGAGCACTGATAAATGTCGAGATATCAGTGCCTGTCTCATCAACGAGATCATTGACCAAAACCTGCGAAGCTTTGTGTCGGTGGAAGTGACGCAAGTAATCCGGTGGAGCAGGGAGGACCTCGATGTCCTCACTATCTACTAAGCTTGGATCCAGGCGTTTGTTGTAAACAATTTTTCCAACGGCATGAAACATCCCCAGGCTAGCTTCTCGCTGCGTGACTAACTTGAGGGATTCTTTCTCCATGGCGGTTAGCGCAACCTCTGCGCGACTCTTCTTCTTCGCAAGGCTGCCTCCCCACATCCCAGCACCTCCTCCTTTTAAACAGAGAAACTCCAGCGATGAGATGGCACTGCGGATGTCTCCAATCTCTGAAATCTGATTGAGAACTGCCGGACCAGGAATTTGTACCCGATTTGAATCGCGCGCCTCTCTCTCTAATATTGATCGTAGAGCCTTCTGCATGAAAGTAGGAGCAATTGCATTGAAATCCAGTATCGTCGTCCCGGGGTGGTTATACACAACTGGCCCCAGTAGCCGGTGAACAGTCAAATTATCAGAAGTTGACGACGCAGATCCCAGCAGGGTCTCCGACACAATAATCACAACGGGTGGGTGGTCACGCCCACTCGCTGCTAGGTACCGTTGAAGAGACACCCGGAAAGCCGTATGTGTAGCCGCACGTCCAAACATCGTTGGAAACTCCTCGATGAGGAGGATTCGCTTATCGGTTTTTGCATCAGAGTCCAGGTCCAGTCCTCCAAATTTATCGCCGCGGGCCAGGAATTCTTCAAAATGAGCGCTCGCCGATTGATAGGTGCTCGACCCGAATTCCGAGATTGGGGGGTTCTTCCATTCGATAATATCGTAGCCAAGCGATTTCGATAGTAGGCTTATTGTCGTTGTTTTGCCACTTCCTGCTGGGCCTCGGAGGACAAGCAATCTCTGCAATAGTTAGACTTGTGTGGGGAACTGATGAAGGGAAGACCTACCCCCGAACATCTTCCCGTAAATGCACCTTCCAGCCAGGATTGTACGTCGGAGACCTTCTTTTTGTGCACGGCCAATGATGCCAGTGAGTCCGGTGCATATCGCTGGGCCCACGGTCTCCCATCTTCCAGTTGTATTGGGTCTTCCACAGCACTCCCGGTGGTGGGCAGGAGGAATCGCTTCGTCGGTTTCTTGGGCGGTGCCTTGGGTTTTGGCTTTGTCGGTTTTGGCTTTGATATTTCGCGTGCTTGGGTCGCGCTCGAGGTCACGGCGCGCTCATTCGCTAGGTGTTGTGTAAAGATCTCATCGTAGGAATCGTAGTCGTCTTCTATGAGATCGACTTCCTCTGTGATCGGGGACTGCTTTTCTATCGCGGTCCATCGCTGAGCTTCTGTTGCAGGTTGGAAGAAGCTATGTAGGGACTTGGCCTTCTCTGGAGATGTGGACTTCTTGGGAGAGGGAGAGGCTACTGGTCGTTTGGGCCGTGTGGAGAGCGCGAAGGGGGATGTCGCTTCTATTGGAGAGGAAGAGCTGTCTGGGAGAGCGTTCGGTTTGCGTTTTGTAGATTTATCATTGGACCTGCGTTGTCGTTTTGCAGGACGATCCATTGTGTTGGAGGAGAAGTGCAGATATGAGGATCCGATAAGCTTATGACGCCAAGCATCAGGTCCACTCCGCTCCCCGTTGCTCTTCCACCCAACTCCTCTCCTATAAGCCTGGTAGTTTCAAGATACATTATATCATTCTATATACACATATGGGTATGTCTGTGTCCCTCATTTCATTTGAATTATGCATTTTGACATTATATTGGTCCAGTCACAACGGGTATATTGACCGGAAAAAGCAAAACAAAGATCTATACACCCCCAAATACGTCGTAGTAATAATCTTCATCCAATCCCTCCCTCGCGGGGACTTGCGGCGCCTCCCCTGCGAAGGTGGCATCATCAAAGCGAACATTGAGCAGGCGAATTTTCAACCCATAGTTGCTGACCAGATCAATTAGTTTGGTAGTCTCCGCCGTGATAGGTTGCTGATTGAGGAGCATCAACAGACCGTCCAGCCATTCAGATGCAATGCTGTGCGAGGAAGGACGGAGGGTGAGCAGGATGACCTCTTTCTGAGTGGCTCTGCTGTTTGAACGGGCGTGGCTGTTACTTTTGCCATGAGTACTGGGGGAGGGAGTGTAGCCATGGATGGTGATTTTGGTCGCAGGCTGGCGGGAGGGTTTGGTCGAGCCAGAGTTCTCCGTAGAGACGTTAGAAACAACAGAGGAGACGAGGGAGAGGTCGACTGGAGCAGTTAGCGGGGAACAATAAATTGAATACATGCATGCACGACAAGTTGCACGACAAGTCACACTCACTTTTCTCGGGGAGGGTATCCAACTCCGGCGCTCGGTCACCCATCAGATCGAAAGATCCGAAATGCAAGTATCGTCGATTATGCGAGAGCTGAGCATATTGGTATGTTGCAGACTTCGGGCCGTCCGGCTTGTGATCCAGCGCAAACCAGCACCCTTGAAGCAAACATCGGATCCGTTGCTCTTTGACAAACTGCAACGCCTCATGATGCAGCTCCTCGCGCACCTGACGCAAATGCTGACCCCACGCATCCTCGTACGTAAGTTCCAGAAGTTCCATCTGCAACCCGCGCAGTCGGTTATATTCGAAATCTGCCAAGTCCTCCTCGACTTCCTGGACGTCCTTTGTCCGGTCTGCACCGCCGACAACGGACTCTATGAGAATGCGTACAAGTTCAACCAGCTTATCGAGATCCTCTGCTTCGGCTGCGGTTGCTTTCCATAAGCGGAAAAATGCCTGCAGTCCGGCGACATGTAGCCGTGTCCAGTGTAACAATAGTGGTTGGAACATTTTGTCAATCCCAGCGCGTGATTCGGAGACAAATGCTTTTGAATCATCCGTTTCAGGTTTGTCGACTTCAAAATGTTCATAGAGAATAGATGTCACGGCCAACGAGGCTCGCGCAATAGGGCACCTTTGAGTCACCGGCTTGGTGGAGTGTTCCAGGAGCAGTTTCTGGAATTCATCGCCATGGCTACGGACATAGTCCGCCAGATCCATCATCCCCAAGAACCCAACTTCTTGGAAATCACCAACAGGACTCTCGGTCTCGAAGCCCAGTCGTCTCCACTTCTCGGGATGATGTTTTCTGGAGCGCCGAGTGTCGTCCGCGCCTTGATCATTCTTCTCCGGGTTGCTAGCCAGGTGGATCCCCTTCAGCGCACGCCGATGTTCGGGCTTCTCTTGGTCCAGCGGAATATCCCGCCACTTGCGCAGCAAGACTTTGGTGAGGGATTGAAACTCCATCAGCGGATGAGTCAAGTCTTGGAGAGCAGGGTCCTGCATCAGTACATAGACGGCTCTAATCACGCCAAGGTCCTGTAATTTCTGGATGAACTTCGGCCATTCGGCCTCTGAGTCGTGTGTGATGGAGTCGCGCATGAGGGAATTGATCAATTGCAGCGCGTTGGCGCACAGGGCATGATCGGCGGAGGAGAGTCGGGTCACGAGCATTTCTAGAAACTGGGGGTATATCGCGATCGCGGGTTTCAGGGCGCGGAAGCCGGAGAGGTCAGCGGAGCCCACGCTGGACGGCTGGGAGACGATTGAGACAAGGATAGACATTGCGCCACGGAGGATATTGACGAGAGGATGGGTAACGATCAATTCAACAATCTAGGGGAGTCAATTTTGGTATAAAAGTTGCGAAGCGGGATACTCACGCGCTCAACTAACTCTTCGTCCACGCACTCCCAGCCCTTGTCGACATCCAAGAGGCGCGAGAAACTGGTCAAACTATAAGCGAGGGTATTTCCACTGGCATGAAGTGTCAGGTAGCGCAATCGGGTGAGACCTCCGTCGGCGATGAAGAGGTCGGCGAAGGATGGGTCGCCGATGTTGGTCTGGAGCTTGAAGACGGCCATTTTGCGCACGGCATCTTCATCGCTTCCCAGGCGCTCCACGAGCTCTGGGACGTTGACTGTTTCCATCCTGAGGTTGAACAAGGAGAACGCGGAGATCGAAGTTCGGGAGAAAGATCAGGGGGCTGTGGGGCAGTTGCAATCCGAACGGCGATCCTCGAACGCCTTTAATTTCAATTTGAATTGCCCGTTCTGATAGGTTCAGGAGATTTCCAGGGTTACTTACGTGTAATAATATCTTCATAGCATATAGAGTATACGGAGTACGTTTGAAGGCAGTGCAGGTTATATGTTATGTGTGATCTCAGGACATGTTCCGTATATTGTATGCATTAAGTCGTTATATTCCTTTTTTTGAAGGGCTTTTAGGAAATCTATCCGGTCTCCAAATGGTTCATTATATTCATCGGCAGGTCACCTCCTCCAACCCACGTTCCATATGACGTGGGCAATGTCTCGGGCGGTGTTGACAGTGTCGACCACCCGATCCAAGATGGTGCTGCTGGAAGATTCATCGCCTTCCGGCATGAACATGCCGGACTCGGTCAACTGGAGCGGGCGATTGGGGGCTGGGTCTTCAAACCACGGACGATCACGATCGGGGTAGTTGCCCGTGAAGTCCATGTTGGGATCTTCGTCGTCCAGGAGGAAGTTGGCCTGTGGCTCGGGTTCGGACGGCCTGAGGGTCTCGACTGAGGGGGTGGGTGATAGTGTGGAGGACCACGAGCCCAGGATGTTTGGCTGGGGCTCGACATCCCCACGGTATTTGAGGGTCGTGGAAGGGAGAGGGGCGATGGTTTTCCCCTCCCCGCTGAAGCTGTTGCGGGGAGTGCGGCTGCCGATAGGATCCACGTCTGGGATGTGTCGCATCATGACCACGCCATCGTCTGATGACTCGTCGAAAGTGGCAGGCCACTCGTCTTCGTAGCTTTTGGCTTCCACCGCAATGCATTGGACGACTTCGTTGTTGAAGTGGATGTGGCGCCGTTCGCTGGGGGATGTCATTCCCGAGGAGGAGGAAGAGGTCAATGTGCCACCCAGAGAGTACGTGGAGCTCCCGGTGCGGTGGTGGAGCTGATCTAAATCCGTGTTGGATCGAGGGAACGGGGGCCGCGTCCACCCGTTCTCGGCTTCTTGGGCTTTCAGAATGGCCCCCGCGTGCTGGAGGAGGGTGTGTTGGGACAGCGACCGCTGCAGCATGGCTTCGGACGCCGTCTTCTTTTTCAGGATGGGTTTCTTGTCCCGGTAGGAGTTGGGTGTCTCTAAGCGACTCGGGGGTGGAGAGGGCGACGATTCACGCCCGACAGAGCTCTTCAATGGACCGTAGAGCCAGGTCACATCACAGTCCTTCAGCCTGATTCCGGAGATTAGTTGGCGTCACCAGACGAAAAGTAGTTCCCACGTACCAATTCAGACTCTCCGGGGAGATTGTCTTCAGGTTGTGCTTGGCCTTGGCCCAGGTTCGCCAGGATGCATTCTCCAGTCGCACCCCGTTACTGTAGTCATTCCTCCGACTGGTTACGTAGCGCCAGGAAGACCAGATATCCTCCTCCCTCCAGTCATGGGACAGGTAGTCGACATGCCTGGAGGGTTCATCCTCCAGGGAGGTGTCATCGGCCGAGGGGGTCTGTGAGGTCCACGGAGATTCCGTGGAGACGTCACTCATCTCCTCGTCCTTGGAGGAATCATATGCGGGGAGGACTAATTCATCATCTGATGATAGGTTGGTCAAGGGGGTGTAGAGGTCCGACGTGAAGCTTGGCGACGAGGGTCCCGAGGGTAGGGATGCGACCGAATCTCTCCGATACGCATCTTGCATTGGCAACTTTTGAATGGCGTGGTCTTCCAAAAAATATCGCTGGACGGTGGGACACCGATCAGGAGCGAACGGCGACACGTCGCGGGCCAGGGTAGTCATATCTTCGCAATATGAGGTCAGGATCGGTGTGGAACTTCGATCATCGCGGTGTGGCTTTTTAATAGTCCTTCACCAAAAGATGAAACGATAGAAACCGACAAGCAACAATTAAGAAGAAAGAAACAATTATAGCAAGTCGCAAGTAGAGAGAGAGAGAGAGAGAGAGAGAGAGAGAGATAGGAGTCTGGGGGAGTGGAGAAGAGCCGCTCCCGGAGATCCAAAGGAAGTAGGAAGTGGGGGACGAAGAAACCGGGTTCAGGGTAGTAGATATAGTCGATATCCAGAGATAGAGTCAGATAACAGGAGATACGGAGTCCAGGTTTCCAGGTTAGGAGTAAAGATCTCAATACGAACAGACAAACAAAGGCATTGCTATACATTACGCAAATCTCGAGAGAGAGTTTCGCCACCGAGAGCATAATCCCTTCACTTGTTAGGACCGAAAAAAAAGAACAGGCCAGACTGCACGAAAATCTAGTGCAACCGTTGTTTCTCCACCATATGCAAGAGGTGAATTAGCGTGGATATGCCATATAGTCGATCCTGAGTGGGGATCTATAGGATATAGTAGTATACCACATAATATCACATTATATACTACGAAGTACGAGTACTCCAGATCGAGATCGGGAGAGTTACCCAATATCCCACTCTCCAAAGTATATTATAATACTTCGCACTGGGAAATGCTCTCGGCATATCACGGATCGGCCTGGAGTCCAGCCCGTAGGCCTGAGCGAGGCCTTAGTTCAGAAGATTCAGCGTCCGACCTCCGATCCACCTCCTTAGCTTGCAATTTAGCCTTAGCCTCTGTTCCCTTTTTCGAAAAAAGCAAAAAACATTCAGTATATCAAAAAAGACTAGATGTTCAACGGGAATCTCGGCCCCGAGTATAGCTTGACTGACATGGTAACTATATCCATCAATGACTATAGAGTACTCCACGGGCATACTCTGCCATGCAATTCCATAGATTGCGACCACATACGGAGTAGCAACCTTCCAATCTCTCCAATCCCCCCTATACTCCTGATAGCAAGTGAGTTGCACACAAAGTTAGAAAAGTACGAATGTCCAAAGTCAAATCTCCAAGGAAACAAGGAAAAAAGAAATAAATCTGAAAACAGTCCAAAGGATACGGCCTCAGATAGGCGAGATAGCTTGGAAAGTATTATTGGACATCCCAATGCGCTCGCTGCATCGACGTTGGCGAAAAACGATCAAAACAAGTCGTACACGGAAGGTTGTCTGTGCGTCTGCAGGAAAGCTCTGGGCGACCCTACGTGGATTAACGCTCTCGACCATCGAGCCAGTGACAAGCGCCCATCGCTGCATGTTACCGTGAAGTCTCCGGGTTTGGGCCCTTTGGACGTGGGAAAAGGTGGGAAAACTGGCGAAACTTGAAACTCTGCGCTAGTGCTTGACGCGCAGCTCTGCACTGCATACACCCCCGGACCAGCGCCCCAACTCTCCCCACGGGCCTCTAACGTCGGGCCTGGCCATCATTGGCTGTGATAGTAGGGGGATAACGCCTCTGCACCTTTGCCAAACACAACAGGGGCTATTTGTGCGATGGTTCAGGGCTGACGTAGACACTTATCTCGGTGAACGTCGATGAAACCCCTATGCGAGTCATGATCTCCGTTATCTCAATCCATTGGGTCAACTCCCCTCCCCACGCAGCCCAAATCCAATTGTCCTTCTTCAATGGCGGGTCTCCCTGCATCGCCCCCGACTTGCCATTGTTCGGGGGATACGGAGTAGAGATTAGCCATCCGAGATATGGGATGTCGTGATAAGGCCTTTTGCCACTAGACGGGAGCCATGGGAGAATGCAGTACGGGAAAAGCCAAAAAAGGTGACATGGGTCGAGAATGAGCAATTGAGGATGCAAGCTCAGCGTCAATAGTCTAGAAGACCTGCAGACGTCAAAACCGGAGATCCGGAGACCTGGAGACTTGGAGACCGGGGCCTCTTGGGAACTTCGGAGCCTCGGAGCCTGGAAGAGTGAAAGGAGGGGTTGCACGTGACGACTCCCCAAAGAGGATTAGCCGGCAGAACTGCCCCTCCGCCCCGCGTGGATTCTCTGAGAGCTACGAGCTGGGAGCTATCAACGGTCCAGACCCTGATCAATTTCAAAATGGCGGAAGTCGAAGGACCCCAAGCGAGACATGTCACCTATTGTGGAGGTAAGGACCCCCGGGGAGAGTGACACCTTCCAAAGCTGACGGAATCCGGTCGACATTAGTGTGCACATTACCCCCAGAGGTATGACCTTGCGAGCACCCCAGCCCCAAAGGCTCTCCGGGCCCCGGATCTTCCAGGCCCAGCCGTTTCCCCGCTTCCCCTTATCGTTGGTCTCCCTTGATTCTAATGCGGGGTCTAGTATTGCGAGTTCGGGGGCACTGCAAAGAAATGCGAGGACTGGCTGAAAGACAACGAGTCAGATCTCTGGGATAAACTGTATTCCGAAGGTAAGTGCATAGCCGACGGCTATAGGCCGTTTATGTTTTTGGGAGTTCTGTCCCTAACGATGGCCAGATGCTTTGAACGCCAACCTCTCCACCTTATCGGTATCTGCACAAGAGCGTGCCGCCAAAGATGCCGCGAAGAAAGAAGCCAAGGCGGCAGCCAGCGAGGCTCGCGATAGTGAGCGCAAGGCAGCCTCCAAGGTGATCATTAAGCGGGTCGAGCGAAACAAGCGCAAATACGTCACTGTGGTCATTGGCCTCGAAGTCTTTGGCCTGGAGAACAAGAAGATTGCAAAGGATCTGGGTAAGAAGTTTGCTACGGGATCTTCAGTGACGCGCTCACCGGCTGGCGTGGAGGAGATCACTGTGCAGGGTGATGTGAGTGATGATCTCAGCGATTGGTTGCTCGAGGTCCATGGGGCCAAGATCCCCGAGGCCAATATCGAGTTTGTGGAAGATAAGAAGAAGAAGAAGAGCGAGCAACCTATCGTATGAGGGGGGTATCAAAACATAAAACACGAATATAGTACAAATGAAGAACATCTTCAGACACGATGCACCACGCTGGAAACACAAACACAAGAGCACAGGCACAGACTCAGAGCCCGGTCTAGGTCAGGCCCGGAGCACAATCACAGTTCATCCAGTACACGAAGAGGGTCATACATCGTAGGGGTTGGAGTGGGACCAGCCCTCGCCAAACTTTGACGACGATCCGCTAGGATGGGCGGGAACGTAGGCCCTGCGCCAGTCCCTGATCCCACGGGTGATACGGAGTCCATCAAGTGCGCCCGCTGGGGATCACGGAACGCGTTCCGATTCATATGATTTTGCTGGAAGGCCAAAGCGAGCACAAGCACCACCACGGCCCCCAACACAATGCCCCATATTCGGAGTCGCCGCGTAGTTTTCGTTTGCCACTCCGTTTCCCGTCGCTCCCAGCTGTCGATCTCATGTCGTACAGTTTCGAGGCGCTTGCCGAGTTCTTCCACACTTTGTTGGCCGGCTTTCATGCGCTGCTCCAGCGCATCGGCCTTTTCAACTTGCGGTTGGAACCCTTGCAGATCGTTGATTTGTTTGCGAATATCTTGATCCAACCCGGTCGTTTCGCGCTCAAAGTCATTTAACAATGTTGAGGCCGAATCGGAAAGTTCCTGAAACGAGGAAATTGTCGAGTTCAGCGCCGTGATCTTCTCTAGCAGGTTGTAATAAGTGTAATCAAGTCGACGCGTAGCGTCCGTGGCCAAGGTCCCAATTGACGTCAAAGCAGACCGGAGATATCTAGCAGCAGTTAGCATGATTGTCCTATCTGAAAGAAAAGAGAGAGAGTTCCATACTCCTCTCCGATCTTCCTTCTATTCTTGACCTTCTCCAAATCCCCTAATGACTGAATCCCCCTGACGGGTCCTAAGCGCTCCTCAACGAGACTGCCTCTGCGACTGACTGTTGACTCAGATCCCCATCGTCCCTCGGGCCTCAGTAATACCTGATCCTTATCCTTCGACGACCAGGTCGGTAACAATCCGCGCGCGCTGGCCGAGGCGAGATGGCTCACCTGCCGCGGGAATCGCAGTTCCCGCGACTTGCTGTGCTTGTGTCGGCGGCCTTCCTGGCTGGGTGTGAGAGTGGGAACGGGCTGCGCAAGACCTCTTTGCGAGCGCGGGGAGGTCTGGCGGTCGTCGGAGGCTTGGGATCGGCTGGAGGTGTCGGGGGATTCTCGATGGGATGAGGAATGGGATAGTGGGAATGTGGCAGAACCCGATCGCGATGAGGCATGAGAGGGTTTGTGGAGTTCCATTGTGAGTTGAGAGCTGAGCCCGGTAGGTTGTCGACTGAAAGGTGAAACTTGGGGTTTCGGAGGTCGAGGGTGGAGTTGGACCGATGACGCCAAGTTCCGGAGTCTTCGACCCCATCCGCCATCACTACGGAGTACACTCGGATTGAACACACGTGGGAAATGAGAGTTATATTAAAGAGAAACAAATTGTTTTGCTCGCTACGATGATTGAACCTCAGAAAACGCCAAGCCCCATTTTCAAAGCCCGTTCCAACCGGTCTGGACAAGGTATATATAACAGAGAGATCACGAGCTGAGCAGCTTGTTGCGCTTCTCTCTGCGCTTGAGACGCTCGACTCTCTTGTGGTGCATCTTCTCGGCCATTTTCTCGTACCGCAGCTTCTCCTCCTTAGCTTCACGACGATCCTTGATGCGCTGGATATGAGCCTGTAGGTCTCGGTCAGTGATGCCATCTTGGGAAGGTCGAGTGTCGGATATAATTTTATGGAGACCGTTATGGGGACACAAGTCGGAATGGAGAAAGGGCACGGGCAGGTGAGACAGTAAGAACCAGATCCCAGGGAAAGGAAAATAATTTATATAAGAAAAAAAAGGGAAGATCGGCATACCTTGCGCTCAGCTTCGTGCTCAGCCTTCATCTCACGCTCGAGTTCCTTGACAGCGTCGGCCTGCTTGCGCACCTCTTGACGCTTAGCGTAAGAGGTCAAGCCTGCATTGGGCCGGAAAGCTTTCTTGGTGCCATGCCAGTTTTTACCTGAAAGTCCGATCGGGTCAGCGAGACGAGGATAAGTGGGGACGATATTTTTTTTTCTTTTCCACTGACCATTCTTCCGAGAGCCGACATTCGGGGTTGCGGCCGTGGTGGGTGTTGCGGTAGAGGTAGACATGGTGAGATATGCGGACTCGTAGAATCCAGGATGAGGGGGGAAGGGGAAGACCGAAGAGACAAAGAGAAAGTCGTGAGGCCAACGGGACCGAGTTTTTCTTCTGATTATCTCGATCTGATAAAATGTCTTGGCGCGAATTGCGGCGAAGAAAATGCGTCGGGCCCCAATTTCCCGACTCCACCTCTCTCTTCCCACTCCTCTGGTCTCCTTCACTTTCTTAAACCGGCTCGGAGATAATTTAGCGCTTCTGCAGCCTTGATTGCACCTGTCATCGTTTCACTCTCTCGCTTCTGCAAGTGGCTTGGCGACAGGCCCATACAAATCCCTCGTTACACCGCCCCCCCCTCTCTCTCTCTCTCTCTCTCTCTCTCTCTTATGACTCCCACCCACATTACCATGATCCCTCGATAACACTCTTTTCTATTCTTCTTTTCTCAACTTACTAGATGGCGACAGACCATGCGATCATCGCCGAGCGACCGATGGAGTTGCCATCGCTCCCGCCCAACCAGGGCTTGGAGGCCATGAAGGACATCGTCTTTGGTTCGGTAAGGGCTTCTGAGGATGATCAAGCGACACAGAACTAATACCGATTAGACTGCAGGAATGGCCGGTAAACTGATCGAATACCCTTTCGACACCGTCAAGGTCCGACTTCAATCGCAACCCGAAACCCTCCCACTCCGATACAAAGGACCGCTGGACTGTTTCCGCCAGTCCTTCCAAGCAGATGGGTTCCGCGGACTCTATAGAGGCATCAGCGCACCGATGACCGGTGCCGCCGTGGAAACCAGCTGTCTCTTCTTCAGCTACCGCCTCATTCAGGATGCCCTGCGCGCCACCATCTACCCCAACATGGAACACCTCCCCTTCCTCGCTCTTATTGCCAGCGGCGCCCTGTCAGGCTCGGTCACATCGCTGGCCCTCACACCTATTGAACTTGTGAAATGCAAAATGCAAGTCCCGGCCGAGTCAGCCAGTCTCAAGCCCGCTGGCCCAATGGCCATCATTACCACCATCTTCCGCCAGGAAGGACTGATTGGATTTTGGCGTGGCCAGATGGGAACTTTGATCCGAGAGACCGGTGGAAGCGCCGCCTGGTTTGGCGGATACGAGGGTGTCTCTGCTCTCTTCCGCGCCTACAACAAAAAGCACAGCCAGCATCAGGATTCGCTGGCTCTCCACCAACAGATGATTGCCGGTGCAACCGCCGGAATCAGCTACAACTTCCTCTTTTACCCTGCCGACACCATCAAATCGCGCATGCAGACGGAAGACATCTCCCGACTGCCAGTCAGTGCGCAGAGGCAGACCTTCTGGAGTGTGACCAAGGCGCTGTGGAGACAGCAGGGGCTGAAGGGCATGTACCGCGGGTGCGGGATCACCTGCGCGCGTTCGGCGCCTAGCTCGGCTTTCATTTTCTCCGTTTATGAAGGGTTACGGTCACACTTTGGTTGAAAAAAATGATGTTAGACTGCACATAGACTTGTCTTTTTTTTTTGTTTCATTTCTTGTTATTACTGGCCTTGCGCTATACCCCGAATATATTTGATCGGCTTCACAGTTGATACGAGGCTTTTACATTTGCAACTCCACTTTTCATATATTGCACCTGCAGATCGCTGGCTTCACCCAATGTTATTTACTGGACATACTATTACCAATCGATAGACCGCCACAGAAAATCCCTCACCAAGCCACAATCCTCTCATATTCAATTCTCACCGGAATGCCCAGGAATCCTCAACGATTGGATGCTGCAAACTCCTCGAAGAGCGAATTATCACTCCATTCAATTGTCAGCTATGCGCCAGACTGCCTTGATCTACAAGCATGTCCCGAGGTCCACAGGCATCCCTGGATATGGTCTAACTAGTAGCGTTGCAGGGTCTGATTTGGCAATTTCCTTTGTTGCACATCAGTTGTACCACTGGCTGATCGACTGGCTTTTACTTTGGCGCTCGAGGTTTGCCTTCATATAAGCCTCAGCGGCACCCGTGGACGGAGGGTTTTGCGCTCAAAAGGAAACAGATGCCTTATCTCGCATAGAGAAGCCCCAATACCTATTTTCATGTACATGCTATAGATAGACGAGGAAGTAAGGTAGTTGATACACGTTCGCTATGCTATATGTGCTATATGTTCCTTCGGGCCATTACTAGAACCAAGAATCGCCAAGCCAATCCATGTCTGCAAATGCTTCTGGAATTTCATTCCAATCAAATTCCTCACCGGAACCAGCCCCCAAAGAGTACATCGCGGGTGTATCGGCTTGATCAACAGAAGGTGTAGTATGCGCTCTACCCGCCCGCGAAGCAGTCGTCCGCTCCATCAGCCGATCCAGCGGCTTTTCGAGCAATGCATCAGAGCACGAATGATTTCGCTGCCATAGGTCATACATGTTTTTCACCACATCCCATGCACTATCTGTCTCGGGGTTCAATGGACGAACACATAATTCCGAGAGAATAAACGCAACAACGTGCCACTCTTTGTGGCTTTTACAGAGCCAGCTCCACTGGGAGGTAGCTTCGTTGGTCTGTAGCAGGTAGGCGAATTGTAAAATTTCGGCTGCCATTTGGAACACTCGATCGTCATGTCGTAGAATTTGCGGGTTCTGTCCGGATTGGAAGTGTGCTGCTAGCCAGGCCTGGGAGAGCTGGAGGCGGACTATCGTTGCAAAGACCCAGTGGATGGGAATGTCAAGATTGAAATGGTCCAAATATTGCTCGTGGAGGCGCTTCCCCAAGGCTGTGATGTGGGTTGTTTTGTCTTGGGTGGATTCGTTGGAATCACCTGAATGCGGCGACCAGAGCATCTCGGTCATGATGGAGCAGTTCATGACGCATATTGTGATGTTGGTGAAACCAGTTTTTGACTCGGGCTGCTGGGTCATCTGTGGTGTGAGGTCGTGGTCATCAATATTGATGGGGAACTTTGTGTCGAACATTTCGGGCCTGATCTGGGTATCAATACCTTGGTCCCTGGAAGACAACATGTCCAGCATGCAGATATGCCACCATAGCCGACGTCGGATCTCAATATCGAATGGAGACAATCTGAAGTTAGTTCCATCCCGGTGCACACCTTGGGCCTGTGCTAATCGTATCACAACGGCAGACTCGGCCCAAACAAGGCGAGTATCACCGCCCACACGACAACAGAGTAAGGATAGCACAGCAGCCTGGAGGGTGGATAGACTCTGGCACTTAAGTAGGTTGGCCCGTTGGAGGCCCTGGCTCACTGCCTTTTTACAGTCTTGCACAGCTGTATCATGATCGACGTTCAGAACAGAAGCACAAACTTCTGGTTTCATGCTGACCACTGCTGCAAAGTAGACGGAGTACAGCAGTGCCTCATCCGAGGGGGTCAATGCGAGCCCTGAGCATGTACTCTGGATAATCGTGGCCATAGATTGCCGATGAAGAATGGCAATGAGCGGCGCGACATTCTCTAAATATACTGCCCACAAAGCTTCAGTGATGGAAGGTTGAGTGTATTGGAGGCGAAAGGAATCAAGGAACCAAGAGTCAATGCTGCCTCCAAGGATGCCACTCTCTGTCAGGATCCCAGAAGTGTGACCGGCGTCTGGAGAGTCATCCTCGTCGGAGGAGCTCTCAATGATGTCACGAAGCTCGGATATCTGCATGTGGGTCAGCATCTTCGCTTCCGAGCAAAGAGTACCGGGACCTGCTCACCTGCTCTCCAAGTGCTATTGAAGCCTCATCGCCGATATATCGAGTCTTCCCCTCTTTGCGCACTAGCAATTCAGGCTTCGTTGCATTGCTTTCCTCGGGAGACTGCGTAGGATCTGTTGAATGACTCGAGCCGGCGGTTGATCGAAGTTGCGCAACCTCCCCTTCAAGATATTTTAATCGAGCTACTAGCTCGCTAATGGGCGGCCTGTTCAATGTCCTTCGGGCCCGTTTCGGCCCTGGATAGTTGCATTGTACCTCGGCCTTGATACAAGCATTGCAGGGGTTCCTTTTGTCGCACCGGACCTTTCTTTGATTACAACGCGTGCAACTGCGTTTGTTCAATGGTTCCACGACTGGATTAGTCTCAATATTCTCCGACATTCCCACGAGAGAGATTACCAGGGGAAGATGTGCGCTGGAAGGGAGACTGATCTGATATTACATAAACGTGCAAATGGTGCAAACATTGTTCAATCTGGCGAGGATTCGATGTCCAGCGGAGAAGATCACCCTTGTTTGCTCGCCATATCCGATCGAAATGACAACTGGCGTATTCACCATCTAGGCAACCGATGTAATCCTGTCACCCATACGCATCAGAGCCTGGCAGCTAAAAGTGCGATCGAAATGGAGTGAGAGGACTCATCCAAACATCCCAGATATTCTCAGCAGCGGACGTCCATAAAGCGTTGATTCCTCAGTCGTGATCTCCTGCGTTTCGCATCGTGCGAAGCCTACCAATGGTCTCCGTATTTTGACCTTCAACCCATTCAGGGTTGTGGTTGCATGAATGCAGATTCTCGGGTCTATCAAGACCGTTGTAATCTGGACGGCGTAAAAGAGAAACCAAGCTGTCTTAGCAAAGATAGATCGGAAACCAAATGTGAGAGTTGTAATGGCTGCGACCGTGCCGAATAGAAACAAGACCACCATACAGGCGCCAAACGAGAAGGGCCGGGTGTAGTGACTCTGTAACATATTGCCCAAGGATGAGATGCAGTTGCAAATGGAAGGAAAAGACTAGGGCGTCTGCGAAGTTCCCACAGCCGAACTGATTATATCATCATATCAGATGGACACTCCTGAGCAGCGTTGCGAACTGCCCTTCTCCCTATCTTGTCATTGACATTTTGAAACTTCACAAAATACCACGACGCTGCTCATGTCCAGACTAAAAAGCCAAGAGATCCTTTCACTTGGCGGGTGTGGTTCTATGAAGTATGGAATCTCACTAAATCAGCCCAATGTTTTTGCAATCCAGAGTTCGCTCGTCTTGTTTCATATTGTTGCGCTCATATCATGTTCCTTCTTTATTGTCTATATTACATTTGGACCTGGAATTGACTATCTTCCTTCAACCAATCCTCGAATGTCTTCAAGTCCGGATGCAGCTTTTTTAAAGCAGCAACATCGGCCGCAAAGCCTTGATCGTAGAACCACTTGAACATAACACCCAATTCCTTGACCATCGACATCATCAACCATACCGGCGTGGTGAAAGTCGTGGGCACGTTCTTGCCAGTCAGTCGCTTGAAGGTCTGTGCCATCTCCTCAAAGGTCAACTCGTCCCCGGCCAGTGAGATGGCATGATTCTTCGAAGCCTCGGGATTCATGAACGCCGCGGCGGCGAAAAAGCCGATGTCCCCGGTGGCAATCACTTGGAGCGGCTTCCCCTTCAGACTCATTTGCCAGGCCGTCGTAAATACCTTGCCAAAGTAGTCTGGCGTGAAGTTTTCAAAGAACGCCACAGGGCGGAGGATCGTCCAGTCCATCCCGCCGTGCTCGGTTTTTGCTTTGAGGTGAGCCTCAATCTCATGCTTGTGGATGAAGTGAGGAACTGGCGTCGGATTATGGTCTGAGTCTGAGCCATGCCGGTCCACCGAGCTGTAGACGAAGAACTTGACGTTCTGCTTGATGGATTCATCTACGAGGGCAATCCCTTGGCGTTTTTCATCGTCGTTCCTTGGGTTTACGGTCTGTATGCATTAGCTGCATGCACGAGTCTATAAAGATGGCTCATACCTGGACGCTGAACACGCCCCAGACTGGGGTTGACCATTGGCGTTTCGCATTTTCGAAAATGGCCGCTGGGTCATCGAGGTTTCCTTCGATGAGGGTGATCTGGTCTGATTTCTGGGCCAGCTTCTTTGCTGAGGCAGAGTTGATGTCTCGTGTGACGGCTAGTATTTTGAATGGTGCTTGCTTTTTCAGCAGATTATCAATGACTGAGCCTCCTTGTTTGCCGGTGGCACCGGTGATGAGAACGGTGGTCATGATGGGGTGAATAGGGTGAATGGGAATAACTGATTTGAGTACACTGCCTATAGACCAGGGTCCAGGGGTTATATATACCCGTGGACATGATATCTCGAGATCAAAAGTGTCGAGAGGTTTGTCAGTTGGGGGCTGTTCGGAGTAGATCTCAATCCCGAATGCCCTAATAATGACGTCATCCTATACTTATCTCAACCTCGACGACTCTCTTCTCTTCCTCCTTTCCAGCTTTGTTAGTAACTCCTGTTAGATCTTACTAGCAGAGATCTTTGACTATCATAGCTTGTGGCAGTCAGTATCAAATTGCTAGAGCCTTGAGTAATTGTGAGCTCTGTCACAGTATCACTCACTACACTGCTTTTCTGAGAGCTAGCTGTAAAGGGGTCTATTTATGAATGGAATTGTGCAAGTCTAATGCTACATTGTCATACAAAGCCCAGGCCTCTCACTGGAACCATAGGGCTTATCTTACTGTGTCATCATCAACGTGGTGCCTGGTGATACTGCATGAAACACAGCATCTGTGAGAAGCACAGCAAAATTTTAAATGTATATGGCAGCCGATAAACCCAAACCTTCCAGATATTGACAAACTTGCATCTAGTCTCTTTCCATTGTCCTGATTATACTGCACTATGCGTGATTTAGTGGTTGAGGTGCTAGAGTGAAAGAGCAGAATGGGATGCCTAGTCCAACCGATCTAATTTAAGCGACATATCCACGTTTCCCATTGCCGACATCTTCACAATATGGCATCAACCAGTAGCCAGTATGAGCCACCTGGGCAATATCAGCCAGTCTCGGCAGATGAAAAGTCAGCAGAGTGTCATTCCGACGTTCCCACCAAATCTCCGAGACGGGGACACTAACCCGCGAGGTACTCACGCAGCATGTTGACCCAGAGTGTTCCTGACCAGCTGTTGATTTCTCTCTCACGACTCATTCGTTTCAAAAAAGTAAACAGAGCTGTGACTCTCATTCTCAGTTCTTTCATCCTTTTCATATTCTCCTTTGAACTCGTTCGTCCCTAAAAAGCACTCCGAAGGTATCCGGAGTTCAGCCCTACGGACTCAGCCCTACGCACCCCGACCCACTTGGTGTCGAGACTAAGGGAAACAAGAGTCTCGCTACAGAAGATCGGTTCGCTGCACCGTTCTAGGCATCAAGGTTAAGCCATTGAGCCCGCACGTCTCATCCCAAGGTCCTCATCGAGATCGATATAAAGACTGAACCAGACATCAACCATCTAGTCAAATATCGCATCAAGATGTTCGACCCAACCCAAGTCAACCTGACCTCGGCCAGCAAGGAAGATGTCCTCTGTTATTTCGCCATCTCGGAGAATGACTACAATGGACATCTTGGGGCTCGCATCTCATCGATCTTCGTCATTCTCTTTGTCTCATCTGCCTTTACCGTCTTTCCCGTGATTTCCCAGCGTATGCCAACCTGGAAGATCCCCCACAGCGTCTACATCTTCGCCCGCTACTTTGGCACCGGTGTTATCCTAGCTACTGCATTTATCCACCTCCTCGATCCTGCCTACAAGCGGATTGGCCCTAAGACTTGTGTCGGTGTATCTGGATACTGGGGCCAGTACTCGTGGTGTGCAGCCATCGTTCTAGCCTCGATAGTGATTATCTTTTTGCTTGACTTGGCCGCTGAAGTCTATGTCGAGCACAAGTACGGCGTTCACAGAGATGAAGAAGCTACCAATGTCTTTATCCAGCAACAGGCTGCCCAGTCGGCCGACCAACCAACTCCCGCCAAAAACGAGTCGGGCGTGTCGACCTGGGCATCCGAAGACGAAACTGTGATCGCTGAGCGCTCGTTCCGTCAACAAATTGCTGCCTTCCTCCTCCTTGAGTTCGGTATTATCTTCCACTCCGTGATTATCGGTTTAAATCTCGGCGTGACCGGTTCTGAATTTGCCACCCTCTATCCCGTGTTGGTCTTCCATCAATCCTTCGAAGGACTGGGTATTGGTGCACGAATGTCCGCCATTCCGTTCGGCAAACACACCTGGCTACCATGGATTCTCTGTGCGCTCTACGGACTTACTACCCCTATCTCCATTGCGATTGGACTGGGCGTGCGCACTACTTATGTCCCGGGCTCCAAGGTGTCGCTTATTATCCAAGGCGTTTTGAACGCTATCTCCGCCGGTATTCTGATCTATAGCAGCCTGGTTGAACTGCTCGCTCGCGACTTCTTGTTTGACCCTTGCCGTACTAAGAGGCGATCCAAGCTGCTGTTTATGGTTAGCTGCACGATCCTGGGTGCTGGCATCATGGCACTGATCGGAAAGTGGGCTTAAAAGGGTTACATCAGAGGAAACCAAGCTACTGTTCATGTTCAACTGTACGATTTGGGAGGATTTCATGGAACTGATCGGAAAATGGATTTGAAGGGGTCGGATAACATTAATATGCTATCATTGCTATGTTCCTGCGACGAATATTGAGAAGCTCTTATGACAATTCAGGCCTTATGCCTTAGCTCAGAATATCTAATACTTTGTCTTTGTTACCCTTCAAGTATCCTGACCCTGCTCTGGTCAATTTCTCACAGAGTGACAGAGCGAGCTCACGATGACCACGAGAAGACGGAGCTCGATAACGCTGCTGTGTGGAAGCAGGGGCTCCAAAGATGAGTAGAAGAGTAGAGTGTAGAATCTCAAGTGTGTTAGTCCAAGTCCCAAATGTCTCGGTTATCGGATAACAAACTCCCCCTCATTCCCCGCCTGCACTTTTTCTGTCTTTTAAGCAAGTCAACTCACAAGGTCCTCATGGCAGTCACATCTCAGGAATTGGAGGTTCTCTCCACAAAGGCCATCGCTGCCAAAGCAACTGCCTACTGTATGCTCCCCCAAAACCAGAAAAGAAAAGAGCCTAACCCAACCACCCCAGGCCCTTACTCCAAATTTCAAGTTGGAGCATGTATCCTCACTACCAGCGGTGAATTCATCACTGGTGCGAATGTTGAGAATGCCGCCTATCCTGTAGGAACCTGCGCAGAGCGTGTGGCCTTTGGAACAGCCGTGGTAAGTGCAGCGTTCGCGGAGATGAAGTCGGACTAACCTTGGAACGTGGGGCAGGTGGCTGGACATAAAGATTTCAAGGCTCTCGCAGTCGCCACAAATATCAGCCCTCCTGCATCGCCCTGTGGAATGTGTAGACAGTTGTAAGTTGCGTCAAGGTGTGTCACTAACTAGAGGGGTGGTTGCTGACAGAATTAGCATCCGCGAGTTCACTGGGCCCGATTTCCCCGTCTTCATGTACGACGGCGAGGGTAACCATAAGATGATGACAATGGACGAGGTGAGTGGAATAAGGAATATGCAGTCTATTTATTCAAAGAAATCATCTACTAACAAAACTAGCTACTCCCTGACTCCTTCGGTCCGGATCAGTTGAAATAGACAGACTTCAAATATAATTCTTGATATATCAACCTAAACTTCACATTCAAGCCTCTTCTTCATCATCAAAATCATCAGCCCCCAGCAATTCATCCTCATCATCGACAACGTGAGAGTAGTCACCACGCCGAGCAGCAAACGAGCCACGTGTCGCGTAAGGCCGCTGGCCCCTCTTGAACAACCCGCTCGCACTCCGCGCCAGACTGCTGACGAGAAGCGGCACGGCCTGCGCAACGGCAACCAGGCCCGCGATAATAGCAACGGGGATCGCAAAGGCATCGCGATTGGAGGTGACATTGCCCTCACCCAGACGGATTTGCCCGAACTTGCCATCCCAGTGCGTGTACACGTACCAGCCAATGGCGACGGCGGCGAGAATCGGGATCACGATCGCGAAGAACAGTCCCACAGCACTGATGCCGTGTTTCTTGTTGTATTCTTCTTCCTTGTTCGGGCAGGGGTGCGAGACATCTTGGTCAAGCGTCAAGCCCCCTTCACAGGTGGTTTGGGGGATACGGCGGTAGCCCGTGGGTTCCCAGTACTCGACCTTCTCGGGGTCTGCGGAGCATTGGGTGATGTGGTTGGGTTTGGGCAGTCCGGGGACCAGACCGCAGCTGCCGTCGCTTTGCATTTCGTAGTTGTAATCACTAGAAGTAGATATATCAGTCTGGGTTCTGTATATATTGATTTAGGATGTATTGGTTTAGGGGAACTCACCATTCAAAATCAGCGCGTGTGCATGTGCAGTTCCGGCCGATGCTGTGGATGTGAGGCTCGCGCCAGGCATTCCAACATTCGGCTTTGGGATTCTTGCGGTGATACTCCTGGACGTGGCCAAAGAGACAGTTTTGTTCTTGGAAGGGGTGGCTAGGCGTCCACATAAAGTAGTCGTTCTCGTCATCCTTGCAATCCCGACTCCAGATACCGCTGAAATCCAAAGGAATAGTCACACGCTTGCCTCCGTCCATACCCCAGAGAAGGAAGTTTTTAGAGGTATCGGACGGAACGGTCGAGATATCGTCAATGACAAGTTCCTTTTCAGCGAACTGGAACTCGTTCCAGGTGGCGCCCTCGTCGAGCGTGTAATGTACAACCTTAGTGGCCTTGCGGTCGGCGACGAGAACGATCACCGAGCCTGCAGCACCGTATTCCCACATGTATTGACCCTTCTTAACCTGGGTCCAGGTGATACCAGCGTCATTGGTGAGGAATGTATCTGCATCGGAGACAGGACCGAGGTTGGCGCCAACATTGCCCAGTGCGAGCATGAGCCCGATAGCGGAGCCTGAGTACGATGTGTCGCGGTAGTCGCGGCGTTCGGTATAGCCGTGCAAGTGAAGGGCGCAGTGATCAGTGCCCTCGCCCTCAGTTACTGCGCAGGCGAAGTTCTTGCCATCGACGTCCTTTGCCGGAGGGGGCACGAACGCCCACTGTCCTCCATCGTTGTGCGTGATAACAGTGCGAAGCTTCTTAGCGCTTCCCTTGGTCTGAACCTCGTTGGCGTTGGAAACGACATTGGCGACAAGTACACCTTCCAGACCCTCCATCATGTCAAAGTCGGCGTTGCCACGCTCATTCAAGTTGACAGCCTCGAGACTCTGCACGAAGTAGGTGCCGTTGCTGTTCGACTTGACCAGAGAGCCGAAACTGCCTCCTCCGACCAGCAGGAACAGAGCGTGCGGGGAGCTCTGGAGAATGGTGTATGAAGGAACGTTGATGTTGAAGGGGAAGTTCGCGTCCGCGTAATTGCGACCGTCGACGCTGACGCTAGCATTGAGGTAATTCTTGTCGGCACTACCGTACCAGGCCACGACGATAAAGTCGTTCTTTGTGCCGTAGTGAGCGATGTTTTCGTACGGTGTTTCCTTGGTGGAGAACTTGTCATCACTGAAGACCAATTGTCGGTCGTTCTTCTTCTCCTCGCCCTTGTACTGCTCGCAGATAACCAAGTTGTCGCTGTTGTTGCGGCCCTCGTGCGCTGCGAAATCACATTTGCCGACTCCAATAAGCAACGGGTCCCAGCTAGCGCCACGCTTGTCGGTGATGTATGCCTCCGAGCGACATTCCTTTCCATCACAGTCCTTGTTGCCGATCCAGATCAGAGAATCTTGCTTTTGCTCGTGGAAAGCAAGCGTCGGGAGGTTTTCTTTGTTGGGCTGACTGGGGGCGGTGAACTCGTGGAAGGAGTCTCCATGGTTGATCGTGTACCAGACCTTCTTGCTGTCAGTCATGAAGAAAGCACCATCACTGAAGTAAGGGTGCTGAGCCATTTCAATAATCTTGTCCTTGACAGCAAGTTTCCAGTTGTGGCCATGGTCGCGGGAGATGTAGAGCTCGGCCTTGTCCGTAAGCATGAGAATCGTCTCATCCGTTCCGGTGTTACTAGCCTGTCGCTCGAGGTAGAAGTACATGGTCTGCTTAGCAGAGACGGAATGCGGCTTGCCCGCGCGAGGCTTGCCATCGGCTTGTCCGGGGGCGGAGCCTGTGGTGTTCGAGCACGAGCGTTCAACCTGTTTCTCGAGGTCTTCGCCCCCTTCGCGGATACAGGCATTGCCGGGGATCAACCGCCACCCGGAGGGACCCATGTACTTATCGGTGGGCTCATTGCATTTCCCAGCTGGCGGGGTCAATGGAACAGCGGGGACACATTCCTTGCGGTCCTCGCTGCGAACAAAGTTGTAGTCACATTCAAAGTCTTCCGCGGAACACTTGCAGGGCTTGAACTCAGGACCAGCGATAGCGAATTCCTTCTTGATGAAGCAGTCCGCGCTCGACTTGCGACGGTGGAAGAATTGCTTTTGTCCCATCAGACAATCAGGCTCACCCTTCTCGTCCAGTCGGGCGGTCCACTCTTCCAGATCACCGGAGCCACACTCGCGTTCATGCAGACCATCAAAGTCGATGAAATTCATGATGATGCTTTGCTCATCCTTCTCGGCTGAGATACCAACAACCAGAAACTTGAGGCTGGTTGAATCGGGGGGTCGAAACAATGTAGAGGGGAACGATCTCGTGATCCAAAGTGATCGACTCCCATTCCTTGCCGTGGTCGATAGAGTACTGGAGTTTCTTCGTCTTGCTGTCGCTGGCGGCGAGGATGACACCGCCCTGGTCACCGAACTCGTAGCGATGCGGGCCCTTGAGCGCGCGTCGCCAAGTCAAACCAGCGTCGTCGGATACGTAGAGATCACCGTCCTTATAGTCTTTGAGGTGATCACCGGTATTTCCCACTCCCATGACCAGTCCTGGGGCGGGGCTGGAAAACATTCTGTGGCCAGGCACCGGCAATTTGCGCATCTCGAGGTAGGTTGTCATGGAGTGAATGTGCAGCTCATCTTTATCAGCCTTGAGAGACTGGAAAGTCCTTCCATCATCAAAACTGATACTGGTGACGAGCTTCTTCTCCTTCGAATCAGACTTCTCCGCTTCTTCCCAATTCTTGACCGTGTTGACGATGGTGATCCCCTGGATGTCGGTGACTCTTTCAAAGTCGACAATTCCATTCAAATCCTGGTTGGTATGGTCGATGTTGCGAGTGAAATAAGTGCCGTTGGAGTTGGACGAGAAAAGACTTCCCATGCGGTTCTTGTGCATGGTCGTCTGGACATCAATTTGGATACTGTAGTTCGTGCTTTCCAGTATGGTATATGCGTCTTCTTCAATGCGGTGTGTACCGAACTCTGCGCGGTGCCAGACAGTCGCGTCGTCACTGACATAGAGCGCCTGTTCTTGTGTTCCGCGGGATTGAATTCGCGCGACCAAGTACTTGGTCACAGATCGGATCTGCGCGCTAACACCACTCAAAGGTCGACCGTGATCAAGCTTCGCATCCACGCCTTCATCGTCGTCCTTGAAGTAGTTATCCGAGTATATCAACCGCTCCGTAACAGTGTGGTCGAATGGTCCCCGCAATCCAGGGACAACACACATCACTCGATCCCCGACAGACTTTGGAACGTCGATATCATGTCCAAACTGCGGGCGGCTGGCAGCCCACATGCACTGGAGCGTCAGCTCACGTAGGGGCTTCACGTCGGCGAAATCATTGGTGGTGTAGAAAGTTCGAGGCGGGCAGAAAGGCAGCGAGCAGTCCGCTCCCATGAAAATAACCTTCTTCGCATCCCACCCATTGAACTCAAGAGGGGAGCTGAACATGGAGAGCTGAAGGTCGACCTTGAATAGCTTCCAGGACTTCGCTTGATCCGTCGTGATCCAATGATTGCCATCCTTGCCCAGGATATAAGCGCGATCCTGATCATAAGGGTGCTTGTATATAAACAGGGCCGCACCCTCCATTGTGCCCTCCTTGCCCTTGATGACCTCCCATTTCTCGCCGCCGTCGAAGGAGACGTGTGCCGTTTCGCGTTCGTCGCGGTAGAGGATGGTGTTTGTACCTTGGAAGTAGAAGAGATCTCCCGGCGGCTTGTTGAGCTTGTGTGTGACGACTTTGGGTTCGTTGCCTGCCGCTGCGAGGTTGGCCCAGACCAGCAGCAGGCTCAATGAGAGCAGCAGCCACCGTGGGATCATGACCGGTGCTGCAGAGGCATCTGATTTCCAGAGATAGATGATTCTGATACAGTCAATGGATGAAGGAGGACGCTCAAACGGTAGAAATGAATAGGCAAAAGGAATGAAACACGATGATGACGGAGCTGCGTGGCCTCCAGGCTGAGAGCTCCCTGTCACGTGCGAGCTTATCTCTATCCGATAACTCCGGCGAACCGCGGGCTGCATTTGCTTCGACCATGGCTCACATCTCGAATTTGGAACTACACGAGGCTACTTTTGATTTCAGATTTGGTTGGAAATGAGTGGTATTTGCGATCATGATCAACATTGGTATGTACAGAAAAACGCTGCGAACTAGATACAGAAGAATATGAAGGTGAAATCGCTGAAATGCAGGAGAAATCCTGGGACGCCTGGTATATGGGAAATCAGTTCGCGCGAACGAATGACCTGGGACAAACAAATGAAACAAAATTATAGTGAAAAAGAACGAATGCATGTCCGAAGACACAATCACACACGACGCCGGAGTCGACGCCACATCTTCTTGACCATGCCTTGCTCATCGAGATCATCATCCCAGATGAGCTTGGAACGGTCTGGTGGTGGGAGCTCGGCAAGTCGCAGGGGATCTTTCTGCTCTTGAGAAGAAGTTGACGAAGTAGGAGAGTCGTCCCGCAGGTCCGGTCGAGTCAAAGTCATTTTGAGCGTCATCTCGCGGTTGCCTGGGAGGCGTTGTGGAACGCCCTTGTTGGGGCGGCATGATTGGCGCCGTTGCAGGAGGCCCGACTCGACGGATGGACGAGGGGTTTCCCGAAGAACAGGAGAAGCGACCGCAACATCTCTGATCGAGCCACCTGGGCTACCCACCACGGTACCGTCGTCGTCTTCGAAGAATGTGCCAAACTCATAATCGGAGTTCACTAACGTCGGTCTGGGGGAGAGAGGCTCTGGATCGTTCTCCTTGTCGTCGTCATCGAGGGAGGGGAATCCAAACTCAATGGCTTCGTCGAACTTCTGGGGGGAGGCCAGGTACACACGCAGCTTGAGTCGCGCATCGGGGTCTTGGTAATATTGTGCCGAGGGGTCGATACTGGAGGTAGAGGATTTGGCCCCGTGGAAGGGACGGTGACGGGAGGATGGGCGTGATTCCGATGTGCGATTGGAGAGAGGGCTGAGGGGTTGAGACTGAACGGGGGGAAGGGCGCGTGTTGCATATGGTGTGATGGGGGCCAATTGTTTCCGCTTGAGCTGGGTAGAGAATGACAAGGAGCGACGGAACGAGGGGCGAGTTCTCTTGCGAGTAGCGGCGTCGGCTACGTGGGCGTGGTATTCATCGAGGGACAGGTCCAGGTCGCCGTCCTCGTCCAACCACCGGAAGCTATCGTAGAAAGTGTGCTCCATGTTCGAATCCTCGTCGTCGGATTCGGAATCCGAATAAAAGGCCGTCGACAATTCCGATTGCCGGGAACGGGGCACTGTCTGGGTGGGACAGGCGGTGGCCGGGCGTGAGCTGCGGAATATATCTCGACGGTATGCTTCGTCGGCGGCGTCGTAAATGAGACTGGATCGATAGGCTCTCTTCAGGCGCACGCGCTCTTCGGGGGAGAAAAGCTTTTGTTGGATCTTCGTGGGGAGAGCATGGAAGTATTCAGAGTCGGCCTGTGCGGCGAGGTAGGCCAATTGCAGCGAGCCGGGTTTGCGTAATTTTCTGGAAGGCGAGGGACGTTTCTCGAGACCCCTTTTGTTTAAAGACACAGACGAGCCGCTCCGCAACCCACGCGAGTGCGCAGACCGACGATAGAGCCGAGCATCCTGATAGTTTGACGTGGAGACCGCAGGGGAACTGTGATCGCTCTGCGCTAACCGAATGCGCAAACGCTCGACATTCGAGAAGAACTGGTTGGAGTCAGCAATGGCCAGGATTCACCGTGCTTTGGCTCCATTGGGATGGAAGTGGAGTGTGGATGAGTGGCAAGCGCCAATGCTGAAAGACAACCAGTGACGCCAAGGGAGATAGTGCGGGTGGTAGCGGTGGTAGCGCCTCCACCGGCGAGTTCAGGGGGTCAAACACAGGCAAATCACCGAGCAAGGCTCAAAGACAAAGAACTGGAACTTTTTTCTCTCTCCCTAGCCCCAGACTATTGCCAATTTCCCAATGTGATAGTGATGTGATGGAAACGAGGGGAATCAGAGTGAAATGAGGTGAACACTGGGGAATACCAAGCTTGGAACACCAAAGAAATGAGAGAAATGCAGATCAAGAAAGAAACCCTTACCTTTCTGCGTACAGCAGGAGGGAGAGACTCAAAGTCCTCACTTGGAGGAATGGCGTACATGTCTTGGGGATGTAAGGTGAAGTACCGGAGTATAAGAAGTACCAATGACTCGCAACGTAGCAACAAAGTAAGGACCCAATGTATGTCCCAAATTGCATAGGCAATAAGAATGAACTGATTTTTTTCCCCTGCAGGTTCCAACCGTTTTGTATATAAGTTCTGAAGTGGGAATTGTTTTTTTAGTTACTTCGTGGGGCTGACAGGATGCTGTACATTAGCGCCAGGAAGCACAGACAAGTGACGAGATATCTATTTCGAGACCTGTCACTTTCTCTCGCATTCGGCTCTTACATTTGTGATCTGTCATGAACTCTTCGATCGAGCTACTGCGAACATGTTCGAGAATGTCGCATGGTTAATGCTTCACATTCTATACTTCCCCTGCTTCGTTTGTTTCCAACCCCATTGACCGAAATGTCCACGTACTTTGGAGATTGTGTACAGCCGCTCGGACAAAAGTCCCACAGAGAGGATCAGCCCAAGCCCGTACCCGCCTCCGCGTCTCGCTTTGACGTTGGGCCGGTAAGGGGATCCTCCGATCAGATCCTGCGACTGGTCACTTCCCCTCGAAGGTTCGCCATGAAACTGGTTTTCGGTCTGAAACATTCTGGCCTTACATCGACACCCTGGTACAAGTGTACTACCTCTGTGAAGTCTTTGTTCAAATGGCTCGAGCTATTATTTGCCAAGATATACCTCCCCTGTCAACGATCTACTCGACCCTGAGATCCCTGCGCAATAATCACCCATTATTGAAGTCGCATGGCAATCACACGTTGGGCAAACGTGGAGATACGAGAGAGCCGAGAAAGAGTCTCCGGACAAGAAATAATTGATCTATCATCTGTACTCTATACGCAGGCATCAAACGGGACAACACTACCGACCGTGTGTTCATCGTTGATTTGGCGTTGAAGTCCCCACTCAAATCAAACAAAGAAAAACGGTGACGGTGAAGCCACATCAGTGTTAGTCTGGGTTAGTCCCGTTTCGCTGCTGTTAGCTGCTGTTGAGTGGATTGGAGTCGACAACCGACTCCATTGGTTAGTCCACATTGGGGTAGCCCCCCGGGAACTCGTCGTCCGCGACTCCGCTCGGAATCAGCCTACAAGTGTACAAGCTAGAATCCCAAAGGGCAATTATGCATTTATAAAGTTTGGAAAGGTTTGGGCTCGATCGACGCGATACCTCACATCGTGAAGAGACTTCCGACCGAAACCTGGGAACCTGATCTATACCAAACTCAACCAGAAGAAATCAATACGGGCTTGCATTCCAATCGGAGATTAACCCTCCCCATTCTGGGTTCCAATTTCCCGCTTCATGCATGGTGAGTTGCATGTCTTGGAATGACGTCGATTAATTTTTGCATTCTACACAATTTCGTCGAAAGTCGAAATCCACTCATTTCCCCCTCAGCATTTTTCTTGGTCCTGACAGTGACAACCGAGAAAAAAAAATCAAAATTATTGGGAAGTAATTATTGGAATAGTTCGCAATCAGGAAATAGTCGCAATGAGGAAATAGTCTACCCTCGCACTCTGTACTCCGTAGTCGAGATCGAGATATGCCACTAGCCGACGATCCCATCCAATCGCTCAAGTATACCCGAAGAGATAAGCTCAACCCGCGCAGAGGGGAAAGATGATACATCCAGATCGTCCAGGCTACCAAATATCAAAGGCGTCGCACAAGTAGAATCTCTGGCCGTGGACGGACTGTACAATCACCATGCATCGTCCCGTTTGGGCCGACTACTGAAGTTTCATTTTCGTTAATCCGACTTGTCTCAATAGTTCAATGTCTGATCTTTGTTTGCCGTTTGGAGTCAATTTGATGTGCGGAGTACTCCCTACTGCGGAATCAACCATCGTGAGAACCTCTGCTCAACGCTGGGGCATCTAATCTATGGTGTGCTTTCGAGTCTTAAGTGGGATATTGCTTAGTGGCCTCGCCAGGTTCCACAGTCGGCTCGGACAAATCTCGTTCTGCGAGACATAACCGGCCGGCTCTAGCCAGCGATCCTTAATATACTACAGGACGCTATAGTAAAAGATCGTCACCAGACGGCCGACCTCGGGAAATGTGGAGACATACCCCTCCAAGAGATCGACGGACCAAGACAAGTATATGTGTATCCCAGCGAGTTTGATGGACTCACTACTACGCAGATTGCAGTCATTTTGAAGCAAGAGAAAAGAGACTGCGCGTATAGAGCGCAGTGGTACAGGCCTCGTCCCCAGCAACAGCTTCGGCAGTGAACTCGATCAGATATCGAGAATTCCGAGAAACTATGGCGGGAACTACATTCTAAAGACGTAGTAATACATTTCTCAAGGACAGTTGACAGCCACAAGTCAATGGGTAATCGCCAACTAGGTACTCCGCATCCAATGGGCTTGATGTCGTAGACATGTAGGGGAATCAAAAATGGCACAAGATGCCTAGGTGGTGCCGTTGTGTGGATTTTTATATGGGTCTAACCTTGGGAACCTTTGGCTCTTCCACGCCGAGGGCCCTAGCTATCAAACCTAGAATCTCAGAAACCTACAAAGAAGATTCTTCTTTTGCGACAAGGCTATGAAAACACCTTTACTGCTGATAAGAATAATGATAATATCGGACTACGCTCATACGTTACTACTCGGCATCTCATAATTGCAAAGTGCTGGTTCCATATCTGTGACTAACCTTGGAAATATATAGTAGACCTTCGACACTAGAAGAAAGAAATATTGACCTGACCTACCTAACCTGCGAACGATTCGAGCGAATAAGATATCGAGCTGAGCATCACCTAAAGCGCGGGCCCTCATCTCCATCCAAGTTGTGTCTATAGTCGGTCATAAAGCGTCGACACTGCCCCCTTTCAATCAGACCCAAATTTTCCATCTTCCGAATCAGGTAACAAGCCCACATGTCGCTGACCTGTGGGGGAATTTTCTCGGCCTCCATCGGGACAATGGCGCTACCTTCTTTGGGAATTTCACCGAGATAATGCGTGGTTCGGACCCAAGACGGGATAAATTCCTGGTCTTTCTCCATGCTCAATTCATAGTCACCCTCCTCACCGACACTATGCAAGCGCATGGCGCGTTGGCGGTTTGGCTGTTTCATAGTGATCATCCAGTGAGACTCACCGTATTGGTCTGGGACTCCAATCTGGAGGTAGATCTCAAGGGGCTCATCATAACGATCTACTGCATGGGAGTACGGTTCTGAACGGGGTTCCGAACGGAATCCTGAACGGTACTTTGAACGGAGCTCTGGGCGATACTCTGAACGGGAATCTGAGCGGTATTCCGTGCGGTATTCCGAACGGGAGTCTGAACGGCGTTCTGAACGGGATGCTGGACTGGGAGTGCCACGAGGGACACGTTCGATGATTCGGTGGCCTTGATACATAGTTTCGATGTGGAAGTCTGCTGTTAGTGGAAACTGGTGGAATGTGACTGTAAACTGTAGGGTGTCAAAGCTGTCTGGAGAATGGATGTTGTTGAGCTGTAGTTTGTGACCGGCGAGTTCGATCATTCTTATAGATGTTGCTTCACTGTTGACTCGTGGGATAGATAATGGGTCATTGAAAGCTACCTTTAGATCCGGAGAACAATCCCTTTATCAAGTCTACACTAGATAAAAGAAGATACACAAAGGAGCTCTGTGATGTCTTTGAGTAACCCAGAATATATGTCATTGTGTTTGACTAGATACAAAGACATATTACCTGACTATTTCAAAGGCCTGAAAAACCAATTTTACATACTCAAAGAGACAATCAGATTGTCATTTAGGGACATCCTCCAAGCATAGCACCGTGGTCAGGTGTAGACCCGACTAATTATCATTTCTGATCAAGTTCCTTTCAAAGTCAGGAAAGAAGTGAAAGGATAGATGGAAAAGTAGGTAGGAAGGAAAAAGAGAGAAAAGTTTAGACAACTGTGAAGGATAGAAAGAAGAGCGAGAAGCCAGGGGCTCAATATAACAAGATCGTAAAGATCAGTCACCTCCAAACGAAGGAGGAAGGAGGAAAAGCTAACCTGAGATGTAGGGCAAGGAGGCCTGAGGTACGAGCCGTGTCTTCTACCATGTGATCAATGGATACGCATGTATACGTTACATGCAGCATCGTTGCTATATTCGAATGCTGAATCTTTTTACACCTCGCTTACTGCATATTTGTTGCGGACAATTATAGAGCGTTCGCTCGTGCAAACACACATCACTTACCATGCAAAGTAATGATGAAAATGGCCTGGGTCCAATGGGGACTTCCGTCCAATATAAAGAGTCTCACATGGAGGGATTATTGTACCCCAAGACTCAGCAGATGTATAGAAAAACCCCGGAAGAGAAAGTGTGGTCATTTCGCGCATACCCGGAGATCTTTCCAATCGGAGATCTTAGAGGCCCGCATGAAGTACTTCGTATTTTGGACTTGGGCAATTAGGTTGAGATATCTTCCTGATGTTCACAGATATTTGTCATGGGATCCTACCTAGTTCACAAGCTAGTATCTAGGTGAATCAATTTCTCCGCGATATTTTCTCCGGCGTGGTTTGTCCTTTGTGAGACTTCTCATGGACCTATCCAGAGATGTAACATTACTCTAGAGTATTGATGTGTGTAAACTCCCAGTGGATGTATGTAAAGGAGATTGACGGACTGCCTTAACTCGGTTAGTCTTTGCCCAGTTGAGCTAGACTTTTCAAGAGAGTGGTGTGATCCTTCATTTCCACGATTCAACTTCGTTTTTGGGAGTATCCGCCTCCCCTGCCATTCCTCGGTCATTGAAGCGAGTCTCAAAAAGAATCAAAGAGAGCAACAGTGGCACTGTGGCACATTATGGCGCAATCCCTCCCTTCTCTGCCAAAAAGCATCCCATCCGCTTTGGTGATGTGGAAAGACATGAGTCCCTATGATGCGCGACTACGGGCAGTGAGCCCCTCGTCTCCCCGGATTCTCGTGATTGGGGGAGGCGTGACAGGTCTAATCACCTCCTGGGCGTTACTTGACAAGGGGTACCATGTGACTATTCTCTCCAAGGAGTGGGCATCGTACGGCCGCGAGCAACGATTGACCTCGCAGATCGCTGGCGCGCTGTGGGAATTCCCCCAGCTGTGTGCGGGCAGCACACTGACGCTATATCTTTGGCACATTCTAATCGCTGGTGCATGGTCGCCTACCACAACTGGGATCAGATGGCCGCCTGCCCTACTATCAGCTCTGCCTCGGGAGTGTCTATGAAGCCAGCTGATTTCTTCTTTTTCAACTCCATCGAGAAGAACCCAGGTCAACGGGCTAAGATGGAGAAGATCATGGCTAGCGGAGTAAGAGGGTTCGTCCATTCTAGTCAGTTAATTAAGAAATACCACATCAATCCGCAATGCGTTGTCGATGCCTATGAGCACTTGGCGCCGGTTATTGACACTGACCAGTGTATGGAGTGGCTTATGAAGCTAGTACGGGCAAAAGGAGCCATGCTCGTGAAAGAAACATTGCAAGGTAACCTCCTAGAGTGCGAGGAACAGCTTCGTCGACGTTTTCAAGTAGACGTGATTTTGAACGCTACGGGCCTGGCTGGGGAGCTTGCCGGCGATACCTCCTGCTATCCTATACGTGGTGGATTGATCCGAGTTATTAACGATGGATTGGACTTCCCCAAGGTAGAGGCCGCCCTTAGCATCTCTGCTGATGCTGCCTTCTCTTCTGATGCTGCCCTCTCTGCTGATGCCGCCCTCTCTTCTGATGCTGTCCAATCTGAGCATGGTTTTGTCTTTTTATTACCTCGCAATGACGATATTCTATTGATTGGGGGTATTGCTGAGCCACACGAATGGAATTTGGATCTTACACTGGACTCGCCAATTATTAAACGTATGCGAGAGCGCTGCGAGACCTTTCTTCCCAGTCTGAAGAGCGCCCGCCTGGATCCTGACTACCCATTGGCTCAGGGATTACGGCCCTTTCGCGCAAAGAATGTACGTGTGGAACGTGAATTGCGAAGACTGGGCCGCAAGCCTAGCCGCATCGTGCACTCATATGGCCAAGGCGGCGCGGGATGGAGCCTTTGTTTCGGATGTGCATCGGATGCTCTGGCGTTGATTGAAGAAGCCCTGCTGGACCTGGAACCGATGCCTATGGCGAGTCTTGATTCTTCTTGCCCCATGTTATCTCAGACCATGCAGGCACACCTCTAGTGGATGTTCATATCCTGATTTGGGCGAAGGAAACAGCCAAAGAGTTGTCGGAGTAGGTGTGGTGGTCAGCTGACTTTTCTTGGTGGAGGGCAAATATATAGCTCGTTGCCTCGTTGCCTTGTTCTCTCTTCCTCTCCCCTTCTTTCCCCGTGCATTTTTAATCCATCAGAATTGATCTGTTGATACGTTTTACACTCCTCGTAGATTTGCTCTGCTGTCAGGAGTATGGTGGGACCACTTGTATAGATCGTATGCCCCCGAAAGTAAGACCAGTATCCGCCATGAGAAAGAAACTTGCTTTTGCAAAGCAATCTTTTCTTTTAGGCAGCGGGCTGCGGAGGTGGTGGTCCAACTTGAACGCACTCCAGGGCTTACGCGAGATACAAGTGGAGCTCGTGATCCATAATGGAGCCAATACTTAGGAGACCTCGGAAAACACTGGGCCGCGGCGTCATCTGGACAAGGGTCATCAATACGCCTTAAATAAACATATCAATAGTTGTATTGCACAACCAGTGAGATTATTATAAGGGGATCAAATGATCGGACCCTGGCCAGGTGTCGCCTGATATCTCTGAATACTAACAATTACGGAGTAGACTAGTTCGTTGGTGTCAGCTTATGCGGATACTAGTTCGCGTGGTCCAGAATCTGACATTCTCCCGACTGATATGCTGCGGGCTAACGGAGAAATGCCCCAAGTGCCAGAGAAGCGTGACTATACAGGACACTAATATAGTCAAGGGGGGTAACTGTGGTTATAACGAGCGAGCTTCACCCCCTCACTCATACCTTGGCCATCAGATTCTGCAGTCATCTTGCTATACAAGCGATCGGGAGATACCATTTTAACCTAATATTCCGTGTCCCTCTGAGTCTAATCTGTTTGGCATCGGCCACCAAGTCGCTTTAAAGATACTAGTCTGAATCTTGTCAGTTTGGTTGAGTGCAATCATGTTAGTTTCTTGGGCAATATCTTTGATCCATGGCATGTTCAACACAAGCTAATTTCAAGCTAAATTAAGGTGTATCTTTGTAGTGAGGACCCTATCCCGGGGCGAAATCTGCGTCAATACCAGGACTGAAGCCTGGCCGAATGATGCTGAGACGGATGGTGCGCGATGGGATTCAGACTGCAACCTCGCAGAGTGCGAATTCTCCGATCAATGGGCTGGCGAATAAGATGAGGCTTTAGGCAGATTGTGAATAAGCGTAAGTGTAAGCGAGGGTGATTGTCTATGTCTGGTCTTTGAGATATGCGTATTAACATAAATAGCAGAGAATCAAGACTTTCAAGAGCCCCGGGGAATTTTGCTCATAGCATAAGCATGACAAAAGGCTACCCCGATCACTAAGTGGCTAAGGACTCTTGGCGTGGCCTTTGCGGAGTGCGACCTGAGCCATAGATATTAGATATTGAACTATATCAGAAATAAGTCATGAGTCTCTGAAAAGCCAGACAGTCAAGTTTAGAAAATTGTTCCACATTGAAATCTCATGAAAATGTTATATGACTTCATGTGTCTTTTCCCTACTCCGTGCTGCGTAAGTTGGACTGCAGATATTGCAGAGAATGCAGTACTTTGCATCACCCCAACCTCGTAACCGACGCTAGCGAAGCTGATACTTGCCTGATTCGGCCTAGTTGCACTCAAGATCAGCCCCATCTTGGCATTCCGCCGATGTGACCAATCACAACTCGTCTGTTATCATGGGGAGATCCCGCTTCGGAGGAGAGTGCGGAGTCCAGATCGAAGGAGGTGTTGATTCCAATCTGCTGGCCCCTTCCATTTCCCCTCTCCAACACCCTTTCAAGTCAAGATACAAGACTGGCATGACCGTCCTGCTGTCGTGATCAGATTGATCCCTTGATTCCCCGGCACCGAGCCACACCGCATTTCGGTACAGTATACAGGTACAATGGCAACGGACGCGCCCCCCGACATCGGGGAAACCAAACCTGATCTCGCGAAAGAGTGTGTCTTGGAGGACTCTGGTGTTGAGACTCTCGATCCAGCTGCTGAAAATAAATTGGTTCGGAAAATCGATTGGCTGTTTGTATCCACTTTCTTGACGATCTGCAACTCAATTCTCACACGGTCGCCAGTTTGATGCCCATCTTGATCACCTCTTACGGCCTTCAGTTTCTGGATAGTATGTCTAGCTCCGTGACAATCCTCAAACTTGGGAACCAAACTGACTTGCCTGAATAGAGACCAGTCTCTCATACAGCGCCATTCTTGGAGTTCGAGAAGATCTGGTACTTGACTCCGTCTCCCCTGATGTCATGTTGATCACTGACGATCCAACCAGAATTTGGTAGGCCAACAATTCAGTTGGACTTCCAGCATTTTCTACATTGGATATCTCGTGGCATCATACCCGATTTCACTCGGCTTCGTGCGCTTCCCACTCGGGAAATATCTCAGCATCTTGATGTAAGACCTACCACATGGGAACACTGTTGCAAGAAACTAACATATGAAGCTTTCTATGGGGTGTCGTCTTGACTCTCCACGCCGTAACCGACAACTATGGAAGCCTCATGGCGCTGCGGACGCTGCTTGGTGTGTTTGAGAGCGCTATAAGTCCAGGATTTTCTCTTATTACGGGAATGTGGTACACTCCTCGGGAGCATGTCTCACGACACTCTATCTGGTTTGCAGGAAATGCCCTTGCTGGAATCGTCGGTTCTGCAATTGCATATGGGCTTCTGAAGTACGAGGGAGATTTTGCCCAGTGGAAGGTTCGACATCACGCACTTTGACACGATTCCCATGACTAATTCCGATACAGATCTTGTTTCTGCTGTTTGGCCTCGTGACGGTCGCCTGGTCTGTCGTGACATTTTTCTATTTGCCCGACTCCCCACAGACTGCCAGATTCCTCTCACCCGCTGAGCGCAAGTTTGCTGCGTTGCGTCCTTACAAGTACCAGAAAACCACTCAGACTAGATCGTGGGACCGAGGTCAATTTATTGAGAGCATGACCGACGTCAAGACATGGTGGTTCTTCTTGTTCTCGTTTGTTATTTGTGTGCCCAATGGAGGCACAACGAGCGTAAGTACTATCCTCTGCTCGGGCACTCCAATGAGGCGCAAGAGAAAGTCTAATGTTATGAACAGTTTAACACCCTTATCATTAATGGGTTTGGCTACGACAAATTCCAAACCATATTGATGGGACTTCCCGCGCCTGTCTTCCAGTTGACCACCGTCATCCTCTCCGCAGTCCTGAGTTCCACAATTCGCAAGTCTCGTCTGATCAACCTTGTTTTGATCTTCCTCCTAGCGCTAGCTGGAATCCTAATGGTCAAGCTCTTACCCCAGCATGAGAAGCTATCCCGACTTGCTGGGTTCTGGCTCGTCACGGCAAGCGCCCCAGCGTTCCCCCTCATGCTGTCTCTGGCAGCAAGCAATGTTGCAGGTTTCACAAAAAAGTCTACTGTTATGGCCATGATCTTCCTAGCATACTGCGCTGGAAACCTAGCCGGGCCACAGTTCTTCAAGTCATCAGAGGCTCCCAACTATCATGTGTGTATACCCAAGCTGATAGAGACTTGCGCATATACTAACGTATCTTTTTCCAGACTGCCTATACGACAATCGTCATTTGCTATGCCATTACTATTGCTCTGGTCGTTGGCTTCCGATTCTACCTGATGTGGGAAAACGCTCGCCGAGACAAGGAGCAGGGTATAAAGATCGATCCAGAAGAGACCCGTCGCATTGCGCTGGATACCGACGAGAACGTACTTCAAGTGGACCAGACAGATAAACAGAACCGATCTTTCCGGTATGTTCTATAGAGCCGGCTTGGCTCATGCTCCGGCGCCCCATGTTGGTGTTCACAGGGTGCCACAAGCGCCACATGTACGGATTGGAAACACCGAGGCTATTCTTCATTCTTGAAATACTCCAGGGTACTAGATGGAACGCATAGTTCCAATCGCAACCTTGAAAGCAGTGTATATAATTCACTTAACTCTCTTGTCTCACGCAGACGAGTTTTGGGGTCAGAACAGAATATTTTTTGGGGAACATTCGAACTTCAAAGACATGGGAATCAGGCTTGGGATCTTGGACCTGATGCGCGGATAAAATGTAATTTCTAAGCATGTTATCAAAGTCTTGGCTCTGACCTGTTGAGCCCGAGGCCATTCTGGCTCTTTGGGAGGATACGGAGCTATCCCAATTAGGCTTGGCGTCGACCGGGAGATTTTAGGTCAACCATGGAACGTTTGCGCCTCGACCATGGACTGTATGCAAGAAAGTTGCTGGATCTCGAGAGCCAACCAACCAAGTCCAGACTTTAGAGACTTTGGGCTCCATCCATGTGGTGTTTCTTGCGTTGATTGGTCAAGCATATCTTTGACCCGCTACAAGGTTCCCACGCCCTGCGGATGACTTCCCCGCACGGGCTTTGAATGAGATCCTTAAATCTCTCGAATCCTTTACCCTTAGACTTGACTTCTGCATCCTGAATCTTCTCTGTTGCTGGTCAATCGTTGCTTTTCAGAATGGAGGACGTCAGGCGCTCGGAATTCTCGCCAAACGAGACCGAAAAGGGGGCTCAAACACCGCAAGAGGGAACCACAGATGGAACTCACCTGTCAACGACCCATGATGATGCCCAGATCCCCCCTATGGACGGTGGACTCAACGCGTGGCTTTTCCTTGCAGCATGTTTTGCCATGGAGGCTCTTGTCTGGGGATTTGCTTTCACGTATGGTGTTTTCCAAGCATACTACAGCGAGATCCCCCAGTTCAAAGATTCGGGAAACATAGCGGTGGTAGGAACATGCGCAATGGTAAGTAAAAACATACCAAAAGTCCGCAATAAAAGCTCATCCATCTTCAGGGAATCATGTATCTTGATATTCCACTTGTCTTTGCCGCTTACCGACAATGGCCGCGTTTCCAGCGTCTCGGTTGTGGTATCGGTGTGCTCATGATGTGCGCAGCTCTTGGCCTCAGTTCCCTCGCCACAAACACCAACCACCTCATCATTGCTCAAGGTATCTTCTATGCCCTGGGCGGCAGTGTCGCATACGCTCCTTGTATCCTCCTGATGGAAGAATGGTTCGATCGACGAAAGGGCCTGGCATTCGGTGTCATGTGGGCAGGTACTGGACTTGGCGGCGCCGTCCTGCCAATCGTCATTGAGCAATTGCTAGGCAAATACGGATTCCGTATCACCCTGCGGGGCTTCGCGGTAGTCTTGTTCGTCCTCACTGCGCCGCTGGTCTACTTTGTCAAACCGCGCGTGCCAATCCCAGCAAGCAGACCGAGTCCGCCACCTCCTAACATGCGGTTTCTCTTCACGTCGACATTTGCAATCTTTGAGCTCTGTAATACCGTCGAGGCACTTGGGTTTTTCCTACCATCTCTCTACCTCCCGACTTACGCCGGTATGCTCGGAGCGTCGACATCACTCCAGGCACTGACGGTTATCCTCTTCAACTCGGCATCTGTCGTCGGATGTGTATTGATGGGTGCGATCATCGATAAGCTCGATGTGACTGTCTGTATCCTGGTAAACACAGTCGTCTCCAGTATCGGCGTATTCCTCATTTGGGGCTTCTCGATGTCTCTGGCCCCGTTGTTCATCTTCTCCATAGTGTATGGTCTGGCCGCAGGCTCATATACCAGTACATGGCCCGGTATCATGCGCGATGTGGTGAAGAAAACACCATCCGCGGAATCGAGCATGGTGTTTTCGTCTCTTGCGGCTGGTAGAGGTATTGGAAACTTGGTCTCCGGTCCCCTGAGCGAGACTCTTGTCAAGGGCATGCCGTGGGAAGGAACCGTTGGATATGGATATGGGAGTGGATATGGGTCATTGATTGTTTTCACGGGGGTGACAGGTGTCGTGGGTGGTGGAAGTTATCTTGCCCGTCGCATGAAGTGGCTGTGAGCCTATAAAGTGTCTGCCTATAGAACATACGCACATAACGCACATAACAACATAGCGAATTCTTATACAGGTCACATCTATGCTTCACATATCGCAGGCACGTACTTTGGTTGACAGACGAATTGAAACCCACGGCACCATCCATAAAGCACACCTGCCTGGCACTTGGGCAAAATATCCAGCGTCTGGAACATTTATTGGGCTTCTTGTCAAACGCTGAGACAAATTCAGCACGATTATATGTTATGTATGATTAAAAAGGGACAATTGGGCCAGTTTCATTGTGTATGTGGTCATTGTAATTATTATTCATGGATTTTGAATGAAGCACCTGTGCAGACATGAATCAAATCAAACCCACCCCATAGCAGCTGCCTTTTCATCAAAGTCCGGCTGGGCTGGCTTCTTACCAGCCTGAACCTTGGTGAGTGTCAACTTGCGTCCTAGACCGCGACCAAGTTCACCCGCTGCATCAAGGGGAATGACATCGTCTTCAGTGGAAGGACGTCTCGAATCTTTCTCAAGACTGAGCAGAACCTCAACTGCCCCCCTGTCCTCAATGACTTTGGGATGCCGTTGCGCGAAATACCGTGCGTACTTGTACAATGACCAATAACAGCTGAAGACATTGATGACGGTCAAAGCGATCTTGTAAAATGTGTAATAGAAGAGAAGAACTTTCCAATCGATGCGTTCTTTCTTGAGGCGGAGGTGGATCTCGTTGAAAATGATCACGTTGATGATGTACATTCCGATGGTAACGCCGAGTAGCATTCCGCAGAAGGACGGGCGGACCACGAAGGAAATTGGTAGGATGAAGGGCGCAAAGAGATAGATGAGGGTTTCGTAAACCTGCAAATGTTAGCCGGTGTAATTTGACAAAGAACGAGTGAAGGACATACCTCTTGAAAGACGCAGAGCTTAGCGCCGATCTCCCACCATCCGAGCTTCCAGCTCGTCAAGATGTACTTGAGATCATAGTACATGCCGACAACGAAGAAGAAATTCCACCTCTTGAATCGCTGCTGGAAGATGGTCATTTCACCAAACCCACCCCGACTTCCACTTCCACTGATAAACACCGAAGAGGGGGTTTCTGTCTCGACAAACACCTGTGAACACATGGTGATGCGACCTCCAAGGCGTCGGCACGCATCACCGAAGAACCAGTCCTCCGAGACCGAGAACCCGGGATGCTCATGGAAAGTCTGTTTCAGAAACTCGATATTCCAAAGTGAGATAGCACCGTGTGGAAAGGTGGCACTTCCACATTTTCCAAAGAATGCCCGCTGAATGCCTGACATCTTATACTCGAGGTCTTGTGCTTGCTGACAGTATGTGCCCTTGGAGGAATTAGGGCCCACACTCTTGATCGTGTAGCCGAGGCATTTGACATTGCCTTTGAGTCTGTCGCTGACGATGGGAAAATTAGGGGGTAGGAGACAGTCATCGTCGATGAGAACTGCATTTTCGAAATCCTTCGCGGCATAGCAGCCTACGAATTGGGCGACAATCTTGGAACCGATGGGGACCCAGAGGTGGTTGACGCCGAATGGTTTGCATACCTCTTCGGTGTTATCGAGAGGCGTTTTGGAATTGCCGTTGGCGATGACGAAGATATTTTCCTTTGGGAATATTTTGAGCGCGGCTTCCAAAGTTGGGCCGATTATTGTGGCGGACTTGTAGCATGGGATTAGAAGGGCGGTTGAGTTGACGTTTGAGCTGTTGCTCTCCAAATCAGGCGACTCGACTTCAGCAGCTGCGGGCGGGTCTTTTTCAAATAGAATCAAAAGAGGGCAGAATGCATATCTGATGATCGTCAATAATCAGCTGGGATCCTGAGTCGGCAGAGAGCTCTGTACTTACAGTGCGGCCAAGCCAATTGTGATGGCATAACCTCCCTGAATAACGAATTTCGTCCGAACAACGTAATATAGCCACCAAACAGCCCCTTTCCATAGAGGCATACCAACCAGGACAAAGTATATAAAAAGAACGAGGAATGCATAGATGCTGTATTCGAACAAAAGTCGGACCCAATGCTTGCGTTGGATGGCCACACCTCTCAATTTAGCCTTTTCGTATACTTCTTGTAACTCGCTTCGTTCGCTGCCTGAAGCTTCAGAGCTGGTCTTGCTCGAAGGGCTGATGAAGGCATTTTGTACTGGGGAAATTGGCTCTTTCTCTGGAATTGGAGATGCTGGCTCAAAAGTAGCTGGCTTGAGAAAATAATCAAATGTTGAGCCTGTGTCATCAAATTGTTAGGTTCATGAACATGCAAATATATCGTGCAGAGTTGCTTGCGTGGATCATAATTGGAATTTTGGATGTCGATGGGCATGTAAAAGTTCAAGGTGTAACACATAGACCCAAACAGGCCTAGATATATGCTTCTTACCATCAAAAGCGGGAGGATCGCTGCGCCCACGAGACCGAATCGCAGATCGAGGTCTCGCTACAGCCCGTAGCGCCGAAAGACTGAGGGGACGGCTGCCAGAAGTTCGAGGCTGAGGGGGAATGGATATACGGTTATTATCCGGAAGAGATTGCTCCCATCTTGCTAGTTCCCACGGCGAGTTGAACTTGGCAGTGGTGAGAAGTTCCTTGGGAATGAAGACATCCTCTACGGAGCTTCTAGGGCTATTCTCTTCAGCCATGTCAAAGGTATACTCAATTGATCAACAATTGTATTATGGATGGAAAAAGAATGTACGGCGACTAAAGTCGCCTGCAAATAGTGAAATGCTCGCTAGCAAGAAGGGTCCAGGGTGGGCTTCCTACTTATTCAAATTTAAATCTGTTATAACTCAAATCAAGATGCTGCCGGAAGAAAACTCTTGCCAGGCTGTGGGCCCTAGACCGGAGCTACTAGGAGACTAGATTTAATGGATGGGGCCGAGAATAGGTTAGACGGGGCATTCTAAGAGTGTACTTGGAATTAAGTCAAAGCTCAATAGTCTTAGGCAATCAACCAAGGAACTGGATGACCCTGGACTATCTTCAAACCAGAAAGCTTTCAACCAGTCATCACGATTGGTGAGAATATCTGTTTTAAGGGACTTTGCACGTGGAAAGACATGGTTCAGCAGCAAAGAAGCTTCCTTTTCGAGACTGGGCCGGGTTTTCTTCCATCGGACTGAGATGCAGACCCCTTCGACTAGTAATGTGGATACAACTTGAGAACCTACGATGAGGATTTCATAGACTGGACTCAGAATAGTCCAATGGGAAATATGAAAGTTTGGGCTACCGTGGGCTAGTTGAATCATCTTTAGCCCCGCCCATTGCATCAGATCTTTGGATATCAGAATGATTCTTTTGTCTCTTTTGTAATCACTCATTGCTTTAGAACAGCTGAAGGTGAATATTGATGGCTGTTTCAATGTCAATGGGCCTCTCGCAAGGGGAAATTTCCTCGCTCTCGTGGTTTTTCTATGGACTGAAAGTGAGTAGAGTGGGCTCAGAGTTTTAGCGCACCAGCCTTATGAACCATTGTGTCGCTGCTAGGTCGGCGGATACGGACTCCGAGATCTGGTACATGGATCATCCGTGTTTACTGCCAAATCGGTATGTACTAAACTTAGCTGCATGTCACCACCGCGGCTTGTTGCTGGTGCCGTGCCTCGTCACGGCGGTGGGGCAGCTACGTCGGCCGCACCAACCCTCACTGCCGCACTTGAATCCCCAGACTCAACCATCTTGCTGCCTTCTCTTATCCTTATAATATGTTGGCATTTTACTGTGAATATTATCAATTGCCACGTTGAATGTCTGAAACCAATCGAGCCTTGGAAAATCTGAAACGAAAAGTTAGATCAGCGGATCTGGTTGGTTGACCGACTCTTTAGAGTTTCGGGCCGGAGCTGAAGACAAAATCAGCCACAAAGCCAAACGAAGCCACACAAAAGCCAACCGCCGTCTAAAACGACTCCTTAGCTTACAGGCTTACGCACTTGCCATGTGATATCGAAGGCTTCAATATTTACTTCATAGCATTCATTTTTTTTCTTTCTTTCTTTCTTTTAACTGAGAAATGATCTATGCTATCATCCTAAGTGACAAACTCCTTGTATCCCCGAGACAAGAGACAGTGCTCTGCAAACCCAGCTCCGCTTAAATGGGTGAATTGTATTCTCTAAAAATGAAATTTCTTCAGAATACTACCATGAGGTAACCTCATCAGAAAGAAAAAGACTCCCAAAGTCTAGCCTTCTCGGTTAGCAGCCGAGTTACCGGCGCTACGGGATTCCGGGGGCAAAATGAATTAATGATCCCGCAGCCGTTGACATCGGTGCGATGATCGAAACCGGTTGACCATTGACAATGCAGTCATTGTATAAATTGATCGCCTTGTTTATTCTTAGCCAAAACCGGATTATGCCGAGATGTGGAAGCCTCGAAATTTTGGGACAACGCTGGAACCATGGTACTCGCCTCAAATCCAGGGCGAGTTGAAATTGCACGTTAGTGGAGTCTATCCATTATTGGTCATTGCTTGATCTTGAAGAGGGTACCTGCCAAAATGAGCGCTTGTTCCTGACCCAAGTTTGCCCGTTAGCCGGTTGCTTCGGATATGACCCTGATCTGGATTGGACATTACCATGGTTGGTGTTGGTGAGCATGTCATATTTCTAGAACGTGTTCAAATTTTACATGAGAGGACCGAGCAACATCCCAGGGGATCAGACATACAATTTTAGGACGCTTTTGAAATTCTCAGAGATCATTGTTGACATGATGTCTTGGGGCCCAGGCATTGCTTTGCCTAGAGTCTCGCCCTTTACACTCCCTTTTCGCTCATGCTTTGCTAATGGTGGCTCCCCCCCTTGGAGTTCTCTTCTTTTGGTCTAGTTATCATTTCAGTTGAAGTGTAGCCCGCAGAATTCAATTCCACCAGAACGCATTTTCACGAGATCCAGGCATGAAGTGTTGTCCACACGCAATTCAAATTTGCGTATTCTGACCTAGAACGAAAAGAAAAGAAAAGAAAATTGGTGTAAAAGATAAGTATCTGGAGTGTGAAAAGTAGGAATTCTAGTAGGAGCAGCGCAACGACAGTCAAAATTTCACCCGACCCCTCTTTTCTTACTTTGAGCCTCAGCCCCCAACGTTTCCAGCGAGACTGTGCTCAAACACATATCAGGGAGACTTTAGCCCCTCTAGAGCGAGGCATTTCGGTCAGATTTTGAACTATTTGCCCGGGGTGTGTTGGTAGCAGACTACTTAATACCCCGAGCAGCCATCTAATGCAGCTCCAGCAACGGCGAATGTAATTGTGGGCATTTCCCCGGTGCCCAACACGTCCATGACAGAAAGATGAGACGTAACTGTCAGCACCAAGCCTCCAATGGGACAAAGCCCTCAGAGCGGCACATCCTGATCCCCGTCACCTGTCAATGCACGGTACTAATGCATCACGGCTATACATCGTGGGTCCAGCCCCGCGCCCTACTGCAGATAATCCCGCTCTGTCAAATCAATGCATGTTGATTGGCTTCGGTTATAGCTCTTTGCATAAATGCAACTCTTTGACAACTTGTCAGATCAAGTCTGGTAAGATTGAAGTCGATCCATGGTGTAATAGCTCTTTGGCCCCCGGGCTGGGAGCGGCCCATTGCGTAGTACAAGAGTACAAAAGCTAAAGGCACGGAGAATTTCATCCTCTCAAATCAATTCTATATTGTCAACTATCTCAATTCAAGAAAATGAATGCCAAGTACAGTCTTAGTACCTATGCTGTTTACATGCTCCTAGGTGCGATCATCCTTCGCCTCCTCACCAACAGATACAAACGTGTACTTCGAGATATACCTGGGCCGGTACTTGCAAGATACTCTCGTCTTTGGAAACTCTACAGTGTGTGGAAAGGTGATCATCACCATGTTGAGATTGACCTGCACCGCAAACATGGATCACTCGTTCGTATTGGCCCAAACCACATCTCCGTCAGCGACCCCAGCGCGATTCCACTCATCTACGGGCTCAATAAAGGTTTTACAAAGGTACTTCATACTCATACTTTCTTTAGTAGAATTCAACACAGTTTGAGCAGTTCTGACAATCTCACCATAGACTGCATTCTTCCCCATCCAGTCAGTAACATGGAACAAAAAGCCCCAGATGAACATATTCTCTACAAGAGATGTTGCCTATCACCGCGCTCAAAGGCGAAACATAGCAAATTCTTATAGCCTGTCTTCCCTTCTCGAATCAGAGCCCGCAGTCGACTCCTGCACAGCGCTGTTCACAACCCAGCTCTCAAAATTCGCAGATCAAAAGACTCCCGTGGACCTGGGTAGCTGGCTACAATATTATGCTTTCGATGTCATTGGCGAAGTGACATTTTCGAAGAAGTTGGGCTTCTTAGAACAAGGATGTGATGTTGACAATATGATGGAAGCCATCCGCGGTATATTGATCTACTCCAGTCTATGCGGCCAGGTCCCAGAGCTACACCATGTGCTACTGGGAAACCCACTGATTCCAGTCTTGCTGCCGGGCATGGAAACCTGGAATCAGGTTTTGCAGTTTACACTCAAAGCAATCAGCCTGAAAGACCCATTGAAACAACATGGTGATATTGGCGTGGATAATCTGACTGGGAAGGATATGATGTCTCGCTGGATGGCGATTCATCAAGCGGACCCGGAAAGATTCTCGACCAGAGATGCAATTGTTCATCTCTCTGCAAATGTTTTTGCGGGCTCTGATACAACTGCCATTGCTCTCCGCGTGATCTTCTATTTCCTCATGCGCGAGCCGGCTGAAATGACGAAGGTCGTGACCGAGATTGATACTGCGATCAGCGAGAATAAGGTTGGCAACCCCATCTCATACCACGAGTCGACGACGTATCTTCCATACCTGGGAGCTGTTATCAAAGAAGCGCTTCGACTGCACCCTTCTGTTGGATTGATCCTCGAACGTGAAGTTCCCGAGTCCGGTGCTGAGATCTGCGGAAAGCACATCCCCGGCGGAACCACCGTCGGGATCAATGCGTGGGTGGTAAACCGGACGGAAGAGATATTCCCCAATCCTGATGAGTTTCTGCCCAATCGGTGGCTGGAAAGCTCCCCAGAGAAACTGAGGGCCATGGAACAGACCACCTTGACTTTCGGAGCTGGGTCTCGAAGCTGCCTTGGGAAGCACATCTCATTTATGGAGATGTACAAGATGATTCCACAGCTTCTGCGCGAGTTTGAGATTCGCCTGCATGGCCCTGAAGATTGGAAAACGCAGAACATCTGGTTTGTGCAGCAGGATGGATTAATATGTGATCTTGTCAAAAGGTAGTAGTCGGTCGGTCGGCAGTAGTAGGAATTTTGGGAATGGATTTGGCTGCGGACAGCTTTGATTTGCTCAAAAAGATTCTAATTCGAGAGATTTTCAATGAGGCGACATCAAAAGTAACATTAAAGGGCATTAAGAACTTGCTGCATGGCAAACGTGTTTGAGTCCTCGCGCCTAGAGACATAGGCTCTCACTTCTTGGACACTCAATTTGCCCTCTTGGCTGGCGTTTCTCGCGCCCGATCCGCCTGTGGTGCCGCTGGCAGCACCGCCACGGATCCTTTCCCTTAGGGCTTCGACACCAATCACAAATAGACTGCCGACCTCGAGTAACACGTCCAGCGCGCCACCAGGGCCCTTGGCTTCGTCGTCGATATCCCAAGATTTAAACAAATCGGCATACTGCGTCATGTCTTTGGTCACCATGAGACCTCCGGGGCCACTTACGGCAAAGCGTTTGAAATGCTCCAGTAACAAGCGACGCGTACCAAGGGCTATTTCCGTCAGAACTTGGCGGATGTTGACACCGCTTGATGGAAGCGAGGTACGAGCGATGTTGTGAAGGCGAGTGAGGAAGGTGGTGATTGAAGTGCAGGTCTGGCAGGTTAGTATTAAACATGACATGATTAGAGGTTGGGAACGAACCGGTGTCTGAAGCATCTCGAGCCAGGCTGTGCTATCGCTTTCACGCGGTCTGAAATCATTCTTCTTTTGACCGGAGAGAAGCTTGCTGACCCATGCGAGTGTTGCGTCGATGGTCTTCTGTTCGATGGTATTGATTTTGTCTTCGATGCGCGAGGTCGTTTGTGTGGTGCGCTTCTCCATGTCTCGGCGCGTAGTGATGCTGCCAGCAGAAAGGGGGAGCAACACTGCGTGCACACACATGACCATCAACGTAGTGATGCTGATTATAGTTCGCACCGAGAGGAGGTAGGAGAAGTCAGGCTCGGCTTTACCGGACTCCTGCGCGGTAGCCACTTCCAGAGCGGCATCCAGGCAGACATCCACGTACCCGTCTCCCATTGTGATAAGAAGCAGGCTCAGCAGAGCAGATACATCCTTAGGAGTGTCGCTGTTGACACTCAGTTCCAGACCGCGACCCACGGCCTCGGCCAACCATTTGAGCATTCGTTTCGCATCTCCAAGGTTTGGTTGTCCATTTTCTTCAGTGAGTTTGATCTCGGTCAAGCGCGTGGTCTCGAGCGTGTCACCGACCTTGGCCACGCTGAGCAGGACTCTGCGCTGAATTGGTGATACCTCCGGTGAATCCAAGCGATTGATGAAGGCATCTCGTGTGGTAGACAGAAGCTCAGACCCAGCTCGGATAGAGGCCATGAACGTTGTTGCGGCCTTCTTTCGTCGGGCATGATATGATGTGAACCGGAACAGAAGTGCTTGGAAGAGTTCTTCTAAAGTGCGCTTCTCGCGTTCGATATATGACGATCCGACAAAGTAGGGAACAAACAGTTCCTCCAATTGTTGGTCCAGTAAAATTGCCGTGTGGGACGAAACAGGATCTGGGTGCTCGGTCAATCCGTGCTGCTTCAGATCTTCGATCAAAGCACTGACATAGCCCCTAGAGCTTTGCAGACAGCGAAGGAACGCCAGGGAGGATGCACCGGACGCCTTCTCCAAGACCATCTCTAAACGCTGCTGGATTGATTGCTGGAAGACCCGCTGCAGGAATTTGCCCAGCACTTGCTCGTAGTAGGGGAACGCCCGCCGGATAATTGCGGATTCTTCCTGCACCACCACCTTCACTTCGTCTATCAACGACTGCAAACTGGACTCCACGCCGGGGAGCTCGGCATCTGGATCAGCGAGTTTCTCCCACGATTCCGAATCCCCGCCAACCTCCTCGGTGACCAGCTGGCTGCGATCAATAAAGAACTGGTGCTGGTTCACGAAGAGAGCAATCACGCTCGCTCCACCATTGAAGTCCTGTAGAACAGTCGCACAATCTCGCATCCCATCGAAGTTCGCCTTGCGATAGAAATCATCGAACTGCTTCAATAGATCTTTCTCCAATGTTTCTGAGAATTTCTCAATGATCTCTCTTGTATTCCGTCGCGGGGTACTGCTCTCGCTCAAATCATCGGAGGAGCTCCCATAACCGTTCGACGCATGCTCCTGCCAGCTCTGGGCATCCAATCGCTGGCTGATCCGCAGCAGCTGGCGCGCAATGTGCGCCGAGCGGACCTTCGCCTCGCCCGTCCCTGACCTCCGCAGCCCCTCCAGTAGCGACAAGTCCCCTCGGTTCGACACTCCGTCCCAGCATTGGATCAGGAAATGCGCGTCGAGCGCTCTTCGTCGCTGCCGGTCCAATTCCTCCAGTCTCTTTCCCGTCTCGACCGCCATATTTCCCGTGCCACCAGCATCACGCCCATTCAATGACGTGTCCAGCTGCTGGAACGACTCGATGGTGTGTCGGAGTTTCTGGCCAAGCGTGTTGAGGTTCTGGCCGTGTTGCGCTTCTGCGCGGCGTACCGCGGCCGACAGTTCATTTTCGCGAAGCTCGAGATCGCCGGAGAGTTCACCCAAGCGGCGCTGGGCGCTTTCAAATGTGCGAATCAGAGGCTTCGGATCGAATGTTTGGTTCCCTGTGTTTGTGATGGAGCGTCGGGTGGAGGTGGCTGTGTCGGAGAGGGCTTCGATGAACTCCTTGACGATGAAGTCCTGACTGGAGAAGTCCTCCAAGGAGAAGCTGGGGCCCTGCGGGAACACGGTGCGGGGGTTTGTTATGGAAGCATTATCCATCATGTTGGGAGTGGAAGGATGTCAATTGAGTCCCCTGCGCTGGGAGATGATCCGGGGAAGTTCGAACTTCGGAGACCACGTCTTAGCTGAGGTATACACCTCACGTCATCGAACATCTTTGTCTTTGACTACTTGAATGTTATTTGATTATTCTGAATTAATTCTTCAATTCTGCCTAAAAACCCGACATCATCACTATTAACGAATGAGAGACGAACATGTCAGAAGCGAATAGGCATATCTATTTAGGATATTTATAGCCTTGCGCAACGAGGTACAAATCTCGAAAACGACTCTTCCCACTTCCGGCCACCTTTCCCCCTCTCCACCCCCCAGCAAAATGGTCTCCCAACGAGATCGTGAAGCCCTCCGCGATGATCTTCGTGCCCGCTCGAAGCTGTCCACCGCAGACCGGGAATCCCTGCTTAAAACCTACCTCCCCGAAGACCTCGCCCGACCCGAGCGGCGCAAACCTCACAAAACGCCCATCCGCTCGTTCTTCAAGGCGCAACTGCACCACCTCGCCTATGCGCTGACCCATATTATCTTTGGTATCGTGGTCCGACTGCTGCAAGCCTACCATGCTGTCGTCGACCGCATCTTCGCTATCGTATATCACCACCACCGTACCCCCGAGCTTATTCGCAAGGATGTCAGGGGGTTGAAGCGTCTGCCACAGCACCTCAGTACAATTTTGACTCTGCGCAAGGAGGACGATGCGTTGGCGGTGCTCATGGACGAAGTGGCCGAGCTGGCAGCCTGGAGTTCTTGTGCGGGCATCCCGCAGTTGAGCGTCTACGAAAAGACTGGTGAGTATTTTGCCCTTGAGAGTTCTTAATTTTGAGCTCTGCTTTGTATATTTACATTTATTGTTCATATGACTAACGACTCCAGGCGTCTTGAAATCATGTATCCCCGCCCTCCACCAGATCATTACGACCAAGCTGGCAAGCTACTACGGTTCACCAGACCAACAGCCAAACCTGCACCTCTACGCTCCGCACCACCCGGTCCAGGGCTCAACTACAAACCCCGGCAAAAGTTCTCTGACAGTCCTCCTGCTCTCCTCCACCGACGGCCGGGAGACAATTGTCGACTTGACCAAAACCCTGGCTGAAATGAGCCAGAATGGCAAGCTCTCCCCCGAGGATATCACTCCAGAACTTGTAGACGCAGAGATCAGTGATATCACCACCCAACCCCTCACCTCCGGCAGCACGGGTGCCGTCCTGAAACCCGAGCCAGACCTACTGCTGGTTTTCAGTCCCTTCCTCAAGCTGGACGGGTACCCTCCTTGGCAGATCCGTTTGACGGAGATGTATTGCACGGGCAGTCGATCGCACGGTGTCAATGGAGACGGCGAGGCAGTGGAATATCAAGGGTATATGCGTGGGTTGTGGCATTTTGCTGGTGCGCAGATGCGGTTCGGAAGGTAGTGGCTTTGAACAGCCAATCTGCATGGTGCGTTGCTGGTAAGTGGTTCATTAAGTGTTCGTTGGTATCAATATGCTATATGCCGTACAAAAACCCTCCCTTGTAAGAGGTTCCAAAAAAGAAGAATAAGCCATGCCGTTTCCGTACTCCCCTTCCATTCGTCAAAATTTATATCCCTGGCTCTTAATCCTGATGCATACTATCAAGAGCCCATTGCGGATCCCATCCACGTACACAGTCCAGGCAGCGGACGATTTCCGCTCCGGTCTGCGTGATGTCTTCCACGGCACATGCAGAGCAGATCTTGCGCTTTGTAGTGTTGATATCTGCATCCACATCTGAATCTGGGTGGTATTTCACATCTGTCGGGGTTTGACAACTTGGACTGTCGCATTGACGCAGACAGATGAAGCATGCTCGCTCATGGCACAGGTCACAGTCTGCGTAAGCGTCCAGAACTTGTCGGGTGGTTGGACGTCGGTGACAGATGTGACAGGGGCGAAGCACCGTAGGGGATGCAGATTGTGGATAGTGGAGTGGAACAAGGGTCTTTGGAGAGATTGGAGGCGAGTAAGGATCTGTAGAATAGATATTTGGTGAAAGGTGGGTTGACTGCGTGTGTTGGATCTGCGGAGGCAGGAGGTAGGAACCGAGGTGTCTGCGTTTTCGAGGTAGACAGCGAGGACGGTGGCTCGAGTCTTGCAGAGGGTGGCAGTCGAATTCCTCTACTCGGAAGGAAGGCATATATGTTCTGAGGGAGGTTAGTCGGGGGTGTGGGGACCAGGAGGGTGCATTGGGACTTACGGCCGACCGAGGGATGCCTCATCTTCCCTCTTTCGTTTTTTCCATATGGAATCGTCGGGCGAGAGTCCTGGCATTATGCCACTGTGTATAAGAGAACCTTGACGAGAAACGGAAGAGAAGTGAAGTTGGGGAAAACAAAAGAACGGGCCTCGGGCGGTGGGCTGATAGGGGCTTATCAGTTCGCCCCATACGAGTGCCACTTTTATACTCACTTCCTCTCCTTCTCTCCTGAGGTCCTCTCTTTAGCTCAACTTATGTTAATTTCTTGTCAAATGGCATGCCACAGTGATCAAAGCAGAGCCATTCTATAATACTCCATGTCAACAGGGTCATGGATCCAACCAGAGTCATCATCTACGCCTGCGTAACCGACATCGTTGGGAGCCCCCAGCGGCGCCATCTGAGGCTCGGAGAAGACCTGTGTATGATGATGAATCGCCCGTTCCAAGCCGCCCTGTCTCCAGCAGGCTATGATCACGTCCACATACCCGCCGACTTTGACTCCGAGAACCCCATCAGGCGATGGTTCATTGTTGATCTTAATGTCACTCAAGCACTCAGCCGGGAAGAGGTTTCCCATATTCCCCACCAAGTATATCTTGCTAGTCGGCAGAATGGCAAATTGTGAGCCATGACTGACTCTCCAATAACTATTTTCTAACTCTACAGAACGTTCATTGCCCGTGATCATTGGGCGGACAAGGCGAAGGCCAGAGCTGCTTCGTACATCTGGGGTGGGAGACAGGAACAGAAGATGATTGATGTAATGAGAAATGAAAATAAAGAGAATGAATGATTGGCTGCTTGATGACAACCCCTCATTGCCTTTAACTTCACGGTGACTCTGGCGGTGTTGCCCCCTTGCAGGCTGGGCAGTGTTCGTCATCCGTATCCTCTTGCCAGTCGTGAACATCCTCGCGCTGGTGAGGCGGGCAGGTCACCCCGTTGTGGATGGCAGGGGGGCATCTCGCGATATACACTGTTGCTTCATGCCCACATAACCCAAAGATGCCTCGGACGTTGTCACACATTTCAGTAAAGGGTTTTGATTATGCCGATAGATCTTCGAGAGGTATAGCAGGCTTCCAGATTTAGTGAGGGAGCGTACATTGGAGGTTCTTATGAACGTACATTGTCCAGGAGAGTCACTAGCGTGAGGCCAATGCTTCACTTTGGACATCAAATGTGTAGATGCCGGGCGATGTAATGGGCAAATCTACCCTTCGAGGGCCTCGGGCTCAAGATCACGCGCAAATGTCCGATCTGCGCCTGGAAACGGCGGGGCCTATCAGGGTGCTGCGTGATGCTTATTGGGCGGTGCTTGACTTTCAAGGTTGCTACTCCGCCAATATCTCCAATATGATCTAAGATCCGGGCACATTGGAAATCCAAGACCATCACAATCTTGGAAGATAGCACTCGGTGCCCAGGTGGTATGTGGTATCGTGTAGTGTATATCCAATGCCTATTCATGAGCCTTCCACCTCAACCCCGTCCAGTCGGGCTTGGATGGTCTTTTCATCAAACCGACCATTATCCCCAACAAAATTCCTTAAAACCTCGTAAGTCATCAGTCTCCTCGGCGCTTTACGTCCAGTCATCAACTCAAACTGCGCAATACCCTGCTCCGTCACATTCTCCAACCCATCAGACAAAACCCAAGGACGACCAGTCTCGCTACGAACACGACGCATCTGGCGAAGTAGCGGCGTATCAAGCGGTTTATATGCCAACTGCTATCGGTCAAAAAACAAAAAATAAAAAGCCCACAAGAAGCTTAACTCACCTCAAGGATAACACCGCCAGTCGCGCTCCCCAGCCACTGAGTGGGCATTTCAAAATTAGCCGGCGGCTCATCTCGGTCCGGATCCGCAGGCACACAACTCGCCACGAGACTAGGTTGCACATCGTCAGGCCATTCCTGCTTCAGCGAGTCCAAGACCCGGACTACGTCCCCCTCATCAGCAGCCCAGCTGTTGAAATGGCGCGCGACTTCTTCCGCACGCGCCCGCGTACGGTTGTAGATGAAGATCTTCCGACATCCAAGTCGTAGCATGGCGTAGATTGCAGCGCGCGCCATACCACCAGCACCGATGACGAGTGCCGTTGTCCGGGCACTGATAGCGTTACGCGGAGACAGGTGTCGGGTAATGCATGTCATGATGCCTACCCAATCTGTGTTCTCACCGTACCAGCCGAGCACGCGGCCTGCTTGGTTGCGGCGGCTGGCTTGCTCGGTGAGGGGGAACATGGTTCCGTCATTGCCGCGGAGGGGCATGATAGTGTTAATAGCGCCAATAGCCTCGGCGTGACGGCTTTTGGAAGCTAGTTTTTGGTAGACTGCCACGCGCCACGGCTGGACGACACTTGAGCCGCCGAAGTGTGGATCTCGGCCTATTTGGTCGAGGACTGCTAGCGACGGGGCGGGTGGGATACTGTAGGTGTGACCCATGCCGCAATGTTGGTGGGCTGCGTTATGCATGGCGGGGGAGAGACTGTATGCGACGTTTTCACCAGATATGTAGAACTTGAGGGGATCCAGCATGTAGCTTTGGAAGAGGGCGCGAACGGCGTCGCGGGAGGTGATGGTGGGGTCATTCTCATGTTTTGAGCTTGTAATGGCGGGATGAGTGACGGATGTGAGGATAGAATTGAAGACTTGTGAAGTGCGTCCCAAGGCGCCAATATTGTAGGCAATGAGTGGTGGGTGGGTACCGGCAAGAGACCGGATTTTGTTAGAGAATTCAATGACAGCAGTATTGTCTTCGCGAGTCGAGGAGACACGGAGAAGGCGTACGAGCTGGCACCCTAGCTTCTCGGCTTCATGGTAGGTAGCCACGCTATCTGGGCCCCAGGGCGTGGAGGCTGTGGAGGTTGTGGTGGTAGGTGAAAATATTTGTTGGCCGATTATCTTTGTCTTTCCACGCCCTCGAATGATGCCTGCTAATTGGGCTCGATCTTGGGTGAGGTCTGCCACGAGGTATTCCACTCCTAAACGAAGACCGTGTTCAAGTATCTCGTAATAAGGAGCCGCTGCTCCGACTCCAGTGGTGGATGTGTCGACGGAGAGAATTATTGGGGCCCGCGCATTGCGCCGGAGCACAGAGACCTGCTTGCTGATGGTTGCCGGCATATCGACACCCCAGCGATCAACGCACAGCTCAATAGCGTCACCGCCAGACTCCAGTTCGGCCAGATTGACATGATCAGCAATCAGATCCGACGATCGCACGAAGATCGCATGTGTGAAAGACCTCAACTCCGGGGGTGTCTCCAACAACACAAACGGCGAGTCATAGCTGGAACTGTTCACATCCGACCCAGTAATGAACTGCACGAAACGTGTGAAGTCCTCCTTCACTTCCTGCAATTTGAAGGAATAATCCGCCGACCGGCGATCCGGACTTCCATCATCCGGCGCCCGCGTCCGGTCTTCGACATTATAGAATTCAAAATTCGAGCACATCCGATGTAGCGGGTCTCCCTCTTTGAACAATCGCATCGCCTGATCCTCCAGGCCGAGCAATTGCTGGATGCGGCCGATGTCACGCACCAAATGGACAACCGGGTTGGTGCGCGCATAACGACGCAGATGCTCTTGCACAGGGCGCGTCATGCTCCCCAGCCCGCACTCCATGACGCAGCCGGTGCGGTGGTTGTCCAGCATCGTTTTCAAGACTTCGATGTCCCGCCGCTGGAACTCTTGGCTGCCATGTCCCTTGAGGTATTCCTGTCGCGTGAGGCCAGTGACTTCTTTAAAGTAGTGGTCTTCGGTGATGAAGCGGCGTTTGAGGGCTGTTGCCGCAACAAAGCCTAAGGAGCGTTTGCCGCAGCCGCGGATGCCGACCAGCACGAGGGATGCATCTGGGGAGAACGTTCGTGCGGGGGGCTTTGGAGGGGCCGAAGTGGATTCCTGTCCGTCGGGCTGGGCTTTGTTGAGCATCTCGGATAGCATTGGTTTCATGTCGCCATAGTTAATCAAGTCGAGAGTGTTTATGGAGAATGGAGGATGGAGTGGCAGTATAATTTCCCCAGACGAACTGCCGACCGCCGCGGCTGAAAGCTTTGCCGGCAGCTGCATCTGATACGCTGCACATCATTTGCGGAGTATACTCGGCTACGACCTGTACATCTTTAATTAGAATTCTATACTTGGAGACCGATTGCATGCTAGTTTGGAAACGCATTGGCCTCAATTTCAAGGAAGCTTGTTAATTGCGTACCTCTCTGTAGATCACAGGGGAAAGTAACCTTGCATAGCCTGATCAGCTTTGAGCTTGGATCTTAATAGTCTTCAACTGGGGTTTGATTTCCAAGGCCCATGAGTCTTATGCTGTGGACGCATCATGACGTCTGTATGCTGAGTTGACGATCTAGTGTACTTGTATACATCTGAGGCCCCTGTCCAGAAGTATATCTATACATGACATTTATCCCAAATTCATAGTTTATAACCCAAGCAGAGCCGTCCAATGACCGGTCCAATCAACTCAATGGCACAGAAATAAGCATCTAGTCACTTCCCAAAGCTCTAGCCTCTGCAGGATAACATGAGAAACCATTGTGCTTCTTCATAGCCTGCATAAGGGCTGTGTATCTATCTCCACTTAGCGGGACAGCGGTTCGGGTCTCGGGATGCCGTGTTAGTTTAATTAGTTCTGTTCTGTAAAACCATGCATTCGGAGGCTGTTCCGAGTGTGTCTCGGTTATTGCATTGGCCATTGGATGTCTATCGATCCTAACAAGGAACTTTCAAGGCCATCCGATGGGCTGACTTGCCGATAATCGGCAGTTGTGGAATCGGCAGCGCCCGAAGCGGAAACGAGCTCGGCATATGGAGAATAGTCATTTTTAGAAAGTCGATAGAACAAGATTTATTCTCGGACTGTTCACAGCCTCATGTAATTATAGAAACAAAAAGACAGACACAGAGGAGTAAACAAGCAGAGTAGTAGTGTAGTTAAAAGGATAGTCGATAATCGTGGGGACGTGGGGAAACCCGATCATCCGACATTCACCTCCCGAGCTCCAGTCCGCTCCCTCGGCCCTGGATTTTAGCCCTTTCCTCAGGTCGGGTTCTTACTCCTGGTATACACCTTTGTGCAATTTACATGGCGTCTCGCCTGAACCCTCTACATGGAGGCCTCGGAAAAAGCGCCTCGCAAGAGGGTCTCTCGGGCCTGCGATCGCTGTCGCAGCAAAAAGGTGATTGACTTCATCGGAACCCTACCGCTACCGCAGCTAACAGTCCCAGGATAAATGCGATGGAATCCGCCCTACCTGTTCTGCCTGCCAAGCCTCCGGTCAATCCTGCTCGTACGATCCCCACGCGAAGAAACGCGGTCTACCGGAAGGTTACGTGCGCGGACTGGAGAAGCTATGGTCCCTGTCAATCTGCAACATCGATGGATTCGAAGATACAATGCTAGCGATGCTAGGGAGTACCGCGGAGTCGGCCGGTCGACGCGAGAACCTGATGTCCGTATGGTCGGATGACGCCGCCTCCGAGAGTCTGCACGAGTCGTGGAAAACGAGTCGGCTGTATGGTGCGCTCGAGAAAATGCTCTCGAATTCAGACGCGCCGACGACAGGGAAGCGCGCGCGGCCCCTGGATCATTCCGTGCGAGTGTCGCGCACAGCTACGCCGTTGGGTCCCGATGCGCCGCGCGTGATCGAGCCGACTTCTTCGGTGAAGAAGATGCGCGTGGATGATCGCGTGCCTTGTTTACATAGTCTCCAACTCCCGCCGCAGACGTCGCAGCAGCTGGATGTGTATTTTGCAGTGACACATTCGTGGTTTCCAGTCATCGCCAAACACAACATTCTTCGTGCCTCGTACCTCTATGCGAACGCGCCTTTTGCCATTGCTGCGACATCTCCAGGGTCTGGAGACCATGCAGCTCTGTGGGCAATTCTCAGCTACACTGTGACTCAACCCCGACCGAACCAACCGGCTAGTCCCGGCGCGGCCAATCTAGCAAAAGAGTATTACGCCATCTCACGAAGCCTCATTCCCGCAGAGACAGAGCGTTATGAGCTTGGACACATCCAGGCGTTGCTTTTGCTGACATTCGTGAACACGGGTCTGCAGAATTGGACTGCCGCCTGGTTGCTGAGCGGCCAGGCCGTAAGGATGGCTATTTCCATGGGGCTGGGTACATATCCCAGGCCCAATTCCAGGCGATCCGATGAGATTAGACAGGGGAAGACGGTATTCTTGGGCTGCTTCGTTGTTGACTCATTACTTTCCTTTAGCCTTGGGCGCAGCCCAGCTATACCTCCAAATGACATCGCCACAGTAGGCCTGTTGGAAGAGGATGGATTGGAGGAATGGAACTCATGGGTGGATGTGCTGCCACCGACGGGAGCTTTGCAGAGTAGCAAGAACCCACCGCGCCGAGGTCCACTCATGGCACTGAGCTGTTTCAATCGCTTGGTTGAGCTGGCCAGTGTATTGAACAAAGTCTCGCGCCATATATCCTCGGGTTATAATATGGCCACATTTGCACAGCAGCTGGTCATGGATCTTAAGCAATGGGATGATTGTTTGCCTCTAGCGTGTCGCTTGATTGGACCAGAGAGCATCTATCCTGAACGACATTCTGCCTTGCTTCCTCATCAGAGCTACTTAGGCCTAACATATGTGGCTACGTTGTTGTGGCTATATCTCCAGCTGATCCCTGGAGAACAGGGACAGGATCACTCGCAGAGACCTGCTACAGAAGGCGCCAAGAAGCTTCTTTATCGAGGACTGACCATGCTCAGCCAGCGCATGGAGAACTTCCCCATGTGTGGTCTTCCTCCACTGTTTGAATTGAGTCTGCGTACAATCTCTGAACAAGCCCATGCGCTACAAAGCTTTGAATGCGCCAGCTTCCCTTTTGCCCGCTGGGCAGATGAGTTCCGCCACAAAACGGCCGGCTTAACATCGGCGTGGCCTTCCATCATGGAGCGGTGGCAATCGAAAGATGCACCATCTTTGCCTGTCAATCCGCTCGCATCATTCTCTCCAATGCAACCCCCAACCCGTCCAAATGACGAATACACCTCCATTCTCGGCATTAGCATGCCCGTTGACGGCCAATCCCTAACTCCAAAAGACACGGTTATGGAGAACTCAGATCTCATGATGGATCTTCCTGTCGATGCACCCCTCGACAAAATTCCCCGGAGTGATCCAGACCACGCCCTGTATTCGGGCCAACTACACCTATCTCAACCAACATCGCAATCAAACCCACAACCTCAAACCCCCGACTCGTCCACCTCGATGACAGGCACCTCCAATATCGGCGACTTAGATGCCATCTTCAAGGATCTCGCATACCTTGATACGACGGAATGGGCCACGAACCGCGAAGCAGGTCTCAAAGACTTCGGCTTCTTGGATGATTCTACCTTCCAGGCCTTTTGTCATGATCCTGATCGTCTGGGCGGATCACAGCCTCTTGTACACCCTCCGTCTATTGCCGATATTTGGCCTCCGCCCGGCTTCTTCCCTGAGACTTTTCAAGAAGAGCCGTGAGGACACCCTAGAGATTCGAAACTGAGTCTTTAAACCGCTCGACCCTTTTAGGCTTTTGATTTATGATTATATACAATGTACATATACCCGCGCTGAAGAATTCAGCGCATTGCAATAGCATGAAATCACATCAAAAATGCCAAGTCAGCTTGATCAACACGGTGGGACACATCCCGCCATCCAAGATTGATCTTGCCCCGCCGAGTGTCCCTGCAGATAATCTACCACACATTACCCGCAGTCTGCTCCTTGTACAGCTTTTTAACGTTGACAGATCTCCAGAACCAAGTGCAAGCAACGCACAATGGCACAAAGCAGACACCAACGATAACCATCTTCCGTTGAACATTCCCATAGGCTCCAACAATGGCATCCCTTTCCGCACTCCCATCCGCATGTTTCATCTGTGCCTCGATATTCCCAAAGATACTAGCAGCAAGGTGCTTGCTGTCCTCTGGGAGTCTTGCGTACATCTGGCTCTGAGTGATGTTATTCCACATACCACCTGCAATGGCCGATCCCACGGCCGCACCAATCGAACCGAACAGCCCATAGATCGCTAGCACGACTGCGACCTCTTGGTGCGTCACTACCGCCATAACTGCCAGTGTTCCACAGACGTTGAAGAGACATGTACCGAGTCCGACAAGAATTTGGGTCATCGTGAGGATTCCGACGTGGGTGGAAGGTTCGCGGAAGGGAATGAGGAGTGCGGAGCCGAGGAGGAAGATTGGAATTCCGGACATGACGGTCCATTTGTATTCACCAGTGACGCGAATCAGACTAAAATGGTCAGTTGCCGTTGTTGATTGGACGGAAGTGAACTTACACGCCGAATATCGGACTGAAAATGAAAGAAGTGAGGGAGAACGTGTTGAGGACGTAGTTGGCGGTGACGATATCCAGTCGGTGCACGACCTGCAGATATGAGCTGAAGTAGCTGTTCCAACAGCTGGATTGTGTTAGCTGAAGGTAAAGACAAGGGTGTTAGGGCACTGACAAGGTGGACAGGAACATCACGCCGTATAACAAGCATGAGCCGATGATGGTCGGCTCCTTGAGATATTTCCAGGGCAAAAATTGCACTGGTGAATAGTATCGCTCCCAAATGTAGAATGCTGGGATGCAGAACACTCCCAATACTTCCATTGCAATGATATAGCCCGAGGCCCATCCCTTTGGTGCGTATGAGGCGATGTTGAACGGGATCAAGATGAGCGCGAATGCTGCCGTGACGAGAATGATTCCAATGACTGATACCAGTTAGCTTCTTTGCTCCCATGTCAGACCGAGCCAGTGATACACACCATCAAACTCCATGAAGTAGTGGGCAATCGACTGCCACCATGATCTTCCAGACCTCTCTTTCGTGAGAAGGCCCGCCCTTTCAGCCTTGCGTTGCATGAGCAGCATCACTACACACACTGGGATACAAACGCCGACAAGCATGATAGCGAATGCTCCAAACGCCCAGCGGAAATTGAGGTTTGCATAGAACAGCGCGGCAATCTTGGGTCCGGCAAATGTGCTGCAGATACCAGGAGTACCGTTGACCCCCAGCATAATCATACGGTTCTTCAGAGAAGTCATGTCTGCCAACATGATCTCCACCACATACCCCAGTCCAATGTGACCGACCCAATAGAGCGTGTGGGCAGCCGTATACATCTCAATGCTGGTGCATGTTGCCTTCATGATAAGGCCAACGACCATAATCAACAGCATGAAGAGAAATCCCTCGACTCGACCCCAGATGTCAATGATCTTTGCCAAGGTCAATCTCGAGGAGCCACCGAGAATGGTGGAGACCACGCTCACGACAGTGAGGAGACCATGTTTTCCGAACGCTGAAGTGATGTATGGATTGAGGGCTCCTTGTACCGAGACCAGGAGAGCGTCTACAAATGACACAAGGTACAGTCTGATTTGTTAGGCCAAGCACCCTGACTGAAAGACCAAAAGACAAGAATTGGACTCACAAAACAAACATCAAAACCAGTGTCTTCGTAGACCATGATGAAGTAATGGCTCGGACACGCCTGACTCCCCCTGGAACTCGGCAGAGTCTTTATCAGAAATGCTGGCTTGATCATGTTCAACCGTCCTTTGAACACCCGCCTTTTCAGCATCCCCGATCTCGGCGGGGTTGATCTGATCGGAAGCAGTGATCTTCTCCATTACTGACAGATCTGACAAGCAGATCAGTGCGGCCGTGCAGGAATGTGTGAGAGAACAAGTCGAAGGCCGATCAAGTTGGGACGTGAAATTTGGTTTATATGAGAAAAATCATAACCTGCAGGTGTTTTCCGTCTAGAGCGACTGTGTTCTCCTATCAGATGATCTGATAATGTTACCTGCCCACAGAGGCATGATTCAGGCCAATCAACATTGAGCCAAGCACTATTAGCGGGAGGTTAGGTTCCATCCCATACACCGGGAGTGGCTCAAACAAGTGTCCAACGGGATGCTCCGACTGTTTCCTCGAAGCAAGTTTCGAATCTTATCAGATTTGCCGCGATTCCCAACGAATCGCTTGGATTGGCTGTGACCAGTCAGAATGTGGCAATCCTCTTGAAGTTCCAGAGCCATCGGCAAAGACTGACTAACCATTACATCGGAAATTGCGCGAATAAATTGCATGTCGCTAAACAAGTCTCGCTCATCTATGGACGGTATGTCCGAAGCAGGGAAACGACTGCGAGATATACTTCATCTCGGGTGATATTTCAGATGTGCCGAGCCAGGACCTTCAAATCACGGCACCGCTATCAAGACACCATACGTTCTGTCTACGTACCTTGCAGTGCTGCACGCTGCGACAAAATCTTACCACAGTGGCAATTGAGCCTGCACGCTTGGCAGGCTTCGGTTAAGATGAAGCCAAGACGGACGCCAAGATACCATGCTGGCCCCAAGGGGCGGAGATCTTCGGTGCTGGCCACGGTCGTGAAGGCTCGGATAGAGCACTCTCCGAACATTCTGCTTGGCTTTCTTGGAAGCTGCGATGTGTTCCGCGAGAGTTGCCGGGCGGTTCTCGCGGCAGTTGATGTGGCTGACCGGCATTTCAAGTGTCTTATCGTGCAACCAACCACGTGGTGTTGAAATTTGTGTGATTTTTGCACGCAGTATGGAAGAACAACCTTCTGGTCATGAGAATCTGTGATCAACTGAGAAGGCTTCGTGTTTGTTTATTCAAAGATCCTCTCTCAAGCTGGTAGGGTTCCGAAGGCCGGTCAGACTGGATACTACTCAGGTCGAACTTGATATACAATGATTTTGCCTCAAGTTTCTGATAATGGACCCAGACATCTTGCTATTCCTGTCATCTTTCGGAAACTGAATTTTAGCAAACACAGATCAAAATAGGGAGCAGGGGGCAGAGAAACTTCATTTCTGTGGGATGCTCACGGTCGAAACCCCAGAAGAGCAATGATCAACATCGCCAAGCCATTGGAGGCCTGAACAACAGTGCTATTTTGGTGCATCGATGGCAGAACATTACAATCAATGGTCGAAGCAGAGGGCCTGATTACGTATGGGCCAGATGGAGGGCTGGTCAGCGTACATCGACAACACTCCAGCGCAACGCCTCCTGTCCCTCTACGCATAAATGTGACTTGGGTTTCTTGAACATAGCCAACCAAGAACCCCAATGGACCAATTCAGCTACCACACAGGTTTCAGCCAGGCTGGGTGCCTCAAAATGCATCATGTCAACATACGGCGCAAGTAAGGCTATAAGAATAACCAAATCCTGTGGCATAAAATTCGCATAGTTCAAACATAACCAAAGCAACTCATCTGATCCTACTCGAATCAATCAAGCAATCCCCAGCCAAGATGAAATTTACCATTGCCTCCGTCCTCTTCGCCGCATCTACCTTCGCCTTTCCAGCCAATGTTCAGCGGGACAACACCCTCCAAATCAGCGAGTTCCGTGCCTCAACGAGCATCATTGATTCAGCCAGCATGCACTTTGTCGTCACTGATGCAAACTACCCTGATGACACGCCCACCGACTGCAACCTGCTCTGGTAAGTATCTTCTTCAATTCACATTTCATCCATACGTGCAACATTCGTCAAATCGAGGGGTCACAAGCTGAACCACATTCCCAGGACCTATGGAAACTCCCCCGAAGCCCGAGCCCGATGCAACAACAGCCAGTACTATATTCGGTTCCCCGACGGTCCTGTCGATTTCAACCTCTTCACTCTGGAGCTGGAGAGAGTCTCGGGTCCATTTGCCGAAAAAGGACAAGCCAAGCTCAGCTCGAAGTCTGCGCCGTGGAAATGTGTCAAGAATCCCAAGGAGGGTATCGAGCTTCAGTGCGAATATGACGGTGTCCTTAGTATGAAAGTGTAGGAAGGTATTGGTTGCCGACACGAAGTACCTAGTCGGAAGGAACTCTCATGCAGCTTAGATTATATGCCGTTTATTACAGTTCAATGTCAAGATCTTGATTCGAATGTAAACCAAAGCTCAATTTGTGTTAACTCTGCAAAATGGCAAAAGAAAGGGAGAAGTACGGAGTAAGATCTTGGGACTTCCAAGGGTAGAATTTGGCTCTCTTTGGTTCTATTACTGATTATACTATATGTCAATAGGTTCGACAAGCCCTTTTCACAATCCATCGACCCTCACATATCTCTCTCGTACTGGGTCCCCCTCATGCGATTGAACTGCCCACTTTCCAATGCCCGAATCGCCCTCCGCTAAGCCATATGTCAGGTTGGAAGGCCGGTAAGAGGCATCACAACGCATACGCTGAATGGCAGAGACATGAATTCGTGCGTCGTTGGGAATGTCACGGGATTGACCAAGAGGCGGCGGCCAGCGCACAGCCTTCCACTTTCCATCAGGTTGCACCTCCATTCTCCGCAGCGGCATATACTCCATCAACCGCCAGGAAAGGACCGAGGTTATTGAATGTCCCCATCCGTATTCAAGAAGATCATGAATACGTCCCTTCATGCCGCCAATCTGGATCGCATTCACAAAGTCCTTCTGAAAGCCAGACATGTCGTTTGGCATTTCGTGTCCCTTTTCATTTTGATCGACAGATACTTCATCCTCGCTACATTCTGGGATGCATTCGAGATGCTTCATCTTCCATGGGTCAAGTCGAAGGCCTGCATTGCGCGCTTCTCCAATCATCCAGACAAGTGGTGCGTGACTGAGTGGCCATGCTTCCCCATCTTCAAGCCTCCAACCACCACCGATATCCGCGTGCCCACCGGGGAACCACATCTCCTCAATATCTTGCATGTTTTCATCGACGAGTTTGATATTTTGGTTATGGTTGTGATTGCTCACATTAGGAATCTCCGGCAGGATGGGGGGCCCAGAAGCGGTCTCGACATCGTCGTCTGGGGAGTCAGGCTCAGGAGTTTCCTTTTTCGCCTTTAGGGGCGGCGGAGGCTGCTCCTCTCGAATTCCCAAAAGGACGGGTCTAAATTTGATTCGGCGTTCATCGATGCTCACGGCATGTCGGATGGTCTTTGCCGAAGGCGCTTCGTCGATGTTCACCTCAAAGTCAGCGACACTGTTGACCGCATCGAACATGCCCAAGAAGTGCACACGTGGGATGGGGCGAGACAGTGCTTCGCGACTAGATTTCAGAACGGTGTATGCCCGTCTCTTTGCTTCTTGTTTGTTGTTTGTGCGTCCTAGCTTCCACGACGCAAAGGCATCCCAGATGAATGGGATAACCTCTTCGTTGTCAGGACCCAGGAGACCGACAAAATCGATCATTTCATTCAAGAAGCGGGCTGTGTATGCGCCGCGGGAGAATCCGAAGATATAAATCCGAGTACCCTCGCGGTAGTGCCGCATGAGGAAGCGATAGCCGCCCAGAACATGGCGGTCAAATGATTTTCCCAGAGCAAGATTCAGAGCTTTGCTGTTGCTGAGCTTGCTGCGCTTCTGAAGTGTTGTGCTTGTAAGAGATCCGGGTGTGATGTCCGTTCCAATACCAGCTGTGCTGTCAGTATAAGTCCAAGTCTGTAAGTCGGTGGCTCTTACGTTGGTAGTAGCATACTATACGCGATCGGGTCAGATTTAATCTTTCAGTTATTTCTTGAAGACTTACATTGCTCATCAGTTCGTTCAAGCATCCGACATATCTTCAAGATATTTGTTTCGGTTCCATCGGTGGTGAATGAGTTACCAGTGCCATCAAAGCACAGAACAATTTGCCGGGATCCTGCCATGGCTGTGTTGAAAAGCATCGACTGAGCATGGGAGCTCAATATTTATATGATGCATCCCACAGAGACCATGACAGAATAGCGTTTCCCCTCCGCCTTGATTGTCTCCACCCGCCGCGATAGTGCAGCGATGATCGCAATGATCTTCGCCAGCGCACCAATGATCGAGTGCGCAAAGCCACCGCCAACAGGGGTTTACAATGCACTAGTGCATTATACTCAACGCCGTGCAGACGATCTTCTGAATAGGGAATCGATTGTGGTGAAGCTTCGAGCTCCAAGTTCAGTCGGTGAAGAGATCCGAGGACAGGCCCTGTGATCAATCACAGTTGGACTTCAAATCCAATATCGGTCAATATTTGACATCACTCATCAGACGCAGAGTGAGGAATATTGACCCCTTGACATCGGGAAAAAGCAAAACACTAAATATTGGGCAAAAACTTGGAATATCGACTGCTCATCGATGTCTCTCGCCATCAAGGGATATCTATTCAAGTCTCTCCAAGATAATTACCAATCTTGCGTGACGATAAGCTACCTCAACACAGTAAAGCCAGCATAAACCAGCCTCACGACGTGAACTCCGTACGGCTCCATGCATTCGCATATTCATATACACAGAGGAGTGACACGATCGGCTTTCTCAAATAGGAGCCCGCGACCCACGCCGTGCTCACCGATTTCTCGACGGGGCCTTTGAAGCAACGTCTGAGAAATGCTTGTTGCATGTGCTGGATCAACTGCAGATGGGGTTTCCCCACGGATTTCCAATGGCTTCGAGTGAAAGATACTAGATGCTTCGGAAGATGTTCCAACAACAAAGCCCATTCGTGCCAAAATTCGAGCTCCGATGGAAATTACCGCTGATTCATAATGGCGCTACCGGCCTTGCAAGTAGTATTGAGCCCCCATTTATCGACCATTCTTGCATACACGGTCTCGACGACATCAGTATAGTTTGCCTGTGAACGAGAGTGAGGTCGCATCCAACTCGCGTCAATGAAGTTTAATCCACCGGCCCTTAGGTCAGGAAAAAGCCTAAGCTTCTCTAACACCATTCAGTTCTCTCATTTTTGGAATGAAAATGGTCTTTTTGGCTTCTCAAGCTCCTGTGAGAAGGGGGCGAATTCTATGGATCGAAGACCCAACTCCCAACGAACAATCAGAGGTTGGTAAAGATGAAATTCCTACCCCAGCGAAGGATGCCATGGATTTTAATAAGCCCGATCCCTCGGTGGCTCGTGGAATTGACCAATGAACGGTAATTGCGCGACTACTCCACATTGTGGAGTATCTACACCTTCGCAACATGAGGATCAAGTGGATTTAGCCTACTATTCCCATCCCATCTTTAGGCTTATTTGGGGTCTTGGTGGTCTCAGACGCCTCTAAAGTCTCCAAAAGAGTGATACTATGCCAATCACTGGCCAAAGATCGACTGATAGTGCTTATCGGAGACTCTTGGCACATGGCCTACGTAAATCACACTTACAATTTAGGGCTTTCCCAATCCTCTTAATGTTGGGATTTCAAACCAACAGAAAATCAATAAGCAGATAAATAAGCAGCCAGAGCGACAGGAAAGCCTTGGAAATACTTCGGCTATAAGACTCTCCCATTCCTTCTTCCGCTGCACTGCTGCTTCATTCGTCTTTGTCAAGCCCACTTTCCACAGATCCAATCTACTTTCAAGGTTGAAACAGCTGAGAATGTCCGAAGCAGAGAGCACCACCTTCCACTCTCTAGTCGAGGCTCGCTATCGAGATGGGCAGTCTGTCGAACGCCCTCTTCCCGACCATATGCCACCAGCACTCGAAACCGTTCTGAACCACAAATCTTATCGATCATTTCTTCCGAACCCTTTGCCACGAGGCACCTTGGAGGCTCTCGTAGCGGCAGCCCAGAGTGGCTCGACATCCTCAATGATGCAGACATGGGATGTGATTGCCATCCAAGATCCAAAGCACAAAAGTGCGGTGGCAAAGCTTGCCGGTGATCAGGAGTTCATCCGCGAGGCTCCGCTATTTCTTGTATTCTGCGCGAATCTGCATCGGTTGGCGAATATGTCCAAAAAATATCACCAGCCTGCCAAGGCTCTCACCAACATGGACCTCTTCTTGATGGCATGTATCGATGCCTCGATTGCAGGCCAAAATACATCCATCGCAGCAGAGTCGCTTGGTATGGGCATCTGCTATGTTGGTGCTGTTCGGAACAACGCGCAGGAAATGTGCGAGCTATTGAAGCTTCCGCCAGGCACATTCGGTCTCTTTGGCATGGCGATCGGATATGGAAAGGGTGCGAGATATTCTGAGCTGAAACCCCGACTTCCCATGAAAGAGGTGTGTCATAAGGAGACTTGGAGCGAGGAGGGCCAGGATGAGAATGTCGCATCGTATGATGAATCGCTTGGAACATTCTACTTTGAGCAACTGGGGCTCGGTCCCAAGAATTGGAGTGAGTTCATGGCTGCGAATGTCGCTTCGCAGCAGCAGAATGGCCGTCAAAACGTCAAGCAAGCCTTGCATAGCCAATCGTTTGAGCTTCTGTGAGATTTCTGGAGGAATCGTCGCCAATAAAATCTTCAACTGCAAAGTTCCAAAATTGCATCGATGTATCTTGCAATCTGGCCGTGCCAGAGGTTGTCCCAGGTATCAGAAGGACATCATGTCACATTGCCACCTAGCTTGCCACTCAACCTCCAATTCTGTCAATATACTTTGCGCCAATCTATGGCTTGTTTGTTCTCGTATGCGTATCATTGTCTCACGTATACACCCTGCATCTTGTCGAGATTGGGTAGCAAGCCCGAAGATCAACATTGGCCAAGCCGCTAGATATGACCGAGTCCAGATGTCGGCGAAGCCTGGCTGGCTCAATATAGCCACTGCAAGCTTTCCTTGCCAAGATGGTGTATTTACCATCAATGAACCTTTGCCAGCGTGCACAGCGGAACTCAGAACTTCGGTGGTTCGCGGCAAAGGTATCTTACCTATCACCCAGTCATAGAGGATTGACGCCGCTATCGCGTACAAACTTCGAAAGCAAGCATGGTGGTAATCATCGATGCTCAGTTCGGATGTGACAACATTGTGTTGCAAGGCGTAAATTTCCCATTGCTCAAGTTCCGTTGCTATGCGACTCATGACATGCGTTTCCTTGTGCATCGGGTCGATACAGAGACCAATAATATCTCGAATGAGGTTATAAAGTGATAGAGGAATGCTCAGGATTGGACTTGAGTTCGGGGATGTTGCGGCAGCAAGTATCTTTTGAGCTCGTGAAATAAACCTTCCATCAACGAGGAATGTGGGAGCCAAAGGTTTTCTCATAAGCAATGAAAAAGCCTGGAAGGTCACACTTTCCAGCGCTACTCGATCTATAGCTCGTGTCGTCGACATAGAAGAAGAGTCTTTGTCGAGTCTGAGGTCGATCAACGCCATGGCCCCAGCGACATGGGTGGCAGGGTTGGCCTGAGGATCTGTCACAGACAGCTGAGAACGTGTTAGAGCAGCTGGGTGTTTGAGAAAGAATACTCACATCATGAATGTAGAGATAAATGACCGAAACCAATAGCGCGTCACTTGGAGTTGAATTCTCGGAACGCATCTCATCCAACGCGAGATTCACGTTTTTCACTGCATGCGAGTAGAACTTGAGAGATATATCTTCATATCGAGAGTGACAAGTCAAAATGAACTTGTTAGAAGCGCAGCTGGCGAGTACAGCATATCTCACCCCCTCAAAGTTCATTATCAGGTCCATAATTTGGCCCTGATACTCCACAAAGTGACTTTTGTTCCAAGTGCAATTCAGTAGCCTCGGAAGAAGGTGATTCAAAAAATGATGAATCAATTCACGTTCAACCACAGGCAATGTGATCCCAAGCAAAGATGGACAGAGAGGGAAGAGATTGCCGACCACGTCAAAAATCGCGGGCTGCATGTTTCGAGACGCATGGCTTGAAGATGGACTATATTCTCTTGAGACCTTTTTAGATGAGCGATGTCGGTTGTCAATGAGATCTTGATGAGAGGGCCAAGTGCATGTATATCCACTGAAGCTGCAGTGATGACAACTGGGGCGTTCCTCTCCGCATTTCTTCCTTCGTTTCCTGCCTGTCCAGCTGATTAGTATTGAGTTGAAGGCAGGAAAGAATAAGACATACATGTGAAACATCCTGTCTTTGATCTTTGCTTTGCTCGAATCATGTTGAGGTTGAGACAAGGTTGAAGACGATTTCTGGAAGCGCCGAGTACGCCGAGGCTAAAGTGGATTACGTTATGGCACTGCAACTACCCGATTGGTCAATGTCTGAGGTTCCTGAGGAGGTATGAGGCTTTCGTCCATCGAGTTGCTTTGTACTTCCAAAATGATGTTGTTGGATGATAGTCTTATTTCCAGTTGAATTGGTGGTCGTTAATTTTTATGATACTTTTTTCCAGACATGTACAGGCCTGGCAAATCCCTCCTCGTCCCTCTCGAATTTCAAGATCCTCTCGAATCCTTCTGCTTTCAACTCATCCTCAAACGGGGGTTTGATCTGGATCGTCTTATATGTCTCTCGCAACTCTTTGTTTTTCTTCGAGGCTCTCGCATAATTGCTCATTGGTTGCGGCTCCATGACGAGATATCCCCCCTCATTCAGTATGCTTCGAATGTGCGCGAAGAGGGTCAACATCCCAGAGTCCCCGTTGTTGAGATGAATCCACTTGGTCACTGAGAGAAGTAGGACAACGTCGAACTTACCCAGCGCGGTACCCGAGTATGCGGACGCGTCCACGAAGTCGAAATGCTCGAATGTGCATGGTCCGTCCGGGTATGCCGTCTTCGCCTGCTCGATCAGCCACGGGTCGATATCCACGCCGACTGCTGCGGTGGCGCCGCAATGTGTCATTGCCTCATGAGTCAGTTTGCCTGCGTTGCAGCCTAGGTCTATGACTCGCGCGTCGCGGAGGATGTCTGACGGGAGAATGGACAGGCGTTCGTCCGGCACAGTGGGCGCTCGGAACTTGGCGTAATATTGGTGGTAGTTGCCATGGCGCGCGGCGAGGTGTGTGGCTTTGAATCGCTCTGCTCTGGAGAGCTCTGGGGTAGGTTCACACGCGTCTGCCATAGTTGGAGATCAGACGGAGAATTTCGATCTCAAAAAAGTTGTGTTGCGCGGAATGAGAATGCCAAGACTTTGATGACCCCACATTTTACCTCTCACTCTCTTTCTACTCCGTGTTTCTTCACCTTTTCTCTCTGCTCAACGAAGTTGGAATACTGTCTCTTATTCTTTGACAACGTGCTTGGGAGGGGGAAATATTCAATTCCCCCCTCGCAAGCTTCATGGGACCTCGGGGGAAATGGGAATCTTCATCTAGATGTCATAGCGAGAGATTAAGAGAACAACCCATTCCAAGGTGTTCAAGAGTGGTTGGAACTTGGTGACATGGTGTATTGCGAGAATCATTTAACATGTGATATTTGAATTTAACCTTGGGGCTACCAGTGCTGGCAAGAAATGCAATCTCCGGAGACAATCTGCTTCGTTGTGCTGAGCTTCCTTCGCCCTCGTCAATTCCTCCTTTTCGAACGTGGCCAGTGTATTGTGTGTAAAAGTTCTCTGATTCCTCGCTGTGGCAACTCTTATCCCCATAGGTGAGCTGGCTTTCTCCGGAAAGGAAGCCCGCAAAGTGCAAAGAGGAGCCTGCTAGACCCAATGTTCATGGACGCACCACCAAAATAAACGAGCGTGCCCAGGCAGATCTGAGCCACCGCAACAGCAGTCTGCGGTAGATCGGCGTTATCTGGCGCGCTGGGTTGTGAAACCGGAACAAGCAACCTCTCGGTCTCTCTAACGCCTTGAATTTGCATAGCCAGCGCATTGTATTGATGCGGGAGTGAATCTCGACGAAAATAGATGGGTAAAGTGCAGGTCTGATCAACCTCGAAAGTATCGTGGGTAATCTTGCCCTGCTTCCAGGGAAGACGGAAGAACTCAAAGAAGCTTTCAAATTTGCCGTTCACGATTGGGTTTGAGAACATGAAGCAGAAGATAGCGAGTCCACCGTATTCAATGTAGGATTTGATCAGGTCAAGTACCTCTTCATATTCGGGGCTCAGATCAGCAAGGACTTTGTCTGTGACGATGATTGCGCGCAAAGGGATGTTGTGAAGGATGTTGAGGGTGGCATTGATGGTCTTTCCGCGCATGACGTTGGACACTCCGTGGAGATCGTCGATCAGATCTTCATAGATGTTTTTCTCGTCGCCACGGGTAGCAAGCGAGAGGATCAAAATATTGGGCTTGTCTGGTTCAGCCATTGTTCTGCCGTAGACTGTTGATTGTATCGAGTGGCAGCAAGTGATGGGTGAAATATGGAAGGTACGCTTGTTTTGAGAGCGCGGTGTGGTCACAGAAACTGTTGTCTTGAGAGACAAGGATTAACAGGAGAAGGGGAAAAGAAGAAGGATAAAAGAAGAAAGGAGAAAGGAGAGAGAAGAGAAAGGAGGAGAGACGCCGAGGACAACTATCAACCATGATCCGCTGCCCCTCTCCCCCGAACTAGGAAATAGGAAAGAGGTTGGTGCTTGCACTAATACTTTAAATTTAAAAGAAAGCAGGATGAGTTTCATGGGAGAAATCCATTGGTAAAATCCGACAGCTGATCCCAGAAAGTTAGATCATAATCTCCACCTGAACTAACAACTGGGTCCATTGGCAATGGAGTCGAAACAAGGCCGTCAGAGTTGATCCTCGCGACGAATGCGCGTTCAATCCCTCGATATGCCCCGGCGTATTCTGAAAATATGGGCAGACCATGCACAATCCTTTGACCTCGAGCACTCCCGTTGCTACTAGCATCGTCAAACACCTTGCTCAACTGCCGAAGGATGCTAGGGAGATCAAACATAGTCCGTGCGGTGGTCAAGTCCCATGCCTGATCCTTGACGCACAGCAGCCTAGAGGCTTTAATGATAGCGAGCGCAAGATGCAGGATTGAAATAACGGTGAGTGAAGGTATCGACTCGACTGGTACCAAGTGGAATGCATCGTAAAGTTCATGTGTGCTCTGCAGACAATCCCAGATAGTTCGGCATCTTGGGTGGGGTTGTTCCAGCGTTCCCTGGTTGTCTCCAAATTTGAAGGGCTCGAACAAGCGAATTCGGATCGATGCACAGTGGGTTCTCAGTAGATCTGATTCGAGACGTCAGTTATAGATTCAATTGTTTCCGAATTGTAGACCACGTACGGTTCCACTTCAAATTGGCTGGCAGCTGGTTCATGAAATGATCCAATTCATCTCGAACGGCAGCCACAGCTATGGTGTAAACGCCACCAGATGTTTGGTTTTTGGCATTGCCGGTCAGTTCCCAGAAGGAATTGTTGACCTTCATAGCAATTCTTCGGATGCCAACAAGGCTCACCAACAAGGAATCTGTCGCATATTCTTCATCACGACGCAACTGTTCACAGCAGTCATCAAAATGTGGAGTATATTTCAGCGTGCATCGTTTGCCAAGAAGGCTGGTCAATCTATCATTTCGGCCGTTGTTAATAGTCAAGCTTGCAGCAAATACATCTCAGGCAGACTCACGAAGAAGTCAAATAGTAAACACCCATCAAGGTTCGACAGTCGACCCCAGTTTGCTTCAGCCGGTGTGGCAATTTGTTCTGCATGTGAGCTGCATCCTCGACTATTGATTCAAAGGCTTCATGTTCCCCCCATCGGGGTTGTGTTAGCTTCAAATCATGAACCAAACACACTGCTAAATGCAAGAGTGTTGTATCTTTCACCGCGACGAAAAAATAAATTTCATTCCTATCAAAAGGTTAGCTTGTTCTCATCATTAGGCATTAATTGGAGAAGAGCAATCAGCTCCTCTTACCAGACAACAAAAACAAGAATTGCCTGCACGAGCTCGATGTTCTTGTTCATTAACGCAACAGTTTGATCAGCAATGTGTTGCCAAAACCAGCTTTCGAATGCAGCTGAAGCCTCAGGCTGCGGGGGTCTGCAGACCCATATAATAGTCTTGAGGAGTCGGTTGCTCTTTCAGCATGTCAGAGGAGCTTTTGAAGGGCAGTGGAACAAATGGAAATTCGGGGAGCATGGTAGTCATGTATTCTTGAAGAACTTGGTCCGCCTCCAAGAACGAAACATCGAAGGCGGGTACGATTGAAATTGAATCCTCCGATGGGACAGTTCTTGTTAATTGGGTTGATAATGGGACTGGGCCTTGATTTTGACCAGATTGCGTTGGTGTTCCCGCCAGGCTCTCATCGATGAATGTTGGGGGTTCAAGTGTTTGCGGCGAGCGAGTCATTGACGCTTGCTCCCGCTCTCGCGTCAGCAGAGTCACTATATCATCCAGCTTTCTTTCCAATACTCGCGCATAGCTAGAGTCATGGGACTTAGTTTTCATGTCATTGATAGCCGGAGAGAGGCTTACGTCGCTTTGCCGCGCTGCCTTGTCGACGCAGAATCTGACTTGGCACAAGTCAGGTTATTTGAGACATCTGTTCATCATCAGTATAAAGAGTTCATCAAATACAAAACCAGTTGATATGGGCGGGATACCAACCGCTGGCAGGTGTCAGCATCATTATCGACCTGGACGCACTTGGCCTTAGCCCGTGAGGAATTGGAACAAGCGCGCGGCCTCTCCTTAGATGAAGCTTTGGGCATTATGGCGTGAGAAATGCGACTTCGAGGTATTTGTGGCCGATCTGTTTTCCGCAGGGACTGGTCGAGTATACAAAAGTATTGGTGGAACCCTCTTGGAGCGGAGCGGGAGGTAAATGTAAGATTTCTAGCCATAAACATAACCACTGATGTTGAATCCCACCCCAATCCTCCGCCACCTCGACCATAAATCCAAGACTCAAACCATAAAACAGACAGAATACCAAAAGTCGACCACTATTTACCAACAGAAAGAGAACAGAAAGGAAAACGACAGCACCCCAATCAACTCAATCCCACACCACCACTCAAATTGCACTTAACATAGCCAATTTGATCGAGATACAATTGATCCACTGATCTTCCCAGCTCCATCAATGACGAAATACACAGCAAGACATTGAAAGTAAGCTGTCACCCAAGTTGAATGGTGTTGATCCGCTTGCTGGGCCTTCCAGTCTTCCTGGGGATGTGGGTCTCGCCGTTGTCGCCGATTATCATTCTGAGTAACGTCTCGGCCGTCGATTTTCCTGACGCTGTGCGTCCTTCTCTGCCCTTTCTTTTTCATGCTTTGCTCTTTGGTCGATATATGGGTTTCCTTCGTTGGACGATGGCTCCGAGAGTTCATCTGGAAAGGTCCCATCTGCCTTCTGTATATCAACATAAAGCTTGGTGTACTTCATTTCCCTGGCAAGCAACTCTTGTTTCTCCTTCTTCTACTTCCGCTTGGCGTCACCATCTGAATTTTTCTGTTCGAGATCTTGTCGGGCGAGAGACACAAGATACAAGAAGCATTCCCGAAGACTAACTTTCTTCCTATAGTCAAGGTAGATTGTCGCGCCTTCGGGGATCTGGGATGATGTATTATGGTAGATCACCGGGGAATGCCACAAAACCAAGTTATGCTTCAGAGCATCGGAGTTTTTTGCATGCATTTCCCGTTTCAAGAAGATTGTCTGCTCATATGTTGTCAAAAACCCATATTCCAACCCGAGATCATTCATGTATCCACATATCTGGCCTGATGATGCGCTACGTTAGCCCGAAATCAATTTAATGGGCCACCTGCAACTCTCACGTACCGAGGAGCTTTCTAAACGGGTGGCCGTTCTTGTCACTGTAAATACTACCATCAAGTGGGTGCAACCACGGGGTCTTTGCCTCCCCAACAAAAAATAGACTTCCCTTTTGTCCAACGGCAATATCAGGATACTTTTCCAAGTTTTTCTGTGTGCTTTGGGCCTTGAAATCACCGAAGCTGACATCATGAAGCGACTCGGCATTTTGGAAGACTGTTGTCATGACATGACCGACGTGTTGACCGAATCTTCCAACCACTGAGCTTTCGTCTCCGCATAGAAAGACTTCTTTCCTCGAAATGTCAGACTCTGGCTCTGGGCCTGTATACCCAAGGACATTCTCTGAAAATTGCTGGCTCTCGAAATGCATCCTTGCATCGCGCTCGAACTTATCCCATTGGCACAGTTGGCGCAAATATACCTTATCTTGTATAGATGGATGGGTGGTAAGGCGAGTTGAATCGATCTGCAGAGTTGGAAGTTCGCTCTGCACGAGGCTTTTCGCGGTCACCTGGACAACGATCATGGCTGGGGTAATTGTCGTCGTAGAGAGACTGCTGGTAGAGTAAAATCTAGAGAATAGAGCGTACCTACGACTGATTTATATTTCTCACAACCTTCCAGTGGTTATTTAAGAGCAAGGGATCTCTGGTAATAACAAGGTGGTTGATTCCATCGTGAATGCCCGATCAAGTGTAGCAACGCGATGTGCCAGTTGGCTCCAAAAGCACCTGGGCATATTTTACTGGACGCTTCTTTGGTATGTTGGCCACACTTAAATCATCCTCTTATGATACAATGCCTACAATCAGAAACACCCAACGCCCGCGTTGACCTTGGGATTGAGGGTCGGCCCTTGGCAAGTTCAACCTTGACACCGTGATATATGTTGGCATCCCGAGCATTGTTGAGACCGCGTTTCCTAAAGCGCTATAGAACGATCATCATGATTGCTCCAGACTGATGTGTTAATGACCCACCGAGCGTGATTTGAAACTAGGTACCACGCGTGAGCCGCCGTTGATAATTCATTGGCTCTGATGCGGGCTGATTTGCACATCTCTTAATGGCCGGACTAATGTGCTACGAGCGCTTAGTGTGTGTGTGACCAAATTGCTACTGGAAATGACTCAGTCGATGCCAACAAAGTATCAACTACTCCGTAAAAGAGAAGACGAAGGAGGTATTCCTGCAAGGGGTAGTCTGTGTATTGTTCTCCAATCAAAATGCAGATGTTGACGTGGACGTGCCACGAAGACTCTTTGTTTCCCTGCCAAGCGATAAAGACACACAAAATCCCAACCTTCTTCAAAACCACTTCCTTTCCGCGAAAAGCTCAAATTTCCACGCGTTTCCAGATTGAATTAGAATGCAACTACACTCTGGTCAAATCTGGCTCGATGAAAGCGCGTGGATCGGCGCTGAAATCGAGTTTGAGGACTGCAAAGTGACCAGATGGAAAATCACGAGCAAGATTTCCCAGAGAGAGGAATTCTGGCGAGACTACAATGCAGTGGGTGATAATCCAGTTTTTAGCAATGTACGTGCTGTGTTTGTATGTTGCGACCCGACGAATCCAACCCAGGAAGCAATCCTGAAGGTTCGATTGCAGTATGTCAATCTTTCACATCCTACCTTTTCTTCGGAAGTTGTCTAAGTGACTACAGAATCCCCAGATGGCAGACATGGTCTGAGTCTTCCTCTGCGAGAGCTCAGCAAGCATCTCCGGCACTGAGCTATGCCGCGAAGGAAGAGATTAGAGGTCTCAAACTACTCATGGAGGCAAACTGCTCATCCACACCAAAGCTCATTTCATCCAAACATCAGCTCCAGGGCCAGTCAGACTGGATCCCAGGAGGCTATATGGACTTCATACTCATGGAGCTTGTACCAGGCAAAGTTCCGGGTGATGGTGGTTTCCCAGAAAGTTGTATGCCAACTGATGAGTGGACCGAGCTTAAGGCTGCATTCAAAAAGGCGTGGCTGTAAGTGATTAGTCTGGGCGCGCAAGTTCGGAAGATTTCGCTCATTAGATTTATTTCACCAGCGAGTGCATCGCATCCGGGATATATCACACGGACGAAGGGGCGCGTAACTTAATTTGGGATCGCGATCAGCAGAAATGGTGGGTTTTGGAGCGAGTGAAATAACCCAAGTGTTTCACCTTGATAACAAAATTTTCTTTAGTTACATTGTCGATTGGGAGAGCTGGGTACCTAACAGCGAAATGTCTCCACCATATTTGACGTGGACGGAGGACAAATATGCTTGGTGGAATGTTGCCAACTGCTGATGATAGATATACGCGGCCCAAGCGGTTATGATGGATATCATAGTACGGAAGGAAGGATATGAGGATTAGAATGACATGGGCAGACCAGAAGTAGGAATCACAAGCGCTGATTGAGTGCTTTGGTGACCATTTGATACCTAGGTATGGACAGTAACCTTGGAGGCCACTTGGGCAGCATCCATCGATAATGATAGAAATCTTCATGGTGTCTCATTCGAAGTCCCGGGGGTTGCTTATTACTTTCATTTCCAACGATGATAGATCCATATAGCTCCTAACGCCCGAGAGGCTGCTGTTTATCGAGGGTCTTTCTTCAAGAGCCCATGCGTTATCTCGGAATGTACCTTAAAGGCCCTGGAAGGAAGTAAAGCGCCCTGGAAGCCCAATAACCAGCCACACTGACTGGCTCTGTCTGGCTATGCTGGAGGATTGATTGTAGACTTGGCGTCCTTTCCACCTTTCATATAATTGCCACGACAGTTGGAGAATTGCTGCTCATTAACCCCCCACACACAGAGCAAAAGATTCCTAGCCCCGCCCAAGAGTAGTCACAGCACGGATGTCTCACATCCCACCATCTGAATGGGAATGGCCTCAACATTTTGGATATTGGCCCCTAGGTCCTTGTTCCAGCGCTTAGGCTGAAGGTCCATTGTTGGTCGGAGAATCGTTTCGCTTCTCTTGTCCTAGCTCCTCGGGAGCCTCAAGAGCACTGATTTGGCAAGTTCACTATGCTTTAAGGAAGAAGTTCGTTTTACCTCCACCCAGGTCCAGCTAAGGACCGGATCGCTTTGCTTCAGGATTGGCAGGCTGGAAGGGATGCAGGGCATGCTGTGCAAATGCGTTCTCATCAGTCTGGCTTCCAGTTTCTGTGATTGATGTGTGTATGAACTCAATCTCCAAGTCCGAATCCCGGAAGACAAATCTTCAGGTTATCGATTGGTCGTTCCTGGATCTTGTTCCCGCTCCCAGTATACCTCTGGTGATGGTAATGCGGAACCTCCAGGTCTAGGCGTGACTTTTGAGTCTGCGCCTGCTAATGCCAGAGCTTGGCTAAGCTATAGAGAGCCCACGGACGGCGGAAATGGCACTTTGAGCATCTTGGCAGAGGCTCCGCACCCACAGGCACTATGTTGTGACCCACAAATGGCCCCTCCAGTCTTCTGTAGTTACCGTATTCCCTTTCAGCTGAGAGCTTCTCCCCTACAGTATGCGCGTGTGCGGCCTCGAGGTTGGCTTCGGTTACTATGAATTTTCTGGTGAGAGTGGTGCCGTTACAGCTTTTTCTCGGTCGTATCGCAAGCTCTTATTAGGTTGGAATCTTCCCGAAGTTGTTCAGAAGATTCGCGGAAGCGTAGGAATCCCTGATTCCGAATTTCCAGGAGCTGTTTTTGATTCCTCGAGCTCAGTGCGTTGGGGGTGCTTCGTCAGAGCCACCATTTGGTGCAAACTTCTGTGTGCATGGAAAGCGCGAGAGTAGGAATGTATGATCATGTCATGTATGTGTTGTGGGGACCTGAAGTTGGAGTGAGAGTGGAGATTCACCTGCGGGGAGCCTGAGCGATCCGGCAGCCACAAATGCCCCGACAGCGTGTCAGGCCTTCTGCAGCGTCGATTTCCGATTCTTTCATCGCTGCGACTCCGTCAGTTTTACCTCAGATCCCCTCAAAGTACGGCCACGCTGGTGAGTTAGTAGTTGGGTGGGTGACCACCAGCGAATCCTCACTGTTGTATGTTTTTTTGGTTTCTGTTTTCACTTTTTATCACCTTACTCTATGGAGAGGCCTTCAATCCGACAAGAAGACATCGCCTTGATCATGAACTTTACTAACATATGAGACGAGCCACCGGAGCTAGTGAGCTCTTTCCAGCCCACGTTCCGTGTAATAACCTTCGAAGGCCACTTTCTTCGATTGACTTCCAAGGCTGACAGCTCCTTCGGGATCGATCGATCTATCCCCTTGCATGTTCTACACCGCATGATAATCAAGTTTTGTTTCTCCTGGTTTATAAAGTGCGCCTTCGAATACTGTCTTGGATTTTTTTCCACTTGCAAGGTTGACTCGGATTATTTTCTCTCTCATCATACCGACAAGTTGATACGTGCTCCCCCGCGATGCAAAAGACGCTCGAACCTGTATCAGTCCTTGGGGTTGGAAGCATGGGGGCTGCGCTTGCTTCTGCATTTCTTGAAAATGGGCACCCGGTGACCGTCTGGAATCGAACAATCGAGAAAGCGCAACCTCTTGTCTCAAAGGGTGCTCAGATGTCCAAATCTCCAGCCCACTGTGTGCAGTCCGGTACTATAATCCTCATCTCGCTTGCCTCAGACGAGATTTTTCGAGATATTTTGAGTGAGATCCCAAGTCTACTTGACCGTACCGTCATAAACTTTACGACCAGTCGGCCACAATGGGAGATCGAAACTGCGAATCTTGTGATCAACCAACTCCAAGCTTCAGGGTATCTTCATGGGTGGATCAACTCCATTCCATCGGAGGTGAAGAATTACCAGGCGACAGTCACGTACAGCGGACCAAAGTCCGTTTTCGAGCAGCACAAGCACATCTGCCAGGTTCTTGGCAAAGCACTGTGGCTGTCTGATGATCACAGGAAGATTTGCATGCTGGAAAATGCTGCTCTTTCAATGGTAGCAGGCCTGTGTTCTGGCTTCTTCCAATCTTTGGCTTTGGCTGGGGCCGCAGGGTACAATACAGTAGACTTCACACAGGAAGTAATTCTTCCCTTGCTGCCACTATTGCAAGATATATTGCTAGAGATGGCAAAACGCGACCAGCGCCAGTCCTACCTGATATCTGATGACTCAGTATCCGAGAGCTCAGTGTCTGTCGGCACGATGCTGGGGCTGGTTTCCGATGCGCGCGAGACGGCGGAGACTTCTGGTGTCTCTGCCCGTTTGTTCGAGGGGTTTCATGACGTTCTGATACAAGCGGCCGAATCGGGAGACAGCCTCAAAGATGCATCTGCTGTGATTCAAATGTTGAGAAGAGATAAAAGTCAATGCTAGATAAATGATATATGTGTCTCTAATCTAGTTTACCTTCCCTGTATTTTAGCCTGGACAGCCCTTGTGATAATCATTATTGAGCGCGATATTCTGGAGAAACATAGGAGCGCATGGTGGCTATGTTAGCAACCCCGGAGGAGTGCATAATGAAGGGATGTAGCGAGTGGGGAAAGAGAGTGTGAGATCACCATCTAGGGTCGAGGCTAGTACCGAAGCACACCGCTCAACATTTACAAGCAAGAATAGTACTCGATAGTTTTGGTAGTTTTGGGGGGCCGTGGTTACGAGAATGGCCAGGCCCCCTCAGGTAGATGGTTGTGGATTCAGACCCCCCCCATCCCCCTTTCTTCTCTTCGCAGGGTACAATGCGTGAGATTACTGTAAATTCGTGTTTTTTTGGGAAGTCAAGTTGTCAGACTGCTCAGGCTAGATAGTTCTCCCTCTCTTTCCCTCTCTTCTTCTTCTTTCTTCTTTCTTCTTTCCCCGTCCACGGGTTGGAAGTTTGCTTTGATAATCTGTATCTACTGTTTTCGCAGTAAATCTATCCTTCTCCCAGTGGATCAACCCTGTGGTCATGTTATCTCGTACTCTTGATAGAAGTATGTTGGAAAAGGAAGGGGAAAAGGATAGGTGGCAAGCTTAGAAAATACAATCATTTTGTTGAGAAATCATTGCCTAGCCAACTTGCTATGATTCCACATTGTTTGCGCACTGTATTTGGGTGTAATTGATGACATGGACCCATCTGTTGAGAAATAATCGACATATTTATCTTTTCAATATAGTATTATACCTCCTACCTCTGGCTTAATTCATGCTTGGGATATTGATAGATACCGAGAAACTTTGCTAGTGAGAGGAACTTTGTACTAAGCGTAGAAGGTCATACAGACTCAGGTAGACACCCCAATCATATAGCCAATCGCGCCAACGGTAACATAGTCAAAGGGAAATCAGGAACCGACAAGAACAGGTGCTCCGATCTTTCCAGCCCGAGAAGACAACACCTCACTATCAGGCGACATGAGCGTAGAAAACCCTTCTTTCTTTGAAAATGGGCTTTGGCTCTCAGAATGAGGCTGAGCATTGGTGTGAGACTCTGGCAGGGGCGGAAGCCAGATTGGGAACTTGAGTTTGAACTTCTCGTGTGCTTTCAAAGAGTCTGGTTGTCCAGACAAATGGGTTTCACTCCTGGGCTTTCGCGAAAATATGACAAACATGTCTCTGTATGAAGGCTGGCTTTTGTCCAGTGCATAAACCGGGGTAACACTGTGTTTGGTGCTGTTGTCCTTGAAGAGCAACGTATCGAGGAAGTCCCGGTGTTGATATCGGCCTTTCAGCAATTCCATCCTCGTTTCAGAGTGTTGAACGCCCGTTATTTCATCTCGAGCATGAACAAAGGTAATCCCGGAGTCAGGGGTAATATTGGAAGCTCCAAGTATCACAGTCATAGTATGATCGGATCCGTCCTGGTGAACACCTTCAAGCGCCGGGTATCCCTGAATTCCTTGATCGGTGAAGGTATGAACATTGAAGATCTCCGTGAGAACCGTGTCTTTTTCGTAGTCTAGACCAGGGCGAGGCAGTACGGGGATGTTTTGAGTGATCCAAGCTTTAAGAACCACCATGGCCTGGATGACGGTGTTGTCTTGATGATTTTCGTCAAAGTCTCCAAAATCCCGAGGAATGTCGGAGTCGTTTCGTTTGTAGTTTTCGACAGTGGTCAAGATAAATGGCTGTCTCTCGAGTCTCTCGATGGTTCCAGCGCTCATATCCACTGAGAATCTTCCGCTTTTCAGCGTCCGATAGTTCACCGTTGGATCTGGATCCAAATAATGGCTCACTTTCCTGAGCTTGTTGAAGTCTTCTTCTTTGGCACCAATTCCCAGTAGAATGGGGATCAAATCTTCTCCTTTGATGAAGATACAACCGTCACGTAGATAGGTCTGTCGGAGCTCCATAGCTTCTGCTACGGCTCGAAAGAACTCGGGTGTTTGCGTTTGTTGGAATATATCGAGCCCAACATGAGTAGTGCAAGTTGGTAAAGGCCTTTGATGAAAGTCCTTAGAGGTTGACGGTACTTGATTCAAGTCTTTCAAAAAAGATGGGAGGCAAGCCGAGTCCGCATACTCATTGTATATCTGCTGAGCCATAATGCGTGTCCGAAAAGATAATCTTGCGATTCTGAGAAGAAATAACAGTCACGACAACTGTGACAGACTAATAGTTGGAAAGCAGGTGGAAAGTAAATGTTGAAGTCGATGCTGATGCTTCCAGAGTTGAGGTACCACAGGTTTATATATTAATCAAAGGCAGGGAAAGCTGAACAGTAGATGCAAGTCTTGTGAAGTCATGGATACTTCCAGGTTCCAACCCGCTCACCTCGGCGTCGCTTTTTTTCACCGCAACTTGTTGAAGAGAGGCCTTCTATGACCGCATAGAAGGCGCATGAACTTAATCTCAAAAAAATTTTCAAGGCAATAGAAATAGACAGTAGCCTGCATAATCGACTCATGCACGCGTCGCTCGAGAACATGATGAATCAAAAAAGTTCTCCTCGGTGAGAATTATTGGGACAAACTACCCTTGCTTGATCTTTTTTTCTATTCGAACAGCTAAATGCAATGCTGATGTCATTGAACTTAGCCATCTGAAGACTATCTGAGAAAAGTTATTATTTTTGAGGAATATTGCCTGATATGGCAGCCTAAAGTTAGGAAACAGGTGTGTCAAGACTTGAGCTGCTAAAACCGGTTCGCTTCGATCGGTGAGCCATGCAGACAGCGTCATTGTAAATGTGCACCGTCTGAGATAGCATATCGTCTATGAGTTTTGGCTTTTGGAACCGGTGAGCTGGGCACAGTTATAGCTTCAGTTAGATCAGCTGGAAGGTTAGGGACCACGTGGTAGCCATTATTTCAAGGTCCACAAGTACTTTGGCCTATTTACTAACCACTCTGATTCCTAGCTCGATAAACAGCATGGAACTACTGGGCTTGAAGAAAAATTAAACTCAACGGTACCCTAACGAAAGCAGTTGGGGGTCATGGCAAATTGGTCGATCATATATGTCAATTTGGAGGAACGATAAGATGGCTGTATAGATTTAGAGCAAGGAATCACAAGTTTTATCATAGGTGAATTGCAATCTATCGTTGGTGATGAACTTGACAAGACGCAAAGAAGCCTGGAGATTATTGGAGACCTTGGGATTGACCCGGGCCACTAAGCGCTCCTCAATGCCAAAAATTAGAAGTTAATCACAGACTCGACAAAGTAAATTATAGCCACATGTTTTTCTTCTTTCACTGCTTAGTGTTTTTCCACGCGCTTCTCAGGTGGACAGAGACTGGAGAATTCTCTCACAAAGCCTGCAAACACGGCAAATCCTCGAGACTTTCAGTACCGGCCTTGTTGAATATTTCGCAGTATATACCAACAAGAGCAGTTCATCTCCACTCCAAAGACCACAACGGTGGGCCAAAACACCAGCCCTCCATTCCAAGCAAAAGGTCCAGTATGATGTATGTGCACTCCCGAACCCAGCGCAAGTACCAATGGAGCAATAAAGTTCACCCATCCCATGATTTTTGGAAAGACCGGGTTGGGGCTCCGATCTGAGAAAATTGCCCAGGCGATGGTCCAAAATTGTATCCAAAAGATTGGCCAGTTGAGCAAGAGCGACATCCACATGGCATCATTGAGCAGTTGTATAATTTCGGCGCTGTAGTCACGGAAGGTCAAAAGTGACATGAAGATTGCCGATATCATCCAGAACCAGACACCGGCCGTTGCACTGGCGAGCTGAAGATCTGCGATGGCTGGGTTGAGACCAGGTATGAGTCGAAGCTGACTAGTGATGGCAGCGGAGTAAGGAAGAAAGAGAGCACCGGACACGAAGAAGAAGAGACTTCCAGCCTGGGTGCCTTTCTCGTAGGTCGAGTAATGAGTTTTGACCGCTTCGGCGTTCCACCATGGTCTTGTTGGAGGAATATTTCTGGAGGTAGCAAGACCCATTATGAGAAATACGGCCGAAATGCTGCCACAGATTCCAAGACAGAACAGCCATCGTTTGTTGGTAAGGCCATTCTCGGGTTTTCTGTCATTGGTGGTGGGAAGCATCTCGATTCTAACGGAGAAGATAAAAGAGTAACAGAGGATATAGTGTTTCCTAACAGCTCGGTTGCACTAAGCTTTTATAACAAATCCCAGGGCAAAGTCTAACAAACGATCAAGTGTACCAATTTATCAACCAGGCTATGCATGTATTGGTGATATCCCGACCACTCCGTACGGGATATCGCGAGTATGGTACAGTGGGGTAGAACGCAGCTGGGCTGACTTGAACATGTGACCCGTCATTCTCCCTTGCAGCTAGATCTGGAGAATTGAAAAAACAAACGTACATTGAGTGGTTGGAGGAAGAAAAGAAGGAAAAGGAAAGAAAACGAAAAAAAAAATGTGTGACAAAAAAAAGTGAGAGCAAATTCAGAAATTCTTTATTGTGGAGAACTTTTGTCGGCGGTATCAAAAAGGAATTTACCACGGAATGAGGGCAAACCGGGAAGAAATCAATCTCTAACATATACGGAGTATGGAGTATTGAATGGCCAATAATTATGTTCAAGGCAAAGCATCAATCAATCAACCGCTACGAGGATATGACCACGAAGTCACTGATGGACTTGGAAATTCTGTTGCTCTCTAATGCGTCTTGTGAGCGAAGGGGGCGTAGCTGCTCAACTAGGTCATGATAAATTCTTGCCACCGATGCCCATTCAGCGGAGAGACACGAACATGATGGAAACCTTTCAAACGCAATCATACCCAACAGATACATCATGATCATGTCCACTGAGGCCCAAAATCCACTGATAGACCCTCAAATGGATCTCGAATTGCCTGTTTAACCTAAGAGTTTAAAAATGGTCTCGAGCCCCACAGATTTGCGGCCTCTTGCTCCTGCCGACTGCATGGCGACTTGTCCACGTACCCGTCTCTTCGCAGACCGATCCCGGGGGGTCATATTCGTTAATCTAGTCCACATGGAAGTTTCTCGAAGTAAGCAGACATTTACGGTGAGTGGCTAAAAAAAATCATATTTTTGGCTCATTCGAAGTTGAAATTACTGGAATGGGAAAGCCCACTTATGGGTCGTTATGTGAGGTATATACGAGATGCCGAAAACCTGAGATGCGCTTTCGCGTGCATGTCTAGTTCTGCAGTACTCGTACGGAGTCTAAGTAGATCAGTCCCGGAAACTTTAAATATTTGATCGAGATCTATGTAGATCATATGCAGAAAATATGGAGTACTTATCTCAATAAATGACATCTCTCACAGCGGAATGGCTGCCATGCAGGAAAAAGACTCCGGATGTTATCATTTGATGCCATATTTCATTACCTAAATGCTTGAAATCAGTAAGATCTCCTACGATGAACCAGGAAAAAGTTAGCAAAATAGTATTTTCGACTGTCCAAGCAAAAACGGAGAGACAAATAAGATAAGCGAGAGCGAGAGCGAGAATGAGCAAAAGATTCAATTTGCCAAACCAGGCAACCTGACACCGAATCCCCCAACACCTTTGACCATCGATGCATTATAAAACGTAATGCGATAAGTGGAAATTTGCCCCACCATTAATCATATTGACGAAGAGGTTTTGTATGACATCAAGAGCGGTGAACGTCGTTCAAAGGTTGAAAGGGAGCTTGGATAATGTACGGAGTACGGAGTGCTCCCGAGTAGTATGTATAGATGCTCCCTTGCGTTACCGATTCGTATGCTAAAGAGCAAAACCTAAATACACGGTGGATATGCAACTACAAAGTCTGCACAATTAGTTGGAATGTGCCAACTAAAATACTGGATCCGATACAGGCTATTTATGCTCCATGCGCGCTAATGCACCTCTAATGCGCCAAGACAGATCGCATTCCTATCAAAAGAAACCCTGCACATGTCCCGATGAAAGCCGAAGACTTGAGATTAAACTTTAGTCTACATGTCTGATTGGGGTTTTCATGTGCATAACTACTCGGGCATCCATACCCCGTACGTTCAGAGGAATCTCGATCAAAATGTCCACTCTGTATTGACATTGTATTTATCGCTACAGATGATAGAGCGGCGTGCTCTAAATTTTACAATTTGGTCTTCTCCAGGGCTGGGCTTCTCGAATCACACCTGTGGTCAAAATATTCAAGAATTGAGGACACTGATAGGCGATAATATGATTATTCCTACTCATGTTTTCCTTGACTCTTGCCAAGCCAAATACCTAGGAGCTGAGTAGCTTGTGACTGATATTGATCTAGAAATGTAGAATTTTCAAGTAGTTTGTATCGGTTGAGCTCCATAGCTGTAATCACTGGGTTGTATGACCTTCGGAATCCTGTGACAAGTAAAGAAATCGATTGGGAAAGAACCTTGGAGATCGTGAAAACCGAGAGGTCAAACAGCCTGACTCAAGTAGAATCTAAGAGAATACAGAGGAGAACAGGAAGGAGAGACAAAATTTGTCGTATTGACTATCTGCATGAGGTCGAAAAGAAGTAGAGAAAGAGGCAACAAAGGCTGAATCTATGGACAGAGCATGGATCAACCGACCCGACAACAAATCGATGCCCCTTGTACTGTCACCATATCAACAGGAAATCATGCTTCTTTATCTTTACATCTTGCGAAAGACCTCTTGCTTCTGTCTTTCCGAATCATTCGATGCCAATGTAGTGACGAGGAACTGTTGATTGTCCTTTTTCACGAAGTCGAGGAACACTCGGAACTTCTGTCCACGGAAAACAGGATAATTGCAAATCTCGAGATCGTAGACCAAGGTCGGTCCGATAGGTGTTCTCTCGACGAAGTACTTCCCACTGTAGGAACAAGATCTCTTTGCAGATTCTGCCAACTCAGCAGTCCCTGAAGTCCAGGGCACATCACCTCCAAATGGAGCCTGTCCTGGAATTGTGACAAGGGCGTTCACATATCCATTCTGAGAAAAGATGATCTGTCCGTCGAGAATGGGTCCCCATGGGTGGATCTTTTTGTTTCGGTTCGATTTGTCGAGCATGCTGTACTCTAAAACTGTCCAAACACCGACGAGGTTGTCATGAAAGGACTTGGTAAGGTTGTCGGCTATTTTTGGATTGAGACAGCTGATTGGAGTATGAGGAATCATGTCATAGTTGTCGCCTTGGTTGTCGTGGAGAGTGGTTTGACCCGGGTTGGCAATTTCGTGGGGACCCAGCTCTGCTTGGAACAAAGACTTGAAGTTCCTATCGATATCACTGGCGCTGCCGAAGTTCTCAGCGACTAGTGCTGCCGCTTCCTTTCTCACTGCGTCCAATAGACGGGTTCGGAGAAGCTCCAATGTTTTGTCACCGACGATAGTAGTTCCCATGATGGCTGTAGGGTTGATTGATGAAAATTGAATAACTTGATCCGATTCCGAGATTTCCAAGCCTGGAGAATTCCTCAAGTTTCCAAAGATGAAAAAAGATCAGATTTTGGGATGTGAAATGAGATGTGGCTGTACCGGGGAAAAAAAGAAACCTTGGATGAGCTCGTTTATATAACCCAAACTCCGAAAGTCAAGTGCTCACAAGACTTTCTTCTACATCACATCATGCATCTGAATATTTGGCTGTTGAGACCGCCAAAGGTTGCTGACGTAGTATGTTTCTTGGCCAAACCTGCTGGTCACTATGGGAAGCGTGCCTATTGAGTCACCCAAGAGCTTATCGCGCATGTCGATTAGGTATAATGACATAAAGATAGTGTTCAAGCGGCGGTGTAGCCAGTTCGGAACAGATAATTCAATATAACTTGATCGAAACTCTTCGTAATGCTCATCAAATGGCCAAGGATCTGCATCAACAAAGTTAGCTTTGCGAGCGCATGCTTGATGCGGCGTTGCAGCCAGCCCGGGAGTCAGTGTAGCATTCATTCGGCAAAAATTGACTTCAATAATGTAAAACCTTGGAAGTATGAAAGTGGGCAAAAATGTGGGCTACTCACATTCTGGGAGATGTTAAATCTAATGCATCGCCAAGGTATCTCGATGGGGAGAGGTTCCAATACGCATAGCTGTATGTCAATACCAACCAAATCGGATTCATCCCAGTTCCAGGGTAATTCCTGTATAGCGAAACTTTGAGAACTGTTTTGAATCTCCATATGCACCTATCTGCAGGGATTAGATCCCGAGGCAATATACATAAACAGCCGATCGATATATGTACCACCCAGGCGATCTTGCAGGATCTGCACGACCATGTGGGTCATATGCAAAATGATGCACCAACAAACTATGTGGTCGTACTCTGTGTTTGTCTATGGAGTACGTTCATGAGCAATGACCAGAGAGTTGAAACGAAAAGAAAACTTTCAGTGGTCACGAGACTGATTACGCCGAAAAGGGAAGTGAAAACAAATCCGAGCCATGATGGTCGAATGTCAGGAGCTCGAGCCCACATTAAGACATTGTGGAGATGCTCTAGCCCGCCATAGACGGGTACATCAGTTGGGCATGTGATGATCATCCACTTGTTCTGTTTCTTGTGTTAAATGAAGTAGCGGACGTAGTTACCGCTCTTTTTGTGGCTATGACCTCGGAACATGACTTGATCGTGGCGGGCTCGAGTTTGAACTTTGATCCGAAGTTGCATGAATTGCGTCAAGGTCAAGGAATCCAGGCCACTGAAGTTGCGAAGTAGAGTTCGCCTTCAGGAATCAGTCACCACAAAGTAAATTTCCCTCATGCAAGTGACATGTTCAGCGAGGCTCGCAGGGGTTGCAGGACCATCTCGTATAACTACCAAAGAGCGGTATAACAGATCTCTAGAGTAAGGTATAAAAATACTCTTTCAAAGCTCGCAGATAGGAGCTTTTTTGTACACCGGCAACTTTGCATTGTATTCACTTCATTTATGATGCATTTTGATCCTACAATATTGAATGGGCAAAAGCCTTCACAATTTCCGAATGGCTTGGTGAGAAAGAAACTCTCATTGAACGCTCTTTCCTCTGGTCCACTGTCAGTGCTTCTCCCATTGCCGTACCCGAGGGTAGAATCCGCCGTTGTTTCTGCCTGGGCGGTGCTGTTGAAGAGCTACTATAGTCATGATCCAATTTCATTCCTGAGATTTGGGGGACCATGGACCCGTACGTCCCCCGATGAATCTGGGAAGCCGGAGTCAATCTCTCTTCAACTGCAGTCAGAATGGAATGCCTCGGATCTCCAGGAGGCTATCTCCCAAAGGGATGATAGCCTGTTGGCTTCAAATCAAGGGCATAGCGATGATCCAGAGCGTTTTGCGGTCTGGGTTGCAAACGAGGAAGACATACCAACCAATGCTCAGTGTGAACGGGAGATACTTGACCTAACAAATGAATCTCAAGTAAGTTTTGATTGAAAAGGTATCGAACTCAGTACTGACCTCTTCAGATATGCCTTTTGCTGGTAGCTAAGCAGACCCAACAAGGCAACGTCATCCTCAATCTGCACACCAGTCGTGAGAGGCCATGTCAGTTCGAATTACCCAGCCTTCTGGACAGTCTGCGAAAAGTCTTGGACTCACTTGTTTACCATCCATTCAAAATGATCAAAGATATCGAGGTGATCAGTAATCAAGATCGGTTGTGCCTACGAGAGTGGATGGAGGCCGATCCGCCAAAGCCCGCAACCACCATCCATGGTCTCGTGAATCGGCAGTACCATGAGCGCCCCGCGCACATTGCCATATCTAGTACTTCAGGAGACATCACTTATGAAGAACTGGGAATTAAGTCTGCCGCGATGGCGCGAAAGCTCCGAGAAAATGGAGTTGGGGCGGGAGATATTGTCGGAGTCTGCGTGAAGAAATCCGCATTGTCTCTCATGATCCTCCTAGCTATCCTGCGAGCAGGCGCAGGTTACATTCCTATTTCAACTTCCATTCCCATCGATCGCATGGAGTATATCACGCGGAAGGCTGAAATGCAAGTGCTGGTGACGGAGGGCCCTATTATCGAGAGACTGAAAGGCCACGACAGCTTTCACGAGTTTCGAATGATAACCCCCACATATCTGGATCAAGAGGAAGCCCTTTCCAATGAATGGGCTTCGGAGCTTGACGCGGATCCATCTCAGGTGGCTTATGCAATGTTCACGTCCGGTAGCACAGGGCAACCAAAAGGTGTTGCGCATAATCATGGTGCGGTTTCTGGATCATTGGAGGCTGTTGCCCAGGTCTTTGAACTGGATTGCTCAACGAGGTTCCTGCAATTCGCCTCATTCTCTTTTGATGCTAGTATATGCGAAATATTCGCTCCGTGGGTTGTGGGAGGCACGGTCTGCATACCCTCCGAGGACGAACGCATTGGAAACCTTGCGGGGGCTATGCATGAGCTCACTGTGACCGATGCATCCTTGACGCCCGCAATTGTCGCATCCCTGAGACCAGAAAGCCTACCAACGTTGAGGAATTTGTACATTGGAGGCGAAGCGCCAACCACAACGATCCTGAATACCTGGGCTGATAAGGTCAGACTGAGCAATATTTATGGACTCACTGAAGGTGGAGTCTGGGACACAGTCGAGTTAAAATTGGGGTCCAATGATAGCCCAAAAGCTATCGGGCGTGGTATTGGAGCAAAATGTTGGATCGTCGATCCGGAAAATATTCACAAATTGCAACCAATCGGAGTGGAGGGTGAAGTACTACTTCAGAGCCCCTACCTCGCGAAGGGGTTCTTAGGTGACACAGCGGGAAACAGTGATGCTTTTATCTCTCTACCGGAATCGCTTTCGACCCTCACCGGGCCATCTCCGGCGCGTTGCTACCGAACTGGAGACCTGGCCCGATGTCAACCGGGTGGGGGAATGATATTCACTGGCCGTCGAGCTGGGTTTGTGAAGATTCGAGGGCTGCGTGTCGAGCTAGGCGAGATCGAAAAGGCTATCCGTGACTACCTTCACACCGGTGAACAAGCTGCGGTCATTTTGGCCAGGGACGAGAAGAATGATAACCCGGAGCTGGTAGCTTTCGTGGAACAAAAGGAAGGGCGACCCTCATCATTCGCCGATCAGATGAGCGCAGGCTTGCAGAACGTCTTGCCATCATACATGGTGCCCAGTGCCTTCGTCACAGTTCAGTCCATGCCATTGACTGAGTCCAAAAAAATTCACCGACAAGAGTTGACTGCACGTTGGGCAAGCATGACACTATCCGATACCATGGCGTTCCGGCCTGGAGGCACGCCCAGTCATACCTGGTCTCGCATCGACCCTGCCAATTCGCGAGCCATTGCACTGAGCAACATTATTGCGAACATCGTTGAAACCAAACGGCCATCGGCTGGGGAAATCCTACGCGGTTGGGACTTTCCGTTGACCAGTGTGGGATTGGATTCCATTCAGACGGCATATCTTTCAGGGGAGATCCGCCGCCATTTGGGAGGGGCGACTCAGATCCAAGACCTACTACAGCCCGGGGTCACAGTGTGTCAACTCGATCGCCGTTTGTCCGAATGTAACGGTGACGGATTTCATGGTCCAAGAGACCTTCTCGGCGAATTGAGCTCCATCGATGTGCAGGTAGTGAATCTCGCTCAAAAGAAGAAGACAATATTTGCAACATCTGTGACTGGCTTTCTAGGAAGCCAGCTACTTCGGGAGTTACTAGAGAGCCCTAGCGTGGAACGAATCGTGGGATTAGTACGTGCTGGTAGCGAAAAGCAAGCCCGAGAAAAGATACGAGCCCAGGCTCAACTTGGTCAGTGGTGGCAAGCTGAATTCGACTCTCAGATTGAAGTATGGCTTGGTGACCTGAGCCTTCCAAAGTTGGGGCTTGACGATGCGCATTGGAAGGATCTTACCGGTCATTTGCGGATTGATGGAATCATCCACAATGGTGCGCGAGTCAACTGGATGGATGATTTCTCGACCCTGAAGCCGACCAACGTCGACAGCACCTGTGTCATTCTGGAGGCCCTTTCCGAGATGCCAGCACCGTGTCCATTCACATACGTGTCCGGTGGGTATCTACCATTACCGACAGAAACCCGAGAACAAGTTTTGCACAATCTCGCTCATGCATCTGGGTATGACCAGACCAAGTTTTTATCACGAATGATGGTAGAGAGATATAATCACCAGCTCGAGCAATGGCCGAACACATCAACCCCGCGGGCACGGGTGGTCCACCCAGGATATCTTGCAGGCACAAGGTGGGAAGGAATTGCCCACCCGGAGGACTTTCTGTGGCGCCTCGCCTATTGCTTTTCATCTCTTGAAACTGTGAGCAGCGACATGTTGAAAGCGCACATTCCAGTGGCAGGGGTCGAGCAAGTAACTTCCCTCGTGGTCGACAGCGTCCTGAATCCGCAGGGCAAACAAGTTGTGGATTGCCATGATGGGGTATCGGTTGAGACCCTTTGCAAAATCATCAGCAGTTGCAGTGATCGCTCGATCAGGACAGTGAGCCACGGCGAGTGGATGGCAGCATTAAGGGCCGACGTGGAAAGAAGTGCTTTGGACCATCCTTTCTTACCTGTCTTGGATTGGTTTGAGGCAAATATGGAGCAATTCACGGGTCCTTCTCTACTTGAGTGGCCCACTGCATTCAATCAAAGAGATACTATCGCAGCGCTGGATAAAAGCACCCGGTACCTGATGAGTATCGGCTTCCTTCCTTGCGAAGATGGCAGTCGTGTGCCTGTTGATCAGCCCAGCAGCCCTCAATTTCAAAGATCTAGCAAATAGCACTTCCAAGATTATGCAAATGGTAAAAGAATTCAGGGGTGTTGATGAAACTAAAAGGGAGGGGGCTGGGTGTTTCCACTCAGTACCGACTGCACCTGACCTGGTTGCCCAACAGTTACTCCGTATGGGTGAGAGAAGTTCATGGAGAATATAAAGATTTTCGATTTCAGTGTTGGTGTGATGATAGGTTACAGATGCTTCAGAGGACAACTTCTGTACATAAAAGATCAATATATTCTACTAATTGCCGGTATAAACCACCTTCTCTCGATCCCAAGCACATACGACCACAGGGTGTGGAGAACAGGGCTTCCCGTCCGCTCAGCCGTACTTAAGCCACACGCCGGTGAGTTAGTAGTTGGGTGGGTGACCACCAGCGAATCCTCACTGTTGTATGTTTTTGTTTTTGCTTCCATTGCCCAGGTGTTGTTTGTGTTAGTTCCAATAGACATATCCCGACATGCCAATCCCCTTCCCCGACCCAAAACCGACCTTGGAGGCCCGGGTATGGTCAAATTGAGATTGCGTTTCCCTTTTTTTTCGTTTCCTTTTTTTTAAAAAAAAAGAACAACAATTTCCAACGAGATTCTCTTTGACTCAATATCGATAAATGTGACCACAGAGTGTGAAGAAGAATGCCTCACGTCTATTCTTGGGCGAAAGTTGTAACAAGATTTAAAGCCTGTAACAAGCTTTCCTACTGCAGCCCTGTTTATGCATGCAGATCTATAGATAACAATAACACATTCATAGTCCAACAAACACAAGTTTGCCCCCACGGTTCTCGATATGGTCGGATAGATTGATCCCCTGGCGCCCTCTTTCTCCGCCATTGACTTCGCTGATATCCGCCTCCAACCAAACACCATCATTCCGGAAACTCAATTGGATGTTCTTGGCGGTCTGGGTAAATCGGTGTCCTTGCCAACTAAAGTAACCTAAACACATAAGGAGAGTGAATCAGCAGTGTAATACCATTGCTGCAAGTCCGAGACCTACCATCCGAGTTGCCGATGTGGTCGTCAAGTCTCAGCTGAGAGGGAATGTTTTCGCCATGGCCATTCCCGGCGGCGGCAAGAAGCCAGGTGCCGTCGCCGCGGACTTCGATCCGAACAAGGTCGCAGGATTTGTGGAAAGACATTTTTTGATGGTAATTCTTTTCAAAAGAACTTTCAGAGAAAAAAATGCATCGTAAACTTGTGTTGTTGATTTCCGACCCAGTCTTGGCATTGGCTGATGCCCGACCTATTTTTGACCCAACTTTAGGCAAAAGCGTTATATAAATATGCCAAGACTTTCCTAATTGCTCCTCATATCCGTGTGTTTCAAAATTCAAGTGAGAAAAATGGGTCTTGAAACAAAGGAAGTTTTGGCTGGATTGAGACGGGTAACGGGAAAATGTCATGAGGTCTTTGTGTAGGCCATAGCAAGAATGATTCAATTGGGAAAGACAGGAGGGTATATTTGGAGCTCTTTGGAGGGTTATTTACAATTGAAGATGTTTCTACGAACAATCGAATAATATGGAAATATCCAGACCATCACGGATGCCGCGGGAGCATCTCGCCCCCATCAGGCAATAGTCTCGCCCCTCCGGAAGAAACCGATCTCCCATCATCAACCTGCACAGAGATATCTGTCTTGACAGTGACACATCCATCGTCCAAATGTTCGGGCATCTCAGCTTTGGAAACGCGACTGTGAGAACGCTCATGTTGGTGTCCATCCCAGCGGGTGGCTGGATTCTCCTCGTCCCCCACGTGAGTATTTGTCGCAGTGGTCGAGTCGAACCACTGGCCCTTCGCTTTGGCATTGCGGCGCTTCAGCTCTGTGTCATTGTCATTGTCATTGGTGGACCGAGAACGAGACCAATAACCGCCGTGAGAGCGACCTTCGCGTCTGTGGTCCACGAATGCGCGCAGAAAGAGACGGGCAACCGGGGCACAGGATGCAAGGAGAATACTGTAATTCTCAATTCTGGGGCTGTTAGAAATCCCAAGTAATGTTCAAAGAATAGAGAGGATTCTACTTACTTCACCCATAAAACAAAAGTGACAATATTATATGTAAAGTCCTGTCGGTCACCGAGGGACTTTAGTTTCTAGCCCGGAAGTTAGTCGCAATTGCATGAGTTTATGCTGGAAAAAGCTCACTCACATATGTTTTGACTATAGAAGCACAGCCGGAGAGGAGGAGCGGGCCACTGAGTGTGATCGTCTGCCAGATTCGGCGAGATCGGACTGTGCTACTGATTTTCATGAACTGAGACCAGAAAGACAAGTTCGGGTTACGATGGAGAGTTCTCAGAAAGAACTGCCACAACTCGACTGCTGCGAGAATAGCAAGGAAATAATCGATGACGGTATTGAAACCTAATGGTGATCAGTATATCGTAAATTCGAGCAAATGTGTAGTCGCATGACAAACCTCCCTGTACAAAACCAACTGTGGTTTGAACTGTGGGTGACTGACACTTCATGGACCCATCTTCGGGAAGTGGTGTCCACATGAAATGGAAATATTGAACTCGATTGCTCTATCAATTAAGTTAGTTCAGCACAATAGATCACCCGGGGAAGAGGAGGGACAGCGCACCGCTTGGTATGGGTTAGGGCCACATTGGACCACAATTTGAACTATAGTGACCATATTGGCGACAAGCTGCACAATGGCACAAATGATAATAGATATGCGTATTTTCTTATCACTTGCAGCAAAACAAGTTAAAAGAAACCACATCATGCCAGACCGGGATATCATCGCCGAAGACACAGCTAATGGCTGTGATAGGAAATCCCACTTCATAGACTGAAAGCGCTCGGTGGCATTCAGATAGAAGAAGTGCCGACCAAGGCCATTGTTTGCGCTGTTATGGTCAGTCGCTGACGCGAGAAAAAGCTTCGAGTAGTATGGAATCACCTCAGTTGAATAAACGTCATGTGAGTGACGTCGAACCCGTAGGCGACGAGGAAAAAGAGGTCTTCAATTCCCCATACACGACCAGGTGCTGTGACTTGGGGCAGTGCCCAACGTACCCAGATTTTGATTGCATAGCGAAACAACAAGGCCACACCCACGATAGCAGTGAGAACCTGATCAACAGTCAGCATGTTGCATGGCACACGTATAGCGAAGGACAAGAGGGCATACCCAGCATGCCTGAAACGTGCCAGTTCCTACCAATTCAAATGAGTCTTAGTCGAAACACGACGTGTGGTGAGGAAACATACCAATGTCAACGTCACCCTCCCCAGGTCTCGGAATCTCCATATTTAAGACAATGTGCAGGCAGCGGAGTCTTTCAAATTCAAGATACTCGCAAGATCTCAGACCAGCGTAATAGCCAATTCAAATAGTCGTCCTCATGGCATGGATGCAATGAAGGACCGAAGGCGCATATGGTTGATGAGATATATCGAAAACAAAACCGGAATCCGACCCAGGATTAGGGGTCAGGCCAAACCTTGAAGACTTCTAAGTTCCCGGAATGGACAATAGATTCCACGCGTGAAGCTTCACGCGAACCGATGTACAGGTCAGAACCCTGGAGGAGGAGACTAGCCACTCCTATCGGGTCGGGGGATGCCAAACACCGAGAGGGTTTGGCTAAACAAGGGATGTGAGGCAAATCAGGAGCAATAATAGCTTCAGTGAGGGGCAAATAGGACACGGATGAATTGAGCATCCGCACAATAACGGCATAGAGACACTTGGTTGGATCCCCTGCTAGATACGAATTGACATCCACCAATTCGAAAACAAATCAAAACTAATCTTCTGATCAGAAATTTACGAAAGGACCAACAGGACCCGAGTCATGTGGGATAACTGACACAGGCATTCCTGTGGGTGGAGCAGTGATAACCATGCTGCCAGCCATGCGCTATGCAGCAAGGGATGTGACGGCCAAACATGGTTGAGAACTAAATCCCGAGATCCGAGAGAGTGGAGATGGAAAACAAACTCTGATGCGCTGTAACCAGATTGACCAGATTGTGCGACTGGGCTGTATGATGCTTTTGCTTTCATCTGGATTTAATCTGGGCTTAGATCGGTAGATCGCGTGGGTTTGGGGTGCAGATCTGAAAATCTGGTACTTTGACCTGGAAGATCGACAATCGCTAGCGCGAACTGCTCAAAATAATAAGCTTTGATTAGGCGACGCTAACCGAAAGGTCTTGGGTGAGTGAGGAATATGATGGATCAAAGTGATGTATCCAGATTTTCCCCTCAACGGGATGTTCCGAACATCATTTGCTCCGTACACCTTCCGGATTAAATCAAAATTGTATTGGAAATTATTTACCTATCTTCCTTCCTCATCTCCACCAAAGACTCGCCAGCTCTGACATACTTCTCAAAAGTCACTTTCAGCCCCGTCAAACTCGCTATTTGCCGCCACTCAGCCGCACTCCGCTCACGTCCACCATACAACGCGATCATACTCGCGTGGAGCGAGGTGTAAGTCAGGTTCTTAGCATACTCAATAATCAGCACCCTTGATCCAGGCGCCATAGCCCGAGAAATTTTCTGTAGCAACGCCACGGCGTCTAAATCTGGCAGGTTATGCAAAATATGCTGCAATGAGTAGATTCGCGCTCCATGGACCGGCTGTTCACTCGACTCCTTGAAATTCCATTCCATGAGAGTGACACCAGGCACGGACTCGATGTCAGCATTGAACTCCTGCACAATCAATTCTTCTGCTTGGAGATGGGGGTAATGAGCCTTCACTTCGAGAAGAAGCTCGCCGCGTCCACCACCAATATCAACCATGGCCGTCGACCCGGAGCCAGCCAGCGCACCGTCGAGGTCGTAGCCCATTGACAACACGCGTTCGGGAAACGTTCCGAACTTGAGGAACTTGCCAACCATGAATTGATTGAAGCTATCCATGCGACCTTGCGTCTCCATGATCGAGTAAGTGTGCTGAGACGCGAGCTCGGGCTGGCCCATTAATTGATACGCGTATTGGAGGGGTCCATCTGCATCGGCGAAGGGGTAAGCAAAGCCGGTGTCTTGGAGCTTTTTCATCAAGAATGCGCCCGCCATCAGGCCTTCCGTAGTGCTGGTTGGGTTCAGTAAAGAGGTTTGGGGGTTCAAACGATACTTGGTGACTGACAAGTGTAGCGCGCCGTGCTGCGCTGAGGGCATGGCAACCATGTGGTTGGTGACTGCGTTTGCTGCAAACCTTTCTTCGGACACGCGTTCAACCAGGCCGAGTCCAGACATTATGTAGAGCGTGTCCGCTGAATTCCGGTATATTAGTATTTCGCTTCTCACAGTGTGCACTCCGTAAATGGTGATCTTTGCATACAGGCTAACTTGCTACCTATACTGGGGTTAGCCACAACTATGATCCAATGCGAGCAAACACAGTAAAACGGAGAAAACAGTCCAACACAACCACACGCGGAGGCACTTACTGAGCTTTGGCTCATTCTTTTCTCGGGCACTGATGCGCTCATTGCAGGTTTTGGTTACTTCGTCGGCGGTCGCAGGACCCCCATGTTCAATGAGAATGTCGAAGAGATCGAAATGAATCGCGACCGGGACAAATCCCAAGGATGCAGGCTGTCATTGAATAAGACTCAATTCTGTCCGACGGGTTTGTCACACTTACCACCGTGACTGTAGCTGCGAGAGCGGCCCCAGGCGGCACAACTGGGGCCGGGGATGACAGGCCAAGAAGACTGGCTAGGCGATTTAGGAATGACATGATCCGGTATCCTAGGAGTCAAAATTCAAAATCACAACTGTGATAAAAGAGCCGAATCCGAGGTCGAGTGGTTATAAGGGACACACTGAGCGAAGTACGGAGTACGGAGTATAGAAAGTCTTGGTCTCTTTCAACCCACATGCGGGACGCGTCCCGGTTAGCGTGGCGATTTGTGAACAGACCATCAAGATAAACCCAGTTCTAGACGCGCTAAATTGAGGTATGAATAGACACTGACCTCATGAGAGGTGGTGATTGGTCCAGTGTGGGGTGTATGCAAGCAAGGGGTGTGAAAGCCACAGGAACTTGTCCGGAAATTCGGCAAAAAGCCAACAAGAAAGAATCAAGGGCAAAATTGAAAGCTCGTCAGAAAGAAGACCAGAGCTCCCACAAACGCCAAACGCCCCCCCCGGCCCCTACACAGGGATCGACTAGTGGGGCGATACGATCCTAGTTTGGGCGTTTGTGATCTATTCACTTTACAAAGTTTGAAACGGATCGGAACCCGAATTCCAACTTGCGAGATGCATCAATCTGCTTACGGAGCACGGAGTACTTTCGTATAAACTTCCACTGTGCGACAAAAGCCACGCGAGAATCAGGTCTGAATCTGAATGTTGAAACCGTGCATAAAACCTTCAGTGCCCGTCACACAAGATCTTCGGCTCCCCTTACTTGATTTACTACTATTACTTCACCCTCGGGTACTATAGGGCTATGGAGAAATCTTCACCCACTCAGTACGAGATGGCCATCAGCCCCTCGCAATCGCATTCGATCAGCTGCAAATCCTCCGAGATCAACTCGGAGATGGCAGGAGATGCGCTCAACCCACGCGAGTGGAGCTCGGCGCGAAAAACATTACTTTTTGTGTCGCTGATGACCAGCTCGCTTTTGGCTGACGGGTATGTGTGACCAGTTGATCCTGAAATCTTATCCACCAAGTCAGACATGCATAATCTTACCAATACTCCGTACAGGGCAATGGTTTGGGGCGGGACATTGGTCACTGAGCAGGCCATGGATTGGGGCGTGAGTGTCACGCATGCGGCGACGAGTATGAACTATGGGATCTTGCTCCAGGGGTTTGGGGGCATTTTTGCCGTCCCCCTCATTGAGGCCTATGGTCGGTGAGTTGTTTACTTTTGTCTGCTTTGCTCTTAGTGACAATGCTGATGAGATTAGCTTACCGATCTGGTTGTGGCCCCAGGTGATCACCATGTTCATGGTCCTTGGGGCGACTCTGTCTAATGACTGGTCCACCTTTACTACATTTCGCTCTTTGCAGGGTCTTTTCGGGACCGTACCTCAGGTGATCGGCCTCCCAATCATTCATGATATGTATAGTGCCGAAGGTATGCTGTCCATCGAGTTTCAAGCAATGAGTTCTAACGAAAGTAGAATGGCCCCGGATGATCAATATCTGGTAATAGCTACCCAGCATCATTTAAAGAAGTTGCACCATGACTGATGAGCCCAGGGGTACAACCTTCCTGGTAGGACCGTTCCTGGGTCCCGCGATTGCAGGGTACATAGGTGCTGCAACCGACTGGCGCACTTCCTTCGGAGTTTTGACTGCCATCTACGGCCTTTCAACCATACTGGTGATCATATTCGGTTACGAAACTTACTATATGCCCGGAAACAAGGCTCGTCGTTCACGCTTTGCGGCCTACTTCGGGATCGGTAACACAGGCCTACCCAAAGGATCGACGTTGCTCTACTGGTGTCGTAGCATCGTGGTCCATGTGTTCAAGTTTCCGTTGCTGATGACTGGTAAGTTGACTTGACTGTTTGCAAGGGCTTTGCTAACTGGGTCATCGTTAGGAATGACTATATTGGTGACCTTCACGTGGCCAATTGGTAAGTTGGGGGTATTCATGGCTGTGTACTCCGTACCTTTTGCTGACTTCGGGAACTCTTCACTTTAGGAATCACCACCACGATCGATTCATTCCTACATAGCCCACCCTACCTCTTTGACACCATCGAGGCGTCTTCAATGAGATTCGCGGGTGTGATTGGAGCTCTGTGTGGTATGTTTCACTCTCATGCTCCTCACTTGTGACGTTTCTCACAATTTCAGGTTGGGCTTTTGGACACTTCTTCAACGACTGGATCTTCAAACGCCATCACTCGATCTGGAGAACCGAGCTCCGTCTTCATGGAGTGTGGTTTCCCATTGGTAGTATGGCATGTGGTCTGCTTACCTATGGGTTAACAATGCACTTCGGTAAACATTGGATTGGGATTGCCGTTGGGTGGGTGATGGTGAACATTGGCATGGTGGCGACCATTGTGTAAGTGTCATTTTCTTGTGAGTGTCATTCGGGCTATCTAATTCTTCTTTGATGCAGCGCCATCTCGGCATATGCTTTGGAAAAATATCCGGAGCAGGCGACTTGCGTGTCAGCCATTTTGAACATGTGGCGTACCTGCGGTGGGTTTGCAGTTGGATATTTTCAGCCTGCGTGGATCGGGCGAAATGGACTTGGACTGGTGTTTGGAATCCAGGCTGCTATTGTCGTTACAGCGGCTGTTTTGACTATTACCCCTGTGTTATTATGGGAGCAGAAGAGGCGATCACGATCCGTGGCTGGCGACGCTTGATGACCACCTGGGCAGGTGGTGCTGGTGACATATCATGGCATCCAGGGTTTGACCATGGACGAAGAGGATCCCGATGTCAATTGGGCAGAATATTGACCTGATTCTGAACTTGGTGGGTTTTGTATAATTTATATTTGTATATTGCACATAGTTGTCGTATGGTTGAATCTCACATTCCTAGGTTCCTTGCCAAAATATAGTCACAAACCTTGGAAGTCTTGAGAACTTGGGTCTCACCCACAAATTTCCAAGGTCTGTGCTGGCGATTTGCGCCATTGAAAGAAGATAGTTATAGATACCAAAGGATCACAGACATACGGGTAGGAAATAGTCCGTAGAACCCCGAGGCTTTGCCAACAGAACTCAGCCACAGGGGTCCGACGCCGTTGCGGCACCAAACGTGGCACGATGTTAAGCAATGACTGGTGTGGATAGATAGCTCGAAAGTTGGAAAGTGATAGCCAATGATCAACTGAAGATCGCAGAAAAGACCCTCCATGCACGAAGTGTAAACACGCGGGATATTTTTGACAACTCGTCGATCGGCCACGGTCAGGTGACCTCTGCCTGAGTTCCCAGGCCACACACAGCCGGTCCACCGATGAAACACTCGTGGACGCCCCCATCGATGCTTAATTGTTTCTGACACGAACCTTTTGGTCTGACAGGATGATCTTATTCAATTTGGCCCCCAAATCTCTACCATGTCTTCCCATCTGACTTCATCTCACCAACTCGACCCCTGATCGATCTTCACCTCCTGAGCGCTCCCCACCTTAACCTCCAGTCGATCATTGCCCAATGATTTAGGGTCCCGCAAGCGATGACGCTTCCCGTGGGGCAGCGGGCAGGCCCTGAGGAACCACACAGCCTCGTTGGCTCATGGGCCGCGTGGTCGTTGATCCATGCCCAGTGAACATGTCGCTGGGCCTATGAAACTGCGCCGTTTAGAGCTTCGACCAAATCTGGCGACTGTTCTGCCGGGATCGTCCACCGTCATGCTGGGGTCGAACTGGTTTGCCTAGGGCGATCGTTGACCCTTTTTCCCATCGCGTTTCATTAAGCGCTTGCTCTCCTCCCTCCTCGTCTTTCCTTCTTCTCAATGACCTCTCGTTTACATTCACTGTCTGTTTGAACGCAACCATGTTCAGTTCCCCACGACGATGGCTTTTCATCGTCATTCCGCTCCTTACATTTAGCTTAGTTTATTATATCTTTCGACTTCCAGAGTCCAACCCGGTACCCGTGAACACCGAAGTCCCTCACACCGAAGAGCCGATCGTGGTCGTCGAAGAGAATGCACAAGAACCTCCAAAAAAAACGACCGAACCTACCGAAGACGAATGCGGTCATCTCCTCCATCAGCTTGACGATGTGATGGTTGTTCTCAAGACTGGAGCGACCGAGTCCCTCGAAAAAGTGCCCATTCACCTCCGCACAACCTTCAAATGCGTCCCACATTTCGCCATCTTCTCGGACTACGAAGAAATGATAGACGGTGTTCGAACCTATGACGTCCTTCAGAACATCACCTCCGAAACCAGGGAAAACCAACCCGAATTTGGTATCTACCGTCGGCTCCAAGAAGTCGGCCGCGAAGGCCTCACAGACGCTGAATGGGGTGACAACGAGAACGGCCCGCTCGGCAAACTCAACAACCCAGGCTGGAAGCTCGACAAATGGAAATTCCTCCCTATGATCGATGGAGCGTTGGATCTGATGCCAGACGCCAAGTGGTACGTCTTCTTGGAAGCAGACACATACATGGTCTGGCCCAACCTGGTCAACTGGCTCTCGCATCTCGACCACGAACGCCAATACTACCTCGGCAGTCCGATGCAGATCGGGGACGTTCTATTCGGCTACGGCGGTGCAGGCATTGTACTGTCAAGATACACAATGGAGCTTCTCAGTGAGCATCGTGGACGTTCCCAGCTGGAGTTGGAAGAAATGACGGCGGCCGAGTGGGCGGGAGACTGCGCTCTTGCCCGCGCCCTACAGGATGTGCGTGTCGGTCTGACATGGGCATGGCCCATGATGATGACATCTCGGCCTTGGGAGATCGATCATTTCTCCGAAGGTTACGGGCGCCAACCGTGGTGCTACCCCGTCATCTCCTATCATCACATGGAGCCGGAAGACATCAACACTATGTGGAAGTTTGATCGTCAATTCTTCGCCAGTGGCAAGAATGCCCTCCTCCTGCATGCGGATGTTTACCAGAAACTCGTTTACAATGACACCGTAACCGCCCTGGATGACTGGGATAACATGTCTGGAGCCCGAATCGATTTCGCGGCCGGTACGATACCAAGCGTCGAGACTTGTGCGGAAGTCTGCGCAAGGAACGAGGAGTGTTTGCAATATTCCTTCGATGAGAAAGAGGGCATTTGCAAGCATGCTTCTACCACATTTGCTGGTTTTGCCAAGAACGGGACGTCGTCTGGCTGGATCAGATCGCGGGTCTCCAAACTTCTGAAGGCTTTCCAATCCTCATGCGAGGAAGTGGAATACATCTTTGATTGATTTTCGCTCATCAGCCTTCTTATTTCATTGTACATATACACACTCTTTTCTGTCCACACTAACCATCTGTTCGCACGTTTCAGAACGGATTCTTATCTCTCAAGGAGAGCCATTGGCGAGGCGTTTTTCAAGGGCGCTTGGCGTCTGCTGGGCAGACAAAAAACACTACACTTCTGGACTTTCACATCATCTCATTTTCACTTCACTGTCACTTATTGCATTTTGCATTTACTTGTATTTTCCAGCGATTTTGTCTCATAACTATACAATTGAAGCCTAGCTTTAAGACCACAAAACAGAGCATCTGCCCCTCGAGCAATAGGGCCAGTTGAAGAAGAGCACGCATCAATGAGCGAAAGAAAACCAAGGACACATCTTTTAAGATGAGAAGTAAGAAACCAGACCGCTCCCTCTTCCTCTTCCTCTTATTCTCCTCTCACTTCTCATCCTTCTCTCACTCTCAGCTTAAGATCACTATATCCAAGGACTCGATTGGTCTTTCTATAAGTTTCTAGCGGGCTGAAACTCTTGAGAGCAACATTGAGTCACCTCCCTTGGGATGGATTGATTCAATTCATGAATGATGTGCCTGGCTGTGGTGACGATGAAGCCCTCCGCCAACTCGCAGAGAACATCGACACAGGCATTGCTACACTGGAATCTTTGCCTCCCTTGCGCTTCTAGTGTAACAGGCATATTACGACCAATGTCCTCCCGCAATCCCCAACCAGTGTTCGCTCCTCCGCCACTACATCTACCACCGAGAAGAACGTTGCCCCTGGTCAGAAGCGAAAGAAGGTCGCTCGGCGATCCACTTAGTCGGTGACAATGTGCTTTCATCCAAGTTCGGAGGATCCCATTATTCTTATCTTTGAGCTCTAGTGCTTTTATTAGTCTTATTCCTTAGTGGTACATCGCTCCAGTCCTGTCTTTTCCGTGGGCGACGGCGGTCAGGGTTCGGGATCTCTGACAGACCTTTGCCGTGCGCCGCTTGAGGCAGCCCACATTATACCGTTTGCTCTCGGCAAGTTTTATCATGACGACGAGAGAGGGCATCTGTCTACGATATGGGTGAACTTGTTCCGATATTTCCCTAATTTGCGAATGCCGCTCAATCTCATGTTTCAATTAGTAAGTAACAGAGCTATCATCCACTTCGGGTCCTCTTTTCAACTGTCTTTTCAACTGTTTTTCAACTGTCCTTTCAACTGTCCTTTCAACTAGATTCGAATTATCATGATTGGTCGAGTAAAGAAAGACTTGGTGAACAGAGAATGAGGGATTGGGGATATTCTCAAACACACACAGAACCCAGCTTTGATACAATGTGGAGAGAAACAGCCCCATTACTGATACTCCTCCCCTCCCCTCATCTGGTCCATCGAAAATATCGCATCTCCCTGATCAGACCTTACGATTGGCCTTGGACGGACGCAATTTGAGCTGCACAAGGATGTGTACTTTTCTCGACCCATGGAGGATTCCGCACTTTTGAATACAATAAGCCAAATAAGACGAGGGAACCTCGGGCTATCAAACTTCCACCTTGTTCGATGAGTGCTACAAAAAGATGACTTGGCAGTTCCAAGAAATGTGCTTCTACCAGCTGGTGGATTGAGGTATCGGACGGGGTACGCCGGTTATCCGGCAAAGGTTCCAAGGTTGTGTGCCTGTCAATCTCGTTTCAGAAGCCCATCTGCGTTTGATAACACCAATCCTTTCATGGACTATCTTATTTGATAGTTCACTATTGCACGCCCGAATTACCCTCGCATCCACAAGACCTTAACAGCACATACAGCGGTGCGAACAACTTCACTGAGTGGACTTTGATTGGTGATACAACAACCATGAAGGGCAATGGGCAATGTATGTCTCAATGTCCATATTTAATTCCAGAATACTAGCCAATATTACCTAGACCTCGGGAGGGCATCGAGCTTATGTCACCGATCATACAATATCAAGCATAAAGCCCATGCCTCGAACACCTTAGAAACATGCTAGAAGGCCTAGAAACCATCGTTTCGAAGACCCAAGAGCTATGTACTGCGGCGAACTGGACGTATCCGGTGATCACTAAAGATTCACCCTTTCAGTCACAATTTTCATGTTATATTGGCTTCAGAAGTAGATTGATGGGTGACCAGATCACCCATGGTCAAAGCCCCAAAGCCTGTGAGAGGCCGTCTGGTCCAAATCATGGTATTTATTTCCCCTTGAACCTGGGTGACTTCCTCCACCATTTGCCAAAATCCCGTAACGTCGGATTTCTCTTGATAGCGAAAGACGATTCCATTACCACCATCTTCGAAAACGTACTCGCGTCGCCATAATCTCTGCCACTGCTCTTTTGAGGTGCCTTCGACCGCATTCAAACGTTCCACGTGTTGAGTTTTCAGAGCCAGTATATAGAGAGCTCGTACATTCCACAGTCCGTCTTGGCACGGATAGTCTTTTAACATCTGTACAGCTTCATCGCGAGTCAAGGGGTCGCGGCAGAAGAAAGCGATGAGCAGTAGATGCCACGCGATCCCACATTCTAGAGAGATGTGATGGGAAATATTCGGGACTTCTCGCTTGGCAATACCCAATGCAATCCTTGCTAAAGACAAATATTCGCGAAACAAGGGGGTTTGCAAGGCTAAAGTATCCGCGTTGAAATATTGTGGTGGATTTTCAAAGGCATAAACCTGGAGAAACTGCAATCGTAGATGAATAGCTTTGAGGTAGGTCGCAGACTGAGGGTCGGACGTCAAGATCTCGTTGAAAAGCGGAAGCGAGACATCGCTCAATGTATGCATAGCCTTCCTGGAATTTTCACAGAACATTTGGATCTCGGGGTTACCGAGAAGATTCTTGTAAAATGCATCAATGGCGTTCCCTTCTGTAGAGCCCATAATACCAGAGTTCTTGATGATTTTGACCGCCATTGGGCCCACTGCCGAGTTTCTAGTCCGAACATCCCACCAATACTCTTCATATTCTTCGAGGGTGGTAAACGTAGATGGACAGACGTGGTTTGAAGTGCTCCGTGACAGCCGGTCCAATAGAGTTATGAAAGACTCCATAGTCAGGCCGTTGCTCTCGAGACCTCTGATAAAATTAGGAAGCGGCCGATCTTGACCAACAGAGCCAGGGAGAACGAAGCGAGCCTGCGGTGCCAAAAGTGCCAGTATGCTGGTAACTGATAGAAGGAAAGGCTTCGGGTTTGGCGCCACAAAATGTAGATAGGTGTGTGTTTCATCCGTCAACAGGGCGAGAATTAGTGTTAGGCCGTGATTGAGGTGGTTCAGCGCAGTTTTCTTGTTCCCACGGAGGACTTCGAAGAACAGTAGTAGCACTGAACTAGAGATGACATCTTGAATGGCATTGACCTCACTGAGAAGTTTGAGAGAGCGACAATAATATCGCACGGCACTTTGATAATGCGTATCGCCGTCGAATTTTGAGCGAGGAACCATCAGACCCTTGCAAGGATTTGAAGCACGAGCCTCACGGTGGTTAACACTTAGTGCGCCGATTCCAATTGCAATACATCGGAGGGGATCATTGCTGCGAGCAAGTTGCGGTAAAGTTCCCTGCCATAATCCAGCGTTTGACACTGCTGAGATCCAAGGGCCTCGCACCAAGCCCAAGAACTCTTCAAAATACAGCATAGCCATGGGATCATCAAAGTCGCACGCACGCACGACTAGCTGCAGGCTGGACTTTGGGGCAGATAGTTGACCATTTTGCTTGGAGTCCCAGCATATTTGAGTCGGACCAGAGTGTTTCTTCGAATTGATGTCATAACCCGCGCAATGTCCGCGGCTTCGAAGACAATTATTGCAGTGTGGCCTTGTCTCATCGCATTTGACGTGGCGCTTCTTGCAAGTGATGCATCCTGTGCGTACTTTTAACAGACTCTTTCGGGTCGACTTTGGCTTCCCGTGATGTTTCGTCTGAATTTGAGAAGCACTTTTCGGTTGAGGTTGTGTCCTGAAGACCATCAGACATGGCCTTGTTGCGCCATTATGTTGACCAGAGGATGCTTACACATTTCGAGGATTTTCTGCCAATGTGTTTTCCGAATCTGCCATTCCTTCATGGCTTGCTGATGTTCAAAGGACACCGTTGAGAGGAAATCGGTTTGACCCGGAGCGGATTATCGTTTATTCGGCCTTGGGGAATGTGGGACATTCATCGACTGGGCCGGCCAGCGAAGAGATGGGCAAATCTGCCTATGCCGAACCTTGCCTGAGCACTTCTGCGAGGCCATCTTGGTGGGATCATGACGGTGAAAATGGTAAATGGCGTAGCAGGTGCCGATCGAAATGTCGCCAGCGTGTCTCGTCCTCGATATTTACCATATTGAGCGCAGAATAGGGCTTTGTCCTAGAACCACACCACAAAACACGCTTTGCAGGCCCATGAGCGACACATAGCTCATGGGATCTGCGCTGCAAATTTCGTGCCCAGGCTTGAAGTATATGGTTGTAACCTACAACCTCGGCAGCTGTGTCACGCTATACCGCTTTTGGGTGTTTACGAAGGCCCCACAATTCCCCACAAATCTGCCCGCCCCATAAGCCCGTGAACTGTCCAATCAGGGCAGCTGCCTGTGCATTATGCGGATTTCGCTTCCCCAATTTGGGCTCAACTTTTACGATGCTCAAGATGTGATTTACTATTAAGCTTATCCCCCCCCTTTTTCTTTTCCAAATCTTCGCAAACGAGCTGGAAATGACTAACTTCAAGGTATGGGCGAGGTGGCGGCCTCTCAAGTCTGCTGAGTCTCACAATGGCGAAATCACACGCACATCCGACGGGGATCACACTCGTCAACGGCATGAGATCTCGATCTCGATCGCCGCCTCCGCCCGAGACAAAGTGCTTTCGAGCCGTGAGCGATCCTGGAAAAGTGGCCTCTCATTCGACGGGGTTATTGAACCTGACGAGAAAAACAACATTGCATACAATCGCTTAGTGGCACCAATCATCTCCGATGTGCTACAAGGGAAGTGCTGCAACTTTTTCGCATATGGACATTCAGGCAGCGGAAAAACTCATACCATGATTGGCTACGACTTCGAAAACAGCGACGAATTCGGCCTTTGCCTAGCAGCAGCTCATCGCCTGGCTACTGCGCTCGGTGAAATCAACGGGGAGATTACGGTGGCCTCCAAATTCGGCATTGGTCTCCGAGTGTACGAAATGCGCAAGAACAGCGCGTTTGATCTACTCAACAATCAAAACGAATGCTTCGTCCGCGAGGGCGCTGACCGGCGGGTGCACATCCGAGGCGAAACAGAAATACTCGAGGATGGCAAAGTGAGAGTTCGACCAATCACAACCAGAGCATGTTGGAGCTTCGAAGAAGTACAAAGACAACTTCGGGAAGCCCTGAAACAACGTGAAACTGCAACATCGACTATACACGACCAAAGCTCACGTACGCATGCGATTATCGAAATGGAAATCATCACATCGGATCTTCTTCGCGCCCGTGATAGTGTGGTTGAGCGACAATCTGAGCTCGTCCCCGTCGGCAAATACGCCACAGACGTGTATATCGAGGAGCAACTCCTTGCAGTAGTTCAGACCGAAGATGGGAAATATGTGCCAAATCCCGATTACGATGTGACCCGGCAGCAACGGGTCCACGACGCGGAGACCAAAAAGGCCGAGTTTGAAACCCGCGTGAAAGAGGCGGAAGAATACGAAACTGAAGTCTTTGCTTCCATCGCTCAATTACACCAATGTGTTGGCGGAAGGCTTGTCTTCGTGGATTTGGCCGGTGCCGAATTCCTTTCTGGTCCAACTACAAGTGGGTCTATGCTCAAACAGACACCGCAGGAGAAACAACAGGGACGGCAGATCAACACAGACCTTCTTGCATTGAAAGAAGTGATCCGAGCTAGATCAAATACTTCTCAATCGCGCATTCCATATAGGTCCTCGCCATTGACCATGGTCCTGCGTCATCATTTTGAAGCATCTGCTGATTCTCAATCGTCGATTATTGTTACTGTTTCACCAGAAGCAGATCAATATGCCGCCACAATGAACACACTGAAATATGCAGACCTGATTGGACTAGCAAATACACGTGGGGGATGACCCGATCTGGACACATGTTTAGGGAGAACGGATGAAATTGGAGCTTTCCAGAAGCGGGTGGTTTGCTTGTGGTCAATTGAGTACATTGTGCATCTCTTCCCGAGGTCCTTCTTCAAACAAACATCCCTTTTGCCCGTTTGTGTTTCAACAAGCTGGGTAATCTTGTTATCAATGATCCTAAGGAGCATCGACCATTGAAAATTGTGGACGACACCTATTAGACTATAGATAGTGGATATTTCCCTGGAATTGATGCAGCCGGGGAATTTTTGGTCAGGAAATCAAGGTTCAAGCTCCAAATCTGATCTGTAGGCTTAAAGATAGGACTTGGAACAATTTCTGAGTTTGAAGGTAATAGCTTCTCTGGACGAGACGCGATAGTGTAGATATATCCATTGGAGGTTATACCGTGGACATGTAAAAATGTGGGGCTATCGCCTGACCGGACGGGAACTTTTGCGGTACAATCCACAGATGCAGGTAACTACACATCTCTAGGTTCAACTTGAAACTGTTCTCTACATATTCTAGACAATCCCTTATCTCACCACATACGACCACAGGGTGTGGAAAACAGGGCTTCCCGTCCGCTCAGCCGTACTTAAGCCACACGCCGGTGAGTTAGTAGTTGGGTGGGTGACCACCAGCGAATCCTCACTGTTGTATGTTTTTAGTTTTTTTTTTTTTTTTTTTTGGGATCAGCTATACACAAGAGATAAAGTCTTTCCAAGGTTGTGAAAGAGAACCAGCCGAGACGAGTGTGCTCCAAGGCTGTGTGAACGACCAATTTGGGTGACGGCGCGAACTAAGACTACCGAGTAAACCTTGGAACCACACCCGTGGGCTATCACCGCTTTAAAAACTAGTTGTGGTCTGGAGGAAGGAAAAGCAGCTGAGTGAACTGGACTAAGAATTACAGAAGCACCTATACCATTTGGTTATTCCACTATTGACGCTCGTTCTGGGTCTATTCGCGAGCAGGTTGGTTACTTGGGGACTCCAAATTTTCTTATATGACGTTTTGGCGGCCCATGTCGATTAATTATTTCTAGGAATGATGAAGGTTTGAAAGCATCTATGGGCAATGATAATTTTGCGAATAGGACTTATAGCGGGACTTACAACCCGGATTGAGAAATAAATACTAATATTTGTAAATTGAGTATGTATACATGGATGGAATAGAAAGAGTAGAAAGAATGAATGGAAGAGAAAAGAGAAAAGTAACGGGATAGAAGCTGTTCAGGGAACAGTAGATGTGAGAAAAAAGAATCAAAGTTTAGTCAGTGTGTGCTTCTCTTTGAATGCAACGTGCCTCAAGTTCATTTACGTAATGCACTTGAGGCAGTAGTCACTGTGCGAGGTGTATTGTATTCAGTGTCCTCGCATCTCGAGATTTCGTCGGTGGCTATGTCTGCGGTGATGAGACGAGGTCGAGGTAGGAGATGGGGTCGAGCTAGAAGACGACGACTCCGATCTCGATGTGGAAGATGTGGAAGATGTGGTGGTGGTAGGCTTTGACGAAGTGCTTGATGTAGTTAAAGGAGTCGATGTGTGTTTGGCAGAGGAAGTAGAAGTCTTTCTGGTTGAAGTTGACTGTTTTTTGTCACCACCTAACCTAACGGAACCGACCGGACCGAAATTGACACAAGACGGTGACATCGGTGCTTTGAGTTCCTGTACAGAAGAAGTTAATGACGGTTTCAGGGATCCATTGGCAGGTTAAATTGACATACCGCAATAGTGTGCTCCACCATGGGGTCGTCAGGTGTATCAGCTTGCGCAATATCCACGTTAAGGCTGACTCCAGCCTTCGGGGTGATGCAAGCTTTGGAGCCTATGTGACTTCGTCAGGAAATACTCAAACTCATTATTTAGAATTTACTTACCACCAGCCGAGACATGAGCTCCAATATCGGATCCGAGATTGACATCGACTCCCAAACCCTTGTCTAGATAACATTAGTACATTTTTTTCCAATTTGAGAAACTGACTTACCAGTAGACACTGCTACATTGGCTCCGAGATAGGGCCTCAGGTTGACACCGGCTTCATAACCCAGGTCTAAGATGATGTTAGTACATTCAATACATGCTAAGACGGTCATACATACCAAAGACTGATGCCGCAAATTGAATTTCAGCTTTGGCGTAAACCTCAGCCCCAGCCTCGATCTTAGCATCGATCGTCACCGGCTTGGTGTCAACTTGAGGAGTCCACCCGCCAGCGGATACGTCTGGAGACAGAAAATCAATTTCGAGCTCTGCAGAGTTCTCTAGACTGATAGTCACTCCGGCTGATATGCCCGCGGAACCTTTGATAGGACCAATTTGATATCCAAAACTAAAGACAATTTCCGGGCCAAGGTCAAGAACACCCCCTGGAATTGAGATACCATCGACAGGGATCTTTATGAGCTCGTGCTCGTTGGAGATGTCACCGGTCATGTTCCCACTCAGTCCTAGGCGGGGTGTGAAGGTTGCAGAGACGTCATTAGGCGAGAGTGTTAATGAGGCGGACTCGGGGATGCCAGCGTTTGTCTTGATGTGGACACCAAAATCGAACGATCCTTTTGTTTCACACCCTTCACATGAAATGTCCACGGAGACATCCTTGCCGGGAATAGGGATCGACTTGCTGAGGGGTATGTTATGGTTAAAGCTTAGGGAAGTTTCATCGTCGTAGTCGTCCCAGCCTCGCCTGGCTGTGGATGATTCTGGAACATTGCCCACTGTGACCTCGTAATTACGGAAGATTTGTTTCCATTCCGATGCCACGCCGCTCAATTTTGCCTTTAGTGATGGCTTGTCGAACGTGATTGATGAGACGACGAATGGCAACCTGTGAGGGTTCCAGCCACAGTGCTTACTGCCCATCACAAGGATCAATTTACGGTCATCGTCATCATTGACCCACTGCCATCCACGCTGGGTGTATCCAAACGCACGAGTGTCTTCCAACTCCAGGACTATGCCATCACCGGTGCAGTTAACGGATGTCAACAGGTGTCGGAACTTTTCCATGGAAACGATGTTTGCTTCGTCCTCGCCGACATCGACTGTGAGGTTCGCCAGCGTCTTGTGGCCATTCTGGGAACCTGTTAAACACAGTTAGTTATCTTGTCATCGCTCGAGGAACATGCTCCATCCACGGGGAACCATACCGCTCCAATAGTAGGAGTCTTTGCTCAATCGATCAAAAACCGAAAAAGCAGCATCTTCGTTCGATTGATCTCGACTTGCGAGAAGGGGGTTGACGGCATCAGGAGCGTCTGTATCTTCAAAAACCATAGACAAGCCTTGTTGAGCGAGAAGGGCCAGGGTCAGGCTGGAAGAGAGCCAGAATCGCCGGATATTCACCATCGTGAGTGCGAAAATGAAGTCTGCCTCTTGATAATACGGTTTTCAGGCCCAGTCAAAAGCGATCTGTTTTCCCTAAAAAACCCCATTTTGCGGCTCCCCGGAATTTATATTGTTAGGGTGAAAACCTCGTATTCCTTCCCATGAACGAGCGTCGTCTTCAAACCGCTGAGGATAATTCTCTAGTGGGCAAGACAAGCCACCTTCGGCGAGATCTAATCCAAACTTTTGTAGCCAATAATAGGGCTCAGCACCTCAAATCTTGGCAGGGGCAGACGGCAAGACGCGGCAACGTTCGTGTTCTTATGCAGGCTGTCTCCGGATCCACATTTTAGGTCTGTTCGTTCAGCGATCCTGTCCCTTTGAAGATAACGAGCCATTTGTTATCGCTTATCATAATCTTACAATTCGTATTGAGCCGCATCAGATCTAACTAAGAGAAGTTGGTTCTTGCGAGGCTAAAATTAGTTGAGGATGTTTCACTTCTAAACCAACATCAGGGTCTTGGGGGCCGAAGGTAAGTGGCCTGTTAGCATCATTGGAATCCATACAATTTAATTGAAGGGCGATTACATTCACCAGAAACCCTCGTGCGATATAACACCGCGTGTCCCCACATCAGAGAAGAAAAAACACTATATGAAAGAACCGACCGCAACCTTGGGATTATTAACTAGTGACACCTTACTACGTACTCGGTAGAGTTTCAACTTCCACTACATAATTTACTGCTGAATTGACATTCATGGAAACAACACCAAAAAAGCAAAAACATACAATAGTGAGGATTCGCTGGTGGCCACCCACCCAACTACCAACTCACCAGCGTGTGGCTTAAATGCGACCTAAAAAAGAAACCGCCTTATCAGCAACATATGGGCTACCTCCTGAAGTGGGAAGAGCGCGCTGGCGGTCTGACATCGCAGACAAGACGACGGGGGTGCTCAGTGCTCGACGAGGATCATGGGGAGCTAAGCAGGCCCCCTGTGCAACCAGAATAGGAAATAGATGCTGTTTTTCAGAGATGTATAGAATGCTTGAATTGCTAAACTATGCGATCGCGAGATATGTTTGATGTTTGCCTGGTTTGTCAGGCTCCCGCGGGTGTAGATTGTGATAGCTTCTCTCTCCCTCTTCTTCTTCTCCTCGTCTCTCACAATTCTACAAGATCGTACATGTCTACGGTGCTCCTTTTCGTCGATAATAAATCTGAAGCTGTGGGATGCATCTAGCTCCCATTGTGGCGGAAATTAAACTCCGCCCCCGCCCCCGCCCCCTCAAAGTCTCAGCCTCCTCATGTCAACAACCCCTGGTGACAGTCCATGCGGGGACTATGTGGTCCAATTCCATCCTGAGAGGGAGAACGTGAATCTTGACTGCCAAGCTGGGGTTCTGCCAAATGTAGAACCACCTACCCCAATATAGATGTTTTGATACATTGTCATCTTCAGCATCATTGGCCCGATCACAAGGTCAGTCTTTTTTCGGGGTGATGAAGAACCGAAGACTTGCGCTACCAGAATAATGCCGCTTTAGATATCTTCTGATCGTTCGAGCTCGGCTGCAGCGCAGGCGTCGGGATGTGGAGATCGATGCCGAGGATGCAAGCAAGCACGCCGCGGAGTCCATCCCCGTGGAGAAATTTGACATTTAGTGCAAGATGAGGGCCGCATAAAGTCGCCAAGCGTCTTCAGAATCGATCAAAGTGATGATAATGCAAACACCTATTCAAATGCGGGGTGCAGAACCCGATTTCGGGCTATGATTATGACGAAGAGCGATCCATTGTGGTATAAAAAACTTGATTCAGCCCCATTCAATGGTATCTACAGATCATCAACCGATTCTGAGTGACCTGGTCGAGCAGATCCTCTGTTGGACAACAAAGATGTTGACCTTCAAACTATTTTCCGCCCTGATCATTGCATCAACTGCTCATGCAGCGGCCGTTTCGAGCTACCTCGATTGGAAGTCGTTCAATGCCACCGGCCTCAATTTGGGAGGCTGGCTTGTCCAGGAGTCTACCATTGATACCACCTGGTGGGCGACTTATTCCGGTGGAGCTCCGGATGAATGGGGCCTCTGCGCCAACCTAGGCACCCAGTGCGGCCCAGTTCTGGAGCGACGGTATGCTACGTGGATCACTCCTGCCGACATTGATGCTTTCGCTGCGGCGGGCATCAATGCCCTTCGTATCCCAACTTCATACGCTGCCTGGATCAAAGTCCCTGGGTCTCAGCTTTACAGTGGCAATCAAGTCTCGTTCCTCGAGGCCATCTCGAAGTACGCTATCAACAAGTATGGAATGCATATCATCATTGATGTTCATTCTCTTCCTGGGGGTGTTAACGGGATGGCATTTGGAGAAGCGGAAGGGCACTACGGCTGGTTCAACAACGCGACAGCCCTCGATTATTCTTTGCAAGTCATTGATTCGGTGATCAGCTTTGTGAGAAACTCCCAGTTTCCCGGATCCTTCACGATTGCTCCAATCAACGAACCCGTGGATGTACCGGACATTGCTGTCTTTGGTACCCCATACTGCCTTACCGATGACGGAGCAAAATATGTCCAGAAATACATCGATCAAGTCATTGCAAAAGTCGAAGCCGCCGATTCACGAATTCCAATCATGTTCCAGGGCAGCTTCAAAGGTGAAAGTTATTGGTCACCCAACTTCGCTGCCGACAAAAATCTGGTGTTCGATGTCCATAACTATTATTTTGCGGGCCGTGGTGCCAGCTCAGCAAATCTCACTCAATTCATTTGCCAGGACGCGGTGGCCGCGGCGGGAGATGGAAAGTTTCCTGTTTTCATTGGAGAATGGTCCATTCAAGCAGAGATTGATAACACTTTCTCAAGCCGGAAGAAGAATTTGCAGACTGGCATCGCTGCGTGGAAGAAGTACACTCGAGGTAGCTCGTACTGGACTGCCAAGTTCTTTGGCGATGCGACGGTTTCTGGAGAGGGTACTCAGGCTGATTACTGGAACTATGATACTTTCGTCCGTTTGGGTTATACGAGCTCGTCTGCGAATGCTGTGACGTGCTAGTTGAACGAGTAGCTTGGTATCAGCATGATCGAAGCTACTGTCTTGAACATCTCTTCTATCAACAGCTCTCTCGGTGTGTTAATGAGAATTCTCTGCATGGCAGGCGCAGTATATAGCTCCAAGAATGCCAACTTCTTTCAACTTCAACCACCCTCGGCTTTTATTGCTGAGTTGACATGCAATGAATTTAAAAAATAAAATGAAACCAAAAACATACAACAGTGAGGATTCGCTGGTGGTCACCCACCCAACTACTAACTCACCGGCGTGTGGCTTAAGTACGGCTGAGCGGACGGGAAGCCCTGTTCTCCACACCCTGTGGTCGTATGTACTGGAAATTTCTATGAGGCTATCCAAGAGGTATGAGCGATGGCTGTTGATAAAGGGGTGTGCGCCGGCTTCCGATATATGTAGTTCTCTTTTTTGATTATATGTACTCTGTACTCTGTACTCCGTATGTAGTACCCAGTCCGATGATTACCAATGCTTGTGTTCCATCTTGGTTTGCGGCTGTACTACTGCGGACTAGCGGACACCCCGCAGATATCCCCAGCTACCCTATTGCGTTAAGATTGCGCCCCAAATGTGAGGTAGCATACGATTGAGAGCAATTTTCGACGAATGGGCCCCCGTGCTGGGAGCACTATGGTATTCTTAGGCTACCCAGGCAGCAAAATACCTTCATAGATTACCTTTTTAACTAATTGCAGCAATAAACCTTGCGAAGCCTTGTCTCAACCAGGTAATTTGCTCACAGAATGCATGAATAGGCATATTCACACAGCCACAAGAAACCCGGACCTTGAGAGAATCTTGGAATTTTTCAAAAACTATATATCACACCGAATTCTCATTTCCATACGATGCTCGTTGGAAGTCGGAAACTCCAAGCTCAAAAGTCCAGCAAACTTGATTATATCATTCATCTACAGTCTCGCCATGCACTTCAAACGTCTTGTCCGTGCAATTACGTTTCTTTTAATTTCTGTAACAGTCCTTGGATTCTCGCCAACCTCAAGCGACAATCGGCAACTGGCACCCTTGAAAAAAGCCACCACCGCTACCCCCAGCTTGCTCAGTGTCGAGTATTTTGAAGACGGACCAGTTGATGGCGAGCCAGTGATTCTAGTCCACGGCTTTCCATACTCGATAGATGCGTTTGCTTCTGTGGCCCCAGCCTTAGTGAGCCAAGGCTACCGAGTCATCATTCCATCCCTGCGTGGCTACGGCGGGACCAGATTCCTACATCAGGACACCCCTCGAAGTGCGGAGCAAGCAGCATTGGGATATGATCTTATCGCGTTGATGGATGCCCTTAAAATTGACCAAGCTATTTGCGCTGGTTATGACTGGGGCAGCGTTGTTGTGAATGTTGCGGCGGCCTTGTGGCCAGAGAGGTGCACTCGCATGGTCGCTGCCAACAGCTACCTCATTCAGAACCGAAGCACCGCCTGGATCCCAACAGACCCAAATGCCGAAGCGACTCGCTGGTATTATTATGCTTTCCTTACGCCGCGAGGCGCTGCGGGCTTAGCTGAACGACCTAAGGATTGGACGCGAACTCTCTGGGAGAAAAATTCAGTCGGATGGAATTTCACCGAGGATTATCTCGACCTCACCACCAGGGCGCTATTGAACCCCGACTTTGTCGACATCACAGTTAACTTTTACCGAAATCGTCTTCTCTATGCTCCGGGAGACCCTGCTTTTGCCGAGCTTGCGAATAAGTTAGACAGCCAGCCACCCATTACAGTTCCCTCAGTCACACTTGATCCGGAAGATAGTGTTGTTCTGGCACCAGCGAACGCCACTGCTTCTGCAAAGTTCTTCAAGGGACCGCGGTGTCATTATCGACTTCCGAATGTCGGCGAGAATATTCCCTATCAAGCACCTGAAATATTTGTGAACGCAGTCCTGCAAGTTTCCAAGCTGAGTGGGGCAAATGTGACATGTTCTCCAATTTCCTAAGGGCGTTGCGGTATAGACTGGGAGGCTGAGTGATTGTGCCCCACTGGAATGCAAGCTAACCAACTGGTGAGCTCGTCGAATCTTCTTGAATAAATGTCACCAATATAATGTTTTTGGAATTTCGAACTTCTTGACCCAAATGTCTCTTGACTAATCAACTGATGCGCGAGCCACTTGATTTTTCTCACAGCGATTTGACCCAGTATAATGCGTAGAAAGTCTTCAGTCATGAGCCTGGATGTTTCGTGAACCTTTTACATCCACGAGAACACCTTTGTCCCGTAGAGTGATAAGTTTTAATAGATAATAGAAGTTGGTTGAGGAAAGATAGATCACTGTAATGGCTGGTACGGAATAGATATGGATCCTTTGCCGGCTGTCACCTGGGTATTTGCATCTTGACTCGCCCCCACAGTAAGGATATTTTCAGTAAGGAGTACACCACGAGAGGAATGAATACCTTCGCTGGAGAAACACAGAGAGATGTTCCCGTGAGATAGCTCCCGGCTTTATTGGTAGGTCGAGAATTTTTGGGGCAAATTTTTGCGGAGGGGAAGTCGAGACCCAAGTCTTGGCGTTTGTGCGGACGCGTTTTGCAAAGCTTCATTTTGACCTTGAATGCAGAATGTGCATTTTCCCTTGATTTGATGCTCGCGTTTGGCAAAGTGGATAGAGATTGGGTTTTACTCATCGCGAAAACACCCGCGTCAGTGCGCTTTGACTTTGACAATGCCTGCAACGATGCTGTGCAGAGCCGCGCTGGCGAGTCTTTAGGTCGACCAATAGCTGATGCACGCGTTGCGTTTTTCTCCTTTGAAAAAGAAAAGAAAGTAATATATTAGGATCCTTGTAAAGAACCGAGGACCAATAGACATTCGAACCACTTATGATATCCCGGGATAATCCCCGGAGAAAATGACTTCAGGCGCCCAGCGTCGCCCCCGGGGCCAGCATGGCTCCTCCCCTAACAGAACGAGTCATGTGACCCGTTTGTGGCTATTTATTGTTTATACCATTCTTTGAGAGCTCTCCTGTCCGTTTGAACTCTTTATCAATCTCGCTTTCTTTCGGTTTTTACTCCCCAATGTACGCCCTCCAACGCTTATTCTACGGGTTCCCCGAACCCGCCCCACACCAACGAACTAAGCCCGTCGAAGTGCTTTGCTTAGGTCTACCACGCACCGGAACCGAGTCACTGACCGTCGCCTTACGAACGTTGGGCCTGTCAGCATATCATGGCTGGGACTTAGTTTTCGAGTCTGATGGCAGCAAGTTGCAACTTTGCCATGAGCTAGTGCGGCGAAAATACCACGGCGCCCACGATGGTGACGTGCAGATCACCCGGGCAGAGTTCGACACCCTCATCGGGGACAGTCAGGCTGTGGTGGATTCCTTGTGCATTTTATTTGCCCCCGAGCTGCTCGCCGCCTACCCGGAAGCCAAAGTGATCCTCAACCAGCGCCTCGATATGAACGCCTGGTACCGTAGCCTGGAAAAAACGATCGTGGCGATCGATCAATCCTGGCTCATATGGGGAATGCAGTGGTTTTCCCCGGAACTCCATTGGCTGTGCAGCCTTTACTTGAGATACGGATACCCGGGCGTGTTTCATGGCGTCACCACCACAGATAGCATTCGTCGAAACGCCAAGTGGGTCTATCGCGATCACTGCAACATGGTTCGGGGTATGGTGCCCAAGGACAACCTGCTTGAGTGGTCCGTTGAAGATGGCTGGGAGCCAATTTGCGAGGTATTTCTTTCGAACAATTAGCATTTACGTCAAACCCATGGCTGATGACAGATAGTTCCTCGGCAGGCCTGTTCCGGACGAACCCTTCCCCAGAACTAATAATCCCGGAAATTACGCCAAGCGCGCTGATGAAATTATTCAAAAGCGGATGCGCAGATGTGTTCGCAACTTGGCTCTCGTCACCGTGACTCTAGGCGGGATCACCACTGCCGTTGTAATCTGGTGGCATGGACGGATCCCGGAAGCCACAAGTCTCAGTGATCACTTAAAGCGATTCACTCAAGTGGCTTAGAACCAAAGTGGCGAACAACACCCCAAACAAAACAGTTGAAAGATTTATTCTTGGACACACTTTCTACACCGCCCCTCCCCAGAAAAGTGACTTCATCTGGTGTTGGGTTCGAGAAAGGATGTCTGTCAGACTTCCGCAATAAGCCAAGTGGGCCCGGATCTCGGGTCTACAGTCCACACACCTTGGGCCAGCCCAATAAGCAGCACATTCAAATCATGAGGCTCCAGAGAATGCTATCGCTATTGACATCTTTAATTGCTGATATCACAATCTTCCAATTTTCAATCACTACCCTTACCTCTTCAATATTTGATTGAATATTTCAACGTCATGTCATTCCAAGGTTATCCCTTAGAGAGGATTAAAATAACGAGGTTATATTCTTAAGATTTGGGCGTGTATACACTCATCTCAAAGCCATTGGTATATGGCAAAGTCATGTTTTGGAAACCATTAGCGGGATCCCGAAGGTACGCCAGCAAATCCGCATATCCCTGTGCACCCGAGATGGTGTTATCGGTCAAGACCACTGCGCCTGCCTTCATGCGCGGGAGAACAGTTTTGAGGGTTGGAAGTGCAAGTGCCGACCAGACTGTATGGAATTAGCAAAAGAGCACCAGCCGAAACCAGATCCGAACTTACTATCGAGAAGCAAAAGATCAACATCTGGTAATCCACTCTTGAGAGTCTCAAGAAGATCACCCTCTCTCAAATCAATCTGCTGCTCCACTTCAGGGCCACATTGTGCCCAATACTGGCGCGCAACAGCCGCCTTTTCGGGCTCGTTCTCGGTGGCGATGACAGTACCGGACTTCCCGGTAGCGGCTTTCGTCTTCGCAATGGCGAGCGCGAGGTAGACTGTGCTCACTCCAAAGCTAGTTCCTGCTTCCACAATGTTGGTGGCCCCCATAGCATTGATCAACTGGTATGTGAATTGACATTTATCTTCATCCAGAGCAATGGACTTGTCCAGCATGAGCTTCTTAAATGCCGCCTTGGGATCATTGCTTGGCTGCTTGTCTTCAAGATCTCCAAGGACATCTGCCGAGAAGACCTTTCCTTTCTTCGAGATGACAGCTTCCTGGTCTAATGACTTTTTGTGAAGCTCAGTCAAGAGTTGCAGGATGTGCGGCGGGGTGTCGGGAAGTAAAGGGCTTGTCATCTTGTTTGATCAAACAATTTCAATTGTTTTGTGTGAGGCCGTGTTATTAAAGATTGAGAGAAGAGGGCGATTGGTGGATGACACAGCGCGAAAATGGATTTATGTTGGACATCTCGATGTGTTGTGGGGTAACCAAGTCTTGGCATTTTGGGGAACTATACCCCACGAGAATACCGCGCACTGTGAATTAGCATTTCGTGATGAATACAAATGTGAAATATCCCCTCAAATAAATGACCATAGTCATAATAAATGTTATGCTCAGGTAGCTACGGTGAGTTTTGATCTAGTCCCCATCGCAGTAGTTGCACTTTTCAAGGTTGAATGAGAGAACTGATCACCGACGGCATTCAAAGGCATTCTAATTGTTAAGCATTCAGATTTGCCGGCCACGTCGTCGCATGCTTCACGTTTGTTTCCACTTTTGCTACTGCTTGTGGAGAATCTATGGGTATTCCAACGTAAATACTAGAAGTCACTACATTCACGTGCATATCTATACGATACTCTGTACCTCATCGGAAAAAGAGTCTGCCGTGTAGCAAACAGCAGAAGGTCTTGGCACGGGCGTTGTTTTTACCGATCGATGAACCCGATCATACAAAATATATAGCAACTGATTTTGTCTGTATGAAGCAGTAATACTTATGTTTTGAAGTTGAATCAGACCTCAAGTTCTCAAGACAGTGACAAGATGCCCGATCTTCATTCCCTCCCCGAGGGTACCCATGATATCTTAATTTTAATACCAAGATGTTCTCTTTCCTCTAGGGGAGACATATGAGATTACGATAGTACTCGATCTCTCAATGAAAACAAAACTTGCAGCTGCTCTTACCGGTTTCAGAGTGTCCATGGGCTGCACCCACGGTTGAGCAATGATTTATTTTATCAAATTCCTTCATTGAGTTGAGCTACGGAGCATGAGCTGAAGATACAATGGCTCTGTTTGAATACGTTAAGATAACTTCAATGATGAATCTCGCTGTCCTTTTTGATATGAGAGGACTCAAAAAATTCTAGTGGAGTTTGACTATCCCCTTAGTCAAGTCGATTCATTTCTATCGGTTTTTGCTTGTCTCTGTGCAACCTCTCGGGAAATTCCAGCCTGGACCTGTTGAACTAAATGTTCGCCTATGCTCCTGCCAGTCCACAGCCTGTCCTGTTCCAAGCCTTGCCAAATCAAAGCTTCGGTGCCTAAAATAAGGCTCCATCCTTTTTGCTTCACTATGCTTGCTAGCTTGGTAAATGGAGTCGGGTTGTAACACATCTCCAAAACAAAGCCTTTAGCCTCCATGCTCAGAAAACTCTCGATTATTCTCCTCACGGCGATTTCCTCTGTCGTTTGTGGTTCAAAATCTGGTATACATGAGATGATCGCACCAGGCGCATGAAGGTCCAAAGCTTGGGAAACCGTCTCAACGTGCAACAGATCATGACCATAGCCTCGGTTCGAAAAATCCTCAAGAAGTGTATTCACCTCAGACTTGTCGCGGTTGACGAGATAGATGGTGGTGACGTTCATCCATTTGCGAAGGGCGTAAACGGCTCTGCGTGCCGCTCCACCACCACCGATAACAAGAGCAGGGCGGTCATGGAATGTTCGCTCTGTGGGTTTGATGTTCCGATAGAAAGCGTCACGAATACCAACCGTGTCTGTATTTGCACCGCATGGAATCTGACGCCCTTAGTCTTGTCGGAAGTAAACAGTGTTGCAAGCGCCAATGTCTCGGCATTCGTCCGTCATCTCATCGAGGTAGGGTAAGATTGCCACGTTGTTTGGCATTGTGATAGCCGCGCCTTCACACTTTGAGTCAGTGAGGAATTTTCCAAAGTTTCTGGATTGAGGATCTCGTTTACCAAAGAATTCTGGGTGGTGGACCAGCTTCATGAACTCTCCCATGTCATCCAATTCCAGTCGAACTTGGCCCCAAGGTAGGTCTAATCCTCGAAATACAAAGTCATGAATAAACGGTGCCCAAGAATTGGCAATTTTCTTGCCGACCACATATCCATGTCGACCAAGTTGGGAGATATCGGATGGGGATAGGATATCTCCTGATGGAAAGCGTTCAAGTGTCATCTTAGGGGGGTACAGAAAAGACCTTCGGGGATGTCCAGGCACGGTTGGGAATTTTTGGCCAAGCCAATTGACGCAGCGCTGCTGTGCAAGACTGTGAATGTAGCACGCCACAGTAGTTTATCTTGAGCAGAGATACTTCCCTGATCCCAAAACGAACTGACAGCCCTTCGGAGGTCTTGAGGAAAAGCAGCAAGCTTCCCTGTTGGGATTAGCTATGCTTCGAAATCTGAAAAATACCGAAGACTTCCAAGGTTGTTGCTATGGACGAGAAAATAATCATCCGTAACCGTGCTTTATAGAATGAAAACTCACCTTACCGGTGAAGGTCTTTGGCGACGTCGGTTCGGGTTCCATTCAGCCGACGAGAGCTGGGGTCCCCTCTTTCATCGGGCTTCTTTGCCGGCTCCACTCTGAAATCGGAATAGCAAAATCAAGATCTATACTCGTGAACTGGGAGTTTCCAATGGTGAGGGACATCTTATCCGTGCCTAAACTCTGAAAACCTAGCGTCTAGCGATACATTTCTATGGAAATACACAGAACGTATATAAACATTACGAGAGCCTGGGAACTTTCCAAGTTTGCAGGTTCATTTGATTTCATTTACTCTTACGATACTTTAAGTCAAGAAAAGCACCATATCCCCAGTACGAACAATGTCTTCCCACAAAATCCTCTTGATCAACGGCCCAAATCTGAACCTTTTGGGCACCCGGGAGCCTCACATTTATGGTTCGACAACCCTCCAGCAGCTGGACTCGGCAATCACCGCGCGGGCATCGCAAAACAACATAAACATTACCTGCTTCCAGTCGAACTCGGAAGGTGATATTGTGAGCCGAATCCACAAGGCTGGGGAAGATGGGGTAGCCAGCATCATCATCAACCCGGCCGCGTACACGCATACATCGGTCGCAATCCGCGATGCCCTTCTTGGTGTCGATATACCATTTGTCGAAATTCATATCTCGAACCCTCATAAGCGAGAGACATTTCGCCATCACAGCTACTTGAAGGATAAGGCCAGCGCAGTGATATGCGGAATGGGGATTTACGGTTACTTCGCTGCGCTGGACTGGTGGGCGTGGACTCTTGCCGGAAAGCAAATCATTTGACTTGCTTCTCAAAGCGTATGATGCGCTCTCAGGTCGCCGAAGTTATTCTTTCAAAGAATGAGATATGAATTTGAGGCCATCGATGTACGATCAACCTGAAATTATTTTCCGAGCCAGCAGAGATGTTGATTCCAGCGGCAATTCTTGCAGTGAAACTCGCTGTGCTCAGCATAGTGTATAAAGGTATTAGATCACCCATAGTAATGCCAGTGTATTTCCTGCATATTGCAAGGCCGTTGTTTGTCAAAGCCGAAAGATGTCAAAATTACCCCAAAATGCCAAGACCAACAGGCAAACATAGCAAACTCTGTGCATCCTCGATGGCACTCCCAGCCAATCAGAAGCTCGATTTTAGGAGTTTCCCAAGATTGTGTCATGCTGAGTCACCTCCGCGGATTTGCGTCTGGTCATTCCCTTCTCCATAGGGGTTGTCTCGAAAATGCCACCGAGGAAAAGGCAAAAGCCAAGGCCAGGTGAAGGTGTGGCAGGGCGTCATGAAAGTTCTGACCAGCCGCCACTTGCAGCAAAAAAGCCCAAACGCGCCTTCCGTTGCCAATTCTGCGCCAAAGAATTTCTACGAAATGAGCATTTACAACGACATGAGCGACTGCGTATGAATTCCACGCACTCAAAAGAACTGCGCTTACCATATGTCAGATACCAAAGAGAAACCATTTGGGTGCTCGAATTGCCCCCAAACCTTTACCCGAAGGTATCGGTTCTCCAAGGCCCTCGCGCGTAGATTACCAGATGGGGCTGACTTTTATGCCTTACTGATACAGTGATCTCCTAGCACGCCATATCCGTATCTTACATGGGCCTTCAGTAACCCATATTGTCTCAGATCCAGCTTGTCACAACCACGAGGAAGCCCCACAGCATGCTGAGCGCATTCCCAATTCTCCAGGCAACTTGTCTCCTGTTGATGCGCAAAGTCAAAATACTGCTTTATATGACCCAGCTCATTCATATTTAGAAACATCAACATCTGGCGCTGATTTGACCCTTTGCCCAGATCCAGCTGCGTCAATTAACCCAGCACCATCCGCATCTCACACGGGGGTGTCATCGGCCGAAGGGATAAACGACGTACCTCACATCTCATGGACCCAACCGAGCAGCAACTTTGGCGACTTTGCTCTATTCATTGATAGCATGAATATGCCGTATGGGAGCAATGGCGGCTTCTTCGTTGACCAACCAGCTCTGGCTCTATCGCCTCATCCTCTATTCAGCGAGATAAATGAGCAGCAGTGGCATGGCCATCAGCAGCCACCACATATAGCTCCTCTTAACATCGACACGGATGACACGTCTACACCACGTTTATTCGATGAGTTCTCATCGACATTTCCCTCTTTCGAGTCACCCTCTTCCAAGTCTAAGCATGAGCCCTGGAGAGTCACACAGCAAGACTGGGAGCATTTACTAGGCGAGATACAGACTATGGTCTCCATCATTCCTCCTGAATTCTCGCTCCCGTCTCGCCACACTATGACTCGTTACATCGCAACATATTTTTCGGGATTCCATCGTCATCTACCCTTTCTCCACGTGCCGACATTTGAGCCCACAAAATGCCCAGTTGAGTTGATTCTGGCCATGGCTACCATCGGAGCACAGTCAGCCTTTGACAACGCCAATGCGGTCATGTTCTTCCGGACGTCGTACGCGATAGCACTGGAGCGCCTGCGCAACCGCAAAGCCCAACTCCGGGACAAAAGGTTTCCAGCGGAAGACGCATCCACGCTTACCGGGGCTCCACTGGGTCCCCAGAATAGACCATGGGTGGGATCATTGCCCTCAAATGTTCCGAACCCGTCAGTTCTGCCTTCGGATCAAGATGAAGCGGACCGATTTGATCCTCTCAGCATATCCCAGACACTGCTTGTGCTCATGGCAATGGCAACGTGGGGCAATTCAAAGGCGATTTATAACGAGGCTATCGGCCTCCAGAATATCTTGGCCGAGCATATGCGAGAGGAAAAACTCCTTGAGGCGCGCAAACATCATTCTGAGCATGCAAATTGGGCCGAATGGATCCGTGCGGAGGGTCATAATAGGACTGTGGGTATAATCTTCTGCTTCTTTATTTTTCATACGATAGTCTACGACACCCCGCCCCCGATCTTGAATTCCGAGCTCTACATCACCCTGCCATCGTTGGAAATCAGTTGGGCAGCGCGAACTGAGAAAGACTGGCAAGAAACTCGCAAACAAGCAGAGCCCCAGGTTACTTTCCAGTCATGCTTCTCCCTTCTATTTGCAAGGGAAGGCGAAGGAACTACCATGAGGCCAAAGGCATGTTCTTCATTGGGCGCGTACATCCTCATCCTTGCATTGATTCAGCACATATATTTTCTGAGGGAAATGGCTAAGCGCAAGGCCCCTTTTGATCAAGGACCTGCCCCGAAAGATGTGGCTGAGGTGGAACAAGCACTCAAAAACTGGCAACACAGATGGTACATGGACCCAGAGTCATCATTTGGCCCTGGAAGTCCACACGGACCAATATCATTCAACTCGACTGCATTGCTCCGCATGGCTTACATACGATTGACCGTTGACGTGGGCCCCTGGCGAGCTCTCAATACCCACGATGCAGAGGATATCGCGGCTTCTATTCACCGAAGCCCGGAATTGGAACCAACTCACAAGCTCACTCGTGCAGTTCTGTACTCTGCGCATGCCTTGAGTATCCCTGTCAAAATCGGTGTCAACATCGTGGCCCGTAATCAGGCGTTTGCTTGGTCTCTTCAACATTCACTCTGTGCGCTTGAGTGTGCTTTCGTGCTCAGCAAGTGGTTGATTGCGATACAGCATCGCTCCCCCGGCGTTCCTCTTGGCGAGGATGAATCCAGACTCCTTGCTTATGTAGTCGACATGGTCGCAGAGGCAGATTCCGGATTTCATTTTGACAGTCAACGGGAATTGACGGCAACTCTACCTGATTTGTGTATTCGAGTTGTTCAAATCTGGGCACGGCTCTTGAGCGGAGTTGCCGTTTGGAATGTTGTGCGCATGATAGGGAAAGCCTTGGCCGCGTATGGTCGCATCTTGGAACAGCAATGGGGTAAACCCGAAAGCGAGACAGTTTCTCCAAACGACACGAATTGAATGATGATATACATTTGTTCATACACATATTTTAATTAACATCCGAGTGGCTTCCATACCATCAATATTCAAATCTCGGGGAAGTCTCCACGTTTCCCCAGAATCACCCAAGCCTTAAGCAGGACACCATGAATCTTCGCCACAAGTAGTAACCGCTTCCAAGGTTCAGCACCATACACTATCATAAAAGAGTGTGACCTTGCTTTTGGCTCTGCGAAGCTTGCTTTGATATTCATGAATGGCTGTTGTTAATTCTATGTTTTTCTCATACTGTGACTTTACTCTGCCACTCTTCTCGCTTTTGTCTGTGTTTTGTTGCTACAATAAGATTGACGCAATGTCTCGATCGAATTCTGGAGCGGTGATCACAGGCCAGTCTACGAGAGAAATCAGCCATTGGAACAGTAGAGTCATTGCTTGAAACATTGAGCTGTACGGCGTTAACGCTCGTCTGCCCTTTCCATTTCGCTCATTGCTGCCCTCAGTGAAATGGATCAAGCACCCGTGGAACTTGAAGTAACAAGAGTCTGTTGGGAGGTCAGATGACTCCCTTTGTTTAGGTAGCTCTCTCTCTCTCTCTCTCTCTCCTCCCTTTTTTCCCCGGTCGGTCTTTTTTGCTTCACAGCCAGAATCTGCTGTTTTGAAGCGATTCGTGCTTCTCCGCAGATCAGCCTGTTCTCAGAGTCCACACACAAGAACACTCAAGTTCTCGTTGCTCCCAGCGGCAATTCTGAGTCAGGATGCTACCAGCGATCAAGGGCACTCGTTCTTCTCACTTCGAATCTGCCTGTTCTCACTTCGAGTCATCTTCTCCCCCTTTTGAGCGTTCTTCTTTTCCCTTCGAGCGTTCCTCTCCCTTCAAGTCTTCTTTTTTTTCTGACTCTCGGTCGTGAACACGAACTGACAGAGCGCATTGCCGAGGACTTATAAATCTTCAAAGGGGAGAGTCGCGCAGCTGGCACATCAACATGGTCTTGGCAGAATTGATTGCTGACAGTGCCATAGCCATGGAACATATAACACCACAACCGGCCCATCCACCAGAGAGTGAGATAAAACCCAAGGCCAGTCCAGGATCAAAGTACATTTCAACTGGCTCTCCAATCCAAAACCTGTTGTACCCCACAACTTGGGGGCGCTCGTCTCTCCAATTCCCTGCGTACGGGGTGTGATGTTCCCCATTTTCGCCCTTGGGGTGAAAGGAGAGGGTGGGCAGCTTGAAGTCAATACCCAAAACAAGAACAACGTTGCGCATATGCTGCGCAATCTACGCTCGCTATCTTGTCGAGCTAATGGGGAAGAGGTGACATGTCGAGTCTTTGACGAGGCAGTTCGTGCATTTGCATCAATCTTACAATGGTAACAATTTGGGGTCATTGGACCCGGGCCAAATCTGGCCATATCTACATCCACTCTGCCTGCTCGAAATCAACCAGCATCCAAGCGATCGACAACGCTGGCTGGCAATCCCTCCGTCTCGAACTCCACGATACAATAGACTGACAGCGCCGCTGTCAGTCTGCGACGAGACGGGTATTATACCCCTCTTTCGTGGTTATACCAATCAATTAATCCTACAAGCCTGAGTGCCGCGCGTCAGCGCGGCCAAAAAGACGATCATAGCTGGTTGTAAACAGGAGTAATTATATATTAACTTAATCTTCTATTTCGATAGATAATAGATAAGAGCTATCAATATCTTCGGGACCTCTTTTTAACTATCTTTTTGGCTGTCTTTTTGGCTGTCTTTTTGGCTGTCTTTTTGGCTGTCTTTTTGGCTGTCTTTTTGGCTGTCTTTTTGGCTGTCTTTTTGGCTGTCCTGTTGGCTGTCCTTCTCAGCGGGTACGGAGTACTCCGCAGTTATCGAGTACAGGAAGTCTTGGCTAAGCTGTGAATAGAGAATTAGGGATTGGAGATTATAAATTAGCCAACAGCTGATTTAAGCACATACGACCACAGGGTGTGGAGAACAGGGCTTCCCGTCCGCTCAGCCGTACTTAAGCCACACGCCGGTGAGTTAGTAGTTGGGTGGGTGACCACCAGCGAATCCTCACTGTTGTATGTTTTTGTTTTTGCATTCTTTTTTGTTGAAAACCACCTCTCCTCCAGATCCTGTTTGATTTCATGAACGACTGTACTCTACGACAATAAATTTCCACGGCTTAGGCTTCTCCAAGGTTTCTGTCGGTGTTCATCTCTGGCATTCCCCAGAGTTCAGCAGTATTTTATTCATCGTGGGCCTTCAAAGTTGTCTGTTACTTCACTACAATCCAAACATACCCCATGGATAGCATAGCGATCTGTAGCACTCTCTCTTGTCACTTCATTCTCTCTTCTCACTTCACTCTCACTTCACTCTCGCTTCACTCTCACTTCACTCTCACTTCACTCTCACTTCACTCTCGCTTCACTCACACTTCACTCACACTTCACTCACACTTCACTCACACTTCACTCACTTCACTCTCACTTGACTTCTCACTTCACTTCTTACTTCACTTCTTACTTCACTACAATCCGAATATATTATACATCATAAGTAGCTATGAGATGTTTTCTTCTTATTGAAGTTATTATCACAACCCTTGACAAACCATATTACCAAGAATTGCCATCTGTATCCTTAAGGGTAAGTGTGCTGAGAATTGGCATGTCTATGCGACCTGGGTTGAATTGATCGCTGACTGTGTTATAGCAATGCAACAAATAGTCCTGGATACCTTTATCATTTGCGGGGGATGCCACCCCTCCACGAGCCCATCCTCAGATACCCGCAGAAGCGAGGAACGCGCAAAGTCGTCAACGGGGAGGCTTTTGACGCCCAAGTGGGCCATGACAGATCGAATGTCGAGGCCATATTGGCCTACTCGGTGGGCAAGAAGATGCCCTTGAGCACCGAATGTCACTCCTGCGCACGAGGAAGTGGAAAATTTATCGGTTGTGTGCTTTCCCCGGGCCAAAAATACTGTGCTTCCTGTCACTGGCGTGGCATGGAGAAACGCTGCTCTTTTAACGCGGCGGCGTCCAAAGCCCCAGAATCAACAAAGGCGTCGACCACATCACCAAAAAAACGACAACCTGGCTATAGAAGAGCTCAAAAGAGCAACAAGAAAGTACAAGCAGGCCCGCAAAGTGTTGAAGAAGGCCACAAAGTCGGTGGAAAAGACGCTGAAGACGCTGAAAAAATGAGAGAAGGAGGTAAAGACGCTTTTCAAGAAGTTGCGAGATCGATTGGAATGGTATGTAGCCAAAGGGAGAGGACGCCGAGACAATTCAGCATAAGTTTGGGAGCAGTTCAAATGAGTATTGAATAGTTGCATTTTTGGATAAGCCTGAATTGCCACAGTCAACTTGGCAATTCTCCCAAGATTAGGCTGCCCATGAGCTGTCCCTGATAATGTTTGCTCCACAAAGTCAAGATCCAGAGGCACTATTTGAAGAGGTTTTGGTTCTTGCACCCGTCGTGAAGTTGAGCACGCACGATGCAGAGGTCGATGTGCCTAAATGCAACCGTTAGCTTGTAAAACAATCGATCTGCAGGGGAAAGAAACTGTGCTGAAAATCGAAGTCAATCATGAAGAAATAAAGGAGACATTGATGGGTTGGAAGTCCTTGAAAGAATATCTCAGAGCCTTTTTCAGGGCGATTTATCTCACCCCTCCACACTCCTTGTTTTCTTTTCCTTCTCTTCTCCCCCAACCCTCTTCTTCTCACTCACTACTTCATCCTCTTTCAGCCTCTCCACCTGCGCATTACTGGGCGTCCGAATCCAGAAAATGTCCCTAATGCCAGAGTAAAACACCCGTCCTGATTGTGTTGAAAAGAGCTAACTTAACTACACAGCCTCCTCGCCGAGGTACCTGAGTGGCTGCTCCACCCCAGTGGCCCGTCGATCATACCAGCGTTGCAAAGTGGACCCGCGGAATTGCCTCCGGCTGCATGGGCTGAATGCGTCAAGGAACTCCCCTGGCCATGCGTGAGGTGGGGTGTTAATATCTACTCCGAGCTCATCAAAAGGATTCAACACATGCCGGCTATGAGAGAGCCTGTTTTGCGACCTGGCATTACCTGGACTGGTGAAGACCTGAACCGCTTCCTCGAGCGAGACCTTGAGCACGTCGAAGCCATCTACATTTTCACAGTTGGGCAAGTGGCTCAAAATAAATGCCAGCTCTGCGAAAGAGGAGGGGGTATGTTTCCTTTCTGCGTGGTTGTAGGCTCTATTGGGTGTGCGAGTTGTTATGTGACTGGTATTCCGTGCTCGAAAGACTCCCTTTTCCCCACTGTCGCCACTGACTTCCCCACTGTCACCACTGCCAACCGAACGATCCTACGGCCTATCGCACGTCAGCTCGAGACAGCACGTCAACTCGAGACAGCACGTCAACTCGAGACAGCACGTCAACTCGAGACAGCACGTCAACTCGAGACAGCACGTCAACTCGAGACAGCACGTCAACTCGAGACAGCACGTCAACTCGAGACAGCACGTCAACTCGAGACAGCACGTCAACTCGAGACAGCACGTCAACTCGAGACAGCACGTCAACTCGAGACAAACCGCCAAACCATGACAAACATGCGACATGCTCAAGCTACGCTCATCACCCAGATAGCTTCAATCCAATCGGCATATCGACCAGTGTGCGAGCACCTCAACCGCCGGCTCCTACCCTTCGATGCGGATGTCAGAGCCCTAGAAGAGTCCATCGATGGTCGACACGGGTCTCGATCCCTCGCCGAAAGTCTCGCTGCCTTCAACACTGAGATGGAGAAGGTGCTTGACGCGTTTGCTGCCCTGCCCAGTTTTCCTGAGTCTGAACGCTGGTAAGCCACTGGCTACGGGATTTGGCGTTGCTCAGCTGCTCATGGCTGGAAGGCAGAGTTGGATTTCCGATTTCAGGGGCTGCTAGAAGAAGATAGTATGACCTGAGAGCCCTCTGCTTCTTCTTGAATTGATATTCTTCTTAATCAACAGCTAGTTTCCCAACTTGAAAATAGGAAAATGGATCCTTGATCTTGATCTTTTAGCAGCAACACAGAATTAGGTAGCCGCAAGGTTAATTAAACATGAAGCCCTAACAGGGTACTTGAAACCGAGTGACCTTGCTGTCCCAGAAGCTCACCAGACCTGTGACATAAAAAAAGCTTGATATTAGGAAAAAAAGCTACGCTCAAAGCCGGGGCCTATGAAAGGAATTATTTCGCGTCAAACTCCACCACCAATGCTTTCGTCACACTTCCGTGTTGGTGGCAGTGGCAAAATCGCGAGGAAACCAATCAATTAATCCTATTAGACCTTTGTCTCCTCTCGGATAACAGTTGTAGTAATTTCTTCCTGTGTCCAGGTCTCATGGTTCAAGTGTTTGAACCTAAACCAAAACACGATGCTCTGCAAAGCAAGCGCCACCGCCGGCGCACCCCAGACCCAGACCAGCCACGGATCAGTAGTCGCCGGAAGCATGATTTCACCGATGGCGCTCGACAAAGCGTTCATGAAGAGGAAGAAGGCCACAACTACACCCTTCATTCCATCCGGAGAGCGTGCATATGCAAGCTCATATGCCGTGACATTGCAGAAACATTCGCTCAGGGCACTCAGGATAGTGTTAGGAAGCTGCCACCAGATGCTGATCGGGGCGACAGTATCACAAGTTGAAGCCAAACTTCCACATGGCGAGGTTGCATAGACGCGCCATTGCACAAGAGCACCAGCGAGACCCGCGAGGGTCGCTAGGAAAAAGCCGAATGTGATACGGCTGATTGGGCCGAAGTGAATGCGGTAGCGACGTAATGCGGGATAGATTACGAATGTCAGGACTGGGACGAAACATATGATGGTCAATGCGTTGAAGTTGGAGAGCACGTCGTTCGGTGCACCATTGGTGACCATGGATGCACCTTGGTTTGTGGTGATGGACCCGATACCACCATCGTTGAGGTTCCAGATCGGGTAGAACCAAAAGATGTCACAAGCGGCTGATACGTATTAGCATGTCACAGGATTTTGTTGGAAGTATGATGATTTAGTGGAGGTTTCAACATACCCACTGTCCGAGCAACGCTTTTCACATCTTTTTCTGTCCAGCTCACGGTGATACCCTTTTGCTGGAGGGTTGCGGGCTTTACCGCTTCCCAGAAGTTCTTGCGCCAGAACCGGAAACTGTTCTGTCGAAGCGCTGCGACAATTATTTTGAAAGCCTGCGAGATCTCAGAACTTCCAGATGGTGGCTTCTTATATGTTCTCTTGTACATTACTGCAAGCAGAAGAGGCAGCAAGAGATATATAGCGCCTGCCAAGAGGAACGAAAGCCAAAATCCGACGTACTTTTCGGAGTACGTAGTTGCAAGCATGAAGAAAGCGCCCACATTGACGAAGCCATAGAAGATCAACATAATTCTGTTCGATGTGGCTTCCGGGTCGACGATCACCTTTTCGCCAGACTTGAGCGTTTTGGTATAGGCCTTGTTGGTGGGGTTTTGGTCAAGCACAAGGGGTGATACGTTGGGCTTGAAGATCCCAGCGCCAAAAGACAAAAGGAGCAGCCCGATGATGAATGGGGGTGCTGCATTGGATGTGCCTCTCTGTAGAACAGAGGGGATGGCGCCGAATACTTGGATGATGTGGGCAACTCCACAGATTAGCACGCCCACGACGATGGCTTTATATCGGCCGATATGAACGTCGGCCCACCAACCCCCAAAGATTGGAATGACGTATGAGAGGAACAGGAATAGCAGTGTCAACCCAGATGACGCTTGGAGACCCATTCCTAGAGCGCCAGCTGTTTTCTGGGTTCCGCGAGGAGGTGCACCAGCTCCATTACCACCTTTACAGATATTCAGCAACAGTTTCCTCTTTTTTGGTTTGAAATAACTGACCTTCGGGGAGTGGAAACTGAATGAAGTTGCTGAAAACGGTCTTTGCTCCATAATAGGAAGCACGTTCGGCAAATTCGACTAGGCACAATGCGAACGAAACAAGAGGCAGCGATCCAGCAACTTTTCGAAGAGTTTGATTTTCCTCCTCAGTTGGAGGTGGGTACTGGGAATCCGCATCTGCTCCATTCTCTGAAAGCTCTTTGGAGCCATCAGAAGTACTGAGTGGTGATACCGCGATGTCCCCGTGACTATTCTCATTCGCCGAATAGGTAGCCGCTGGACGAGAGTTTAGCCAAGAGTCCAACTATAGCTTTGACATGGAAGCTCACCCATATTTAATAAACACTTCCTGCGTCTTCAATTGCAATACATGTGAGTCTGTTGCAAATCTTAAAAGAAAAAGACACAAGGCAAGTGAGAGAAAGAAAGAGGAAGAGGAAGAAGAGCAGAGGCGAGTACCTCGAAGTCAAAACTGGTCAAAAGCCATCATAACATGCCCCAGTTGGCGAGTGTAACGTAGAGTGATGGCGTTATTTTACGGCTGATGGTGTTCCTGTGTCTCTCCCCTTTGAACCTAGTGGGGATGGCAGCCCCACTCGAGGTTAATTCGAAGGTTCCACGCGGTAGCGGGCGTCAGTGCGCCCCTAGGGCCGGGAGTGGCTTCGGGAGTGCCTGCGGCATGATTGGGCATGATCCCGCAAGCACGATTTATCAACGTGTGACTCGCGGGTTGGAATTCCACTTTGTCCTTTGATCGTTCTCATCCATGGATAGACTAAGATCTCGGGCTCGGAGAATTCGAGGAGTTGCATTGTGCGACTGGATCACTTGTATTCGTTTCTACTTGAACAGTTCGACGTGAGAACGGTACGGAGTACTGATCCACTAGACGGGGAAGAATCTCATACTCCGTACCGGCTCGTAAAATGTCCGTAGGGAATGTATAGTCGTGGTGCCTAACCTAAACCCTACTCGCCAGTCTCGGCAGACCAAATAAGATGGGCCTCCGGCGACCTGTACACGAGGTTTGCCTGCATCAAGACCCTGGCTCAAGTGTGCAGCAAACAAGCTTAACCACCGAAACTCAAAACGTTTTATTTTTTTTTTACATAATTCACTGAAGTTCAACCCGGGCCAAAGATGTTGAGACCGGCAACAAACAAACAAAGAAAACCTGAGTTGCCGGAGTCTGATCAACCGTTGGCTAGTGTTGTGCACAAAAACGGGCTAGTATTGCGGAGGCTCTCGGATATCCCGCCCCAAAATCCAAGCTTGAAGCTACTTTTCCAATCTATCCTAGTTCGGAGATTGGATGTGATCTCAATAAACATCAAGATATTTGTAAACGCCGGTGGACAAGTCTCAGTTGTGGCAAATCCGAGCAAAGGTGGTCCAGGGGTTGAGCCAATTAATTTCGGAGGACGCGTCCTCTTGGTTTCCTCGTGTTTCGCAAACCCATGCGCTCACGCCATGTTCCAGAAATTTGCATCAGTTCGGTGCATTCGGCATCGGACCAATCAGAGCTGAGTGGTGGGTTCGTGGGGGAATGTAGATGTGTTGCGCATTGCATTCATAATACGCAGAATTTCTCAACCTGACAGCTAAATGATATGGGTTTAAGTAAGTTTTAATATCACCTCACTATACCGATTCTTACTGTCGCAAGATAATAGCCCAGAATACATTGGTTTGAAATTGACCCCTCCGTGCTCATCAAGGTACATTATTGCGTGATAAATCGCAAAATCGACGCCCAAAGTTCCTCACACACCATCAGACCTCAAAATGGCATGTTTCATCCTAGTGAGCCATGGCAATTCTACCAATGCGCCTCGCTTTTGTAGAGAGTTTTATGATCCTTTCCGCCATTGAGCTATAAATTGCGTGCCTCAGTCTCCCTAGGTGGGAATGAAGCTGTGTTCAACATGGGGATCTCTTTCCTCAATCTGTTTTTCGATATCATATCTTAGTGGCAAAATACCACAAATCTATCAAGGGTCTTGGTGGTCATTTTGTGAATATTGTGGTTGAAGTTTTAGAGATGGATCGTCTCTTTCCAGCCTCCCAGCTATCGCGCGATGCTTACTCCACTTATGCTAAATGCCAGGGCCTTGGCGTCTTTTATCAGGAGATTATACGCGGAGTTACATTCTATAGCTGAACACGATGCCTTGAAGCTGCAAACATTGGCATTAAACCTACTGCGCGGTTAGTTCCCAAGCTTCAGTGCCTAGATTGGCCCCCTACCCCCATGATCTCATTCTTATCTCGAATGTTGACATTCTATGCTCCGCAACAAAAGTTCCTTCCGTGCATTTTGAGACAGTAGGCCTATCAAGCGGGCTAAAACCCTCCGATTTCAGCAGGATGCGATACTTTATCGCGGCCTGAGCGAGTCCGTATATAGATCGTTCATCCCATGCATACTTAACCGTTTTCTCTCACTGCTGAGGTCAATGCACAAATTTCGAGGTTTTGAGAAGTGGTCTCGATATTAGTTAGACTGCAATATTTTGCCTCACGCCTCAGTCAGTCTGCTAGATTTTGACGGCGTCCCTCATACTCGATCAAGATGGGCTGGAGGCGGCCTTTCAGCGAACGGCAATCGGAGGCCAATGCTGTGAACCAAGATCATGATGAGCATACACCGGCTGCTGGGGGTCAATTTATCAGTGGAAAGGGTGGAAACGATGCGCCGCCGACATATCAAGATGCCTCAGGAGCGCCGGTCGAGAGTAATTCACCATTGGGATACTCGGTCGGGCCTGTTACAATCACCTTGCTGAACATCACAATGATGATTGGTGCCGGTATCTATTCTACACGTGAGTTACAAGACGCCTGTTGAGATGAATGATAGCTAACAACGTAAAGCATCGTCTATCCTGTCTGGCACTGGGTCAGTCGGCGTTAGTTTTGTCTACTGGACTCTTGGCTACTTGGTGCGTCTTCTTCATGATTAAAAAATACCATTGACTAATTTTCCGCTCCGCTAGATCTGTCTCACTTCTGGAGCTGTCTATCTAGAGTTCACTGCATACTTTCCCAGTCGATCTGGGTCAGAGGTCGTCTTTCTCGAGCAAGCATACCCTAGCCCTAAATGGCTATTCCCAACTACCTTCGCGGTACAAAGCGTCATTCTGTCTTTTGGAAGTGCGAATGCTACTGGTGAGGCAACTTTCTTCTGCGACTTTGATTCGCCCACTGACAAACCTCGATTCACAGTGATGGCCAAATATCTGATCGCCATTTCGGGCCATGCGGGCACTGACTGGCAAATTAAGGGCACAGCTCTGGCATGTTACAGCGCAGCTACATTGGGTAAGCGGCCCCTCACGGGTGATTTGGCCTCGCTTGATACTCACATCATCTAGCATTGGTATTCAACACAAAATACGCGTATTGGTTTTCAAATGCAGTTGGGCTGGTCAAGATTGGTACACTTCTTTTTGTTATTGTGACGGGTTTTGTTGTCTTGGGGGGCAACACCAAAGTCGAAAACCCAACCCTCAACTTCCAAGATGCATGGTCAGGAAGCTCCACAGCCTCTGCATACGGTTTTACAACCGCCTTGTATCGAATCATCTTTTCATACGGTGGCTACAACAACGCGTTTAACGTTGCCAACGAAGTCAAGGTATGACATTTGTTTTCCCGGCTTCCGGAAATGCGGACTGACGTCTTTATAGAATCCGGTCAGGTCATTGAAGATTTATGCCACAGTTGCTCTCACTGTCGTTTATGTGCTATACATGTTTGCGAATGTGGCATTTTTCGCTGCTAGTGAGTCTACAACAAAGCCTTGCGGCCTGAGTTGTCATGCTGACCAACTGTTGCTTCATAGTTCCCCAAGAAGAGATCAAGGAATCCGACCTGACCACCGCCGGTTTGTTTTTCGAGAAGGTCTTTGGCAACAGTGGCGCAATCCGCGGTCTCAACTTCCTCATCGCGCTGGCTTCATTCGGTAACATGATCTCCGTGATCATCGGGCTATCGCGTGGTATCAGAGAATGCGGTCGACAAGGAGTTCTACCGTGGACGCGATTCTGGGTCTCCACCAAGCCTTTTGGCACTCCGTTGGGGCCATACGGTGTCATTTGGGGTATAACCATGCTGATGATTCTTGCCATCCCTGCCGGCGACGCCTTCACTTTCGGTTCGTTCGTCCCTACTTCCTTTCTTAGCGACTCGCCCGGTGTGACCCTGATGCTAATATTAATCTAGTCAATGATCTCAAGATCATTCCTTCGGCAATCTTCAACCTCGCGATGGGTATAGGCCTTTACATCGTCCGCTGGCGTCGCAAGCAGGCTAATCTCCCTGAGCCTGAGTTCAAGGCTTGGCATATCGTGATTCTGTTCAACATTCTAGTCCAGCTTTACCTCCTGGTCATGCCCTGGTATCCACCTGCCGGCGGCCAATATGCGGGCGATGTCAGCTTTTGGTATGCAGCTTCCGCTGTGACAGGAATCGGAATGTGAGTCAGCCCCTGCTTCACCTTGCTCCGTTGCAGCTGCAGGTCCTTTTTGGTGCTAACGTCATACCGTTTCTCCAGTCTGATTGCTTGTGGTATTTATTACTGGCTTTGGGCTTTCATCATCCCCAAATACAGGGGCTACAAGCTGCGACAGGAGCTTGTCGACTTGGGCGGTGGTGTTCAAAGCAATAAGTTGAGGAAGATTCCTGTTGCCGAATTGGAAGAATGGGATGCGACTCACGACAAAGCTGGTGGCAGAATCGATGGGGTGGCTGAAGAGATTCAGGTCCAGACCAAGTCCAGCGAGACTTATTTCGATAGATTCGAGAGGAAGAAGGACACCAACACGGTCTTAGATGCTTCGGTCTAGGTTGGACAGGCGGTGCTCGATGCTGTTTTGATTTTACAAACTGAATATCGACAATCTTGGAACCTTGGAAGATTACCACGTTGTGTCCATCGGTCGTTTCCATGGTTCAAGTATTGACCAAAGGTTCCAAGGTTGGTCGGAAACGGATACAAACTTCTCAGGTTGGAAATGTATATATTGTGTTGATCACATCCACGGATCGGACTCCAAAATTGCGTTACAATTTCCCATCCATTCCAAGGCGAACAAGCTTTTCTTCGGAACCAGTCACATAGACCTTTGAAACTGTGAATAGACAGGGAGATAGTTTCGAGCATCTCGGCCATGCCCATCGGGACCGATCCTGACCGCCCCCGAGGTCGCCCACATTCGTCACCCTAGTCGGTGACGCGACTCTACAATCTGTCGCTTTCTCCCACATTTTGTCGTCCAAATGATCGATTGATCCTCTACTTGACAACTGCTCTGATACATTCCCCCATGGAGGTACGGCAATGGGTTTCTTTCGGACGGGGTTCACGCCATTCATCGCCCCGAGCCAACTAGGCAATTAGGGGGTTCGAGCTTTATTCACTGGGGCGCTCCTTCGATGCGAGCCATTACTCAAATATAGTTTACCGGAAAGGAACCTAAGCTAGTGGATCGACTATCGGACTAATCAACCTAGGTTGGTTCTATCCGGGGCCATCTCAAGAACCCGACATGCACCTGGACAAATGAGCTTCAGAGCCATATATATTTGCATCTCATGACCCAAAGAGCCCGTATTTGGATAAATCTTGCTAGATTGTTAATTAATAAAATCCGACACCGGCATCTTCGGAGCATCGAGGTTCAACAAAAAGGCATATTGTCGTTGCTGTTGTCGTTGTCTGATAGCTTGGGCAGTGATGGCCAATGATTGCCATGCACCATCAAGTTATCAAACCCCGAATACGATGCTGTTTTCTCCCTATATTATCTCATGTTATCTCAGACCTGGAAGCAGGGACAGCCGAGGAGCGAACCAGAGAGGTCAAGCCATGCTGAGGGGAGAACGGGAAGAGCGGAACGCGGCTGAGGCCATCTCGCCAAGACCTTGCCAAGCTTTTCACTCTGCCCCCTCTGGCTTTCTTCACTTGAGCTTCCTCCTCTGTCAAACGCATTGCCCTGCAAGTCATTGAGCGACCATTCAACTGTCCTCATTTCATGTCTCTCTTTCTCGCTCATGAAGACCACGACAGCCATAACGCGATAAAATCATTTAATCCTCGTATTGAAGGACGCTCTTGGCATCTGTCGGCGATGAGCCCGTGCGCAGTGGCGTCAGCAGGTACTCCGTCCGGTGCCTGCAGCTCCGTCCAAATGCCTCAGGGTAGCATCTGCATGGAACTTCTGCAGGCTCAATGCAGCTTACTTGAAACCGAGCGAATGAGTATATAGTGCCTCGTATAGCGAGCGGGGGCCTGGGACCATCTTGCCCTGCAGAACAGGGTCCACTCGGCTATAAAGCTCCGATAAAAAGCTCGATTTCAAGACTCAGATGCAGTTGTTTTGCCTCGAAGATATTCAAAGACAGTAATTTGAGGGACACGATGCTATCTGGAGTGGCCCTTCTCCTTCTGGCGGTGGTGTCCGCCAAACCGGGTATGTTTTTTCTTCCTGCAGTCATTCAATATAGATCTAAAGCAAGGTCTGCAGTGGTTCCAAGACAGGACACCGATGCTACACCTACCAGCACTGTGCCGTCTGGTGAATCTGATCAATGCACCAGCTCGACTAGCAGTCAGTGGTTAAGCATCTGCGACACAACTATCTTCTGGCCCACGTCAACCGACTACTTCTACGGACCGACAGACGGCCCAGAGGCATCTGTTGTCTCCTGTAATGCCGAATGGGTTGAGTACAACGAACGGGCCACGGGACTGGGGTATCTCGGAGTCACTTCCACTTCCACGTCCTATTCACCCTATTTCACCAGCACCGGAGCTTGCAGCACCGAGGTCCGCCTCGAAGGCCGCCTTGACCCGCATACCGGTCCGGTAACCACACTCTGTGATGGAGTGACGCGGGCTCTGGGTCCTCGAGAAACCGTGACAGACTACTGGCCCGGCACGGGTCCCTGTGTTTCCTCCGAGCTTACCTGGACTGAAGTTCTACAACTCACCCGTACACCTTCGTCAATCCCGAGCTGCACGCTCAATGTCCAAGATTGTATCCCAATCTGGCAGACCTATAGCAGTCTTTCGAGCGCTTATCAAGCCTCGGTCACTAGTACCATATCAGGAGACATCAACAGTCCCATCGAACCAAGTGCTTGTCCGACCCCTACGAGAGACTACAGTGATCCAAACGTGTGCGACAACTGCCATTATCTCCCCGGTACAGCCACCTTCTTCTATTGGCCAGTGGCGACCAGTGGAGGAGGTCTCTGTGATCGAAATGGAACCACCATCCCTGCCACCCGGACCGGGGACGGTCCCAACACTGCCGTTGTCGACGGAAATACATTTGTATCCCCCAGCGTTTATGTCTCTTTTACCGCCATCTCCGCTTATAGCAACCAACGCGCCCACCCTGGTGGACCCTGTGGCGGAGCTCATGAGAACGTGATTATCTCTGTCGACCCAGAGGCGGTCACATCCTACCGCAATCACAGGAATGCAAAGTACCCAACAATCGGAACTGCCTATCCATTTGATTTCTCCGAATACCAAAAGCACCAAGTTGGAGAATATAACATGCCTCTGATCCCTTGGGACCAATACATCGCTGCGTCTCAGTGTCAGTTAAGAACGGATGGATGCAGCATGGTTCGTGATGACTATCTCCCGTGGCTTGAGGTGCCCGATGTGATGACGCAGATTGACCCCCTGTGGACAAGCTGTCATCGCTCGTGGTATATGCCTCCTGTCAGCCTTGTGCCTTTGGCGAGCGACCTAGAGACGCAACCAACGGCCACGGCAGAGGCGAGTAGCATTCTACCTACTCCGGCAACCCCTTCGTCTGGGCTGGCTGCGCCAACTCCGACGCCTACTTGAGAGAGCAACACTGGAGTGATTTCCATTTGGTTAGTCCCAGGTCATACTTGATGTCATTTAATTAGCCAATGACTCGCGATCCGGACGACTAATAGTATCGAAATCCCCGTGGACACTGTTTATATTCATTTCTACGATTTCCATTCTATCTATCCCCAAAACCTCGGGAAATGGCACTGAAACCCCAAAAGAAGACTTGAGATTAAAAAGAAAATCCAGGCCCCCGCGTCACTTAGTAGACAGATCCGAGGGTACGGGACCCATCGGGAAAAAAGAAACGTGGTTCCAGAGGGGGTCGAACCCTCGACTTTCACGTTATTAGCATGACACTCTAACCAACTGAGTTATGGAACCATTTGATATATTTGGAGCTCTGGACTTATGTTATATGAGACAACAGCACCCACCAGCATGTTCAAACTTGTGTTCTCACCAAATCATCCTCAATGCTAGTGATGTCGCTTCAAACTTCGAACTCTGTACACTATACTCTGTACTCCGTACTAGGTATAACTCGTGCGGTCAACTGCAAGATCGGCAGGTGCTTCGCCCTGAAGAAAAGTACAACAGGGGGCCAAAGGCTAATGCCCACTTCGCCTAATAACTTTACCCGCGTTCGAGCATCTGAACAGCATCGGCCTTGCGGCTTGCTCGCCAATAGACCTCACAGAGGATCTGGAGCAGCTTCTTTTTTTTTTTTTTTTTTTTTTTTCAGAGTCGAGAGCCTCAGAAAGAGAAAACCAAAATTAGGGGAAAATAACGTTTGAATGACAAGGCAGACTGACGATGTTTCAGACGCTGGCCCCCGCATAGCCCCGGCGCCAAGACGGGCCACAGACCCTTGCGCGACTCTTATTTATTCTGCTGCCGCCGTAGAATTACAAAATGTTTTGCGCTGTAAATCGAAATGGACTCAGCTCATAGGGAAGAGGCGCAGGAGGCCTCCGAAGCACTGGTGTCTCCTGTGCATTCACACGAGGAACCGCCAAATGTGAACAATCGGCCCACCAGCCTCCCCGCCGAGCCTCATCCCGAACCAGCAAACGAGCCTCTGGTGGCGGAGAGCGCTGACGAGAGCCAGAAGCCGAGCAAAGAAAAACCATCAATATGGAAGCTCGTCTCGGATTTATTTATCTGGGAGGTACTGGCTATGATTCTATCCTCGGGGCTCCTCGTCGCTATCGTGGTGCTGCTGAGTCAATATGATGACAAGCCACAGCCGACTTGGAAATATGTATCGCTCAACTCGGTAATCTCCTGGTTGAGTACGATATCAAAGGGGTGTGTCTTGTTTTGCCTCAGCGAGGGAATCGGACAGCTCAAGTGGGTCTGGTTCACGCGAAAGACGCAGCCATTGGTTGATTTGAGCACTTTTGATGGAGCCAGTCGGGGCATTTGGGGGTGCGGTGCCTTGGTTTGGAGGCTGCGGGCAAAGTATGCATTCTCTGAATCCATGTTGGTTTGTCCTGAGGGCCTAACGATCTATAGACATTTTGCAGCCCTTGGCAGTTTGGCGGTCATCCTGGCTCTCGCCTTTGATCCCTTCATTCAGAACTTGATACACTACTACCCCAAGCTGATCCCCGATCCGTCGGGGAATGCAGTTGTTGCAAGCAACTCGCTATACTCAGCGCTAGGCCCACCAGTGGGTATCGGTAAGTCGCAAAACGCGAAGACTTATTCGCAAGTTTCTGACGCAGTTGTACAGGAGATAACTATGTCAACGCGGAGATGAAGGCCAACGTCTACAATGCGCTCTTTAACAGCGATACATCACACCCCTGGGCCACTCCACGATACACATGCACGTCTGGTAATTGCACCTGGGATCCGGTCGCCGCATTGGAGATGAGAGCAAGCTGCACGAATATCACAGACAAATTGAAATTCGAAATATACAACGGAACTCTCGGCATAGTCAACCCAAACACGACCATTCAAAGCAAGTCAATATACTTGACAGGTATCGGGGAAAACCTCACCGCGGACGTGATGCTGGACAGCGTCTGGGGACAACCTGTCGCGTTGGGCGTCCTAAACCCGCTTGTTTACAACAAGAGTATCATACCTCCTATTCAACTGATCGCTCCAGACGGCGTACTGGGCAAAGACGTATGGAGCCATACCACGGATCCCGACGTCGTGAACCCGGTGTGGCAGGCGATGGAATGCAGTATTGAACCGATCGTACGAAGCTTCCGTCCAAGTGTCGCCGAGGGCCACTATTCCGAAGACACGATCGACACCTGGACCAACGGGTCTTTCAAAGATTACTACATGGGCAGTGACTACAGCTTGAAGCCCCCCTGGGGTCCAGAGAAGGGCGTCGAAAAAGGAAAAGTGTTCACTATCACCAAGCGGTCTTTAACATCAATCCGGTACTTCTTTCAACAGTTCTTCCCTGGTCGAGCCTCAATGGACCCTTTTGGATTCAGCTTCATTTCCGATAGTGATTCCGTGACACCATACGCATCTAACGTCCAGACTCAAACAAAATCAGCCTCCGAATACGCCAGTGGGGACTTGATGCAGCTCATGGCTATCTCGAATATTACCCTGTGCCCGTCTCAAAGTGCCGACAAACTGAAGTGTGCTATGGAAAATGTCGCGAAGGCTATGTCGAAGGCCATTCGGGATCAATCGTCGTCACCTACAAATCTGACCACTGTCTCCGGAGAGGCGATGACTAGCTCAACGCATATCTCTATTCACTGGCAATGGATTATTCTGCCTGCGGTGGTGTGGCTTTTGGGTCTTGTCACTCTGTTAGGGACTATGTGGAAGACGCGGCGGACTATGGTCCCTACGTGGAAGAACGAGACCATGCCGATCATCGCTTTGTGTCGGAATAGTCAGAATGAGAAGCCGCAGAGTGATCAAGGGCTGGAGACTGAGAGGGCGATGTTATATAAAAGTGATGGCAAAATGGTCATGTGTGGATAGTGTCTATAGCGGTTCACTTAATGTTTTGATGTATTAATCACAAGGAAGAAGAACATGAAGCCCCAGGGCTTGCTTCACTGAATTACCGTCAGAGTTTCTAGTAAAAGTGAAGTGAGCAGCAAGGATGCAGGTGCCGAGACTGGGAGACACCATGTAGCCAAAGGGGGTAGTCAAAAGGAGATTGGTCTCGGCGGCACTCAGTTTCAAGCTTTATATTCTTTCGATGCATAGTATTCTTCTTTCTCTTCCTTTCTTCTCTTCTCTCAGTTTGCTTCACTTCACTTCCATCACTTCACGTCTCTGCTTTTCAAGCCGATAGAGTGATCAAGTCATCCCATTCTCTTTAATCCCAAGAAGGGTACGCCATTTCCAGGCCGTTCTCTTCCCCACAGGCTCCCTTGACTATTCTTCCTCCGACACACACCCCCGCGGCGGTAAGTGCATTGTCAACCGATATTTCTCTCTGATTTTTGATGTTTAACTAACACTTCTGGTTCATAAGAAGGCTACCTTCCAAGAACCCACCAGCAGCCAAAAGAGGTCAGGTCGGGGTCAGGGCGACTGCACCCTGCCCGTGACCTTTCTCAACGGTCCAAAATGACGGAAAAACTACACCTTTTGTTTGACCTTCCGCCTGAGATACTTCTCATGGTCTCGGAATATCTATCAGACGCTGATGTCGCCAGTCTCGCATTGTGCAACCATGGATTGCTCTCATTTTTCCCGAGAGCACTCCAGAAAATATCTTCCGTCGGCAATAGATCACTCTGGTTCAGGGAAATCCCGAAGTCAAGAAGTGACCTCTTAACCCGTCTCTCTCATGACTCGCCAGAGTTTCATTTCTGCTTTAATTGCCAAATGCTCGCCCGCTCGCAAGATGTAGAATTACCCAACGGGTGGCTTTCAGCGAGCCACAGTGGAGATCATATTGATGAGTGTTTACCATCTCAGACAGTGTGGATGCCTGTTCTCCGTCTGTTTAGGGAAGCAAATCCACCTGAAGAAAATATCACATTTGGCAGAGAAAGCGGAGTCTGCTTTCGCATCTATTATGTTCACGTCCAACTCGCGATGCGTGCGCTTCGCTGCGGACCTCAGTTTGGAATTCCTATTGAAGCCTTCTCTTTTACCAAAGTGGAAATTGGGGTTGAACACCATTTTGTGACCGACTACGACCAAGACTCCACGACATCTCATGGGGCAGGAGAAGAGGAGAGAGACGAAGACGCAAGCGAAGGAGATGGAGATGAACATGAAGTACACAAAGAACTCGACGAGGAGCGCGAACCACAATATTTTTCCCTCCCCCAGACAACACTCTTTTCACTCGACGCCCGAGCCGAGTCCAATCCTCCGAACTTCTACATCCGAAGCCAGTGTTTGCTCGTTTTGCCCAAAGACAGAATACTCAACTGGGTCCTGAAAACGGATGAACGAATCAGTAATGACACATGTCCTTGTCTAACGATTGGCCCGGATTCCGGGTTTCAGGCGTCCATCGAAAGCCTTGTCGGAGAGTATGTCAGAGACCATGACAAGACTCCTCAACGCGAAGGACAATGCGACAAATGTTGCATGTCGTGGCTCATAAAGATGCGCACTATCAATGATTCTGAAGCTTGCTTCAACTTGACCCAGTGGCGGAACTTGGGGAGTGGATTAGATCCATTGGAGAGCCAGTGGCTCTTTCATGCATCCACGGAATTGGCTAATCACAGTGTCCTGGGAGAAGGCCAGAGATGTGACCCCCGACAGAAAGTTGAGAAAGAGCTTGCCCCGACTGGGGGATTAAACGCCCTATCGGAGAAGGAACTGTTTGATCGAAATATCTCCTGGCTGGATAGTCGGGCATATGAAACTGTAATGACCCCCTCTATCAATGGAAATTGGTGGCTGAACGTATGGGAGTACATGCCAAGACGAAACAAGGAAGAGGATTCCCTGCTTTAGATTGTTTCTATCGAAGCAACAGGTCGTCAACTCTCATCCGCAGCTTATCCCAACTTCGTCTTTCATCCATCGTCCTCTTCCCCTGCGGCAGCGTCCCTTGCACACCGCCCATACGGACAGGCCGATATTCACAGGATTTAGAGACCTGGTCGACCTCAGTTTCTTGGCTATCTGCACTTTGCCTGACGAAGAATTCCCATGAGACCCAGTGTCTGATTATGGTTGTGACATGGCATACTTGACAAATACTTAATGCTTTCTTTGCTCCAGATTGATACCATGGACACCGCCGTAATTCACCAAAAAGGTAGCTTCGACTTGTCAAGAGATCGGAGTAAGGATCCATGGAGCACGCATGACTTGTAAGCGCTGGGTAGCTAGTGCGTCCGCAATTCTCCACCTGGGCAGTTTCTCCAACATTCATACGTTGAAATGGTCTTTTACCAGGATGAAAAGGAAGATCGAGTTGTAGAAGAGTAAACAAAACATATATTTCTAAAGGAAACGCTCATTTCATGTCATTGACAATATGTGTCATGGATATTTTCATGGACCCAAATAGTCCAGAAGGGGAATCATAAGAAAGAATGGATAACAAAGGCGCATCAAGGGCGACTGTGGAAAGTCTACCAGCGGAGGACCTTGGTGGGGAAGTACTCATTGATGAGCTCCATGTAGTAAGGCTGTGAATGAATGATTAGCATGCGAAACCTGAATGATTGACAAATGATACATACCTTGAGCTCAGTGATACTGGGGATTCCATCGCTCTTGCTGTACAGATCATATGGGTTGAAAGCCTTAACAGCGCGGAGCATATCACGGTCATGATCGTTCATGAACTCGTGGTAGGCACCCTGGTTGTGCCATGGGTAGAAGGAGTGGTAGCGAATCATAGCGAGAGCCTCATCGGGGAGGGTAGACTGCTCCTTGGCAATGTGGTAGAGGTACTCGTCGTGGCCCCAGGAGAGCATGACCTTATCGAGACCGCAGCCAGGGCTGTAGATACCGTACTTAGTATCGTAGATCTTGTGACCGTAGTCCTCGTTGTCAACGAAAGAGTCACGTCCGTAGATGATCTTCTCATCGAAGCCGCAACCGACGGGGAAAGTGTCACCGACAACATCCCACTGGCCGTCGGCACCGAAGAAGAAGAGCAGCTTGCCAAGGTCGTGGATGAGACCGGTCAGCTGCATCCAGCGGGGCTTGCCGTCGCGGCGGATGGCCTCGGCGGACTGGAGCAGGTGCTCGATCTGGGACAGGCTGGTGTCGGGGTCGGACTCGTCGATCAGGGTGTTGAGCTTCTCCATGGCTTCCCAGACAGTCATCTCGGCGCGGGTCTTGCTGTGGAAATCGTGGCGGGCCTTGAGGTTGTAGGCGACGGTCTGCTTGGTGTGCTGCTCCTTGTAAAAGTTCTTGACGCGGTCGCAAGCATCTTCGTATTGACGGAAGTTGGTCTTGTCCTTCTCCTTGTCGAACTCGGACTCCTCGTAAAGACCCTTGTCTTCGGCGAGTTTCTCAGCCTCACGCTTCTTCATGTCCTTGAGGACATTGACCTCGTCGATGGCGTCGGAGAGGTCCTCGAGGGCCTGGCCATCCCGCTTGGGGAAGACGGGGGTGGCCTGTGGGGAGACGGCGACGGGTGCCATTGTGAATTGATCAAGAAAACTTGTGCTTCTTGTGCAGATGAGGTTTATTTTAGGGTTTCAAGTCTCGTCGAATGAGATTGTTTGCTTATCAAAGGGAGGCTTGAAAGATAGTAGACCAGATCCTAGGATGGAAGCGTATATATAGGCTCCGGGGTACCGAGATTGATCATAGCAGGAAATCGCGTCCAGATTTCCGATCTCCGCGGTTGTGCGCTGAGGATTACCCCAGAAAATCCCGAATTAGCCATGATTCTGCGGCACGAGAATCATCGCTGTGAAACATCACGGATTCCGGCTTCCGTACTGGAGGAAGGTTTGGACGGTGGTGCCCTGGAAGGACGCTGATTGGCAGTCCTGGCAGCCCTAAGCCGCGCGAGTGGAGGGAGTGATGTCAGGTGGAGAAGACTGCAGGCGAAAGAACATTGCTGGAAGACGGTTTCCGCTGCTGACTCAGCAGTCTTTTGGTGGAATCTGGTTTGCGGGAACTGTCTGCGGGGAGATTTGCCCTTTCAACTAGCCGGGCGCGGTTACTGATTTAAGAGCAGTGACCGGATGAATATCGGAACGAGACAGAAACAGACCGAGTCGAAGGAAGTGGTGATTGATGGAAAAAACCCCGTGCCGACGCGGGGAGATACCCCGCGTGGGGGACCCTTCGGCCTCTTTTGTAACGAGCCCTTCCCCTCTTATTGCTGGCCCAAGTTCTTTTTGTAAATAATTCTTTCTCTCCAAAATATTCAGAATGGCTGCCTGCGATACCCGTTTCAAGCTGAACACCGGTGCTGAGATCCCCGCGCTCGGTCTGGGAACATGGCAATCCCAGCCTGGTGAGGTGGCTCGCGCTGTGTCCCACGCCATCAAGGTCGGCTACCGTCACATTGACGCTGCTCTGTGCTACCAAAATGAGAATGAGGTCGGCCAGGGAATCAAGGAGGCCATTGACGCTGGCATCGTCACACGGAAGGACCTCTTCGTTACCACGAAGCTGTGGTCCTCTTACCACTCTCGTGTTGAGGAAGGCCTCCAGCAGAGTCTGACTAACCTCGGTCTCGACTATGTTGACCTGTACCTCGTACACTGGCCCCTTGCCATGAACCCCAACGGTAAGCAGTAACCTTCTGGCCATGCAATTGCGGAACGCGAAATGCTGACCACTTCCAGGAAACCACCCCCTCTTCCCCAAGCTCGAAGATGGGTCTCGTGATATCGTCCACGATCACTCCCATGTGACCACCTGGAAGAGCATGGAGAAGCTCGTTGGCAACGGCAAGGTCAAGGCCATCGGTGTCTCCAACTACAGTGTCCAGTACCTCGAGGAGCTGCTGCCCCAAGCCACCATTGTTCCCGCCGTCAACCAGATCGAGAACCACCCCTCGCTTCCCCAGCAAGATACTGTCGACTTCTGCAACAAGGCCGGTATTCACATCACCGCCTACAGCCCTCTGGGCAGCACCGGTAGCCCCATGTTCACTGCCGAGCCCATTGTGGCTATTGCCGAAAAGCGCGGAGTTACTCCGGCTTCTATTCTTCTCAGCTACCACAGTAAGCATCCTTCATACCTTAAATCTTTCCTATGTTTTACTAACTGTATGTCTCCCAGTTGCCCGTGGATCCTCCGTGCTCGCGAAGTCCGTGACTCCCGCTCGTATCGAGGCCAACCGTGCCGACTTGATCAAGTTGGATGACGAGGATCTCGCCGTGCTCCGCAAGTACAGTGACGGTCTCAAGGCAGAGGGCAAGCTCCAGCGCTTTGTCTTCCCTCCCTTCGGCTACACCTTCGGTTTCCCCGATAAGCAGTAGGCGAGAAGTTGGATGTACAGTGCAATGTTGGTCAATAGACGTGGCTCATGTATAGATGGTGGTCCGTGTTTGATAGCTTAGATACCAAAGTGAAAATATTATGATCTGATGACCAAACTGAGTTCCTATGTTTCATCAGTGTAACATCCGCGACTTTCAGGGCTGCAATTGTCCGCATTCCAAGGTTCTTGTCAAACTATAACCTCGTACTTGATCCCAATATTGGAAGAGATGGCCTTCACCACCTGGGCAAGACACAAGGCATGTTGCCTTACGATGGCTGACTTTCAAGGTTCAAATGTCATAGTCAGTCCACGGGTTACCTCATAAATATGCGGTCGATGGCTTGTCAGCTCTCATTCCAAAGTTGTGGAATAGTTCAATGTTCCAAGTAATTGTCGAGTCATCGTGATTGGTCAAGAAAAGGAAGTCCTGCCTAGGCCGTGAACGGAGAATTAGAGATTGGGGACATGTTAGGAACCTTCAAAGTTCCAAGGTTTGCGCCGTAGAATTTTGTTGTTTATCTGCGCCTTGTCGAGTTGTCCGCAACTCCCGAGGTCTTTTGGGCTAATTATTCCTAGATATAAGATCAAACCCAGGACCTTGCGAGATGCAGTGGCCACCTGCACTGGCAGCGATAACCCTGAAATTATCTTTGAACAGGACTCAGGGGCGTCCACGGCTCTTTGGTTCGAAGCAAGTTACGCATAAATTGCACGCCGCGTTGTCATCGCGGCTGTAGGTAGCTTGTGTTTTTTGAAAAGTATGACAGATGCTTTCTATATTTATGTTTGGATATCAATTAACATACTATGACTTCTCCTCGGCCGTTTTCAGATAGCTCAATACCCTCTCCACAAGCCACTTCCGAGGCTCAGCCTGGTCGTCGTTACTCAGTGCGTGAGACGCGTTGGGAATAACACCAGTGTGCTTGTCATCCCAAATCTGATATTTACCACCGTGATCGGTGGCGTTCTTCCACCGGGCTAGCATCTTATCCTTGTCAACCCAATCAGGAATGGACTGATCTTTCCCAGAGATCAACACCATCAACTTATGGTTCAACAGACCCTGCTTCTGAATCATTCCGAATGTGGTATCTAAGTGCTCATCACTCAGATCCGAACTGAAGAGATCGTCCTCTTGCGGTGCCTGAGGACTCTCCGGGCTGACCAGACTCAAGAATCGGCGACAGCTGATAGGCGTATTGGCAGGGTAGATCATCGAAGTCAAAGAGAGCGGCAACATGGTATCATGAGGCTTGCCCTCAGCGACAGCTTCCTTCGCCAACCTCTCCATCTCATCATATGTCTCGCGCGCCTTCTCCGGCGTCGTGTCGCCAATACCCCACTTCAGCACCCAAAAGATAGCCTCGCGATCAGAGACCGGCGCCTGCATGATTGCGCCATCGAGAGCTGGACGCGTAATGTGCTCGATATCCGCATCGAAGGCCGGGATATTTGTGTGGGGGTTTGATTGAGAGAGATAGTGCAGCACGCACTGGCTACCGGTGGAATGGCCCATGACGGCGAGTTTTCCACCGCCAAACTTATCCGCCTTGTAGCTCTTGATGTAATTGAGACATTGTGCGATCTCGTTTGTGTCACGATCCAAGTGCCCAACGCCCCATGATTGGTATGACGATGTGAGGTTCAAGGTGAAAAGGGACCATCCGGAGTTTTGCAGGGCGCGCACGATATCGGCCATGTAGGAGGTTGTAGCGAGGCCGTCACCGAGACCTCCTACGAAGAGGAGACTGTGAGGTTGGCGGACGGTAGAGGATGCATATTCGAACGCGACGAGAGTTTCGGTCTAGAATTTTGTCAATGGCGAGTGTGAGGAAGCTTGCGCGGGGGAACTTACGTAGTGGTGTAGAATACCGGGAAGTCCTCCCTTGGGCCAGAATTTAGACATGATGCAGGGTGATGTTGTGTGTGGCGTGAAGCGTCAATGGGTGTGAAGGAGTGAAGAATGGATTGATCGAACGATTTGGGTGGGATCGGCTATGTGTCTTTCCGTGACGACAGTGTGGGCATCCACGGCAACTCGCAGCCGAGTTCAACCCACTTCCGAGGATTGTTTCATGTCATCTTATCAATCAGATTAGCCCCTGTCACGAAATATTATGTAATTCTGGCAAATTTCCACGAATTTCACGAACTTCACCCGAGTTGGGTACCTTTGTGTTTCCGGCGAAGTTTTTTGGTATTGGGTGTATTTGGTGTTACGGGTATAGTATACGAAGCCGTACACGTTTAACCAATACAATGTACGACGAAATACAAATCCACTGGCTAATGACTCTCAGCCAGCTTGCATGTTTCGGCTAGTACAGCCACTGCTTCCGAGAATTTCCCAACGGGCACAGTATTGGCTGTGTTGACTCCACAAAGTAGACTAAATGCCTGGTGCATACGCAGACTTGTCCGTGCCAACCCGAGGCGGCAAGATCAGCGGATCAGATTAGATTGATTGGCTAGAAGCAGAAGAATCTGATTAGATAGCCCCGCCCGAAAACTCAAAATGCGGGTCTGTAAATTTCCTGCATCCTTCAGGTCAAGACTTCTGTCGATGAGCTTGGAAATGCTTAGGGATCAGCCTTACCCGACTGCAGGATGATCCTTGCCTAGAGGATCATCAGATCGCAAAAAGACAGTATACAGAAGACTTGATGCCTATAGAGTATGGGGGCACAAGCTCCGAGACTATTGTACGCGACGTTGCAATTCCCCGTTAGGCTACGGATGCAATGTACACGAGTGGATGGATCCCTATGATGTGGCTTTCGGAGTAATATGGCCAACTAACTTCCTACAAGCGAGCCAAGACATCAACCCAGGAACGTGCGCTGCGCATTTTCAATGATTTTCAAATATATTTGTTTTTCTTAGTTTCTTGCAATTTTCTTTTATAAATCTACGCTTGCTGCGGTACATGCGGGTATTGTGTTTTCCGTCCACAAACTTGGAATTTTTGAGCTAGTTGCAAGAATACAGCGAAAGGCGATCGTGCAGATGGGTCTCGGACTGACAGCAGATCTCAGACCCTGCTGATTTTCGCTTCCATCCATCGGTTTATTCCGACTCAGACGCATGAGTATGGGTCCTCTTAGGGTGTCCGAAACCTCGGACATGGATTCCTATTAAGTGTGAAGCACGAGTAAAGGGGGTTGCAACTTCCCATTCTTGAACTACTCGCCCACCCTCCATGTCGATGGAATGTTTATTGACAATTGAATCACATTGCGGATACGGAGTACTTTGTATCACACAAGTCAAACCCCGAAGATTGATAAAAACAGAATTGCGGAATTTTTCTCTTCGCGTGTAATTCCTCGGAAAGTTTCAGGCTCTACCCGAGTTTGAGGTGGACCCGGTGGGGCCTTTCTGTATTACACCCTACACCTTACGTAGCGTATGAACAATGTACAGCCACTGAAGAGTCCCAATCTCCAAATGGCCATGTGAAGGCAACGGCCGCAAGCTCTGATTCGGGCTGCGGCCTTCCAGAAAGGGTGTACCCTCCACCGCACCCCGCAATACCCGATTTCGGTGATGATATGCGACATACCCGCAAGAAACAGCCTGATACTTCGGAGCTTGGGTGCGAGTGGAGCAGAGTTCGACCAAAACCGTGGCTAGGTGGCTATATAGGGTCGCCCATACCACTCCCACCGACCCGTGCCACGCTCCGCCGAGCTCCGAGTCTTTCCTTTTACCTACAAGGTACCAAGAGCAGCTGTGCTGGTCTGAATTCATCATGGGTTTCATATCTCTCGAAGATGCGCACATCAGTAATGCGCCATCGAATGGAATCGAAAAGGCACCACAGATGAATGGCAACGCTTTTAGTTCATTCGATATGATGGGCCTCGTTTCAGATCAAAAGGCGACACCGACCGGTATGCAGGAAGACATCGTGCTCCTGTCATGGCTTATGGTTCTGTTGCGAAGCCGTGAAGACAGTCAAATTTCTTACGACTGGTCTTACGCAAATGACGAAAATGACACTACCCAACAAACTATAAACAAATTATCAATGAATGAAGTCATGAACGGCCTGGGAAGTAACGTGGGAGACGTTACAACTGCAATCCTCAAATCTATCCCATCAGGACCATCAAACGCGAAGTCCATGATCTTGAGCACCAGTACATTGTCGCAGACCTCTGAAACTGTTAAAGATGAGGTACGTATTCCATGTATCATCAGTGTATTGCATTGCTAACTTAAATTGCACAGGGTGCAATTCACCTCGAAGTCCGTCTGAACAATGGACAACTCGAAATTCGCCCAGTGTGGCACACAGAAAATATGCTGCCATATACAGTGAATCACCACGTGGAGGCGTTAGCAGACACCATCAGAATTTGCCTGGTGAACTCCGATGCAACCATCGAACAATGCCTCAAGCCGACTGCCAGTGACTTGAGCGATATATGGAGCTGGAACCATGAATTACCGCCTACATATAACTTCTGCATGCAAGACATGGTTGCCGACCGAGCTCGCGAATTTCCCGATAAGATCGCAATTGATTCCTGGGATGGCAATTTGACCTACAGCCAGATCGACCAGTGGTCCACTTCTGTCGCGGTTTCCCTTCGAGAAATGGGTATCGAACTGCACGACGTGCTTCCCGTTTGCTTTGAAAAGTCCCGATGGACTATCGTCGCCGTACTCGGAGTTATGAAGGCAGGTGCTACACTTGCACTGATGGATCCAACATTGCCGCTTGCCCGTCTCCAAAACATGGCAGTCCAGGTCGGCGCGAAAGCAATGGTCGCATCACGCAAACAATATGAGCTCTCTTTGACCATTATGCCAGAAGGCAAGCACTTGGTTGTTGAAGAAGAGACTTTTGCCAACTTGGCAGCATCACCATCTATCTCCACCCTCCCGGCCGTGCCCTCATCCGCTCTTATGTATATCATCTTCACCTCGGGCAGCACGGGTACTCCAAAAGGAGTCAAGATCTCCCACGAAACATACACCAGCAGTGCTATCCCTCGAGCAAAGGCAGTTGGATACACCCCCGAGTCTAGGGTGCTTGACTTTGCCTCCTATGCCTTCGATGTCAGCATTGACAGCATGCTGTTGACACTTGGAAACGGCGGATGCCTCTGCATCCCTTCCGATGAGGATCGACTCAACGATATCAACGAAGTCATCCGAAAAATGAGAATCAACTACGCAGGCCTGACTCCATCTGTTGGACGTATTCTGGACAGTGACGTCATCGCGTCACTCAGCGGCCTAGGTCTCGGAGGTGAGGCTGTCTCCGCAAGGGATGCCAACTACTGGGGCAAAGACACAAGAATCATTATCGGCTATGGGCCTTGTGAATGCACCATCGGATGTACTGTCAACAGCAGTGCCGCGACCGGCAGAGATTATCTCTCTATCGGTCCTGGCAATGGAGCTGCCATCTGGATTGCCAACCCTAATGACCACAATGAGCTGGTCCCAGTCGGCGGTGTTGGCGAGCTCCTTGTCGAAGGCCCAATCGTCGGACAAGGCTATTTGAACGATTCTGAGAAGACTGCCGCCGCTTTCATCAATGATCCTCCCTGGTTGGTCGCAGGCCACAAACAATACGCTGGTCGTCGGGGCCGCTTGTACAAGACCGGAGATCTTGGAAGATACGACCCGGATGGACTTGGAGGTATTGTTTTCGTCGGTCGCAAGGATACCCAAGTCAAGCTTCGTGGTCAGCGTGTTGAACTTGGTGAGATCGAGAGCCAGCTGAAGGCCGCATTGCCCGCGGAAGCCAACATCATTGCTGAGGTCATCACGCCGAAAGACTATGGTGGTCAGCCGATGCTGGTAGCGTTTGTCGCCTTCCAGCCCAAGGGACACGGGCAGACCGAGTTGGCTCTGGATGAGCTTTCCAGCGACTTGAGTACTGTCCTGTCAAATGCCAACACGGAAGTGGCAAAGACTCTGCCGCGCTACATGGTGCCAACCACATATATTCCTGTCAACCTCATTCCAGTGTTGATTTCAGGCAAGACAGACCGCAAGCAGCTTAGAGCATTTGGCGCGACAGTGGATCTTCGCCAGCTGGACCAGGGTGCAGCCAGCACTGCCTCTCGGGAGCTCACTGAGATCGAACAGCGTCTGAGGCAGAGCTGGGGTGAAGTTCTCAAGCTTGATGTTGATACTATCCGCCCTGATGATAACTTCTTCGCATTGGGTGGTGACTCTCTGGCAGCTATGAGACTTGTTTCTGTTTGCAGGTCTCAAGAGCTCGATCTTTCCGTCATCAGTACTTTCGCAAAACCCACACTGTCTGCCATGGCCAGTGTCGTTCAGCCTTGTACCTCTGAGGTTGAAGTTGAAATCCCGGCCTTTTCTCTCATCTCTCAATCTGTTGACAGTGCCCGTGCGGAAGCCGCAGAGGCCTGTGGTGTCCCTTCGGATGACGTGGAGGATATTTACCTCTGCACTCCCACCCAGGAATCGCTCTTCACCTTCTCGCTCAAATCGACCAAGGCATACATTGCCCAGAGAGTCGCATGTATCCCATCACACATTGAAACCGATGCTTGGAAGAAGGCGTGGGAGACTGTCGTCGCGGCAAGCCCCATTCTGCGTTCTCGTCTAGCTCCTCTTCAAGACCCTGGCCTCCAACAAATCGTGCTCAATGAAGGTATCTCGTGGAGATACTCGACAGACCTTGAACAATATCTCGAGAATGACCGAAGTGAGAGAATGAACCTTGGCCAGAGTCTAGCTCGCTACGGTATCGTCACCAGCGCAACCGACGGCAAGCGGTACATGATCTGGACCGTCCACCACGTTCTTTATGACGGATGGTCGGAGCCCATCGTCCTCAAGCAAGTGAGCGATGCCTTGCAAAACCAATCTCCCGAAATCAAGACACAGATGCGGAACTTCGTCAAGTACGTGCGTGACACAGATGAGACCGCCATGCATGAATTCTGGAGGCGAGAGTTGAAGGGCGCCGTTGGCCCCCAATTCCCCCGTCTCCCATCCCGAGACTTCATGCCTACCCCCACGGGTCTGATCGAGCATCAAATCGCTCTCGAAACCGGTGCCGGATCACCTTTCACAATGGCGACTTTGATCCGCGGCGCCTGGGCTCTTGTCGCATCGCAATACACAGGCAGTGATGACGTCGTGTTTGGTGAGACCCTCACTGGCCGTGACATTCCTCTGCCTGGTGTCGAGAGCGTTGTTGGACCTCTGATTGCAACAATTCCCATTCGCATTCATGTCCGCCGTTCCAGCTCTGTCCAAGATTACCTGCAGACTGTTCAGCAGGCGATTCTGGCTCGTACGTCCTACCAGCACATGGGAATGCAGAACATTAGAAAGGTCAGCCAAGATGCGCAGTATGCATGTGAGGCTGGTACTGGTCTGGTCATTCAGCCTGATCCCGAATACGTGGGTAGCGAGCTTGGCTTCGAACTCGGAGATGTCGTTCGCGAGGCCCTGCACTTTAACCCCTACCCCTTGATGGTAGCGTTTGGAATTCGCAAGGGGGGATTGAGGGTCTGCGCAAGCTTCGACAGCACTCTTATTGAAGGCTCGCAGATGCAACGTATTCTTGCCCAGCTGGAGACTGCCTGCTTGAAGCTATCTCAAGGCTTTGACAAGAGAGTTGATGAGATTTCTTGCCTTCCCGAAGCTGAGATCGATCAGATTTGGCAATGGAACCAGGCTGCTCCCCTTTCTGTTGACGAGTCGTCGGGGAATCTTCGGGCGGCGGTCAGCGTGAAGCAAGGATCAGTTTATCCTCGTGCTGTGGTCCCCTGGGTGTGTGATGCACGGAACCCGGCACTTCTGGCCCCTATCGGCGGTGCTGGAGAGCTGTGGCTGGAGGGCGCTTGCCTTTCTGGTGAATCACTTGAAACTCCGGCCTGGCTCACAGCTGGTAGTTCTGGATGTGTCGGTCGCAGTGGGAAGGTGCAGCCCACAGGTGACATTGTTCAATTACAAGACGATGGTAGCCTCATTTTCGTGGGTAGGAAGGAGAACGTTGTCCCGCTCCAAGGCCATGCGGTGGACATTGCGGATCTCGAGAGCCACTTCACCAAGCATCTCCCACCAACTACCCGTGCTGCAGCATCTGTGTTCCAACCAGTGAGAGAGGGCACACAAAAGGTGACAGAGCAGGAACTCGTTGTCTTCGTTGAGAGTCCCGCGTCACAAGAGGAGACCATCAGGGTCATTCCTGAGCAGCATGAAATCAGCGGGGAGAACACCTTCATCTGTGATACGATTCCCCTCACCCTCGCGGTGTCATTGAAGAAGCTTGACAAATATATTCGCGACTCTTTGCCATCGTACATGGCCCCCTCAGCATATGTCGTGGTCAGCACGCTTCCCACAGAGCTCGACCAGCTCGACCACACCTCGCTCAACCGATTGGCGGCGAAGATTCCTCAGAGCGTTCTTGATCAGCTTCGCGAAGGGTTCAAGGAGGCATGGACGAAGGGTCTGGCGCAGACGAATCTGTCGCCCACAGAGAAGATCCTTCAGGCGGCTTGGGCAAAGATTCTCCGACTCAGTCCCGAACAGATCGATGTCGATGACAACTTCTTCCGCCTGGGAGGTGACTCCGTGTTAGCGATGAAGCTAGTCTCAAGCCTGAGAACAGATGGACACAGCCTTTCAGTGGCCGACATCTTCCAGCACATGCGCCTGGGCGATGCTGCCAAGGTGCTGAAAGTGGACCAGGCAAAGGAGAACGTGCAAACATACAAGCCGTTCGGCACTCTCAGCAACTTGGACATCAAGATGTTCTTGGCTTCTACTGTTCGACCCAAGCTTGTGAACCCAGGCTGGTCTATCCAAGATGTCTCTTCCGTCACGGATTCTCAGGCCATGGATATTAGAGGAACTGTCAACGCCCCACGCACATCTTACCAGTACACGATGCTCTACTTCGATCAGAGTATCAACCAGGAACAGCTGTTGCGCGCTTGCGATGACTTGGTGAAGACCCACGACATTCTCCGCACCGTGTTCATTGAACATGAGTCAAACTTCCTTCAAGTTGTCTTGGAAAAGACACCCGCTCATGTGTTTATGCACAACACAGATCAGGATATTGAGTCCTATGTCACCTCCCTTTGCAAATCCGACGTTGAATCGAACTTCGAGCTTGGATCGCCGTTCTTCAAAATCTTCCATGTCGCGGGCGACAATGGTAAGCAGTGTCTTGTTCTGGGTCTTTCACATGCTCAGTATGACGGTGTGTCATTGCCTCGACTGCTTCAAGACTTGGAGACATTGTACACGGGCGGTAAGGTCGTTGACTTTGAGCCATTCGCCTCATACATTGCCCGTGTATCCGACGGACGCCTACAAACCCAAGCAGTCACATACTGGACCAAATTGCTCAAGGACTCATCCTTGTCTGTTCTCGATGGCCCCACGGTCCACCCCACCGACAAGGCGATCTTCCACGAGAAGGCAGTTGACAACTTCCAACCCGTGCAAGAGATCACCACTGCCAACGTCCTCACCGCAGCCTGGGCGCTTGTCCTGGCTCGTCGTCTGAGCAAGCCAGACGTCACATTCGGTACAGTGACCTCTGGCCGAACCATCGATCTCGCCAACGTGGAGAACGTCGTTGGTCCTTGCTACCAACTGACCCCTGTCAGAGTGATGTTCGAGGCCCAGTGGACCGCGATGGACCTTTTGCGCTTTGTGCAGAAGCAGAGTGCTGAATCTGCTGCGCACGACTTCCTTGGGTTCGACAAGATCTCCAAGCAGTGCTCTCAATGGTCATCTGAGATGCGCTCCTTCGACTCTATTGTGCACCATCAAGATTGGGATGACTTCGATGACATGCCTTTCGCTGGCTCTTCTGCTAAGGTCGACATCTCGAATCCCCATGGAGATGCTGCTTATCCCCTCAAGGCTGTCTCGTTTGTTAAGGGTGGAAAGATGCATGTCGGATTTGTTGGAAGTGAAAGGGACGCGACATTTGTGGACGCGACTCTTGATGAGCTCGCTGCGGCGGTTCAAGAGCTGTCAGAGTGCCGGGGAGAGCCGTTGGTACTCAGCGCTTGAGTATACTAGATGAAGCTCAAGCTTTGAATTTTTTTAAGCATATAGAATTGATAATTTATCGCATTTTTCTAAATATCTTGTATCTTTACACGATGCGCTCACTGCTTCTGACATTTCTAAGGTCACAGCTTTCCGGGATTAGCTTTAGGGTAAGGCAATATTACATGTTCGGAGGGCTGAATTTTTCAATTTTTCAATTTTTCGGAGATGAAGTGAAGTGACTCGATGGCCCCTCCTGGGCAGGACTTCCAAGGGAGCCAACCACTTCCAAAATCGGGCAGGGAGGGATGAGCAGCCTTGGAGATTTCGAAACCCCCAGACCGAACCTCAACGCTATGCGAGCAATTCAAAATAGATAAAATAGGTGAAGATATGAATAAATGAAATATGTAATATGATTAAACATGCTTAGAAGTATATAAAGAATCTAAATTTTAGGTATCAAGTGGCCACAGTCTGGTGCATGACGTTGGCTCTGTAACTGTCTGAGCGTCCGAGCAGTTCGTCATGCGATCCAGAATCAGTGCAAACACCACCATCAATCAAGAAAATGACATCCGCCTTCCGGATAGTGTGAAGACGGTGAGCGATGGCAATGACAGTGATACCGCGAGCGGCCTTCTCCAAACCATCCTGCAGAAGCTTCTCAGACTCCGCATCCAAGGCACTGGTGGACTCATCAAGGATCAGAAGCTTGGGCTTGCGGACAAGCGCACGAGCAATGGAAAGTCTCTGCTTCTGACCTCCGGAGAACTGGTTACCACTGGGGCCGCAGAGAGTCTGGTAACCCTCAGGCAAGGCCATAATGACATCGTGGATGTTTGCAAGCTTGCAAGCCTCCTGGATCTCTTCGATGCTGACATCGTGACCAGGTCGAGCACCAAGACCGACATTGAACTCAATGCTGCCCTCGAAGAGGACACTCTCTTGGGGCACCAAAGAGACCCAGTCGCGGAAGGAGACGTCGGTGGTCTTTGTTACATCGACGCCGTCGATGATGATGGACCCGGATTCAGGCGTGTAGAGACGTTCCACCAAGGAGATGATGGTTGACTTTCCGGCACCACTGGGACCGACCAAAGCACAGAACTTTCCGGGCTTGATGTCAACATTCAGTCCCTTCAAGACCTTCATGTCTGGGCGGGCAGGGTAGCAGAAGTGAACATCGCGAAGTTGCACGCTCGATGCCATGTTGCCGGAGTCATAGGTGGGCTTTTCCTCGATTGCCTCGACGTCTTTACCCTTAGAAGACTGGATCTTGCCGTTCATCTTGTCCTTGCCGATCTCAATCAGTCCGAGAATTCTGGCAGCTGCGGATCGCGCAGCAGAAAGCTCGGGCGCAAGAGCGAACATCTGACTCCAGAGGAGAGCGCTGACCAAAAGGGAGAAGACAACGATGAGGAACTGGGTTTGGGTGTAATTTCCATTGATAATCTGCTTGGAACCCCACCAGTAGGCAAGAGCGTTGACCATGTTACCGAGGAAGTAAGTCATAGCTTGCCACAAACTTGCTTGCAGGGTGACCTTAAGGGTTTCCTTGCGGGGTCCCTTGAGCGAGCGACGGTAGGTCTGGAGGGTGTTCTCTTCGAGGGAAAGGGAAGCAATAGTCTTAATGGAGGTCACTGCTTCCACGCCAATGTCGACAGATTTGGTGTAGGCGTTCTCGTGGCGTTCTTCGAACTTACCGAGAACCATCAACTCCATGAGACCTGCTCCGAGAAGAAGGGGGACCAAAGCCAGACAGACAAGAGCGATTCGCCAGGCAATGATGTGAGTCAAGATGATGGCAGCGATGAGGTTCACGGTGATGGAGAACAGAGTACCGACGACAGAGCCACTCAGACCAGCCAAGGCATTACCGTCACGGGTGATGTACGAGAGAAGAAGTGCGGGGGACCGGCCGTTGGACTGATGCCACTGCAGATCCTGCTCGAACAAGGAACGGAAAGACAAAACTCTGACCTTATACACCATCTTCTCAGCGACGAAACCAAAGCCTCCCCAGCTGACAATGTTGGCAAAGAACTCAATGATGGCAAGCACGAAGAACATCAGACCGTAGAAGTTACCGCTCTTCAAGATCTCGGATGCGCCCTTGCAGGGGTTCAAGCTTCCAACGGTGTTTCCGAAAATGACAGCTTCGCCAGAGAAGGCTCCACCAACCATGCTGGCACCGAACAAGGCGGCGAAGATGATGAGCAAGTGAGGTCTCAAGGCGGGTGCATAGCCCTTGCAAAGAGCCCACAGGGTCTTGGGTGGTGTCTCGGGCTCTTCCTCCTCCTCCTCGGCAGAATCGGTGGCGGGGGCTTCAGCCGTGGTAATCTTGGTGTCTTTGGTAGGCTCAACATCGTTGGAAACGCTGCCCTTCTCGTTTTCGACATCTGTGATTGAAGTAGCATCAGATTTGCTGACACTTTCGATGCTAACAGTGGTGTCGGTCTTGCTGGATGCAGATGCAGCTCCAAGGGTCTGCAGTTTCACAAGCTCGGAGTACGGTCCATTCTGGGCCATCAGCTCTGTGTGCGTTCCCTCCTCCAGGATATCTCCCTTGTGCATGCAAACAATCTTGTCCGCGTTGGTGATGGTAGACAGACGGTGAGCGATGGTGATGACAGTTCGGCCGGTGGAGATGTTGTTGATAGCGCGCTGGATGCGTTGCTCACTTCGTGAGTCAAGAGCAGCGGTGGCTTCGTCTAGGATAAGGACTGCGGGGTCCTTGACAAGAGCTCTGGCAAGGGACACTCTCTGCTTTTGTCCACCACTGATCAGGCGACCACTTGAGCCGACCATGGTAGCATATCCGTATTGCAAAGCCTCGATGAAGCCATCTGCGTCGGCGAGACCTGCAGCCTTGCGGACCAATTCGACAATTTCGACGACATCAGCGCCGCGTCGCTCGGCGGCGAGAGTAAGATCTTGACCATCGCGAACCTCGGTAGCGAGATCAGTGAGGGAGGTTCCGAGGAGAGTAGCCTTGAGATGCGCATGGGCTGGGTTACTCGAGTTCATCAAGCCGTGAGCGATATTTTCCAAAAGGGAGCGATCAAGAAGAGATGGTTCTTGTTGAACCAGACTTAAGAATCCTCTCAAATCACGTGTGTTCAGATCAGTCAGTTTTTGGCCATCGAAGGTGATTTGACCTTCTGTGGCGTCATACAACCGGGTAACAAGACCAGCGATGGTGGACTTTCCGCTGCCGGAAAGACCAACAATGGCAGTGTGCTTCTTCGGGGCAATAGAGAGATTGATGCTGTTGAGCACGGTGATCTCAGGGCGGGAGGGGTAAATGAAAGAGACATTCTCGAATTCGAATCCACCCTCTGCCTGAGAGAGGCGAATACCTTCGGAGGAGGAGCCATCGATCAACGATGGGCGCTCGATGTCATCACGCAACTTGTGGTAAGAAGCCACGGCCTGTGTGAACAGGTGGATGAAAGGTGCGACTTGGCTCAGCAATAGGGTTGCTATAAATTCGTTAGCAGATTCCTCGGGTAAAATAACGACATCAAAACTAACCCTCGACCAAGACGAAGATAACGGTGAACGTAGATCCAACGGTAGCTCCAGCTGAGCCAGAGCGCACAGCATCTGCCACGCGCCTACTTCCTTGCCAGAAGGCAAGACCGTTTGCACCGTACGCGATGAAGTATAAGAAGCCAGCCTGGATTCCAGTAGCAGTAGCCTTCTTCAGACCCTCGCCTTCAGAGTCCTTGAGCGCCTTAGAAAACTTTTCTTCCAGACGACCATTGGCACCAAAAGCCTGCACGACCACGATGTTGTTGAGCGCCTCCGAGGCGATCGACGCGGCGGAAGCGGCAAAGTCGGACATGCGCCCGGTGTATTTCTCAATATAATGACTTCCAACAAAAGACATCAAAAAGTACGCGGGAACCAAGGAAATCAACATGGCTGCCAAAATGTAGTCCTTGATGAAGGCGACGATGTATGCAGTGACGAAAAAGGAGAAACTGGAAACACAGATTCCGACTTTCTCGGCGGTACCAGAGCGAATGGTCTGGATATCGGTGTTCAATCGAGAAGCAACCTCTCCGGCGGGTAAATTGTCGAAGAAAGAAGGCTCTTGGCGAAGCAAATTTTGCAGATACTTTTCACGTAGGCGCTGCGCCAGGCGGGCACCCGTCATGGTCCAGCATAGCAAGTGCATATAAATCAAGACAAATTGAGCAATTCCCAGGTAAACAATCAGGAGAATTTTGCTGTTAATTCCACCTTGCTCACTGGAGTCTGAACCGCCGCCATCGGATTCGCTGCATGTAACGGAGTTGAAATCGTCGAGCAGCTGACCGAAGATAATTCCAATAATTGGGAATGGAACACCGGAAGCGATTGAAGATGCGAGACCGACAAAGAGTGTACCGAGCTCCAGGCGCGAAGGCTCCGCGGCCACAAGCAGCCTGGGGTAGCTACCTAGGTTCCCGAAAACCATGATGACTCGATATAGGCGTGTCCAACGCCTTTCTGGGTGTCGAGTGGGTGTTGAGGAGGTTAGGTTTTTCGCAGGGGTCCGTTTTATCGCTTGACTAACTCGATAGTGGCGTCACCATAAGTTTGAAAGCATCCACCCCTTAGCGTGATTCCATTCAGCGGAGCGGTTCTGGCGGGTGTTTGTATGAAGTTCCAACCTTGACTCACTGCTTGTCGAGTGTGAGGATGAGAAGACAAAGGGACTTCCGGGTGGTTTTCATGCCGAGTCAATTTTTTTTAAAAAAATCAGCCGACATCGGTTTTGACAGTTGGATCTCCGAAGATGTGACTACCCACAACCCACCTTGAGGAAATTCATTCGGAGGGGAATATTTTTTATCTGATCGAAGTGGGGCCCGCATACCGTGGTATTGCACTAGTGTCAATACCCGTATTGTTTGTTTCCCATTGTATCATATACCGGTCTCGAAAGTATTGAATACGGCACAATACCAAGTCTGTTTTGACGGCTATGATGCTGCATGGGGCATAGTGGATGCTGGTGAGATTATGAGCAAATTAATTCTTGCGTGAAATATATCACCGAGCCCATTTCGGAGTGGATTGAGGGCGTTTTCACACCTTAGAAGAGCCATTGACCTCGAAAATGCAAACGTGTGCCGCAACGCACATAATATCTCGGCATGCCTTACACTGCACAGTTATATAGATTGCATCCCGGTGACCAGCACCACCCAGATTGGAATCCAAAAACTTCGGAACACGGAGAAGACTATATTTCCGATCTCTTTATTCGAAAATTGAAAATGGACTTTTATGTAAATCTAGATTCTCCGCTCAAAATTATCTGATTGGAACAGAGTGGATCGAATTCGTGTTGGGGAAATGACCATGGAATGATGCTGAAATGGAGTCCGAGCTAGTCTCCACATCCAAGACATGTGGAGATTATCGGCAAGTGAATAACATATGGGAAATCTAGTACACATTTTGCACTCGTAATTGATGCCTAGCGAATGCCGCGAACACCGAATAGAGCAATTCGCAAAAAAGAAAAAGAAAAAGAAAAGAAAAAGAAAATCAAGGAAAAGAAACGAGCAGAAACTAAAGCTTAGCGTTCCATGCCGCGCGGTCGGCGGATTCCAGAGGTCGCTCACGTCCATCCCAGAAGAGAGGACACAGCTGAAACCACTTTTCCCGACTGCAGATAGAGTGAACCGAGCGCTTGTGGCCGAGGTCGACGTATTTGCCGATGGTAAGGCCCTGCGCGTTCTCGTAAGAGAGAATGGTCGCGCCGGTAGCCTTGGGCTCGCCAACGGCGTTGGCAGTCCGAGGGTCATCGAGGAAAACGTAGTGAATGCAGCTGGAGTACCAAGCATTCACGCGGTGAGCGCCGCGGAAGCTTGAGTCGCCGACAAGGGAGTGGCGACCGCGATCGTAGTCTCCGGCATCGTAGTGTGCTCCGTAGTGATCCTCCTATAGACAAGGTTAGCATGTAGTCAAGGGATGTACATATATCGAGAAACGTACCTTTGACCAGTAGAGCTCATAGTAAGAGAAACGGGTATCATCGAAGCGACCAAACAGACACAGCACATGAGGGTCGAAGTGCAATTTGCGCAGATACTCGGTGTGCTCAGCGATAGTTCCGGTCTCGTTCCAGCCTGCAGCGACTCGCGGGTCATTTTGCCACTTGTTGAACAATTGAACGTGCTCCGCGCTCTCCCAATCCACGACTTCCAGTGAAAAGTGCTCGTTGATCTCGGGGATGTAGCGACTGTAAGCAATAGATCCTGGGTGTGGCTTAGGGCGACGAGTAGGGTGACGTGTGTAGACCGGCTCTTCGGGGAACTTGTTGGTGATCTGGTAATTCTCCGGCATGACGGGATATTGAGAAAGCGGCTCTCTCAGAGGGCCATCGGTGCCATCTCCCACAACCCAGATAGGACGCGGGCCCAGTGGTGAGGCAGCACCTTGCCAGAAGGCGCTTCGGAGGACCAGCAGTTCATCGAATTGCAAAGCTTTGTTATCGCGATCCCGGAGATTGATCGGATGCTCAATTGCCAAACCGGTATTCAAAAGTTCATCGCGGATGACTTCCTTTCCAGTACCGGAGAGGGTGAGTCGGAAGTACTCAATTGTTGGGTGGCCGAGGTAAATGGCGTGGACCACATTCCAGATCTGACCGAGAGAGGGCGCATTATTTCCTGTCCACTGGAAAGTGGTCTGTGGGCTGCGACGCGCCCGACCCCAGGGGGTGTTATTTGAGATTGGTGGTTGTTCAGCCTTAGGGATGAAGGTCAGATCCAGCCACGATAGTGAATCTGAGTGCAACGATTTGGGCAAAGATCTACCCTTCGCGGGCTGTTCATCAAGTGTCAGGGTGCGCTTAGCGGGTGTCGATCCCCCAACGGTGTTCACGCGGTATGAAGTCAGATAAGGGTGTGGTAGCTTGACCAGGGGATATTGGTGTGAATTGGACGCCATTTTTGTGTAAATGTTGCTGGAAACTCTGCGGCACGGACTAGGTATTTAAAGCATTGAGCGAAAGCGACAAGTAAGACACACCTCCCCGCGCGCTAGGCCACAATATAATTAATGTGAAGACCCTGACACCAAGGACGATCCTGCAGAAATGGAGTAACCGAGGCCGAAAATCCGAGGTGTCGCCAACTCCCAAAGTAGGAATTCCTAGCCCGGAGAGTTTAGGGGCGCCTTATGGGCCTGGGACAGCTCCATACGGCTCCAATTGGTACCGCTACCTGCGACTGGCCTTCTTCATATGGAGCCAAGTTCCGAGGTTCCGCAGGTTTCTGCGACCGGCACTAGTAGGAACGATACTACATAACATGGACATAAGCCCAGAGGGAAATATGCTCAATTAATAACAAATACTGTGCATCTTATCTACTGCCGATCATGTCTTTGCGATCAGGACCCTTGAATCATGGGAATTTCTATATTTCCTTCCCTCATGAGCGGGTAGTCCAAGTGACAATCAATCGACCTGACAAGCTTAATTGTATCGACAAGACTACGAGCCGAGAGATCGCCAAGATCTGGGAGCTATTCGACGAAGATGAAAGCCTATGGGTTGCGATCATCACCGGTGTTGGGCGGGCCTTTTGCACTGGAGCTGATTTAGGAGGTGGGTTACTCACATGCACTGGAGAGGAAAGGAAGAAAAAGAAAAGAAAAGAAAGAAAGAAAGAAAGAAAGAAAGAAAGAAAGAAAGAAAGAAAAACCAAAAGAAAAAAGTTGAGAGGTTGACCAAGTGGAACAGAATGGAACGCTATGAACAAGGCCGGTGTCGTCAATGACATGTCCGCGCCGGGCCTCGCCGGATTACCTCGCCGGACAGGCAAGAAACCGATTATCGCCGCCGTGAACGGAATCTGCATGGGCGGAGGGTTCGAGATGGTGGCGAACTGCGATCTGATTGTGGCCTCATCTTCTGCCATTTTCTCTCTCCCGGAAGTCAAGCGAGGCATCGTACCAGTTGCCGGATGTTTACCGCGACTGACTCGTACCATTGGTCTCCAGCGTACAATGGATCTTGTGCTTACCGGGAGGAATGTGAACGCCACCACACTCCGTGACTGGGGCCTGATCAGTCAAGTGGTGGAGCCGGACAATGTTGTCCGCGCAGCAGTGGAGGTTGCGGAAACCATGTGCAAAAATAGTCCCGACGCGTTGATTGTTGGTCGGTTGGGTGTCCGGATGAGCTGGGAAGCTGGAAGTGTGGAAGATACGGTATCAGATCTGGCGGATCAGTGGTATCCCCGATTGGTAGCTGGTCCTAACTTTGCCGAAGGGATCCAGGCGTTTGTGGAGAAACGGTCTCCGAGTTGGAAAAACTCGAAGTTGTAATTTAATCAGATTGAAATTGAAAAGTTATGGTTCGGTTCACTCGTTCCAAGGTTCGATGTGGACTCGACAATTATCAGATTGTACCGAAAAGAAAACATCGAAAAATACAGATTCTGTGTATTTGTGTTATTTTGGTATTTTGGGTATTTTTTTGAGAAATTCTTGCTCTGAAACATCTTTGCGACGTTGGAGATGCAGCATCACAGGGAGAAAGATAAGCACTCTAACACCACAAGAGTATTGCTCTGATCAAGCATGCATGAGAGCAAAGGTACATCAAGAACTCATGGGATTGCCCCCAACAGTCCTTTAATGACCGCGTTTCATCCACATCTCCAACACAGGAGAAACAGCCTACCCAATCCAAACTTGATTGCTTCGGGCGAAACCGCACTGATCTTGATCCAAGCTCTGTTAGTGCCGGCCCCCACGACCGAGAGTTGACCTTATATTGTTTTTTCCGGCTCCTGTCGCGGCGCAAATGTTCGATAATCGATGCCAAGGATCCGCCAAGCCTTGGCATGCCTTTGCCAAGCATAATTGCCCTGGTAATTTCCTGTCCAGGAAGCTTCCACGAGCACGCCCAAAGCTTGAAGCGGACCCATCCCCGGTTGGTCTTGCCTGAGCTGCCATCCTTGCAACCCAAAAGCCACCATTAATAACATCTGATTAGATTCCGCCCTCGGACCTCCCGAATCTAGCCACGGCCTGGAGTGGGCTGACAACGCCCCCTGCTTGGCTCGGGGGCCACAGAGAGGACGAGAGGTGGCTCGGTTAGATGTGAATCAGCGAATCAACGTGGAGACATCGCCAAGGCTTTCGCTCGCTGGATTTCTTTCCACCGCGTGGCGTGCATTAGTTTTCCCAGATTGTACCAAGCTGCCGAGTTCGGTGATTTTTCGTTAAGCGCTGCTTCGGATGCGCTAGTAAATCACTATCCGCTGCTCGTATAAGGATAGAGGCTCTCCGTGTGATCGCTGGCTTTTCCTTTTGAGTTCATCCAACCTATTCTCTTCATCCTAATCAACATGGGTGTTTCCAGGCTTCGGACTGCCTTCCGGCGGTCTTCGACCCAGGAGAGTGTTACTCCGGTTGCCGTCACTGCTGTTGGCGAGAAGAACCATGAGATCCCTCACGATGCCGAGTCTGCCATGCCGGCCACCCCGGAAAACCCAGAGCTTCCTACCGAGGATACCCAGCAGGGTGTCAAGGAGCTTGAGGCAGTGACTTTGAGCTGGACCAAGACCACCTTGATTGCCGTCTTCGTGAAGTGAGTTTTCATCTTCCTGTGAAATTTTATGACGGTCCCTTGGGCGTTTTGGAAGGCATTTGCTAACAAATCCGCTGAACAGCATCTGGTTCCTCTACTTCGTCAATGCAATGCAACAATCGATTAATTACAGTCTGCTCGGCTTTGTTACTAGTGACTTCGAGAGTCACTCCCTGTTGAACGTCATCTACATCGTCGCAGACGCCATGACAGCCGCAGTTTACATTCCCACTGCCAAAGTCATGGATGTTTGGGGCCGTGCTGAAGGATTCCTTGCCATGACCATTTTCGCTACCCTCGGTTTGATCATGATGGCCGCTTGCCACAACCTTCCCACTTTCTGTGCCGCCTACGTGTTCTACAGCATCGGTTTCGGAGGTATGACATACTGCGTGGATGTCATCACCGCCGATGTTTCCAAGTTGAAGAATCGAGGCTTGGCTTACGCCTTCACCTCTTCGCCCTACATCATCACCGCTTTCGCTGGCCCCAAGGCCGCAGAGGGCTTCTACGAGGATATCAGCTGGCGCTGGGCTTTCGGTGCTTTCTCCATCATCTTCCCAGTCGTGGCTGCCCCTCTCTATGTCACCTTGAAGATCAACCTTACCAAGGCCAAGAGGTCCGGACTCGCAGTCAAGGAGCCCAGTGGTAGAAACATGTTCCAGAGCGTTTGGCACTATGCCAAGGAGTTCGATCTTCTTGGTGTGCTTATTTTCTCGATCGGTCTTGTCATCTTCTTCCTTCCATTCAGCATTGCTTCGTCCGCTCCTAATGGTTGGGGATCCGACTACATCATTGCCATGATCGTCGTCGGCTTTGTCATGCTTGGTATCTTCCTGGTGTGGGAGCTTCGCTTTGCGCCTACACCCTTGTTCGACTTCAGCATCCTGTCGGATCGCACTGTCATCGCTGCTTGTTTGCTTGATGCCACTTACCAGATTTCTTACTACTGCTGGAACCACTACTATACCTCCTTCCTGCAGGTTGTCAACAACCTCACCATCTCCGAGGCTGGATACGTCAGCAACACTTTCGACGTGGTTTCTGGTATTCTGCTGATTGGTGTCGGTTTCCTTATTCGCCGTACTGGCCGCTTCAAGTGGCTCCTCTACGGAGCTGTTCCTCTGTACATCTTCGCCCAGGGACTGATGATCTATTTCCGCAAGCCCAATCAATCTGTTGGTTACCTCGTTATGTGCCAGATCTTCATTTCCATCGGTGGCGCTGTCTTCATTATCGTTGAGCAGCTTGCCATCCTGGCTGCTGTGGACCACCAGCACGTTGCCACTGCTCTTGCCCTGCTCAACGTTGTTGGTACCGTCGGCGGTGCTGCTGGCTCAACTATCTCCGGTGCCATCTGGACCAACACCTTCTACAAGGCTCTCGAAAGCAGACTTCCCCAGGATGCTCTTGCCAGCATTGGTGATATCTACGAGTCCCTTGACATCCAGATCAGCTACGCGATCGATTCCCCCACTAGAATCGCCATCCAGAATGCCTATGCCTACTCACAGACCAGAATGCTTGCAGCTGGTACCGGTATCATGGGTCTTTCCATTATCTGGGCTCTCATGATCCGCAACATCGACTTGAAGAAGGTTGCCCAGGTCAAGGGTACCGTCTTCTAAGCTACTTGATGGTGGCTTGGGGTCATGTCACGAGATTGATTTTCGTGTGATCCCCTTTTACATAAAAATTCTGGCATACAGTCATCGAGCTGTTGTCGACTTACTCTACTTTTTGTACCTTATCATCTAATTATCTTCATAACGATCTGAACGCAGGATTTTGTTATCATCACAGTCAAAGTTTCTCCGTAAATCCCAAGGTTTGTCGCCGTAAGAAAAACTCCGTTTTTGTAAGTGGTTTCAAGGCAGGGATGTGTAGTCACAATCGAGGCAAGCCCAATAACTACAAGCAATCTCTAAGAATCCCTAAGGGAAGCGGGGAAATATCGAGATGCGAGGACTAGGAAGCAGCCACCTCCGACATGGCCCATGTCCCGCCCATAGCCGTTTCTATACGATGGTGACTCGCTTGCCATCAATGACTCGCTTTCAATCCGAGCGAGCTTCACATATAGCTTGCCAAGCCTCCGGTGCACCAGAGACGCGACGACTTCCGCCGTTGAATGCCAAGGATATTCATATCAAGACCACGACGACTTTCCGGTGAATTGCAGCTCGCTTAAATTATCTGCCGGCATATGCTGCCACGAAAAGTGAATAATACACATTTCAGGTGGATGCGACACGAAGTACGCGTTTAGTCGTAAATTACGGCAACATACCGCTAGTGCCTCGTCAGTAACATTGGTAATCTATTGATCAAAAGCCTCGTACCGTCGGTCATTTTTGAATAAATGCCATATGAGACCTAAGCCGATACTTACCTTGATAGGTTCCAAGGTCCGGTGTGTCTTATTAGCCCTCCACCTCGAAGTGGAGATGAGGACAGGAAGGATCTGATAACTTTGTTGCCTCGGCTCGATTGTCGCGATCCTTGTCTATGACTCAAGCAAGGGTCTCTTTTTTCGGATTGAACCGCCGTGGTCCACACGTGGATGACAGTCGTGGCCCGCAAAAGGAATTCATTGGCGTGGTAATAGTCAAGCAATGGACCCAAGAGTGATCGGCTTAAGAAATTCCATCCATGGAAAAGTCGACCGAGCTTTCTCTTCACAACAAAGTGGGTACATCCGCTGGCTCCGAGGTCTCGATGGTGTCTAAAGTGCATGATGGCGAGGACAAATTCACTCATTATCCATCTGATTAGATTGAGTTATTGGCCCAGGGTACCCTTGGCATCATTTGGTGTCTTATCTGATCCGTCTGTATCCATAGATGTTACGTATCACTCGGCGGCTTTTCTACGGAGTACAGGTGTAAAAAGTTCGCTAAAACGCGAGGTTCGTTAAATCGTAGGTTCGTTATAATGGTGTTTTACTGTACACAAGCGTACGTTTTTCAAACGTCGCTTTTTAGTTGCCGCCAGTATGGATGAATGTATTGGGCGGTGAAAAATATTTACAAAAACAAAATCAAAATATACAAAAAACAAACAAAAGACAGACAGACAACAAACAACAAACAGACAACAAACAACCGAAACAGACAACCGAAACAAAACAGCGTTCAATGATCGCTGGCGCCGTCGTTGGTGCCCTTGGGGGTGGCGACCGAGAGCTGGATGTTGTTGGGGGGGGTGCGGGAGTGGGAGTTGCCGCTATTTCAGTTTTTCATTAGTTTCAACGCACTCAGGATATATTTTTTTTGAATAAGAATGGGTTATATTGTTATGTAGGGTTATCTCGAAATAATTAAATATCAGAAATAAATGGCAAATCTAGATTTTACACAGTGATCAGTTTGTTTTTACTTCTACGTACCTTTATGGGTTGGCGACCCCGCGCCAGCTATACAACAGGTCAGTATAAGATCCATAAAGAACCATAGAGCGAATCACTTACCGACGATATTCGTTGAGGGTTATCTCCCTCAGCACATCTCGAAGGCCGATTGTGAAAACAATGGCCACAATGGCCCCGACGCAGTTCCACAGGGCGGCACCCCCCTTGGTTTCTGCGAGGCGAAATGCCTCGCCGACCAGGGATTCCTCCCCTTTCCCTTCTTCTTCTCCCCGGGCCGAGATGGGGTACGTGGCTGCACTGTATGTTAGCCAACATGTTCTCAAAATTCCGACAACAGCCCTCTCTCTCTCTCTCTCTCTCTCTCTCTCTCCCCCCCGTCTCAATTGTCTCTCTCTCCTCACTCATTTCACTCTCTCTCCTCACTCATTTCACTCTCTCTCCTCACTCATTTCACTCTCATTCTCATATCTCCTCCTCATCCCTCATGCTTATCCCCCATGCTCATCCCTCATGCTCATCCCTCATGCTCATCCCTCATGCTCATCCCCCATTTATTCTTCCTTGATTGCCCTGATTTCCCAGGTTTTCTACAACCAAGTGGTTGTATCCCGGATTCTTCCTCTTTGACTTTGCCCCAATATTGCAATTCTCGAAAACGTGAATAAGAGTATGGTGAACAAGTACTGATATGAGAACACGTAGCTAAGATCCGTGCAAAAAAAAAACATTCTTGCGGTGCATCGAGATGCTCTCACGACATGATTTCGCGACGCGTAGCTCGGATTCATGCCAACGAGGATCGAGGATAGTTCGCCCGAGAAAGTAGCTGGAATAGAACCAGAGCCCCTCCCCAAACAGAGAGAGCCAGAGAGAGCCAGAGACAACACTAAATGGGGAGGTTCGGGAAGTATCAAAGTCTAGGATGCTTTACTTACCAGCAAGGCAAACCAAGGCAGCAAGAATAGCAGTAGACTTGAAAAAAGGCATTTTGTTTGATTTGTTAATTGTTTAGGTGAATTCGCAGTTCCTACGCGTTTGATAGAGTTGTTTCGTTTACGTAAATTGGGCATACAATACTTGGGAAGGTGCAAACCCATAGCATGGAGCAAGATCAAAATCAATTCGCACTACTATGAATCCAAGCAATTCAGCTAACAACGTACTTGCACCACGGTAAATTCTTGGTCTAAATCAGCCCAGCGCTTGGCGGCGCCTCGATCATATCAAAGGGATTTTTCTCGCTGCCATTCATCAGCCCCCAAATAGACGCCCGGATGTACCATCCTGAGCGGAAAATACGCGAGTCGCCATTAAGCTCGGTTCGCAACGATGCCAGATATTTCCCGGGATTGCTGAAGCCTCTTGCTTTCTGGCAACATCCGCATTGAAGAGTACAATGTCCGACTCCAAGCCTACGCCCCGGGCCAGTATCGCGATTCAGACAGCAACCACATTGACGGGAACAGCATCCTTCCCGATCAGCACAATCCGCAACCAGGATGGTGTGCATGTACCACCTAGGGTGTGACCGCCATAGATCAAATGCTCGGAATAGAACCCCCGCGTGTAGAGAGCTTTTGTAAAAGTACCACTTGTCCTTGAGGACGTGGAATCGAATGTTCAAATCATGAAGTCTTTCTCCCAAGTCTCCTTCCGGACCCAACTTTCTTATTTCGTTCTCGACGGATATCTCTTCTTGAACCACTTCGCGGAGTTCGTGCTCTGTATTAAGAAGACGAAGCGAGACATCTTTATAAGCATGGCTAACGCCATAGAACTTGTTGTATCGGTATTGCTGTAGAGCATGAACGTTCCCTTTGTTTGCATGTTTGGCCTCCTTCGCTGTCATCTCGCAAATCAAATGCTGTTGAAGTCTTGTTGGGTTGCCTTTCAGCTTCTCTCTGAGTGCAGAAAACGGCATTATCAATTTATTGGAAGTTGAAACCGCATTCAGGAAACGAGCAGATATAAATCTTGGCCCTCCGCCACCTGAACCGTCATGTACAGACCTGGAAAGTTAACATTTGTGACTCATTCACCAACCGTGGAACCGAACCACAGAGACTGCATCTTGACCGGAGGATTAATTGCAAGCTCAAGGCAACGTAAGATTTGAATCCATGGTTCAAGTTCTTCACAGTATTTTTTCCCATCTTCCAAAGTTTGTTTAAATATGGTCTTGACCTCTTTTCCCCCATTGGGATTCTACCAATGGGGTTAGCCTGGACAAATAATATCAGAATGAACAAAGAGAATGAGAAAGTCGTTTGATGCTTCTGTTCTTTCTCCGTCTTCTCCATGCCTTCAAGCTGAAAAAGATGGATTTCCCCTCAGAGACCAAGACCTCAGATATGAAGGCCTCACAGACCAAGACACAAAAACTGCCATCCTATACTACTACCAAAAGTTCATTGTCCTCTAACCACTTTCCCTCAAAGTATATCAATTTTATTCATTGTGGAGATATATTTTCCTGGCGAGTTCTCGTTGATTTCACCCCGTAAAAGGGAAACCCTGGATATCTAGAGGTTCCAAGCCCTGGAGTTGGTCTATGGAAAAACTCCCCAGGTGCACCCCAGCAACAGAAAACCGGGGTGGACATGGGCAATCCACCTGGGCATGGAGATTTCAGGAAATCGGGGCTCTACCTCAACTCGGCCCCGGGGGTCCACGGGCATATCCAACTAATCGGCATTGCGACCTGGGGCTCGTTCCAAGGTTGACTTCGGGTACCAACCTTGTAAACTTGCAGGGATCATGTCATGGAAAGTGGAAATTGTAAATCCGATTTAAGTCCGCGAGATCGTAATCTCCTAAACTACTAAACTCCGTTAAGGCCGTCTCTTTGTTCGGTATATTTGGTATTAATTCACCATTTGCGTTCACAACAACATCAACAAATCCATTGCAACACTTTTTTTCCATCCCTTCAAGTATAAACATTGCTCCAATGGCCGCCGTCACCAAACCCTTGATTCTGATCACCGGTGCCAACCAGGGCCTCGGATTCGCAACGGTCCAACAGCTTGCCGGCACTGGCCAATATAACCTTCTTCTTGCCGCCCGCTCCCAGGAAAAAGCCAAAGGTGCAGTCAAGCAACTACAAGAGTCTAACCCTGATGGCTCTTTGACGCCTGTTGTCATCAATCTCAACCAAGACGAATCCATCACTGCCGCAGCCAAGCTCATAGAAGAGCGTTTCGGATCGCTAGATATCCTCATCAACAACGCTGGCATTAACAGATCATCCGACCCAAATGCAACTCTACGCGAGAGCTACCGAGCTGTGTTTGAAACGAATGTCTTTGGTGTGGCAGTGGTGACAGCAACTTTCCTACCCCTCCTACGCACATCTAAGTACCATGACCGACGTATTGTCAACGTGACGAGTGGCCTTGGTCAAATCGGCATCGCCTACTCGCCAACTTCGGAGTACAGTGCTAAGATGTGGGAGCTGCCTGTTTACCGCAGTAGCAAGTCTGCGATCAATATGATTACTGCTGTCGATGCTGTTAGTCTTGAGAAGGAGAACATCCTCGCTGTTCATGCTGCCCCAGGCTTCTGTCGCACCAACTTTGGGGGTGGTCAAGGTGTCAAATCAGCAGAGGAAGGGGCTCGGCCTATTGTGCGGGCTGCGACGGAGGGTTCGCCAAAAGAACTATTTGGCAAACTTGTGGACGACGAGAACATCCTGGTCGAATTTGGCTGGTAACCTTGAAAATTACACTGTCATGAGGGCTGTGAGCGATGAGGTAGATGAGACAAGGTAGCAATATATATATTAGACTTTGGCCGGTTTCTATATATCCATGGATGCCCATGTGCCTGCCTCCCGAGGTCCAGGGCTTTAGGTAGCCTGAATTTTCCAGATCTTTTCCAGATCTATTTCCAATGGATGCTCAGGTGTTCTCACGATAGCTCTGATGTTATTAACTATTACACATGAGTAGTCAAAGGCTCCAGGGCTGTCCCGGGGTGCAGAGAGTACCTAGAACGAAGCCTTTTATTAAGATTGATTGTTCAATCCCGAGGTCAAGTCTATCTAGACTATCAACCTACGATGTCCCCTCTTAGCTCTCATTGATGAGATTTTACGCTTTCACGGATAACATTACTCGATGAAAGGCTGCTAAGTCCTACTTCCAGAGCCTCCAGGGCTTGGAACAATCATGATCAAACAAGCTATGGCTACAAAATGATGCCTCTGAGTGAGAGTGGAATGATGTAGACTGCAGACTGTCACGTGGGCAGGCGAGGCTCTCGATTCTCATGATATCCATAGGTAAAGCATCATCACAGTAAATGTGCTCCTTACTGCTCAGCCCTGGAGGCTATTGTTGGATAGGAACCTTGGAAAGGCCAGTGCTCATATTAGGACAGGCTCAGATAGTAGCTCCTTGCTATTAGCATCTATCGGTATCTAGTATTTGATCTGGAGGAACCTTGGAGCGATATCATGGAACATGTTTTGTTCCCCCTAGACATTGGGCTCCTTGTTGCGTTTGTAGAATGTTCGCCTTAACATGGGTATGTATTACTCCCGTCTTCAACCTTGAGAAAATTGATCAACAGCCCTGCCTCGGACCTTGAAAACTTCCGAGTCTCTACCCGATCGAGAAGTCCAGATCAGAGGTCCACCCCTGTGATGATGCCATTTGTCAGTATATTTCTGTTGGTTTCTTTCTTTCATTTTTCAATTCCTGCGCACGCCCTGACTGATACAGATCCATGGCTCAATTGTTTAACATAGAGTACGTTGGGGCAGCTCAAGGGGTAACTATCCGGGGGGTATTTTTAGTCATTCGGGTTGCTGAGGGCTATCTCCACGGGCATTTGTTTTCTCTTCGTTGGGGTCATTGGAGGTTCTCCAGAAGAAGCAGACTAGGCTTGCTTAGTAGACCCACATTCCTGAATGGTGGAGGTGGAGCGTTAGGGATTGTCTTAGCAAACTCCCTTAAAGTGAAACGAACTGCGTCGATCCCGTGCATTCTGGAGGTATGATCTTCTATAGCTGATTCAACGGTATTCTTTCTGCGACGACTCAAGAAGCAGAGTTTATTTTGTCGGAGTTTGGCATTCTGTCAACTCCGCGGGTTTGACCTGGATTGTGGAATACAGAGTTTTCTGGATGCAACGGCAAAAACCAGAATGTTCTCCAGTCTGGTGCCTTCTTTTGTTTCCGAGCAGCTCTCGAATAAGTGCAAGGTCAAGCCCCAATTTACACTTGTAGTGGATGACAAACGGATTGTGAAGATGCGATTGGCTCTCATCCGAGTTGAAGCCCACCTTCTCCTTAATTATCCTCTGACAGCGAACCACCTAAAAATAAGCATCTCGCACAGAACTTGTAGGGTGCACGAACGGTTCACTCCTCGGAGTCTTCGGACACGGGCACTAAAAGCCCCCTGACTCCATTCCGGCTCCACTATGTGAAGTTTCTGGATGAGTATGGCGAAATGCCTCAATTTTGGGGCAGCCCGAACAATGAACTGGTAGCGGTTCATCTAGTCAAAACGTGTTCCTGGATTCATCCCTGGTAGCTGCAGCCGGGGTATCGAAGAAACACGGTTCACCCAGTGGTTCATGGTATACGATGGATGAGCGATCCCCACCCAGATCTATACGCCTTCCACAGATTCTCGCGTATATCCTCAGGTATCTTGCAGAGTTTTCTTTTGGCGCATTCCGTACTAGACTCGATTCATGCATATTCTCAAAGATCAGGCACATGAAACGAGCCGTCCCAGAGGTCTCGAAAATGAACTCGATCAAGTTCGCTGGTGGTAGGCTGAAACAGGCACGACCACACACGGGGAGAGCCGTAGTTTCAGCAATGCATGCTAATAGATTGCTCAATTTTCAAGCACGGGCAGGAGCTGAAGCACGAGCCTGTTCACCAGAATAGATTCGTTTCTCGGCCCGATCCATACTTCCAGAGAGGTATAAGAACGAGCATCTGCCAGCGTCCATCAGCTCTCATCATCACTCACGACTTTCTTTTGCTTCAGTTGACTGGTTCAACTTCCTTCATTCGCTCTTCTCTTTCTTTTTTCCTCCTTCCAGAGTCAATCACCAGTACTCTATCCCTCGTTTCTCCTTCATCGTTCCGGCAACATGAAGAACACTGCGATCCTTCTCCTCGCGGGTACTGCCCTTGCAGCCCCTTTCAACAAAACTCTCGAGACCCGTGAGCCCTGCCTGTGGCTCCCCGGTGCTCTGAGCGGCAGCAGCGGTCTTGGTGGCTCTGCCAGTGGATCTGGCAGCGGTGGTATCGGCTCTTCTATCTCCAGCTGGCTGCACGGCAGCGGCTCTGCGAAGGGCTCTGCCAGCGGCTCTGGTTCCGCCGATGCTTCTGGATCTGGTTCCGCTGACGCTTCTGGATCTGGCTCTGGCAGCGGATCTGCCAGTGGCGGCCTCGGTGCCGGTCTTGGTCTCGGACTTGGTGGCTCCGGCAGCGGTGGCCTCAGTGGTTCTGGCAGTGCCTCCGGCGGTGCCTCTGGAACTGGCTCCGCTGGCGCAAGCTCTTCTGGCAGTGCTGATCTCAGCGGCTCTGGCTCCGCCGGCATTGGTGGAACAGGATCTGCTGGTCTCGGTGGCTCTGGTTCCGCCGGTCTCGGCGGATCTGGAAGCGCTTCTGGCGGTGCTTCTGGCACTGGCTCTCTCGGCGCTGGTGCTACCGGCGGTGCTGGCCTCAGCGGCTCCGGCTCTGCTGGAATTGGAGGCTCTGGCTCGGCCGGCCTCGGCGGCTCTGGCTCCGCTGGCCTTGGTGGTTCTGGCTCGGCCGGTCTCGGCGGCTCTGGCTCCGCTGGTCTTGGTGCCTCAGGAACTGGCTCTCTTGGTGCCGCTGCCACTGGCGGTGCTGGTCTTGGTGCATCTGGTAGCGCCTCCGGTGGTGCTTCAGGAACTGGTGCCGCTGGCGCTGGTGCTTCTGGCGCTTCTGCTCTTGGTGGATCTGGCTCCGCTGGTATTGGTGGATCTGGATCTGCTGGCCTCGGTGGCTCCGGCTCTGCTGGTATTGGTGGATCTGGCAGTGCTTCTGGTGGTGCTTCCGGTACTGGTTCTCTCGGCGCTGGTGCCACCGGTGGTGCTGGTCTCAGCGGTTCCGGCTCTGCTGGCATTGGTGGCTCTGGCTCTGCTGGTCTCGGTGGATCTGGTTCTGCCGGTCTTGGTGCTTCCGGAACTGGCTCTGCAGGCGCTGCTGCTACTGGAGGTGCTGGTCTTGGTGCATCTGGTAGCACTTCTGGTGGTGCCTCTGGAACTGGCTCTCTCGGTGCTGGTGCTTCCGGTGCTTCTGCTCTTGGTGGATCTGGCAGTGCCTCCGGCGGTGCTTCTGGCAGCGGATCTGGTGACGTCTCCGGCGGTGTTTCTGGCGGTGTTTCTGGCGGTGCTTCCGGTGGTGCCTCCGGTGATGTTTCTGGCAGCGGCTCTGGCGATGTTTCCGGTGGTGCATCCGGCTCCGACTCCGGCTCAACTGGCGCGAGTTCTACTGGCGCCTCATCTCCCGAAGCCAGCTCCCCCTCCGATTCTTCCGACTCGGGTTCTTCTGGGTCTGATGTTTCTGGCACTGGCTCCGCTGGTGCTAGCGGTTCCGGATCTGGTTCGTCTGGCACAAGCGTCTCTGGCTCCGACTCCGGCACTGGCACTTCCCCTCAGGAGACCAGCTGGAGCACTAGTGTGAGCTGGGCTATCCCCGGTCCTACCGGTACATCTGGTGGTCTCAGCGGCTCTCTCAGTGGCTCCGCTTCCGCCCAGGCTTCCGCTGAAGCTCAAGCCTCTGCTCACGCTTCTGCCAACGCTTCCGCCCATGCTGATGCTTCCGCGGATGCCTCTGCGAATGCCAGCGCGTCTGCTAACGCCTCTGCCGATGCCTCTGCTTAAGGCATCTGTTACTCAACTCACACTACCACGTCCCTCGACCGGTGTCTCGATGTTTCAATTGTGGTGGAACAATATCTTGTATGATGCTGGCTTTCTGGATGTGAATTGTTACTAGAAATCTTTGTGCTTTTGCACACTTACGCTCATTATGTCATTTAAAGAACTATTATCAGCTTAGCTTCGGGTATATTAATCAGTCATCGCTTTACCCTGAATCTTTCCTCATCTCCTTCATCGATAAGTAGAAGCGAGCCTTTATCTGTCTGGTCTTCTATTCGTCTCCAGGAGTGGGATTGCCGTCGCATCTCGGACTTATTGGAGGTCGAGACCTGAGCGAATTATCATTATGCTAATCGATGCGCGGTACTACAGATTATGCGTTGTCTGAATCTAAGAGCTGAAACCTGGAATGCGCGAAGGACGTTTTGGTTAGCATTGATTTAAACATTAACACCATTACGACACGAAGTTAAGTCCGAAGAGGTTGGAAGCGAAACATCATCTAATGCATTAAAATAATATCCTAACACGCATAGATACTTCCATCAAAGACATTTCCACATTTCAATCAAAAAAGCAAAGGGGCAACGAGCATGAAAAAAGTAGGGTGTAAACAACAAAACAAAATCGTGAGAATATTTCCATCATGAAACAAAAAGAAAAATTAAAACCCCTGGAAAAGCAAGGGCAAACGCCAAATATTAACTCCCAGACATGAAGGCACTACTTGCGCCAGAACATCGCTTTCTTAGCCACTCGGCCAGCCGACCAGCGCGCCTCATTAAGTTTATCCTTGATGGTAGCACCACCACCATAACGCACAGGACGAGTCGAAGTAGTCTTCTTCGAAGACTCGGAAGCAGGGCCAACACTAGATCCACCATAGGCGCTAGGCGCGAAATTGGTCATGTTGCCAGCATCGAACTTCGTCTTTGCTTCGACGATCTTGTGAACGACGTGCAGGATGGCGTAGACTGTTGAACCAATTGCACGGATAGCAGCAAGTACAGCGACAGACCAGAGGATAATAGCGAGGTAGACGTTGGTGCCACCTGCGTCAATGCCGTAGACTTCCGAGACGGCCATACCGAGAATGACATTGGCGACCATCCAGATGGAGACCATGTATGTACGAACAGCACGGTAGTAATCTTCCTGGAGTTGGGACTCGGATGGTGGGGGCTCGGGGACCTCGAGGCGATCACGGAGATTGCGAAGTGCAGCGTCATAGCCTGAATCGATGTCTAGTTGTTCGGAGGGCATTTCGACGACGACGGTGGATCCATTTATGACCTTCGCAGCACCAAGATCGGTGTTGATGACGTTGTCTCCCTTTGTTCCCCAAGTAACATCGTGGGTGTTACAGAAGGCGTAGACCTGTAGAATGCAGACATAACTTGGCATGAGAAGGAAGTATTGGATCGAGGAGGTGAACATGTGCCATGGGTCCAGGTAGATGAAGGAACTGTAGAAGTAAAGACCGACAGTTGAAAGCATAGATAGAACGATGTTCATCATCAAACTGTCGCTGACGGCCATATCGTCACCTCCTATGCCTGCACGTGCAAGTAGCTCTTTAACCACAAGGTAAAGCGCACAGAACACTGTGTAGAACATGATGATCGCATATACAATGATACCCGACAAATAGAGATTTTTGGCACTGGAAAACAAAAGTTAGCAAATTCTCGCGGCACCGAAGAAAGCCGACTTACCCCTGTGGTCGATTACCCAAAGAGATGATAAACTGCAAGCACATGACCAAGACACACGCGTATTTTAGAATGTAGAAGATGTATTTTCCCACATTGTGACCGAAGGGGTCCATCTTCTTATCAGTCAAGGAACCAGCGATGAAGTAGAAAGCGAGGTAGAAATTGGCCTGCAGAAGTCAGTATAGTCCAAAGCCTCATTGGGAAGAAAGCCACTCACAAGACCAAAGTAGGTGAACAGAAGGTTGAGGAATTGGTAGAAGAATTCGATGTGAAGGAGAATCTTGCGGGCAAGCGTGTGATCCGTGTACCAAATCTGCTTCGCGTTGAAGATAGAGTACACGGCAGCGAAGAAAGCACCGTTCAGCCAGCGACGACGCTGAGAAATGAATTCAGGAACAGCGTCGGGCACATCAGTCTCTCCGACAGCGTTCTTAACGAACTTGAGGACCCATCTCTCTTCACGTTTTGCCACCAACTCCCAGCAGAGAATACGATCCTCGGCCAGGTACATGTTCGCTGTGAAGACGTCGGCATCTTGACCGTGCAGAGTCTCACCCTTGAAGTACTGGTTGAGTGGGCCGTGTCCGTCAGCGTCGTTCTGCAACGCGAAGAATCTGTAGGCACTGAGAGCACCGGGAAGCACAGTAATGTAACCGAAGACGGACTCCAACGGTTTATCAAGAATGTTTGACATCTTGTATTCGAAGTTCTGACTGGCGACGAGGGGGTTGAGCAGACCAAGATAATTCTTTCCTTTGGCAGCCTTGATCTCACCAGCTGCTCCGGCAACGTTTGAATCTTGATCGAAAGCCTTCCACAAGTGATAGAGGGCAGTCTGCTCGGGACGGGTACCAACATCCAGCAGAATACAAATATTGGGCTGAAGAGCGCGTCCGAAAGCATTGAAGAACCATCTGTGGGAGTTCAACTTCTTCTTGTTGTGCTCTTTCAGACAGAAAATGACCTGGCAGGGCACGATACCCTTCTCCGCACCCTTGAACTTGAGATCGTCGTCAAGGGACACCTGAGTCGTGTACTCGTAAACGTGGGCCTGGACTTCCTTTTGGTTGACAATGTTCTTTGCAATACCCTCCTGGTAGACACCCAGCGCAGCCAAGGCATTCAAGGTACGCGGGTGGACCTTCTTACGTCCATCAGAAACAATGCAAACGACAATCTTCTTCCACCCATCGCGTCCCCAAGTACGCGACTTGGTTCGCGAGCAGAAGTGACTGATGTTCTGCATGATACCGTGCATGGTACGTGTGAAACCAATTTCATCTTCGTTGTACATGGTAACACAGATGAACAACTCGGTCTCACGGGTAGTCGATCCAATCTGTTGGCGCAGCTTGTATCCACGCTCAGAGAAATCATCTGGATCAGACGTAACAGCCGTGTAGCGCATATGGGTGAACTCGCGCTCATCGCGACGGGGTAAGAAACTGTGCAGAATAGTCGGGATTTTGCACTCCAAGATCAGCTCGCCGTTGACTAGTTGGACTTCCTTCTTGGCGACCTGCTTTGAGCGAACACCACGGCGGCCCTGTTTCTCGGGCGCAGGACCGTAGTGTAGATTGGGGTCGATCATGCCCGATGAGGCATCGTCAGACACGTCGTCTTCGAGGTCCACCTTGTGCATCTCATCTTTCTCGTCGCCTAGCATGGTGGACTCGCTCATAAAAGAGCGAACACTGCCACGCGAGGTGTGTCCGATTGTGCGGCCATCACCACCGAATGGGTCGTCGTCGGTAATGCCATCACTGATATCGATGCTCGAGTCTACCGTGCTTGATTTCGGTCCTGAGAAGAGAGGGGCAGGAGGTAGCGGTCTGCGGGGACTGCCTCCATATCTCGAGCTCGGGGTGCCAGGTCGTGGACTTCCGTTGATATCAGATCGTTCATAGCCAACACTTGAGACGGATGGCGGGCGGATGTGGGAGGGGCTCCATGGCCGAATTGGGGAGCCTGTGCGAGGAGGGATAGAGGGATAGACAGACTCATCTGCTAGGCTTGCTGTAGGAGGGGGCATATAAGGGCCGCTGGCCAAGCTAGATGGAGGGCGCGAAGGCGAAGACGCGCTTGGGACCTGGTAATAATTGTCGTAGGATGGCTCTCGTCCGGTACTAGAATATCGCGTCCTTATGTTAGACCTTGGTCTTGAAGGGCGCTCCATTGAGACTAGGGCTCGCTGGAATACAGCGGTGGTGCAGGGTAAGGAAACACTGTGCTCAGTGTGTTTCTGGAAGGACGATCAACACAGGGCAAGAAGATCACCCGAGCGCGATACCAATGTCCATTCACGAACAATTGGTCAAGGTCCAAGCTTTCTTCCAGCCCCGTCACGTTGAACAATGACTTAAAGTCGGTGGTGAATGTGGCCCTGTCACGAAGGGAGGACCACTGGAATGTGGAGGGCGTATAAGGTATGATTTGCAGAGGCGGGAGATACATACGGAGTGTGATCATAACTTGGGTCATAATTGTAATGGGAAGGCGAGGGCGCCCTTGGACTAGTATTGAAGTCGTCTGCACCGTCGCCACTGGTTGGCAACAGGCGCATAGTGCCGCCGTTCAGGCGCGATGCATTGGGGGATTCGGCATCGGACAGAAAGGAAGACGTCTCGTCGATGTATGAAGGCGGCGCATCGCCGTAGTTGTTCGGATGGCGACTCATGATTGAAGTATTGAGGTTGGGTCTCTCTCAGACTCACTGCCTCATGGTACTACTTCTCACAGAACTTTGCCAGTTCGAATTCACAGCGTCTTTCGCAACGCGGGCTGTCAGAGTTCGGCACGTCGATTGGGAATGTGTGGAATGTTGATCGGGCTTGACACACACAATGCGGAGAAAAGAATAAGAGATAAAAAGTCCCCAAACAAGTCCAGCCCAGTTCGTCCGCAGGTTGGATCAACAAAGTGGAGGAGGTGGGTGGTCGTCCGGGCAACGATGTTTAGAACGGGCCCAAATCAGTCCGTTCCTGCTTTCTGCCTATACCCAATACATTTACTCCGTCTTCCGTGATAATTATTGAATTGCATTATTATCTTATGCTATTCCTTGCATTTGTCAACTCCGTACTTAAATTTCAATATCCCATCGCATAATTAATCTTGCATACTCCAATCTTTGGCCCCAATAGGGGGACCCCTGTCAAATCCACATTGGACTAAAATAACCCGAAACAAGAGAGCATTGTTGACAAGTTTTTCGAGCCTTGCCTCCTTCACATTCTTTGGTCCTAAAATTAGGCAGACGCGTAGTGGGTCCATGACGACACGCTTTAAACCCCCTCGTTGAGCAATGGCTCACGCTCACGATCAGCGGACTCGGGGTGCGCAACGCGACGGAAGAGACTGTCGCGACCAGTAGACTTGGTCGCCGAGATGTAAAGCGAGACAACCAAGAACACGCCGAAGACAATAAAGGCGAAGATCCATTGGAGACCGATAATCTTGATCGCGAATTGCCGCAGAGCCAGCGCTAAATATATATGTCAGCAAGGTCACTTAAAATATCGAAACAAGCACAAGCGCCGCAGAAATGGACTTACAAAGCGTTAAGAAACTGAGACAGTAGCCCAGAATGTAATCCTCACGAAGGACAATGTCAAACAAGCCGACTCCGAGGATAACCCAGATGAAGATGTTCGCCACGATGCGACCTGGCAGGTTGTGGCTGTGGACGGCAACGGCACCGTTCCAGAACAGCGCCGTCAAGGTCCATGCGTAGGGTCCGGCGACAGCCGGCAGATGCACGAAAGCCGGCAGGCCGCGGTGACGCCAGTAAGTCACAGTCTGGTTGATGAGATGGGCAATGAGGATAATCTCGGCGCCCCAGAAGTGGTTCCGAGTCCAGAGCAGAATCCAGGCGAACAGGAACAGATTGTTCAAGATGAAGTGAGTGGCTACATTGGCAGCCGCTGCGACGAGAACATTGTTCTTGGAGAAGAGGTGGTAGACATAACTGATCTGCGAAAGCAAAAGCAGAATCCTATAATTATAATTAGCAATCTGGAGTCGTTGACGCCACAAGAGGCACAGCGAGGTCTACAGAATATACATGCGCGATTGGGGCCCAACTCACCAGTAGACTCCAGTCACGGTAGTGTTCTGACTGAAAGGAGTGTTGTGCTTATTTGCCTGCTTCCAGATCTTCTTGCCCTTCTTGGTATCGTCTGGCGAGTGGAGAGAGTAGTAGCTTCCGACGATCACGACTAGTGCCCAGCTGAGGGGTACCAGAACCCGGTAGGTGTTGAGGGAGCTTGCGCTGTGGGTTTCGCGCTTGGCGAAGGGATTGAATGAAGCCATGGTTGCTTCGATGTATGGTGAGGGGAGTACGTGTATGAGTGCAGGAGGGGTCTTATAATCCCAAACCAAGTCAAGTTCCCCCCCCGCAGTGGTCATCAGACCATGATCCAATGGAAAAAAGGTGGCCGAAACAGGAAATCTCCAGGGTCGATGACATCAACCTTATCTTATCGAAGTCTGGGGAAAAGTCTAGACTGCACTCTTTTCGTATATTTTATACTGTATTTTTTTACTGTATGAATATATCATTTAGTTCCTGGGTAAATTATTATATATCACTATCATATGGATATAATTATAATTGTGAACAGCAGAAGCATTGAGTCTACAGTTGGGTCTACAAGCGGCCAACTGTACCGGATGGTGCAACTTCCGGCGATCATTGTGCACGGCCCTGTAAAAAGGACTAAAAGCAAAAGAACGGCAGTCTTCATACGTCGAACGTATTGGAAGGGATGAAGCTGGAAAACCTTGAAATTCCTTGAAATACAAAGGCAAATCAAGGAAACGTGGGACCCGCTCTCTTTACATAGGAACAAATCGATGAAACACAAACATATCTATACCCACTTGAGACCTCGAGAGCTATACACTTCGTTGAGGACCTCCATATGTTCTGGATGTAAATCGTATGATCGGCTTCCAAGGTCAGGGACCTGCGGGGCAAGGGGTCAATGCTATACGAGCAAAGTATAGAAACTTACATCTTCTTTTCACCGCTGCCTGAACTTCGGGACGTCGGAAATGGGTGACCTCGTGGACTTTCCTAGCTCACGTACTAGGACTCCATGGGTCTATTTAGTTTGTAAGGACAATAAGCACCCATGAATACACCTTGATGGCAGAGTGCAACCTTGGAGGAGGCGGGTTTTCTGCGTAGTATATCTCTTGACGGGCATATTGTCATTTCAAAGCCTTGCAGCATACCTAAATCAATCTGCGGGTAGAGATGTATGTTCATGCTTGATAATACTTGACTGACATTGAAATCAAAGACTGAATCAAGAGTATCCTCAGGTTCAGGTTCAGGTACATCGGACCCGCTTGGTGGGATTCGAAATCTAGCGATGACGTAGTGAGTCTCACCGGTGATTCACCGCACGTGATACCCCTCCAAAAAATAATATCCTACGATCTGCACAACTTCCTCCAATTGACCATCCCCATCCTCAATCGCCATGAGCACCCCAAGCCCCTACGCCAAAGAGCTCCAATTGGCCAGCCTCGCAGTCCAGCGAGCAGCCCTCCTAACCGAACAACTCCTCTCCGCCGTCGACAAAGGCGCCCTCGACAAAAGCGATGACTCCCCAGTAACAATCGCCGACTTCGCCGCCCAAGCCTCCATAATCGCCGCAATCCACAATGTCTTCCCGGAAGACGACATCGTCGGCGAAGAAGACGCCACCGCCCTCCGCTCGAACCCGACCCTCCTGGAACGAACCTGGGACCTCGCGACCTCCGTGCACCTGGACGACGCAGCCAGCGAAGCCCAGCTCCACACGCCCGCGACCCGCGATGAGCTCCTCGACCTCATTGATCTCGGAGCCAAGGGCGCATGCACCCCGACCTCTCGCACCTGGACCCTAGACCCGGTTGACGGCACAGCGACCTTTATCCGCGGCGAGCAGTACGTTGTTTGCCTATCGCTGGTGGAAAACGGGGTTCAGAAAGTTGGCGTGTTGGGATGTCCGAATCTGCGAGCCTCGGGGCGTGTTTCGGAAGAAGCGGTTGATCGGGATGGTCATGGGCAGATGCTCGCTGCTGTTGCGGGGCAGGGTGCTACTATTCGGCCGTTGGGCACGGGGGGCCCTGCTACCAGCCCGTGCGCTTGAAAAGGTCCCGCAGGTTGCGGAGACTGCGCGGGTGAGCTTTATTGATACGCGGGCGGCGAAGACGCAGGATCTCGAGGCTCATGGTCGGGTGGCGGCGACATTGGGATGTCCGTGGCCGAACCCGGTGGATTTGTGGTCTGCTCAGATGCGGTATGTGGCGATTGCGGTGCAGGGTGGGTGCAATGCTTTTATAAAATTGCCGCTGTCGGATGATTATCGGTCGAAGATCTGGGATCATGCTGGTGGTATGCTTATTGTGCAAGAGCTTGGTGTGCTTGTTACGGATCTCGAGGGGAGACCGGTGGATTGTTCGCAGGGACGAACTTTGGCAAGCTGTCATGGAATGGTTGTTGGTCCAGCCTCGGTGCATGGGAGGATAGTCGAGGCCGTGAAGCAAGTGCGCGGACTGTAGTTATAAACTGTTGATTTTGATACCCTACATAGTCATATTGTTGGTGTGATTCCAAGGTTCAAGCAAGGTGACCTTTTTGTTATTTTCGGTTCTAGATGCAATGTACATCCGAAGTATGGAGCCCGTGAACGCTATATCATATATGCATACGCTTTCTATACATGAAGTCGAGATCAGAATGTCATGATGTATGGATGTCCTGTCGTGAGCCGCTGTTCAAACCTTTTGATGATCATCCCGTCATGAATCCGCCAACAAGTCCACACCAACTCCCCGCAGAGCGCCCACTGCCCACTCAGGGAACTTGGTCTTGTCCCCTCCATAGATGTCGGAGAAGAACTTGCGAAGGAACGCAGGGTACTGATCATCCAGAATGGCTTGTCGGATATTCTTCATCATGTTCAACATATAGTGAACATTATGGATGGTAAGACTAAAAAAGAGTCAGACAGAGAGTCGAGTACAAGCCTGATCGTACTTACAGATGAGCCCCGACAGTCTCCTTGGCAGTAATATGGTGCATATACGCCCTGGTGAGCCCAAGACCACCCTGTTCGGGTGAACGGCAGCAAGCACAGGTGCAGCCTTCCTCGACAGGGCGGAAATCATCAGCGTATGATTTGTGGTTTAGTTTGAGGGTTCCGGAGGAGACGATGGCATCTCCGAAGCGCTGTGGGATATTAGCATTGAGACTCAGATGGTGGGTTGCTCCCTCATACCGCTGTTCGTGTCGGCCAGACACAATCAAACATATCTGCACCTAGAGCCACTGCCACGACGATGTCTTCCGGGTATCCCTATTTTCGTGTTTAGCGAATGCAAACAGAAGGAGGCGAGCATCACTTACCACGCCCATGACGTATCTTGGTTTGTGTTCTGGCAAAAGTCCGGTGCATGTATCTACTCTTTGATATGGTCAGCTTTTGCACGAATTCGACAAGACAGATAAACATACACTTTGCAGAATTCCTCTTTCGCCTCGCCACCAGAAAGACCGCCAATAGCGATGCCGGGGGTATCTCGCGCAACCATCTCTTCGCAGCACTGCTTCCTCAATTCAAGATCCAAACCACCTTGAATAATGCAAAATAAGTTTTGCCTTTCGGGGTATTTGTGTTCCTCAATACAACGATCTAGCCATCTCACAGAGCGATCCGTGGCTTCTTTGATACGTGCATGATCTGGCGAGGTAGTAGCAATCACATCATCCAATTGCATAATAATATCAGACCCAATGGAATTTTGAAGAGAGATCGAATGTTCGGGGGTAAGCAGCCTGTTCGCAGAGATCAGCTTTTGGAAATTAGACATGAGGAGTTTCGATGTCACTCACATAGGCGAGCCATCGTGCGGGCTGAGAAAGCGCACTCCTTCCTCAGTAACAGTTGCCAGCTCTAATAGAGAAACCATTTGGAAACTTCAAATGCGACAACTATTAGTACAATATCCCATGCACGGGGAAGATCACATACCCGCCACTATCAGTCAAGAGATTGCGATCCCAACTTTGTAACTTGTGCGCTCCACCCACTGCATCCAAAACAGCCTGGCCAGGCTTCAGCCCAAGATGGTATGTATTATTAAGGCAAAGCATGCATCCTGTTTCGCGCAGCTGGTCATATGTCAAGCCTTTGAGGGATGCCTGTGTCGCGACGGGCATGAAGATGGGCAGTGGGACATCGCCGTGGGGTAATTTGAGAGTGCTAGCGCGCGCTTTGGTTGTCTATGGAGGGAGTCACATTATGAGTCAGGAATAGGTATGTTGGTGGAGATCTTGGAGGGCCGTACCGAGCATTTGGCGTGACGGTCGAATGTCAATGCCGAGGGCATGGGCTTGCGGGAGGGCTTGGTGGTCGTGGACATAGTTGCGACTGAAACGGACAGGGCCGTGTTAAATTTAGCGAAGGGTCTTGGGAGACGGTGGCATAACATGGAGAGGGGTGATCGTCTGCGATGCGATCAAGAACAATTTATCTGATAAGGTGTTTGTCTGGTTTGCATCTTGTCTCTAAATGGAACCATCCAGTCCCCAACACCACGACCGATGATTTCTGTGGCTTTCTCATGTTTCACCCCATCTAGTTGAAGGCTAATGAATGCGAAGTGAAATACAAGACTCATTTGCTGCGTGTGTTGCAATTTTGTTTATAAAAATTGAATACGGCGCTGTCACGTGGCTCAATTCAAGTAAAATGACCATCCTTTTGGGAGAAAACGACTATGCGATGTTAACTAATACATTTTAGAGCTCTGGGGAGAGAGCCCGATGTGCAAGAACCGCCAGGGCATTCTGGAGTTTCCGATCGGGAGTCCCTGAGATGTCACTGTGGGGGTCCGGGGAAACCCCCACACCTATCTCGAAGACTACCACTTTTAGTCTGAGTTGCCAGGCCTACGCTTGGTAGTTGAGGGCTTCAAACCCTAACGACAGGTCCCCGAAATCGGACACTACCCCAATGTCATATTGGTAAGGGCTCGGGGTATTACCGATGGCATTAGTGCGGGGGACAAAGCCCGGGGAAGCTAGCCAAAGCCGAGAAAGCAAAAAAAAAGCATTTCGACAAAGACTTGGCTTTCTCCTGATCTTCCCTTCCCAACCTCAGTTTGACTCTCTCTCTCTCTGCCTCATTCTTTTCACCATGGCCGAAAAGTACGTGCAGGATGAGGAACGGGCTTCATCAGAGGTATCTACTAGCCTTGGCATCCCCCTTGTTAACTTTCATGGGATGACTAGCGCGCGAGTACTGATATTCAGACAGCCCGACAGCTCGGATATGTTTGACCCGTCCCTTGAAGCGCGGGAGAAGGCCTTGGTCCGGAAACAGGATCTGAGGATCGTTCCCTTGTGCGCTGCGATCTACCTCCTATGTTATCTTGATCGTTCAAACATTGGCAAGCTCACTGGTCCTTGTTCCTAACTGAAGCTAACAGAAGCTAGGAAATGCCAAAATTCTCAACTCAGATACCGGCAATGACATGCTAACGGAGACCAACATGACTTCGTTTCAGTTCACGTGGGTCAATTATGCGCCTTCGAATGGCCCGCAAGATGCTAATTTCGCACAGAATTGCGTTGATGGTATTTTTGATTGCGTATGCTTTGTTTGAAGTTCCTTCAAATTATTTTCTGAAAAAGCTTCGACCTAGTGTACGTCGAAACCGAAATACAATACCCGCTGAAGTACTAACATCGCACTCAGCGCTGGATCGCATTCCTCATGCTCTCATGGGGCGCAACGACAATGGGTCTCGGGGGTGCTCACAGCTATGCACAAGTCACAGGGCTGCGCTTCCTACTTGGAGTGATGGAGGCAGGTCTTTTCCCGGGATTTGTTTACTACCTAACATTCTGGTACCGCAACTCAGAGAGATCTATACGGGTTGCTTTGATTCTCGCATCAGCAACCTTAGCCGGTGCGTTTGGCGGCGCGATTGCCTTCGGAGTTGGCCATATGAATGGCGCCCACGGTCTATCTGCATGGAGATGGCTGTTCATCATTGAAGGCGCGCCATCATGTGCATCCGCCTTTTTGGTCTGGTTTCTACTTCCAGATTATCCTGAAACAGCCAACTGGCTCACCATCGAAGAGAAGGAGCTTGCCGCTCAGCGTTTGGCGCTGGAGGGCTCCAAGGGTTCTGCACATGCCATGTCTTGGAAAGATGCCAAGGAGACACTGACTGATTGGAGACTGTATGCTCATTATGCAGTGTATTTTGGAATCTCAACACCCTTCTCCAGTCTGTCGTTATTCACTCCGGCTATCACTTCAGGTCTGGGGTACTCTAATCTTCGCGCACAGTTGATGACTGTGCCTCCATATGCAGTCGCATATGTGGTTACTATAACTGTGGCATGGTCCGCGGACCATTTCAACAGGTTTGTCCTTCCCTTTTTTCACCTTTAAATGGCTGTATGACTGACTTGATATCTGCAGTCGAGGTCTGCACTCGGCTGTGTTTTCATTCATCGGCGCAATGGGGTTCCTGGCTTCTGCCGTTCTCCCTGCTAGCTCCTACCTGGTAAGTGTTCTTGATTTTAAAACGCAACTTCAACACCACTGTGAAATTGTCTAACCCAATCGACAGAGCCGCTACGGATGTCTCATTGTTGCAGCTAGTGGATCCTTTGCTTGCATACCGCCATTGCTAGGATGGCTATCGTCCAACATCCGCTCAACAGCAGGTGCAGGTCTAGCGATCGCTTTGAACGTATCATTTGGCGCTCCTGGCCAGATTGTTGGCGTATGGATTTATAAGAGCAACGAGGCAAAGATTGGGTATCCCACAGGTCATTGGACAAATGCAGCTCTGCTATTGTTTGTGACTGCTGGTTGCATTCTCCTCAGACTCTATTATAGATGGCGGAACGTTCGCGGAGAGGGAGCCCGTGACGGGAAAGCATTTGCATACTAGACATGGACCATGGGGGAGGGGACCACAGAGAGCTGCTCCTCGATCCAGGACCTAGAAATAACTAGATTGAAACATTCCAAGCCCACCCTATCTGTTGAAAGGCGAGATGATATGATCGTTGTAGAACCTTGGAACATCCAAGTCTCCTTCCCATTACCAATCATGTTCAGGTGCTTGCCTCCATCGGGCCACGGGTACTTTGCTCGCAGGGATCGGCAGTAGGCCTTCATCCTTATCACTGAGGATTTATTGTATTGACGTTTGCATGGATGAACTGAGTTATCCTTCAATCTGACTAGCATCCTCCTCCACCACCACCACCATCTCCTCCTGATCCTCCCGACCCTCCCCCATCACAACCATTGCTATTCCCACCAGATCCGAAACCCCATGCGGACCCAGCACCGACCGAGTTGACATTGGTATTATAGTATCGTGGGCGACCTGTGTGCCTCTTGTATGCGCTGTGGCCATTTTGGAGCGTACTCCAAGTATTGGTATTGTGGTCACGGTATACCCGTCGCGGGGGTGGAGACTTATATTGCCCGCTGCTTGATAGGCCAAAGCACATTGTGTTTCCAAGGTTGCTGATTTGGACTAATGGTGCCCAGGCGTGACTTTGAAGAAAGGTGCTTTTCCTTGCTGATAAGCTCAAACAAAAGTATATTGGAGGCGTTTGATATTGGATTAACGATTATCGGAAGTTGAATCCAAATATAAGGGGTGATGAAGGGAAGATACGATTAGAAAGGTGAGTGTCTGCCTTGAAGGAATACTACTTGAGGCTGAAAACGCCATTGCGGAGCTTTTTACTTAGCCACCGCCCGAACAGGGCTGAGCTTCATGACCCTTGGAAGTATGGTTTGATTGACGGGGGCGGTGTTGATATCTGATTTGGGGGCGGGTGTTGCCATTTTTAGTAGGCATCTTGGCGATCACCGGTTGGGTGTAGCTCGATAAGTTACATTCAGGGATCCAAATATTCTGCTATAATATTTGACCGGATACCAACACTATTCCTGAAATAATATCTCGCAAGGAAAAGAAATATGAGATGATGGAAGGTTGGAATAGGCAATTAGGGTTGCTGGTGATTAGAGTTCGCCGTTCCATGGTTCAGTCCGAAGTCACAGACCAACATCTGACGTCGGGTCTACTTTGGCATAAAATCATGTTCACATCAATTTAGGATTTTTATGACAAGTGTTTTTCGCTTAAAAAGAAAATACAAAAGCCACAAAACACTAAACGAATTTAGAAAATAAACCTTACCAACTTTCGCAATGCGGCCCAACTCCAATGTGTCGGAGATTAATGTTTGGCTAGACACATGGCCAAACGCTGTCCTACCCGCGGATGTGGACTTTCAGACGGGAGGCCAATGCGGCAAGAACCCGCATTTTAACAGTACCTCCAACGAGAGTAGCATGTACTCCGTACCACGGCCCTCATCTAGCGGCTCATCCCGATTCCAATCGGGGAGGTGGTGTGCCAGTTCCGTAACTTAACTATTCATTCAAACACGAGCAATATCCACTGATAAACGTACCCTGTCGATTTGAGACTCTGTACTCAAATAGTAATAACAAAAAGATCGCCGTGGTGAGACTCAATCCCGAACATTACAGCCCCAAGTCCAATACCATCCATTTATGATACCGACACAATCAATAACCCCGGTTCCGTACTCGAATCCCCCAAAAACAACAAACCCCAGGAACTAAGGAGATAAGAAATCAACCATGATAACTCCTTCTGTATAACGCATACATTGCAACTGACGAATATGCTGAGCAAGCAAAAAAAACAAAAAAACCAAGAAAACCAAAACGAACTGCGGAGGAAAACCGACACGCCGGTTCGAAAATTCATAGGCAATCTTTGTTTGAGAGCTTCTTGAGGTCACTTCAAGAGTTTGACTTGCCACTCCTGTATGGTGTGATCGAGAATTCGGGCCAGTGGCATCTCATTCGCTGTGGCACAAGCGCATATCTGCCCGTTAACTTCAAGATTCAACGGCCGGCAAGGAATGGTGACCGTCTTGCGCCAAGGCTGCGGAAATGCCACGGAGCCGTCAACCAACTCATATAGAGTAAATGAAAGAGTTTCGGATCCATTCGAGGTATGACAAGTCATATGTTCTCGAACATCGAACGTTAGTCACTTGACGCAATGCATATGCTCAGAAGATTGATCCGAGCAAATCAAAATCATAATGTGGCATATGGCCACCCAATCTCGTGTCGAGACCTCAAGGCAGGAAAAGCAAATCAAAATGAAGACGGCCTGTACGGTCCCCAATCGGGGAGAGAAGCAAAAAGAATCTGTCGGAAGAATATTGTATGGTTTCTGTGCGAATGCAGAATGCAGCCAGCATAAGACACGTAAGTCGGTAGCCCAACGCAAGCAGAGACCAGTTTAGCTCTGAGTGCATCACATGAAGCCCGCCGATGTAGTCAATGGAGACCCTGGCCATGCTGTGTTGGACCGTCGAAGTTTCGGGTGCGGTGTCACAACGACGGCTCTGGAGTTCCACAAGTGCGGAACAAGGTAGTGACCTCCACTGGGAAGCGGTCACCTGGACAGGGATGGTGCATATTGTTTTTCTTTTGTTCCAATTCCGAAACCTATCCCACCACACCCACAACGCTTGGTTTGCAATCCAGGCCAGCCTCCGCGGGCAGACATTGCAGGAACTGGACACGGTGAAAACGTCGAAGGCCGAAGAAAGACATGCACCTGCAGGGCTCGAAGGATTGTCGACGACGGAAAGAGGTGGAAAAGGAGTGCGGTGTAGGGGATGGATATTTTTCCTGCATGCGCGAAGATGCAAGTGAGAGAACGCAACGCAACGCAACAGCCAAGTCTGGGTTTGTGAGAACTGTGGGCCCAGCGCACAGAACGAGTATCCTCCACAGGGATTGAGAACAAACCAAAACCCAGCACCACACATCCAGGGATTGAAAGGCAGGGGTTCAGACTGAACCAGGAACCAAGAAATTTGTTAAAAAGACAAGAAGGGAAGAGAAAGCCGCCCAAGACTAATAGGAAATATTTGAAAAATGATGATTATCACAACCCGCCGGTTCCGCGACCATAGCTGGTTGTTTGTGGTTGCTGCCACATCTGGCTCGGGAAGACGGTGGAGGACCGAGACGGCTGGCCCATGGACTTCAAGGCGACCTCAGCAGCGTCTTCTTTGGCATTGTTGAGGTACTGGCCATCATACCAGTAGCGAGCATAAATTGTCCGATCTTGGATGACGACGGTGCTGGACCAAGCAGTGCGGCCTCCTGCGAACCCAAGATCAAGACGGTTAGCTATCCGCTGTCAAAAGCTCGGAGACTAAAAGTCGGTGTACGACTGATGAGGGCGGGGGCATTTTTCATTCTCGTTTTCTGCAAGACTCCACTCCTTCCTGCAATGCCGACAGGCGAGACACTCGAGAGAGGCAGCGGGGCACAAATACCGAGTGTCTATGTGTTTGCGTGTTGGAAAGAGCAAGACCGCAGAAAATGGAATGATCCAGCTTGCAGAAAGAAAGCCTGGGAACTGAAGGAATTGACGGGGGAAGAAAAGGAAGGGAATGGGGTAAGTACCTCGCCGATCGGAGACAATGTGGAAGACAGGTTCACCCAACTTGGCTATCCTACAATGGTCTTTAGCTTGTCAGTCAGATCTTCTTCAGACAAAATTGATATACGAGCGGCCGTTGAAGCCGGTCCATCTCTGTCAATGGCATACCTCGAAGCTGGTCTTGCCAGCTGGGTCGAGCATTAGGAGCTCCTGGGGTATTAGGAACATGAGCCATTTTTGCAAAGCTGAAGGTGAAGCTGAGTAGTTGGGTCTCAGTTTTGCAATTGAGGTGGTCTGAAGTGGGATTGAAGGTGGGGGGAAAGACGTTGGAATTCGATAATCTTTTGTAACTCAATTGAGAACAATGAAGATCAAGCAGAGAAAAGGAAAGAGCAACCTCGAAGGCAGGTGGTAGATATAAAGAAAGAATAGATCACACGAGCTCAATTGGACCGGTTTTGAATCTCTAGGGGTATCTTATAAGAATATCCTTCCAAACGAAGACAGCATGGGGAGCGGGGAGTCATATAAACAGTGGGCCATATCTTCAAGGCCAAAAGAAAGTAACCGTTCTCGGGGAGCTGAATTTTTCATTTTTCATTTTTTTTTAAAGGAATTTTTTAATTTTTTCCTGATCGCCTTTTTTCCTATTGCATATTTGTCAGGTATTCTTTTTATTTTTGGAATTTTCATTTTCATTTTCGGTTTTAATTATTACTTCCCCTGGGAATCAAACAGGAGCCTAACCGTCAAACCTAACGGAGGGGCTTATGCAAGTTGATGCCGTACATGGCACAGCGTCAGCCATACTCCCCCCTCCCTTATCCACCAGTCAAGGACCACATTTGAGGGAAACAGCTGCGGATCATTGAGGCTGCACTCTGGAACGGCCCGGCGCACGCCGACTAAGCAAAAACCAACCCTTGAAGAAACGCTAGAGGGTATGTAAGGGTTAGGAAGGAGGGGCAAACCGGAAGCTCCCACACCATCGCCCGCCCCATATTGACAGGCACAAGAGGCAACACGATATTGGCTAATTTTCTCCTGGGCTCCAGAATAAATGACAGCCATTGCGAGGAAGGTTGAAAGCGGATTGGATGAAAAAATGAACAACTCATAGAACCCCACGTTGGTTTGAGATTTGCATGTTTTATTTTTCTTCCGTAACATTCTTTTTCTCGCCTCACTCGAGCATAGCTGTACTTTGCAACCTTGGAAGTAAGAGAATCTAAGCGAAAAGGCCAAGGGGGTGAAAAAAAAGAAACATAAAAAGGCGATCTGATATAATACAATCCCCAAACACAGATTAGCTGCGCATTGACTTCAACCGTATCGGCGGAACGGCGAGCTTCTAGAACAACCCTGAGGTATGTACCGCATGAGGGGTTGATCTAAAGTGATCTCTGCCCAAAGAATAGAGCCTGTGGGCACAATATCACTGTTGATTTTAGTGTCAATGTCATGGCTTCTGATTTAATCTTACAGTGTAGAAAGCAAGAAAGTACAGAATGCCCAAAACTTAGAATTAATCCTCGAGTTGGGCCGCATTGGAACAGAAAAGCGTTGCCAGCTCATCATGATGAATGAGATCATTCATTTCCAGAAGCGAATTGAGCTTGAACTTTCTACTTGACTCGAGGAGGGGGGGTGCTGGGCTCATCCCAAGCCACAGACCGGGCCGCCCTGCATGCGCAATTGTTGTCGGCCCAGGGTTGAGAGAGGGAGAGAGAGAAAGGAAACTACGAAACGAGGCGAGGTTGGAGAGCGCGCTCATGGTAGACGTCAGGAATCGTCAGAGGCCGTGTCCTGCAGAGGGATCAGAGGTCAAAAATACGGCCAAGAGCCCCCCGGTTTATTTCGCCTGGTCGGCTAGTGCCGTTGTTGGGTTAACCGCCTTGAATGTGCAGACACTGAACCATGGAACCATGACCGACGAAATGCATCGAGAGCCCATCGTTGCTGTGAGGATGCATTCTCAGCTCGCTCAACGTCCCAGTCGGAGCGGATGGGCGGTTCGCTTTGACAGAGCGAGAGTGTGTTGGGCATTCATGCAGAGTTAACAATGTTCTCAACCATGGTTCTCAGTAATGCGGCTACATCGAGTATGCACGAAACACGTCTCGAGAGAAACAGCCGAGTATGCTCGTCATATTCGACAGGGGACTAGGCCAGCTCATGGTAGGGCGTCTAAATGGGCCAAAAAGCTGAGGGGGAGATGGTGTTCGTTGCCCCGCACCGAATCTAATCTACCGTACGGAGTCCTGCATAGTTCACAACAATGTACATACATGCGGTACTTAGGCACAATGTTGCTAACTGAGCTAGCATAAGGTCCTGCTAATAATACCCTGGGCACCGGATTGGCCTCCTTATTTCCCTTAAGGCACCAAGGCCAGCAAGGGCTGCTTGGGCAGTGACTTGCGCTAGAGAAAAGATTCATTCAGAGCCAATCGATCAGGCCCTACACGCTAAGATCAGCACTTGCATTATCTTCACTTCCCCGGTACACTAGCATTGATCCATAGCAGGTACATGTGATGTACATCGAGGTCGAACTAACGTTCGTGTCAACCGAATCGTTAGGCCGCGAGCGTACGGCACTGACCAAGCCCCACAGGGTGAACCATGGTTGACATAACGGCTAGCGCTAGGAATAAGCTTGAACCATGGTACACCCGAACTACTAGAGCCAAAATAGAAACGGAGGGGTCAAACATGGCACGATTCAGGCGCAAATTGAACCGGCGGTCAAAATCAGAAGCTCACACCGAGGATACAGCGCCTAAACTTCGACCCGCAGCGAGAATTTAACAGAAGAGAATGCGTGATATGAAGTGCTCGATCCTGCCCTAGTTCCAGATGTCATATGAAGTGGAACCCTCATCTGCACGGTTGGGTTTCCTGTCAGATTCGTATTAGAAGATCGACCGGAACCAGGCCTTGATAGATCCGGACTCCCGCCCAGCCGAAACTCTCTGTGGCGAATAGGTATGAACCCAGTCAATATGTCAAGGCGAATGATTCAAGCCGTATCGGCGACTTTTAAAACAAATGACGTATTGCGGAGAAGAATCGAAAATATGAATCAAAATAAGGATAGAAGACACGGAAAGAATAAAAAATAATCACAAATCATTCACAAGAAAGGTTACCTAGAAAACCTGTCATCAAAACAACAATCGCCATCGCCTATGTCGTTAGATCATTAAACACGAAGGTCAAACCTCCGCACGAAACCTGTCAAGAATTATGCAGGACCAACTCATTTTTCCTCAAATATGCAGTTCATCGAATCATAGGCCCGGCGCATCTGAGTCCAGCAGACCAAATTTCGGAGCCGAGCTACACCGCTAGAGCAGTTCAAGCGGACCCTCGTCGCTGAAGCACCTGGCTAATCAAATGACGGGGACCCATACGTTCCAGACTCTTAGCCAGCGAATGCTGAGCCGGTAAGATCCAAGAAGGGCGACGCTCAGGATGCCAGCGACGACGAATGCAATCGTCAACTAGCGCGACAATCCCTGTCGCAACAATCACACTGTGTACGAACAAAAAAGAACATATCAGCCTCAAAGCCCGTTTCCAAGTTGCAGGGGTATTTTGTGGTTCGTCTAGCGCGTTATGCAGGCTGCAAGATGCGTGGTGCATTGTCCGCGAACCATCTTGCTTCTGACAAAGTGCCATACAATGAATCCCCAAAAAAAAGCAAAGAAAGACAACAAAGAGGGGGAAAGAAGCAAATATTGCCAGCTAAGCTCTTGCTTATCCCAGCTGAAAAAAGGAAAGGGATGAATGGTCACTTACTCTGCAACATCGGGCATTGTCCGATACACTTCAGGATCACTGATCCACATCGAAGAAGGAGGCACCCAACCACCCTTCCTTTCCTCCTCCTCAACTTCAAGAGGTGCCAACGTGTCAGGTACCAAATGCGCAATGGTCTTGCCACCACGGACCTCGACCAAGAAATACGACACTTCCTGCAGATCGCCCTCCTTGCGCATCTCCCGTCGCCACTGGTACTTAGTAGACCAATACTCAAACTCATATTTCTTAGTCGGCCCACCCCTGCGCCTCAACTCAACATGAGCGTAATTAGAAAATTCCAACAGGATCGTATCCCCCAGAATCGGTCTTTCGTCACTGACTTTATCTAGATCTTCATGGAAGGAGAAGTCCGAGTCTTGTCTCTTTAAATCGCCAAGCGCAGACATGCCAGACGATGAACCGGGTCTTCGACCGAATACTGTACTCCAGGAAGGACGTGACTGAGGCCGTCTGTCTTGCGCCGAGACAACCTCTTTTCGCGCTGAGTGACATACTTCTCGGCCTGAGTCGCGGCAGTAGCGACGGAAGGAGAATTTGCGAGTGAGGAGGTCGTACATGCGGAGGTGGAAGAGGATGATGTCGCGCTGGGAGCCGTCGCGGAGGTGGACTGGGGTGTCGACGCGCAGATTCATGTTTCCGTCGACGGTTGCGTCGTCATGGCGGATGAGCAGGCGTCTTGATGAAGGGAATAGTGGGGCGAAGGATGATGGCGTTGAAGGGATTGCGTCTAGGGGGTAGAACTCTGCACGCTCTGTGACGCTGTATTGCTGTCGGTGGCATTCTTCTTCTTCTTGCTGGGGAAGATCCACTGAGTGGGTGGTTGAGGCGTAGGTTGATGTTGATGAGCGGGGTCTGGGTGGTTTGGTTGTATGGGCTGGCTCATATGAATATAGTTGCGCAGGTGGAAGTGCAGATTTTTGCTTTGAGACTACGGCGTCATAATCCCGCTGTCTTGATGCCTGGCTATCCATTGTCGCTGCTGTACTTCGCGAGGCTGAGCTGTCGGTTGAACTGGAACTGCCATCTTGGCATGATTTTAAGGAGCCCATGGTGAATGTGAAGTTAAATGATGGATATAGGATGAGAGGGGAATCTTTCCCGTTCGTCTTGAGATCAATGGCCGGGTCAAATAGAGCGTGGATATCTTAATGTGAGCTGAGTCGGATATTAGTCGGCCACGAGGATCAGTCGACAGTCAGATCGGTCACGCAGTAAGCCGGATGATAAAATAAGGTATATCACGACTGTACCCGAAGTGTTTGGGGAAATAATCCGAACGATCCCGAAATCAATAAATATAATTCACGAGAGGGGTTGAATTCCCATGACGTGGGGTTTGAAGGGATAATAGCGAAGGGGAATCCCCACACGAGTTATTATCAGGGGTTTCACAGTCATATGATAGCCAAGACCAAATGAAAGAGTAAATCAGCAAGGGTGGGGGATTTCCTGTTTAAGATAAGTATGGAAAAGATGAGAGAAGAAGAGAAAGTGGGGGGGGAAGTAGCAGCTTGGGCAGAAACCAGAGACAAAAGACGTGGGAAAAAATCAGAGGAATAAGAAAAGGGAAATAAGAAACAAGAAAAAGAGAAATGTAGAAAACTGGACGGTCACAATGTATCCGAAGTATTTAGAACTAGGGAATGTCCACTCGTCATTGTTTGTACCCAATCCCACCTGGGCACTTTCCATCCAACATAAGCCTCATTATTTTTCCAGAAGCCCACGGGTTGAAACGCGAGCTGGCCGCGCAAAAAATAAAGTGGCACAGCAAAAGCGACACATCGTCCCAGAAGCCTCACGGGCATTATGATTTATTGGAGGGGATTTTACCTTCGAGTCGGGAATAAACGTCCAACCACCTATCATTCACGAGAGAAACCCCCTCTAGCGTGGATTAGAATTGTGTGATGTGTCCCTCAGAGACTAGGGCCGCTGTGTCGTGTTATTCGTGGCTGGACCCCCTCTGGGTGTTGGTCCCAACGCGCGAACCAGTCAGAAAGCGGGGGGCCTGCATGGATTTGGTCTGGACACGAGGGATTGTGTCAGGGTTCAGGCCGCTGGAGGTCTTAGCGGTGAAGTACGGAGGACTACGGAGTACCTGCAATATCTGTTGACGAGGTAGCATAGTAAACAATCAACAGTAAACAGTAAACAGTAGTAGAGAGTGCTCTAATTAAGGGCGTGGACCCTCGCGGACCGATCCGATTGTAAACAATCTGCGGGGAGGAAATAGATTGATCACGCTACGGAGTACACCAGCATCTGGGGATCTAACTACTGTACGTCCAAAGTCAAGATATGATCAGTTATCCACATGATCGTGAAACTTCACAAACCATTCAGGTACTTCATGCCAATGAACTCCACATTCTCTCCGAAAAGGTGATCAGATCCAAGTTTATGCCCATGACGACATGGTTTCAGCGCACGGCCTCTGCTTCATGTCTGTAGAGAACTCTCCGTAGACTCCGTAGACTCCGTACAGAACCAAACGCTTCTGATTGACCGCTATTGTGAAAGGGTCCACGGGTATCTAATGCCACCTGGCATGCGATGAACTATACCTGTGCCACCAACGTAATACCATGAGGGTCCTGGAATTATAATAATCATGATATTCATAACATGTACCCGAACAGTAATTATGTCCAATCTAGGCGTGAAAGGTTAATAACAATCTAGACTTGCGTATAGAGAGGCAGAGGGAGGTCCTCGCCAGGCTTGATCGATGCCTCAGTCTGACAAACGGAGTGGGAAACGAGGCCGGCTCGGCTACCGGCTACAGGGGGCCGGAAGCCAACATAAGCTTCTCGTCGGTCATCAACGGTGACCGACCAGGTATGCAACCCGTAGTAAGAAGCGATGGAGTGGACCAACCAACGACTGCGCATTCGATTAGCGGGGTTGATTAAAAAAAAAGAGTCTCTCGCAAGCAAAACAGCATCACATACCCAAACCCAGCGGCGCGATCATCGTTCATCGTCTCGAGCACCATCTTCTCACCGTCTCGCTCACTATGCGAGCTGATCTCCTCACGAAGCAAGCGGAGTCTCTCCTTCCGCTCGGGAGCATCATGCATCTGCCCATTGCGACCCACAAAAACGATCTCATCTTCCGAATCATCGCTAGCCGAATACTCAGGTGCATCCTGTAAGCCCTCCTTCTCCAGTAGGAGCTCCTTCTCGTTCCACTTCCGGATGAAAGTCCGGACTTCCTCTTCGAGATCCTGCAGCATCCCCCGTGCAGCGCGCGCATGCTTCAACTTTGACCGTAATTCTTTGGGAACCTGATGCTTCTCGGTGGCCCGCTCGGCGGCCTTTATTGACGACTGCTGATCCTTGACATGGGAGTAATGCACATCCCACAACGGGGCCAGATAGTACGGCATGGGGTTATGACGTGTGTGGGTAGGAGTGACGTCCCAGTCCTGCGAAGAAGGTGGCTCCGCCCACGGATTGTGCAACAGGCGATCTGAGATGGTCAGCATCTGCATGCGACATGCGACAAGATACCGGAATTGAATAGCCGCGTTCACCGACTCTGCTACATACCATTCTCCCAGCGCTGTCTCCTCCGGCTCCCGTCTTTGCCTTTCAACAGCGTCTCGCGGGTCTTGGATTCGCGCAGTGGCGTTCGGCGCCGGAAACTGACGGTCGGGCGAGGCTCGATGGGCTTAGGGAGTTCATCCTCGAGTGGAATTGACAGCGATCCGGCGGTGGCGCGCAGACCCGAACGCGTGGGAGTGGGCGAGGATGGCGGCGCAGAGTCCGATAGGGTCATATCCTGCAGGGAGGCAGCTGCATGCTGCTCGGTCCATGCAGAGATGGCGCGGGCTTGTTGGGGGGAGAGGTGTGCGGCACCCTCTGGATGCAAACGGGGATGAATAGCCATGATGAGTCGAACGAAAGTAGCAAGGAAGAAGAGGGGGGATAAGGATAGGATAAGAGGAGAGAACAAGGAAGATAAGGAATCCCGTCTTGGACTCCCCGTCTGCACGGGACAACTGGCGAGACGGTGATTGGCGGAAAGTGGCTGACAAAGGATCTCGTTCTCGCGTTCTCGAAGCCAAAAGGAGACAAACAGTGCAAACAGTGCAAACCAGTCAAAATGGACAAAATGGACAAACCAATCAAATGAGCCAAGAGACCCTTTCAATCTCTCGCTTGCCGTGTTGACACTCACTACTGGACTAGTCCGGAACAAACTACTAGTTCGGAGTAGGCACAGCCTTATCGGGGCTGTGAGTCAGGGCGCGGTCATAGTGGAGAATGTTTAGGCAGATTTTCAGATTCTTGCTCCACCTGCGATCAGCCCCCAGACTCTCCCTTCAATGCCTTGGGTACCTACATTGTGCAGTTCAGGGCCCTATACAATTGGACGCTATGCGAACTATAGGGATAGTAGAGCAGAATTCAACCTCAATTGACAAAATCAAGAACCATCAAATACAGACACAAATTCAAACTAGTGTTTCGGATAGGTCGGAAAGAGAATCTATAATTATGTGACAGAGAGAGCCTCGGGAGTTTAGCGCGCGGGGTCCAAAAATGACTTGGCGCAGGGCGCGTGATTCCCTAGCGCCCTACTTCCGAAAGCTTTTAAAAGAACTCATTCCCAGCTCATATCCTTAGTCCTACTAGCATTGACTAGCATTGATTTCATCATGAAGTTCTTCTCTCCTTTGGCCCTAGGTGCCACCGCAACTGCCTTGGTCCTCGTGAACCCCGAACAACAGCCGCTGGCCCCCTCAATCGTACAGAACCCCCAGTCCAAGTCTCTGATCGAACTGGCCCCATACCAGACTCGATGGGTGACAGAAGAAGAAAAATGGTCTCTCAAGCTGGTAAGCCGTTCCCTCTCTCATTTCCTGAATGACAAAGACTAATCACAAGCAGGACGGCATGAACTTCATCGATGTGACCGAAGAATACCAATCAGGCTCCTACGGCGCCCTACACGCAACCCGAGTCGTGAAGTACCCCACTGAGATGTCACACGCCTCCGAGATCCTGCCCTTGGCCAAGACCCTGGACAAGAAGAATATGAGAAGCAACCTCGAGCACTTCACCTCCTTCCACACCCGATACTACAAGTCATCAACGGGCATCGAGTCCGCAACCTGGCTCTTCGACCAAGTCACCGCCGCAATCCACGAATCCGGCGCCAGCGACCACGGCGCGACCGTCGAGCGCTTCGCCCACCCCTGGGGCCAATTCAGCATCATCGCCCGCATCCCCGGTGACACCAACAACACCGTCGTGCTAGGCTCCCACCAAGATAGCATCAACCTGTTCCTGCCTTCTATCCTGGCTGCCCCGGGCGCCGATGACGACGGCAGCGGCACAGTCACCATCCTCGAAGCTCTCCGTGCCCTGCTGCGGTCGGAGACCATTGCCCACGGCAAGGCCCGCAACACCATTGAGTTCCACTGGTACTCTGCCGAAGAGGGTGGTCTGCTCGGTTCCCAGGCCGTTTACTCGAAATACAAGAAAGAATCCCGCAATGTCAAGGCCATGCTCCAGCAGGATATGACCGGATACGTGCAGGGTACCCTGGATGCGGGCGAGAAGGAATCTGTCGGTGTTATTATCGACTTTGTCGATCAGGGCTTGACTACCTTCATCAAGGAGGTCATTACCAGCTACTGTGATGTGCCTTATGTTGAGACTAAGTGCGGATATGCCTGCTCTGACCATGCCTCCGCCAGTCGATATGGGTACCCCTCTGCGTTTGTCATCGAGTCCCAGTTCGAGAACTCCGATAAGAAGATCCATACCACGGAAGACAAGATCGAGTACTTGAGCTTCGACCACATGCTGCAGCATGCGAAGATGAGTCTGGCATTTGCCTACGAGCTTGCTTTTGCTCCCTTCTAATTATGCGGCTTTAATCTTGTTTTACGGCGTTTTTGTGATATACCAGGGCTTCGGGCTGGGTCCCCTCGTTAGAGTACATTGAGTTCGACCCAATGCTGTTAATTATTTTTTCGGGCTAATACCCAATTGTGAATTGATGATCATGATTTTTCAAATTTCGGTCTTGTAGGAGTAGGCGCACTGCCCCGATATCAATCTAGAGAGAGTCCTGCTTGATCAACATCTGGATAGAGAATTACAATCGGATAGATATTGAATGATCGCATCGCGAAACTGTTTCATGTTCTCTCCGGTATTGATTGGCGACGAGGCCTTGGGTGAAACAACAGAAAGTACTCCGTAGTCGAACTAAGAATCAATCAGTCTTGCCCTTCGCAAACCTACCCGTGAAATGACGAATATTCTTCCCCCAGATAAAGACCGGCACACCAAGTAACCCGAAAGCCGCAGTAAGAGCACCGAATATCCCAAAGGCCCCATCATACCCTTGACTCTGTACAAACGGCGTAGTTCCATAGCTCGTACCAAAAGAAATAAAGCCTCGGAACGCACAAATAATCACCAGCATGGGACCAGCCCTAGCAGGATAACTATCAAGTAAATAAGTAATAGCCACGATATTGGCCCCAACAAAAGCAAAGTAGTATGCAGACATAGCCCAGACATAGACAAACCAGTGGTATTTCTCCGGATGTGCGGCTCCTTGTCCGTAGAAGACGATTGTGATTGTTCCGACGATAATGGGTAGAATCAAAGGTACGATTCGGGTTTCTGGCTCATGAACTCCCCCATTGCGTTCTGCGTATTTTCTGATTAACCTATCAGAGCCCGTGCCCAGAAGGGGTAGTGCGATGAGGGCTACGATGATCTGTCCGCAGTTGACGTAGCTGGCGCTTGTATCGGGCCAGTTGTATGGGGCGGCTGTGAGGATAGAGCCATATGTTGTTCCCATGGCGACGTTGACGCCTAGTGTAAGGCCATTCAGACACAAAGCCCAGAAGACGTTTGGGAAGAAAAATAATTGACATGTTTGCTGTGTTGAATCCGATTAGTTGTTTTTTGGCTCCGGTGTATGTTGGGCCATTACCTTGATAACTTCAGCTGCCTTGTGCCACTCTGGTTTCCCGATCCAGAGTCGCATGTCTGATTTCCATGTTCGCGGCTGGTAGCGCACAAAGTCCAAATCAGGTCTCTGCTTGCATAAAGCAACTGGCTTTCCGGATTTCGTAGCTTCCACATCATCCTCGGCACGGTGCTCTCCTGTGAACTCTTGGTAGGCAGAGAGATCACGGTCGTATTTAGTCTCCGGCAGCAAGAAGAATGCCACAATAAATTGAAGTCCCGCTAGACCTGCACCAAGACCATACCAGCCTTGGGGAGTGATGGCACCGGCAATGGGGCTCGCAAACAGAGTCCAGATCGTAGTTAAGATGACCTGCACAGTTTGCTGTACCATAAGGTACTTTGCCCGTTCGTGTAAGAAGAATACTTCCTATTCAGAATCCCATCAGCATTTGGCACTATGGACCGTGAGAAATACTGACTTGAGTAATCATGGGGACCAAAGCCTCGCTCTGCCCAGCAGAAAATCCAATCAACATTCGTGCTCCGAGGTGCCATTCATACGATTCAGCAGTGATGCAAAGTACTGTGCCCAAGACCAGGATCAGCGTGCAAACTAGCAGAACGACACGACGGCCGACGGCAATGGCCAGTGGCATCCCTATGAGGTTTCCAATTCCCCTTTTAAGGGCATGTGTCAGGACCGTGATAATCTTAGGCAGCTAGGCTGCCTGTGGAGAAAGTTTCTCACATGAATAGTGTTGGGTATGTTAACAATGCCGAGATTGCCGCGTAGTCCTTTCCTGCCGCGGAGTATTCGGGGAGGTAGAAGGTGATTAGGCCTCCAAATCCGGAGACGAGAGAGTTTCCTAACGCCGAGTCTAAGATTTTATCAAAGAAGCTGGTGTCAGATAATAAAGTGAAGCGAGTGCCGGGCTGGAATCTTACAGGTAGAAACCACAATCAGAATGATGATTTTCTGCCAAATGGACATGTTCAACGGATCTGCTTCTCATGTTAGTAAGAGTGTCAACCAATTGCCCATCACACATTGGCATGCCTCGTGGATCCGCCGTGGGAGTTGGAATATAGACAATTGTGTCTTCAGTCAACTTGACTGTCCCCATAACCTCGACCTCGGCAGCGGGGTCCTTTTGTTTAGAAAGGTCCCCATCAACCGCTTCGACATGGTCTTCGGTGGTTTTTTCCATTTCCGCCATGATGGAGAAAAAGCACAAAGATATGTGAAAATCGAAGCTTATCAAAGCTTTCAGATAAACGAACTTGTCAAACCAAGTTAGCTATGGTGGAGCGACCTGTCTCGTCTTTTCTCACTTCCACTTGTGTATGAATCAATAGCGGCAGTGACGATGCAATCCGGGGCCTGACCTTATAGTATTCTCAAACTGCTTCCAGCAAAATTCAAGCCAACTGAAGGCCTGAGTTCAATCGGGTCCACGCCGACCATCCATCCCCCACCGAAACCTCCAGTGCCGCCACAATCCCTAATGGGTATGATAGCATGGCATGGCATTAGACTGCATCCAACCAGCGAAGCCCCACTTTCTCGGCTGTCATGTACTGCGCATGAAGATTAACTCGCAGGGTTTCCCCGCTTCCCCGGATTGCATTCGTAATTGCGTTTTGGGGGTTGGTCCGCTTAGCGTTGCGGAGAACTACCGAGTGGGGGAACTCTAGCTCGCCCACACGGCTTCCAATGGACTTGGCCTTGCGTTTTCTGGATGCAAGATGATCGCCTGGCAGGTCAATGTAGGGAGATATGTCCATGGGTCGTCATTCGATATTCGACCTATCATTTCTTCGTTATTTTGATATGTTTTCAATCAATTGTCCTGACCCCCAAGGATAGAGTCTGTTTCCCCTTGGTATCATGGTGAAATGAAATCTTGTTGAAGCAGGTGAATCAGTTGATTGTAAGACAGAATATTAGGTAGATGTTTCGAGGTTAAGAATCGTAACGGATTATACATAGGATTGTTCGAAGACAAGACATGAATGTAACAAACTTCGCCATAGTTGAAGAGCTTGAGGAAAAAGTGAGATATCCACGACACTCAAGCCTCATCGGTGGTGTCTTTCTGGAAGCTCAGCGGGAGAGTTGGGGGAATAGAGCTCGGGTGTCGCCCCAGTGGTGCTGGGCTCTGAAGTTTCCGGTTTGTAGGTTGACTCAGGCTCCGCAACGTGTGGCATGAGCCAGCTTGAGTGACGCAACTGGTTTTGAGGAACAGCTTGATAACCAGTCTCTTGTAGTTCCTCCAACGGTTCGTTCTCCTGGTGAATCTTCTTCTTCCTCCGCAAGAAGAAAAAGATGGCGGCGGCGGCGATAGCAGCGCCTCCCACAAGACCCCCAACAACTCCGCCTGCGATCGCACCCGGGGATGTTGACGAGTTGGATTTCCCCGTATCGGTGGCACTTGGCTGTGGTGTTTGAAGTGTAGTTGACGGTGATGGTTCCTTAGGCAATACATGTGAAGATCCCGAGGAACTTGTTGAAGTTGAATCCGATCCCCAGTCTGTCATGATTGTGAAAGAGATATAATTCATAAATCGATCGTCTGTTGTCTGGAGTTCTTGTGTCACCGACCGTGCTGCAGTGTATTTACGATTAGACCACTTCGCTTCAGTATAGACAGTCCTTGAAAAAGCCTCAGTGCGACATTCCATCTTGATATATGCACCCGGATATATCCAGGTTCCACATTCCGGAATTCCGCTTTCTGTGCAGTATCTGATGAAAGGATCTTTGCTCGTGGTCACCGATGGGTTCGTTTTGATTTGGGCATAGTCATAACAAGTACTGGCAAAATCACACTCATTTTGCGTACAGCAAGCGTGCATACCGACTGGAAACTCGGTATTTGGGTCGTGGAAGACAAATGAAGCCTCGGTATTTACGCAATAAAATTCATCGCCAGTACCTAGCCGACAAAAAATTGGTCAGTTCATCACTATGCATCATGTGCTTGGCAGGTATGCCTGCTGAAATTGATACACACCAAACACAGTAGTATCAAACCATCCACCTCTTTTAGGATCACTCAATATGCCAGCATACGGCATCCGATCCGTCGTCACAGTATCGCGTTGCTTTAGTTGCAAGCCAGCAGTGGGCCATGGTGGCTTGGAAGTAGGACTTTGTGTGTCGGTTGGGAGAGGTGTTGGAAACTTTATTCCATGTGCTAATGGAGATAACTTGAGGGCAAAAAGTAATAACCAAGTTAATGATTTCATTCTGAAGCCAGTGTTTTGGAAAAGTAGAACTTTTGAAATTAATCAGGTCGCATTTCAAAAGTCGACCGGCATAAGAAGATGAGGGACAGCCCCTGACTTTTTGTCTCGAAAAATCGGCCTCAGCCGCATCTATAGGCCCTAAATAAAGCCATGCATATGGTATCTCAATGTGAATGGCCCAACTGGACTCACTCGCTTGGCGTTGGGCGATTTCCCGAGATGTGCCCTTGGGTGTGCTGCCCTCTTCGATTAACTAAGCCCCTTCACCAATTACAGATCTGGAATTAATTTTACAAAAATAAGCTCACTTTCTGTTCATGGAGCTCTTGTCTTATGATACACAGTTAGGATATTGTTTGTGAATGATCAAACCTAGGATGTACACGAAATCAAACACGAGCAAATTACTCCATAGAAAAAGCAAACACACCTGTTGAACTTCCATTTGAGCCCCACCACCAATTTCCACGCGATACGGAGTACACCACGCGATGCACTAGTGCGCATGTCACATATGATAAGTTTGTTTACTCCCGTACGAACGACGGAATGCAGAGTTTTTTCATGCGTGTAGTCTGCTACCCTCACCCTGATTCCCTTCTTCTTCCTTCGTTTTATTGCAGAACACAAAGTGTCCGCATTCCTTGATAGCTTCAAGACGATAGGCTTCTATGGTCTGCCGAGATACATGTATACGGAGTACAATAGATGGCACTGGTGGTTTGAGCGAACAAGGGTTCATCTGGGCGTATTTAGTGGTCCAATGAGAATTGCTCTCTCCGAGGAGGTGTCTGATCCCCCAGCACCCGGGTGCACCTCTCTGGTGATCACTTCCGTCTTTGTCATAGATCTTCCACTTAGGGCGAGTCGTACAGATCCGCGCATCCGTCCCAGTGCCACGCCCTCGGGGTGAGCCTATAAACTGGCATCATGAGGCCCACTCCTGCGTACTTGGCATTGGACCCCAAATCAAATTTCCCCTAGAGGTCGTGATTTATCATCGGGAAACCCCTGGACACTGAATTCAAATGCAACCAGAGTCCTCAAAGTACGCTGTAACATACAGGCACACACATGGGACGCGAACAAGTAAGACACATGGACTGTACGGAGTACTTTAAAGAAACCAAAGTGATATTGTGGCCTTTGCTTTTGACTAAAGCATACTAGGTACTCCGTACATGAGACCGCTAGTACTCCTTGACCCCTGCTAATCTCAGTACCGTATCTGTCAACTCTGGTTTCTCGAATGGTTCGCTCCGATCTTTTGGACAGACCTCGCCATCGCGCATAGGCTTCTCCTTGGTGGGTCGAATATTGCTGTGAATGAAATGTCAGTAAATCAAAGCCCGATATTTTCTGACTGGGAGCTGAAACCTACCAGTGCGGCCAGTGGGTTGTACCCACAAAGTTCTCGAAGCATTGTTTCTTCAACTCCAATGCTTCTGGCGTGGCGAAGCGGCGCGGCGTCATGCAGATGTACTGGACGTGTCGAATCTGATCGCCCTCAGGCAAACAGGCATAGTGCATAGTTCGCGAATCCCAAAGGACAAAGTCACCCGGCTCCATGTTTATCTTGACCAGCTCACACCCCTGATCTTTGAACCATTGCACATCCTTCTCGCTGAACAAGAACAGATCCATATACTTGATTTCAGGGGGAGGGGCATCCTCATGGTCGAATGATTCGCGCTTGTGCTTGAAAAACTCGTCAAATAGCTTCGACGAGCCTTTCATCAGCATAAGACCGCCATCATTGGGGCCATTGGGCGCATAATTCAGAAGGCCTTGCACGGCTTGCATCCTGAGATTTGTTAGAAACTGATTCGAACCGAATGTATTGACAAAAATACCCTTTGCGGTTCTGGTTCTGGTCGCAATGAGGCCAAGGGCTCCAGTTCAGATCCTTGCGCCGTGGCATGGAGATGTTCATCCCGTCGAAAGAAGAGATCAACTCTTTGGTCTCCCATAGTTTTTCGAAGACTTCGATAATAGCAGGCTCAGTACGTGCCTCCCAGGCCATCTTCTCATGCGGCGCTGCGTAGGCAAAATACATGCTTTTTCTTGTCAGCTTTCGTGCGATATATAGAGATAGCAACTCTTACCCTCCCTTGAAGCTCACTGGCAGATGCTTTGCAGTCCAGGTACTTTCATCATTTTCGTCAAAGCCAAGCTCGAAGTTCTTGAGCCACTGGATTTGCTTGTCGCGATAGTACTCCGCACGCTCGGAGCTGATGACTTTCTTGATCACAACGCAGCCGTTTTGGTGGAACTCATCACGCCAGTCACCGTAGTTTCGGGGCTCAAAATGGACCAGGTCGACGTTGTTATACTCCGGCTCTTGGCTCTCAGTGGCCGGGGTCTCGATTTTGGTGGAGCTCATGTTTAATGATTTCTTTTGAATTCGTATTGAATAGATTGCTGGTCTTGGGTCTAACCGAGATATTTTCGAAGGACTTGAGAATGTTATTTATCAGATTTTGATTTGAGTGGCGATCGGAAAACATTCGAGTGTTTTTCTGGTTGAGGCTCATTGCTTTCCCCACCCCCACACAACTTGGATACAAAACAAGGCCAACATACGGAGAACCCCCGACGTTGCAAAGATCTCTGTCAATCTAAATCTTTCAAGGCATATGCTGTCCACTTTTCCGTGCGCTTGAACGAAATCAAACAGGGCCAAGCAGAGCTCTCCGCCTGGCATCGGCAAGTGGGGGAGGTCATGGCGTTGAGATCGGAGGCGATGCGAAGAGCTAAGCTAAGCTCGGAGCAATGTTCAATGTACATATACTGAGCAGCATATTCAGTTTATGAGTACATCTTCAAGCAAATCGTCTCCTCTACATTCCATGTCCCCGTGAATCCATTACGCGCCCATCTCCAATTTTATCAAACCATCACAATGCCCCCACCAGTCCAATCTGCATACAAGCGGATCGCACAGCCCAAAGTAGGCGAGAACGGATACCAAGAATGCCAATGTAGCAAGTCCGAAGTTCTTCCTGCTGGCTGGAACGGATTCAACGCCAAGGCCCTGGAAAGCGATATCCAAATCGACCACGATGTTGAAATTGTTGTTCGCGACGGAGTCCGCCTCTACGCCGATGTATACCGACCAGCCGGAACAACCGATAAGGTCCCAGCCATCTTGAGCTGGTCATTCTACGGAAAGAAATACAGCGCCCTTGACATGCTACCGATGTGCGTGTGGAAATGCTGCGTTCCATCCTCCGATCTCAGTGGACTGGAGAAGTTCGAGGGCCTCGATCCACAAGCATGGTGTCCACGCGGTTACGCCATTGTCAGTGTCGACACGCGCGGCGCCGGCCACAGCGACGGACAAATCTGCGTTATGGGAACACAAGATGCGGAGGACGGGTACGATGTCGTGGAGGCGATTGCGCGTATGGATTGGTGTAATGGCAACGTGGGGATGGCTGGCAATTCGGCACTCGCGATCTCGCAGTGGTTTATTGCTGCTCAGCAGCCACCTTCTCTGAAAGCAATTGCGCCTTGGGAGGGATCCGGTGATCTTTTCCGAGAGCAGTTCTGTCGGGGAGGCTGGTTCTCTATGAGCAACTTCGACCTTATCGCAAAGTCTATTGTTCGGGGTCAAGAGAACTCGGGCCTGGAGGACTTCGAGGAGATGTACCGACGCTCACCCGTTTCCAGTCCTTTCTGGGAGGACAAAAGAGTGGATATGTCTCGTGTCAAGTGTCCGGTGTTCATTCGAGGATCGGATGTCAGCTCTATTCACACGATGGGATCTGTGCGTGGATATATGGAAGTTCCCCATTCTGAGAAGTGGATTCAATGGGGCAGCAAGCAGGAGTGGTATGAACTTTACAGCGTACCTCAGTCCATGGAAGAGCTGGGACTGTACTTTGATCGGTACCTCAAAGACCAGGAAAATGGATGGGAGAAGACTCCCAAAGTTCGTTGGTCGGCCTTACAATTTGGGGACCGCGAAGCCATTGACGACATTGTGCTTGAAGACTTCCCAGCTCCTACGACCGAGTATCGGACTTTCTACCTTGGCAACGAAAAACTGTTAGTTGAAGCTCTTATCTCAAGCTCTGAGCAAATTTCATATGACTCCGAAGACCGCCACGATTTCGGAGAGTTCAACTACACATTCGAAAAGGCGAGCCGGTTGATCGGGCTACCGAAAGCCGTGTTATACATGTCCTGCGAGGAACGTGATGATTTCACGGTGTTTGTGATCCTTCGAAAGAAGGACAAGAATGGGAAGGATCTCATGCATCTCAATTTCCCATTCCACGCCACGCCAATTTCATCCATTGATGAAATCCCAGAGGCTGACCAAGCAAGTCTCAACCTGCACCTTGGTTCGGTGGGTATTCTGCGTGCCTCTCAAAGAGAGATTGACCCAGCCCGGAGTATTCACCCTCAGTTCCCATTCCATCCTCATACGCGACAGGACAAGATCACTCCAGGAACAATCGTAAAGCTGGAGATTGGTATTTGGGCAATGGGAGTGGACTTTGAAGAGGGCGAATCAATTAGTGTCAGAGTAAGTCACACCCAAACTTCTGGTTTCTCTTTCGGGGATTGACTTTACATAGATCGGAGGGCAATATCCCAGCATTGCCGAGTACAAGACGTTTTCAAAGCCGAGGCCGGAGCATGAGCTCAACCGTGGCAGGCATACGATCCACTGCAGCGAGGAATATCCTAGCTCTGTGATTCTGCCTTTCATTTGAACGACCACGGGTCATAAATGCACTAGTCTCAGGCCAATGTCGCCACACGCTGTATCTCTGGAGGTCAGCAGTTATTTATCAAGATCTCAATAAGACGTCCTTTTCAGCGCTTAGTGAAACTTTCAGTCAGGATGCAGTATTTCAGATCCGTTTGAACCCAAAGCAGAGTAAGATAAACAAGATAGGTAAAGGAAAGAATCTAGTCGCACGAGGTAGAGTCTGCATTCATTGGCCACCTTATGGTTGTTCCAAAAAGGGTTAGCGGTAATTTATGCGTGATGCATCCTCTCTCGATCATCCCTTGTCCCTCTCAGGCTCTCACTTTGTCAACATCTCCCATTCTTGCGGTCCTCCTTTGCAATGAAGAACACTCACTCTCCACTCCGAGATGCTCAATTTTGTCGAGTAAGATGGAGTTCCTTGGCTTGAGATAAAGAGCTCCACTCATGCAGGAATAGACACTCAAACTAGGCGACCAAGCCATCACTGTGACGGACGCCAAGCGGCTGGATCAGAATCGAACAGTATACCGCCTGGAAATAGAACCAGTCAACCACCTCCCATCAACTGTGATCGTCAAACAACAAAAAGAAGGATGGTCCGACGAGTTCGAGAACGAAGCTTCTTGGTATGAGAGGTTAAAAGACCTTCAAGGGGACAAGATTCCAATATTTTTTGGCCAGGGTGATTTCAATGGAATCCGGGCGTTGGTAATCTCGGAAATCGTCGGCACCAATCTGCTTGATCTCGCTCGCAGTATGAATCCTATCGACGAGAAGAAGATGAAGGATGACCTCGAAGCGGTGTTCCAATCTTTGACTACCTATGAAGCCATATATTGGGATGTAAGGCTGGATAATTTCATGTATTGCGACAAAGCAGCACCTGGCGCATGTAGAGCGATGGTTATCGATCTTGAGCAAGTCAGGTTTCCTACTCCTTCCCGCCCCTACGAACTGAACGTGAACAATGCGGGGGCGCGAGCTTTGATGGAGGACTTCAGAAACATCCGAGAGATTCGAGACCGAGAGAGTCGATACCGATACCATGGAAGATCGCCTGTTATTGATTGGGAAAGTGAGCCCAAAGCCAAATTCGAAGTTCCGAGTGAGGAGAATTCACCGAGGACAACTGTTTTGGATGTGACCAAGCTGTCAATGGATTCACGGAATATCGAGGCACTGCATTATATGGCAGCTTCCAAGGCTGAGTAAATAACGAGAAAGACGTGATTGCATGAGTAGCTTGTATCATGTATCACCGATCGATGCAAAAATATCGGTAATTGACAAACGAAGTCCAGTGAAACAAGAAATTGTTGCAGGGTATAGAACTGTTGGCCGCGTGTATTCCGATACTAGTAATGAGGTCTGCATGTTTTGCACCACAAAGCCATAGGACAGAGATCTCAATTTTTCAGCAGATGGAAAGTAGCGAACTCTCTATCCCGACGTTAAAATATCAACTTCAACTTGGAAAATCACTGCAAATAGGGCTGTCAGCACGTGACCACGTGTCGCGTCGACGCGATCCGCCGATCATTGACATCCCCTCTTCTCACGCATCATTGTGGTTTGTTATAGCGTTCACCCTGAGCTACTTTACAAAGGTCCACACTTTGTAAAAGTTGCTTTTTCGTCATGACTCAAGATCAAGTCACCTCAGCCCCCGCGGCTCCTTCGTCGCCACACGACCCCTCGCACGAAGAGCACCAATACCTCGGCCTGATCCGCACAATCCTCTCCGAGGGTGAACACCGACCCGACCGCACAGGCACAGGAACCCGATCAATCTTCGCCCCTCCACAACTGCGATTCTCTCTATCGAAACCCAATCCAGATGGTGGTGACCGAATTCCCATCCTGCCTCTGCTCACCACCAAGCGAGTCTTCCTCCGCGCCGTGCTAGCCGAGCTGCTCTGGTTTATCTCTGGCTGCACCTCCTCACTACCTCTTTCCGAGGCCGGAATCAAGATTTGGGACGGAAATGGAAGTCGCGAGTTCCTGGACAAGTCTGGTCTGGGTCACCGCGAAGAAGGCGACTTGGGTCCCGTGTATGGATTCCAATGGCGCCACTTTGGAGCCGAGTACGTTGATGCCAAAACGGACTACACTGGACAGGGTGTGGATCAGCTGAAGGAGGTTGTGCACAAGCTCATCAACAACCCCTTCGACCGCCGCATCATCATGAGCGCATGGAACCCGGCTGATCTGACCAAGATGGCCCTGCCTCCCTGCCACATGTTCGCACAGTTCTACGTTTCCTTCCCTCCCACCATGAAGCTTGATGAAAAGACAGGACGACCCACAGAGAAGGGCACTTTGTCCTGTGTGCTTTACCAGCGCTCCTGTGATATGGGTCTGGGCGTTCCATTCAACATTGCTTCTTATGCTCTCCTCACTCATATTCTTGCCCATGCTGCCGACCTGCACCCTGGTACTCTAATCCACACCATGGGAGATGCGCATGTGTATCTCGATCATGTCGACGCGCTCAATGAGCAGCTCACTCGGGAACCAACCGAGTTCCCGGAGCTGCGCATCAAGCGCGAGGATCGGGGCAGCGCACAAGTCGATGGTTGGAAAGAGGATGAGTTCGAAGTCATTGGATACAAGCCTCACAAGATCATCAAGATGAAGATGAGTGTCTAATGTGGATAGATCGCCTTTTGAGCCTACGGGCATTGGCCAAGTTTTGATATTTGTATGATACCAACGTTTTACAATGCATACCATATACTACGAGAGATGATCAAATACCAGTGCACTCGAATGGCACATAGATACTTGACACTCTCGAATTCAATAGTCATCACATCATGCTTGTAATATTATAAGCTAGCTTCAAGGTATATCAGGCTGTGTAAATGCAAAGCAAGTGTCGCAGATGGCAAGCAAATCAACACCAAATCTATCATGCATTCCCAAGGATAGCCCCAGCACCACGCAACAACACAATCGTGTCACCCTGCTTCACCTTCCCAGCACCAATAGAATCCGAGAACTCCAAAAACTCCCCAGACTCAACATGGAAGATCCGCAGCTTCGCATCCTCCCCACCAACCCGATTATTCAAATTCTCCACCCTCAACTTCTTCGCCGCATCATCCAGCACCCGACCAACCTTCCACCGCAAATCGAAAAAGAAGTCCCCAGACGGCGGTTCCGCAACCTGCGTCTCCGCCGTCCCCACAGTATGGAGGTACAGCCTCTTATCCGCCGGCACTGACGCATCACCCTTCGCAGAGCGCTTCAATCCATTCACCGCCACCGCTCGCGCAGCAGGACTATTAGGCTTAGGCTTCATTTTCGGCAGCGCAGGCAACAGCGTCCCACTAGCCGCCGCCTGCTGCTTATCGCGGCCCCAAGTGCGAACGCGCGCGAACATGGATTTGATCGTCTCCGCGGGCGCCGCGTTTGCCGCGCGCGCCCCGAGCGGCGTCACCTTGGCGCAGTCGTGTTCTTCGCGCAGGCGGTGTTTCAGGCAGTATTGGTGGTTGCATTGAGGGCAGCGCACGGCGGGGTCTTTGAGGGTGTTGATGAGGGTTTTGCACTGGGTGTGGAAACACTGGTCTGTGTTGTAGATGGAGGGTTTTTCGGGGGAGGACGGTTCTCGTTGTTTTGGGTGCCGTTGCGCCGGCGGGCCCATTCGCCTTCGCGGGGACACTGGTGGGCGGTTTCTGAGCGGTGGTCTAGGCAGAAGGTGCTGCGGCAGGATTCACAGCGGAAGGGGAGGAAGTCTAGTTGGCCGCAGTATTCGTATTGGCAGTGGCGGCCGATGGTTTCGAGGTCTTTGTCGGCCATCTGGGTGAAGGAGTCGTCGGTGTTGGACGGGCTTCGGCCTTTGGAGACTGTTATTGGAGGCATTTCTATGGCTTTGTATGGGCCTGGTGCGAGGACTATGGACAGAGAGGTAAGAGAGCTTGATATTAAGTGAGATGTAATCGCGAAAGTCTTTGGGGCACAATCCGCCATGTGACTGCGGAGAACATTCTGGGCGGCTTAGTCAATTGCGGAGGCGGCTCTCGGGCCGGCGCCTACGCTGGAAGATGCCTCTACCAACTTCATAGTCCTCCATGTTGGCTTTGAAATCGTCTGATATCTTGGTTTATAATCAACTCGGTGGCAAAGCAGTTCAGACTCTTGCCTTGGAGCTAACTATCCCACGATCGCAAGTTCTGGCTCAATCTTCGCCTACCTCACTCACCTCGCTTTCAGGCAGCAATCATCCAAGACTTTCTCGTTTGGGCCTCTTAGAGCTTCGAAGGGAATTCAAAAGAAAGTTGTACCAACTTCGGTCGACAACGCATGTTAATCAAGTCATTCATGCATGCTGCATTGAGGTTTGACGCAAATTGCATCAAACGTCCCTGAGTCCCAAGGCTGAAGAGCGGGTGAAGCACACTCGCATGGCACAACTCACAGTTCAAGGATGTACTCCATGGCTGTCCAGGAGGAGTACTCCGTAACACAGTTTCTCTCATTTTCAAGAGACAGACATTCTTCCTTCAAAAGCCATTAGAGCCGCTTGGAAATGCAAGAACATCTTGCCCTAAGGTTCGGCTATCTTTGCTTCCACGCCTCTTCAAGGCCTTTCCCTTGGGCAAGAGTTCGTCATATATGTCTTCCGCGATATCTCCTGGTTTCGAGGTTTCTGGCATCTTTGCAGCGACTTCAAGCGCTTCAACTTCGGGTGCAATTAGAATCCAACCTCGGAGCGAACGGAGATAACTAGACTCTTCTCCGCTGACATGACCGGCACTATTCCAATTATTCCGTTCGATATGTAGTAACTTAGATTGATATGGCAATAACCTTGAAGCATAAATTCTCGGAACGGCTTTGCCCTAGACTGCCGAAGATTCCGTCGCGGCGATGTGCGAAGAAGAATCCTATCGTAAACAGCCAAAGCGGGTCCACTAGTGAAGAGGCGCTTCCCTGTTCCATGGCTCAGCTCAGGTCCAAGGGGCGTTTGGGCTCTGCCGGCCACTTCCCTGGTCTTCGTAGATCCTGTGTGCGTTCTTATTGGCCTACGGCTTCAACGGCTTTTCGTATAGATCGAATTCCAAATTCACAAATTACCCCATTTGCTATTGGCTAGCGACCAGCTAGAATCACGGCCATAAATCGACCCATTAGCTGAGCATTTTCAACCCTGATTCGAGCTAATTTCCAGGGTTGACTTGCAGATTGAAACGGCAATTGACTATCTGGCTGTGGCTTGTCAATGAAATGCTTACGGGGAGTACGGAGTACCTGAAGTGGGCTTGTCAGCCACGTGGTGCAAAGATCTAAGACATTTTAGCAATCTTTGCCCGGGATATCCGGACAGCACGTTATCTTCAAGTATCCAAGTGTGCGCAGCGCCACCAGCCAGCCGATGAACTACTTCAAAGTGTGTAAGCGTTAGACGCTATTTCATGCTGAGTGGGTCCAGAACACCGGCATAAACTAGCGTCAGCTTTCAAAACAGGTATACCACCAGGCGAAGTTTCTTGTTTTTTTTATTTTTTTCATTTTGTTTCAACCTGGGAACGAATGGCATATATGAGGGCGTGTGTTGATGGAAGCTCGTAGCGGTGCTAAGCGACTGATCCATGCACCCGAAAAAGGTCAACATGAAGCTTTTTCCATGCTATGCCTGTTGAATCTGGCTCATTGCTCGTCTATAAAATCATAGCTTATCGCCCTCGGCTCAGGAAGCTGGAATGAGGTTTTGCCGAACCAAAGACCCATCCAATTGGTGAAACAGCCTTTGAGGCTTGCACTTCCAGATCGAGCTCCAGTTTCTAGACTGCATGGAGGGGTTTATCTGGTACTAGTAATGGATCGGAATGAGTGTTTTTCAAGCAACAGCGGATCTCAGAGGCTTTATCCACGGATCGAGCAAAGCTTTATAAGTCCATGGATTCCCGTGGTCTAAGAGTTGGCCTGTAGCGGTTTGACACTCTTTTCCTGGCTTTGCCATTTTCATTCATTTACATTTCCCTTTAAGTCATTCGTTATAAGTGGCGATGCGTTGGTCCAACTTTGCTGCAGTTGCAGCCTCCTTTGGGGCCGCATCTGCTGGAGTCATCCAGGCAAGAAACCCTGAGAATACCTGCTCCAACTCTCTCTTTACTGGGGAGATTTTGCATCTTTCACTGAACATCGTCGAGTATCCCGTCGTCGTTGACGTTGAGCTCGAGGAGAATGCTATTGTTACCATTGACAGCACCATTTTGATTGAATGCACCAATGCCCCCACTCACCTACACACTACTGTCCTTGCTACTTCTACTTCCACTCTCACTAAGACTATTTCTACTGCCACTGTCACTGCCACTGCTGCTGTTGGCACCTCTGAAACTACTGAAGGTGGCCAAGGAATTTCTACTGTCGTGGTTCCTGTCACTTCCTCTGGCTCTTCCTCTGGCTCCTCGGATCTCTCTGGCTCTTCCGGCAACAACCATGTCGATAATGACCACAGTGTGGCCACTCATATTGGCACCAAGACTGAGCCCTCTACACAGTGAGCTGAGATTGAATGATATTGTTTAGATCCACTGGCTAATTCAATCGCGCAGGGAGTCTCGCACCACCAAGGCTGTCGTTGATGCCACTAGCGTTTCTCACAGTGTTGCACCAGTTGCTGGTGGAAATGCCGTCGGTTCCGGTATCAACACTAACCTGTACACTGCATCGACCTCCAACACTGCCGTCCGGACTATCGTGACCACTGCTTCTTCCGCTCTTGGACACAAGACTACCAAGACATACACGACCACCATGGCCTCTGTCACTGCCACCATCTCTAGGGGCGATTGGACCGATTGGACCAAATACAAGGCCAACGGAGTCAACCTCGGCGGCTGGCTCGAGCAGGAGCAAGTCTTGACCAATATTGGTGGGACCAACACGCCCCCGAGGCGGTCGACGAATGGACATTCTGTGAATCTCTCGGATCCGAGTGCGGCTCTGTCCTCGAGGAACGCTACGCGACTTTCGTAACCACCGCAGACATCGACAAGCTCGCTGCTGTTGGCGTGAACACCCTTCGCATCCCCACCACCTACGCTGCTTGGGTTACGGTCCCTGGCTCCGCCTTGTACCACGGTAATCAGAAAGACTACCTGCAGAAGATCTCCGTCTATGCCATTGAAAAGTACAACATGCGCGTTATTGTCGGTTTGCACTCTCTCCCCGGCGGTGTCAACTCTCTCGATATTGGTGAGAAATCCGGCAACGACGGCTGGTTCTTCAACACTACCAACCTCGGCTACTCTCTTCAAGCTGTAGACCAGGTCCTCAACTTCTTCGTGGAGACTGGCTACCCCTGGGCTTTCACAATCTCTCACATCAACGAGGCCTCTGACAACCCCTCCGCTTTCGCCTCGCCCAACACGTTGACCACAAACGGAACCAACTGGATTGTGAAGTACACCCAGGGTGTGCTTTCGCGCATTGCCCGTGTCGACAAGCGCATTCCTCTCATGCTTCAGGACTGCTTCCTTGGTGAGGAGCACTGGTCTCCTCTCTTCCCTACTGGAACCAACCTCGTCATCGACACACACGTTTACTACTTTGCCGCTTCCGGTGTCTACTCCCAGTGGGCTAATGGTGCTATTTGCGGTCAAGCGTCTGTTGTTGGTGGCGACGGCAAGTTCCCTGTCTTTGTTGGTGAATGGGCTCTGCAAACCCTTTACAGCAACAAGTTTGCCAACCGTAAGAATCTTTTCGATACTCAGCGCTATGCCTGGAGCTTCTATGCCCAGGGTGACTCTTTCTGGAACATCAAGCACAACAGCAGTGCGGCCGTCGATGGACAGGGTACTCAGAAGGACTACTGGTCTTACGAGGGCCTCATTGATGCGGGTGTCATTCACTCGGTCAATACCACTGCCTCTTACTGTTAATGGGGCTTGTGATGAATTTTACCCATGATCATGAATGATATATCTTGCATGGTGTTTATATAAACTGGCGATGACTGCGGATTTGCCCGCAGGGGTGGTACTCAAGCACAATGTTGTTGCAAATGCCGGTCGACTATTTATGCCATTTACACCACCCAAGGTTCGTCTTGGGTGTTTCGAAATTAATTGAGAATGGACTCCTCCAGGGCTTATGATGAACATGGCTTTTTTTTTTTCGCCAGCTTTTTGAAAAAGATTTATATCACCCTAGGTGGAACAAAATCATTCCTAGGCATTGCTGGATGCTTGGCTTGAGACAGGTGACTGTGGGGCAGCGGGCTTCCCATATAACTTCTCCATGACAGCATCAGATTCAGCAGCATAGTGGCACCGCTTTCGAATACCAGTACCGTACCTGTAGAACAGAAAGGGTAGCGGTACACATGCAAGGGCCAAAAACGCAGGAACCGACGAAGCCCAGTGTATACCGAGATTCTTATACATCGGTGTGGTAAACAGAGGGAAGGCAGCACCAAACGTCGACCGCAACGAGGCATTGGCAGCTAGCACAGAAGCCGCATAGATCGTGTATGCATCGATGAGATAGTTCAGAATAGGCAAGAACACGGTGATCATTCCGTATCCAAATGGAATACCAGCTGCGATCGGAACTATCCAATGTATTGAAGGTTGACACGTCCAGGCAAACCAAAACAGTCCAACTGGTAGCAGAATTGCTCCCGCGAAGGTGTCGAGAAGTCGAGCTTCGGGGGGTACTCTTCCGACTGTTGAAAGAGCTCTTCGGCGGTAACGATAGTACATTGGGAACGTAGCTACCGCTGAGAACAGAATTCCAACCAATATTCCCAAGAAGGAAAGGCCGGTAATTCCCTCGCTCCATCCACGGCCTGTGTCAAAGACGATAGGCATGGCCGCAAAGAACATGTACAAGCTAGTATCAGAGGTCAGCACTGGGTACGTCATACATGACCGACAACAGATCATTAGACCCTCGTCAGCGGAAAGAACTTACATTCCATAAATGATCGCAAGGTAGATGGACAGGAGCAGGACAATAGGTTCGCTGAAAAGCAAAACCCATGGCCGACAAAGTGCAATCTTAAAGACCGTCGCCGGGTGTTTAACACCTTGCTCAATCTCGATTTTGCTACGGTAAACATGGCCCGTAATAGAAGAGAGGCGTGCAGCGCGTTTCTTGAGTAGAACGGGCGCATAAGTCTCAGGCAGGGTAAGTAGACACACAATACCAAAGAGCGCCGAAAAGCACGCGACTAGACCTTCCACCCATCGCCAGCCAGCTGCCTCTGATAAGAAGCCCCCGACAATGGGGCCCAGGGTTGGACCGAGGAACGGTGCAGCGCAGTATAAGCCACTGGCAAGACCACGGATAATTGAAGGGAATGTATCCGCGATCACCGCACCAGAAACGGCAAACGGGGCCGATCCAACACAACCTCCGAAGAATCGAAGTATAATCAATGTCCATATATTCTTCGACCCGGTCGTACCCGCTGTGAAGGCTGTTAACCCTGTTGCGCTCGCGATAAGGACATATCGACGCCCGTAAAGCTCACTCAGGGGTGCCCAAAACAAGGGGCCGACGGCGAATCCCAAGACAAAGAGCGAAATCCCCAATAAAGCCACTTCCTCGCTCACTTGGAATTCGGCAATGATTTCTTGAATGCTGCCGGAGTAGGCTGACGACACCAAAGCCACCGACAAAGTCTCGATTCCCACCAGGATCGTGATAAGCCACCTAGCGACCGCAGAAAACAGCATAGGATTACGCGGATCATTCTCTATCCAGGAGACTTGGTATGGATCTTTTTCTGTGCCGGAACCAGTGTATTCATGGTCGATTATTGACTGGGAAACACAGCCTGGGTCGAAAATCATGCGCCATCGCGGGATTTCCGAGGGCTGAGGGGATTCCCCGGTCGATTTTTCGATCAGGGCCATGATGGTCGCCCGCTCAGTTGACTCGAAGGGCGAAACAGAGTCGACTGGATGGTTGATGCGCGATCGAAGCTTTTTTAATCAAAAAAATTTCATCCCATGTTGCCTTGTGGAGACCTGGTCTCTCTCCTTCGGGGCCATACCGATCAGATTGGTGGGTACGATTATTCGGCATCCCGCTAATAAGCACGAGATCTGCACGCCGAGATCTTGCGAATGCCCCATTTTCTCTTTGATTGGCTTTGGGGGCAAAACTTCGGCTGTGCGCATCGATCACACTGCATTTCTTTGATGTTTGTTGTTCTTGGAAGAATGTTTGTAACCTTATTGACCGTCGTATGAGCGTAAGGCTTTATTACAGTGTTGGCAAACTTACTAATTGAGCTCCGCCTGTAACTAAAAGTAGATTTGTTTCACCCATATCACATAGATGTGTCTTGATGGATCGCTACCTCGTACGGAGTACGGAGTTTCGAGCAAGGGTTTGAGCATTCTGTCAGATGGTGAGTGATCAACTAGATTACTTTGGCGATCGAGGTCCACTCCTTGCTTGTTCTATTGAATTAACTATACAAAGTCAGCCCCACGTGTTCCATCATTTCTTCGACATTTCGACATTGCATATCGATTTCAGATCTCACATACGGAGTACAGTTCCATGTCTTCCCTAGACTTCCCCATTGTGGAAATACTTCCATCTGCTTACTCCGTACTCCGTATCTCACGTCGTAATCAAGTTGTTCACTTCAATAGTTCGTTGGACTTGCAGGATGCAGCGGAGGTCGCGGGGATCAACGCGACTTGGCGAATCGGGATCGGCATGCTATGCATTGGGTCTTTCAGCTCGTGCCCAACCTTGGAATGAAGCAGGTATTTTTCGCAGATCTCTCAAATCCAGATTCAGTACGGAGTACGGAATAGACTTCAAGTGTTTTTAATGGTAGTCTTCAGCCGGCAACCTTGGAAGGCTGCCACAGGACCTCGGGACCCGCGAGTATAAAGTGGAGTTCAAAGTTCAACACCAGCCACACCCTAATATAGATATAGATCAATATATTTATATACTCATGCTCACTTTTTGCTTATAGTCAAGGATTAGCAGTGAGTTTCTCAGGAGAAAAGAGCATTTGTCTCTTCCAAACTCCGTCCAGCAGTCTCAGGAAGCAAAAACCACGTCCACAGCAAACCAAAGAAAGTCATAACAGAGAAAAACCAGAAGGTGCCCTTTGGCTGTAGCGCATCTTCGAGCAGCATTGATGGGACGGCCTATCTTGATCAGTAATTCATTTCAATCGAAAGGGATCCCCGCATACCTTTGAAAGACCATATCGATTGGCGTAGTGGAAAGTCATCAAGAGACTGGATCCTGTAGACCGGACCTGCAGCGGGAATATCTCTGCATTGATGAGATATTGAATCGAATTCCATCCCATCGCCCAACCAATTCCAACAAAGTACATGAACACAATAGCAGCGATGGCTGCTCTTTTCATAGATTCCGATTCCTCGTCGACGGAAGCAGACCTCACGGTGAGAAAGATGGCGATATACAACATGGCGACTTGCTGTATAAGTATACCTGATATCAAAGATCGCTTGCGTCCAATGTGGTCGATCAGGAGGATAGCGCAGAGGAGAGACGCGATGAACTTAACCGCGCCGAAAACAGCAGTGACGAATAATTTCTCCGATTGACCACCAATACCAAAGAGTGAGAAAAGCTCGGGCGCATATGCTGTGCTGTGGTGAGAATCAAAGAATGGAAAGAGTGGAGCGGTGCTTACTGGTGAGAGAGTTCGCCCCAGACCACTGCGCCAGGATCTGCGCCAAGATCACTAAACACATTCTTCTTTGGTTTTCCTTGACCGTCAAAAGTTCTTTCACTGTTTTGATCCACGACTTGCTCATACTTTGATCATAGTCTGAGCTGAGCTGCATCCTAATACCTTGGATTTCGGCCACCACATCGGGGTGCTCAGCGGGCAGACTCCACAAGCCACCTAGGGCCTGTTTCGCTTTTTCCCAATCTCCGATCTTTCCCAGATACCTTGGACTTTCTTCGCACAGAAACGAAGACAGAAACAATATGCCAGCAACTATGATCTGCACACTCTGTGGAATAATCCATTGCCTGGCACTCGTACTTGGGATATGCAAGGAAGCACCCCAGGCAGAGAAATACTGAAAATGTCAATAAGGTTGCAATGGATTGTGGGCTTCTGTACACATACACCAATCATGATCCCAATATATTCCGACATGGCAAACATGCTGACCAGCATCCCTCGCGCATGGGCAGGAGCGATCTCCGCCAGATAGGTTGGTGCAACGACACCGGCCTGTCCGATGCCGAGTCCCATGATGAATCGACCTGCGTATAACTGTCCCAAGTTCCCGGTGGAGGTAATCACAATAACCACCCCAGCCAGCCAAAGCACACAGAGCTGCCGCATGGACCAGAGTAGGCCAATTCTCTCGCAGAGAATGAAAGCAATCAATGCGCCGGGTATGCTGCCGATATGGACCATCGAGGTGATGTTGGATAGTCGGTTGGCCTGCTGCGAAGAGTCAAGGTAACTGGCACGGATGTCGAATTCTTGAATAAAGGAGTTTTGTGCAACAGTGGTCGAAATGAGGCCCTCGTCCAGTCCTGTCACTTAGCTCTGTAGTTCGGATCTCGATGGGGAACGACTTACCTCTCGACATGCCAAGTAACCCGAAAGTAAATGCTGCACACAGTAGCTTGAAGCTACAGCTTTTGAAAGCCATCACTGCATGTTTGGGGCGGTTCGGAACAGCAGGTCCCAGCCAGGATTTCTTCGGTCCTTTCATGGTAAGAGTCTGGACAACACTATCAGTTTGTGCTAAAATTCAGCATTATGTGACGAGAAATAGATGGGAAAATATGTCCAAAGAGCCATTTCCAGGGTTACTAATATTCTTCTCGATTTCATCATACTGGAGCCAGGCATTTTATTCAGGGGAGCCGACAACAGGACGTGCAGACCCAAATCCCCACTCAGCCCTACAGGGCTGAACTAAGAACAAGCTTTAGATTGTCCACCAACATTGGGCGAATCAGGGATGGATCAATGGCCGTGCTTCTGCCAGATTACTTAGCAGTTAGCAGTATAATTTTGCTGCCTAGGGATGGTCGTAGGGTTGCCCCGTTGGCTCCACATTACGCAAGTCCCCAGGAGTACTCAACGCGTCAAATTCCATGGTTCAATAATAAGCTGTGGATTCTGGGGCAACAAGGTCCTTCGCCTTTTTGTGCTCGTGATTAGTATTTATTGAAATTATCTTATTGTTGGCTAAGAATAGCGTTCTCCCGAGAATAAATCTTAGAATACCCGCAAGCTCTTCTGAGACCACCACATTTCTTTAGGATGGAGCGAATTTCTGTTTGACGCTGTGGCTTTAAAACGTATATCGTGTTTCACTATTTGCTACTGACATACTATCTAGGTTCAAGGTGATTTATCCCAAGGACTATGCTCTAGGATTAAGATACGTCATGCGCCAGTGCATCGCCGGTCAAAGTCTCGGAACCTCAATGTGTTTATCCTTGAGAATATACTGTTTCATGCTTTCCTGAAGCCTTCATTCCAAGGTTGTGGTACTGCCGTGATCTTGTTACTCGTATCTCAAGAATCGCTATAGCAAATCTGAATCAAGCACACAAAGAGATGTTGATGTGCTGCCCAGGTGATGCCAAGCATCCTGTCATCATTTTTTCTGTTATCCATGCAGACGACACTTTTTATTCAAGGCGCCCAGCTCGTTGTTCACATCTCCCCAGTTAAAAGCTTTCTCGTCCGAATCAATGCTATATCCGCGGGGTTCAGTCTACATTTTCTGCCATCGACAAAAATTCCAAAATTATGATGGTGCCCCCTTTCTCGTGGGACCTCGGGACGAGTGGGGTTAGGTCCAGATATATCACCACCGTGTTGCTTTGGCGTCAGTTATATCACTGTCCACCTCTTCTCTACTCTTTCTTCCTACCTACGAGCTTACCACAAAGCTTGAAATATGTTTAAAGTGTAGATGCTTTGTGTTGTTGTGCTTTTGTCTCCCCAGATCAATATCATGACCTGCCTCAGACGAGTTGGCGGGGTCATTTTTCATTGACTGCCACTTGATAACTCCAGCGCTACTTTGAAAAGGCACAATTAATAGCCCGTCGAACAAAATGGAACTGGAATACACAGTCTCAAGAACAAGGTGGGAAAGGGGATATCGTCGCCTGAGGGCCGAGGCTACAACATGAATATGTTCCCCCCGTGAGTCAGAAAACTTGACACATCACCCCAAACCCCGCGGTGCCGATTGTTCCTGTTGGAGTGGAACAAGGAATCTCTGCTGGATCCACCGCTTGATGCCCAGTCACGAGACCCTAGGTCTTGCCCAAGTAATACATGCTCACCGACATTTTCTCAAGTACTGTCTAGGGATAATGATGGCAGGACAGAAGGGGTGTATCCAAGCTATTGCCCTCACTGAAGATATCTTCTCTATATTCCACAATTGAGTACAAAGAAGTTGTGAAATCTACTTGTACTACTTGTACAGGTGAAGAACAGGGGTCTGGGCACCAAGCAAATAAGCCGTGCATATTCCCGGGATCCTTATCTGTGGTGATCATGCCCACCTATCAGTATTGTAGGAAGATTGACTAGTGAGGACATCGATCCAGGCGAAACAATGACCCCACTGCGTTGTCACCACCTACGTGGAAGTCGGTGAGAAAGCCCCAAGAAAGGCAGACAGGCAGATATCCCAACAGATGTCGGAGAAATGCGGGGGAATCCAAGCATCATTCCTCTTGAGGCAAGCATACGCGTTGGCGAAGAGGGCAAGGAGAGTATAAGTAGCAACTTGGACTAGTAGGGAAAGTCGAGGGCACACAACTTCTAGAATTTCGTCCCTGGATTTTAAGCGTCGATCGCGGTGCTTCTTGGCCAATCACCGGCCCGTACGCATCACCGGCGGCCGGCCCGGTCGGGAAGGTGATTGGCTCGCTTCGCCGACGCGTTGTCTCTTTGGGCGAAACATCTATAAATGTTATAAATGTTCTGTTGATAAGCCCTCATTACATCAACTACTCCGTGGGGTTATATCTGGTGGTCGCTCTTTGCTCTTTCTTCTCTTTCTCCTCTGGAACACTCTCCTTCTGTCTGCTTTCCTCCCAATTCTTTGCATATAGCCTGTGAATCTTGGCATCCAGCGTTGATCCCTACAGTAAGTCGACTACGAATCCTCTCTGCCCCGCGTTGCTCTTCTAATCATGAGATAGTCCTTTTTGACCTTATATACCATTGCTTTGATTCTCTCTTTGCTTCTCTCTCTCTATACGAATTCCACGGAACCCACGAACTATAAGATCGCCAATGAGTCGAGCGTTGTTCGCTTGATTCGAAGAAATATATATGCTTTCCCACGCGATGTCGCAGAAGCTGGAGGAGAAGGCACTGCCCTTTGGCATCCAGCACACCAAGAGCCGCATGGCCGAGCTGCTGGCTGCAGATGTGGTCGTTGCTGCAGGTTCAGCAACCCTGATCACCCCAGCCGTCATGATTTTCGACAGGTACGTCCAGACATGGAGACACTGGATGAACACAGATATTAACAATCTCACACAGACTTGTCGTTGAGAAATCATTCTATAACCAACCAATGTTTCCTGCATTCCGTCGACACCTCTGGTTCTCTATCACACAACCCGCAACCTTCTTAACATCTCGACCCAGCCTTCTCGTCTGGTCCCTCTATACAGCAACCTTTGCAACGGCCAATGCCACCGAAACCATCCTGGGTAAATGGTACCCAGAGATCGACCACGCAATCGCAGGCATGACCACCTTCGCCACAACCTTTATCGTCAACTCCTCAGTTGGCATCTGGAAGGACGTGAAATTCGCCCAATTATTCGGCCAACCTAAGACAACCACACCTACACCTACACCAGCAACAGCCCCAACACCAACCCCTACCTCAACACCAACCCATACCACAACCACCACACCTAACCCATCAACCACCTCATCCACCTCCTCCACCCTCAAAACCGCCCGCTCAATCGGCCGCACCCGCATCCCAGTAGCAACCTACTCCGCCTTCCTCCTCCGCGACGGCCTCACCATCTTCGGCTCCTTCAGCCTCCCCGCCATGGTCTCCGCCTCCATCCCCGACTCAATCGCCTCCCAAGAATATCTCAAGATCCTCATCGCCCAACTCGCCATCCCAGCCTCCATCCAGCTCATCAGTACCCCAATCCACCTCCTGGGTCTAGACCTCTACAACAGACCCCAAGTCATGCCTAGCAAAGAGCGCATTGGCCGCGTGAGCCGTGACTGGATCGGTGCCTCGCTGCTACGCATGTGTCGCATTATCCCCGCTTTTGGAATCGGCGGCTTCGTCAATACCGAAGGAAGACTTTCTTTGCATGATCAGCTTGATGGACGCCGTAAGGGTTCTTGAGTTCGTCTCTTGGAATTTTTAAATTTACATATCCTATATACACATAGACATTTTACCCAATATACCCTTTTTCTTTTTGTCATCTTTTGTCGGGGTGCTTATCGCCGATATCGATCTCACCGGGCCGGTGGTAGGCGCATTCGGGATCTGCAGCCGGCCACGAATTTGGTTCGGATCGAGTTTTTCTTTGTTTAACTCAGGGCTCTGGGGCTACAAGGGTTGCAAGGGTCTTGGTACTGGATCTCTCACTATTGCCGGTTGTCTTGGAATGTTGCCGGTCTCGGGTTCTGAACTCCCACGCAAATTGCGGGGTATTCGCCCAACTGTCGACTTGGCTTATACTAGAAGAAAAAGAAAAAGAAAAAAAACCCTAGAAACCACCGAGGCTGAATAAAAACCTTGAAAGTACTTGTAGGCTTGGTTTCCCGAAATATTCTTGATATTTGAAAATTATGATAAAAATGTCATAAGCTCGTGACTTCGTGTCTCCGTAGAGCTGGGTATCTTATGTACATGACTCGGATCTATCTATCGGGAGAATGTGCCAGGTCTCCTATATGAATGGACCATGTGCGATGGCACAGCGATCCAGAGGTTGATGCGGGGGTATGGGGTATCTGAGTTCTCCGGGGGCCGTAGCAGGCGACGGGCGACGGGCGACCTCTCGAAAGTCTGAGAACGAGAGGTAAAAGCAAAAATTCAGCGGGTTTGCCGAGAGGTATGCAGCTTCTGAGGCTGCTGGGGTATAAAAGATGAAAGGTCTAGGTTGAGAGGGTCAGACCCAAGTTCATGGGACACCGGGTTCCAGTGCTTCAGTTCCGGACGTACGACCTTTCGACCCGGAGCTGGTAGCCAGCGAGTCTGCGTGGTTGAAGTCATGCAAGGCACGACTCGGGTCGACAAAGGACGGATACTGCCCACCGGCAGTGTTGAAAGAAGAAGATCGCCACATATGTTGGTGCGCGATATTGACCAGCTTGCCCAGCACGGCGATCTCGAGTTTCAACTTGATGCTGTACAAGGTAGCCTTGAGAGTGGTCTGGTAGATGTAGAAGTTCATGAACTCGATGATCATCAACGCGATATCCATCAGGATACAAGAGACGTTGACAGCGAGCAGCTGCATGATGGTTTTGCGACTGACGTGGTCTTGATTCAAGCGCAGCATGCGATTTGTCTCCCACATATATAGTCCGGAAATAATAACCTCCTGCACACAAAAGCCCGTCAACTGCAACTTTTCCATAATATCGTAGCCGTCGACGGAGGTGCGCGAGTTGGAGAAGTTGGCCGCGTATGTCAGCACGGTGGTCGGGACGTGCAGCAGGAAGATATTGGTGATGATCATCGTGCGCACGTAGCGCAAAACGCGCAGGTTCTGAATCACCAGGTGTAGTCGCGAATATAGCACGAAGGACTGTCCGGTTACCATCGTCCACCACCCGATCGTTAATAGCGTAACGGGAACCCAGGTTGCCGAGGTCAGGTCGAAGAATTTAATCAGGTAGCCGACGGAGTACGGGAGGATGCCGACGCTGGCGATCAGCATGCTCCAGAAGTAGGGGCCTTCATAGCGTTTGAAGGTGAGGAAGATGAGCACGATCAGTTCCAGAACGTTATACCAGGCGACGCCGACAAATGTCGCGATGGTGATCTTGACTCCATCACTGTTACCGGTGTAGCTGCCGGTAATCCAGTTTCCGGGACTGGAGTCGCTGGAATTGGACATGACATGGAGGATGTAGGAGGGAAAATAACAGAGATTTTCTACGCGGGGTTCGGCCTCTAATTATTGGAGGCTGGTTCTTTTGCCCGGTGCCCTGCTGCCCCAAGGGGTGCCAAGTGGGACGGTCAGCTTTTAATGGACTTTGTGCGCAAATGAGATCGACATTCCTAAGGTCTCTGCCCCCACTTGCCGTGTCTGATCAACTGCCAGTGAGATTGACTTCAGGGGTTTTAGTTGGGCTAAATAATATGGAAATAGTCTGAAATTAGAGATCTTGGCTGTACGGAGTAGGACAGGGGAGTACAGGGGAATATAAGGAGTAATGTATGTGATATCAATTTTACCGGCAAAATATCGTACGATTGTGATCACCGGGGTCATTTTGGCCCCAATATTTTACTCAACCGTTATTGGCTTCTATTGTGACTTGCATACACCGGGAGGTATGACATCAGACCGCGGGAGCTGTCCATTATCAGAGGCTCTGTTCCAGTGGCGGAGTATCCCCGAGTAGCCCGTCCATCATACTAGCGCTCGATCAGTAAAGGATCGACTTTATAACCATCACGGGGCACTTACACAGCAGGATACCGCGTTCCTGGGACTTCAGTCCGGTTAATTAATGCGCGGATCTCGGCCAGCTCCGCCTCTTTCAAAGAAAGACTGACAGAGCGGGTGTTTTCATCCAGTCGCTGGATAGACTTGGTCCCGGGGATGGGAATAATATCGCTTCCCTGGGCGAGGATCCATGCGAGAGCAACCTGTGCCGATGTGCTGTCATGTCTCTTGGCAATCGCTTCCAGCCCTTGCACCAACTCGCGGATCTTGGGGAAGTTCTCATCTGCATACTTGGGCAACATGCGACGGAAGTCGGTCTCGGGGATATCGGCGAATGACTGGATTTCCCCTGTCAGGATACCACGACCGATGGGACTATAAGCGATAATCGCGATGCCAAGTTCGCGGCAGGTGTTCAGAACCTCGGTGGCGGATTCGATCTCCACGGCGAACGGACTGTACTCGACCTGGTATGCTGCGATGGAATGGACGGCATGAGCACGACGTATAGTCGACGCAGAGCATTCAGAGAGTCCAAGATATCTGATCTTGCCTTGGCTAAAGGGGGGTTTAGATTTAGTAACGTGTCGGTCGTCGCTGATATCAGGATACGCTTACTTCTTCAATTCGACCATCGCTTCAATGGTCTGCTCGATCGGCGTCACCCCATCCACGCGGTGACAGTAATAGAGATCGATGGTGTCGATACCCAGTCGCTTCAAGCTCTTTTCGCAGGCGGCCTTCACGTAGTCCCGGTCAGAGTGGATCGACTGAGTACCCGCAACGAGATCATAACCAAGTGCGAATTTAGTAGCCAGGAAGATTTCGTTGCGGTTTCCTGACTTTTTGATCCACTCGCCGACGGCATCCTCGCTGTCAAAGTACACATCGGCGGTATCCCAGAACCTGGCACCGATTGCATGAGCATGTTCCAGGAAGGCAACTTTGTCCTCGAGGGAGCCGGCTGGCCCGTAAACACTACCAAGGCTCATGAGTCCCAGACCAATAGCTGGAACTTGAGGGCCATTGCGACCAAGGGCTCGAGTAGGTAAAGACATTCTGAGAGTGGCAGGTAGATCTGAAATAATAAGATGTGATGATGAGAGAAAAAGCGATTGTAGGGAGGAAACGTTTCCTTATATAGGCCTGGTCGGAGCGATTGATTCAAGCACTCCCCGGCTCCCATCAAGTATTCATCCGAGTTTGAAAGAAAGCGTCGGATGAAGCTATCGCCAGATCGAATATAGAAGAAATCAACCAATCAAAGGCAACATGCGGGGATCTCAGACCAGATGAACGAATCAGAAGCATCAAAAAGCGACGCGGCCAATCAACGACCGACGCTGTTAAGCAATTAACCCCGAAGGCGTCATGTTTTGGTCCCTCTAGTCTTCTCACTCATCCACAGTCAATCAGCAATGTATAGCGGTGCAATCCATCGTAAGCGGAAGGTCAAAACAGGCTGCAAGACATGCAAGTAAGTGCCCAAGTGTCGCAGTACTAGAACGAGATCTCGTCTGACAACACAAAGAAAACGCCGCGTCAAATGCGATGAAGGAAGACCAGCCTGTCGCCAATGTGTCTCATCCAGTCGACCATGCGATGGCTACGGCATCTGGGGCGGAGGTGGAACTCCCTATATGCCGCCCCAAAGCCACCGTGCTCTTTCTGTCTACTGCACTCCGGTCCCAGCCGGTAGTCTCAATGACCAAGAACAGGTCTGCTTCGACTGGCTGATCAAGCGAACCGCAAAAAGTTCGCAGGCATATTCCAGTCCGACTTCTGGGAGACATTGATCTTCCAGGCTAGTGCACAAGAGCCCGCTGTACGCCACGCAGTCATCGCTCTCGCGTCCGCTCATCGCTTCGAGCAGCGCTTTGATCCCAGATTCCCTGATGCCCCGGATCCAGTCAATGAACAGTTTACTTTGCAGCAGTATAATAAGGCCATCTCGCACCTACGCACAAAGACAACCCAAACTAGTCATTCGCTCCGAGTGGCTCTGATTACATGCATGCTGTTCGTCACATTAGAGTATCTACGTGGCCAGTATTTGATGGGCAGTGCACATCTTCGTTATGGCATGCGACTCTTGACGGAAATCTCCGCGTCAACCTCTCCATCAGCAATGACGCCCAAAATCCTGCGTCCTAAGGAAGACTTCGCTTATAACGCTCTGGTCGACACTTATGCTCAGCTGGGTATTCAATCAGCCATGTTCGGTCACATACCTTCGAACATGTGTCTTGTAACTCAAGACCCCCAATCCACCATTCCCTACATTTTTTCATCTCTCCTTGAAGCCCGACGTAGCATCGACGACCATCTCAACCGAATTCATTGTTTGAAGCGCCATTTCCGCGACCAACGACCTGATAATATTCAAGAGATGTCCGAGGTGCAATCCTGCATCCTTGCAGACCTCGTGCTCTGGCGGAAAGCGTATAATGCCTCACTTGCACGTCTCGAATCTCATAATACCTCAGGCAGAGACAAATTCGGATATCTGCTCTTACGTGTATATCACGAGATGGCAACCATCATGGCATCGGTATGTCTAGCAGGAAGTGAGGACTCGGAGATGATATTCGACGAATACACGGAGAATTTCATCACGATCATGTCGGGGCTTATTGACATGTGGAAGAGCTGGACATCTGCCAATTTCCCTGATCAAGATCTGTCAAAGCTCACAGAAGAGTCATCTAATTTTCGAGAGATCTTCGAGAAGTTTCAAAATATGTCCGATACGAATGTCTTCTTCGAGAGCTCGCTTCTTGAGATCCTTGAGCATTCCTCTGAGATCAATGATATTTTGAAAACGCCAGATTGTGGTGGCAGTGGGTTCACAGTTGAAACAGGCTATATCCCGCCTTTTTATTACACGGCGTTGAAATGTCGGGTGCCGCGGATACGGAGACAGGCTGTTAGCGCACTGAGGGCAGCGCCGCATAGGGAGGGGGTTTGGAATGGGCCGTTGCTAGCTAGTGTGTTGGAGGCGGTCATTAAGATCGAAGAAGCGGATTTGTATAAAGGCGAGTCGAGGGTTCATTCGCCGGTTGGCTTTCTCCTTCCCAGGCCGGATGATTTGCTCGTACCGAAGGTTCCTGCTGAGGCGAGGATCTCCGATGTCAAGGTTATCTTGCCGGATCATGTACCTGGTGAGGTCTATATCAATTATCGAAAGAAGGCCGCGGATGGTGAATGGGCTCATTTTAGACAAAGAGTCGAATTACAGTCGAGGAACGAGCCCAGATGAGCTTTGGGGCTATTGCTACTGAAAAAGTCGGGGCCACCGGGGACGGCACTATGCTCAAGAAGAAATGCTCTGGTTGCGAGTTCAAAATTTCAGCCTTTTGTGGCTTTTGGTCATTGTAATGCTTTTTTAATGTACAGTTTTATACCTGCAGGTTCGTCACTTCGTTAGTCTCCCAAATCCTTGTTTCGCCTACCCATATTTTCAATTTCATGAACACCATTCGCTTGCAAGCGCTAGCAATTTTATTTGCCGCCCGCTTTTTGGTTCCGCAGGTACATAGCGACCTGTTCATGCCGAGTGACGAAGAACATGCGCTTCCGGTCGGATTTCCAAACCAACACACCGATCTCCGCGGCATACTGGCAAGGGCCTTGATATTCGGCCAAGCTCGTGAAATCTTTGAACAGGAACCCGGCCGTGGCGCGCAGACGATCACGTTCTAGCTGCCACAGTCGGATTTGGTCTGTCACTGTGGGCGGAAGAATGGATGCTGGGACACCCTTGTTGTTGGGTTGGGCGGCACTGTGTTTTCGCAGTTGGGGGTGGGCATGCGATAAGAGGTATGAGATGATTTGGTCCGCCGTGATGCCCATTTCGATGGCCCTGCGAACGGACTGTCGTGTGATTTTTCCGGTCACCAGATTGGGGAAGCGGTATTTCAAATTCGTGAAAAGGGAGATCAGTGATATTTGCAGAGGTGAGGATGTGTATGCGTAAAGTCGGTAATTGGTCTCGATGATGATGAATCCTGAGCCCGAGCCGCTTGATTGGCCGACGGGACCGGTGAGAGATCCTGTGACTGGGTTGCTCAGTGCACTGGAGTCAGACGTGAGGGTTGTTGCAAGGCGGGTGGGATAAAAGCGTGTTGGATCGGCGTCATTTTGGTAGACAATGCCAAAGTCCGTCAGGTCGGTCAGAGTGCGGTGTTGATTGGGGGTCAAATGGTTCTTTTCATAGGACTGTCCGAGCTCAAGACTGCTGAGAAGGAACAAGAAAGACAGGACCTCGACACTGTCCATTCCAATGGCTTCTGCGCTCTCAACGTAGAGGATCAAGATGTGCCAAACCTGAGTGTTGACATCTTGGAGCACAAATCCAAATCCGTCCTTTGTGATATCAACACGGTTTCCGCGAACCTCAACCAGGTGCCCTGCCTGGAGAAGCTGCTTGACGCCCTTGCTCAAGTTCACCGTGTCGCGTTGTCCATTGTTGAAAGCGCTTGTTCCAACCATGTATCCCATCACACCTTCCCACTGCTGTCTGGCATATTCATCCAAGTCGGCGACCGATATCTGGAGGTGCGCTGGGGCTTGGGAGAATACACCGAAGGACTGAGATTCCTCGGCGCCCATCAAAGCCTGTCGAAGTGATGCCGCGAACGGGTTTGTGAGCATATAAGCTCGGACATTTTCGCCGGTCAGGGTTGTAGAGAGAATATGAAGTCGGCCCAATATTGATATCGCAGTATCTCGTTCCCTTGTAGAAGCGGTCAGTTGTGTCTAAGCTGCACGATCAAACCAAAGAGCTCACTTCTTGCTATCCGAGCTGACCCAGACCTCTAGATCTGCGGTTGGCAGGGGGTCCTTCAGGTAAAGCAAAGCCATGACGAAGCATTTTGCTATCGATTTGTCAGTGGAACGTTTCTCAAGCGGAGAAGCTTAATGTACCTAGATCAGGTAGCATGCGCCGGAAGATGGCAAGGGCCGTAGAGGGTTGTTGGTATAGCTTATAAAAGGTTGTCCCAGGGAGACCCTCGAGATATTCGAGAGGACGGGATGTCGCGCTCGCCATGGTGAGCTGTGAGACACCTTTCAGTGAAGCAAAAGGTCGAAGTGCCATGGCTGAATGAAATGACGCTTGTACGGTGGCCGATGCGGCCACCAAGCGCAACTCCGCTATCGCGGAGGACCTCCACGGCTGGCATCGTAGTATTTCCTGAATACATTGTTGACTTGATAAAATGGCTTCTCTGAAATTCGTTCGCTCGGTAATTTCTCATAATTCATCTCTGCGCTTCATCGTATTGACCTGACTGACTCGCAACAGGTGTGGGAGTCGTTCCGAGCTACCTCGGGTCTGGAGCCTCGGTATGATTGCATCACAACTTGCGTCCTATGAAAGACTCATTGGATACTAACTATTTGGCATTATTGCTTCATGATTGAAGCCTTTTGAATAATGTAAAACACCCTGGCTTCCGTGCTTGATTTGAATTCATCTAATGATCTACTTAGCTCCGTGTCACTGCCGCCAGGCCCGGCCTGGTCAACTTTGAACTGGACATTCAGAAAGAGCACACGGTATGCTTGTCTGTGATGAGATGACTCGGGGGTTGACTCTATACATACGACTATTCGAGTCTAGCTCATTGCCTGGGAGCATGTCTGACATTTTCAACTCTTAGAATCGTCTGAACATTCTCCATGGAGGCACCATCGCCAGTATGGGTATGGGTCTTCTCTACGATGAACCTTGGAAACAGCATGAATTTGGACTGATATTTCTCTAGTGGACCTTGGCGGCTCCCTAGCCGTCGCATCCCGCGGCCTGTTCTCAACCGGAGTGTCAACCGACTTGAACGGTAGGTCGAGGAGCTATCCCAGGGACCAGCTTGCTTTTGCTGATGAATACAATCGTTTAGTCACATACTTGAACTCCGGTGGCAGAGTTGGAGATCGAATCTTGGCCGTATGTCTTCCTCTGAGCTTATCACACGAATGTGTATACTGACTTTAATTGCTTTCTAGAAAGTGAAATGTGACAAGTGTATGTCCCAAACACCTTGCATAGCTTCTTTCTCTTTCTTCTGTTGCGATTTGTCTTATACCAGAATCTAACCGAGTCTATGCAGTTGGAAAAACTTTGGCTTTCACTTCAATTGAGTTCACCAACCCTAACGGGCACGTTGTCGCTCGCGGAAGCCACACAAAGTAAGTGCTACATCTTCTGAACGTTCATCTCAAAATGCTCATTTTCTGCAGGTATGTGACTCTCGCATGGAAGGATCCCCAAAACATTGTCGAGGAGATGAACAAGAGCAAGGACTAATCAGCCAATTCGCTGGCCCTGTATCCAAACTTCACTATACATCAAGAATCTTGTTCTATAATACACCGTGAGAGCTAGTTTCGCAGCCGTATCCACAGATGAACTCTGATTTCAGAGGTCAAGAACCATCACCCTGAGCATTCATCCATGGCTATGATCCATCACTTCCGGTCCCGGGGGACCTCGGGACATGGAGGGTTAGTAGGTGGCTTCCAAGGTTGTACTCGGTATAACTCAAGATGCATAGTTGGCTGCAGATGGGTAACAGGAAAATACAATTCGTATCAACGACTCTTTTATATCTGAGAGCTGGATAAACATTCACGCAAGTAGTTCATACAATATCCTCATCGTCATCAACACCCATAAGCTCGTCCTCATCCTCCAAAAGGCCATCTTCCTCAACTGGCGCAGCATCCTCAATCACAATATCTCCATCTCCCATAGCCTTGACTTTAGCCTGGGTCATCTCAAAGACATACTGACCAAGATGCTCGACACTTTCCATCGGAGTGCCCTGAACATCAGCGCTAGCATCCCGCGATGACGGGAACATCTCACCAGGCGCGAGCATAAGCTTATCAGGACGCTGGAGGAGGAGATCAAATGCAGGCTTGAGTTCATAGCATGATTCGAAGACTTCGCGGCGACCGAGAATGTACAAACCAAGTCGGGCTCGGGAGAGGGCGACTGTGAGACGGCGGACGTCACGGAGGTAACCGACGCTGCGGGTACGGGTGAGAGAAAGAATCACGTCTGTTGAGGGTTAGAGTCTGGAACAGTAGACGGGAAAAGACAAAATAGGAATCAAACTCACAATCATTCTGCTCTCCCTGGTAGCGATCGACCGTTGTCACGATCTTGGGCATTCCGAACATGGGGTTCTTTCCACACCTATGGCTCAACACATCCCGAATCAGAGCCGTTTGACCAGCATACGTAGCTAAGATGGAGATTTTGGATGCTGGGTAGCCGAGCAATCGCATGTACTGGTACATGGCGACTGCATACTCTGCTTCACCCAGGTTCTGAATGAAGTGAGGAGTTGGCTCTCGCTCTCCGTTTCCTTGGTAGTCCGGAACATTGATGAACTGGTAGTCGAATTGGAATCCAGCATTGGCTTTCTGGTACTCTGGGGCGGTTTGAACGACAGGGAGATCGCCAAGTTCCTTGTATCGCCAACGGAAGAGCTCCGCGATGCTTGACCTTGCGCGACCTTGCTTGTCCAGGTTGATCACAGGGACACCGAGTCGTGCAAGTCGCAAGAACAGACTCTGCTCAAAGTGGGCGTATTGGCGGAAGGCCATGTTTTGAATGACCGGTGAGTTCTGGTAGTGGTCACCACAGAGAACAACGCGCTTGAGTGGAAGTTCGCCGTTCTTCATGTTCTGTAGGGCGTTGGGGATGAAACTTTCGACTTCGGTGATCTGGGCGGCTTCTTCCATAACCACATTGTCGTAATGGAAGCCAAGATCAGCAATCTCCTGGCGGCGCATGGCAGCATGGGTCGAGGTCATTGCAATAATGCGAGCCTCCTTCACGAGAAGATAGTTGGCCTTGTCACGAGGTTGTCTCAGAATCTCGAAGGGGCGGATGTCTTCCAGCTCAGAGAAAATTTTAGCGATGTGTCGTTGGCAGCCTGAAGCGGTATCGATGATGGACTCCTTTGTGGCGTCAGCGGAGAAGAGTGGCTGAGGGGCGTTTGAGAAGTATGAATGGAAGGGGAAAGATGCGACAATTTCCTCTTTTGACACTTCTTCGGACTTGGCTTGATCCCAGAACTTGGCCCAGGTCGGCTGCACATAAACTGTGTTGAAATAGCCGGCCGTCTCACATGAGTTTCCATGTGCACCCTCAACTTCCAGTGATGCAGCTAAGCGCATCACTTCTGATAGGTAAGCACTGCGATTATCGAGGAACGATTCAACACGTCCATGCTTGCTATAGTTGGAGTCAGTGTCCAATTCTTCCTCGCCATGACCGAGACGCAAAAGGTGTCTCTCGTCAATGTCGAGCGCGATAATCTTCTGGAAGAGCTGATTGAGTGCTTGATTGCTGTGGGCGATGAGCAGCGTCCGCTCATTGGGGAAGTTGTGGTAAATGTTGTTAATGATTTGTGTCGTGACATCAGTCTTTCCGGTACCAGGAGGGCCCACAATGACAGTGAGTCCCGGTTGTGTGCCTGACGCGATTGCTTCCACCTGAGCAGGAGTGAACCGCACTTGGTTCAATTTGGGAGCGTCGACAGGGTATGGGCCAGGGTTTGGAGGCTTGTAGGTGGACACGCGTACGGTTGGGGAAGCAGAGTTCGTCTGGGGTTCCTCGCGGCGTCGCTTTTTGGGCGCAGGTGGTTCTGCAGCTGGCTCTTGGTCTAGATATTCAAGAACATATGGAGGGCCGGTGCTTGAATTCTCGGCCCCTGAGGGTTCGATATTCGGGATACTTTCCATCAAATGAGTCCAGTCCAATAGGGTATCACGGAAGTCAACCTTCCGCAGCCGGTTGGGCAATTGTGAGTATTGTGCCCCGGCAGGATCTCCGTAACCAAGGAATATGTCCTGAAGCCATGGAGGCAATGCCATGTCCGAGACGATGAGCTTTTGCATGGTTTGTAAGATTGATTTGAAGTTGTTCTCTCTGCCCTTGCGGCGTGCGACGATGTTGATGAGAGGATAAATGTCTGGCTTGCCGTGCGCTTGCTGATCCTGATCAGCTTTGAACGCAGCCGCATCCAAGTGAACGATCAGTCGGCGCAACCGGGCTCTAGGCACGTGTCCATTGGCCTGGCCAGGATGCTGGCGCAATGCACGACCTTGTTCATCCAAAACTTGAACGATTTCGGCAGTGCGGAGATGAGTCATTCGAGGCGCCTCAGCTCCCTGTCCCTGAATCGCTAGCAGATACACAACATCATCGGGACGAAGAGAGTCCCATTCTTTCCTGACGCTGTCTGCAAGTCTGCCTACCTCAATCGCGATCTCGGCGCGAACGAAAGCCGGGTTAGACGCACCAACCTTGGGTGGTGCGACATCAATAATTGCAGGCTTGGAGATTGGAATCGCCATTCGAGAGAATCCCTCGAAGTTGAGACTTCCATCACGACCTGCCTTGGGCTGCATACGCTTGACAACAGACTCCATATCCTTGCGAATTTGGAAGAAGGCTTCGGAACGGTAAAGCAGGAATGAACGCCAAAGGAAATCCCCAAGACTCAAGTACTGAAGGTTGAGCTTTGGGATCGCCAAAGGCCTGGATCCGTCGTATGTCTCATTTCGAAGCAAGGCCGGGTCGTATAGGTTCTCTTCTGTGGGTAGTGGGCTCAGCTTTTCAACTGCTTCTTGGAAGGGAATCTTGCGTTCATAGAATGATGCCAGGACTTCCAAGTAGAATTGGCGGTCTGGGTTAACGTTTGCCGACTTGGGATAGGTCGTGCGGAATCCAAGAGCAGAGGTTAGCGTCTGCAGCTCCGAATCATCGAGGGAAGACAATTGTCCCTCGAGATCAGAGCGTTTCTCAATTGAACCCAGATTAGACAGAGCAAGAATCATAAGCTTGTCTTTGAAGTACTTCATCGAAGTTCTTTGCAGCTGAGCCAATTCCTGGCTATGCAGATCAAAGACCCCCTGTGGGGTGAGAGCCTCGCCAGAGTAGTCATCAATTGCAAACTCAACAAAGTGTTTGAGGAGGCTGTGGAAGTCACGCAGAAGGGCATTTTCGGGGTTGCGGTAGAGCTGTGAAAGACGAATAACCGCCAAAAGGTTAAGATCCTTCAACAATGTGTTCACATAGCGCCGAGTAGGAAGCTGGCTTTCGAGGTCGACCAAAAGTTCCAGGAATCTTTCACAGTACAGCAAGTTCTCAGCTTGTTCGGGTGCGTTGAGCTTCTGAATGAAATCTAGGAGCATGGTGTACAGCCATGAGCGCTCGAAGCGTATCTTCGCTTTGGCAGCTCCATCTCCCGCTTCATATCTCTTCCCAGAGGCCTTCCATGCCTTCTTCAAGGTCGGGGCCTTAGCAATGATACGATTTCTCGTTTCGTCGCTAGCCAGATTGTGCCACACCGAGATCGAGACGAGAGGCGCGCACTCTTTTCGGATGAGTACATTCTCGAGTGACTGGAAAGCGCTAATGATGAAGGAGATGATGGAGAGTCGAGAGCGTGTAGGGAGGGAGTGGTCGATGCTCATGGAGAGAATGCGGTGGAAAAGGCTCGAGAAGTCATCGGCGCGATCGGAGAAGATATCCCAAATGGGCAAATGTTCGCGGTGCTTTACACTGACTATCAATGCGATCAACAGCACATGGTGGTTCGAAGCGTCTCCGGTGTAAGTCGGCCATAGGAACCTGACGTTGATGGTTAGCCTGATAATGACGATGAGAGACGCAGATCTTACTTCTCAAGAACATTCAAATTCTCCAGGATCAACAAGGAGCGACTGCTGAAAGCCTCTGCCTCTAGAGGATCCCACAATTGCTTCTTGATCACATCGGGCTTGGCCTTGCGAACTTTCGCATCCAACCAGTGGGCCTTGGCTAGTTGCACCCACGGGCTGTCATCGCGAAAGTCCACAACAGTAGGCCTGGACTCAAGACTCTGCGCCATCGCAGTAGTCATTCCCGTAACCTGTGAGATTGGTGGTTTAGGAACGTGGTGGATTGGCGCAGTCGGTGGAGTGAAGTTGGAGCTGGGGGAGCTTTTCAAAAGTCTTGGCTTTTGCGTCTCCGCCGAGCCGCCCTCTTCAATCACTTGCTGTCCCCTCCCTTTCTTTCACGCACCATTCAATTCACCTGTTTCGTCTTTACAATCCTCTCAACTCGAGCTGAGGAGGAATAAGCCGTCGAAATGGCGACCGAGGACATCGCCGGCGTTCAGGTCTACAGAAGACAAGTCGACAACCTCCTGGATCGCGCTTCGCAAGTCAAGCCGGACAAACAGATCGAGCCCCCATTGTCCGAATCACAGCTCGGCGAATCAATATGGCAACTTTCTGCGGCAGACAGCGAGGCTACCAAGCACCTGAGCCAACAGACTAGGCTTGCAGCTGTGGAGATCGCGTTTCGCGAGAAGTTCTATCGCGTTCTGGTATGGCCCATTGGAAGCTCAAGCCCGAGAAGAGATGCTAACTAGGAAATTATAGGCCTCGACATCGATCGAAGACCCCGCATTTATTCAGATTTGGAACCTCCTCGATATCGTCTCAATATTTTCCGATAATGGTCAGTCCCCGGTCTACAACAACTACGCTGCAGCTCTAACGCCTATTAGAACAATGCGAACCAGGTCTCATATTCTGGCTGATTGAGGAGCTTCTCGACAGCCAAACCATTGACGGCTGCCGGAAGGTTTTTGATTACTTGGAGTCTCGAAGGGAAAGAAACACAAAGGTCTGCTTCGTCATTCGCAAACTCAATTCTCAATTCATTGTAAAACTAACTGTCGCCTTAGAACCACTTCAAGCAGAAAAGTTTAGTCATTCTACGATCTTGCAACGAGCTTCTTCGTCGTCTCTCGCGCGCAGAGGATACAGTGTTCTGTGGTCGGGTCTTTATCTATCTCTTCCAGAGCTTCCCGCTGGGCGACAAGAGTTCTGTCAACCTTCGTGGAGAATTCCACTCTGAGAATGTCACCACTTTCGACGAAATCGCTGAACAACCAGCCAAAGACCAGCAGCAGCAAGATACAACAATGACCGAAGATTCCGAAACCGCAGCGCCCGAAAACCCTGGGACGCCGCAAACTGGAAGCACTTCCGATCAAACTCCCAAAGTTCCCAAGGTGGTGGTTCCTGGAGACGGCAAGAAGTCGGAGGATGTTGATCTGGATGCGCTGTACCCACTATTCTGGGGCCTCCAGGCCTTTTTCTCGGCACCTAGCAAGATGTTCGATTCGGAACGATTCGCGTCATTCAAAGCCGGCCTCGAGGCGACTCTGTCTGCATTCAAAAACATCAACACCGAAATGGAGAACCACAGTGCCTCTCGAGCCTCAGAAGACGCCCGCAAATCAAGCAAGCGCAAGCGCATCTCCGATGATGCTGAAGTTGCCACCAGCTTCAATCCTAAATATTTGACCAGCCGGGATCTCTTCGATCTTGAAATCAGCGATACTGCTTTCCGGCGACACGTGCTTGTCCAAGCTCTGATTCTCCTCGACTTTGTGCTATCTCTCACGCCCAAGGCCAAGACCCGCCTGGTGAACACGACCAACAAGTCCGTTCTCTATGGTTTTACTTTGAACGAAGAGGACACCAAATGGGCTCTCAACATCCGAAAGAGGATCGAGGGATATCTGCAAGATGGACCCGGTGGCAAGTTCTACTATCGCATGGTGGACACGGTCTTGTCTCGGGACAAGAATTGGGCACGTTGGAAAGCTGAAGGTTGTCCGTTGATTGAGAAGCCGGCGATCTCGTCGGAAGAGTACACGGCTTCACGCGAAAATGCCGTTAAGGTGTACGCCAACAAACGCCTTCGCCCGTCGCCGATGGGCTCGCTCGATCTCAAGTTCCTCTCCGACAGTGAGTCTCTCGCCAAGATTGAGCGTCTCAAAGAATCCGATCGGTACAGCGTGCCTTCGGCGGACACATTCATGAAGGGTATCATGAATGATGAAATGGACCTTGACTTCGCGATGACCGACGAGGACAAGGCGGTCGCCCAGGGTGCGATAGACAGCAAGTCCTGGCGGATCCTGCGTCTCACAGCAAGAAACAAACTCTCTGCGTTTGACAAGCTGGACAGCAACAACCTACAAGTTTTGTTCGCAACCCCTACGGCCAACCAAGACCATGAGTCCAGTGCTGGGGATCCCAAGGACCTCCCCCAGTCATTAGACGGAGTCCAAGATACTCCTGCCGAGTCCAAAGAGTCTGGAGCGACGAAAGATCCTGTCGGGGTCTCGCATTCAATCGAGGCCGATAAGCCAACCGAACCCCAAGAATCTACCGATAACAAGCCTTCTGTGCCTGTCGAACAAACCGAAAAGAGTCCACATGCTACGGTCCAGGGTGAGTCCAATAATGCTCCCCAGGCGGCCGATGAGGACCAGGAGATGCAAGATGACAACAAGACCGACACCACTGAGCAACCACCAAACTCAATTGGAGTTGAACAGAACGAGGACCTTGCCGCCTCTAGCGCCCTTGCAGATGATCCTGCAACCTAAGAAACAGGCTGTGGTCTGTGGAAGATACACGTTCGATAGTCGATAGCTTTGACCTCCTCTGGTTCGGAGTAAATTCCCCAATGGGCTGGTTTCCTCTGGCGCGGTTACGCCGCGACCCGCCACCAATTTGCTCAGACAGCTTGCAGGATTTCATGCATTGATATCACCACGCCGATGCAAGACGGAAAAATAACAAGCAGGGAGCACCATTACTCCATCCGTGCACATGCATTGTCTGACCTGCTCTGTCGCCATGGAAGGATCAGCCAGGTACTTCCGAATCTGACTGTTCACGTTTTTCCCGTCCTGGATTCCTCTTGCGACATCTCTGAGGGTGCATGATCCATTCCCTTCTCCTTTTTTTTCCCCGCCCCATCCGTTTATTTTTTTTCAGGGGCTTCTCCGCCGGCGAGTGTTCAAAATATTCAAGGACATACCAGATCGGGCACAATGCCGATCAAACCAACTAAAACATTCACTGGGTCAATCGCGGCACGGCGACTTCTTTCGATCCGAGCCCGGGTTATCCGAGCTAACGGGAAGCGGGCTATCTATCTTGCGGCCGCTAGTCGAAGCGATGAATCTTCACGCCCGAGGGCACGGTATCGATGGAGACCAGGGCGGATCCGGGCGGATCAGGGCAGAACTCATATCATATTTTTGTTCAACGGGAGCAGAGCTGATCGACAACTCTAATACAATTCAATTAACGGCGAGTGTTCCTGCAGTAGTTCAGAGGGTCAAGGGGGGAAATCATTCCATTGTCTCATGGATATTAACCCTTGAGTTATCCAGAATGTTCCTTTGACCCTCTTCATTATCTTAAATTCTCACAAGTGGCATGGACTGAGGGGAAGTGTCGCAACCACTGTTTCACTTACACTTTTTCCCCCTCCGATCACAAGGCTAGGGGCGGTCCTACGACGCTACTAGTCACTTTAGATAGTTTCGGCGTCGCAACTAGCAAAAAGCACTTGAGAGATGGCCCCCCTTCAAAAAATAAAAATTTAATGTACGGAGTAGAAAAAAACCACCAGATACTCCCGAGGTCAGCACCAGGCCACAAAGGAAGGTTAGAACGGTCTCCTAGCTGCAGGAGTGGACTCGTTTTGGCCCCCTTTTAGTTGAAACGAATCCTTCGCGTGGATAATATTTGTTTTTAGCAGTTCGTGGCGATGCAAACACTAACTTCAATAGCCTCGATGTTCCAGAAGGTCCAAGGAAGAAGTCAACAACCGGGGGGTTAGGGAGAAAAAAATCAAATAAAAAACAGACAAAGAACCAAAATAAAATCATTAATCATTAAAAATAAACAGCCACAACCTCCCATTCCCCCCCCACGCATGGATCATTTAGTGGTGCAAGTTGAAGCTCCATGTGGGACCCGGAAGTGTATATCAGCTAGTTCCAAGACACTGGCCAGTGCTTCCCACGATCGGTCTTCCTTCAGGGCTAGAGTAGTATACATATACGCAAGGATAAAATGTACTTGTAGATGGAGTACCTGTTCCGCGTGGGGACGAAGCTCAACGCTTGTGCACTCGTGCGAGACCAACGGTCACAGCCTTTTTTTTTTTAACTCCGTATACGGAGTACTGGTAGACTAACTAACGTGGAGTCGCAAGTTGTTCTAGATTGGGAAATATGCCCAGGTGTCAGGCCATCGAACCGTTGACTGAGATCTGCTTTATCAAATGGTTTTTGACCCATATTTTTTTCAATGTCGTACTCCGTACCGAGTGCCGGGTTGATAGGTGATCGATAATAATGTGTGTGCGTGGGATTTACACATAAAGAGGTACATGCAGGGCTTGGCCCATTCGACGTTTCGCAAAGATGGGGAAAATGGTCTTGGGCCAAGAGATCGGCTTGCGTCATCCAGACTTTATACGGAGAATTACTCCGTACATGGGCTTGTTATTATTAAATTTGTAAATTTGTAAATTTGTAAATTTGTACTAGTAAAATGCCCTGTGAGCTGGGGATACAGTCAATTGTTAGCTCATGTACACAGATTAACTTGTTTATTTAATTGGGTCCAACGTATGATGTCTGTAGATTAAACGAGATGAGAAGGGCTGGAGGAAATTAAAGTTGCGTCTCGAAAGTGTTTCGATCCTCGATCTCCCCGCACAGATTCCCTGTATATCCGCCTATAGGAGAGGATAAGCCCTGAGATACGAAGTACAGAGAAAAAGAAAGAATTAAACAGGAATACGAGAGTTCTGACTCCTGCCTGAGCCCTGATCCCTTGGATCTCGAATCCTACCTTCTCTTCTCGCGTAGAAGTAGGTAGCATCGAACCTCAGAGTTAAAAGACAACTACGTAGCGATCGTCACCGTTTCGGCCGTAGGGGCCAAAAACTGCGTAATATGATTCGGGATCGCAGACAACGGCTCCGAGTATTCTCCTCCGAAAGTCTCCACGTTCAACTGGAGAGCCGTCCGATCTAATCCGGGTCCACCACGTATTGCGTATAGACATACGGGCTTTGGAGTACTCCGTACTGGGGCTAGGAAATCCGGAATTGAAAAAAAAAAAAACCATGGAAAAACAGAATGAGAAAAGAAGCAATCAGAAAAAGAAGGGGGAAAAAGGAAGATAGGAATGCGCTAAGTACTACTCCGGACACTACCAGACTAAACAATTAAAAGCGCAATTGTCCTTCCGAGGTTCTTTTTCCAGACCCACTCAAAACGACTCTCTGCCCTCATTTTATGCGACTCGAATTGTTTCACATCACCAGTGGAGATTTCAAGGCGTTTCCGGTGGAGACCCAGTAATCGCCAGACATCTACCGAGCCACGGTTGATAACCTGCCCAATTCTGTGGTCAACCTGCGAGAGGCTCTGGACTCGCTGGAGCGCATGGTCCGCCTCGTGGCCTTTCCTGATGAGGGCATCGCCGTTCTCCAAACTCGAAGCTATCGATTTTCCCCCCTTGACGAAGGTTATCGCTTCGAGGACTGATGGGTCCTCTAAGACTATATGCTCCATATGTAGACCTTGTTGGCCAAATTAGCCAGATTAGCCAGATTAACCATATAGGTCCCATATTGTACTGATATTGGATCGCGTATTACGTTCCCCGTTGGAGGTTTCAGGTCTCACCCGCTTGTACCAATGAGGCTCTCGATATCCATTGCTTTGGGGGTCTCGGTTCGGCATTTCTCTTGCAATTGGTTTTCTTCTTTTTCTTCTTTTGGAAAAAATTCACAAATATTCCTGTTTTATTCCTATTTACTCCCATTTATTCTTTATTTATTCCCATTTGGTCAGATTTCCGTCTCTTTCCTCTATTTCCTCTCTTTTTTTGTTTTGTTTTCTTTTTGCTTATATATTTTTTTTTTCTTTTTTATTCTTTTCTGACCTGCCTTTCCAGCCCCGTCGGTAATTCTACCGGTATCGACATTCTCGCGCATCTTTCCGCCTCCACTCACGATGGAGTGTGGCGGGCAGTCCGCTGAGTGGCTAATGTCCTTGATCGATAGCGAGGGTCCGGCTTAGAGTGGAGTTTCAGCACGCCATTACCCAAGCCGACTGGTCCTTTCCACATGGTCTGGCTATGCGACTTCCGGTGAGCAAGGGTCTGGCTTCATCGGTTGGCTGAGCGTCCATGCAAGTATCAACATCTGGCTTGCGATTTCCCACTTCTCGTCTCTCGGTCCACACAGATCCGAAGTTGAGATCTCAATCCCTCATGCAGGAGCATTAACAGGCCTAGCAAGAATTAGAAATGAAAATAAAGTAGGACCTCGGGAGAGAGAGAAAAAAGATCCATATAAAACATATCTGGCCACTGTCTGTATTTCTTACTTTCCCTCTCTTTTTCTCTGGTCTCTTCTTCCCGGTCCCCGCCGGACCCATACTTCTGTTGATGCAATTTAGCGGCTTAAGCTTGAGCTGAATTGACACGGAGGTTCCCACATTCCCACATGGTCATTTCAGCTTAGGCAGACATACGATTCGCCACAGCTCTGCGTGAACATTCGGCCGTGGCCCTATTGTAGCGTGATGAGGGTCCTCTGTGCACGCCTCTCGGTACCTCCGAAGTCTTCACTTTTGAGTACTCTCTTTTCTCCCTCTACCTCCGTACTCTTCTATCCACCCAAGACTCCATGAAGTCCACGGGAACTTTGGGGATGGGTTAGACCAGATATAGGTAATGGATCTGTGGCTTCGATTTTATTCTCCGAAGGCGATCCTTTTAGTTTCTGATACTACTAGTGCAGCCGTGTATCTAGCCGTACCATCTGTAACCTGATGTTTTACCAATGGAGTTAACGGTGGACACTATCGACCGTTTGGTGAGGGATCTTCACGAAGTAAATAGATCGGGTGCTGATCTGTGGACTCGTGCACTGAGTCCATGATCTGTAGCCTTGTTCTACAATGCACATGTAGTCTTGCTCACTTTCCCCCCAGGCCCACTCGGAAGTGCCACCATAGCTTGTCCGGTTGGGTTCGGTTGATTCCTCATTTTCCCCCCATTATTCGAGATCTTTTCTTTTTCCCACCTAGGCATTTTTCCCTCTCGATCCTGTTTTTTTTGGCTTTTTGGTGGTCGTGTTGACCGTTAGGACCGTTAAGATCGGCCGCGAATTGACCCCCCTTCAACCACGTTTCCTAACTCTCCTCTCATTTTACTCAAAGTTGAGAAGCCAGTCCGGAGTACGAAGAGTACTATATCGAAATTTGCTTATACTGGGATTTCCCGCGCCATACCTGTGACTATAGCTTGTGGACCCTGGAGGGTATTGCGGGCGTCCGTTTAATATCCCGACCTATTTCCACTTCCTTTGCCCTTTTTGCCTCGAGCTAATACCTCCTGGGTCATTATTTGCCTCTTTTCACTGGGATCTGATTGTTTTGTTCATAAGGATTTGCGTCCCAAGTACCATATTCCTGGTACATCCTCTCTTCCCTCAAGTCTATTCCCTGGTTTCACTCTTAAGTCTACACCAACGGGAGACAGCAGACTCGATCTCTAATTTCTAAAGAGGTAAAGGGAAAGGAAAACAAAAAATAGGAACTAAATTTCCTAGAGACAGAAGGGTGGGAAAAAAAAAGAAGGCTAGAAACACACTTGTCCCGCTTGACAGGTTGTTTAGGCCCTTTTGTCTCCTCTGGCACACACACCGGTTCTTCACCTGACACATCTCAGTTGGCGCCCTATTCCCCTCTTCAGGACACCTTCTGGAACACGCTGCTTCACCCTTTATTCCGTTTAATTGCAGAAGCCAACCCTGATCCCTTTACGCAAGCGCCTCGGTACTTCGATCAGACCCACCACCGTCTCATCTCGGGGAAAAGTACACCGTTATTGATTCCCATTTGGGCTTGGATCTCTCCTATTGCTGTGCTTGCTGTGCTTAGTTTGACGCCCTGCTTTCTGATTCAAGTTCTCTTTTACCTCTGGGAGATTCCTGACTCAAATCTCCGTGCGGTTCGAGGTTTCTCGTGGGTATAGGGCAAACACTTCCACACTTCCGACTCTTACCATGTCAGTCGGCGGGCCTTGTCTTTGGTTGCCTTCTTTATCTTCGCCGGTTCCCTCACCCCTGTCAGCAGTCTCCTCTCATCTCTCTGCCCGGAGTAGTGACCGATTCTCTTTGGGGCCCCGGAATATCTCACCACGGTTATCTGTGCAGAAGAAAGAGGAGCCTGGAGTTCCTGCTTCCATTCCCTCTCGTTTTGCTGAGATGCAACCGACGGGACACAGGGCTGAGAATGCCTTAGGTCACTCGGGAGCACAGCCGTCCGGAATGGCTGCTTCAGTGCCGTATCCCGGGAGAGATGTCTCATCGCGGGATACCATCAACCACAGGTTGGAAGCGGCAAAACAGGATATGTTGCCAGGCGTCAAGTTGGAAATTCCGAGTTTGAACCAGCGGGTGTTTTCCGCTACTCAGCCCCTGGTCGGGCATGGTGGTCACTCTGAAGAGACCGTTGTTTCATCTTTTGCGGGTTCCCACGATCCGAGAGACGATCATGGACCAGAGTCGACGGTTAGTCCTGATGATGATAAAGATATGATGGGAAGCGACGACAACAATAGATCACCGTCGATGGAAAAAAAGAAGATGAAGCGATTCCGGTATGTGTTGAACTGTCACCGGCCCCCGCGGAGAGGAAAGAAGGACACTCTCACTAATATGATCACAGTCTAACACATAACCAAACCCGATTTTTGATGAGCGAGTTCACTCGCCAGGCACACCCCGATGCTGCTCATCGAGAACGTCTATCCAAGGAGATTCCAGGATTGACACCTCGCCAGGTTCAAGTCTGGTTCCAAAATAGGTATGGGATTCCTTTCTTCGAGGACCGAAACCTCTGTTGTCTAACATGAACTCATCTACCAGACGGGCAAAGCTTAAGCGTCTCACTACAAACGACCGTGAGAGAATGCTCAAATCTCGGGCCCTTCCAGACGACTTCGACACGACCAAAGTTCTTCGCACGCCGTTTGAGGGCAAGTCCTCGGGAGTCACACCAGTGGCGTCACCATCAGGATACTCGGCTCCGAACCCTGACTTCGGAGCCTTGAGGACATTGCGTACAGAACGATTCCCCCGGCCGAATGAAGACGAATATCTCGTTTCACCCCTCAGCTCAGCATCAACAGCAGGTCCTTACATGTCATCAACGGGACAGGGACAGATGTTCCGCCCAGCTGCATCCGCCTCCATGTCCGATCTACATCGAAACGTGCGCAACGACTACTCAATCACCCGATCCAGCAGTCTATCCGATGCATCGGCCCATCCTTCCCCGTATGCGGGGTACGGGATGCCTAATCGCTTCGCGGGACCGCAGGCGAATCAACCAGGCATGCCCTACATGAGTCGACCGATGGAGTACGCCGTTCCCCGACACCCAGGCATCCCAGCATACGATCAGCACCAATCGTTCGAGGGCTCCGTGTCACCAACAGAATCTCACAATGCACATATGGCCTACGACATGAACCCTCTAGGTTTGTTCTCGCCGTTCGTCATTCAGCCAGCGATCGTCTAACACCTCGTTTTTTTTCTTTCTACACAGGCTCTCAACCACCCAACTATAACCTGGGCATGGCTTCTCAATTGCCTACTCAAGGCCGCCCCTTGGCTATGCAGAATCTGCCGGTTTCTGCGGCCCCGGATTATCGTCACTACGCTTACGATACTACCGCTGCCCCCATGGGCTCCATCCCTTATACACAGTCCAATCCTTCGAATTTGACCCTCCCATCCTCCTTCGGCGCTGAGTCTGGTTCTAAATTTGGGACCTCGCCTTACAATTACGCCAATTATATTCAGCAGTGATGGGCAGGCCACACAATATGGGCTTCACAACAAAAAAAAGAAAGAATTTATATAAGAGAAGTGATCACCAGCCCCCGGCTACAATGCTGTTTCAAAAGCACAACATCTTCGATCCTCGATCCTCGATCCTCTTCATCTTCTGGTTAACTGGTTAGCTGGGTTAACCATGAATCTGCAATCTATATCAGCGTGCTTTAATCTTTAATCATCTCACAGCGTCTTCAACTTCTTGCTATTGGTTTTCTGGATGTTCTTTGTGGTTTTTTTTTCTTACTGGGTTCTGGTTTATTTGGGGCATCTTTCTCTTCTTGTGTTATCATTGTTTCCATACTGGGTTTGATTTTGCACCTACATTTTCGATTTCGCGTCCTTGATTTTGTACCGTCTTTTTCTTTCTTCTTTTTTTCAAATTGTCGCGCTGCTTTGGGGATCTGAGTCTCGGATTCATGTTTGGGAAACAGTTTGTCTAATGGTAATTGTTTCTCTTGCTGCATAGCTTTGGTGTGAAACGATGACACGATATAGCATCACAGCATCTGATGATGCTTAGAGAGATGTCGCGGTGGCAACAGATGTTGGCTACCTCGTCCCAATCAAAACAAAATCAAACCAATTCTCAAAAGTCTGCTTCCTATAATGATTCTGATAGCCCCTTTTTCCTGAGTATTTTCCTGTAATTATAGGCCACGTCAATCCGGGATTTGTTCAGTCGGACTGCGAGTCATTTCGATAGTCTCCGATGCAACTAAAGGATAGTTCCCTTACGTGCATATCTTAGTCTCTTTCCGCCCAAACTCCAGAAACCTTAGAATGACATGGTCGTACTGTAGATCAGGACCGTCATCAAGTTCCTCGAATCAGAGAGCAGTGAAAGGTCATCAATTCCCTTGCTGGAACCAGAACGTTCAGTCTGGGCAGTCTGGCCATCGCCGCTGGCCACTCACGAGGCGACCATTGACACCCCTTTGCCACGGGCCAATCAGCAGCCACCCAAATCAACCTCACTCTCACGTGACTAGGTCATCTCAACCAATCAGCGACCAGTCATTCATAATCAGCATTCGCCCTCTGACGCATGCAGAACAGTATAAATAAAGTCCTACAGAAGCTTCCTCTTTTCTTTTTTTATCCCAGACTCAATTCTATCTCAAAAGCAAACAAAAATTCCATCCTCAACACTCTCCAACTTCTCTCAAAATCAACTTTTTGTCATCCTCACAAAAACCAACCGCCAAAATGGTCCACCCTACTACCACCTGCTGCAAGACCACCCAGGACGGCTCCTGCGTCTGTGCCGCCCAAGCCAAGTGCTCCTGCGGCGAGCAGACCGCCCTCAACTGCAGCTGCAGCAAGGCTTCCACTGAGAATGCCACTTCCGGCCCCCGCTGCTCTTGCCGTACGTTCATCCCAAGCCCCATCTACAACCAACCAAACAGCAACTAACCATATATCAGGCTCTCGTCCCGCTGGCCAGTGCACCTGTGAGCGCTCCGTCTCCGAGAACCAGTTCTCCGGCGCCGCTTGCCCCTGTGGCAGCCGCCCCGAGGCTTCTTGCACCTGCGAGAAGGCTGCTGGTATTGACTCGGCTCTTGAGGTCGACTTCACCACCGGTGCTTAATTGATTCATTCCACCTTTGTTTGCATTTTTCATCTTTTGGATGCGGCGTCTTGGGATAGGGCATTTTGGATTGGATACGTTGGTGATTGCATAATAATGAGATACGAAATGAGAATTTGAAATTCTTTATTGAGTTTGATTTTTATATTGGCATGGAGTATGGAGTAGAGAAGCATTGAGTAGCAGATACCATTTAAGATGTAGTATTGTACGGAGTAGGATTTATGGGTTTGATAAAACCTTATTCACGGTGTCACTGATCGTTGGAATAGATCTGAGAGGTGTCCGAGCATGCTGTGCATTGTGCTAGATACTTCAGTGGCTAGTCCCAGGTCCGGGGCCACGGGTGGAAATGGATAGGAGAGTCTGGGGTAAAACGTTGAACCAATTGGAACTTGGAGACTTTATATTGCTGAACTATTTGCTTTTTCTTCCAAAGCTTAATTCTTAAAAAAGCATGGAGCTGAATTGAGAAAGTACGATCTGTGACTCTTTAATCCCTTAGTCATCATATTGTTGGGCCTGTGGTTTAGGGGTATAATACCCGCTTCGCATGCGGGGGGTCCCGGGTTCAATTCCCGGCGGGTCCACGTTTTTTCTTCTTTTTTTTTAATGTTCGTAGTGCTTCATTCTTCATACACGGAGTATATAGGTAGATGTTTGGTCGTTCTGTTCTTTGATCACTCAGGAGCATCGTGTTCAAATGTAGCACAAAAGTATACTGGTGCTGGTATCAAACTGATTTATCAAAGTGGCTCGTCTACTGTCCTGCACACGTAGACCCTGATATGGTACCAGCCACACCGGATCAGCATTCCTCCGTAGCCACACACCGCCACAGCGGAACCCGGGATCGACAGCGGAAGTGGTTAGGAAAGACGGAGCGGACAAGTTACGGGGATGGACTCAACCCGACTTCGCATGTTGCTTGGCCTGTTTCTCCTGGGATCGCTAGACTGGGCGCTACTCTGTATGTTGTCGACCGCGCTCAATCGGATACCGCCGGCCCACCCACGACTTGCTGACAAGCTCGCCCAGGACCCATACCACACTCAACCCCTGTTTTCGAAGAAGCTCTATCGAGCCCGCCCGCAATCTTGCTTGACTCGCTGCATGGCCGGTTTCCAATAGTCCAATCACCAACAGAACCGGGACATGATTGTGTGACGTGCGATCGCGATCCGGAATCACAACCCCCCTTAGTATCCCGCGTGGCATGCGAGGGCGAGCCTCGATCGAAACCCCCACCATACCATTAATCATTATCCTTGGTTGTGGTCGTTGATCACAGTCTTCCATATTCGTCATGTCGTCCATGCGAGGTCTGGTCCAGTTCATCGCTGATTTGCGCAATGCACGCGCCAGAGAACTCGAGGAGAAGCGCGTCAATAAGGAGCTGGCCAATATTCGGCAGAAGTTCAAGGCTGGCAATCTCAATGGATACCAGAAGAAGAAATATGTCTGCAAGTTGCTCTACGTTTACATCCAGGGCTATGATGTGGATTTCGGCCACCTCGAGGCTGTGAATCTCATCTCTTCCTCCAAGTATTCCGAGAAGCAGATTGGTTATCTGGCGGTTACCTTGTTTCTGCATGAAGAGCATGAGCTGCTCCACCTGGTCGTGAACAGTATCCGAAAGGATCTGCTTGATCACCATGAATTGAACAACTGCTTGGCGCTGCATGCCGTAGCTAATGTTGGAGGCAAAGAGCTCGGTGAGGCGCTGGGTTCGGAGGTTCACAGGCTTCTCATCTCACCGTAAGTTTGAGACATGCGACTTGGTTTTGCCACAATCCTCTGACAAATTGCAGTACTTCGAAAGCCTTTGTGAAGAAGAAGGCCGCTCTAACACTTCTTCGTCTGTATCGCAAATACCCGGGTATTGTGCGCAATGAGTGGGCCGAAAGAATCATATCAATTATGGACGATCCCGACATGGGTGTCACTCTCTCCGTAACCTCTTTGGTTATGGCGCTCGCTCAGGACTTGCCTGAGGAATACAAGGGCTGTTATGTCAAGGCAGCGCAGCGATTAAAGCGGATTGTCGTGGAGAATGATATCGCCCCAGACTATCTTTACTACCGGGTGCCATGTCCGTGGATCCAAGTGAAGTTTTTGCGCTTGCTGCAATACTATCCTCCATCGCGTATGATTGATGCCCTACATTTGTGATTCAAATACTGACCTTCACCACAGAGGATAGCCACGTCCGTGAGATTATCAGAGAGTCACTTTCCCAAATGATGCAAGCCGCCATGGAAACACCCAAGAACGTGCAGCAAAACAACGCTCAAAATGCAATTCTCTTCGAAGCTATCAACCTCCTCATCCACCTCGACTCCGAGCATACTCTCATGCTGCAAATCTCCGCTCGCCTGGGCAAGTACATTCAGTCCCGCGAGACCAACGTTCGATACCTTGGTTTGGACGCATTGACCCATTTCGCTGCTCGGGCCGAGACTCTTGATCCCATAAAGAAGCATCAGAACATTATTTTGGGCTCGCTTCGGGATCGTGATATCAGTGTGCGTCGCAAAGGATTGGACCTTCTTTACAGTATGTGCGACACGAGTAATGCAGGACCGATTGTCAACGAACTTCTTCGATACCTTCAGACTGCCGACTATGCTATCCGAGAGGAGATGGTGTTGAAGGTGGCTATTCTTACAGAAAAATACGCCGCTGATGCACAGTGGTATATCGACATGACTCTGAAGCTGCTTTCTTTAGCCGGTGAACATGTCAACGATGAAGTATGGCAGCGAGTCATCCAAATTGTGACAAACAATGAAGAGTTGCAGGCATACGCAGCTCACACTCTGCTGGGCTACATGAAGACCGAGTGTCACGAAAGCTTGGTGAAAATCGGATGCTACGTGCTGGGCGAATTTGGACACCTCATTGCCGAAAGCCAGGGCTCAAGTCCCATTGAACAGTTCTTGGCTCTACAGGGCAAGATGTTCTCTAGCTCTGACAACGCACGGGCTATGATCCTGTCGTCATTTGTCAAGTTCGTCAACCTGTTCCCTGAAATCAAGCCCCAGCTGCTGCAAATCTTTCGCCTGTACAGCCATTCACCCGATTCTGAACTGCAGCAGCGAGCATTCGAGTATCTGTCACTTGCCACTCTTCCCACGGACGATCTGCTTCGAACCGTTTGCGACGAGATGCCACCTTTCTCAGAGCGAGCCTCCATTCTGCTCTCTCGATTACACCAAAAGACCGCCGGTGCTAGCGAGAAGAAGACCTGGGTCATTGGCGGCAAAGATGCCAACGCAGATAAGCAGGAAATACTCTTGGCCCAAAACACCGGTCTCAAACGCACATTTACAACAATCGTGCAAGGAACACGAACCGGGTCCAACAACACACCGACCAGCCCCTCCAGTGCAATCAGTGCATCAGGCGACCTGGCAGGTCTGGATTTCAGTGGTCCTTCCGGCCCAGCGCCGAACATGGCCAGTGCGGCTCATCTAACCCCCGAATGGGACATTGGATACAACCGTCTGTTCTTCACTCGGGAGGGTGTTCTGTTTGAAGACGCCCAGATCCAGGTTGGACTGCGCTCAGAGTATCGTGGCCCAATGGGTGTCGTGAAGCTTTACATCACGAACAAATCCACCTACCCGATCGGATCTCTCACCACAACAGTCGACAACCCAGCCTCTCCCCAGCTGAAGATCGACACCAAAAACCTACCCGATCCAACAATCCCAGCTTCTGGACAGACACAGCAGACCCTCTTCTGCACCGCCCACGGCCCCTTCATCAACGCCCCGACTATCCGTATCTCATACCTGGCCGGTGCCCTGCAGGCATACACACTCCAGCTCCCCGTTCTGATGCACCGCTACATGGAGTCGTCATCGCTCTCAGCGGAAGAATTCTTCAAGCGGTGGCGCCAGATCGGCGGTGATCCGCTGGAAGCTCAAAAGACCTTTGGTCTGGCCGGTAAGAACAAGAAAATCAACGACGCCTTCACGCGCAGGATTGTCGAAGGGTTCGCGTTCAAGATTCTCGAAGGCGTGGATCCAAACTCTCACAACCTTGTCGGCTGTGCTGTCTTCCAATTCGAGGGTGGCAAGACCGGTTGTTTGCTGCGCCTGGAACCTAACTACGAGAAGTCGGTATGTATCAAGTGTTTCTTTTCCCCCGTTATTCTTGTTTCTTTTTACTGACATGCATTAGATGTACCGCGTTACAATCCGTGCTACTCAAGAAAACGTTCCACAGTCGTTGGTGCGACAGATGGAGCAGAAGCTGACGCAGGGCATGCGAGCTGATGAATAGGCTGTTCGAGGCTTTTATGTATATCTCTAATTGAATTCCCAAGTCGAATACTAGCGAGCGTCATGAATGCATCTGTACACCGCGGGCTTATTCTTCTCACTGCCAATTTCTCTCCGCACTCGCCAACCATAGTATGGAGTAGTGTTTGGTGGAAGAGTACATTATTTCTGCAAACAAGTACTACTTTTCATGCTGAATGCTGAACGATGAGCCTGCGGATAATTGTCATTCAATTACCAGACCAAGCAGAATCAAGGATAGAATACCCCATATGTACTTTTCCTAATGCAAAGTCATAAGTCATAATACACGTAGACACACTCAAACAACAGCATCCGCCTTAGGCGGCCTATCCCCAAAGATCGTAGTACCAACCCGCACCTGATCGCTACCAAGAGCAATAGCACCCTCGAAATCCGAGCTCATCCCCATACTAAGCTCCAATTCCGCCTCAACCCCATCAAGCCCAAGCTCCTTCACAATCCGATCCCTCGTCTCCCTCAAACAAACAAAATCCTCATTCTCATTCTCAGGCGTCGTATCCCTCGACCGCGCAATCGCACCGATAGTCATCACACCCTGCAGCTTCAACCGCGGACACTGTTCCCGAATATACCGACACAGCCCCGCCGCCGCCTCAGGCTCAATGCCCGCCTTATTCGACTCGCCCGAGGTATTCACCTGCACATAGACGCGCAGTCTATCACCGTCTTCCGCATGCGCCTTGACATCCTCACTCCGCTCCTCCCACCCCTTCGCAAGAAGCTTGGCTTTCTTCTCCGAGTCCACGCTCTCAACTGCCCAGAGCCCGCGCACTTCTCGGGCAAGTGTCACGCACTTGTTACTCTGGAGTCCGCCGATGAAATGCCATTTGATGCTTGCGGGGAGGAGGCGTGATTTCTCCAGGAGTTCTTGCAGGTAGTTTTCGCCGAAATGGACTTGCGAGGCGGGCGCTTGGTGGAGGGCTAGCGCGTCGCTTGCTGGCTTCAGTTTGGAGACTGCGATTAGGCGGACTGGTTTGGGTGTTGGGGCTTGTTGGCTTGCTGTGGTGATGCGGGCGGATACTGCGGTCAGGTTCGCGAGGAGAGCGGAGGCCCGCGCCGGTGTTGCTGCCATGTTGGGTTCCGGTGTTGTCATTGAGTTTACTCGGGGTGGATCTTAGGAAATGAGATATGTTTCCGGTAAAATGGGATAACTCAGGTGGGGAGTGAAGTTTTTTTTTCTTTTCTTCAGTCGGTGGAGATTCACAGAAGTGTGTAACGTGCGAATAGGAAGGTCAATTGTAGCCCACAACCGTTGCGGATCTATAAAAATGAACTTTTGATTACGCCCTCCGGACCTCGGGCAATTCCGATACACTGGCACGTGATCTTCAAACTCCAGCCACTTCACTCAGCCACCCCCGAGCCTCATGGGCTTTCCGTTTGCATTGAAGATCGACGTGAGATCATCGATCTTGTTCTTCTTCCGGCCATCTGACAGTGTCAGCCAGGCTGCCATCTGACTGCAACTCTGGTCAGATTTGTTCCAGATCTCCCAGATGCGCCGGGTTAGAATCCCGGTGTCATTGGCGGCTAGCTACCCTGCACCAATCACGACGGCATACAGCTCCGAGAAAAAGTGCGGAGCGCCGGCAGTGAGCGGATCCCCAGTGGCCCCAGTTCATCTGTCAGGGCTGGGCTTTTCGGCTACTCATGTCGATCAGATTGTCGCCCGTTGTGTTTCAAACTACCTTTGAACCCGCCTTTGTCTCTATTTTTAATTCCTGCAAGGCTGCAGATTTAATGTTCTTTCACCCTGAGTCGGAACAATAGCCGCCTTTTCTTTTTTTAAAAGACAGAAAACAAAATTCCTTTCTACTGGGTTTCGCCTTGGCTGGCTCCAATTGGGCGCCAATGTCATTGTCGACGGAACAGGTTCCTCACCAGCATAGGTTCTGGGTTGACTACATACTATTTGCTAGCTTTGTATTTGTCGCTTCTGGCCTCTAGCTACCTGACCTTTCCACCAAATAATGGGTACCAAGACCGAAAGGCGCCCTCGGCAACGAGAATACGACCTGATTCGGCGTGTCAGATGTAACCTGTAGTGCAAGAACCAGCCAGGTCCACTCGAGCAAGCAAAGCCCGCTAGCTCTGGAAAGGGGATTTTTATTAGAAATAAGAATAAGAATGGTCTCTTTGACGTCAGGACCAATCAATAGCCGTGGTTCCTCTCATAGAACCAGTCTCAATGACTAGGATTCATTCATCATTACTCCACCGATCCGGCCCTTTAAGAGCTTAGGATGCCCTGTCGCCCTCGTGGGGCCCTCACCTCTCTCTCTCTCTTCACTCCCCATTGTCTCTCAGCTGGACTGGGACCTTTACATTGATCTTCATACTGCACCTCATCCAAGACTCATCCGAGACTCAAGAGTTACCAGGCATCATTCCATTTCTATACAATCATACAACCACCTGCACCATCACCTCATCGACTCATTGATTCATATCAGAATTGACTACAATCATACTACCTCGTTACGGTACAAACTCGTTTACTCTGGGCAATTCCCAAAGTCTAAGATTCTATCTCGCCTACCCGCACTATCAACCTCGACATCATGTGTCGCCAATATTACACACTCTACGAGTGGTGCCAGTGCGAAGAAGACGCTGGTAACAGTGTCTGCGCCGGGGTCCGCCGCAGCAGCTGTCCCGGTGTCAGTGTCGAGACTGTGCATATGCATTGTTTCTGCAACTCCCATGCGACTCGTGGGTTCAAGTCAGAGAAGCAGACTCGCAAAGAAGAGACTAAGACGCGCCGCCGATCGCAGGAGTCCTTGGATGAGAAGGCTTCCTTTGGGCGGAGGTGGTATCAGTGGTATCAGTGGAGGGGACTTCGGTCTCGTTAATTGATTTCATGATCCACGGTTGTTTATGGGTTTATGTGTTCATGTTTGATTCTGTTCTTTCTTTCTTGGTTTCTGCGTGTTTTAACAGCTTTGGTGTTTCGGTGGTCTTTTTTCTTTCCTTTTTTGGTCTTTTTCTTTTCTTTTCTGTTTAGGGTAAAATGATTCACATGGGGAATCTCAGGAGTATAAGGGGTTATAAGGAGTATCAGGAATATCAGGACTAGTGGCGGTTTATAGATGTGAATGTTATCGCGTTATCAGATCGCTTCATGCAAACGTTCACTTCGACTTAATTAAATTGACCGTTTATTTTTACTCCGTACTTATACTATTATATTCGAATTACCATTGTTGATTGTTAATTGTTTTATATTATTCTACATTGTTCAAAGGGAAAAGCAAAGAATGCGCGTCACATCAATAAGTATGGATGATCTGCGATCTGCTGACCCCTTGCCCCATTGGCTTTCCCCCACTCCCTTTTGTTTGCTGGTGACTTTCTCTCCTCTCTCCTATTCTCCCTCTCCATTGTTCTTTCGACTTCTCTCTAGCTTCACATTTTACTCTTCTCTCATTCGCTAGTGTCTGCCTTTCGAATAGCTCGTGAATGCGTCGCGATGGATTCAAAGCTGCCCTCTCAGGAGGACCCGCCATTCGGCGTCAATAAACATGAATCACAATGCGAATTAACTGATTCCCTGAGTCGCCTGACTTTGGCGACAGCGACCACCACCCCGTTGCCTCCGTCGCCACGGTCAAATACTCCCTCTCATCTTCCCATTCGACTAGCTCCGGTGCTTCCCCAACCTGCTCCGTCGACCGCTGTACAAGATCAGATACCACCAGTGCCTGCACTTCCCCCAATTCCTCCAATCCCCGCTACCCCTCCTGCGCATGCTATTGCTGGTCCACGATCGAGTTTCGGTGCGCGCCGCAAGTCACTCCCCGCGTTGCAGAAACGTAAATCAGCTGGGTCTCTTCGCTCCGTCTCCGGACCGCATAAGCCTGCTTCGCCAGTTCCGGATCCTTCGCGCCGCACCTCACCCAGCTCCGTGTCTCCGTCGAGTCTAGTTTCGCCCAGCATGTCTACTGCGCGTCTTGCATTCGGCCCGACCCCCGAGCCACCTGCCCCAACTCCGACGTCTGTGGCGGCCGAGCACTTCGCTCAGGAGCTCGCCTTGCACCAATTGAATGATCTCCCCACCAAGACGGCGGTGGTTATGCACGAGGCCTGCTATGGACATCGCTTTGAGCGCCTTGACGCGAAGCAGTCCCATTTAGACAGTATAGTCGAACGGCCTGAGCGCATTCGCGCCTGCACTGCCGGTATCTCTATGGCATACGTTCGTCTCGGTCTTCGATACGCCAATGAGCAATTTGCGCCAAACCCCCATCGTCCCCTGGATGACCAAAATGTGCCTTTCCGCATTCTTCAAACGGCCCGCAGGGTCCACCTGTCTGACACTGCAGTGACAAATGTCCACGGAACCCAATGGATGTCTGAGTTGAAATGGATGACCGAACGCGCCGAGGAGCGCATTCTTCTCGGGACCAGCGAAAACGCACGCCAGCGAACTACCGGAGACGACGGTCTGGCCATGAGCGGCCCTGCTTTGTCTGAGAACGACCTTTACCTCTGTCGCGAGTCTCTCGACGCCTTCGAAGGAGCATTGGGAGGTGTCTGCGATGGAGTGGATGCCGTATTTAACCCTACTTCGGTTGAACGTGTCTTCGTCTGTATTCGACCTCCTGGTCACCACTGTTCGACCAATTTCCCCTCCGGTTTCTGTTGGATCAACAACGTTCATGTCGGAGTCTCCCACGCGGTCACCACCCACGGTCTGACGCATGCTGTCATCCTGGACTTTGATCTTCACCACGGTGATGGATCGCAGGATATAACCTTTGAACATAACTCGAAGATTCTCAACAAGGACCAACAGGCCTTCTACAAGGAGTGGGAGAAGAGAAACAAGAAAAAGTCTTCAGAGCTGGCTGAATTTGAGAAACTCACTCCCTACGACAAAACCCCCATCGGTTACTACAGCGTTCACGACATCAACTCCTTCCCCTGCGAAGGAGGTGACCGCGACAAAATCCTCAACGCCAGTCTCTGCATTGACAACGCTCACAACCAGTCCATCTGGAATGTCCACTTCGAAACCTGGGACAGACCGGATGAGTTCTGGAACCTATACCGCACAAAGTACCTTATCCTGCTCAGCAAGGCTCGTTTATTCCTCCGCCGCCACGCAAAACAACTCGCCGAGGACCACGCCAAGGACCCAGCGACAGGCCCACCACCCAAGGCCGCTATCTTCATCTCTGCTGGATTCGACGCGAGCGAGTGGGAGGGACGTGGCATGCAGCGCCACACCGTGAACGTCCCCACCGAATTCTACGCCAAGTTCACGGCAGACGTGGTGCGCATGGCTCAGGAAGAAGACCTCGGCGTGGACGGACGAGTGATCAGCGTCCTGGAAGGCGGATACAGCGACCGAGCCCTGTCCTCTGGAGTCCTCAGTCATCTCTCAGGCTTGGGCGAAGGAACCGGTCCAGCATTTGACCAACGCCGCCGCCAAACCCCCGCTCCCCCAACAAGCCCTGCTCATGCCTACACCTACAATTCCGACTGGTGGGCACCGAGTAACCTCGCAGAGCTAGAAATAGCAATGGCACCAAAGAAGGGCCGCACCAAGGCGCCCACAACATACCTTGCGCCAACCGAATCCTTCTCCGCAAAGGTCGTCGGAACAGGACAGAACCGCAAGTCATCCGGAGACGCCGAAACCGACCTCCTAATCCCCCCAGTCCCAGAAGTGAGCTGGATCACTGCCACTTCCGAGCTGTGCAAGCAACTCATTCCTGCCCGGCGAACCACCAGCTGCCGCCCCGCCGATCTCACCGGTGAAGCTACGCGCCGCCGCCACCAATACTGCGGCACCCCCTACCCAACCGACCCCGCGGAGGGACGCAAGCTACGCACCCGAAAGCCAAAGTCGGAGACCGCGGCCCCGGCGACCCCTCGCCCTGCTACACCCCGTCGGGTTCGAAAGACTCCGAAAACTACCACTGCCGCCACCACTACCGGCACCGCGGCCGAGCTGTCCCCCTCGGTGGGCGCGACCCGTCGCAAGGCGGGTCGTCCCGCCACCCCTCGCCGGGGAACCTCTCGCTCGGAGTCCCCGGTACCCCCGACTCCGGGGTTGGAGAAGGGGGTACCGCAGCGGCTGATCCTCCTGCAGCCCAAACCAGAGGGCCAGGCCCAACGGCCCTCTGGGGGGTCCAAGTCGCCGCGGTCGGGGAAGAAGAAGGGGAAGTCGGTGGGGGATCCCCCGTGTTGAAGGCGGAGGCCGGGGGTGAGAAGATGGGGGGTGAGTGAGAAGGAGGTCAGGAAGAGGGAGGGGGCCGGGGGGGCCTTTTTATTTCTTAGTTTTTTTTTATTTTTTGTTTTTATTGAGATACCCCTGTACGATGTACAATGCAGTTTCTTTGCTTTCTCACTTTACTTGTGCCTCATTTGTAGTTGACTGTATTCCTACTTTCACCTGTCTCTCGGATGAGTTGAGATCTGTAAAGTGATTGAGGGCTTTCAGCATTTCATCTAGGTTTGATATGTCTTCGGACTCGATTGGACTTGTAGGCAGATCTGTGAAACTACTACGATTAGTTTTGCTCTCTTGTAAATTTAGCTAATACACTGTGTAATCTCACCCTCTCTCTTCAATTTCTTCCCTCAACTCCTCTATCTTGCACTCATCGCCCCCTTTCCTATACTCTGAACCCTACCGACTACTACGCCCTGGTCTTCATCCCGACCTACTTCCCCTTCCATTTGTAGGAGATGCTGCTCGATCCGACGTCCAGGTTGTTCTGTGTGAACAGGAATGACCATTTTATAGGAATTCCTACCATGGGAGCCAATAGTCGAACTCAAAAGGCCCTGAGCCTAAGCTGCCAGTCAATGGCCGATCCACCCAGCTGGCCGACAATCCTGGGATTGGGTCCTTAATATTGTCAATAAGCTTCTACACTTTTCTAGTAGTAATTCGGCCTGTACCCCGGGGCCTTCGGTAGGCGGATCCATGCCATGTTTCACAAGGGCAATTGAATCAGGGAACGCAGCTACAATGAGATCCTAGCCTCAAAAATTACTGCTGCTATTATGTACGGTACGTAAGGTTCTACCTAGGTATATTCTAGTCGCTCCGAGTAATAGTAAATGGCCCACAATGAGCCAGCACAGCCAGTCTGGGGGTTTAAAAATTTAAAAGGAATGTCTACAGATATAGACCGTCAAGAAGGTAAGAGGGTAATATACATATACAGCAGCGCCCCGGATACCACCCAAATGACGTCTCAAGCGGCCCGAGGACTCAATATTCTAGACTTGCTCAGTGGCTTTCGCGAGAATGGTGGTCGTAGTTGTCGTGGTCGTGGTCAAAGTGGCCGCAGCACATGTGGGCTCGCGGGTAGCAGAAGACACGGTAACAGTGGTCTTAACGGTCACAGTCTTGGTAAGTCCGCAGGTGGATTCGGCATCAGCAGACACAGCTGTAGAAGGTCCAGCCATCGAGTCATCACCAGATACAATCTGAGCTGAATCCAGGTTAGAAACGGGGCTAATAGTAGCGGTGTTTGCAGAAGCCTCGGTTGTCTGGGAAGATGTTGACGACAAAGTGCTTGTTCCACGGATGAAGGGCGTACTAGTGGCACTTGAATCAAAAGTCACTGTTTTCGAGCGAGAAACGATGGAGCTTGACTGAACAGCGGAGCTTGGCTGCACATTAGCGCTAGATGAGGCATAGTTTGTCACAGCTGGAGCTGACCAGCCAGTAGTTGGAGCAACACTCAGACCTGACGCAGTAACGTTCGGCAATGCTGCAATTGGATACGGAACTGGTCCGGGCATGGTGTAGTTGACGATATAATCACGGTACATGTAGAACAGGATACCGGGCTCATATCCATCGTATACTCCAGGAATTTTGACCAATGGACCCGGGGTAGCGATGCTATCACTTTCAACCTCGATCTGAGCACAGTTGAAGTAAAGCTCTGCGCCACCCCATTATCCAGCGCCGTGGAGTGCAATCTGTTCGATTCTCACAAGGTATTGACCAGCTGGGATCTCGTTGGGTAGTTGGAAGGTAAAGTTTCCGATATTATTCGCACCCCAAGTAATTCCATCGCCGCTGGAAAAGCTTTTCGGACCGAGTTTGTAAATCTTGAACCAATCGCCAGATCCGTCATATCCACGGACATCACCGGGGGCCTTGGACATGTAAACCTGAAGAGGACCGGGGTGCCCAATGAGAGCGTTGAAGTCGGTACCAAAGCCGATCGTTTCACCAGCCTTGACTTTGTATACACCAGTCTTGCTGGCATAGTCCATGGAACCGGTGTTGCAGCGGAGATCGTCTGATGAGTATCCACCCTTGTAAGGCATATAACCCTGGGTGTCCTCACGGACGTACTCGAAGTATCCGGTGAAGTTACCATCGGCGATGAAGTGAGGGAAGAAGTAGTGAGCGGATGCATGGGGAATAGCCGCCAGGGCTGCCCCAACAAGAAATGCAAAATTCTTCATAATGAGCGGGAATTTCAATGAAAGAGAGTGACTGTAAGAATCGCAAAATGAATGGAGTGTGTAATTACCACCAGGGTAAAGCAAAAGAAGAAGAAGAGGAAGAAGAAGCTGAATTGAAGAAGAGAAATCTTCCAACTCTGAGCCCCGGGATCTTATATAGCTTATCGTCTCACTAAAACAATCAACGAGACCCTTTGACAGCAGATGGATCAAACTTCTTCGGCAAATGTGGTGGTGTGTCGAATAGTTTATTCGGGACAAGTCCCGTTGTTTTGCTTGGCGGTTTCAAGGAGGTGGAACTGAATCTCGAGCAGCCGCCCACTATCTGTCATATTTCGGCATATTTCTGCATATTTTTGCATACCATGGCATATTGCGGAGTATGGCATATTGTGCATAGTAAGGGGCTTGCTCAACTCGGACCCTCCCGAGTCCCAGGCCCACCAGTTTTCAGCCCTGGGGGTTTCGAAGATGTTGAGTTTCAAAGTGCATATTCTTTAGACATGAATCAGGGGTCCTGGAAAATTGAGTAGAATTAGAGTGGTATACTCCGCCAATCAGTGACCACGCAACAACATCACAATACGGAGTACTTTGAACGGTTTCACACATTGCAAGCGAGCCGCGTCGGCCCCGCTGGATGCTCACAGTGCAGGATCAGCGTTGTCAGAGACTACGGAGTATTTAGCCGACAAACCTTGGAAGAACAAGGCTGAACGTACCCACCTATACTCCGTACTCCGTACTCCGTAAGGGATGTGTCCACACCGGGCCTGCGTTTAACCCAGCTTCATCGGAAAATTGCCCCAGGTTGGACAAAAGGCTTCTCTGTTGACCTGAATTGATCCCAATAACTCCATAAGAGAAAGGATCATTGGCATCATACGAGTTAGATCTTCACCAGGCCCGTCATTTCAACCGGATTGCTTTGTGTTTAGTCGTACTATATGTCTCAGGCAGGCTTTACGGAGTGTCATAGGAATTGTCGATCGTTTCCTCGCATGGATCAGTGCCAATATTTATTGTCACAGGTGAAGGTAGTCTGAGGATGAACGTGAACTTTGAGCCTGACCAAGATTGAGATCGATATCTTTTCACCGACTGTACCCAGGTGTCTTTCATCACTGCCTCCACGGTCAATATGACACTTATCCATGGATCGTCTTTCTGGTAGATCTTGCTGCGGCAGAATATATTGCATCAGCCTCGCGTACGGAGGACAAGCAATTCCCGAAGTCTATCTTTTCAATTCGAGAGTCTGAGCTAAGCTGTCCATGAAAGTGTAAGGGGTGTGTAATATAGGCTTGTTCTCGGGAATATCTGGGGGTATAAGCAACATTGGGCCATAGATGTAGATCCATGTAGATGCAAAATGGTGAAAGCACGATGGTTTATAAATATTGTTCACGGCCGGTTTTAGTATCAACTGGGCCTGTGGTTTAGGGGTATAATACCCGCTTCGCATGCGGGGGGTCCCGGGTTCAATTCCCGGCGGGTCCACGTTTTTTTCCTTATTTTTGTTGTTTTTATCTGGACCCTTTATGCGGGATTGAAGAGGATGGTATTGTGTAAAGTCTCTCTGTTTTTGCATGAAGAGTTAGGGAAATCTATCAAATGAACATCGAGAATAGCCCCATCAACCAAGGCTCCCCCTACTTCGCAGTCACCCGGGCATTATGATATCTGGATTAAACCGTGAAGGGTGGGAAGCCTGTATGATTATTATCATATAAAAGTAAGAGGAGAGAATTTGCAAGGCATTCACCTAGGCACATACCTCCTAAGCTCCGAACCAACATTCCAATGTAGCTTGCAGGTGTGCGTCGAAACCCATTTAGGTACAGAGCTGTAACAATACGTTTGTCAGCTACCTGAATTCACATAGCCGTGCAACTTGCTCTTAGAAGGGAATACTCACACTAGAACATTTACTATACTATGCATTCCATATCTGTTAGTTACTTCTGAATGTATGGGGATGGACCTCCGGCTCAGAAGAAGAAACTCACATCCTGTTCACATCGCGACGGCGTCGAAACACACTGGTGGTAATTTTTATCACAAGAAGTTTGACAACTGTCACGTTTATCCAGCATAGTTCCCGCAGCCGAGTTGGGTGAAGCTGCCATCGCAACGCTGATGATAAAGGCGCCGAGGAAAATGAAGGGCTGCATGGTGTGATTATTGAGACTGTGTTAAAGGATGGCGAAGGTGAATCAATTTCATGATTGGGAAGGGAGACTTGCTCTCAGCATTTATATCTTGAAATCAGATACCTGGATAATCCTGGGAAGGAAAGGATATTCGATCTGAAACCCAAATTGCGGAGAGTACGGAGTAGATCTGTGCCAGTCCACTTTTGTGGCTGGCTGGTTCTCGATCTACACTGGTGATGATATGAAAGGAGTACACATGGCAGGGAATGTCCTCGACTTTAGTCCAATTATGCTAGTGACGGTGTGGAATTTACCGTATAGACTCTTGTAGGGAGTGCACGTAAGATTCAGCGGTGAGATCTATAATGTCCCGATAGTGTGGTCATGCACGAACTATCATTTGACTGCATGGTCCCGCAGCCAAAAGGGCCATTCAACAAGTACGGAGTAACTTGGCAAGTAGTCCACGGGTACTCCGTATTATGGAGATCTTTGCCGGTTACTAACTTCAGTGGAATCAAAATCGCACTGGATCGCCCTGGATCGCCCTGGATCGCCCTGGATGATTACCAGGACACCTGGACACCCTAATAGTTCATGGAATAACTGATAATTTACTAATAGCTCTGCTAGTTAGAAGGCTGATTGATGGATCATAGCGGGATAACAAATGACGGTTTCTAAGAGATGGGTTTGAAAAGACCCGTGGGCGGGATACAAGCTCTTCGACAACATTGATCAAGTTAGCTGACGAGAGAGCCTCAAGGGGATACACAAAAGAGTTTCGAATGTATACATAAAACGATATGTGAAAGCTCTAGAGATTTCTCCTTCGCTTATGGTTCGGTATGTCCACGGTTGCCTTAGTGTTTCCATATTTACAAGAGGCCACCGATATTCGTTCGAAGAGCCTCGAATCCACCTGGACGCTTCAAAAGTTTATGCTGGACTAGGACTGCCCCCAGTAGCCATAGCGGCGGGCTTGACACGGATGATCTCGAAACCACCCTCATCCCTATCCTCACCCTTCTGAGGCCAAAGAATCTGTCGTGTTATAATGGCCCGAACCATCATATAACACACGAAAAAGTACATCAACAGCAAAGGGAGAATCGCCACACACCCAATGATATTGATGGGTTTGCAGGAAAATGCTTTGCCGATAGCAAACGTGGCGGTGATCAGAGCGGTGTTGGGGAAGATGAACGAGAACCAGGTCATTGAGAAGACCATTCGCCCATGCCCGATGGCCGACCAATGCGCCGCACTGGCGATGATGAAGAAGAATATCGCCAATCTGATACGGAGTTAGTAAATTGACATCTGAGATAGTCCTTAGACAAAATAAATGGTATACATACCCCCACAGCCAAAGGCAAGAGAAATCCGCCACGATTTTCAATACATCCGCAGCCAGCGCCCCATTGCCCATGAAATCCGCCGGAAAAGACCTCTTCGCCTCAGCGGCCATATTGACCAACCCCGCAACGGTAAACCCACTCGGTCCCACAGACACAAACATACCAGGGCGGAGGTTCTCCCGTGGCAACTTCTGTGTCATCAGTCGATAGATGAAGGCCGAGTACACCATCAACGAAACCAAGAACCCGACACCCTGAATAGTCGTCCCGCCAATAATGACAGGCAGCGAATCTGACGGGTCAAGCTTTGCACTGAGAATACCGGCGTGTGGACCGATGATCAGCATCGGATACGCAGGGAAGATCCAGATGGGCGTCATTTGGGCGATGGTGAATGTCTGCGTTGACCAGAGGAGTAGGTAGATACCCGCGGAGAACATGACGGCGAGAGCGGCGTCGATCCAGAAGAGGATGCAGACTGCGCGCATCAGCCATGGACCTGTGTTCTCGGGTCCGTATTGGGAGATGTTGATTAGGATTGTGCCGAAAGAGACGATGGACGCGGGCACGAAGAGTGACTCTGTCGGATGCATGAATGACGCTTTGAATGTATAGGGATAATAATAGAATCGAACAAGCAGAAGGGCCCAGATGATGAGATACGCTGCAATATTAATTAAGAAGACGACGATCCCGATCGTTTCCAATCCTCTGAACTTGAACGGGACTGCATGCAAGTCAACACCCACTTCGAAAAAAAAAGAATCGTTAAACGAACTCACCTTGATATATAACATTAGCCAAACCGCCAGTTGCCATAGTCAATGTGAAGTACGCCCATGTAACATGGCGAATACGTTTCTTCCAACTCATCTCGCCAGAGACCGTGCGTTTAAGCCCAAACAGCCCGAGGCCATTATGTTCCTGGCAAGCGTGATCTTTCACTTTTTCAGATTTCACAGTGCCCCGCGTCGAAGCTCTATGGAGAGCAGCTTCCAGTGCACTGGAGTGAGCATCGCGGAGTTGACCAGGGGAAGTTCCTTCATCGCCACCGAGAATGGAGAGCGCACGCTCTGCGTCTTCGATGGTCGGCGTTCGATATCCATCTTCGCCTGGACTTCGCATGTGCCGCGGCAGATCTTCTTCCATGGTCATTGCCTGGCAGCGCGGTTTTGAGATCGCGGCGAGAGCCGGCTTGTGTGGTTGGCCGGTTGCGGCGTTCTACTGTATTGGGCCTGTAGATAAGGCTGCATGGGCGACGGTAGAATATTGTCGGGCGGGGGAAAATCCGATGCAGAAAAGAAAGTTAATTGCAAAGCGGACTTGGGCTTTAGGCAGTCAGCCCTGTTGAGGAGCGAAGTCCAGAAAGATGACGGCTTTGGCGGGGATCGACGGTCATTAATGTGGGGACTGGAAGTTCATAGTCACAATCTACCTGAAATGACCGTGGATTATAATGCAAAGAGCCAATTCCCAATCGTCATGGTTTAATTAATGTAGGGCGGGGGTCTGTGTGTATGAAAAAATCCTATAGCGTTATCAAAAGCCAGTGATCGTCTAGAGACTAACGAGATGAGGTTGATTTGGCTATGTCATTCCAAAGTTGCCAAGTTCTCCTCCGGAACTCGGCATGTAGCCCCCACTAGCCGAATACAAATACATTGAACTACATTTATTCCAGTCGTCAGCTTTGGAAATAAATGTACGATCGATTGGAATATACTCCAAGTACTGTAGTAAAGGAAATGGGGATTGTACCTGAATTACCTCGTTCTTAAGTAACCCGGTGTAATTCCAAGGTTGCGATCGAACTTATGCATAAATAGTCAAACCACGTAATCTGCAATTGAAGATCTGCTATGAGTTCTTTTCGGTATGCGATATTGAGCTCCCCTGTCATGTACAAGGCGAGAAGCCTTGCATGCCGCGGGACGATCTGTGGAATGCAATGTGCTCCATACTTTACTATGCAAGTTGGGGACTATCATCTCCATCAGTAAGCATTGCATGATGTGGCCCCATCCGTGGCTTTTGCTGACGTCGAAGGCTGACAGGTCCCTCATTCTACAATTATATACTCTGTAGTTCCCACTATCAAAGTAGATTTAAGATTTAAGGTTATTATATTCGGCCTCTGGGACTTGGGATGAACTACCAAGTTAGTACGGAGTACTCCGTACTTCACCAATCAAGCGCATACATATTTGACCAATTGATGACATGGCTTCAGCAAAAGAAGCGATCTGTGTATTGGAGTTTACCTACCAATCTACTAATCTTCGAAAGATGAAGCTCTAACATGCAGAGACTGGGATGATGGTATAGTGAGTAATGTCAAACACATCGTTACAATGCTGTGTATTATACACCGCGATAATATCCAGATAGACTCAAAAATACAGTAAATTACATTCAACCCAAGCCTGGGCAACATCTCATGAAGCTCCCGAGGTCGTACAACCGAGGTATCTTTTGGTCTCCACTACTCTTCACAGCTAGCCTGCGAACACAAGCAGCTTGACCATTTCATTCAGACTTGGTTTTGATACTCTTTTTCAGATAATATGCCAGGAGCAACAGACGTTCGTAGATCGGTGCTCATTACGGGGTAAGTCTCCTGTGACCATCAGTCGGACACAGCTGATTCCCACGCAGATGTTCCCCCGGTGGCATCGGAAACTCGCTCGCACGCGAGTTCAACCGCAATGGACTGCGGGTACTAGCTACTGCGCGCGATGCTGCGACAATCTCTGACCTTGCAGATCTCGGCATTGAAACCCTGAGTCTTACAGTGGACGATCCGGAGAACGTGAAAGCGTGCTTTGCGGATGTGGAAAAGAGACTCGGGGACAAGGGTCTTGATTATCTCGTGAACAATGCGTGAGTGCCTCCGCAACAGCCCCAGAGGCTGGATACAGGCGAGATTTACTAACCGAGAATAGTGGCCGGAGTATGTATACTCTCTTGTGATCGATCATTGAAATACTCCGTACTGACCTATGCAGATTACACCGTTCCGGCCATGGAGGTCGAGCTCTCCGAGGTCCGTCAGACCTTCGAGACCAACCTTTTCGCTGTTATCACGATGTGCCAGACCTTCCTGCCCTTGCTGATCAAAGCAAAAGGCACGATTGTCCAGCTTGGTTCAGTGGCCGGAGTGAGTTTGCAGTTAGAACCCGCGCCTTCGAAGCTAGAGCTAACCATATAGATCATCCCTTACGTCTTCGGGTCTGTCTACAATGCGTCCAAAGCAGCACTGCACTCCTTCAGTGACACTCTACGCGTGGAGCTGGCTCCATTTGGGTTCGTTTCATCCCCCCTTCCCCCCTACTACCCGACATGAATTTGGCTTGCTGACCGAGACCAGCGTCCATGTCACTACGATCGTCACCGGCGGTGTTCAGTCGCGCATCGCGCGCACTGACCGTACCCTCAAGCCTGGTTCCTTGTATACTCCGATTGAAGAGGAGTATCTGACTCGTGTAAAGCACAGCCAGCACAACGCGATGCCTCATGAGACTTACGCCCGCAGTGTGGTTTCGCAGGTGCTGTATGGTTCGGCACCCTGGCGGTGGCTATGGCCATGGGCTCGAGGTCACCAGTCGTGGATTTGGGAGGGACGTGCCAGTTGGGTGATTTGGCTGTTGTCGGGGGGCTGGGCATGGTCGGGATTGTTTGGTCGGGTCATGACTAAAATGTTCAAACTATGGAAGATCAAAAATGCCTCAGGCAAATAAGGGGGAGAGAGGTGCTTGGCAGGGTTGTTTCTGAGTGGGAAAATGAACCGCGACGAGGTAGATCCGAGTCAGCAAGCAGTAATCCGAGGTAGCACTTATCACCAAGACTTGTAGCAAGAGAGAAGTGCCGTCGATGGGAGCCAGAGGCTTCCGATGATATTCGCGCAGGGCCCGAGTGGACGCTGACATAAGGCGAATGGAGGGCTGTGGTTGGTCCAAGCACCCGGTTTTACCGCGACGCAATGTCATCCCGAGAAGAGCAGCCGTGAAAAAGAAAGCTGTTCTTCCCGATCTCTACCAATCTCAACCTCAAGGGCTTTGATCTCCACGCCCCTACCTCTCCTCTCTCCTCTTTTAATACATCATGTTCAAGCTCGCTCGTGGTCGCCCCGTTGCCGCGGCCTTCAAGGCTGCGACGGTGAGTTTGAGTACCGTGAACCGGGCCGCGCCCGGTTGATGTGAATATTGACTGATTTTGGCGTATAGCAACCCTCCGTTCAGAGCCGCCTTGCTGTCCAGAAGCGTAACCTTTCCATTCACGAGTACCTCTCCGCACGTCTCCTCAAGTCGGTACGTGGATCGCGTTTCCCCTTCGGTCGCCCTGAGAAAGGAAGAAGAGGAAAAAAAAAACTTGAACATCGGTCACTGATCAACAATATAGTACGGCGTCGGTGTCCCCAAGGGAGAGGTCGCCAACACTGCTGAAGAGGCCGAGGCTATTGCCAAGTCTATCGGTAATTCTTACCTGAAAAACCTCCCCCTTCCAATGCGATTGCTGAACAGGAAATGCAGGTGGTGATGACCTGGTCATCAAGGCCCAGGTTCTCGCCGGTGGCCGTGGTAAGGGTTCTTTCGACAACGGTCTGAAGGGTGGTGTCCGCGTCATCTACTCGTGAGTACCGCAGCCAAACGAACGCGCGATTCCAAACTGATCCTCCCCCCAGTCCTACCGAGGCCAAGATGTTCGCTGGCCAGATGATCGGTCACAAGCTCGTCACCAAGCAGACTGGCGCCGGTGGTCGCATCTGTAACTCCGTCTACATTTGTGAGCGCAAGTTCGCCCGCCGCGAATTCTACCTCGCTGTTCTCCTCGACCGCACTACCCGTGGCCCCGTGATCGTCGCCTCCTCCCAGGGTGGTATGGATATCGAGGCTGTTGCCAAGGAGAACCCCGAGGCTATCATCACTACCCCCATTGACATCCACACCGGTGTCACTGACGATATCGCCCGCACCATCGCTACCGACCTCGGCTTCTCTCCCCAGTGCATTGAGGAGGCCAAGTCCACCATCCAGAACCTGTACAAGTGCTTCATGGAGCGCGATGCTACCCAGCTCGAGATCAACCCCCTGTCCGAGACCTCCGACCACCAGGTTCTGGCTATGGACGCCAAGCTTGGTTTCGATGACAACGCTGAGTTCCGTCAGAAGGAGGCTTTCTCGTGGCGCGACGTGTCCCAGGAGGACGCCGAGGAGGTCAAGGCTGCTGAGTAGGTTCTTCCGATTGGATTGGATTTGACAGCAATGAGTACTGACATAATTTCTTAGGCACGGTCTTAACTTCATCAAGCTCGATGGTGACATTGGCTGCCTCGGTAAGAGCCCTCGATCCACACGGCTTATCGCAATGCTAACACTCTCCCAGTCAACGGTGCCGGTCTCGCCATGGCCACCATGGACATCATCAAGCTGAACGGCGGTTCCCCCGCTAACTTCCTCGACGTCGGCGGTGGTGCCACCCCCCAGGCCATCAAGAGCGCCTTCGAGCTGATCACCAGCGACCCCAAGGTCTCTGCCGTCTTCGTCAACATCTTCGGTGGTATCGTCCGCTGTGACGCCATCGCCCAGGGTCTCATCAACGTCGTCCAGGAGATGAACCTGCGCACCCCCATCATCGCCCGTCTGCAGGGTACCAACATGGAGCAGGCCCACAAGCTCATCAACGAGTCCGGCCTGAAGATCTTCTCCATCGAGGACCTCCAGACCGCCGCCGAGAAGTCCGTCCAGTTCTCCAAGGTCGTCAAGATGGCCCGCGACATCGACGTCGGTGTCGAGTTCACCCTGGGTATCTAAGTCATCTAATATAGAGCATTTTCTTTGTTTGAGGCGAACCGAATCGAACCGCCGCAGTGACATCTAAACTTGATGCTTTTGCGCCTGTTCCTCTGTGTCATTTACTTTTCTTTTTGTCACTGTATTCTTGAGTGTTTCTATGACCTATGTCAGTTCCTAATCGGAAGGGATGTGTGAGTTTGATCTCTTTTTGTATGTGTAGTCCAATGTACTAGACTTTCACTTCTCACCGTGAGTTATTCAGTAGTCTTTCACGTAGCATTCAAAGTACTAAGAGCTTGAAGGTAAGATTTGACCTTGGGATGATGTTTGATATAGACCCGCTATTCCAAACAACTTCTACAATTGCATACTTCCCCTCAATGGACTTATCATTGTTTCGTACACACAATTGCGAATTAAGAAAGAATCTATTGACACAATCATCGCCGCTGTGGACTGTGATGCTACTTCCCTTTTCATCATCAAGTGACACGGTCCAGATCTCAACATCCTCTCTTTGATCATCAAAAGGAGATCTGGCCACTCAACACATTCAGCATCCTTTGTTTGATATGAGACAGGCAAGAGAGTTGAAGCTATATATGAAGTAGCTCCTCTGACAGCCATCATCCTGGAATCACGCTCTTCTCCTCAAGCGGACCTGCCACAACCCGCTCTCCTTCTAATGTTATATATCAACCCACTTCTCTATGTCCTTCATCTCTCCTCCAACTCTCCTTCAACTGATATGCTACTTCTCCCATGCTTGGGCTTAGTTCCCAATGAGGTCACCAAGGGTCTATATACCACGCAGTCCTGACCTCGTGGAAGACACCCGGCCCTTCAACACAAACAGGGCCACGGCTCAATCTATCTCCATCACCTTACAACTGATCGGGCTTGTTTCATTTTGACTCGCATCCTCCGCTTTTTCTTTTCTTTTCTATATATACAAACAAGTTCATATGCGACATCGGCAAGAACAATCTCGTCTCCTTTCGCCTTTTCCAAGAACATCTCACTTGAGTATCAGCGAGCAGCCACAAGATGTTCTCGACTATCCCATGCCTAGATGTTTTTGGGTGTCTTGGACATGATGATGAAACGAGTGCGGGACTACGAATCCCAATGGATGAGCGAGAACCTTCAGAGATCCCAGTGCCATCTCTTACCAAAGAGATGATCGTCTCACTCGTCAAATCATTTCTGAGACCTTTCGACCATTCAACTGCTATTTGGTGCTACTTTTTGATCTTTACATTGCAAAATCGACTCCGGCTTCTCATGCTTTCTACTCCATCAAATCCATGAATCTTGCCAGTGCGCCATCCAAGCGCCACAGCTCTTGGAAAACGGAGTCATCTGACGTTGACGTTGACGAGAGATTCAAGATCGAATTTGAGGAAATTCGGCTGAAAATGGCATCGACAACCAACACCACGGACTCACCCAATCCAACCCAAAAAGAGGACAAAGAAAAATTTACGGCGGCAATATTTTTCATCTGAGCATCTATCCAAGCATTTTGATGTGCTCATGACTTTCCTGAGACGATCCAAGACTTTCATGTTGTTCCAAGTGATCTCATCTACTTGCTTTTGCTTTGACTCTGCTCTCACTACACTCTGACTCGGGGATGCTTCATCGGTATCCAGTGTTTCAACGCCACATTCGATGGAAGTGGTCAACTCGTGATTGATCAGGTAAGAGAGACCTGTCCCTATCCTCATATTCTGTTTACAGATTGACAAATCCAGAGCTTGGTCTAACGTTTTTCTTGTATAGATATATACACCGCAAACGGTTGCATCAGGCCAGTACGAGGGGAGTGTGCTCCTATATACTATGAGCATAATTCCAGGAATGAACGAAGGTGAAGCATGACTGGTAAGTGGTTACCTAACAGCTCAACGTGCTCTCTGAGAGTAAAATGGTGGTTTGGGAACCAATCCGCTGACGAGGTTGTCAGACCTCAGCTATGATTCCTATGATAGTGATGCCTTCCACGCCAAACGAATGAAACGCCGTTGCACACTTTATATAACATATAAGTGATTTCAAAATCAGAGATACCTTGTCCGCCGCAGCGAGGGTATACACCCGCAGGATCAGGGTCTATGGCTTTGTGGGTTGTTGAGTAGTCCGCGGGAATTACTTGATGAAGCCAAACTATCCTGGATTTCATGCTCGGGTTCTATCAGACTTGCTCATCAAAGCTTGGAAGATACCCTCATCATGATTGCGCTTGTTGGAATGACTTGGAAGCATTTTGACGCCATTACCACTGACCTCAATGTTGCACGGGAGAAGAACAGACAATGGGCTCGAGGATTTCTACTCTAATACCTCGTCAGAGTGGCGCTTCTGTCACATATAGAAGCACACACGGTTACGCGGCTTGCGACCCCCCACTTCGAACTCACCTCAAGAGCCAACCCTGGCACAGGATCATGAAGATATCTCGTGGGTTGCCAAAGAAGGATTGAATGGGCGCTTCAATTTGCACAACAGCGTGCATCCTTTGCATTGGAACTTAGGAGGCATTTCCATTCTGAGAACAATACCGAGAACAAAACAGAGAAACTGGCACGCTTTCCATGCCCTCGAAAGGACGACTTGGGGTGCCAGAAAACATACGAATCGAAAGGCTCTGCTAAGCGTCATGCCAGAACAGAGCATGACAACCATATCTACCACACCCTTTACAGATAAAGGATGTACCGCGTCCTATACTTGGGACTAGTATTGTCCGAAATGTGCAAAGAGTCCATGGAAATGCAGAGAATCTTGAGACTTACCAAGGATATACACGGATCTTTTTGACACAATTGCTCGACATGATCCCCACCCTGTCCCAGCCAAGAAATGACTGGTATTCAGACCTTGTTCACCCGCCACGGTCACATCAAGATACACTAGTGCCGATTTCATCTTTCAAGTACCGTTTCCCGAAACCTTTAAAGCATTTATGGTCACCCCATGCCAGGATCAGTGGTTTACTGTCTTCATCAAGCACCCAATTTGCCTAGGATCTGCTGAGATGTTCACTTGTGCCACCTGGGCAAAGGCTGCGAAGACAGTGACAATATTGCCTGTCAAGTGGGTTTGAAGGAGGAGTTACCCGTACGCTGAATAAACAGATTGGACAAAATAATCCTCTCGTCATGTCAAGATCAGAGAGGTAAAAACACACACAAACCACTGAAATTACCATAACGACAAATGGATGTGCCAATTGAAACCAAAATGGCTGACAAAAGAAAGAGAATAGGAGACAAGATTTAGCCATGGTAAATACAACAAGGTTGAGCAAGATACAATGGCCTTACTTCAGGCTCATCATGAGTGACTTTGAACTCCACTTTCATGATTCTGCCATCTCCAGAATTGGCGATTCTATGACAACCGACCTTCTCTGAGAAAGTTTCCCAAGCACTTTGCAGGGACACTGTCGCTGCTTCCGATTGCCTATCATTAGGAAGTCGCACCCTCACATCAATTGCATCACCTATTTGTGCTCAATTTTGAGCTTCCTGTTCAGCCTGAACAAACGCACATCATGGAAAACCTCCGATTGACAGCGAGGATTACACTAAATTATAAGATTCAATCTACCTATGGATACGATCTCAAATCCACAAGAATCAACAGCAGAAGCCTCCGAATACGCTCACCTTGGCAAAATTCGATTTCTTCCCGGTACAATTGAAGACTCACAGCACTCCTGACAAAGTGCACCACTGACTTGCAGAAGAAGGCTTGGGCCTGGCTCTTATATAATTTCCTTATTCGGACGAAGAAAGGCAAGCCCGGTGTCTTTGAGTCTCAAGTGAGTTGGAGTCCCATCCCTTACCGTACGAAGCTCATTTTCACATAGGTCAAATCCGGGCGTCAGTCATACAACGAACCCGAACCGGAAGAAATGTCCCTTGGATGCGCCTATAGCGCGATGAGTGCCCATTTAGGCAAGAGCACTGCGAGAGATGAAGAAGCAGGACTAGAGGAATCGAACGTCGAACAGCAACCGGTGGTGACGCGAAGATATGGCTTATTGACAGCGGATCTGAGCGCACGATGACTCAATTCTTCAGTGATTTCTATACCTATGGGCCATCCGACTTCGAACTCAATGCTTTCATTCAACCTACTGCGAATCATGGGGCAAGATCTCACAGTCTAGTGGAGATTCTGGACTCTTAAGTACACAAATCAATACTTTTTTACGGAGTAGTAGGGAGATTAGGGAATATGACTAGTACGTCAAGATGTGTCGGACAGTAGGTGCACTTTGCAAGATTAGAGTTGCGCCCACTTTCGGGAAAGAGCCGATTGGTTCAGCTCAGCCACAGACTCACGGGAACTTATCGGCTTATCGGCTTATCGGCTTATCAACTTGAAGTATCACCGGGCGTTCCTGGAGGTCCATGATTGCACTTCAAATATCAGACCACTATTGGAACCTTGGAATAGTCTGCGATACCCTTTTCAGCCGGACAGAAACTAAGGGTTGTGAGATTCAATACTTTTCCACAGTTGCGTGTCCCTGACATCTCCACAACGCCATTTGACTCAACCCACAGCCACCCAGTCCCCACTTGAATGACCATGGATCCCGACGCAGCCCAACGTGTCGTGGAAGGATTCGCATCCCTCAAAGATGATCGAAGTCGCGAAACCACGTAAGTCATATATGGCCTACATATTCTCATAAGTTGTTTGGCCAGTCACTAACTGGGGAGCAGATTGCAGGGAATCTTGAGATTGCTCACCCCACGCGAGATTCGAGGCATCAATCCCGGTACCCGCGATGTAACTTCTCGGCTTGACATACTAGGCTGTCTTCCTCTAGAGCTTGCGTGTTATGTCGCCAAGTATCTCGACCCAGCCGACGTTTTTAGTCTCCGAAGGGTATGTCAGAGAAGGAAGACTCGGTCTCAGCCATACTGACTATGCTCAGGTGTCCAAACGCTGGAAAGACCTCTTTACGCAGAAAGATATCCTTTTCTACTGTGCGAGGATAATATCCCCAAAGCCGTGTTTTGGACTACCCCCAGCCCAGCTTGAGGGCATAATCAAAAGACAAGCGCGTTTCGAAATAGGTCAGCCGGTGATCACGGCTACCCTGAAGGATCTTAGCTGGAGCCCACAAGATCGGGAAGATGAGGCTATTTTCTCGTACTACGATGTATGCAACGGAAAACTTGCATATCTTCAACACGACACAACATACTCCGTGCTATGTGTGAACTTATGGACTGGTGAGAGAGAAGTGTTTACTATTGAGGAATCACAGAGGGCGTCTCGCTTAACTATTCACTTGTCAGCACAATTACTGGCAGTGCGCTTGGTCAATGGGTCAGTCTCCTTTAGGTGTCTTCTTTGGGGCTTTTATTAACACCGAGCTAGACGTTGGCACATCTGGGATCTACTCACCAAAGAACACAAATTGTTCACTGAGGATCAACGCGCTTTCTCCTCTTGGGTCAGCGAGTGTGATTTGTTTTTACTGACTAGAAAAGGGCTCTTTCAATTCTGCTTCCGCCAAAACCGTGTCCATAATTTTGGCATCAATAAGGATTGCCTAGTGATACGATCTCAAGGATGCGAAAAAGTTTTCGTGCTCACACTCGAGAAAACAGACGGCACAAGGCCTTTTGACTGGATCGGCACTCTGGAGGAACTGAAACTCTATCAGTTGGTCGTCAGGTCGCGTGAAAGTCAGTCCACTGCGTCCACTGAGGTGCAAAGACATGATCTTTCATCTTTCCTACCAGATTTACCCCTTGACATTTCTCCGCGCCTTTCAAGGTCTTTCCGTAACCAGCTAGCCGGCTGTATTTTTGATAATGGGTTGGAACAAGAAATTCTCTATTTCTCGCTGAATGAGTGTGGCCTGATCACTACCCACCGCTTCCTTTACCGAAATGATCGGAATGATGAGGTTACTCACGACCCAATTCATATTTCGCATGGTGTGATGTACATCAGACGGTCGCCTAGGGAAGCTGACCCTCCGGCAGGCCAAGTGACATTTGCCTCTGGGTCGATGATGGCTTCCATGCCACCGCGGACTGTGGGCTATGATCTCAAGATTCGCCCCCTTCCAAAGTATGACTGCGGGTTTTATCATCAAGATCCCGACATTTGCGATATGAAAGGAGGTGACCAATTCCTTGTCGTGACAAAATCGGACTGTGTCTATATCTGGGGACTCGATGATGCGTGGAGGCCCTCTGAGGCTCTATCTGAGGCCGGGATTGAGTTTGAATGCGAGTCGAGCGTCTTCGGTTATTGAAATTTTCTTATCACCAAAATGGTCGATAGTATTACGAATGTTATGATATTAGAGGTAGTGCATGTAACCTTCACGGACGGGACATCTAGTATTTGGGCTTGGAGTGCCCCGAGTCGTTGCCGGCGGTGACCCCCCGTAAACGCGCATGCCGGTCACGCCTTGGGCTAACACCGCCTTTGGGCTGATGCGTATGTGCAACTTCCCTTACTTCGTATTATCCTCAACCATTCACCTGGCCCTGAACTTTGATGTCACGACCTCTATTTGAATATGGACTCGGATGCAGTCCGATCCGTTATCAGAGGATTTGCAACTTTAAGGAATCCTCAGAGCCGCCAAGCTGCGTAAGTCAAATACGACCTGCACCTTGGGAAAGATGCCAACTGAGAGCAGATACCAAGGCATCTGGGACTTGCTGAACTCATATGAAATTCGAGATGTCAAATCGCACGCTGAAAAGTGGACATTTCAACATGATATCCTAGGCTGTCTGCCGTTGGAGCTTGCAGGCCGTGTGGCGCAGCATCTTGACCCGACAGACCTGTTTATTCTTCGACGTGTAAGGTTCCGGCGATGCACGTCCGAATCAAGCTGATGATAGTCAGGTCTCAAGACGTTGGAATACCATCCTCTCACAGAGATATGTGCTTTCTTCGTTTATCCATGCAAGGATCCGACCACTTCAAAGGACGATGCCAGTTCAGGACCTCGAGGACATCATCCAGACACGATGGCGGCTCGAAACTGGCAATCCTCTGGCAGAGAGAAGATTTCCAATATCCACGCCCTTCCAATTCAGTGAGAGCAAGTATTGTTCCGGGTGGCTCGCCTTCTTTCCGGAGGATCTCACAGATCGCAACCAGCAAGTGGCATGTGTGGAAATACAGACTGGTGTAGTCAAATATTTCACAACGGACAACCGTGTGGAGCTGTATGACATTCAACTGACAGATTTATTGGTCTCGGCTGTCACATCTAACGGGTGAGTTCCCCAGATCTTGACTTCTAAGTACACACTGACGCCACGCCAGGTACTGCTATGTTTGGAACTACCGGTATGGAGAACAATGCCATTCGTTCCGTCTGCCTTCGACAAATTACAGCCACCATTTTTCGAATGCGTGTAATATTGTCTTCGAATATGAATCCACCAGCACAGTGGTTTTCTTTTGTTTTACCTCTGGTCGTGCTCGAACTATCGACGTTGGGGCTAAGATTCTGGCGTTGAATCCAGCCAAGTCTTCCGAAAGTCATTGCTCTACATTCACCATTCTCACCATTGAACGAAAAGATGGCCAGAATATCACTTCCTTCGATATCTCGCAAGAAGAACGGGGAGAATATCAGTTGCAGGTCAGGGTCAACCAGGGTGAGTCTACTATGGCCGAATGCCCTGTGTCGCAAACACAGGGCCTCCTATCTCTCTTGTCGCCCTGGATAGAAAGTCATGGAGATCAGTTGCATACTGGTTCTATTGTGGCAAGTGGATCCAAAGTCTTTTCTGGGCAAAGATCTAGCTACCTGCGATTCAATGGGCTGGTGATCCATTTCTCTCTGGGTCATAGTGCTGGAATCACTATGCACTTCGTCCCAAGAATTCCTCATGAACTACCGTCAATTCATATATCTCACGGCCTGATGTATCTCATTCGGAGGCGATTCAGGGACTGTCTCGAGATCTTTATTGCCTCGGGTTTGATGATATCTGACATGCCATCGGGGATTACTGCGTACGACCTCACAACTCGTCCTGCAAATATGGTTGGAAAAGACAGACGGTACATTTGCGAGGTTCAAGGAGATGATTCCTATATCCTCTTGAATACAGATTATGGTGTCCGTGTCTGGAGTTTTGGGGAGCTATTACTTGATAGTTCTTAACTTTGCTTAACACAGGTAATATTCAGCTATTCCAAGGTTATTGCATTATTTCCACGGTTCTTCCAAGGTTATATAGAGATATAAATATAATCATAACACAAATTAAAGTATTAGCCAAATACTCCGTACTGCGACGTCCTGTATGAAGAGAGCCAGCCAATGAGAAAAGAGTAAAACCACCAAATCACTAATCTGCCCCTTTTTCCCTCCTCCTAATCCCTGACTTGCTAATATCTGCTAGTCTCACTATATTTACTATATACGATAATTGCGATACTGCTATATTCCACCTTTCATATCGCCATGACCACATTGGGGTGAGGTCCGACTCTCCCACGTTCTTTCGGCACGAGCGTAAAACGGTTCGCGTCCGAATTGGCACCCCTCACGATCCCGTCGCATCCACTCTCCATCACCAACCATGAGTCGCCTCGACTCTAGAATCTCCTTTGGGGTTCCCGATGCCCCCGGTCGAACTCGCAATATCCCCGTGCTCTCTTCTTCCGCCCATTCGAGGATGGATGTCACCCCTCCGCCCGCGCAAGACGGCGATCGGATGAGTGGAATCAATGGTGCCGACTCCAATTCGTTGAACGTCCCTAACCCGGCCATCGGAGCTGCTGCCGCCGCCCAGCAGCCCAAAGTCGTTCAGACGGCTTTCATTCACAAGCTCTACAAGTAGGTTCCCGCTATGCGCGTCTCGCCCCGGCCGTGAGCTTACCCGTTGGTCTCCAGTATGCTAGAGGACCCCAGCATCCAGCATCTCATCTCGTGGTCCGGCACCAACGATAGCTTCGTCATGTCGCCGACGTCTGAATTCTCCAAAGTTCTAGCGTGAGTCCCCCGTTCGCTTCCTCCAGGAAGCTTCCGCTGACCCTCGCAGCTCGTACTTCAAGCACACCAATATCTCCTCCTTCGTCCGGCAACTGAATATGTATGGATTTCACAAAGGTGGGTTGCTCATGTGCGAAATCCCCTGGTTGAGCAGCTTCTGACGATCACTGGTTAGTGAGCGACGTATTTCACACCGGGTCCCCGGACTCTGCACTGTGGGAGTTCAAGCACGGAAATGGCAATTTCAAACGAGGCGACCTAGCTGGTCTGCGGGAGATTAAGCGCCGAGCTTCCCGACATGCTCTGATTCACCGCGACTCGTTCCCCGGACACAAGGCTGCTGTTTCGCATCCCGGTACACCTGCCGAACCCGTGCCCGATGCGACCGAAGCTAGATTCATGAATCTCGAACACACTCTCTTTGATATGCATGCACGGTTGTCCCGAGCGGAGGATGGCAACATGACCCTGAGCTCAAGGTGTCAGGCTATGGCAGAGAGTCTGACAAAATGCTACCAAGTATGTCCTTGAACAACCTTGTTGTGCAGCGCGGTGCTAATATGATATCAAGTGGACACACTCCATCTCCCGATTCCTTCAGGCCGTGGTGCCTGACAGGGAAAGCCCTCTTTATCGCGATGGTAAGTGGATTTTGTACATGTACGGGATCACGCACTAACAGCCTCCAGTTTCGAGCATGCAAAGAGAAGTCGAAAAGCACATTGAAACTGCCCGCGCTCTCGAAACCCCCCACGAGGCACTTATGCCCTCCCGACAACCATTTTTCGCCAATGTCGCTGAAACCGGTCCACCGTTGTCCCCACGCCAAATGCCCCAGGATGATCCTCGCCGCCAGTCCATGATGGACCCCACACCTAGACCTAACAACATGATCCGACCACCAGTTCCTCCTCACCTATCAGTTTCTCCTCGTCGCTATGGCTCAATCGGCGGCGCCAATTCTACTACATACGCTCGACCGCAACCCCCCGCAGCGGCACCTCCTCCCCAACAACCCACACCTCACCCTCTATCAGTCTCAACTTCCCCAGGGCCCGGCCTAGCTCGGCGTCACACCTCTGCCGACATACGGCAGCACGGGTGGTCGCCCTCGGCCGGATCGCCCTACCCTCCCGGTAACCTTCCCACCGGACCTTGGCCTCCATCCCCAGGACAGCAGACACCGGTCTCAAGTGACCAACAAGTCCGCGATGTCCTCGCCCAATACGAAATGGGGGCTCCTCGTCGCCTCCAAGAACAGTCTCGCCATGCCACACCCCCAATCGCCGAGCCCTCACCTTCCATGCTAGGTGTTGATAACGGCTGGGCGATTGGGGGATCCCGATTCCCACATGGCTCATCATTGCCTGCCACCCGCCGCTCCAGTATGGCAAGCAATGTTCATTCATTGCTGAACCCTGCCGACACTGCTGAAAGACCCGACGAGGACCAGCAGGCCATGGCAGACGACCGCAAGCGCAAACGGCTTGAATAAAAAAACAAAAGTCCCCAACGATACCTCCAGCATTTACCTCATACCAAAGGCGCACTTACCCGCCTACATCAAATCTATGCATCTTGAACAAGCCCGGAACAAGCCCGGAAACTACCCTCTCCCCTTCATTTCCCGTTCGACTTGCATATGTACCATCCAGCAGAGCAAAGAGCCATTCCGATCCAGGAATGCCTCTCACTTGCCACCCCTTCCTAATTGTGCTTGTAGATGTCTTCTCCTCTCTCTCACTTTGGATATCTAATTTTGGCACCAGCCTGTCCATCTCATCGCTTGATCTGGCAAGGCTCCGCACCCACACTTCTTTCAACCATATCATATATACCCTAAGGCTGGGCGGAGCGTCGTAAAACAAAATATGATTGGTTCTTGTGGCACTTAGAGCAAGAGACTGGAATTGAATTGTACTTTATGCTTCGCAAATCATAATCTCCATATATCATGCTCGCGCCCAGCCCTGCACGTATCCGCACTAAGACGGAACCGCCGAGTCCTCGCAGACCTCAAGAGCCGGTAGTGACAAGGCCTCAAGCCGACCCTTCACCGGCGCAATATCTCAGCACCCCGGCGCAGCCAAAGCAGGACCTGCCCGACGAGAGTCCAGCGCTCAGCCGGGGTCGTGTTCTGTACGCATGTCCATATCCATGCGCTTCATTAAGAATACCATTCCTCCACCCGCATTCACCTCTTCTTCCTCTTCTTCGACCTCTCAGCCAGAAGTTCATCCAAATAACTCGTAGCCTTCTTCCTCCCTTTCCGCGGGCCCTTCGCATCCCCAGCCCCAGCAGCTTCCGCCTCCGCTTCAGCAGCTAACACCGCAGGATGCACACCAGGCGCACCCTTCCTCTTCTTCGGCTTAGACAACATCGCCGCACGCCCATCTTCTTCATCATACTCCTCCTCTTTCTCCTCAGTAGATTCAACAACAGGCTTCGCGCTCGCAGCCTTAGCAGCAGCTTTCTCCTCCGCAGCAGCCTTCATAACGCGATCATAGTTCTTGCCCAGAAGTTGTTTGCGCAGCTTGTCGTTCGAGTCTAGATCGCTGCGGTTCCAGCTTCCGTCGGCGGCTTTTTGAGGGAGGGGGGCACCGACGCCGAGTCTGCTTTTGCGTTAGTGGAAAGCTTTGGGATTTGAGGGAGGTGGTTGAGTGCGTACGTCTCTGGGACTGCGGTGAAGATCTCATCTTCTTCCTTTTGGAGCTCTTCGTCGGTTTTTGTTGGTTCGTCGGAGGGTTTTTCGGGGAGCCATGAGGCTACGAGGCGTTGACTTCGGGATAGAGCGACATTGGCTCGGTTGAGAATCACGTCTGATTCGCTTTTTGAGAGCGACATCGAGGCTTCGTGGGGGTTTTGTGGTGTTGTTCGATGTTATCGGCGTGCTCTTCTTTTTTTTAGTGCCGATGTTTTGGGGCGGTGATGGGGCGGTCTGGACTGTAGTGGGTGACTGTTAATTTCGTGATGTGGAAGTGTTGAGGGTTATAAATGCAAAGAAGTTGACGTTCTCCAACAAGTAGCTCGCATGGCTTAGTGGTAAAGCGCATCACTAGTAATGATGAGATCCTCGGTTCGACTCCGAGTGTGAGCATTTCTTTTTTGTTTTTGTTTTTTTTGTACCCGCTATGGAGCCCTTTTTAACTTCATTGGGATGCTTCTTTTTAGCTCCATACATCTGGCGAGTTTGTCTCTGCTTCTTTTTAATCATACAAAAGGCCATCTTTATATCTAAAACGAGGATCGGGCGCTAAGTAAATATAGTTCTTTGGATAACCCTACCTAAGAGCGAGAATCCTTAAATTCCGACATTCGCAAGCTTCCATTCGGTTTAGGTAGATCAAATATATATCCAACTTCTGTTGTAATATCAAGTGGCCACCGTCTGACGCGGGTGCAATTTGACCATCAGACCCGGCTTTTCCCACAGCGTAAAACAATTCTGATCCATCCAGTCGGTTCCAGGCTGATCGAGTTCCATATCGAAGTTGAAGACCATACGGGCAAGAATCAAGCGCATTTCGACATACGCCAAGCTGTTCCGAATTAGCATGCTCCTCTGTGATATACTCCCGAGGTCCTAGGCGAAGTTTCCACGAGTCATTGTATCACTTACTTTCGTCCAATACAATTCCTGGGACCGAAGCTGAACGGCTGCATTGCGTTTTTGCTATCATTCACAAATCGCGGATCGTCCAGATGACGCTCGGGGATGAAGCTTTCGGCGTCCGTGAAGTTGGTAGACAAGCGATTGGCTGAAAACTGGGAGACTGAGACGGCCGTCTTAATTGAAGTGTCAGTGCTGTGCTGTGGCCATGCCATATTGAAACATTGCCTGTACTTACACCTCCTGGTACCCAATTCCCAGATATCATGTCACCCTGGGCATCGACGATCCGCGGCAAGCCTACTGGGACGGGAGGATACATTCGAAATGTCTCGGTGAGTACTGCGAGGCAGTATTCTAGCTTATTGCAAGATTCCAAGGTAATCTGTCCCTCCGTCGTGAAAGCCGACCTAATTTCATCTTGCAGTTTGGCGAGTACACGTGGGTTCCTCAGGAGAAGATAAGTCACGCCAGAAAGCAGAGTCGCCGTGGTTTCGGAACCTGCAATGATCAATGTGCTTCCGTTGGAGATCATCTCCGGGACAGTGAATCCCTTTTCGGTATTCTGGTGCTTCAAGATGTTCCCAAAGAAATCGGGTCTCTCATTTGACTTTGCCAATCGGCCATTGATCTTCTCAGAGGTCAAGGCCACGTGCATGTCTCTCTGGGCAATAATTTTCTTGGGTGTAATGAGGGGAAGGATGTAGCTGGACCCTGGAAGTCGACGAGCAACATTTGAATAGGCACCGTACCTGATAGAGCTGAAAAGGATAGATATCCACTGATGATATTGCACGTTCTTGAGACAGTCAAATGACTCCCCGAAGGCCAGGTCACCGATTATATCGAACGTCGTGAAGTTGTACCAGGTCATCAAGTCGAAGACGTTGTTCCCAGTTGCGATCCGCTCTTGCAAACGTTGCATCAAGAGATCGACATAGGTCTTGATGATAGGCTCTTGGCCCCGCAGTGAGCTATCGGAGAAAGCATGCGACAACAATCGGCGGAAGCGTGAATGGTCTGCATCGTTGGATTGAATGATACTAGGAGCACCTCCAGCGGTTGGGGGATAGAAGCGAGTATCCTTTCGCTTCTGACCATGGCCGACACGAGTACCATAGATTGGTTTCCAGGCATCACCATCTGCAAAGGAAAGTTCGTTTGGTGCGATACGAACTACGTTTCCGTACTGCTGATGCAGAGCAAGGGTCTGCTGTGGACACTGCCCCTTGAGAACCATCCGCATATAAGGTATCCGTGTTGCTGCCATAGACTTTGGACCCGGATAGTGCGACAGCGGATGGAAGTAAATGTTATAAACGATGAGGCCTACATAGTAGATAGGGATCTAGTGATTGATACATTTCCAAGGTCAGTTTAGGCTCAGGTCTTGGAAACACTCCGTCATACTCACTAGAGCAATGCTCATCCCCAACAAAGCAAGGAGGACATCCGGGAAAGATTTCACGCTCGGCGGCGTATGAAGAACAGGAATAACTGTCATGATTTGACGTATCCAGCGAAGACTGTGGGGTGCTTCTTGCCCGTTGAATGCGACATGTTTATATCATTTCTGCCCCGGAACGTATAAGGGTGACACGGATAGTAATGCTTCGATATTTGTTCATTACGAAAATGCATAGTCACCGTCCCCACACGCTTCATGGTATGATAGGTGATCGACAAGGCCCGACCCTTGCAATAGACTTGTGTCACGGCGGGACCAATCCTGGCAATCTGTGTTTCAAAATGCATGGTAAAGATATTTAGGACTCCTTTTGAGACTGAATACTCCGTACGGTGTACCAAGACCAGAGATGACAACCATCGACGCGCACATTCTGAACTGAGAACGAATAATTGAACACCCATGGACGCCTAGTCTGCATAAGAGCAACCCTAGAAGAAATGCTAGTGTTACAAGGGGACTTTACGCGGGGGTCTTCCCAAGGGGTTATGCAGAAATGGCCTGGTTATGCAGGAAAAATGAGCTTTTATGATAGAATTATGATCCGCGCGGGAAATTCGGCACATAACATCACCCGAGTGGTTGCAAAACCGTGTAATCCTGCATGCTAGTTGCAGATGCGGAGGAGACTAGCCAACGTCTACGTAATGATTTGTGGAGATCTCTTGAGCCAGTGCTTCATACTCAAACGGTCTGCGGTGTCAATTCCCAAATCCTCAAGCTACGCTCAACGGCAAACACTGGTCTAGGCGAGGCTGATTCTTCTGAATGGGAAAATCAGACTATAAGGTTCACGATGAACCTCGTGTGGGATGTCTATAGAATGCATGATGGAAGAAGGCATGATGGAGAAATCCAAACAACGCCAAACAAAAAGATACTGTACAAGGATGGCGAGGAGTTCTCGCTATTATGAATACAAGATGTGGTATAAATGTTGTACAGAAGGGCCGCCGGGGCGCTCTGCGCTTCAAGTTGAATCAGTCCAGTGCTGTGGTGCGACGGTACGCTCTTGTGGGGTTTCCAGGCTGACGATGGCTTCCACTGCAGTCTCAAGTTCGGTGAAAAGTTTTTGACGCCTGCGATTCCACTGGCTGCCTAGTTTAGTGTGACTGACGGGATCATAGCCAAGGACTTCGAATGCGGTTTGAAGGGTCTGTTGGATGTGAGTGCATGTCCAAGCTGAGAGAAAGGTAAGATACATACTGCGTTTAGCTTTTCGTGGAATAGAATCAAGCTTTCAACAATATCCTCCTGGTCTGCACTTTCGCCTTTGAGCGCAAACTCCAGCCATGAGTCCACGAGAATGTTTCCGTCCTTGGGTTCCAACTTTTGAGCTAAGAGGCAAGCAGACAAGGGACTGACCTCAGTCACTTCTTGTATTTCCACAAAGGACTTCCTTGCCACCTTGCGGGTGTACGCAAAGAGCGTTGTCTGATTCTCGGTTGACTTGATGGACTGTGCGAGGCGAACACCGGGGTTGATTTCGAGATTGTTAGTGCCAACATACTTCACGGCCAGATTTGGCGAAAGGCAGTGCACTAATAGCGCTTTGATGAGACTCTGGTTGTCGGAGTTGCGGTTCTGGTCTGGGTAGCCAAATTCACCGAACATGCGGGGTTTGCGAAATGCACTAAGGCGTGCTTCGTTCAACATGCGCATTATTGACACGGCGTTCATATAGGCAGCTCGTGCTTTTCCCCACTTGAGCATATCTGCATGGGCATATTCAGCAGTCAACTGGGCGGCTTCCTCATCCACCTCTGCCCTGGTCATGCGATCTGCCCCAACCGGAGAAGAATCCCTCTCTTCAAGGAGCCGTTGCTCGTTTTCTTGGTAAGTGGTTCTGATATCATTGTAGGCAAGGATATTCAATATATGATCACTTCTTGCTTGGTTTTTTCCTTGGAGTCTCACGCGAGTTGCGTTTGCCCGAGCTCGCTGATTTGCGTCGAATTGTTGGTGGAAAAGGGATTCGGAACCGAGACTTGCAAGAACCAGCATAGGATCCAGGCATCTAAATATAAGACCGAGAAGGACCATCTTTCCAGAGGCGGGGTCCATGGCTAGTTGTTCGAGAATACGACCAAGACTAGTAAGCTCTTCTTTATCGTCCAATGCTCGCAGGTTCTGCAACTGTTCCACTGCAAGCCTGACTTTGCCCGCCTCGGGTGGCTCGAGGGTTTGTGCAAAAAGTTCAGAAAGGGAGACCGATGGATCAGGCATGATTCTCCTTAGATTAAGGCAGAGAAGTTCGAGCGTAGAGCGCGTCAGCTCCGAACTGTTCGTCTGATTCAGGGCATGGAAACGCTTTGAAGATCCCAGGAAATAATAATTCCCGTTCTGGGTTCTGCCCGCTCGCCCTGCACGCTGTAGTGCAGAGGCCTTGCTGATCCAACGAGGCGCAATTTCGTGAACTTGTTCCCCAGAGTCATAGTCCGCGCGGTTGTTCTTCCCTGAATCAATGACATGCCTGACGTCGGGGATAGTGAGAGATGACTCGGCTATGTCGGTTGAAATGATGATCCTTTGGCATCCTTCAGGCACTGGAGCCAAAAGTTCGTTTTGCACCTGATGGAGCTGTGAATGTAATATGATGATCTTGAATCGATCTGTGTCATCGAAATTCAAACCTAACCGAGGACCCACGGCTTGCAATTGCGAGGATATTTCTTCCAAATGTTTCATACCGGGAGCAAATGCAAGAATTGACCCCTCCTTGTCTTGAGACAGAATGGACAAGATGTGTGCAGTGATCAAACCAGTAGCTACATTGCTTTCTTCCAGCTCGCTGGGGGATTCGCTGGGAAAGAAGACACCACTTTCCTCGGGCTGATCCAGCGCTTTGAAGTGATTGTTCAAAAAATTGGCAGTCGGTCCATGTTCTTGAAGAAGAATTGTAAGGATTTCTGGCCGCAAGGTATGAGATACACCATGGACCACTTCTTCGAGATAATGCTTCTTTATTTCAAAGCTGCGCCCAGGAATTTCAATGTGAGGAACAGGTAATGCCGTCCCGTCCGGTGCTTTGATAGTGAAGTAGGAAGCAAAAAGTTCGACATCGACAGTTGCACTCATCAAAACAACCTTGGGAACAGACTCCCCACGACTCATGCGTTGCTCAATCATGCGTCTCAGGACCATCACGGCCAGATCAAGCTGAACGTCACGGGTATGAACCTCGTCGAGCACAATATGGGAGAACGAGGCAAAGGTCTCAGGGCCATCCTTTAGCATATTCATCAAGATTCCCGTGGTACAAAACTGAATGGACCCACTGTTTTTTGGGGGCTTGCTGTCAAACCGTACGCTGTAACCAACAGAGTTACCGATGTATTCATGTCTTTCGTGGGCAACTCGGAGACTCAATCCTCTCGCAGCCACCCGCCTCGGCTGAACACACAGAATCTTGCAATAAGCGCCCTCTGATCTGGAAATGGCGTCTTCTAGGAGGAGCTGCGGGACCTGCGTTGACTTTCCAGATCCTGTCTCTGCCACACAGAGACTAAAAGCATTGCTGTTGATGAGATTCACCACTTCTTTCCCGCGTTGTCGCACGGGTAATTGCCTCACCTTATGGCGAAGGGCACGGTATGAGGGGTCGTTGCTGGTGTTGGCTCTAAATTTGCTGGCTTCCAATTGTTGGTTCCTGTGTCTCCTAGCTTTGCGGCTGATGGGTTGAATGAGGTTTGAGTGTTCACGCGAATTTTTCTTTCGGAGGTCGATCAGGTCTCGGGCCCGCGTGTTGGCCAGGTCCAAGTCATTCATAGCCTCCTCGTCAAGTACACACATCAAATCATCTTGGACCCTCAGGGAAACAACGCTTGATGGGAGTTGGCTCTGTGCAAATGCATTAACCTGTTTCAAAGATCGGCTGAACCCCTCATCTCCAGATTCCAGCATGGAGAGGAGCCCTTCCAATTTCTCCCAAAGGCCAGTTTTCTGGAGACGTCCAACAACAAATTTACGCCCCTGGGCTAATGCTTCCGACTAAGAGATCGTATCAGATATCCACGATTGGAGGACTTTTCGGGGGTGGGGATAAAGCCTTGCAGCTTCACATACGGGTGAATATGTCGGGTAAGTCCTCCTCAGGGTCTTCCGTTTACCATTCAAGTCAACCGTGCAAATGTAGTTCTGCAAGTGGCGTTTATGACGTAAATCAACCACCTTGACTGTTTCGCTGACGAGGTCAGTCTTAACGAGCCGATTGAAAACATCGTCAAAATCATTCTCCTGGTTGACCGCGTCATTCTCGGCTGGTAATGAATCATCCACTTCATTATCACCTCTACCGATATTCGCTTCAAGAACTGCTTTCCTTGATACTTCATCACCGAACCCCATCAGGAGGCCACTACCCACGAAGCCGCCATCGACGCCGTGATCGTGTGTGTTATGACGTGTGATAACCCTCGCACCAGCTGGTCTAGGTCTGAGGGAAGGTCGGAGTGGTACAGTAGCCCCGCGCGTTGTGTGTATCGTTCGCCCGGTGGATTGTCGCAATCTCATCTGGCGCAATCCCAGGCCCACGATGCCGAGGCGAGATTCATTTCGAGCGAGAAGATGAGGCTGACTGATTTTCCGTAGATAGAGGCAGGCGCTGGTTCCGGTAGCCATTGCGAAGCCAGGGTTTTCACGGATAGACAGGAGCGGAATCTCCGAACATGCTAGGAGCAATGGAGATGTCTCGGGGTCGGACGGGGCTTGAGGGTTTCAAATGAGTTGTTGATATGCAAATTCGGATTTGTCGCTTGGTCCGAATGACAAATCAATTCCACAGCAATGTCTCCTGTCGGGGTTGGAGCAAAGGAGGAGACAGTTGGGTTGTGTCAAGAATTAAAAAAAAAAAAATAGAGACCCGCGTCTCCAAGTCCGGGCTTGGCGCCGCTCGCCGCAGAGTTGTCTAACCAATTGATGCCTAGCGCCAATTGACCATTCTATACCAATCACATCAGGATAGATTGTCATTGATTGTGGGTGCTGGCAATTGAGCACAGCATTTTGATGGGATAGTAAGATACTTGAAAGTGTCGTGGTATCATTTGCAAGGCTAGGCTATGTACAATCCATCTAAATACCATCTATATCTAATGCAGTAATGACATGTTTCCTCGACCTTTCTCCATGTTGTATAGCACAGGGTATAAATCTCAAGACACAAATGTATGTTTCGACAGTTCACGGTGCGGCCTCCTTCTGGTGCTTCACCTTTAATTTTTTCTCGATCTTCATGAATTCTCGAATCCCAACGGGTATGTTGGAAAATAAGTCTTCATCTTGACTCGGCTTGGTCCAAAGTGTCTCACTGCCTCCACCGTCATCGTCCATACTTCCACTGGCCGCGCTGACCTCTTTTCTAGGCGCTGCACGCATGTCCCCCGTGCCTTTCTCAGCGCCACCTTTAGCCTTTGCAGCTGAAATTCTGGAACCCCATTCTTCCATCTCATCCCGGAAATCGTCCCAGACGCAATTCACACAGCCACTCATGCAGCAGTTGTCTGGTTCTTCGGGCTGCGGGGGAATTGGTACGCCGTTGATGGTTTTCCATGCAGACATGGGTTGTTCCCCCGGATTGTAGCGTGAGGACCGCCCTGGACCGGCGAGTCGAGTACCAAAGACAATTGCCATCTTTTCTTGCGGCGTCTGAGGCTCCACGGTCGTGCTCGGTGTGGCTTCGGGCCGAGGTGTCGGTCGCGACGTCACTGCACGACCAGTATATGGTGTGGGCGATTTCAGGATCAAGGAATAATATCCCGTAAGCGGTTGCGCCTGAGGAGGTTCGGGGATCTCCTCGATGGAAGCTCGTGTGTCCAAAGGATCGGGTTGGTCGGACTGATGGGCTTTCATGCGCCGGGCGGTCGGAACCAGCACATATTGTCTGTGGGAAATAAACGACGGAAAGGATATATGAGAAGCATAGCGAGACCAAAGACCCAGCCGCTTGAGCGAACGCCCTGTGCGCATCGCAAAACACTCCATAGTGCGAGCGAGTTTGACAAAGTGGAAGACCTCGGAAGTGCAGAGGGGACATTAGGTCATAGTGCAAACACTGCAAACATCGATTGTTTATCTTCATCGTCGCGCCAAATCAGACTGAACAACCCGCGATAATGGATTCCCCCGCCAAACGACGGAAAATCAGCGGAACCGCGGGCATCCCAGTGGTGCCTGAACTCCCAAAGAATGGATCACGTATACCAAGGCGGCCTTCATATCAGTCACCGACTAGAGCCAGTCTTGCGCGAACGAACCCAGATGCATTAGAGCGCGCGCTCAGCAGATCGCCCAGCCGACAACCCACAAACAAAGGCGACAAAGAACAGAATCCTCGAGTCCTGGGGCTCCGCGATCGCAAAGCCCTGAGGCCCTCGCTCAATGCCTCTGCGAGTCCGCTCACTCGACCGAGAGGGTCTGAAGCCGCAGAGAGTTCGCCAAGCAGGCGCGCAAGTGGCATACAGGCGTTTTCGAAGCCTCCGCGCAGGATATCAAAGAGGATTTTGCCTGGTGATCTTGTTTTCGGTTCTCCACTTCCACCAGCAACGAATCCAGAACCCGATACCCCCGAGGGTCAATTGGCATCGGAATTGGGCAGTGCTACAAGAGATGCGGAGATTGATTTCGGACCAGAGCCTGGATTTATGGATGAAGACTCGGCTGAGCCTGATTTACCTCCTACTCCCACGCAGCTGGGTTTAGAAAAAGCCCCAGATCGACCAAGAGGATTGAGCAGCAGCCCGAGCATGCGACTGGAGAAACGATCAAAACGACGGTTACACAACCCAGTGCATGAAAGTCCATTAAAGGCAGTGAATTTCTATTCTCCTCCCTCCGAGGAGGAAGATACAGAGTCAGCTTCATACCCCAATGGATATTCAATGATAGTCCGAGAGAAGCAAGTTGCGCGCAAGAAGACTGCTGCAGACTTGCGAAGACTGAAGAAAGAAGTTGAGGAGTTGGAGCTTTGGACCAAAAAAAATCGAAACCAACACAGATATCAAAAGCGACTCCAGAAGCCTTGATCAATTTTTGTGAGTTGCGTGGACATAAGACAGATGAACAAAACTGACAAAAATCCAGGTCTTTGCTTACATCCGAAGAGGCCAATCGCACGATTCAACCAATACCACAGAAAGCCCCCAAAACTATGTCTTCTCTTCTCGCCACTCTACTTCCATTCTCCGCCAGTATACCCCAACCAAAACGACAAGCATCACCATTACCAACGAACCCATTCGCGTTGGAAGAAAACGCCCAGACACTCCCGTATCTCACAGTCTTTGCGCCGCTCAAACTCAAGACCCGTACAACTCAATCATCACACAGGGGAGAGTTATCAGAAACACACACTCTAACATTCTCCCCACCAGCCCCATTCCCATCAAATCTCTATAACGTGACAGTTGTCTACGAGGCAAACCCACACACTCAATGCTTGAAATCATTGTCAGTACCCACTGGCGGTGACAGCAAAAAGCGAAAAGTCCCCGAGCCTCTTCGCCGCTGGATAGATTCCCGACTAGAGAACTCGCTCCTGAAACTCGATGTGGTGACTCTGTGCTGGGGTATCAATCGTTACTGGGAAAGCACATTCGCGCGTGCCCGACTATGGGCACACATCGACCAGAAATACGGGTCGAGGGCTACCAAGGACAGCGAGACTGAACCTGCGAGTGAAGATGGGACCGTGACCATGTCGGAATTACGAAGGCTGGTTCCTCATCTTGATCGAAGTTCTATGTTTCTTAAGAATGAGTCTTTTGCTTCCAGTCCTCGGGTCATGGTCTCAAATACTTTGGTATTGGATGAATGGTCTGGGGAGCCTCAGTTGCGGCCTGAGATTAGTGTCTCTGTTCCTGGCGCGGACAAAAGAATAGACCATGAGACGAAGAAGCTTTTCCATGCGCTGTTGCATGGAGATCAAGGACCACGCAGGGGCGTTGAAGGAGGTGTTCATGTTGATGCGATTTTGAGGGCGACGGAGGGAGCCCTGGGTGCTTTGTTTGGTCGTCTGTGACCATGCTGTGATTATTAGCGTGAGCGATGAAATGTTTGTTTAGCGTAGATGTTGAAGATACCCAAGTCCGAGTTGAATATAGGACAATGTTTCTAGAACCCTTGAAGAATGACAATTGCAAGATAATCGGCACGCTTCGGTTTTATATGAATTTAGGATTTTGCCCTAAAGCACGACCCTAAGAATAAGACCCCAAGAACATAATCTTGGGAGATCAACCCCATGTACGCAGTATTGCTTCTAGAGATCTAGGCGCAAACCCCACTGACCAATCTACGAGATGCGCATGATGTACACATCGTTCACAGCAGAACAAGTGCAATACACAGCACTAGAGCTACCAGCCTAACAGTCCAAACTACACAGACTCCATAACAAGCCAAGTATGAGAATTGAGCGGTTTTGAATTTCGAGAGATCTTCCGAGTTTCTTTTAGAGACAAAAAGGAGTAAATTTGGGAGGGAGGGAGAGGGAATCAAGGAAGCGGCGCGACGCCATGCCAAAGTACACTAATCCCCGATTCGAAAACCGACCCGATCATCATCATCAGCACGAGCAGGGAATTAACACATTTATTTCTTGGCGTTAGCCTCGTCCTCAGCCTTGGTGCGAGCACGCTTCTCGCGAGCACCCTGGTAACGGGCCTCGGCGCGAGCGTCACGAAGACGGCGGTAAGCGGCCTCCTCACCCTTGGGGAGAGCGTCACGCTTGACCTCAGTGACGGCCTCAGCGGGGGTGGTGTTGGTGATGGGGAAGGTGGCGTCAACGCGGGTGATGATGCCGTCACGCTTGCCCTCGGCAACGGTGGCCTTGGCAGCCTTGACGTCCTCGGGGGAGGAGTCGAGCTTCTTGAACTGACCGCTCTTGCGGGGGAAGAGGATCAGGCGGGCCTTGTAGTCCTGGAGACGGGCAACGTTGGCGACGAGGGACTCCTTGGAGTAGTTGGTGCGGCGGTGGTCAACCGAGATACCGACGGTGGGAGCAAGCTTCTTGGGGATACCAGCTTCCTGTAGGGTTGATTCGAGTCAGCACTCTGTTTCTTGGTGTTTCGTTTGCCACGGCTGCTGGCGGGTTCGAGATTGAGAAAAAAAATTACCTTCAGTTCGGCGAGGGTGAAACCACGACCGGCACGAACACGGCGGTTGTACTTGACGGTGGGGCAGCGAACAACGGGACGCAGCTTGTCGACGGGGCGGGGGGCAACAGCGGCCGCCTTAGCGATACGGGCCTCACGACGACGGTTCTTCCGGCCGGGCTGTGCGATTTCATGTTAGTCGACCAAATTCACTTCCAGCAAAGGGAAAAAATTTTTCGTCTCGATTCCAGCGGGTTGCGATATCGTTCGAATGAAATTTTCCTTTGCGTTCGGGGGGTGTGGTGTAGTCGTACCTGGTCGAAGTGCACTCGCACACGACGCTGCCAGTCCTTGTGGAAGTCTAATTGAACGGTTAATCACCATTCCATTTCGGAGTTGAATGCGCCATAGTCTCTTCTCGGAGGCGATCTCATGGTGCAAAGCGACGGGTCACTCACGGTTCTTCTGAATCTGGTTGTTGTGCTTGATCGCCTATATGTCCATCACACAATCAGCCACTCGATTCTTTCGGCATATTTCGAGTCGTCGATTCCTCTCAATCGCACACGTCGAATCCTTCATATTCTTTTTCCATGTAGGGATAGGGAACGCACCATGGTGACGGATGGGGAACAAGCCGGGTGCTGGTCGTCGAGGGTTGCTGGTCAAATCCTCCTTCACGGCAGAAAATGAAGTTCCCATTTTTCGTGTGGCCGCCCGCTGACTGGCTCACCGCCTCGCTTAGCGAGCCCTAACTATTCCCGATTGGGTAATCTGCCAGCGTTTCCGACTTGGGCGTTTTTTCCGTTTTGATTTTCTACTTTTGCCTCACGTTCTTATAGATCGGTTCATCTAGTGATGACACCAATGTTCATATATCATAATATTGGGAGGCTTTTTTCTTTACTCAAGTGAGATCTACACAATTATCCTCTACTTTCTTCCCTTTTAGAATAAACTTGGCTTGTAGTAACAGAGGACTTTATTCCTATTGTACAGTACCATCTCAACTCTCTCAAGGTCTCGGTCAAGGTGGACCTGGAGCTGAGCAACGTCTTCATTCCGCCCCCAGTCCTCATTGGCGCGAAATAGACAATTCCTTATTGCCAAACCCGAAACCCAAATTGTAAACGCCACTTATCAAGCAAGAGCCAAGGATCGCCGTCGCATGGTCTCGTCATTTCAAAACTAAAAACATCAAAAACATCAAAACAAATCGCTAGTTTGAAAACACCACATTTGGCATGTCTTCATCATTCGTGAGGGTCCCATAGTCGTAAAGTAACAAATCAACGCTAGGTCATGAATCATATCAAAGTTGGTGACACGAGAGGTCTTCGTGGTGCTCTAGGACATGGACCTAAGCATTGATGCCCAAACCGATGGTCTGACCGGTTCGGGACTTTTTGACATTGGCGTTAGCACCGCTGTCGTGGGTGTCCGCCTTGCGCTTGGTTGGGCGCGATCGCTCGACACCAGGCTTCTGCACTTGACCAAATAGCTTGGTCTGCAGTAAGGTGCTGCTCTTGGGGGCGGTAGAGCGCATTTGCTGGGGAGAGGGCATTCGCTGTTCCGGGACCTCGGAAGCGGAGAGAGAGACCGTGCTATCGCTGTCATAGTGGTCATCTCTTGAGTTCCTCGTGGGTGTCATGTACTCGTTCTTAGGCTGATTCGGGGTCATTGGGACAGATGTTGCAGAATGAGCACCATAAGTGTGGGTGTGCTTGGTGAGCTTGTCGGCGGCAAGAAGAGCGGCGAGTCCATCGGCGTGTTCGCCGGTGTACAGGTTGTGGATCTCGCGTTGCGTGTGCGGTGACATTGGGTTGTAGCTAAAGATTTGAGTGAAGTGCTTGCGGTTATCTCCGATACGTTGTCTGAGCATGGAGTTCTGTTCCTCAAGATCGATTGACCGGCTAGTGGCATCATCGATCGCACGCTTGGCATTCCGGAGTCTGCGATCCAGAACTGTGTTGTGCTCTTCGAGCTCCCGCGAGCGCTGCACGGCTGCAGCATAGTCAGGGTGTGAAGGAGCTTGTGCTTGCTTCGGGGTGGCGAGAGGCATAGGAAGAGAGCGATTGCGGTACTCTTCGCTCTGGATAATCTCAACTTCGCGCTTGGCAAGTTGATGTTCAACCTCAGCGCGCTTCACGGCTTCATTACTCGCGAAAGACACCAGGCTGTTCTGAAGCTTGAAGTGCAATGCGGACATGCGCGACTCTCGCGCAACGTTCAACAAATCTTTGGCGATAGTGCGCAACTCAGCCTCACTGGCACTATCTATTTGCTCCACTGTCGGCAGGTTCTCGGACGCCCCGTAGGCATCGCACAACGACTTGTCCAACTCAGCTTGTGTCACCATGGTGGGACTTGTTGAGCGTGAGTGTGATCGCGATCGGAGTGGAGCACCGGGGATCTGAGTTGAGGGTGGGGGAGTCATGTCGGATGACGACAATGGCGGGGGCGAGAAGATCTTCTTATCCGATTGGGAAGAGGTGCGCTTTGCGCTGAGATCTGGTGAAGGGGAGAGTGTCGCACGACGGATGGGAGTCGATGGCACGATCTCCACGGGAGCACCCAGGGTGCTCTGTGAGTTGGTGTCTTGAGACATGGGAAATCTAGGGTTGAGATAACGACGCGATAAAGATATCCAAGTAGAGCCGCGGGGAAACGGATCCTCACACTGTGTGGCTTATCAGCATTCTGCACTCGCATGGATCTCCAGGGCTTGAGCAGACATACCGGAAATTGATAATAATCGGGGCTTTGGGTCGCACAGGGCCAAGCCAGGTATGTCAGAAATGAGGTCAGAAGAGAATATACCGATACCAAGCAAGGGAGACAAAGAATGATTCCTTAATTCTTGAGACAAGATAGAGGTGAAAGAAGGAACAATGGAGTTTGGAAGAGCTTAAGAGGGAAGAGGTTACTCCAGCTCGCAGTATTGAGGGGGGCTGGGAACGGCCCTGACGACCCTGTTCCTCAAGTCCGCTTTGGGCTTAGCGCCTGTCCCAGCCCCAGCCAATCATCTAAGAATATGAGCCAATCAGAGGCTGTACAGGGTGCTGACTCAGTCTATCTTAACCCATTCAGGCTAGGCCGATCGTCACGGGACGCTCAGGTCAAGTAAACACCCGCGACCAGAACAAGCCCTGGGGGGTTGGGTAGGCAACCGATAAGATATCATTTCTATATACGATCTGGACTAGTCTACTTGTTGTTATGATGTACAGATCAAGCCGCGTGGGTGCTAATTTTGAAGTGTTTCATCAATTACCTGAGGCTATTAATTATAAATCAAAAATTCCAATGCTGGCAACCGTTCGATGCAACATGGATATCTACAACTCAATCTAGTGTCCAAACGACCAACTCTTTTGGGTGTACTGAAAACCAAATTTTTCCAAAGTTCTTTAGTGAGGTAAATCTTGGAGGCCAGAGGCTCCATCAAAGTCAATGCAGAGTTTCTATGGCGCTATGCAAGGGAGCTTCCAAACAGGCAAAGGTTGTTTTGATTTTTGACAGCAAGGGCTCAACTGTAACCTCAGAAAAGTCCCTTGTGCTAGGTTCACGGGTAGGTACACTTGCTTTTAATTCGAAAGGAAATGATACTAGGAGAATTGGAACTTGCATAAATCCATAGGTACCTACGGAGTACACAGAGTGGGACCTTGGAATTATGAACGCTGTCCAAGTGGCCGGGCATGTATATTGAGTGTTCAAATCTATATGGACTTATGGCCAGCTCCTGTTCCCTCAGCCAGCTGTCTGCCAAGGTTGACTGTGCCTTTTACCCGACTGTAAAATATAATATATAAGATTCTGATATAGCTGCCCAGGTGATTGCAATCGTGTGGTCTTTGGTCGTTTGAATAAACTCCAAACCTCAGGTACAACCTTAGAATGCCTTGCTATAGTTTGGGTGGCTTTGCTGAAAATATATATCCGCTATTTTACCACCCTAAGGTTTGAGACACGAATTGATGTCAAAAAATTGACTAGACCTGTGTCATCAAACCATACTAGCATGGCCAACATTGGAAGAAATATAAATGATGTCTTCAGTAGTAGACTAGTAGTATAGTATCTGGTGGAACTCTACCCGTTTGCAAAACATCTGTAAGACAACGGCGTATGTGGCCGAGCCTATCAGGCGTGCAGTTTTGGATACCACGATCTGTATGAAACAAAAACACAGCCTTGAATGAACAATTCTGCACTTCGTTCATAAATTTCATTTGGAATTGGTGTCTCACAATAACTCCCACGCAGCCTGGAAGTAGATAGATCGATCTGGTGCCTGAGGCGTCTATCGCGGGATCAGATCGGGGAAATGTAAACAATCCGCGCTGTCCGACACATTTTCTAAACTTCTGCCAGGTGGCTCTTCATTCCTTCAGTAAGCCACGATTTTGACAAGGGTGTACTGCAGTGAGCTTTCCGCCCTCCACATTCTTTGTCCCCTCATCGGATATGAGCGTCCGAAAATCGATCTCTCCTTAAATCGACGCGAGTGACCATTATGGACGGACAACCCAAAGCCGCACCCCGCCTGAGTGGTATCCCACGACCTGCAAGTGGCATTCCACGGCCGACGTCGAGGTTGCCTCTACCAACGAGCACGGCCCCGAAATCGATCAAGCCGTCACCTTCCCGAGATAGACTGCGGGCCGACCCTGGATTAGACGAACGGAGATTGCGACGACCCTCATATGACACCCTCGTGAAAAAGCCGTCCTCGCGCTTTTTAGCACCGCCCAAGCCCGAAGATGACCCTGTTTCAGCGGCCAAGCAGGATGAGATCCAAGGCGAAGAGGGCGATACCCAGATTTCGGAGGAAATGAGCTCGGTTGCCGGTGATGATGATACTGCCTCGGTCGCATCAGCACAAGAAGTTAGAGGCCGCCGCGGGGTGCGCCCCTCGCTGTCCGAACGAACGCTTGAGACCCTGGCACAAATTCCACCATCACCTGCCTCGGCGAGAAGACAATCCAGCTTCTTTAACGGCGCCAGCCCAATGCGATCACCATCTCGTGCTCCGTCCAATGTATCGAGTGTCTCGAGATCCCCATCAAGGGCATCTTCTACCGCGACAAATAACAACGAGCTATATACACAGCCTGTGTCCAAGTTACGTTTGCCCTCTGCGACGTCTCGCATTCCTGCGACGTCGTCTCTTTCCCCAGTCCGTACTTCCGAGGAAAGCGTGAGTCCGTCACGATTGAAGCAACCAAAGTCCCGGCAAAGTATCGCGACGTCGGACACTCTTACCTCAGATGCCAGCTCCCCGCCCAAAAAGACGCTACCCGAGAGACCTTTTGGAGGCAAGGATGCGGGAAGGCTCTCACTCGCCCGTCCATCACCCAGTAAACCCGCCGCGAAGCCCTTGACAAAGTCTACAAAGTCAAACATGGGCCCACCGGAGAGACCGCTCCAGGTGAAGAAAACACGCAAACCTGGAACAGAGCAGGGCACCAATGCACGATCTCCTTCAGCGCCGAGATATGTCTCTGCTACTTCCAACATGCAAGACGAACTGTCTCCAGAGCAACAGGCAGAAAGTGATGCCAGAAAAGCATCGAAATCGTCGAGCACCTTACGCGAAACCATAGCCAAGGCGAAAGCTGCTCGCAAGGCAGTAGCGGCAACAGAGAAGAACGAACCACCACAGAAGTCAGTCTCACAGGCACCGATCCCTGAATCTTGGGGAACTGCCGACGACGAGGATCCATTTAACCAACTCCCTAAGGAACCTGACTCCTTGGTGATGCGCAAACGTGTACAGACAGCTCGCGCCACTGGACAGTTGAACATTGCTGCGTTTTCCTTGACAGAAATACCAAAGGAAGTACTGACCATGTACGACTATGATGCGGACAACGCGAATTGGTTTGAAAATGTTGATCTTACCAAGTTCATCGCCGCAGACAACGAGCTAGAGCAGATCTCAGATGAAGTCTTCCCAGATATTAATCCCGAGGAATTTGATCCTGATAGTGATGACCGAGGCTTGCAATTTGGAGGCATTGAGACATTGGACCTTCATGGAAACATCTTGAAGTCTCTGCCAATGGGACTTCGGCGAATGCAAAATTTGCGTTTCCTTAATCTATCGAATAATTCGTTGGACATGGAGCATATTGAGATTATCACGGAGATCAGATCATTGATTGATTTGAAACTTGCAAACAACCAGCTTTCAGGGGAATTGGCTCCCTTCTTTGGTCAATTTGACAAGTTGGAATCCTTGGACCTGCGCGGTAACAAGCTCACCACACTTCCCGAGGAGCTTGCTGGAATGAGCTCTCTCAGAACTCTGGACGTCAGTGAAAACAAATTGACGTCTCTGCCATTTGAAGCGCTCAGCAAACTACCGCTGAAAACGCTGAACGCAAATAAGAACAAGCTGGAGGGAACCCTGATCTCTGCCTCTGTGGATCGATGGGAAACATTACAGTCCTTGAACATCGCAAACAATGCTGTAGCCGTGTTCGCCGCAAATGATACTCTCGATCTTCCAAACTTGCATATCCTGTTGATTGGAGTCAACCGTATCACCCACCTTCCGAATGTGTCTTCATGGCAGTCACTGTTGACACTATCAGCGGAAGAAAACAAAATCGCCGAGCTGCCAACCGGATTTGTCGAGCTCAAAAGCATCAAAAAGGCCGATTTCACAGCAAATGATCTTACCCGCTTGGATGACAAGATTGGACTCATGGAATCCCTCACATCTTTGCGTGTTGCCAACAATCCACTTCGTGAACGACGACTACTGAACATGGACACCGACGACATCAAACGCGATCTGCGCAGCCGATGTGAGCCTGATCCCCAGGACACAGATGACGAAGGATCAGTAGCCACTCAATTCACTCTGGCACCCGAAAATCCTGCGCTTGAGGGAAATTGGCAAATCAAATCTGGCGGTACTCTTGACAAATCATTCGCCGATATGACCGATCTCACCGTCGAACAATTGGAGTCAGTTGCCTCGCAAGATATCAGGTGTCTGTATCTGCAGCAGAATCAATTGAACCACTTCCCAGTCCCAGCACTTGCAATGCTTGCGCCAGGTTTAGTTGAGCTTGATCTCTCACACAACCCTCTGAAAGGAGATGAGTTCCTGTCCACCCCGCTCGAGCTTCCAAAGCTTCAGTCGCTCACTCTCAATGCGACTTCCCTAACATCCTGGGAGCCTCTATTGAATAACCTGGTCGCCCCATCTTTGACCTTATTGGATGTATCCCACAATCGTTTGAAGGGACCTCTTCCCAACTTGCGGTCTATCTACCCAGAGCTGAAGACGGTTGTTGCATCCGACAACCAAATTGCCAGCCTAGATTTCGAATCCGTGCAAGGGTTGCAGGTTGTGGAACTTAGCAACAACGACATCGATTCCCTTCCCCCAAAGATTGGTTTACTAGCCGCTGAACGTTCCCCGCAGAACTGGGGTACTGGATCGGCTTTGCGGCGCTTCGAGGTAGCCGGCAACCGCTTTAGAGTTCCCCGGTGGCAGGTAGTCGCCAAAGGGACGGATGCTATTCTGGAGTTCTTGCGCGGCCGAATTCCGACCCAGGATCTTCCGGAATGGGAAAGGGAAGACGAAGTCAGTGAGGGAGAGCTCTAAAAAACAGAGATCTGGAAGTGGATCATGATTTTGCGGGACGTGTATAATATCGCCATGCTTGTTCTATGTACATATACATAATATCGCTGTCTATTTCTTCTCGGGCTTGTGTCATCACATCATCAGCTTCTGCACCGTTTTGCGACAAGCGAATTCATTCAATTTTTTCGCCAATTTCCTTGCTCATATCTTCAACAACCTTGAGCCACATCTTTGACCAAGTATTGAACTTGTCTGCTGGCGCATCTTCAGCAGCACCCCAAGGTGAAATGACCAGGTTGACTGCTTTCACAGCACTCTCCCTCGTCTTCTGCAGATACCCCGCAGACCTCTCAAAATCGGCCTCGTATAATCCACCAGCAGCCTCATCAACGTGATCAGGGATAGCCTGTAGGTTCGCCATCAAAGACTCAAGCTTCTCGATGCTGGCCGCAGAGGCCAAAGGCGCATCTCCGGCCTTCTTGAGACGATTATTGAGGACCGCGGGATAAACCTGAGCCAAGGGCTTGAGGAATCGAAGAGTCAACTTCTTGTGTTTATGAAGAGCGGCAGTCTCCTCAGGATCATCATCCTCATCGTCCTCCTCCTTTTCACCCTCTTCATCGTCTTCATCAAGAAGCTCATCCATGAAATCATCATCATCCTCAGGATCCCACTCCTCAATCTCCTCAACCGCGTCGCGGACCAAATCTCGCCACTGTTCGACTTTGCGCATCACAAACCCAACAACCCCCTTCTGCGAGACATCAGTCACGACATCGCATGCATCCCACACACGACCAGTAGCGACCGTCACAACATCCTTTTCCGACTTCGTCAACTCGCCCTCCTTGACGGCATCCTTCTTCTCCTGTTCCTTTTTACCGTCGACGCGCTGTACTTCGCGAACAAGAGACAGAAACTCCGTCAAAACTCCCCTGACCAGACCCAGGATCTCGGAGTGGAAGGCTTTGGTGTATTGCGCCGGGGTGATGACAAGGGCGGTGGCGACGAGTGAGGGTAGCACAGACTCGTTCAGGTCGCGGAGGACTTTGGTAATGGCGGAATGCGTGAATGGCGAGGTAATAGCCAGTAAGGAGAGTTTGGTGACATAGGCCCTGAGAGCGGTCGTGCAGGCTGCGAGGCGGGGTAGTACTTCGGGGTCTTTTGCGGTCTCGGTTGTTGTTGGTGGGGTGGTGAGGGCGGATTTATATTGCTCGACGAGGGCCAGGGTGGTGGTGAATATGGGGTTTAGTTGTTTGGACATTGTGAGGGTTGTGGGCCGGCCAATGGCGGTCGTTTGGAGGTGGTTGTTGTAGAGAAAAAAAATTGGGCGGTTGGGCCTGATAATGGTCGCGGGGCTGATTAGGGTTCCGCGGGGCCACTGTATACTTGGACTATGTCGGTGTTGTTTTGAGTCAACTACTGTTGAATTTTTGCTCTTTTTTTCAATATAATTATCTTGAACATGGCCTATCCTATTTCCTGCTCGTAGTCATATTAGCGGTTCTAGCAGGTATATTCCGTATTTGAGCGCGTGGCTAGTTGAAGTTGGTTCACCAGACTGCTGCCACTGTGAGCCTCCTGGAGGGGCATTTTTGAAGTAAACTAGTCTGTTTATACATTCCAAGGTTAGTCTTCCGAGATTCCTTGAAATATCAAGTCATCGACGATTGGCAGCTAGATTGACAGCTGGAAACTATTGATGGGTAGAACAGTGAAGCACCTGGCCAGAACCATAGATCCTCGGCTTGATAAAATTACGGAGCACTCGCATAGTCTATGAGCCTTCGAATCTGCCACATCCTTGGTCGAAACAAATCACAATCATAGTACAATCATAGTAACAAATCGAAGCAGCTTGTATCAGGTACACTAGCTAACACTCAAGTCGGAGAACTTCAGATGAATACCTAAACTGTCATATGACTTCCGAGGTCATATATCAAGAGGATGCTTCTGCTCGTCCACTCAATCTGCTCAATTAATCTTATTCCTTTACCAAGCCCATTATCATTCAAATACAACCTTGGAAAACAGACGCGTATGATCCCATGCCAAGAAATACCATTACCTAATACAATTCGCTTGCAAACAGGACAAACACATCATCATTAGATCTCCAAGCCTCACAGCTCGGAGCTTCATCATCATCTTTTTGCAGTAATGGGGACATCAAGAGCTCGCGCTCCTCCAAAGGCGCCTGCGACGCCAACACAGCACGTGGAACCCTCACGATATCTGCCCGAAAGCACCTTCATAATCGACAATGGCGCATACATGATGAAAGCCGGCTACGCTTCCACTCTCCCACCCAGCGAAGCCGTGACAGCCTGCTCCCAGGTGCCGAATACCCTTGTCAAAACCCGTGACAACAAGGTTGTGATTGGCTCTCAACTTTCGACCGTGACAGATTGGAACGAGGCGATGTTCCGGCGCCCGGTGGAGAAGGGCTACATTGTGAACTGGGAAGCGGAGAGGGAGATCTGGGATCAAACTTTCTTTGATGAGAATGCGGCGGCTGGAAATAAGAATTTGAAGATTGAAAACCCCGAAGACACCACCCTCATCCTCACCGAGGCGCCGAATGCCATGCCGATTCTACAGCGACATACCGATGAGATGGTGATGGAGGAATGGGGATTTGGAGGATATACGAGGTGTCTGGGTATGGAAGTCCGAATTTGAAGGGTTATATGAGCCTAAGAGCTGACATGGATGTGTTACAAGGCCCAACTCTCAACGCGTGGAATGAGATCCATTCTCTTTTCGGCGATCCACTCACCAAGATACAGGATCCCTTGCCGGCAGATTGCTTACTGGTAGTTGATTCGGGATACTCGCACACAACAGTTACGCCCGTGTACAAAGGACAAGCTCTCCAGCGAGGAATTCGACGACTCGACCTTGGAGGCAAGCATCTTACAAACTACCTTAAGGAGATCGTCTCAATGAGACAGTACAACATGGTTGATGAATCCTACATCATGAATGAGGTCAAGGAGGCAGTCTGCTATGTGAGCAATGACTTTGCAGGCGATTTGGAAAAAACATGGAAAACGAACCGGAAGCGCCAAACCGACGCCGAGGATGGAATTGTCTTGGACTATGTGCTTCCAGACCCGAATGCCAATAAAAGTGGATTTAGTCGACCGCACGACCCTCTTATGCACGCCAAAAAGAAGAAGGGCGCGTCTTCCGGACTCAGTGCCGAGATTCTATCAGAGGACGTACTAGTGCTTGGAAATGAGCGCTTTGCTGTTCCAGAACTGCTGTTCACCCCTGGCGATATCGGAATGAGCTCAACCGGTATCCCCGATATGATCTTGCAGGGCTTGTCGGCCCTACCGCCTGCTCTACATTCTGCCTTCTTAGCGAACGTGATGGTGGTGGGAGGAAATGCCTTGATTCCAGGGTTCATGCAGAGACTGTGAGTTTCTCAAAGTCAATCGATCGAAAATTCACTGACAAAGCTTCTTTTTACAGGGAGACCGAGTTGCGGCAAATTGCTTCTGCCGAATGTATTGTGCGCGTCCGTCGTGCTGAAGAGTGAGTTACCCCTCATTCATTGACTATCAAGTCTGGAACGATCTAATCATCTCAATTAGTCCGGTCCACTCGACATGGCTAGGAGGCTGTCGCCTTGCTAGCAACAGAGAAGAACTTAGAAAGGTGGCCATTACTCGACAGGAGTATCAAGAATATGGCTCAGGATGGGCCGGTCGACGATTTGCAGGTATCATTTGAACCAGAGGCATAGGTAGTCTTGGGGGAAGCTGAGAAAGATGGGGATGGGAGTTTGTGGTCGTCAAAAGTCGACAGCATTTGTAGCATTAGTGATACCCTTTATTCGGAACGGCGTTTGCACAGCCAGCAATGAACTCAATATATGAGAAGTCAACGAGGAATCTACCAAGTCGCCCTGAGCTCTGGATCAGAGCTGACTATATACAAATTCAGTGGAAAAAGCAAAAGTCGTTGCTCCATGACAGCCTTGAAATACTGAACGAGTACTCCTTTTAAGGAAGACGAAGCCAAATACGACTGCAATTTTTGTCCCTCCCATGCATGAGCCTTGGTAGAACAATCTACGGGCCGACGTGCCATGAGATATGCTTGTTCAAATGATGTTGTTCAGCCCTGGAGATGATGAGATCATTACTCGTTCTAATTTTGAAGTGTGTACCCTACCACTTGGAACCTAATGTATCCATGGATATTGATATACCGAGCTGAATATGCCCTTTCAATCCACTATGGCGAATTTGTTGATAATTCTTAAAAAAATCCCGATTCTTTTTGCCTAGAAGAAAAAATAAACTAGCAGCTCACAAGGAGATGTTTGTGGAACAAAAGACGTGTGACGTTGATATAGCGATCCTCAGAAGCAACGCCCAAGAGCAAGGAAAATAGCGTTCACTCAACCCTGGATATGCAACTGAGCTTTATGTAGCTATGAGATATCCTACAGCTGAGAAAGGAAACTGCTCTTTGAGACTGCATCTGTTGGCCCCCTCAACCTTCCACTTATCCTTCCGTCAAACCGATCTGGATGCACAATACCCAATCAAGCCACATCGCAGCTCCTGGGTATTGACCGTGTGAATTCCAAGCTTTCATCAATGGAGACACTTCGACTATCCATAGAGAAAGCGCGGAGGAAGGTCCAGGGGGTTCCACAACTGTGAGTTATTTTCCCATCCCCAGCGGAGAGTTCCAAGCATACTGACCAACGACACAACAGGTTTTGCTCAAGCTGCATAGAGCAATTTACAGCAAAAAAGATCTTGAATGCCCCGTGTGGACATCAATACTGCCCATCATGTCTCCGCCAGATGGCCTCAGTGTCCCTCGACAGCGTGGAGATGTTCCCCGTCAAATGTTGCCGGAAAGAAATACCAGTCCCAGTAGTTGTGTCGGCGATGAACTATCGAAACAAGAAGCGATATGTCTCCCAATCCGAAGAACAAGCCGTTCCTCCTACTGAGCGCATATATTGCCCTCGAGCGTCGTGTGGAAAATGGATACACCCAGACAACAAGGGTTCACGCCCGGGTACGAAGTTTTGCTCGAATTGTCGGGCAAAGGTCTGCTGCGCCTGTCGTGGATTTGCGCATGGTCCTTGGCCTTGTGCAGAAGACGAGAGTCTAATCGCAGTCTTGAGAATGGCCAAGGCGAGGAAATGGCAGCGGTGCAATAAGTGCCATTTCATGGTCGAGAAATTGGATGGTTGTAACCACATTGCTTGTAGATGTGGGCACCACTTTTGGTAAGTTAGCAAAAGAGACTGCAGGATTGTATACTGACTTCAAGTCGAACAGCTATATCTGTGGTGGTCGTCAGAACAGATGCAGATGTCCCACAGAAGATACCGAAGAGCCGGCCCCAGATGGAGATCTTGATGCCCGTACACTGGTTACTGCAATGCAGCAAACAAATCTTGATGGCGCTCACTAGGGGAAGATGTTTGAGAGGATAATTTGATTTTCACTCGCGATCTATACAGGATACAAGCGGGGTATCGCTATCGAGAAACCATTTTCGAACTGAGGACTGAGCCTCCTGGTCTGTCTTTCCAACTAAGACAAATGATATTTAATAGTCGTAGAAGCCCTTGCCGCTCTTCCTGCCCAGCCAACCAGCATCCACCATGCGGCGTAGAAGACCAGCGGGTCTGTACTTACTATCGCCGGTCTCTTGGTGCAGAACGTTCATAATAGCGAGGCACGTGTCCAGGCCGATGAAGTCAGCGAGAACAAGGGGGCCCATGGGCACGTTGGTGCCAGTCTTCATGATGTTGTCGATATCTTCACGACCACCGACACCGGTCTCGAGACAGATCACAGCCTCATTGAGGTATGGCATGAGGATGCGGTTAGCCAGGAATCCAGGAGAGTCGGCGGACACAGAGGCGACCTTGCCCATCCGCTCGACGAAGGCAATGGCTGTGTCCATGGTCTCTTGTGAGGTCTGAAGACCACGGATAATCTCAACGCCCTTCTGGATCGGCACAGGGTTCATGAAGTGAGTGGAGATCACCCGGGAGGAAGCCTGGAGGTCTGTAGGGTCTGTGCTGGTGGCAGCAGCGATCTTAGTGATGGAGATAGATGAGGTGTTTGTAGCAAGGATGGCATGCTTAGGTGCAATCTGCGCTAAGCTGGAGAAGATCTTGGTTTTGAGATCTGGGATCTCTGGCACCGCTTCAATGACAAAGTCAACGGAAGACAGGTCATCTATCTTGACAGTTGGGATTAGAAGGGCTCGGGCCGCATCAGCAGCGTCTCGTGTAAGACGTTGCTTAGCGACATCCTTCTCAAGAAGCTTGTCTGAATTGCCATCTAGTATTAGACATTGTCTGTTCGTTGGTGAAAGCCGAAGTTAAGCGTACCGGCAAACTTGAGGCCCTTATCCAAGGAGGCCTGTGAGCTGTCGACAAGTGTGACAGGGACTTGTGCCTTCTGAGCAGCAACAAGAGCAATTCCGAGACCCTAGAAATGTTAAATTGACGCCGCAGCTGTAGAACATCTTTCACCTACCATCTGACCCGCACCGATAACACCCAACGACTTGACCTCGGCTGCACGGGCTGCAGAGGTGTAGCTGAAGTGTCGGGCCATGGAGGGTCCCTTTGGGAGAGATGCGAGGCGAATGGAAGCAAACATGACTGCAAATCTGTAAAAAGCAATGAACGAACACAAGTATAGAGAAGTGAGGAGAGTAAGTGTGCAGAAGCACGGGGAAATACTATGACTTCACATGCTTAGCGGCCGCTATATGCTGTTCACCGCCTTTGTAGAGCAACTCGAATACATTGGCATGAGGTAGATTTCCCATAATTTAAGATATTTAAATGGGCTAGCTGGTTTAGGTATGCAAGGGAGCTTGAATATTGAATGTACCTTTCTCATTGGTCTTCGAGAACATAATCCAGAAACGCAGAAACGAAAGAAAGTGACCGTTGATATAGATCGGACATTCTGCCGGAGAGCAAGTGGCCGCAAACTCGCGTTGTACCCGCCGCCGGTTATCTTCGGCACTTTGGCGGCATCCAGTTTCTCCGAATCGCCGAGGCCCGACGCGTCGACGCGTTCTGCCCATTACACTCGATTAGGAAGACAATCAGCCATGGATGAGGAAGTCGTCGCCGTTGGTCATGACGTGCAAGTCGTCGATCCAGACGTGCGCAACTATGTCTATGGCCTGGTCACCGCTGTGAGTTCCTGTCTTCTGCCTTCTCCCTGTCACTTGCGTCTCGGTCTTGTGAATTAACTGAATTGTCTAGCTCGGAGGCTTCAACGGCGAGAATGCGGACCGATATGTGCTTGGAGACGATGCACTCGCCTGCTTACGCGATATCAAGCGCTGGCTGAAACTCTACGATGAAAAGAACAATCGGATGGACGTTGCGCGGTGCCTGGGAGAGGCCAATGTGATCAGTGGTGATCTACTTCCAATCCTCACCCTGTGGTGGGAAACTGGACAGAAGAGCAAGCATATGACCAGAATTGCATTGGCTTGTCTAGAGCTGCTCGTCCCTCTGACATGGCCACTCGAAATCCATAGCCAGATGACAGTCAATCACCACCGCCACACTCCCTACCTTCTTCAAGCACAAGTACAATACAAGCGAGGGATTCTCAAGGCCGGTGGAGCAAATCTGTTGCGTTCGGCCGTCCGAATTGCCCTTCCGAGTATGGCGATCCCGCGATCCGAACGAGAATCACGAGATGAAGGAATCCTTAAGTTGATGCTATACTTCCTGCGAAATGTTGCTATCATATCGCCGAACGTCCGACTCGCAGGCGAAGGTGACGAGGAGGAGACATCGCGATCAGCCACGATCAATGCTTTCCAGCAGCAGGATGCCTTCGCACTGATCCTGACCATGTGCTCTAACGTCGGTGATGATTTCAATCTTCAAGACATTGTTCTGCTGGAAATTCTTTTCCATCTCGTCAAAGGTGTTGATGTCAAGAAAATATTCAAAGACGACGAGCCAGAAGGCACCAGTTATGCCAACGATCTAGCCGCCATTCTGAACAAGGAGAAGTTGGAACGAAGAGAGCACCAAAAATATGCGCCAACACGCCACAGCAGATTCGGCACGATGATATGGGTAAAGCGAGATGATGGGAAAATGTCTACTGTCTCCGGTCAGCGTTCACTGCGTGATGATCAGCAAACATATGAGAAGATGGATCAGAGCAAGAAATGGAACAAACCTAAGCCCCGCCGCAAGCAAGAAGACACGACGCAGAACAGCAACTTCAATGTTCCCGTGCATTTGAACCGGGAAGCAACCGACAACCTGAGAACCTTTGTCGAAGAGTTCCTGGATTCTGGCTTCAATCCGCTCTTCACTCACGTTCGAAAAGCAATTGAGCGAGAGGCTGAGCGAGTGCTGGATATCAACACCCGGCAGTTCTTTTACACCGTCGGCTGGTTCCTCGAAGCAGAGCGAGTTCGTCGGGAACGCCAGACCCGTCAGCGCACGGCTCGAAATGGCGGAAAGTCTAAGAAGATTGAGCCTGACAGCTATGGTCTTGTTGCAGGTGTGCTTAACCAAGAGACATTCATTTCCCTCAACAGGTCCATGCAAAGCAGTTTGGATAACAAGGATTGGGAAGACCTCAATGCTCAGATGCGTTGCTTTACGCAGATTCTGTTGACGGTCCAAGAAATGGCAGCATCGCCGCTCGAGGATGACCAAGAAATCGCTGAGAACATTCAAAATCGTATCTTCTACGAAGAAACGACCCACGACCGAATCTTGGCCATAGTGCGTGGATACAAAGATCAGAGCTTCGGTTACCTCGATGCCTCTACAGAGCTAGCGCATGTCTTTTTGCGGATGCTCGAAAGATACTCCAAGGATAACGCCGATATGCAAATTCGCTCAAGACGCAAGGCGAAGCGAAAGCAGAAGAAGGCCGCGAACCCCGAACAACAGGAGGGCGCAGACGGCGGCGAGGAACCTGACTCCGAAGAAGAAGACGAGATGGAAGACGCCGCGCAGGTCAGCAAAGAGCGTAATTTCGACTTCAAACGATTCGCAGCGAAGTTCTGCAACCAGGCTTGCGTTGATACGTTCGTTGCTTTTACCGGGTATTACAAGGAATTAAGCTCCGAGCAACTTAAGCGTGCCCATCGTTACTTCTACCGCATTGCGTTCAAGCAGGAAATGACTGTCTTGCTCTTCCGCATGGACATAGTTGCTCTGTTCCATCGAATGATCAAGGGTCCCGAGCCCATGGACTCCAGCAAACCAGTGTTCAAGGAATGGGAGGAACTTGTGAGGCAAATCATTCGACGACTGATCAAAAAGATTGATCAGCGCCCCGCCTTGATTACCGAGCTGTTGTTTAGCAAGATCAACTCCACGGTGTACTACCTTGAATACGGACACGAGAAGCAAACGATCTCGGCCTCGAAGCGACCAGCAGCGGAGATCGTGATTACATCAACCGAAGCGACAACAAAGGAAGCACAGCTACAGATCGTCGTCGGAGCACTCGTCCTAGATGGAAGGGCGGACTTGGTCAAGTGGGTTAAAGATGTCCTAAGCTCTGCAGCCGTTGAAAGAGAGATATGGGAAATTCAAGAAGAGAGTAACCGCGTTGAGGACCCCGAAATGACCAGCGTTCCCAATCCAATGATCAGTAAGTTCCCCAACAATTCTAATCAAACAGAATTAACCTTGCAGCAGCCGTTAAAAGCAAGGACGAGTTTGTTCAAAATGCAATGTTCTCAAATGCGAGATTGCGTCTACTCATGAAGATTGTCGGATTCGAGCGACTAGGTGTTGAAGACGTGCTCGGTGCCGCTTGGATTGTTCCGTCACCCTTGAAGTCCGAGGACTTGCGTGAGACCCTGTCTGAGATCGGGAAAGCCCTTCAAACCCCATTCTCAAGCGAGGGCGATGACGATCCCCGCAAACAGCTACAAAAGAAGGATAGAGGGTCCGGCCGTGGTGACACACTCCAAGGCACACTTGATGTGAACTTCGGATCAGAATCCGAGGGCGAGGATATTCCAGACGGCCCTCTTTTCCCAGCGAACCCGCGATCCAAGGCAAGTGCCCTGGACGACTTGAAAAAGAAGCGCAAGAAGAAGTCAAAGTCCAACGCCGAAAGAGAGCTGCTGGATGACGAAACCCTGGAGGCACGACGCGATGCCCGTTTGACCAATTCCCTCTCCCGCCAGGCCAAGATCAAGAGTGATCTTTTCATTCACGCAAGTGACGAAGAGAGCGACGCCGAAGCCGACAAGGAATTCTTCCGCCTTGAGGAGGAACGCCGCAAGAAACAAGCTGCCGAAGTCAAGAAAGCCTTGCTCACTGGCCCTGGACACTCGGAGAAGTCAGGGAAAGGAAAAGGCAAGAAAGCAGCGGCGCGGAAGCGAGACAGCGACACTGGTGCAGCCATCAAATCGAAGCGCCAGCGCCGTGATTCGGCCTCCGCTAGTGGTGCCGGTAGCGATGCCGACGGTGACATTCTCATGGCGGAGCCCAATGATCAGCCATCTGATTCCGCGCCCGTCGCCAATGATGATAATAATTCTGTTCCACCGGACGACGACGATCTTGTGTTTGACGATGATCTTGCCTTTAGTCGCGACCGTCCTAGTAAGCCTGAAGCACCGGAGCCCGATGACGACGAGGATGAGCCTGTGGCATCGACGCGGAGACGCATGCGTGGTGAATTTGTGATTGAGAGTGACTCGGACTCAGAATAAGGGGTTTGATATGTTTATGACTTGATGAGGCGTTGCATTGTATAGGACTTGTAAAACAAACAGAACATTTATCTCAATTCGGCTTTCATAGCGAAGCTTAAATACGAACTTCCCCACACTTTTGGAGTTGACAGCTTTTGTTACTCTTTCATATTTCCATTAACCAAAATGACCGCGACCGTCTTGACAGCAGCCTGTCATTGTAAAAGCATCAACTACACTCTCACTGTCCCTGCAGAGTGTCTTCCTCTCAAGGTCCACATTTGTCATTGCGGCGTCTGCCGGCGCACTCATGGCACTCCATGTATCTTCCACGCTCCTCTCCCAGCTGGAGTCGCGCCGCAGTTCAACGCCCCATCTGGCATGGATAAACTGACGCCGTACAGCCACGGGCAGTCTACAGGCACACGGTACTTCTGCAGTACCTGCGGTTGCCACATTGGGGATCGAGGACACGATGATGGTAACTGGGTGATCTCCACAGCCATATTCACAGAACCGAATGACCATCTCTGGGAGATGCACTCGCACATATTTACAGAATCCTCAAGTGATGGGGGACTTTCGGCAATGATTTCACATGTTGATGGTCGTCAGCTTGACGTCAAAAACCAAGACACACCAATGATTACCAACACTACTGAGACTTTACTGAAAGACCCAAAGCTGAAGTCGAAAGACCTGCTCGCCAAATGTCACTGTGGGGGCGTATCGTTCTCCATTTCCCGTCCCAGAAAGGAATTCATCTCCAGCCCTAGAAGCGAAGGGTGGGTTCTACCACAAGACACAAATAAATGGCTTGCTCTTCTTGACCTCTGCGATGATTGTCGCTTAGTGGATGGGTCGAATGTGATCGCCTGGATGTTTGTCCCCGTTGATCATATCTCGCCATGTCCACCAGAGGATTTGCTCATTGGGTCTTCTACAAGCTACAGGTCCAGTGAAGGTGTCCTGAGGACATTTTGTGGAACTTGTGGATCGACGATCTTTTACAGCTGCGCCGACCGGCCCGGGATTGTTGATGTGGCAGTGGGGATCTTGCGTGCCGAGAGTGTGATGATTGAAGACTGGGCTTTGTGGAGAACTGGGAGGATTGGAGCCGCTGCCGATGGACTCAAATACGACCCTGGATTCAGTGGAGCTCTGATTGAAGGGGTTGAGATGTGGGGTAGAGAGCGAGGCATGCCGGAAGATTTCATCGTACCCTAGAGACTTAGACCCTAGCCTTACACCACTCATCGTTCCCGAAAAATCCAATTCATACCGATTGCCGTGCCCCACGATTTGCCGAGCCGAGCAAGAGTCGAGATGACGATAGACACAAAATGCAATTCACAGGGCGTCCACGTATGAGTCAACAGCCGCAAAAGTGGAGAAAGCAAGTATAAAAAGCACCCGCCATCCGCCCTCCGCCAATATCCGCACTTCATCCCTCAACTCCAACATGTCCCTCAACTTCGTCACCCTCGATGTATTCACATCCACCCCCTACTCCGGCAACCCTCTAGCCGTAGTCTTCCTCCCCGAGCAAGGCGCGCTATCCCAAACCCAAAAGCAAACAATTGCCCGAGAATTCAATCTCTCAGAAACCATCTTCGTCCACCCCGTTCAAGAAAAGACAAAGCGCACAATCGACATCTTCACTACAGATTGCGAAATTCCTTTCGCAGGCCACCCGACTATCGGCGCCGCATCTTGGTTCCTCACTCACTCCACCGACGAGGGCGTCACCACCCTCGCTACAAAGTCCGGTGATATCCCTATCTCAGTGCAGGATCCGGCGAGTGGTTATGTCGCCGCGCAGATCGCGCATAACACGCGCATTCACGCTGCGCGATTCGAACTGGCTGAGCTACTACGCTTGCATCCTAGCTTGACGCCATTTTTGAGTGGGGATGTTACGTTCCCGCTGTTTTCGATTGTCAATGGTATGAGTCAGTTGTTTATTGAGTTGGGTTCATTGGAGGCGCTGGCGGCTGTGACGGCTCCAACTGGTGGGGAGCTGATTTCGGCGAAGTATCTTGATGAGGGGTGGAGAGCGGGTTTGGTGTGCGTTTATTTCTTTGTGAGGGATGTGCAGGATGAGGTCTTGGGGAAGAAGGTCATTCGCTCGAGAATGATGCTGGGTACTTTAGAGGACCCGGCTACTGGTAGCTCGGCTAGTGGGCTTGCGGCGTATTTGGCGCTTACGGAGGGACAGGCTGGGCAGCAGCATGATTATCATGTTGTGCAGGGTGTGGAGATGGGTCGTCGGAGTGACATTGGTGTTGGCGTTACGCTGGATGCGGGGAAGAAGATTGAGCAGGTTGTGCTTACTGGTACTGCTGTTAGTGTATCTGAGGGCAAGGTGCGGGTTCCCCAGGCCTGAAGATAGGCATCTTCGAATAGCGAAGTATGCATATAATTATGATTAATGCTTCATGAGCGACTCGGCTCCCCGGGGTCATTGACAGATTGTTAAATCAACATCGATTTCTGCTCAAATTTGTGCGCATGACAGCATTAAAGATATGGGTGAAGTGTAAGTCTCCAGTATTCCATCAATATTGCTCTATAGCTTCTTCTCATCAACCAATTGTCTCAACGCCTTGATCGTCCCCTCAACCGCCATCTGGCTCATTTTCTTTTCCTTCTCGTACAGTATCGCCAACTCCTCCTCCGACGCACCGGGATGTCTCCACTCAAAGATATAAGTCATGTAGAGATCACCGCCAGCTCCAGCACTTAGCACATTGCTAACCTTGCTTCCATCCGGTTGCTCGAATTCCACCCTTGTAGCTTTGAATGCGGTGACAGTCTCTTGCACGGCCTTTTGGTTTTCGCGGAAAATAACCTCGCGAACGGTGACCGGGTTCCCGGTTGTAGGATCGGTGGACTCGCTGATGACTTTTGTGGATTGGATCGCTGCTGGGACAAAGGTCTCCGCAGAGCGGATCTTGAGGAGGAGCCCGTTCCAGACTTGTTCGGTAGTCAGGACTGGTGTTGAACCCGGTGGGTTAATTGGGGCTGTGAAGGCGACGTTGTTGGACATTTTGGCGTCAGTGAGAGAGGTATTAAACTGGATTGTCGAGGTAGGAATAAGGTGGGAATAAGGTAGGGATGAGCTCTTTTGTACCGCTGGAATGTGGGGCTGCTGATGTGATGACGAAACCGATAAGCCCGATAAGCCCGATAAGCCGAGGCTTTATAAGCAACTCTTCTCCCCGGGGCTCTTGGGCAAGTAATCTTTGTCAATAGTGAGCTTCCTTCCTTGACCATTAGTTCGGTGAGTGTAGTAAAGGAAAGCCTACAATCCTTGGGCTGAGCTCAAGAAATGGTCAAATTGGGTGTTTTCGTTCCTGTAATCAGGAATGATTCCTCTATAAGCAAATGGATCACCAATTTTGCTGACCCTTGGTCGGCCGAAGGATCACTTAGTAGCTACATTCGGTCGTTTTTCCTGTTGAACGAGAGGTTTTTCACACTTGGTCCATGACAGTGTTTGCCAGCGGACACCGCTCTATGGTCTGTGCAAGAATATCGTCCAAAAAGTCAGCTCCCATCTTTTAGTATTCTTAGCAACATCCATCAAACAAGTTGAAATATCTTCTCTTCATCGCAATCCCATCAAACGATTGCAGCCCCCGTAGCTGGTGATTGAGAAAGCAAGTTTTATTTGAATGATTTCTCTAGATATTTAGGTAGTATTTTAGTTGTAAAATAAACTATAAACCCGACCTCCCGAAATCACCTACATAGAAAGAGAAGCCAAAAAAAAAAAAAGGTTTGTAAAAGAAGCCCTTGCTATAGAGGTTGCAAGCTGCACGTGAGGGTCATCCGGTCTTTTACAATTAGCATGTTTTGAGGGTTAATCCTAAATTCAAGTTGAAACTGAGAAAATCTGAGATTTAAGAAAAACAGTATAACTAGTTATTTGGTAATCTCCATTGAATTAATATCTCCTTACAAATTTGAAATTTAGAGATACATAATTCAGAAAAATCCTTTCATCCAGAAGCCTGGCTGGCGCAATGGTAGCGCGTATGACTTATACGACTTTCCTCCCCTTGAGAGGGAAGGCTGTATCATTAAGGTTGCCGGTGAGCCCGGCGTCGGGCTTTTCATTTTTTCGGTGCTTTTGATTGATCCTATAAGATGCACATATCTTTTGCCAAGACTCGAAATCTCGTCCTGTGGCGTAGCAATCAGGATTGGGGGATTCCTCATCAGAGGTCGGGTATTCGAAATAGGTCAAAGTCAATGTGACATTATTTTTCTTTTATAAGCCTGCATACCTAACGGGTGGGGCTACTGCTGACGAAACCGATGAGCCGATAAGCCGCGGCTTTACAAGCAGGGCCTGCAGCTCGGATGATTTGGATTTATAGCACAGTCTAGTTTCGGATCGCGAGAGAAAGAAATGTTGGGATGTTGCAAAAAGTCGGAAGTTTTTGGTTCTTGGCGGGCAAAACGAGGCCCAATCAATCCACAGGGCATGGGCGTTACACAGCCCGTCTGACAGAATCTAGCTGGCTAACCAAGGAAGAAAAGTAAACGGAAAGACCATGAGCTTGAGCCAGAGGAAAAAATCCCCTCTGTGTTGGGGCGTTTGAGTAAAACCAGTCTCTGTGTAGGTGACCACCCAGTCATCCCATTGGGGGGATATGCAGGTGAAGTATTGATAAATTTGTGAGAATCTGTGGAGTCAGAATTAGAAACCTTTCTATACTAAGTTGGCTTGAAACATACGGGTAGATCATCGAGTTCCATCCTCGTTCATCAATGTACCAATTGCTGCAACCTCCCTTCATCCAGATTGAGTCCTTCGATGCCAGCTGAACTTTCTGTGTCCAGGCATGACGTGCATCTTTCTTGACCTCCAAAGACGCAATCTCACCTTCAAGTACAGGACCAATAAGTTGCACGATATAGGAGACTGAGTTTTCGATCCCACCCATGACACTCCCGTGGCTAACGGATGAATTTGGTCCAAATAGAAAGAAGAGGTTGGGAAATTGATCCATTGCAAGCCCCAAGTATGCTTGGGGTCCTCCCCCCGCGAGCTCCATATATCTTGAAGGTCGATTCCATCTCGACCTGTGATGCTGATAGATGAGAGAAAGTTTGAAGTCGGGTTATACCCCGTGGCGAGCAACAAGACATCAGTGGGAAGTTTGGTTTCATCTCTGCCTGTCCCGACCACCAAGTCATTCGACTCGAATCGCCTTACTTGTGAGTCGTGAAGACTAAATCTGGGATCTTTGAGCGTGTCATACCAACCGGAGTCAATGACCACCCTCTTGCACCCAACCATGTATTTCGGCGTGAGCATGTTTTTATATTCCCCCGGAACTTTCCTGTCAATAAAGCTCACAAGTTTGCGCCGCAGCCGCTCTTGAAACCGGCTCCCGTATAATATGTTCCGGAAGAAAATAAGATAAAACAGCTCATTGATGATGAAAAGCACCGAGCGCGCAATCCAGGCACCTAGCCTGCAGCTGACAATGACAGGCATGCATATATTCCAGAAGCGACTTATTGCACCCGAATAAGGGTCTGGCATGACCCAGTGAGGGGATCGAATGATTTGCGCGACAGATCTCGGTTGGATCTCGCTCGAGGTGAGCAGTTGTGGCACAAGCTGTGCAGCACTGCATCCGCCGCCTATGACTGTGATATCCTTTCCTTCCAAGTCCACAGAGCTATCCCACTGCGCGGTGTGCATCACACGACCGCGGAAAGTGTCGCTACCCGGAATAGTCTGCATAATTGACATATCAGGATTTCCAGATTTTCCAACTGCGTTGATGACAATCTTAGCACGGACTCGAGCTCGTCCATTAGCAGTGGAAGTGCTAGCGATCCATTGCTTTTCACTATTGTCCCAAATAAGTTCAGTGACATTAGTGTTGAGTTGGATTCTATCCAGGATCCCATGACGTGCGCAAACTGCATGTAGGTATTGATACATTTCTTTACCAGTCGCCCTGGGACCTGCGAAGCTCGGCGGAGGAGCGAAAGAATAGGAATAAAGCGGAGAAGGTCTGTATGATTAGCTGCTTTGAGTTCTGAAAATCACTCCAACAGACTTACGAGTCAGTGGCTACCCCGGGGTAACGATGATTCCACCATGTTCCCTGAATTTAATGTTAGACTAATTCGTAACCATGTGTAGGGGCAACAAGTTGAAATTTACCCCAATACCATCCTGACTCTCAAAGACCACAAACTGGTTGCATCCGAATTTGCGTTTCAGTTGGCACGCAGATGAGATACCGGATATACCAGCTCCTATGATGATGACTGAGTAGTAAAGATCTGATTGGGGAACATCATTGCTGTTTTCCATATTGCGACGTTCGTGAATGGTAGGATATGGTGTAGAATTCAAGATAAGAACCTTGGAAGAATGGTATTCCTACAAGCTTTCACGCAGGACAAAGCAAGGGGGAGATCTAGCGATTTTCCCCTGCCAATCCCTTGATCTCTCATATTCTCAAGGTATGTGCATTGATATCTTGATAGAAAGGGATTACGTATAATCACACCATTACCCAAGAGTATTTGAAGTGTAGTAGGGGAACTCATGACTCAGAGGCAGGAGAGTGTACAAGAGAGAAAGCCTACGTAGATGTTTGGACCTATCTGGGGAGTCAGGCAAATTCAACAAGGATCGATATTCAATCTCCTTGAGTCGTATACTAATTCTATTCTTCTGCTGTTCAACTATGTTCTTTCTGGGCCTCTGTGCTCTTGCTAGACACATTATATCGCTCTTGAAGGGTCGTCACACACAGACGACTCAGTCCACCAACAGTTCCTGCTTTCGAGATCTCCGTTAAGCTAATCTCCATTGCCAGTTGTCGGCGGAACCAGTTCCGAATTTCGATTGACATCAATGAATCAATGGGGATGCTGGCCATATCATCGTTTTCTCTCTCCTCGCGAGACATGTGCGCGTTGATCAGCTTGCAGAGCTCGGTCATGATGCGCACCTCTGTGGCAGGGTCATCGAGCAGATCTGGACTCTGCTCAATCATTCCAAAGAACTCTTTCAAATCTGTCTGGTCCATTTGAGACTCTCGCTTTCCATGTTCTTCAAGATTCTCATACATGGAAAACCTAATATCAGGACCCCACAAAGGTGTCACACCAGGCGCGGAGAGAGGCTTGATTGAGTTCACGCCAATCATCGTTACACTTGATGTGAAGTTGGCTGTATCTGGTGGCGATCTAAAAGGCAAAATGGCCGCATGAAGTGCATCCATGACAGCCTCCTGGCGAATGAGGCGGGCGCCTGTGGCCTTCACGCGGTTCAGCGTGGGCTGATCGTGATGTACGCACCCGATGTCCTCTACTACGCCGAGGTTCACAACGGATGCGACGCGTCCAAGCTGACGACGATAAGTGACGAACGCATCAAGGAAAGAGTTAGCCGCCGCATAGTTTGACTGACCCACGGTGCCAACTACTCCAGACATGGAACTGAACAGAACAAAAAAGTCAAGGCCAGATTCGTGCTCTTTCAACGCCCGATGCAGATTGTAGGTGCCATCAACCTTGGGTTTTATGGCTTGCAGCCACTGAGTGTGGCTCATTTTAGCAAGGCTCTCATCCTAGATCAATCCGTTAGCTGTGTTCTTGTATAAAAAAGATGATTAGCGTTTCGGAAGAAGAGAATGCATACTTGAAGCACCATGGACATTTGAATCACGCCTCCAATGACCCGTCCTGCAGCTCTTGACAGCGCTTTGATGGTATCCTCCAATTGAGAGACATCTCCAGAAACCATCTCGACCTCACAACCCTGCCGCTCTAGCTCACAAACGAAGCGGCGATGATCTGGCAGCCGACCTGCCGATCTTGAGAGGAATATCAGGTGCCGAGCACCCTTTTCGACAAGCCGATTTGCCACAGCACGTCCAATTCCACCGAGCCCGCCAACTAGAAGATATGACTTGGTAGTGTCGAGTTTTGCAGGGATTTGGGTAGGCCCTGAGGATAATTGGTCCGCGCCCTTGGGCATCTGAATCACAATTTTGCCCATGTGTCTTCCACTCTGCATGTATTTGAAGGCCTCAACCACCTCACTCGCCTCGAAAACTTTGATCGGCCGAATCGGCCGGATTTTGTTTCCCTTGTACCAGTCGACAAATTGAACCATCAAACTAGATGGAAATAATTAGACAAGTGACCGTTCATTTGAGCCAAAACCACTCACCGTTGCGATAACTCTGGCTGTTCTTCAATAATGCTCAGCATGTCAACACCAAAGAATGACCTGTTTCCACCGAAAAGATCCATATTCAAACTTCCGTGGGCGAGGAAATCTCGCTTTCCCAGTTCAATCATTTTACCTGACCTGGCGACGCATTGCCAAGAGGCATGTAGTAGGCTGCCGGCTAGTGAATTCAAGACGAGGTTAACACCGGCCCCGCCTGTTCTTTTCATCACACCTGGATGGAATGAATCGTCCCGAGAAGAAAATATGTTCTCCATGGGAATTCCATACTCTGCATGCAAATAACCGCGTTTTTCTGGTGAGCCTGCAGTAGCGTATATCTATATCAATCGTCAGCAACCGAGAGAACTATCCCAAGGCGAGCAGGCATGCATACAGTCGCGCCAATTTCCTGGCATACTTGAACAGCTGCTAAGCCCACACCTCCTGTGGCACAATGAATGAGAACCGTCTTCCCAAACTGTTAGCCTTCAATCAAAGTTGAAAGTTTAGTGACTGATTTGATCCACTTGCCTGATTTGACTGCAGTTGCCCAATTGTGATCAACGAGTAAAACGCAGTTGCATAGACTGCTGGAATTGTCGCAGCATCCTGCAAAGATAACCCCGGTGGGATTTCGATACACTCATGTTCATCTGCGCGCGCTCGTGTCCGAAAGAGACCTTTGTTACAGACCACCACTCGGTTCCCAGGCTCGAATCTAGTGACCTTGGCGCCGACTCTGCGCACGGTAGCACTGGCTTCAATTCCAGATTGGCTCGACTCTCCCATCACACCAAGTGCAATCATAAGATCCTGATCGATATACCGTTAGAAAATGACAAGTTCGAGCGTTGGTGATTGTACTGCGACATACCCGGAAATTAAGACCAACACAATGCACATCGAGTTCAAGCTCCGTAGGCCCCAGTGGAGCTTCAGAGTTCACACTGGCTTCCCAGAATAGACTATCAAGAAGTCCATATCGGCGGACAGATAGGCGGCGAGGTGTATCTGAATCCGGCGTCTCTTCCATTTGTTCTCGGAGGGATCGCCAGTTGACGCGGCTCACATGCACCTGGCCTGATCGAACTACATATTCGTCGTCTCGAAGGGCTCCTTGTGGAATTGCCTGTCTTGTACGTTTGAAAATATCCACAACTGCTTGGCATGTTGCATTATTCAAAGCATCAATTTCCACGGTGACGATATTTCCCACTATCTCTCTTCGCAGAGTGCGAGAAAGCCCTAGGACGAGACCAAATTGGGGGTTCTCACAGGCCATTTGTACACTTCGTGTAAGATAGATTATGGGAACGTTTGAGCTTCGAGAAAACAGCTGTTTTATCTGCTCAAATCGTGCCTCGTCCATATCATGCAGGGCAGGTGCAGATAGGTCCAACAGGGAGATGATGCAGCCTGTATCTGTAGGCAGCGACCCTAAGGTAGCCCTAGTCACAGTATAACCTTGGTCCTTTAGCACTTTCTCGAGGCCTTCATCCCACGCAAGGCTGCCTTGGGAGACATTTGACAGAAGCGTGACATGCTGCGTGGGCAAATAGTCGATCGGGCGCCGAGAGATAATATTGGCATTCTGCTGGAATGGGTATGCATTATCAGGTGTGACACACATTGCACCCGTAAAACCTGCCTGAATGAGCTCAGTATGCCATCTGTCTGGCTTGACGTAGGGACGATCGATTCGTCCATCCTCTTGTCCGTTCCACCAGTCGGGTAGGATTCCCATTATAAAATCGGTATACAGATTCTCTGGTGGTCAAGATTAGTTTTTCCGAGCATTGGTTGAATGGAAAGACCTGTTACACTGAATACTCACCAGGGCATAGCTCTTGAAGCAGAAGGAATCCACCCGGTGCCAAGAGCTTGTGAAGATTTGCCAATGAGCTTGAGAGAGATGGTGTGGCATGAATCACCTGCCAAAAAAGTCAGTCTCCTCGAACATGTATTATTCTAGAATAGAAGATTGGGTCATGCGAGGAAGTAGGATCACAGCTTACATTCGACGCAAAGATCAGGTCGTAAGAAGCCGGCGTAAATCCCTGCTGGAGAGGGTCCTTGGTGATATCCAGTAGTTGAAAACTAACACTGTCGTGTTGACTAAACCGGTCCGCTGCAGCCGAAAGGAAAGCCGGAGATATGTCAGTAAATGTGTAACTGGCAAACATCCTCTTCCCTTCAGTTGATCGCATTGAGTCGAGAACCTGTGCACAAGTGGCCCCCGTGCCAGCTCCGATCTCGAGAATTCTAACCCGAGGGTTCCAGTGACCGACTTGCTTGAGGAATGGTGTCCAATCTGACAGAGAGCTGACAAAATCATACATATTGCGCAGGTGATCCATAGTCAAAACCTCCAGAGCAGGAATGCGTCCCTCTATGATTTCGATGCAATTTTCGAACACGGGTCTGAGGAGCTCTTCCACTTTGTCCACACCTCGCCCCAAAGCTTTCAGGTGCTCACGGATCTCGGCAGCTCGAGTGAAACGTGAGATCTTGTCCATATTATGCCATGGGATTTGAAGGAAAGGTTGAGCCGTTCCACTCAACATCTGCTCATGGGTTCTTTGTAACCAAGAATGGTATTTCTTCAGATGTTCAGTCGCGGGAGTCACATCTTGAATCTGCAAGGCTGCTTCAAGGATGTAAAAGCAAGTAATTTCTGACACCAATGAGACGCCCCTCTCTTCTGATTTGAAAGGAAGCCAGTTCGAAGGGGAGACCAGGTCCAAGCATGGTGCCCAGTCTATCTGTGACAAGAGAGGGATAGTGCTTTCTTCGTCTACCTCATCATTTGCCAGAGAGAAAAAGTTTGCGCCGGTCACCACAAGCGCGGGTCCTTTATGGCTGAACATGCTGATATCTCCAGAGAGCACGGTCGAAGCCACGTCACCGTCGCTGTTTGCTTGACACCAAATATCTCCCTCGGCCTTACTTACGAAGATCCGATCGACCCAAGCCGGAATGGCGAGTGAGCTAGCCCGTCTCTGAATCCCATTGGCCATGGCGACGGACAAAAGTTGAAGGCCTTGGTCAATCACAGTCGGATGCACTAGGTAGGAGTCCCCGGAGTCCTTACTGTCCTCGGTCAAGGTTGCATTTGCAAGGTGATCTACTGGATCGACAGTAATATCACTCATCCGCTGGAAAGTACTTCCATAATTGAGCCCTAAGCGGGCCATGAACTGATACCAATCTCTTGACTCAACGGTTCGTGTCCAGCGTGGCTGCTTGCTTATCTGAGGTAGGCCTGCCTCATTGATTGGACGTATCTGACCCTGGCAATACGTGCCCCATTCAGAGCCATCCAAGGCAAGTACAACGAACTCAAACCACTCCGAGTCAGCGATGTCGCTCAGTCGCTCAGGTCTTAGCGAGGTGATAATCTCAGTGGCGTTTGTTTCTTGAAGGAAGAGTGGCTTCTTCAAAATAAGGTTCCGAATCTCATAGCCTTCACAATGACAATGTTGTCGTATGGCTTCTCCGACCATGGCAACATACCCGGCACAGGGAAACACAGTATCCCTGAACAGCTTGTGATGCCCCAGCCAGGGGCAGTTGTGAATTTGAAGCAGATTTCTCCAAGAAGGTTGCAATGGCGTGGTCTCCAATACTCTGGACCCGAGAAGCTCATGATGGGGAAATTTTCGGTGTCGCCAACTCTCGCTGATGCGACTTTCACTCCAGTGACGCTCGGTGTGTTGCCATGGGTAGCGTGGAAGACAATCAACCACCCTACCGGGGCCGTTGATTGCAAGGAGGTTAACATCAACTCCTCGAGTGAATGCCATTCCAGCAGCTCTGAGAAGCGAATCTTCTGCACTTTGGCTCCGAATCAAGGTTGGAATATACCAGCTGTGGCCTTTCACCTTAGTAGAGTCAAAGATTTGACGCAATGGCCCTTGGAGCACACTGTGAGGCCCAAGCTCGATAAAGACACGATCTTGATCGGGTTTTGACTGGAGAATAACCTTAATTGCCTTGTTGAACTCAACAGTAGAGACGAGATTGCGACTCCAGTAAGTACTGTCCAGCTTGGCTGGGTCAATAATCTTCTCTCCGGTCACGGTTGAATACATGGGTGCCATGTTGCTTGAGGCTTTGATCTCGGGTGCGATGATTGCAGAATAATCTGCAGCCATTGACTGCATCTTCGCTGTAAAGATTGTCAGCATATTTCTATCAAAAGTGAAATCATAAAAACCCACGAGAATGATATGCTTTAGTCACTCTCAGCATGCGGCAGAAAGCATCTGGATATGCCTCCCGAATCCTGTCTATGGTTTGAGACACCGAGATTGTCTCTCCAGCAATGGTTGTACTTGAGGGGCTATTTTCGCAAGCAACCACGGCGCCCTCCACCAACCAAGGTTTCACTTCAATCCCCGAGAGACCAATCGCTGCCATAGATCCATCATCCACGTGCTGAGTGAGTCGTCCACGATGGTATGCGATCAGGATAGCACTGCGAAGGGAGATAGCTTTGGCAGCGTAGGCTGCCGCGATCTCTCCACTGGAATGCCCTACAACGGCAGAGAACAGAATCCCCCATTTCTGAAGTAGGTTTGTCAAAGCAATCTGGATTGCCACACATACTGGCTGGGATAGTCGGGGATCATCGATCTGTGATTGAGCCTTCGGTGCCAAAAGAGATTCTGCAGCGCTGTCAACTTTGAATCATGTAGTTCACCCTGTGTCGGGGCACATACCCGCTATGGACCAGGATGGGGCCGGATTTGCGGATTGCAAGACTTTGTCCATAGCCTGAATGTCATTTCTGAAATCCTCAGAGCTTTCAAGCAACTCGCGAGCCATACCCGCCCACTGCGCACCTTGCCCCGTGAAGACCAGAACAACTTCTGGAACACACGAAGCTTCAACAGCCTGCTCCTGGAACTCGGCGTCGACATTTGTAGAAGCTATTCCAAAGTTCCGGTGCTTCAGACGTTCCCTTCTTGAACCCAGAGTATAGGCAATGTCATTCAAAGTTTTTCCCGCAGTCTGCATGAAATTCGTCAGGTCATTGACTCTTGTCGAGAGAGCTTTTGCACTTCCAGCAGAAACAACAATCAACTTTTTGACGAGCTCACTGGACCTTTGGTCACGCTCAGCTCCATGATCAAAACCAGGCTCCAGAATTGCCTTGTATGGTTAGCGTTTTCTCGAGCCCTGGTGGATTAAGATCAAGGAAAAGCGACCTACATGGGCATTGGCACCTCCAATACCAAAGCAATTTACACTTGCTCTGAGTGCTTTATGCTCTGGCCATTGCATGGCTTCGATAGGTACCTCTAGCTTGCACTCCTTGAAAGGGACTGTTGGCGTTATTAGCTTGGGACAACTGGCTCTGGGTATAAATTTGACACGAACTCCCGGAATTTGGCGACTCGAAGAAAATATTCGGCGGGATTGTTCGTTTTTCCAGAGCAAGAACGGTCTTGATAATGCTGGTAATTCCTGATGCTCCCTCTGAATGCCCCACATTTGGTTTCACCTGGTCCCGGGGATTAACTGATGCTCTAAACAGTTCAGGGTGGGAGAAGCAGTCTCACAGATCCAATAAGTACGCCCGTGTCGCGAAAAATCTCTGCTACTACAGACGTCTCCGCGGTATCCCCCGCCACTGTGCCTGTGCCATGACATTCGAAAAATCCTGTGTTGGTGATATCTTGAATCTGGGCCCGTTGGTACGCCTTTTGGATGAGCTGCATCTGTGTGGCCGATCCAGGTGTAGTAATTCCCGGAGTTCTTCCATCGCAATTTGTTGCGGTTGCCCGAATGACGGCTCGAATAGGGTCTCCATCACGCACAGCGTCTGCAAGGCGTTTGACATAGACCGCGTTTACCCCCTCACCTCGACCATAACCATCCGCACCAGCATCGAAGGTGCGACAAATTCCGGTGGGCGATAGGACAAGGTTGTCGGACATGGTTGTTGTCATCGTTGGAGTGAGAATGAGATTAGTGCCAGCGACAACAGCCGACTCACAATCTCCAGCTAGCACAGCCTGGCATGCCTCATGGAGCCCAACCATCGACGCCGAGCATCCTGTTGCCAAGGTCATACTGTATCTCTCGTGTCAATCGTGAGATGGTCGAAGAAAAAAATGAAAGGCATGGAGAAAAGAAAGATCATACCTTGGCCCGGTGAAGTCAAACTCATACGAGATACGGTTGGAAAGCGCAAAGTTGCCCGTGCCCAGAACATGATACCGGTCAATCCTTTGCGTGTCTTTTGTTTGCAAATCATACCAGTCCTCTCCAAACACGCCCACGAAGCAGCCAATATTCCTCCCCTGGCCCCGCCAGCCCACCTGTCCACCAGTTTCCATGCATTCATAGATTACTTCAAGCAGCAACCTTTGCTGCGGATCTAATCGTGATGCTTCATACGGCGTCAACGAGAAGAACTGATTATCAAAATACGCTGGATCTTCCTGAAGAAAGTAACCGCTCTGAGTTCGCACCGACCCTGACCTTGCCGGATGATAAAAAGCCTCGACGTTGTATCGTGAGTCAGGTACAGTGCAGTGACCATCTCTCTTGTTGATGAGAAAGTCCCAGAAGTCTTTGGCGTTGTTTATTCCACCCGGAAGACGCATGGCCATTCCTACGATGGCTAGAGCTTCTGGGCCAGAATGCCCCGGTGCATGCGAATCATGACATAGAGTCTCTGAGCGCATATTGTAATTGATTTGAATGGATGAAGACAATCTTGACAGTTTTTCTAGCAGGAATCGCACTATGATTTGGTCACCGAGGACCATTTGACTGGTTTTCTCCAGGGCTCACTGCCGAGAACTAGCTTGACTCAGAAATATATGACATGTCATTTATGCTGGTTCAAACCTTATGCGAGCGCTTTCATCGCATTTTGGAATTCTGTCTTTAGATTGGCCACCGGACCTGCGATATCATTATGGAACGATTCGGGAATCTTCGCTCGTGCAGAATTTTGAAACTCGTTTCTTTCATTCTCAAACATCTGCATCATACCCATGGCCATGAGCCGAAGGCCGCTTTTGTCATAAACTGACCCCTGCGCGCGTTGATGAGAGTAGATGTCAGTGATGAGATCCATAAATGCACTGTGGAATACGGAGTTCAGCGATACATACCTTGCTTCCAGCAAGAGTCATGGCGTCCGCAATGGAGCTTCTCATCGCATGATAGGTCACCAAGATATCGGCTACATCATCATGGCTGTCGAAGGGCGGAGCCGACTCCCAATGTCCCCTAGCAGACTTGGTTGACGAGTAGACATCCCAGACTGCGCGTCCAAGCTCCAAAGATTTCAACCATCCGCCATCGTAAGATTTAAACACGGAGTGAGCACTGTCGACACTTTGACGAAGATTCTCCATGCCGGAAATCACCGTCGACGCATCCTTGGCCCAGACAACGTCTGTGCATGCACAGAGCAAGGTGAGCATCAAGCTCAGTGGTGCCGGAGCGGTGAACTTCATCTCTATGATTTCAATGGGCGAGAGGAATGCTCATTCGATGAGGGTGAGTGGGCTCAAATTTGATGGCTAGACAGGACAAATGCGTGTTTCACTAGATGCAGTAGCTTTTTGAGCTGATTACCAAGTTAATCATACGGAGTACATTTCATATCTGTACGAGTCAGGAGGCGAATGCCAGCTGGAAGAGATATGGTTGACCGGCTCGCATCACCCCTTGATACTCCGTGCAAAGGAGGCATATTTGGCGATGTGACCTGTCTTGGAAAGTGTGTAAGAAAATTACAAGGAATAACAGGGAATCAAGCTGGTGGATGATAGCTCTAAGGTGTGCGGTTACCATACCTTACAGTACTCTTCAAGTGGGGCTCTGCAGCCCTTGCATATTGTTGCAGATCTACTGCACGTTATAGCTTGCTCCCTTGCATATAGTCCCGATCGATTCGACTATCGACCGATTCAGGACACTGCAATGCAGAAGATCTATATCCTGCATACTTCTCCACTGACTCCACCCGAGTACCGCTAGGAGAAGGAATTTAGAGGCATTTACGGAGCACTCCGTACTCCAGGGCTGAAAAGCTTTCCCAGAGGTGGTATCCAGGATTCTTCCACTTTCCTTAGATCGTGTCGGGGTCAGATTAGCAAACTTGCACCCCCTTCGGAGTAAGAAGTGTGGAGCACTCTTACATGCTTCCTAAGAAACAGAGTTTTCACTTATTCATGTATTGAGCCCCTTTCAAATGAGTCCTTCGCACTCCACAGGGAGTTAATATCTCCCTGCAGTAAATTAGAGCTTGTGCAGAAGCTATGGCTCTCACACCACTACTCCGTACTCCGTACATAGTTTCCCTATACGGAGGAGAATGGCCTGATCTAGAGCCCTGTTCAGCCTCTGTGCCTTTCGTCGGACTACGAGTCACGAGCTATCATTTATTGGCACTGCTTTGTTTTCTTCATAGAACCAGTAAAAACAATGCGAGCAAGACTCTCAGCTCAGCGTCGTTTCGGCTTCTCAGTTGCTCTAGTGCCATGCATTCGATCAAGAATCCCAATCAAGCCGTAATTGACCGTCATCAACTCATGGTGTAGATCATGAACCTCTGGTTTCCACCCGCCAGGGATCTCCCGCAGCTGGTAGCCACAATGCGCCAGGGCAGCCTGCAGACCGACGGCCCCTACAAACGCCCACATAGTGACGATATGGATATCCAAGACACGAGCGGGCCAAGCAATCGGAATGATGTTGGTGACAATGTGCTCAACAGGGTGAGCGTATAGCGTTGCCAGAGCCACAGGGGTACGGAACCGGTGGTGCTGCCGGTGGAAGCGCGCATAAAAGAGTGGGTGATGCAAAATCCGGTGGCCATAGTAGTAAATAATCTCCCGTGCCAACTGGCAAAGTGTAAATTCCGTGATGAATTCAAGCAGCGACGGCAGCTTCGGTGAGACCCGGTACCCAAGGTCCGGCCGGCAAAGAATGCCGTGGACCAAAAGTAGCTGCAGCGCTTGGAGAGTGATGCTCAACAATTGATTCAGGAGAGACCCCAAGAATGCTTTGCGGATGATGCTAGCCTGGGCGGGCTGTTTTCTTGCCGGCTGTATTTTGTATTTTTGAAGGGAGGGCCAGGCGAGCAGGTCACAAACTGTAAATATCCCGGCTGGGAGCCAGAAGCTTACCACCTGGGTTCCTAGCATGCCGGCCATTTCGACCAGAGGGGTCGGATATGTTTTCACAATTGAGTCCCAACGCACGGAGAGATCCATGATGTGCGGGTCTGACAGTTCGTGATGCTGCTGATGGCTTGAGTAAAATCCCTAGGGGGTGGATAATTGTTTCTGTGAAGTGTCAAGAGGCTTGAGATGTCATCTTGCTATAGGTCAGGTCAGTGGCAGATTGTGCTGGAATGGATCGCATCGAGGAGAGGGATCGCCCTTGCATGGAAAGCTCTAGTGGCCCTGGTGGAATTTATCTGTGGATTGCAGCAATATGTGTAATTTAGACAAAAAAGAAGGTCGACAAGTTCCTCACTCGTGCAATTCTCTTGGTTGCGACACACAATGGACACTTCCCACAAACCGTGGTGGAAGCGAGTTCACCTTCGGTACACTGTGGCTAACATCGGTCTCCCTCTGTTTGTATTATACCACGCTCCCAATATAGCCTTCCAGGAGAAAACTCGCGTGTGGACTTTCATATATGTCCTCGCGACCGGGTTCAGTGTCACAGCCGGTAGGTCACGTTGAAACCCAGCCTACCTTCTCTGAATCTGACCCGGTATATCAGGCTATCACCGTCTCTGGAGCCACCAGTCGTACAAAGCATGCCTTCCACTGCGTATGTTCTTCGCAGCCGTGGGCGCCGGAGCCCTCCAGCTTCCCATCCGCATGTGGGCCGCCGATCACCGCGCCCACCACCGATTCACTGACACCGACCGAGACCCCTATAATAGCAAGAAAGGGCTATGGCATTCACACATAGGGTGGGTCCTGACTTATGACTCGACTCGACTCGGTAAAGGCGAAGGAATCGATATGTCCGATCTAGACCGTGATGCGGTCGTCGTCTGGCAGCGACGGATCTACTATCCACTGGCAGGATTCATGGCGTTCGTCTTTCCGGCATGCGTGGCCGGGTACTTGTGGGGTGACTGGGCCGGCGGGTTCCTGTATGCTGGGTGTCTGCGCGTAGTGATTGTCTGGCATATGTCTCACTGCATCAACTCGTTGGCACATTGGGCGGGACACCAGCCGTACTCGGCGCGAAACACTTCGCGGAACCATGCACTGTTGGCTGTCTTGACGTTGGGAGAGGGGTATCATAATTATCATCATGCTTTCCCCCGAGATTATCGGAACGGGCCCCAGTGGTTCGATTTTGATCTGACGAAGTGGTGGATCTATTTGTTGGAGGTTGTGGGGTTGGTTTGGAATGTGAAGAGAATTGGTGTTGGAGCTGCTCATGCTAAGGCAAAAGTCAACCTACAAGGGTAAATTTCAAAAGTTGACAAGCGGCAGAAAGAGTATGGGATTTAGGTTTGACTAGATTCAAACAAAGTCATCAAACCGACCGTTTTCAGATTGTTGCCTTGAATAATTCTTGGAGGCTGCAGCGATCGAGACAGGTATAGACACCCAGGAAGAGGGGCTGTGTGAGGGAGAGCGAGATAAATTAAAGAAATCTATCGAAATACACCCCCCTCAAGATCTCCCGCCCAGATACTGTTCCCTAGATGATCTGGCAGGCACCGATAATCATGTGGTTTCTATCAGTCTGCTCGTTTCATTGTCTTCAAAGCTGTCACTTCTTCTCAATTAGCTCCCAGGCCGAGCTCCTGGGTATTTTCTCGAACGAGAGCGGTTTCAGAGCATTGTGTGAAGCTCGTCGGCTGTTGTTCTTGCAGCCAAATCTCCACAGCGAGAGCCTATTGTGGTAAGCGACGTCTTGTGCGAGAGACCAGCGCACCTCATCGCATTTTGTTGAATCTCTCCATGTTTGCTTCTTCATTCGTGTGCCTAGGCAGCGCGTTCGATTTCGTTGAAAAATTCGTAAAAGATGGGCCACGTCATGTCTTGCGGCCTCATTGATTTATCGCTGATTGAGATCCTCTCTTTGATAAACTCGATTTTACCAAGCTGTCCTTCCAGGTTATCCATGACCTTGATTAGGATCCAAAACGGATGCGGTCGCATGCCGTATGCGTCCAATATGCTAAGCTGCCTCAGACTTGCGGTGAGATACTTGGTTGCAGAGGAGAAATTGCTTCGTTGCATATTGTCCCACTTTCTCATCTCTTGTGCAACTTTGGTCGAGGTCTCTTTCGCTTTGAACCAATTGTCAATGTCACAAACGAGGTCGTCCGCGTAAACCGCCCACTCGGGAGCTTTCAAGCCGCATTTTATTTCGAAGCGTGTGTTATCGTGTAGCATTGCTGATATCCAATGGGCGGCAAACTTAGACCATTTATTCCAGTCGTACCTGTTACGCGCTCTGGGGTTGGGCCGCTGTAGTTTGGCACAGATGACTTGTTGGATCTGGATAATAGACAATGACTGCCTGACGCTGTATTTCCACCATTCGAAGTTGGATCCGTTGGCTTTCAGCCTCTCGATCGGAATGAGTTTGACTGATGGTATCTTGATGGAGTCCGGTAGCTTGTCCCCCTGGTCGACCCAACGCTCACGATCTTCTTCAGCTTGACCTTGATCTTCTACATGAATATATCGGCCAAATGAGTCCAACTCGGCCGTGTTGAACTCACAAGCGTCCCCAAGAGGGAGCAGGTGCTGCCCTTGAGCACTCCCTGAGGCGGACATTGTTGGATTGATGTCTTTCCTGGTGCAGGTGCTTGAAACGTGCAAAAAGTGGATGCTGATCTGGAATTTGCGAAATTTGCGACGTGAGAGGCTCTGGGGGCTGGTGTGTCAATTTGTTGATTGGTTGGTTGTTGTAAAAGTTGGTCAGAATTGGAGGTGGTGGGACGGTCTCGTAGACCCCAAAGCTTCGCAATGAATGTTGTTGATTAACGATGATAAATGACAAGCCTCTACTCAAGGGCGAGTAGAGGGCTTGGAAGATGTCAGAGGAGAGAGGATAAACACAAGGGCAATGTGCCGTGAGACGGAGAGAGAGAGGAGAAGGAGAAGCAGAACAAGCAGAAGAAGCAGAATAGAGAGGGAGAGGGAAGCTTTGTGAGATTTATCAAACTACATGGCCTGAGGCTTGAAGCCCCAGTCAGCCCTGGACCCCAACCATTAATCAACTTGATGAATTTTGTATGGGTTCTTCGCATATATAATTGCAAGATTGTACATGATGAGGCCGGTGAAGAGCTCGGGCCGAACGGTCGGTAACGGGGGATCCAGGCCCACATCTCCGTCGTTCCGGCTTGTTTCGCACCCCGACCTCGGAGAAGTGAAACCCCCTGAGGATCCCGCACTCCGCTCGTAATTCGTATCCGATACTCCCTACACAGCCACGAGATCGACCAAGCTACATAACTGAAGCGACAGGAGGGCCACCCTTTCTCAAGCGCGAAAATGTTTACAAAATGCCGCTGGCTGTGTAGAACCGTTGAATGATATATGTTAGTCAGGAATTCGATGACAGTGAGTAACAAGCTGGGACAGCATGAAGATCCAAGAATTGACACAAATGGATAATCGAGCTATTGCGGGCTAATTTTGAGCTCTCCAGGGCTACTATGACGTCTGCACAGTTACAATCCACGCCGACGCGATGTGCGGAAACCTGATACATTATGTGAATGGACTTGCAATTCTCTCGGTATAGATCGGCAACAGCGTTGAAGATCTACACTTGAGTACGGAGTGCACGTTAAAGGCAGTGCAAAAATATCGTTCCATTGACGGGCATTATGGACCCTGTCTTCTGTAACGTCGCCTCTATGCCTATCAGCGTGCCAGATGAAGCCTCAAATTAGGGGCGTGGGCCCCAAAAAGCGGGTCAACTTAAGCTCCTTGGCCAAGTGGACCGGGGCGGGACTTTCTTCGGACCTCTCAGCACGCACAATTCCATGCAAGCTTAATTAACCAGAAGCCTGAATCTAGCCTAACGAGAATGGGTGCTGGATGACGTTCATGAGCGATGTTCAAAGCTTCGACCGGTCACCAGTGTGGGTATTTGTGGTTCATTCATTGTCATTGATCGACACGCTATGTAATCTCTGAAGATCACACTCCGTTGACTTTCCCTGTATGGTTAAGCCCACGACCGAGGTCGAGTCGTGGACCGCAGTTAGAGTATCGATCATCGCGGGCTAACGTTGGAGTTTTATGCAGAATATCCAGTGCACGAGTAATATCTTAAATACCCGTCCCTCTGCCGTCTGGATCTAATCTGATCTTAACCGACATCAATCAGCAAATTCGAAAGGTAAGTCCCAGGGAGCATCAGCAGCCCCTGAAGGACTCTACTTAGCCAAATCCGATGTCTAACGTTTTTTCAAGTCTGGTTTGAAGTTATACGAATCGCACGATGCCTAACACCCTGACATCCCGGGCGCTGGCTTGTGGGGCCCTTTTGGCGGTACTGATCCCCAACTGTTCGGCATCCTCCTTATACTACAACGAGACCCGGTATGGAGTCGTACATGCTTCGGCTACACAGGACATCTACTCTGCGGAATACGATGCTATGTTAGAACATGGTGAAAGCGAGGAAGGAGAGGTATTTGACAGCCCGATGGCGACCAACCGAAGTGCCGGCTGACAATTTCATTAACAGGATCATGGAAAAATCGACGTGCCAGAGGGCGCCAAATTCACATCATTCAAAATCAGCGACAAAGGAGACGAGGAAATTGCAGGGTTCATCACTGAAGACTTGGATAACAAAACGATAGAGCATCTCTATATTGTTCTGCACGGCAAGCTCAGGGATGGAAACGGCTACTGGGAGACGCTGAACGACGCCATCAGTGAAGCGAAGGATGCCAACGCCACTGGATCGGATCGCAAAATGGGAGTTCTCGCCCCGCAATTCTTTTCGACCAAATATAACACCGGCCAGTACAAGAAGAACCAGCTGGCGTGGGACGATTTGAACGCTTGGCAACCAGGTGGCCAAGCTAACCACCCTTCCAACACAACCCTGACTTCTTTCGACGTTTTGGATGGCCTCGTCAAGCTCCACTCAGACAAGAAGACATACCCAAGCCTTAAGAACGTCACCGTCGTTGGCCATGGTGGCGGTGGCCAGCTTGCCCAGCGGTACGCGGCGGTAGGCAACGATGCTCCCGACAATGTTCACATTCGATACATTCACGGCGATCCATCATCATGTCTATACTTCACCGAGCACCGCCCCATCATCTCAGACAACGATACCTCGATCGAAAGATGCGGGGATTACAATACCTGGAGATACGGATTCCACAAGTTCCCCGGCACCGGAGGCAAGCGCAGGACACCAAAGGAGTATTTCAAGCAGTACCTGAGTCGAGACGTCGTTTCGATCGTGGGGCTCCAGGACACTGCCAACGCTGGCGATAGAAGTTGTATGGGCAAGTTGCAAGGAGGGGGTAATCGTCGCGCCCGCAACTTGATTTGGTTCCGCTATGTCAACACCCTCGCGCGCACGGATGAAGATTTGGATGGATTCCCTGGCTCCTTCGAGGATCTTCCCGATTGGAGTGATGCGGTGGATGGAAAGAGTCATTTGCGGCTCGTTGTCGTGGAAAATGCGGCTCATAATGCGACGAAGCTTTTCCAGGGCGATCTCGGGCGTGCGGCGCTGTTCCATGATCGTCATATTGATGAGGGCTGGCGTCCTAACAAGGATGATAGCAACTAGGTGGATGTGATGAGTATATAGACATTCAATAGATCATGAATTCTTTTTCAATGAAGATAGAATATCTTGTTTAAAAGCAAAACGAGGCTCGTGTTAGCAGCTTCCTTGTGTCTGGGTGTCGCTTGCTCTGGCTCTCCGATCTGTAGACAAGTGCCAATTTGCAACTCAGTTTTGCAATCATGCCCTTTTTCAATGAGCTGAATTCCACGGACACTGGCAGCTCTTGGTTTCTTTTAAAAATTGAAAAAAATCCGCGGCTGTGGTGGCCGAGAGGTGGGCGGGGCCGGAGCCGGAAGGACGGGTGCTGGGGGCTCCACGGCGGGGCTCGCTGATAGGGGCTGGGCGAGCCCTACGGAGTACTGACTTTTGCGTCGGAATTCATGAATCCGAAAGCGTGGCTAGACTTTCAATGATGCCCGGCAATATTACCATCAAACGGTGAGTCTTGATCTGTATCTAATAGGTATGAAACTGTTTGTTTGTTTGTTGTCATGTGATATAAAGACACGCCACTGGAACGCACTCTTGACTCCCTCTCGAACGATCCCAACCTTGGAAGCCTTCGAAGATTTTGAGTGACTTATCCTGTCATGGAGCAATAGGATAATTGGAAGACTCTATTTTTCTTTGGAAGCCCCCCAAATATCCTCGAGACAACGGCAAAGCCGACCATTCCACGCCGAAGACGACAACTGGGACCTAGGACATCGGGTCGACATATCAAGAATATCTGGTGCTCCATTTTTGCAAATTTCGACAATACCACTGACTTGTAGGAATGAGCGTTTAGTCCATAACGAAAGCCAGATCGACAACCAAACCAGACACAGTAACCATTCGAATGTTCGACTGCCGCCTTACAGCCTGGCAACCAGCTGAGGTGGCGGCTTCCGCGCAGGCATTGTCGCGTACCATGCACTCATAGCCTTGAGGATATTGGCCTCTCCGCCAGCACGGGAGATGATACACGCTCCAAAGGGTCTCCCATGCGTTCGACGAGTATCCAAGGGGCATGGTCCCAACCGGATAGCCAGCCGCAGCAACGACGGTAGGGGTCCTACCGTCCATTGGGCCGATGATGACATCCAAATTAAAATCGGCAAGAGTCTATTCAATCACATTGACACCGGCCGCCTCGCAGATTATTTTTTGACGCCATCGGTATATTTTTCCGTGGGCGTTCTGTTGTTAAGAGCCCTTTCTAGGAGCTGTTGATTGGGGTATCTGAACATAATGTGGTGGGAGTCCCCGTTCAGTACAGATAGTCAGGGAACATACCCAGAGGCAGAGATTTGTTGGGATGATGTTTGTTGAAATCGACGATGTCGGCTAAGGAGTGGATTTCGGTCCCTTCGTAGCCCGTTGAGTACAGATTCCATTCTTTTTTCAAAGTCGTGATCTAAAATCACGATCAGCGGAGTTGGCTATGTATAAGTGCTAAATATGCTTCTTTTTTCGTACTATAAAAGTTAGCTCAATGCAATGTTAAGTACATACGACCACAGGGTGTGGAGAACAGGGCTTCCCGTCCGCTCAGCCGTACTTAAGCCACACGCCGGTGAGTTAGTAGTTGGGTGGGTGACCACCAGCGAATCCTCACTGTTGTATGTTTTTGTTTTTGAGGACTTCATCTCGTCTGCCAAGCGTGGAAGACTTTGCTTTTGTCTCATGAAGTAGGAAATTTCCCAGCTTGGGCCATTTGAGTCCAGCGTTGGGCTAGCAGGTTTTCTCGCGCATGCGGTACACTTTTTTTTTTTTTTTAAATCCTTGCCAATTGCCTAGGTAGTGACTGACTCATTAATTGACGGCCCCGGTATAAACAGACAAGGAGATAAAGTCCGGCTGGTAGAGTGACGTCTAAAAACAATCGGCAGAAGGTCCAAGAGAAATTAGGCGTTTAAAGTTTGGATGACTAAAGCACGGGGACTCGATTAGGAAGGTGGCATTGGGGGCATCTCCATCTTTGTTTCGCCGTATAAGAAAAGCATCCACGCTTAAAACGGTGCGTATTGCCACTTATTCCCCTGTGACAGTTGAGATTGAGTCCAAAATCCTGTACAAAACGAACTCCATTTGTTGAATCAAAATGTCGTCAATTTCGATCGGTAGCGGTGGCAAGAAGCTGCCTTTGGTTGGATTCGGCCTATGGAGAATTGACAATGACTCCTGTGGTGACGCTGTCTACAATGCCATCAAAGCTGGCTACAGGATGTTTGATGGTGCTTGCGGTATTACTTTTCATACGATGCTGGTACTCACGCGTTTCGCTGACGACGAATATAGACTACGGCAATGAAGCCGGAGCCGGTGAAGGCATCACTCGCGCTATCAAAGATGGACTAGTCAAGCGTGAGGATCTATTTATCGTCTCCAAGCTTTGGAATACCTACCATGAAGCGCATCGAGTGCAAGAAATCGCCCAAAAGCAACTGGCGGATTGGCAGGTGGACTATTTCGATCTGTATCTGATTCATTTCCCCATTGCCTTGAAATACGTCGAGCCATCGGTCCGTTACCCGCCTGGATGGTTCTACGAGGATAGTCGCGTGGAGACCAGCAATGCCAGTATCCAGGAAACCTGGCAGGCAATGGAGAAGCTGGTGGATCAGGGCTCTGTCAAAAACATTGGTGTATCCAACTTCTCGGGCTCCTTGTTGATGGATCTGCTACGCTATGCACGGATCCAACCTGCGGCTTTGCAGATTGAGCTTCACCCATACCTAGCTCAGGATCATCTCGTTCAGTTTGCGCAGAAGAACGGTCTTGCTGTTATGGCCTTCTCTTCTTTTGGAGGTGTGTCGTATCCGCAGCTGGAAGGCACTGAAGCCGGAAAGGTCTTGTCTCTTCTCGAGCATCCCGAGATTGTCTCGATTGCCCAACGAGTGCAAAAGACGCCATCGCAGGTTCTTCTCCGGTGGGCGACCCAGCGTGACATTGTGGTCATCCCGAGAAGCACCAATCTCGAACGGATGGGCTTGAACTTGACATCGACTGGATTTGATTTGGAGGAAAGCGATATCAAGAAGATCAGCTCTTTGGATATTGGGCTCCGGTTCAATGACCCCATGCAGGTACGTGTCTCGGCAGATTACAGGTGACACGCGCTAACTATCGACAGTTCCTCGGCCAATTCCCCATCTATTATTGATTGCTCTTTCGTGGTTCATCATGAGCACCAAAAATTAAAAGTGTTACGAATTTTATTGCCATACACCGGCCAGTCGGTTGTTGGGTGGGTGACCACCACGACCTCTGGAATCCTCACTGTTGTAGTATGTCGTTGTTTGAAGAATCATATTACGCTCGTAGAGGACATTTTATATTGTTCTAAAATGTCTATCTCAGGACACTCAAACAAGACTTTCACAAATCTACCCGAGCAACAATACCTCCCACAGTGTGGTTGCCGGGTTTTGCTGGATTCAGTACCCCAGCGGATGAGATATACAAACTGTTCCGATCAAGCTGTGTTCTCCCAAACGATACCGCAGAAGCCGATGCCAGGTAAGTCGAATCAACCACAACCTTGGCTGTTTTACGGTTGATATCAACCTCAACCAAATGAGAATGCCCGTTCATTGCAATCCATGCCTTTCCGCCATCCCGCGATATTATGAAATCGTCACCGGGCGTGTTGTTGACAATCACCTCGACGGGACCAGTGACCGTGCCATTGCTCAAATCCAGTGGCACTCTGGCAAAAATCCCTTGGTTCAGATTTGTGAAATACAGCCAAGTCCCATAAACATGAACGCCATTGATAGCAACTTGTAACCCGGTGGAGTTATTTTTCATTTGTTTGTCGTTAATTATTGTCTCGTATGAGCCGATGTCGACGTTAAGCTTCACAACATTGCCGGCAGCAGAATCGGCGATCAGGAGAGTGGAATCATCGTTGGTGCTCAACCGACACATGCCATTTAGCAATCCAGCGCTCTCAACCTTTGCAATCAGGGTAGTCTTTGCGCATAATTTGCGATCTTTTCTCGCCGAAAAGCAGGCTTGAGAGTCACGAAGATCTATCTCCCAAACGGCATTTGTTCCGGGAATAGCGGTGGTTGAGCTGACGTTTGCCGCAACAACATAGAAGACATCCTCCTTCAACTCCGCAATACCGAGTAGACTGGTTGCTCCGGGTATACTGGCAATTGCGACCGAGTTTTTGTTTCCAAATGGAGAGACTTGGCGGAGGATGGATGACTCCACAGAGGTCACGAGGAGGTGGCCGTCGCGACGTGTTGCAATATTTTCGAAGCTGACCGGAACAGTGAACTTCTCGATGACGGTTAAAGGATAGGTGGTGTTGTGGGGATAAGCGAGAGCAAATGAAACGTGCAAAAAGAGTGTTGCAAGCCTCAAGGCAGGGAAGATGGACGTAAAGAGCATCGTGATTCCAAGGTTTGCCCTCTACACAATTGAAACCACGCACCTGGGTAGTTGATGAGTGAGGATGTTAGTGAAAGGAAAGTAAGCTCGAAGGGAGGGCATTCCTGCATATTTATGTCGAGTGACAAATACAAAATAGACCAACCTACTAACGGGCATTAGTGTCGATCGTGGACTTAGCGGCTATAAGGCCTGATGCTTACGGTGTGGCTAGACCCACATAGACATCTTTTGTTTGCACCAGATTAAACACTCAATAGCTGGACTACGTCGTACAGATTTTCACCAATTGCCTGAAAAGGGGTTTCCAAGTAAATCTGAGTCAACCTTTCAACTTCGCTCTACTGCGACCAAATTCTACTACCTTGATCATTCCCATTGATCAAGCTACGGAGTCAGGAATACGCTGCATCTTTTCCCTAGCCCGGGAATGTCATCTGCAGATAACCTTAAGCCCGAGCCCCACAATATCTTGGCCAGATGCTATGCCAAATATGGATAACCAAATTCTGACTCAGATGATTGTGCCAGGAAATCCTGCTCTTCGCATTTACCCGTGTTCTATGTTCACATTTGTGTTTGCTTATAACAGCGAATAGTAAATCATAGGCTGGGTTTATCAGAGCGGCCAATATAATACCTGCTACAAAAGGGGCACGATCGAAACTTGAAAACTTCTCACTTCGAGGTTTTGGAAGACGAGGTGTTCAACTCCACAAAGTTCGCATCAAGATTTCTTCAGCCAGTGTCACAAAACGAACAAATAAATTCGAGTCACGATTGGAAAAAGGAGGGAAGAGTCTGGGGAAAGGGAAAGATCAGGGTCACCTGACCACCCACTGAATAAACCAATCGAAGATGATTCCGAGGTCAACATTAAGCTCAATCAATCCCGAATGTATACATCACTAAGTCCGACGGGCGAGATTGGGCCTCTTCTCCACTTTGGTAGTGCATTTCCCCCACAGAATCCCCCCCGAGTCACAATGTACCTTGCATGTCAATGTGTACTCGGTCCCATATGACTTGTGCGAATCGTAAATCGGAAGACTTAGATTGGATATGAAAATTGGGGACATCCATATCTTACAACTTCTCCGGCCCGATTCGTGGATCAAATCTCAAATCATGAGTCGTTTTGCCTATCACCATACACAAGATTGACCAAGATATTTCGGAATAACACAAGAATAATCCATGACAGGATATAACTTACTCCTCAGTAGTAATCCGAGTATGCTAATTTTAGGACCCTCCGATGACCAATATACAGCCTAGCCCACTTGATTGTTACGAAGCGCTATACCTCAACATTTCTCTAATTCTGCAGCATTTTGCTGGAGAAAGGCAATTCCAGGACCATGCCTACTTGCGATCAGAATCACGTTCATCAGTCACAAAGTTTCTCGGTGAAGTAACTTCGGGTTGGGATGCCAAATGCTTTGAGAGGTCCCGGTGAAGATATTCAGCCGTCAACGGAATTCGCTTTCCACCTTGCTCCCTTTCTACAGTGGGAGCTACTATGACGCTTTGCATTCAGAACAAGGACGGGTTGATATTCAAGCGGAAGCTCAAAACCGATCACTCAGTCTGAACGGAGTATTGTATCACGGAAATCACGATCCGAACGAGCATTGCAATTCTCGAGTCCATGGTATAAAGTCCACACTATCTCTCCAAAGCCAGTTCCCTCCCTCATTAAGAGAAACACAGTCAACAGACTTGCTTCAAGTTTTTCGATTCCAAATATCCGAAACCAAACCATCATTTCCACTTCCGAAGGCAATAATGGCTGTCGCAGTTCAGTCAGCCCCTATCGGCCTTGAGGCCATGTCCGACAACATCGACGCGGTCAACATTCATAAGACAGACCTGAAAATCGAGAAAGGTCTCTATGATGAATCGGAATTTGACAAGTCCAAAGACAAGGGAGGCTTCCGCCAGTTTGAAGACGCTTGTGACCAAGTCAAGAATTTCTACGCACAGCAGCACACCCTTCAGACTGTTGCGTACAATCTGAAAGCACGTAACGATTTCAAGAACAAAACACGTGCCCACATGACAGTTTGGGAAGCAATGGAAAAGCTGAACACCTTCATCGATGAATGTGACCCAGACACCTCTGAGTCTCAAATGACCCACCTTTTGCAATCCGCCGAAGCCATCCGCAGCGAGGGCAAGCCTCGTTGGATGCAGCTTGTCGGACTCATTCACGATCTCGGAAAACTTCTGTTTTTCTTCGGAGCGAAGGGCCAGTGGGATGTCGTTGGCGACACCTTTGCAGTCGGTTGTGAATTTGACGACAGAATCATCTTCGGCAACAAGTCGTTCAAGGACAACGAAGACTACAATAACGAGATCTATAGTTCCAAGTTCGGAATTTACTCTCCTGGTTGTGGACTGGAGAATGTGATGCTGTGCTGGGGCCATGATGAATATCTCTATCACATCGTGAAAGATCAGTCTACCATTCCCGAAGAGGGACTGGCCATGATCCGGTACCACTCGTTCTACCCGTGGCATCGGGAGGGCGCCTACCATGAACTCATGAACGAGCATGATCACAAGATGCTGGAGGCTGTGAAAGCGTTCAATCCTTATGACTTGTACAGCAAGAGCGACGAGCTCCCTGACCCCGAGAAGCTGAAGGTAAGTCCACAAATCTTGGTTCATACTTGGTTATGTGGGCTGTGCATGGGCTAATCTCAATATCACCTCACAGCCGTACTACTTGGAGCTGATCGATGAGTTCTTCCCGACAAAGGTCATCAGGTGGTAGAGTATTGAAGCTGTCGGAAATGTTCTGTGCTCCAATGATTGTTTTATTAGTGATCGGAGTAGTAGATTCAGGAACATGATTTGGTATACAGTTGCAATGAATTTGTCGTATGGTGACGGAAATATCACCATTTTTATGACTTGAAAAACGGGGGTTCCGGAGTGCAGTTGTAATAGAAGTCGAAATCTCACGTAAAACTTGATTTCAAAGTATTTTATGATCGAATGGAGCGCTCGCAGACGTTTCACCGGCAAATATTTAGCATGGAGTTTGCAAGGCAATGTTTTTCCGACATGGCAAAACCACTGGATTTGGAATCATGTCAGTCCACGTTTCCTTGTACACGACTCGCTCATTCTCTTCATACTGCTTGCCTGAGCTTGTGCATGTGATACAACATTGAACTTCTTTCTTTCGGGGAGGGGACGTCTCTGATCTAGCATGATCGCCAACCCCCTCATTGAGTCTGCCCCTTGGTCGGCATTGGGGAAGTGGATCGATGCCGCGGGAAGGAAAAGTGGACCGCGAAATCGTGTCCTCACGTGATGGCTATCACGTGCCCTTATCGCTGTTATCGAGGAAAAAGTTATCGACAAGATCGCAAGATCTCCTTTCCCATTGAACTCAATATGGAGGAAAAGCGCCAGGGATACCAGCACGCGCCAATCGCGAAGCCTAGCCCCTCTACCACTACTACGACAAAAAAGCCGGTTGCCTCATGGGTGCACCTGCTGGCAGGCGCGTACGTTTTCACTGTTACACATGTCATGATCTTCATTCACCTAACATTGACCATCTAGCACCGGCGGATTTGCAACTGCAATTGTCACCTCGCCTCTTGATGTCTTGAGGACGCGTCTTCAGTCCGATTTCTACCAAACCTCCAGCCAGACCAACCACCCTCTCCAAGCAGCACAACCGAACCACGCATCGAATCACAAAACGATACGAATTATAAGCTCAATATACCGCGCTGAGGGCTGGCGCGCTTTCTTCCGAGGTCTCGGTCCGAGTGTTGCCGGCGTGGTCCCCGCGACCGCTATCAAATTCTACGTATACGGAAATTGCAAACACATTGGAGCGAAACTTCTGGGAAAGGCGGAAGATTCTCCTCTCGTTCATGCACAGGCTGCAATCTGCGCCGGCCTTGCCACATCCACCGCAACAAATCCAATTTGGTTGATCAAGACAAGACTGCAGCTTGACAAGACTCGAACAAATGCCGCTGGTCCTTCCACTCGTCAATACCGCAATAGCATTGATTGCATCAGACAAACTTTGCGAAATGAGGGTGTACGGGGCTTCTACCGTGGAATGAGCGCAAGCTACCTCGGTTCAATTGAGACAGCTCTGCACTTGGTCCTTTACGAGCGCTTGAAAACTGGCCTTCGTGACTTATTGCAGCCCATTCAGGGCACTGGAACTCCTTTCTGGGATGAAGTATCCCACTGGGCTAGCACTAGTGGAGCTGCAAGCTCCGCAAAGCTGATTGCAGGCTTAACTACTTATCCTCATGAGGTATGTTCTTGCGCACAAAAATGACCGAATCTATGCTAACGTCACCAGGTCATGCGAACAAGATTACGCCAGGCGCCCGTGGAGAATGGCCGACCGAAATACACCGGCCTAGCGCAGTGCTTCCGAACCATTGCCAAGGAAGAAGGCATGGCTGGTCTGTACGGAGGTCTCGCTCCTCACATGCTTCGCTCTTTGCCATCCGCTGTCATCACTCTTGGCGTTTATGAGTTTGTGCTGAGAGTCACTGGCAGTTAGACTCGTTCTCAACCCCTGTACACTATACGTTTATTCTCTGAGCTTCACTTTGGTCGCTCTCCCTCAGCGCCATGCTCGGTTTTCTTGTACTATATTCGGCGGATGTTGCATTACACACGGTGTCAATTGTATTATAATGGATTAGACAACAATCATATTTCTCGTGATCTATCTTTGATACAGATCAATTCCGCGAATGCCTGCATGAATGTTCCGTCTCCTCGGACTGACAGAGGAGAGGGGAAAAGACAACAACCACGATTCCCGAGGTTGCGCTCCCTTCTCTCACAGCAAGGGTCGATTGAACAGAGGCTATAGGTACGGATGTGAATCAACCCTGGATACCTGCTGATTTCAAAGTTCAGCCATCAAATTAAGTTGTACAAGTCAGCATCTAGTCAGGGCGTCAGGCTTTGAAATTACGTACAAAATTCGGGGCGTATGGAGTATATTCTTTTATTCGGATTGAATCTGTGAATGAACACCTAGGCACCACCTGGCATAATTTCCTGGATATAGTCCTTCATTGGATGGAAGCGAAAAGGAGTGTTCACCATTCAGGCATGATGTCACCCTCTTCCATGCAACAAGGTGAATGTGAAACGCTTTGAAAGGTCAGACTGGCATGCTCTGGAAATGAATGTGGCATATGGATGTTGCGCTTGATCTGGATTAGTATCTTCCATTGCAGGGGACAAACAACCCAAATCTTTGCTGGACCATTGCAGGCCACCAAAAAACTTATATCGCGATATTATTTGGTGACCTTGCAGCTACTCGTAGTTTATCTACTTGTCTGGATCTCTAGCTTCCCCGCAAGTATCATATGCAGGTGAAACCCTCTCACACGATTTTATGCGTAACATTCTAATGTAACTGTTCAATTTACAGAAAGTGCAAAGTCCAGAGGCCACCTTGTGAACTTAGCTCAAGAAGTGGCTGTATAAAACGGCCTATTCTCTACTGCAAATAAAGAGATGGATGTCCGTCAGTCAAGATGTGGAACTGTTTTTCAGAGGCCCACTTGGGCATTCAGTTCACACGGTTGTTCCTAAAATTAATCTGTGTCACTGCTGCCCTTGGATCTATACATTCAACACAATCTGAACATTGCCAAGGTTGGTCTCTCAAGAATCTTCACCCCAGAATGCGAACTGTGCACTGTTTTACGTTATGAAAAACTGATTGTATTCCAGATCAACTCGAATCTACCGTTTCTCTATACACTGCTTCATCATTAGACTGCCCTTCCAGGGAGCTTCCAATCCTAGACACAGAACTTCAAGATATCCCCGATGGACAAGAAGCCGGAGAAGTTTACCACGGCGTGAATCTCACCATTTCTCACACTTTTGTTGTATTGATTTACAGGGAAAAGCTGACTACTAGAAGAATTGCTTAGCTGGTTGTACTCAGCAATGTGTTTTTTGTACGGAGGAAAATATTTATTGGGGAAAATGCGAAAGCAAACATCCGGTGAGTCTCGAGGTCTATCACTTCTCTCATGGAGAAAGCAAATGACAATCTCTGCAGTGCAAAAGAAATGGACACCCATGCAACTGGTCTAAGAAGCGAGGCACTGTGATTTGTGGTTGATAGATCCATACCATGACCAGAGACACAAAGTTTCTAGCCATGGGAGGTACTGGAACAATACCGTATGTAGGAAGTTGGTAATTGCTCATTATACATATCACGTTGTCAAATTTTGGAAAATATTTATTTCAATTGTATGGCGTAATCTGATTATGGAAAGCAATGCACGGTGTCATCCGCAAAGAGAAAAGAACGAAAGGAAAAGACAGAAAATTCATGATAACGGAGTTTGGAAAGACGACTCCTTCTGTGACGTGAAAGTCTCTCAACTCCAACCGAAGCATGTCCAAATCTAAATGCGCAAAGCAGCCTGTAAAGATCGCATTCTCGCGAAGGCGTATGTGTGAACCTGAGAAGCATGGTCCCCAGCTCGAGGCCCAGTCAAACCGAAGATTATCCCCGTCCGCTGCTCTTCTTGGCGTTCTTCCTCGCTTCTCTCTGCTCCCAAGCAATTGTCTGCGCCTCCAACCGCACGCTGCTCGCATGAAGTTTCTCTGAATGCTTTGCAAACTTCTTGGCTGTGTTGCGGGACTGGTCAATTTGCTTCCTGTGAGTTGCGATGGCAGCATGGTCCTCGTATGCCTGGGGGTATTTGTGGTCAAAGCCTTCACGAGCTTGCATAGCGCTTGAAAGAAGATGTTAGTTAGCATTGCAAGAAAGAAAAATTCACTCTCTGTTTTGAGTACTCTGCTCACCGGTTTGCTAGATTTCTTCCCTTGGTAGCAGCAGCTCGAGCAGTCTGATTGACTTCCCTATCCTTCTCGGTAGGCTTGCGCTTGTCGCCGAAATAAGTCTTCAGTCCCGGCTTGACGTCCGCTTCAAGTGGGCGATAATGCTTGCCGTGTCCGAGATCCTTGTAGTATTCACGCTCAGCTACCATTTGAGTATTCCAAGGGGCCGGTCTCTTCACGTAGGGATCAGAGTATTTGTGTTCCACGGTCGTGTCATAGGAATGAGCGCGGTTGATAAGCTCTGGGTGTGACCAATCTTTATCCCACTCAAACACCTCTCCATTTTGGCGTCTATCAAAGATCTCTTGTTGTTCAGGACCTTGATAGAAGTTGGGGCCGAAGTGAGTCGGCTGGTTCATTGCTTCGCGTTGTGCTTGTCGCACATTGTATTCCGGGGCTTCGGGGCCACGCTCTGCTTTTAAGGCAGACTTGCGACTGAAAAGACCCATTGTCAAACGTTTGTAGTGATGGACCTCTAGAGATAGGAAGTTGATTCAATGAGGTGTAGATCGTGAATCAAGAATAGAGAGGAAAGAAGAGGCAAAAGAAGAAGGGGGAAAAGAGAGGGGAAAAGAGATGAAGGAGGAGAGGAAAAGAGAGAGGAAAACAGAAAGAAAGGCAGTAAGGTAGCAAGTGAAATGAATTCAGTAGTCGTGGAGTGACATAGATGACTATTTTATAGATCTCGTGGGCACCTTCAAGATTTCAACCTTGTACATTCTGAGACCTAGTATGATTCGAGCTATGTTGATCAATTGCCGCTGTAATAAGTGCGCTCTTTCTTTCTAAGTGAACATTGTGCTATTCCCATGTTGTTGCTACGAAGTCTGTATTTTTAGCATGCCCCCTGCATTAGTTCAAACCGGTATACGGAGTACGTATTGCTGATGAGCGCGTACTCCGTACTTGCCTCTAAGATGCAAGATAACTAGGCAAATGACTAGATACCGACGCTCTGGAACCACTTTAACAGGAATGAAGCCATGATGGCGAAATGAATGGTCTGAGTGGTCCGTACTTTTGACGCGCATACATGGGGCCGGCGGCAACATCAATTGACGCTAGGCGATTGGCCCGGACCACTATTTTTTTTACTTCACTAGTGACCTCGGGAACTACTCTGGTCCAGGCAAAGGGCGCCTACAGTCGCGCGGCTCGGCGTCGTCGAGTGGTTGGCTCACAATGATCGCCTTGTTGGCGATGGTTTCAAATCCCTAAACCCACCTTGGCACGTGAACTTCCCCCGCTGTTCTCGATCTTCCTTCCACATCACTTCTCTTTGTCTTCTTCCGCAACATCCCTGCCAAAGCATACAGCAGAGCACCTCGACAAAAAGCACTATGGTAGGAGGGTTACGTCAGATTCAGAGGACCATACTTACATCTTACAGGTCAAACCCACGTTAGAGGGTCTCCCGACGGAGCTGTTGATTCTCATCTTGAATGAGATACCCGACCACTCTTCGTTGAAATCCATCGTGCTTTCAGCGCCTACGATTTATCAGGCATACCTTACAGCGCGACCTGAGATCCTTCGTCGTATGATAACGAACCTCTTTGGTCCCCTGCTGGGAGAAGCGATTCTAGCCATACGATCTCGTGATCTACTCTTCGCGGACCACAAGGAAGAAGCGATCGCTCTACTCGATACTTGGCGACGCAAAGACGAAATCAAGAAAAGGACTTCATCAAATTTGAGATGCATTGACGTTGTCGACAACCTGCAAGAAACTTTTCGTCTCTTCCGGTTTCACAATCAGCTTGAATTCTTCTTGGCTGACTATGCGAAACATGCACCACGTCCTGCATGGATTCCAGAAAATGACTGGGAGTCTTCTTTTACTCCAATAGAGCTTTCCCCTACCGAGAAACATCGCTTCCTCAGGGCAATGTGTCGACTTCAGACCCATGGTAACATTTTCGGCCCGGCTGAAACAGTGCCCCCGGAACATGGATATTGCATACAAAAAACAAATGACTGGAATTCCTATGAACCTGAAGATACCTACGATGACAGGATGCTGGAGGCATATCGGTTATTTTTCGGGGCCATGCCGCCGTGGGAATATTCAGAAATGGGTTGTATATGGTCTTACCTACTTCCCAAATTCCCAGCATTCTATGATGATATCATTCAAAGTATGCGTGAGATTGTGGAAAGCAGCCCAACCTCGCAACCTGGCCTTGAAGGTGATTTTGAATTTCTTCCGCCCGATATACGACCGCCGATGAACCCGTGTGTTGAATCACTCGATGGACTCGAGGGATTGTTTTCACTTGAGCAAAGCACAAAGTCACTGGCTGAGCTTGGACCCGACTTTCTTTTTCGCATCCTTCATACCAGCCCTCTTTCCCGTCGCGATATGATCCTGACCAACATCCATTCAAGAGTTGATTCCTTCATCGGCATCGATTTATACGTCCTCTATTCCGATGAAGAGGCCATAGTGCCTTTAATCTCGCCCGCGGACAAGCATTCGACCAAAAATTATGAAGAATTATGGTCACATCTCCCATCAACGGAAACACCGAACAAAGCGTGGAAAAAGCAACACTTGGTTCCGGACTTCCAAGGTCAGACGTTCGAGGACGCACTTTCTGGCATGAATACCGAAGATAACTGGGATTGGGGATTCGCGTTATGGGATGATGAGCGACTAGAGGCATGGCAGGCCCTAATCCAGTGCGAATCATGAACGTGCAGTCAACTTTAAAGCCACGATACCTACCGGATACAATAGATTACACTCGCCTTCCATCACTACCCATATCAGTCAACAAATATTGTTTTCAGTCTTTTTATTTGCGAACACCCACTCTATCGAGGCTTTCGTGATTTGCCTATTTCACTCTATTCAGTCCTCACTTCCCTCTCGCAGGATTCTTTTATCACCACTCCACACATTGACAATCAGTTTAACCCGTGGTCTCGGCTACTGGATTAGCCAATACACCTAAAAGAGACCCACCATGATCAGGTAAATCGATCAAAAACAATAAATATCCCATACTAGAGAGTATAATCAAAAAGCCAGCGGGATCCTGTATGTTCCGGGGGCGAAACACGAAGATCGACTGTTTCGGAGTGTATCTAGGAATTTTGGATACTCAAGAAAATAAAAGGCTCAGTGCAACAACTTTACTTTCAATTTCCAAAGTGACAAGTGCCTATCTCGTGAAAACCAATCCCGTCCTCCACCTTAAAACACAGTCCTCATAAGATGTTTCCCCGTATTGAAGCTACAGAGAAGCCCAAATGAGAAGCCAGGGAAGGTCCCTTCCAGGGCGAACGTGACTCATTGAAGGGCGCTGTGGCATGCAAGTCACTTCACGAACCGCTTCACGACTCAATGAAAAAGGCTCAGCCGTGCAATTTACCTATCCTGCCCCCACACTGAGGCTTCCTGATTTCATAATCGGAAGGAGGGGCAGACAGAGATCATTCGGGCCAGGCGAGACCAAGAGCGGCCATGACTGCCTCACAATCGTTGGCATTCTTCTGCGAGTCTATGTAGACAGCCCCGATGATGGCTTCAATGGTTGTAGCCATGACAATTCTTCCGGCAGGCTGGCCGAGCTGGCCAGGAAACTTCAGTATGAAAGGGTCTAGGCCGATATCGATCCCGCGCTCGTGCAAGTGACTGTTTGATGCGACATGCGTAATCACGTTTTGGATATTGCCTGTTGATCATGGTCAGTGCGTGTAGTTGATTGTCGGAAGTATGATCCTTACCAACTGACATATTTCTCTCCTGGCCTTGGTTGACAAGAATTTGACGAAGCGTGGCGTCGCCAACCATAGCGAGGACCTTTCGGCCCTCGTCATCGGTATAGATGAAGATGAAACCCCGCAGGGCTCTTCGAAGGAGATTCTTATCCTTGAAGTTGTATTTCCCGTGAAGGATCGTTGTTTCAAACGACTCGAGTGTGTCGTCTGAGATGGAAAAATGGAAATTCATAGTAGCGCTTTGTGAGTTTCTCGGTTGATTTGCTGCTGCTGGAATCAGCCTGAGGAGTTGGTGTGATTATTGCAAGCAGATGAAGTGAAGAGTATTGCAAAAAGAAGAAGGGGTATGCTGCTTTTGTAATGGATGGGAGTGAGAAAGTCACGAGAGAAACCACCTGCAGTTTGCTCAGCCACAGATCCAACAATATGACTGCGAGCCCTGGAGGCACTTTGACACGTTCTTGTGGTTGCCCAGGTGGGCTGCATACACACAGCCTCACTCGCTTTTTGGAAACAAATGCAAATAATGGGGTGTTTGTTTACGCATACGCGCATGCCCGGCCAGCCTGATCATCTATACTGTAGCCGCATGTCAGGTGTCAACCTTGTGATGGAGTTTCATTGGATATAAGAAACGCTAAATAACTTCTCTTTGGTGTAAGCGAGCAGCCCAGAGACCGGCCAACGATTCAGAAAAAAGCATCTGCATGATTGTACAAACGGCGCAAAAAGCCAAGCAAATGGACTTGCGCTGTCTAGGACTTAGCATATCATGGAAGCCTTAACGGATTCCAAGGTTGCTATCACTATAATGGCTGCAGTGAGGCATTCTGATTGTACAGCCTCTCGATGATTGTGGCCTGTTCAACTAACCACTGGCAACATTTATGCCTCATGGCTTGCCCCGAGCCAGTCTCAACCAATGGTCATAGGGGCCCCGGGAAGAGCTGCGCCACAAGATATCGGGGCTGTTGGAACTAGTCTTCAAATGAGTGACTCGATTGGCTGACATTTCCATGTCCTAGGAAGACAGTCTACTTGTTGAGGCGGAGACGTGCACCAAGTGACGTGTTGAGCAGGGATGTTTCAGCTCTTGGCGCGTAGCTCAAATTACCCAATAGCGTGCTCGCCAAAGAGCCGCATCAACCCTAACCGCCCTCTCTCTTCAACCTTGGCAGGTTGGTACTCCATTTGATCATTTTGGTCTCATTCCACGAGTTCTAATTTTTGACCTGCGGCAATAATTCTCCATGATAGGAATCCATGGCGATCTTCACCAGATTTACTTCCTCTAAGTGATTAGCCTCCTGATTGTCTCCACATCTGCTCGGAGAAGACTCGGGCGATCGGGGAGTTGCCCCTTAGCACACGACCACTACTCACAGGTAACATGCCAAAGAGAAGCTGGTGCCTAGGGGCTTCGGGAAGAATCCCCCGACGGGGTGCTTGCCGCAATGAACAGCAGAATGCTTCGTCAAGGAGCAATTCACTCTTTTCCCATTGACCCCATAACATTCCCATTCAATACTCCGTAGATCGACTAGAGCAGGCCCCGCTGATCCTCGAGCTTCGGATTGAGACCGATCACCATATCTGACATGGATCAGACATAACAACCCGGACAGCCCTGGAGGTAACTAAGTCTTATTGTTTTTCGAAACAGCCCCAAGGTTCCAGGCATAGAAATCATTGTTTGTTTAAATGAGAGAATAATTAAGTAAATATTTATATGAAAAATACAGGGCGCCACTCGCACCCGTGGACGTAGGACCATTTTAGTCATACGCCACAACAACCTGCCGACTAACAAGAATATCAGCTTGACCGGGTCGTTGACCGTTTTCAAGAATCTCCTTCTGACTATCCCCATCACTCAGACTGCCGCGAGGGTTGTGGTCGATCGCCGAAGTAGTCGTCATATGGTTGAGACCCTTGACATTCTCATTGAGCTCGTAGTTGCGCGAGCCCATCATTCCACCCGTGCGATGAGAGCTGTTGAAGCCACCCGGGGACTTGTTGTAGGTGTTGTAGTCGGAGGTGTTGCGGTCGCGGAGAACGCGCAGCAGTGGGCGGAGAGTCGCCACATTTCCGACGATCATGCCGATGCTGTTCTCGGCGAATCCCCAAATGACGACGTCTGCGACTGCGTAGAGGAAGTTGGTTTGGCTGGTTAGGGCGACGGTGTATTTTAGTCGCACGCAGGCTGAAAGTGATGCGCTGTGGGGGTGGAATTAGCAATGGGAGAATCAATGAGGTAGGAAGATCACGTACAAGATACCGAGACCCATGAGAGCGATGATGGAGATTTTGGTGTTGCGGTTGATCTGGACATTCCATAGCAAAGGAATCGGGCTGGCGAAAGCGTTAGAATTAGTTTTGGATGTGTGTGGTGGCATAGATATCCTTACAGGAAAGCTGTGATCCAGTCGGTGACGATGTTGACGGCGGTACAGGCATAGTACACGTCCGCAAGCACGTAGGCCGCTTTGCAAGATCCTCCATTTGCAATCGCTTCAGCGCTCCAAGCAGCTCTGCGCAGATCAAACGTTAGTTGTTTTGGACGCGTATGATCGCTGTTGCGGGGACGACTTACTCCACGGGGGTACAGTTGGTGAGAATGAAGATCAAAGCAATAAAGTTCATGCTCACGAACAAAGCAATAACACCATATTGCACATAGAGATACGCCTTGCGACCTTGTGCCACTCGAATGAGCATCCAACTGATGCTGAGCTTGATCGGAATGATGGCGGCGCAGTAGCCGACTTCGAAGATGAGGAAGAACTAGCCGGTAGATTAGTATTTTTCCGGCCATTGCGCTCGAAGCTGTGTTTACCTTTTGTCCCTCTGCGCTGTATTTGGAGTTGCCTGGCTCTGCAAGTGTTGAGTTTTTCGCGCCGATTCCATTGAAAGCTCCTCCGATACAGCCTGCGACAAGTACAGAGAATGGAATCTACCGTCGCGTTAGTCTAGCTCTCTTCAATTGTATCTCGATGCGACACGAACCAATGCTACCGTCATAATCCAATCCTCTGGCCCCCATGACCTGCGAGTCAATCTGCAGTAGACCCGCAATCCGTATGTGATGAAGGCCAGGATCGTAAGCATGATCGTGCTCCCCGCCAACGACGGGGCAGCATCGGCGTAAACAACCATGGCGTGGAGATTGAGGGTGGTCTAAGAGCCAACCTGGGGAAGTGAGCGGTCTCTGGATCTTCTTAAAGAATCGAATCGGAAACCTTCAGAGGTTCAAAACATTGGGGTGAATTGAAACCAGAGATACAGTGAAAAGAACGTTTTCTAGCGCTTACGATGGCTCGTATTTTCATGCTCATTAGGGAAATCCAGTGGGGAGCGCATATCGGCAAGATGGACTCGCGGATGCCTTGTATTCCGAAATGCCCCCAAAACCCCATTGATCGCCTGTCGGATGGCTGTATTGGTTTAGAGCAACCCTATGGTTATTACTTGTGGGGATTCTGATTTGCTGGCAAGGAAGGAATTTCGAGTCAAGTGGATATAGCAGCAGGTGGATCAAGTCCAGTCTAACCCTATAGATTTTGCCGGTACCGAATTCCCGGGCTCCGATTCTTCCAGAACAAATCGATTGGTTTTGCACCGTGCTTATTGCTCCTCTGCCGCTCAATTCCCCCGTTCGGACACACTCCGGGGCTTTGAAGGATTCACCATGGGTCTAAATGGGCCGGACGAAGAATGGCCAGATCGAACCAAACTTTACATTCTTTCATCGATCGATCGGAAAGATTGGCCACGTGGAGTCTGCCATGTGCGAGTTGCCCCTTTTTAGCTCGCTAATTTTGAAACCTGTGGTGCGAGTCATGTTTTGTTGATCTTCGGGCTGGCGTTTATAGTCGACAAGCCACTTAATTTCCGACTGTCAATTGAGCCAATGGTGGATTGCTTAGCTTGCCTCACTTTTCTGCCCCACTTGAATCGGTCTTTCCTATTTGTTAATAGGATACAGAAGCGTTTTCCCCTGCACTGGTTTGCAACATGTATACAATCGAGGGGCGCAATGGCGGCCTCAGCATCCCTGCATGAATTGTCCAGGTGAGGATCATTGTTTCAAGAGTAAGCATTTCACACCCGGGTGTTGACAATGCGGAGAATACTTCCTTTACTCCGCAGCCACCAATGTAATCCGCTTACAAGTATTTTTCAGACCTCGGCTGTCAACGTATATGGGTCGGCAATCATTGCCACTAGCAACATGGTCATTGTGCGGTCGCATTCGATCGTTTCTCAACCGTCGCTTTAGGCTCTTAACAGCTATGGTAACATACTTTGCTGAGCCACGGATCGGGAATCAAATAGGGTTTGATCTCACGACTTCCCCGACTCATTTTTGAGGCTTTCGTTAGCTTTCGCCCCGATTCCGAATATGATCGCTGGGCGGTAGATCGACTTGTGAGCTGTGTTCTGTGCCACAGAGAAAGGTAGGCCAGCCAATTTGTCCGGGGGTTGGCGTAATCAAAAGTGTCAGAGCTAGGGTAATAGTACCCCTATAGTCGGCAGATCACAGACGGGAGAGGATAATAGAGGAATGGAGAAATACGAGGAGAATGGAAAAGAATTGAGACACTCGAAAGGACACATAACGAAAATTAAGAAAAAGAAATCAGGGAGCCCGCGCGAGAGGGGGAAGAAGAGCAGCCATCTCCGGAGTACTCCGTGCAGGGAGGTAACTTCATGATGCCAAGCAACATTACATGTCTGGAGTGCCCCCTCCCTGTGGGACATCTAGTGTCTTGCCTATCATTCAATTTAGCGCCACAGAGCAACAAAATGACCAAGCGACCGAACGAGAGGATTTATAGCACGCACCTGATATAGGCCAGGACTCTCGGCTGTCCACCTCGGGTCTTTGCAGACTTGCGGGGATGAGCCCCACATTGTGAGTGCATACTGGAACTGGTGAGATCGGGAAATCACATTGGGATGTGGGGATGCTGCAGCATTCCACATGGTCTTTGGGGTAGGTGTTCTCAAGCTTCGCTCTCTCGGTTTGTGTGTTGATAAAATGCCCAGAGATCGAGCCAGTATGTTGGAGGAAAGTGAGGCATTTTAGACCCTTAAAAAGGGCAATGGAGCCAACATTTAGCTGCTATCATAAATCAAGCCTGGTAGTTGAGTTGGAGTGTATAAAGCCGATGCTGGGCGATTGTGCATATTAAGGTGGGGCCAGTGGACTGACAATGCAAATAAACTCACCCCACTTCACACTTCACACTTCATACATCTCACATCTCATACTCTCTTTCGCTTTCTCTGCCATCTCGGTTTGCTGATACCAGAACCAGGAAAGCAAAATCTTGGATTGACCGCGTCCGGATCCTTCGATGGATGCTCTTGTCGCCATTCAAAACCCCGGCTTGTTGTCCGGGTCTTCCGGCTGTCACCCCGTGGGGGATTTCCCCGCCTTTACAACGCGCTACTGCAAGCTGGCTTCGGCACATGAGTGGACTCGGGCCTTCAGATGCTATGACTCTAGCCATAGTACTCCGTATACCCGGGTCCTCTCCTGCGGTCAAGCAACATCGGCTTAACCCTCTCCGTCGACGCCATCGCCTTCCCCGCAGATTACTCTTTACGGTGACATAGCCGTGTTCTTCTCTGGAGCTAATCAGAAACCAGACAAGTCCCTGACTGCTAGACCCTGAGTAGGTGCAATGTTACATTTTATTCTGCCGATGTTTACCCGCTGGAACTCAGAAGTGGGATATCCGGTAGTTGGTACCATGCAATGTCCCGGAGTTGAGAGGGGTTCTGAGGTATAAAACGGCATGGATTGAGGGAAAAAACTGTTAAGTTTGCTGATACGGAGCTACGTGGCTGCTGAAAGTCGTTCACAATGTTCACCTTTTGGGGGAAGTCATTTCTACTGAGTCTCGCGGTAGCGAGCTTCGCTCTTGCCGAGGATGTCATTACTGATGACGCAGTGTTTTACGGGCAATCACCTGCGGTCTACCCTTCACGTATGGTTTTTCACTCCATTTCGTTGTCTAATATGATATGAGTATCACTGACTCGCTGAACAGCTGAAGGGACAGGCGCCGGGGATTGGGCTTCTGCGTACACAAAGGCCAAGGCATTCGTCGCCAAGCTCTCTGACGATGAGAAAGTCAATTTGACTGCAGGTATCACTGCCGACAATGGATGCTCTGGTAATATTCAGGGCATCACACGGCTTGGGTTCCCGGGAATGTGTGTGAGTGACGCTGGAAATGGATTGGTAAGTACCCTCTCAATTACTTCACGTCTATATGCTAACTTATGTTCAAGAGAGGACCTGATTTCGTTAATGGATGGTCTTCTGGAGTTCATGTAGGCGCCAGGTATGTTTGAAAATATCTGACTGTGCGCCTGATGTACTTTACTGATCAGTGTTCATGGCACCATGCAGCTGGAACCGTGATCTTGCTAAACAGCGAGGTGTCTTCATGGGCCAGGAATATCGGAAAAAGGGCGTAAACATGATACTCGGGCCCGTCGTCGGACCCTTGGGCCGTGTGGCTCTTGGTGGTCGCAACTGGGAAGGCTTCGCTGCCGATCCATACCTGAGCGGAATTCTGGTTGCCGAGTCGGTCAAGGGACTGCAGTCGCAAAACGTTGCCACTTCTCTCAAAGTAAGCCGGGGAAATCATCCAGAAGTTTGCCTTGTTGAGACTAAGTCTATTAGCACTTCATTGCAAATGAACAAGAGACGAACCGCAATCCGACCACCGATTCCGATGGCCACTATGTTCAGTCCGTGTCGTCGAACATCGATGACAAAACCCTCCACGAGCTATACCTGTGGCCTTTCCAAGATGCAGTCCTTGCTGGGACTACTTGTGTCATGTGCTCCTACAATCGCTTGAATAATTCCTACGCTTGCCAGAACAGCAGAGCCCTCAACGGAATTTTGAAAACCGAGCTCGGCTTCCAAGGTGGGTCGATGCCAAACATTTGAACAATATCTAAGGACTAACTTTTTTTGCAGGCTATGTGATTACTGATTGGTTTGCCCAGCATTCAGGTATTGCCTCTGCTAACGCCGGTCTGGATGTTGTCATGCCTAGCTCAAGCTACTGGAACAGTAATTTGACAACGGCAATTTCGAACGGAACTATGGAAGCTTCTCGTCTGGATGACATGATCACAAGGTAAGAAGCTGAATCTAGAGAGGGCACTTAATAAAGCGACATACTGAAACACCCCGACAGATTGATGGCGACCTGGTATTATCTCGACCAAGACTCGGCATTCCCCAAGCCTGGTGTCGGAATGCCTTCCAGCATCAGTGCTGCCCATGAGGCCGTCATAGCTACGTCCAAGGCCGCAAAGTCGGTGCTTTTGCAATCGGCCATTGAGGGACACGTTCTGGTGAAGAACCAGAACAACGCTCTTCCTCTTCGATCTCCAAAGTTGGTCTCTGTCTTCGGATACGACGCTTACAGCCCGATGTCCTACACTCTCGCGACCTCATTTAGTTTCCCCACAACAGAGCGATCAGCCCTGTATCAGAATGGGACTCTGTATAGTGCCGGTGGATCTGGCGCAAATTCACCTGCCTACATTGACTCTCCGATAGAAGCTCTTCAGCGCCGAGCATATGAAGACGGGTCTTCCGTTCTGTGGGACTTCACCTCGGAAGATCCCGTCGTCAACTATGTCTCCGATGTGTGCCTGGTATTCATCAATGCTTTCGCTACAGAAGCTGTCGACCGAGAGGCTCTGTCTGATACTCACAGCGACACAATTGTGACTAATGTCGCCAATAAATGTGCTAACACTGTTGTTGTGGTTCACAACGCCGGGATCCGCACTGTCGAATCTTGGGTTGATCATGTGAACGTTACCGCTGTCATCTTTGGCCATCTCCCTGGACAGGACACAGGTCGTGCTATAGTTGACATTCTTTACGGAGACGCAAACCCTTCGGGCAAACTTCCTTACACTGTTGCAAAGCAGCCATCGGACTATGGAGCTCTCCTCCAGCCCACCGAAACCGAAGGGAAATACCAATATTTCCCTCAGTCGGATTTCACCGAAGGTGTCTACATCGACTATCGCGCTTTTGACAAGGACAACATCGAGCCTCAGTATGCATTTGGCTTCGGTTTGTCTTACACAACATTCGGATACTCAAACCTGAAGATCTCGAAGACATCAGCCTCGTCGACGACTTATCCCGCTAGTGCCCCCATCGTTCCGGGTGGAAATCCCCGCCTGTTTGACACGCTAGCCAAGGTCTCGGCTACTGTGAAAAACACCGGTAGCGTTGACGGAAAGGAAGTTGCGCAGCTCTACATTGGCATTCCCAATAGTCCTGTCCGCCAACTGCGTGGCTTCGAGAAGGTTTTGATCAAGACTGGGAAGTCGACGACTGTGAACTTTAATTTGACTCGCCGAGACCTGAGCATCTGGGATACAGATGCGCAGCAATGGCTTCTCCAGCGCGGGACTTATCAGATCTTTGTGGGGCGTAACAGCAGGGACTTGGCCCTTACGGGAACGCTGACAATCTAGATCTGTATATAGTTTCGCTGATTAGAAGTTTGAAGTAGTTAGAGATTTGATCATGATAATGAAATGCATTTCTCGTTAATCATCCATCCACCTTGCTCAGTTTCAGGGTTTCCCTCGTTAGAGATTCTGCACATGACCGATGTCCAATGTAAATGTAACCACACATGTCAATTTCGTCTCCGTCAAAGTTATGTGTCGTAATGTCTTTATGCCATGAAGTCCTGAAGCTTCTGCTTGTTGAGAATCTCACCCTCCACGAGTCTGCCTGTCTCAGTCACTTCTCCGTTGACATCCTGGTAGCGCACAAGCGCAGGGATGTTCTTGGTGGCCCAAGTAGTGCGGAAGACATTCTGAGGGTTATTCCACCTGAATCTCATATCAGTTCACTGAAGTTTAAATCATGCTAGTAGCCACCGGCATTATCCCGAGAAAGAGATCAACAATGTGGGGTCAGCATCCGTGCTTGAACTTACTCGGGTTTTTGTCCAACCTCGACGATCGCGAGTGCCGGGGTATCATCTCCCGCAAATGCCGTGGTGATGGAAGGCATGGCGGCTCTCACATCGGGACACCAAGCTTGGTTGGTGATGGGATCTGATCCGGAGATGAAGGCGATGAAGAATTTTGAGCCCGGTCCAGCCAGAAGCTCCTTTGCGGAGGTGGGGAGAGTGAAGTTTTTGAGAATCGCCATGGTAGCTTTGGGCTTGCTTGCAAAGCGAGATGTGATGTGCTCAGGTCCTTGAATTCCGAAGAGGCAATTGTGGCTTTTTGCGATGTCTTTGCCAAGCCGGGTATTGCCGGCCCACGTGGAGACTTGCACTAGTCCCGAAAGGGAAGCAGCACTATACAATAAACAACCATCGAAAAATGTCCATGATCAATACAGCCCTTTTCAGTATTTCATTGAGCAGCTTTTCAAACGCACTAAATGGTTCAGTTCGCTTGTATGTACAAGGCCCAATTGTCCCAATTGCAGCAGTCGCCCCTGCCATCCACCAACTCACCGCCCCAAATGCTCCATAAGTACTCCGTATCCTGTCTCAAGACTGCCCACAGAGTTACAAGTAAAAGACACAGGGGAAATAACGCAATTCCCAACATAGCCCAAATTAGCATCCAATCCCAATCCCCTCAGAAGAAGATTCCCAATGCCTCTACTATCTCTGTATCCAAGTCTACCTCTGTAGTAGTATTTCTTTAAGAATTGCTATAGGATTGTATTTGCCTGGGGCTTCCTGCGATCCAGACCCCCAGCGGTCACCAACGCGTGGTCATTGCCCTACGGCGCAACAAAGTGGACCGGTGGGATACAGGACTCGGGGTGACAACAGACGTTGACAAGTTCGTGACCACCGTACCAGACCTAATCAACATTAGCCTCAAGCCACTGTACGTAATCTCCAAACTAGAATTACACGATCAATTCCACTGTGAGTAAACCCTCGAAGAGCTGGGAACGGCAGAAAATACCGGTCCGAATCAGACCTTTACCGAGCAGTTTCGTAAGTATTTCAGGTTGAACCTCCAGTACTTTAGAATCCACTTTGGAGCCTGACCGTCCTTTATACAGTTACCATGGAATCTTTGCTGTCTTTCCACGGGTCTTTCTAGGGGTCTTTCAAACTATCTTTCGAAATGTCCTTTTCAATATGTCTCCAAATATCATTCGGGCAGTATCAAAAGATGAGTCTAAGGTCTAAATACCCAAGCTCTCAAATACTTTCAAACCTTGGAAAATTTACTCCACCTGGCGTTATTCCTGGCGCAGTGAATCACCCGCCGCATCCTAAAAGGCTAAGGCGTGGAAATCTTATTTTCTCTTTTGGCGAACGGTCACGGATAAACCTTCGCAACCCCCACTCATTGTACATCTCATGCCAACATCACTGAGCTGGTTAAAGAAGTGACCGATAGACTGGACGCAAAAAGCAAACAACTCAAGACCATCCTAAAAGTTGAGCTTGAAGGATGTGGAAAGGTGCCTCAAGCTTGAACTCGATGTCATGGACACAGAGATGAAAGATGTGCAGCCACTCCCCCTTTCTCCTCACCTAGGTACGCAATCCAAAACATGGATTAGAAGGAACATTTCGCTAATTGACTATAGTGACTACACTAGATAGGATGGAAAGAGCGTTTGGCCACTCCAGGATCAATGAGGCCAGTGCACGGTGGATCGTTAACTCGGTCAACTTTGAAGCATATGAGATGACAACGTCGACCATCAAGAACGCACAGCCTTTGAGTGTTCAGTGCGAACGGGGCTACAGATTCGGTCCTGTGACCCTCAACCACCGAAAGGTTGTCTTGTCAGGCCGACCAGATTATAGCGTCTGGTACGGAGAGAGCGAATCTTTATGCTTGAATGTTCTGGTTGTTGAAGCAAAGGGACAGATCAAAGGGACAAACACCATCTCTCAACTCCTTGCATGTATGGGTATGTATCTTGCGATCTATTTTGTATACCCTTTACCCAGAGAAGCTAATTAATATGAAAGGCTGCATCCACCAAGCCCGGAAACACGAGGGGAAACGCAACTGCGGAGTCTATGGAATGGCCTATACTGGCTACAGTTGGCATTTTCTCAAAATCAGCCATGAGTCAAAGGTAAGCTTAAGCCATATCAGCCAAGACCTAGACTCTGATGTGTTATTAGTGGTCAGAACTTCCTGTCATGGGCCGTCGGGCTCATCTGGAGCAGCCATTGGGCCTCCTTGTGTGGATGTTCAAAAGAGCAGTCCGTCCCATTCAAAAGAAACGTCAGCAGAAACTGAGAACGAGGTGGTGTCAGATGAAATGAATATCGATATCATCGAGTGATGAAGGGATGGTGTACCCCGAGTGTACCCCCAGTGGAGGGAACGTTGACCTACTTAGTTTAGCCATAATTTAATTATAAACTGTATGATTAGGCTTAGCTATCAAGCCGTTGCCGATTCAGGTAGCCCGCGAAGTGATGATTATCTTACGAAGTCAACAATGAGCCAGTAACTCTTTATTATTAACAAAAATAAACGCTTCTGCCAAAGTGAAGATAAAATAAGAATAAACTGGCAGAAACAAAAAGGAAAAGAGGGCTCCAATCTCACAGTGCGAGCTTAACACGCTCGAGCATTGCCATGATCCGATCGAATTCCGCCCTGTTCTCCTCAGGGGTCACAGTGGGCATGAATGCCTGGATAGCGGGGATGGTGTGGAGGGGGGGGGGTGACACCTTGGGCCAACACATTGCGCATTGCAGCTAGCTGCGTCAAGTCAATATTATGACGGGCTTGGAGGCGTCTGATGGCCTCCTGGATCTCCTCTAGCGCGGCCTTACATACCGTTGCCCGCTCGGACTCCACCACAAGGTTGACCTGTGGTGACTCTCCAGAGGACGCGGATGATCGGTTTCGACGATGACCCAGTGTGGGCCGCCCGCCCGGAGGCGCCTGGTAGAAGTCACAGCGTGATTTCTGGGAGTTCCACTGACAGTTGCCACACGCTGCGACTGTGTTGGTGATGTCGGGGAAATGAACACAGTGGGCCCATAGCCATTCCCTTTAAGCAGCTTGAACACTCTTACTCCGCAATAGTCCCGACCACCTGTGCATTTGCGGCACTAGAAGAGGCACGCTCATCTAGTCTCTTGCCTCTATACCCAGTAGACAAGCGTTGAGTTGGTTCTTGTCGGGGTGGGGCGTCCACGAGTAACTAGATAGCTGGGCTTTTTATGTATTCGTTCACACGAGCCACCTTCAACGGTAGGTCCTTGGCGTGTCCTGCCCAGTCATCAGGTAGGAGTTCTCCTTCACCAGCTTGAGCCTGCGGTACTTTAAGCAAAACGCCAACATTGTGGTGACTGCCCTCTTCTGCTGGTGAGCCTGTATCACATTAGTTATTCAATAGCATATACATATTCTTCTGGAAGAATACTCACTATGCTTTTCACTGTGGTGCCAGTATCTGGGCACAATTTGTCAGTAGCTGGGTATTTGGTGATGTGGATGAGGCCATTTTGGTTGTTGGTGAGGTTCAAACGTTGGAAGAATGAAATTCAAAGAAGAGTGAACTTGAAAGAAGAGTGAAGTGAAGTTGAAAAGAATGTGATGTGAAATTGAAAAAAAGTGAAGAGAGCCTACCCATCCCCTCAAACATCATCTTTCAACACAAACACATATGAGGACGTACAAAAAGGACACCGATGATAGCTACCTTTAAGCCAGAAGCAGCTGGCCGTCTTTCCACGCGTATCAAAGAGTCCATCACCTGCAGAAAATATCATCTCCAGTGTATAGCGAAAGATGCAAAAGATGCCAAAAGCCTAGAGCGGGGGAGAGAGGTCGAGGAATATCAAAATAATAATAGAAACGAGAGCGAAAGTTGGTTTTTCACTGACCGGTAAATCGCATATATCAGATGCAACATCTCGTAACGTATTCCCACAAAAGCCCTCTATCAGCATGTAAATAGCACCTGCAGCAATTGCTCGTTGGGACCCTGGGCCTTCGTAGACGTAAACTTTTGGAACAACCACAGATGATAGGGTTTTTTTGGCGACAAACTGCATCGTTGAGACCTCGCATGAAATCGCGTAAAGTTCGTCTTCCTCGCTGACCGTTGGTAGAGTTTTGGGATGCCAGGGCAATCGAACGCGAGCAATGACTAGAGTGCCGTCCTCGGCGACCATCTCAAAACAGATCCAGTATTGGCCCGCTGCGAATTTCTCACTCATAAAGAGTTTCTGGCCTTTTATGAGCTCAGAATGAGACAAAAGGGCGTCTTTGTTGAGCCCAGCCAGCGCTGACTCCAAACGCTCCTTCATGCCGTTGTAATCCCACTCGAAAGAGGTCCATCGTACGCTCGGATATGATTTGGGGGTTGAGACTTGTGTCATTATAGGATGTACTCGGGGTTTTTTTGAATGAAATGCTTAGGGCCGCGTTTGCCGCGCAGGTTGTGAGCGTATCGGAAGTTGCATGGAATGCCAATCATGGCCAGTCTACACGTGATCTGTCTTCGCTTAGGCAGATTTAACAGGGGTAAACATGCACGGTTTCCGAGTTAAGAGCCAGAATTTGCCCACTCTCAGAGTGAATCTGTTTGACTTCGAAAGATGTAAACGTCGAGGAATGGTCGGTTATAGTTCAGGTGGAAACGTTTCCCGTCCAACAGTCTCAACCGCACGTCTCCCATAGCCAATTCCAGTCCACCAATTATAAGTAGGCTACACACCACCATATCCTGCCTGAAAGCACCTGTCGAAACAAAAACAAAAACATACAACAGTGAGGATTCGCTGGTGGTCACCCACCCAACTACTAACTCACCGGCGTGTGGCTTAAGTACGGCTGAGCGGACGGGAAGCCCTGTTCTCCACACCCTGTGGTCGTATGTGCTCAGATACAATTGAAGATGGTTTATAGAGACAGCCATTGAGCTTTGCCAGCAGCTTCGAAGAATTCAAGATCAAATTCAGAGGATCACAGCACCCTTTGCCCCCAATGACATATACGCTCTCACTTCGACCTCGGGAGTACTCCAACCTTGGAAGCTGTGATAAAAACTGATATGAAGAATTTTCCTCCTGTCCCAAGGTATGTACAAGCTAGGTTGCAATTGGTATTAAACTGGCGAGATTGTGAACAATGAATCAGATATTTATCGATCCATCCATGGATGGATATATGACTACTTAAGACGACACGACCCATTATCATCCCAATTCTCACTCCCTACACCCTTCCGGGTAATGAAAAGATCATGTGGGTCCCTGCTTGCCTTGATATCGTGCAACCGGGCATACCGGCTCCCCCCAGAACGACTGTTGGAAGTCCGACTCATCTGCGTCGGCTTCATTCATATACGCACCCATCTCGCCCGGCTCGATTGATCTGAGGATCGGGACTTCTTGGCTCGTGATGTTGGTTTCAAGCGACTTCTTTTCGTCAAAGGTCATATCGGGGCTCTCATAGTGGCCCACAATCAAATGGAGTATAGTATCTCGCCACGCAGGGTTGAGCCCCGATTCAATGTCGCGATTCTGAGCAACCTGTCCGCCGGCAACGAATGCACCGACGATCCCGTCTCCTGGTCTATACTCGATACTCGAGACGGCATTTGTAAGCCGGGTATGGTTCCCAGACTCGAAGAGCTGTCGTGAGATCAAGCGGCTTGCCATGCGCAACTGGCCTCCGGTCTGGTCACTCCCCGTGAAGAATGTGGAATAGAAAGTCGAGAGCGAAGGCAAAGATATGGTCTGCAAGAGCGGTTCTTTGCCCAAAGCATCTTTGAGTTCTGATTCTAATGGTGCCAAGAGCTCTTTGACGGGCTTCGTGTCCGTCTGGTTGATGAACGTCATGACAAAGGTCATAGTCGATGCTGTTTGTGAATTGGAGACTGGGTTATTCGGAACGATGGTGTAGAATCCCGAGGCTCCCTTGTCGTTTATAGGTAGAAGATTCTTCTGAACGACATCCACACCCTTCCAGAATGTTTCACTGACAGAAGTAGTAAAATTCAAGGCGGCCAGCACGGTGGGATAATTCGGGTGAGCTTTCACCGTGGCACTAATCACCACACCGAAGCTGCCACCGCCACCTCCTCGCAATGCAAAGAAGAGATCTGAGTTCTGGTAGTCATTCGCAACCACAAGTGAGCCCTGCTTTATCATTAGATACCAAGAGCCGTATATCATAAGGGCCTCTTCCACAATTGGTACTCACATCTGCCAAAACGACTTGGAATTCAAGAGCATTGTCACTTGCCATTCCATGCAGCCACCCAAGTAAAGAATGACCACCACCTTGGATATATCCACCAGCGACACCGACAGTATTCGCTGTACCCCCGACCACCATCAATCCATGTGGGGCCAGGTACTCGTACATTTCGTGCAACTGAACACCTGCGCCAAGAGTTACACCCTTGATGCCCTCGGGAGAATCTTCGCCATTCGGAACCGTGGGCACGAACTCGTCGACAATTGAAATTTCCTTCAACTCATGAGTGAAAATCTGCAGTGAGTTTGGCGCAGAAGAGCGCCCAATAAAGTCATGTCCGGAGTTTTTGATGACAAGCTTCACATTGTGTCGCGCGGCAAACTTGACAGCTTCTTGGACATGCTTTGCGCTCTTGGCTTTTACTGATAAAAGCGAAACGCGACCTTGTTGACAGGGTGTGGCCTGGGAAGACTCGACAAAGCATTCCTCCTGCTTTTCCGGCCACGCTTCCCAATTCGCCCATTGTAACGCAGCTGGTCAAGTCAGCGACCGTGTTCATCCCGTTGTGACCCCCCAATGTTCTTCAGGCTAAGTTCTTACCTGGTTGTGATGATCTATATGATGAGCTGTGGGTATTGTTTTTGACGACAGCGCAGTCTGCGGCGTCAAAAGTCGGATCATGACAAGGCGATGCAAAAGGCGTGATTTTGACAAGATTTCCACCCGTTGAGGCATTGAGACGGGCCCAAGCATTCTCGGAAGGCCAACATGGCTCGCTTGGCTGGCAGCGGCAAAATGCCGCGTTTGCCGCACTACTCGCGACCAACACGCCGAACCCCAAAAGTGCAGACCTCATCTTGTCGTGCGGAAATCTTTGTGGTTGATGAATCCATATTTTGCTGTTCAATTACAATGCTTTTAAAAATTTAGCATACCTCATGAACAAGTTTGACACTTATTTTGTTAGGGGGCTTCCACGGAATGCGCGGCTAAAGCAAGGTATGATCAAGCAAGGGACTGGACGGCACGGCAATTGATGGGGAATACAGCATTCTCATAGGGTAATCGACAGGCATTTGTGTTGATCTAATGCCCAAGTGGCTGAATTGGGTATTGTCGTTCAATTCCAGATGCAACTTAAAGCTTGTCCGTTTGAGTGATCAGGTGTGACTATGATGACTTTTCAGCCTCATCGGCTCTGACTATTGCCTTTTTGGGCAATAGCCTCGCAGAAGATGTGAATGTATAACAACATCTTGCATTAGATCATCCTTTTGGTCGCAGAATGATCAAGTTGCGGGTTTTTGCATGTCCTGTATGCAGTCGATGTCAGATTCGTCGAATCGTTTCCCTTTTCGAGCCCTTCGAAGCCTGCTTGGTGCGATGACTTGAACTTACCATAAGCCACCTGAAAGAAACCCAGGATCTCGGAACATATGTTGACAGACAAAAGGTCTTCAATCAATGCGTGTAATCAAATCGATTCCCCATGTTTGGTGTTTTTGAAGTGCCCTGACATCATACCAGAGGGTCAAGAGTCTTCCAACCTCAGAATCTAGCTCATAAACAGCACTGACGTTGGACGTGACTTTGGAGCCATGCAAGGATTGTATCGATCTTTGTGGAAGCTGAATTGCAGCTGATGTGAAACCACGTGCAGCCTTGTGATCTCATAAATAGGACTGCATATTAAAAAGGGGGCCAAAGCCCCAAAGATTCGGATGAGCTCACCAAGTCGGTAACTCAACCTCAGCCCTATCCAGAACCTCAAAGTATGCTGCTGGTCAGCAATGCGAAAGGTTTCCCAAATTGGACATAAATACCTGTCAGAAATGTTATCCCAACATCAATCAGTGCCACTGCGTAGATTGTGAATCCTCTCCCGTTCTAGCGAACTGCGTGGCTAGCTGCATGTCGATGCAGCTGCACGAACAGCCTCATTGGCAATATGAGACCCACCCTACCCAAAGGAGTAAAGAGTAACGGATCATCCGCGATCTGTGACAGCGGATTTGCCAGCCCGCACTGCATGCAATCAATCCAGCAAACTTAACTGCGTAGCAAACGAGAAAAAAAAAGCCACACCGATTCCCGAGAGGTTGAACCTCCTGAACTCTCTTCCCAGGCTCCCTGCCTTGGCTCTGCATCTTGATCAAACCATTGATATTTAAAACATATCCCGTCACCATGCATGGGCCCGCAGACCAGGGCTATCAGCTGGGTGTTGATGTGGGCGGCACCTTCACCGATGTTTACGTGTTCACCCCGCATGGGAAGACAGTGCGGGCAAAGGTGCCAACATCACTTCCCGATCAAAGTATCGGTATCCAGCAGGGTATTGCAAAGGCCCGTGGAATATTGAAAGAGCAATTTGGCTGGTCGGGTACTTTCCAATTTATTCACCACGGTACAACTACTGCCACCAATGCAGTTCTCGAGGGGAAGGGCGCTCGTACGGCCCTCATTGTGACGGCGGGGCACAAGGATGTTTTGGCGTTGCGTCGCTCCCAGATCCCGGGTGGACTGGGCGCTTGGCTGCACTGGACGCCGCCCGAGCCGATCGTACCCCTTGAGCGGGTGGTCCAGTGTAAAGAACGGATGTCCGTACAGGGTGATCCAGTGACACCAGTTGATATCGAGGATCTGCGACAAAGTCTCAGAGATCTGGCTCGACAGAAACCCGAGGCTGTTGCCATCTCGTTGTTGAACTCGCACAGCAATGATGCTCATGAACGGGAGGTGGAGAAGATTGTTCGCCAGGAGCTTGGATCCGAAATTGCCATCAATTGTTCCGCCGATGTTTTGCGAGAAGTCGGAGAATATGAGCGTACTGTCACAACCTGTACAAACACACTGGTCAAGCCAGTAGTTGAGAAATACCTCCACAACCTATCTGAGTCGCTCGCGACCGAAAGTGAGGCTATTCGAGTCCTCAAGAGCGATGGCGGCTTGACCAGCCTCACACTGGCCTCTGAGTTGCCAGTTAACATTCTCATGTCCGGCCCCGCTGGCGGCGTCAAGGGCGTGGCAGATGTTGTCGCTCGGAGCACCCCGTACAAGAATCTCATCACCCTGGACATGGGCGGAACATCCACTGACTGTGCGCTAATTTATAATGGTCAGCCCCAACTCCGACGAGAGACCGTCGTTGAAAGTCATTCAGTTCGGGCGCCCGCGGTTGATATCAAAACCGTCGGAGCTGGAGGCGGCTCAATCACAACATACATGGAGTTGACTGACACCCTGCGCGTTGGACCTGAGAGTGCTGGTGCGACCCCCGGGCCGGCATCATATGGCAAAGGCGGCAACCAGGCCACTGTGACCGATGCAAATCTAGTCCTGGGCTACTTACCCAAAACGCTGCTCGGCGGCGAGTTTGCCCTCGATGTCGCGGCCGCGACCGCTGCTGTCGAGGATATCGCGAGACAAATGAAGCTACCTCTCATTCAGACAGCCGAAGATATCATCACAATCATTAACGAGACGATGTATGGCGCTCTTCGTCTTGTCTCTGTCGAGCAAGGTTATGACCCTCGCGAGTTCGCACTAGTTGCCTTCGGCGGCGCAGGCCCACTTCACGCAAATGCTGTCGGAGAACTTCTCGGAGCGTGGCCTGTGATCATCCCTCCTTCTCCGGGTATTTTATGCGCACAGGGAGATGTAACAACCAAGCTCAGACACGAGCAATCTGCCACATTTATTCGAATCGTATCATCGACAACCGTCACCGAGGCCCGAGAGCAGTATCAATCATTGGACCGAGAGTGCCGCGAGACACTATCGAGGACAGCTGGTGATCTGTGGCCCGTGTCGTGGAAAACAGCATACCAAGCAGATCTGCGGTACAAGGGTCAAGCACTGATGATCACTATCGATCTTGATGAAAGAGACTTGGCCCTCGGCACCGAAGAATGGCATCATGTGTTACGACGAAAGTTCGACCAGCAGCATCAGCAAATGTTTACATATTGCTTACCGGACTTTGAGCTCGAGCTGATGAGACTGGGAGTCGTTCTCGAGGATGCTTCGCCTAGTATTGAAGTTCCCCACGTTGAAAAAGCGACCATGCCGCCCTCGGATGCCAAGATTGGTGAGCAGACAATTGTCGTGCAAGGCGAAGAAAAACTTGCGACGCTTTGGGATCGTCAAAAGATCACAAAGCATGGTATTCGAGTGGATGGACCATGCATTATCTCCGAAATGGACAGCAACACCCTGATTTTGCCCGGCTACTTTGGTGAGATTGACAGTATTGGCAATATTTTGATCAATCCCGTGGATAAGAAGCCCCCTGTGGCTGTCTCGCATACTGCGGAGTCGGCCAAAGAACTTGTCACAACAACACCATTGATCCCAACCCTTATTTCATCCACGCTGGCTTCGATCCGTGGAGAGATGGACAAGATGATGCTCCGATGCAGCATGTCCCCCGCAATTCGAGAACAGCAAGATGAGTTCAATGTTATAACGGATTGCGACGGGAAAATGCTTGTTGGGCAGTTTGGTAGTTTCATCACACAGTTCCTGGACGTTTGGGATGGTTCCATCGAGGAAGGAGACGTGTTTATCACAAACGACACATATCAAGTCCAGGGAGCTATCAGTCACCTCAACGACATCATCGCCCTATTACCAATTTTCCACAACGGGAGACTTATCGGATTCGCATCGCAATTCGGCCATTTAACAGACGTTGGCGGTATTGTTCCGGGAAGCATGTCGATCAATGCGACATCTGTCTTTGACGACGGAGTGCAGATTCCATGCATTAAGCTTTATTCTCGCGGTGTGATGAACAAGGATCTGGTTGATCTTCTCTGTCGAAATTCCCGACAACCGGCGTGGTATCGCTCGGATCTAACAGCCATCGTTGCATCCTGCTCTATGGCTGCCACCAGAGTCTGTGAGCTAGCGACTCGTTTCGGCGCAGAGGTTTATCTCGCCGCATGCTCCGAGCTTTTATCTCGCAACCGCAGTGGATTTGCCAAAATTATTGAACGCCAGTTCGATGACCAGGAGAGCATATTTACAGACTTCGTCGACGATGATGGCCACGGTGTTGGACCTTGGGCTCTCACATGCTCCATGAAAAAGATTGACGGCAATCGTCTGAAGTTCGACTGGAGTGGAACATCTCCTCAAAGTGAACGCAGCATCAACTTTTATCTCTCCGAGACAATGTTCCGGATGTTCATCGGCTATTATCTCATTGCCGCAGCAGCCCCGGGAACAGTCATCAACGACGGCTTCCACGATTTGATCGATGTGCACATCCCACAAGGATCAGTCTTGAAACCCGTTCGCCCTGCGCCAATCTCCTGTCGAACTCACTTGCTGGGACGAACCTTGGACATTGTCCAAGCTCTGATCGGACAGAAGCAGGACTCATATCAGGCTGCCGCTGGTTTTAGTGACTCGCCGCACTTCTTTTACTCTGGTTTCAAGCCCGATGGCGAATGGTACCAGCTGTACCAAATTGGCTTTGGAGGTGTTCCCGCTCGGCAGGCTGGCGATGGTCCCGACTGCCACTGTCTGTTCCCCGCCATCAAATCGATCCCCACGGAGATTATCGAGCTCAACTACCCACTGCGTATTGAAGCAAATGAGAGCGTTGCAGACAGTGGTGGTGCCGGGTATCATCGCGGTGGTAATGCTCAACGAACACTATACCGATTCTTAGCTCGCGGAGAGTTCAGTCTCCACGATGATCGATGGTTCACCAAACCATGGGGGTTGAAAGGGGGAAAGCCAGGACAGCGCTCTCGCAAGATCCTCTACCGGTACTCCAAGTCCGAGGATAGCCCTCCTACCGAGATCCTGCCTTCGAAGTGTGATCACGTCCGCGTTGATCCTGGCGATCTGCTCGAATGGGTGACATGGGGTGGAGGCGGACTAGGTGATCCTTTGACGCGCCCCGCTGAGAAGGTCGCGTTGGAAGTTCATCGGAAGCTCGTCACCGTTGAGGGAGCTCGCATTGCGTATGGGGTAGTGGTCAAGGATGACTTCACCGTACATGAGGCTGAGACTGAGGCGCTGCGTACTCAATTGCAGATGCAGCGGAGCCAGCTGGACCAGCCGTCAATTTACGATCGTGGAGGAAGCATCGAGCAGTTGCGTAAGACCTGCTTGCAGGAAACCGGTCTCGATGCCCCGTTGCCTCAGTGGGAAACAGACCTTTATGGACCTCATGCTGGGCTGTCATATGTGCGGGACTGGTTCACCGAGATGAAGTCACGGAAGGGGTGGGAGCTCAGCTGAGACTGGAATATACTGTATATAAAAGAAGATATAGTTCCACGATCGCTCTGTGAGGTGGAAGCTGCAAATACCAATGGCAGTGCAAATGTGACTCAAAGATCGTCAGCACAGACTAGGCAGCAGAGCCTCATAAAAGTGGGGTAATTTCCACACGTTTAAGACCCTAAATCTGACAACTTCTCTCCTGAAAATCTCCATTAATTTCACTTGACCGACACAATGGCTGCCATTGCGATACCAGAAGACTTCCTCCGGGGACCAGCGGTGAAAGCAACACTGCACAAAATCGACTTCGAGAAAACAACACCACCCATTCCTTCATTCAAGAACAGCATCGCTGCAGTAGTCGACAATCTCTTGACAGAGACTGAATGCAAACAACTCCTCCAAATAGCAGAAGAGTCAACGCGGACCACACTCCCAGACTCGACACTCTCCGCCTCCCAATGGGAACGCGCTATGATCAACGCTGGAGGCGGCAGGCAAATAATGTCCGTCGACTCCCGCAAAAGTGGTCGAATAATCTTCGACTCCACGGATATCGCCGATCGACTTTTGGGACGGTTGATGCCGTTTATGCGCGAGTGTCAGATCGACGTTGTCAAGAACCTGCCTCTAGTCACAGGACTCGGACCTGCCAAACGAGGCGAAGCGCTTCAACTCAGTCGATTGAATGAAAGATTGCGATTCTTGCGATATGAGGGTGGTGATTACTTTCGTCCGCACTGGGATGCGTGCTATATGACTCCGGATGGGAAGGAGAAGTCTCTTTTCACAATCCATCTCTACCTGAATGGCGAGGGGGAGCAGGATATGGAGGAGTTGAAGCCGCACATCGAGCGAGCGGAAAAGAACTATTATTTGTATGAAGAGGATGGGGAGATCAATTTGGCCAAAGTCGGTTCTAAGGCTCCAGAGGGTGATGAGAGCGAGGTTTCCGTTGTGGAATCTCTTGACGGTAGTGACACTCTTTTGGGCGGAGCTACCTCATTTGCTGCCGCGGTGAACTCGAAGGACTCAGTCCGCATCTTTCCTAAGACGGGATCCGTTCTTATCTTCCAGCAGAGGAACTTGTTTCATGGTGGAGACGATGTTTTTAGGGGTGTCAAGTATACTATGAGGACAGACGTGATGTATTCAAATGAATAGAAGAGAAACAAGTTCATTCCTATGTGTTACTATCCGGTTTCCATCGGCTACCTAGGTGACGTTCCTGTCTCTTTCTGCTTGTCATGTTTCTTCTCGGTTCCATAAATTTGGCTACCACACATCTCCCCAACGTTGCCTCTCAGAATCTGTCTCCGAAGGTCGTTCCAAAGGTCGTTTCATCGGACCTGGTTGGTGTCTCAGCATCATTTGCCATAAATCCACCACCACATCACCACCCCTCTTCATCAATTCGTGGAAGGATTCACACTTGCTGAGAGACGGTGCCACTTCAAAGAGATATCGAGCGGCCAACTTTCTCATATGATTGGTGGGCGAGGGAGGCGTATTCTCGTAGACAAATATGACAAATTCAATGGTTCCCTCCAAAGCGACTTCACCCTTGGTGAACAAGTTTAGAAGCCCATAGGTTCTGAAAACAACAAGCCGGCACAGTTGTTCCACTCCCCATTTGTCAGCCAGTGCATAGATTTCGACTTGCTCAATGAGAGCCGAGGAGAAGTCGCGCTTATTTCCGCCATTTGCGCCCCCCACAAATTTTTGTCCCAATCTGGGTTGGGATGGGCATTGGCTAAACCCCAGCGTTCGAGCCTTTTGAGATAGAAGAAGTCACAAGAAGGGAAATGGGGCCAACCCAATCTGTCCCAATTCATATCGTCATCAACCTCGAAGGTCGAGTGAGTTGATTCGCCATTTGAGCTTTTGTCGTCGTCGTTGGAAGCTCCAGAGGTTGTAGTGTGGGTGGTTTTAGGAAAAGATAACTCACCCAGATCGGGAGCTGGCAGCGTGTAGTCTTTTCCGTATGCAAATTCACATAGTCGGAGGAACGTGCCCTCCTTAACATCCGACCAGTCCACACGCTTGTCGGATGCCTCTTTCCATTCACCGTTGATCAGTGCGTTGAGAGCCGGAGACAGTTTCGCAATAATGAGAGAATGCACCACGAATTCCTTCTTCTGGGGCCCAACTTGGAAGGTGAATAGAGGCGACTCGAGAACCCTGAAATTGTGTTAAAGTCAGATTGGGATGGAAGTGTGATTCAATTCTTACTCTTTCATGGGCCTGTAAGCCATCTTGGAGTGATGCAAGTTGATTGGGCAACAGGATTGATTGCCAACTGCTTGAAGAGCCAATAAAGCTTCCAAAGTGCTAAGGTTGAAGACGAGAGAGGGGGAGGGAGAAAGAAGTGCAAGTGGATACAGGATTGGAAAGGAAAGGAAAGGTGGAAGGCCAAATGGTAGTATACAAACAAACATCAATCCCATCCGGGTTTGTCAAACACATGAATCTACATCTAAATCAACCCCATAGCTTCAGGGTCTCTTACATTCAGAACTCCTATACTCCTGCATTTCTCTCAAACAAAGTTGTTTGGCACGATTATAGACACTATGCTCCTCATACACGTTCAACACCAACACTGCTGGCAACTTTCTCTTCTCCTTGCTCCACCTGGATATGCCCATAGGCTTTGATCTCCGCAGCCATCCTTCTTGCTTGCTCGACTGGATTCCCACCACGAGCAAAGATCAAGTCAATATCCTCAAGGCGCAGATTGCTTGTCTCGGGATAGTAAAAGTAGATGATGGGAATGAAAAGGAAGTTGGTGATCATGAAGATCAGGTATGCCTTCCATTCGATGCGGTTGATGATCACAGGCGTTATCATGACAACGGTGAAGTTCCACAGCCAGTTGGAGCTGACGCCAATCGCTGTTCCCTTGGTTCGGGCTTCCAGGGGAAGAATCTCGGGCACATATACCCATGGGACGGAGTTGATGGACATGCCGTGAATCAGCATGTAGAGGAAGAAGAAAGATACAGCAGCTGAGGCGTATGTTGTTCCGTTCGGTTGGTCGATTTGGGACAATAGCGCTGCTACCATCATCATGCACACTCCGAGTCCGAAAGAGCCAAACATCATGGTCTTGCGGCGACCCATGCTATCCAGTTTGAAAGCCGGCAACAGTGAGCCAAGCATGAACATGATCTGGATGCATCCACCGAGGATCAGGGAGAGCTGACTCGAAAGCCCGACATTACGTTTAAGTACCGCTAGGTCTTGTTAGCGGCTGGTCTCTTGGAGATGGATTGGGTACTCACTGGGCACAAAGTACACGACCAAGTTGATACCGCCAACTTGGTTCATAAGCTGGATACCCCATGCGAGCAGAACGCGCTGGCCGGTCTTGACTTCGTCGTTGCGGAAGATCTTCCAGAAGGATTGCTTGCTCACGGCATCCTCGAGTTCGATGGCGGACTTGATTCCTTTGCGCTCATTGACAATGAATTCGTCATCGGGCTCGCGGTCGTACACGGCACAGAGAACATCCACAGCTTCCTGCTCTTGACCGTGGTTCATGAGCCATCGAGGGGACTCTGGGAGGCCGAATACCAGCACGATGACAAAGATGGCGAAGATTATTTGCATGGCAATGGGAAGTCGCCACGCGATAGGCCCGCCCACGAATGACATACCAAAATCGAACCAATATGCGACGACGATTCCAACAGCTGTGAAAAGCACTTCGGAGGAGATCAGACGGCCTCTGGTCTTGCCTTCACACATCTCTGTTGGGAGAAAAAGATTAGTCAAAGCCGGAGTGGGTAGGATTTTGGCAATAGTTGTTTCGTCTTACCAGCTTGGTACATGGGAACAGTGCTGGTCTTCAGCCCGGTGCCCGCGCCGGTTATCACGCGGCCTATGATCAAATGTGGCACATTGAAGGCCGATGCTTGCAAGATCGCACCGACAATGACTACGCCCATGGCGAGCCACATGGTCTTCCGGCGGCCGAGCATTTCGCCGATGCAGAAGTTCACTAGCAAGATCAGTCAGTCCATGGTCATCGAAATTTACTGAAAGACTTGATGGTCACTGTGACTCACCCAAACATCCAAGCAGACAACCCAGGTTATAGCAACTGACAATGATACCCTCCTCAGAGTCGTCAGGATGCCCAAATTGCTTTCTCCAGTCCTCGTTACCCACAATACCACTGAAAACACCTTGATCATAGCCAAAGAGAACAAAAGCCACAAGACAGCAAGATGTGATCGCAACTTGAAGGGGTTTGCCCCTCCCATACCAGGAACGCATGATGAATGTCACCGGGTTGGTATCAAGATCAGTGACCGGGGTATATAGGCTATCAAACTTCAAGGCCCGTTGAAGTTTCGATTTCTTCATCCCTTGGACCTCACGCCATGTTTATAGTCCGAGGGCCAGACCCCGCTGGGCACGCGGCCCAGTACTTGCTGTCATACATTGCTAGCCCGGTCCACAGTATGGGCGGCGAACCGGGTTCCAACCAATAAGATCTAGTCAGTCTGATTGATCCATGAGGTAGGATCTGGGGAATCTGGAGACAGCCAGTGATGTGGGGAATGGGTTGCCTCTGCAATGCAGCCACGATCCTAATCGGGCAAGCCAGCCACCCCTTTGCCGACTCACGCTGGAGGGTCTTCAGTGGCTCGGCAAGACCCGACGTGGCGGTGCCTAGAACTGCCCCTTGGGTCGACGGTGGTGCAGATTATTGCCGTTTCGGGAATACCCAGAGATCGAGACGTCCCGTTTAGGAAATTAGTCTGGTTCGGGTAGTTGCAACCACCGGAACTCGCTAATTATCATATTGGCTAACTGCTTTCAAGTTTAACATTACTTCCCGTTATTCAATGGCTCGGTATGGCACATGGTCTCTAGGCTAGCATGAACTTTAATTCAACAGCAAAAACGTCAAATTCTAGGAAATCTATCAATCTCATCTATAAAAATCAACGCGGGTCGATAACAATCACTGCGCCATGCTGGGTCAAACAGCAGAACTGAACTCGCTCTTCGTCTTCAGTGCCACAAAACCAATCTGTCGCTTCCTCCAGGCTCCTGGTCCAGTCGACAAACCTAAAAGCGAGGGTCCTGTCTGATGGCAATGATGGCCGCTGTCCGAGCATCGCCTTCTAGCGCAAGTGCTGCTAGCACGCGCGCATGGAACATGCCTGGGATCTATGAAAAGTCAGCATTTTGCGCAAAGATGATGGTGCTTGGAAGATTAAGACATACCGCTCTGCAGCCCTTGTGTTTGACGTTGCAGAACTCACATGCCCGATACCCAGGACGCCCGATGCAGACGTGATCAGGCTGGGTTTCCATGCGCCTAAAGCAAGGCTTGCATGGGATGGGGTTCATGTTAGGATTCGGGGGACCAGGAGCCCAGGAATCGGGGTCCGAAGGACCGGCTTGTGCAGCAAGAGCATCCTGTGCTCGAGTTGCTGGGGGTGTGTAAGCTGGAGGCAGTGGTTCATCACTGCCTCCATCCTCGGGCTCGGCCACCCAATCTTGGTCTTGGGCATCGGACCTGGAGCGTGTCGCGTGTTCCCGCTCCGTGGGGCTGGTGTTGTTGCTGTTGGTGAACGACATGGTGTTTTTGTTGCTCGGTAGATGTGTTGGTTTTTAGGTTGTTGTTTTGCTGGATGCTGAATGCTGGAGATGGATGTTCTGTATCACTAACCGGCTCTTGCAGTTCCTACTTATAGATCAATTCCTTCATGGTAACTCTCAATTTTTCCATCATGAAAGAACACTACAGACCCAAAGCCAAAGAGTAACTTGGAACGGTTGACTCCTGTCTTCTCATTGACTAACAAAGATGGATGGAATAAACCATGTGATGATTCGGGGAAATTGTAAACTGGGCTAGCTTTCTAACGCTTAAAACCGTTGTTCATCTTCTAGCCATTATGTTACACATTCTAAGCTTGTCTCAACTTGGACACTAACTCAGAGACATTCTATCAAGGACTAAGTCGCAGTAGGAGTCTAAAGCTTCCCCACAATCAAACAATTTCTATCAAAGAGCCACACATAGAGCTTATTTACCACGTGCCTGAATTAGCAGATTAGTAGATCAAAAAAGGCCGAGGTCCAAACTGCAGAAGTGAACTATTGTCTGGTTTCATTGTATAGACATGCTTATATCAGCAATAGCTCCAGCCACTGTGGCTCAGCAAGTGAGTGGCTGAAGATTACCTGATTGGTTGTCTCCGCCCGCCGCGCTTTTGCATCCTCTCATCTTCACATTCAACGAACAAGATAGCAACTTGTACTTTCGTTCACTTGCTCAACGACTATAGTATTCCCGAGTCTGGATAATCGCTCCGGTCACTTATTTCTTACATCACACCATCTCTTACATTGAAGAGGCGAGTTCAACATAAAATACCGCTCAAATTATTGTCTTTCGCCTCACTTGACCCTTATTTTTGAGAGATTGAGTGAGGGGAACACCTGGATATCCTACAAGGATCCAAGTTCATTTTTCAGTCGTTCGGGGTGCTTGAATGGCTCTTACATCAACATCCTAATTCGCCGTATCAACTGCTCCGCAAATGGCTACCAATAAGAGCTCCCCTCAAGGGTCAGCAGCCGGCAACGGCGACACTTTACGTCTCAACTCCGAACTCCATTTGGTCTCATCTTTAGCAAAGTTGCAAGAATTAGAAAGAAAGGTGCTTTCGTCTGATCCGCCATTCATACCCCTTACTAGACCAAAGCTAACAACCTTCCTAGATTCATGGGCTGCGTCAATTCATGCCAGACGGACTCCTGGAACCACTTGTCCCAATAGCAAATCCAGACAAAGCGACTCTAGACAATCCAGTCGCTGAAACGCCACGGGTTCTCCGGGCCAACCTCGATGAGACGGCACGTGCACGCGTCTCAGATGTCCAGCAGTTTCAGTCCCTGTGGCGGGACCCGGAACTGAAGCCTGTTTGGGACAACGTTGAATCGCGCATCAAAGAATCCAACGGTCAAATCCTACAGCCAAATGGAAAGTGGGATCGGGATTACGATCTCCTTCTGAAGGACTTGGCCGAGGAAGAAAAGTCCAAAACTGATGATCGTAAGCGCCTGGAGGAGGAGGCTGAGCGGACAAAGGCGCAGTCTGGGGAAGGGGAGTGGCAAAAGGTTCTAGAGCGATTTGTCCAGCGCAACGTACCCGGTATAAGGGTCGCTCAGGAGGAGGATGGTATCTCCTTGGCAGTGGCACTGGTCAGAGCGGGGACTGTACTCCTGGTCAAAGGCATTTCCGAGCCTGGAGAGCCGATCTCTCAATGGGAAGTGTCGAGCAAGACTGGAAACCGTGAATTGACAAAATTGGAAGTTGCCATTTTGGAATGTCTGGGCTCTCGCCCGAGGAAGTGGGATCTTGCTTTCTTGCTGGTATGTCTTCTCTCTTACATGCAGGATTCTTTGCTCACACCGATCTAGGACATGATTTCTTCCTATGGAGAAATCAAGCACACGCCTTGTGTGAAGTGCAATCGCCTGACCAATAACGGTGCTCAGCTTCCAACACTTCGCCGTTTACAGCCAAACCAACAGTCTCCGGAGGGAGAGCCACGTGTTTACTCGTTCGACGCATTGCATTTGGGCTGTGCTTAAATTTTGGATCTTTCGTCTTATAGCGAACAAAATCTCCACTAATACTCAGCTGGATCTTGGAATACTAAGAGCAATCTTTCAGTTGAATCAATCAATATCTCGCAATGGAAGCAGCTTTCAAATGATCTATCTCAAAATGCAGCACAAAAATCTCACTCGGTCACAGAATCCTTTTCATTTCCATCTCACTTTCCGCCCACCAAACCACTCAATCCCAGTGTCTTCCATAAAGAGTATTGTGCCAGTAATCCGCAGGATACTCGACCCCATTCCGATCCCAATACCGCCTTGGAACACAATGCACCTCTTCCTTCTTCCTACCCCATTTGGTCCTCCTCACACTTCCCCCACCGCAATACCGGACACCACTCCAACTTCCCTGGTCCGGGATAGCGTATTCCCTTGTGCGGAAGTCATATCTCTCCTCGGCACTCCGTTGTGCCCACGGAAAGGGACTGCGAGTCGTATCCCACTCATCTTTGTCCCATCCCGACCATTCCTCCATCGTGGGCCCGCCGGAGCTCGCATACGGAGGTCGACTTCCGTCTCCCCTTTCTCTTTGCTTGAGTCTTCCGACGTAGATATCTGGTCCCTTGCCCGTGAGGACGTCGAAGAGGCGCCAGCGTCGCGGCCAGTGGTATAGATTGCCGGGGCGAGGGTCTTTGGGCCAAATCCACCCTAGTTTGGATTGGGATGGCATTCTTGTTTTGAAGAGAGGGTTTCTGGTAGATAGGTGATGCGATGAATTGTCTGTAGATGGAATACATCTGAGTTCTTTTCGCTATCTTTATACATTACTGTCAATATTGGAGTTGGGATCAATGGATAATTCCTGTACTACAAACAGCGAATTTCTTTATCATGTTCTCTTAAAGGTTGCCCTAGAGCCACTGCCCAGGTGAGACCCGGTCTTACTCTCAATTGCAATATTTCCATGCACCATACAAAGATCAAGCTCAATGCTGTACCTGCGCTTGTCTTGGTCGCCGTGACAATTACAAAGAAAAAAATCCGCATCTTGCCTACTCAGTCTTTGTTCCGAATATCTGCGAGCAGTCAAGGAGCACCTTTTTGGGGATGAATCAAAAGTTCCAGCTAGCATCTGATCATGGTTTGTGGCAGAGGATTTTCTAATGTGGTATTCTCCCCGTTCTGCTACCAAATTGAGTGATATGTCTAACTACAACCTTGGAACCATGGATTGCTTCTGGTCAGGGCTGCAATTCCAGAAACTACCTATCCATGAATATATGCTCCTACTTCCAGCAATTGATCCTAATTTGCATGAGGCCAAGAACGATTGGGTTTGCTCCCTGGCCTGAGCCCTAGAAAGCTCCTGAACATTTGGCCTCTTCATCTGTGTGGTTTAGTTCAAAGAATCAGAACTTTGAACAATCAGCGTCCCAGGAATCTGATTATGAATATTCCAATCAAGGAGAAGAATACCCAGGCTGACGGCGCTCCGGTGAATCCGATTAGAGGTGATTCACTGAATCTCAGGGCTCAAGACTCATTGGTAGAGCTCTCTGTGGGGTTGAGGCCATTCTGGCGCCCAATTCCATGAACAATACTCGCAGATGAGCTCGCATCGTTTTGCTTTCATTGTGTAGCCGTAGAATAATACAGGAAGCCGATATTGAGAGTCGAGACCCGCGCGCTTGGTGGGCAGATTGTTCAGGCCGTCGACGATGAGCTTCAGGCCGTCGATGCGGCACCACCCATAAATCTCCCGACGCCTCGACACGACTCGACTCTTCTCTCTTTCCTCTTCCGACTCCCCAATCCGCAACAGGCACTGCCTTCACGTGTCTTATCAAACGCGAGCCCCTAATCATGTCTGACTTTATTCTTCCCGAAGCCCTCGTCAGGGAGATCGAACTCGCTCTCGAAAACTCGCAAATCGCGCAGGATGCATTGAGCGAGGCACTTCCACAGGAGATCCAGGCTAAGCTCATGCAAGCCCAAAAGGAACTCTTCGAAGATCAATCCGGTCAACGCGAGGAGTGGGTATCGTTTCTTGTTCAAAACTGGAAAGTCTTGATGCACGAGCTCCAGAGCATCGGGAATGATCGCATGGTCGCATATTTCGCCCAAGATCCACCATCGGAAGACATCAATGCCAATCAGCGCCTTCGATACATCGCCGCCGCGAACGGATTGTACGTTGGCTTGATGGAGTTTCGACGAGTCCACTGGAGCACCAAGGAAGCTGTGTTGGCCATGAACGGAATGAAAATGCTCTGCGATACGGAGGACCCCACACAGAAGCTCTGGCATGATGAAGCTTATTGCATGTTCATTGAATGGGCCAAATCGACCATCCAGCCTGTTGTCACCACTCAAGACCAGCCTATGACTGGCATCGCGATGGAAATTCCGGGTGGAGCTCAGTATGCCTCGAGCATTCAGCCTCAGGCCCAGCAGCAGCTTGAAGTGGCCGCCACTCAAGACCAGCGAATGACTGGATCGGTGACGCAAATTCCGGGGGGAGCTCAGTATGCCTCGGGCACGCAGCCTCGGGCCCAGGCCCAGCAGCAGAACGAATTCACCGCCACTCAAGACCAGCGAACTGGATCGGCGATGCACGTTTCGGTGGGAGCTCCACACAACTTCGGCACGCAGCTTCAGGCCCAGCAGCCGGTTGGGATTGCCTACACTCAAGGCCAGCCTATTACTGGTATCTCGATGCAAGTTCCGGTGGAAGCTCAGTATGACTCGGGCACGCAGCTTCAAGCCCAGCAGCCAGCCAGATTTACCGCCACTCAAGACCGGCGAATGACTGGATCGGCGATGCAAGCCTCGGTAGGCGCTCAGCACGACTCTGGCACGCAGCCTCAAACCCAGCAGCCAGTTCAATTGATCATGCGCGCCAAGAAGGGAACCAACAACCAGTCCGGTGCGCAGACCCCAGCCCGCCAAACCGGAGGATCGGTCCCGAGAACCATGGACGAGATCAATCAGATCAGAGCTCGGATGCAACGCCCGCGCCAGGCCATACCGACTATGGGAGCTCCAGGAGCATTGCAGCAGCTGGCCACGGCCCGGAATGGAGCCAATGCAGGCGTACGTCGCTTTCCAAACATCCCACAGGGAACAGCTATCGATGGTTTCGCCGCAACGGTTGGGGCAGTCGGCCTTCGAAAGAGTCCATCGGCTGTGTTGATCGAGGAAGCAGCCAAGAACCGTTTCGAAGCTCAAGTCCAAGCCCAGATCCAGAAGCAGTATGAAATGCTCGCGAAGACTCGGAGGGTGACGCGTAGCCAGTCGAAGGTTCAAACCCAGGCGGCTCAAGCCAAGACCGATACGCAGCAGCACGGCAGTTCGCTCTCGAAGGTCAAGAAAGCGCCGCTGACGAAGTCCAAGGTTGAGGTTCGAGGCCCTCAGATTATGGATAGCGTTATGGATCATATTGCGCGAAAGGATGACTTGTTGAAGGCTCAGAAAACGGCCCAAATCCAGGCTCGCAGTGAGGTCCAGGCTCGGGCTCAGATCCAGGCTCAGATCCAGGTCCAGCCTCAGCCTCAGGTTCAGGTTCAGGCGCATGTCCTCGCGCCTACCCAGCATCCGGCTATATCAGTCGCCCCCGATAGCGAGATCCCTTCTTCCTCTCGCATCACCCCATGCGTGTCGGAGGGCAACCCCGACACCTGGCATGTCGCTGGCCCCGACATGCCAGCCAAACGGCCCACCTACAAATTCAGTGGGGGCCAGGGGCATGGGGTCCCCAGCTATCTGGCACGGGGCCAAGGACTAGAAGCCGAGTCCTTCGCGCGGTGGTTGTTCGGCGCGGTTCTGGCGAGCCGCGAGCTCCACGAGCTCGCCACCATGGAGATGACCCACGTGGTGGGCGAGATCATGGACGCCGGTGACGACTGGGATCTCAAGCACGCCGGCAAGTCGTCGTCCGCGTGCTGCGTCCCCCGTCCGCGCCCGACCCTCCGGGTGTACGCCGTGGCGCGCACCCAGCGCCACCCCATCGAGGGGGCCCTGGCCCTTGCGGAGAACGCCCCGAATGCGGACTCCTACGAGGCCACGGTGATTTACCTCCGGGTGCGCGCCGAGATCCTGGCGCAGGCGGCCGCGGCGAGCCGGAAGTGAGCGCGGTGTGAGCTGTGAGTTGAGTGGCCACCATGTTGGCCGGGGCCAAGTGCCCCAATTGAGATTACTGAATGTAAAATAAAAAACCAAAAAAAAATCAAAAATCAACTGAAGTGAAGTGAAGTCAAATGAGTTTTCCTCCCAAATAAAAATAATTAATGAAGTAAAAGATTGGATGGAAGTGACAAAAACATTCCATCGTATGTTGGCTCATCATGCAACGCCATTTTCTTGCTTAATATCATAAATCAGATCGCTCGAACAATGCAACGCCCCCAAAAACGGAAATAAACAGTATGTTCGTGAGATGTAGAGAAAGGTTCTCGGTGTCAAGTGGCGAAGACTCCGGCGCTGCCTGCGAACCACGTGAATGAGACGAAGGTGATCACGGCCATGCCGAAAGTGAACTTCAAGGCTTGGCGACTGGTAGCGGAAAGAGCACCGTTGCAGGTAACACATTCGAAGGCTGGAAGAATTAGTCGACAACCCCAAAAGTTAAAGTGAAGGAAACTTACAGCCAAGGGAAGTGTAAGGCTGAGGCGAATACATGCCGAACGAGTAGCCAATCTGAGAGCTCAAGTAGCCTGCACTCGCAGTGTCGCCGAGCTCTTTGCTAGTATCGTAGACGAACAGAGTGTACGAAGCAGTGAGCAGTGGGATGGTAGCAGTCTTCTGGTACTTTCCAGTGTCCCAGACGACCGAGCCGGTCTGCTCAACACTCATGTTCGAGGTGAGAGTATAAGCCTGCGAGTTCAGACTGCACGATGCGACGACATTGACTGCAGAGGGAGTGACTGAGAGCGAGGTGTAGTTCCACACGAAAGTCACATCCTGTCCGATCTTGTAGTAGGTGGTAGACGAGGAGGCAGGGGTGATCATCGACACACCGCCAGCCGCGGCAGCTGGGTCAATGGAGATCGAAGTGGTCGCGGTGGTCTTGCCAGTTCCTGTCTTCGTGTTGGTGCCGGTTCCCGTGGTCTTGCCAGTGGTTGTCTCCTCGTCGGTCGCGGTGCCTGTGCTTGTGCCGGTAGTCTGGCCAGTGGTACCCGAAGCGGTCTCGGATGCGGTCTCGGAGGCAGTTGATGCAGCGGTGGTCTGTTCAGAGGTCTCGGCGGTCGTCGAATCTGTGGTGTCTGAGGCCTGTCAGCATTGATAGTAGGAACACCAGGATGGGCGTGTAGTACCTGCTCGCTTATCCAAGGAGTCTCCGAGGAAAAGACCGTTGCCCCGCCATGGCCACGCAGAGGATAGTGTTCCCAGCAGCAGGAGAGTGCAGAGCACACTCAGGAATACGAAACGCATGTTGAGAGGTGGGTCGGGATTCGAGGTGGTCGGGAGATAGACTGATTATGTGAGATGCTGTCCTCCGGGCTGTTGTTGGAGATAGACTAGGCACTGCAGCCTGTGACCTGTCGACAGAGGTCTGGATTTAGGTCAGGTCTGAAGTTTTGATGTTCAGGCCAAGCAATTCGGATTAAGGGCGATCAAAAAGGACGTGGAGTGCAGAAAATCCTCAGGCCAGTCCGGACCCTGAAACAATGCCGATCACAAGTGGATGGATCTTCAACGCAAAACGAGTAACGAGTGTCGAGGGGAACAGCAGTGTAGCAGAATAATTACAGGACCAAGAATCAAAGCAATAAAGAGAAATTGAAGGTGAAGTCAAGAATGCGAATGTTTGACTTGTATTGCGGGGCTAAGCCCAAACAGGCCGGACATGTGAGACATCACCTAAAAATAGTGTGGCTGCACTATCAACTGATCTATTGGCGAACTCATCACATCAACAAGCTGAATATACAGTACGGAGTATTGGCTGCAATCTTGGACTTGATTCTGATTCAACTGAGATCGACTATGGAGTAAGATCTGCCTGAGACCAACAAGATGTCAACATACGGAGTACGGAGTACTCCGTACACATTGGTGTTAGCTACCCGGTGAGACATGAATAGAAATGAGAATACATTCTCAATGCCTCAATATTATTTCACTGTGGTCAGCACTCAGTGTAGTAGTATAGCCACGGAAAGCGCACTGGTGCTCATTCTAGGGTTTGCAGTCCATGCTCCGTACCAGCCCTGGAAATAAACAGCTAACAATCTGCACTCCTCGATGTATATTTACTAATGATTTCTTATAAAATCAGGCTGTTCACCCTTTTTGCTCTCTTGTCTTTCCCTTTTCTTAATGTTCCACTTACATTTTTCCGCCTAGGGAAGCGGCATAACTGAAGGAAAACACCTGCGTCGGCGCTTCAAGTGGGTCCCGAAGCCAATATATACAACAGCACTCCCGAGGCGGAGGCAGGTGATGAATTGATATACAACCGTGGAACGGCCTTCAGACCAGCTGGAAACCGGGTGGAATATTCAAAAATTTCGAGTCCTCACTCCAAGGTGTGGGAATTATGAAAATTCCAAGGTTCCAAGGTTGTTGTTGCGCCAACCTCAGCGGTCTTTGCTCTGTCTAATCTATGCCTGTTTACAGTAGTTGTACTCCGTATGAGGTTCTCACATTTTTTCTTGGCAACCTGTGAACCTTAGAGTACACCACCTGCTCAGATGGGTAACGGAAATTCGAGACCAATGGCCCCTGATGTCAAACCCACGAGAAGAATAATTGAGACCTTATGGATTCATGTGGCTCTCAATGCATTCACGCTGAGCTGGCCTAGCGACCACAATATCCAAAGTCCAAGCTCAGGACTCCAATGAAACGAGCCATAGCAAGAGTCAAGCACCTGAGCAGCACCAGCACCAGCCACTAACCTACCCCGTACATTCGACAGGGTCCCACCCTCGATTTAACGGTAGACGTGGGGGTGGCGAGCCAAAGACAATGCACAGAACCTTATCCCAAAAAGATACTACCAAATCAGAGATCAACCTTGGAAGTGTGCAATACAACAAGCCAAGCCATGTGGATCTCGAACCTTTCCCCAACCATTATCAAAACATGGACCTGGCGTGAGCGGTGATTCATACACCCCAGACCTGAAATACAGACATGCAATCTTCCCACCTTGGAAGATTCAAGCAACAGTCAATTTGAGAAGTGAGAGAATGAAATGGTATTGTCAGAGAGTGTGCTTTATACGCCGAATGCCAAAACGAATGTACAAGAAGTTCCAAAAAGATGACACAAGCTAAAAGTATCATAATCCAAATCTCGCCACGAGCTCAGCTCAGCTTAAGCTTAAGCAGAGGTCTTAGGCACAGCCTGCAGGTTGATCTTATCACAACCAGCGGGGACAGCGGGCTCTTGCACGCTCGGGCTGAGGAAGTGCAGGTTGGGGAAGAATTGACCAGCCTCGGCGTCAACGGGGCACCCTAGTGAACAGTTAGCTTTGTTCTTGATCATCTGACAATGCAGACTGTTTGATAGTAGGATTGTTCAAGGAAAACTTACACAACCATCCCTCCCAGGTCTCGCTGGGTCCCTTCACACCCTCGGGGGTGATAGAGAAGCCCTTAGAGCCGTGAGTGGGGTCGACGCTGATCTGGGCGCGCTCTTTGCGAACACCTGTGTTTGTTAGTACATGTCAAGATAAAATGCGCAGAATTTGAGCCCGACTTACCCTCGACGTTAATCAGGTCCAGGGCGTAGGGAGCGGAGGTGGAGCCGCTCCAGAAGATAGTGCTGTTGGCGAAGTAGAAGGTAGCGGCGCGGTTGGCGGCGGCACCGGCAAAGACGGCTTCGCTGTTGAGGGGGTCGGGGACGACACCACGGCCGACGGAGAGGTAGAGGTCGTTGTGGGTGCTGTTAGAGGCGCCGGAGGTCTTGAGGTTGAAGAGCTTCTCGGCGGGGGCGGCGGCAGCCGCGGTGGCTAGGAGAGCGACGGTGGCGAGGAAGTTCATGGCGAATTGAGGTGAATAAAGATTGAAATGAGTGTGATGTAGGTTGTTAGAGATGGTAGTAATTGGGTTTTATGTATGGGGGCGGGAGTGGCGGATTTATAGAGGCGATTGAAAGTATCCACGGTGGAGTGTTTCAACGATCCGAATGGGGGGTTCCTTGGATCAAAATAGAAGTTTTGGTGGATGTCGAGGCATTTATTTTGAACTTGGTTTGATGCAAACTAAACGGCTGGATATATGGAGTACTCAAATGCCTGCTATACTTTGTGAAGAGCCTTTTAGAAGTTCGCCTGGGTTGTTTGTTGTTTTCCCTGTTTCGCCTCTCCCTTTGTACACTGCGTCTGTTTGTATGCAAGGCACCATGTTACAGGATGAGAGGGTATGGGGTAAATGAAAGGCACTGGATCCGAGTGATTACAATCGACATCCTGAACGTCCTAAGTGGGTCAGACGTAGCGAACCAGTCGAGTGTAGATCATATCCACCGTTGATTTGGGAATTTGTGAGACGTTGTTTGCAAGCTTACGGCTTGCTCTATTACCCCTTTGGCTGCTGGTTAAGGTCAAATAAGAAGAACATGTTTCACAATGTCTTCGAGATGCCGAAAGTACCTAAAAAAGAAAGAAAGAAAAGCCCTGCAGTTGAAGAAAACGTATGCCAAGGTCAGTGGATCTCTCCCCTGAGTTTAGTGTGCCGTTAATGTACGAAGTATCTTGTCCGTGACAATCTTTTACCTGTTTAACTTCGCTTAGTGACTGCATCACAGCCTTAAAACTGACAAGCCCCTTTAAAGGGATTTGACTTGGCATACATCATGTTTATGCGTTGGCGACGGGTCTGTACGGAGTAAAAAGTGGCGCATTAAGCATGTGCCCATATGCTTAGCGTCCACCAGCCCTATTCTTGTGCAATCCCTACACAAAATACGTACAAGTACTCAATAGTGCAATGCTATCTTTATTGGTCTTGTCATAGTCATTCGTCGTCATTCGTGAGACCCCAATATCGTACATATCCCCAGTTTTAAAAAAAGAAAAAGAAAAAGAAAAAGAAAATGATGCAGCCGCGCCCAATCCATACAGCTCGGACAGCTCGGGATTCCGACACCTATTAGTACATGGTTCCAGGGTTGTGGCGCTCATCGTGCTCCGCCGTTGCTATCTTTGGAAAACTCAGGGCGGAGAGTCCATCGTCCCCGCCCATCACGACCATGCTTCAGCGTAGCAACCTTCTTCAGCATCTCCTGAAACTCGGCAACACGCTGCTGATTGGTACAGTAATGGTTGAAGTGATCAACGATCATTTGAGTGACAGTGGGCCCACGCCGGGCAGCGAGATAATCCCGAATCAGGGGCATAAAATCTTTCCCACGCGGCATGCGAGTCGACGCTGAACTATTATTAGTCGGCGCAGCAGCGGGGTTGAGCCTCGCTAGGAGGCTACTGGAGGAGGGGCCTCCGACAGGTCGAGAGGAACTACCTCCGGTTTGCGGACGGCCTCCCATGCCAAACTGCCCGGTCCAGGTGGGAAGTCCGATGGGTTGGGCGCGAGCGGTTTGTTCGGCCTTGCGCAGTTCTTCGGCGGCCTCGTTGGCAACGCGACGGGCTTCGGCTTCGATCATTTTGGGATCGGCGCGAACCACTCGTTTGCCGTTGACGATTTGGTCGTGTTGGAGAGCAGAGTGGACGCCGGAGCGAGCAAAGATTCCGTGCATGATGCGGTCTTCGGACGTCTTGGCGTTCTTATCTTCTTCTTCCGTGTTCTTGAATTCTTCCACATTAGCAATCCCCTGCAGGTCACTAAGGTCTTCCTCTTTAGGTTTGAGCTTGGAGGCGGATTTGCCCTTGACGGGAGGTTCTTGCCCCTCTTGTTGATATGTGACTTCGGCATTCTTGAATAGTTTGGTCGTCTCTAACTCTTTGTCGTCTTCTTCTTCGAGGGTGAACAGATCATAGAGATCGCTCAGTTGGAAACCTTCCCGTTGGTGGGGATCACGGGTGATCTTGTTGGTCAAAAATTGCTTGAAGATCTGACGATGGTAAATCTTCTCCTCGATGGTGCCCTTGGTCATCAAACGGAAGATAGTGACATCCCGCTTTTGACCAAGTCGCCATGCACGCTCACGTGCCTGCAAGTCGGTCGATGGGTTCCAGTCGGGATCGTAGATGATGACACGGTCAGCACCTGTCAAGTTCACTCCGATCCCACCCACACGCGTGGTGAGTAAAAAGACATGGAGTTCAGGGTCGTTGTTAAAGGTGTCGACCAGGGTTTGTCGTTCCTTGATCGTAGTATTACCGTCCATTCTGAGGTAGTTGAAACCACCGAGCGTCCGAAGGAACTTCTCGATGATGTCTAGCGTGAGACGACCCTGGGAAAAGAGCAGCGTTTTGTGGCCGGTGTCTCTCCAGACCTCGAGCAATTCTTTCAGCACCTGCATCTTGCCCGATCGCTCACTGTCTCCATAGTCTGCATCATGAGACCGCAATGTGTGGTCTCCCAAGTCTGGATGGTTGCAAATCTTGCGCAGAATATCAATGCCATACAAGGAATTCCTTTTACCTCTAACAATGGACGCCATGTCATCAGAGTTGAGGAATCGCTTGTAGATGCTTCGCTGAAGTTGGGTCAATTTGCAGAAAATCACTTGTTCACTCTTCTGAGGCAAGTCGGATGTCACGTCAGCCTTGAATCGCTGGAGGAGGTAGGGACTAATGGCGTCTTTAAGTGTCTCCGCGCATTTCGCCGCAGTCTGTACCTGCAGGTTGGATGCAGATGCATATCCGCCCTGGCGAATAGGATTTTCAAACTGGTTCTTGAAGGTAACCAGATTACCCAAGCGCATCGGGAAGACAAAATCGAACAAAGACCAAAGGTCAACCAAGCTATTCTGCATTGGAGTTCCAGATAAGATAATGCGATGGGGAGTGCGGAGCTCTTTGCAACTGAAGGTGATGCCAGCGTCCGGGTTGCGAATCTTGTGGCCCTCGTCGAGGATTGCACAATCCCAGTCAACGTCCACAAGAGCGTCGGCATAGGACTGAAGGCCAGAATATGTGGTCACGAGGATATGTCCTTCCTCAACGACCCGCTTGATGATCTTTTGGGCTGCCTTCTGGCCGGCAGATAGGTGTCGAGAGCCGTAGCTACCCATCATTTCTGAAGTGAGCGCGTTCTCTCGACTACTTTCCTTGCCAAGATTGATCATACCACTTCCAGATGAATGAAGGATGGAAACTCGGAATGCCGGCCACCAGCGATGAAACTCGTTGACCCACTGTTTCATGAGGGTCGCTGGGCAAACGATGATAGCCGGTTTGGTAAGCTTCTGGCTATGATGAAGCGAAGCAAGGTAAGCGATTGCTTGGATTGTTTTACCCAATCCCATCTCGTCGCCGATGATTCCACCAACAGACTGCTGGTGTAACTCCCAAAGCCATTGCACGCCGGTTTTCTGATAAGGGAACAGAAAGCGACTGATATCGCCAGGAACGCGCAAGCCGTTGTCAAGCTCCATGGCCGGCTCAGTGGGATGAGGTTTGAGCCATTCGTCTTCAGGGGAATCGGCGTCGACTGAGTCCCCCGTGGCCGCATGTCTTCGAGCAGTGCTTCTCCGGCTGATCCATTCCTGGAGTCGAGCTTGATACACTGTCTCATTTCCATCATCGACCCCACTCAGGTCTTCAAGTTGGTCATTCGACTTCCCTTTCGCGGGTTTGCGCTTGCGGCTTGATTCTTCAGGTAGGGTATCAGGCATAAAATCATCGCCTTCCGATGTAGCATCGGCGTCTTCAGAGGCAGCATAGCTAGCTGATGAGTCCTCCGCCGAGGAGTCTTCACGCTTCACCTTTCGGCGCTTGCGGGGCGCCGGTGCAGGTGTGGAGGTAGATGTAGATGCAGATGGGAGTGTGGGTGTGGGTATGGATGCCTCAAAGTCAAAGTCTGGGCGTGCGAGGTCCCGGTGGGAAGCAGCAGGTAAGTGCTTGGCTTTTTCGCGCTCTTCCGCCTCATTCTGCTGGTCTTCTGTGTCGATAAGCGCATCATGCAAGTTGGCTAGTGGGCCATCTCGTGAGCCCTCGTTCATCGACGCAAATGGTGTGATCTTTCCGGTGCGCAGCAGATAGTCACGGCGCGACTCGTTCGGCAACCGGCCAGATCCATGTGACGCTGCAGCCGATTCCTGCGATTGGCGACGTGCATCGATCCGATCTTGAATGTCCTTTAGATCCTTCCCTAGGTCCGCCTTGCGCATCTCCAACCGTTTCAGCTCATTCTCTTGTCGATGGCGCGTGGCAGCACCGGCAGGTTGAGTAAGTCGCCGCCGGGTTGTAGCGATTTCCGAGCTGACCCGTCTGATGGTATAGTTAGTCAAATTCCACAAATGACCCAAGAGTCAAAGATCTTACTCTCGATCCACCAGGGCCTTCTCAAGTCGCTTGATATCATTCTCCTCGGCCTTATCCGCCAGAGCCTTATCAGCCTGAAAGGAAAATTCATGTTAAACCACAATCAACTTCTAGAATCAAGCAGCATGCATACCTGGCGAGTGATGTCTCTTTCAAGGTCATCCTGGTCTCGCACATCGGCCTGAAGGTTGCGCAGGCGGCTAGCCTCATCTGTAGCCATTGTTGCGTAAGGATCACATGCAGTGAGAGAAGGTGGGGTACTAGGATGATATGCGCTACGCAAGTGAGCGCATTGTGAGCAAACTATAGAAGAGAAGGCGAGGATGAATTGGCGAACCAAACAGGCTTAGTCCGATCTGAGATCAAACGTCACGCGGCATTATTGTTCACCGCCTGAGACACCGCCATCGATGACTCAGTGGCTTACATCAGAGGCAGACTTGTGTCACGTGCATGGTCCTTGCGTACTATACTTGGTGGGATGCACTCCTAATGGGTCTTTAATACACGCCCAACTACTCGAGCTTGGTGATCTGAATACGATCTGGATATCTGAGCTCTTGAATCTTCGCCTGATTTCAATATCGATACAGGGTGTATTGAGAAAAAGTCAACCTCACCCATCAATATGGTATTGGGCTTGACAGTTGGGTATGCAACAGAACGTCGATCATCAGACGTCGCCAAGGAGACCACAATCCAAGTTCCCAAGTCCTTAGCAAAAGACCCTTATGACTAGGAAGTTAGCCGCCTAGAATTGAATGAGATGTGATGGTATTGACTGCTTATCCTGGGAAAATCTCCTCCGACATCGTAATGTTGTAGACTGCAAGTAGATTTGAGTTATGAAAGTGCACCTCTCACCTTTCCCCTCTTCTCTTTCTCCCTCTCACACACTGTGCGCTCCAGCATCTTCCGATTTCTGCCTGTTGATGTCAAAGTAGTTGGTTTCCCGTGAATATCGGGTGCCAACTCAGTCCTTCCAAGGCCGAGAACTTTCCCCCAGCCGCCTACGTCCACTGCGTCGCAACGAAATTGCGACCGCCCCCTCCCCCTGCGAACTTCTCTTTATCAACAATTCCTTAAACGATGAAGCGCAGCCCTTCCTTGTAAACTTCAATTCTTTCCTTCCTTGATTCTAGCATTTCGAATTGCGTGACGACCCGCTCACCTGCGGTCGCCTCACACCCGTTCCCCGCGAGCAGCCCACGGACCCTCAGCGCAGTGTTCGAGCTAGTATCTCGTCATTTGTGCGCATCAGGAGGGTTCCATGATGGACTCTGGCTGGCAACCTTACCAGGATCCGCACATGGGTCATCCTGCGCAGTTTACCTCTGCTCTGGCATCTCAACCTCAGCAAGTATCCTCGAAATACGGTCAGCCGCCATCACAGCCGCCCGTCGGATATACCTACGAGACCTTCCAAACACCCGGCACGACCTCTAAAGCCCCATCGGCAGGGACAAACTCGAAGACCGTCTCGATGGCCTCGTCTCCAGCCGCCACGCCACGTACGCGGGATTATGTCACCGACGCGGATACCACCATGGAGGACGCCGACCCGTACAACCGAGCAAAGTACCCCTCGAGGCCAAATCACAGTCGCGCTTCTTCTCAATTTTTGAATCAAGCAGAGGAATCATCCGCTGCCCGCAGGTATTCCCCGGGGAACGTGATTTCGCCGCCGATGTCATATCCCGCCAGTCCTGGGAAGTCCCAGGGCTCGTACGGGTTCCCAGCCGCGCCCCAGAGTGCCTCTCGGCGGTCGCCTTCCAAGCCGGAATACGCATCACCACCCCAGGGATACCAATCGCCGCCATGTGAGCTTGTCTTTGAATGCTCTCTCTACTCTCGATTTGCTAACATGTTGCCAGCCAACCGCGCCCCTAGACTCCCTCCCCTCCAATCCGGTGACCTCAGCCCAGACCAGTACTACCCTCCCTCGGCTTCCTCACACATGAGTCCTGGACTTGGGGGATCACGATCGCCGCGCTCTGGTTCCCTGCCATCTCAGCCCTCACTGACCCCGGGTCGCGGCCCCGTGCCAAAGTTCCGGAAGATCCAGTCTGTCCAAGAGCTCCAGCCCCGTATGAACGTGCAGCCTGCATATCGGCGCGCAAATCCGGAAGGCGGCTTCATCAGCGTGAGCTCCCAGTAAACCTCGTGGTTTTCGATGTGATCCATACTAACTTCCCCAGCCCCTTCAATCGCTAACAACTCACCTTCCGGCCACATATCGCATTTGCAACCCCGGTTTCAACTACGAGTCCTCGAGGAACCCGAGGCGAGTCCTGACCAAACCTAGCAAGGGAGTGAAAAACGATGGGTACGACAACGAGGACAGCGATTATATCCTTTACGTCAACGACATCCTTGGCAGCGAAGAAGCCGGTCACAAGTATGTCGCGCTCTCACATAAAACCTTGGTTTCAAGACTGACAAGCGCTTGTTTTCCAAATTTAGAAACCGATATCTCATTCTCGATGTCCTGGGACAAGGTACCTTCGGTCAAGTTGTGAAATGTCAGAACCTGAAGACCGGAGAAGTTGTGGCAGTCAAAGTGATCAAGAACAAGACTGCATACTTCAATCAGAGTATGATGGAGGTTTCTGTTTTGGATCTGGTTTGTTCTTTCCCCGCATTTCGTTTGTCGAGCATCTACTGACATCCCACAGCTCAACAGTAAGTACGACAAGAACGACGACCACCATTTGCTTCGCCTCAAGGACACCTTCATTCACCGGCAGCATTTGTGCCTTGCGTTCGAATTGCTTAGCGTCAACCTCTACGAGCTCATCAAGCAAAACCAGTTCCGCGGACTGAGCACCACTCTTGTTCGCGTGTTTGCACAACAGTTGTTGAATGCCTTGAGCTTGTTGAACAAGGCGCACCTGATTCATTGTGATTTGAAGCCAGAGAACATTCTCTTGAAAAAGTACCGAAAGCCCTCCACCTCCTTATAACGGTTTCTAACTCTTAATCAGCCTCGAGAGCCCTATCATCAAGGTCATTGATTTCGGTTCGGCTTGCGATGAGCGCCAGACAGTATACACTTACATTCAGTCGCGGTTCTACCGATCACCCGAAGTGCTTCTGGGTCTGCCGTATGTTTCCCGATTCTTCTTGCAACCACACCAACTGACGTTTCTCCTTCCCCAGCTACTCTTCCGCTATCGATATGTGGTCCTTGGGTTGCATCGTCGTTGAACTCTTCCTCGGTCTGCCTCTATTCCCCGGATCATCCGAATATAACCAAGTTTGCCGAATCGTCGAGATGCTTGGACTGCCACCGACGTGGATGCTCGAGATGGGCAAGCAATCGGGCGAGTTCTTCGAAAAAACACAAGATGAATTTGGAAGAAAAACATACCGCCTCAAGAGCTTAGAGCAGTATTCAAGAGAACACAACACCAAGGAACAGCCAAGCAAGAAGTATTTCTCCGCTTCCACGCTGGAAGAGATTATTCGCAGCTACCCGATGCCGCGGAAGAACATGAAGCAGGCAGAGGTCGAGCGAGGTACGTGGATACCGAGGATGTGCTGGATTATGGCTAACCATCATTAGAACTCAACAACCGAGTTGCCTTTATTGACTTCGTGCGTGGACTGCTATCGATTAATCCCTTGGAGCGGTGGTCGCCACAACAAGCCAAGTTGCACCCATTCATCACCCAGCAAAAGTTCACCGGGCCCTTCATGCCTCCCATGAACCTGAAATATTCAACGGCCAACAAGCCCGCCCCTGGTGTTCAACAGCAACAGCAGGCCGAGACTGCCAGCAAACAGCGAGCGGCACAGGCAGCCCATGCGCAAAATGCCTATGCTGCACAGATGAACTACCATACCCCACCTCAGACACAAGCCCCACCCATGTACAACGGCGTCTACCAGCAAGGGGCCCCGCCTCCGCCATACCCTACCCAGCAGCCACCAGGATACGGTCACCAAATGGGAATGGTGCCGGGCAACCAAATGCCTCCCCAAAGCCTCTATGCTCAAGCAACCACCCGCGCAGGCCGCCAACGCGCCTCCACCATGGACCCCAACGGAGGGATCCCGTCCACAATTCAACGAGTTGCTAGCCACTTGGACCCCAACGCCCCCATTCGACTGCAACCAAGCCCTGCATACTACCCCCCTCCTCCCGACGGATACGTGGATGCTAATGCCAACCAGCGGCGCCGCGGCAGTCGAGCTGGTGGCGGGAACCAACGCAACCGCGACTTTATCCGCACGCTCGAGGATGGTGTGCTGAGCGAAGGATATATGGGTCAGAACCAATGGCACTAGGGGATTGAAGCTAGAGGTTTTTTTTATGCCTATTCTTTCTTTTTCCTTGCCGCCCAAGAACTGGCGAATGCTGTTCCCACTCCCAGCTCCCGGGGAGGGATGAGCCCCAGTCTTGTAACCCCTTGGTCTATTGACCTGCCCCTTGCCCGCCAATTCATTTGCTCCATCTGGCCGGCTCTTGTAGGTATGAGTCAACCAAACGACCCTCGAGTGGGTTCCCGCGGTCTATAATGGTCCTTGGCCGCTGATACACGATCTGCATCGCTAGCTGGATCGATCCGCAGCCTCGCATTCCGAGATATGCCTATCAGTGGCCATGTGCCTTGTGGCAAGAGACCACGCGCCGCATCTTCATTTGTTTTATTGTTTCATTGCGTTGCTTGCTCTGTTACGATTCCAATTATGTTGTGCTATCTTCTTCGATTAGGCATATTGCTCACCCCGGCCCATCTGATTGCCTTTTCTCATGTCTTTTCTTCTTGGCATAGCCTGGGTGTATGAAAGAACGATCTCATTTCATTCTTCTACCTTCCCCGTAATCTGCTTTTCGCCTAAGTTCAGATTTGGCGATGTTGACCCATTGGTATGGAATGAAGAGGGAATGTCTCCGAAAATTGTTCTTTTTTATATGGTTTCTTTGCGTGGTGTACGAACCCTGTTCTGGAGAGGATATTTTCTGTTTGATCTGTACACGAGAGTAGATATGAGTCAAATGTTAAATAGAACGATATATTTGCATGAGCTGGATCTTCCAGGGTTTGAGTATTTATAGGTGCCCTTAGTGGCTACCGGTCGCCTTTGTATGTATGTGGTCACATGTGGGTAAGTATGAGCAAGAACATGGATGTTGAAACAGATACTACCCAGCTTAGTAGTTCCCACGTAAATTCCCCAAAGAAATCAGAATAAATACACAACCCCAGAAGAGTCCAGATCGTGAAGTAAAGCCAACGTTCTTTGTTCTGGGCGATATACCACGCTATACCTGATTGGGTTTAGTCAGCCCCTCGCTTAAATTTCGTGTGTGGCTCTGAACTGCGGGAACTTCAACATTTGTGTCGCCGACGACCTGACATTTCAGCTTTCGGATCGCCATTTCATATTCCCCGAAACCGCAATCCGCAATCATGGCGTCGCGATTCTTCTACGGCTCCGGCAGCGACAGCGACAGCTCGTCTGACGAGGAGGAGGAGGTCTACCGCTCCGGCTCTGGCAGCGACGAGTCTTCCGAGGAGGAATCTGACTCTGAATCTGGCTCTGACTCCGGCTCCGACAGCGAAGATGGCCAGGATACCCGCACCGGTGCTTCCAAGTTCTTGCACGACGACTCCGACAGCGATGAGAGCGAGGAGGAGGAGAAGGTTACAGTTGTCAAGTCCGCTAAGGACAAGCGTCTCGAGGGCCTCGAGAGCACCATCCGCCTGATCGACAATGCCGAAAAGATTAACGACTGGGCTGTCATTGCCACTGGTGAGTTTTGCATGATATGCTGGAAGACTGGAACACCAGCAAAATCCGGGGGGCCCAGAAAACGGCGTGGGACTAACATGATCTCCACACAGAGTTCGACAACCTTAACCGCCAGATGCTCAAGGTTACCGGCCCTACCCCCAAGATTTACGTCCAGGCCGTTGCCGAACTCGAAGACTTCACCAACGAGACCGTCACCAAGCAGAAGGCCTCGAACAAGAAGATGAACGCCAGCAACAGCAAGGGTTTCAACGCCGTGAAGCAGAAGATCAAGAAGAACAACAAGGACTACGCCACTCTGATCGAGCAGTACCGCGCCAACAAGGATGGCTTCATGGCCGACGAGGTCGAGGAGAAGCCCGCTCCCGCTCCCGCTCCCAAGCCCACCAAGGTTGAGAAGATCGCCAACTTCGCCGCTGCCGCCGCCGCCGGTGGTGACGATGATGGATTCGCTACCGTTGGTCGTGGCGGAAAGACCCTCCAGTACACCCCCGAGAGCATCCTCAAGCACCTCCGCATCATCGTTGAGTCTCGCGGAAAGAAGAACACCGACCGTGCCGACCAGATCCGCACCATGCAGAAGCTCCTCGAGGTTGCCACCACTCCCTACCAACGCATCCGCACCTACATGACCCTCATCTCCACCCGTTTCGATTTGACCTCCACAACAAACCAGAGCTACATGAGTGCTGAGCAATGGAAGGCCGCCTCAGAGGAATACTCCGACCTTCTGTCAGTTCTGGAGAACAACCGCCAGTTCGTCATTAGCGAAGGTGCCGACGAGTGGGAGGATGATGAGAAGCAACCCACCGTTGCTGAGGGCGAGATCTTCTACATTCCCGGAAGCTGTATCTCCCTGGTTGAGCGTCTCGATGACGACCTGAACCGCAGTCTCCGCGAGATCGACCCCCACACACAAGAGTACATTGATGTGCTCAAGACTGAGCAGAACCTGTACGACAACCTGGTTCGCTCTCAGCTCTACGTTGAGAGCCTCAAGGGCGCAGACAAGAACGGCCAGGACTCCATGAACCGTGTGGTCCTCAGACGTCTGGAGCACATTTACTTCAAGCCCGAGGTGGTCATCAGCATTGCCGAAGAGTCCAAGGACAAGGCTGTCCCCACTACCTTTAAGTCCGCTGTTACCCTTGGCTCCAAGACTGGCGACATCCAGAGCCTTGTTGCTTCCATCTGCAACTACCTCTTCCAGCACAGCGATGGCATTCACCGTGCCCGCGCTATGCTCTGCCAGATCTACTTCCTCGCCCTGCACGACCAATACTACAAGTCCCGCGACTTGATGCTCATGTCCCACTTGACCGAGAACATCTCCACCTTCGACGTCAGCACCCAGATCCTCTTCAACCGCACTCTTGTCCAGATTGGTCTCTGCGCCTTCCGTGCTGGTCTCATCTACGAGGCCCAGAACACCCTTGGTGAGATCTGTGGCAGCGGTCGCCAGAAGGAGCTCCTTGCCCAGGGTATCATCATGCAGCGCTACTCCACCGTCTCCCCCGAGCAGGAGCGTCTGGAGCGCCAGCGCCAGCTGCCCTTCCACATGCACATCAACCTCGAGCTTCTCGAGTGTGTGTACCTCACCTCCAGCGCTCTGCTTGAGGTTCCCCTGATGGCCCAGACCTCTTCCTCCCCCGAGCTGCGCCGCCGCATGATCTCCAAGACCTTCCGCCGCATGCTCGACTACAACGAGCGTCAAGTCTTCACCGGACCCCCCGAGAACACCCGTGACGGTGTGATCGCCGGTGCCAAGGCCCTCGCCGCCGGTGACTGGAAGCTCTCCGCCTCTACCTTCGCTGCGATCAAGATCTGGGACCTCATGCCCCAGCCCGAGAAGATCAAGGCTATGCTGTCCCAGCAGACCCAAGAGGAGGGTCTGCGCACCTACCTCTTCACCTACGCCCCTTACTACGACAGCCTCTCCATCACCTCCCTGGCCTCGATGTTCGAGCTCGAGTCCAAGAAGATCATCTCCATCATCTCCCGCATGATCTCGCACGAAGAGCTCGCCGCCGCTCTCGACCAGGTCAACGACGCCATCATCTTCCGCAAGGGCGTCGAGCTCTCCCGTCTCCAGTCCCAGATCGTCACCCTGGCTGACAAGTCCACCAGCCTTCTCGAGGCCAACGAAAAGACCCTCGAGCAGCGCACCCAGGGTATGGCCAACGCCTTCCAGCGCGAACACGGTCCCGGTGCCCGTGGCGGTCGTGGCCGCGGCGGTGGTCGTGGCGGTGGTCGCGGAGGTGCTCGCCTTCCCCAGGGCGATCGCCGCCCTGGTGGCCAACAGTTCGGCGGTGGTGCATTGGGCGCAGCGATCAAGGCTTAGATTCTGATTTAATGGCATGTTTCTCTTTACTCTTCATGGTTTCTTTTTTCTTGTCCATCCCCTCCCATGTTAGTACGACCGTTCCTTGTTTTTGAGGTCGGAAAAATTGCCCCGTTCTTTCTGCGCTTGTTTTTGGTGATTGATCAACATGATATTCACGTATGGAAATGATCGAGAAAGAATCAAGGTGCATCCTGGTTAGAAATTGACGGTTTATGGAATAGATTTTTGTCTACTCTGATCTTTGTAGTTGTATTCGAGTAGGCCAGACCTGGAACGTTGGGCTCGTCCATGGGTTGAGGGATGCCCAGTGGTATAGGGTATGGTGACTGGACAATTGTTCAACAAACATCTACACTTCTCGAAGCTACAGATGTTATCTCACCTCCAGGCGTTTGGTAGGTAGGTTTCAATGTCCTCAGCCTCCCGGCTCCGGCTCCATTCTTGAGTCAACTATATTTCCGAGGTCTAGTAAATATAACACCCACCCTTCTCACCTATCCTTTCCATCCATTGATCTTCCCCAACTCCAGATTTGATTAAAGTGTTCATCTCGCTCTCCCCCTCGCCCTCCTTCGACCTCGTTTGGCAGGCCTCTTGATAGGCTGTTTGGTCGAAAACGAAGCCAGCCGAGAAGACCGCACGCCTATAAGCGGCTCTCTAGGTGGCCCGCCACCCGGCGAAGGAGGTAAAATCTCCCCCAGTGGCGGTGCATCTATATGATAACCGGGAGAAAGCTCTGTGAGACCATCCAATTCATCCTTGTACCACGACAAGTAGAGAAGCCCAAGTCCATCCGGGCACGTCGCAGTATAGAAGGAAAACCGGGGGAAAGGACCGGAAAGCATCGAAGTGGGAAAGGATGCCCCTGGTTGCTCCTCCACCACAGCAACTGGGGCCTTGAGCCAAGGGCATAGCACTTTCCCACTTTTGTATGGGATTAGCACCGTCAGCTCTAGCTCGACCACTTTGGCGTAGAATGTTGTCCCTCCTGCTACGTGCATCTTGGAATATCCGTACAACGTCGCTTTCTTACCCAAGTTCTCAATCTCCTCGAATTGTGGGAGCGGGATCGCCATTATGTCTGCGCCAGTGTCGTGAAGGACTTGTACGTGAGTGCTTTCACGCTCTCTGATTCCGAATGATTGCTTTGAGTTGTAAGCTTGACTTCGATCTAGTATTCCAGTGAGCGATGTGAATGAGCAAAGGAGTCGTTGACACATACATCCACCGCCTGTACTTCCACCGCCTGTACTTCATTATGCGGGGGATATGCAGTCACAAGGCCTAGATTGATCGGCCCTCGCTGCAGAATCTGTAAAATCACATCTAGAATTAGATAATGAGAGTTGTGTCCTCCATCGTTGTTGGCGTGGCGGAAAATTTGGCTTTCGGAAGGCAGGACCAATGCCTGCACTTCGGTATAACAGGCCATAAGATACGTGGTTCTCGAAGTTCTCCGGATCAGCTTCCCACGGGCCTGTGGGTGGGATATCTTTTGTGTCTTCAATTTCGGTCTTTTCGCTGTCTGATCCGAACAACTGTTCGGTTTTAACCTGAGGATCTTCGGTGGAAGCTTCCAAAGACAAGTGTGGAATAGAGTCGGATCGAGCTCGACCGAGGACTCTGGGCTTCTTTGGGGGTGGGCTGGCAGCGACGGACGAAACCTCAGAGGGTCGGGCTTTGCGCTTACCAGATCCCTTCTTTGGTGGCATATTCGAGAATTGTTCAATTTGTTCTTATGATGGAGGCGTAGACACAAGTTTGAATCTTAGGAGTCCGAGAAGAATTCACAAGGAGAAGGATTCGTAAACGTGTATTTGTAGACTAGCAAGCTCGAAGGACTGATTATCGTGCATAAAAGCACAAACAATCACGTTGCTAGCCAGAGATTAGAATTGAAGAGGAAACAAAGAACTGGATACAAGGATCTCCCGGTGGCAAGAATCGGTTGCCATTTCTAGACTTCATAACACAAAGGGTCGGGTTGAAGAAGGGTCCGTGGTGTCTTCGTTCTCAACACCCGATCCAAGGGACTTTGCAAAATGAGATTTTAGGAGAATTGTGCTCAGGAAAACGGAGAAGATATACAGCAGATTTCCTGGGTTGATCATGAGAGAGAAATCAGAATCAAGTGCAGACCCTCGAGTCCTAGTGGACATGGGTGATCACGTCGAGAAACTACTTCGAAAATATTGTATCTATGGATTGAGAGAGCATTGGTAGCGTATATTGAACATTCTCCAAGACCTTGGATTAACAAACCTTGGAAGACATCTACAATCCATGGATCAGCGGTGATGTGCCGTTCAAACATCTTCTTTGTCCCCGGAAATCGCCTTGACGGAATGAGCAACAATCGCTCAAGCTTTGATTCACAAAGCATCAATCGTCATTTGAAATCTAAGCGCTTATTTTGAACCCCTCTTGGCTTCATATTCTTCAGCTCTAGGAGTGATCGTAAGCAGTACTCTGGCTTGAGATCATTATCCAAGACATGCTACAGTTTCGCCCCCGCTGGTCACTTCCACGGCACCCATCCAAACAGAGAAAACAAAGGCGAAACAAAAGCTCATAGTATTGTGCTAGAGCTTCATCACTGAGCCAATGGTTACAACATGATACATCACTTCAAAATCTTTGACACAAACCACCCCACCCTCTCTCTCTCTCTCCGAACTCCTAACAAATCACGCAACCATGAAGTCAACCCATCGTAGCAGCCTTGGGAGGGTACTTCTTGCCATCCTTCTCAACTTGAGGTGTGCAGGCACACCACTCAGCCTCGGGAATCGAGTCCATCACCGAGGGGATATGGCTCCCGCAACCCCACCAGGTGGCCTTGTCTAGGATGATTGTCAGTCCACGATCTACACACCGGGCCAATCCATACTTACTGCAGGTAGAGCAGGCAGCTTTCTTACACATGTTGATGGTATTTGGATGTATGTGGAGGGATAGACAGAGGCGAAGATTTACTCCGGCGCTTTAAATCGCCAGTATTAGTCATGACCCGTTGAAGCCCACAAGTCGCCGACGTGTGAAGCCCGAATCCCCGATTTGTTTGTGAATTTGATTCCAGTCTACGCGATAGCCGCAGCTGAATGCCGACTTCTATGCATATGCATAATTCTATAAAAATTGGATCTATCTAGGCTCGGCACGCAAACTTGTCGGTGGTGGGGCATCCGCGGGGAACATTCCACTTCAACTTCAACTTCAATTTCCCGGCTTATTCGCCATGGTTGTCATCGCAGTGGCCGGAAGTGGTGGCGTGGGAAAAACTATTGTGGAGAAACTACTTGATTCCCCATTCGAGATCGTCGTTCTATCGCGGACAGTATGTTGATGGAGCCCGGCCTGTCAGACCATACTGATCCGTCCTCTAGGTGAAACAAGACAACCCTTCAGACAAAGTAAAAAATGTACAGATCGATTATGACGACGTTGCTTCAATGACACATGCATTGGAGCAACACAAGCTCCACACTATTATATCCGCTATTGGTCTGGTTTCTGACGAGACAAGCCGGTCTCAGCTGAACCTAATCGATGCTGCAGAGAAGTCAGCATCGACAAAAAGATTCATTCCGAGTGAATACTCCTTCATTCAGACTGCTAAGTATGTTATTTTGATTTTCCTCTATCCTCATACGCGTCTGGTTCTAACCAGATCACAGTCTGCTTTCTATCGACCCAAGTATTCAATGGTGGCTCGACGCCGCAGATCGTCTGAAGAGCAGCGGGTTGCAATATACCAGGGTGATCCCTGGCTTCTTCATGGACTACTGGGGAATGCCCCGCGTGCAAACGCATCTGCAGCCATTTACCTTTGGGATTGACGTATCGAGTGGCACGGCCGCGATCCCAGGGGATGGCAACAACGTGATCTGTATGACCTACACCTACGATCTGGCCACGTATCTGGTCAAAGCACTTGATCTTGACCAGTGGCCAGAGTTCAGTGTCATTGTCGGTGATGAAGTTACCTACAATCAAATACTTGGCATGGCTGAGGAATTCACTGGTAAGTTGATGATACACAGGCTATCTTTTATTATGTCACTAAGTCAATTCGGGTATAGGGAAGAAGTTCACGGTCACCTACGATAGCCTGGAGCAGATTCAAGCAGGCAATGTCACTGTCCCTACTCAGCCAGAGGGCGTGGATTCATCTTCAGATGAGCTCAAAGAGACCACTGCACTGGTGAGCAGACTTACAGTCAACGATGTCTTCGACTTGCCGAAGGATCGCTTGAATGCTAAGTTCCCGGAGGTGAAGCCGCTCACAGTGAGGGAGTTCCTCCGCAATGCTTGGAGCCAAACCAGTACATGATTCTACTTGAAGAAACTGGGAGTGTGTGAGCACGGAAAGGGGATGAGGCTGAAAGTAACATTACTACAAACTTGATTTAGTGAATGAACATCATGACAACAACACAAATATCGCCTCATTAATTCCTCCAAACGAAACAAAAGTTCAAAAGGCATCAACACACGGGAACATCGCTGCGATCACTGGATGCGTCGAATCGAACGCCAGCCAACGCATTGCGATACTAGCGCCTAGCATTGGGGGGCGGAAGCACCGACTGCGACGCAGAGATTGCGACCGGGGATGAGGTTGGAGCAACTTGGGTTGATTTCCGAGTTCCAGCACAGAAGCTCGGCGATCGTGAACTGGTTATTGAACCGGGCAATGATATCCCAGCAAGTATCTCCAATACTGATGGAATAGTTTTGAAGGCCTGTCATTGGGTCAGCTCAAGTTGGAACTTTGGAAGTCTCGTATACAACTCACAATACGCTTCTTTGGCGGGGGGAGTCGATTCTTGCGTCTGCCTTGCCAGTATGTCGATGTTTTCGTGAACCACGTCTCTCGCAATGGCGCTGGCAGTGCCCATGGAAGCGAGTCCCAAAATGCAGAAAGATCGGATGCAGACCATTGTGAGCTGAGGGCAAATCTGGCTTGATATTTGATTGAGGAGGTATGTTTATTTTCAGGATTGGTGAAGACCGGTCTTGAGTGAGGGCATCTCCTTTCTTATATATTTGATTCCTGCTCAACCCATGATGAGCTGCGCTCGAGCTCTCCGAGTTGAGTTTTGCATTTTCGGTCAAGTGCATACGGGTTGGGAAACACGATGCCTGCGAAGGCCCTTGGAGCAAACACACCACAGCCACCACTGGTTGCATCTGTCTTGGCTCATTGCAACCATGTATGCTCCTTGGGGATGAGGCGTCTTGAGACAAGCTGGAAAGGAGGAGCTGACTGAATCATCCAATAGATTGCGTGAGCCTTTCCACACTATGGCTTCATGTTGTTTTATTGCTCAATTTGTCTCGGTCTCTAGGAGAAAGGTCCTAATTTGATTTGAGGTTACATCGTTTTTTGATATGGTCTAATGAGTCAAAGTAACCTTGTCCAAGGGGGCATGGCTGTCATGCAAAGATCAGTGTGACAACGGTATGAATCACTACCATTCATTTGAGGGGAAGCGAAGGTAGTGCAAACGGATGATCACAACATATCTGATTCACTAAGCTATTCATATCTCAAGAGCAGTTGCTGACTTCATTCTTCTTGGTTGGTGAGGAATTTAGGGTTCGTAGTTCGTGGCTAATTACTATTTTGATGCTGGCTGGGTCGTTTGATTTGTTGTTGCACCACAATCTCTTGTCACAATAACAACCCTACGGAGTGGAAATTTTTATGCCCCATGGATGATAAGACAACCTTGCAATCATTGAGCACCCCCACAGGACTTTGTAAGTATCTTGCCTTGGGGGTTCGTACCAATTTCGACTTCACTCCCGCGCTGAGATATAGTATGGCCAAAGTACAAGGACTGTTGATAATGGAACACGAAGGTCGGTTGATAACCACATATCCAAAATAGTACAATTCAAGCTCGTCTTCAAAGTCCGAATGACTACCTAAAGAAGTCTAGATCCACACAACGTGGTCCGACGACTTAAAGGCCGAAAGTATGAACCTTCCAGAATGGCCTCGGAAGTGGTTTGTATCCCGAGAGCCTCCCCGACGTCCTCACACGGGGAGTATACAGAATTTTGAGCACGCAATCGAGTATGACAGGTCAATTGCATCCCCCTCAGGCCACAGTAGTGGTAAGTAGTGGTAGTGTTGTAGTCTACCCAAGATTGACAATTCAACCTCAAGTTAACACTACCTGACTCAGCATTTCTGCCTTGGTGCCTAATTTCCACCGGACCTGCGGAAGATCGTCTCAAACTCTCCATCTGGATGTGGTCGATGAGAATTGTCAATGGGCTTGATTAAGGAGCCCCTGAGTACAGCACTCTCACAGAGACGTTGTGTATCATGAATGGAGATACCAGCAATGTTGTACGCCTGGCTAAGGTATGCTCCCCTTGGCTTCACCCCTGTGGCCCCAATCTAAATTCCAGTTGTTAACCTGACCATCTCTACTCTGTGAAGGCATGCAGCATATGCAGAAAAAAGAAGGTAAAATGTGATGGAACCAGGCCGGTCTGTGTCCCCTGCAGGACATTTGACTTTCCCTGCAAGTACGAAGACACCGTGCGACAGAGGAAACCCAACCGGTAGTTCATCCATGTTTGACTTCCCAGGTAAATTGCAAGACTAACTTTCTCCAGCGAGGACCACATCCAAGAGCTTGAAAAGCGCATTCAGTCTTTACAAGATGAGTTGAATGATGCACACGCGTCGAAAAGAAGGCGACTTTCAAGTGCCGATGGCACAGGCCCAGAACGTGCTCTCTCTGAACTATCTGGCTCAGAGCTACCGTCTCCGAGAGATAATACCACTCGAGCGCCATTTGAGGTCGAGGCCGAGGCCGACCGAGGCGACGGTGATGGTGATGGAGGGTCATATACCCTTAAAACCCCGAAAGGCGCAATGCGCTTTTTTGGTCAGTATTCGCTCACCGGCTGCCGTTCCTCAATGGTTGCACAAATAGCGGCGCTGATTCTCTCCAGGCGCCTCTTCCCAGTTCTCCATCGTTTCTTCTGAGGGAGTGGGGTGGCTAGAAAGCAAGACCGGCAACAATGCATGGCGCCATGTCGCCCAGAGAAACGGTAGCCGATGGAGGCTGGCCGACTGGTACCCTCGAGCTCTCAAAGATGACCACCAAGCCAAGTGTTCACATTCACTGCCGTCCAAGGCTGTCATACTGGAACTGGTCCAGGAATACTTTGACACGTTCAACAAGGCAATGCCTCTTTTTGGCCCCGAAAGCTTCATGACTATGATCCACAGACACTTCTCGTGGAATCCAAACGAAAGTCCCTCTTGGTGGGCCGCGCTAAATGTCGTGCTCGCTCTGGGATACAGACAAAGAGCGGAAAGCGCAGGCGCCAGCAGCGATGATTGGAAACTATGTCTGGGTCATATTAAGAACGCCATGAACGTGCTCACGGAGCTGTTCATGCGAACCGGTGATCTGCTCGCAGTCCAGGCTCTTCTTGGCTTGGCACTCTTTTTCCAAGGCACACCCAATCCTCAACCTCTGTTCATGTTTTCTGCTGCAGCTGTGCGTCTGTCACAGTCGATTGGGTTGCACAATTCCAACTCGTTCGGTCTTCCAGCGTCCCAGATCGAGGAACGAAGAAGGGTGTTCTGGATAGCGTTCATATTGGATGCCGACATCTGTCAGCGAACCGGTCGCCCTGCTGCTCAGGACTCTCGTGACTTTAGCACTCTTCTTCCTCGGGAGGATCCACCTGATGGCCTTGGTGTGATAGAGATTGGAGCTATCAAGCTTAACTTCTTCTCGGCCTTGGCTCGGTTTGCACTTATCCAGCGTCGCGTGTGCGATGAGTTGTACAGCACCGACGCGTTCCGCAAGACCCAGCAACAGCTAGTCCAAAGTGTGAGATCGTGCCTGGATGACATTGAAGCGTGGAAACAAAGCCTTCCCTTGACACTTCGGCCGCAACGAAACTTCTCTTTCCATCAGCATGTTCTTCTCCCACACATACTCAGACTTCACTTCGCATATCATTGTTGCTACCTCAATATCCACCGAGTTTGTCTGCTTCCGCGACGCTGGCCCGTCCGACCATCAAATGAAATTGCCACCCCATTGGGCCTGTTGATAGATCGAGAGACATCGATGCAACAATCTTCAGAGGCAGCACGTGCTGTGATTGACCTGATCAGCCAAGTCAGAGACGACTTTGGACAATCGTTCGAATGGTAATCAATCTTCTCCCAAACATCAAATACTGTTACAGTGGCACTAACTATCAGCACAGGAGCATGGTTTACTTTCCGGGAGCTGCTTCTGTGGCACTATTCTCCAAGATCATCATAGATCCCTTGCGACCCGACGCCGAAGCAGATGTTTCGATGCTTCACCGCGTTGTGACTTTCCTTACAAAGGTCGCATCACAAGAACAAGATACATACTTGGACTATGTATTGGCACTTTGTTCTGACTTTGAAAATGCGGCTAGGAAAGAGATACATCAGGCGCGAGCTCCGAGGCCAGATCCTCCGAAGGTCACCAGACCAGACTTTGCCCGCGCACAGGCGCAAATGTCGCAGAGTGACTTGAACCAAACAAACATGGCAGCAGAAACCAACCGCCCTCAGCTGGCTCATGATCCAGCAGGCCAGATTCCATACTGGAATACTTCTGGACCGGACCAGAGCTTACACCCTTCAGGTCAGCTCCAATTGCCCGGTCCCCTTTCTTGGAATTGGCAGGACATGATAGCTGGTATCCCTCCGGCATATGACTTTGGTGCATATGACTTTGGAGCACCTTTAGAAGATCTATGAATCCTACTCAATATGTCCGTGGAAAGTGGCAACTGCAATGAATTTGTACAAGAATGTGAACCTATTGTGTCAAAAACGAGATTACGCCCAGATCAATTTTTGATCATGATGGCAATTCGGCACAGGGGGACTTGTCCAAACAGGGCTGGCATCCTTATCACCGAGCCTAACCACAGGCCTCAACAAATCCATCTGTCCCCACGGGGTATCTTCGAATCTCATCATGAATGGAGACTCCGGTGCAAGATATTCTGGGAACACACTTTTCCATCCATCAACGATCTGAATCAAGATTTCCGCGACGAACTGATCAGGAGTGGAAGGCGCGAATTTGAATGTCTCGGCAGTCTTCTTGACCACGTCCACGGGGTAGAGACCGATTTCGGAATCCACCAAGATAGCATCGGCTGCGACAAGCGAGCTAACAACGTGGTACGAGCCTCCCTTTTGAGCCCGGTCTCTGATAGCAAGCATGGTCGCGAGAGCACCGATAACGCCTGTAGCCATATCGGAGATTGGCAGTGGGGGAAGAACACTGGTGCCTTCGTCAAGTCCCATTGACCGACCCATTACGTATGATGCACCTGATGCGGCGTCTCCAATTTGCTGCCAGCCGGGTCTATCGGCAAACGGACCTGCGGGTCCATAGCAGTTCTCGTCGACATAGACGATACCCTTGTTTCGCTTCGCTGCCATGTCGAGCATATGTTGAAGGCCGAGACCCTTCCGGTCGAGTGATTTGTAACGGAAACCTTGCACAAAGACATCCGCCTCGCCCACTAGCTCCTTGAGCCGTGCCATATCTTCTTCCTTCCCGATGTCGAGGTCGATTGTTCGTTTTCCGGCATTAAGAGTCAATTGAAGGACCTTTGAGATGTCATTAGTACCGAGTTCATGAGTCTTCGCAAAAGAACGTCCTTACATTCAAATCAGCCAGTCGGCTGCAGTTCACGCGGATCACATCGGCTCCGAAGGAAGCCAAAGTCACACCGACGGTAGGACCAGCAATAATCCGTACCATTTCCACAACCTTAACACCAGCCAGAGGACGACGATCAGGCAGTTGAACCAGATGGACCGGAGAAGTCGGTCGAGCATACGACTCGTGAGTATAGTTGACGAGTGGATACTCAGCGAGACGCTTCCCCATCTCCGTCTTCCTCCAACCCTCGGGCGAGTAACAAATACTCCCGCACAGCCCGTTCTTAACATTATGCATCTCGAGCTCATCGGGACTCCACTTCTGCACATGCTCGCGGATATACTCGTATCCCTCAGTGAAGTTCTTCAAAGGAACATCCATGTCAATACCCATGGAGACGAGCGTCTTACTCGCGTCCAACGATCCATGAAGCTGATACCACACACTGGAATCCTTGGTGGGATACAGAGCCGTTGCCCGACCCGCCAACGGACCAACTCCGAACCCCTTCTCGAAGTCTCTGTCGAAGATGCTTGACAGTTCGCGGGACCGAGCAAGGTCGGAAATATCCTTGCCGTTGACGTATGCGGTGAAGGTAGAGGCAAGCCAGATGCCGGCGTGGTCGGTGTTGACGGTGACGTTTGCTTGTTGTGCCGGTGTGCCGTCTCGGAGTTCCAGGAGCTCGTTGGCTACTACTCCGCACATGGCGTGTAGGGCTGCTGTCACTACTGGGGACTTCATAGGGCCGGGGACCATGGGGTCCGGCCGGCCTTCGAATTGAACGGTGTTCCATAGGTTTGTGTCTTTGGTGAAACCGGGGGTTTTCGAGGCGAGGAGCTCGAAGACGCGGCGGGCATCTTCTGGGACGGGCAGGACGGTCTTGTCGATGTAGGTTCCGGGCCCGTAGATGTCGTCTCCGGGGAGAGTCTGGTGCATCTTGAGTAAATTGAAGTGAGTGTATGGTGGAGTGGTGTTATGTCTTAGTAGGAAGAGTGATATGGGAAAAGCGAGAGTGCCGAGACGAAGAGAAAAAGATCTAATGAGCCATCTAACTAATTAATCAATTTAAAAAGGAAACATACAACTGCCCCGCCGAGCACCTGGGCTCTAACCCGACAGATACTCAAGCGATTGTAACTTGAGCTTGGTGTCCACGCCTCACCCAAAGGAGTCTGTCCTTTGTAGATCCCACGGGCTATACGACTCTTTTCCACGCCTCGGGAAAAACGCCGGCCGCCATTCCGAGACAGGTAAAGACGATGTTTGGCAAATAGCCTTCTGACTGGCTTGCAGCGGTGGGTCTTCGGGTCCCATCGAGAGATCCCACGGCCCACGGAATTTCGACTTCTCCATTTTGCGGCTCAATAGCCCTTGCCTCGGTCCCGGTGGGGAGGGGGTTGGCGTGTACATGCACGATTGACCGTATTCCAAGGTTATGTCGGTTGATCTGCATGGGAGACCCAGTCGATCATAAAAAAGCAAAGTCACCCACATTGCTTAAAGCTCTTCACAAAAGTGAGAACATCACTCAAACGTTTATTGATCCTTCACAACGCTAAAAATGACCTCGCCCTCAGAACCTCGTCGACCGGTCAGAGTCGCCAATTGTTCCGGCTATCATGGTATGAAGGATGTCCCCAGGGCAAGTATTCGATATTGACAGGGATCAAAGGCGATCCCGCATACGAGATGTATCGCCAAGCCACGCGCGGCCAAGTCGATTTCATCACCGGCGACTATCTAGCAGGTACTTTTGTCGGCCCCCAGTTTCTAGTCCAGCCTCAGACTAACCCCAATGAAGAGGTCAATATGGCCAATAACGCACAAGCATTCCAGCAAGGTTTGCACCCAGGCTATGAAGAAACCGCTTGGGAAGGCATCCAGCAAACAATCGACGTCATCGCTGACAAGGGTATCAAAGTCGTGATCAACGGAGGCGCTCTGAATCCCAAGGGTCTGGCCTTGAAAGTCGATGATCTGGTAAGGTTCCCCCGCATAGCCATAGCATAACGTACATCAGCCCTAAGTAAAAATTCCTAACTTGCCAACGCACACAGGCCCGCCAGAAAGGTCTGTCGCTGCGAGTCGCATACTTGGCAGGCGATGATCTGTACCCGAAGTTTGGTCCCGATATGCCGGTTTCTGCGGCTGAGCTGCAGCATCTGGATGCGGGGAATGGATTGGTTAAACCCGGCCCCTTGACTTATGCTTTTGCGACTGGTAAGACTGTGCCTATGGTCTCGGCGCATGCATACCTCGGTGCTCGTGGTATTGTCGATGGGTTACGTCGCGGCGCGGATATCATTATCTGTGGCCGGGTCGCGGATGCAAGTCCCGTTATTGCGGCGGCGTGGTTTTGGCATTCGTGGGGAGAGGGTGACTATGACCGGTTGGCGGGTTCGCTTATCGCGGGCCATTTGATTGAATGCTCGGCGTATGTGACTGGTGGGAATTTCGCTGGGTTTGATCGCTGCCCGATCGACGCGCTGGTTGAGCCTGGGTTTCCAATTGCTGAGATCGAGGCTGATGGCTCGTGTGTTATTACGAAGCATGAGGGGACTGGGGGATTGGTTGATGTCGATACTGTCCGGTGTCAGTTTCTATACGAGCTGCAAGGGAATGTGTACCTGAATAGCGATGTCAGTGCCATTCTGGATGATGTGGTTGTTGAGCAGGTGGGCAAGGATCGGTGAGTACCTCGAGGGTCTTAATGTGCTCTGCTGATTGGGGATTGTGTTAGGGTCCGAGTTCACGGGATTCGAGGATACGCTCCTCCGCCAACCACCAAGCTGGCGGTCTTCTACCCCGGTGGCTTTGAGTCTCAGCTTCTGTTGAATGCAACTGGGTATGCAACTAGTCAGAAGTGGGATCTGATTGAGAAGCAACTTCGGCATTTCATTCCCGACGAGGCATTGGCCCGTATCGATACTCTCGAGTTCCAAAGGTATTTTCTTCGTTCATGATGAACTTGTCGAACCGTTAACTTACACAGTGCAGAATTGGTGTTCCTGCCGCAAATCCCATTTCACAACAGCAAAGCACTTCCTATCTCCGAATATACGTCGCTGCATCCGAGGCCGATGCTGTTTTGGCCGTCGCACGCGCTATGCGAGATGTCTCCCTGAAGCACTTCTCAGGTAACATCACCATCAGATGCATATTCGATAACATGCACCTTGCTCACAGATATTTCTAGGATTCCACTCTTCTCTTGACATGCGCACAGCAGTCCCACGGCCCATCCTCGCATACTATCCGGCTCTCGTGAAACAAGAAGACCTCAACGAGGAAATAAATTTCATCGACGGTCCTGATTCCATCATTTCATTCCCAACCGGTCATCCGACAAGATACGAGCCGCTTCAACCACGCGAAAGTTACGACTACAATTCCCCAGAGCAAGGCTCTTTGCATTCTACTACAAAATCGATCCGACTCGGAGATATCGCTCTAGCACGCTCTGGCGACAAAGGTGCAAATCTCAACTTTGGGTTATTCGTAAACAATCCCAAGCACTGGTCGTGGTTGCGGGCTTATATGAGTCGTCAGCGGGTCCGCGATATGATGGTTAATGATGATGATTGGGATGAATCGTTTTTGGTGGAGAGGGTGGAATTCCCTCATATTCATGCCGTGCACTTTGTTATTTATGGAATTCTTGGGCGGGGCGTCAGTAGTTCTAGTCGATTGGATGGGTTTGGCAAGGGGTTTGCAGATTATTTACGGGACAAGCTTGTTGAAGTCCCAGTCGAAATTCTCTGATTGAATGCACGAGATTTCATTTGCGTAATGAAGGGGGACTGGCTAGCCAAATTCAGTGTTTCTTGGAGCTTATTGCCCTCTTTCTAGTCATATCCCCTAAGTATAATTCTCTATTCACCCGGACGGCTTAGCCAAGACTTCCATTTCTCGACCAATCATGATAAGTTGACAATTAGTTGGATGGATGGACAGCTAAAAAACAGTATAAGAGACAGTTCAAAAGACAGTTTAAAAAAGGTCCCGAAGTTGATGATAGTTCTGTTTCTTTACCAATCGAAATATGAGATTGAGTTAATTCATAACTACACCTGTTTATAAGCAACTATCATCGTCCATTTGGCCGCGCGTGAGCGCGGCCCGGAGGCTTGTTGAATATACGAGATGTCATTTGCTTAATGAAGGGGGCTGGCTAGCCAAATTTAGTGATTCTTAGAGCTTGTTGCTCTCTTTCTTGTCATATTATAGAAGTCGACTTGTAAGTATCGTACATCATCTCGGCAAACAAAAAACGCCTTTTAATTCTCACGAGACTGCCAAGGCGGCAATTGCCCAAGGCTCCATAGTGACAGTGTAATTGCCCTGTGGGTTGAAGACGCTGGTAGTAACAGTTTGAATCTGCGCATGGTACGGTGTATCACCCTGGTAGCGAGGACCAGCGAGCATCTCCAGCCTCCCAGATTTGGTGCCTGGAATACTCACTTTCACCGTCTGTGAATCGGTGCCATAGTTGGCCATTTTCAGATAATACGTCGAGTTCGTCTTCGAAGCTACCCAGTAAAGTGGCCCAAAGTCCGCCGTTGAGTCCACGGGGAGGATGGTATCACCTTTGTTGGACATGAACATCTTCTGTACGAAATATGAAGTCGAGGGCGTGATTGAATCGGGGGTATTGTTGAACCCGTACAGAGTGGGCTAGCAAGCTTGAAGCATTAGCCCTTATCCCTCACTCATTGTGAAAAGAAAAATCTGAGACTTACCGACCAAGAGACGAAGTCAAAGTGCTGTAGCATAGGCGCGTAGGTAGTCATCTTGACAATGTCACTGTTGCGCTCCATTCCAATCATGTAGACGGCCTCGCTGCAGCTCCCTTGCATGTACGGCCAATATTCACCTTCTGCAATAGAGGTATTTCGACATCCGAATTCACCAATCATCACAGATTGGTTACGCGGCTGGTTATCAAACTGGTTGAAAAGCTTCACGAATTCATCTGGCTTTCGATATAAGTGCAGATCAATAATGACATCCTTGGGCAGTGGCGATGGAAGACACTTGTAATCACCGTTCGAAGCAATGAGAGTAATATGCGGGTATTTATCGTGGATCGCCTTGTATATTTGATTGAAGCGATCCGGATAAGTCTCACAGCCATGAGTGAGGTCGTCCTCATTGCCTATCTCGATCAGATCGACCTTCCATGGCTCCTTGCGACCATTTCGGGCTCGCATGCTTCCATAGTGTGTCGATGTGTTTCCAAATAGATACTCCATCTCGTTCATGATGTCCTCAATGAAAGGCTTGAGATCTGGCCCTGATATGATATCCCCGTAGGATTTCCCGGACCACACGGCTAGGAGGGGCGCCATGTTCATGTCTTCGCACCACCAGAGATACTCATCTAGACCGAGAGCGTCGGTGTTTGGATAGAACCAGTCGCTTTCCCTCCCCGGGCGATCTACGACCGGTCCAATCGTGGTATTCCACTTCCAGCGACTGTCAACCTGTAATCCTTCAAGGTTATTGCCACCGGGGAAGCGAAGGAAATTCGGATGAATCTCGTCCAAAAATGATGCAAGGTCATCCCGCAGCCCATTTTCTCGCCCTTTGAATGTCGGTGGGAACAGCTGGATATATCCGAAATTCAAGGAGCTTCCATCTACCTTTGAGCCATCGAACGTTAAGTGCCACTCGTTGTACCCGTCCGGACAGTAGATGGTATTGAACCTCGTCTGGAACTCGGTGAACTTGGATTTCGTGCTCTTGACAGTCAAGTTGTGATCAGCATAAATCTGACCGCTCTTTGACCCGACGAGTTGCAGGTTCACAGTTCCGAAATAGTCGCCCATCATCCAAAATGAACTGTTGTAAATCGCGCCCGTGACTGGGATTCCATTGTAGCCAGTATTCGCAAATCCGACGTAGTCTGTCACACCTTTTGGTACTTCTACTTTGAGTGAAGACGTGATTGCTTTGCTGACATGCTTCGAAGTATCTTGGGATATCGTCGCGTTGCCTACTGGGGCGTAAGATGTGATGTTCAGACTGGTTCCTTGGAAACCATTATTTTGCAATAATTGTCCATGTATTCCACCATCGCCTAGATAATCATCAGCATTAGTGCTCACTGAAGCTTAAAGAGCATTTTGAATTCCTACCAGAATGGTCCATTTCCTACGTGAGACATTAGCATGAAACTGGCGTGGTGGAGGCTTTGATACTCACTTCGAACATGATCCCGTATAGCAGCGGACTTGATTTATTTCCATGATCACTTGCGATGGTCAGATGTATTGGATCCGTCGACTTATTACCGTGAGCCGCCACGCCGATTAATAAAGAAGGCAGAGCAATGCATATCGCAATGCCAAGACTGGCGAAGTTCAAGGTCGATTTCATTACAGATCGAGATCCTCAGAGGCTCAGACGGTGCTCAGTTGCAGAGATAGAATTCGATGAGCGACGCAAGGTCAATTGAAATTCTCAAGGTCAATACCAGGTCTGATTAGACTCTGTCCCTGGCTGTGGATCAGGTTCATTTACTATCATGGTTCCGTCCCCACCCGGACATCACGGAAGCTGTTCAGGGACTTCTCATGGTTGGGTAGGCTATCTCCACTGGCACTTCCATTTTGAATTGTCACCAATCAGTGGTCGGAATGTAGACATTCATTTTGTAGACAGAAATCATTTATCGCGAGGTTGCATGCAAAAAGGAGTCATGACGTCGGGTACTCTGTTTGCCCTTTTCGGGGATTGATAAGGCACCTCATATGTCAATGCCAAGAATAACATCACTTAGATTGGAATTCTGAGTGTTGTCGGTTAGACTCACATGCGGAAATTGCCATGTTGAAACAAAGGGATGGGCTCTGATGTAGATATGTCGTGGTGGCCACTAAAGCCGTCGGTCGGACGTTATTTGCACTATGTCATCGCCTAAACGGGAATAGCGTTCTTTGTGTGCTTGGCTACCTTTGAAGTCGTGTGATCTTGTCCATCACGATCTTCCAAGTTTCCACTCTATCAAGATTCAATACGACACGATGAAGTACGTGGTGGTGACAGGAGGTAAGTTTCAAAGTGCTGGGAGATCGTCGGGAGAAAAGCGGGGCTCCCCATATTCCACGAAGTACACGTAAACTGACATCTTCAGGTGTGATATCCGGAGTCGGCAAGGGCATCATCGCCTCCAGTGCCGGTCTCCTGCTACAGAGCATCGGGCTCGTGGTCACATGTATCAAAATCGACCCCTATATCAACGTCGATGCAAGTCAAATGAGTCCCCTTCAGTAAGTCGTCCCCACAGGCCCTCATATACCTCGACCAACCATGCCAGACACGGAGAAGTCTATGTGACAGATGATGGAGGCCAGGTCGACCTCGACATTGGTAATTATGAGCGATATCTTTCGATCTCTCTCCATAAAGAGAATCACATCACAACAGGAAAGATCTATGAGAATGTCATCAACGCCGAACGCAGAGGTGATTATTTAGGAAAAACCGTCCAAGTGGTGCCTCATGTCACCGATGCTATTCAAGATCAGATTCAGCGCGCGGCGAAGGTCAGCGTTGATGAATCGCAGTCCGAGCCCGATGTCTGCATCATCGAGCTTGGCGGTACAGTCGGTGATATTGAAAGCTCGCCTTTCATCCATGCCCTGGCTCAGCTTCGTAAGAAAGTTGGCAAGGAGAATTTTGTTCAGATTCATGTCTCTTATATTCCTATCGTGCCGTGAGCTTCTCTTCTTCCCTTCACCTCTTCATACTGTGTTTGGTGCATTCTCCTGGGCTGGATCGAAATGTCACCCGGGGTTGCGAATCATTCTAACAAAATGGTTTAGACCAGGGCCCTCCGGTGAGCAGAAGACGAAGCCAACTCAGAAATCGATAAGCGATGTTCGAGGTGCTGGTCTGACTCCTGATTTGGTAGGCTTTTCGTTGCCACAGATACTTCACCTTCATCATGGATGAATTCATACTAATTGTGTGAGATTGCTTGCCGCTGCGAAACACCGCTGCACCCATCCACCACACAGAAGATCGCCACCATGTGCTCAGTGGAACCGGAGCAGGTTTTCAGTGTCCATGATGAATCAACGACGTATCATCTACCGATTCTCCTTAAACGCCAAAACTTGCTTGACGCTATTAGCAAGCATCTGGACATTCTGTCATCAGTCCGAATACCGCCTGAGCGCCTTTCACACAGCACTGAGATGTGGAAAACCTGGGTCGATTTGGCTCACAGCCAAGAGGTCGTTCATGAAACGGTCTCGATCGCACTAGTCGGCCAATATGCCGCTAATCGCAATGCTTATTTGAGCATCTCCAAAGCCCTAGAGCATGCTTCCATGTACTGCCACAAGAAAGTTCAGATACTGTGGATCAACGCTGCCGATCTCGCTGACGAATCTCTCGAGGATTCACCTGTCAAATACCATAAAGCCTGGCATGATCTTTGTTCCGCGCAGGGTGTCCTCGTGCCTGGCGAGCCTGAAGTCCCATACTGGCGCGGAATGCTCAAGGCGATCAACTGGGTGAGAGTCAACCACAAGCCCTTTTTGGGAATAGGTATGGGTTTTGGATTGGCAGCCATCGAAAATGCTCTCACCCACTACAGTATATCACCTGGTAGTGATGTTCAGTTTCATGAAATTTGGAGACGCACGCTCGGTCCTATAAACTTCAATGATGCCAGAGTGGATGAGAGTATGCATTTGGGAATTTATCTTTGCAAATCCCAATCTGGATTCGACGAGTCTAAAGTGGGAACTCTCTATGAAAATATTCAGCCACACGCTCGGGATCACCATCTCTCTGAACGATATGAGAAACAAATTCGCGCACGTTATCGGCACCAGCAGGTTGGGTCTCCCGATTTGGCTCGATATCTCAAACTAATTGGCTTTGTCATCACCGCAAATGACAAGTCCAATAACCGCCCAGCAATCATAGAGATGTACGACCTCCCCTGGTTTGTTTGCGTGCGATTTGAGCCGCAGTTTACAAGTCGTGTATTACAGCCAGACAAGATCATTCTTGGCTTCTTTGCTGCTTCTGCTGGATGCTTGGATGAAGTCACTGAGGCGGTTCAACAGGGTCGACGAAGCTTTGGAGGTACCTGAAACTTTCTCGAGTCTATGGCATAATTTTAGTGTGCTATTTCCACCTTCGTGATATCGGCCCCCAATTTTGGAATACCCCTCGAGCTTAGAAATCACGATATCTTCTTTGAAATCAATCACATCACATATCGTGATGATTTCCAATGCTTGTTAATTCATAATTAAAGATACTGCATCCTTAAATATTCTCATAATATCCTAATACAGCCCATCATATAAGGTTCCCATAACCTCAATCATCTACAAGCCCTAAATCATTCCCTTGCAGAAGTCCATACAAGACCAACCATGACCTTCACCAACGAAGCGGCCTGGCAAACCGCCCCAAACTCCAAGACCTTTGAAATTGGCCCCGGCCCAACCCCCAACCCCAGCGAAGACGAGGTCGTCATCAAAGTCGCCTACGCTGCCGTCAACCCTGTGGACTGGAAAGCAAGCATCCCGACCCCCAATCCCAATTCCAATTTAAGCCCTAACAAACCCAGCTCCAAGAATCCCCATTCGACCTACCCTACCCATACATCTTCGGCACCGACATCGCCGGAACAATCGTCCAACTCGGATCCAACGTCACTCGATTCCAGCTAGGACAGCGGGTGATAGGGTAAGACCAAACAAGCCCATAGATACCCTATCCTATCTCCATCTACTTCTATATCTCAAACCACACCCATCACCTCTCAATACTAATAATCCAACCCCAGCCACTGCGACGGCCTCCTAACCCAAAAAAAACCAAACAACGGATTCCAGCGCTACGCCACAACCCGCGAGATCCTCGTCTCCGCAATCCCAGACAAAATCCCTCTATCCAACGCCGCCGTCCTCCCCCTCTCCATCTCAACAGCCGCAGGGGCCCTATTCCACTACCTAGCTCTCCCCTACCCAACCCTAACCCCGACCCCTCTAAACAAAAAGATTCTAATCTGGGGCGGGAGCTCAGCCGTCGGAAGTTCCGCGATTCAACTTGCGCGCGCCGCGGGACTGGAGGTTCTTGCAACTGCGTCTCGGCCGAATTTCGAATACGTGCAGAGTCTCGGTGCCACGGCATTTGATTACCATGACCCGAACATTGTGGAGAGGATTTTGGAGGTTTTGAGGGAGGGGGATGTGGTGTTTGATGTTATTAGTAGTTCTGAGACGCAGGAGGCTTGTGGGGAGATTTTGAGGAGGATTGGTGGGGGGAAGCTTTTGACTACTTCGCCAGCGCTGCAGGTTGGGGTTCCTGAGGGGATTGAGGGGGTTTTTGGTATGTTTTTCAAGGAGATATTGAGGTTTTGGGTTGTGGGGTTTTTGCTAATGGGGGATATAGTTAATGGGTTGGCGCCTGGATTGATTGATTTGAATGTTGGGGATGCTGTTTGGCGGAAGTATTTGCCGGAGGCTTTGGAGGCTGGTGTTTTTGTGGCGAAGCCTGATGCACTTGTGATTGAAGGGCTTGAGAGGGTGCAGGAGGGTGTGGATATTTTGAAGAAGGGGGTTTCTGCTAGGAAGATTGTGATTGAGGTGGAGAGGGAGTGAGGATGGATCGAGACGAACTGATTGCTGTAGGGGTATGCAGAGGTAAGAGCTGTTGGGCAGGGAGATTGTTATATCGGCTGTCTTTGGTGCTGTAGTTTGATCCAGCTTTGGAAGAGCTGTTGATGCTGTCTGTTGAAGCAGCCACTGTTACTGCTAGATTACGATTTTGAACCACAATAGAAAGGATTGATCTGGATCCGTCTAGGGAGATACCTATACCGAGTGGAAATGGTTTAACCTTTGAAGTTGTCGAATGAATTGTGGTATGAGACAAGCTTCACACGAGAGCATTATTTGTAAAGGAAACCCGAATTCATTCATTAGACAAGTCCTTTCATAGCGGTATCAACATCAACTTATTTCATGCACAGAAAGAGAAAAGAAACCAACAGGCCCGAAAGAAAATGTCGGAAAGATGAACCGAGATTAGGTAGTCCCGACAAAGATATCAATATGAACTCGGACGGCATCGACAAGAGATTAACAATGAATTTGAAAGTATGAAAGGGGTGTAAAATGCATATGGTGGTCAAAGTGTACAGAGAATAAAACAAGTATGAAGGAGCTGAAGGACCAATTCCCGAAAGAAAAAAGAGGATCGGGTAAACATGATCCCTCTTAAAACACAGAGGGATATCAAAAACCAGACTGCGGAGATGACCTGGAGTGATCCGGAGTCCCGATCGTGTCACATAGCAGTCAGAATGGAGAGGTAAGACGCCGGGGAGGGAAGGCTTCAAGGCGTGGTAGCTCTCTTCCAGAATTTCCAACTATCCCTCCGCTCTTCCACTCCAACACCGACAAGGCGTTCGATGCCCTCAGGACCCTCGGCCTCTTCGAACTTCTGCTGATCGATCTCCTCGCCGCCCTCCTCGTCGGAGCCGTTGCGCAGGATAGCAGGCCAAAGGACACCAACACCATCGCCACCGAGAGTGACTTCGTATTTGGTGAAACCTTCCTCGTCGAACTTCTCCTCGAGGTCCTGCTTGACGCTGGAGTTGGCATTGGGGCGGAGGAGGGTGATTGCACATCCGCCACCACCTGCTCCCGTCAACTTGGTCCAGCCAATGTCCGCGTAGTCGACAAGTTCCCGAATGCGCTCGAGACGGGGATGCGAAACACCCAGAGAGACGAGGAAGCCGTGATTAATGCGAATGAGGTCGCCGAAGTGGGCCAGGGTGGGGTCGGTGATACCCTGGAAGTCGGGGTCCTGAATGAGGCGCTGCGCAGAGCATGTTACCTCGTCGATGGCGTTGAGGATGGACTCGGTGACGATGGGGTGGGCGGTTCGGAGCTTCGCGACCTTCTCGACTTCGGTCTTGGTGGAGCGCGCCTGTTGGGTGTTGACGAGGAGGAGGGGGAGCTCGGGGAATGTGGGGAGAGGGACCACAGTGGGAGGCTTCGTGTAATCGTCACGACGGAAAATCACGGCCTTGCCGCCTGCGGCCACCGTGTTGTCTACTCCGCTGGGATTGCCATGGATGCAGAGCTCGCCAACGAACGCCCAGCGATTGATGCGCTCGATCTGTGTTTCCGCCTCCTCTGGGGGCTGGTCTGGGTGCGGGCCGGCTAGGGTTCGGATCTGAAGGAGCAGTGCGGCACTCAGGCAGACGCAGACACTGGCGCTGCTGCCTAGGCCGGCCCCTGTGGGAATGGTCGAGCGGAGAGTGTAGATGGCGCCGGGGCTTTGTGGGGAGCCCAGGGAGAGGAAGAGGTAGAGGAAGGAGGAGGCGGAGCGGATGTGGACTTTGCGTTGTTCCTCGGGGAGACCGAGACCCTTGGAGACGTCCTGGAGGTGTGGTTCGATGGCTTCGACCAGTTCCGGGTCGAGCTCGGTGACCAGACTGTAGTAAAACTTCTTTTTTGAGGGTTCGTGGAACTTCTCCCACGGCAGGGAATCAATGTTCCAGGTGTGACTCAGGCCCAGGTCTCTGAAATTCAAGGTGATCGTGCGCTGTGATTTGGAGAGGGTGGTGACGAGGAGGTAGGAGCGGAGGGAAATGGCCGCCGCCATGGCAGCCTTGCCGTGCACCACCGCATGTTCGCCAAACACGATGACCTTGCCCGGCGCAGACACCATGAAGGTGGGGGCCATGGGTGAGGAGGCTTTGCGCGTCATTGTCGGGCGCTTGGGCTTGTCTTGTGATTCTGCGGAGACGGAGGTGGAGGAGGAGGCAGAGGCGTTGTCGGAGTGATCCTCCACCCCATTCCCATTGATCCCATTGGAATGCGCGGGGACGAAGTTCACTGGATCGGAGAGGAAATCGACCGTACGGCGAGGAAGAACGGTGGCAGGCATGTTGAGGTGTGTTTCGGTCATACCGGGGGGGCAAGACAAAGGGGAGAATTAGCGATTAGAGGGAAAGAGGAGAGAAATTGGAGGATGCAGGCAGAAATTGATCCATCAGCGTCAGGAAATATTAAAAGTAATAAGCAAGCAATAATCAGCAACAAAAGCACATCAAAGAGGCCTTGAGTCTGGAGAGATGAGGGAAGTGCCAGAGTCTACGGAGTACGGAGTATACTAGGGGGAACGTGCCCAATCACAGCCACAACAATGTCCATTGGTCATCATCGGCCGCTTAGTTTGGTTCTGTTATTTCGTCTTTTTCTGTTTTTACCTAATATATCGTGAATATTCAACGTCGGTTTCTTCTCTTCATTTACTTTTGCTGTTAAAGGTTCTAGAAAATGCCCAGCGCAGAGATTTCGTGGCGTGCAGTAGCGCCGGGATGATCATCTCTATGCTCTTGGGCCTCGACTCTACCTTCGACCTCCTATATAGTGCTTAATGAGAGGAGAGACAGGAATGAATATACTCCGTAGTCTATTTCCATGCTATGTATTTCCATGCTATGATTTACTGGGCAATTCACAATCAGACCGAGTCTGGCAAAGATAATATGCATAATGACACCACATAACCCCAAAACTGCAAGGGGTGGACGGAGTATCCGTACTCCGGCCAAGGTGCCCAACCAGGATTATTGGGATGGGGGCGAAAACAAGTGCATATTATGAATTTATGCATTTCTCGTCCCGGTCTGTCGAGCCGGTGTCTATACCCCTCACCGAAATCTAACGCAATGTACAGTGTACAATGTACAGTATAAAACAAAAGTCATCAAATCATAGGTTCATCGTCACGGTCATGCTGTTACTGTGCACCAGCAGACACGGAGGCAGATCTTGCCATAGCACCTCCAAGTCACTCAAGAAGGACGCACTGTCTTCAGCGCTGAGTGAGGTGCCTTCAACGGGAGAGGGCAGGGTGGTAAAGATCACCGCAGTGTCACCACTCTGCTGTGCCATCAACTCGTTCAGAATCAAATGCTGCGCCCGGCTGGGGAGGTCATTGAAGGAGAGCGGCACTGACGCCACACCGGGATACCCAGTGGCTTGTGCTTGTGCTTGTGCTTGCGCATGTGAATGTAAATGTGCGTGTACATGTGAGCTACTGTGAGTGCCGGGTGAGGTAGGAGACACGGCAGACGGGCGACGCGCGTAGATGGAATCCAGCTTGGGGGCGAATCGGGGCGGTGAGTTCTGGGCCGCGAACATAATGGACGGTCCATTGTTCTCCTCGGCCTCCGGGTTCACTTTGGCTTCCGGGATAGGTGCAGAGCTGAACCGATTACTCGAGGGGGAGCGGCTGATGGGAGGCCGATGGGTTGCAGGTCGGCTTTTCGGTGAAGCGTCATCGCCCGTCTCGATAATAGAGGGGATCGAACGGTTGGGCGGAGTCTCCTGCGCTTGCGAACTCGTGGGCACCGGTGCGCGTGGGGAATCGGCGTCCGAACTATAGTTGTCGGTCTTGGATCTCCCGAGCGGCCTCGGGGACCCTGAACCCGACGGAGGTTCATATTGGTCGCTGTAAGGGTCCTCACCGCTGTCCTCTGGCTCGGGGTCACTGTTATAAGCCAAATCGCTATCGTCGGTCTCGCTCGAACTGTCCGGGCTGTCGTAGTCGACAAATGAATCCAATAAGCGGTGTGTTTGCATGCCAAGGTTCACTCCCCGAGCGCGCGGAAGCTAGAGATCGATCGTCGGCGACGAGTAGATTGAATCAATTTTCTCAGTCCAGTGACTCGCTGATGCAAGGGTCTACTCCCGCTGTCGTGGCTGGATGGTCCTTGCCAGCTATACGACTTGTCCAGGTGGAAGCTGTCACTTGCTCGATCCGAGTCCTGCGGGTCTTGGTTTTGATGGGCACGAGCTTGTAGCACTCCTTGCCACCAGTCCTCCCCTTGCAGAGCTGACTGGACTTTCGCCTCTGCTTCGGGTGAAGCTGCCGAGGCATCACCATTCACAATAATTCGGTATGACTGAATATCACCGCAGGCAAGCCAGAACACGATGACTTCAGCCTCAATGCGTAGTTTGTCCAGAAGGGCTTCAACTCGCCCTCTTTCGTCCTCAACATCTGTCTCATATTCCACAAACACTGCAACTCGGATCTTGTATGTCTTCTTCCATGACGGAACAGTGTTGAGAATACATCCCAGTTGAAGGATCAGAGTGTAGGTATCAAAGTTGGTGGTCAGCACATTTTGCTTGCTCTCGTGATCAGCCCCAAGCTCGGCCGACATCTGGATTGGCCACAAGTCAATGTATTTCTTGGTGTGGCGACCATGAGGATCCGGTAGTTCCAGATCCTCAAATCCTTTTGCAACGGCAACGTTGATTCGCAGCTTGAACAACAAGTCTTCCAGGATTGTAACATAGCTCTGGCCGCTCATTGGTGGGTTCGAGGATCCAAGAGGCTCTTCACCTCGTGTACTTGCGCGTCTGGTTTTCGAGTCCCTGCGACCGCTGTACGTGGATACCGTTTCAACAAGCGATTGGTCTTGTCGGAACTGGTCAATCACAACAATGTTTGGTCGCATGCCTCCCAGCCCAGAGTTAAGTACGATATTCCGCATCCCCCACTCCGCGGCGGGCGAGATGGAGATATTGACAAAGGCTTTTATCTTGGAAAACTCGACGAATTTGGTCCACGCTGTCTGCTGACGGCGGGCCTCAGGGACAGCTGCTGAAAAATCTTCGGTCACAAGCACGTGGGCCAACACAAACAGAGCACCTTTCTTCAACGAGTTGCAGAAAGAAACCATTTTATACTGTTTGTCCAGATCGCTCACAAAAAGCAAGATCTGAGGGCGCCAAAATTTGACGTGCTCCTGGCGCAGACGGAGCAAGTATTTTCGAACTTGATGGTAGATCAAGCTCTGGCTAACGTCGCCCCAAGGCTTGGGCGGCGAGCTGTAATGGATCAGTAGGAAGAGGATGACTAGAATTCCCACACATCCTGTAGCATACAGCCCGTCGACGAAAAACATGCTAACACCACTGACCAGTGTACCTGCTGCTGCGGTCTGCCAGTTGAAGTAGTGGAACGACGGGCGAAAGTTCGGCGCAGAGCCAATCTTTAACAAGAAACACGCAAGATTCGTCACCAAGAAGGTCATCAGGTAAGTCATTGTAACGAAAGATGCGATGCGATTGATATCGAAAAGCATTGTGACTTGGGCGAACACATAAGTCACAAGGATGGCATAAACTGGGTCGTCGGTCTTCTTCGTTCCTTGAGCGAAAATTCCAATACCAGGCAGAAGACTATCCCGTGCAATAGCTTGCAGTAACTTTGCGGATCCAATGACTCCCATCAAAGCCGAGAAGAAACTGGTTGCGAATTCTCCAAGGAGAATGACACTATCCGAAGCATTGACCTATATCAAATCAGCACAAAAGTCATGTCTGCAAATAGATAATGACTTACGATTTGGATCACGTTCACGTTGTTATAGAAGGACTCCCGAGTAACGGAAGCCGCCATAGCGAGTATGACAAGTCCATAGGAGACAAATGTCAAGGCCAAGCCAGACAGGGTACCTTTCGGAATAGCCTTGCTGGGGTTCTTGAGATCACCAGACATGCTCGCACCGCTAATCACAAATTAGTTAACTTCACGCATAGCGAAATGCCTACAACTTACGCAAAAATGCCTCCTGTGGCCGGAAACAGAATTCCAAATAGATCTTGGAAATTTTCGCGCCCTTTGATCTGACTTCCGGCGGCTCCTTTGGTGAGATGGGGCTTGAGATTTCCCATCAATGTTTTCAGGCGGAGTCCTGTGAACTCCACGCCCAGACGAGGAACCGGGAAAGGCTTCAAGAAAATCGCTGAAAGTGGAATACTGAAAGTGGCCACCAACAATATGACCAAGAGGCCATTGCTTGCCCTGGCAAATATAGAGCTTCCCGCCAGGCAGATAGCAGTGCAAAACACCAGAATGACGGTTCCCCAAAGGTACTGCCACCAAAAGCCTTCCAGGAGGAAGTTGGCCCAATCGCCAGACTGTATTCCAAAGTTCTGGGTGAAGCAATCTACCAGTCCCACAGCATTCATACCAGTGTTGAACACAGAGCCCAGATAAAACACGATGCCAATTGACCCACCGAATTCGGGGCCAAGGGATCGAGAGATAAGGTAGTAGGCACCACCACCTCGAACGGTTCCGTTCGTTGCGATAGCGGACAAAGACATGGTAGTCACAAGGTTGATGGTGTATGACACAAGCAGAAGACCTGTATCGAATTAGAAAAGTGGTAGGATTCACCATACTATCTACTCACCTAGAATACCCAACACACCAGCTTGTCCCAGAATGAATCCGAATCGCAAGAACATGAGGATACTCAGCACATTCAAGGTCGTAGGAACGAAGACACCGGAGAACGTTCCAAGTTTCTTCGGCTCATCCACTGATTTCGAGCGATGTCCATTCTTGTCCTTCCTGTCGGCGCTGGCATCGCGAAGTGGGCCCGCAGACAGAGACGCATTTTGCAGCGTCGCGTCTGCATGGTTCTCTTCCTCTTGCTCGGTACCCGACTGCTTATTCCACCATCTAGAGAATCCATGGAAATAATCGGTCGACGATGCGTTTGGTTGGTTCTCAGACCGCTGCGTCGAGTTCGTGGGCTCATATGGACGGGGCCAGCGAGTGGGTGGCTTGGGCAGTAGTCGAGTGCGTTCATCCGATGTGGAATGAGCCGAGTCACCAGGTGCAAGGCGAGAATCATCCCCATGGGCGGTTCGAGTCGAAAAGTTAGGGCGCCGCCGAGACAGGGAGTCGGAGGATTCTCCGACTCGTTCGGTCGTCATCTCAACAACACTGTCTAGAAATTGAACATGAGGCCGTGAATATCAGGTCAATGTAGTTGAACAATGCAATAGTCTCAGCAAGACCTTTGAGTCTGCGACACAGTTTCAAATTGGAAAGATAACAATCCAGTGTACACTGGCCGCCAATATGACGTTGGTGTGCAAACGTTGCAAACGCCGTCAGCCGCTGATCAGCCATGGCCTCGCCGCTTGGCGTGGCTAGTCTGTCTCAAAGCCCTCCTCGATCACATTCCGTTTCACCTACCTTTACCCTCCGAGCCCACATACGAGCCGAACTTGGTTTAAGACTCCGGGACTTTTCTTCCCATGCTCATTCACCGAGTCTGAACACTGGCCATCTGTCAGGAGTTATTACCTGGACGCCCTAGCAGCCACCCTCACAATGGCGGACAACGGAGAGGGATCGTCCCTTACCCCAGCCCGGTCTATGCCCATAGGCTCGGCCTCGATACGCTCAAGGTCGCCCGGCCCTGATGTGGGCAACAGACAGGCATCTATGGCACGACTCGCCTCGCCTGTTCCCTCCCCTTCCTTGGGGACATCCTTGTCTTCTCGACAAGGAATCCCAGCCATGCGACCCGTCGCGAACACTGACCAGGAATTCTCCAAGTCATTTAACAATCAAGCATCACTTCCTGGTCCTGGCCAGTCTATGATCGCTTCCCAGATTCAAGAGAGTCTTGGTCGGTCGCCCCCGAGATTTGGAACTCCCCCACGATTCAATGGATCTCCTGCCCCCAACCCGATTCTTGACAACCGACCGATCGCTTCTCAGTATGGCTCATTTGATACCAAGAACGGATCTGAATTGCCTGGTATGGGACCGAATGAAGACCCCGAGGTCATCAAGAGACATCTCGTCACGGATCATGGAGATAACCAGTCTGAGATTGCGACCAGCTTTGGTGGTGATGACCATTTCTCAAGTCTTCAGCTACAGGGAGGTGACATTACACGGCAAGTGTACCGCTGGGCGGAGGACGCCGAGGCCGAGGCCGCAGGGCGATTCCTGCGCAGCAAGAGTTTCAGCGTGAGCCGGCCGAGGCCCGAAGCTGAGACTGAGGACATTGACACGATCCGGGTCCCTGGAGGATTCCGCCGAGATTACCTCCGCCGAGCAGCTGGAAGCCCGGTGCGAGGAAGTGCTCAGGGGTCTGTTCAAGGGGGACCTCATGGAAATGCTGCTCCCCAGCTACCGACTACCAGCTTCTTGGAATTCCTCACGCTATACGGTCATTTCGCTGGTGAAGAGTTGGAAGAGGATGACGAGGTCTTGGGACCGGATGAGTACTTTTCGTCTGACACATGGGACGAGCCAGAGGAGGGCAGGGAGTCTGGAGAAGACGCAGCCCTCCTACAGGGAGAGACACCCGGCCGCAAAAAGAGAAAACACAAGCAGCGTTCTCCAGCAGGAACGACGACCACGACAGGTGCAGTACTTCTGCTGCTCAAGTCCTTTGTGGGTACCGGTATCCTGTTCCTGCCTCGTGCTTTCTTGAACGGTGGTATGCTATTCAGTAGCATGGTTCTACTGGGAGTCTCAATCCTGAGTTACTATGCCTTCATTCTCTTGGTCAATACTCGCATGAAGATCGAAGGCTCCTTTGGTGATATTGGTGGAATCTTATACGGAAAGCACATGCGCCGTATCATTCTTGGATCCATTGTGCTCAGTCAGTTGGGCTTCGTGTCCGCCTATATTGTGTTCGTTTCGCAGAATCTCCAGGCTTTCGTGTTGGCCGTCAGCAAATGCGCCACGTTCATTGATATCAAGTATATGGTGCTACTGCAGTTGATTATCTTCCTGCCCTTGTCTTTGATTCGGGATATCAGTAAGCTTGGCTTCACTGCACTGATTGCCGATGTCTTCATTCTCCTGGGCTTGCTCTACATCTACTACTATGATGTTAGCACTTTGGTCAGCCAGGGCGGTATCTCGGATGTCAAATCATTCAACCCTGCCACCTGGTCCATGTTCATTGGCACTGCAATCTTCACTTATGAAGGCATTGGCCTCATCATCCCGATTCAAGAATCGATGAAGAGACCCACCAGGTTCCCCGGTGTCCTAGCTGGTGTCATGGTGGTCATCACATTCATCTTCCTTTCTGCGGGTGCCTTGAGTTACGCCGCGTACGGATCGTCAACCAAGACTGTCATTCTCCTCAACCTTCCTCAGGATGACAAGTTTGTCAACGTGGTCCAATTCCTTTACTCGCTTGCCATTCTACTGAGCACCCCACTGCAACTCTTCCCCGCAATCCGTATCATGGAGAACGAGCTTTTCACACGCAGTGGCAAGTACAACCCATACATCAAGTGGAAGAAGAACGGTTTCCGTTTCTTCTTGGTTATGGTCTGTGCCATCGTTGCCTGGTGCGGTGCGGATGATCTCGACAAGTTCGTTTCGCTGGTCGGAAGCTTCGCTTGTGTTCCTTTGATATACGTCTACCCGGTACGCACTACCATGTCCCCCTCTCCCTTGCCCCAAACAGTATCGCTAACTCAACTCTCTTTTAGCCTCTCCTCCACCTTCGTGCTTGCGCTCGTTCCAAGCGCCAAGCCATCGCCGATGTGACTCTTGCTGTCTTCGGCGCCATCTGTTGCATATACACAACTTCTCTGACCCTGGCGAGCTGGATGGGTCCTGAGGTCCCCCAGAGCCCGGGATACTGTGACTCGTTGTAAACTTGATCTTTATTATCTGACATCTTTTGTTCTAGAGCGTGGCGAGTCGGCCATTCGAAACTTGCATTTTGTCGTCTTATCTCAACCCTCAACTGGTTTTTCATCGGGTTTATGCTGCTTGGATGCATGTACTGAGAGCAGCTTTGTGATTTTACAATATCGGGGAAATTGTCAGTATATTCGGCGTATCTTTGGGGGGTCAAGCGACCCTTTGTACACATACATTCCGGTTTCTTGGTCTATTTGCTCCGTTGCCCAGTTGGGAATTCTCGGGTCTTTTTGCGCCTAGATAGAGCGGCTTTGTTCCAGCATGGATCTTCCAAATTGTTACCAGGTCATTTCAAAACGAAATATCATTCTTGAAGTGCACCAAAGAGCCTATGTACAATAGCCACCAACCAACTGGAGCTGCTACAACCAGCGTTGGTGACGAAATGGTCTTCTCCCCCGCAAATTTCTCTATATGCCTCTCATTCGCCCAAGACTCAACTTTTCCACCTCGAGACAATCACTTCAGAACGTATATGTAAGGAGATTTGATGTCACACAAGATAAACACCGGAAAGAGCCTCCAGCGAGGAACGTGAAAGGTCGATCAATCCCTGCTCGGGGATCATTTAAGCACCAGCCTCAGCGGCAGCACCGCCCTTGGCAGCCTTTTCAGCGAGCTGCTTTTCCCGGCCGCCCCAGCTGTGAGAAGAAATATCAGTATGTGCGCCTTGTAAGTTCTTGATGCAGATCAGACGAAAACGTACTTCCAGTAGTTCAGATAACGGTAGGCCTGGGTAGTCTGGGCGCCGAAGTTGGTGAGATGGCAAGCGAAGAGGAGGTAGTTCTTGGGGGTGACGGCAAGGGAGTAGCGCATGAAAGTAGCGGCGTAAACGACGAGAGCACCGGTCATGGGGCCGGAGATACTAAAATGAAGCTATTAGTACGATCACTCTCATTGAATTCGGAATAGTCCGACTGAGCCAGGGTTATAGCTCTACTGAACCGTCCCAACATACATCTCAGCGTCCTTCTGGGTGTCCATCACGGCGGCGACGGGGATACCGAAGTTGGAGACCGGGCCCCAGAAGTCTGTGAGCAAACGACAGTTAGCATGCTGAGTTACATTGCGATTGTATACTGTGGATTCGCTATCTTGAAAGGGAGCTCGGTTGTGTTCGTCCCTTCTCAATGCTTATTCTCCTTCGGTCTCATTCGCCGTTGGCCGATCTCGGTGCGGGAAGCATTTCGGGGAACTTGTACGTACGGGTTGAGCAGACATAGTCCAGCACCGAGTTGGAGCGGATCTTTGCGTTGATAGCCTTGATAACAGCAGCCATGACGAAGTTGCTGGAAAGGTATCACAATTGAGTGTTCGGGGAGGTGAGGTTGTTATCTGAAGGATGCTCGCTCGAGCACCCGGGGTCGGCCGCGTCACGTGAACTGCATTTCCCCAGCTCTTTTAGGAAGGCAATGCTTAATGTTCGATTTTGTTATTCAAAGTGAAAGTGAAAGCAATATTGGGGGACGTCTGACAGTTATTACAATGCATTTCATCCAAAAGTCTGGTGGTGGTTCTACAGCTCATCAATTGTGACAATCTGAGAACATATATGTATCGGCGGATATACTCGAGGACTATATGTAGTTCTGTCAAGATTCAAATAACAGAGTCACCAGAGATCGAGATAGTGGGTTAAAACCGCAAAGTTACCTAGCCTCCTTGGAAGGCAAACAGCAAAGTTCTACACAGATTCTACGGGCCGAACTAAAGTGGCTTCAAGCTGGCTAGGGCCAAACATACATGATAGAATAGACACTAGACCATGGACCAGCCCTCAATCAGACGTGAAACTTGTAAGTGGATGAAATCGTTCTCATAGATTTGGATTGGAAAAAGTCGCGTGCACCAAAGCTAACATTATTTTTGACCTAATGCGAATTCAAAAGGATGTTGGTCTTGTCCCCGTCCTCGACATGACCTCCATCCTGCGCCGTAACGCCTTGCCCAGTAGAAAATGGATCGATCTAGCCTGTCCTTGTATCGTTTTTCGCTGAGGCGTCGAACACGGCGTATATCCTGCATTGAACCGCCCGTGGTTTCCAGGTGATAACACATCGCCGATGATATGAAGCGTAGAATCTTCCTCTGTACACATTTCAATTTACCTACCACCGTAGCCGGGAGGAGGGAAGCCACGTCCCTGACCAGGGGGCTGGAAGCCAGGAGGAGGTTGGAAACCAGCAGCTGTGAAGAGAACGGTTAGAATGGACGCTTGGAGTGGAGCTCCGCTGGATAGAACTTACGGGGACCGCCCTGAGGAGCAAAACCAGGAGGAGGAGCGAAGCCGGCTGGAAGTCAGAATGTCAGTAAAAGGCCCGACACATCTAGATGTATCTGCTGGAGTACTTACGAGGTCCGCCTGGGGGACCCCCACGTCCAGCAAAGCCGGGAGGAGGAGCACCGGGGAAACCACCGGGAGGGAAACCGAAGCCGCCAGGGGGGGGGGGGCCACCAATACCGGCAGCAGGGCCTCCGAGACCGATGGGCAGGCCACGGCCAGCGGGCTTGCTGATACCGGGACCGGCGGCGAGAGTGGCAGAGGCGCCAGGACCGGCGTTACCAAGTCGGGCCGAGGGGTCGGCGGGGGGAGGACCGTCGACGGAGCAAGAGACGACTTGAGTTCCGCGAACGATAGTCAGACCGAGAGTGCGCTTCTCTTCCGCTTCGACCAGCGGGGCATTTGTGGGACCGGCGGTGTTCTTGGACTTCCGCTTGATGCGGCGGAATTCTTCTGTGTCTGCAAGAACGAGGTTCATGTGCTAGAGAGCGGTGGGGGTTAGCTGGGTGCCGCTTCCACCGGGGGAAGATTGGGTACCTTATCGAATGCCAGCATAGAGCCGGTCATTTGGCGACCATCGTTCAAGGTCACGCGCATCCGGTAGTTGATCTGCAAGACGGGTCAGAGAATGCAATTGAGCATACCGAGCTGAGAGAGAGGAACTCACGAGGTTTTGCTAGATGAAAGACGTTAGCGACAGCCATTGACAGTGCAGACGAGAATGAGATGAGAATGAGAAACTTACCATCTTGTTGGTGGCCATATTGGCTAGAGAGCGCGCACGGATGCGACTTCGATGACCAAAAAATGAAAGGCAGTAGATAGAGCGAGTCTCTCTACTGTGGGGGTTGAGCAAAGGCGCGAGATCCTTTTACAGTTGTGAAGCTTGAGCTTGCTCGGCTGCTGCCAGTTCGTTCTTGATATCGGATTAGGTAATATCTGAGTCAGCTGGGAAATTTCTGCCTAGTCAATCGGGCCAAATTTCAGGGCGCCAGGCCCCACTTCCTCCAACTACACTCCGGACAACAACTGAGATTTGGAGAATTGAATTCATGGAAGGTACTCTCAACTGATTCTTTATCTGTGGATCAAGCTGGGAAGAATGAACTCAATTATGCTTAATTCACTATACTCAATTCAGTCAATCTGGTAAGTGGATTTCAACTCATGAATGGATTCATTCTCCCTAGGTTGTATAAACATGTTTTATATCGTAAGGTCATGGTTCATTCTCATAATCATAACACAAAAGAAAGGTTGTTCAAAGAAAAGACTTCTCTATCTCGAGGTCCATAATCAAAACCCGCAACGCCAACACCATGGCCACGTCAAGGCCGATCCAATTATGAAAGCATAAAGCACAGATATTCCAGGAGTTCGAGGCAGAGCTGAAATCCTTTCGAGGGGCCAACTCCATATCCCTAGAAATTGTGAAACACTCGAGCCCAGGATGCATTATATACTCCGCAAGCCGCGAGACACGGTATCAAGATCTTCGTTCGAGCAAGAAAGGAGACCTAATCCCCCACCTCCCAGCACTAATCTTCATCTATCACCAGACGGTTATATGACTGGAGAGCTTCAGACTCTTCTGAAAAGAATATCTGCGATAGAAGATGGTGGATAAGGCCTCTCTCGTTCGAACGAAGATCCCAATGCCACGTCTCGCGACCCATAGAGCACAAAATGCGCTCTGGGCTCGAGGGTCTCCCAACCTCTGGGGAACCTGGTCTGGCCTCGCGAGAGGATTGCAGATAGCCATCCAGCCCTGCAATATTTGTGCCTCATGCATCTATAATTGGACCGGTCCTGACACGGCCAAACACAAAAACTAATACAGGAAGTGCTTGTATAAGCGAAGAACAGCGAAGAAAAGCGAAGAAGAGAGAAGAGAGAAGAAGAGAGAAGGAAATAAAAGAGAAGAAAAACATGGGTATCTCAAAGTGAGTCCGCGTTCTTCAATCTGTTGCACCAATAACGCCAAAGCTTTTAGTTGCAATTCAGAGATATGATCAGGTGAAAGCCCACCAACCACGGAAGTAGCCGCTGCGGGTTTTCACGCGCCTTGCTGCGCGGTCCATCTCCCTCCTTCCCTCCCGGTAAGAGCGAGGTTCTCTCGTCTCATAGTATCGGGGTTGCGAAGACCGAAGAGGAACATCGGACTCGGGAGGAGGAGGGTAAGGCCTCCTTTCTCTCTCAAAGAGACGCGATGGTGCTGTACCTCTTGGCTCACGCACTTCATACTGCACGCCAGAACGTGTTGGTCTCCAACTATCGGGAGAGCTAGGTCTCGGCGGGCGTTCATACTGCGGTTGGTCGTCAAAGCGGACCCTTCTTCCTGATCTGGGTTCTCGCTGGATGTATTCTTCAGGTCTATAGCAAGTATATTTAGTAAAGATTGGTGGTGGCTGTAGGTATTGGGCTTTGGGAGCGTACTGTTGGCGGGGTCTGCTGTATCCAGTGTCGTAGTCTTCCGGATTGATATAGATCACTCGAGGTTCACTCGGGTAGTACTGCCGTGACGACGGGTAGTAGGTTGTGTAGGCTCCCGGAGAACGCATTGTGGTTCTGACTCGTCGGATGGAGTAGATGGGAGTGATAGTGTACTATGTCCTGTCAGTCTCTGGGAGTTGAGAGTCGATGTCTTGAGGATGACACCGGGAAAGAGGGCAAGAGGGATATAAATATGAGGTAAAAGTAGACAATGCATTTGAACAAGAATACTCGAAGTAAAGGACAAAGGGACAATGAGACAATGAGATACAAAGGAAGCTGACGAACCTCGAAAACACGAGTTGAATAATAAGGCATACGGGCAGTGGAGTCAGTTGCTTGGGGCAGGTGATATCACAAAGGAATGAACGAAGGCGATGTTGATTTACTACAAAGATCATAGATCTTGATGCTACTTATAGTTCAAAGACACCAGACCCCTTGGACATAACAAACAATAGTATACCCCCAAGTGTGAAACGACAAACAGGCAGTAACCGGGGTCTAAACCTTTATTCTATAGTTGAGGATATTAAGAATCGATTCTGATATACGAAAATACCGGTGTGGCTGATGTCTTCTTGGGTCACACGGGGCGCAGGCGGACTATGTCACCGGAGAGTGACCATACAGGTGACAAAGAACCACCAAATTCACGAGTCAGTCGAGTTTCATCAGACGAACAAACGCTATAGAATGAATGCTATTGTTCTATCTGCAGGGAAGTGCGTAACCACGATCACACCCAAAGTGAGGCGTGAAGTTGGTGATGAGAAGAAGCGCTAGGAGCGGTTGTCACCAACGGTGAAATCGTAGCGAATGAAACCCGGGTAACTGACATCAGCCAAATGCAAGTTCACTGCGCAACTTTCACCGTAGAGCGTCAAGGAGGTGAAGGGGACCAGATTGGGGTTTGCAGCCTGTCAGCCACACACTAGCCACACGATCGGCGAATGACAGCCGCAGGCGCTTGTTGGCCCTAATTCCTCCAACGGCGACTACAGACCAACCGTCTATATCTGCAAAGCGGTAGTTCCTACAAGATCATGCAATGCAAAGGAGAAAATCTCCGGATCCACCATTAGTCGCATAAGCGTCGGGCAGCGAGGCACACGCCACGCCATCTAACTCCACCGCTCCATAAATCTATCCTGCATGCTATCACGTTCATGAAGAACACCCATTTCCAGTTTTTGGACCCCGGCTTGCAGCCTTACCAATTCAGCCTCGAGGCCCGAGAGCAAACTTTCCTCCGAGGGGTCTCGCAACGATGTCTCATACTGCGAATTGGTTTGCAATGAAGAACCCAGAAGTTGGGATGCGTGATCCAACGGATCCAAATGTGACAGGAGAGGCGCGTCCACCGCTATAGTAAGGTTATTAAGAACAAGGGACATATCACGGCGCTTCTCATGGAGGTCATGAATGCCTCTATCCCCGCGAATGGATTCGGGCGCGATGCCAACGCGCCTCATCATAGTGTCCACAGCGGGTTGAGCCGTTGGAGGCGCGACAGGGGTACGTGGGGCAAGAAGAAGCCTGGGTTGGAGGGAGCGCCGGCGCAGGGATTCCCGCCGTGATGACGGCTGGGGCGGCTCAACCGCTGCTTCTGATTGATATAGACTAGCGAGTTGCTCTAGTAACTCTGACGACGACTCTCGGACCTCCAGTTGCTTCGCAAGGTCTTGTTTGGAAAGTGTCATTTCGATCAGCATGTCGAGTGCCTAATGCGAGTTAGTATTTTTGCCACGTTGCGCAGTATGTACGAAGCGGGTACCTGATCTAGTTTCTCACGCGAGGCTTCCTGCAGCTGTCCGTGTTCGTTCTGCAGCTCGCGAAGAATCGGCTCATGGAACTGCTGCCTGGTCGACATTTCCGCCAGAAGTTCGATTTCCGGATAAAGAGATTCTAGTTCTTCTTCCAAGGCGGTGCTCGTGGCCCCGTCCAGTGAGCCTGAACCGATGTCTGCCTGTATGCTTTCCAAATATAGCCGATCGAGACGGTAGTGGATTTCCTCCGCGACGTATTCCGATAGCATTGTGCTCAGATGCCCCGTGCGTTTTACTGTAGACGCATCGTTCCCGCGCACTTTGATGCTTGACATCAGAGCCTCCAAACTCGCGAGGGACTTGTCATCCTGCTTCAACCGGGTAGACAGAGCAGCGAGGATCTTCTTGCTTTCCGCGCCTGATCGATCTGTCGCGGTCCTAAAATCTCCCTCCAACTCGTTGGACAGCTCGGTGGCCTTGACTGGGTCAGCATGATGTGACGAGTAATGATGGCGGACATCCCTACCGCCATTGTTGTGTTTTGTCTGCCGGCCTCATGCTTCTTTCGCAACCGGGCTATATCCTTGATCCGTTGGATTTCGACATTCTGCTCCCGGCCAAATTGTTTATTAAGGGTATCGCACTGAAGCTTCAAGGTCTCCGTTTGTTTCGTGATCGTTGCCGTTGAAGCCTCGAGGGACTCGATCGCGCGTCGGAGGTCATCTTCGAGGATCGGTCGCGTGGCGTCGAGTTCTGGATCATGCAGGATCGGCTGGAGAGCACCAGAGCTTTCAAGCTTGGTGTATCTGAATTGGAATCAGTGGGTATCGTCAATTGGGGGGGCTGTTGCAGCGTACAGCGCGAGCTCGTCCTTTGATAACAAAGTGTCCGGGCGGAGATGGGTGGAGGCCCATTCCGCATTCCGGGGATCTTGAAAAGCGGAGTCAATCACATCTCGCCTGTGTGGAATGTCCCGATCCCTGAGAATTGACGAGACCGAGGAATTCATCGTTGTTGTGTTGATGCGGAGATCAGGAAGTCGGAAGTGGAGCTTGGCGTTCAAGCCTCTCTCGCACCGCCGTCCACGTTGGATCTCCCATATAGTCCACATCCACCGTCTCATTGGTTAGTCAAAAGCTTAGATCTTAATTCGTCTGTTAAGAAACCGGGATTGAAGTATATCGCTTGTTCAAAGCGCTTAACCCCTGTATTTCCATGACCCGGCTGCATTAATGGCATAGACCTGAAAGAGCCATTGGGCTCTTTGAGCTCCTTTGGCCGTTTGTAGAAGACAGGCCATTCCAAGATTCCATACGGAGATATGTTTTTGGCCAGGAACAAAGCAATAGGATCACGTAACAACTATTCTAGGACAATATATTGTGAAGTCTTTCAAGCTCGAGGGAGGTGAAGGGCTGGCTATAAAGGCCACCTCAAATCCACGCAAATGAATACCACAACACCAGCAATCCTTCGCATCCCAATCCAATCAACATCAAATCAATTATCAACATCAATCATGACCTGTCCCAAAGTCGTGGAAGCCGCCATCGAGGCCCTTCCCCAGCAGCATAAGTCCATCCTCATCCAGCTTGAAAACCTGTACTTTGACTACATTAACCAAAGGCCTAGGAAGGAGCTCTCCGAGGATCTGAACTCTCTGAGCCAGACCGCATACAAGTTGGCCAAATATATTGAAGAGAACGACAAGAGCGACACCGGGTTCTCAGATTCGGCCTGCGCCATTTCAGCTGGGATATTGGAGGCCGCTGTCCTGGTCAAGGAGACACCATACTTCGTTCATCATGTCAAGCCAGTTCGTAGTGCGATGGAAAATCTCCTACAAGCCACCTTTCGCGAGTTCAGAAAGATAGCTGGACAGGTAGGTTCCACCGAGGAGCAGCCCTCTTGGAGGTTTAGGATGAACATTGTCGATCGACGCCTGAAGGAGCTCGGACTCGCTGGTACCAAGCAAGGCGATGATATATCCATGGACTTCTCTCGATGGTTTGATAAACAGTAGCTGTATGCAATGTCGGGATTTGGGGACGAGTGTGGTTTCGAGTTTATGCTAATTAGTTTGCTGTTGATTGCATGAATATCCATCTCGAGGTCTTCGAGATCTTGGTTAGTATACCCCGTATGGAGTGCCATTTCGTAGGTTTATGTTTCTCATCAGCATAAATGGTTTAAGTTGTTGACAATGACTCTCTTCATAGATTTCAGTTTCCGTATGTAGACTTCATCACCTGGAGAATGAGGCAGAAGGCCAGAAAACTTGTAGACACGTGAGATCTTCCCATTGTGCAGGAGTTTGAGCTTTCTGCCAGCGTCCTTCTCAGGTTGCAGACAGCAAGACAAGCGGTTAAAAATTGCGAGACTCGGTTCTCATGTTTTGTCTTAGGAACGAGTATAGATTACCGTCGCGATTGGGTTCAAGGTACGGAGTAGGTGAAGTGGTCTGTTCAAGTCCAGGATGTGATGACCGGAGACCAATCCGCGAATCTACATCATGACAGTAGATCAATAGCCCGAATGAAGCAGTATATCATTAGATCATTAGCATCATGATCAACGCAGCGCAGTGCGGAGTGGAAGTGGAGTGAGGCGCTGTCAAGCCGAAATGCGGCTGCCTGTAAAGAGGCTGAGTAATCAGCCCTGCGCCCCAGGTTGGATCAAAATAAATTCAACTTGCGATTTGCAAGCAGAGCAGTTGGCAATTTGGCAGAGACCCAATTCACTCTTTCATCTCATATTGCGAGTGCAGAGTCCGTCATCGCTACTCCGTACTCCGTCCTTGGTCCTTGGTCCGGTATTCGAGAGTCGACGTGTCGCGAGTTAGCGCCGCAAATCGTTACCGCAAAAAAAAGACCGCCCTGTCGACTTTCTTCATCTCTGTGGACCAGAGGGTTGAACATTCTCTCACGACTTGAAACGACTTTGCGCCTGTGAGGGAATCGCGATGTTCTTTTAGATCACCGTCTTATCCCATCCCCGAATCCCCGAACCCTCGAATCGAGTCCCCTGTTGATTACTCCACTCGGCATCAACACCTCGATATGTCTACCAAACCCTCTGAAACAGACCCTTGGGGCTCTAGCCCAGGTCAAACCTCTGGCTCTCCCTCAGCCTCGGGTGGAAATGATACCCCGAACGAGGTCGAGATGAAGAGCTTACGCCCCGACCCTCCCAAAGGCTCAATTCCCCTGGGCGAGGATGTGATGCAATTGGCGCGAATGGGTGAAATTGGCGCCATGCAGAACCTCTTCACAGCTAAGAAATTTACCGCGAATCATCGCGACGCCGAGGGCATTACGCCTTTGCACGTTCGTTCCCGTACCGCTCACAATGACTACCGGAGATGACCACTGACATGACATTCTCTTTCCTTCTTACAGTGGGCCGCCATCAACAACCAATATGCGATGTGTAAATTCCTTATCGACTCCGGAGCCGACGTCAACGCCAAGGGAGGAGAATCAGTCGCAACACCCGCCATGTGGGCCGCGCAACGTTGCCACTACTACATCGTCAACCTCCTCCTCCAAAGCGGTGGAGATCCCCTCCTCACCGATGTCCAAGGCTACAATATCCTTCACCTGGCCACCATTGACGGCAACGCGTTCTTGGTTGTGCTTCTCCTGCACCAGGAGATCCCCGTGGACGTGGTGGACCAGCAAGGACACACTGGACTGATGTGGGCTGCGTACAAGGGATACCCCGTATGCGTGGACTTGTTCCTGCGCTGGGGCGCCAATGCGAACGCCGTGGACGAAGGTGGTCTGACCCCGCTCCACTGGGCTTTGGTCAAGGGCTCAATGCCTTCCGTTCTCAAGCTGCTGGAATACGGCGCTGATCGCTTTGCGAAGACCCGTGATGGAAAGTCGCCTGCGACTGTCGCACAGGAAATGAACACCACGCGCGTTTGGTACCGATCGCTCAACGAGCGCGGTTTCGAGCCTGATGGGTCCCAGAAGGTGGTGCCTATGGGACTGTCGAGCTTTGTGCGCAACAAGAGCATCATGGCCAAGTTCTTCTTCTTGTGGCCTTGGCTGACAATTCTGCTGGCGCTATGGATGTTAAGTCATCTTGCGATCTTCATGTCTGTGCCTCTGGTGTTGGTGACCGTGTTTGGAATGCAATACGTTGCGCAGCAACTTGCGAACAAGGGCCCGGCGGAGTATCGCATCTTGCAGAAGACACCCTATCTTGCGGGTGTGTTTGCTGGAACGTTGTTCTGGGTTGGACTTCGGTATGCGTTCAAGGTGTTACCTGCAACTTACTCTTCGAACCCGATCTTGAACATCATGTTTGCGGTGTTCTTCTGTGCTACCGCGTACTTCTACACTATCTCTATGGTCCAGGATCCGGGCTATGTTCCGAAATTGAGCAGCAGGAATCAGCAGAGAGAGGTTGTCAAAGAGCTATTCGAGCTGTGGAAGTTTGACGAGGAGAACTTCTGTATCCCTTGCATGACGAGAAAGCCACTTAGAAGCAAGCACTGCCGACGCTGTGGACGCTGCGTTGCGAAGCATGATCAGTAAGTTCTTAATGACCCGGCCATCGATGGCGAATGCGCTAATATCAATAGCCACTGCCCATGGATTGATAACTGTGTCGGATCCAACAACCTCCGCCACTTTGTACTCTACATTGTGTCTCTCCAGGTTGGAATCATCCTATTCGTACAGCTGACCGTCGCATGTGAGTTCAAATCCAAACCCTGATTGGAAACAACCACTAATGAAATTAGATATCCAATCACTCCCCGCTCCCAGCAATGCTACATGTAACGTGATCAACGACGTCCTGTGCGACTACGCCTCTCGCGATACCTTCACCCTAGTCCTCAACATTTGGATCTCCCTCCAGCTCGTCTGGGTCACGATGCTGTGCGCCGTCCAGCTCGTCCAAATCTCCCGCAACCAGACCACCTACGAGAACATGCGTGGTCACCACATCGACCGATCCTACCCCAGCTCCCAAGCCTTTGCATCCGCCATGACCGCCGGCACCACCTCCATGGAAGCGGCCGGCTTCTCCGCCGCCGGACAAGGCCCCAACCCCGCCCTCCGCGGGCCCCCAGCACCCCGCCGCAAACACGGCTGCCTCGCGCAGTGGTCTTCCCTCCTCGGCGTGGATGCCTTCTGGACCACCGCCAAGGATGGCCTTCGCGATGGTCCGCAGGCCGCTCGTCCCCGCAACCCCTTCTCCCGGGGCGTGGTTACGAACTGCCGCGACTTCTGGTGCGACCCTGCGCCTCTGTTCGGCAAGCGCAACCCGGGCTCTGGGATGCTGGGCGGTGAGGTTGTCAACTATCACGATATGTACGAAACCCCGATGCGCATGCACACCGGGCGAAGCGAGGGAGCTGGCTACCGCGGCATTGCTGGCGAGGACCCCGATCATGCGGTGTAAAGTTCCGTCGGTGCTTGCTTTTTTTGTGTTTTTTTCATCTTTCGCGTCTCCTTATACCTTGCAGATCAGCGCGGTGTTGCATTGGGCATGTGGCACGAATGTTTGCATTTAGATGTACAGACAGACATTAATGAACAATATGTTATATCATCCTATCAGTGGACGTCACTCCATCTCGGCCGGTAAAAACTAACCTCCGAATCGCCATCAGATAAGATACGGCCTGCCGAACCCCAGTTCTGGAAACATACCATCTTCGGTAAAGCTTATAACCTTGGCAGAGCCCAAAGAACCTTGAAAAGAACGAGAAAATGCAGGGTGGCGAACCAGCCGATTGGCGGCTTCACTTTACAGTACTTACGACCAGACCGCGTACGGAGTACTTACTTCGTACACCTCCTCCGTACACCAAACCCGGTACCTGCATTGCCAGCGCACCGTACTTTTGAAAGGACCTTTGCGTTGAGCCCTGCAGGAAGCCAACTCTTGGCTTCCCGATGATCCAGCGTGGCCTGACACCTCGAAGCTAAAAGCTTCTAGCCCGTATCCAGCTACTCCTACGGAGACAGTGTGCACATTGTACGATCTCCCCCGTTTCCAGAAACCCAGACAACGGGGCTAGTCAACCCGAGCCACCAGTCCCACGACTCCATTCTACTGCAGCTCCAGTCTCCAGTCTCCAGTCTTCAGGTATCCAGACCTCGGATCAGTGGGCGGAATAGACCGCCTGTGGGAAAACTGTCACTGAGACATTCCGATATCGCCAGTTGCCGAACTGGTATCGATCTAATCTCGGCCTCTACCGGGTCCAGTCTGCGTGACGAATCGTACCATATGGAGTACTGTTTGTCCCATTCCCATTCTCCCTTTATGGTTACTGGTGTCCTGGTCGTGCATACTTGGTACATTATACATCGTAGCCGTGAACGCACATGCGGGCATGTAAAACGTGCAGCTGACAGTGCGTTTCGCAAATGCCAAGAAAATTCTTGCATGGAGGTCGACTCGGGACGGCTGATTCCGAGATTAAGTCGAGTCTCGTAGACAAAGCAAAAAGGGAATTACCACTCTAGAAGCGAAGTCTCAATGGCTAGGGACATGAACATGGTACTCCGTAGCATGAATATGAAGGAAGGCCTTCTCGAAATACTTGTACAAGTACATTAAGAAATAGAATATTACAAGTGCGTACAGACCCCATCTCGCTAACGACTTAGGCAGGTGATTGGCAAATCGGGAACCCCCTTCAACCTGGTTTCTTCGAAGTTACGGTCAGGCCTAAGCGGGAACCGTGTTTCAGAAATCACGGAGACTAGTCCTATGAACACTTGAGCCATTCAATATTACCGTAGACTAAAGTATATTAGTTTCCTCAGTACTTCTCTCTGCAATAATAAAGTACCATGGTCGAACGCCAAGGCATCTGATCTGATAAAAAATTTCTCAACTTATCTGATCCATGCAGGACCCACCTGCTGTTATCTGATTTGATCAAGATCTTTGCATGGTACGATGTGATACGTAGCAGTACGAGGATATCGAGGACCCTGTCTGGGTCTCGGCGTACAAGTAGCTGTGTACGGTGTATGAATGGGAGAATTGAGAGGCCATTGACATCTAGAATTTCTGGGTGGTTGAATTGGCATAAGGATCGGCGTCTGACTGCCGGCTATGGCGGTTGGCGTGTTGCTTTTTGATTTTGATTTTTTTTGATTTTTTTACTTTTTCCCTGCCAAGAGACGGGAGTGCGTAATTTTTTTTTTCTTTTTCTTTTTCTTTTTCTTTTTCTTTTTCTTTCTCGATATTCTTTACCAATTGTTTTTATGGAGTAGTATTTTCGCTTATACGGAGAGTACGGAGGATTCTTACCATCCCCACCCTCTCTCTGTCGGAGCTATTTGCCTACTTGGTGTCTTACCCTGAAGATCGGCTTTAAGCCGAGAAAAAGTTAACGAGCACCGAGCCCGTCGGAATACACGCAGACAGAGCACGCAAGATATGAGAGAAATGTCAATATAGCAATATTGTAGCAACACATCAGTAAAGAAGGGAAGAAAAGAAAAAACATAGCAGTATAGCAATTGGAAACAAAAAAATATAGCTCATTAATGCAAACATTCTAACATCTAATCCCACCAATACATTTTTCATCTCACAGCATAGCACGTACACGGGTGTCCTGCACCACGCCCGCTAACTGATCCGCAAACACCGAGTTAACAATCTCACCACCACGCACCGCCAGCACCGACAGCAACGAATCACTCAATCCATGAGTCTTCTCATTACATCCCTGCAGCCAAATGCCCGCATCGGCAGAGACCTTCTTCCCATCCAGCGTGGCCCGGTAATCACGACCAGGGTTCCACCCGGATGCACCAGCAGGTTGGAGAGAGCGCACGTTGTCGAGCATCTCCTCGTGTGCGTCGCGCAGGTAACCTGTCGCGACCATGACGGCGTCGACGTCCAGAACTTCCTTTTCGGACTCGTTCTTTACGGACTTGACGTGGAGGCGCATGCGGTTGGAGGGGTTGTGGTGCTCGATGCGGGAGATTGCGGACTCGGAGAGGATGCGCTGTTGCCATTGGGTTTCGTCGGGGTTTTCGACGCGCTGGAGGTACATGTCGTTGTAGATGGCTTCGATGAGTTCGAGGCGGACGACGCTGTAGTTGGTTGCTTTTTCGGTGGCGATGCGGCGGGTGCGCTCTTCCTTGGACATTTCGTAGAACTTGTCGATGCGTTCGGGGTTGAAGATCTCGTTGACGCTGTGAGGGGTTAGTTATGGATTTCTTTTTTTTTTTTTTTTTTTGGTGGGGAGAGTGCGGGGTGCGGGAATGCGGAATGTTGCTTACAAGGGAGAGTCGTCACTGGGACGCAGGGCGGAGTCACGGAGGATCAGGGTAGTGCGTGAGTTAGGGTAGCGGCGGTGGAGATCGTGGTAGATCTCGGCGGCACTCTGGCCACTGCCGACGACGGCAATGTTGTAGGGGGCCAGGTCGTCGGTCAGCATCTGGGGGAGGGTGGTGCAGTACTTGGAAGAGTGCATGATGCGGGGATCTTGAGGGAAACCAGGCGGCATCTTAGCCTTGCCGCCAATGGCAATGACGACCTTGCGGGAGTTACGGGAGGTGATCTCGCCGGTACCGGTGTTGCGCGAGACCACGGTGAAGTAATCCACGACGCCGCTGGCATCGGTCTGACCGGGGACGACCTCGACAACCTCCTCGCCGTAGTTCACGACGTTCTCGAAGCGGTTTGCGCACCAGCGCATGTAATCCTCGAACTCCATACGCGCGGGCAGGAAGGTGCCCAGGTTTGTGAAGTGGATGAGACGGTTCTTGTGGTGCAGGTAGTTAAGGAAGGTGAAGCTGCTGCGGGGGTCACGCAGGGTGGCGAGGTCCTTGACGAAGGAGATCTGCATGCGCGAGCCGGGCACCAGCATACCGGAGTGCCAGGCGAATTGGTTCTGCTTCTCCAGGAAGCAGACCTTGGGCTTGAAGTTGGTCTTGGAGCCGAGGGCGGGGTCCATGGCGTCGTTCAGCGCAATGCCGATGGCCAGTGAGGCCGGACCGAAGCCTACGCAGAGCAGATCGTGCATCTCGTCGGAGCCGGTGGGCCGCAACAGCGACCGTCCCGTTTGGGGGGTGCGTGGGACCACGTCGAGGAAGGGAAGCTCTGACTTGCGGGTAATGGGCTCCATGGTGGACAATGTAGACCCGGGAAATAAGAAAAGGGAAGCTAGACAAAGAAAGTCAAAAAACAGCAGGGAAGAAAGGCTTTATGTACTCTGATCTGAATCCGAGCGGATCAGATAAAAAAACCCAAGTGGATACAACACGGTACCTCGTCAAAAGCTCTCGCTTGAGCGTGCCAAGCCGTATTGATTACCGTTTGGTGGTTTTGAAAGTTTCCGGAATTTTATCAATCAGCGGTGTTTTTTTTTTCAATTTTCAATTTTGGTTTTTTATTCTTTCTCCACTGTCTCCAGGCTATTTCCAAGTTTCCTCTGGTTTTTTTGCAATTTGTCGGAGTTTTTCCTTTCTGGCGCCATTCCTCTGGTAGAGATCCCGGTATTGACGTTCTCATGCGACCTTACTAGAACTCTTTCAGGTACTCTCTGTACCTTACCCTGGTCTATATGCACGATCATGCAAAAGAACAAAAGAATACATTTTTTTATTTTTGTATGATTATTTGTCGAGGATCAATTTCCAAAATTTAAATAGTTTCACGCTTCATGCGCCATCGTTGACCATCTATAGAGCAGGGATTTGTAAACAGCAGCACTATCACAGGGCCCGATGTCGGGAAATGCAGGACGTGGGAGTCGGAGCCAGTCCGTATAGAGTAGAAGAGCGTCAGGTCATGTTCAAAGGGTGCGTCGACACGTTTCTTGGCACCGCACTGAACTCGTTTCCAGTGGGGCCTCTTATGCAGCTAATAGCGGCTAATCTGGAAAATACCTCCGCACACTGGAGATTTCGGCCTTTTGATTTGGGAGGTGGCTCGTTTTTAGTTTGCTTTTTCTTTTCATGCGGCTTTTTGTGTTTCGGGGATCGTTGAATCGTGTATGAATTAGGAATGTGGACTACCAGTAGGTTGAAATGGCGTTGCAACCTGCTAGCCTCGGTAGATTGGTCTAACATTGGGCATATACTGAGTGGGAGTCACAGCCCTGAAGAGAGTATATAGCCCTGAAGTACGAAGTACGAAGTAGGTAGTGTCCACGGGCTGCGGTGGTGCTTAGTGATCCGTGCTTTAATGCCCTAACGGGCATTGTTGAAATGACGTATTTTGTATTTCACACTGCACATAGGACTACGAAGTAGAGAAATAGTAACTATAGTGAGTAGAGTAAATATAGTCAGTACAGGAGTACTCTGTACTCTCATTTAAATATGTTTAAATATAATTGAAAACCATTGAATACATGATATGCATGTTGCATTGGAAAATACGCATTACGAATAGAGTATATATTACCGGACAATACGTCACCACATACCTCCAGGGCTGTCGTAATTAACGGTGGACACCTGGACACCTGGCCGAGGGACTGCGGATGATTCAGCCGAATGACCGGAGTGGGGGAAAATGGTATGATCTTCGATTTCAGCTGTCAGATGATATTGGACACTGGCAGGTCGAGTCCGATGAGGATATTCATTGAAAGCCAAATTACCAAATTACGATTTTTATAGTTCACCTCGAGGGAAGGGAACGGAACACCAACGCCAGTCAGAGAGGCTTGATCTCGTCCAGGCACCCACTCCAACCCACCTCCAACCTTACACTCCGAGTTTCTGGCGCTTGGCTCGCCAAAGATCATCCTCATTCATGAGTGCGAGTAACACCGTCAAATTTCCCCTCTTTGCTTTTTCTAATCCCCATTCCCCCTCTGGTGGGAACTGCTCTCTTCGCGCGCTTGCCTGCATCCTCGACCAATCTCACCAGCCACTCACATCGCTCCTATTAATTTCGCATAAGCAGACCCATCTATAACTCTTGACCATGCATTGAATAGGCTCAGAGTGTGTTTGTGTGAGAATTTCTTTAAAAAAAAAGAGAGAGAGAGAGAGAAGAACATGGATCGGTTTACTCAATTTCCAGCCGTCAATGACGACGGCGAGGAAGTCCATGTCATTCCCTGGAACCTCGACTGTCAACTCCCATCCGAGGTATTGGCCGTGTCGTGGGCAGTCTTATTACGTGCATTCACTACCGATGAAAATCCGGTATTCCTGCTGAACGGTGCCCCCGTCAAGGCAGACCTGGCAGCGCAAACAGTCCAACCAGCCGATTTGGCGTCCGTGGCAGATCTCTCCGTCAAACACACAGCCGTGGTGTTGGGGGATCCATTATTCAACAATGGTGAACGTCCCCCCGCGCTCCGCTGGACGGTGGACCCCACCTCGCAATCCGGAGCCTTGTGCGCGACCGGAGGCATGGATGCCCCATTCCTGTATCAACTGGGAAAGCAACTGAAGCAGATCATTCAAGAGCAAGCAGCATCCAAGGGCATTCATGTAGAACTGTCTGCTCTGGAGGTTCCAACGGTGGCGGTGTCAAACGCGGAGCCTGCGATACTGCCTGGTCCTGGGTTGCTGCATGAGCTTGCGTTGCGCGGGCTCAATGATTCGAACCACGCGATTGAGTTTCTGACGGCGGACGGAGACGTTCGTTGCCTGTCCTACCGTGACCTGGATCGCCTTTCCTCGAAGCTCGCGAGTGAAATAGCTCGTGCTTCATCTGATTCTGGACAGAGGGTTGTCCCTGTGCTGCTCCCCCAGTCCGTGGAACTCTACATCTCATGGCTGGCGATTCTCAAGTCCGGCGCGGCGTTTTGCCCTTTGAATACCGATGCTCCTACAGACCGCATTGAATTCATTCTACAAGATGTGGCTGCTTCGGTTGTGATTACGAATGATGCACTTGCTCCCAGAATACCACCCAAAGATCACATCTCAGTCCTTACCGTTGACAACATCCAAGGCGACACCAGTCCCGCGGAGCCATTCGCTATTGAAACCACCCCTCACTTGGCCTATGTGATGTACACCTCTGGATCAACGGGCCGCCCCAAAGGTGTCGGGGTGTCCCATCTCGCTGCCACGCAATCTCTTCTTGCTCATGACGATTTGATACCCCAATTCAAGCGATTTTTACAATTTGCATCTCCAACTTTTGACGTTTCTGTATTCGAAGTCTTCTTCCCAATGATGCGCGGAGCAACCCTGATCGGCTCCGAGCGTGAGAACATGCTTCTTGATATCTCCCATGTGATGACTACCATGAAAGTTGACGCCGCAGAGCTCACTCCAACGGTTGCGGGTGAGCTTCTCCGCACCCGAGCCGCAGCTCCATCCCTCCGTGTCCTTCTCACCATTGGTGAGATGCTCACTAGACACGTGGTCGATGAATTCGGCCAATCCGAATCCCGGGATGGGATTCTCCATGGCATGTACGGACCTACTGAGGCTGCAATTCACTGCACCGCTGCCACCCATTTCAAAGCGAAAGACCGAGTCAACATGATTGGAACGGCCTTCAAAACGGTCTCCGCATACATCATGTCCCTTCCCGACGAGTCCAGCGAACTCCGGACCCTTTCCCTAGGCCAGATCGGAGAGCTGGTCGTCGGCGGTCCTCAACTGGCTGATGGATACATCAATCGCCCGGAAGAAAATGCCAAAGCATTCATCGATAGTCCGACGTACGGTCGACTATACCGAACAGGAGACAAGGCTCGCATGCTACCCTCCGGCGAGATAGAATGCTTTGGCCGAATCTCCAGTGGCCAGGTCAAGCTTCGAGGTCAGCGTATCGAGCTCGGTGAAATCGAACACGTTATCACCAGGGCCTCTGGTGTCCGCAGTGCCGTGACACTCGTCATCGATGGCAACCTTGTCGCTTTCGTGCTTATCACAGAAAAAAATGTGACAGATAGCAGCTTGCGAGACGTATGTCGTCAGCTGCTGCCCCGTTTTATGATCCCAGGCGAATTTGTGCTGGTCGATCAATTTCCCCAATTGCCCTCTGGCAAGATCGACCGCAAGACGCTAGAGGCCGACTTCGTCCAACATCGCGACAGCGCGCAATCCGTTCACCAGGAATCCCGAGATGAAAAGGAAGAATCTATCGTCCTGTGCGTCGCAGATGTGCTCGGCCGACGACTGGCACCAACAGAAAGTCTAGCTGCAGCCGGTCTTGATTCATTGGCGGCAATCCGTCTCGCGTCTCATCTTCTGGATGCGGGGATTCGTCTTGGCGTGGCATCATTAATCGAAGCCGATTCCATCGATGGAATCTGGCGGCTGGCTAGCTTAGAAGCCGATAAATCAGTCGGGAACACGCAAGCTGCGCTACAAACGATCTCCGAGTTGGTTGCGGAGGCAGGCGCATCGCGGGTGAATACTCTGGGCTTGAGTCAGGTGTCAGAGGTTGTTCCGTGCAGTCATATCCAGCAGGCTATGGTCCTAGAGACTGTGAGGGATGAAAAGGCATACTGCAATTGGGTTGAACTCGAATTCGACTCGATCAGCCCGACAGAGTTGAAGAATGGCATAGCTCAGCTCGTGGAGCACAATGAGATCTTGCGATCTGGATTTGTGGAAATCGGCCTGAAGGATCATTCCTACGGTCGCTTTACCCGGAACAATCTCGATTCAGAGATCTGCCAGGTGGATGCATTTAATCACGATGTGGCCATGGCTGCAGGTCATGACATTTTACATCCATTCCAGGTTCAGATCAAGGAGGATACCAACCTCCGCGCTCTCGTTCATATCCATCACGCGTTGTACGACGGTTGGTCCTGGCAAATTATGTTACAAGACTTATGCAAGATCTTGTCCGGAGAACAACCATCCTCCAGACCACCCTATGCCATCATCACGAATTTCTTCATCGAGCAAAGTCTCAACATATCCTTCTCAGAGTCTGCATCCTACTGGCACGATCAACTTGAAGGCCTGACGCCAACACCCTTCCCTACCCTCCTTGGCAGCTCCGTCCAGCCCTCCACCTCTCATACAACCCGCATCCTTCATACCCCGATTTCAAAACTAAGCGACGTATCCCACAACCTCCGTGTCAGTCGACAAACAATCTTCCAAGCAGCCTTCACCTACATACTCTCCACCTACCTTGGCAACAGCGATGTCACTTTCGGAACTGTTTTCTCAGGCCGAACCCTCCCCCTCAAAGGCATTGAGAATATCCTGGGGCCATGCATCAGAACTCTCCCGACACGCATGAACATTGCCAAAATGCAAAATGTGTCCGATCTCCTACTGGCAATCCAAAACATGAACCACAAGAGTCTCGAGCATGGAAGCCTACCCCTTCAGGACATCAAGAAAGCCTCCGGCATCGACCTGCACCGCAGTCTGTTTGATACAGCACTTGTATGGCAAGAGAGTATCTGGTCCCAAGAGCCTGATGGCGTCAAGCAAGTTGGCGCCGGTGAATTCTTGGAATTTGCACTCTTACTAGAGTTTGAGCCTAGAGACGAACATGTCTTTGCTAGAGCCACATTCCAGCAAGCGATCTTGTCCTCTGAGCAGGCAGACCTGCTGCTCGCGCAGGTCGACGCCGTCGCCCAGATCCTGATTGAGCACGCGGAGATTCCGATTGCGGATATTCGATCGCTCCTCCCTCGTGACACGCTGTCATACCACGCCGCACCTGTGGTGGAGTATAATATCTCATTGGTTTCCGGTGTGGAGGAAGTTGCAGCAGCGGATCCTGATCGGGTTGCTCTCGAAGAGATCACATGGAAAGAGACAGCAAGTTGCATTGAGCGAATCACCTACGGCCAATTGAATTCCCGGGCCAATGGGCTCGCACACTTGCTGCTCCACGTTGGAGTTTCCAAGAGGGATCTCGTCCCCATTCTCCTTACTTCAAGAATCGACATCCATGTTTCGGTGCTTGGAATTGCCAAAGCTGGTGCGGGTGTCTTGCTTCTTCCTCATGGAATTGAAGATCTCCAGCCCCTTTTCTCAGAAGCAAAGTCCAAGTTCTGTATAGTCGATTCTGTGACAGAGACGACCTACAGGCTACCTCCTCTCAAACTTGTCCAGCGGATTCATCTCTCTTACTCACTCAATGTCTACGATGAGCTCAACATCCCCCTACAGCAACAAGCCCTCCGACATCGCATACGCTGTCTTCGGGACCGATCATGCGAACACGATGCTTGTCTCGCGCCGTGCTCTGCAGAGCACCATCAGTGCCCTCGCAATTCAATACCCAGCCCCGAAAGGATCAAAAATCCTCTCTTCCCACCCCCACTTCATAAGCGAAGCGTTCTTCACTTGGCAAAATGGAGCTACTCTATGTTCCACTCCAGACCTTGGCTCGGTCAATCACCTCGAGCAAGCTTGTCAAGAATTGGGCGTCACGCATCTCCACCTAACTCCCACACTGGCTTCTCGAGTCAACCCTGATGCTGTCCCAACGGTGCAGTCTCTTCTCACATCGGGCGAGCAACTGACTCACCGAGTCCACCGTGCTTGGTCTGATAAGGGCTTTTATCATGCCTATAGTTCTCAAGCGCTCGCTCATCCTTTCACAATCTCTAAGGTTGATCGAGCAACCTCCGTTCACAATATCGGCCAGCTATTAGGTCATACGTCCATCATGGTTGCGGATGAATCGTTGACCTTGCTCCCACGTGGTGCTGTGGGCGAGCTTTGCTTCGGTGGCGATGATTTCAGGACGTATCTGGATGCCTCAAAGATCTTGTCTGGCCAACTCGCGGATCACCCCGAATCCGGTCCTCTTTATCGGACTGGCGAGAATGGTAGACTACTCCCTGATGGGACACTCATTTTGGAAAGAGCTTCTGGGTTGCAGGGCGTTGATCTCGACGAAGTTGATCGCGCGCTGTCATCATCGAAAATGGTTCAAGAGTTCGCCAGCTTGGCTCTGGATTCGGAGTCAGGCCAGCAGTTGACTGTGTTCTGGGCTCCCTCTTCCAAATCTGTCAGCTCGGAACTCGAGGATATCACTGAAGATTTGTTCTCCGAGCTCAGCAAAATATTGCCCGACGCTTCCCTTCCCTCCCTCCTCGTTGCGGTAGACGAGATTGATGTCACTTCATTCTACACGATTGACTATGCAGCGCTGAAACTGCGTCGGGAAAGACTGACTGGTCAGGAACTGGCGATCTTCTCGCCGAAGCTCAATGTCAATGGTATCGATGATCAACTCACTCCGGTTGAAAAGATTATCTCGGAGGCTTTGTCGACAGTTACTGGCACAAACCAGAGCCGCATTGACAGACACACATCTTTCTATAAATTGGGTCTAGACTCACTTTCTGCTATTTCACTCTCGCGCAAACTGCAGGAATCCGGATGTGGAAGACTTGCCGTGTCGACGATTCTGCGTCACAGCTCTGTTTCTCAGCTTGCATCTGTTGTTTCTCCAATCAGTAACGGGGATGAACATGAGCCTATTACCGCTACAGCTGAAACCAGTGAGGCTACTGCAGTGTTTGACAAGAGCTTTGTTCAACACGTGGGCAGTGATTTCTCATCTTCTGGCACATCAGTCCAAAACATCTACCCTTGTACACCTTTACAGGAGGCGATGCTTGCAGCTGAGTCGGGTGGTCAGTCTGCCTACTTTAACCACCTATTGCTTCTCGTGCACAGTGATGTGGAGGCTATGAGACTGGCTTGGGCACAGATGATGCAACGACACAGCATTCTCAGGACTTGTTTCACACAGACCCATGACAAGCGATTTGCGTACGCTCAAGTTGTTTTGAAGACCTCGGCCTTGCCCTGGAAGCAGATCGAAGCATCGTCCCTTGAGCTTGATGGTGTCGTCAAAGAGAACAAAGCCAACTTCGAGGGAATCTCACCTGTCAATGGAAAGCTACCATATTCGTTGACTCTCATCACTGATTCCACAGCGCAGACAACACACCTTTTGTTGTCTATTCACCATGCTCTATATGATGGGGAGGGTATATCGCAGCTCTTGCATGAGATGCAGCTGGCACTTTCCAGTCAGGAGTTGCCAATGACCACGCCATTCCATCAATTCATCAATTACATGACATCCGTTGACTACAGCGCCTCAGATGAATACTGGAAACAATATCTGGCGGGCGTCTCGCCAACTCTTCTTCCTGCCGCCAGTGCGCCTGAATGCGCTTCACAGCAAATTCATACGTCCCTCAATACCTCCTTTGCATCCTTCAAGCAGCAATGCAAGGATCTCTCTGTCAGTCCTCTGAACGTGTTCCACGCCGCATGGGCTAGACTACTTTCGCTGTACACCGAGACTTCGGACGTCTGCTTCGGCAACGTTTTCAGCTGCCGAACGATCCCTCTTGATGGCGCAGACCGGATCGTCGGACCTTGCTTTAACACCCTCCCGATCCGAATCAAGTCTTCTTCAAAAGCAACGAACAGTGATCTTTTGAAATTGGCACAAAAGAGTAACAGCGACATTTTGCCTCATCAACTCAGTCCCTTGAGGCAGATTCAGCGCGTTGTTGGAGCCGGCTCCAGGCTTTTCGACACTTTGCTCATCTTCCAGAACAGGGACACTGATCTGGATACCAACACCTGGGAACTCCTTCAAGATGAAGGAAACATGGGATTCCCTCTCATCTGCGAGATCGTGCCTGACGATAAGGCAGGCGCAATCCAGATCTGCCTTCATTTCCAGTCATCACACATCTCACACGCTGCCGCCGAAAGCGTCGCGCGAGACTTTGTCGCTCTCGTCGAGCACATCGCTCAATATCCCTCTGCTCAAGCTTCTGACAAGGGACCCCTGGGTGAGGATATTCCCCGTGTATTTACGCAGGCGACAAGCAAACCTGTCAGCTTCCGAACCACCAAGCCCCATCAAACTCGTCCTTGGACGCACCAGGAAGAGGCTGTTCGTGATCTTCTGTGCAAGTTCTCCGATTCAGAATCCGAGAACGTATCGCAAGACACGACTATCTTCCAGCTCGGCTTGGATAGTATCAACGCTGTTCAAGTCTCAGCAAAGCTGCGAGGATTGGGGTATAAGATTTCCTCTGGTGATATTCTTGAAGCTGCTTCTATCGATCAGATCGCTTCTCTTCTCGGTTCCAGTGAGAAGACAGACGAGGAAGCGGTTTATGACTTTGACGCTTTCCAAAATCTGCATCTGCAGTCTGTGTGCCAACAGTTTGCCATCAATGAGGAGGTGCAATCCCTCTATCCGTGTACGCCTGTTCAGAATGGTATGCTGGCTGCGTACACCCACTCTGATGGTGCCGTTTACTTCAACCGTATGGCTTTGAAGTTCTCGACGCCTTTGGACTCGGCGCGCTTGAAAGAAGCGTGGTCTACGGCTGTTGCACAGCATGAGATGCTTCGAACGGGTTTTGTTGAGCTGCGCGATCAACAGCATCCTTTTGCTATGGTGACCTACAACTCCATCGAGCTGCCCTGGTACGAGACTTCATCGGAATCTGCCTCCAACCACAAGCCCAGTTTGAGAAATCTTCACCAACCCCCTTGGAACGTTGAGGTTGAGGCCGGTGAAAGCGTCAGCGTTCTCTATTTCTCAGCATTGCACGCTATTTATGACGCCCAGTCTTTGGCTTCCATTTTCGCCGACGTCAAAGCCGCATATGAGGGAAAGCCCCTTGCTACACGCCCTTCGATAAGCGAAACTCTCAGCCCCATTCTCCTTGAAAGCAAGGGCCAACGTGAATTTGCAACCTTCTGGAAAGATCTAGCCGCAGAAGTTCACCCCTCCAAATTCCCAGATCTGCATCCCATCCGCTCAGACAAGCGACGAATCCTCACTTCTTCTATCCGCTGCTCACAGCCTCGCAAGGCTCTGGAGGATGCATGTCGCGAAATTGGTGTCACTCTACAAGCAGCGGCCCAGACTGCGTGGGCTCGTTTGCTATTTGCATACACTGGAGAGTCGAATGTGACTTTCGGAACAGTGCTTTCTGGAAGAAATCTCTCTACTGCAGCTCAGGATGCTGTATTCCCCTGTCTGGTCACTGTGCCCACGCCTGTTCGTATCGAGGGCGCCAATCGAGAAATCGTAGATCGCACATTGAAGAGAAACGCCTTGCTAGTGAAGAATCAGTTTGCTCCGCTTGCCAATATCCAGCGCTGGGTGGGTAGTGACGAGCCACTCTTTGATACATTGTTTGCTTATCAGAAATTCGCTGGTGTTTCTAATGGATGGGATGTTGTTGATGAGGAGACAATTATTGATGTGAGTATGACTTTTCTTGCGTTTGAACTCGGCTAATTTTGCACAGTACCCTGTTTCTATCGAGTTGATTCCGCACTCGGAGGACTTACAAATCTCGTTGAGCTATCGCAGTGATGTTCTTCCTGCAGAGCAGGCTGATTTGCTTTTGGATCAGTACGATAAGCTTTTGCAGGATACTGTCTTTGTTCCTGATTCCGACACCACAAGTCATCAGGCTGTTGGTCAAAGATTACTTTCGGTCACTCCCGCAAAAGAAGCACCGATCCCTGCGCCTGTCAACTTGCTGCATCAATTTGTTGAAGTCAATGCTGTGAAGATTCCGGAGAAGGTCGCTTTTGAATTTGCCTTCGGTGAGACTGCTGATAGTCTCCAAAAGAAGACCTGGACTTATCGCGAGTTCAATGAATGCGGTAACCAGATTGCACATCTTCTACAGAGCAAGGGATCTGTACCGGGCGGGATCGTTGCCATCTGCTTTGAAAAATGTCCGGAAGCCTCCATGGCCATTTTGGGAATCTTGAAAGCCGGTTGTGCGTATTTGGCTCTGGATCCCGGTGCTCCCATCTCCCGCAAGCAGTTCATGCTGGAGGACTCAGGTACCAAGGTCCTGCTTTGCAGTCAATCAAAGAAGACCGAATTGAGCGGTCTTGAAGGCATTGACGTGCAAGCTCTTGATGAGCCGGGTCTTTTCGATGAAGTCGCTACCGGGGATGTCACACTTGCTAGACCGATCTCTTCAGCTGATACATGTTATTGTTTGTACACTTCTGGTACTACCGGAACACCCAAGGGCTGTGAGATTACACACGACAATGCCGTGCAAGCAATGCTCGCGTTCCAGAGATTGTTTGCCGGTCACTGGGATGAAGAGTCTCGATGGCTCCAGTTCGCTTCTTTCCATTTCGATGTCAGCGTTCTGGAGCAATATTGGAGTTGGAGTGTCGGGATCTGTGTGACCTCATGTCCTCGAGACTTGCTGTTCGAAGATCTTCCGGGGACAATTCAGAAGCTTCAAATCACACACATCGATCTCACACCCAGTCTGGCAAGACTAGTTCACCCCGATGAAGTCCCTTCGCTTTGTCGCGGAGTCTTTATCACCGGCGGAGAAGCACTGAAGCAAGAGATTCTCGATGCCTGGGGTAAGCATGGTGTAATTTACAACGGGTACGGGCCCACGGAAGTTACCATCGGTTGCACTATGCTCCCACGCATGACAGCCAACGACAAAGCCTCGAACATCGGGCCGCAATTCGATAACGTGGGGTCCTATGTTTTCAGCCCTGGTACAACGATCCCAGTGATACGCGGTGGCATCGGTGAGCTGTGTGTCTCCGGCCCGCTTGTCGGAAAGGGATATCTCAACCGCGAGGAGCTCACCAAGGAACGTTTCCAAGACCTTCCCGAGATCGGAGATCGTATCTATCGCACCGGTGATCTGGTCAGAATCCTTCATGATGGCAGTTTCCAGTTCCTTGGACGTATCGATGACCAGGTCAAGCTTCGTGGTCAGCGGCTGGAAATCGGAGAGATCAATGAAGTCATCAAGCAGGCGGCGTCTGAATTGAATGAAGTCGCTACACTTGTCATCACGCACCCCAAACAAGCGAAGGATCAGCTTGTCTCATTCTTCACAACGATTGCGGATAAGAAGTCCCGTGCTGATGTCGCGGTTCGATCTTCAGAAGATGACCGTGCCTTGCTTTCTAAGATCAAGGGCGCTTGTACTACTCACCTTCCGGGGTATATGGTACCAACTCATATCATTCCGATGACTCGCTTCCCGCTTTCTGCGAACAACAAGGCTGATATGAAGGTGTTGAAGAGCATCTATCAAGGCCTTACTCTGGAGGAAATCCAAAAACTCGGCGCGTTGAGCATTGACAAACCAACTGATAGCGCTCACGAGCTCAAAATCATCGATGTTCTCACCAGATTCATTGGGTCGTCTGAGAAGATCTCCTCGTGGTCCAGTATTTATGAATTAGGGTTGGATTCCATCTCCGTCATTGCTTTCTCGCGGAGCTTGAGAGAGGCCGGGTTTTCTCAGGCCCAACCTTCTGTTATCATGAAGCATCCCACCATCGTCACAATGGCGTCTGCACTTCAGCAGCCCAGCTTTTCCAATTCAGTGGAAACAATCCAGCGGAACGCCAAACAGGGAATCGCAGCGTTTGCGCAAAAGAACTCTCATGCCGTCATTGATCATATCGGAGTTTCTGACAGCGATATTGAGAACATTGCGCCTTGCACACCACTCCAGGAGGGTATCATATACCACTACCTGTCGAGTACCACGCCTTTGTATTGTTCTTCTTTCACATTTGAACTCGACGCGTCCATCGACGTTGAGACTTTGCGTGGAGCTTGGGCCCAGACCCAAAGAGAAGTTCAAATGCTCCGCGCCAAGTTCTCATTATCTCCCGATGGCTATGCTCAGGTCATATTGAAGCAAAGTGCACTTCCTTGGTTCTTTGACACAGTAGAAACCCAAAGTGGTATCGATGGTGTGCGCAAACAACGCCATGAAGCATGGACTTCTCAACTCAACAGCCTTTCAACTCAGCTGTGGGAAGTTGGAGTCATTTCTTCGCCTGAGCAGTCTGTGATGTGTCTGAATATGTTCCACGCTCTGTATGATGGAAACAGCTTGGTTCTTCTCCTCGAATCGGTTGCTCGCAACTACCTCAAGCAGAACAAGGACACACAGAAGGCTCCCGAATTCCTCGATGTCTTGCATCTTGGTCCTCTTTGCAAAGACCCTTCTGCTGAGAATTTCTGGAAAGAACATCTTGCAGACTGTCGCGACCGGCCGTTCGCCGAGAAAGGAACGGAAGACACACCCATTCTCCACAAGGTTCAGATCAATGCTACTGAGCAGGTTGACTCTCTCCGTCGATCTCTCAACGTGACCGAGCAAGCTGTGCTTCATACGTGCTGGCTTCTGACCCTTCAGATGCAGTACTCCTTCGTTCCACCACTTGGTATCATTGCCTCGGGAAGAACCATCGATGTACCAGGCATTGAAAATGTGATCGGTCCTCTCTTCAACACCATCCCAAGTAACGTTCAACTCTTTGGCTTGCAATCCTGGGCTGATGTCGCTCGCCGATGCCATGAGTATCATGTGTCCATGGTACCCTACCAATACACTGCTTTGCGAGACATTGTGAAGTGGCTTGGCAAAAGTCCCGATGAGCGACTCTTCAACACTCTGTTTGTCTTCCAGAGGGAAAGTGACGATGCTGAGCCCTTGAGCAAGAACCTCTGGCGTACTATGAACTCGGAGGCCGAACATGAGTACCCCCTTGCTTTTGAAGTTGTTCGCAATGGCAATCAATTTTTGACCGCAACCCTTGCTGCGAAGAGCAATGCGGTCTCTTTAGAAGACACTGAAAAGTTGCTTGCTACGTTCGAGACAATTCTCTCGCAGTTCGCCCAAGACCCAGACAGAGCACTACCAGAAATTGAAGGTGTCGCGCAGCCCATCACGAATGGGGAAGTGAATGGTCATCATGATCCCTCGGCTACGAAGCATGTCAATGGTGATCATGTGAATGGCTCCTCATTTGAATGGAGTTCCCAGGCGTGCATCATCCGCGATGTCATCGCTACTCTCGCAGGGGTGGAAGCCGAGTCCATTGGAGAGGAAACGTCAATCTTTGAAGTCGGTCTCGACAGTATCGATGCAATCAAAATCTCATCGCGACTGAGCAAAGCAGGTGTCAAACTTCAAGTCAGCTCCATCATGCGTCATCGCACAGTCAAGGCAATGAGCGCACAGCTCTCAACGTCTAATGGACATGTTAAAAACGGCGACCTGCCATTACTTGGTCAATTGGAGAAGTCGCTGACCAAGTTCTTGGAGAGCGAAGGCGGCCTTCCCTCCGATGTTGCTCGTGTTCTACCAGCTACGCCCATTCAGGAAGCTATGGTAGCCGAGATGACTGCCTCTGGCTATAAGAACTATTACAACCACGAGATTCTCGAGCTTGAGCCAGATGTGGATCTCATGAAAATGGAGCGGGCTTGGAAAACGGTCGTCAACGCCCATCCCATTCTCCGTACTTCATTTGTTGAAGTTTGGGACCCTGAGATTGCAGTTTCCTACGCTCAGATTGTTCACAGTCAGAACCAATTCGACCTTCCCACTGTTCATTTACACGGTGTGTCTGTTGAATCGCTCATTGATACGCAAGTGTCCAAGACCCGCAATGAGCCGGTCAATGGTCCTCTGCTCTCCGTGACTATTGCAGTGGATGGGGCGAAACGCTACCTTGTCTTGTCGATCGCGCATGCTCTCTACGACGGTTGGTCTATCAACTTGCTCCACGAAGACATCGCTAGATCCTACGCTGGCGGAGATTGCGCGCGTCCGTCTGCCGACGACATTTTGGAGCAAATCATCTCCTCGTCGGGATCTGAAGCCCTGCGATACTGGCGTGCAGCTCTGTCCAACTTTGCCCCAGCGCCCTTCTTGCCCATGAAACACCATGAAGATGGCTCGACCGTTGTCTATCGCTCGGAGAAGGCATTGTCTGTTCCACTTTCCGATGCAGAGACATTCTGCAAGCGCCATGGCATTACTCTTCAGGCACTTCTTGTTACTTGCTGGTCTCTTGTCCTTACCACACACGTCAAGAGACTGGATGTGGGCTTTGGTCTTGTTCTTTCTGGGCGTAATGTTGCAGACTCGGAAGATGTGATGTTCCCGACGATGAACACTGTGGCCATGCGTATCGTTCTCCATGGTACGCGGGTCCAGCTTGTCAAGTACGTTCAGGAGGCTCTGCTTGCGATGTCAGAGTACCAGCATTTCCCGCTTCGACGCGCAAGACCTGATACTGGGTCTCAATCTTTGTTTGACACCTTGTTTATGTATCAGAAGCGACCAGTGGATAATCAGGAAGGGTCGTCTGCCCTTTACAAGTCTACTGGTGGCGAGGCAAGCGTTGAATATCCTGTTTGTGCTGAGATAGAAGGTGTTGGGGAAGAGCTTGTGGGCCGGGTGGCCGGTCGTGGAAATGTTGTTGGGGGTGCAGATGTTGATGTTCTGCTGGATCAAATGGGGGATGTCCTTTCGTCTCTTGTTCATAAATCGCATGAACAGACGGTTGAATTTACTGATGACGGAGTCAGAGTTTGTGGAGGGTTGCCTTTCAGGGAAATTGGACAAGATGTTCGTGTTGATGGGCCAAGAGAAATTGGGGAAACAGCATGGTCGCCCATCGAGTCAAAGATTCGCAATGTTCTCTCGGTTGCTTCCGGGGTTACCGAAGATTCCATTGGAAAGAGCTCAACTATCTTCGAGCTTGGACTGGACAGTATCAGCGCTATCAAGGTTGCGGCGCTACTGAAGAAACAGTCCGTGAGGCTCGCCGTGAGCGACATGCTCCGAGCAGGTACGATCGAGAACATGGCAACTGCTGCCAACAGCAGTCAGGCGGAACTTTCAGTCACCGATATATCGAGTATCCTCAGCCAGTCGCTGGATGGCATCGATGTTCCGCAGCTGCTACAGTCGCACGGCATTGACCCTCAACGTGTGCTGAGGTCATTCCCTACAACTGCGGGACAGAGCTACTTCCTTTCCATGCATACAGTCAATCCCGCAGTGTTCTACCCGGAATTCTACTACCTTGCATCAGAGAACTTGAGCCCAGAGACACTTGACCGCGCCTGGGCCCGGGTCGTCGACCAGACCCCAATGCTGCGCACAGCGTTCCTCCGCACAGACTCACGGCTTTCGCCGTACATCCAGGTGGAGCTTGAGGCGGTGCACATTCCAGTGATCTGGCATTCCAAGTTCGATCATCAACTTGTGTCAAAGAGTTCAAGGCAAGAATTTGGGGCTGTGCCGGTCGCACTGCATGCCTGCCAAACGGCCAAGGGGACGGCGCTTATTCTTCAAATTCACCACGCATTGTACGACGGAGTCAGTCTGCCGCATATTCTGGACAGACTTGTCTCGCACTGTGTCCAAGACGAGGTCGCCATCTCAGGCCCCGACCTGGGTCTCTCACAGCTCGTGGCATTCCAACATGTCCATTCGCCCGTGCATGTCCGGCGCCAATTCTGGCAAAAGTATCTAGGCCGAACCCCAACGGCGCTTAGGCGCGGGGATGGTTTCGGAACCGTGCAACACCACTACCGGCCGGGTCTGGTCACCAACATGGCCAACATCGAAAAGGTCGCTAAGCGCCAGGGCCTCAGCATTCAAACCATCTTCCTGGCCATCTATGCCCGCGTGCATATGCAACAGTTTGCAGCTGAAACGGCAGATGGCGCAGGGTCACAACAGCGGCTAATTGTAGGACTCTATATTGCCAATCGATCGCACTCTCTGGAAGGTCTGGCCGAATCCGTGATCCCGACCGTCAACATCGTTCCATTGCGATTGGATGACAAACTGAGCGATTCCACCCCCACTCTCCTGGATGCCGCCCGGCGAATTCAAGCGGAAATCAACGAGGTCAGTCGGGTGGAATACTCCAACGTATCGCTCCTGGAAATTGCCGAATGGACCGGTGTCCAGATTGACACCTGCGTCAATTTCCTGCGACTCCCTGAGCAACTGGCACCTGGCAACGAGAAGCTTTCGCTCACAGCTATTCAACGCGAGGAGTTGGAAAATCTTAGCGCGACAATTCCCTCGGACAACCAGAGAATTAAAAGCAATGGTGTTACGCCACCAGGTGCAGCCGAGCCCGATGATCTTAGCGTCCCAACGGCTCCATCTATCTTACTGGTATGATATGCACATCAAGAAATCCGATTCGGCACTAATGCAAATGCTAATGTTAATCTTTAATTTCTTGACAGCCTACGATCGACGTTGAAGCCGCCGTTCGCAAGGGTCGACTTGATTTCGGTCTCTTTGCGCCGCAGTGCAGGCTTGACGGTGCAATTGCGGAGACGCTGATTGACGCAATGAGACGCGAGATGTCCGCTTTGGTGACAGGCTTCGAATCTATGTAGAAGCTCTATGCTAGGGATGACTTCCGCGGCCGCTTCTGCCGTACTAGGTGATTCTTTTGCGGGGAATTCTGACTGTTTCTTTTCTTTTTCTATTTATGGGGTCTCCCTGTGCATGTGCATATGCTACCTGTCTTTTTTTTTTCTCTTCTTGTTCATGTTCATTTTCATGCTCTTTTCTTTTCTTTTCTTTTTTTCTTTTCTCCTTTTTGGCGCTGGATGTGTTCCCTCTTCTTCACAACCCTTGTTCCATGTATCAGATTTTGTATAGAGATAGACTTATGATTTGACGAGTGACGGCGGGACCCACGGTCTTCCGGGACGATCCCCGTGGAGTTCAATAGAAAGTCTCTTTGGCAGTGCGAACACCGAATCCCGAACACCGACCACCAGAGTATGCAGTTCCTATTTTCGGGCATAGGCCTACATTGCATGGCAGTGGACAGAGTACTCCGTACAGTCTACTCCGTACAGTTTACCTTTGCATTGTACATTGTACATTGTACATAGGTAATCTTAATCTGTAGTTGAAGATATGGGGGCTGTGTACTCTGTACTTCCCAGGTTGAGAAAGTAGACGGCAAACATACGGTGTCGGTTGTGGAGATGGGCATTAAAACAATCTCAAGGTTGTCCCGCACACTTTACTTTACGCCACTCGGGCTGGAATCCGCTTAACCCGGTCGTACATGAGTTTTTTTTTTTTTTTTTTCGTTCTTTTTTTTTCTCCTATGGGGTACTTTCTTTGCTTTTTTTCTCTATGGCCTGATGGGTCATATTCCGGGCTTCGCGGGTACAAAAGCAAGGGCGATTTCGCGTGGTCGAAGTTTTTCCCCTCTCTGCCCCATCTCCGTAACAAGGGATGCACAGAATAGTCTATGATGGCATGAAATTCAAAAGTGAAAAAGCCCAATGACGGAAGTTGAAACGGTACCTCATCCCCTCTTGGTTATTAGAGTGGCGTTCAGGTACTGCAGGGGCCGTGCGAGGTGATTTTTTGTTTTTTGAAAAAATGATTTATTAGTGTTTTTTTCAGAGTCGGAAATTCATCCAGCTGAAGTATAATTCTTTGCTTCTTCTTTGACTGCTTTTAAACGAAGTAATCCGTACTTTTATGTCTGTTGTACTTGAAAAGTACTGTTGTACCTGGAGGTTATAGATCGGATCCATGGTTCTGTTTATGCTGACATAAGTATTTGTTGTCACGCGTCACCCTAATCCACTTTGGGCATCGAACGATAACAACGCGCCTCGCGTTAATCGAATCAACCAGCCTCTTTTCCCCCATCTTCTTATGACCGTCGCATTCCTCCCCTCATTCATTTGCTACTCCTGTGATCCTGTGAACCTTTGGCCCTGTGGCCCTGTCAAATCCCTCGAACCCTCCCGGCAAGTCCTTCTCGGGCCTTGGTCCTTGCCCAAACCTGGAGCATTCCACCCCTCCTCGTGGGTCGCTATCGCCCAAACTTCCCACTCGTATCGGATCTATCCCTTGCACTGTCTTCTCAGCAAAGGTTCCGATTCTGAGACACTAGGCCCCTTCTCGCCATTGATTGTTCAGAATTGTTTACAACACGTTGATGTCCGAGACATTCGCGCATCAGATCTAAAGAAAAACACACGCGTGTGTTGATCGCGTCGGCGCATGGGTTGTGAATTCCTCCATGCGAGTGGGTGACTCGATCATTTTACATTTGCCGCTCGCACCTTCCCAACATTCCTGCCTTCCACACCCTTTTGACTCATCAACAAATCTCGGAACCTCCGTTGGACGCGGATAGTCGCTGTGTGGACGTTCGCAACATTGTAATTGATCACGCTTGGATTGGGATTTCTACCGACAGACATCCCGTTCGCGTTTCGAAAAGTCTGTGATCTTTGAAACGTGAGGGAAAAAAAAGTGACGCGCTCTTTCATTCTCCTCTCCGTTGCGCGGCACGTTCACACATTCCCCCGATCATGGTCGCAACCTTCTCACCGCACCGGGACTCCGGCGGTACCCTTCATCTCGCTTCCCACTCGGGGATCCATCACGTCGACGCCAGCTCCGCCATCCGACAGTTACGCCGGTCCTTGTCGCGCTCCCCTTCCAAAAGCTCCAACTTTTTCCTCAACCCACGAAACCAGTCCCCCTCCAAATCCGCCTACATCTCTTCGCCTCTCTCCCCCTCTCGACGCGCCTCTCAAAACAACTTTGTATTATTTCCCTCTCACCAGTCGCCTCTCGCAGTTCCTTACCCACCAAGCGCGAAAATCTCTCGGCCGGCGATGCGACGCCGCACGTCGCCTCGCAGTCCGGCCAAGCGCGTCTTGAGCGTGTCAACGGACGGGGGAAACGCGACCCCCACTCAACCCATCTCTCTACCTCCGGGCGAGGAGAATGATTTGACTCTTGATGACTTGGTTCCCAACGTGATGAGCACAACTCCCGACAGCCCTTGTGCCAGCAACACTCCATTCGCGGAATCAACTTTCGCACCGCGCACAACGCTCTCGCGCATCGAGAAGCGACGCAGTGGGACCTTCAGCACCTTGTCGACTGGAAGTCCCCTGAAGCGCAGTGATGGAATTATGAATCTGGACCAGGCATCGCGAGGAAGCCCTTCCGCGAAACGACGCAGCGTCCACAACCCTAACTGTCCTACCGAATTCAGCATTTTCGACAACGAGGTTGAAGACACTACTCCTGAAGGCTCACCTTCATCCGAAATCCCCTCATTCCCTACACCAGTCCAGCCTCACAGTCCATTTGCGACCATTCCCAAGCGCTCGTCATCTCTGCGACGATCAACGTTGCAGCAGCGCGGTGAAAGACCACTCTTTGGGCGACCAAGGGCAATGGACGAGCATGAGAATACCTCACCACCCGGTACACCATTGACTGTTCGACCGCGCATGTCTTTCGACAGCAGCTTGTTCCAACCTGGCAGCGAGAACATCTTCTCCCCCAAACCGCAAGCCAGTCCTCTCTTCTCCAACTCTCCTGCCAACCCTCCTCCCGCCATTAACACTCAGAACTCTCGCCCCGCTGCTCATCCCCTCTCTCGCACTATCACTCAGTCTTCTTCCGGGTCCAGCCTGGATGATTCACCCACCCATGAACCGGTCCACAAGCCCGAAGGGCGACGCCCGCTGTTCAACTTCTCAAAGTCTCTTCCCGCTGGAGCTACTCGCCCAGCTCCCGTACGCCGCATCACGCGTGAGGATTCGGGCGAATTCGCGACTCCAGACAACTACAAGCTAGTCAAGCCTCTCCCGGCGGCATTCATGTCCACCGGTCTCATCTCCAAGAAGAACCGCAATGCGGAAGAGACTGGCTCGGCATTCAACAAGAACATGCCCGATACACCCTGCAAGCGACCTGCCAACCTGTTCGCTGCAGGCCCGAATCCCACGGACCGACTGTTCGACAAGTCAAGGCATTCAGATGCTCCCTCTGGTTCGCCTTTCAACCCTGCTTCTGCTTCACGCCCCAAGCCGAGTCCCTTCGCTCGTGGAATGGGTATCTTTGGTAGCAGTTTCAACCGTCCGGAGACCTCGCGTCGCGGAAGCTTCGCGAGTCTCGATGGCGATGACCTGAATCTCGCTGGGTCGCCCTCCTCCCGACATGACAGCCAACCTCTGAACGACGATTTCCCTCCCACTCCGACCAAACAACCTTTCCTCCCATCTCGCACCTATCCTCCCACTATTGGGTCAATCCCCTCCTTGGAACGTTTGTCGGAGACTGCCAGTCCCCTCCACGAGCGATTTTTGCAGGCCTCACCTCATACCCCCCGCGATCAATACTTCCCTCCAGACCCCAGTGGCTTGTCTATCTCTGTGCCCCACGAGCAATCTGTACACGCAGAGCACGAGCTTCCAGCCACTCCCACTGGTCCTCGTGACTCATGGTCCTCGTTCAGACGCCCTAGTCTCCAAATCAGTGGATACCACGCTCCAGATGTTGATCCAACTTTGACCTCCCGCTTTGACAATGTGGAGCTCATTGGAACTGGAGAATTTTCCCAGGTCTTCCGTGTCGCCCAGCCTCATGATGCTTCTTTCCCATCTGTCTTCTCTCTCCCTTCAAGCGAGCCCAAATCCCCCAGCTCCATTCCCCACAGAGTGTGGGCTGTGAAGAAGAGCAAGCAGCCATACCTGGGTTTGAAGGACCGGGAACGCCGAATTCGCGAAGTTGACATCTTGAAGACTTTGACCAGCTGTGACCACGTCGTCTCATTCATGGACAGCTGGGAGAACCAGGGGCATCTGTACATTCAAACCGAATTCTGCGAAGAGGGTAGCTTGGACGGATTTTTGGCTCAAGCTGGCCTCAAGGCCCGACTTGATGACTTCCGCATCTGGAAGATCCTGCTGGAAATGTCATTGGGTCTAAAGGAAATCCACGATGAGGGCTTCATTCACCTTGACCTCAAGCCAGCCAACATTCTGGTTACTTTTGAAGGTACCTTGAAGATTGGTGACTTTGGTATGGCCGCCCGCTGGCCTGCGGAACATGGAATTGAAGGCGAAGGCGATCGCGAATACATTGGACCCGAGATTCTCAAAGGCCAATTTGACAAGCCTGCCGACATTTTCTCACTTGGTCTCATCATCTTCGAGATTGCTGGCAATGTTGAGCTTCCTGACAACGGATTATCTTGGCAGAAGCTTCGCAACGGCGACATGAGCGATGTCCCAAGCCTCACCTTCAGCCATGATAGCCAAATCTCTCGTGACGCCAGTGGAAACCCCATTCTCAAGGAATCATCCTTTGAAGAGCTCTGCACCTCCGACCTTGGTGGCGGCGCATTTGACGATGACTTCTTGACCAGCCGCGACCTCAGTGCCCCCAAGCCCCAGTCCATTGCTCGCAGTGGAGAGCTCACTGATCCACCTGCCTTCATGGCCGACCCTCACCACCCCCAATCTCTGGATGGCATCGTCCGATGGATGATCTCACCCGAACCTCAACACCGTCCCACAGCGGACCAAATACTGGAAACCTATGGAGTCCAGTTTATCAACCAACGACGCCGCGCTGGCGCCACCGTCTTCGAGGGTAACTGGGGCCCCGCTGACGAGATCTTGGCCGAAGATGCCGAAATGATCGACGTGTAATTTAATATCCCTTTCACACCATGTGCATATGGCGGGTGTTCCATGCTTTTTCCTCCTCCCCTTCTCCTTCTTTTCCTTTGTCCAGCTTGTCTATTTCCGGCGTTCTCGACCACTTACGGAGTATCTGTTTCTTCCTATCTTTGACGCAATGTTTTCATGTCACGACTTTTTCCCCCATACTTCAGTTGAAGTTGGTTTTACGTGTGGACTGGCCCCGGGCGTTTTCAGTCCGCATTGGACTCGGCGTTCCTTCCAGTTGACCCGATATCATGCGGTGGAGTTCAAGGGTATTCCCCACCGGAGTTCCCCTATCTGTTTGTTTTCTGGTTGTTTGTTTTTTTTTTTCTTTTCTCAATCTCTTGTTTCTTTTGTGTGATCTCCTAGCATTACAAGATGCCAGAGCTGTACCAACATCAGGTCTGTGCTTTGCTGTGGTCGCTGTGTTTGTTTTTCCAACACGCACTCGACTCTACCTCGCAATATCTGGATCCTGCTATCTTTGTTTTTCTGGTTTTGTTTTTATGACCAATGTGTGCCTTCGGGCTGTGATGACCTTTTGAGCGATCTGTGCTGTTTGGTGTCTGGTTCTATCCCTGGGTTCCATATCTGTATAGCAATTGTGGAATAATGATGAATGATTACTATCAACCTTGTGTCTGTTGTAAATAGTCTGCTAAAGTAAACTATGGTCTGTGTCAGGCTGGACTTATCTTGAAAATCTTGGACGGAATTGGCGTAAATGCCTAGTAGCCCTCGATATGATACCTAAACAACCTTGGAAGCCTCCCGAGGTCGTTGGCGCGCTCACGCGTGCCCAAACGTTGGAAAAGATGGTGATAGTGTTGAATTTACCAACTAGATTAAAACGCCTAACATGTCACAAATCTAGGGATCTTTATGCATTCCAAGGTTTTCAAGAACCTTAGAAATACTTGCTTTCAAGGTTATAAACAGGAGTAGTTATGTATCGGCTTCCTCAAATATTTCGATTGGCAACGGAAGGGATATATCATCGACTTCGGGACCTCTTTTTAACTACCTTTTAAACTGTCTTCTTAATTTTTTTTTTTAGCTATTTTTTTTTTTAGCTGTCCTTCCAACTAATCATTATATAATTATGATTGCTCGAGTAAAGGAAGTCTTAACTAGGCCGTAAACAGAGAGTTAGGGATTGGGGATAACCAGCTTGTCCTCAACGTCCATTGTTTATCTTATTCCACAGGTCTCCTTGAATCATCCCTTCTGTGCGGAGAAAGTCCGTTGGGTCTACCGAGCTGCCAAAGGGCCCCGTCGCCTCCGTAGTCCTATCCATAATTCTGCTGTCCGATTGCCGGTTATTGACACTGGTTGTGGCGAATTGCTGCCAATTATGCTCGAATATTGTTGCAAAACCGCGCCGCCGATCGTAGCTGCGCGTACTCCATACACTGTGGAGCCTGGCCAGGTGTATGTCGGCGAGTTGCTGGCTCTGCTGTATGGCGCGTACCTTGGCCCTGCGGTTATTTCGACTGGGGCCTCCTTATGCTTCGTCTGGAACGCCGGTGATTGTATTAGCATGGTACCCCGGTACGGGGGTTGTCCATTGCGGACTTGTACTGACCGAGGAAGATGTCCTGGAACCGCTCCGAAAGTTGGAGGCACTTAAGAAACATGACAGTCCGGAAGTGTTTCGTGTTGTACCTTGACCTTAAGCTGCCTTGAGAATCCCTCGCCGGTGATGTAGATGACATTGTCTGAGTATACCTCTATTGGCCACCCGAAGTGTAGTTGACCGAGACATGGTCGAACATAAATTGTCATGCCACGTTAATATCCATGCCACAAAGCAGGCTCCTTCTCCATGGATTCTGCAACAAGATGCCGTTACCTCCGTGAGAGATAAATTTTCGACCTTTGCTTGTGAGAGAGGCTGAAAATGTGAGCTCCTAGCCCCTCAGAGATTAAAAGGAACAACGAGAATAAAGCAAAGGAAAGAATCTCGAAACTGGCGAGGCATTTCAGCAGGAATAAGAATAAATGGGTTCTCCAATAGAGGGGCGAGAACTAAAGAAAAAGAGAAGAAAAGAAAAGATAAAAGATGTTTATATCGAAGATTCGACGTCAGGTTGAAACGACTGTAGGATCGTTACATCAACAACCTGGAGTACTCCCATCCCGCTTCAGCTATTGGCTAGTATTTGGGATTTTCTTCCGCTTCTCGCCGGGAGATACGCTTTCGGTGGTCGATCCTGTAAATTCCGAGCGAGGACTTTCGGCAGGGGGCGGTGGTGTACGTTCCAGATAAGTTTCCTCCAGAGATCCGGAACGCTGCGTATTGAAACTTCCCTGCGTAACGGTTTCACTGCTTATGTTCCGACGATTCTCTGTAGCTCCCAAACTGTGGCTCCATGGCCAAATCAGGATGCTGTCGTGGCTCCCGTACTTAGCATCGCGGGTTTCGAGGCGAAGCCGGAGGTCGAGGTAAGGGGCTTCCGTTCCCCCTCTGAGGAAGATTGTGATCATCCCTCCTTCCTGGGATTTCACTATAATAGCGGCTGTCGTTAATGACTTTGAGGTTGGGGTAGCTGGCTTTGCAGCTGAGGATGTGTAAGAGTAAGGAATATTGCTCACTCACTCCAGTGCAGTTGGTATTCATACTAGTTCAACGAAAATTTTATATAGGCTGGGGTCTAGCATGGTTAGCGAGCTAGGTAGTTATATAATCTACGGGGCAATGGAATGTGTGACGATGACAAAGTTTTATGGAGGTAAAGATCCATTTGACAAAGAAACGAAAAATGAGGAAGAAAACGGAAGAAGAGCTATGGAAACAAGCAAACATAGTTAACAAGATGAAAGGAAACAAGCGCGTGTATACGGAAACACCTAGCAACTAAGAAGAAAGCGTGACGGGAGAGAGACATTATGTGAAGCTGGCATGACTTCCTATCCCCAACTCTGCTGTGTCCATATACTCCTTCTTCCGTTCTACCGTATCTACACTCTGCTCTGTTGTGCCTACACTCTGCTCGCTGCTTGCGTGCCTCATTCCACTCTGGTAGGCCTACACTCTGCTAGTACGCCTTACCTCCCTATACCGTGTGGTATTTACAAGTGCCATTGCTGACTTCAAGCAGGTTCCAGAATGTCAGACCAGAGGATTCCGAAGGAGAAAAAGGATTCCCTGCTCACCCAGGCGCGGGAAATAGCAGCCGATATCCTTGAGTATAAAGTCATCAATAGGATCCATGTCAGTGAGGTTGCACAGCATATTGGTGACCCCAGAAGAAAGTACAGGACGATTCCAATCTCCAGTATGGCAAGGATGTCCAAAAAGTGCTAGCTCTCATTCCCGATGACAATGATCAAGAGATGAGATTTTTCAGGTCAATCACACCCCCAAAAGCAATGAGTACGGGCCCCGGAGATGAGATGAGCTAGCAAAGCTAACACTATACAGCTGATCATATGAACCTGATCGACTCGGCACTAGCTCAATCCCCGATCACAGAAGCTAGCATCAGATCGAATATTGATGCGTTTATCCTCTTCGTTAACAAGATTACAGCCGCTCAGACACCACCTACATGGCCGCTGAGCATACAGACAGAACGCTCCTACAGCTTTGGACCTGTTAGGCTGCGTGGCAAGAAGGCAAAGCTTTCCACCAGCATAGACTACAGAGTATGGTACGGCGATGATGAACAGCTTCCCGTCAATTTGATCGTCATCGGGATGGAAGAAAGGCTAGACGAAATTGCTCAATGCTTAGGATACATGGGTGAGTGACCACCGATAGCTAGCTGTTGGAGGAGGGAAGCTAACTGTGATCAAAAGGCTGTGTCCACCGCGAGAGGAAGCAAGTCTCCAAGCAGGATGCAACGGTCTATGGGCTGGCAACCGACAGCCAAGTCTTCCATTTCCTCAAAATCTCCCATGATTTCAAGGTACGTTAGTCCCAATTTTTCAAAGCTAGTATTCTGATTTGTACTAGTGGAGCGAATGGATTGTCAGTTCTTGAGCGGGCAATTACGGACAAGCGCTCGGCCTGTTGATATACTTGTTTCGACGGGCGTCTGTGATCTCACCAGGGCACACGAAGGAGAGCTCTCGTGCTCAGCAAAGCTCTGGGTAGTCTACCCCTGTACTTCCTTCTGTGGAGGAGGATTGGGAAAGGGTATTGAACTAGTGTAATTCTGTTACTGCTGCAAATAATTGCTTATGGCCATGGGCCTCATGGCAGCTAGCTACGAACACTATCATCATCATCATCATCATCATCCTTTTCCGATCAGAATTTTCGCAACATGGCTTGAATCGCGAGGTCAATCGTAGGTTGAGTTATACGGATAGCTAGCTAAGGAACCACCTGGGCACGAAAATTTTGTAGTGGAAATCCATGAAATATATAGCTGTAGTGTACTCCGTACATGCGTTGAAGCCAGCGGAGGTATACATGTCGGATCGCCACGGGATTTCTTGGCATTGGACGCAGACTTCTCTAACCTCCGCACTCCAATACCCAAGCTTCCAAGCCTCTCCATATCCTTTGATCCCCTCAAAGAAACTCACAATATGCGCCTCTGCTCTTAAATAATTCACATCCCCTCCAACCACCGTACATAATGGACCAAAAAGGGTTTGTGTCCGACAACCTGACCCGCCTAACGGGCGCGTCAGACTCAACCCTCATCGACTTCGTACTCGCAACAGCAAGCTCGGCGAAATCGACCTCCTCCCTGACCGAAAAACTCACCTCCTTCCTCGATGCACCCAATCCAGCCGAAGTCGGCTCCTTCGCCCGCGAGCTCTACACCCGCATGGGCAAGGGCGCGCAGCCCAGCGCATCAGCCCCCAAGCCCGCAGCAAGCGACTCGAAAAAGAAATACCGCCTGGTAGAAATGGGAGAAGACCAACCCGACCCCACATCACTAGGTCCCGCCAATGTCGAAGCAGAGCGGGAGCGCGAGAGGAGACGCGCGAGAGACAGCACGAAGGACCGAAGGAGCAAGCGAGACGAGCCCCGCCGAGAACGCGACTACGACGATAGCCGGAAACGCGACCGCAGCCGTGAGGCAGAGAGCCGCGATCGACCTCGCACAAAGAAGCTCCGGAAGAAGGACGAGGACTTCGAAGACCGCTGGGGTGACGAGGAATACCCAGAAGAGGAATTCGAGGAGGCAGAGGAATTTGAAGAATCGCCCTCGAAGCGAACGCGGCTTGATGATGGCTCTGCCTCGCCTCGTCCGGAAAATATTGATCCCAAGACGCAGGAGGAGATTGATCGGCAGAAGGATTTGCGCGAGCGAGACGAATTCGCGAAACGATTGGCGAATAAGGATGATAGCAAGTCGAAGAAGATTGTTGAGGATCGGACGCGTGATGGTGAGGCTGCTCGGCGACGTGCGCTGGCTGATGATGCCAAGGCGCGTGCGGAGATGATGCCGGATTTGCGTGAGAGGTCGCGACAGGAATATTTGAAGAAGCGTGAGACGGAGCGTCTGGCTTTGCTGCGACGGCAGGTCATTGAGGAGGCTGCTGAGTTGCGCGAGAATCCTAATCTGTCTCGCAAGGAGAAGGAGGAGTTCGCGCGGAACAGGGAGGTTCTTCGTATTGCGGAGGAGAGACTTCGGATCGATGATCACCGTGATGGATATATGATGCCGGATGACTATATTACGGAGAAGGGAAAGATCGACCGCAAGAAGAAGGAGGATGCATTGTACAAGCGTTACGTCGATCGTGATGAGATGGGCCAGGAACGGTTCGTCACGGAGCATGAGGAATGGGAGCTTGAACAGGCAGCCAAAGCCAAGGCGCAGATCAAGAAGGCCGAGTTCGTTGATGAGGGCGATTACGAGTACGTCTTTGACGATTCACAGCAGATCAACTTTATCATGGACTCCAAGCTTGATGGCACGCAAAAGCCGATGACACAGGAGCAATTGCGGTTCAAGGAGCAGGTTGATGCAGCCGAGAAGAAGGCTCTCAGCATGGAGGAGACCCGAAAGAGTCTGCCTATCTACCAATTCCGCGATCAGATCATTCAAGCCGTGGCAGATCACCAGGTCCTGATCATTGTCGGTGAAACTGGTTCTGGAAAGACTACTCAAATCCCACAATACCTCCACGAGGCCGGATACACCAAAGACGGTCTCAAGGTTGGCTGCACACAGCCACGACGAGTGGCTGCCATGAGTGTCGCTGCGCGTGTGGCCGAGGAAATGGGTACGAAGATTGGAAATGAAGTCGGTTATGCCATTCGATTCGAGGACAACACGAGCGACAAGACCATTCTCAAGTACATGACCGATGGAATGTTGCTGCGAGAACTCCTGACCGAGCCCGATTTGAGCCAGTACTCGGCATTGATGATTGACGAGGCTCACGAGCGAACGGTGCCCACTGATATTGCCTGTGGTCTTCTCAAGGATATCGCAAAGGCTCGACCCGATCTGAAGCTGCTTATTTCCTCGGCGACTATGGACGCACAGAAGTTCCAAAAGTATTTCGACGATGCACCCATCTTCAATATCCCCGGTCGTCGATACCCAGTCGATGTGCACTACACTTCACAGCCCGAAGCCAATTACCTTGCTGCGGCTATTACTACGTGCTTCCAGATTCACGTCACCCAAGGTCCCGGAGATATCTTGGTGTTCTTGACAGGTCAAGAGGAGATTGAAGCCGCGGAGCAAAGTTTAGCAGAAACAGCTCGAAAGCTTGGGAGCAAAATACCGGAGATGATCATCGCACCCATCTACGCCAATCTACCGTCCGAACTGCAGACAAAGATTTTCGAGCCCACGCCGCCCAAGGCGCGAAAAGTGGTGCTTGCCACCAACATTGCCGAGACCAGTTTGACCATCGATGGTATTGTCTACGTGATCGATCCCGGTTTTGTCAAGGAGAATGTGTTCAACCCCCGCACCGGCATGGAGAGCTTGGTCGTGACCCCATGCTCCCGAGCCTCTGCCAACCAGCGAGCAGGTCGTGCCGGACGTGTCGGCCCCGGAAAATGCTTCCGCTTGTACACGAAGTGGGCGTACTACAACGAACTGGAGGAGAACACCACTCCCGAGATCCAAAGAACCAACCTGAACAGCGTCATCCTCATGTTGAAATCACTTGGCATCGACCAGCTCCTGGACTTCGATTTCATGGACCCCCCACCCGCGGAAACGATCATCCGCGCGCTCGAACAACTATACGCGCTCGGTGCGCTCAACGACCGCGGCGAGCTCACCAAAGTCGGTCGTCAAATGGCCGAGTTCCCCACCGACCCGATGCTCGCCAAAGCCATCCTGGCTTCTGACAAATACGGCTGCGTCGAAGAGGTGCTCTCGATCGTCTCGATGCTCGGCGAAGGCAGCGCCCTCTTCTTCCGACCGAAAGATAAGAAAATCCACGCCGACAGCGCCCGCAACCGCTTCACCATCAAAGAAGGCGGCGACCACCTCACCCTCCTCAACGTCTGGAACCAATGGGTCGACTCCGACTTCAGCACCATCTGGGCCAAGGAGAATTTCCTACAGCAGCGCAGTCTTACGCGGGCGCGCGATGTCCGCGACCAGCTTGCCAAATTGTGCGATCGGGTCGAGGTCACCGTTAGCACGTGCGGCGCCTCCAATATCCAGCCCATTCAGAAGGCTATTACGGCTGGCTTCTTCCCCAATGCTGCCCGGCTGCAGCGTGGTGGTGACAGCTACCGGACTATCAAGAATGGGCAGTCTGTTTACTTGCATCCTTCCAGTACACTGATGGAGGTGAACCCGCGCTGGGTAATCTACTTCGAGTTGGTGCTAACTAGTAAGGAGTATATGCGGAGTAATATGCCGCTGCAGGCGGAGTGGTTGGTTGAGGTTGCGCCGCATTATTATAAGAAGAAGGATCTGGAGAGTCTGGGGTTGGATCGTAAGGTGTCGAAGGGACAGGGGTTGGCTGGGGAGAAGAAGGGTTAAGCCCATATCTGCATATCTATGACCTTCCCAAATAGGAAATTGTACAGCAATGCCTGACGTCTCATATTAATTCTCCCAGATAGAATTAGAAATAAATAGAAAAATCAAGATAATACAGGATATCTACATATACAACCTTAGAACCAAGTATCCCATCGAGTAGATATTCATATGTGTTGACTATAGCCAATCACAGAGCGCCTAATACTAACCGCGGCAAATGGCAGCTCAAGTCAACCTCGGTTTCTCCGCTTCCCCCGGAATTCAACGTCACACGCTATTTACCCTCTCTCGGCTCGATTCTTTCTCTCTCCTCTCAATCAGATTCCGCGCATTTCCAACCTTCCTCTAAACACCTCCATCCCTATCGCTATCCCCTCACACATCACACTACACATCACCACATCCACAATGTCCCAAACATTCACCCCGGCCGACGTCGCCTCCCACAACACCGCCGAAAAGGGCCTCTACATCATCGTCGACAGCAACGTTTACGACGTCACCTCCTTCATCGACGAGCACCCCGGCGGCTCAAAGATCCTCAAGCGCGTCGCAGGCAAGGACGCCTCCAAGCAGTTCTGGAAGGTGAGACGGGATCGGCATTCGGCCGAGTCGGCAATTGAACATCACCCCACTGACTGCTTTCTACTCCGCAGTACCACAATGAATCTGTGCTGAAGAAGTACACTCCCAAGCTGAAGGTCGGCGAAGTGAAGGATGCCGCTAAGCTATGAGCGAAATGATCTATTCAATAGATTAAAGACGGTTATGGTGGGATAATATATGGGTCTTGGAGATCTGAGATCTGAGATTTGCTCTGTCCAGACGGCAGAAGCTTGTAGCTAGCAATTTATACCCGATTCGAGGCTTGATTTTTCATTTGGTTGGATATATACGCTGTGAACCGTTCGCTGTTCGCTATTCACTGTTCGCGACAGCTCCCTGTGCGCACTCATGCAAATAAAACATTATGTATCAAGAGGTATTGACAGATTAGATCGCTGTAAAGGAAAACGCCCAGGGAGAATGCAGAAAACCGAAGAATAAAGTGTATATATATATAAAAAAGGGCCCAAAAGTGGTATCAACTTGAAAAAAAAAACCAAAAAAACATCGAGGATTCAAATCTGCTCGCCGGCTGAAATTCCTCAGAACTCACGGAACGGATCCGATGCATCGGGCCGAAACGAAATCTCACTATCGACAACAGACGGCGTATCAAACTCATACCGTCTCTCGCTCCACTGGCTCGAAGTCTTGCGAATGTGCCTTTGGCGCGGAGGCGGACGAGGCCGATTCATCTGCTCAGCGTGATGATCGATGAAAGCCTCCATGCGCATAGTACCCATGTCGAACATGTTACTAGCGACGCTGGGAGATCTACCCGAGGCCTCGGAGGTGCGACGACTAACGCTGCTCTGGCGACTAAGGCCTGGGATGGGAGCCATGGGTGGGAAGTGTAGTTCTGGGGAGACGGTGCCGTGGGAAGAAGGCATGGTGCCTTGGCTGGAGAAGCTGCGGAGGGCCTGGAGGGCTGGGCGGGGTGCTGTGTTGCTTCGTTTGCGGTTGTGGGAGAAGCGAGGGACGTGGGGGGGCGTCGGCGGCGAGGTCGAGGCTTTCTTTTGGGAGTTCGGGGACTGGGACTGGGACTGCAGGGCCGGCGCTTGCGAAGCGTTTTCCGGGCATTGGGCGGGGTCGGCCTTTGGCGACGCGGATTGAGTCGCGGATTGGGTTGCGGCGGAGGATTGTTGCTGAGGGGGCGGGTTCTTCGGTTGGGGGTTGAGGGAGAGATGCTAGGTCGTGGAGGCCCATTGAGGAGTGGCTTAGGAAGGAGAGGGCTGTTAACCAGACGTAGTGGCGTTCGATGGTTAGGGCTGTGAATTTGAGGGCGCGTTGAGGGGTGAGGACGAGGATTGAGCGGTTGAATGGGGTGGAGGTGTTGCCCTTTGGTAGAGGATTGTCGTCTTTGACGTCGAGCACGGATTGGATGGTGACTGAGGTTATGTTAGTGATTGGTGGTTTGGGTGAATGGTGCGGGATGCTTACACTTTCGACCACTCTTTCCTAGCAGGGCAGGCCCACTGGTGGGTTGTTTGCTGCTCCACATGATGGAGCCTTCGTACGGAGCAAGCCAGACCCATCGTTTGTGCCGCACGCCGCTGTTGGTGATATTGGCGGAGACATCCTCCGGGTTCTTGCCCTCCCAATTATCCTTGGACTCGCCCATGCCAAAGGACTTGCGTCGACGCACGTACTTGAACATCCATTCACCGACCATCGTCTGCGCAATAGCGTCAACAACACTGGTTGGCTGCACGCCGCCAACGGAATCCTGTCTTTCACGTTGGTCCTGGCTTCTATAAGATGGGGTTGCGCGGTGGGAGGCACGTCTAGGGGCTGCACGCCGCTCGCGCGGTGCTGTGATATCGTCAAATGGCATCGGTGGGGGTCGGTATGGTCGGTATACAGGCGACTCTGGAGAGAAAGTTGAGATCGACCGAGAGGGAGATGATTGCGTTTCAGGCCGTTCAGTGAGTTCAGATTGAGACATAGCCGCGGCGGATCGGACACGACGGAGAGTCGGTCGTCTTACTAGTGATTGGCCACCACGATCCGAGAACTGTCTTCCGGCCGAGCGCGTCGGGCTCGGTGGACCGTCGCTGCCGTTTAGCGGGATTTTGCGAGAGCTCAACCGCATAGGAACGGGGAATGGCGGCGCGATACTAGAGCCTGCGCTGCCGCTATCTATGCTGGGCTCGCTGGGGCTCCGAGCGCGGGACCTCTGGTGCACGGCTGCTCCATTGGAGATCATTGCCATTTTGCGGATTCCAGGTTGACGAATGCTGGATGAGGCCGTGCTGGATCGCTGGGATGGACGGGAGCGGCCGATGACAGGTGGCATAGAGTCAGGGCTGGAAAGCTGCTCGTCAATTTCGGGAAGAGTCATGCTGTCTAGGCTGGGCCTCGATTTGGCATTGACGAGCTTGCCCCGGCTGACGGTATATGCAGCAAAGGGTCGGTTGAGAAGCTCGTCGTCGGTGAATACGTCACGTTCTCCGTGGGGTCCCTCATCGTCGCTATTATGTTCAAAGCCGGCGAAGAGACTGCTGGACCGTAGAGGTCGTCGGATATTGGACAATGCTCCGTCGGATAGCGGGCCATTGTCATTGTTACCCGGGTAGGCCTGCACATGGTCTGGGCCTGATGCTTTGGAAGGCTTGACGGTATGGTCTGCTGCCCCGCGTCTTTGGTTTCGCTTTTCGGATCGTGGCGGAACAGGAGGGGCGCCGTAGGATTCGAGGCTGGTATCTTGAGACTCGGGGCGAGGAACGGTGTCTTGGATAGCAGAAGGGAGAAGACTGGCGGGAAGTTTGACGGGTCGTTGATCGATACGAATCTCCTCCGTTTGAATGCCGACGGACTGACAATCCACAATCGCTCGGAAGTTGGCCTGACACCCAATGGTCTTGGTTCGTGGTGGAAGAACGACGCTGTTGCGGGGCGAGGAGGGCTCTGAACCGGGTGCGTGGATAGTGATTACTGGAATGTCCATCTGTGCTGGGACATCGTTTGGTGATAAGCTCGTTCGCTTCTCGTTGTGGACCACTTCAGGCTCAGGCGCGTCTTCTGTTTGCGTGGAGGCCGATGTCATCTGTACCGGCTGGGGTGTAGGTTGGGCTTGAAGAGGTGGCGAATCTACAACCTTTGGCGTCCACGGTGGACTCGGGAGTTCACCTACGGTCTGGCAAGATGATGAAACCATTTCGGTTTCGATGGTTAGTGTCGAGGTATCCTTGGTCTCGGGTGCGTTCGGTGTCTCGCTCAAATGCATCGGCTCTGCCACGGGGCCAACGTCATCCGAGGGAGCGGGCTCGATTGTGGGGGACGGAGGAGGCGAGTACTGGATACCAATATCACAATATTTCGTTGTTATATCAGCCGGATGTGCCATACCATCATGGTGAGTGTCCCGTGTGCGGAACTCTGCAGCGACGGGGGAGTCTGCGCTCTGCATGGACAGACCGAGGAGCTTCCTAGCCTTGAAGGACACACTGTGCGATGCCTGCGAGTGAACGGACATTGGACGCTCCTCGGGGAGGGCCTCTGGAGATGCGGGTGTCTCGTCATCGGACGGAACAAACTCATCATCTTCATCGAAGTCGAGTTCGTCTGCCAAGTTCACACCAGAACTGTTGATCGCCCCAGGAGCCACACTCATCACAGAGTATCGAACGTTATGGAAGTTGGACGTCAATTCACCATCATCCGAGCTGACGGTGGTCACACTCGTGCGCCGGCGGCCGAAGCTACTAGACGCGATGCTTGCGGAATCGCTCTCCTTGGCTTTGTCCGCTTCTCCGTTCTCGCTCTGCTGGGATTGCGAGTGAAGAGTTGCGACTTCCTGGGCTGCTGCGACCTCATTCAAGACAGTCTTCAAACGGCCTTCTACTACATGGACTTTGCGCTCCAAAGCACGCCGTTCACCCGCCCAGGAGTCTTGATCCTGATTCCACAGCACCTGAGTGCGCTCGAGTTCCTCTTCCCGACTGCGCGACTTCTTCTGCGCCTGCTCGAGCTTTTTACGAACATCGCCGATATTCTCGACAGCTTCATCGCGCTCCCGAGCTAGCTCATTCATCGCAGATGATGTCCCGCCCTCCAATAGCTGGATTTGATGTTTTAACGAGCGTCCTTCCCGGGTTACTTGCGAGAGAGTCGCGGATAGCGTTTCATTCTCCGTTCTTGACTCGTCCAAACTCTCCTCCAATCCATCGATAGCCTTCGTCTTGTTTTCTATCTCGCGGCGGAGCGAGAGGATCTCCGATACAAGCGATGCATGGAGCGTAGGTGTGATCCTGCGCGGATCAAACGGTGATAGTGTATCTTCGACAATGTCGTCATCGTCTGTTGGTCCGTCTGTGTGTCCATCGGGGGAGAATGCGGGCGTTGGAAGACCAGGCGGGGAAGAGGGAGGGGGCGACGAGCCTCGCCTGCGCAGCGGTCTTGATCTTGAATGGGTCTTTGATGGTGTATGTGATTTGCGTTCGGTCGATGGTACCGAGGACGGGCCCATGGAGGCCGGAGACTGTAAATCTGCCATAGCGCATGTACAAGCCTCAAAGCATCCGGGCTTTGTGGCTCTTTGTGCTAACCAGAGCACCTCACGCACCGCCCGTCAGTAGACCTAGTTCAAACATCCGATAACCGTTGGCGCTAAGATTGTGTCTCGGGAATGAGTTTCAGTGGACGTGAAGATGGTATGTTCAGCGTTGGGACCCTGTGGAACTTTGTGGAACGAGAAGTCAGCCACAGTTACAACGTGGGCAGCTAAGAATCCAATGCGGCGGGTTTGCGGGTTTGAATATGCACGAAGGCTAATCCTACTTACGTCGAGTGTGAGAGGCGAGTAAGATGTCGAGGGAGAGAGAGATCGCGGGAGAAAATAGATCAATCCGAAAGACGCGACGATCGTGAATTCTAGATCTGACACGAAGACTTAGATTGATTACCTCAAGAATGAGATTAGCCTTGCGGCACGCATATCGGAAGTGCACCGGATGCGAGGAGATTCGAAGGACCTTTGCGCATCCAAAAAAAAGCGTCAGGGGTGTTCGTTAGGGGCATGGGGAAGCAAAAACCCACCCAATTAGCCAGGGTGGATCCACTATAGCTGCCAGGATCAAAGCACTTTGATTTGGTGTTGATTCGGATCGAAAAACCCGTCTCAAGGCTGGACGAAACAAGGGTGCAAGGCCTGTATATGGTGATCGAGTCTACAAATAGCAAATCGCATGTACGGTGCTCCGTACTCCGTACTTCGTGCAAGGTGATTGCGAAACCATAAACAGAGTGGAGATTAAGAAGTGCACGTTCTGCTGGAACAAAGACAACAGAAAGGTTAAAAAAATTAAACTGGAGTCGAAGTAATTTCGAGGGTGAGCTATTGATCGAATCGCGTCGAGTCGGAAAGCCCCGAAGAGGAAATAGAGTCGGGATCATAAGATTGACGTCGAGGTGTTCGTGGACGTTCAGAGGGCTCCACTACGCGGAACGGGTACGCAGTGAAGCTCACGGCTGTGCAAGGAGGATCCCCCCTATTCTTGTCGGTAGCATAGGTGGAGGAGAGGGCTGGCAAATGGACGAGACACAAACAGCCACTGTTGTGTCCAATAACATCAAATATGAAAAGCCCACTATGGAGCAATGTTAGCAAGGTCACATAAATTGGGGGATCGGTTAGCGTGTTTGAGAAGGGAATTAAAATTGACCCCTGTCCTGGCGTTGTCCTGTACCGCGTCGCGACGATCAGACAATCTCGACACATCAGAGCTAGTGGTCTGTGTTTCAGGATTGCAGATGCAGAAGTGAGGTGCTTCTTTGCCCAACGCCCCTCTGCGCCTCTTTGTGATGCTTTTCAGATGAATCTCCAGACCCCGTGGGATTAGGGGGAGCTTCGCGAGATCCATCCGAGGTCTCCACCGCGAGCTTCAAAACACAAAATGCATCCACTTCGGGGGAAATGAGAACCAAACTCTCATTGTTTTGGTGTCAAGTTTGGTACACCAAAGTACATTGTGGATTTTTTTTTCCTCCTTCTTGCTCCAGCCCCCGGTCTACCGGGTTTGACTGTTGGACATGCACCGGTCGCATATGGGTGGCGGAAAAGGTATCCTGCAAGGCGATTGCAAGGTATTCGCAGGCCAATGATTGGCAATAATCCTCAATTATCATGTCTGCAGGCCAATTGGAAATTGAACTAGCAACGGGGGACACGCGAAGGAGTAACAGTCTCCGCGAACCATTGCCGGGCCCCCACCCCTTAGGCTTAGAGGGGTTACCTCGTACTTTGGGACGTGATTCGGACGGCCCGTTGACAGGTCCATTTGTTGCGACGCCCACCCCTGCAGCCGAGGATTTCTTGTCTTTTTTGGGGGTCTGACAGCACTAGTGCAGGCCTAGTCTTCAAGGCGCATATGGCACGGGGCTAAACTTGGATTTCTTCGCGTGTCTTTGATTTCCGAACAGCGAGGACGAGAAACCCCATACGAGGATCATTTCGTAGCAATGATGAAATAATTGCGACGATGGAAGCAAATGCAGGAAAGCGTTGAGGTTGAATCGAGAAGAAAAGAAAAGGCAGAATGTTTGCGCTGAAGTCTGCCTTATGCCTCAGGCCAGTCTGCACATACCACATTCCCCCTTCTGACTACGAGTCCATGATAGAATGCACAATGCGACTTGTTCCATCTACTTTTTGATTTGATGTTTGACTTTTAAGGCTGATGCGCTATCGCCAGAACAATCAGCCGTTGGATCTGGCGATACGATCAGCCTCGGTTCTGACTAATCAACTGTCAGCGAGCATATGATAGAGCATTGCACATCAATAGACTCATCACATTCTCTACACTTTCCTCCCGGGATATCGAGCTCGGCAGTTCAACTAAACGCGGGGAAGTTGAACAGCATCTATCAGCTTCGGAATCTCCAGTCCTACAAGATGTCCACAACGAACCCACCCAAGATCTTGTTCTTCGACACCTTCGGCACAGTAGTCGAGTGGCGTACATGCGTCACAAAGGAGCTGAACACAGCCGCCTTGCATGCTGCAAGCGGCCAGCATCTCCCAGCCGACCTGCGGGCCCGAGCTGCAGCCATGACCTTTCACGACTGGCTCGCGATTGCCGAGCAGTGGCGCTTATCATACGGCGTGTTCACCACTACATTTGATCCATCATCGGAGTTCGTGTCCGTGGATCAGCACCACTACCAAGCTCTTGCAAACCTTCTCCAGAAACACGGGCTGGAGGGCCTGTTCACTGACCAGGAGCGGTGGGACCTCGCTTTGAGTTGGCACCGTCTGAGCCCATGGCCGGATAGTGCACAAGGACTCGAAGTTCTGAATCGCAAGTTCCAGACTTCGACTTTATCGAATGGGAACCACGATTTATTGCGAGATCTGAAGAGCTTCGGATCCTTGCCGTTCACGCATTTGACGAGTGCTGAGGATTTCGGGGCTTATAAACCTTCGCCATTGGTTTATAAGGGTGCGGCGAAGAAGTATGGCTTTGACCCGAGTCAATGTGCTATGGTCGCTACTCACCTGAAGGATTTGAAGGCGGCCAACGAGTGCGGACTACAGACTATCTTTGTTGAACGCTATTTGGAAGAAGCTTGGTCTCCCATTGATGTTGCGAAGGCGAAGGCGGAGGGATGGGTGGATATGTGGGTTGATGCCGACTCAGGTGGTTTCTTGGAAGTGGCTAGACGGTTTGGGATTGATGTTGGTCAAGCCGTGAGGTGAACAATCATTTCAGGCATCCGGAAAGGTCCAAGGGTGTACCGTATCTCTCAACTAGATCCATTGTCCTAATTCTGCCTGTACAGTTTTCTTATCTGATGAGTCAACGAATCAATGCATTGTCTGACTGGCAAGAACACTGGAAGTCTTTGTATAGGACCTGGGAATGTGCTCGAAGTCCTCCATCACGTTCCAAGGTTCCAAGGTTGTTAATTGAGAATTTCAAGTGAAATTTCATCCGCGTATACCCTCCAGAGCTGCGTATCCTATTTGGTGAACTCTGTACACATTTCGCCTTGAATGTCATGGATGTTGACGAAACCCTCCAAGCTCATGGTTCAAGAGAGCCAGAGTCTCTACCTAGGTGGGAATATATGTTCTGTTGTTGTTTAGAATTTACATAGTTCTATTGTATCAGCCACTCTGCGGTCTATATTCATATTATCATATAGAAAGAGTGTAACAACGTGGACATCCTGCTCTGCATCTGCAGCATAATTTACTAAACATGCGTTTAGGGCCATGATGTAAGTATACCGTCGATCTCTGATCTCTTGGCCTTCTAGCATGACGCTTCGAGCTTCGGCATCGATATTGGGATTTGTTCGCACTGACACCTTTGGTCGAGCTGCGATGGATTATTTGAGAAGGAAGTGCTAATTCGAAACTTCGAGGAAATGGACATGCGCAGTATCTTGTTCATTAAGAAAGTGTTGGTTATTTCACCTCTCAGGCTCCTTTGCGCTGGAGAAGTACTCGTAATATGCATTTGCTGACGGTTGTAGGTAGCATATATCAGTGTGGCCGCTTTGTTGCCTCATCGAGAGAAATATTGTACCCGAGTCCCACGAAGCGTGTCTGTCATGCACAACTGCTCATCTCAATGGAAGCCTGGGGATTGCGAGGCTTGTGAGGCTCTGCTTGACACAACGCATTACCAAAGATAACCGAATCCCTGTGCTCCAGGCGAAAGGCACGTTGGGAGGCTGAGTAGATATTGGGGCTCCTTTGATCATTGGGTTTGGAGCTCGCTCATTGACCTTGAGTGGTTGTGTTTGGGCTCACCATATCCACGGAAAGGGTCTTGTGCGTAAGCGTCGTGCTGTTTCGATGCTCGGGCTCGGGAGTCAACTCCGGGATGACATGAAGGCTTCACAGCTTCAAGGTTGGGACTCGAGAATGAGAGTATCTATAGTAAGACAAATGGAGGTAGTCCGTTGGGGACTTGATGGATATGAGCATCAAGTCCTTTGTTATGGAGACACTAGACTGGCGAAGAAAGAAGAAAGAAGAAAGAAGGGGCAAAAGAAAGGGGGAGAGAGAGAGAAAGAGAGAGAGAGCATATGCAGTCTGCTTTTTCTTCCTCCAAACCTTCGCCACATGCTCATTTACAGGGTTGCCATCCCAAATGTTGCCAAAAACCACATTCTCGCCATTTGCAAGAATGACCTCTATTTCTAAAACCCCCCAGAGCTGGGCCTAATTCTCACAGCTGAGATACAAGGAGACCAGTGACAGTCGATAAATGTTTCCAAGGTTGGATGCAAGCTGTTTGGCATCGGAGGAAATAAACGATTATAAGGGCATCGACACACTTCAGTTAATCAAATCTGCCTACATTGGTGGCAGGGCGGTGTTGTGATGCTTGTATATGATTGATGCACATGTAGAAAGTTTACTGTAAGTTAAGCTTAATTGCAGGGCAAACTTAGTTGAGCTCTGCCTAAAAGCAAGTTCCCGATTTCACTCCAAACGAAATTGGCAAACGCGGCCCCGGCCCCGGCCCCGGCCCCTGAATATACCAGTCAGATATTGATCCCGTGCAATAATTCCAGATTGAAAGACTGCACGGAGTAGTATGTAATGGATTCGGGACAGAAACGACCACGTCGGAAAGCCCGGCAGATACGGAGTACTGCGTAGAGACTTGAGTGGAGCGGATTGATTTCTTCACGTCACCCTCCCGTGGGAAATGACCTCAAGCGAAGTGGGCTTCGGAGACTACGGAATTCGTACTGCGTATGTGCATACGAGTTCGAGGTCTTCGTTTGCTCCGCTACGCAGACCCTGCCGATCTTGCAGCAAGGGAAATGGGTCTGTCATGGACATGTATTCCTGTACCGTACACAGGTGGACATGTAATAGTAATACAATGTATCCAGGCGTATCTCAGATGTAATATCCATATCGTATAATACACAGTCGTGCCCGCTATGTGGGGCTTCCGAACCAAGCTTGGTAGGTGCGGGCGCTAATCTTAAAGGTTACTTGGACATGTTCACCTTTGCAATAGCAAGGGAATGTCATAACGTGCTGGATAAACTACATATTGCGTTCCTGAGTCGGGTCGGAGAGGGATCTATCCTAGAAATTCAAAGAGTGCTTGCACATATGCAAACGAGCGCCCCAAGAATCGCACGAAGTTTCGGAGCGTCAATCCCGCTTAATAAGGCGCTGATCTTTGTCGATCGGTGTGTCGTAAAGTAATTGAAAGCACCATATTGGACCATTGATAGTGGGGCTGATCAGGCTCTGTACGTAGCCTCCTGCCCGAAAGGCGTGATCGTTGTGCTCCCATTCCATACTGTTTTCTGCGGATCTGATAAATCCTACCAGCGTTATTTCGGAAGCTCAAATTACAGCGTTTAATACCTGTATGTGTTGGTTCCTCAAAATAGTACTACATAAGGTTCCAAAGGGAAAGAATCTGAATGGCAGGAAGAGACCTTGGAGGGGCAGAAGTCGATATGGGATTGAGTTTGATATGGTCTGAATTTTGCGTCGGAACTGTGAGACATGCAACTTAACTGATATGCATGCATATGATTACTCCGTGCTCAATATTTCGCCTGGGCATTCCGTTTGTTGTAATTTCCATCTTACTCTCGTGTCAAGAACCCACAAAAAGTGTGGCCCAATCTTGTACATTTTAGAACCTACAGTGTAGGCCGCCGCCGACAGTATCAACATTATTTGTAGTATGTACAATTTGGCAATTCTTGTATATGAAAAAAGAACATCACAGCTTGCTGTCAACCCACCTTGGAGACCGTTTCTCGGCAAATGCAAGCACGCCTTCGTGCAGGTTCTCTCCATCATCAAGTGCAGACCCCCAATTCTCACTCAGAAGCCGACTGGCATTCTCCGAACTGCCATCCTCATAACCAGCAACAATCCCAGCGCGACTAATTATCACACTATCAGGGCTGTTTTCCACGATACTAGCAGCCAACTCCAACGCAGCCTTGACCACCGGCCTCTCCAATACCTCAACGTCACCAGCAGCATCCTCCGTAACAGAATTGATAAGACCCCACTCCCTAGCCTCAGCAGCCGTAATGCTTTTCCCAGTAAGCGCCATTTCCGTCGCTCGGGGACGACCAATGGTTCTTGCCAATCTAGGTAGTGAACCGGCCATAGCAACGACACCACGCTTTGCCTCGGGGAGCGCGAACTTCGCACTGCGCGCCGCAACAACCAAATCCAGATTCGCCACGATCTCCATTCCCCCGCCAAAAGCAAGTCCGTTTACGGCTGCAATCACAGGCTTTTTGCCGTGCCGCCGGGATAACGCTCCAAACCCTGAACGTGGCATCATGGGAGGCTCGAGCTCACCGCGAGCGCGGCGCGCATTGGATGCATTCCACTCTTTCAGGTCCATGCCGGCGCAGAAGGCGCGCCCGGCGCCTGTCACGATGGCACAGCGTAATGAGGGTTCGCTGTCGTACCATGCGAAAAGGGATTCCAATTCGTATTGCCCACTGCTTGTCATGGAGTTCAGGGCTTTTGGTCGGTTGAAAACAACCAGCATGACATGTGGTGCTGGGAATGAGACCACTCCATAGGTCTGTGGTGGTGGTCGTCGTTTGAATTGGGACATAGTGTGAGTATTGAGGTTGAGTTTGATAGAGGTTTTGAATTGGGAAAGTGCTACAAGCTATATCGAAGGATTCGTAGAATATCATACATAGTACGGATTACTGGCTCCGGTATATGAAAATGACCGGCGAATAATTGACTCCATTTCTCATTTGCAAAATGATGGACAATACACACATTCAAGTACGACGGTGTTGGCTCGCTCGCAACGTACGGAGTAGAGGAAAGACATTTGCAATACGTGTACTCCGTAATATTCGACTGGATCGGCAGTGTTAATCAAACACGGCCAAATTGGAGCTTTGTACTCCGTATGGTAATGGTAATAATACGGTATATCACGCATCCGCGGTAAACGAAGAAAAGCTTTGATCTGATAATTTTGAGTTTCCAGGGGACTTGGTTGCTTTTTCTTGTCCCTTGGGACTCTACCAAAAAAGTCAGTACACGTAGCTCGGTGTACAGGGATCAGTGTCGACATAAGCACGTTCTGCACAATGCCAGCTTCCAAGGTTCCAAGGTTGTGAGTACGCACTAGTGCAAGCTTTAGGAGAACAGCCAAGTGTGAAGCTTGATGTTAAGCAAGCCTTGCCGAGCAAGTCTTACGAGGCCTGTGGAACGCTGGGCAAAGGCTTGGAAGAGATCGGCGACATGAAACGGTACCTCATGTAATTACGCTCTAAATTACTTGCACATCCCACTGATTGATATTCGATGTTCAATAGTTTTGTCACATATCCACTCCCAAGCTGGGCTGTGCTCGTGCTCGCCGGATCAATGATTCATCAATCATCCGATCTTATCAGATTTTTTATACCCGTGACAGCTGCAATAGGGGAAATCCGGTATCGGCCGAAGACTCGAAACGTTCAAGTCGAAAAGCTTTAGGTCTGGTTGTCGAGGATCAGCCACAAAGCCTCACAGGCTTATCACGACCAGATATCACCCAATTCAAGTGGAGAGCTGCCGCGCCGTGACTGAATCGTCAGCATGGCCGAAGAGTCACCCCCCAAAACGACGGGCTTCGTCGATAAGGTACATTACACCATCAAGCCACCGAGTCCATCTTGGAAACTAAAACCTATATACGCATAGCTGAAGAATGTCTTTGGATATTTCGCGATTTACGTACAAGTGAATCCCACCAAGTTCGATATCCTGCTGCTTATCACCGGTCTTATTTTCGCCATTGCATCTGGAGTCCCATTCCCCTTACTGGGTATCATCTTCGGTCAACTGATCGATGATTTCAACTCGGAGAGCTGTACTGCTAAAGCAGACTACAGCCCTGGGGTTCAAGCTTCTTATCAGTCTGAAGTTAACAGCAAAATCCTCTATGTTCTCTATCTCGCCATCGCCCAGTTCGGTTTCATGTACATCCAACTCGTATGTTGGTCTCTTGGTGGCGCGCGGCTGGCACAGCGCTTGCGCGAGCAGTATTTCCGCAGCATGTTGCGCCAGGAACCCTCTTTCTTTGATGACTTACCTTCCGGAGAAGTCTCCTCGAGACTGAATGGTGACATCTCAACTATTCGCTCTGGAACTTCGGAGAAAGTAGGAATCTGCATCTCCAGTGTTTCCTTCTTTGTGACATCTTACGTCGTTGCTTTCATCAAGGATTCGAAGCTAGCGGGGATCTTGGTCTCGCTAGTGCCAGCATATTTCCTCATGTCACTGGTCGGAGGCTGGTTCATTGAGAAGTATTCCGGTACGATGTCCGATTGCTTTGCCGCTGCTGCTTCGGTTGCTTCAGAGGGATTGTCCAATGTGTCTGTTGTGCACGCTTTCAATGCAAACCACCGTCTGGAAGAGAAGTTTGAAGGCCATTTGCGCATGGCACGGAATGAGGGTTTGAAAAAAGCTCTGGCCACCGGTGTGCAAGCGGGCTTTATGTATTTCATTGCCTATGCCGCCAATGCTCTGGCATTCTGGCAGGGTAGTCGGACTATTGCAAACTCCGTCGCCAGTGGAGGCGGAGGCGCATCAGTCGGATCAATCTTCACCGTGATTTTCGTTCTAGTAGATGGTAAGTGGTCACAAGATGCGCGATTGTGAGTTTATGCTAATCCTCAATAGCGACCCTCGTTCTGAGCCAAGTTGCGCCGTTCCTGCAGATTTTCGGAGCGGCATCGGCTGCCTTTGCCAAGCTAAAGAGAGATATGAACCACCAGTCTGCGATCAACGGAATGTCTGAGACAGGGTTTGCTTTGCCATCTTCTACGGCTGGACACTTTGAGCTGCGCAACGTGTCTTTCACTTACCCTTCACGCCCGGAACAACAGGTCCTTCGCAACGTCTCCTTGGAATGCCCAGCAGGAAAGCAAACTGCTATCATTGGATTGTCAGGTAGTGGTAAATCTACTGTCGCCAGTATGATGCTTCGACTGTATGATCCCCTTGACGGATCGATTCTGTTGGATGGCCAAGACGTGCGCGATATCAACACCCGTCAGCTTCGAAGCTGCATTGGAATGGTTCAGCAGGAAGCGACATTGCTCGATCGATCGATTTTGGAAAACATTGCCCATGGTCTTGTCAACTCGGCTTCCCCTGAACACGAAGGTCTCCACTCGGTGTTGATCGGTGGGCAACTTGGTGAAGTGGCTACTGCAATCCGAGCAGGCGAAGATGAAATTAAGGTCGCTGAAAGATATGGTCCTGAGGTAGTGAAGATTGTCGAGATGGTCCAGCACGCGGCTGAATTGGCCGACGCTGCACGTTTTATCAATCAGCTCTCCGAAGGGCTCGGAACCATGGTGGGATCCAACGGTACCTTGCTCAGCGGTGGTCAAAAGCAGCGAATTGCAGTCGCGCGTGCGCTGGTCAAAGACCCCAAGGTCTTGATTCTCGATGAGGCCACAGCATCCCTCGATTCGAGGAGCGAAAAAGAAATTCTTGAAGCTGTTGGGCGTTGTTCTGAGGGCAGAACAATGATTTCGATTGCGCACCGTCTTTCAACCATCAAAAGCGCCGACAAAATTATTGTGATGCGGGACGGAGGGGTTGTTGAAGAAGGCAACCACACTGAGCTGATGACCCAACAAGGGGCGTATGCCGCTCTTGTCGAACTACAGAACCTCAACACCGACTCCAACCCACCAAGTGAAGCAACCGATGACCACTCCGCAGATATCACAGAGAATGCGAAAAACAGCGACCATGAAAATATCCCTGAGACTGTCAAGAGTAAAGAGGTTGTCATTGACACAACCGAGAAACCCTTGGACGCCCCTTCGCAGACACCTGCAAAGAAGACTCTGTGGTACTTGACCAAGGGAATGCTTCCAATTATGCGCCCATACCTACTCATTGCTCTCCTTGCGCTCGTGGGCGCCAGTATCGTCGGCGCTGCCTTCTCTGCCGAAGCCGTGATCTTCGGTAACACCGTCGGCAGCCTCACACCCTGTGAAACACCCGAATATATTCGCTCGCGGGGTAACTTCTTCGGACTGATGTTCTTTATTCTGGCGATCATTGAGTTCTTTGCCAATATCGTCAGCTGGGTCGGTTTCGGATGGGTGTCCGAGAAATCGATCTACAACGTTCGCGTCCTTCTGTTCCGCTCTCTATTTGAACAAGACTTGTCATGGCATCAGTCTGATGGCCGAAACCCTACTGGGCTACTAGGTTACATTACCAACGATGGAAACCTGATCGCCGGCCTCAGCGGATCGGTTATTGGAACTATTTTCTCGATCTGTATCAACCTTGTCGTGGCGGTCGTTCTGTCCTTGTGCATTGCTTGGAAGATTGCCTTGGTTTGTATTGCGGTTGTGCCACTATTGCTCGGTACTGGTGTTGTTCAACTGCACGTCCTGGGTCAGTTCGAAGAGCGCCATGAAAATGCATTCAATCAATCCGTGAGTATCAGTGTTGAGGCAATCAACTCTATCAAGACTATCGCCTCTTTGTCTCTCGAGGAAGAAACATTGGCCGCTTTCAGACGCACGCTTAACGGACCGCGTCGCGAGACCACAATGGTCAGCCTCCACGCGAATCTATGGCTTGGTCTTGCCTATTTCTTGGGTAATCTCTCCTATGCTCTCGCATTCTGGTGGGGATCCAAGCAGATCTTCAACGGAACCTACAGTGAAACTCAATTTATCATCGTCATGTTTGCTCTCCTAGTCAGCGCACAGCTCTGGAGTCAGATGTTTGCTCTAGCCCCAGAGGTATCAAACGCTCGCGCTGCGGTCGCACGAGTTCTCGCAATTCTTGAACTCGGATCCGCGGGAACTAAGTCGTCGGTTCTCGAACCATCAACCGAGAAGGATGTCGAGGGCACTGGACCAACCAAGTCTCTGGCACCAAACACCCAAGGCGGAGTAGATATTGAGTTCCGCGATGTCAAATTCTCTTATCCAGCACGCGCTCACGCCCCCGTTCTCCGCGGTCTCAATGTCCACGTCCGCCCAGGCCAGTTCTGCGCGTTGGTTGGACCCTCTGGAGCAGGTAAATCAACAATCATATCTCTCGTCGAGCGTATGTATCTGCCAACCTCTGGCGAGATCCTCGTCGATGGTACAGACATCACCAAGCGCGAGGACATTTCATTCCGCGATCATATCGCGTTGGTACCGCAAGAAGGGGTGCTATTCGAAGGCAGCGTTCGCTTCAACGTGTCCCTGGGCGCTCGTCCCGGAACAGAAGTTTCTGACGCCGAGATCGAAGAAGCATGCAAACTGGCCAACATTCACGAAACAATCATTAATCTACCAGCGGGCTATGACACGCTATGTGGTGCAAACGGCAGTAAGCTGTCCGGCGGACAAAAGCAGCGACTGGCTATTGCCCGAGCCCTGGTGAGGAAGCCTCGACTGCTGATCCTCGATGAACCGACCAGTGCACTTGATGCGGAGTCCGAAAAGCTCCTGCAGCAAGGCCTTGAGGTTGCATCAAAGGGCATCAGTGTCCTGGCCATTGCGCATCGTTTGAATACTATTCGCAAGGCGGATACAATTTACCTAATCGAGGCTGGGTTGTGTGTTGATGCAGGTACGCATGAGGAGCTGTTCAAGCGCTCTGAAAGCTATCGGACAAATGTGCTCAGCCAGAGCTTTGGAGGGGAGTGAGGCTGCACTCTTTTTGCCTCTTTAGATTTGTTTAATATTTTATTTAGATGTACCATAGACTATATTTCATTTGGCGTCTGCCAACTTTCTTTTTCCGAGGCTATGTGTTCGATACCTTTTGCCTTACTTGGTCGCTATTTTTCGAGATCGAGGTCACTCGAGTCATTGTCTAGGTAGTTGAAATACCGTTGAGGTCTTAAGACAGGCCAGTCATCTAACATGTCCCTTTGTGCCCTGGGAAGACCGTACCATAACCTTGGTATGAGCGGCCCCGTGATTTCGACCAAAAAAAAAAAAAAAAAAACATAATAGATTTTAAAAATACGAGTCAGAATCCCCGAGATAGGAGGACATGAGTGATATTTTGATATTTGTATTGTCTGGTTCTGATTCTATCCGTATCGTATGCAAACAATCGAACAGAGAGCAGTATGTAAAATCAAATTTCTATACATGAGACGTAGCTCATAATTTACAGGCGTGGCTTGAAGCCCAAGCCTGTTCCCGCAATGTGCGGGCTGACTTGGTTGAAAGGACACAGCTGGAAGTATCTCTCCCTAGTAACCTTCACCAAGCTCGCCCGCTTATGAGGGAGATCAATCACTTGATCTTGATGCAAGCCAAAGGTATAGTCGTAGGTGAGGACCTTGTCGTTGGTACTCATGGGCTCGCCAATGACATTCTCAGTGCGGTTATCATCGAGGAAACAATAGTGAATCATGCTGGGCCACCAAGCCATGACACGGTGGGGACCACGGAACTTATCATTTCCAACAAGCGTGTGACGACCACGATCAAAGTTTCCTGAAGCATAGTGCGCTCCCACATTATCCTCCTTGGCCCAGAAGATTTCATAGTACGAGAAGAATTCGTCGTTGAAACGACCAAGAACAGTCAGCGTATGGGGGTCCTCGTCCTGTCGACGCAGGTAATCGCGGTGCTCGTCGAGCGTTCCAGTCTCCTTCCACCCCGCAGCGACGCGCGGGTCGTTCTGCCATGTGTGGAAAAGGTTCAAGTGCTCGGGGTTGCGGTAGTCGAGCGCAACCAGTGAGAATTGCTCATCCAAAAATGGAATATAACGACTGTACACCACATTGCCAGGTGTTGGCTTTGGGTGACGACGGGGGTGTCGCCTGTGCGAAGTTTCCGTGGATGTCATCGTCCAGTCAAGGAGTGGCACGGAAGATGCTGGGTTCCATGAGGGAAGCCAGACGGGCTGCGAGCCCAGTGGAGAAGCAGCACCTTGCCAGAAGGCGCTGCGGAGAATGAGGAGTTCATTCGGGGTAGCTTTGAAAGGAGTCTTGGAACTGATAGGTGCTGGGTGGTCGATTGCTACCATTGACAGGCGCAAGGCGTGCGCGACAGCCTCGGCGTTGGGACCTTGCAGGGTAAGACGGAAAGTCTCAATCTCTTGCTGCACAGTGAAGATCGTGTACAGGTACAGCCAGATCTGACCCACTGAAGGGGCAGTGCTGTTTTGCCAGCGCGCGATAGCCGAGGGACTTCTTTGCGCGCGGGCCCAAGCGGTGTTGTTTGATGCTGGGACAGCTGTCTGGGGGTTCACGGGCTGCGGCGCCGTGAAGTGGAGGTTCTCATTGTGCAATGCTCCGGGGAAAGCTTGCGCTTCTCCCTTGTCACTCTTGCGCAATTGGAAGGAGCTGTTTCCTTCAATGACAGTGCTGGAAGGAGTGACGTTATAGGTAGTCAGATAAGGATGAGGCAGGCGGATCTTCGCCGCGGCCAGTGGTTGGGAAGTGGGAGCCATTGTGAAAGATTTATGGGTTGTAATCAGATCAAACTGGCCTGCAGGGACTTATACGAGATCAGGGCGGAGCTCTCTGTATCGGCTTTTCCATCGCCACATGAAATTCCGGAACACTCCGTGGGCCTGGGCCGATTTCGCATTGGATGTGGTATGGAGCTGCAGGATCATTTTGGTGGCCGATTCAACGGAGATGCTGTAGAAGGCAAGCTAGATGTAGATCAGCAGTCTCGTACGAATACAGATCATCGTATAAATACAGACGGAGCAGGTCCGAGGATATCCCGCTATTGGCTGGACTTGGCTGGACTTGGCGGTGGAAGTAAGCACCACAAGCATGCAGATCTAGGCCCAATACGGTAAACGAGAACTTTAAACCAACCCGGTTCGCACAGTTCGTTCCTCAGCCTTAACAGGCGATGGTTTTTGACTTTGATATTGCCTATCCCTCGATCATCTCCCTTTTCCTGTGTGGTAATTTATCGTCTCTGTTTCTTGAAGTCTTTAAACACTCTACTCTCTCACCCCGTCTCTCCTGGACCTCCCCACATATAGGTGGAGCCACTACGCAACTGCGTGGAGGACGGGCCGCAGTATTCTCCGTACGTGCACTGCCTGTATCTTTTGAATTGCCCGTGATTATCACAAATACGGTATCTGGTAATATCGTATCTTTTGTATTACTGTAATTTTCATTTCATCCGGATTCCATTACCGGTAAGATTCGTCTATCATTTCCATTAAAATACACACCCTTCCAGCGGTTACCGCGAATGCAACCCACCTCCAGCTCTGAGCAATGTCCGACACAGTGGGGCCCAAACAGGAATTCGAAACAAAGGAAACGGAGGCGGCAGTCCCGGGTGACGCAGAAAACATGTGGATTGATGAAAACACCGTGGATCGGCGTGCTTATCAATCTCATCAATCTTGACATTTTGTGCCTTGATCGGCAGGGACAGGCTTGCTTTCTGCATACTCATTCTGCAGTCCCACCATGGCCGGTGCAATCCTGTCTACCGGAAACGAGCCACCAAAGAAGCTGGCCAGATTCATTCGCTTCGATGTGCCACTACTAGTGAAGAGCGAGTTTCAAGGTCGCGAAGTCGATCTTCTGTTACTTGCCTGGGCACTGCTATTATACCGCTACAGCAATGGAAACCCTGTTGAGTTTACATGGGGGAGGAATGGTACGGGTGCGGATTTCAAGTTTGATTTCAGCACCGCAAGTGCGGCGTGGAACCCCGCCATTTCCATCGCGGGCGCGTTAGAGACTGTTCAAAAGTCGCGCCAGGAAGCGCATGCTGGACATTTGGTTGATGTCGACAATGGCATTGTGTTCTTCAATGACGAGTGTGCGCCCCGCGATTTATCCAGTAATGCGCGAGTGAGCGACGGCGATGCGCTGGGTGGTGGAATGGCTTGGGTGAGCTACGAGTCCCATGCGCAGTGACAGGATAGCCTTCTGACGTGACTAGGGAAATATTCAACTCCAGGCGACCATGTCCGAGGGAAGTTTGTGGCTTCGTCCATGCTGGCGGGAACCCCTCGGCGCGGAATACATTGCGACACACTTTGCGCGCGCACTGATCGAAATCCTCAACAAGACCTTCTCCGACCTCTCCAGTCCGATTTCAACGATTCTTGAGCTCAGCGATGTTGACCGATCCGAACTCTGGCGTTGGAACAAAGACCTACCCCCGCGAGCCGACACCTGTATTCAGGAATTAATATCGGAGCAAGTCCGACGCAACCCCACCGCACAAGCTATCTGTTCGTGGGATGGAGATCTCTCCTACGAGGAGGTCGAGAGATATTCTACATCGCTTGCGCATCATCTTGTCAGTCTTGAGGTCAAGATTGGCCAGATTGTCCCTCTCTGCTTCGAAAAATCACGATGGACTATCGTCGGCGTTTTGGGTGTGCTCAAGGCTGGAGGCGCCATGGTCCTTATGGACCCAAGTCAGCCCCTTGAGCGACGTCAAACTATCGCCGAGCAGGTTAATGCAACATTGATCGTGGCCTCAAAGACGCACGGTCCGTTCGGCGAGAAGATTGCGCCGGGCGCTCAGACGGTGATCGTGGCACAGGAGGAACTGGACGCATTGGCTCAAACAAGCCCCCAGAACGAGCTTCCGACTGTCCCTACAGACTCAATTCTATACCTCATCTTTACATCTGGAAGTACCGGCAAGCCCAAGGGTGTCATCATCAACCATACCACATACACCACCAGTGCGATCGCACGAAGCGCTGCCGTTGGATACACCGATGTATCACGCGTGCTGGACTTCGCCTCATATGCCTTCGATGTCAGTGTTGACAGCATGCTCTGCACCATGCTCCGTGGTGGATGTCTATGCATTCCGTCCGATGAGGACCGTTTAAATGATCTGAGTGGAGTGATTCGTCGGATGGGCGTGACAATGTCGAACATGACGCCATCTGTAGCTCGCATTCTAGACCCAGATATCATCCCCTCACTGCACAGCCTCGGTCTCGGTGGCGAGTCATGTTCTGTGGGTGATGTTTCAGAATGGGGAAAGCTGACCAGAATCGTGGTCGGATACGGTCCATCAGAGTGCACCGTTGGATGCACGATCAACTCCAGCGCTGCTGGCAAGCCATATGTCAGCATTGGGCCTGGAAATGGCGGTGTCATCTGGCTCACAGACCCAGATGATCACAATAAACTCACGCCTATTGGAGGTGTTGGAGAACTTCTTGTTGAAGGCCCTATCGTTGGTCAGGGCTATCTGGGAGATCCCCAGAAGACCGCAGAATCGTTCATTGAAGACCCGACATGGCTTCTGGCGGGTAGCAATGAAGTCCCTGGACGCAAGGGACGCCTTTATAAAACAGGTGATCTGGTCCGCTATGATCCAGATGGAGAATGCGGATTCGTCTTTGTTGGTCGCAAAGATACACAGGTCAAGCTCCGTGGCCAGCGCGTCGAGCTTGGTGAGATTGAATACCACGTCAGAAGATTGCTCCCGTCAGGAACAGATGTTGCTGTTGAGGTTATCGCTCCACAGGGTCGAAGCAAAGAATCAATGCTCTTGGCCTTTGTGGCCGATCCAAAGGCCGAGAAGCCGGATGATGACACGGATAGCGGTATCAAACAAGTTCAATTCTCCGCTGGAATCCAGGAGAAAATGGCAGTAATCAATGAGGAAATGTCCAAGGTTCTCCCTATCTACATGGTACCATCTTTGTACATCGGCATTGATCGCATGCCCATGCTTGTATCCGGAAAAACGGACCGCAAGACTCTCCGCGCTTTCGGGTCAGAGTTGACCTTGTTCTCATCATCAGATGCGACGAATGGCGACCTCCAAAAGCCCAGCTCGGATACAGAAATCTGCCTGCATGAGATCTGGTGTCGTCTACTCGGCTTGACTTCAGATCAAGTCAGCACAACTCACAACTTCTTCATCCTCGGTGGTGATTCCGTTTTGGCTATGAAACTTGTTCCCGCAGTGCGGGAGCAAGGCTTCGTGCTGACGGTCGCGGATATCTTCAACTCTCCTGTTCTGAGCGACATGGCCAAATCAATGCACAAGAAAGAGGCAGACTCGCAGGTCGAGGTGCTGAAGTTCTCATTGATTGACCCAGATTGGAACTTGGATGATGCTTGTGCCGAGGCAGCGGAGAAGTGTGGAGTGGAGAAGAATGTGATCGAAGATATTTATCCCTGTACTCCGCTGCAGGAGATTCTGATGGCGTTTTCGGCTCGCTCAGCCGAAAGCTACGTGGCGCAACGAGTTGCTGAGGTTCCCAGTGTGGAAATTGCAGAGAAGCTGCAAGCCGCATGGAGTGCTGTCATCCAAGAAAGTCCAATTCTTCGAACTCGCGTTGTTGAATTCAGGGATCATGGTTTCATGCAAGTTGTTACTAACGAATCTCCAGCATGGAAGTCTCGCAATACCAACTTGGAAGAATTCTTGGACGAAGACCAAAAAGTTCCGATGTCTGTCAACATGCCGCTGAGTCGGTACACCATCGTGCATGATGAGTCTCTCCAAAAATTCTATTTCGTCTGGACTGTTCATCATGCAATTTACGACGGATGGTCGACTGATCTCATCGTCGAGCATGCGAAGAACGCATACAAGGGCCTCCCTACTTCACAGCCAGCGGAGTTCAAACATTTCATCAGCTATCTGACCGACCCCGCAAGAGAGTCCTCGAAGGACTACTGGCGTGTGCAGCTTCAAGGCGCTACAGGTCCTCAGTTCCCCTCTCTTCCCTCACGGATGTACATCCCCGAGCCCAATGCGGTGACAGATAGATTCGTCCCCGTCAAGCCCACAACCCGAACAAGCATTACCACTGCCACTATGATCCGTGCAGCGTGGGCTTTGGTAGCCGCACAGTACACTATGAGCGACGATGTTGTGTTCGGCGAAACGTTCGCTGGGCGCACCCTTCCAATCCCCGGCGTTGAGCAAATCGAAGGTCCCATGATCGCCACGGTCCCTGTCAGAATCCGTGTCGACAGGTCTGCACCAGTTCAAGAATTCCTGCAGGCAATCCAAGAGCACGGCCTTGTGAGATCTGCACATGAGCACCTGGGTATGCAGAACATCCGCCGTGTAAGCGCAGACGCCCAGCTAGCCTGTGAAGTCAAGATGGGACTTGTGATCCAGCCTCGTCAGCCCGAGGAACCGATCCAGTCGGATGATGAGCTCCCACCATTCCGCGTCGAAGATGCAGCCCACGAGGCTTTACGCTTTAACTCATACCCGCTCATGCTGGCATGCTCCTTGCACCCCGATGGGTTCCATGTTACAGCAAGCTTTGATTCCAATCTGATCAGTGAGCTGCAGATGGGTCGCGTCTTGTCTCAGCTTGAGTATGCGGTGGCGCAGCTATGTACCCAGGATTCAAAGCAGCTTTGTGATATCGCTGGTTTGAACGAGGCGGAGTTGAATGAGATCTGGAAGCTCAATGAGACTGCGCCCTCGACAACGGTTGCCGCAGACGAGGTCAAGGAGCAATCAAAGGGGCTGGCCGTTGGGGACAAATACCCTACGAGCTCCGTTCCTTGGATTGTGCATCCGTCTGATCACAATGTGCTGGTTCCCATTGGAACAATGGGTGAGCTGCTGCTTGAGGGTGTTCGCGAAGCTGATCTCGATGCACCTCAGTGGCTTACTCATGGTGCAAATGGGATTGCTGGTCGAAATGAGAAGCTTTATCAGACCGGTGATCTTGTCAAATATGCAGATGACAAGAGTCTCATCTTCATGGGCCGAAAGGAGAGTCTGCGGAAGGTCGATGGTCATGTCATGGATCTTTCAGCGATTGACGTTCAGCTTCGCCAGTCACTTCCCGCGGGCACTGATGCTGCAACTCAACTGATCACTCCGGCCGGTTCAAACAACCAGACCCCGGTATTGGTCGCTTTCGTCAGCGAGACACCTTCTGAAGACAAGGCTGTTAGCCTAGGCGTCGAGGCCCCTGCAGAAATCCCTCTCCCAGTCGTCATATCTACCCAGCTGATTGAGTCAATCGTCGGCCTCAACAAAGTGCTTTCGGATGTGCTGCCTCCTTATATGATCCCATCTGTTTATATTCCCATCCAGAAGGTGCCTCACGTTTCTGGTCAAGTTGATGTACAAGCCTTGAAGTCAATGGCTGGGCATGTCAGCCAGGAGCTGCTACTCCAACTACGAACCGCTATCCAGAACTTACGTCCAGGCAGAGGCGATGCAGTCCACATGAACAAGAAGGAGCGCACACTCCGTTCACTGTGGGCTAAGTCTTTGGGCATGGAGGAAGAGAAGCTTGCACTCGATGACAACTTCTTCCGCCTGGGTGGAGACTCAATCATGGCTATGAAGCTCGTTTCTGCCTTACGCCTGGCAGGCTATCATTTGTCTGTGACGGATATTTTCCGCAACATGCAGTTACGCAGCATGGCAGGTGCTTTAGTGGAGCTTTCGACAGATGAAAAAAGGCCATCTAAGGCATACGTTCCATTTTCGTTACTCAATGTGGCAAATGCACAGGAATTCTGTGCCCAAGAGGTTCAACCATTATTGTCTGAAGCCAGCTGGAAGATCCAGGATGTTTTGCCGGTCACAGAACCCCAGGAGCGTGATGTCGAAGCCACTGTTTCAGCGCCTCGCAGTGCTCTTCAGTACAACATGTTGTATCTGAACAAGGACATCGATGTTGAGAAACTTGTCAGCACATTCAACTCACTTGTTTCGATCCACCCCATCCTACGAACAGTCTTTGCTCGTGATTCTGAGCGCATGATCCAAGTCGTTTTGGAAGAATTGACAATATCCGCTTCTGAGCACAGCACTGATGGACCTGTGGATGAATTCTGCAAGACAATTGCCAAGGACGATATCGAGGTTGATTCATCTTTCGAGCTCGGAAAGTCATCCCTCGGCTTGTTTGCCATCAAGGGCACCAAAGAGAATGGTCTCATGATCCGTATCTCTCATGCTCAATACGACGGTATCTCCTTCCCAGAGATCCTGCGCCAACTAGAGCTCCAATACCAAGAAAAGGAAATCCTCCCATCCCCTCCCTTCTCGACCTTCATCCAACACCAGACCGACGCCAGACCCGACAACATCGCCTACTGGCGTGACGTGCTGCAAGGCTCCCGGCTCACAACCCTCCCAGAACCAGAATCAACAAAGACAAACTTCATCAAGAAGCCAGTCGACATGAGCAACCGTTCTCCTGACACAACCATGGCGACCCTCCTCACGGCCAGTTGGGCACGCGTGCTATCCCAGCATCTATCCCTCCAAGACATCACCTTCGGAGGCGTGGTATCAGGCCGTACAGTCGATGTACCTGACATCGACAGAATCATGGGCCCGACATACCAATACATGCCGTTGCGTGTGAAGTTCGAATCCGGAATGAGCGTTAAGACGCTACTTGAGAGCGTTCGCGACCAGTACCTAGAGGGCAGTCGTCATGCCACGCTTGGGTTCCAGGAGATCTCGGATAACTGCACAAGCTGGTCGCCGCTTGTATCGTTCTTCTCGTCTATTGTGCATCATCATGATATTGAATACTTTGATAGCATTCCCTTTGCGGGTTCGGAGGCTCGCGTTGACTATACCAACCCGCATCCTGAGCCTACGAGTCCTACTCGCGTTGTGTCTTACACTGAGAAGGGTGAGACCTTTGTTGGTATCGAGGCTGATGAGGAGAGGCTGGAGTTCTGGGAGGAGAGACTGGCGGAGTTGGCCGCGGTGATCGAGAGTTTTGTGAAGGAGCCTGAGGCTTCTCTGTGAAATTGTAATTAGTGCAAATTTTGTAAATTCCAGATCTTGTGTTATTAAATCGTTATATCAGAATTCTTGCAAACTGAACCCTTTTCTGTAATTATTTGACTCTAGCTCGGTTTTCTTAGTATAATCTCGAGAGGGACAGCACCCTTAAGACAGCCCTGGAGGTCTATGCCCCAGGGCCGACCTGGACAGTTGATTGGCCAGGTATCACGTGATACCGTCGCCTCCTGATTGATAACCTCTTATCAGATCTGACGAACATTGTCTACCCCCTGCACCACACACATCATGGAACTCAAGCTCCTCGCCTCCATGGCCCGAGGCCAACCAGGTATTCTGCATCACTGCGTATGTCACCGGAAACCATGAATTACATCCCAACCTTCCAATCGCTAACATACCTAGACCGACACCCTCGTCGCATTCGAATATACCCGCAGCCACGTCCCAAAACCACACACCCTAATCTTCGTCGGCGGTCTCGGCGACAGCCTAGGCTCAGTCGACTACCTCAACGATGTAATCCGCGCCCTAGACCCAACCCAATGGAGCGTCTTCTCCCTAATCCTCTCCTGTGCCGGTGGCGGCTGGGGTATGGGCCGACTAGGCAAAGACATCGACGAACTATCCCAATGTGTCTCCTACGTCCGCGACTACAAAACCCCGCAATTCGGCACCGGCAAAGTCGTCATCATGGGCCATTCAACAGGCAGCCAAGACGTAATGCACTACATCAATTGTCCAAACCCACGCCCCGCACACCCGGTCTTCGACCGGAACTGGAAGCCCATTGTTCGCGTCCCCGTCGACGGCGCAATCATGCAAGCGCCCGTTTCCGATCGCGAGGGCATTCTTTGGGTTGTGAAGTGCGGTACTGCTCGCGATAGTCCCGCGAAAATGCGCGCTATTTATAATAAGGCTGTTGCGGATGCGCGAAGGGCTACTTATGATGATCATGATTCTGTTGATACTGTTGTGCCGCTTTCTGTGACTTCGAGGATTGGGTACCCGCCTTCTGCGCCGGTGAGTAGTCGGCGGTTTTTGAGTCTTGTTAGTCCGGATAGTCCGGATGATCCTTCTGAGGATGATTTGTTTAGTTCGGATTTGAGTGATGAGCAGTTCCGGGGCACTTTTGGGAAGATTGGAGAGAGGGGGGCTTTTGAAACAGAAGTTGCTTGTGCTTTACTCTGGGCGTGATCAGTCGGTGCCTCCTTGGGTTAATAAGGAGGCTTTGTTGAAAAGGTGGCAGACTGCTGCTGATGGAGATGGTCGGCAGATTTGGGATACGAGGAGTATGGTCATTCCCAATGCATCGCATGCTTTGAGTGATAGTGATCAGGCTGAGCCGAGGCGTATCTTGGTGGAGAGGGTCACTGCGTACTTGAATGATATTCAGCGCGGGTGATCGTCACACCGGTGTATATTTGTGTGACCGTGGAAAAGTTTGTTATAGCGTGGGCCTTGAATCAAATATAACTACGTTCTTCTTCAGGATTCACATCACATAGGTGAAGGCGACTTTGAGAAGCAATTTCTTTTGTTCCTTTAACTCTGGCTTCGGACTTCCAAGGTTGAGGTCCAGGGCTGCCCCCATCTTGGACAGGGAGAGTACGGAGTAGGGCGTGTGGAGTACTCCGTACAGGACGGAGTAGTCTCGACATCAAACTAGAGACTACGGGGTGCATTGTTCACCACTAGTCCTTTCAGACCCACTTGGGATGCCTATCAATTAAAGGAGACACGCACTCTCTTTATGGCGTGCGAAACAAGCCTAGTCGCTCTCAACGACAATATCAACACGGCAACACTAACGAACGTTAGCTTTTCATGACAGCTGCCTGTTACGCACTAGTCTTGAGAGAGGTCTTGGATTCGAGCAATGTGATATCCCATGCAAGGATTGCTTTGAGGGCCGAGTAAGAGAGATAACACTAAGCTGGCTCAGGTGGTCAACTGTCAGATAGATCTCCAGGGTTGTTTCACACGACACGTCAAGTCCACTTCGGCCCAGGCGATCTTTTGCCATCCCGTGCCAATACCCACTAGATCGTATATAGTTTGAATAGTCTAAATGGTAGATGCATACGGAGTAGCTAGCAAGGCCGGGTCGGGGTACGAAATAGAGTAAACAGTGAACAAAGCTACTCCGTACGTGTCCAGTGATTGACGGTGTGACGATCACCCCTTCGGTCAAGATGCTACTTGTAGCAATGGGAGGGCAACTCCTTGGAGTGAGTCTCTCCCAGGCCGAGTTATGGAGTATATCCACCGAGGTCCTCGTTCCCCTATCTCTGAGCTTGGACATGTTCACATGACCCCATCGGTGATCCCTTCAATAGCGCAACGGGAGGATCCCATAATTGATCCGCCACGTGCATCACAGTATCAATGCGCTGAAAATCGGGCATCGCTCGGCGAAGCCCTCAGATTGACGACTCCTTTTCTCTACTACTCCGTACACCGTACACCGTACACCGCACCTACACCCGCACATGTGATCTGAATACGAATGCGAACTCCTGCCCATCTTGACCATAGTACTCCGTACTCCGTGCTCCGTACAATGTACTCCATACACGATATCGGGCTCCAACAGCACGAATCAAACAATCTCGCCAAGAGAAGCAGTAAGTTTCCCAGATCCAATCTCCTGGGTCGCGTCCCTGCCGATCTGAGGCATGTCGCATGCATACACATCACGCACAGCACTTCATGCATCAGAACCGATCACATGAGAACCATTCAGACCAGGATACTCCATACTCCGTCCGTACTCTGTATGGCGAGTGGTGAGTGGTGAACGTCATCAGGACCGGACGAGACCAAAGCGGACCGTTGGAACTCCATCCAACGGCCGGGAAGGGCCGTTCGACGAACCCCTGTCATTGCAATTAAAACCACGGACTCGATTGGCGCGGTGCGCAGAGCTCCCCCTGGCGAGGCCGTTGGTCCGGGCCCTTCCGGCTGGACAGGGGGTTGAAACTTGAACGGGTACCCGACTACGGGATCCGGTGGGATTTTGGATTTTGGATTTGAATGTGGATTTGGATGTGGATGGATATGCTGAGATCGAGTAAGTGGCTACGCCGGGCTCCGCGGCTTCCGACCGGGTGGAAACATCCGGGAAGTGCAATGACAAGTAGGGAATACTCCGTACGGAGAGAGTAGGGAGTACAGAAGGGAAACGGGAAAAGCGAGGAAACGAAAAAGTGGACATTCTCTCACCCCTGGCCCGCGGCCACAGAACTGGGACGGGAAAATGGAGACTTGGGAAGTTTGTTGCCCAACTCGCTTTCCTTTTTTGGGTGGAAATTCAAAGAGATCGAGGTGAAAAAAGAAGAATTATACTAATTTACAGCCAACCAGGTAAGAGACTAAAAGAAACCAGATCGAGAGAGGAAAAGGGAAAAATAAAAGAGAAAAAAAGAGAAAAACCACAGTTATCCACCTTCCTGTCCTTGTTGTCCACCTTACCTTCCTGGCAGTCTCCGGGACGATCTATCGACGGGACCTTTTACGCGCCGTTCCGCGGGTGGACAGCATCGGTGGACCGGTCTGACATTGGAGTCAATCTACGAACCTCTCGTTGACCCTCAATTGACCCTCCATTGGCCCTCATCAAGGTCCGCTCACCAATGAAGCCGGACAAAAAACGTGGAAAACCAGTTCCCAGGCCTCACTAACCCGGTCGAGTCTGGCGTTGAAATTCCTCACGTTCCAATGGATTCCAGACGTTCCAGAATCACAGGTGATTGGGCTCCATCGACGTGCATGGCTTTCTTTTGTAGCGTATCCCAGGGCCATGGTGTGGTGCTCCTTTAAGCTAGGCAGACTCGGAGATTGTATGTGGGGGGATGACAATTGCCTTTTCGGAGCTTGAGATGGTTCGTACTGAAGTACCAGTTCCGGAGTCCGAGGTTTCCGGACCTCCCAGTGTACGGTGGAAGTACTCCGTCTGGAGGAAGAAGTTCGTCCAAGTACGGAGTAGAAGTACAAGTAGTCTGTGAGGACTCGAAGCTGAAACATCTCAAAACGTGCCTCGAGTCTCGCTTAATGCAGACAGCCTAGAGCTCTCCCCACAAGCTTCTTTTCCAAGAGAAATGAGACGGGGATTATCCACTGTGCCCTGTGCGTTTTCTCCTTTTTGTTGTGGAGCTTGTGGTTTGGACTCGAGGATTCTACCAGAGTATACCTTGTGCTCCGTACAGAGTCGAGTGTACGGAGTACGGAGGACTCCGTTGAAGTACATGTTCAAGGGGCAAAGAGAGAGAGAGAGAGAGAGAGCAGAGAGGTAGGTCATATCTACCTCTCACCATGACATCAAAAGAGATATAGCGAGTTTAGCAGTTTTAGCAGTTTTAGCAGGTTTAGCTTTTAGCATCTCTACCCGAAACCCGTCTCAGCAGAAATAATCGAATTGCAATTTAATATACTCAAAATGATGACAGCAGGGATACAGGGATGGGAATTCTTTGTGTAGATTCTATATTTTTTGATCAATTCACTATTTTGTTTTTTTTTTTTTTTTACTCTGGAGTACCTCTGATCCCTCTTGATCCCTCTTCTTTAGACTCTTAGAATCCTTTCCAACCCCTCTCTCCACTTCGTTCCAGCCACTGGACCTTCCGCACATTCCCCCCTCTCTCTCGCTCTCTCTCTCTCTCTCTCTTCTCTTTTCTTTCCTCGAATCCTCAGGACATTTCTCTACGTGATCTGTTTTTGACGTGACAATTGGGAGTCGCCCGTGAATCGCGTGGAAGCTCCCGCTTTTTTTTTTTTTTTTTTTGCCTCCCCCGCCTGGAACGTGGGCCACTTCACCCTTTCCCCTCCTTGCGCTTCAAATCTTCCCCTCTTTTCTCCCCCCTGAATTAGCTATAGGTATGTCGCAAGAGCCGCTTCGAATCGTGCATCCCTGACCTTCCTCAGATCTCTCCAACAAAATGTCTGGGAAAATGACGTTGTACAAGCTGGTGGTGTTGGGCGACGGAGGTGTGGGAAAGACCGCCCTGACCATCCAGGTAGGCCGCGAAACCCCCAACCACAATTCCCCTCTAACGCGAATCTAGCTGTGCTTGAACCACTTCGTCGAAACATACGATCCGACCATCGAAGACTCATATCGCAAACAAGTGGTGATCGATCAACAATCCTGTATGCTCGAGGTGCTGGACACAGCGGGCCAGGAAGAATACACCGCACTACGAGACCAGTGGATTCGGGACGGCGAAGGCTTTGTCTTGGTCTACAGCATCACCTCACGCGCCTCCTTCTCCCGCATCACCAAATTCTATAACCAGATCAAGATGGTCAAGGAATCCTCGAGCTCCGGCTCCCCCTCCGGGCCCAGCTACCTGAACTCCCCCATGAGCACCTCCAGTCCCGCCATGCCCGTCCCCGTCATGCTCGTCGGCAACAAGAGCGACAAGGCCGTGGAGCGCGCCGTCTCAGCACAAGAAGGCCAAGCGCTGGCCAAGGAGCTGGGCTGCGATTTCGTCGAGGCCTCCGCCAAGAACTGCATCAATGTCGAGAAGGCTTTCTACGACGTCGTGCGCATGCTGCGCGCACAGCGACAACAAGCCGCCGGTGGACGTGGTGCCGATCGCCGCCCGACGGGTTTCGGCTCCGGTCATCGCGATCGTGATGCAGGCCCCGAATACCCCAAGTCTTTCCGACCCGACAAGCGGCATCGCAGTCGACTTCAATGCACTCTTTTGTGATCGGCCGGATCCGTCCGGGAGTTCCCTTTCAATAATGGCTGTTTCCTTCTCCTTTTCCTCCTCTCCCTTCTTACACCTCTTCACGCGAAATCCTTCTCTTCCTTCATCCTCATCTCTCTTCCCCCCTCTTTTTATTTTGGTCCTGGGTGCATCTGGAGGGTGGTTCTGTCTTTTGGTTTAACTCGTTTGGCGTCGTTGGCTCCCGTGCTACATCATTTACGAGCGTGAAGAGCCCAAGTTTTTGGATACCCCATTGCGAGGACGGCATTGGACCCCAAAAGCCACAAAAAAAATATTCCGAAGCCAGACGATCGCGGTCGCGCATTAGCAGGCATTTCGATATGATACCCTACGACTGAGCTTTTTTCTTTTTCTTTTCTTGATTTCCAGCCAACTTTTGCGATATAGAACAATACAGGAATTCCCCTTAATGACCAATTGCGTAAAGTGCGGGGAAAGCACGGACGTTCGGTTGCATCCGACCTCGTCCACGTCGATCAGAGCTCTTGACATTCTTCTTTTTACCTCGGGTATTGTGTTCGTACTTTTGAAAGATGTCTCTCTTCTGTCTCACTGAGCCATTCTTTCAATTCCAACCATGTCCCAACAAATAGCCCACTCGCACTCCCTCTCCGACCCAGAAGCCTTCTGGTCCCATCACGCGAGCAGACTCCACTGGCACACTAAGCCCTCGCGAGCTCTGACTCAAAAGCCCAAGACCCTCCCAAGTGGCACCACCCACCAATCCTGGTCCTGGTTCGCCGACGGCGAGATCTCCACCACATACAATTGCATCGATCGCCACGTTCATTCGGGCCATGGCGAGAATGTCGCCATCATCTGGGAGTCCCCCGTCACCCACACAACCCAGAAATACACCTACGCCGAGCTGCTCGATGAAGTCGAAGTCCTCGCCGGTGTCCTGAGAGAAGAGGGGGTCCAACGCGGCGATGTTGTTATCATCTACAGTAAAGATCCCCACCTACCCCTCACACCTAGTAAGCGATCCCAAAAACGAGACCAATCTAACCGGACCTAGTGCCCATGATCCCCGCTGCCCTGATCGCCTGTCTAGCAATCGCTCGTCTAGGCGCAATCCACGCCGCCGTCTTTGGCGGCTTCGCTCCAGCCGCCCTGGCTCAGCGTATCGATGCCGCCCGTCCCCGCGCGATAATGACCGCCTCGTGCGGAGTCGAAGGCTCAAAGGGTCCGATCCCATATCGGCCCCTCGTCGAAGCAGCCATCAACGGTGCCTCCTTCAAGCCATCCAAAGTCCTTATCTGGCAGCGCGACCAGCTACGCTGGAACAACCCGGATAAGCGCAGCGGCCAGCGAAACTGGCAGAGGCTCATGAAGAGCGCGCGTATGCGCGGTCTTCGAGCTGACGCCGTGCCGGTCAAAAGCACCGACCCGTTATATATTATCTACACAAGTGGTGAGTCCGGTCTCCACCCGACCCGAAACCCCCAATTAATAGAAAGCAGGCACAACAGGTCTACCGAAAGGTGTCCTCCGCGAAGCGGGCGGTCACGCCGTCGCCCTGGAACTATCCATCAAATCCCTCTTCGGGATCCGAGGACCCGGCGATACAATGTTCTGCGCTTCGGATATCGGCTGGGTAGTGGGTCATTCGTACATTCTGTACGCGCCTCTATTAGTCGGCGCAACTACAGTTCTCTTCGAAGGCAAGCCCATCGGCACACCGGACGCAGGCACGTTCTGGCGAATTGTCGAAAAACATAATGTCAATGCCCTTTTCACGGCTCCGACTGCTATGCGCGCAATCAGGAAAGAGGATCCTGATGACGCGGTTATTGGACAGGTTGGAAAGCGAAATGGTTTGAAATCGCTGCGTGCGCTTTTCCTTGCTGGTGAACGCAGTGAGCCTAGTATTGTTCGCGCTTACCAGAGCTTACTGACTAAATATGCGGCGCCGGGTGCGCTGGTCATTGATAATTGGTGGTCTTCTGAGTCTGGGTCTCCGATCTCTGGTATCGCGCTGGATAGCGGTGCTGCGCTGGCCGGATCTGAGTATGGGTTTGTGGCTGCTTTGGTGCCGAAGGCTGGGTCGGCGGGGTTGCCGATGCCGGGGTTTGATGTTCGTGTTGTTGATGATGAAGGTGAGGAAGTGGCGCGTGGTACGATGGGGAATATTGTGATGGCGCCGCCTTTGGCTCCATCGGCATTTACTACGCTATTTCTGGATGAAGAGCGGTTTTATCGTGGGTATTTGCTACGGTTTGCTGGTCGGTGGGTTGATACTGGTGATGCGGGGATGATTGATGAGGATGGATACGTCCATATCATGTCGCGGAGCGATGACATCATCAATGTTGCCGCGCATCGATTTAGTACCGGTAAGCTATTTTTCTTCTTCTTGCTTCCCGTTCTCGTAATTGATAATATGGCTTTGAAACTGATGTTTGATTCCAGGCTCAATCGAGCAGGCTATCCTCTCACATCCGTCAATTGGCGAGGCTAGCGTCGTTGGAATCCCCGATCCGCTGAAAGGTCATTTGCCTTTCGCTTTTGTGCATCTCAAGTCCAGTGAAGGACTATTATCAGCGGCGCCAAGCAAGGAACTGTTCAACGAGGTGAATTCCCTTGTCCGTGAACAGATTGGTGCGATAGCATCCCTTGGTGGGATCATTCAGGGCCGTGGAATGATTCCCAAGACTAGGAGTGGGAAGACGCTCAGACGTGTGTTGAGGGAGCTGCTTGAGCATGCTGTAGAAGGCGAGTTCCAGAAACCTGTTAGTGTGCCGCCTACCGTTGAGGATGCGGAGGTTGTGGAGGTTGCGAGGGGGAGGGTTAGGGAGTACTTTTTGGCGAGGAAGTCGAAGCTTTAGACGAGCTTGGAAGTTCGAATGTCAGTGGGATTTGACAAGGCTCATTCATTTGACTGCTTGATTTTGTCTCATTTGGCTTGGGTGTATGGGTAAGGCAGGGTATATTGATAGCTTCGACTCTTAGCTGAGACCTCCTTTCGGAAATATTTGTGCCTATTCACTTCTCATGTCCAGCACATATTGTCCCGGGCCTAGACTGCAGTTTTGCTTTGACGGGCCATAAACCACGCCCCGAAAGAGACCAATGTGCCTAGCTCATGAGGAGATGATTGCCAAAGACATTACCAAAAAAGCCAAGAACGTGGCTCGGGTGGTTCGTGCGAATGCCTCCTGTCCCAGCCCTAGGGCTACATCGGCCTGGCGACGATATTGTAAGTTTGCCCCTTCCCTCTGTCTCGTAGAATTCTAGGAGATATAATCTGTATCGCGATCGGGATGAATGTGTAATAAACCAGTTGGAGATCCGTAGGTGGAGGTCATGTGCCCTTTCCTCTTTGGGCTACATCTCTTCAGTCCATAGCTCCTCAGCTCTCTCTCTCTCCCTCTCTCTCTTCTTCCTTCCCTTCCTTCTTCACGCACTTCCATAGACCTCAATACTACCTACCGTGTTGATCCCTTGTCCTCTGCCGACTGGCAGGTTATGAAGCTCTTTGCCTCGGTGTTATCGTACTAGTCGACGGTGACACCATCTCTCATTTCCGACTACTTGCGTCGTGGTCCTCACCGGCTCCTCCCGCAGAGCCTCATCTCAGATCGCTCTCGAGCTCATTATTTCATCAAGATTATCGCTGAATCTGACGGTTTGGCATTATCATCATTATCTCACTTACTCTTTCGTCTCACTCATTTCTTCACCGCAACTACTTCTGCCTGATCCCAAGGATCTCGAACACCTCACCTTACCTCACCTGACCTCACCATACCTGATCTACCGATCTTGCCGAATCCGGCAAGTTGGCAATCCACCACGTCAACTACCATAAATCGACCCTTGCGACGGTCGATACCCTTTTTCATCTTACCACATCTTACCAGATCCACAGAAGAGATGGATCCCGCCGCATACGGCGAACTCTTGAACGGGGCTAACCTTCGTGCCTCCCACTTCCACGTCTACGAGGCCATTCCTAAGCTTCGCGGCGAAGTAAATTGGTCGACGTGGAAAAGAGACTTTTGCGAAGCTCTCGAGGCCCAAGGCTCAGCAAATCTTGGGATCTTGCGCGGTGAGAGCACCGCCCCAACCGAGCCAATCGCGCAGGCTGTCACTCAAAGGGAAGCCGAAATCCTCTGCTACCAAGACGTTATGTCAACGGAAGAATTTGAGGCCTTCCGTACAGTAGACTACGACAAGTCTGCCACTTCCGGGGATCAAATGACCCGAGCACCCACTATCAACGCCAAATTGGCTTCCATTGAGGAAGCCAATGCTAAGGAGCGCGAGGTGTACGGCAAAAACCTTACCTCTTTCACTATCGCAGCAAACCAAGTTTGGCATTACATGAAAGCATGCGTTGGAGACAACGCCCTCGAAGCCATTGCGTCCATTCGGGACCCACACGAAGCCTTCGAAAGACTCCGTGTCTTGTACGGACCACCATCGCCCCAAATCAATATTCATCGTTGGAAGGCATTAGCCGAGATCCGCTACACTGGCAAAAATGCTGCTGAGTACATACGTCGCTTCCAACAGATCCGAGTTGAGTGGGAAGAGTGCATCGGTCACCGAGTCGATTTCGAAACCGAATACAGTGCTTTCATAGCATCAATTCTCGACAATCCCCGGTGTACTACTTTCGTCCAAAACTTCCAGCCAACCACCGCACAAGCGATGTACCATGATTTCCTTACTTCGGAAACCAACCAACAGCCCTTCCAAAGCTTCCGGCCTACCGAAAAGGGTGAATTTATCGATTCGCCAGAGCATACCATTCCCACGGTCTCCAGAAACAAGGGCAAAGAGGGCCAATCTGCCAAGGAATCCCCAAACTTCCAGCCTGCTGATAAGCCTGGAACTCGATGGTGCCCATATCACCAGCGATGGGTCAAACACGCCGAAGAAGACTGCCGCGGGAAACCAACCCAGTTGATCCCCGAGAATCGACGCATTGTCGCAGCTCCATACAGCCACAACACTGATTCAGTGCAAATCATGAATCAACTTAGTGATCTGTTGCCGTCAGCTCTCTATTCCCCAGATGTCGACCATCCCAGACTTCCAGTACGCACCCACGTTGGCACATCAACTTCCAATGGTGCTCAATACACCAATTATGCAGCTCCACACGTCGCATCCGTCCCCGACAACCCTCAATTGCGCCCAACCATTCCTCCTCGCTCCCTCCGGGTGATCATCGACCCTTGCCGCGACGAAGCTACAATTACCAATTTATTTGGCCACCGTGACCATCATTGAGGGTAGTCAGGGTAACGGCTTGAGGGCACCGGTGCCACCTTGCCTGAGCCAGATCTGCCAGAACCTACACCTACCCTACTTTCTGAAGAGGAGGTAGATGGGATTTACCCTAATAATCTTCACTCGACATTTCTTACTCTCTTGCACCATACCCCCACCCGCCGACACTTGCTCGCGCACCTACTCGCTCGAAACATCCAACCTCTAATCTTAATCTGCCCAAATAGTCAATTTTGCTCATTCTAATCAAATCCAATCCCAACATACGAACTCGGTTTGCTGATCTAGTAAGGGAATTCCTGTCCAACTAATTTCTCACTCAGTTGCCATAGTCTTTCCGCCTCAAGACTGCTAGTAGCCCATGGTAAAACCGTGTCCTCGAGTGGATCAGCAACGTGGCAGTCGATCAGGTAGCCCCCATTATTGGCTGCCAATAGTCAGCATGTTGTAAAGCTTTCCTCTCTCTGGACGGGAAACTGTACCCTTGAGACCTGGGTCAAATGCGGCATAAATGTGGGTTGCGGCTCCTCTTTCAAGTGGCTTTGCTTCGAACTCTTTCCAGCCTTCGCGATTACCCAGAGATCTGTCCGCGTTTTCTAGCAAAAGTTGGTTAGTTTCGAAGGCCTGATATCGATGGGTGGGTCTGGGGTATTTGTGCGAGGGGGTAGAAAAAGATTGAAGATTTTCTTACTCAGTCCATCAAGATCCACGCTCCAGTCCAGGTGATTGCCCAAATTAGTCCAGATGACTCCTGGGTGAAGGCTGAAAGCCTGGAGATTATGTTTTATCCCAAGCTTTTGGGCTAGAGAAATTGCAAACAGCATATTCGCAGTCTTGCTCTGACCATAGCCGAACCAGCGATCGTACGTTTTTCCATCCTGTAAATACGGGTTATTGTTAATGTTGTTTCACAAAGTTTTGTCTCCCTGGTGAGCGGAGCGCATCTAGCTACCTGTCATTAGATGATGGAAGAGAAAGGATACTCACATCGAAGTTATAGTCATAGAACCGGATTGGATGCATCCGATGACCATCGCTACTGACCACCGCAATTCTCGGCTCCTTGGCAGCCAAAATCTTCTTAATGATCAGATTGGTGAATAGGAATGGGCCGAGATGGTTCGTGGCTAGATGGGACTCAACGCCCTCTGGTGAGAGCGAGTAGTCCACTGCCATGATACCGGCATTGTTGACTAGGACGTCAATGACGGGAATGTCATCCCAGGAATTTACTTGCGCTGCGGCTTCTCGGACGCTTTTCAATGAGCCCAAGTCAACTTGAAGGGTACGGACTTGGATATCCGGCTGGGCTTCGGTAATTTCTGCGGCCGTGTTCCTCAGCTTTTCGGTATTGCGGGCGGCTAGAATTATCCATGCTGGTTTGGCTTTGGCGATGGATTGAACAAAGAAACCACCCAGGGAGCCCGATGAGACGCCTGTGGTCAAAATGACCTTGTCTTTGATTATGGCGGTGTAATCAGTGACAAGCTCATCGGTAGTAGTGTGCGTATTGTAGGGGGCCGGCATTGTGAATGACGAATGATGGTGGTGGATAACTTTGGCACAGTAGACTGTAAAGAACGATGAAATCGCTCTTTGAGTTGTCCAAGGGAGAGTAGATGAGAAAAGAGAGAAGAGGGGTTTCACCAGAGTGTCATTGATTTATAATCTATCCGTAAAGTTCACAGTTTACTAGGATCTCGAAGGCATCTACGGAGTTAACGGAGAAAAGCCCTGGAGATTGCATGTGCAGCTAGAGCTAAGCTTGGCTCCTGGATCAAAGGTACTGATGTGTATTGAATTATAAGCTGATTTACGCTCTTGATACCGCAAAATAAATAGCCCGCCGTTCTGCCCCAGCCTGAAGCTGACACCCGAATGTAACGGAGGTAATAGAGGTAATGGAGAGTGAAGACGTGCCCAGCAGATGACCTCATAGTAAGCAACCTCTCATCCAATGCAGACAGCCCTCGGGTTGGTTCCTCACCGCCTGTGGTAGATTTTCAATGGCATCTCAGGCTACCCCTGTCATACACGTACGCACGCAGGAGGAAGGTATTTCCTTCGGGTCGACAACTCGGCGTGGCAGCCTCGTCCCGTTGATCTTGGTGATTGTACTCCGTATAATCTAAGAATTGTTAAGAGAGTCAACCTTGGAATATGCTGGGTTAGAGCATGCTAAATAATCATCCACGATCATGGGCCAGGTAGGGTGATGCCCTATCATTATTCCTTGCAGCCCTAGCTATGCGGGAGCTTGGGGCCAATTAGGGTTCGATTGTTCGGGCCGGATTACGCCTACCGAGAAATTGCTAGTTTGCAAGGGAGTAACGTCAAGAACTAAAATAATCAGGCCAAAATGGCAGAATGATCGCATGAAATTAGACATTGACTATTGGCTTGGAGATAAAGGAGTGTTGCTCTACCGTTTCGAAGAAAAAGGCCTCCCCACTCCACACCGAGTTCGCCGTAAAACTCGCCGAAGGGTCAGATGGTCTGAGATGATCGCTTTACCTTGCGACGCTACAGCCTTATTCGTCCACTCACGATCAATAACTCAAAGATTTCTTCCAGGAAGTCAATCCTCAATAAAGAGCGGGAATGGATGCACACAAGGAGATGGTTTATTCTTCACTCCGAACACTCCGAGAATACCTCCCATTCGCGTATAAATACACAGATTGAACTCATTTCGAGTGGCCGAAGTTTTAAATCTCGTCTCTCTACCAGACTACATATCTGGTCTGCAACCTCACCTTGGCCAATTCTTAAATATCACCATCCGGTGTTACTCCACCCTGAAACTTCGAATCCATGGTGATGCCTCCTCTCACCGCGGCGAATGTCCAGCATCTGCGCGCAAAACCGGCTCCGTTGCCAAAAGGACTCGCGCCAAATACAAGCTCAAATGCTTTCAAATCGCCACACACACGCGCCCAGCCAAAATCGAAGAGTCTAGATCATCACTTCAGTATTGAATGCGCCGGCTTCAACGGATCTGACATGAAAAAGTCTGTGAGCCTTTCTAGCAGCAGGAATGTCATCTCTCTTGGACCTGGCAGACCCACGGCAGGCTACTTCCCTTGGGAACGACTTGCAATTGAGACAATTGAACCGACTGGACTTATACCCTCTGCTCAGAAGAGCGTTGTGGCGCCACTCATTCAGAGCATTTCTAAGAGTGACGACGAATACAACCTCTCGCTGGCCATGGATTATGGCAACGCTGTAGGATCACCACATTTGCTCCGATTCATCACTGAGCATGTGGAGATTGTCCATGATCCTCCATACGCCAACTGGGGCACTTGTCTCACTGCCGGCTCAACCTCGGCCATGGAAATTGTCTATCATATTTTCTGCAATAGAGGTGACAACATCCTTATGGAGGAGTATACATACCCGGGGACGCTCGAGGGCGCTAAAGCACTTGGTCTTAAGATCCATGGGGTGCACATTGATGCAAAGGGTGCAAACGCAGAGCACCTAAGCCATATCTTGAGCACATGGGAGATCCCCCGGGGACCAAAACCAACTGTCTTCTATACAATACCATCTGGACAGAACCCGACCGGTACAACTCAGTCGCTCGAGCGAAGACAAATGATATATGCAATTGTGGAAGAGCACGATCTGATCATCGTCGAGGACGACCCTTACTACTTTCTGCGAGCAGGAAGCCGCGCAGAGGAGCCGCGCAACTCAACTTCGATACCGAGATACTTGTCCCTTGATCCATCAGGCCGTGTTGTGCGATTGGATTCTGCTTCCAAAATTCTCGCGCCCGGTTTACGTGCTGGCTGGATAACTGCCAGTGATGTCGTAATTGAGAAATTTATTGCATACCAAGAGGTCAGCACCGTATCATGTGCGGGGCCATCTCAGCTGATGCTGTGCAAACTGCTGGATAAAAGCTGGGGTCATGACGGATTCTTCACTTGGCTAGACAATCTTTCTCTAGAGTACCAAAGACGCCGTGATGTTCTTGTGGATGCTTGTGAAAAGTATCTGCCCGGGGATGTATGTTCGTGGGTGGAACCAGCATATGGAATGTTTCTCTGGATAACACTCGATTGGAAGAAAATCCACGGGCTTCGGATCCAGACAGATCAAAACAATCCTCAAAAATCCATCGGCGATATCGAGGCTAGTATCTATTCCACAGCATTGAAAAACGGTGTGCAGGTAATGAAAGGCTCTTTGTTCAGATGCAACGAACCCCTTTCAAGTGCACTTCATTTCCGGATGACATATGCGGCTGCGGCTGAAGAAGATCTGGAAAAGGGTGTCAGAATATTCGCAAATGCTGTTAGAAATGAGTTTGTATTGAGTGGCTAGAGCTATGGTCAGGCTAGGTTTGGGTCAAACGCGCCAAGGGATGGATGATTAGCTAGATTCTGCCAAAATCCCGCTTCAAAGTCTCATAAATCTTGCCCGAGCATAGTGGTCCAGTCTTCTACTTCGCCTTGGCCTTCATACCTTTCTCCTAAATTGATATCAGGAGACCCACAATAGAAAGAATCGAGTAGCCTTTGGATGGTTTCCGTTGCTTTCGAAAGTAGCACATATATCGGATCCCCTGTGTTGACGATCGTTCCCCTCTGAATTTCAGCAACGTAAAGACTCATATCCTGCAAGACTCTGGTTCTGGACATCCCAGCTGGCATTGGGGTATTTCGTTGTCCAAGCATTGCGATTACCATCATGCCAGCAGCCGGCAATCCATAATGAGCGACCTGAAATAGCAATAAGTATTCATCAATTTCACTTTCAAGCTCGAGGGCTGGTAAAATCTACCTTCCAGACGAGACTCGTTCCGGAGTTGACAATCTGGTCTCGTGCTAGAATTAGTTCAACAACAAGAGAAAGCATCTCTCCCGCTATTTCGATGATTGTGTTGTCCGGCTCTGAGAGGGTGCTCGGCATAAGAAGGCGTAGCAAAAATAAGACATGAAGATGATTGAGCCGGGTACTGAATAGAAAGTCTTTCTGAAAAGGGGAGTGGTGGTCGGAATTTGGGGATGATCTCTCCAGTCTGAGCTGAGAAGGAAGAGCCTCCCACTGTTCCTCTGCTCGGAGTTTAATGGCTCTGTGCTGATAAGTGATGTGCTAACATTGTGGATTGGAGAAGAAGCATACCCAATTCGCTCTGAACGGCCTTCAATGATTTTATCCCGTGCTAATTCGAGGATCTCTTCTTTCAAGAAAGCGCATAAAGCCGACCATCTGGTTTCCGCCAGAAAGCTTGCATCTTGATCAGGGTCCCATGTGTCAAGGTTTTGCTGCGGAGCTGGAAAGCTGGATGGGATTTGGAAATTCGAAAATCGTTTACTCATACGAGGAGGCCGGCCCAAGAATGTCGAAACATTCTTGTCCGCCGAAAATATCCGGGCAAATGCTGTTTTTCGTAATTGAGCCAGGAAAAAGGGTACATCAGGTTTGGCGTCGATATCTTCATGATACCCAATAGCAAATATAGACGATATAACGTCTCCGATCTTTCGCCAGGAACTGTAACCTTTGAAATAGTGAGTGTCAGTGTCTAAGGGGAGCTGAAGAGAAAGACTGACTATGATCACCGTCAAGGAAAGAATGCATGATAAAGTTCTCGTATTGTAAGATGAGTTGAATATCGTTCAGGCAGTCCAGCGACAATGTAATGTCCAAGGCACAGTCGCTTAACTTTGTGGCAAATCTCTGCAAACTATACCTTTTTTCCCTCGTCATGTACAGTTTTGGAAAGAAGGCAATGTCAACAGTCGCGCGGCTGACGGCTAAAAAGAATATACCAAGAGCCTCCCATCGAAAGTTCGCATCCAGCATTTGAGCGGAGTATTCACGGAGGCTGGTATTTGCGTTGTGAATAAAAGGCTTGGTCGAGTTTTGCAAGAGCAGCCTGGCGCAGGCTAGGTGCCAGTCTATATCTTGCGAAACAGAGGCGAATAATTGTATCACATTTCGCGTGCACAGCTCAACAAAAGGCTCTGCGAGGGCCAGATTTGCTCCCTTGGCGAGCCAGAACAGAACGAGATCTTCCATGGCACTCAATTTGTATTCCTCTGTAATAAGCAAAAGATTCTTGGCACCTTCGGTCAAAGCATTTTCATCCACTATCTGGTAACATGATGGCAATGATAATCCGGCTTCTGAATCATCGCCTGTAATGGAGACAGGTGCGTGATCTGCCGATATATGATGAAAGATCGTGGTATGGCTAGAGGAGCCAAAATAACCTGGATTCGGATATGGATTCAGCCTGGGGCTAATCGCCAAGTCTGCTTGAGAATCTAAATAAGAAACGCTGACACCAGTAGGAAGTTAGCCTAGATCTATACCCACATGGGGCTCAGCTCACTGTGGGCCTTACCGTGAGCTCGCTCCAAGATGGTCGGGATCAGTAGTCCGTTTTCTCTTAAACGGAGAAACTCTGTATATGCAGATGCCAGCTCGATTGCTATTTTCGCAGCGTGTACATGCTGGCCGTTTATGGTCGCAGGCCAGCTTTGTTTTCCTGCATGCCTCACATGCTGCTAATCGAGATGACATGTTTTATGGGCGAAGCTGTTGAGTGGCTTGCAAAGCTGATCAGTCACAGTCACCGGGCGATAATGGGAAGGGGATAGATAATAGTCCCATCGCATTCGGACCGCAAAGTCCGAGTGTTCGGAGTGTTACTCCCTTTCGCGCACTGCACCCTTTTTTTTTATTTTTATTTTTTTAATATTTTTTCTCAATTGAAAAGCACCGCGACATCACCAGAGCCGTACGCAACACAGGTCATACCAAACACCCGATTATGAAACGGACCTATCCACACGGACATTCCCCTGAGGTGGCATATCCGTTGTGGGACGCGAGCATCCACAGGATATATATTTTAAAAAACATGGGAAAAAATACAAAAATTACACATTCTTGAGACCTCAGGGGCCATTTTACAGCCACGAATGAAGTTTGAGCAATTTAATCCAAGAACTTATCGTTTCCAAGGCCTCTGGTCTATACCACTGGTACAATAATTGACTTACAAGTGATGGTTGCTTAGCTATTACCTAGTCAATACACCATTGGGTCATGAAGCCAGAAAAAGCAAATCTTTCACGGAACAGCACGAGTGGCTCAGCAGCTCGAGGCTCCGATAAGGTAGGTCTGTCTCCACACAGACCCACTTTAAGGCCGGCTGGCCCAATGGCAAGGCGCTTGACTACGAATCAAGAGATTGCAGGTTCGATCCCTGCGTCGGTCAATCTTTTTGTGCTTTTTTTTTTCTTGTTTTGTGCAAAAGTTCGCTCAACCTTTGGTTAAAATCCATCCATGAGTTGTCTTAAGTTATGAAATATCACTGCAAGACTGTTTTGTGGCTCTTCGTGTTTGGTGTGGATATTCCATGGTGAACGAAAGTCTCCCGCCTGTTCTATACAGCTCTATCTCGTTTCAAGATGGTCTGCTGGACAATTGACCTCGATTGACAGTGATCACTGTCGTAAACATGTGAGCTTCATCGAAGCAAGCATCCCAATTGGTCTTTCCAGAAGCCCAGAATCGCTCAAGGACTTCCTTAGCTGCGATTGGGGAATATGTGCCAAAGAAAGCACTCAGATCGATCATCTTCTCACAAACAAATCCACGCAGAGCAGGACTCCCATCCACTGATCGGACACCAAGGACTACCAGGGGCCAGAAAATATACCCACGAGGCCTTGATCTCAATGCTTTCTCGAGCAGTTCGTGTAGAATCCGTCTTTCCATATCAGAATTCTTCCTCAACAACGAGTCTGATGGTAGATATAGCAGTATATGAAGAGAAGACATGCAGTATAACGCAACTGCACTTTGATAGATGTTTATCACCAATCTTCGTTCATCGGTAAGATATTCATTTGACGCCATCCATGCATCTGGTGAAAAATGATAGATGCGGCGCAGGATCTCGTACGCATCTGTCCGAAGTTCATCTTCATTCCCGCAATTGAGCTTCGGGATTTGGGACCGAACATGATTGATCTGGATTATTTCGGCGAAGAGTGGGGCGGGGCACATCTGAAACCCATATCCATTGCCTCCGTATTTCTTGACTATCTCATATAATTCGTCGATGTCCAAGCCCTCGACCAACATATCAGATGCCGGAGATGTGGTATCGGCCGTTACCACGATGCTATTCAGTCATTAGCATGAGGGAATGGGAATTAATAAATAGCCACCCACTCACTAGATGAATGAAAGAACTATTGGCAGTACCCCGGGGGATGTTGCGACTAGCCGGCGCACGCCACCGCGCAGAATGATCAGCCTTCGGACCCCTTCGATGTGATACCGCCAATGCTGCGAGATGCCTTGCTGAGCCTGGCAAAAAGTGGTTGCTTAGAGAATATTCCATAGAATGACTGGAAGTAGTCAATACTTACATCCGCTAGCATCAATGTAAGAATTCCGGCCAGAACGACATCGTCACTGCGTTTGTCTTGAATACTGATATCGTCATTTAAGGAACGGATCATGAGACCTCGGTAGCGAAAGAATGCTTTCCCTAGCATGGTTGAATCTGAGCCATGCCCCATTTGGTTTATTCTATGACTGAGAGTCATGCAGATGAAGCCGAGTTGAAGATGCGTGGGTCTGGTGAGGCCGAGCCGGAATGATTTTGGCGAAAGCTTGTATATATTGGTATTGGGACCGAGGCGTAATGATTCCGCCAACTGTGGGTACATGCAGGAGTTGTCTATAATGAAGTGAGCCTTTGTAGTATGCAAGTCCAGTGATCGCCTCGTACAATAATTCAAAGAATCGACCAGAGCGTCAACATCCGTTTTGAGATGACGACTAGGGACAGTCACATTGCGTGTCTCATCCGAAAACCGCAATACTTCATTCAAAGACTTCATACTTTCTTCGTTCTTGTTTTCGCAGTGGTCAGAGCCCATAGTTTTTGAGCTGACAATACCTCTCTTCCGGCGATCCGAAGAGCTTTTAGGCGGTTGAGACGAGACCTTTCCCGGGTCGAGCCACCTCAGCCGCAACGGTTGAGTCTCTCCATACCCAGGGCAGTCAATTCCCGAATCTGCGCACCGGTCACAGCCCGGTCTTCCAAAATCACAGACTAAGCGACGCCGGAGACATTCCCAACAATGCCTCTTTCGAATTTCCACCATCTCGGTAGCGCAATTTTTGAGGTAGAAGCGAAAGCTCTAGTGAGGTGTCAGAAAACAAGGTGAAGTTGCCGACAAGAAACGACCCAGCTGTTTTTGGGTGGACCCCGGAAGACACGGTGGGCTTGCCCGCGGCCCCCAGAAAACCCCACCGGTCGGAATCCAGTAAAGAGCATTGAGCCGGCTGAATCAGAGAAAGGAATCAGCGCAAGTGGGCAAACTCGTTATTTTCACGCCAGTCAGCTAAGCTTTCAAGTGAGTTATTTGACATGACAAGCCGACTGCATAAGTGGAGGCTTGATTGGGCTAAGCCTCTGGCCCGTACGGAGTACTCCGTACAAACACGGGCTATCGGGTTGTCCGGCGCGGGGGCCGGCAGATCAGCATTTGGTAGGCTCTCATAGGCCCCCGCGGAGTTTGTTTGCGCGAAGTTGCGCGGAGTCTCCAGAGCATGCGTTGTCCCAGGCTGATATGCCGTGGTTCCAGTCCGATTCGCAGTACCAACACACCAACGGGCGCTCAAGATCAAGCGGGAATTGAGTTCTGCGGGCCATGGAAATTCAATTTGAATTAAATAGTAACCATTGGTATGTTTTGACTTAATTTTCAGAAGTAATGAATTGTGAACTCATCGGTAACACACAAGCACGGCTGAATTCACATTTGGTTTCCATGGCCAAGGCAGAAATAGAATATGTGATATAGTTATTCACTTCACATGACACCTAGCTGACACGATCGCTTAATCTGGCCTGTGGTAGGTCCTCCGATCCAGCTCGAGGTTGATCTGGCCTCTCTCGGTACCGTCTCGGTGGGGGCGTGGAGGGATGGGTCGCACCGAGGCGGCTCCCCACCCCCGAAGTGGTTAAAGCTGGGGGCTGTCACCCAACATTGTCAGATCTAAATCAAATATTGGAAGGCTTTTCGGATGGTATAACACGGATAACCTATCGAGGGAGACAGATAGAAAACTCTATGGTAGCTAATTTGATATACGGAATAACCAGACGTAACCCACTTGTTGTCCGGAGACAAGAAGGCTTCACAAGAAAGTCGCGAGGCTTATTTTGCGCGTGTGGCGTCGTCCAAGCAAGCCAATCTTGCGGGCTACCGTGCTTTTTTGTCCCAATTTGTGGTCCGAGCGTAGATGTGCGTGGAGCAATCGCAATTTGCAAAGATTGACTTGATTTTAAGCTCGCGGGAATGCAAAGCACAGGGGGTTACCATACCACACCGAGGCTGGTGTAGAGATAGTGGTACGGAGTAGCCTTTTCAAACATTAATTGATACAGGAATTATTGAAGTGCACACAAGAGATTGTAGAGCTCCCCTGGTGATTGATCATAATTGACAGGCTGTGGCTTAAAGGGGGAGACCCAGCAATAATTCCTAGGAGAGTGGAGCATGATGATCGGCAGCTCCAGCAGGAGAACCAGCTAGGCATGACTGCAGTCCACAAATACGCATTCACCACTCACAGCTTCAGGCTAAAAGATAGTCCTGCATAAAGCGCCCCAATCAGATTGTAACATGCTGTGCGCATCGCTTACTCGAATCTGACTTTGGCTTTAAAGAATCGAACAGAACATCTAGCCCAAACTTACTGAAGTGCCGTCCTACTCACGTGTTGAATGCATGCTTGACGAGTCGCAGATCTTATTTCATTTCCGATCTCCCCTTCTTGTATTTTGCCGACTGCGTGCTCCGTCCGTAAAGCTCCCTTAAACACCCATCTGTGTCACAAGAATGGGTATCACTCCAGGTAAGTCAATTGCTACTTCCTTCAGTTTCCATCCCTTGATGACTGACCACTGGCAGAGCATGATGCCGACGCAAAGCCAACCTCAAGTCTACCAAGCGATGAGGAAGGCCATGTTTCTCCCTCGAATGTCGACGATGCGGCGCTTGTCCGCAAAATCGATATGCGTGTAATGCCGATGCTGTTTGCGATTTATTTTGTCGCCTTTTTGGACCGGTATGCCACTTGACCCTTCGACTTTTGATATTGTGATCGCTATTCCTTCAATCTATCGGCACATCTCAACCCTTGATTCAGGCTGACCCCGCCCCAGAGTCAATATCTCCAATGCGCTCACAATGAGTATGCCAGAGGATCTCAACCTATACGGCGACCGGGCGAACATCGCCCTGCTAATCTTTTATATCCCATATGTTCTTCTCGAAATTCCCTCTAATATAATCATGAAAAAGCTCAAGCCCCATGTCTGGCTGTCTGGCTGCATTGTCGCTTTTGGCGTTGTCATGCTCGGTCAGGCCTTTACTCAGAACTACGGGGGTCTGATTGCGACTCGATTCTTCCTGGGACTTGCGGAATGCGGTATCTTCCCCGGAAGTTTCTATCTGATCAGTTTCTGGTACAAGCGTGCGGAAGCACAGAAGCGGTTTACGATTTATTGGTCGTCCGTCATCTTCGCTGGTGCCTTTGGGGGTTTGATCGCCTCCGGAATCGCTCAGATGGATGGCATGCGCGGCCTCGAGAATTGGCGATGGATCTTCTTGCTGGAAGGCATTGCATCCATCCTGGTCGGAATCGCCGCATTCTTTTTCTGCGCTGATTTCCCTCAACAAGCATCTTGGTTGAATGAGGACGAGAAAGCTGCAGTGATTGCGAAAACACGCAATTATGAAGATGGCGACGAAACTGTCACAAAGTCTGATTTGGCCGAATGTTTCAAAGACCCCAAGTCGTATCTGGCGACGATAATGTATTTCAGTGAGTTAATTTTGTGTCAGAGATGCATTTCGTTCAAACTGACTCAGGTGAACAGCCATTGTGATACCAATCTACGCTTTCGCGTACTTTGCGCCAACAATCATCAAAGCCTTGGGGTACGGGACGATCCAGACCCAACTCCACAGCGTACCGCCATTCGCCGCTGCGATCGGACTATGTATAGTGACAGCATACCTCTCGGATCTGTGGAGCATCCGTCTACCGTTTATTCTATTCGGTGACCTGCTGATCATAATCGGTCTGGCGATTATGCTGACCACACATGGCGCCGGCCACTTCTCTGCCGAGTATCTCGGCATCTGCTTCATAACCATGGGCGCCTTCAGCGCCGGCGCTGTTATCATCTGTTGGGTCCTGATGAACATGCAAGGCCATAAGCAGCGCAGTATCGGGTCCGGTTTGGTGATTGGTGTTGGCAACGCAGGTGGTATCGTCGCTGTCTTCTGCTTTACCAAAGATGATGCCCCCTTGTACAAGCGTGGATATTGGATTCTGATGGGTGTCACGCTTGCTGGTACGGTGACAACAGTGGTATATGGGTTGGTTGTTGCGCGTGAAAGGCGTCGTCAGATTCAGGTAGAAGGCAGGACGGATAAGGAGAAGATCGTTTCCCTTTGATGTTGTATAGCTGTTGGGCTGCTCCACTGCCAAGGTGGTGAAAATGACATACAATCTTCCTTTCGGATAATTTCCTTCATGACTCAATCGGATCAATATATCTAATTTTGACTGCGTATTAGTTATTAAGACTGTCACTACTCGTCTCGTTGCAGACCAACCACGGAGGGGTCGCCCGGGCGGTCTTGAGTACAGTTCCTGCGCACTCAGGGACCCTTTCGGTTTTCTTCAGGGTGACCCAGATGTTCAGCCATTGTGATTTTAGATCTTTTCCTCGGATTTTGAAAAATAACTTCATGGAATTGACATAACGTTGAGCTGGAGGCCGTGGCTGCCAGATTGGTCAAGCCCCCAAAGGTAGATTAACTAACTAGTCGCGGGTCGAGGGCTTCTTCTCTCTCTCTCCACTCTTCTCTACTGAAGTCACCCACAATGCATGGTATTGAAATTCCTACATTCGTACTCTAATGCTCTCGATATGGTGCGAGGTGTCGTCTTGTTCGGGGCCACAACGAGGCAATCAGAAAGACGGGGCACATTGCTGCCCGAGACCCCCCACCAACGGCTCGCTTGGTCCCGAAGGCTTAGGCTGCCCCCCCCCCCCGGGGCCAGCACGGCGCACGTTGATGGGCTGCTGCCACATACGGATACAAGTGGTCCGCCAAAACACTGACATATCATGTGAAGGGGAGTGGGCCACATTGCTTCGCTTTCCCCCTGTCTGTCAGCGACCGTGGGAGGCTGAGTGGCAACCCAAGCCACAGAAAGTATTTGGAAGACGATCGACATGGGGCCAAAAGCTGCGACCGAGTCTGTGCCACAAAAGCTTCTTCCATTCTCTGTACGCCTTATGCAAGATTTGTGAGTCAAGGCTATCTGGGTTGGACCATTGGTCTTCAACTTCGTACATTAAACCGCAGCGCGTACCTGGCCTTCGACGTGTTGTTGCCTCGCACAGCTTAACGCATCCACATCATGCAGCACGAGCACAAGGCTGAGCGAGGCCCACGGGGCAAATATTCACGCTTAATTTGTCAAGGCTGCAGGTCGAGAAAGATTAAGTGTGTACTGCCAAGTCCTATGAAAATGGGTCCCCTGGGCGTTCCTCAGCCACCAGAAACTTCTTGCGAACGGTGTCGCAACTTGGAGCTGGAATGCATTGTTGAGCGGACAAGTCTAGGGAGGCCAACTGGAAAGTCCAACCAGCGAAAAGCCCCACAAAGCCAACGGTCGGCGTCTCTGAAGGATCCAGATCCAAAAGAGGATGACGTCGCTAGTGCCCTCTCGGATCTGGACATAAAGGAACATTTGTTCTCTAAAGGCGAAGACGCAGATTCTCCGCTTAACAATGGCAATGATCAATCACAACAACCGGCCAAGAAGACCGTTTTTCGGTCCATGACTGAAGTCAATGCTTTCATGTCTTCTGTTCTGGAGAAAGATGCCAGATTCGGATCCGAAATTACTCAACCAACGACGCGCTGGCGTGGATCTCTGTCAGATCTTGTCAGCAAGGATATGACCATTCTACTAGACAATTAGTGAGTGCTTTGACGGTATTGCGACAAGATTTGCTAAATAGTATCTAGTTTATCTTGGCATCGGTTTCTTCTCCCGAAGCTGCCCACTCTTGCCGACCTAAGAAACAGGTTGATCTCAGAAGAATTGTCAACTGGCAATCATGCGACGAGCCTTCTCTTTGCCATTCTTTGCATGACATCCTTCGATACAGCTGAAGGGTTCTCCAAACAATATCCAAAACTGAAACAAAGCCTCCAACATGCCGTTTCATCATACGGACAAGAATTCACTATTTGCCCACCAACTCACCCAGATTCTATCACTGTCTGTCTCTTCCTGATTGAGTTCCGGCCAACTATGCTGTCCACTTGTCAGTTTGTTGCGCACAAGGCAGTCAGTCCTGGCATATACATCAATCTGGCCTATAGAATTGCACAACGACTTTCCTTGCTACCCGCACCGGACACCTCTATATTCCACCAGCTCATGAACCCGCAGGCTCCAAACTTCGAGCGATGCTTCGCCAACTCCGTGCAAGAGCTCAGAATTCTTTCGCTCGAATGTTGTCTAGATGGCTACCTGGCACAGCCTCTTCCAAAGATGCGCAGGCTGATCCAGCACATACGGCCTCATATCAATGCTTATCAACATCTCTTACAACAACGAGAGTGCTCACCAAGAGTGGTATTCCACATCCAATGGAACATGTCATTTTATCTAATGATAGAGGGGCTCATAAATGCAAAGCAGTGCTGGAGTACCCCGGAAAGGTTGTTCCTCGTCGTGGAAGACATGGAAAGGAAGTGCTTCGAGCAAATCAACGTCTCAAATTGCCTCCTAGTGGACCCTTCCAGCCAAGGAGATTTGGAGGATATACCAGCTGCTCGCTCCCTGCTTGAGATGAAATTCCACAGAGTGTTTGCCGGAATCTGTGGTCTCGGCTTATTCTATGCTGCCGTGCAGAGAAAAAGACTCTTCGAAGGAGAAAACATTGAAGATCCCGAAGTCCATCCAAAAGAGTCCCTGCACATCGTGGACCAAGTCGCCGAAAGCGTGAAAAGTCCACCCAACGCTCCAGGCCAGGCTTTTTCTGTATTTCTCCAACGCTTTGGGACAAGCTATCCCGATCAACTCGTGCGCGTCTTGGAAGTATTCCTGGAGTGTGCGGAATCGAAGCTCGGCGGCATTACATTCAAAGCACCCATCCAACAAGTCCTCTACGAGATCATCTTCGTATGTAAAAACATTGTTGAAAACAACTTGGTCCAAGTACGGGTTTTCGGACGCCTCGCACGGAATTTCGAGAAGCAAATGGATGTATTTCCTAGATGCGCGAGTTACATCGGTAAGATGGCCGCGTCACCGTGGACATCAACTGAGTCTGCCTTTGCGACTGGTTGCGTTTATGCCGCGGGTAGCAAGATTATCTATGCATTTCACAATATTCTTGAACGGCTGAGGGAGGAGGTAGCCAAGGGCGCACAGTGCGATGGAAATCTGGAACTGTTCCATACGCCCCCTGATTTGAGTGATTGTTCTTCCATGGGTATGGACTTTGATAATTCCTCTTGGGATGCATGGAATTTATGGCCTCATGTGGGGTCGTTCAGTCCTTTTGAGACTTCGCTGGAGCATTTCGATTTGGTGCCGGAATTGAACTGGGACAGCCTGAACTATGACAGTTATTCTGAACCAATGAATCTTTATGGCATGTAAAGGCGACTGGGATGGATAATCAGATGTGATGTGATGACTCGGCGCCTGTGACATGAAACGCCGAAGGAAGTTGAAACGTTGGATAACAAAGTGTTTGTTCGAAATTGATGCCAATCGAGTTTTGATCAGTACGCTCATTGAACGGTAGTCGATCTTGTGCATAATTCATGGTCTATATCCTGCTAAACGAAATTCATATGTAACTAAAAAAACAAACAAAGCAGCCAGATGATCATGCATCGTCACTAGAGCCAGAACTAGTTTCATATGTGGCCGCGTCCGCTTCCTTTTGCATCTGATGTCTCAACTGTGCCTTCTGTAAAGCCCTTGCCTTTGAGATCATTCTATGCGCATCTATCACATCCTGGCATAGATTTAAGGGATTCAAATAATTAATCCAAGCAAACCAACCCATCCAGCCACCCTGATAACGCTTCAGGGACTCCCTCATTAAGGCCTCCTCGTCACCATTGGCACTGACGGCTTGGTATGCTTGGGGGCGCATAATGGGCTGTGTCTTGGACATTTCATAGGGCTTGGTGCGATAGGCGTAGAGAACCAGGAAGCATAGTGGAACCATCTGGACACAGATGACCATTGTCGGAAGACCAATCAAGACGTCGACATAGGTCAGGGTTTTTGTGGGTACGAGGACGTGGGTGCCAGTCAAAATAAGGAAGAGAATCTGTGTTTTATTAGTGATACTTCCTTTAATTCACTGTCTACAACGAGGGGATTCACCTTTTCTAGAAAGACCAATCCGACAATAAACTTAAATGCCAGCAACTTGGTAAGTGGATGATGTTCTTTCATATAGCCCTTCATTTTTGAGTAGAACTGGAGGATAGCGTTAATTGCAATTGATGTCGAAAGAGAAGTAATAACTTCAATCTATTGTCAAAATTAGCTTTTTTTCTCCATTGAGATGCGGGCTGGGCCAAGTATCACATACCCAAACATGAGCGAAGTGAGGCGATGAGCCTTCGAGACAGAAGACGTGGAATGCCTGAGTCACTACTTGAGTGATGGCAGTCATCCAGGTGATGATGGGGTATTGGAGAACACACCACCAAGTCAGCTATGAAAAAAAGGATAGTCAGTCAGTCATTCTGTGCTTTGGTATTGAAATTTGTCAAAGTTCCTCACTTTTAGGAAAGCGAGACCATTTCGCTTCTTCTTCGGCTGCCACTGCCTGTTTGTCTCTACCGAAGAGAAGAACTCCACCTTGCTCTGCTCAGTGGGAGCCAAAAAGTCACAAAGTAACATGAGAAAGGCGTACAGAGCAATGCCCTGAAACACCTCGGTAAATCCTTGGAGGTAGAGATAAGTGTTCGGAAAACAGACAGCAAGGAAGGATAAGAGCTGGTAAGATGGAATCATGTTGATAACACGCATAATCCTATGAACTCTTAGCAACACAGAAAGGGCTTGAGTATGATCTATATAACCCACTTCAATTGTTCGTTTGGATTGCTCATAAGCATGGCATGACGTCCCATCAAACCAATAGTCATGAACAATACTATTGCGGTACAGATGCCTGACACAATCATGTTGAAATGGTAGAACGAAAGATTTCCCACAAAGGGACCACCGCCAGCTAATCAAAGGTTTAGCCATATATACCACCGAGCTTGACGTTTTCTTTACTCACAATTCTCAATGTGATCAGGGATCACGCAGCTAACGCTGCTGCTACCCTCAGCTCTGCGGTATAAGGCGTCCATTTTGACAGATAGTCCAAGACTATAGAGCGGAGAAGCTCGATAAAGGACTTGTGAGAAATTTCGAGTGTGACAAAGGTATCACTTGGATTAGAGCTTCCAATTTATCTCCCCAAGGCTTCTTTCACAGCCCAAGATGGGCTGTGTCGATCACGACGATCTGCTCAACTAAAAGTCTTGGCCAGAGCAGATTCCCCTTTTAGGCCTTAGCGTCAGCCCAGATATGCTTGCTTTTCAGCCCCCATTTACTCTCCGCCTTGAGGCGAGCCAATAAGAGCTGGGGACTAGGTGAGATTGTCGTGGCTTGTCTCCGCCGCGCAACTATGCGGAAATAAGCCTTCAACTGTCATCCTTGCCTCGCGCAGCTGGTGGGGCCCTCGCCATGTTTTGATGAACCATTGGGTGGTAACACTACAAGACTTTGTCAGCGAATCGGAAAAGCTTTATTGCACAAGATGAAGATGAGAGGAAGAGGACCAGAGAAATAACCAAGGCCGAGCGATCAAGGTGCTGGGCGGTGATAGACATCCAGGGAATCACCCCAACATGTGGTACCAGTACCAGTCTTACCGGAGAAAGAGAGCAGATATGTGCGGTAAAGTAGTGTATTGTGGGACGAGGAGAGAAGGAAAGGAAGAGAGGGAAGCTCTCTCCATCTACATTTATCAACTGCGGGGAGCCTGGCAAACCAGGCAAACACCCGCGCCAACAAGTCTATCACGAGGAATCAAGACGAGACGTGGAATTCCAGTATTAAAAGCAGATCGGTCGCTTTGGAGTGATCAAGGGAGTATCCATAACCGTTGTAGCCCAGCCCACCTACTGTGGGTGATCCGACCTGTACGGAGTAACCTCGGCGTGACTTGGCGCATGGGGAAAAATCACCAGATGACTAAGCACACTGTCACCTGACCAGTCAACAACCCCCGATCAAGCATCATGAACCCGATCAACGTAGGGCAATTCGCGATGTGGTGCCATTTTGATCAGGCCATCTGAGTTGCCCCTGGATCAGATATTCGGAAGCCGAAAGTCATCCCTCAACCCACTCCACGCGTGGATATGAGTGGGTCCCGGCGTCACAGACAATTGTAGGGATTCCCCGTGTGGGTATTTGCCGTGTAGGTATACCCCGTGTAGGTAATCGCCATGTAGGTAAATCCATGCCCCTGTAGGTATTCCCCATGTATAAGAGAGCGCCAACGAAATCACTCCCTCCCAATCAAACTCATGCAAGTATAATACTACAGCAATTATGGATGTGTTTCTCGACGTTCTGGATACATTCGTCCTCGATCGATGCTATGCCTTTCTTTCGCCCGACCCAACCGCGATTCATGGGAATATGAGCTTGCCTAGTGCTCATATCAACCGGCATGTTCAAGTGTATTATCCTCTGCAACCTTCCAAATGGGCTGAAGCAAGTCTTTGGAAAAGGGATGATCTCTCCAGACAGGCATTGTCGTTGTACTTGATTACATGGTATGTCCAGTGGGTATGCACATGATCTATATCTAATGCACTTTTCAAAAACAGGCTCTTTGCAATGCTCATGTACCTCCTTGGGAGCCTTGTATTATACCATACACTCTTCGATAAACGACTCCTCCGGCACCCCCGATTCCTGGCAGACCAAATCAAGCTCGAGATCAACCAAGGCATATCCGCCATTCCCACCATCACACTCCTCACAGTTCCATTTTTCCTTGCGGAGATAAAGGGGTGGTCAAAATTATACGACTTCACCAGCGAATCGCCATTCTGGGGATACACTCTGCTGCAATATCCACTCTTCATCTGCTTCACTGACAGTGGAATTTACTGGATACATCGTGGCCTGCACCATCCACTTGTATATCGCTGGCTCCACAAACCGCACCATAAGTGGGCTGTGCCGACACCTTTCGCAAGTTACGCTTTCCACCCACTGGATGGATGGTCGCAGAGCCTCCCATATCACATATTTCCTATGATCTTCCCGCTACAGAAGGTTGCCTATTTGGGATTGTTTGTCTTTGTCACTTTGTGGACAGTACTGATTCGTAAGTGCTGAATCTTCGGTTTCAACCTAGCGAAATCAATATGCCGAAAGGCGAGAAAAACCTAAACGCTGACAATGACTTTTTTTCAGACGACGCTGAATACCTGCCAACGTCGGAAATTATCAACGGAGCCTCTTGCCACACGATGCATCATCTTTACTTCAATTACAACTATGGCCAATTTACCACTGCCTGGGATCGGCTTGGGGGAACCTATCGCAAACCAAAAGGTGATGCATTTATGGAAGCACATCAAAAAGACGTGAAATTGGCTAGCAAAGATGACTGAGAGCAACCCAGCGTTCTCTCGAGATCTTCGCAGCTCATCGATTTTATAATTAATACCTAATTCATGGCGCACTCTGATAACACCACTGGATGAACTCATTCAGATTTCCCAGATCATCAGTAGCCGTGCTATCCATGTACTGAAGTCTAGAATCAGATTTCCCAGTCGCATCCAATGTGGCATTCAGCAGCCACCAAAGTTCTTGGGCATGTTTTGGGTAACCCAGGTGAAGAAGGTGATCCTTATCAAGAAGGCCAATGACAGAATCCCAGACACGCTTCCAGTTACCAGAAGCACAGCGGATTTTATCCAGGGAGATATATTTCAAGAGTCCTGCTCTTGCCTGGAATGCGAGGGAGTTGATGGCTATTTACTTCAGCATATTTCCGAGGCAATGCGTTTGTGGATCAACATACCATATATCAAGATTAAGAGATGTTCCACGGAAACTGATGGACCCCATGGTATTGAGGCTTCGTTCAAAGGAGTATCAAGGAGTTGTGAGGCCACATCACTCAATGGAGGAAGTGGCAGTTCGGTTGACTGTGATGTGGCGATTTGACTGAAGGTTGATGCACTCTCGGCTTCCCATAATCCAGCACTCCATGGGAAGTTGCAGTTCATCTCAAACACGGATATTGATGGGTGGTTGTTGAAGCATACCGTAAGGAATCCGTCTGCGAGAAATACCCAGCAAGCAATTCTTCAAGTGAGTTAGCACACAGATCGAAAGGTTGTGACGGAAAATAACGATGTTAGCTACCTGATACACACTTCCTCTGCAACCAACTGTCTCCATATGCTTTCATCGCAGATGTCTGGAGCAGCCTCCCGCTTCAGCTGGAAAATTCCCAACGAGCGTATTGTAGACACCAAACATGGATGTCGAACGATGCGAATGCGACGTCTTGTTTGCATATTATCACGTCCAAACTGAAGCATCTCAATTATAAGCGCACTCTGTATCAGCTGCGTTGTTGAATGGCTCTTCTGCGAAGTGAGTGTTGATAGACTCGCGATTTGTCGAAATATGTACTCTTCCGCAACATCAAAAAGGGCGGATGGCAAGCCTTTCCCATCCAGCGGTATTGTGTATGTAGCACCCGATAGAAAAATAGCGAGTAACAAGGAATTGGCTATGTTGCCAGGATCGAATGTGGGGAAATGTACCACCGGCAGGTGCCAGTGGAGCGACTGGAAGAACGCCGATATGGACGCTGTGATATGGGAGACGTCAAGGAGATGAGAAAGTTCAGCAAAGTCAAGCTGGTGGATTGTGCCTGTGCTTCCGAAGGTCATTGATTTCGATGTTTCGACTAATTCCGCTAGGATCTCGGACAATTGGGTTGAGAGCTTGGAGGGAAACAGAGCGTCGGGGTTGAATTGGGTGAGCAGGTAATCATCTGGAAACGAAAGTATTGCCGATGGCAGCTGGAAAGGCAGGCTTGGGAGTTGAAAATCGCCAAAATTCGACATGATGTCCGTAGGAACGAGGGCATCTTCGATATGAGAGTGAAGTGTTTCGAGATTTCGCCTGACAGAGCATTTTGCAGTCTCTCCAATTGCCAGTCTATCCTTTTGGATAGAGGGGTCGGCGAAATGCCGGAGAAAAGAGAAAGGGCCACTCCCCTTCAAAGTAGCCCGAGAAGTGTTGGCTGATGGTGAACGTGAAACAGCTGACGGCAGGCTCAATTCAGAAGATGAAGTATCCGAGCCCGAGAAGGTACATTCACGCGATAGAGAATGACACCGAGAGCATGGTGTGCCTTTGTCACATGACGCCTTGGCGAAGAAACAAAGATCGCAAGACTGTCTTTTCCTGCCTGGTCTGGCGGCTGGGGGCTCAGGTCGATTGCTCTTTCTTGCACAGGTCTTGCTGTGTCTCCGCGTTACTTCTCTGCTGGGTCTTCAGATAATGTCCACTTCGCAAATGTCTAGTTTACGCACGGCTTTTGAAATGATTTGTTGCAGAAAGGGCAAGTTGAAGTAATTTGCTGTCTATCTGAAGTATGTTTAGATAGAACAATGGGCTCAATTTGCAGACTTACGTGTTGCTTCATGCCTTGAGAGATGTGCTTTCCTTTGGTAAGATTTGCTGCATTGTGCGCATTGAAACATGATGAGACTCCAAGGCAGGGTCCAGAGAAGTGATGTGGTTGTCTTTGGGTCTCGGGCCGGGCACCCCCAGTGGCCGAATGATGATGACAAATCATTTTCGGGTGCACACAGGAGCCCCGGTGTGCCTGCAGGGCTCCACCCACACCTGGAGCTCAAGACCTCGGGAGCACTAGGGCAGGCTTGTTTCACCCATCCTACATGCTAAAAGTGACGATATGCTCGATAAAAGGTTTAGTAATATACTAAGCGGGATTCAATAACAGCAACATCAAAATATCTATATAAATCTCAGACGACCAAATCAGACTCCAAAATCAGACAGGTATACCAACACAACACCAAAGAACAAGCTTTGCAAACTTTGCGACCAGTCATAACCTTGAAAATGTCAATACCAAACTATCGATTTTAGAATTCATCTACCTGCTGGTAGATTCAAGTCAACGTTATGGTCTTCTGTCGGTTCTAAATGCCAGCCTTGAGACACATATGGCGCAGGTGGCGGCGCATCTGCAATAGACTGGAAACCGGGTGGTGGCTTGGTGGGATTATAATCATAAACTCCAAGCTTTTTAACATTGGGAACCGTCGCAGTATAATATCTCCATCGCGCCCATGGACCGTTCAGGCGGGGCAAAGGGCGACCACCTACCATGGAGTCTCCAGGCCTGATGACTGCTGGTACCGATTCCCATTGGCCCATGAAACAACCCTTGCTGCGATCCCAGATGTTCACTTCCAATTCTCTGACCACTAGGCTGTTGCTAGTTCCGTCGGCGTTTGACAAGGATACAATGCCGAGGCATCGAGGCATGGGGTAATTGCCCTGAAACGTATGAGGATTACTCTCCATTAGGTTTTTAACATCTGAAGAATAAATTTGCATGATATTTGCACCGGTGTCGTCGATGAACGATAGGTCGGTCCATTGAGCTAGCCCTGGGGGTGCCAAGGGAATCCGAAGACTTAGTTTCATCTGATAATATTGTTAGCAATGCGACAGCGACACGAAACGAAGGAAAGGCACGGGGGAAGGGGAAATACCTCGATAAAATCCTGCCACGAGCTTTCGTGGTTATCGAATGGAAAAGTTTTGTATTCGAGATAGCTTGGGTTTTGACTGGTAGGCTCGGGTCCAAATAACTATAAACCTGGTGTTAGAGACTGCTTGATATGAAAAAGGATGGGTTTCATAGTGTACTTACGCCCTCTGTATGGAATCCCGTGTTTAATCCATCATTTTCATCATGAAGATATCGGAATTCACGCCAGTCAAATGGCCGTGGCTGGCATAGTTGATACCCATCATTCCAGTACGTGACCAGGCCGGGGGTCCATTTCAAAATCCCCGACTTGTAAGCCACTATGATATTCTCGATGCTTTCAATGAGATTGAACTTATCCCCTTCGTTAACGAGTGACGCCAGCATCCCTTCGAGGGTTTTCAGTCGGTGAGCTACATCCAAGCTCACTCCTGGTGTCTCTGCCATCAATTCACTGCAAAGCAGACCAGTCAGTTGGGAAAGTGACAAAATAAATGTCCGGAATCAAGGAAGACTTACAATTGTTGGCGTCTCAGTTCCAGAAGGCCCCCCAGTTTGATTTCATAAACATGCACCATGAGCCCTTCCCTAATGCGCTCCTTGCATCGTGCAATCTGAGCAGGGAAATCCCTATACCAACAAGTCAGCTACCATCAAACAAGTATCAGATGTATCAGACTTACTCTGGATCTAGATCAGGCTCATCCTCGCTCCAGCCCTTAGGCGGGTTCACCGGTTGTCCAACAGGGGGTGTCTTAACCCGTTTCCAAACCATCTTTTTGGCAGCTAGCTTAGGCCGAGGCCGGTTTGCCTCCCATTCATCAGTGTAGTCATTGGAAAGATCAGCCAAAAAGGTCTCTATGTCCAAAGTCTCTTGCTCAGGCAGCTTGGGCAGCTGCCGAGGCTTCTTTGACTTCGAGCCATTCGACAAACTTCCAGCTCGGCCGCGTTTTCCGAGCCGTGAGGGAAGCTCTTCCTCGAGCTGTTTTCTCAGTGTCTCGTTTCGTTCTTGTTGGGATTGTTCGCTGAAGTATCCGACTGGTTTTTGGGCAAGGCGTCGAGACCGTCTTGATCCACCGGAGTAATCGGACCCGCTTGTCGCATACGACGAGGGCTGCGTGGAATTGGAAGAGCGTGTAAACACCATGGTTGGAGATGAGATGTAATAATCTTGCAAAATTCGTTCAATGGATAGAGAATAAATTGTTATCTTGGATAGAATGAGTTAATCATGGAATTGGTCTCGAGGGCATCGTATTTGTACATGAGTAAATACTGTTAACAAAGTGGTAGATATTTGGCAGAGATATCAAAGAAAAGATATCAAAGAAAGGTGGAAACCAAGTCCCCTACTTGCTCTCAATCAAATTTAGAGTAAGATAAAGGCTGACCTTACTATTTCATCAAAGAAGAGTTGGAATTCCTTTGACCACTTCACAAACCTCGAGATTTGGCAACCCATTCATAGTTCTTTCTGTCCTTTCAATAATCACCGGGTCCTGTCTCGGTCCTCTTACTTCGACGTTTCGAAATACAAAAATAGAAGTTTTCATTGTTACCAATCTTGGGTGACTGATATTTCCAAGGTTCTCCTAATTCCAGCTAAAAACAAACCTGATAAGAGAAGCAGCAAGTTATCCTGGGACATAACCTTCATCGTGCAGAGAAGACTGTATTGAGTTATGAGCTCAACCGAAGAACGTATAGCCTCCAGGGCTCTTATGCCTACTCCTCTTAACTCTGCAAGATCTCTTTAATCCCTTTGTACTGGGAGAAAATGAAAGAACTAATTTCTTTCTCTGCACAATGACCTCGAAAGTGACTCGGCGAGCACTTCTTGAGAATGGAAACAAAGAATGTATGTCAAATTGCGAGCTTAGACAATGAGGGTCAATGGCTATGACGAGGTATTAGGAAATCAAACATTATCTCGTCCTATCCTAACTCGATTTCGTAGTTGCTGCATTCACAAGTTGGATATGGATGAGGCGCGCAAAGATGTCGAGTAAGTTAAAGTTTAGATGAGACGTTTTGAATTGTGAAATCTCTCTGTAAACCGGCGAAGCAAATCATGGAAGTGTACACTTACACAATATGCACTTTTACAATAAATCTTCGACGGACGCAAACAATCAATTTTATTGAAAATACAAATAGATGGAAGTAAATGAAGAGCCCCGGGAACAGCCCCGAAACGGGAGCAGTGGGAATGACGTCACCGGCGCTTGCACCTTCCTCATTAAAGGGACCACGCCCCCACACATTGTTTTCTTCCTTCCGCAACAAAAGACGCCGAATTCAATATATCTGCATTGTGGACATGAATCTTTGTCATGCCAGGTGACAAAGACAGTGGAGATGAGGTAGCAGCGAGCGATCGTCCGATTCGCAAGAGGACTCGGACAGGATGGTGAGCAGTCTAGGCCGTGGCCTCGATCAACGGGCTGACAGGGTGGCTTAGTATTCAGTGTCGCCGGCGCCGCCGCAAATGTGAGTCTGATAGATATCATTCTTTCTCATCTCCGTGTGGTGATACTGACATTGTGGAGGTGATGGAGCCCGACCTCGATGTCGTGGCTGTGAGGTGCGAGGCCAAGTCTGTCGATGGGGACTCAAGGCATCATTCCATTCCTCACGCACCTTGAGTCTTTCACGTCAGGATGCAGCTGCACTGTGTGCTGTGGAAGAAAGACGAGGAGCAAACTTGTCACAATTCCAACAATTCATCGATGAAACTGAAGTGACCGTTGATGGCTACTCGACACCGGATCGTCTCTCGGATTGTTTCTCCTGCGAGCCCGAGGGTTCCGTGCCGAATTTACCATCACCCAGCAGCATCTCGCACACTCCCTCGCGGACAGTTACGGGAGCCTTGAGTATCGCTGATCTTGTGGACCATCACGATCTTCCAACTTCTGACCTTCCAAGTAGCCTATCAGGTGATAACCTCGACGTTTCTTCTCTCCCTAATACCGAGCTGTTGGAGCAAGTGTCGGATGGTCCTTTTTTAGAGGAACAAGACCATGCATGCCCCTTCTTCCTAGGACAAGCAAGGTTTCAAGCCAATATCCAAGACACAGTCCTTCCAGTTACAGAAGCGGAGAAGCTGCAACTGATATCCGCGTTCTTGCGAGAAACAGGAACCTGGTGCGAAACCACTGACTCGCAGATGCATTTCACCGTGAAGAGCATTCATGAGATGATGAAGTCGCCGTCGTTCGTCGCAGCCGCGCTATCACTTGCCTCTCGCCAGCTAGACTATGTTCAGGGGCGACAGCGACCTGTGACACTAGAGCTATACCAATTTACCATCCAACTCCTTCTTTGCCAGGACCCTGCACAAGCCGACACTTCTATCTTGGCCACATGCACTCTCTTGTGTGTTTATGAGATGATGGCCTCGCGGATCGAGGAATGGAGACGACACTTGAAAGGCTGTGCCGGGTTTCTCCGCGCCCAAAAGTGGAATGGCTCCAGCGAAGGCATTGTGAAGGCAAGTTTTTGGGCTTTTGCTCGTATTGGTGAGTGCTCATATCCACCTCCGGGCTTGCGATCATGGCTGACTACTATCGTGAAAGACGTATGGGCGGCATTCAATAGCGGAAAAGCCACGCTGATCCCCACCGAATCTTGGGTTGATAATATGAGCATTGATTATGTGTTGGCGAATGGAGACTTGGATGAGTATTGCAATCTTGCAATACTCATATTTGCTAAAATCGTGAACGCTCTTTCTAATTTCCATGTCTCTCAAGCTTCTGCATTCAAGGCCACTGCCAGCGCTCTCTGGCATGAACTACAAACGTGGTACCGGCTGCGGCCGCCGGAGGTCTGCCCGTTGATAAGAGACTTTCCTCCAGGAAAAGTCTTTCCAGAAATGGTGTTCATAAGATCAGCGCCCAGTATGGCCTCACCTCGTTAGATCATGAGAATTCAGCTAACATCCCAGACTGTGGAAATACCTTCTTTCACTCCGGTTGCATGCTTCTTCTCCAGACAGGTATTCTTGTCCGGGGAGTGGAAGACGGATACCAGCATTCCCATGGTGATACTGTGAGCCCAGATAAATCAATACCCAATTCCTTACTGATGATAGCTCTAGCATAACATCTTCTGGCACGCACGAGAGCTAGTGGGAAGTTCTATGTCCAACCCATCGCAGTATGTTGAACACCATTCCCTCCGTGGATCTTCAATGGAAGTGAACTAAGCCGAGGCAGTGCAAATTGGGTTAATCAGCTTCAACCGCTTTTTATCGCCGGCACGGTTTTTGGCAACTCTGTAGCCACTCCCGTGATTCGAGATATCATGTCTGGGTCTAAGTCAGATGGTCACACGGCCCGGGAAGATTATGAGGATGATAATTATTGTTCCGAAAAAATCATACTACTAAAACACTTAGCCAAGATCGAGCGCGAGACGGGTTGGAAGACCTCGGACCGAGCCGCTGAGCTGAGAAAGCTCTGGGGATTCGCATGATTAAGCCTGCATGAACCCACGAACAACATAGATACCAGACGTCATATTTGAATAATGACACCCTCGGAAAGTTTCGAAGACCGCGGAATCAGGCATTTTGGTTTCAAACTTCCAGCAAACAGACCGAGGCATCCACAGAGAGATTCTACGACCCACCATAATCATGGCTTTTGTTTTGACAAACTCTCAGGCGTTAAAGGACAGAAGAACCAATCAGCCATTTGGATAATGTGTGGCGATTTCTCCGCCTCGAGTCTGCCACGAAAATCGCGTTTCAATTTCCACTCTCTCCAGTGTGTGTAATCAAACGCCTGCAACGTTTTGCAGCACCCACATTGCGAGGTACAATGGCCAATCCCTTTTTGTCCGCCAGAGAGGTGCCTCTGTGCACAACATCCACATTTGCGGCTGCAACAGCCACCCCGATCTTTGCAATCTTGAACGAGCCCCTTGCGCATGTACCATGTTGCATCACATCGTAGTTCATCGTAAGCGGCTTTGCATGTCCGGCCTATCATACACTCTGCTTGATACAGATCATACTGCTTTCGTGCAATTCGCTCTTCGTGCTTTTTGACCTTTTTCTCTGTTTTTTCAAGCTCATTTTGTATATTTGTATCGTGAGACGCATCGCATTCGATGGCTTTAGTCTTTCGTAGTGCGTTGAGATGCTGTTGTAGCGTTTCTGTCCGCTGAGTTTCCTCGCGTAGAGCTTGCTCAGATATCAACAAGTCGACTATTCTCGACTTATTCGTAAAAAATGATCTGGCTTTGATCGACAGGTAATCCTTATATGGGGGATCTGCGTGGTAGAATGCTGGGATGTTCGGAAAGCCCATTTTCGTATCACAGGTCGAGATGTGGTTATGTGGAAGCAGTAGTCAAGTCTGGAGCTGTGGGTTGAAAACGAATGATTTTTGAGATTGAAACAAAGAGCTGAAATGTGACATCACAATTTCAACTCGTCGCATCTTGTTTGGAACCCAGGCCGTTCCCAATCTAGAGTGACTGGTTCCATTCAGACTTTATGGCTTTCTGGGGTTGGGCTTTATTTAGCTTGCCGAGCCGATGGCACCAAGTCCCCCATCCACGGAAAGTGCACCTGAGGAAAACTCAAGGATCAAACGAAACCTTGGATGCGCTTTCATATTTAGTTCATAAAAACCTCAGAAAACGCCTGCTCAAAAAATGACAATTTGATCGGAACAAAAAAGATAATCTTAAAGACCATGTTGGTGTTTTAGGAAGAGCCGAACGCGGGGGTCGAACCCGCAGCCTTAAGATTAAGAGTCTTACGCTCTACCGATTGAGCTAGCCCGGCGAGAGGCTGTTGATTGATGAAAATTGTTGTGCTATATAAACCAAAGACAACAGTCAGAGACCTGAATACTCCTTTCTGGCTTCATCTTGACTTCAAATTCATCATTTATTAGGTTTTTAGTCTCTGCCAAGGCCTATACTACTTCCAATCTGGGCTGATTTCCCTGAAAGTGCCGGGGTTGCCCAGGTGAGATGATTACAAGGTTCCAACCTTGGAAGGTTGGACCGGTGGTTGCATGGCAGGATATACATAGCGCAGGGCCCTTTCTTGAGATCACGACATTTTACGAGAGACTTGGGTACCCAGGACACTTAGGGATCTGGGGACCAAGAATGTGTTCCTTGCCATTCAAAATTCAGGCTGGATATATCTCCAGATTGAGCAATGAGTTGGAAGTGCATTGCATGCGCTAGTCCCTCTGTCACCCACTGCTGCTAGTGCTGGCTTGAGGTGTCAAATCAGGACCTCGGGATTTTCCATGAGTGACGACATTTTGGATTCAGAGCATACCATGAGAGATCTTTCTATGTATCTGGTCTACGGTATCCATGGCCATTTTAAGTAGCGCAAGATATCCCCAGCAAGACGCTCACTGTGTTCTGCCCCGAGTTGGTATCCACGATGTCGAGACGATCATCTTCGTTGAAATTGCCCAAAGCAACGTCAAGCGGCCTGGACCCCACAGGGTACGTGACCTGCGTCTGGAAGCCTCCAGATCCATCGCCTAACAGGACACCCACCGTATTACTGTTGTAGTTTGTGACCACGATATCGAGATTGCCATCTCCGGTGAGGTCGCCCACTGCAACATTATACGGGCCTGACCCAACAGGGAAGGAGGTCTGTGTCTGGAAGGTTCCATCGCCATTCCCAAGCAGAACGCTCACTGAGTTACCGCCGTTATTAGCAGCCACAATATCGAGCTTGCCATCTCCATTGAAATCGCCCACTGCAACCCCAAGGTCATTAGCTCCCACGGCGTATGCGGTGAACGTCTGGAAGGTTCCATCGCCATTTCCAAGTACCACGCTGACCGTATTGTCGCCAGAGGTTGCAGCCACGATATCGAGCTTGCCATCTCCATTGAAATCGCCCACCGCAACACCGAGGGGAAAGGCTCCCACGGCGACCCTGACCTGCGGCTGGAAGGTTCCGTCACCATTCCCAAGCAGAACGCTCACTGAGTTATCAACGTAATTTGTAGCCACGATATCGAGATTTCCATCTCCGCTGAAGTCTCCCACCGCAACACTATACGGATTGGTCACCACGCCGTATGCGGTTGGCGACTGGAAGGTTCCGTCACCATTGCCAATCAAGACACTCACTTGAGTGGCGCCGAGGTTTGCAGCCACGATATCGATCTTTCCATCTTTGTTGAAGTCACCAAACGCAACACCAGCAGGCCCGGGCCCTGCGGGGAATGTAGTCTGCGGCTGGAAGCTTCCGGTCCCAGTCCCCAGCAAGATACTCACTGCATTCTCGCCGGTGCGGAGACCCGAACTCACGACATCAAGATGGCCATCTCCATTGAAGTCTGCCACTGCAACACCGTATGGGAAGTTTACCACGGTGTATGTGGTCTGGTCCTGGAAACCCTGGAAAGTTGTGCATTTGCAGGCGCCAGATGAGCACATTGAACCAGTGGAGCACTACAGAGGTACGGATTGATCAAGTCAGTAACAAGAACATCAATACAATACCAGGCGTCCTGGCTGTATCAAGCATAGGTCCAACTCACAGTGTTGCCGCAAGTGCCACAGTTATTTGGGTCGTTCTGGAGGTTGTTGCACGCTCCATTACAGCATGTCAGGCCAGACGCACACTAGAGCACAACCTTGGAATAAGTCATTGTCACACAATATGTAGTTTGCGGACTTACAGAGTTCCCACAAGCTCCACAGTTGCTTTGGCTGGTCAGGAGGTTGGTACACGCTCCGTTACAACAGGTGAAGCCGGATGCGCACTGTCAAGTACCCGTTAGCTATTATTGCAAAACATACAGTCTGCGGCCTTCTTACGCATTGCCCGTTACAAGCAGAAGAGGGAGGGTCGCAAGTCGGCGGGTTTGGTATACAAATGCATTGTCTATTCCACGTTAGCTTCGAGTTGGCTCTGCAATCCCACAACGAGTGAGAGAGAGACTGACGAGGCTTTCTGGCCCAAGATGTCAAGTCCAAGTAAACCGGCCGATTGCCCACTGGTGTCGCAGTACCCTTGCTGGCCTAGTTTCATGCACTATATGGAGCAGCATGTTAGCATCGATCTCGGCTCATAGATGATGTGTCTTGCCTTGATATCACAAGCGACCGGGTCGCAACCACCACCACCCCCGATTCCGCCAATCCCGACCCCAATATGGCCAACATCACCGTTAACGCCCCCACCAACTCCGCCATCGATGTGCTTGATATGATTTTCACTAGGCCCAACCCACTTTTCTGGGGTCCCCTCTCCGTGGTACGCAGTCACAAAAGCACCCAATGAAATGAGAAGGAGAGAACGCATTGCTGCAAGTTCTCTTGATTGACAAAGTTGCCGAAAGCTCGTATCAATTTTCGTGTATCTGATAGCGCGCTTAGGAACGAGTTTGAAGACGGAAATTGTACACTGTCCCCTTTGATAAAGGGATCGGTTATAAGTCTGTCATGAAGGTCACTATCTAACATTTTTTTTTATGTAAGAACAGGTCCGATATTTCTTCTGGAATGTGAACTAGTTAAATTTACTGGAAGTCCTCGGGTAAAGGTATGTGTCATGTTTTGCGGTAAAAAGTCCCGGCTAATCAATTGGAATAGAATGCCAAGGAACATTGCATGAAAGCTTCAAGCTTTGCGCCCATTTACATGCTTTCTGCTAGAGGCCCTTCCTTGCAGTAACGCCACCTTTCAAGTACCAATGGCTTGCTGATGCCCCACCAAAAGCTAAACTATCAGAATGCAGCAAGGTACGCAGAGACACGGAATGAGAATTTTAGATACCTGCGGTCCTTGGACCCTTTTGGATTTCTACCCAAGAGAATTCAGCCGATTTTTCCCTTTGCAAAGATCGTCGCGAACAGTAGTGATGTTGGAGAGGAGCTCGCGTAGCTGCCCATTATCATCGTATCCATCGGTACAACGCAGAATCAGCCAGTGTGGTCGAAGAGATACTAGCAGCTTGTATGGCCGCCCAAGAAAGACAGTTCAGTGTTGGTAGCTTCATGTTGGCGGAATGCGTCCCACTATGGAAGTTGTGTTTTTCTCAGGCGGTATCGGCGGGGATTCCGTGATTTCTATCCTGAGCTTTTCAACCTCATGCCCAGGTGCTTGACGTCCTTTGGACTATTGGCTATTTTGCTCTCGGTTTCAACTTGAACAGTGGTCGGACCTTTCTGACCAGATGGATCTTCGCCGTTCGTAAAATCACCCCGGTATTCTTCAAGGGATCAATCAATCTAAAAGAGTCTTCATTCTCATATTCGACTCGAATGCGACCTACATAAATTCGCGGTAGAGGGCCGAGAATCGTATGCCAAGTGAATCGAGATCATCAATATGATTCCCAGAGTTGCCAACTTGACACAATAACTCGTTTGCGACATCTTGTCTGATTGAACCGAGACATGAGCCCCATGAAGAGAGAGTCTGACGGCTGATCGTAATACTAGTAGCGACCACGAGTCTGCAGTAATTCCCCAATCCCTAATTATCTCTTCACAGCTTATCCGATATAACCAAAAACAAAAACATACAACAGTGAGGATTCGCTGGTGGTCACCCACCCAACTACTAACTCACCGGCGTGTGGCTTAAGTACGGCTGAGCGGACGGGAAGCCCTGTTCTCCACACCCTGTGGTCGTATGTACTTGAAACAAGAGTTGAGAAAATTATATTGTCTTCAAATTGATACCGAGTTGGGCTGGCCCACTGGGAGAGGTTTGGTGGACTGCTCCTCCAAACTTAGCTGTTTTGCTATTTGATAGGCGGTTCCCACAGATTTGACAATTAAGCCATTCTTTACCCATTCTTCGAGCTGGAGCTTCCCTATTTCCCCCGCATTTTGTGCCCATTTCTGGCAATTCTTGCTTCTACGTGGCTGAATCGACCCGTGCTCCTTAGTGTGCACATAAACGTTCCCCTCTTCACTACTACTATGCAAATTATGCTTTCAACTGCACAGGTTTCGAGTTGTGTCTCTGCTCGAGACCTAGGGAGCAGGGAGAGAATTCAACACCCAGTGAACTGAGTGGTTGAAGATTGGTTGAGAAGTCCTTCGGAATGTTCAATCCTACTCTGAATGGTCCTTCATTTCCGGAGTTACATCTCCGGAATTGGTGCCTTGGTGCCTGGAAGCCACGGTCTCAACATTGACCATTTCCCAGCTTATCATCGCCCAACCCCTGAGTAAGCCCTAAACAAAGCACGAAAAGCCAAGTTCTTTTTGGGGTTATTCTTGTTGGCTCTTGGTTTGATCCTCATGGGAGCTGTTACTTTTTACGTTGAGTTGAAGCCGCGTGGACGCCTTATCGCCTGTGTTCTCAGGCATTCAGGCAACGAGCCATTTGTCTGGCTGCTTCGTATTTTCAACCCCAACTATATTCCACATCAGACCTCGAGAACCATATATCAAATCCACGGGATTATATATCCGGAAAGTTCTATGAATCTGCGAAGGAAAACGCCTTTCTTTATACATTTCTTTTTTGAGGAAACAAGAAAATCTCTACGACGAAAGAGAAGCTCAGAAACGATGATTCATTGGAGAAGGGTCTCTGGGGCATTGAATGCCCCCAGAACGGGCGCGTAGACGAGAAGTGATCGCCATCGCTTCACAACAGTATAAACGCGTACTGTTGTGCAATTGTAGGGATTGCTGGCTTAACATTTTTCGAACCCGTGGAACCCGTGTTTAGAAACGGGGTACAGTACGTTATACGAGGTTTGTATGTAAGTTCACAGAATGTGGCGAACACGAAAGGCTGCTGGGGATCACGAGCACGTACCGATCAGGCCACATGATATCATAAGACCTTTGCTCTCTTATATACACTGTGGAATCAGGACCGAGTCGGTTTGTAGCACGAGATTTCACCAACCGCCGATATCAAGAGATATTCAACAAATTTTGACCCCACTATGTCTGAATTCATACGCAGAGCGTCAGACGCATTCCATCGTCAGCGTCAAGGCTCAGCGGCCTCGACGGGATCAACAGATGAGCCGGCGTCCCCTAATGCCGCAAAGCCTCCCACGCAGGAGCCAGTGAAAAAGGCACAGTCTGCTCCAGCTGGCTCCCAGGCCAAAGATACTGGTGCTGGCACAACAGCGAGTATGCTTTTACTTTCTTGAGCTTGGAACTTTTGGATCTAAATAGGCTAACGATAAAGTACAGCTGGGCCTGAAAATGTAAAGCAACGCCGCCATTGGGGCTGGAGAAATCAGCAGGCCAAAAACCCCGAAGCAAAGCAGCAGCCAAGTCAAGGGCAGAGAGACAATGACTGGGTTATTGGCTCCTGAGAATAAGTACTTATTCAGCGCGATAGCCGATAAGCTGCAGTTCAATTGGAATTTCATTGTGATGCGTTCAGGAGTGATGAAATCGGCGTTGGATCTACCCTTGACTACCCTAGTGCAAATTATCAATATGGAGTTTGGATTTTCCAATTCAAAAGTCGTAATAAGTAGAGACGAAAATACTCCCGAGACACTGAACACACCATGTACTAGGCTTGGGTGTAATTTATTCAAATGTCACACTTTATCCATCCTTATAACCTTTGATTGACTCTTGTCTGGTACTCTTGGGGCTATGGTGGCTATTCTTTCCCCGTAATAAGCTCTGTCAAAAGCGCTTAGGGAAACCACAGTTCAGTTGATTGTCTAAATCCGTCACAGATATTCCGTATGCCGAAAAAACTATAACACGGTGGTGTTCGATCAGGACAGAACCTTGAAAATACTGGAATTTTCGTCTTCCAAGGTTTTTTTTTTCTTTTTCTTTCTCTTTCTTTCTTTTTTTTTTGCACGCTTGGGTGTCTAATGTCCAAAAGATCCTGAAGTCAATCTACCCAAGAATGATTGATGATACGCTTATTCGCGCCCACGGCTCGACCGCAACTCGCTGATAAACAAACACTCCCTGATTCGAATCTCGATATCATCTACCTGACTGAATGCTTCTGCTTTCATCCAAGAGATGAGAATTAATGTGAACATTTTCATAGTCAACCTGCTGGCCAAGTGGTATGTACCTCCAGCGGCTAACGTATCCCTGCATTGAGTGTTGACCTCCATTCGTGGTGGCATAGACTCCCAACAATCCGCCCGTCGCAGCCCCATCACCACTGACAAATGTCGCATTAGAAATAGCCAATACCCTGGATTGAGTTGGTCTATGAGCAGGCGCAGCGACAAATTGGTGATGGGTGGTGTTCGCAGCAAGGATTGACAGGCGAATTGGCTTACTTAACCATGATGAGGGGATTGGCACTGAAACCACAGGAGGGATCGGTCCACGTGAAACACCCAGCGCAGTCACACGATAGCGGAAGTTGATCGTTTTCTGGGCTTTGGACTTTACACTGTACACGATTCCCAGATCCATGTGTTGATCCTGATTCAAAAACGAGGTAACCCCAATTTCATCGCCATCCTTGGCCATGAAATTCGGTGCTATATCAACAGAAAAAGAAAAGAAGGTATCTGTTTGGCGTCTTCCAATAAAAGTCTGGCCATCCGTGGCTTTGAAATCGCCGTCCCCGGTCAGATTTGCTCTAGAGGCCGTGAGTCGGAGCGAATTGGCGTATCCCGGGGGTGATATGGTGAAAGAGCTAGGTTTAGCAGGTGCACGCCAGTGAACCCAGTGCTTTGGTATCAGAGATCCAGGGGTGAAATCCACGATATCAGGATCTCTGACTGAAACATTCGTATAATTCGGGTTGACTGAAGCGAAAGTTGGAATCGAGGATGGCAAGGGTCCACGCATACTCCCAGCCACTGGATCCGCAATCGGCCACTCCCCAGGTGGCCAGGAAACCGGAAAGAGGACTGACTCGCGTCCCATTGGGTAGATGCTCTCGTTATAGTGCTTGGGACCACCACGTGTTGATAGTGCCACACCCCACCAGTTCCCATTTGGATCTTGGAAGAGATCGGCGTGACCAACCGACTGAAAGTAACGATCGGTACCTCGAGCGGTCACAAATGGATTGTGAGGGGAATTCTCCCAAGGTCCAGTTAGGCTTTTGGAACGCGCGATTGTGGCGGAGTGGCCATATCGAGTCCCTCCTTCTGCGACAAGGAGGTAGTAGAAGCCGTCTTTCTTGTAGATATGAGGCCCTTCTGGGAATTCTCCACCAGTACCGTTCCATAGGTCGAACAGATCACTAGCATTTCCACTTTTTAGATCAATGTAGGACGCTTGAATAGGAGATCCAGCCATGGCCATCATGACTTTCCCATCATCATCCCAGAAGATATCTGGGTCTATTGTGCCGGCAAGATTCGAGATGTAGATAGCATTGGACCAACTCTCATCATCGTACGGGTTGTCTGTTGTAAAGACAACAATCTTTATTCCAGAATTTGCAGGATCGGCCCAAGATGTAATGAGGTAGAATGTCCCGCCATGGAATCGGAGGGTGGAAGCAAATATTCCACCAGTTTGAATGTTATTGCTCGTCAAAATTTGAGGGAGTTGAGATGGTCGGTTTAGTGCGTTGCTCGCAACGTTCCAGTTGACAAAATCTTTGCTTGCGAAGATTGGACATCCTGGAAAAACCAGGAAGGATGATGTGGTGCAGAACAAAGTGTTGTTCAAGGTAGGTACGAAAGTGCAACTAGGGTCAGAGTGCCAACCAGGAAGAATGGGATTGAAATAGGAAGAGTTTCCTGCACGGGCTCGTCCGGCCACGGAAAGACCTGTCAGAATTTTGATTGCTAGGAGTTTTAGTCTCATAATGCCAGTGGTAGAGCAACCTCAAAGATAAACAGTGTAATTCTGTATTGCTGGCATTGATTTGAAAATTTATATGCCTGTGATGCTTGAAGCAAAGGATACTGGCTCGGATGCCTACGAGCAATTTGTCCACTTGCCGACGGCAACTGATCATTGTCCGTGACGACAGTGACAGGTTATGCCTGGTAGCTCTGCGAAGATTCGTGTTCCGCAAATTCAAGGCCCGGGGAAACTGGAGGTGGGGCCGGTGGGGATACTGTATGCTTAGGGTGAGGGAAGTGGGGGACAACGTCATTTCAAGTATGGATAATTTACTATCAAGACAGCGAACAGTTATTAATATAAATTGATATAGTTTGGCATATGTTTTGAAAAGATTGTACTAGTTTCTGGCCTGTTGCTTGTATTGAGTGTGTTTTAGCCACCTGGGAGCTGTTTCAATCTGATATGAGATTCGTGCTTAGAATCTAGTGTATTTGTGAGCTGACTCCAAAAAGGATTGGAGCTTTGGAGCGGCACTAAAAGAAATGACCCTTAATCACGTCTTTCTTTCCTCTTTCTTGTGTTTGACCAGACCCAAAGGTATCCGTGGACGCATACTTGCAAAGCAGGAGGCGGGGTTAGCTCAACCGACGAATGACAATTGGTGGATTGCCCGTGAAAGTGGGTCTATGTGGCTCATCTTGAGGCTTCGGTACGGCACGGCCCAAGGTATACACTAGATTCATATACGGAGTACGGAGTAGGATCAGGCTGAGAATTTTAAGGGGGGTTCTGGCGATTTCTCGACGACTTCTCAATGGCAAAGAACCCATACCCCAAGGCTTCACTGAAGTCTGGGGGTCTCATTTTGCAGTGAAGGTAGCCCATTCCCCCCCTGTCTTTGTCTCTTTTTCTCTTCTCTACCTCACGGTCCCACACAGAAGCTTACAACCAAAACCACCCGCCTGCTTCCCTTTTTCTGCTTTTGACAACATGCACGAGATAGAGAGATCAGCAATTCACAGCCACCGAGCCCTGGAGAGGCTAAAATGTGGAGACAAACAGGACCATCCCGCCAATGACATTTTTCAGATTGCCGCCCCCTGCTGCGCGACGTGTCCACGCAGCTGAGCCTTTGAGGCTGAGCAAAGTCCAAATCCAACCTACTCCGTATTTTTCCATAAACCTCTCATCTTCGCGGGAAGCGCAACCTAATCAAGTGTCCCCCTGCCGTCCCCGCGGGTACCTGAGCATATCGGACCTGTGACATGGCCTGTCCTCCGCGAGATGCATTCCAGATCGGTTGGATATGTGCCCTGCCGATCGAAGCGGCCGCTGCCAAAGAAATGCTAGATGAGAATTTTGGGATTCTGGACGCGCAAGATCCCGCCGACACAAATGCCTATACATTGGGTCGAATTGGAAAACACTACGTTGTGATCGCTTGCCTCCCTGGAGGGCAGTATGGAACCACGTCGGCCACGACTGTCGCAAATCATATGGTTCGCACTTTTTCAAAGTCCCTCCGCATTGGATTGATGGTCGGTGTCGCGGGCGCAATTCCTTCCGTTTCCCATGACATTCGACTTGGGGATGTAGTAATCAGCTGCCCTGAAGGCACATCGGGCGGTGTGATACAGTATGACATGGGGAAGATCGGAGCCGGCGGTGAATTTCACCGCACCGGCTCTTTGAACAGTCCTCCCCGGTCGCTTTTGACAGCACTCAATTTGATGAGGGCTGCGGAGTTGACAGATGACCCTCTTTATCCTGGTTACATCCTCAAATCCACTGAAAGGAATGAGCGAACACGACAAACCTTCAGGAGACCAGGAGAAAACCTTGACCGACTCTTCAAGCCGGAGTATGATCATCCGGAACATGCACCTGAATGTGACACCTGCCTGGTAGAATGGGAGGAAGTGAGGAGTGAACGTGGAAACATTGCCCCAAAGCCATACTACGGTATCATCGCATCTGGAAACGCCGTGATCAAGGATGCAAAGACAAGAGAAAACCTCAGACTGAAGACCGGAGCATTGTGTTTTGAGATGGAAGCAGCAGGTCTGATGATGGGCTTCCCCTGCATCGTCATTCGAGGCATTTGTGACTATGCCGATACACACAAGAACAAGCAGTGGCAAGGGTATGCAGCATTAGCCGCAGCGTCATATGCAAAAGAGTTGCTAGCCTATGTGGCCACCGGTCTTGTTTCACAGGAGCAATTGGTGATCAATATGTATAGTAAGTAAGATATGCTGGCTTCTTCCCCAACTAAGGGTTTGCCGCTGATATAGTGTTGCGAAGGGGAGTTGAAGGAAGAAGTTGAAGGAATCAGTCTGCGTCTGGCCCAAGCACAAGACCAACAAGAACAGCATCATCATGAGGAAATGACAAGAAACCTCAAGGACCAACAACAGAAGTGTCACCAGGTGTTTAAAGTTGGCAATTACAACGAACAAAAGGATATCAATCCAATGCGGGCAGAAGGGACCTGTGAATGGGCTTTAAGCAGCTCTGAGTACCTTCGGTGGACAGCCAGCGACCACAACGAACTTTTGTGGGTGTCAGCTGATCCAGGCTGTGGAAAATCAGTATTGGCTAGATCAATCATTGATAGCCATGTGCGAAAGCCTAGCCCAGCGGTGACAGTATGTTATTTCTTCTTTAAGGACAACGAGGACCAGAACAATCTTGCCGCAGCACTGTGCTCTCTGTTACACCAGCTGTTCAGCCAAAAGCCTCATTTGTTACATCATGCCATGCCATCTTGGAAGATAAATGGACAGACGCTTCAAAAAGAAGTCAATGAGCTGTGGAAAATTTTCATAGCCGCAACATCATCAAATTCACCGGTTCAAACGTTATGCATTCTAGATGCTCTTGATGAGTGCTGTGACATAGATCAAGATCGATTGATCCAGAACCTCAAATCTTTTTATCATGCCTGTCAGCCAACACGAGATTCCCATAATTTTTGCTTGAAATTTCTTGTCACAAGTCGTCCTTATAATCAAATCCGGAACCAGTTTCGATCAATCACAAACTTCTCATATCTGCATTTGAGAGGGGAGGAAGAGAATGATCAAATCCACCGGGAGATTGATTCAGTTGTCAGAATACGAACAAGAGAGTGGGCTGAAGCAGTTTTGCTGCCGCGGGATTCACAGCAGCGACTTGAGCAGCAACTCCTACAGATGGAGCACCGAACGTACCTCTGGCTACATTTAGCATTCGACGATATTCGATCCACTTTTGAAAACAGCCTTTGGCCAGCCGAGGAGTCAATTAAAATGATACCTTCATCTGTGGACAAGGCATACGAAAAAATACTTCGTCGAGTTCCAACTGGACACATGAGTACAGTCAAAAAGATCTTCCAAATTATTATTGCAGCACGACGCCCCTTGGAAACAAGTCAGCTAGCTATGGCCTTGGGTATATCCATCCGCCCAACCTCACAAACCGCAGCAGAAGCCGGAATAGACCCATTTCTCTTTGATCAAAACCTGCGAAGTCTCTGTGGTCTTTTTGTCTTTGTCAACAACTCAAAGGTATATTTCATTCACCAGACAGCCAGGGAATATCTCATCAAAGGGCTAGCTGTCAGTCATCCACTTTCGTGCAGCGTACGAGGTGCGGAGGGCCTAATGGCTCGAGTCTGTTTGCATTACCTGTCAATGAAGGAGTTTGAAAACGTCGAAGTTGGGAGATACATCAGCTTCTCAAACCTTTTAGTATATTCAGCGGTATATTGGGCTGATCACGTGCGGAGAATGGGCTCAGCTGCAGAGCTAGAGGTGAAAGATTTCCTGCACCATGTCTACGACACAACAACAAACATGTTCTCGCTTTGGTTCCCTACATTCTGGGAATTAGCGATATCCAAGGAACCAGTACCGAAGTTGACACCAATCCACCTTGCGGCCCTGAACGGACATCAGAATGTGGTCCGTCGTTTACTTGGTGAAGGCCAACTCAAACCGAACGTTGCGGACAGTGTGGGCTCATACCCGTTAATATATGCTTCAATTATGGGATATGACAAAACAGCTATAGTCATCATAGAGCACGGTGGAGATGTCAATGCCCAGGGTGGACCCCATGGGAGTCCATTACTAGCCGCTTGCTTAGAAGGACACGAGAAGGTTGTGCGGATACTGTTGGAATATGGAGCTGATGCAAACAGTGGATTCAAAGACCACGAAAACCCCTTAACCATTGCTTTTGTTCGCAGCCATGAAATGATCATGCAAATGCTGTTAGAATATGGAGCTGATGTCAATACCAAAATCAAGGACGGCACTCATATTCTGGAACGTGTTCTTTTGAGCAAGAACACGAAAATGTTGCGTATGCTGTTAATGCATGGAGCCGATGCCAATAGTCGCTTTCGATCGAACCATATTCTGCAGACTGCTTGTGTGATGAAACACGACGAAATGGTCCAGATACTGTTAGACTTCGGGGCTGATATCAATGCCAAAGACAACGATGGTACGTCTGTCTTGGAGACGGCGTTTCTTGTGAAACATGACCCCATTGTGCACATGCTTTTGAAACATGTAGCCGACGTGAATACTCTCAGTGGAATACGAAGAGTTCTTCAGTGTGCTTGCCTCACCGGATGTGAAAGAACCTTACAGATACTGTTGGACTACGGGATTAATGTCAACGGTGCAGATAAATACATTGAGTCTGCACTGGGGAGTGCTTATGCTCGAGGACATGAAAAAATCGTGAGAATGGTCTTAGAACATGGGGCTGGTGCCGATGTTAAGAACTATGAATTGACTTTGGGTTATGCCTGCTTGAAAGGGCAGCACAAGATGTTGCAAATCTTGCTAAAGTATGGAGATGCAAAAAACAAAATTTGCAAAGAATGCCTCGGATCTGCTTGTTTGAAAGGGCATGACAAGATTGTGCACACATTGTTGACCCACGGCTTTACGGTCGATGCGAAGAATGGTTATTGTGGGCATCTTGAGTTGTATATTGCTCGAAAGGAAGGACACAAGAGAATGGAACAGATGCTCTTAGAACATGGAGCTGGAACCTGTTGGACATGTCGACTGTTGGCGGGAGAGATCTCACCGCTTCACACTCTCTGGCCTTTTGTTGTACTATTTGTTTGCTTTTTGATACATAGGAACTTTGGTTGAGATGAGAAAATGACTAGGCTTTTTCTACGATTTGGGCCATGACAAGTATGACTCGGATCACTCGAACAGAGATCACGCCAATTTCACTGATTTTGCATAACCTGATTGGCCACTGTCACAAAGCCATCTGGGGGATTTGTGACTTTGGGGGTGATATGAATAAGATGGCGATTCTCCTTCAAGGCTAAGCCTTTCAACTACACACGTACAAGAATCGAGAAAAAAAGCCCAGGAAAAATATTGAAGCGAATTCTATCTAAGGAGATGACTACGAGCTTAATCTCAAACCCATGCCCCGACTACTCATTCTCATGAACCCCAATAACAGTAGAACGGAACTTCCTCGCAGGAACCTTTCGGTTAAACAAAATATCCGCCTCACGGTAAGAGCGGTGCTTAAGCTCCGGTAACCAGAAGTAAGCCGAAACCCAGCAAACCAGAGCCGTACCACCCCAAACGTACCCACACTTTCCAGCAAGATTCCATCCAGTCGCATTAAGCATCTGCGACGCAAGATAAATCATAGGAATTTCAGCAACGTAGTAAGCAGCACGACCAACACCGGTGCTAAGCGCGCGAAGACGCACGGACGAGGTCTCAGAGATAATAGTGTATGAGATGGGACCCATGGCGCCAGCAAAGACGAAAGAGATTAATATTCCCAGTACGGCTTGTGCGTAGTTTGTGGCGCTGTTTTGGGTGATGGAAGCGCAGACACCGAGGAGGACGAGGAGGACGATGTTCACGGCTGTGCCCCAGAGGTAGATTGTGCGACGGCAGAACCAGGCTGTGAGGAACCAGGAGAGGGCGTTTGCGACGAATTGGAGACATGAGTTGATGAGGTTGAGTTGGAAGGCCATGTTGTGGTTGATTCCGGCTTCTGTGGGGTTGTTAGACTGGACTGTATCTGTTTGGGATGGTGGGATTTGGGGGTTGCTTACGCTCGAAGAAAAAGGTTGCCTGGTTGGCGATCAGGTTACCGGCGAAGTTCTGCGACGCATACATCAGACAGGTGATGATTGTGCGGCGCAGATCTGTGCCTTTGAGAAGGTCGAGGAGGGAGGGGGCACCGCCGTTTTGAGCTTCGATTTGGACGGTTCGCTCGATCATTGCGAAGGACTGTTGGACTCGGTGTGGGTCTTTGCTGCCAAGGCGCTCGATGGACTTGAGAGCTTCGGCCTTGCGGCCGCGGCGGATGAGCCACCAGGGGGACTCGGGGGCGAGAAATACGAGAATAAGAAGAGGGGTCTGGAAGGTTTAGCTTCAAGGATGTGACTTTGGGTCTGGTGGACTCACAGGGAAGAGCCATTGAAGGGCAAGAGGTACACGCCACGCCCACTCGTCAGACCTGTTGTTGTAGGCGTAGGTGGCACCGGCTACGATGATGGAACCGATAGACCAACTCATTTGTAGAGTGGCAGTACAAGCACCGCGGAGCGCCATTGGAACGATCTCACTGGCATACGCGGGCGAGTTGGCAATGAAGAATCCCCATGGGACACCCTCCAACGCTTGTCCGACAACCAAAAGAGTAAGGGGAGTTAGCCTGCGGTGGCTGTTAGCGATGCTCCAAAATCAATTGAGCTGTACTCACAAAGAAAGACACGAAGATGGTAGCATTCATCAAAATTAGGGCGAAGATGGTAGTCAAGCGGTATCCGAATCGATTGGTGACAGGACCAGCTGCGAACACACCAACAAAGGCACCACATTGACCAGCCTGGAACAGTGCGCTCTGCCACTTTGTTGGAATAACATATGCTTCGCCGTGCTTGACACCGTATGCCCTTTGGAAAGCCTCGAGGGCGACGAAGTTTCCATTCAAGAACATATCGAAGGACTCCATGACCTATTAAAGGTCAATTTTGCAATTTTCCGCAGTTCAATCTCTCACTTACAATTGTGAAGCACATCACGAAAGCCCAGAAACAAGCCCAGGGGTGTTTTTTGAATGCGGCCCAGACACCTTCTTCATGCTCCTCATTCTCGCCGTCGAAGGCATCATTCATCATATCCTGGTTACCCAGGACCTCTGAGCCCTTCACTTCGGCATGGTGGACCTCAACAGATCCATTATCCTCTTTCTGATTATCCTTTTCTGTAGTGGACGACATAATTGTTGGAATGTGAGGAAAGATTCAAGAAGTCGAGAGGGAGATGAAGGTGGAGGTGGGACCTTTAAAGGAGCCCCGTGATCTTGTTTGACTTCACTTTCCGCATTTGTGATACGATCCAATTAGGCTAATCTAGACTTTCCAATAGCTTCCACAGGAGAACCCGACAAGCAAGGGCCCGCCGGGGTTTTGCCTTTTCGCCCGCGAGCGTCGAGCAAGATAAGCGAGGGTAAGCATTTTGGGCGTCCTATCAGAAGACAAGCCTTCCACGCGAGGCTCAGCTTGGCTTTTCGGTTCAGCCACGTTGTGTGAGCAAGTCGGCCGGAATGGTTGTCGACGGGCAGGTTTCGGGTGCTCTTTGACCGCTAAATCTCCAGATTCGGCCGTTTGGGCTGGGGTTGCGGGGCCCCGGACAACACCGCGTTCGTCCCGGTAGGACCACAAAAACCCGACGCTAAAATCCATGGACCGCCACTGCCAGAGTTTGGAGGCTTGTCTGTTCTTGTCTAAGCTTGTCTCAACACGGCGGATGTGGTTGGTGGAAATTAATGCGGCATCGGCAGTGGCCCGTTCTGGGACTAGACTGCATCTTCGACCGGGCGACGTTCCTGGTCCGGTTACATTCGATGGCGACAGAATGCAACAGCCTGCCTCATGATCCTGCACTGGACGGAGTTTTCGAAGTGATACTATGGGGGATGTGAGAATTATGGGGCCAGATTAACTCGTTTAAGGTCGAACAACGTGGGGCCAGGGTCTGACCGTCAAGACGGCTCTCTCCGAGGACAACAGTTCCGACACGCCGATATTTACTTGTAATGGCTGAGACGATCAGGCCATGGCTCGAGCCGAAGTCGCCTCTTCCACGTGTCTGCCTACGCTGTGTCTGTACTCCGTACTCCGTAGTACGGCCTAACACCCCCTTGATTTCGGCACATTTCCAAGGATGATCCTTGCCCACTTTTCCTGATCGTTCTTGGCCAATCATATTCCTTCTCGACAAGGTTGATCTTCTTTCACGGGGTATGGAGTACACCGTACGAACACAGGATATGGCTCATGTTTCAGAGTAATCTTGCCGAAGTCCAATTCCAGTCTACCGACAACCACTCCATCATCTATTACGAAATTTAATTAACCGCAGATTGGCTCTCAAGCTCCGCTAAACGGCTTTAGACCCCTCAATCCACAAGACCAAGGCTCCCTCCAATGATTCCCAGATCATTAGATTGGGCCAATTATCCCGAAAGATATACTTTGACCTCGGCACTCATTTCAGAATCGCCAAGTCTCTGCCGGGGAACATTGGCGAAGTGCTCATCGGGCGCATGAGGACCAGCGGAAACGAAGGCTTGCCTTGATTCAAGCTCCCGCGGTCCTCTGTCCTGTTGGGAATTGAGCAATGTGAGTGTGAAAATGTGTATACATGCAGACTATTTAATCCCTTACCAGCCAATCGCAATTTAGAAACACGGGAGTGAAGAGTGGAAAGGGAGCAGAGCGAGTAGATCCGTGTTGGTTCGCGACTACCGAGCTCGAAGTCTGCAGCGGCCAACTCGGCACTCCGCGTCCGCCGAGTGAAGGGCTCGCGAGTGCCGAGATACCCATCCGCAATTACCGATGATGAACCCAGAGTGAAACGTACCGAGAAACTCGGTAGACGCGGACCTTGAGGTCAGGGATAATTATTCACCCAGTGGGTGGCACCAAGGTGCTAAACCGATCATCTTGTTGCGACCAGTGTGGAAGTTGTATCTCACTGAGCAAACTGCCAAAAATTCTCAAATTTTGGCAGATTTGCCTAGCCCCCATCGTGCACTCCCTCTCCAGTTGCAGGATCATGGATATCCGTCATTCTTATTTTCGGATGGATTCAGGGTCTGGCACAGACATCCGATGGGCTCGTCTGCGGCGGAAGCGGTCCCACGTACTCCGTATTACATCGAGACCATGTATGATAAAATACCACCGGCAATGCAAAGCAATTCACTGGAGTTATAACTTCCTAAGAATCTGGCAATTCCGATCTCTGCACAATGCGATCTTCCCCACAGGATCTATAAAGACGGCAAGCCGCGAAGCACTGCGGCAAAATGTGTTTATCATTTACTGCCGCGACACACCGAGTTCTTCAAATTTCCAAGATTTCCAAGGTTCATCCAACAATTGAGTCGCCTGCATTTTTACTTGCACAATGACACATAGGGACCGTTCTGGACTATATTCCAGCATTTTCACTTCATGAGATACGCCCATGGCCTAATATCAGACCTGTTTCACGAATATGAGCTCGCAAAACTCCTCCGGATGCGACCGTGAAGACTCGCAAACCTCTCGGCCGAGCTTAAATAATTCGAATCGTACCAATTCCAATACCCAATCGGTTTCTACCCAGACGCTTTCCAATAGCCGTCAAGACGGATCCACGAGCCAAGGCGATGGCCGCGTATCTAGCACGGGCCTCAGTGGTTCCGAGCGCGTATATCCAATCCGATCACTCGTTTCTATGAACCCGCCCAATGTCACCTCGCCGCCAGTGCTGGAGGAAGTAAAGGAGACCTCGAGCCAGCCAGAGGACTCGCCGATACTTGGCCCCGATGCCCTCACGGATGCTCGAAAACCCCCTCAAATGACCACCTCCCACTGGTCTCGCATAAAAGTCTCTCTGTCAACGATGAAGTTTCTTCCAACACACCCGCCACCGGAGATCTTGAGCACACGAAAGATTTCTTTGGCCCCATAGAGCCTGTGAATAGAGACACTGCACCGCCAGAGAATCATAACTACGTGACCTCCCGATTCGAACATGCATTTTCAGAGAATGGACACACTGTCATGCTCGGTGATAGCAATAAAACTCTCAAGCGGTGCGAAGACGAGCCCATCCGGACACCAGGTGCAATCCAAAGATTTGGAGCTCTGATCGCCCTCAGAGAGGAATCTCCCAATCAACTGGTTGTGCGTGCCGTGAGCGAAAATTCAGAACAGATTATTGGCTTCGCACCGCGAAGGTTGTTTGACTTGGAAAGTTTCACTGATATTTTGCAAGAAGACCAGTCTGTCACTTTCTTAGAGCATCTCGACCTCGTTCGAGACGATTCATATGATTTAATCATTGACGGCCCCGAGGTCTTCCTCCTTGCAATACAAGGGCCCCACGGCAAAATCACTCGATTTTGGTGCGCTACTCATGTTAGCCAAGAGAACAAAGATATCATCATTTGCGAGTTTGAACTGGTGGAAGACCACCTCAACCCGTTAAATATTGAGGATCAAAAACGCCCAGAAACTCCCACAAATACGCTACGAACGGATCCGCCCCCTAGTAAAGAACAATATCTTCAAAGCACGACAAGCGCAAGCCATTCAGTACGGTCCATCCGTGATGTACGACGGAGAAAGGGCGAAGATGCTGCAATGCAAGTTTTTGGTGTACTATCTCAGATTCAAGCCCAGCTTGCTCAAGTAACGGACCAAGACACATTGCTCCAAGTCGCTGCTGGTCTAGTGAAGGAGCTGGTCGGATTCCACCGAGTCCTCGTTTACCAGTTTGATCACCAAGCGAATGGTCGAGTTGTAGCTGAGTTGATGGACCCAGATGCTTCTCTCGACTTGTATCGAGGCCTGCATTTCCCAGCTTCAGACATTCCGGCTCAGGCTCGCGAGCTCTACAAAGTCAACAAAGTCCGATTATTATACGACCGAGACCATGTTACTGCCCGACTCATTTGTCGGACATTGGAGGATCTGGAAACGCCCCTTGATATGAGCCACGCCTATCTTCGAGCGATGTCACCGATCCATGCCAAATACCTTGCAAACATGGAGGTGCGTTCGTCAATGTCGATCAGTATCAATGCCTATGACAACCTGTGGGGCCTGATATCCTGTCACTCATATGGCGACGACGGTATGCGCGTTTCGTTCCCAGTCCGGAAATTGTGCCGCTTAGTTGGCGACACAGTTGCTCGAAACATCGAACGTATCAACCATGCCTCTGACCTCCAGGCGCGTGTGATGGTCAATTCTATTCCGAAAGAAGCCGACCCATCAAAGTACATTGTTGGAACATCAGATGACTTGCTGCAACTATTCCAAGCTAATTATGGTGTACTTTCTATTGGAAACGAAGCCAAACTTTTCGGTAGCAAGTCGAATTCACAAGAGGCTCTTGCGCTTTTGCAATATATACGTCTACGAAAGGTCACGTCGGTCCTTACGTCACATGACATTGGAAAAGACTTCCCCGACTTTACTTTCCCTCCAGGATTGAAACGGATATCGGGTTTATTATGTGCTCCGATGGGCCCTGATGGCACCGAGTTCATTGTGTTCTTCCGGGTTGGAAAATTGACAACGATCAATTGGGCTGGAAATCCACACAAGCCTGTGGGCGGTGGTATTGGACCCTTAACACCACGCCAAAGCTTCAAGGAATTCCGTGAGATCACTTTGAGCGAGTCAAAACACTGGTCCGAATCCGACATTTCCACAGCCGCTATCCTTGGATCCGTTTACGGGAAATTCATTCAAGTATGGCGACAGAAAGAAGTGCTCAAACAGAATTCGCAGCTTACGCGACTTCTGCTTTCCAATTCAGCTCACGAGGTCCGCACCCCGCTGAATGCAGTCATCAACTATTTGGAGATTGCAATGGAAGGGACCTTGGATCAGGAAACTCGGGAGAACTTGGTCCGATCCCACTCAGCTTCGCAATCTCTAGTCTACATTGTCAATGATCTCCTTGACCTTGCGACTGAAAGCGGACAACAGCTCGTCAAGAATGAGCCTTTCGAATTAGAGCCCACGCTGCATGATGCCTTTGAGATGTTGGCAGGTGAAGCAAAGCGGAAAGGCATTTCCTACACATCCAATATACGCCCCGGACTTCCAGATGCTGTGTTGGGAGACCAACGTCGCGTGCGCCAAATCTTTGTTAATCTCATATCGAATGCCATCGAGAATACATCGAAGGGTGGTGTGAGCGTTGAGGCCCAGCTTTCCAGTGTCCAAGGCGATCGCACGATGCTTGAGATGTCAGTTGTCGACACAGGTTCAGGGATGTCGAAACCTAGACTCGAGCAGCTCTTCCGAGAACTCGAAGAAGTTTATGCGCATGAGTATTGGATTGGAGGTGGACACGATAACGCACAAGATTCAGGTGATGGCGGCGAGAAGCAACGTGTCCTGGGCATCGGTCTTGCGATGACCGCCCGCATTGTGCATACGATGCGTGGACAGCTCACCGTGAAGTCTACAGAGGGCAAAGGCAGTCGTTTCAAGATTATTCTTCCATTTGAACTTCCGGGAGAATTATCCTCGTTGTCCTCTCAGAATCAGACCAGAACAGAGTACCTCGATATGCCAGCATCGCCCTCAATTCTGGAAGGAGAAGTCACTATGCTGGTTGATGATGACAAAAATAAAATCAAAGATACAGCGCAGGACGCTCGTATCAGTCCCGATTCTGATGAGAGGGGTCAACCTCATCAGGACAAGTTTTCACTTCCAGAAAACCAGGACATCCCTCCACGCCGCCTTTCGCAATCTGACGAAGGCTTGCAAACTTCGCCATCAAATCACCAGCAACAACCAGACATGGCACACCCCCCGGAAAGCACTGCACCTTTCCAGACACATGCGTCAACCCCTTCTTCCAGGAATACGGCTCTGAATATTCTCGTTGCAGAGGACAATCCAGTCAATAGCAGGATTTTGGAAAAGCGATTGAGCAAAATCGGTCACACGGTTCGACTTGCCAACAACGGCAAAGCATGCGTGGATGCAATTCTGTCCGGAAGCGAAACCCCTGATGTGATCTTGATGGATATTCAGGTATGAAGCTACCATGACTCAATGAATCTCCTTGGTATCTTTTTATTGACTTTTATAGATGCCTTTCATCGATGGAAAGGAAGCTACAAGCTTGATTCGCGAGGCTGAATCCAATCAATCTCAATCTTCAGACTCAAATCCGAAGACTCAATTCACCAGGGTCCCCATTTTTGCAGTATCAGCATCTATTGAGGAGAAGAACAAGAAGGAGTACATCGATGCCGGATTCGATGGTTGGGTCTTGAAACCGATCGACTTTGCAATTCTCAACTCAATCTTGGCCGGTATACATGATTCAGAGGCTCGCGCAGGCGCTGCCAAGGTTGGTGAATGGGGAACAGGCGGGTGGTTTGCATTATAGAAGCTCGGTTTGATTGCACACACGGTGTAAAGTTGCATCTTGATACCCCATGTTTTATGATAATGTTTACGTTGAAAGTTCATAGTATATACCCCCTGGAAAGAATACGATTCCAGGAGCACTGAGTCTTATTATATCATATTCCCGCCGAATGTAGATGGATGACACCGGTCATCACAAAATACATTCCGATCACAAACAAAACAATGGCTATTCAAAGGTGCCACAGTACTCATGAGCACACAGTTGTCATTGTTATAGTCCCCGTAGTATGATGCTCAAAATCGCCCTGAGTTATCCCCAATCGACCAAGTTGGACCAGTCAGGTTATGACGGCGGAAAATCTCTACCGCATCGTGCAACGACCGCTTCGTCCAGTCGGCGTCGGCGTGACGTCCATACCACTCAGTAGCAAAGTTCCAAATTTGCTCAATTGGCCGCACATCTCCTTTCGGGATACCCCTTGTAGAGCACCACTCGTCCACCTCAGCTTCGTCGCGGAACAGTAACTGGACCGAGCAGGTATAAATCACATTGTCCCAGGCGTTGCGCATTGGGATTGGAAAGTGGATGACATAATCCTTGTCGAGGAGCTCGTGGCATGTGCGGCGTGAAACAAAGTTTGCGAAGGTTTTTTATTCTTTCTCCACTTTGACCTTCAACTACACAAGTGCCTGCATCGCCTATGCTGTCGATGAATCAAACATCTGTCTTCGTCCCTTCAATAGTCTTTAGCAGTATCTTCAAGTCATCTCACCAGCTACTCCTAGTATTATCTTTGGTATCGAATTTTTATAACCACACTCACTGATGGTAAAGTTCAGCATTTCATGGGAATTTCTGCACAAATCTAGCTTTTCATAGAGCTGATCTACAGAGGTCCACTTTTCTAAGGGCGCGAACTTCTGAGCAAATGTAATTTGGAGCGTTGAAAGGCACAAGTTCTCTATGAAAACAATGCAATCCAAGTCTTTCAGACAAAAATTCAAACCACTATTCCCCTAACATAATTGCTTCGACCAACATACTATCTATTAGCTTTGGTTGCACTGGCTGGCATTGTGCTCTGTTGAGTAACTAGTAATTTCTTTGATATTATCATCCCGCGAATATCCGGCTCGAAATTCTCTCCGAGCTCAGGTGAGGTCGGCAAAATGCCCGAACTCCAGTGTCACCTCACCACTAATGTTTGGATCCACACCTTACAGCGCGCTCTTCCCATTTCATTATGTTGCTGTTGAATGAGCAATTTCACAGCAAATTAAATAGCAAAAACATACAACAGTGAGGATTCGCTGGTGGTCACCCACCCAACTACTAACTCACCGGCGTGTGGCTTAAGTACGGCTGAGCGGACGGGAAGCCCTGTTCTCCACACCCTGTGGTCGTATGTACCAGATTGAGCCTTTGGGCTGTACAAGTTCCTGTACAAATTTCCTGCGGCCTTTGATTTTCAGTAAGATAGCCAGGGAAATCTGTGAGTCAGATAATTGAAATGCATAACTCTGCTGACCCCATAGGGAAGAAACCCTAATGTGAATGAAGCCCCCCTCACTTCTTTAAAAACAACCAACTAAACCGGGCGGATGTTTCCGAGTCCGCTGACCATACCTATCGATGTGGGTTTGAATGTATATTATACAAGCCTCAGTGCCGCGCTCACGCGCGGCCAAAAAGACGACGATAGTTACTTGTAAATAGGTGTAGTTATGTATTAGCTCAATCTCATATTTCGATTGGTAAAGAAACAGAACTGTCAACTTTGGGATCTTTTTTTTAACTGTCATTCTAACTATCTTTCTGACTACTCCATGCTCTGTATTTTTTAAACTGTCTTTTGAACTATCTTTTAAACTGTCTTTTTAGCTGCCCATTCAAAGTTCCAACTAATTGTACATACAGTTAACATTCGATTGGTCGAACCTTCGATTCAAGCCAAGCCGTGAAACATGATTGGTCGAGGGAGCTAAGCCGTGAACAGAGAATTATACTTAGGGGATAAAGCAACTTTGGTCTTGGATTTCTCGAAAGAACAGAAACCTCAGTAAGAAATATACGTATTTCTATGAATCAACTCTTTGATGGATGTAGACTAGATGAAGAGCAAAAGATCCCTGGTAGATCTTAACATTTTACGATAGATATATCATTAAAGAATGTGTCAATTTTTGTGATCAACACTAAGAGGTAGTAGGTAAACGGCGATTACCACAACTAGCTCGGTCCTCAAATGGTTCTCGATAAAGGATTATTCAATACACGCGTACAAATCATTCCCAGGTTCTTTGGTCGCATTGCCAAACATGTACTCATTATCGCCACACCTAATTCCTACAAGGGAGGCCCATATCTAACTCATAGATTAATGTCATTTTTTGAGCGTCAAACTCCCAAAAAAGGGGTTACCTGAAGAGAAACTCAGCAACCAGACCGACAATACGCCTCGAGATCAGTCTCATTGAACGACACCAAGTTCACAATCTCAGTTTCGGTGATTAGACCCGGACATACGATCTCGCTCGACCAAACGGCTCGACAGCCCACTGGAATAGCAGTTCCAAGCTTCACGAAGAATTCCAGATCTTGGGGGAAAATCGCGCGTGTGAACAATAAGGAAACTAAAAAAAAGGCAATTTGCCCATTCGAAATATTTACTTGCTGTAGACCTGGGGCATATGGGGTATCAGGGGCTGCACGTGATCTAAGAACTGCTTGGAGGGTTTGTCACATCATGCACCTTTTCTTCTTTCTTTCTTTATTTTGTTTCAAATCTAACAAATGAAAAGGGCCAGTCATCTTTGCCGATGTGCGGCGGGCGGGGTTCATTGTCATTTGACCATTGCACCGCCTTCAAACATCGCAAATATCCACCACAAGTGCTCCTATCCATATGCGGTTTCTCGCACCACCATGGGATCCAAGAATTGCGACTTGCGAAGTGTTTACGCTACACCTGCTTCTCAAATTTACCTCAAAGGTTTACTGAGTCTTATCCTTGACCTTTCGTTAACAGTGGTTGGAAACAATGTCTCCTTATGACCAGCCATCAACTCAAACTGCACGATGTGTACAGCAGAAATTTTGCAATCGTACTGCTTCTCGATGTCCAATATGAGGCATAAATGACTAAAACAAGTACGCACTACATTTTACCTGCATTTTGTAGTGCAGTAGCTAGAAAGTATATACCCTTGCAATGATGGACATGGTTCCACAAGGCATTGCCGTAAATACATACCGAAATAAATTGGATTTGCTACAGCTTACGTTTCAAGCCGAACAGATCACCTGCCGAGCTCGGAGTTATATCATACAGAGTTGATGCGCCAGTGTAGTCGTCTTTTTTGGAATATAATGCCACCAAATTACAGGAGGTCTTCAGAATTAGCTGCTCGACAATGATATTTTAGACCTCCACAACTTGATAATACCGCAGCTTGAGAGAAGCTCTACTAGCTCCAGTTTCATGCATATATATTCTACGCCCTTTTAAAGATTCAGTTAGTACCAACATATTACATCATATGTTGTACAGCATTCCCCGCTTCGAAATAGCGTGTCTGAATATTCAGAAGGGTCCGGCCCGCCTCTGTCGCTGCAACTTGTCGATCATTATACGATCCAGGCATAGTTGCCAGTGGGCTAGTTGCATAAGCGGGGGCTGCATCTTCGGGGTGGCTTATATATGAGAGCTGAACCTTTGAATATGACTCGTGTAGCCACAGCGGGGTTGCATCATAGCTGAAATGTGGAGACTAGGCCGATCCGCACAGCGTTTATGTCATTTGTCTAAGTTGTACTCCGTACTCCGTACAACCGGTTGTTAAGTGCTGAGACTATATTCAGCCTCGATAATATGATATTTGTATACAATTAGCAAGATCTCAAACCAAATAATTTTCTAGAATCGCCGTAATGAATGAGTGTGACACTATAGCATAGCCTTTAGTGAAAAGGACTGTGTCGTTTGATGGGAAAAAGCAAGCCCATTCAGCTCAATTAAATGCAGCAACGCGGGCCGAGAAGAACGAGATTGACCCCTCGGCTTATGGAGCCAATTTTGAAGACAGGATGAGTTTCACTATTTGATTGGACTGTAGCAACTTGGATTGCGAAAGACCTGAGCTGGTGGGGATGCGTCATGCATAGGAAACAAGAGAGCTGAAGGGTTGCCTCACCCTGGGAAGTTTGCAATGCAGGGCTGCCTCGCCTAGACTGCTAAAGAGGAGGCCTGGCAGAGAGCATCGCAACATATAAAGGAGGCCATGTTCCCTCCTAAATCAATTCATTCCTCATCAACAATTGAGTTCCCAAAAGCCCTCTGACAATCCAATTTATCAAACCGCCCTTTCCATCCATAAGACCCATTCAATATGTCTCACGCTCACAACACCCTTGGAAACGACGAGTGGTTGCTCAAGGGCAACAGCCTGTGGAGTGAGAATGGCGTCTACGAATTCAGAATGCAGCAAGACGGCAAAATTGTTGTGTACGAGAACGGCAGCCCAAAGTGGCAAAACACCAAGCAGCAGCGCGACGACGTGAAGGGAGTCAAAATGCAAGCAGATGGAAACCTGGTCGTCTAGTAAGTTTACTCCCTCTCTCCATTCTATTATTTTTTCCATGCGGTGTATTACTTTATAGAGGAGCTCCCTTTGGCTGACAAATTCATGTGCAGCGCCGACAATGGTGAAGCAATCTGGCACTCTAACACCGCCCCCAAGAAGGACGTCATCCTTGTCATTCAGAATGACGGCAACCTCGTTCTCTACGAGGGCAACCCAGTCTGGGCCACCTCGACTACCCCCACCGCTGAGTGAAATATCACTGAGAGACAGACTCTGGAAGTCGAGTATCAAAGGGAAAGGTGGAATGAAAGAGCTGGAATCAAGGCAGTGAAGGTCTAGATTGACAAACCGTAAATAAGTATTTACTTTGCCCCTCGCTTGTCAATGAACGAATGAACTATGCCACAAAATACCACCTTGTAATCCTTTAAGGGCACAGTTACCTTGTTGCAAGAAGAGTAGAATTAGAGTGGAAAGACAATGCCATAAGGTGAGTTTGATCCTGTTTCTGGCTTTTACCACTCAAAATTGTTAGTGTTGCCATAGACTCGGTGGATAGAGAACTGATTGGGTTGGGGCCGATGTATGCCTGATGGCTGGTTTGCGTTTGTCTCGCTACCGCCGCGTGGATTGAAAGAGTTGGTGTGATTGTCGAACCAGATTCCATCTCCAAGTCTGAACTCGTCTCGGGCAGCGTCGATTTTGCATAGCTCTGCAATAATATCACGGACGTCATCTTCCATGACGATTCGCTCGTAGTTCTCAAGACCTTGTTCACTGCTAATTGAACGGAGACCGAATCGTCCGGTATCCTCCTCAAGCGCAATTAGGGGGGTAAACAATCCCGGGGGGGGATGGTCATGTGCGCGCGTGCCGGGTACCTACACCTCGATCCTGACAGATAAAGATCTCTTCTTCTTCTCTTCCTCTATAAATTTGTTGATATCGTCATTTTGGACCTTCAAATACCATTTTACTTTGTTGTTTTGCTAGCTTGACACTGTGTGCCTAGGTCGTTGCCAAACTCTTCCCTCCCGTACCGGTAAAATTTTGAAAATAATTGCTGTCGTGAACTACCCTTGCCTCTAATGAGCGACGTGTACATACGACGATCAAGAGAATACGTGACGCTATTCCAGAATATACTAGCTTGGACGAGAACTGCACGAAATTACTACCACAATATCTAACCACACCCAATTTACTAACACGAACTCGCAGTGAGCGATGATAATGCGATTTCTTTGTATACACCCTAAGCCATATAACTGGTGATATATAGACTTTTCGTTTCTGTATGCACCTGATTTCGAGGTAGAATTTCATTATCTGCAAAATATGATACAAAGGTTGTAATCGGTAAATACCTTGGAATCATCGGAGTGTGATTTGATCAGATGATTCAAAATCGGATCAACGACGAGGGGAAATTATGCAAGAATGTAAGTGAGGCCGGCGAAAAGGGCTGTCAGCGATGTCACTCCCACAGGTAGATGCACTGCGCTCGCATTGTCTGCCGCTGGATTCTTCTCATCGGAATCCTTCCCATCTGTAGAACCTTTGCCACCTGTACTGATATTCAAAGAAGCCGAGATGTTGGAAGCTGTAGCAGCATCTAACTTGACAGCACAAGGATCCACGGTAGCCCATGGTGACTTTCTCGAAATCACCGCACATTTGTCAGAGCCCCAGTCGGCGCTTTCTTCTGCGTCCAGAGTCCCCGTAACGTTCCAGGCTGCGCTAGCTGTGCCACAGGCTCCCTTTTTGGTAGCGGCGGTGAGGTCAGGCTCCGCGGCGCCATTCTTAACGGTGAAGACAACCTGAGAAGTCGTTGAATTCTGCGTGTAGAACAAAGGTTCACCGCTAGTCCCCTCACAATATCCATAGTTGACGAACCAGGTGACTTCCCAAATTCCCTCAGTATTGGCCCCGTCGGTTTTGTTATACAAGAAGTAAGGGTCGCTGTCAGACGAGCTGATTGAGTTCGAATCAAATTGGCTTGGCTCGGTGATGTTCACATAATCCCGGTAGGGCGAAATGAACCAAGAAACATCCACTTTGAGTGGCGCAACCAGATGCGGGTTCTGAACGGCAAACACGAGGGGCATCTCCTCGGAGGGCGCATACGTCTCATTGCGTGGAAAGATCAAGTCGACTCCGAAGACGCCCGATGTAGCCGAAGCTCCCATCACCTCAGTGCAGACCCCCAAGGCCAGAAGGGAACCCAGGTATAGTTTGTTTTTGAACGTAGTATACATCGTTTGTCTTTGGGAGATCGGGGATCTGAAAATGAAAGGAGAAGGAGAAAAGGCGATCACTTCAATTTATATAAACAATTTCTTTATAAGGGGGCCAGAAGTTAATCAGGGCAACAGACCAATGAGGGTATATCATGAACACAATCTCTGGGGTCATAGGGCACCCGATCAGGGGCCGTGTGCTAAGATTGGTGGGAAAGAAACAGAAAGACTAGAAAAGAGGAGACAAACGGATATATCCGCGGCATGTCTCACCTGCAAATACTACATGAGACCCTTGTTTGCCCACCAACGCCCCATAGTTCCTTGGCTTAATCTTACCCACGTTCTCATTTCCTTCCAGGGAATCATGAAGGTCACAGCGCCAAGACCTCCAATAGCCCCAAAATATCCATTGAATACCGGTGAAAACGAAAAAACAATTGACACTCCCTTCTGTCTTCATTGCCTTCGATAGAAAGTGACAAGAAACTGTTAGCCCGGGGTGGCGAGGTCAACGTACCTAAGCTAGCTGTTTAGTGGCTTGGCAGGGCGAAAGGCCTCAACTGGCGTATCATCAGGGTCAAAGTCCAAAGTTGAATCACATCGACTTCTTCAGAAGTGAACCCGAGAAATTTGAAAGAGAAAATTTACTGGACTATACAACTCTACAAGAAAATGGAAACTGCAAAATTTGATTTAGCTTTCCTTGGAAAGGGCTCTGACCCTCTCTCTTGCTTTTTTTTCTTATGCATTTGATGAAGACAGACTACGGAGTAGGGTCAAACAGTTTCATTCAAGACTTACTATGAATGTACTTTCTGCGACTGCTTGAACATCCAGTACTCCGTATAGTTTTTAATAATAATCTTCTAATGGTGGATAATAAGGTCCAGAGCTCACTCAATGTGGATTGGCTCATCGGCGTTAGCCTCCAACCCGACCCGCTTTTATCGGCGATAACTGGATATGCCCGAAAACGGACCTACAACAGCTAATATGATTGGAAATTGCAGTGTTGTCCATTGAATACAATGCGTCATTTTCCCATGGGGCCGATGGTGAACCGTTGGAGGACCCTTCTGCCGTGGTATAACGCCGATGACCTTGGTTATTTAAACCCGGCAAGATATACAGCTTGAGAACATCCGGATCTCTTCAAGCAAACTTGATAACCCAGTTTTCGTTGAATCAAATTCAATATGCCCTCTCACGGTCAATATACCACTGAAAATGTCAAATATCCCTCACATGGAGAGACTGTCAGTGGGGTCCTTTTTCGTCCCACAAATGTCGCAAATCCACCCGGTGTTGTGATTACCGGCCCGTATTCTTTTGTGAAAGAACAGGCGCCACTGCAATACGGAACCCGCCTCGCAGATGAAGGCTATGCCGCATTGATCTTCGACCCCCGTACTGTTGGCGAAAGCACAGGCCAACCCCGACGACTGGAGAACCCGAAAATGAAAAACGAGGATATGGTCGCAGGACTTGACTACCTATCGTCACGCGGCGATGTTGATCCAGCCCGGCTATTCTTGGTCGGTATCTGTCAAGGCGGTCCCGAATCCCTGGATGTGGCATCCTACGATAGCCGGGTTGCAGGCGTAGCCTCAGTCTCCGGATACTACCGAGACCATGAGACCGACATCTACATGATTTGCGCTGGGTGTGTAGCTTGGACACCTGGCGCTGATATCGCGGCGATGAAAATGCCTACACCTGAACAGGGAGAAGCTCTGTACAAAGCACGCCTTGAGCGAGCTAGAGAAGCTCGTGAATTGTACGACAAGACCGGGGAAGTGGTATACCAACCGCTGGTTGATCCGAAGCCCGCTGACCCTGACACCGGGTCACTAGCCGGTCTCCCAGGACCAGTTGTTTGGTCCTGGTATGGGCCGTGGACTCTGAAGGGATTCGAGAACCGATACGCGGTGATGAGCGATTTGGACCACTTCGATTATACCACTGTGCCTGGTGTTGCTAAGCTGAACAGACCGGCGCTGCTGATTCACGGCGACAACTGTATGAATGCGACTGCTGCTAAGCGTCACTATGATTCCATTCCCACAAGTCAGAAGAAATTGATCTGGAACAACGAAGTTTCCCACTTCCAGCACTATGACCAGCCGGATTGTGTTGATCGCAATGTTGGGGACATCGCGGCCTGGTTTGCTGAGATTAAATAGTATGCAATTGACAAGAGATAAATTTCAGTGCTCAAACTCGTTCATCATATCCCAGAAGCTAGCATCTGAGAAGGTGCCTTCAAATTTCCAATTCTCTGTAAAGTTGACAGTGGGCAGGTCCACGGGCAAATGGTCCGGTGCGTTCATGAGGGGGATTTGAGTCGAAATGTGATCGAAGAACAGATCATGGGTTGGGCGCGGAGGTGAGACAACGTCAAGAGAGAAATCCGGTGGTGCGCCATTCGAGTTATAGCCATTGCTGTTGAGAGGAGTCCAGTTTACATTGTTGAAAAATGCTCTAGTGTCCTCGGTTTCCGAGGAGGTGGGCCGAAGTTTTAAGCGATGGTACAAGCTGTACACGACACCATGTGCTGATTTTGCCATGGGATTGGATTGACCAATGATCTCCAGCCTTTGTATCCCTTCTTCAACAACAATTATAGATTCTTCTCGTGTTTCGAGGTCCTCATTCGGAAACACCAGACAGACTGCTAAAATGAGAACAATTGCATCGAAAGAGGCATAGACCGGATTGAACACCTTGCGCTGGTGCGGCTCCGACCGTTGAAATAGGCGTTCCTGTGCCTGAAGAATGGATATTCCAGATTTGACGGCTTCTATGCGACTGTTGGCACTAGAGAATATGAATGGTCGATGAAGCGTGAGAACAACAAGGTGAATGAGCGAGGACAATCCTTCTCTGGCGGCGGGTAGCCATTGGCACCCGTTTAGTTGATCAAATCTCGTATCTGGGTTTTGAAGACGGCACCAAGAGGGCAGAGAGTGAATGTTGGTATTGATTGCGGCGTGAATACGTTCGACCGTGGGATAGTCTTGGGAATCAGAGCCGTCAATTTCCATTTTGTGAATGTCCTTGAAATATTGATAGGCCACCGTATAGCCGGCGATGATAATATCGAATGGTCGAGGAACATCAGTCTTGCTTTGCCAATGCGAGAATAAATTTTGTCGCCTTGTTTCGTCTTCTATGGTGTGAGAAAAACGATGTATTTGAAGGTCGGTCGCAGTCGGCCGGCCGAGAACGACAGCCATGTGAATGTCCCAGATGTGCAAGATGACCCAGATCTTGTGACCAACAAGACTGGCATTGTATCTCTCGTCTCCTGTTAGAACTGGAGGTTGCTCGGATATAATTCGCCCGGTATGTAGGCCAATTTCCTGTGCATCGCGGATTGTAGTCCCAAGCGTATGCCAGGCTTCAACAACTTTGCCGCTACTTTTCAGAAAGGAGGCTCGTAGTAAGCCTGCTTGTACCGTGGCGATCTTGATGTTGCTTTTCCCCAGAAGTGCAAGTAGCTGGGCGCCTGTATCGCTGTATTCGGCCCCAAGATCATGAAAGGTCATACCAGACATGGTGATAAGAGAATTTATCGTCTCATCATAAGGAGAGTGAAAGAGGAGGGCGTGTGCGAGAATTTGAAACAGTAGTGCTGGAAACACAAGGGTTTCTTGCGCCAACCTCCCGAAGCTCACTTGAAGGTCAGAGTAAGAAATATTTCCCCAGGCCTCTAGTCGTTCTTGAAAAAGTACCTCGTCAAGCAGGTCATACTGCCAATTAATGCTGGAGAAGAAAGTTTGGGCCAAAATGTCGATGCAGGCCTTCGAAGGCAGCTGGCGGACTAATTCTTTGTACTTGCGGTCGGCATCGGGTTGGAAAGAGGGCTGACTCGTGACAGTGGGTCCAACCAAGCTGGCTTCTCGACCTCCATACAGCTCTGCGGTCCGTAGTAGGCTCAGGGAGTTTTGATTTCCATGGGTGGAATATCCAAAGTCTCGGATCTTGTCCTGAAGCTCGCTACCTGGTTGAGGGTCCGGTCGAGCAGGGGGGCTCAGATACACAGTCTCGGTGCTAAAACTGGATCCTGAGGGACCACTCTCACCGGAGCTGCTTTGCGTGGCACGGTCTCCCTCTCCCTTCGGCCCAGCGTCATAATGACAAAGATCCTGCAGTCACCAATTAGACCATGATCAAGGTAGTGTTGGAAAGTATGGATACCTGCACTTCTCGCTTAATGCAATTGCAACATGGATGCTGGCGGTCGCACTATTTGATGCTTAGTAGATTTCCTGCGTAGCTCTCTGGTAGGGGTTCTTGCTTTTTGCTTGCGTCGATGGCATTCACTACAGGAGATGACAATTCTCCTCCTTGCTTGAGGCCTATGCGGCTCGGTGGCGGAGTGTGCCCTTGGCGGGGATAGCCTGGGTGCCATATTGTGCAGAAATTCGAGCAGTCATCGGATTGTGAGGCTGAAAGGGATAGAATTCAAGGGATGGAGGGGCACCGGGGTAAAGGTGTATTGGTTTCGCGCAAGATACGGTCTGATAGGCAAATGTGATTGAAAGCACTTCGTATTATTTCCATCTAGGCCAAATAAGGATTAGCGCGGTTTCGGGTACGGGCCGAGGAACAAAATGTCAATACGAAGTACTCCGTACAACTGACTCCGTACGGATTACGGAGTATATAGAGGGTAATCTGTTTCGAAAATGCACTGCAGAAGATGGGTAGCAGAAGGAGCTCTTTGAACCTGTGTTGGAGAGGTCTATCAGGGTGAGTATCATGTCTGCCTGCGTCATATGATCTCTCTCACATTGATCTAAGATGTCACCATGGACCTTTCCTCCTTTTCCTTCATATTTTATTCAAAAAAACAAAAACCAATTTCGAATATTGCTTTTTCGAATCTGATTCATCGAAAACAAAGCAACCTGATCCAAGCCATGATTCGTGGATCGGCGAAGACATCTGCGGGCAAACCGTGGGACCGGGCGGAAGTGCCGCTAACCGAGCCAGAACACCGGGACGTACCGGACGTAAATCTATAAATGCTTGAAGATAAACGAACTAGCATGAGGACTTTAAAAATTTGGAGAATTCGGTCGAGGATACCACTTTGGGGTCTGACAAGGCCACCGTGACTAGTGGGATGAGTCACCGCCACGGGATTGGTCTGATGCGGCTCTGCGGTTCGCTTAAAGGTCTGGCTGAAGGGGCTCTGAGCATCCAGTACATAAGCCCCACTCCGGCCCCTTCGGCCCCCTCTTTCTCTCGGCTCTTTTTTCTGCGCTAGAGAAAAAAGAGACCACCGCATCTCTTCAACTCTTCTTCCGCAACCGCAACCAACATGCCGACGTCAGACTCGGAGAGGTCTGACACTGTGATGGTTGGTCGTGACGATGTTCACGACTACAATGAAAACAACATACTTCCGCTTCCCGCAAGCGACCTCAAGGCGATCAGAGAATGGCTACAGCCCACACCATATGATGCCGAGAGGTCTGAGTTCTCAAGACACCTCGAATCCTACCTAGCAGGTACCGGGAAGTGGCTAATATCCACAAACACATATCAAGAATGGCATTCGGGTGACACAAATGGTCTTCTCTGGATCAAAGGCATACCAGGATCCGGTAAATCCGTCATGGCTGCTTCAATTATCCAGCAGCTGCGTAAAGAGCATGTTCCGGTGCTTCATTTCTTCTTTCGACAAATTATTGACGCGAATCACCAACCAGTGGCAGTCTTGCGAGACTGGCTATGCCAACTTCTCCCCTTCAGCCCAGCTTTACAAGTCAGGTTGAAGGACGTCTATCTTGATAAGAGCCGCTCGATTGATAGTGTTTCTGTGAACGACATGTGGAAAGACATCCGATTTGCTCTCTCCACCTTTTCTAAGGCATACTGCGTCATAGATGCCCTGGACGAGATGGATCAGGGAAACAAGGACTTTTTGCAAGCTGTTGTCGAGCTGGGCCAATGGCGCCCTGCAAATATCAAGGTCCTCATTTCGTCTCGCCCGGTTGTCGCCGTGGAATCCCCCTTAAGGCCATTCTCAGTACCATTTATTCGACTGGACGAACAACTCGTTGACATCGACATTGCTGCGTACGTGCAGCACCGACTGCAAAACTCTTCAGTCCCCGAAGAACATTGGAGCACTATAACAGAGGCTGTTCCCGGTCGAGCGAATGGTCTTTTCTTATATGCTAGGCTTTCGTTGGATGCGTTCACGAAGCCTGGCGCTGATCCCCAAGATGTGCTCAAAAGGCTGCCGAAAGATCTCAACGTGATGTATGACGAACTTTTACGCGAGCATGCAAAGCGCTCAAATGTTCCCGACAATCTCCAGCTTCTGATTCTTCAGTCTATCACACATGCAACGCGTCCTCTTCGGCTTCTAGAGGTTGCAGAAATGATTAAAGCTACTCACACCCCGCTTGAAAAAAGCAGTTTGAAGGAGATCAAGAATCTAGTAAGGGCTGCCTGCGGTCCGCTGCTTCAGATCCTCCACGATGAAACCGTCTCGGTCGTCCATCACTCTTTCACGGAATTTTTGAAGGGAATGACTCGTACCGCTCCCCTGAGTGTTTCAGCCTACCCCATTCTGGAGGCTGGACCGACCAACCATCGTCTAGCCATCGCATGCTTGGACTATCTCATGTCTGGCTGCCTGGAAAACCTCGAGGTCAAGAAACGCAACAAATACGATGATTTTTACCACCCCAAAAAGGCTGCGCACAGTGAACTGCGCCTGAGTTTCCCATTTCTTGAATACGCAGCCACCAATTGGTATATCCACACTCGCCGCGCAGAATTGGCCGGTGTAGACCTATCATTGTTTTTCTCGGTTCTTGATGAATTTGTTGCCAAAAAGAACAGATTTGTCGCGTGGCTGGACATTGACTGGCCCGTATATGCGATCCAGGGTCTTACTCCCCTACACGCGGCTGCGAAGAGCGGATTGTCTCAGTACACCGCGCATTTGATCCAAAACAACAACGCCGACCCAAATGCCAAGTGTAATAAGGGGGATACGCCTCTCTTTTGGGCTGCTTCCAGTGGATACGCAGAAGTTGCACAAATTCTCATTGATAACGGGGCTGACCCAGACGGAGAATGCCACGAAGGACTTAAACCACTCCATGAGGCTGCTGGTAGTAACCGGGCTGAAGTCGTCAAAGTTTTGCTTGCTGCTGGCGTTGATCCACTTACGCCAAAGACAAGAGAAGCGCCTGGAATGCGCTGCGGCAATGCACCAACATCCGTTGGTCATACCCCACTCATGTATGCCTGTAGCCGTGGGCACACCAAGGCAGTTGCCGAGTTCTTGCCCTATCTTGATGATCAAAGTATCAAAAGAGCGCTGTTTTGGCTTGCGGGCTCAGGACATGCCGCCGGTGTTGCTTACATTCTTGAGCACGCTACGGTGGACGTGAATGAAACCCAGAAGCAAGAAACCCTGCTTTACAAAGCCTGTCTTAAATCAGACCTGGACACAATCAAGGTCTTACTCGCGGCAGGGGCAGGTCCCGATATCCTTTGCGCTTATCCCTTAGAAGAGTTCGGCGGCATCGGATCTAACATGCATCGTCTATATCAGCACCCCAAGGCTGAAGGTGAGCCCAGAGGCTTCACCGCACTGCATGCTCTGTGTGGGATAAGTGGTCGGCACGACCGCCCCAAGTCGCCCTTGAATTGTGTTTCAGCTATCATCGACGCCGGTGCGGATGTCCATATCAAATCTAATGATGGCAAAACAGCCTTGCACTTTGCCTGCGCCAACAATATCAGTATTGTGAAAATGCTGCTGGAGGCAGGGGCGGACCCTTATGTCCAAGATGACAAGGGTGACACAATACTCCACACCGATGGAAAGAAAGACAAGGAGTTGCTTCCCATACTACAAGAGTCGGGACTTGTTGATGTCAACAAGATCATGATAGAGAGTAATGGAGGGCCTTTATTCTCTCGACTTTGGGGCAATCATCCCAAGTCAGCTCTCGAATTCCTGAAATTCAAATTGGATCTCAATGTAATCAGGTCAAATGGAAATGGTCCACTGCACATTCTCTTCAATGGACGATCTTCCGATCACGATGATGATGTCCTTGATGGGTTGTTATCCGCTGGTGCTGATCCGAATCTCTGCAATGACAAGGGTGATGCGCCATTGCATTTGGTTGAACGCCAAGTCGGAATTGAAACAATCCAAAAGCTTCTCAAAGCTGGCGCAAATATTGAGATCCGAGATGCACTGGGTCAAACGCCGCTTTTCAAAGCCGTCACATACTCACCCGCCTGGAAGGGCAAAATTGATCTTTTCAAGACACTGATTGAGCAGGGCTCCCGGCTTGATACGCGGGACAACGCGGGACGTACCTTGCTACACCAAGTCGTTGACAACATTGAACGTTTAGAAGAGTTGATACTTCTCATGAAATTCGACCCTTCCGTCGTGGACAATGACGGAAATACACTTCTTCATGAGCTTGCTTCAAGAAAACATAAACCCGATGGCAATGCAATGTACGAACGTCTGATAGATTTGGGTGTTGACATTGAGCAGCCTAATTACCGTGGAAGGACAATTCTGCACCAACTGAGCTCTCAATCCTCTGACCGCATGTCCCATGCCAACACACACTTGGACTATGTAATCCAACACCACAAGAGCAAGAGCCCCAAAGACCTTGACGGAGTTCAGCCCTTGCACTTTGCCGCCGCTGTCTCCGAGGACAATGTATTTAAGCTTCTCAATTCCGGGGCTGATTTATTCGGCGTGACAAAAGAAGGCATGACCGTTCTTCACGTGGCATCTCGGGCCCAAAACCCCGGGGCTGTCAGTCTCATTCTCGCCAGACTTGTTGACCTCGATGATAAAGCTCGGAAGGCCTTCATTAATCTGAAAAACTCAGAAGGAAACGCGGCACTCCATTTTGCCTGCATCTCTGGTCGGCCTGAAACTGTCAACCTTCTGCTGAATGCGGGCGCTGATCCTAATTTGCTGGGAAAGAGTGGATATACGCCACTGAGAGCATGCGCTGATTTCGAAGCCGAACAAAAACTATGGTCAGTAGCGAGAATAAAAGATAAAACCAAAGCTCTCAAAAAGGCCAGCATTGGGCTCACTGCAATTGAGGCACGATCGGCGGAAGATGGAAATGATGAGCACCAATGGCGCAAGACTCCTCTTTGGGGGCATGATTCAGAGTCCACGCGCCTAGGTGAAATTCTGAATGATTTGGTCCTTCATGGGGCACAAGCTACATTGAACGACTCTCTCCGCGATGCATTACGTGATTCTCTTTCAAATCAACGCGACTATACCACCGAATGTTTGTTCAGCCTCCAGTCTCGCTTGTTTCCGAGCATGGACCTTGTGGGAGAGTCACACAGTGAGAGCTTTGCACTCTATAAGAGCCGTGTAGAGAGCGAAAGACTACTGTTGACTGAGAAAACCGAGGATAAACAGCAACCCAAGATGGGCCAATCACTCAGTTACCGCCGAATCGGTCATATGCGCAAGCTGTTGGGGTATCGACAATACGGTTTGTTGGAAGAAACGGTCACCGAAAATGACACATCTCTGCTATGTTCCCAGAACATTTCCATTTTGCATGCTATTGTCAGTGCTGGTCTTTCCGATGCCCTCGCCAAGCTCGGAACTCCAGAAATTGCTCGAAAATTCGACGATCATGAATGGTGCGACCGCGCCGAGGAGGTCAACAAGATCAACAGTAGTAGGATCAAGCCGCTCCTCATAGTCGCATGCTCTCGTGAGCTACCAAATATGGAAGTGGTCCAAATTCTTGTCGAAAAGATGGGAGTCAACATCAACACAAAATGCAGGAAGCTTCGCTATGAGACTGGAAGGGTGAATACTATTGCCGGAAATGGCGTCTTACATGATCTTGCGGAATGTCAGACATGGTGGGGTGTTCACCATGCTTTACCATACCTTATCAAGAAGGGTGCTGATCTGGAACTGCGCAATGGGGATGGCGACACACCTCTGCATGTTGCTTGCAGCCCCATTGATTGGAAGGGTGTGTTCTACAAGGAAGCAGTGAAGACTCTTCTGGACAATGGCGCAGATGTCAACGCTATCAACTCCAAGGGGGAGACTTGCTTATCGAAAGCTGGTACTGATGTTGAACTGATCAAAATACTCTTGTCCTATGGTGCCAAAGTCTCCGCTGCGGCCATAATCTCTGCGATTGAAAGCGGCAATGTTGAATTATTGGAGCATTTCCTCTCCCAGGGCGATCTAGCCAATGTGAGAAGAGATGACTTTGAAGATCTTCAGCGAAAGGCACATCCGTTTGAGCGTATCAGAATTCCAAAGGCCGAAGTATACCCATTGTTCCATGCGGCAATGAGCTCATCCCCCATATCTTTCCCGGCTCCCAAAATCGATCTTGCCCCATTCCGATCACCTATGATGAGCCTGCTTCTTCAACATGGAGCAAACCCATACGCCACATTTGTCCAGTTTCATCGCGTGAATCGCGATTCTCCTGATAGCGATGAGGAGTCAGAGGGCTCCAAAGCGGGCCCAGCAGTGGAATGGAAACCCGAAACTTGCACTGTCATACACGAAATTTTCATGACAAGCGATCACGTCGAGCCGTTACTTCAGCTTCCATCACTCCAACTTGAATCACGAGATGACAAAGGCAGAACTTTGATCCTTTGCACCAATCGAACATCTCGAATCCAGAGTCTCATCGACCGCGGAGCTGACATTACCGCACAAGACAAATCCGGCAAAACTGTCATTCACAACCTCGTTACACGCCAGTCAAATTTGGAAATCACCAGTACCATCAAAGCTCTTCTTTTCAAAGAGCCCCTTCTTGTGCACATTGGTGATAAGGCAGGCGATACCCCGCTGCACTACGTGCTGAGAGAGGCAAGAATAGACTTTAAACATGTTAGTCTACTTCTTGAACACGGCGCAAACCCTTTGCAGCCAGACTCAGATGGCAATACGGCTCTCCATTACCTTGCTACCCGGCCATCTTCACACAAGGACCACATCCATCGGTTCATGAAGTTAGGCGTTGACATCAACTTCCGTAACAAGGAGGGTAACACTCCACTCTTCCAGTATGTCTCGAAAGGTAAATTGCGAAGTGGAGGCTTGTTCGGATACAAGCGTTCGGCCGACCCAGACGACGACACCAAAAGCCTGCGATTCTTGAAAGACCTTGGCTCAGACTTCTTTGCACGGAATAATGCTGGCATGTCGCTACTTCATGTGGTTGCCGGCAGGAAGATTGAGAACGCCCATTTCTCCCGTCTCAACGATTCAAAAGAGCCCATAGAGAATCTTGTGCAGTGGTTTGAGTTCCTTCGAGCCACGGGCTTGGATCCTATGCTTGAAGATTCTCAGCAGCGGACTTCTTTGGACTTTGCTGCAGCTTGTGGCAATGAGCACATTTTGAAGTTGTTTAAGCACAAGGATGGTCGTGAGTAAGCAATGGAGGTTGCCCAGGTGAATCAAGTGTGAAAATACACCGTGACATGCACCATTTCGGGAAACCCTCGCCCACCATTCTTCCTCCCTTCCTCTATTCTTCACTTCTTCATCTCATTTCCTCTATTTATCTCACACAAAACAACGGAATACCTAATAAACTACACGCCCTTAGTATAGTTATCATCCTATTTATATGTGCTCACGTGGGGAGCATATGACTTGGTCTGCAGCTTGCTTGTGGACTTTCAATGTTCTTCCCCTAACTCCCCTTACCATTTGAGAAAAGTATCATTGTCATCTCCAATTGTCATTCCGTCAATACCACAGCCTATAAAAATTCAACACGTCAAAAATGAAGCCATCTTCTCTGCTTCAGGATACCCTTTCAAGACACCCATGGATCCGATCGCAAGGCACATGATTGGTGGCAGATGCGATTGGTCAGATCAAGGGATTTGCTAGCATCTCGGCACCGGGTGGGCAATTTCCCTGTGTCACCGTCTGTCTGTCTTCCAAGGTTACCTGTGTTTGTTTGTTTGATTTTCTCCCAAGCCCACATAGTCTGGCTTTTTACTGCACCGTATACTGCAGCCAGTAAGCCCGAGCGAGACTTACATCGATGAGCGCTAACCGAGGCAACACTCACATCTTCAACAAGTTACGGCCCATTGTATGAGATAACTGTAACAGAAATTACCTGATGGTGTGGATAAAGCTAGTTTGCAATGCAGAGCCCATCATTCTAGTCCCACATTCCACTTACTTCGTGATACACTTCCATCTCAAAGCCCGCCATCACCATCCCCAACTTCAGGTAACATTCAGAAATTCTCTTCCAGACGGTCGAGTCTATATCAGGAAGCTCAACGCCTTGCTCTCTGGCCTTCTTTTCCCTTTCTTCTTGTTCCTCCTCCCAATCGTACTCATCTGTACAAGCCGAGCTTTTTCGGACTTCCAGAACAAGATCAAATTGATTTATCATATCTTCCCGGGCCTGATCTCCTGAGCTCTGATCGTCGTACAACTTCGACTCGAAAGCTCCAGCAGCCGAATTTTTAGGCGAAGAATCCGAATAATAAATCTCGATAGACAATCCGGACCATGGAGGCCAGTGACGATCGATCAAGAATTCAAAGAGCGGCGCCATTCGAAGACCATCTTCTGGAACATTAGCCCTTGACTGGGTCCAACCCCAGCCAAACGGGTGGCAGTAAGATTGGAATGTTCCAACATGATATAGAGGTGGCTGGTGCGTAAGCATCCGACGCCAGCTTGCTTCCGGGCGAATGAACATTTCTCGAACGGCAGAATTCTTCTCCCAGTGAAGATCAGTGAGGCCAAAGAGAGATCCTTTGCTCTCACGCTCCCGTAATCGGGATCCGAAAACAGACGGGAAAGCTTCTGCGAGCAGTGGGTTGTCTACTCGGTCGCTGAGCTCGTGACCATGACCGATCGGTTGGAGGAATAAATCCTGTTGAAGCGATATTGTATTGCAGATTAAATCTCTCCATCTCTGACAAACTCCTTGCGCGATGAGCAGTGTGCGCATGTCCATTTGTCGGAAGATTGAAGTTACAATCTCTGGAATTGCGAGGGCCCTCGATTGAGCTTCGTCGAGCATGTGGATTTCTTTGGAGTACAACTTTTTTTCTGGATGATCTTGATTGATTTTCACGCGTCTGGGCTCGAGATTGCCATTGAGCCGCACTAGGTGGGGTACCTACCGTGGGAAAAATTGGAGGATCGTGTTCGAAGAGGGGGCCAGGGTTTTGCTGGAAATCGCTAACTAGCACTACTTACTAGCGCCGACAAATGAATGAGAGGCGTTGTGAAATCGCTATCGCCATTTGGATCTGTTCGCTGTGAGGCCATCTTCGCAAGCCATTTTTGCAAAACCGAGAGCTCTCCTGTCCATAGATTTCAAACCCCGTAATGGTCAGATATACACAATGCTTGAGGGGTTCAATATCAAATTCATGATTGTACATATTTCCCAACACGTGATCGGCCATGTCCTTTCCCAAAGTAGTTAAACCAAAACAGTTGGTACCATGGTTCATGCCCCAACGTCATCTTTTCCAACTTCCGAGAATTCACTCCGTTAACACCTTACCACCGTCGCGTCACAATGTCGGACGAGCGACCACCCTCCACTAAGTCGAAAGGCCCAGAGCCGCTTAACCACCTCCACTTCGATCCCTGGCAGTCATCCTCCACAGGGCACCAGCGCGCAGCGCAGGGCGGCTCTTTTATCGGTTCAACGTCATGGCGAGAAGCAAGGTCTTCAAAGCTAAGCAAGCAATACCAAAGTGGCGATTGTCTACCCGGGCGAGACAACTCGGACTCGACGCTGGCTCCCGGCGCATTTGACGGGAAATGCGGGTCCGAGTCCCCGCCCAAGGCCTCTGGAGTATGGACCATGCTGGGCGAGGAAGAGGTGAAGAGGCATCAGCTTGGTGTTCGAGATATTCGATCGTTTATGGGGGTAAGCAAAAGAAAAGCAAGTGATGAGCTGGATGAGAAGTCGAAAAAGATCAAATCTGCAACAAATGTACAGACCCAAGAACAGCCCTTGAAGGCTGGATGGGCGGAGGATACTTCGATCTCGACGCGACTAGAGAATCCATCGCATACTACAGCTCTCGATTTGAAATCGACGTCGAATATTTTTGCCGGAATCACAATTTTCATAAACGGCTCCACTCTCCCCCAAATCTCCGAATACAAGCTCAAGCATTTACTTGCTTCGAATGGCGCCAGGACATCAATCTATATGGCGCGAAAGACAGTGACGCATGTTCTAGTTGGACAACCGAACACTGGATCCTCGGGTGCAGGTGGCGGTCTCTCGGCGAGTAAGCTCCAGCAGGAGATTGCACGTGGTGGGTGGAAGGGTGTCAAGGTTGTCAATGTTGATTGGTATGCTACTCCGTATATCTCAATCGTCACGACAAACTGGGTGTGGTGTCAAAATAAACTAACTCGTTTAATAGGGCTATCGAGAGTATCAAGGCTGGACGGAGGCTTGCTGAGTCTCGGTTCCCTGGGCTGCACGTCGCTGCCAAGGGGCAGCGAAGTGTAGCTGGAATGTTCAGCGCAAAGAAGTGAAGCTGCATGGCAGCAGCACGTTTTGATATTTTTTTTGACTGCATTGCATATGGCTGTATGGCATTGGCGTTTGGGATGAAGACAGTTCCTTCTGGTCTTCTGGGCATACTCTTTGTAGATTTTGATACCCACATCTTATTTTGTCCATAGACAATCTGAAGCTTTTTACTTTACTTGGTAAACACTCTCAGGAAACTAGTTCATCATCATTCATGCACCATTATCATAAGAGCCATATTTCCACAAAATCAAATGTACATTGCAAACATCCATGGATCCACAGTAGATGGAATCATATTGAACAACAGAAAGGTAGAAAGATCCACAAAAATCAGCGCCATGCTATGCAGAATGCAGCCAAGAAAGATGTATGTGCGTCATAAATGCGAGCCACAAATCAAATCACAAAAATCACAAAACATCAAAATCAACGAAATGAACCCCTTTCGTGATATTCATCACGGCTATCGTTTGACATGTGTCTGCGCCAGCCACTTTGTCTTCTCGTCGGTGGGGGTAGCTCTTGAGTCTCTGTTTCATCAGAGAATGAGGTAACACCTGTCCCTGAATCTTCAGAAACATTCCTCATACCCGAATTAGTGATTGTGGGCGCAAGGTCCAGCGTAGTGGTGGGTGTGATATCGTAGACGGGTGCGAGGGGGTTGGGAACACGGTGTGTAGAGAAAGACGACTGAGCGGGTGGAGGGGCCCGATTATGGGCAGATGAGTTGGAACGCGTACGGCTTCTCGCATTACCAGCTTGCCAATCGTGATCATGTGTTTGATTGACGTAGTAAGGATTCGACTCAACAGCGTGTTGATTATCCACGTAGGCGGGGAATGCAGCAGTCTTTACACTTGAGACAGATTCTCCATGGCCACGGGCGTATCTCGGCTCAGGTCTGTCGAGATCGGACTCGCCGCTTGACCAGCGTTCCATTTTCTCGTGAAGAGGTTCTTCTTCCGGCTGGGAGACGCGAGAATCGCCGTGGACAAGACCAAGGGATTCTTCTTCGGTCGCGGAATTTCGGAGGTCGGCGTGGTGTGTGCGGCGCAGGATTCCACGCGGCGATCCTGGTGGGTGCTTGACGGATGATTCACTGCCGGACTTCATGCGGTTTACCATGTTGTTCCAGGAGAATTGGCGGCGCATGGTATTTCCTAGTGGCTCAGGCAACAGGGTCTCATTCTTCTCGTCGACCCAGGAGACGGATCGCCGAGTGTCGCTTCGTCCACGATTCCCATTAAACTTGTGTTCAAAGCTGCCAGCGCCGTGATATTCGGTGTCAACGGCGCCTCGCTGTGGCAACGCTGTCAAGCCGACCGGCTCTGCATTCGAGTCAAGGGCTTTGTGGTCGTCGGACTGTACGGGCCTCCAGGAAGGATGAAGTACGCTCGCAGCTCTGGATCGAATGCTATCCATGAATGAATGGCCGCTCTGTTTTGTGGACGGTCGAATTTCTTCTTCCTTCTCCTCCTCGGGGAAGTGCGACATACCCCATGGGGGGTGGTTGCCTCGGACAGATGGAGTTCGAGGAGTGATCGGACGTGACATGGTCGGGCCTTCGCCAATCACGGTCTTGCGTCGACGGAGGCCATCCCATTCAATGATTTCATGCTCGCTAGGTGGTTTCAGGGTATCTTCATGTCTGTCGTGGAAGAAGCGACGAGCTTCATCTGTTTCCATAGTGCGACGAGCAGTTGAGATTCGACGGATGATAGAGGCTGCTCCGCGAATGGAGTCTGCCTTTGGCTCAGACTCCGGTTCTTCAACTGTAGCAACTTCACGTATTTGGTCCAAGTCGCCCTTGAAGACCGCAGCATCTGGTACATCCTTGGCGGACTTGGACAACTGCAGAAGAACCACACCCGCACAAATTTGGAGGAATCCAATAATCACGGTGGTAATCTGAACTGCTGTCCCCTTGAAACCTTGGAACAAGATGGCAGAGGTAATAATAGTTGCAGTGGTGAACATCACATAGTAGGTCGGGGTGACAAGGGCAGCATTGAAAAGGTTGAGCGCTTTCTGCAAGATAGGTTAGCTCTGCTCTGACAAGGTAAGAAGGGAAGCCATACATTGAGATAAATAATCTCTGTCAAAAGTGTTCCGATAACGAACACAAACAAGACATAAAGGAACCAATGCTTGAACTGCTCCTCGCCATTGATCTGCGCAAGAATCGCAGATCCCAAGCCCTGAGTAGCAACCACACTCAATCCACCAACCATGCTGCAAATACTGATATAGACAAACATGCTAGTCTTTCCCCATCGCGGGCCAGCCCAAAGTGCTGTGAACACGGCACCCACGATAATCAGTCCAGCATAAACCAGGAAACCAGGTTGTATAACGAAATGCTGCATGCCCTGAATGTCCTCGACAGACGACTGCTCAGGCGCATTCATAGCAATCGTAACCGAACCAATGATACAACAGAAACATCCTACCTTTCCAACGAAACTGAGTCGTTCCTTCAGAAAGATAGCCGATAGAATAGTTGTAATCACAACGGACAGCGCACCGAGCGGTGTAACCAAAATGGCATCGACGAAGGCATACGCGACAAAATTGCAGATCTCTCCAACAATCATGAGCGTCATGCCCAGCCACCACCAAAAGTTCTTCAGATACCCATATCCTTCACCGGCCTCCTCGTTGTATTTTACATTCGCCTTCAGCAAACCGATCTTCTTGATCACGAAGGAAATACCGATAAAGACGCCCGATGCGACAGCCAGCGAGATTCCGACGGCTTTGTAAATCGGTGGTCGGCCCGAACTGTCGGCTCTCGCGATGAGCGTCGAGGCATGCGATAATGCGACATTTGGATCCATGGTGGTAGAGGTGAGTACCACACTGACCAGCAGTGGGAGGGTCGGACAGAGTCGTCCGAGGACGAGACTCGGCGATTGTTTGAAACGCTTATGCCACGCTTATCAGCCAGCGTGTCGCCGGGGTGACTATCGGGGAGTTTTGGACGAGGGGGCTGGATCAACAAGACGCGGGGGTGAGGACTTGAAACAAATATTCGATCTGCGATTGTCCTGGATGTTCTGCGATTGTCGATCTGAGAATGCTTCTGGAATTGCCACGAGGGAAAAAAAGAATGCGTGATTCAGCAAGGGGGTGTCAGCGGCGCTTGGACACTGGGCGGAGCACACGATTATGTGGGATTAAGTAAAAAAGCAATGGTACAGAAGAAGTGAAAAGTAGACGAAAAGTTGAAGAGAAGAAGAGAAAGATAGAAATTCAAGACATGTCAAGGAAAAGGGGAAAGATCAAGATGCAAAACAAAGTGGCTGGGCTTGTGGGGAAAGGAGGTACTGGGTACTTTATTGTGGAGCGACTTAAGCTACGATCGGCAGGTACCTGTACTTTTCTGAGTAGTATTGACATCCCCCTTGAAGCTTGTCTTATTGATTGGCATTAGTTTTCGGAGATTTGAACTGCCAGAACAGGGGAAGCCTCCTGGAACTATAAATAATCATGTTATTCCCGATATGTTCCAAGGTTACGGTGTTCGCACTTACAAGTCTTGGGCAACAGCCCTCAAGGGTATTAATATCTGAGACCCTGGGCAGACCTCGGGATTTTACTGCAAAAACATGGTCCGCGGCCCCGAAACGCAAGAGATTGCCCGGGTAATCATTGAACAAGATATACATACTTTCTTTTGACATTATATTGCTAGAGACTTAATACGAAAGTCCTGGTCATAAACATCGTGATGCATTGCTCCGTAGCCAAATTCGCACTAATGATAACGAAAACGCCAGCCCAGAACCGTCTCAACAGAGGGGTATTCAGCATAAAAGAAATAACAAAAAAGAAATTCTCGACTAGCCCGAAATGTGGAAACTCGGCTTGCGCCGCCTGTTAACCACTGGCGGCTCATCTGGGTACGGAAGTGGAGGATTGCCACTATCCCTCTTCTGGACAGAGAGTGGTCGGGGCATGGCGGACATCGCCATGTCGTCCGTTGGGTAGGGGGTCGAACCTTGGTAGGTCGGAGATTGCGGGGCAATTGGAACCTGAGGAGACATCGGAGCCTGGGATGAAGGCATTGGAGTTTTGGGAGGGCGGGGAGGAGGCCCGTTGAAGGTTGCGAAATCGTCGTAGCTACGGTGTGGGGAAGCTGGTACCTGGGATCTCCCGGGGTGCATGTGTTCGTAGCTTCGACGGTAGTCGCTTCCTGATTGCCAGGTTGGAGAAGTGGGTGGGGGATCCATTGGGGATGCGTGGGCGGGCAGTGAATCTTCCGGGGGAGAGACGGTAACACTGGTCGGAACCGGAGGTTGTGGGTGGTGTGCGAAGTCGATCGGGTCTCCGGGTAGCTCTGCGGGCAGCTCGACGGCAAAGTTTTGGGGAGGTGGGATATAGGACTGTTCGGTGGGGGGAAGGGTGAGTTCTTCTCTTTCAAGATCAAAAGAGAGATCGTCACGCTCTCCACCGGCTGCAGCATGGATAGCGAGACGTCGGTTCATGCGCTCAATCTTGGCGAAGCGAACACCGGCCTCGGTGATCATCTTCTTGACCTCAGGCTTCGCAAGATATTGCCTCGTGTTGGTGCTGATATCGGCTAGTCGATTCCATTCGTTCATGCCGAATTCACCAACTCCGACTTCCACATTCAGACGGAAATAGTTGTCCTTGCTGACGTTGCGTTTGGCCAGGTTGTCTCGAAGCATCTGATGGTGGATATCTTCGCAGCCTTCAATCTTGGTGATGAGTCGACGTCGCGCCTCGGCAAATGTGCCTAACGCGTCGCCGAAGAAGTCTTCCCACCATTCGTGTTGCCGGTTGTTGGTTCCAGCGGGCCGCTTTCCGGTTCCAACACTAATGAACACACCAACTTCCCGGCCTGGCCACTCGTTCACAACCGCTTCATCGAGAACCTGCGGCGCAGGGTTGTAGGTACCAGGGCCTTCATCAATAAAGACATGTTGGCCAATCTGGATAGGTTTGAAAGCAAGTCCTGTCGCCGAGGTTGCACGTCCTGCTTGCCAAACGGTACAATCAAATTCAGGTGGGGGTTCTCGGCGGGAATCATAGGATCGCAAAAGCACGGATGAACCCTTGCGCGGGGTTCCTTTATAGAGAGCGGTGACAGCACTGGAATGCGAATTAGCTTTTGCGATCAAATATACTTGCATCAGAAAACTTACGTCTTGGTGCGGTGCTCGCGATTGTCATAGAGTAGCGCATCGGGATTCCCCCAGCGCAAGCCGTTGATAAAAGCAGACCCTCGCTGACTTGACGGAGTCATCGGGTGCGAAGCAGCAGCGGTACTGAAGCTGCCACGGCTGATAGATCGTTGCGGAACCGAGTTTGGGCTATAAGGAAGACTGGCAATAGAGTCGCGGGGGTTCGAATTGTTCGTAGAATCATTGCCCTCCGCCTCGAAAACTGTATGTTCCCGCACACACTCGCGAATCGCCTCTTCGAGCTTAGAAGCCTTGAACAAAGTCGATCGATACGGTATCCCAGCGATAGTCTTATCTGTTTCGAAGACACGGCGGGTCATTCGCACATACACCTCTTTGCAGGTCTCAAGATCGAGGCGAAGGCGACCGAGCATGAGAGCGATCAACCCGCCGGTGCCGGTACCCACGATCAAATCGAAGTGGTCGCATGGTTTCGGGATTTGGTCGCGGCGCGGAGGCTTTCCTTCACATTCGACATAAGTGCGGTACATGAGTTCCTGTAGGAGAATGAGCATGGAGTAACCGCGAACACCACCGCCATCTGTTCCCGTTCCTGTCAGCTGAGTCCGATGTGAGCCTGAACGCGAAACCACATACCTAGTGAGAGGATCCGCAGGGGCGGCCCCTTGGTGGTGTCCTTGCGACGCAGATGGGCTGAGTCCATGGCGATTGTGGCAGATGGTTGGGGAACGATTTGCGATCGTCTTTTTTCCCCCTGCGGCAACTTACCCGCAGCGGGGCTCAGCGACGCCTTATGCACGGAGTTGCGGGATGGTTGGCGCCTGACTGATCAGGTCTTGGAAAATTGGCGGAAGTGTCACACCGGTGAAACAGCAAGCAGAACAACAGGCGTGATCGACCAACGTGAATCGTTTGCCTGGCGTGTGATTAGGCAGCGGCGGATTTGGGGCTTGAGCCTCTGTCCCTGAGTAGTTCGGTAGGGCTCTCGATCTGGATGTCAGACTCTCCCACGCAAATATGGCCGTTGAAGAGTTGACTAGAGCAAAGTGACAGAATGAAGCGATCCTAGATCAAATCAAAAGTTATTTTTGTTTCTCGAGTCCACATTCAGCTCACTTTTCCATGGATCGGGCAAAGTCATGTGATAGCAACTGTGGCGGTGCACCTCAGGGCTGTGATGTCACTGTGGCTACTCACCAATCAACGTGATTTCTGGGGGTTTTTACTCAACACACTAAGCCAGGGAGGATTCAGTGCAGTTCGGAAATTCTTCAATTCAGGCACACTGCAGTTTACTGCATAACCCCAACAATAATTATTCTGTTACAGGGGTCCCAACTACGGAGTACTCCGTCTTGTACTTGAAGAAAATGGTTTACCATGACGTCAATTTTATATGTAGATCGAAGGATAGTTCAAAGTTTATAAATGACGGTGCGAACAAGACCTTGGAACTCTCAATTCATCAATCCAGGCCAGTCTAAACCTCATTAGCATATACCCAAGGAAGTAGCGTTCAAAGAGGAACATACCAAAAATAGACCTCGTATCCCCCCTCTCAGCAACCTCAACCTCATCCCCAATCTTGAGACAAGTGCCAACCCCCCTCTCCAGGAATGAATACCTACCAAAGACTGGACTGAACTTTGCGCCAAGATCCACTCTACGATCTTTCATTAATTTCTTCAGCACCGTGCCCGCCTCCCCAGTCCCCATCCTCCCGGTCTGATAATCAACATTCAGACTCTGACACCGTACACAGTTCCCCGTGAGCAAAAGCCTCGCCTGTCCAATTTTCAAAGCACACCAATAATCCTCCTCGAACGCCTCCCCAGCGCCCGAAACGACAATATTGGGCCGAAATTTAGTCCGGTCCATCTCCTCGCCCTCCAACCGGGCTGAGACATCATTCACTGATGTCTCGGAAATAACCAGGTAAGGCGCGCAATCGGCAAAAGTAATCCGGTCTTCGGGCCGGAAGTAATTGTAGCCCCCGAAAGCAAGCGCGCTTGCTATAAGTAGACTGCCGACGACTTCCGCTCGGAGAAGCCGGTAGCTGTTCAACACAGTAACTGCCACAGCCAATAGAGCCAAGATCCCCAATTCCCGTCTACCGCGGATTAAGGCCTGTATGCTGGACTTTTTGCCTTTTGCGGGCGCAAGTGTGCCCAAGACCTCTCGCGTGTGCGGCCCCAGATATGCTAGCACAACCGGGTATCCGAAACACTTGCTGAACCAGTCACTGTACTCGGCACCCATATCGTATCCGGTTGTTGGGCTCTGGTGCATAGTGATCTTGAGCGGATTAAGACTCTTCGTGCTGGGCTCAAGAGGAATCTCCAGACGCGCAGACTCGGCGTCTGGTGGACGATAGGTGACGATGACTTTCCCATCGCGGTTTGGTGCGGGGTACTCGATATCGGTGTGGAAGAGAGCCATCTCTGGGAAGTGCGGGACATGCATATTCTTTAAGGTGGTGCCTTCTTCCGATGGGATGACTTTGAGAAGCATGAAATGGCGGTCATATTGCAATCCCAGACTTGTGAGAATGCCTTCTTGAAGACTGGTTGGCCGAAGAGACTTGATCGGATAGACATAGAGCTTGGTGTATCAGTTAAGGGGCTGATTGTGTCCAACTTGGTTTAGCTGACATACCTGGCTAACTTTCATGACTGCGGTCGTAAATGCACTACAAATGCATGTGTGGTGGGAATGGATGACCCCGGTAGTCGTGAGATGACCGGGAAAAGGCTTCTCCAACTCCAATCCGGAATGACTCCGAATTGAGTTTGCGGGGTAAGATTTCCATCTGCGATCATGTTATCAAGACAGTATCTCCGACACACTGACTGTTGTTGACTGAGAGATTATCAACGCATGCCAGATTCGCTCGTTTGTTCTCTGTGTTGCTCCAACCACCGAAGACGGATTCGGCTTGTAATGCACGCTATGACAGGCCTGCTCTTTACATTGCTCCACCCACAAGGAGGTGGGGATTCTAGACATTTCCCGTTTCCTGTTTATCTTTCAATGAATTTGCCTATCAAGCTTGTAGGCATCTGATATCCAATTTTCTCCCAACAGCAGAGCACAGTATCTTTCAATCAAAATTGGAGCTGCTTATCCCACACGCCACATTTGATGCTTCTTCAACCAGCTCAATTGGAATCATGAATTGGGGGGCTCTCTAAGGACCAGTTCACTCTTTACGGACTACCCAAGACTGGATTCAAGTCTTTCTTTCCAAGGGACCTGTTTGCTGTCTTCACCCGTCGTATCCAACAGCGAAGTCTTCCAAACTCCCGAGCACGTGTAGTGTTGGAACCAACTCTACTTCCCTTCCTTCCTACAGATCCTATAACTCAGGAAGAACGCACTGCAACAAAAGGCACGCAATAGATCTCAGGTATTGAAGTTCAAATATCACAACTGACGAAAACGAAATCTCAATTAGGGTGGCGGCTGCCTCCTCATCAGTGGGCAGGCGTGGAATCAACGTTGACGCCCCATAAAGTCAAGACCAAACAAGGATGGGGAACTTGACGTAACTGCACATGTTATTTCACATTTCCCAATATACTCGTCCGTCCACTCATCAGTGGGGTAGCCACTGTTGTACGGCCATAACGGCATCTCACTAACTTCAGCAGGCTCGATTTCATATTCAGCAAACTGGGTGCCTTCAAGGAGGCGCAAGCTTAGCTGTGACTACTCCGTATGTAAAGCTATGTTAGATAATTTTGAGCCAAGTGAGATTATCAGGTATCACATACCGGCATGAACAGACGTCGTTGTTCTTCAAGTATCGCGACATTTTCAAGTTCCTCTGAAGATCCACTTCGCCGATAGGCTCTGGAAATTGCTCGAAACTGTGCACGCGAAGTGGGAGCTAGAATCTCCAGCATATCATTGCTTGGGTAGATCCAAGCTGTTTTGATGAACTGTGTGAGCGGCTAGATTTCGTCAGTCGTAAATCGGGCTTCATCCTTTCGATTCCCAACTAGGATGTTCGGAGGTAGGACGTACTTTTTCGTCTCCAGTCTTTCTTCCAGTGTTTCTTCTCCTCTGCCGCTTGTTGAGCGGTACATCAACTTTGTCCGAAGGTAGCTTGCCCTTGTCTCCGGGAGGAGGAGGCGGCGGAGGAGGCGGAGGAGGCGGAGGAGGCGGAGGGCCAGGGCCAGGGCCCAAGACAAGCGTGGACATTGCGCTTCAAGATAAATCGAAGCAAAAAGCGGGAAACAGGTAGTTTTTCGAGACTTGTGGGTGGTGGAGAAAGATAGATTGAAGCTCCGACAGAGAGGAAGAGGAAGAGGAGAAGTTGAAGAAGTCAAGAGGGAGCTGCTTTATATGCACTCGAGAGAGTTGCTCCTTCCTTCTACGCACTCACACTCCAGTTGTTTACATCGTTCCCACTAGCCCCAATCTGATCAAACCAATTAGATTGACTCGTACTAAATCAACGTGCTAGTACCCTTGAATGACAAAACACCAGGAGGCTCTCGCCTAGCCTGACGCTTCCATTGTTCTGACTAGCCTCGAATTCAACTACAGTCATCTTTCGAGGGAGCTTTGATCAAGCTGGGCAATTGTATCAAGGTTCAAGATCCATACATCTCCTGCATTAGACTCTGAACTTTTTATCTCTCGCGCGATTGATCGGGCTGGCTTTGAGGCTAGTCAGGCCAGCATTGTGAAGAATCTGAAGATGTTCCCCTCTACCCCCGAACCCACACCCCGCATCTTCCACTATTTGCCTCTTACACAGCTCTCGAGGTCTACATGATTCTAAGATACGGTAGGATGGATTGAACTTAACCAAGCCCCACCATCCATCTTGGACCAATCACCCGTCTCGCACCCGCAGAGCCTCATCCCATACTGTGAACTGCCTGGACTGCGGAGCTGAATGCACAATCGCTGTGACTTCATCCCCCGATACTACTCTGCGCCAGTTTTACAGCCATGCTACACAGTTTACTACTTCAAGTTATCATATCTTGAGATATTAGAAAGATTCGGGATTACAATGAGCAGAAGGCATGGAAGCATGTTCTAGTCTTTTATAAAAGTCTTCAATCATATTCGTTTAGAATTCATGCAGGGAAATATACAGGAAAAGGGAATCAAAAAGGCAAAATCAAAAACGTCTATTGGTCCTCAGCCCAAGGCAGGCTGAAGGTACCAACCCAATCCTCAACCTCTTGGCGGAGGAGAACAATCTCTGAGATCTCCTCGCCCTCACCCACGTATTCCAAGAACGCCTTGACGGTGCCAGGGCTCTTAACGCCGCGAGACTGAGCAGCCTCACGAGCAGCCTTGTCCAACTTCTGGGTGATGATGACAGCGCGGTCGACGATGTCAGCGACGCGGCTGAAGTCCTCGGGCTGGAAGCCACGGGAGGTCATGGCAGGGGTTCCGAGACGCAGACCGCCGGGCTTGAGGGCGGACTTATCACCGGGCACGGTGTTCTTGTTGCTAGCGACACCGCACAGCTCGAGGACGCGCTCGACGCGAGCACCGTCGACCCCGCGGTTCTTCAGGTCCACGAGAACGAGGTGGTTGTCGGTGCCACCGGAAACGATGTTGTAGCCGAGTCCACCGTTGCTGGTGGATGCACCGAGACGCTCGGCGAGAGCGGAGGCGTTGGACAGAACGGTCTTCTGGTAGGCCTCGAAGTCGGGGGACTGGGCCTGCTTGAGGGCCACGGCCAGCGCGGTGATGGTGTGGTTGTGGGGGCCTCCCTGGTGGCCAGGGAAGACGGAGGCGTTGATGGGGTTCTCGAGATCGTAGTTGATGGCATTTCCCTTCTTATCGGTGCTGCGCACTCCCTTGCGGTAGAAGATCATAGCACCACGAGGACCGCGGAGGGACTTGTGTGTGGTGGTAGTCACGATATCGGAGTGGGGGAAAGGAGAGGGTAGGACATCAGCGGCAACAAGTCCTGAGATGTGGGCCATATCTGCGAGCAAGTAGGCACCCACGGAGTCGGCGATGGCGCGCATGCGGGGGTAGTCAATCAAGCGACTGTAGGCCGAGGTACCCGCAATGATCAGCTTGGGTCGGTAGAGCTGAGCGTTCTTCTCCAATGCATCGTAGTCAATCAGACCAGTTGACTCGTCCAGGCGGTAGGGGAATGTCTCGAAGTATTTGGAAATGGCGGAGATCTTCTTGGTAGGGGTCTGGTATCCGTGGGACAGGTGACCTCCGTGGGGAAGGTCCAAGCCCATGAGGCGATCGTGGGTGTTGAGAACGGCGGAGTAGGCCATCAGGTTGGCGGGGGAGCCGGAGAGGGCTAGTACATGTTAGCTTCGAGTATTGTCGCACGGTGTTGGAGGTAACATACGCTGAACGTTCACTCCCCACTCCTCCGGGTTCAGACGGAAAGTCTCCAGCGCACGCTGCTGGCACAGACGCTCTGAGGCATCAATGTGTTCATTTCCTCCGTAGTAACGAGCACCGGGGTATCCCTCGGAGTACTTGTCTGGGTTATGATTAGCATGGACTGCCGCGGGCAAGCAGATATCAGAATCCGGGGTACGTACTTTGCATCACACTGCCGAGGGCATCGAGAACAGCCTGGGAGGTGAAGTTCTCGGAAGGAATCAGGTTAATGAAGTGCTTCTGGCGCTTCTTCTCCTGTCATGGGTTTAGCGATTCATCGGTCAATTGGGGGAGAGCTTGCTCGGAGCGATGACGCACCTTCTGCAGAATGCTAAAGACCGCGGGGTCGGACTCCTCCAGGGAGGAAGCCAGCAGCTAGAAATTTGATTAGTTTTATAATTCCGCGGCCATTGAGTTCATATCGTCAATTTACCTTGTGCTGGGTATCGCGAGTGGACACACCCCGCGATTGGGGAGCGAGTCTAGGAGCGATAGAGGCGCGAGCGGAGATAGTGGCCGCTCGCGAGCTTCCAAGGGGAAGCAGACGAGCTGCAGACCTGCCACAGCGAGACAAATACATGATGAAGCTGTAACGAAGCAAAAGCGAAAGAACACAACGTATATGTACTGTCCGATAGGAAAGCAGTGGCTTTTAAACGGCTGATACTTGTCGGACGAGCAGCTGGCAGCTTTCCGTTGCCCGCGGAAAGCGGGAAAAACGCACTAATCCCGACTGGGCTCTCCGCCTGGTCCGTGCACCGCCGGTTGGGTTTTCTTCGCGGCAAAATTTTCTTTCCTCCTTTTCTTCTTCACACAACTAAATCCAAGATGAAGAAACGGCGTACTTTGTCTGTCTCAGCACTCGTCGCTGCTGGCCGGGCTTCGGTCTGGCTGGTAGTGGACGGGCGCTGCTGAAAGGTCCCACGCCTCCAACCATCCTAATGGGATCAGTAACATCGGATTGGAATTGTTGTGTATTTGGTTTGCCGAGGACTCGGTCGGCTTCGGGATTCGACTTCGGTACTTCGACGTTGACTTCCGCTCGCGACCTGATCCCTCCTACGTTCCAATTCCTCCATACTCCATCGTCGCGTCGGCGGCACTCCAGTCCAGCGAGGACATACGACAGTATGCTCCGAGTGCTTCTAGAGTTCATACCCCTTGCCCATTCCATAGACCATACCATGATGAATACTTGAACAACATGAATTTCCTCTTGCAACTCATTGTCCTCGTAAAAATCAGATTCTGCACGCACGTGCTCACTTGCCCAAGCTTTACGTATATTCCCCGAGATCCCAGCTTTACGGTTCTTAAGATCACCCGTTCATAAACTTTGGAAACGAAGGTTTGGTGTCGCCAATCAGACTATGAACAGGAGCGTGTAAAGGAGGTCCACTCATCTTGAAAAGTTCCATGGACTTCTCGCCTGTTCCAAGGACAGGGACCAAGAGGACTACGATGTGGCCAAACTTTGCGGTTGTATTCAATGTTTAGCAATCCTCTAGGTCATCGTTCAAAGCTTGTCAATGTAGAAAATCTAATGCAGTTGTAGAGATGTCGGAACTTTCATAGGCGACCATTTGCTACGGCGAGGTCAAGCAGTCGCTGGGTGGAAATAACTTCCGACGCTATCTTCAAAGCTTCAACCTTGAGAGTTATTTTCAACAGATCCTTGGAAGAACACGACCTTCCTAGGGTCGGAGAGATTGCAAAGTGCACAAATTGCATGGCGAAGACAACGTAGAAGGGAAGAGCCTTCCAAGGTTGACATCACAAATTCACCTGAGCGGAACGATAATATGCATCTTTTCATATTCTGCACCTTGCTATTTACCCAGTGTATCGAAATTAACTGGGAAGGTAGGCTTTGTTTCGGCCTGGAGATGGATATAACATTCATGTTTTGTATGGAATCCTGGTACAACTTCTTATGGAGACAAAGAAGTCGTGAGCAGACGTCGAAATCTCTAGCAAAAACCTTGGAACACGACTACGAAAGGTGTAAATTCTCAGCGCAGGCATCCCGAGATCAATGTCTTTCACCGCACCCGATCCTGGAGGTTTGATAAGTAGTTTGGAGCACCAGCTTCAGGGCTGCAGGTGGGCAAGTTTGTGGATAAGCTTGTCAGCAACCTAGTCTAATCCAGAAAATACCAATGAACACCGAGAACCGACCCCAACACAAATTTATGGTTCTTTACGGGGTGAAAAGTACGGAGTACGGAGTGCAATGCGTGATGTCGATGACGAAACTTGATTGTAGAACCGCCCGCTTTCATTGGCTATTTCCTTTGTTTATTGTTCTCGCACCAGTCCTCATTGTGATAAATTTAGATCAGCGTTAAATGCAGCTTGATCAGGGGCCCAGGGGTAAGACCGTGACCTTGCTTTTAACCATCTGACTGTAATCTGAAGAGCTCACATCCTCCAGTGGAGCCACGAAGAGTGGAGATTGTGGAAATGAGGCGTTGGAGCGGCCGCGAGAAGAAGAGATTTTTGAAGTTGGAGTGATCGGTGGTAATGGCAATAGTAAATGCCAATGTGTTAAGAATAGTATGATCGTCACTATATACATCTTTAGTTTGAATCCACCTCACATCACATCGGAAGACAGGCGATCAGTGAACATCAAAGAACCTAGACTTGCAAATGGCCGGGGTCTAGAAAATTTTAGCCCAACCCTCGCAGCCACAGGGGCCTAATCAGGAAGCGATCCCCGGGCCGCGCACTATGAAACAGTTCTACAGGACGTGGGCCGAAGAGGCGAGGAGGAGGCTAGGGGAGGTGACATCAACGTTCATACTATTCAGGCTGGCCAGCCAGGTACCGAATCACTCTGCGTCATGGCGCAGTAAGCCCAGTGAGATTGTCTTTGGTTTTAGGCGTATTGCCACGGCCAGCACCGGGTGACAATTTCCCGTTGAATGGACTTGATTCGACTGCAGGTTCCATGGTTGTGCGTTTTAGTGCACGGGTACCTGAATCTAATTAGATTAAAGATTAATTTACATTCACCTCGTTGCATTTATAACGGTCTCGATCCCCGTTCTTTCCTTATCCAACCCAGTCATTCTTTACTCCAAACACTCCGGCCTTGTTCCGATTACACTCTTTTAGTAACCTCCACCTCGAATCATCTCAACCATCAAAATGCGTTTCTCCATCGCCGCTCTTGTTGCCGCTGCCGCCGGCGCTGTTGCCTCCGGCGTCACCACTGAGGTCGTCACTGCCTACACCACCTACTGCCCCGAGGCCACTTCTATCGTCCACGGCAGCCAGACCTACAGCATCTCCACCGTATGTTCGCCAAAGTGTATACGACGAGCCACATACTGACCTCAAAATAGCCCGGCCACATTACCATGACCAACGGCCCCTACACTGTCACCCGTCCCATCCAGACCTCCACCGTGACTCAGTGCCAGAGCTGGTGAGCACATCTCCATCTTACATAACCAAGATCCCACTTCTGACATCTCCAGCTCCACCGCCGTTCCCCAGGTTAGCGCCAGCAGCGTTCCCCTCATCCCAGTTGCTCCTACCGCCGCTGCCTCCACCCCTCTGATCCCCAACGCCGACGCCACCGGCTCCGCTGGTGCCTCCGCCGGAACTCCCTCGCCTTCTCTGCCCGTCTTCAACGCCGGTGCTGCTAACGCCGCAGCCGGCGCTGGCGCTGGTCTCGTCGCCGTCTTCGGTGCCGTCGCCCTCCTCCTGTAAAGCGGTTGACTTTCGTCACGGTGTTACGGAGAGATAGCATCGTGGCTTGCGTTTTGATTCCGCGGTGCTATCGGGTGTTAATTGTTTCTTGGGTTGTACATGTATAGCTTACGCCACATGGTACACAGCGAGTCCCATTGGGTTGTTTTGGTATTAACCTTTTGCGAGGATTGTTTTTATTCACGAGATACCTTTCTTGGACATTATATTTTATATAGCATATCAGACTTCGATCAAGCATGGTCTCCTGCTTTCTGCCTTTGCAGTGCTTGCTTTGACTGTCAATGAAATTTATGCCCTACTCAGATATCCAAGCAAGAATTAGTCGCCAGAAAAAAATGTAGATTCCATCTGTATAGAAAGCAAGCTTCAGAGTTTCGGAGGCATGCTGTTGCGCTATCGAAGGTGGGTATTTGGTCAACAGGTTCAAAGATACAACCAGGGGAGATATGAACCAATATTGTTGAAAAGCTTCCAGGGGACTAGGAAGATTGGGGAAGACTTTGAGTTATTTGATCATTGACCACTGCGTTTAGTGCTCCAAGGCTGTGATGATAATGATACTGTGATTGAATTTGACTCTGCGCGATCTCAAGTGGGCTATCAAATGATAAAGGTCAAGACAAAGACATGTTCCCTTTGTTTTGCCAAAGGTCAATGGAAACAGGTATCATAAGCTGCAAGGATAGTGGCATGTGCTTTTATTGGCCAGACCCCAAGATCTTGGCTACTTACTCTGTGCATGGCAAGTGACGAGGCAATGAGCTTGTCAGAAGAAAAAAAGCTTAGTTTCGATCGAGGTACGTAGGAAAAGTGGGACTTAGAGGTGGGATAGCATTGGGGCTCTTATATCTTTGGAAAGACAGTCTACCTGTCGCATAGTATCAACACCATCTGGGATTCGTGACGGCTCTCGCTCAAGTGTGTTGCAAAACAGCTTATGCCCATGATTTCTTGTTTGCCTTTCTTAGCTATAAGTCTAGATCTTCAGACCTTAGATGGACTTTCACTCTATCTCTATCACTTCATTTCTTTCTTCCTGCACTCACAACCTTCCCCTCATCCAACGCTCTCTTTTACATCACATCATACACAGAGTATCATGAACAGCCCCTCAGAATCTCCCGATCCATTATCAGTAAGTTTTCACCTTGAAGCTTGATCAGTAGACTTGGTATACCGAGCCTCTTGCCATAATTTGATGACTTTCACAATCTCACCAAAAGGCAACGCAAGCAGACTACATGTTAATAGCGCACTAATTCAAAAATTTACTATAGAGTCTTGGTGCATCGGGTCCTACCACAGCGCGACCAACAAGGACCGGAATGACAATGCCTCGTCAGAGCTTCAAGACCCCATCCCCAGCACCAGCTCTCAAGCGGTCCCATGAAGCTTCCCACCAATCAACCGTTGAGGCCCATCCTCCCAAGCGTGCTACCCTTGAAGCACCAACAAAGCCCAAGTTTTTCATGACGGATACTCCTCCCACCAACCTCAGCCGCTTCCCTGAAGCTGAAAGTCAAGTGCGCCAACAGCGCATAACCGAGAACAACCGTGACACAAACTCACTCAAGCCAATCGAGGCGATGAGCAATGAGGAACTGGAGGAGTCCATCAAAATGAGACTACCCAGAAAGGCACGCACGAGTGCCGAAACGGACATTGGCACCACTGGTCCGGCTACCGGGATCACACCGCGTGACCTGGCTCAGAACGCGGAATTCTTGAAGTTGCTCCTCCAGCAATGCCAGCTTCTCACATACAGCCTTGGCGCTGGCACTGACATGAGTCTTGAGCTTGCAGAGATGACTGCTCGTCTGGAAGAGATCCGGCAAGACATTAATGCCGTCACCGAGGAAATGGAGGATTTCCTAGAACGATACGGTCTTGTCACACTTGACAATTTTGATGTGCAGGATGCACCCAAGCAATCAGTGTCTCTTGATGATCTGGAATCTTTTGTTGAAGGCGGTTTCAACAATCCTATGCAGATTGAAGATGATGAGACTTGTACCACAAATTGAGTCACAGTGTCTTTTCCGCATCTGCTGAGTGCAAGCATAGTAGCTTGATTGTGGCAGATGCAAGTTTCTTTCTGATCGGACTTCGTCTTCTTCCTTTCCATGCTTGGTATGGAGACATCTGTCAGGATACTCTACTTTTCTTTTGTTCCTTTGTCGTCGGAGGACCTCGGGGGTCGGGGCTGGGATTTGATAGAGGGGATTTTTGACGGACGAAGTTGTGACTGACCACTTGGCGGTCCGAGCTCCAGAATATCCAGAAAGTCGCTTCCCCATTTTATCTTTGGCTTCTCAGGAATCAACGGTCAAAATCTTCTCTTCCATCGTAATTTCATAAAACCTTGCCTAGAAACAGAAGTGAACCGGGGGCGATGTCCAGGAGTTTCACGGTCCACGAATTCTCGGGATCGAGTAATGGTCACTTTTTTCCGATCTCACCAGGCGCGACGCAGGGTCTTACAGTGGGGGCCCAAGCTCTTGTAATCTTGGATCAAGTATAGTATCGGTCTTGCTTCTGCTATTCCTCACTACGAGGAAGAAACCCACTACGTACGGAGTAGTACTTCACATCTTCCTCGAGGCGAGCGTAGGCCGTGTAAGCTTGCACCCGCTCCAGTGCTTTATTCGCCAACACAACTTTGAGTCTTCCTGCGAAAACACGCGTGCGCGATGTTGAGCCATCCTCTCATGGCTATTTTCTAAGGAGTAAGGTGTTATTTACAGACCATTGGAGAAGATACGAACGCTTTTCGCTGTTGGAATCTAGTGAGTTCAAGGTGCCATTTCCTGGGGATTGACGTCAAAGCATTTGATCTACAAAGCTTTGATGCTACGTATCCCGCATGTTAGTCGTTGCTATTTTTACAAATACGAAGTTTCGGTAGGTGAACGAATAGTATCTTCATTTTCTTGCTAGGCAACAGGGTTAGATTCGTCCATGCTGTACGGAGTACTTGGCACAGTTCTAGGGGGCCGTTTCAGCCGTTGCTTAAAACTTCCAGACCCTGAGGTTGTACTTCATAGTATCTACTCACGAAAGTAACAAATGCTCATTCCTCCTGAAAAGATTGGAAATATGTGTCAAAGCAAATGTTCCCCATGCAAACACCCACTCGCCAGAGCCCGGAGGGTCCAGGCCTTACTTTCGGTGCTTTCTTGGCCATGTGCGTTTGCGGCTGTCTTCACAACCCATGGAAGGGCTGAAAGCTGGATCCAGCTCGTTTTTGTAAGTGTCTAAGTACCAGTTTACCACCAAAGTGCCGGTCTTATCTGATAAACTCAAGATCACGCTCTCTCCATTCGCCTCTGCGTTTATGCTTTGCAGGTATCGCAAGACCCAAAGCAAATCATACGCGCCTCTCGAAATCGCCTTGGATGCCTTGATGACTGCCATGTTCCTGGGGATCTATCTTGCGGGGATTATCATTCTTGCGAACTTGCATGTCAACCGTTATAGCTACACGATCGCCCGTGGGATCCCGCAGATCTACTCCAATCTATCTTGCTTTTTGATTTTGTGAGTCTGCTCTGATTGAAACAACACAAAATTGACTGACTCCCATAGCCTGGCATACCTACGCTCCTTTGCTCAAGGATTCTATCACCGATATTTCAAACAGATGATCAAGGCCCGTCGGGGTGTTACCTACGTTATCTGCCCATCCTGCGACCGTTCCGCAGAGGATCTCAACAGCAACCACTCGGAGATGAAGGGTGGAAAACAGGATGATTCTACTTCGGCATCTGCCTTTGGAGCCTTGTATTCTGATCACGATGTCGAGTCTCAACCACTTCTCGTTGATAACACTACGATCGCGGAGGGTGAGCAAATAACAGGTGTTGTCAACAAGGATTGAGCTGCCTACTGGTAGTAGTGGAGATTACAAGGACCTGAGGATCAGCCTGTGGTTCATTTGAAACAGGATGTGGTTCAACACCCTGATCTGACCACTCCACGCTGAGAGGATGCCAGAAAGTGGCATAGCTCGAATGGTCCGCAAGTGGGAATGAGAGATGGAGAAGTGGAGCAGTCGTTCGTTAGTCTGAGACTCGACATAGAGCTTAAATTTAGCAGTGTAAGTTGAGATTTATAAACACTCCGAGGCAGGTTTTCAGAATGTTCTGATCTCGACTTTCGTTCTGTGTATAGGCGGGGCATGAATACTCCCGAAAGCATTGGATTCCGCCCTTTTTTTTTAACCGTCGCGAGCGAGGGTGTATATGTGAACATCCACTCAAACTGCACCTCCTCACATCGAAACCTCCATTACTGGACCCGTGTAAATATTCCGCGCCCGCACGAAATAGTACAGAATAGCCAATATGATCACACCGACAGTGCCAACCACACTGTAATTCATATCCTCAACAGAGGGGTTCATCGAAGAAGGCCAGAAGCTGAAGAACACAACAATGGTCATGTAAATGCAGGCATATCCATTGACCAACATCCCCAAGATTCCAGGAACACGGAATGGACCCCAGACAAGTTTGGCTCCCGGCACATTGATGATCATTTCGTCATTGTCGTCAGATGTACTGATATCACCACGACAACGGCGGTAAAGGAGAAGGAGAGCAACTGTGAGATACGACGCGTAGAGACCAGAGACTGCCATCGAAGTAACATCATTGAGAGCGACAGAAGAGCCGATGTTGATAAGCCCAAGCAGCCACGCGACCGTCATCGTCAGGTAGACGGAATAAGTTGGCAGATGTCTCCCGGAAACCTAGAAAGGAGGTCAGATGTGCTCTTGGTACTGCGGAAGAAATTCTAGTACTTACGTGACTCCACCAGCGCCATCCTGGAATCCCACGATCGCGGGCAAAAGACCAGAATTGGCGGGATGTTGCCGCCAGCATGCCGATCACCGAGCAAACCGAAATGATAAGGTTGACTGAGACCATGGCCAGCGTTCCAGGCACGGAATTTGTTGCCTGGTAGAAGATCTCGATGTAGGGATAACCAGTGTTACTGTTCAGTGCAACTTCGAGATCTCCCATGCAAAAGAGAACTGCGATGAGCATGCCAAATCCGAGCGTGCCATTGATCACAATACTGAGCATTATCGCGCGTGGGATTGCGCGTGATGCATTTGCAACTTCTTCGGCCATCTAGCGAGACAGGTCAGTAATCTTCTTCGATGTTTAGATAGCTCAAGCCTCACGGATACTCACATGAACTGCTGCATCACCTCCAGCAAAAGCAAAGACACAACCAGTCATTCCGACAAACCAGGAAAGTCCATCTGTGGCAAATCCACCGCCATTGGTGAACTCAATGAAGACTTGTTCCTTGGTTCTGTGATCCGCCATGTATGTCATGGGAATCAAGATTCCAAAGAAGCCTAGGATATGAACGCATAGGATAAGGTTCTCAAGCCTGGGTAGGAACTTCCCCCCGACTAAGTTGACTGCTAGCGCGACTATGAGACTGGCCCATAGAATGAGTGTACCTTGATAGGCCTCTGCATTGTAGTTCTTGTGCGCGAGGATTGCAGCTCCTTGGATCTCAGTTCCGCAGAGGAAGGCCGTTGAAGCAAATGCAGCCTGCCAACCAATAACTGCAAGCCAGCCTTCGAGAAACAGTTAGCAGAGCGCTCGAAGAAAGACCTCTCACTGTGTCATCGCTCACTTACCGGTGATATAACTCCAGAATTTCATTCTCTTCTGCGGAGCAAGCATGGCGCACCAATGATATTGGCCTCCCGATGTCGGTGCCCTGGGAAAATCTGTCAAAGCGAGCAATGCAGAATTTTGTTTAAAGACTTACATCGATGCCAACTCCGACAGGACGAGGAAAGAGCACGTTGTCCCCGTCCAGGCAAAAATGTAGGCGTACACAGCGCCTGCAGATCCTCCACTTCTAGGAGTTAGCTTGGTAAGGTATCGATGGTGAGAGTCACAAACTTGGTCAATGCAATGATGAATGTACTACATTTCGTCATGTCAGTCATTGAGATATTAACACCGATGGCATCTGACAGCAAACTCACTCTAGTAAACCTTCCCAAGTCGCGATGATGGTACAACTAAACCCCAAAATGGAGAGAATGCCAAAGTTTCGCTGCAATACAAGTTAGCAATTGGCTTTGCAAGGTCAGATAGACGGATTTCACCTTCAGCACAGGAGCTTTCCCCAATCGCTGTAAATGAAAATCATCGCGATCGTGACTCGAGACTTCCCGAGCCTCATGTCCGCCAAGGATCTGCGTGTTCTTCAGTTCATAAGACGCCATGATTATCACGCCTCACCCTGAAGCCAAGAGAAACCGAAAGCCGCACAGAAGCTGAAAAGAAAAAAGAAAAAAGAAAGAGATCGGAAACGGGCGAGCATGGGCACGGGAATGGGCCGTCCATATGCATGTAATTAATGGCCAAATCGACGGCGGATGGAACTAATGCAGATGAACTGCGCCATCTGAACGCTTGTGTGGGGTCCCACAAAGGGTATTGTGGCTCTGATGGGCTCGTGGATGAAGCTAGTCTGAAAGGATCTCCATCCCTGTAGAGCTAAGGTCCTATTGTAGCCCGAGTGGAATATCATCCTTGTTATGGCTGGAGGGGCCGCCCCCAAACTTCTGAAACTCACCACCCCTGCAAAGGATTCTCGTGCATGCACGCGATGAATTTCGCAAATAGGGGTTCGGTCGCAGTATGGTTTCCTCGTGGTATTTTGTTCGATGTTGATTGTTGAATTCCATCCATGGGAACTCGATTCACGGGCGACAGCAAAGACCCGGAAGTCAATGTCACGACTTGGTGTCTGCTAGTCGTGGTCATTTTGGCGGTTTTTGCTCGGTTGGGGACAAAATATCATATTTTCCATCGATTCACGTCCGATGATGTCCTCGTGATATTCTCCTCGGTATGTTTAAATGGCTTGTCTGTATGGATGGTGGCTAAGCAAAGCAGGCCTTTTGCATTGCTCAGGCTGTTGTGTTGTCTCTGGCGGTCGCTTCTGGCTATGGAAAACACAAAAAGATGTCTCCGACTCTGACTTCGAACAAGTATTGAAGGTTTGTTGATGCTTCGCGTCTCGGGTTAGTTTGCCTACCGTGGCTGATCGATCGGTCACAGAATCTGTGGGCAGCGTCTTTGTTGTACATCACCAGTCTTTCTCTTTCGAAACTTTCCATGGTTCTCTTTACTCTGCGCCTCAGCCCAGCAGTCAAAGATCACCGTCTTGGTCGGATTGTGGCGACGGTGGTAATAATTTGGGCTGTCGTCACCATACTGGGAACTGCTTTTGAATGCAATGTGCCGCAAACTTGGGACTTTTGGAATGGAAGATGTATCAACATGGTATCATCGTCCCATGGTCTCTCCAAAGTGTTGATTGAGTTTGCTAATCCCGATGTTCACCAGGAAGTATGGCATTACTTTGTTTGTCTTTCCAACATGGTCACGGAAGCTTTGATCCTGGGCCAGGCTTTCCTCTTGATTTATCGCATCCACGCCTCTTTCAAAAAGCGTCTTGTTTTTGCCGGAATTTTTCTCCCAAGAGTTTTGTGAGTGAGCGAGACAGATTTTGCATCGCATCTTGTCAGATTCACATTCTAACGTCTCGTCTTTACTAGGGTCATCGGCGGTATTATAGGTCAACTCTCTTTAATCCGACAAGCAGTATCATCCAACGACCCAAGTTATGACATCTGTGATATATCAGTCATCGAGGAAGTGGTGCAATGTCTGAGCATTGTCACGGCCTGTTGGGGTCAACTGAAGCCTTTTCTGACATGGCTGAAATTGGAGGGACGATTGCAGGTCAACGACATGGGGACCAGTGATATCTATCACCTGAAAGATTCCAAGTCTCATTCCAAGTCCCGAGACAAGAGCAGTGGTCCCCAAGATGATTACGGGCTTTCTTCGCGAGGAGAACCTCTCGTGGTTTCCGTTACTCGTGACTGGGAGGTGGACAGTCAGTCAAGCCAGACACATATTATCAAAGAAAACCAGCACCCTTGGATGGGAGAAGGGTCGGAACCTACTATACAAGGAGGTCAAAGCAGCTTTGAAAGAAGCAAATGAACCGAAGTCCAGTCCAAGGTTAATTTGACAGTATCAACTCTACGGCTTTATGTCAAATGCTTCGAACATATGCCAAAATATCTGGGAATGGGAAAAGACCTCAGGGCCACTAGCCGCAGTCACTTCAAAATTAACTTGCAGCGAGCTACCAGAAGATATTGGAAATCTCACAACACCTTCCTAGCTTCTGCATACCAAAAATCTGTTGGATCCCGGGTCAGACTCTGGTTCCCTGTCTCATATACCGCCGACTTTTCTCAAATTCATCATGCTGGACACTTTGACGCATATTCTGAAGCCGAACCCGTATCATTTAAACGAAAGTGAACGAGCAGTGAATCTACTCGGTGATAACTCTATCTGAACCCAAACATAAATTCAATTCGAAGCCGTCTAAGTAAAAACACGGTGTAACAGAATCAATCAAACAGCCTGATACCTAGCAAAAAGAAAGAAAAGTCCGCCAAGCTCATCGCGACCAACGATCAGCCGGGTTTGGCGGTACTTTGGCAACACCTGGGCCTGGTGGCATTGGCCCCAATGGCGCTATCCATGACCTTAACGCTGGCCAAGTACCTGCGAATAGTGCTGTGGGTTGGGCAGGAACGTGTCCAGCTGTCAAGTCCAGCCCATTTCTGTTGTTTGACAAGGTCATTGGCAAACCATTAATTGGTTGCGTGGCTTGATAGAGCATCTTCCGCAGCCACGGGCCGTCCAATCTCGATTGAATTCCATCAGCAGGGAATTGACCACGTTTAACCACCGTTACACTGTATGTCCATGGGGTGAGTCTTGTGCCATTCGGGTCAGTCGAGGCTGGATCAAGTAAACAAGCTTGAACCAAGATACAGTCATAAGTACGTTGGGATCCATCGGCTAGGGACACGGTCGTGCAGCCAGTTGTCATTGGATGGAAGACCTGCTGCATGGTGTAGCCTCCCCTCATCAACTCAACATCAGACTCCCAGAGTGACATGATAGCTGCACCAGTATCATACATAAAGTCCAGCGAGACCCACCAAGGAACTGTTGCAAGCCCAGTCGCGGGAATTGGCAAATGACCCGCAGCGTCAAGAGTTGAAGTTCTGGCGCTTATGTAACGGGCTGCTTTCCCTGGCGTCGGATGAACGACGGCGGTGCCTCTTCCGTTGGTGAGTCGAACCCCAGCAGAATACTAAACGCTATTGTCAGTATCAAAGATCTCAAATGCTTGGAGCTTAGCACAAGGGACGCGTACACGATAAGTATCCCAACCATCTCCTTGGACGGTAATAGCTGCGTTCAACTGAGTGGGCCCTGGACTGCCCATCTAAGAACGAAGAAGGAAAAACGTTAGTCAATTCTACTTGCACAAAAAGGTCATGGCATGATTCAATCCCAGAGTTCCACTTACACCTTCAACCCAGAAGCTCTCCCAACCCTCGTGCTTTTGGTTGAGCGCTTCAAATTCCGCCCAATGAAGGGGCCTTGGCTGACAGAGCTGCTCCCCGCGGGACCAGTAAGTGACCAGTCCATTGTTCCAATCAAGCTGGTGAGACCTGTAGGCTCGCAATAGAGCTTTGACGTTGACTAGCTGCTTGTACTCGTCCTCTCTAGCCCCGAGATCTTTCTCTATGACTTTGAGGGAAGAGATTCGCTTAAGAACATCTAGGCTGTAGTTGCCTCTCTCTGATGATTTCATTTCACTGATTGACATGAGATTAGTTTTTAATACAATAAAGATGGGTAAAAGAAAGAAGCTTACTCCTGAATATCCTTTGCAGCCTGGTATTCTCTCAATCGATGTTCAAAATAAAAAGGCAGGATTTGCTCCGCAATTCTCTCGTGACATCTTTCGATCTGAGCATCAATATCACTATTTGGTCCATGTCAGTTCAATCTCTGGAATATTAACATCCATTCAATACTGACAGCTTATCCAAGTCAGGCTCATCCCAGGTCCAGCCCTCGGGGAGCTTGCTGGTATCATTGAGAGGCAGCGGTCCATTGTATGTCCACGTCGCACGTTCAGGTTTGATGGGAGGAGGAAATTCTCTTTCATGCTCCGCTCGAAGTTCGGCAAGCTCATCCACGTAGGAATGGTCAAGGTCCGCTTCGAACGCTTCCATGTCAACGACCACATCTTGCTCATCTACCCCCTCTATCGGTGATTCGACTTCCAGTTTCCCCTTTTTGTGAGGAATGGCGAATTCCACGGGCATTGCCCTCTTCCGCTGATATCTTCCTAGTGGTTCGGGCTCTTCGGGTTCTCCAAGGGACTGGGTGGCCGTGGAAGCTTGGGTGGCTTTGGGGGTCTTGGAAGCCTTGGACGTCTTGGAGACCTTGGAAGCCTTGGTTGTCTTAGTAGCTTTAGAACCTTTCGCTGTTTTGCTGGTCTTCGTGGCTTTGGAGCTTTTAGACGCCGCTTTTGCCTTTTTGGGAGCCATGTTGGCGGACACTCGGAGAAGATTGACTGGAGAACCTTTTGTCCGTTGGTGGATGCTAAAGAAGTCCGCGGGAAATAGAGAAAAGCAGGAATTTGATGGTCTATCTCAAGAGGGGAACTGACTATTTATCATAGAATCTTAGCAGGTGGGTCGCTCACTGTTGTTTCTTTCATCGAAACTCCGTTCAACTGGCCAAAGAAGACATCCGGCTGATTTGGGCTTGTTCATGGCTGTTGGGGATAGTAACAAAGAACATCGAAAAGCCGGGGTGTATTCTGCCCCGTGGTCCCATCGCTCTAACTTCTTTCAATCTCGAGTTCCATCCCATCTCTTTCATCGAGCGTTGATTTAGATTCATGTTTCTTTGAATATTTTCGAGCTTAAGCCTTACTGGACATCGAAGAGATCCGGACTCGAGCTTGAGCTTGATAACAAAGAACCTGCGAACTGCAAAGCCTTAAAATTAGCTCAAATCAATATTTATGAGGGATTATTGGTGTTTTCCTTTGAGATTTGCTGCTACTGAGCTTTCATACAGCTTGTACTCCCAGAGATCCTCCTCACCAAAACCTTGAAACCCGACGGGATCACCTGGGCAATGTTCTGTTTATTACCTCAATATAGAACATGAGTTCTTGAGTCCACTAGATTCGATTCATCGGATAGGTGCGCCGTGAATACCAGTGGGTGTGTTTCCGGTGCTCCAAATTCGACAAAGAAGACTCCAAACTCACCACTCGGGGGATCTCATCAAAGAAATCCAGACTTCTACTATAGACTCAGGATCAAAGAAGCTAGCTTCTAGTTCAATGGTTGTGTGTAGATACCCTTGGCTCATCATAGTGCCATGACAGATTTAGCCGAACTCCAAGGCTAGATTCCTCAATTTTCTTTATGGGTTTTAACCACCGATCTTGGTGATCTTTGATCCCCAGAAAGCATATCCGACTTCTGAGAGCACTGCCAGTCTTATTGATTATCATTGACGACCAGGAAGAGGCTACTCTACGCTTCTCAGATCCAATCCACATGTGCCGTGGCATTGTTTACAGTACCATAGAACTGCAAGAATGGCCGACGCGCTTCATCCGCCAAAGAAAATGACCCAGAAGATCATTTAGTCCTTTGCTGTACAGTTTGCCATGGCCAGGTGGGTAGATCCATAAAACCTACGTCTGGGAGCCGCAATGAGCCCACGGGTGCGGTTGACCACAAAGACTGCCCGAGAAGATCAAAGAGAAACCCGAGGTGATGATCCATTCGCCAACCAGTTCCACTAGATTGCGGAGTACAAAAGGAATGAAAGCAGTTTCTGTGCTACCATGGACACTAGAAGAGAAGAAAGGCCCGAGCAATTCAGATGCTAAACTTGGGCGCAGACAAAGAAATGCTTGGCCGGCGAGTTCAATCAGTCAAAGCCGAGGATCGTGCGAACTTCTCTGCGGGCTGTCAGTTCTGCGTTGGAAAAGCTGCTCCATCTGACCGGGTTGAAGTCTGTGGATGAGAAGCAGCGTGTGGAATGAGGTTCTTTCAACGTTTCGATCTTTCATCAAAGCAGAGAGGGTTGAGAAGCACTGGCTCCAGCCCTTTCCCAGAGCTCGTAGTGGCTTTCATTGACCGATAACGGGTGATCTTTCGTCTGGAGGATGCTTTTACATAGCAATTGGCTTTGGATATCGCCCAAATTCATACCCACAGAATCAGAGTTGACTCTCACGGTCAGTGATAAAAGCAACAGCACCAGGCACGACAGCCACCAAGACACTACAAAGGATGAAATTATCAAGGGACATTACCAGTTCTAACAACTACAAACTACAAAAGACAGAACCCAAAATGTAAGTTGTCAAGGCCAGATCATAATCATTCATTACCATAATCATCTCTCTAGAGCAAAGGCAAAAAAACGAAAATAGAGTGAAGATGCAGCCAATTGCCAAAAAGAAATCCTTTTTCAAAAAAGAAAAAACACGCAAATAAATTCAAACTCATAAACCCATCGAGACAGCAGTCACAAAGAAAAGTCGTTCATAAGAGATTCGTCACATCATAGTCATCAGAGCACAAATCACCACAACATGGCAAGCGCAATGCTCACTCCTTATTTCAAAGCAAAGACAAGGGAGACACACACAAAAAGAAAAGAGACAAATGAGCTTCGTTTCGTTTCGACAACCGAGACTTGATAAGTTCGGCGCCCATGCTTTGCATAAGCAGTCTATCATGAAAAACTCCGAGATGGGAACCAAAGAAAATAGAAAAAGAAAAGGAAAATAGAAGAACCAGAACAGATATACCGAAGGTGGGGTTTCGATGCACCTTTAGGCTTTCAACGGTGTCGCGCCATCATGCTGCTAGGCTTCATGGGTTGCAGGATTGGGGGACCGCCGACCGGGCCGCCCAGCGTGGCATCTGTGATTGTCTTTCTGCGCTTCGAGGTATCGTATTCGGCTGCGCTTTCGGGGCGAATGACTTCCTCGTCTTCGCGCATGCGCTTGCTGCCCGCGCTGAGAGAGTTGTTCGCCGCGTACACGGATGTCGAGCTGGATGCCATGTATGGATCCGTCGTGCCGTTGGCGGGTGTGCCGCGGGTGTCGCTGACAGCGTTGTAAAGGGTCGATGCAGCAGCCGGGCGAGGGGGAGTGTTGTAACCCGATGCCCAGTGGGGAGGAGGCCCAGCGGTGCGGGGAGTCATGCGACCGGAGCCATTCTGCTGAGAAGGAGAGCTTGTCATCTCGGGGGTGAGCTGAGCATGCTCAGTCAGGTTTGAGACTGAGGGGTTGGTGGTGTAGGTGTAAGAATTACGATTGGAGTTGTAACCCTGGTCTTGGATGTACTCCTGGTCGTGTTCCTCATTCTGGTAGCGGTCTTGGGGGCGCTCTGTGGATTCGGACTCTGTGGCGCCTGGGCGCGGATTGGGTGGCGCCATTTCGCTTTTCATGTAGCCTGCTGGCAGTGGCTGGCCGTAGCTGGACATGCCGGACTGGGTCAGGGGGTGTGAGGGGCGTATTGGGGGTGAGATTGCGGGGCGGCGGAATAGTAGGGCTTGCTGCTGTCATAGCCTTGGGCTTGGTAGGAGGGCAGGCCCTGCATGTTGCTGCCAGGTGGAGTCGTCGCGGGAGTCGTGGGCATTGATCGCTGGTTGCTCAATGAGGTGTCAATGGACAGAGGCTGGGTTGGGGGCACTTGACCACTCCAGTCGTATGAACTGCCTTGGTTGGGCACACCCATTATGCTGGATGCGCTGGCAGGTGGGGTTGGGAATGTATTAGCACGCTCGAGGCCTGGGCGAGAACCCGGTGGACCGCTCATCGGAGCCTGAGACATGTGCGATGACATGGGGGTTTGAAGAGCGGGGTGGTGCAGGCCTGGGGGATGCTGAGGACCTGAGGGTGTGCGTTGCGGCCCCGGTGGAGGGCCTTCCAGGCGTCGATTGGCAGACTCTTGCACGACCATGTTCGTTCGGGTTTGGTTAGCCGGGTGGTAGAGAAGGCCACCAATGTTGTGCACAAAGAGCGGGTAGAGGAGATCAGTGATCTTCTCCTTGTTGGCGAATTCCATGGCGCGCTCGAATGGGATCCTGTTCTGGTCAGCAATTGATTCTCAAATTATCGGCGCAGGGCCACAAAACATACCAGACACCCTTTAGGTGCATCGGACCGATCTTCACAACGTGGCGAAGCTTCTCGCTTTTCAGAATTCCATCTCGTCGTCCACGGGTCATACCAGCCACGTTAAGCAGCTTGGTACCGTTGATCATGTGGTTATCTATTCAATGTATGTTAGGAAAATGTACTCTAGCGTATCATGATCAGCTTACCTTCTCGTCGCGCCACGCAAACTCCCTTTGCTTCCACCTGGTAGCAGAGACTGCCCTCATCTTCCCACAGAGTGGCTGTCACTCGGGGCTTAGCACCGGGAGGTGCCACTTGGCCTGTGGGATCGAAAACATAGCCTTGGAGGGGAGCCCCGGTAGTGTTCCCATACCCACCTGCAGGAGCCACGCCGTGATTGTTCACTTGGTAACGATCAGAATAGTCGTCAACGTTTTGGCCGTGAAGCTTACCAGGCAGAGGAAGCAGCTGTGCGGGCATCTGACCGCCCATGGTGCTAGGTGGGTGTCCTGTCGGAGGGGAAGTTACGCCATTGTATCCATACTGGGGATAACCGGCCGGCGGATAAGACGACGCCGGCTGCATCACTGGCGGTTGTGGGTGGTACGAGTAGTGGGACATAGCGCCTGCGGTAGCGCCCTGGGGAGCGTATGATTGAGCAGAAGACATGTGCGAAGGGTGGACGTCCATGTAGGGGGCTTGGTTCATGCTGCCGAGAGAGGTCGGGCTGGGATAGTATCCGTCGTTCACCGAGGGTGGGATACTGTATTCAGAGGAGTCTAGCGAAAGCCGGCCCTGGGTCCCAGATAGGTCCGCAGGCGGGCTCCTGGGCTCGTTCGGGACGGAGGCACCAGACAGACTTGTGCGATTGGAATTGGTCACAGATGGATCGTGATAGGCGGGTCGGGAGAGGCCCTGGGTGGCTGTCGGTAGGCTGAGCGCGGGGAGTTTGTCGCCGGACAATAACGGTCTTTCCGCCGCGTGATGGTTGTACCAGGGGATGTCAGCAGGACCGCGGGTGTGGACCTGCGAAATCGACGGCAGCTCCAGTTTTTCGGTTGCAAGAGAAACGGGGTTCGAAAATAGAGGAGATATGCGGAACGTCGGACGTGGGAAAGGTGTCCGGCGTGTCAGTGAGCGAAGCTGTTATATGGCGAACCACAGGTTGAGAATGTCACACGACCGGGAAGCCAAAAAAAGAATATTGGCTTATAGAGGTGCAAACGGTGATTGACGAACGACAGCACAAAAAGAATCGAATAGAAAATTTGGCGGGGAAAAATCAATGAGGCGGGAATTAACAGGGTTGCTGTCAATCGGACGCAATGCAAGATGCAGGCAATATACGTGCAATATCGTGATGAAGCGTGGTGAGTCGTAAACCTTTTGCAAAGACGAAGTCTAAGCAGCAGCGCAAGAAGGGACTTTTGAAAAGAAGAATTCAAACAGTCATCAGAATCATTAAGAATCGTTAACCGAACATCGAAGCTTCAACTAGAATGTCATGTAAGTGTCGTGATCGTGTGTTGGGTCATGCAATCATAAAAGGCAAAAAACAAGAGCGCATTGAGTGATAAAATAAGGCCGAAGCCAGATGGAAGGGGTAAGAGAAGACTTCACAGTCTCAGACAGTCGAGGGTTGGGGAGGTTGAGAAGTGTGCGGTTAGACGTAAAAGCGGAGGCTGGGGTGGTGCAGCAAACGGCATCCCTAGGCGCTGCGGGCTGGAGAAGGCGTTTGAACACACAACCAGTCAAACCCCAGCGGCAAAAAAAAACCCAGGTATATTTTTAAAACAGCAACATCAACTAGCAAGAACAAGGGAGATCAAAGGGTAAAAAAATATAAAAGGCGATCGTACTTGCGAAAGGCAAAAAGAAGTCAAAGGATGACGCTGAGCCGCAGCGGGAAAGTCGATCAGTGGAGGGGCTGACTAAGGGAAAGAAGAAAGAGACAAGAATGTGTCTGCAGAAATCCCGGCCTGCCCCGTCTTTTGAGGGAAGAGGAGAGAAGAGAAAAAGGAAGAAGAGAGAGAGAGTCGAATCAATCACAGTGGACCCAGTGGAGATGGTAGAACCGTGCGTTCAGATCATCCTCTAGCATCGATATGATTTATTTTATTTGATATTTCGCTCAGGATTATTAGGGATCTTAGGCTGATCTAGTTAGGTCATTATTATTCGGGTTAATTCTGGATTATAATAATTATTCTGGGTAATAATTATTTATTTTTCATTTCCCTTTAACTACGCCACCAAGCAAGGACTATGATCAGCAGAGGTAAGTAAATTACCCAAACACAACACACATCCTGGTCTGTGTGACAACGCTGGATAGACGAGGCTTTGATCAGATTAAGAGAATTCTGGGTATGTTGTTCCGGGTATTGTTCAGCGAAAGGTACGGAGTACTAGGTACTAGGTACCTGGTATTTTCCAAATCGAACCAAACGGAGTAGAGATACAAGTTCGATCGAATTCAAAGTAAACACTAGGATCACCAGAACCAAACAGTCAGTGGTCTGTTCTCGGGTCCCACTCGGTGAACCATGGATAGGAAGCCCTGGAGCCCGGGGAGAGAGAACCTTGACAGTTTCAAGTTTGACTGCGGTACCTACGTATTTTACTTTACTCCCGCCGTACAAAGTATAAGGTACAAATACAGTGTATTCGGCACTATGAACCACTACAGAACACACTAACACACTAACTACAAAGTACTCCATACTACTCCGTACAGTATACTAAAATGGAAGACGGATTCTGGTCTCGCCCCGATCGACATCGTGCAAGACATCTGTCAGCGGCTGCAGAGAGGGGTAAAAAAAAAAAAAAACATAAAACGTAAAAACGTAAACCCCGGCAATGCGCGGCGGCTGCACCGTCGATTGCGGATTGCACTCTCCCGCTTTGGGAACCAGCGCTTGCTGAGAGGACTAGATTACTTTGGGGTACTCCGTACTCCGTACTATGCAAGGTCCGAAAGAGTCGGACTTCGGCCGAGCCTCTCCGGCCAACTTACTCTTTCAACGCAATGACTGGTCGATCGCGCTCACTCGTTTCAAGTTGGAAGAAGCTACGGCCATAGCCGCTACGGAGTAAGTGGGCTGATAGTCGCAATACCAAGGCCTTGTTCTGTTTTTTATGGTTCGGGACGATCTGGGCGTTAAGACGGGCCGTGAGTAACAGTGGGGAGAGAAAGAGGAAAGAAGCACGTCACACCTAGGGATGCAGAGGGGGCGAAATCAGTGGCTCAGAATGCACCACGAAACACGGGTGGCTTGAAGTCGATCAAGGGTCTGTTCTCTCTCTCTCTCTCTCTTTTTTTTCTTGCTTTTTTTTTTTTCATGTTTTTGGGGAAGGTCTTTTGTACCGTTTTGGCTGTTTTTAGATCCCTGCTGGCTGGGGCCAGTCAGACGCCTGGCGTCTACTCTGTACTCCAGCCAAAAGAGTCTGTTGAAGAGAAAGGGGAAAGAAGGATGTAGAAAAAAGCAATTATGGATTATCAGGAAATTACTTGTAAAAGGAACGAGATTTTGAGTCTGTTCAACCCAATAACTTGGTCCGGATTGAAATGAGATTCACACGTAGCATCACAATCCCGACTGAAAATCCTCGTGACGATGCATCTAGAATTTCGCCCAGGTCAATTTGGAGGTGTAGACTTCAGTCTACACAGATCCAGGACTTTCAATAATTAGAACCGTAGTCGAGATAGCCGTAAAAATATTGCCCACGTCAGTGAATAATAATAGCAAATAGTACTATGAAAATCCATTCTTCTTTGGAATTAAAATTGGCTTATTTTCTCTCTTAGGCAAAGTTCAGCCCAACGGAAAAAATGGAAAAATACCAAGAGGGAGTCGCCAGATCACAGCAAGGGGGACTGTCAAAGATAGCTCACTACACCGCTTCTCTCGGTTCCCCTTGCATTTCGTCCTCTATACATTACGTTCTTCCCAATCTCTTTTTTTTCTACTACGGAGTACTCCATAGACTATTTACTCTATCCGAAGTGGATAATTATTCCTATGTCCTGACATATGTCATGGATATTAACAGCATTGACCACCGTGCATGGGCCTGGGTTTCTTCGGGGAGATCCTGATCGGAATACAATTTCCTAAAATACTCCATACTGTATCCACGTTACTTCTGGGTATTTGAAATCTTTCAAAGTGGATTCTAGCGAGTCGAGCCCGCCACACAGACCCTTGAGAGGTCGGTGAACATGGGGGTCGGAAAGACACGGGGGCGCCCATCTCAACATGCCTTGACGGCTGGAGGAATTGTACTTCGTACTTTCATATTTAAACGCGCATGTCTCGTGGGATGTACGAAGTAAAGAAGCATCTGCGAACGGTTGTATGGCGCAGACAAAGCAGGTACTACTCCGTAAGAGCTGAAAAGGACACTACTGACAGATCCCTGCACCGCAGCTCGCTATCGACGGCCCGATACCCGCTGCACATACACCGTACAGTAGTTTAGGAGGGATCCGCCTGAATCGACAGTCGGAGGATTTGGACTTTCCAGTGGATTCGGTTGTGGCTTTGAGCTATTGTTCTTCGTGTTGCTGGGCTTTTCCTTGTTTTTCTCCATAGTCATATGTAATTGTACATAGGTTGTGGTTGTTGGTCCACATTGCCAAAAAAATCCCTCCCCCTCCTTCAATGTGCAATAATGGCGGGTAAATTGGGGGAGATCAGAATCGAGAGCTCTCCACTTCACCCTAACCTAAGTACGGAGTACGTGACTAGCGACGCCCCACCACACAGTTATCGTGAACTCCGCAATTCGGGTGTGATGCATCATGGCCAACGTTAAGCCAGCAATGCAAGAAGGTCGATCCTTCTTTGGCGTACTCCGTATGATAGGTATATCGAGGAGGAGCTAATAGTCACAATAGTCACAATAGTCATTTCTTCAACAAGGATTATGGTCCCCAACGCGTTTCACCGGACCTTCAGCTCGGGTGGAGAGATTCGGCACACTAGAGGGTCCTGTCCATTTATTCATCCCCCAAGCTACCCTCGTAGCTCTCTTACGCAGACAATCTCGCGTCGATCGACGGGTTCGTCCGTATTGTACCTTGCAGCGAGTTACCCTGCAGCGGACACTGTCCGTGCAGATTTATAAGAACTGACCAAGGCAGACATTTTAATATCATATTCTTGCTTTTTTTTCCCTTGGCCCCCGGGTTTCATCAGGTAATAGTGTGCAAGTATTTTTAATTATGATACTACAGTACGGAGTACTCCGTACTTCCCGTACTCCTCCCCGTCCGATACTTGTGATAATTTCCATTTTGCTTTCTATTTCGTGTTTCACCAGGGGAAGAATGCCATGCGACTCCCATGCTGTACAGTTAAATATGCCCGAAGCCGTCTGGGCAGACGTTTGACGCCAGATAAGGCCGTCAGACCTGGACAATGAGCACAAGGCCTTTGAGGGGATTGTACTACAACTTACAGACTCGGTCGGAACACGAGGAGAATTTGACCGACAGCCGACTGACAGGGATGTTCCCTGCAACTTGATGTGTTGTACATGGCAAATTAAATGCGAATCGACCGAGATAACCCCGTATACCCCGTATACCGTTAGCAGGCTCGTTGAGTAGCCCATCTCACCAAGTAGAGATACATCGACACTTCCATGTGACTATCACCCTCCAGCGCGAATAGCAGCGCAACACGAAGTCAGGATCTGGAACTTGGGGCCGTGCAACTCGATTTAACCTCGCATTGCATTGTCCCGTGGAGCCAAGAGATCGACTGCACGTCCATGCCTAGTACTCCGTACTATTATTGTATATCAGGATTTATTTTATGTATCCTTTTATTACTGTACTATTTTAGCGTAGCAAAAATGAAGAGGGGAAATCCCAACAATTATTTCCTCAGAATGCCCAGATGACCCCGTTCAAGTGGAGAGAAGAGGCCTGAGTAATGGAAGCGCATTAGCCGTCAGCAACAGCCACAAGTTCGAGTCAGTGGGAACAACATAGAAGGGGAGAAAAAAAGAGACCTAACTGAATTCCTCATATCTCCGAAATAACCAGGATGGCTCGGGCCAAATGTGTAACGAGACTAAAAACCAACTTAGCCAAGAAACGAATTGATTGGCCTTGGGGGGCAGCAGCCCGCCGATCGATGATCCGGCGCAACAATGACTGGCTGCGGCGGCCACCACGTACGAAGGGCTAGATCGTGTGGATTCACCGCCAGTTAACCCTTGCGTGCAGACGTGGCGACCGTTAGCACAATCGTATCCCCCCCCTCTTGTTTTATTATGGCGGTTGCTCTTCACCCAGGTGTAATACTGTATAGCGTACGGAGTACTCTGTAATAGTCTCATACAAAACCCGATGTCGCTTCAAAGCCGATCGCGACGTCAGAGCGCAGAGAAGGTTCATATGTACGACATAGTTGACACATTTCTTGTGCGAGCTTGACACTGGGTTATTTGATATCGACCTGGACACGAAGAGTAGTGCGAGGAAAAATACACAATTGATTTAATGAGGAATAAAATAATGGATAAAACCGTCGCACTACTTAGACCCCTTGTATATGAGGAAGTACGGAGTAAATCCAGCACAGTAACAATATTTCCCAAATGTTCACAAACTTCCAATATGGGAAGAAGAGAGCGGAGGGGGCAAAAACAATAAAACCCTCAATATTCTGCAAGAGCACATGTCGCGGTGCCTAAACTTGCCCCCCCTTGGTGTCATCCCCAAAGATGTACTCCGTAGAAAAATGGTGAGACTGACAGGGAGCATCCCAGTAAACCACCGACCTAATCATGATAGACAAAACAACCCTTCTAGAAAGGGAAGACTGGCCTCCGCTCACCGTCTCTTCTGTCTCAGCTCCCCAATCCGTCAGACCCTCAGTACCTCCCGAGTGCAGTCGATAGTCGATCGAGAAATGTACAACCCATGCACAGATGCAGTTCTAGGCACAACCCTGTATGTACGATGAGAAACTACAGTGTATGCCAAGTGCCAGCGCAGGACGTGCAGGCGCAGGTGCCGCGGGTTATGCATGAGCCATGCCATGGAATCTGCCATTAGGCGTGCGATGCGAATCATTTCCGCATTCTTGGTCTCTGCCAAACCCGCGCATAGGCATCGTGTCTCGGGCTGAAACTTGACAATTGTGTCTTGGTCATTGGGTGAGGCCACGAGTGGGATCCCATGGACGTGGTTTGGGCGGTTTGCGGTTTGTGGTTAGTTCGATTTTGGGGAATGCTGTGGGGGTGGGGATGACAGTTTCTTGCATGAATCTCGCAATTGTTCATGTACGATGTAGGCTAGTAGATTTGGCCTTTGGGGTTCACCGCTGCTTGAGGACCTGCATTTGCAAGAGTGTTTCTAGGGATGATTCGTGTTGTGAAGCGGTATCCCTTGATTTGTGTCCAGCTGGCTTTGTAGACCGATTGTTTCCCGTGGAGAAATTGGGGGAGACCGTGAGTCTGGACTCCTTTGGCTTATTCAACCTTTCAGCTTGTTGAGAACTTTTGAAATGATCGCGATGAGCTTCGATGAGGTTCTTTTATGCTTTGTATAACTATGCACTATGCATTTGGTGGTGATAATGCAGTCTCCTCGTACGCACGGCGGATCAGTGCTGACGGCTTTGGTGCATTGACTCGGGGGTGTATCTGCAGTGCTCTGTGTTATGTAGAAAGATCTGAACGTACTTTGAAGCGTGGTTGATGCAGTATGCTGACTCCCGTTCATGTTCATGTAGGGTACTGGGGTTCCTGCGATGGACCGCCGTCATATCGTTGGATCGTATCTGTTATCCGCAACGCGATATATCCAGCGAGGTATGTCGACATCGAAGCTTTGGTAAAGTATATGTAACCATGTCGGCAGTTTGCTATATAACATCAGCGCTTCAAGCTTAAATTTTTCATGTGCGTATCCAGGCCCCGAGGCTCCTGGCACAGAGCTCACCCAGCCAAGTGTTTTTAGGTGGTCATATATTCATACTCAGACTGATATAATATACATCTACCTACCACATTCCAAGGTTGTTGAAACTTGACATGAATCATGAAATGAAAGTTATTTGTTCAGTAGATGACAATGCTAAGTCAAACACTCAATGGATATCCCGACAAAACTATATATACCCAGCCCAACCCACGTTTATCATGAATTTTTTACATGCGTATTCTCATCACAAGGCACAGTCAGCAGAGCTGATATGAATTCATCGCTTACCAGCCTGAGTGAAGATCTGTTGCCAAATATCAACCCATTGCTGCTGCTTATAAGACAGTGGACGGTGGGGGTTGCGGAATGTGTTCGATAGGATTTCGCGCAAGCGAGTGTGGAGGATTTTCAAAGCCAACATGGACTTCCAGTCCCGCACAGCGAAGCGGATGCGATTCGCATCGATGGAGACGACACCAGAATACATCTGCAGATAGTGTTAGCATTGTCAAATTCCCATAGTGTGAAAGCTTGATTAGCAGGTCTCTTACCTTGAACTCGGCATCACCACACAGTAGCGCGATGGCGAAGTCGTCAACCGCACTTGTGTCATGAGCGTTCAGATTGCGATTCCGCGCCTGCATGATGTGGTAGTATGACAGCCACTTGATGGACTGATCCGCTCGCTTGTTGATTGACGTCGCGTGCAATGTGATCGTTTGGTTGTTGCCGACGTTGCGCCAGCCTTTGCCTTCGCGCGTGAGGAGCTTCGGGTAGAAACTCCATGCGATGACAGAGTTGATTACAACGTCGTTGTTGCTGTTGATGTCGAAATCCTCGGGGATGATGAAGAATTGACGGTTCCGACTGTTGGAGCGCGCGCTGTGATTTTGATAAGTTAAGCGAGATTGTAATGGGTTTGATGCCAACTCACCGATTGAGCGCTGCCTTCTGGGCGCCATCTAAAGTCAGTAGGCCTGCATCGACAATTGATGTCACAAGCTGCATTTTGATATCCTCGATGCCATTGAGTGTCTGTGGGCTGAGGAAGTTCTTGCGACAGAAGGTGAATTCGTTGGAACCTGGTGTGCTTCGAATGCGCCTCCAACTGCAGTAGGCATTGTAAACCGTCAAAAGGTCAGAGTCACCTACAGCTGTTAGCATTCACTTGAATTTCAGATGTTCTCACAAGCATACCTCTTCGGAAAGTCAATCGTGCTCCATCGCGCTGTGAGTTAGACCCAATGGCATTGACGAAAGGTGATTTTGACGAGAGAATAGCCGCAATGCTGACGGTCGCATCCAAGCAGCGGAAGAAGGCTCCGTGGATGATCATTTTGCCCAAGAAGACATCAAGAGGTAGCTTGGCTAGTTGTGTTCCAAGAGCAGTCAAACTCTCGTTGCTGGTCAAGGCTTTGACTTCCTTCAGGGAATCAATTGCCCGACGAATGTTTTTAGACGAAGGCGGATCAAGAGCCTCAAGGAGCGTCTCCTCAACTTCTCCAAGCTTGCAAATCTTCACCCGAAGCACGAGATCCTGCAAAGAAAGTCGGAGCAGCTCAGGAGTCTGCTGTGCCGCCATGAGCTTTTCATGCCGATGCTTAGTGAACAAATGGAAACAAATGCCATTCTGCACGCGACCAGCACGACCGCGACGCTGCTTGGCATTTGCGCGCGAGATGAAAGATTCGACGAGCCGAGAAAGTTGGCGTCTCTCGTCAAAGCGCATCATCTTCTCCTTTCCGGCATCAACGACAGCCGTGATATCCGGAATGGTAATACCTGTCTCTGCAATGTTTGTCGCGATCACAATCTTCCTCGTGCCTTCTGGGGGCACGTTAAAAGCCTTTTCTTGTTCATCGCTTGCAATGGAGGAATGCAGCGCGTGCACAATCCAGTTCCGTTGGAACATTGGCTCCGCGAGGATTTCATCGTTCAGGCGACGGATCTCTGCTAGTCCAGGCATAAACACAAGAATCGCCTTGCTGTAGTGCTCCATTTCCGGTGCGGTCGCAATTTTGATCAGCAGCCTCTTGATCAATTCGTAGTCCAATCTGTACTCGTCGATGTTGATGATTGTCTCCTTCGTCTGTCGAGAGTACCCGTCGAGACTGGCTTGAAGACCACCTGAAGTGTCAGCGTCCGCAGGCGGGTCATCCATGTCGTCCTCTAAAACTGTGTGTTGGTCCTCTTCCGACAGACGGTAGTTTGTCATTTCAACTGCGTCCTCCAGAAATTTCATTTCCACGGGGAAGGTTCGGCCTGGGATGTTAAGGATTGGCACACCACCAAGATACGTTGAGAAGCGCTGTGCGTCAACGGTGGCTGACATGAGAATAAGCTTCAATTCGGGGCGCTTCTCCATCAACCGTCGAAGTACGATGAGAAGGAAATCACTGTCAATTGTGCGCTCGTGGACTTCGTCAAGAACGACATGAGTGATATCTTGGAAGTCCTCGGGGCGCTCCAGCATCCGCACTACCACTCCTGTAGTTCTGTAGATAGGTCAGTTGGGCGGCCATGGAAGAAAATACGGGGAACAAAACATACGCATAGATTAAAGGCGTGGACTGAGTGAATTTACTCTCCAACCTCACTGCGAAACCAATCAAAGATTTGTGAGTGCCAACGTCATTCTTGCTCTCACCCAGCTCTTCGCTGACACGTCGAGCAAGGGAAATGGCGGAAATTCGACGCGGCTCAGTCACATAAATCTTGCAAGGTCGGCCTTGAGTCATCTCGTGCTCCAAAATGAAGGACGGTATCTGAGTACTCTTTCCGCTACCTGTTTCACTGCAGATGATGATAACGCGAGAATCGTCAAGTGTGTCCAAAATCTCATTCTTGAAGCCCCAAATGGGAAGCTGCATTCTGCCTTGCACCATGCGGTTATATGAGGACGTCGATGACTTTGCAGCCCAAGCTTCCTTCAAATGATCATTGAAGCCAAAATAGTTGTCGCGACCGGTGCCCTTGACCGGGGTGCCCGGCTTGCTTCCATTTCCGTTGCGCTTGCGGAAATTGTCAGATAGCACAACGTCATCTTCAAGCGTGCTTGGGTTTTCTTCAACCAGACGTTTCAAGTCTGTGAGGGTGGCCATGTCAATAGCATCCTGCTGAGTCTTCTGCAGAGTAGCCAATTCCGTTGACAGATCCCTCCAGGCCGTTGGAAGACGCAGGTATGATTTGCCCTCCTTGGAGTTCTGCGGGAACAGGATGAACAAGGCCAGAGTTGACACATAGTTCTCGGCTTGTTGTGCATCCGGTGTGACAATGGCATCCATGGACACAAATGTAGCAAGAGCATTTGACTTGTGCGTGACAGAGTCCACTGCTAGTAAGAACGGTACCTCCTGAGGCTTTGACCACCGCACCTCAACAGCCTTCCTGTTTGAATGACTCGAAGAGGAAAGATCTTGGTAGACAATTTTACAAGAAGAATCTCTTGATTTGCAAGTCTCTTCCAGCACTCGGCGGGGACTCAGACCAGTCGATTTTCCAAAATCACGCAGCGTGAATGAAGCCTGGGTCTCTGGAGCAGGGAGACCCAAGATCGACTCTGGTTCCTCCGGTTCAGCCTCGAACATACCACCAAGAGCATCTTCCATTCCTTCAATCTCAAGCAGAGATGGGTCTATCTCTTCGGAGATTTCAGGTTTTGGTTGAGCTTCTTCCGCGGTCGGAGCACTCTTTTTCTTCCTGTCCACTGGGCGTCGGATGAAAGTGGCATCTTTTCGAAGCTCATCCAGCTTCTGCTCCCACAAGTACTCTGCTTCTCGGCGCTCGAAGAGGACATCTCTTTCGATCTTAGCGATCTTCCGTTGGATTTTGGTAGACTCTGGGTCGGCAGACAATGGGTCGGCCGATGCGTTGGCACCCCGACCCTTCTTCCCCTTTCCGGGGCGATCGAAAAGGTCCGGCTCGAGGCTATACAGCCGAACTTGTAGGTCTAGCCACTCAGGAACCATGTCATCTGGGTCGACCGAGCTGTCTGAGTCGTATGAGACAGGCGTCGCAACTTTTTCGGCTTTCCAGTCCGCCTTCTTGTTTCCTTTGCTTGATGATGTGATAGGAGTCGATGACCCGGAGGGTTTGAGCTCTGATAAGAGTTAGCACGATACGGCGACGCTCGTTTTGAAGCGAATGGAGAGCTTACCAGGCATCCATGAGGTAACGGTATCTGTGTCTTTCAGTTGACGAGTGTTAGTCTGCGTATATGAGGGAAGCTCTTTCTTGTCGCTGTGTACAGCCAACCACTCTAGCGCCTCCTCGAGATTCCATACAACATCCCGACCGGCGCTGGTTGAGTTGCCGGCGAAGTATTGCAGAACATGCTTCAGTGCATCTTCAACGCGATTCTCGGGGAAATCAAGTTTGAGTAATGTCTCCTTCAGTATCCAAAGCTTGCTGTACAGCTCATCTTCAGAGCCAGCTTGCCTGGAACTTGTTTTTGCACTTGTTGCGAGGATTTCATGCTCTTCGGCGTTGTAATAATCGAAGATTGTATCCTGTATCTCTGCTGGTAGCCACTCAAGCAGGCCCAGTGTGACAGACTGCTGGCGGAAGACTCGCCGTTCGTTCTCCAGTTTTGTAGCTTGTCGTGCTGCGTCATTTTTGCACTTAGTGGCATATTTTTCCACAAATATTTGAAGCTGCGCTTCTTCAAGGTGTTTCTCAAGTTCCTCCGGTGTGTAATTTTGCAAGGAAGGCGTCGGATCTGGCGCGCTGGCGTCTGTGGTACGCTCTTTGGTGCGTGCGGATTGCGGCTCGCTTTCCGGTGTAGCCTTCGACTCCTCGGTGGCCGGAGATTGGGTCTGTGTTGCCTCCGGTTTAGGCTTTGATGGCATGGAGACTGTCGCAAAGCCTCGAGCCGGATTGGAGGCGGGCTTCTTCTTTTTCTTGTTGTTCGGCGGCATTTTGCCTTATTTACGGCGGATGCGGCGGAGGGGACTTGAAGGGACGCTCAAAGTCAGCGTGAAATGGAAAAGAGAGATTTTCTAGAGAAAACCAGATGCGCAATACTTACCAAATGGTGGTTGAGGAGTGTCCAGAACGAAGAGTCGGCCATGGCTGTTGAATGGCGGGATGCAAACCAGCTCCCCACACAAAACTCTTATGACAGCATTCCTAGCCCACTTCACCACTCTCTCACTTATCAACCAACCCCCCTCTCCCTCCATTCCCCTGTATTGACCGCCGATCATGGATGGGATTCCATGGGACCAGGTCAAGGCCGGGGATCTGGATGCCTTGCGGGTCGCGCTCCTCTCGAGTTCGACCTCGCGCAGGCTCCGGGCCCTGCAAGATCTCCGCGACAAGAATGGTAGCGTGATGATGTCCGATACGCCCAGGCTATGTACTAACTGTTGATCTACTAGGGTCTGAACTATCTCCGGAAATCCATCAAGAGGTCCTAGATCTACTTTTCCGAACATATCCTTTATATGTCGATCGATCCTCCCGCCAGGCGGTCCAGCAATGCCTCCGCTCTCTCCTCCGCACCCCCAATGCGACCGAACACTTGAAGTTCCTTACACAGAAATTGAAGGCCGAGGCAGCCCGACCGGGTCTGGCTTCCGCTTTTGCATTTGTGTTGCTGGAATGGTGCTGCATCCTGCTACAACAGGCCAGTGAGGACCAGAACACACCACTTGCCATTGTGTTAGACTTGATCACGGTGGTTGGCAAGGCGTTGGAGAACTGCCTTGCGCACAACCCAAAGCCTGCAGTAAAACAATCCGCTCTTAGGGTAACAAGACGTGCTCTGCGCGCCGTGTTCTCGTCTGAAGCATGGGGCGCCGATGCAGTGCGCCAGTCTGTCACCCAATTGACGGCCGATTCTACTGCGTCATACAAGAATTCGCCTATCCTTGGCGTTGTCAGTGGAGTGTGCGCACGACTTGCGGACAAGAAGGCAACGCTCGAGGAGTCAAAGAAGTCTATTCTGGCATTCTATATTAAAGAAATCGTGAGCTCAAAAACTGTTGTGCCCGCACATACGGCCAATGGTTTGGCCGATTTCTTCGCCTCATTTGTTACGTATGAAGATGTTGCTACCGAATTGGTGCCTCCTATGGAGAAGTCCATGCTGAGAGCCCCAGAGGTGGTCCTTAGTGGTGTGATCCCGCCTCTGTGTGCCTCTTTGCCCGAAGAAATTGATATTTCAGAGCTGGTGCAAACCCGCCTTTCCAAGCACCTTCTTGCCAGCATGAAGTCCAACAATCCATCCATCCGCCAAGGCGCAGCTGATTCCTTTGGGTCGCTGCTTACTCGTTGCAAAACAGACGCCTTGGTCTTGAAGATCACTGGTGAGATTATGGGTCCCTTGAAGACTAACAAAATCACCGGCGCTGAGCATCGTGTTGCCTATGCCCAGGCGATTGCGGCTATTCCTTGTTCCGCAAATGTTTCAAAAGACATCATTCAAGGGTTCGGTCCCGTGTTCACACGAGAGTCCAACGAGCCAGCTCTGGAAGAAGAGATTAGATCCTTCAGCAAGCACCTTGCCTATCTTATCCAGTCTAAGGCTAAGATCAGCGATGATGTTACAAGCACAATTGTCAAAGGTATCTCCGATAAGCGAGTGCCTTTCCGCAAAATCTGGCAAACCAGCGTGGGAGAAGTGCTTTGGAGCTCTGACCTTGACGCGCTGAAGAGCGCTGAAGTCGAGCCCCTCGCCACCAAGTTCCTTGCCAAGATGAAGGATCTGTTTGGAGAGGTTGCCTCCAACCCGCTTCCCTCCGCTTCAAGTGGAGCGCTGCCGTCAGCTTATCTTTACCTGGCTCTGTTCCACAAGGTGTCCGATGTTCAAGGGTCTTCCAAGGCCGCTTGGGATGAGCACGTGGCACAGTCAATGACTTTGAGCCCCAAGCCATCGTTCATGCTCAACCCAAGAGTATTCTCGAAGCTGGCCTCCAAGGAGGAAATTCAATGGCTTGTCAGGGCATTGGCTGCTGTCGCATCCGGTGCCAAGTTTGTGAGCGCCGATGAGGCGTCCAAGATTGCCTGGGCTCAGGCCTTCATCTTTAGCATTGTCGCCCCTGCCATCCCATCTAACTTCAGAGAAGCTTCCGCAGAGACACTATCTCGCGTTTACTTGACGGACGTGGCGTCTTTCGGTTCCATTTTCGTCCAGGCTCTTTGGGCTTGGACTCTTGCTTTCCGGACGGCGGACAAGGAGTCTGCAGCCCACTCTGCTGGCCCAGGCAGCGAACGCCTTTTGCAAATGGTATTAAGGGCTCTCTGCCCATCCAGCGATGTCGTGCAAAAGTCTAGCATTTCCTCCGCCGATCTCCAGGTTCAGCTAATTGATATTCTCATTCTGAGCCGGCCAGAGTTGATCCCCGGTGCTTCTTGGATTGCTCTGTGCTTGAGAACAGGAACTGATCCTGGTGAACTTGTTCGCGCGCACCCTGCCAAATGTATCGAGCAGTTGGTCCAGGTCAACGCCGATCCAATTCAATCAGCCGTGCCCAATGTCAACCCAGCCGTTTGGACTGCCGCAGCTGAGCTGGCATTCGTCGCGCCAGACGTCATGATCCCCCGTCTCGTTGATCAGATTAAACACGACCTGGATGGTACTCGTCTCTCCAAGTTCACGGCTACGGACGCTGCCATTTCACGTACCCCGGAAGGCACCGCTTTCGTTGATGTGCTCAGCAGCAAGTCGAAGCAGCCTGCTTTCGACAAGAACACCAAGGACTATGATACCCTGAAGTGGGAAGAAGAGCTTCGAGCTCAACTAGCCGAGAAGAAGGGACAGGCACAGAAGAAGCTGACTCCTGAAGAGCATGCCAAGGTCAAGGCCCAACTCGCCAAGGAGGCTAAGATTCGTCAAGATGTCGTGGAAGAGGTCAAGCGGATTGAGCGGGGTGCTGGTCTTATCCATGGCCTCGCAACCGGGCCTACCAACGATGTCTCTGGATGGATCAATGCTGCCGTCACTTCTCTGCTGTCGCTTGCTCAAGCTGGTGCTGGCTTGTTTGTCGGCGATGTCGTCTCTCGCGCTTTCATCACCTGTGCTGATGAGGTCTCATCTCGTCTAGGTAACCTGCGCTCTTTCGTCGGCATTGCTACCCTGCGAGCCATTGGAAACACCAACCTTCCCTCTGACATGGAACTGGAGCCTCTCGGAGAACTTGTCACAAGAATCCTCTACCGTCTGCGCTTTGCTTCTGAGCAGCGTCCCTTTGACACTACATCTCTCGCCTACGTTCTCCCTCTCATCTTCCAAGTTCTGACTCAGAACGGCATCCAGGAAGCTAAGGGCGAAGAGGAAGGCACTCAAGTCCTCTTGGCTCTAGAGTTCCTTTCTTTCCACTCTGGCTCCTTTGCTGACACCCGTCTTCCTCGCGTTGAGGTCTTGGAGCAACTGCTTTCCGCTATGCAGAGATACACTCAGCACTACAAGATTGTCAAGGATACGCTGAATGACTTCTGCAGGTGCATCTCTCCTAGCATCAACAGCAATGAGTTGGAGACGCTTCTGCGGGGCACCATTGTCGTCGAGGCTTCTGTCCGGACAACTGTGCTTCAAGTTGTCGAGGCTGAGATTGATTTGACCGATCTTGATTTCTCCGAACACATCTGGCTCGCTTGCCACGATAGTGTGGAGGAGAACGCTGAAATCGCCGACACAATTTGGGAGGACAATGCTCTCGAAGTGGACGACAGCTCTTACAGTAAGATTATCAAGTACTTGGAGTCCAAGGATGATCAACTCAGAGGTGCTGCTGCTCGCGCCCTGGCTCATGCCATTGAATTTGACAAGAGCAAGTTTGTTGGTATTCTGTCTGAACTTCAAGCCAAGTACTCGGATGAGATCAAGCCCAAGGCCCCCGAAAAAGATGCCTACGGAATGCCCAAGAAGGTGGACGTCTCAGACCACTGGGAGGTTCGCAGTGGTATTGCCCTCGCTTTTAGTGCCATGACCAATCAATTCGATGGCGAGCAAGGTGTTTCCTTCCTGCGTTTCCTCATTGAGCAGGGTCCTCTGCTTGATGGAAATTCTCGTGTCCGAGGTCAGATGACTGAAAGTGGTAAGTCTGTTATCATCCAGCGTGGCCAGGCCAAGGTCGAGGAGATGATGAAGCTGCTCCAAACCACTCTTGAAACCTCTGACAAAGACACTACGACCTCTGATCTGCTGAATGAGGCTGTCATCGTGCTTTATGGATCTGTGGCGACTCACCTCAAGGCAAATGATCCTCGCTTGCAGACTGTCATCAAGGAATTGCTCTCGGCCCTCGATACGCCTTCAGAATCTGTGCAACACGCTGTCTCCGAATGTCTTCCGCCATTGATCAGATCCTCTGGTTCCAAGGCCAAGGAGTACGTTGAATCTCTGATTCACCGACTTTTCAATGCCCCCGACTACCCTCCTCAGCGTGGTGCCGCCTACGGACTTGCAGCCGTTGTCTGTGGGCGGGGTGTCTCAACCCTGCGCGAATTCCGTGTCATGAGTTTGCTCAAGGAAGCTACCGAAAACAGAGCCCAGAAGGAGCAACGACGTGGTGCTTTGTTGGCGTTCGAGCTTCTTGCCATGATTCTTGGACGCACCTTCGAGCCTTATGTGATTCAGATTGTGCCCCAACTTCTCGGTGGCTTCGGCGATACCAGCATTGGTGTCCGTGATGCCTGCCTGGACGCCTCGAGGGCATGCTTCCAAAACCTCAGCTCCTACGGTGTGAAGGAAATTCTCCCTACCCTTCTCGAGGGTCTGGATGACACACAATGGCGTAGTCAGAAGGGTGCCTGTGACTTGCTCGGAGCCATGGCCTACTTGGATCCTCAGCAGCTTGCAGCCAGTTTGCCCGATATCATCCCTCCTCTGACTATTGTGCTTAATGACACTCACAAGGAGGTTCGTAACGCAGCGAATCGCAGTCTTCAGCGATTCGGTGAGGTCATCAGCAACCCCGAAGTCAAGAGCTTGGTTGGTGTGCTTCTTAAGGCTCTCAGTGACCCTACTAAGCACACAGACGAGGCCCTGGACTCTTTGATCAAGGTCTCCTTTGTGCACTACCTGGATGCCCCCTCGCTGGCCCTTGTCACTCGTATCCTCGAGCGTGGTCTCAGTGACCGATCCAACACTAAGCGCAAGTCTGCCCAAATTATTGGCAGTTTGGCTCATCTCACAGAGCGCAAGGATCTCATTACTCACTTGCCCATCCTTGTGGCTGGTCTCAACCTGGCCATCGTTGATCCAGTTCCCACCACTCGTGCTACTGCCTCCAAGGCCCTTGGTTCGCTTATCGAGAAGCTTGGGGAGGATGCTCTGCCTGATCTTATTCCCAACCTCATGGCCACTCTCAAGTCTGATACTGGCGCTGGTGATCGTCTTGGATCTGCTCAAGCCCTCTCCGAGGTGCTCGCAGGACTGGGTACTACCAGACTTGAGGAGACTCTGCCTACCATTCTCCAGAACGTGTCCAGTGCCAAGGCTTCTGTTCGCGAGGGCTTCATGACACTCTTCATCTTCTTGCCTGCCTGCTTCGGAAACAGCTTCGCCAACTATCTCAGCAAGATCATTCCCCCTATTCTTGCTGGTCTGGCCGACGATGTTGACGCGATTCGTGAAACTGCCCTCCGTGCCGGTCGCTTGCTCGTCAAGAACTTTGCCCACAAGGCCATCGATCTGTTGCTGCCCGAGCTGGAGCGTGGATTGGCTGATGACAGCTACCGCATTCGTCTCAGTTCCGTCGAACTGGTTGGTGATCTTCTCTTCAGTCTTACTGGTATCTCTGGTAAGAGCGAAGACGAGGAAGAAGAGGAAGAGGCTACCCAGGCCGGTCAATCCTTGCTGGAGGTTCTCGGAGAAGAGCGCCGCAACAAAGTCCTTTCTGCGTTGTACATTTGTCGCTGCGATACCTCTGGACAAGTCAAGAGTGCCGCCCTTGGTGTCTGGAAGGCGCTTGTTGCCTCTCCCAAGACCCTCAAGGATATGGTTCCCACATTGTCCCAGCTCATCATTCGCCGCCTCGGATCCTCCAACATGGAGCAAAAGGTCATTGCCAGCAATGCTCTCGGAGACCTTATCAAGAAGGCTGGAGAGTCTGTGCTCAATACTTTGCTTCCCTTGCTTCAAGATGGTCTTCAAACTTCGCCCGATGTGGACGTCAAGCAGGGTATCTGTATCGCTCTTCGTGAGCTCATCACTGCAGCATCCCCTGATGCATTGGAGGACTTCGAGGAGATTCTCATCGCGACTGTTCGCGTGGCTCTGGTCGACAATGACGAGGACGTCCGTGAAGCCGCTGCTGAGGCCTTCGACTCCTTGCAACAGATCATGGGCAAGCGAGCTGTGGACCAGGTCCTGCCTTACCTTCTTCACTTGCTGAGGAACGACGAGGACGCCGAGCAAGCCTTGTCAGCCTTGCTGACGCTTCTTACGGAGCAGACTCGTGCCAACATCATCCTTCCCAACCTCATTCCCACCTTGCTTACAGCGCCTATCTCTGCCTTCAATGCCAGAGCTCTGGCATCATTGGCCGAGGTTGCTGGTTCCGCTATGACAAGAAGATTGCCTACCATCCTCAACTCCCTCATGGATGGCATCATCGAGGCCACCGACGAGGAGCACCGAGAAGAGCTCAACACTGCCTTCGACACAGTATTGGTGTCTGTGGACGAGTACGATGGCCTGAGCGCCGCCATGAGTGTGATGATCACTCTTGCCAAGCACGACGACCACCGCCGTCGCTCTGCTGCCGCTCTCCACCTGACCAAGTTCTTCGCAGAGGCCGAAATGGACTTCTCGCGATACTACCAGGACTTGATCCGCGCCCTCCTGATCTCGTTCGACGACTCGGACAAGGACGTCGTCAAGTCGGCATGGACCGCCCTCACTGGCCTTATGTCTCACATGCGCAAAGAAGAGATGGAGGCCCTGGCTATTCCCACCCGCCAGATCCTTCGTCAAGTTGGTGTCGCTGGCGCGGATCTGCCCGGCTTCAGCCTGCCCAAGGGTATCATGGCAATTCTGCCTATCTTCTTGCAGGGTCTTCTCAACGGTACTACCGACCAGCGTACTCAATCTGCTCTGGCAATGTCCGACATCATCGACCGTACTCGTGCCGAGTCATTGAAGCCTTTCGTTACTCAGATCACTGGTCCGCTTATTCGTGTCGTGTCAGAGCGTTCCGTGGACATCAAGTGTAAGTTGCTACATTCTATCGTATGGTGGTGGTTGTATGTACTAACTGGTTCTAGGCGCCATCTTCTACACTCTTAACAAGCTGTTGGAGAAGATTCCATTGGCTGTCAAGCCATTCTTGCCCCAGCTCCAGCGTACTTTCGCCCGTGGTCTGGCCGACACTACTAGCGAAACTCTGCGCAACCGTGCCGCCAAGGGTCTTGGTATCTTGATCACTCTGACACCAAGAGTCGACCCGCTTATTGCCGGTATGTCTCAACATGTTTTTCAGTTTGTGATGTGGCTTAGCTGACTTTTTCTCCTAGAACTTATCACCGGATCCAAGACTCCTGATCTTGGTGTCAAGAACGCCATGATGAAGGCTCTCCAGGAGGTTGTTGGCAAGGCTGGTGGCAACATGAGCGAAGCATCTCGACAAGCCATTCTTGCTCTCATCGACGACGATTCCAGCGACCAGACTGGTAAGAACATCAACACGGCCTTACCAAATTGGTGCCTGCTAACACATTGCTAGATTCGGTTGCTATTACCAACGCCCGTCTCCTTGCTGCGCTTGTGAAGGTCCTTCCCGCCGAAAGCTCAGTTCCCCTTATCAAGTATGCATACAACTATCCATCTCCGGTTGAAGTAAATTCTAATTTGTTTTTTTAGGAACCGCATCCTCAGCGGCGCGCTCTCTCACGCCTCAATCCTTGGCCTCAATGCTCTTCTGGCCGAATGCCCTGAGGTCCTGAATGAACACTTCGCGGCCGAGCTGCCCACTGTCATCTGCCAGGGTATCGCCAACCAGGATGTAAGTGATATTACCCGTTGCCGTACATGGCTCCAAACTGACCACGCAATAGCCCTTCATTTCCGATAACAGTGCTCTCGCTGCCGGCAAGTACCTCTTGTCCAACGATGGCGACCATGCCTTTGAGTCCAGCAAGGCCATCTTCGAGGCGTTCGTTCCCGCCATCCAAGTCGGCAGCCCGTCCGATACTCGTCGCTTGACTTTGGTGGCTATCCGAACTGTCAGTCGACTCCACCCCGAGTTGGCTCGTCCTCACTTGGCCCTTCTCGCGCCGTCTGTCTTCGCTGGTGTCCGTGACCTGGTGATCCCCGTCAAGCTGGCAGCCGAGGCGGCCTTCCTGTCCATCTTCTCGGTGGTCGAGTCCGACAGCGAGGTGTTTGACAAATACATGGCAGGACCGGGTGCATCTTTGCCCCCAGGCCCCAAGCGCAGCATGTCTGATTACTTCAAGCGTATTGCCATTCGATTGGCTACACAGGCACGTGAGCGTCGTGAGGCTGAAGGTGGTGAAGGTGGATTGGGACTGTCAAATGACGAAGTGGATGATGAGAAGGAATTGTGGAGCATCGGCAAGGTTGATCTTGGAGATGCCTTTGGCGAGGAGTGATTATTTGTGCATCCAAGGAGCATCTAGCTGTCCACTGTAGATACTATACCCTTGGGTTCTTTTACGTTAGTTATGTTAGTCGTACAAAAGTTATGCATATGTTGTACATTCCAAGGTTATGGAGAGATTCTTAAGCTTGCATCGTCAATGATGATCATAGTGAGAATACGGAGTGCTCCATACAGCTAGTATCTATTCTCTTCCAGGACTAGTCAGCCTGCCGGTGGAGTGTTGGAGCATCTACTGTCGATCCTTAGCCCAAATGGGAATATACCCGCACGTGACACTGCTTGTTCTGTATGATCACGTGCCGCGGTCATAAAGGGCTATGACGATTACGCTATTCCGAGGATAGATGTTTGAGCGGAGTGGAATCGAGTAAAAACAGTGAATTGATCTTCTTGAGCATATCAACTATCATAGCAGCTCAATTCACTGCCCAGCTTCCCCGGATTGCAAGATCATCAAATTTGATACTTCCCGTTTCGGACTAGTGTTAGGGTATGCACCCTTGGCCCTCTCCGCCTTCCCAATTCACCGAGCACACTTTCGCTTAGCCCACGGCTGACATAATCTGGCCCGCTGTGCCCTCTCAAACTCTCACCGTCGGGATTTCTCAGTGCCACGAACATCATCCGCCAACGACCGTCGATACGCCGACATCAAGATGTGAGTGCCATCTCCAGCTCCTGTTCCAAAGCAAATCAAAAAATGCACACCCGTGTGCTGCCTCGACATACACCCCCAACTCCTCGTGGACCGATAAATTTCAGTGGAGGAGACAACTTCGTGATCTGTGTGATGCTGACCGGGCCTCCCACCACAGGGTCAACCTTACCACCCAGAAGCGCCTCGCCGCCTCCGTGGTCGGCTGCGGCAAGCGCAAGATCTGGCTCGACCCCAATGAGATGAGCGAGATCTCCAACGCCAACTCTCGCCAGACCATCCGCAAGCTCGTCAGCGATGGCTTGATCATCCGCAAGCCCGTCACCATGCACTCCCGCGCCAGTGCTCGTGAGCTCAACCTTGCCCGCCGCGAGGGTCGTCACCGTGGTCTGGGTAAGCGTAAGGGTACCAAGGACGCCCGTATGCCCAGGTATGCAACACCCACTCCCCCTCAAACCCAATCCGCCTACTCCAGCCATCACCGAGATGCTATGGATTCCGGAACTATGCAAAGATCATTGTACTGATCAGGTCTTTTTTCACTATCTAGCCAAGTCCTCTGGATGCGCCGCATGCGTGTTCTCCGTCGTCTGCTCGTCCGCTACCGTGCCGCCGGCAAGATCGACAAGCACCTCTACCACGAGCTCTACCACCTCAGCAAGGGTAACACCTTCAAGCACAAGCGTGCCCTCGTTGAGCACATCCAGAAGGCCAAGGCTGAGCGTCAACGCGACCGTGTCCTGAAGGAGGAGATGGACGCTAAGCGTGCCAAGAACAAGGCTCTCCGTGAGCGTCGGTTGGAGCGCAAGGAGGCCAAGCGCGATGCTCTGATCAACGAGGAGTAAATCTGATACAAAAATTCAATTACCCTTCCGTTGTTTGATGCTCTTTTTTCTCGCGACGGTGCGGAGGTTGGAAACGGTTAACTTCTGGGTTGGATCCGGGATTCGAGGCTGCTCCCGATATCGAATCCAGGTCGGCCTTCGGCGTCTTCCTGTAGTCTAGATTCTGTTGTGACGACCCTCTCCCTTTCCCGTGTTTTCTGATTGCACGGGGCTTTCGTTCTTGGTTTCTTTTCGGAAAATATGGGGTATGGGAAATAGGAAGACGATGATGATGTGATACTCAAGCTATTCTTGTCTAAAACGTAACGAGAAAGCAAAAGGAAATCTTTTTTTACTTCACCAAAACATCAAAAAAGCAGCCTCTTCATCTACACTTGCGATCTGATATATTGCGGCCCTGGGTGTAGATCGACCTGCTCGTAGTTTTGATGCGATATGATCCATGCATGTAATATTGCACTTTGCGAGACAGCTCTCATGCTATTTCGAGCTCTGTCATGACTCGGTTTGTTCCGTTAGATCACCCGTGGACCTTTTAACATAGTCTGACTTCATGCCATGCTTCGTTTGATGAGCCACTTTATTCTGGTGTCGTGGGTCATACAATTTATGGGTCTTGTGGCACTGCCCAGCCCTGGAGGTGTCTGGGGTCTTGTAGTGATAGCTTCTAGAGCTTCCATGCATATCACATACCTCACTATTTCATTTATCACTCTCGATGTATCTTTTTCTTGGCCTATGCTGATTTCGCTGTGATGCCTACCTAGGTAGAAGCCAGATTCTGAGAGCTGTAGGACTAGTACTCCGAGCTAGGGTTTAGAGACCTCGGGATATATATTGTGTACCTTTCAAGGTTCCCTGGTGACCCCATTTCAATCCTATACCTACCCCAACTTTCCACTACGTTCCAAGACTGTTATTTTTATCTGGATCCATAGACACTGTGTACATACGAATGGGATAGACGTGTCTTTGACGAAATGTTGCTAATTATGGTTGACATAAAGGAGAACTGCCTTTGTATTGAGGATCATCCCCACCCCACAAAGATTTCGAAGTCAATTCCAACATTGGAAAGCCCATGTAAATAATTGTCTCAGCAGAGAGTTTTTTCGAAATTGGGGAAGAGAAAAAGAAAGAAGCGACAGTTTGTTGTGGGTTTGTGAAGTGCACACAGACTTTTGGAGGTATGTACTTTCAATCAACGTATCAAGGCTCAGAGTCGGCATCTCAAATGCCTAGGTATAGGAGGTTCCAGGTTCGCCACAATGATCATGTCTATTGCTGATCACAGGATTCGTCTGTTGGACTCAGACTCATTTGTTGGACGTTGGACTCTCAAATGTCCTGTCCGTAAGAAAACTGATCAGGAAGCTCATGACCTGACACATATCGCGCAAAGGTTTTCAGTGCCGATTTGTTCAGATACTCTCCGGACAAGGGCCAGAATCTTTGCGCCTCAGCCTTTGCGGTGACATCACTTAGCTCCAACCGGTTGGCTTTGAGATATGATAGCAAGAATCGAAAGTATAGATATCGGCACTGAGGCCGGCTCTCAGAGAGAAAACTCAAGACGCGATCGTTGAGGTCCTGTATAATCATTAGTCTGTGCTCTTTGATCATGGACCTGAAAGTAAAATGATAGAGAGAACCGACCTTCACTCTGATGGTTTGACCTGATTCTCTCTTGTACACAAAGTCCTCATTTTTCGACTCATCCAATACCACACATTTCCATGAGCCTGGAACGGGGCCCGTGGCACGAGTTGGAACAATGCCAATGACTCCTTCTTCAAGCAAATATTTAACAGGCTTGACCAATGATAATGCTGTAAAACGTTATGTTAGATTGCTCTCTCTTCTCTAGTGAAAAGGACTTCCTTACCATTGCGTGGATCAGACAACAACACATCGTATTGAACCCCAAAAATCTGAGACACTTCTGCCTGGTCCATTGTCTTAGGTACCAGATAAGCTACCGTGATTGAAGTCTCAGGTATAAAAAGTCCCAGGACGTGACAAAAAGATGAGCCCCTCTCATACTCAGTTGCCCAATTGTAGTATCGCACCACCCCCATCCTGGTTACTCTTTGGTTGTGGATGTGTTTGCGAACCCAGGCTGGTGCGCCCTTACCACGTGTGGCAGTTGCATCCGCGTCTGTTCTCACAGTCACATGTGTGCGTGTCTTCTCGACAAGCCCACTATCCAAGGGACCGGTGATGCTTTTACGCTTGACATCGTTCAAGTTTGCTTCGATTGATGACCGCTGTCGCTTCATCACATCGATAGTGTTTGAAGTTTTCCTGAGTCTGTTCAGAACAGGTCCCATCTCTGTCTGAAAGGCATCGTTGCTGAGTACTCCAGATGTTGTGATCTCCACAGGTCCATCTTGGATGCAACTGATATACTCCATCTCATCTTCGAGTGCAGCGATAGTGGCGTCGAGGAACTCGGATGTACGTGAGGGCGATGAGCCTTGCACAACATGATATAACTTCGAGGAGTGGCAGATTGATATCTCTTCATGACCACGCAACATGTGACGGCGGTTTTCTGGAAGGAGAGCGGAAAGTCTCTCCGGGACTGGTAAAGAGATCATATCCGACATCTTGGAAGATAGATAGTAATGAAGAGGGCGTTGAGTTGTTAGAGTGAAGATGAAGGGAAGAGGAAGAAGAGTGGATTCAAAGGAAGGAGGACTCTTAAGGTTGTCTTTCCATTACCATGGTTTCCTGGGCAAGTACGTCTATTCCTCTCTTCCTATTCCGAATGCTCCTATTCTATTGGTCTACTTCAAACTTCAGTTTGCACTAGATTGACCGCGGGAGCGAACTTTGGTTACCTACCGACACTCAGGCACCCGTGGACCGTCGATACAATGACGTGACGTTAGCTGATGGCAGCTTGATGAAGATCAAGTACTTGCTATGGAGATCTCAAGAAAGAGAGAGAAAGGGAAGAAAAGAAGGAGGCAGTGAGAGCGAGAGACCTACTCCCTTTGCCTCTCGTCCCAAATGATCCCTTCTTCCTAACCTGACACCCAATGATCAAAAGGCTCTCCCTGGTGTACCCCTTCTCTGATCCTGATATACACCTCAAACAGCGGTCAATTTTCGATTAACATTCCAGAAGACGCCTCCTGAGGTCTGATATCAGAAGGCACTCGGATAGAAGAACCCTGTTGTAGCCACATGGACGGGGGTTTCGGAGTTTCTATAGTTTTGATCCACACTCAGTTTGATTACTTTAATTCCCCGTTGATCGATCAGCTGAGCATTTCCATGTGTGAGTGTGAGTACTATGTGACCCTCTGTCACCGGTGTTTTCTTCACGTAAAATATCAAAAGATAGCAGAAAAGATGGTGGAAAAGACAGTAAAACCTTTCATGATTTCTATTCTCAATTATCTTTGAGTCTTTCTTGGTCTTTGGCCTGAATTTTCTATATTCTCTTTAAGTTTATATTTTGTTATAATAGCTCCGATACTATCGTTCAACGCACATAAGCAGTAAAGGCTGCTCCGAGGGGTATATTTTGCTACTTATTGAAGCATATCAAGCACACCGCATTTCCGCGGTGTATTCAAACTGACAGATGTCTCATTCAGTAAGGTATAGTCTAGACACATCTAGCGCATGATCATTAGCGAAACAGTGGGGGACCTGGAACATTCTGAAGCATTGTGGGTTTTACCGGTCTCTTGGGGTTCTGAAAATTGAGACATCGCCGGGATTCTAAGGTTACAGTATTTAAAAGACTAAACCGAAGTTATAATAGAAGTAGACTCCAGGACTTCGATGGAGCGAAAAGGAAACACGAGTTGGGCAACAACGTTTGATAACAAGCTTTGACTTTGTTCTTCTTCTTTGCCCGTTTGGGAAATTAAGATTATCATACTGGGGACTGAAGAGCGGTGAAGAAATAAGCAAACGAGGTGGCTTTCTCGAGCCTAAGAGATATTCTCGTAATAATAAGCTGATAGTAAGAATAATGAGCTAAGAATAATAAGAATAATGATGTGAATCCATGTTCAAGATCAGAAAAGTCACTCCTCCCATAAGCAGCCCGAACCCTCAACTCCAAACTCCTAATAGCAAGCACACCAGGGGAATCACAAGAGACAAAATGAACATAGTAGTCGTGACATCTTCAAGTCGTAAAAAAAAGGCGAAACATGACGTATGATACGAATCAAACACCTCAGGGCACTAGAATTTAATGCCCCACGGCGTTGGAACAGGAACGGGTGGCCGATGCGCACTCGGTGGGGGCTCCAGATCAAACGGGTTACTGCGCATACTATCGTGTTTCGAAAGTTCCCCACGTTCCAGATCCCAATACTCCTGTAATCCCAAACCACCATCCCACGAAGACGTAGAGTAGAAGGAAGCCACCCGAGATGCAGGAATGTCAGAGGGCGGGAAACCGGCTGCGAAGTTACTTGGCTGCTCACGGCGCCAGTACATGCTATCCAGTGACAGGTCGGGATTTGAGTGGGCGGCGAGGACGGGGCGTATTGGTGGTGGAATTGGGCCGGAGATGGTCGGAAGGGTTGGGGATGAGTGGCGGGTTGAGCTGATGGAGGGGCGCAAAAGATGTTGTTTGATACCGCGTTCTGGGGAGCGATTGCGTCGAAGGCGGAATAGGATGGCGAGGAGGAATATCAGGACGGCGGTACCGCCAATCACGCTCCCGACTATGATGCCGGTTTTGGTGGAGGGGGAGAGGGATGAGTGAGGTGACGCGTTTGAGGTTGCGTTCGTGACGACTCCTGTCAGTGGGGATGTTGTTGTTTGAGGCGCGTTTGACGTTGTGGTTGCCATGGTTGTCGTGGGTGAGCTGGTTTTGGGACTTGGGGAGATGGTTGCTTTGACTGTAGATGGAGAGTCTCGCGATGTACGTGAGCTGGCCAGTGACAATGTGGCAACGATACTGCTTGAGATGTCGGTGTACGAAGATTCAGTGGTTGAAGTTGGGTGATATTCCATTGGACTCGACAGCGGCGATGTAGTTGGGCTTGGTGCCGGCGAGATGTCCGTGGTGGTAGAAGTTGAACTAGTTGGCACTGCAGTGTTGGATGATGAAAGCTCAGTCGTCTCAGTCGACACAGTCGTCAAGTTTTGCGATTGCGACGGAATAGTACTGGTACTCGACGTGACGTTTGCGCCGGTCAATGTAAACACCCACGTTGGACGTACGGTCTCCGTTTGGACTGCCGTGACGGTCACCATCGTATACGGGTCATACTGCGTCCGGAAGCCTGGGCTTGCAGAGACTGAAAAGACACTCGACATGCCGCCCAGGTCCCAGCGTTTATCAGGACGCGATTTGGCCCAGATCTGATTGGAACATGGAGACGGTGCAGAAGTCTCTCTTTGTAGACTGTAGGCTGTAGACCGCAGACCGACAAAGCAAAGCTCTCAAGGCTAATTCTCGAACTCTCCCAGGATTAAATTTCACCTCCAGTTCATATAGTTTCCCGATTGACCTTGACCTTCTCTCAAAGTGTATCACGTCAGATACGAGGCCGGAGGGTTTTATAGAAGAGAAGAGAGGGAACAAAATTCAGACACCCTCAGACCTAAGACAAGAATTAGAAACCCCATCATTCCTAGAACTCTCCCTCTCTCTTTCTTTTTCTCCAAGACAATTTTTCAAAATTTTGACTTCAGGGGTCGTCTCTCATTTGTCTAGACCCCGGCGCTTCTTCTGGTGCCTGAGTGGCAGTCCACACCATCAACCCCTCTCTTGTGACAGATGAGCGCTTAGTTCGCCCTCCCACGCCAATAACGGTCATCTTCAATGTAGCCTTGAACAATGTGATACCAAGGGTTTTTCTGCACAATCTCGTCATTGGCTTTTCCTGACGAAACAGGGCGGTTTCGGGTTTAGCGAGAGTCTCAAAGTTGGTATTTGGACTGGTCCAACCCTCTAGGGTTTCACGTTTAGCCTATTTGGGTGGAACATGCTCAGTAGTACTGCAGATATGTCGAGTAGCGTGGACTGAAGAAGACTGAAGATGCTGAGGGATGTTCGTCATGAGAACCTAACACTGCCTTCTTTGGGCGGGTCATGTGACCGGTGAATAACCTCACGTAGGCAATCACTTAGTATAGCACAATAGTGCTTGATATAGGGTATTATGATATTGAATATAGGTTAGTACTATATCATTATCTTATAATAGTACAACAGTATATCAATAGGCCAATATACTACTATGATTGTGGGAGATGAATCTCGGGATCTCGACAGTATATACGGAGTAGTGTCGACCCTGAATGTGACTAAACTCGATGACCCCTTGAAGACTCAGGAGACCTGCAAGATCAACGAACCCTCAATAGGCAGAATAGGTCGAACAGATACATCATCCCCCATAGTCAACCCCTATGGTTCGCAAGTACCTATACAAAGTAGGAAATGGGTATAATGTTGACAGTCACGCACATGTCCCGGATTCCCCACCTGCAAAAGTCCCCATGTCTCTTTCATCTACGAACTTCTTGCAACCATCCTCCATTTTCCCCTTGTTCTCTTTGCATTTCTCCCAATTCTTAATTTGATCTTCACCCTCACTTTCCCTGACTTCGTCTCGGTCCTCTCGGTCCTTCGTTTCCGTTCCCCGCATGGGAGGGTAGTTTGCGATCGTGCTGCATTAGATCGCCATGTTTGGCTGGGGTGCTGGGCTGGGTAAGCATATCTCATCTAATCTGTTCAACCTCTCTGTTTCAACACTACCCCTCGATCCTCTCCCCCCCCACCCCCACACTGTGCTGGCCCCTTGGCAGTCGGGATCAGGAACCTACGCCACCGACTCAAGGTCGCGTGGAATGTGGCGCATGACAGCGTAATCCCAGACTGCCACGCGAGCTCCAATTCATGGAGGATACAACATCTCTTTGATCGAGCACCGACTAACACCCTGCTTGCAGCCTTTCCCTCCGCCACTTCGGAGCCGGAGAAGGAACGAAAACCCCCGCGGACCCGACACCACTCGATTTCCCGGTGTATAACCTCCCCAATGTCGCCTCCAATGAATCCGACTCGAGGCTTACGGAGATGTCCGATCTCCTCGCCGATATCAAGCGCCCGCAGGACATCACCATGGAACGCTTCAGACCCTTGAATCTACAGATGGACACAGACGTGCCAGTCAGCCGCATGATCCCCGAAGACACCTCACACCCTACGGCCCCGCTGCCATGGGAAGATACCTCAGAGCCAACGGAAGACAACCCCAGACCTCTGATGGGGAATGGGGCGCCGTATCCCCACAAGGAACGGTACGAGACTCTGCGGGGTGAGATGGAACTCGACAACGACGATACTTTCCGCGAGGTGGCTCGGCTGCAGCCGCGCCCCGGTCGTAGTCGAGTCCGCGTTACGCAGTCGAGGAAGTTCTGGACGGGATTGGAGCGCATGGCTCAATACTGGGATACCAGCTTAGACCATTACTACGAGCGCCCGGCAAGCCCCGAGGCCACACCACCGTCCGAGGAGGAACAGGCAAACGATACCATGTCGGTGGACGAGGAGCTTAAGATTCCAGACGGCCCTGGCGATGCAATGGATGTGGACGAGGCACGCACACTTACACCGGTCGACGATGCGGAAGAGGCGCGGCCTGCGCCTGCGGTGACCATGTACACCGGTCGACGAATCGGCAATGGCAGCGAGATGCCCGATGATACTCGGGACGAAACTGTTCGTGCCTTCGTCGAGATGGCTGCATGGCCCTTCGGATGTCAAGTGACCGTGCCAACGCTGGCGCCCCGATTGACTACCAAAAACCTCTTGTTCCCAGTCCGGCAGACGTTCCAGTCGTCACGGTCGCCGCGTGACCGCCAGCTGGCTCGCAGCGGTATGCTCGAGGGGCCCGTTCTGATCTCGCAGTGTCGACCCGAGACCTCTTTCCGAAATGCCAACGACGCACCAGGCACCGGCCTGGGCGAAGTGTGTGATCTCTTCCGCGAGGTGGGCGGTATGCTTCTTGCGGCGCAAGAACGAGCCCGCGAAGGTGCCATTGAGCGCCAGCCTGGTGAGGGCAAATGGTGGACCACGGCTCCTCGCTTTGGAGGTGCACCCAACGATGGCATCCTGGAAGATCTCATCAACAACGGACACGGGATGTCCCTGCCTGACTCGATGATGGAAGAAGCCCGCCCAGCCCCGGAGGCGAAGCGTCGCCAATTTGAGCACCCATTCGTCACTTCGCTGTCCCGGCGGCCCAGCGCCATGCGCAGACTCACCAGCAGTGAGAAATGGAAGATCCTGCAGCCCGGTCCAAGTCTGTGGGACAAACGCATGAGCTATATGCAGATAGGCAAGGTTCAAGAGTGTCCCTTTGACGATGTATGTTTCCCTCCCCTCATTTTTTTTTTTCCAAATCAAACCCTAACTGGTTATGCAGATTTACATGATCTCCTCGATCAACCACCACGTCGCAATCCTCCATCTTCGCGTCCACCGACGATACCTCGATATCCTGACCGACGGCCACAGCAGCTATCCCGCGGACTCTGGCTCGGACGAACAGCCATGGCACGTTCTGAAGCTGCAGCGGACCCGGTGGCTGGATCTGTTCGATGCGAACGATCGTATAGAAGCGCTGAGAGGTATCTGGCAGCTGTTCCACCACCAGCTTCGACTGACGCGTCGTGAAGGCGATGTCCCCGTTGCGATAGAACTTCCTATAGAGCATCTTCCTATAGAGATTTGATTGCTGGCGATGCATCCTGTACATACAGTGGTTTTTGTTCTTTTCATACCCATCTCAATGGCACTTACATTATTCTGGTTTCGTCTGTACATACTGGAGAGGTGGGGATTCCTTGATTACTTTCGGCATTTCGGTTTGGCGTCAATTTATTCTTGGTTTCTTACTCCATACATATCGCCTGTCTGTAGAAGCGCACTCACCGTATCCGCCTCACTCTGGCCACTGTACGGAGTACTCCCTCTTCCGTACTCCGTACTGCTTCCAATGTTCCAAAGTTATCCGCACTGCTTACTCCGTAACTATCTAACCCAATCCAACCACTTCTTCTCCATCCCCAGCCTCCCACCTCCATCCCATCCCGCACCCAAGCCCAAGCCCAAGCCCCCAGTACGAGTCCATCCGAACAAGCGTACTTCTGCCAACCTTCACACACGAATCCAAAGCCTCAAATTTCCACCCACGCACACATGACATCAAAATACCAAAAAGAGCGAAAGTGAAACCGGCATCGCCCGCTCCAGAACCCTCAAAATGTGACATATCGACGTGATAATCCTTCTAGCCTCGGTGGGTGTGGAGTCACCCACGCTTAGGCCTCTTTTATTTTCCGGACAGCACACATACACATACTCTGTTCCCTCAGTCTCTCTCTCTCTCTTCTGATTTCTGATATCTACTAATGATGGAGAAGCAGATCGGAATTGGAACATGTAAGAACAATGCTATTGACAACACCTGTATGAACCTTAAGCGAGATTGGATCGTCTGTCTGAGCGTGAAGTCTAATGCATTCCCGATCTGTGGGGATCCGACCTTCCCCCCGAACCTTCCAGCTTATGGGGTTTGCCAGTTTGTCTTGTGAGCTTGTATTGGCGTTACCGGTATTGCTCTGGTATGATGAATTTATTTTGTACAGAGTATGCAGGATGTGTGTGTTGTTTTCAGGTTTTATTAGGACGTGAGGTTGCCTCGCACATACTCCGTACTGTGTGTCGTCCCTGAACAAGAACCTGAGCAATACGGAGTTGTCTCGGCGCCTACTTCTTTCTTTCCTAGGCCACTTGAAGCTTAAAATTCCGAGTATGCCACCGAGGTCTAACCAGGAGTTTCCCAAGTAAAGTACAAGAGTCCGGCAGGCAGCGTGATAGCGTTTTCCAAATCCCACCAGCTGAGTGCCATGCACTTGACCATAACCTAGCATTGATAGCCTCAACTCTGACCCCCCCCCCAGTTTAAACCTCCACCCGCACTTTGCGCGACTAAATCCTGAAATCACACTGTAAAGAGACATCTGATCAACATCAAACATCGATTAGGAACCTAGCGTGGGAAAAAGGACGCCAGGTCTACGTACTTCATCCCCGAAAGGAGCCCCGGAATTACCCAATGGGGACCAACAAAAGTACGGTGTTTACCCGCGAGGTTGGATGGCCATGTGGAGGCTTTCGGAATCCTTAGGGACTAGCTAAGGTTTATGGAGGGTACTTTTGAGAGGGGGTCAAGCTACAAGTCAGAAGTTTGGAGATTTTGAAAGGTGGTGTGGAGTTGGTGATATCAGACTGAGATCGAGTTGAGATTGAATCGGTATCGACAATCTTGGAAGTAATTATTCCGTAAGGAGTAGCACAGTTTGATCTGAGATAATCTGTGTGGAATACGGTGTATATGGAGTAAAATTCAAGCTATCACCCCCCCCCCAGTCTACTGCCTAAGTAAGTAGGAAAGCAATCTGGAAAGAAGATAGGAACATGACTTGCGTGAATGGCGTGCAGAAGTGGACTGTGACTCCAGAATGTCGGATCAACTACCGGGCATAGTGTACGGAGAGCGAAGCAGGTCGCAGTCGGGATTGAAATCGGCAAGGCGCGAAGCTCGGCAGACTTGGTTTGTTCCTGTCTTTGTGTCCCAGGGGGGATCAGATTGCTTTTTGCATCTGGTCCAGTTAGCTATTCAATGGGACTGTGCTTTCCTGCCGAGGAGATTTGTACGTGCAGTAGCACAGTAGAGGTGGAGGGGGTGTGTAGATTGGATGTTGTGTTAAAAATCAGCTATGCAAGAACCCTGATTGATCTCCATTTGGCTTTTTCCCTTGCAGTGAACAGACCAGTGGTTCATTTCAGCGTTTGTCAAGGGATGCAGTGTAAGGAGTGGTTTCTGGATTAAACTTGCGGAGGGCTACAGTTGCAAACTTTTGCATGTGGGGCTTGGTCGGCTTTCGTTTCTCTCACACCGGAAGGCTCTGTCTGTATGTACTCCGTACTCCCGTACTGAGACTAGACCAACATAGTGCTGGATAATGATTCACAATGCACACCGTAGAGTCTGGAATCAACCACGTATATTTGAAAACTGAGACTCGACACCACATGCAGCGCCACGTGGAATCACTGAACGCCGCGATGCATCAGTTTCACACTTCACAGTGGCAACAGCCTACACTCGCTATAGATCACATTTCCATCTTGAAAACCGATTCATGTTGTGCATGCGGGGTAGGCGGAGAAACATCCACGTCCCCAAGGCGTACGGAGTACGCAGTACGAGAAATCGTTTGCAGACGGAGAATGTCGTGGCCCGCTGTCAGACTGTGGAGATGAGCAAGTGTTGGCTGAGAAGAGCTGAGAGGCTCATGAAGCGCAACATGCATAGACCCAGTCAAGAGTCAAGGATGGTGAAGAATGAGGCGGTCACATTTCAGCCGAGCCGGTATAACCGATCGGTGGTGGACGCACAAATCACGCGCTTGCATCGCCGATGAGCCTCGCGATTGATTTGGTAAAAGTTTGTGCTCTGTGCTCTGTATTGTTGTTCTGGTATCTGGTATGGTTTGGTAAATTGTTGTGATTCTGGGCATTCTGCTCGTAGGCCATTCCCCAGGTCTTCTTACACTGGATCGAGGTGGAGTTGGATGGTGGCGGATTGTGTAGCAGTGTTGAGGTATGTACGGAAGCCCTCGTTGTATTCAGGTGACTGCGACAGGGCTCATGTGATCTAACACTCAGTGAGATATCTCAACTTGGTGTGGTTGCAATGCCATTTGATCGACCGGTTGGCGCGTGTTAATGGCTGTAAATGGACAGCGTATCAGATGCCTCGGTTTGGCTCGTTGGTATGTATTAAGACCTCCACGTACGGAGTGCTCCATACGGAGTTCAAGTGTAAGCCTCATTCCAGTCTTCCAAGGTTGAGTACTGAGATACAATGCCGGCCCTATGATTTGAGAACTTCATTCTCACAGTATGATCTTTATGATATGGTGTATAATGCAAGATACGTGTCCAAGGGTTCCCTTTCATCCTCTTTAGTCTCTCCTCTCCCACTGGAGGTGTAAGCTGCATCGTTGCTATACTGCATAAAACTGAGGACTCGACCTATTCACCAACAGGACCAATGCAGCTTCCCGTGTTGCCTTGTGTGGAGTCTCCCGTCAAGGGACAAGATCGCCTGCAGCTTGTGCATAGGGAGACATTCCAATAGTCTCGTCAGAGTCATGCTCCCCCTCATCCATTGGATGTGAGCCAGCTTGCGTGGATTTCGGATTCTGGGGTTTTCTCGGATGCGACGAGTTACTAATATTGAATAACAGGTCAAGCGTATGGACGATTTGCAATTTCCAACCTGCATCAAGGGATTGATATATTGCGTTGAATTGTAGTCCATACGCTGGTTTTGGGCAACCGTGCGCAGGGAACCAAACACAACCACCCCTCGTTGCGGTGAGAAGTGAGGCTCTGGCATCTGAAAATCCGATGACATAGGCGTTTTATCGACAGGAGGCTGGTGTTTTGTTTTTGTTTTGAGTTTCCAAATTGTGGATGATGACAGATCTGGACCCCTTGCTTGGTCCATTGAATATCTAACAGAAACTCTATTCCAGATATCTACATACTGCACGCTGCATGGCGTGCAGTTGGTCAGCAGTTCAGCTTCGCAGGATACAGAGTACAGGTCTTGACGCTCATATTCTGGTTTTTGTCATGTTGTTTTCTTTTTTGTCAAACCCCCTCCAAGGTTCTCTTTCCTCCATAGTCAAGACTATCATTACGTGTATACCCACTTGGACTGGGAATTTGGGACACGCGTGGCCGCATGATGAGTGAAGATCTAAACGCGCCTGAGCCCAGGAGACCGGATGGTGGGGAGAGGCGGATTTGACGCAAAATTAAAGGGAGCTTGGACGACTTTGAAAGAAATGTAACCCAATCGTTCAAGGCCCCTTCGTTCAATGGCAAGTCGATTCAGCTGTCAACATGTCTGAGATTTTGTGCTTGGCCAATGAGAGCGCTACCTCACATAGGGAGAATGGAATTGAACTTGATTCTGATTTCTAACGCATGTACATACATTGAACCCCGTATCCCGTCCTTGGACTCCAGATTCCAACCTGACAAATTATGCTGGAAGCACTCCATTGTTACTCCGTATGTATGTATGTATGTATGAAATCTCTTATGATCAACAAGCAGAATTTTCTCTAGTTCTTCTTTAAACAACTCGGTGGAGAGAATCATCCAGCGCGGTACAGAAAAATGGATATACTCCACTGGATAACTCCACTCGAATCCTTCTGTCCGGATATTTCGCACAGCGGGTGAACTGCACGGGTAGGCAACGGTCCAAATAAGCAAATAATAGGAATGTCGGGGGTGACTTTGTGGCACGGCGTTTGAATCGTTTGACTCGGAGGTTCTGTACGGAGTAGGACAGGAAAAGTTGAGCTGCATCCTGATCAAGCCAGGGGTAAATTGTGCTACTACCTAGTAAGGCTATGATCTTTGGAATCTGTATCTTCCATACGGAGTGCTCCGTACAGAGTATTGTATGCAATACCGTACGGAGTTCTCAGTGGTAAGGACGAAGGACGGAGTACGGAGCACTTGGAGACTCAAGCCGTGGATCGTTCCCGTCATCAATTCCACGGTTGGCGAACGGGTAATTCCGTTCCAACCCTGGAAGGTTCCAAGGTTACGGAGTATACAAGTAGATTACCGGAATACCATACTTCTCTGTACATTCCATTTGTTCCAATGCTCATTGTACGTGATACCTAGTATAACCTTGGAATTGGAAAAGTCTCTCCCAAAGTATAACTGAAATAAGGACATACGGGGAAAAAAGGGAAACCCAAATTCCTGGGATGCTGATCAGCCCCGACAACCAACACACTGGGAGGGGTAAAGTATCCCTTCAAATGATGCGTTCGCTGGTGGAAATGGAAAACTCTGTTTTTTTTGGGGCGATTTCAGTCCAAGTATCAGATTGCTCTGGGGGGGGTTTGTGCTCGCCGCCCCTTGCAAGTTATGCCCGAGGTAATCGGTGAGCCTCGACGATTATTGGGTTCTGAAGGGGAGTGACGGATATATCCACTGGGAGTCTATTATACTTTGGCCGCTTGGAGGTTGGAAGATTGGCGGTCGCGGTGGAGACTTTGATTGGATGATCTAGATATGGAGATGGTTTGTTAGTTCCTTTTAGGTGCGGTGTACTCCGTCCTGCCACCCGAGTCCTGGGTGCTGGGTGATCTACCTACGCGAAACCTCGATCAGTAGGGCTTGACTCTAAAGTTTTCTGATCTAACGAGCATGCAACCTCTGAGCTGGTTAGTGCTCACCTTGTACGGAGTATACGGAGTACTGGTACAGTATGGTAAGTAATGTTGACCCTCTGTACTCCGTCTGATTCCCGGTGAAGTGGTTGACCTCCGGCAAGCGTGATCCCCGTTCCACGCGGACCCTAGCTTCGATCATAGCTTGCGTTATATCAAAACACTCCCAGTGAGAACCTGCGAGATGTGAGCTATTGGGCTCTCCCCAGTCTCTTCTAGCCTTGGGAGATTCAGGCACATTTCAATGTTACCCAGCTCGATATCAAGACTGTAGACATTTTCCCCCAGCCGCCAGACCCACCTTAATTATTCGGCTAAAAACCAAAAATCAGTAAATACAGGAATTAAAAATAATAAAAAAATAAAAGGCAAAGCAGACCTGTCAAATGAGGACTCTCAGGGGTTTCCTGATCGGATCAAGATTGTAGAATATAATGTATACAATATTAAAATGTCCATCATAAAGGGAGGGGCAAAGACGGACGATCCCCAGGACATTTAATTACCCTCGTCCCCCTCTCTGAACCTCTCCCTTGGATCGATTTTACCACCTTCTAGTCTTTTTCTGCTAGTCTTCTAGTCCCCACGACTCCAGACTTGACGAAATTCCCGTGATTCCGATTTCCACGCTTCCCACGGATTTCCACGGAGAAACTGTTGCCCAGCAAACCCACGATTATACGACGTATACGGGGTATATTACGATACCATATACGATACCAGGTACTGACACTTCCCCTCCTTGTGCCCAACCTTGTACTTCTGCCTTTTTTGATCTGTCTGATGCGGTGGATACTCGCTTTCTTGTTTTTCATTTCATTTCTCTTTGATATATTCGGCCCAACGGGGACCCCTGGTTGGATCATCGCTGTGATCTGACTATTTCTTTGTCTAGCTCCACATCGTGAGCTACCACGCATTTTTGCGACCTACCATTTTCGGAGCTTTAATCGCACTATTGGTTTTCAACGCTCAACTGTCGCTACTGCGCGACATAACGTCACCTCGTCACCTTCCGCCCCGTCCCTGCTACAACTCTCCGCGACTGAATATGCCGGCTGCATTCTGAGTTACCCTTCCAAACGGTAACACGGGACCAAACGCGCCTTCGCCCTCCGAACTCCCCCACTGTCCGGACTCCTCGGTTCACCATGAATCTGAACCGCATGCCACCTCCCGAAAGCCCGCTGGCACCGCCAGGTCCCCATGCTGCATATGAACCCGCATGGCGACCTCCGGGTGCCTACCCGCCTCCCTTCGACAGTCACCCGGATTCCCGCCGTTCCTCCGCAAACTCCCAGACTCCCCTCCCACCACATTCCTATCCCGTTCTACCGGACCGACAGCTGCCTCAGCTGACCCAGGATAGCACCTATGGCCGTACGCCAAATGGCTTGCCGCCAACGGCCATGTCTCCCCCCGTACATTCCCCGCAGGACCCCAATCCCCCTCACCCCAACTTTCGTCCCCCAATGAATGGCGCGCACGACGGTTCCCCCGAGTACCGCGCTCGTATGGGCTACCCACCGCCAGACCAGATCAACGGCGACCACACGCCTTCGTCCGGTCCACTGCCTCCGGCTTCACAGTTTATGACGCCAGTTCCACAAATGGCGACCTCTACACCGCCAGGGTATGATCCTGCTTTCTACCAGAACCCGGCGTATGGGCGCCAACGCAAGGCTGCGCGAGCTACGCAGGTGAGTTGTGTTATTAGTCGGTGAGTTTTCGATGTAGGGCTGACAGTAGGGTGCTGTAGGCTTGTGATCAATGTCGAACCAGGAAGGCCAAGTGTGATGAGGGAAGACCGAACTGCAGTCATTGCAAAGAGAACAGTCTGACGTGTGTCTATAAAGAGGTGCCACCACACAAGCAAGAAAAAACAACACAGGTGTTGTTGGATCGAATTGCACAGTTGGAAGAACGCTTGGATGCTCGCATGGGAGAGATGAGCGAAGCACAGAAAGATCAGGAACGGTTGCTTAGATCTTTCTCACTGGAACACAAGTCAACAACGCCGGGGCCTGTTAAGGCTAGTCTGGAATATCCTATGCCGACAGAATATCCTGTGCCGACACCACCTGTGCCAGTTGATCAGAAACCGGTACTTAAACAGGAGGCGCCTTTGATTCCGGCAACTCCTCCTGTTCCCGAGCTAGCGAGGCAGGACACGGGTCCGCCGGGCTTTCCCGATTTGGCAGCGGCAGCGGCCGAAGAACCAGATGGCGAATTGTCTATCCCTGTGGAGCATACAACAGCAGCTCACAAGTTGTTGATGTGGCCTTCAATCAAGAAGTTGCTAAACCCGAAGGAATACGATGAGGATTACGTGATGAGATTGGAGGAAGAGCGTGGTTTGATCAGCATTTACGGCCAAGGAGAGATTTCTTACACCGCCGATGACAGTCAGTTACCTACAGACGGCGGGTTCGACGGGGCCCGACCTGATGGAGATGGCGCGGGGCTTGACGCGGATGTCGATATCGACAAGTTCGGTAACTTGAAGTTAGATGTCGGAACCGCGCAACGCTACTATGAGTGTTATCTTGGCAATATGTACAAGCTCCACCCATTCCTCGAGCAGGGTGAACTCGACCAGAAAGTGGACAGATTCATTCGGTGCTATTGTCGCATCAACACATCCCCAAGCTCCACATCAAACGTCCGTTCAAGTCGTGATGGGCCGCCACCAGCCAAGAGGAGGCGCTCAAACGATCACATGGGCATTCGAGGCGAGTTCATGGAGACTCCCATCAGTCCGATGCGACCGCGTGTTGGAAAAAACATTGATAATGCTATTGTGCTGTTGGTCCTTGCCCTTGGTGCAATTTGCGAAGTCCCTGCTCCTCTTCCTGGGCCGATCATGGATCAGAAGATTGATTACCGCACCCAACACATCCCCGGTCCACTCACGCCCATAACTCCTGCTCCACCGAATCAGAACGGACCGTATGCCCCCAATGGGGTGCTATCACCTGCCAACTCTGAACCTGCCACCTCCCTTGTCATCTCACAACCTCTCTACGCCGTTCCAATGCAGCCTGCTAGCCAGTCCTTCCCCTCGACATTGTCGACATTAGGCGAAAACCGAAAGAACCTTTCAAGACGATCTGTTTCTGCGGTTCGCGACGATCAGGGTAACACCAAGAAAAACTATCAGGTCATTGCCGGACTCACCATGTACGGGTATGCCACTTCAATTCTGGGCTACCTGCAAGGCGGCAATGAACTGGAACACGTGCAAGGAGGCTTGCTTGCTGGACTTTACGCCGGTCAATTGGCTCATCCGTTCCAAAGTCACAGTTGGATCTCCCAGGCTTCGAGGGCCTGTCAAGTTCTGGTGCGATCAAAACGGTATGAAAGACTCGCCGATGGTCCTGTGCTGGATCTCTACAACTTCGCCTACTGGACGTGCCTACAGCTGGAGAGTGATTTGCTTGCCGAGCTCGACATTCCCGCAAGTGGAATCTCGCGCTCTGAAAGCCGAATGGCCACTCCCAAAGGAAAATTCACAATCAGCCTGCCAGATGACCTCAGCTCGCCTCCAACCATGATGATGTTGTTCTATTCGGCTCAGATCCATCTGCGCAAGGTCCTCAACCGTGTTCACACGGATCTATACAAGGTTGAAAAGCAGGGTCAGCAGCGGTGGTCATCAACTGTCCAAGAGGTCCTGAGCATGAACCTGGATCTATGGCGACAAAGCCTTCCCGACAGCATGAAGTGGGCTGATGGTGGTCCCCCATCCGATGAGATCAACGCCGCTCGCATGCGCGCAAAGTACTACGGTGCCCGCTACATCATTCACCGTCCTCTCCTTTACCATGCTCTGCACTATGGTCACGCAGGTGCCCGCATCGGTCCCGTTGGCCAGGCGGCAGACTCACCGAACGCCTCACAATCTTCACCCTCTGTGTCCCATAAAACCACCAGCCGATCCTCACGCATGTCACGCATGCCCAGCGACATGGGGTCCACACTACCTGCCGCTCTTGCTAAGGACTGGACTCCTCCCAATGTCAGTCTGCGCGATCTACCCAAAAAGCTACGACACGCCTGCAAGATTTGCGTTGACTCTGCAATCTCCAGCACTGAGGCCTTCGACGGTGTTATTGGTCACAGACTGGTAGTGACTAATATTTTCGGCACAGCCCATGCGTAAGAACTCCCAACTCCTTGGTTCTCAACGTATCACTAACCATTCATAGACAATTTGGTAACATGCTTGTCCTGTCAGCAACTTATATGTCAGGCCTCAGAGAGCTCGTTCCAGAGCCGGTTCTGGAACGTCTCCTCAGACGTACAATTTCCTTCCTCGCTCAAAGCGAACAAATCTCCCCCTACCCTCCGCGCCGACGCCCGCATTCTCACTGAGATCTATGAAAAGATCTTCGGTTATCCCCCGGACATGGTCTCCTACAACAACAGCATGAAATCTCATTAAGCGTTAGCGTTTTTTTTCTTTTTCTTTTTCTTTTTCTTTTCTCTTTTTTTGCCAACTATTCATTCCACATCGTGCATTCTCAGCACTCGTACTTTTACCTTCTATACCTTCTGTCTTGGTTTCCTTTTGATGATTCCCCACCCTATCCGATTCAACACATTCGGTGTTCTTTCGGTGTGGCTTTTGTTCTGTTTACTCTGAACTGGATTCTTCTTTGATTCTTTCGTTTTGCATCTCCTCATGAGAAGCCGGGTGTGGAGTTCCATTGCGTTTTATATCTATATTGTCTGCATGTCATCTACGTCAGCCTAACGGTATTGTTTTAGCCCCATTTGTTGGCGCTCGTGAACGGATTCGAATATCTATACTGTCAAGTTTGTGTCTTGTATGATGTGTTGCTTTTGTAGATTCTTGGCTCTAGGCTTGGATAGACGCTCGGTCGAGTTGTTTGGATGGTCTGGGATTTGTACCTAACCGTGGAAGTTATGGCCGCTGTTGATGGATGTTGTCACAGACCGAGATGCCACTGACTATCATGACCAATTCACTCCTTTCGGGGGTGGGGTTCTCTCTTGCTTTTGGAAGATCAACAGCATTAGACGAACGTTTGATGGTTCCTTTGTATTCCTTGGCCGAATCTCCGCCCTTATTTTTTCGGTTATGTACATGTAGAGCTGGTGCGGAGTAGGTCAAGTCTAAGGAGCAAGCTTATTGCCTGGCATTGTTTCCCTCGAGCTACATGGCCGCGTTTTGAATGCTGCTCACGTCATGGGATTGCCAGATAGTCTCGAGAGACTTGGTGTACATGGTGTAAACTGATGCTTCAATATAGCCAAGTCGCTGTATGATTGCACGAGCGAGCGGACCTCGGCCTTTCCCCGCATGTAGATCAGCTGTTACATCAGCTTATGAACTATAAGTATACATCAAGAGCTACTCCTCAAACATTGCCTCCACGTCTAGTTCCAATTTTCCAGTAGATCTCCAGGTGACGGGCAAACATGGCGCCCTCGAGAACCTGGCCCTCCCGAGAAGGTACACATTGCCAACAAGCACAGAGTAGAAGCTATGGACCTAACATTGCACAGGCTTCACAGCAGACGTGCTAGCCAGATTGATATCTCGCACCCTCCTAGACCCATGGAAAATCCTCCCACTCTTCGCCCTATCCCAATACACAGCCAAAGGCCAAGATCTAGCCACCTCACATCCAAAGCTCCTCAAAGCCCTCCGCCAACTCGCAGCCCTCGCTCTCCTCACCCGCCTCAGCAGCTGGCTAACCCGCCGCACTCTCAACAACAACCTCAGCGACCCCTACGACTGGAACCACGAAATCGTCGTCCTAACCGGCGGCAGCAATGGAATCGGCCAGCAAATCGCAACCCTCCTCAGCACCCACGGCATCAAAGTCGCCATCCTCGACATCTCCCCACCAGAAACACCCTCAACCCCAACCACTACCACAACCCGCTTCTACAAATGCGACATAACCTCACCCACCGAAATCGCCCACGCAGCATCTCAAATCCGCTCCTCCCTCGGCACCCCAACAATTCTAATCAACAACGCCGGCATCTGCACCGGCCACACAATCCTCTCCTCCACCGCCGACCAAACCCGCCGCATCTTCGACGTAAACGCTCTATCCCACTACGCCCTCGCTCGGGAATTCCTTCCTGATATGGTCTCCGCTAACCACGGCATGGTCGTCACTGTCGCTTCGCAGGCTGGGTACACGGTTACGCCGAGTATGGTGGATTACTCCGCTTCGAAGGCGGCGGCGATTGCGTTCCATGAGGGGTTGGCGGCGGAGTTGGTGACGAGGTATGCGGCGCCGAGGGTGCGGACGGTTCTTGTTACGCAGGGTTTTACGAGGACGGGGTTTATTAGGGGGCTTACGCCGGAGGATACTTGGGTTAATCCGTTGTTGGAGGCGGAGAGTGTGGCGGAGGGGATTGTGGGACAGGTGTTGAAGGGGGAGAGTGGTGTTGTTGTTTTGCCGGGGGTTGCGGGGTGGGTTGCGGTTAGGTTGAGGGGGTGGCCGGGGTGGTTTGGGCATTTGTTGAGGTGTCGGTTGGAGAGGTTGATGAGGAGTTAGTAGGGTTATTTGGTTGTTTGGTTTGTGTTTATAGGGGATATCTGGACTGAATTGGGTACTTGGGTGGGCTTTTGGATAGTAGTTGCTTTGATATGATGTCCAGATAGGACCTAGGCTTTCTATCTCCGTGGATGTATGCTGTCTACCTAGGTATACGTCAGGGTCTTGACGGGTCTACGGGCATTGAATTGCCATCTGAGGTCTCCAGGGCTACTCCTGGGTGGAGATGGTATTTGATGCACATCACGGTACTTTTGTCTTCTTTGAAATTGCATGCAGGCGTTGTTTGTACGAGGGTGACAGCAAACAATGGTATACAGTACCGTATAGTTGCCTGGAGAACCTGTGTATGTTCGGGTTTAGTTAGCAAACACCCAAGGACATTGGTCTGTATGATCTTTTGAATCTCAAGTAATATCTGATATTCTCAATATATACTCCGCATAGATCTGAATATTTATATATTTATATACATCGACGTAGTAAATAAAGAAGAGGCTGGGATCTGTGACGAAATCCCAGCCCCGGTCCATGGGTCCGTGCACGATGCCTCACCGCGATTTTGATTCGCTCCACTCGTTGCACTGCGCTGTCGTGTTTTCGAGTTTTTCTCCTTCAAGGCTTCCGATCATCTGCATCTTGCATTTGCCGAATATTTGCCAACTCATCTCATCTCAATATCCAAAAGGTAGTATTCCGAAGACGGCACAGAAAGCAACTTTGGAACCTTGGGGGCTCCACAGTGAGAGATCCACGGTTCAACTCCCGTTGTTTACCCAAACAAACTGGGGCCATAACAACCCCGAACCTACCTTCTCTCTCTCTAACATTCCAGTGCACATTCCAATCCCACATGGTTCACTTCTTCATCTAGTTAATTGCCCACCATGTTTAAGGCGCTGATGGCTAGCCGCTCGTCTTCGGACGTGCGCTCCAAAAGTAGCCGGCGCAAATCCGAAAGGACCGACAGATCGGACAAGTCCGAAAGATCAGAGCGATCAGAGCGATCAGAGCGATCAGAAAGATCCGACAAGTCGGACACCAGATCAATCTCAAGCCGCAAATCCTCACGGGGTGACGACCGTGACCGGGGCCTGGGCGATCTGACAATCTACTCCCCCTCGACTCGCAGTAAGCGCGGATCCGCAAGCACAGCTGGGGACTCTGTCGCATCCTTCGTGACCGCCGAACCGGAACCCATTGACGACTACGACCGCTACATCCAACGCACACCCAAGCGCAGAGACAGCGACCGCGAAAGCAAGAGTTCTCGCCGCCAACGGGATCGATCAATTAGCCCCGATCGCGAGAGGCGCCGTCGCGCACCACAAAGTATCGATGAGGACTTGGATCGGGAGCGCGACCGCCGTGAGCGTCGTCGCACCCACTCAGGGGATCCATATGTCCCGCAAATCGCTACCAACATGCATATGCCGTCCAGCGCTCCCGGTGCCCAGTTCCCCGCCGATGGGGCCGGATTCGCGCAGTATCCCATGCAACATGACAACGCTCTGCCGTCTGCTGGCCATTCCCCCGAGCACGAAGTCTACGATCCCCATGTCCAACAACAATTCCCCGGCCAGTTTCCCGATACCGTTGCCCAGCCGTACCGTCCGCCCAACCCCGCTGGCGCGGCGGCTGATTACTACGGCGATCAAGGTCAGTCGGTGGAACAGCAGCCTGGTATTCGACCTGCACGCCCGTCGGTTCTGCCAAATACTCAAACACATCTGATGGCGGCGTCTCCGTCCGCGAATCCCCCTCCTGAGCCCAGTAGCATGGGCCAGACAGGTGCAGCGGCGGCGTATTTCGACGATGACTTCTCTGGTCCTGAAGCTAACCCGCCCGTGGCATCGTCGTCGAGGCCTCCCAAGCCCTCAAACCCCTCCAAGCCTTCGAAGCCTTCGGGTGCGAATATCGTTCCTGCCGCCGCCATCGGGGCCGCCACCTACGGTGTTGGGAACATTGCCTCCCACGCCGAAGCCTATGCATCCGAGCAGCACAGCTCTTCCTACAACCAACAGAACCAGACGATGGCATTCAACCAGCCCATGGCATTCAGCCAACCCATGGCCAGCGGTGGTCAGAGACCCCCGAAGCCATCCCACTCTCACAGTTTCAGCGAAGGTGCTGCACTTGCCGCTGCTGGAGCTGCTGGAGGGTACATGGCAGGCCACCATCACAGCCACCCCCACAACCACAATCAACACTATCACAGCTCATCGAGTCCAGAGCAAGCCTCGCCATATTCTTTCCAAAACTACGAGCAGTCTTCCCAGGTCGGAATGGCGCCGTACGTCGCTGGCAACCCCGATGCCTTGCATGTCGCTGGCCCAGGTGGTCATGCCACCCATGCTATTCACAACCCCGGCTTCTATCCGCACGGACCCAGCGCGCTTGCCATGCATGAGCGCCAGCGAGGTGCCGTTGGCAGATTCGTCGACTTTTGGCGTGACCCCGAAGGCGTCGGAAGGTTCGAAGATTACACAGAAACCATTGGTGTTTGCAAATACTGTTTTCAACCCGGCACAACTTCTGTGGATGCTCCTCGCAAGCATCATTACGACAGTCGTCGTCGCCGCAACTCTGCAGATCGACACAGCACCGGCAGCTCGAGAGTCAGCAAGTCTAGCCGCTACAACTCATCTGACGATGAAGGCCGCCGTCGACGCAAGAAGTCTAACAAATCTTCCTGGCTGCCAGGGATGCTGGCTGGATATGGGGCCAAATCGCTTTTCTCAAGCAAGGAGTTCGACGATTCTTACAGCATTCGATCGGGTCGCGTCGAGTCTTCCCATGGCGAGGACGATGATCGTAGAAGTTATACCTCTCGCGGCGTGACTCGTCGTTCGGGACGTAGCCCGCATAGAGATTATCACTCGGAAACGAAGCGTCCTCATTCTGGATACGCTCGCACTAACCGCTCGCGATCACGTTCTTCCTCGCGATCTGGTCGTCATTCGTTCATGAAGGAGGCTGCGCTCGGTGCTGCAGTCGGTGGAGCTGCCTATGCCGTTTCAAAGTCTCACAACCGATCTCGCAGCACATCGCCTGAAAGGAGTCACCGACGACGAAAGGACTCCACTTCATCCTCGTCTTTTGTCAACGTTTCTCGGCCTGAAAAGAAGTCCGTTGCCAGTGGCATTGGCTCTTTCTTCACATCTTCATCTGAGAACCGCAGAAAGCGTCAGACCAAGAAGCGCAGAGGTTTCTTCTCCTTCAACGGAGGCTCCTCATCCTCCTCTTTGGACAATGATCTTGCCTTTGGCGATGGTTTCCAGAAGAAGCCCTCCAAGTCCAAGAAGAAAGACAAGAAAGGTAAGGACGTTGATGCTGCTTTGTTGGGTCTCGGCGCCACAGCAAACCGTTTAGCTGGCTCTTCACCGCACGGTCCAGGCCGTAGCGCAGGCCAGATGTACACATCCAAATCTCGCCATTCGAACTACGCATCTTCAGCTACCAATGACGATGAGTGGGTTGACGAGTCGGAGGACCAGTCAAGTGTCAGCTCAGCTCTTGCATTCGGCACCAGCCCCGATTCTTCCTCGGATTCTGCCAGCAGCAAATGGGGCTGGAGATGGGGCAGCAAGAAAGACAAGAAAAAGAAGGAGAAGCGATTCACCAACACCGCCCTCGCAGTCGGTGCCGGTGCTCTCGGTGCAGCTGCTATCTCTTCTCGCCCCCACAATGACAGCAAGCCTGCCAGCGTCGATGGAAGCCTTCAACAAGTTCAACCCATGCCTATTGCCGAGCAATCTCGCTTCGAGTCTGCCAATATCAACCCACGCGTCCAGCCCGGAAGCGAGCCGGCTTTTGTTCGCCCGGGCCCTATTCCTCTTCAGCAGCCACAGCCCTTCGCCCCTGTCTCCCAATCTGTGTACACCACTCAGGGAGGGCTTGTTGGGCCCATTCCTGCGTACAGTGCGCCCGTTGTTCCTGCCTACGGAAGTGGGTTCGAGCAGTATGACAGACAATACCAAGAGTCCCGTGATCCCAGATGGGCTCCAGAAGATCCAACATCTTCTGGAATCAAGCCTCACCGACGGAGCGACTCGTTCCCTATTATCCCAACTCAGGAAACGGCTTCTACCTTGAAGCGTCGGTCCACTGGTAAGGACCAGGCTTCTGTTTCGTTCAACTTGACCGAGGAGCAGGTCGAACGAGAACGTCATCTCAGCCGCCGCGACAAGAACTCTCGGGATGAATTCGTCGACCAGCCAGTTCAGCTGATTGACCGCGAGGAAGACTTGGCGCGCCAGGAGGCTGAGCGGAGAGAGCTTCGTCAGAAGGAGAAGGAGGCCGAAAAGCGACGTGACGACCAGAGCAGCGATGATGAGAGAGGAAGAGATTCTTCATCCTGGGTTGGCCCTGTCGCAGCTGGAGTAATTGGCGCCGCTGCCACCAGTGCAATCCTCTCTCACAGACACGACGACAATGTTTCCGAGACCAGCTCGCGGCACTCTGAGCGTCGCGAGAAGCGTATCGCCGAGCGCTACCGCTATGAAAATGAGACCGAACCATCACTCATTTCGTCGTTCGCTCCCACCGACGTAATCGACGACGAAATCACACTGGAGCACCGCGAAGAACCAAAGCCCCGATCTCCACGCCGTGTCCGCCCAGCTCCCGTTTACGATGATTATGCCAAGTTCTATGCCCCTGAAGAACTTCGCCACAGCCCAGACGCTCACGGACACAGCTCTGGTGGCATGCCCACCATCACCGAGGTGGAGCCTGCCAGCGAGCGGCGGGCCCGCGAAGAACCAGCTCCCGAGCAAGATTATTCTTACGAGCCTTATGAACATGTTGATCGTCTTCCATGGCCAGTCCCTCGCCTTAACTTCATTGAGCCGACGCCCCCTCACAGTGTGAATGGCGGCTCTGTTCGCGAGGCTACCGCCCCGAGCGCACCCGTTGAAGTCCCGAAGCGCGACCGCCCAACCGGATCCCGCGTCTCGTGGGGTGAGCATGAAACCCACGAATATGAAATTCCCTCCTCCTCAGAGCAAGATCCTCTTGATTATGATTCGCATGAAGTGACAGCCAGAAATGTCCCTCTTCCTCCTTCTGAGGTTTCTGCCAGGGACGTTCCCCTCCCTGCCTCGGAAGTCTCGAACAAGAATGAGAAATCAGAATATGGCAACGATATCGAGTTCGCTGCTACCATTGCTGCTGCTACTGCGGCGGCCGGCTTCGATCCCTCGCTCATCACTAATGACCCCTCGTATCACACGCGCACTTCACCTCCTGGCTCAGAGGATGAGGCACACGCTGGATTCAACTCGCCTTGGTCTTCCCGCAAGCAGGGCTTCGTTGAGGAGGAGGAGCTTGATCCCAAGTCTAGGGAAATTTCCTCTCCCCATGTCATCCAAGATAAAGACGAGCTCTTCTTCGAGGAGCCGGAGACATTCAAGGATCATGATCTTCCCGGACGCCGCGAGAACTCTATTGCCCAGGAAGTCATTGAGCACTTGAATGGCAAGCGCTCGGGTGATTCCTCTCCCGAAAGAGAAATCGATACCTTCTCAATGCCCGGCGGCTTTGACACGGCCGACACAAGAGACTTGGTGGATGACAGATCAGTTGTTACGGCACCAGTGGAAACCAAGCCGAAATCCAAATCGAAGAAGTCGCGACGCAGCGAGGAGTTCGACATTTCGCAATTCAAAGACCAGACTCCTCTGGTCGATGAGTCGCGCTCACTCCAATCTGCCCCAGAGCCAGAGCCGGAGACATCGCGTGAATCCCGCCGCGAGGACTTTGATTCATCACCGCCTCGCGAGCCATCTGACATCGGTGACTCTTTCTCCATTATTTCTGCACCCATCTCAAAGGACGAGACTTCCAAGTCCAAGTCAAGAAAGTCCCGTCGCAGTGGCGATGACTTTGACGCCAAGCCCCAGGACCCAGAGCCCCAGGTTCAAGATGACTCTTTCTCTGTTATCTCTGCCCCAGTCTCGAAGGATGAGACTTCAAAGACAAAGTCCAGGAAATCTCGTCGAAGCGGCGATGATTTCGATTTCCCCTCGCACCAGCCCTCTGAGCCACAGGAGATCGTTCGTATCATTGACTCAACTCCTACCCCCTTGGAAGAGTCCGGTCCATCAGAGAAGTCTCGCTCCATCGCAGACAATTTCCAGATTACACACCAAGAACCTCAGATCCCCGAGCCCCGCGCTGAGGATGTCTTCTCTGTCGTCTCCGCCCCTGCTTCGAAGGAAGAGACTTCCAAGTCCAAGGCTCGCAAATCCCGTCGAAGTGGTGACGATTTCGAGACTGTTCACCCAGAACCGGAGGAGCCTGAATATCGCGATGATTCGTTCTCTGTCGTTTCTGCCCCTGTGTCGAAAGATGAGGCTTTGAAATCTAGCTCGAGGAAGTCTCGTCGTAGTGGTGATGACTTTGAGATTTATGAATCCCGTGAACCATCTGAGGCTCGAGATGTGCCTCGCTCGAATACTTCCACCCCTGCACCCGTGGAAGAGTCTAAACACAGGAAATCACGACGCAGTGGTGATGACTTTGATTCTCGCTCGCGAGAAGTCTCCCTTTCCCGAGATGTGCCTCGGTCAGCTACTTCCACCCCTGGCCCTGCGGAAGAATTCAAAACTAGGAAATCACGACGCAGCGGTGACGACTTTGCCTCTCGCTCACGAGAAGTCTCTCTTTCCCGCGACGATCACTCCATTCTTTCTGCGCCTGTGTCCAAAGACGAGACCTCCAAGTCCAGACGATCTCGCCGCAGCGGTGACCATTTTGATATCTCCCGATCTCGCGATGTCTCTGAATCTCGTGATGACACTCGCTCTGTTATTTCTGAATCCGGAAAGTCGAGGAGATCTCGCCGCAGTGATGATTTCGATCCTCGTCGTGACACTGAAACACCGCCTCCAGAGGACGAGAATGCCGACGAGAAGAAGAAACGTCGCAAGCGTCGCTCCAAGCACGAAGACGATAGCTACATTGACGATGATGCTCGCTCAACTATCACAGATGTTGCCGATGATAGCAAGTCCGAGCGTCGGAGACATCGCCACCGTTCATCAAGAGACTTCGACGACACTGCTTCAATCACATCTGCTATCACGGATGTTGCGGATGACAAGCCCGAGCGCCGCAAGCATCGCCACCGCTCGTCGAGGGATTTCGATGATAATGCCTCTGTGACCTCGTCCCCAGCCCGGATCTCCGAATCCCGCGAGCGCGGCAAGGAGAAGGACAAGAAGGATAAGAGCGGTGGTTTCTTGAGAAGCCTCTTTGGATCGCAGGTCTCGGCTCCTGCTGAGCGTGTTCGCTCCGAGCACTCTCGCTCTCGAGACCACTCCCGATCTTCCTCTTTGGATAAGCGTTCATCCCGCGAGGCTATCTCCGAAGCCGGAGGTGATGAGGAGCGCCGCCGTCGCAAGAAGCGTTCCTCCAAGAGCCGCAGCTCCAGCAACGGGGATGAGTTGGATGCTTACCTCTCGGACAAGGAGAAGCAAGATCCTAATCTGGAAGAGTACAGGTCTAGTAGGCAACGCAAGGAAGAGGAGCGTCGCCATAAGTATGAGGACATTGTGGATTCAGGAAGGAAACGGGATTCCGCGAAGGTATTGCACTGATCTTTTTCTTTTCTCTTCATGTTGATCGTTTCATTGTACACTTTTATGTGCCATATAGCTTTTCCCTTTTTGCTGGACGGTTCCCCCGACCAGACTGCACGAAAAAAAACCACAAACCACAAAACCGCAAAGAAAGAAATGTACTAAGCTTTTACTGGTATTATTCCATGAGCAGGACTTTAATGACGACACCAATTCTTTTTTAAGCGAGCGCCCCGAAATGCCCGCTGACCGCACGACCGGTGATTCGGGGCTTCCAGCAGACGCCGCTGTCGCTGCAGGTCTAGGTCTAAACGAGATCTTGCAGCAGAGGCCCCGGAGCCGCTCGATCTCTCCTCCAAACGCAGAGAAAACTCTCGACCTAACGCCAAAATCGAGGAGTAGACCTGGTTCACCACAAGCAAGCCGTCACTCCCCGCAACGAAGACACTCCGTTGCCAAATCTACCGAGTCACCCACAGCTGTACCTTTGCACTTCCGTCGCCCACCGACATCCCCAGGCCTTTCACGAGCTGTCCCAGCTGAGCCCATGCCCTCCCCAGGCTCACCGAGCCAACAGCGCCACCGTCGTCCCGGCTCAGTGGAATTCCGCAACTCGCGCGAGATCAGACCTCTCTGGCTCGTTGAGCGCCATAGCTCCGTCAAGGGTGAGACGGAAGGCGATGAAGGCTTACCAACACTCCCATCAAGCAGAGAATCTTCACGAGTCCCTTCAATCGAAAACCTCAGGGATCTCAACAATGAGGAAATGAATAGCTGGGAACATGTCGATCTAAGCCAGGCGATCCATGACCGTCCAAATTTGACGATCTCAACAGATAAGGCGAATGAGCATCGTGGCGATATCGACCTTCTGGACTCTCAGCAGGCTACTCCTACCGCAGAGCATCATCATGAAAACAAGGAGAGACCACACTACGAATTTCATTCTCCTTCTGAACTCTTGCAGGACCCGGCTGCGTTGGATGATTTGGCTTCCACGCCCTTCGACCGTCTTCCCTCTACTGAGGGATCTGACCGTGAGTTGAGTGTTGAGGATAAGAGGAAGGAGACGGATCGAGCCCTTGATGTTCTTGAGGGTAATTCAGAGCCCGAAGCCACAACACCTACGCAGGATAACGCCTCTTTTGATCTTCCCAAGGGTGGCTTTGCGGATGTGGTTGATGCTGCTGCTATTGCCGCTGTCAAAGAGCATGATCAGCACGCCGACGCTGTGGCCGCTCCCAAGACCGAGCCCGGCTTTGGTGATATTGTCGACCAAGCAGTCGAGGCCTCAAACGAGCCTCAAGACGATCTCCCAGAGGCTGCTGCTGATGATGTCGAGACTTCGCAGTCTTCTAAGAAGCAAAAGAAGAAGAAGAAGGGCAAGAAGAATCAAGCTCAGGAAGATGTCGTTCAAGAGCCTGAGCAGATTCAGGATGCTACTACCGATACTCCTATTGATGTTCCCGAGGCAGTTATTGAGCCTGAGTCTGCACCCGCTGAGCAATCTCGCGAAATTCAACTCGAGCCTCAGGCTGTGCCTGTCGAAGAGTCTGCTCCTGCGCCCTTGGAGCCGGAGACTGAGCCTGTGGAAGCACCTAAGGACATTTCCGAAGATGCGACTGCACCTCTGACAGAGACTGAGGTTGCGCCTGCTGAACTTGAGCAGGAAGAGGATACAACTTCATCTAAGAAATCTAAGAAGGACAAGAAAAAGAAGAAGAAGGGCAAGAATGCCTCTACTGAAGAGCCCAGCGAGGAAGTCTCTACTCCTCTTGCTACAGAGGACCCCTCGGCAACGAAGGAGATTGAGGAACTTCCTACTGTCGATGCAGATGTGCAAGATGTGTCTGTGGAGCAGCCTCATCCCGAACCCACAGAAGCGGAACCCGTGACTGCTACTGAGGAGAGTGCACTACCCGTTGAGCAAGAAACCCCTGCTGAAGAGGACTCTGAGCCTGTTTTCGCGGATGCCAACGAAATCTCCACACCAGTGGCTCTTGAGGAAGAGCCCACCCCTGTGCCTGAAACACCCAAAGAAGAGACGGAGGGCGAAGACAATTTCCAAGAGGCTGTCGAGGAGCAACAACCACAGCCTAACGAAGAGAAGGAAATCTTACCTGAGCCTATCGTCGAACAAACCCCCACCGAGGATACACCCACAGAAGCTACGGAATCCAAGGCAGAGAAGCGGAAGAACAAGAAAAAGAAGAATCGCAAATCCGCCGTTGAGGAACCCGCCGAAGAATCAACTACCGAAGCTACCCCTGTGGAGATCGAATCCCAGCCACCAGCCGATGAGCCTACATCTGAGGTATTGGCAACTGCAGACCCTGCAGACCCTCAATCAGTGCCAATTGGCGGTGAAGCCTTACCTTCGGACCTGGACAAGGATGTCGAGTTACAATCCGAACCACCAGCCCAAGACTCAGCCCCCGTTCAAGAACAAGATGTCTCATCTTCTGAGCCGGTGGATTTCGCAACTCCAGCCGAGGCAAATACTCCCGAGGAGTCTTCTCGCGATCTCAAGGAGATCTCCGTTGAATCTCAGCCTGCGGCAGATCTAGTCGTTCCAATGGACGAGTCTTCTCGTGATGTCACCGAGCCTGCTGTGGATACACAGGCTGAAGCTGAAGCCCAGATCCAGCCTGCTGCTGAGGCAGAGGCAGAAGCAGAGGCGGAAGTTCCTATGACTGCTGCGCAGAAGAAGAAGGCTAAGAAGGACAAGAAGAAGAAGGGCAAGGAGAGTCAAGATCCTGTTCCTGAACAGGAAACTCCGTCTGAACCGACCGAGCCAGCTTCTGTAGCAGAGCCAGCTGCCGACGAGACAGTGAAGGAAATACCTGCACACGAAGAAGCCCCGGTGGTTGTTCCTACAAGTGAAGAGCAGCAAGTTCCCACTGAAAACCAATCTGCGGAGCCCGACCAGCCTGCTATCTCTGAGGAGCTCACTAGCCCTGCATTGCCCCAGGAAGAGAACATCGCCCCCGCAGAGCCAGCAACTGATGCTACTGCCGTGGAACCTCTAGCTGAGCCCTCCGCACCGGAGGAGCAGACCAAGAGTGAGGACGTCCCTGTCGAGTCGGAGGTTCCCATGACAGCGGCAGAGAAGCGGAAGGCGAAGAAGAACAAGAAAAAGCAGCAAAAGCAGGAAGACGAGACCGAATCTCTTCCGGCTGATCCTTCGCCTGCTGATCCTACTTCTCAGAAAGAGCCCGAGGCTACTGAGGTTAGCAAGGAACTTCCGTCTACCGAGAATGTTGAAGCAGTCGATGTGCCATCATTGGAGGCCGAGCAACTCGCCGAACAAGATACCCCAGTTGTTCCTGCCGAGCCGGAGCTGGCTCTACCTACCGAGGAAGCTACTCCAGCTGAAGTCCAGCCTGATTCAAGCAATGACGTGGTGCCCTCTGAGGCTGAGGCTCAAGTCGCTGAAGAGGTTCCCGTCCCCGTCGACGTTCAACCTACCACTGACACCCCCGTGTCAGCCGAAGACTCAGTCCCTGTTTCCGTGGAGGCAGACGCCGCAAAAGACGAAGAGCCCTCAGCTGAGGCCGAGGTTCCGATGACTGCTGCGGAGAAGAGGAAGGCTAAGAAGAACAAGAAAAAGCAGAAGGATCAGTCTGGCCCGCTTGAAGAAGAGCCTGCTATCGAGGAAGACAAGATTGTCGAGCAGCCAAGTGAGGTCGTTCCCGAGACCGAAGTTGCACCCTCAACGGAACCCGTGGAAGAGTCCAGCCAGTCTGAGGTGCCCAAGGAAGTTGATACCGATACCGCACCCGCAGATCAACCAGCGCCTGATGCTCAACCAACTGATGCCGAGCCATCTTCCGAGCCAGTGACTGAGGAGCCTGCGACCAGCGAAGCTCTTGAGCAACCCACAGACGTCCCGGCTGGCATCGAGGAGAACGCAACCCCAGCAGACGATGCTCTTGCTTCTACCAATGAGCCACAAGAAGAGCAAAAGGCCGATGCTGCTACCGAGCAGCCTGCATCGGAGGAACCCGTCGAAGAGGAGGCAATGACACCTGCTCAGAAGCGGAAGGCCAAGAAGGACAAGAAGAAGAAGGGCCAAGCTGCTGTCGCTGAGGAAGAGCAGGCACCTCCTGCTGAGGAGCCCAAGGAGTTACCCGCGGAAGAACAGATCAAGCCTGTCGAAGAGGAAACCCAGCCTGCTGCTCCCGAGGAACCTGTCGAGACATCTACTGCACAGGAACCCGAGCAATCTATCCCCGGGCCAGAGCCAGAGCTCCCTGTCACCGAAGAGGAGCTCCCCAAGGTCGAGGAACCCTCCCCAGTGGAGGCGGCCGTCCAGCCAGAGACCCCGGCTACCCCAGTTGACTCTGAAGCAGCCGAGGTTGATGAGTTTGCGGGTATGAACGCCGCTCAGCGAAAGAAAGCCAAGCGAGAGAAGAAGAAGCGAGAATCTCTCGCTGTGCAAGAGCAGCCTGCCCCTGCTGAGGAAGAGGCCAAGGGTTCCCTCCCCGAGGAGCAGCCTGCAGAAGAACAGCCAGGCCCCGAAGGTATCAAGGAAGAGCCTCTCACGGCGCCCGTCGAGTCAACACCTGCCGAAGAGACCGAACAACCTTCTGTTGAAAAAGACCAAGAAATCCCGGCTGTGGCAGACGAAGCGCCATCCGTTGAGCAGTCTACAGCAGCTGATGAGACCGCCCAGCCAGCGACTCCTGCCGAAGATGCGGTCGCCGAGATAGATGAATTCGCTGGTATGACTCCCGCTCAAAAGAAAAAGGCCAAGAAGGAGAAGAAGCGTCTCGCTGCCGAGAAACAGGAGCCTGCTCCAGAAGAAACCAAGTCAACCCCTGAAGAGCAAGCTCCAGAGGAACAGCCAGCTACGCAGGATATCCAGGATGCACCCGCTACAGACCTTAATGAGCCTTCCCTCGACCCACCAGCCGAGGAAACGGTTGTGGAGCCCGAAGCACCCCAACCCGAGGAGCCCTCCACGGTCGAAGTGGCCGCCCAGCAGGAGATCCCTGCCGAAGAAGACGAGTTTGCAGGCATGACTCCTGCGCAAAAGAAGAAAGCCAAGAAGGAGAAGAAGAAGCGTGAGGCTCTCGCTGCCGAGAACCAGGAGCCTGCTCCGGAAGAAACCAAGCCAACCCCTGAAGAGCAAGCTCCAGACGACCAGCCAGCTACGCAGGATGTCCATGATACACCCGCCGCAGACATCAATGAGCCTTCCCTCGATAAACAAGCGGAGGAGACAGTCGTGGAAACCGAGGCACCAAAAGCCGACGAGCCCCCTACTGTTGAAGAGACCGCCCAGCAGGAGGTCCCTGCTGAAGAGGACGAGTTCGCAGGCATGACTCCCGCTCAAAAGAAGAAGGCCAAGAAGGAGAAGAAGAAGCGCGAGGCGCTTGCTGCCGAGAAACCAGAGGCTGTTCCAGAGGAGGAAGTCAAACCAACCACCGAAGAGCCAGCCCAAGACGACCAGTCGCCCTCGCAGGAAGTCAAGGATGTCCCTGCCGAAGATCTCAATGAGCCTTCCCTCGACAAACCGGCAGATGAGGTTACTGCAGAACCCGAGGCACCCAAAGCCGAGGAGCCCTCCACTGTTGTCGAAGAAACGGCCCCGCAGGAGACTCCCGTTGATTCAACCCCTGCTGAAGAAGACGAGTTTGCAGGCATGACTTCAGCTCAGAAGAAGAAGGCTAAGAAGGAGAAGAAGAAGCGTGAATCTCTTGCTGCCGAGAAAAAAGAGCCTGCTCCAGAGGAAGAGGCCAAGCCAATCCCCACCGAAGAGGAGCAGCCTGCATCTACGGAAGATATCAAGGAACTGCCTGTCGATGCCACCAACATAATTCCCGCCTCAGAGGTCGAAGCATCATCTGAGCCCGTGGCCGAGAACCAGGCAGCTCTCGAAGAGACAGCGAAGACCGAAGAAGCCCCCTCCACCGATGCGGACCCCTCGCTTGCGGGCTCTGTTCATGACGCTGCAGCTGAAGCAGCGGCAGAGGAAGCTGAGTTTGCGGGTATGACTCCTGCCCAAAAGAAGAAAGCCAAGAAGGAGAAAAAGAAGCAGCAGCGCAAATCTGTCGCCTTCGAAGAAGACACCCCAGTCGAAGAGGCCAAACCAGACCAGGCGCCGGCCGTCGAGGGAACTCCTGAATTGCAGGATACCGCGGCCGACCCTGCCGCCTCGGAAGAATCACCCAAGGATCTAACAGCTACTGAAGGACTAGTCGAGCCTGCCGCCAATCAAGAGGTCTCCGAACCCCCCCGAAGAACCAGCTTCAGCCGAAGAAGACAAGGAGATCCCAGAACCCGAGCAACCTGTTCAGGCCGAGCTCGCAGAGTCGCAATCAGCAGCAGCACCTGTCGAACAGACAGAGCAAGATTCTCAGACTCCTTCACAACCCGATTCACCCGCACCCGAGGTCGACGAGTACGCCGGAATGACGGCTGCGCAGAAGAAGAAGGCCAAGAAGAACAAGAAGAAGGGCAAGTCAGCCGACTTGGGCGAGGATTCTCAGCCTGCTGCTGAGACTCCAGCAGATGTCCCGACTGAATCCCCCGAAGCGCCACCCGCAGAGACTACTGAACAGGAGAAAGCCACTGAATCTGAGACGCCCAAGCCTGACGATCTCAACACTACGCCTACTGTTCCCGAAGATGTGCCAACGGACGAAGTCTCTGAATTCAAGGCCCCCGACAACGAAACCAAACCCGCCGAAGAGACAACCCAGCTGGATGCTGCTGCGACCGAAGTAGACGAGTACGCCGGGATGACCGCAGCCCAAAGGAAAAAGGCAAAGAAAGCAAAGAAACGCCAGTCCAAGGGCACTGCCGGCGATGATAGCTCTGCCCCAGCCACCCGACCCGCCTCGCCAACCGAAGCGGATAGCGTCGAGAAAGTCCTCACTTCAACGGACACAGACGCCCCTGGACTTCCCGCGACGGCAAACTCGCCTGCGGAACATGACGGTAAAGATCAGTCCCACGACGAAACAAACGCCGCGGCGCAACAAACAATCTCGACTGATAACTTCATGTCTTCGCAGGTTGAGACGTCAGAGAGTCCTTTTTTAGATTATCCTCCCCAGCCCGTGCTTGAGCGTTCAGTCAATTCCGGCGAGTTGGAGGAGGTAGCTGCTCCGCAGGAGGGTGATGTTGCCACTTCTGCACAGGAGCTTGATGTGGTAGAGTCTGAGCCTCTTGCAGAGGTGAAGACTGTTGGTGAAGGTGGTGAGGAGAAATCGTCTGTGCCGGAAGCGGGCGATCTCTCAATGGAGAAGGTTGAAGATGCGTCTGTGGATGTACCGGTGGAAGTTGTTCCCGAGGCACAGACGGAAGAAGCCCCCTGGAGGATGAGGCTGTTGAAACAGCTGTTTCAAAGAAGGAGAAGAAGAAAAAGAACAAAAAGAACAAAAAACAAGAGGAGGAAGTTGTGGAGGAGGAAGCTCCAGTTGATCAGACCAATATCGCTGCCGTGGAGGAGAAAGGGCAGTCTGATATTGTTCCAGCAGTTGAGGCCGAGTCTCAGCTTCACGAGATACCCCCGCTGGAGAAGAACTGGCCATCGAAGCCGAGCCAGTCGTTGAAGCCGAGCCAGTCGTTGAAGCCGAGCCAGTCGTTGAAGCCGAGCCAGTCGTTGAAGCCGAGCCAGTCGTTGAAGCCGAGCCAGTCGTTGAAGCCGAGCCAGTCGTTGAAGCCGAGCCAGTCGTTGAAGCCGAGCCAGTCGTTGAAGCCGAGCCAGTCGTTGAAGCCGAGCCAGTTGTCGAGCCCGAGTCATTGACATCCCCGGAGCCGAATCCAACAGAGGGTTCCAAGGACATCGAAGAGCCTTCGGGAGACCAGTTGGTTGATATCACTGGAGACACCCAAGAAAGCGGTGTTCCAGACGCTGAAAATGTCGAGCCCATCACATTGGAAGCCCCCATTGCCGATGAACCGGAGCAAGCGCTGGTTTCGAAGAAGAAGAGCAAGAAAGACAAGAAAAAAGAACGCCAATCAATTCTTGCACAAGAAGCCGAAATCGATCCCCCGGTTGAGGACCAACCAGCACCGGAAGCAACTGAGGCCCCTGTCTCACAACCCGAAGTTCCCACCGAAAGTCTACCTGTCGACGAGAATGCTCAGGGTGACATTGCTAACCAGGAGGCAACTCATGTTGCCGATACACCCAAAGATGCTCGGAACGATGACAACCCCGCTGCTCAGGAGACTGAGGGTTTTGGAGTCGCAGAGCCTTCCCTCGAGCTGCCCTCGTCTGAGATCCAGTCCGAGGAAGCAGAAAAGGCACCCGAGGCTGTCGAAATTCAAGCTCAAACCCCAGATGAGGGACTACCTACCGAGCAACCAAAAGCTGAAGCTGAAGCTTCAGCCGAGCCTGTTGTTGAAGTCGAAGAAGAAGTCTCATCCGCCCCTAAGAAGATGAGCAAGAAGGAGAAGAAGAAGGCTGCCGCCGCCGCTGCCGCTGCCGTTGCTGCTGCTGCTGCTGCCGCCGCCGCTTCCACTTCTCCCGAGGAACAGGGCTCCGTCGAAGAAGAGCATGCTCCTATCGAACCTCCAACTGCCGTTCCTGAACCTGCAAAGGAAACGGCAGAGCATACCCTTGTTCAAGAGCCTGTGCTCCAAGAGACAAATGTTGAGTCTCTACCTGAAGGGCAAAAATCTGTCGATGAGCCGGCAGATGTGACTGCTTCCGAGGGCAATGAAACCGCCCAAGAACCGCCGGTTGAGCTATCCGAGCCCATTGAGCCCGTCCCGCAACAATCATCACCACCGGAGAAGTCCACCGCAGAGCTCACAGAGGTTCCAGCGGAAGATGCTGTCACCCGCAAGATGTCAAAGAAGGAAAAGAAGAAGGCCAAGAAAGAACTCAAGCCTGAATTGGTTGAGCCTTCTTCTTCTCTCGAGGAGCCTGCTTCCGCCCCTGAGCCCGATCTTACAAGGCCTGCGAATGAACCAGTGGCTATGGATGAAGTCCCGGTGGAACCCGTTATGGAATCTGAAGTCGCCTCTCAGGAAGCACTTCAAGATGCCCCGGAGCCTGTGCCCGAGAACACAGAGCCAATCGTTCCCGAAGAGCACAACATTGTTCCCGAGGATATCAAATTTTCGGAAAGCGCTCAGGATGAAGCAGTCGTCTCTCAGGAAGCAGCCCCAGCGCTCGATACCCCAGCACCTGTCCTCGCCGAGGCCCGGGATATTCCCGGAGAGGTCGTGGAGCAGCCAACAGAAATCCAACCAGGTACTTCACACGTTGACGGCCCCGTCGTTGAACAGGCAACTGATCGCGACCTTGCTGGCGAGCTTACTCAAGACCAGCAGCACTTTGAGACCGAGGCGATCTCAGAGCCGCCCAAGAAGTTGTCCAAGAAGGACAAGCGCAAAGCGAAGAAGAATTCTGGCTTGGGCGATGAGGCCCTTGATCTGCAACCAGCCGAGCTTACAGCCGAGGCTGCAGAAATCCCTGCTGCAACCGACAACCAGCCAGCAGAGCTTAATGTGGAAGAACCAGCTCGCCAGGAACCGGAACTTAGTGCAGAATCCAGCACTCCAGTGGAGCGAGGTCTGTCTTTTGACGCGCCGCCTCCAGTCGAGGACCAACAGCCCCCGACCGAGCCGGAAGTTCAAGCCGAGCCTCAACAAGCAGAACCCGAGCCTCTCCAGGAGGACACTGCTCTTTCCCACAAAGCTTCCAAGGAAAAAGCCAAGAAGGCCCAAAAGGCCAACAAGTCTTTGGAGGCCCAACTACCCACGGAGGAGCCTAGCGTTACAGAAAATGTCCAAATCGCGCCATTTGAAGAAGAGGCTCGGCCTGAGACACAAAAGACAAAATCACCACCTCAGAAGCCTGCTCAGGATGATGATGACTGGCCTGCCATCGATTGGGAACAAATGGTTGAGCGTTCTCAACAACCCAAGGAAGCAGATTTCGGCCCTGAGCCTGTGGCCACTGCGGAACAAGATATTATTGGAGAATTCGAGGATTCTTCTATTCCGCAGTCCCATGAGGACGAACCAAAACAGGTTATCGAGGAACCTTCGACGCCATTGAGCAAGAAAGACAAGAAGAAGAAGGCCAAGAAAGACCAGGATCTGACGCAGCAGGCCTTCCAAGCCCAGGTTCCTGTGGAAACTTTCAACAAGGCAATTGAATCACCTGCTAGAACTACTACTCCGGGTGGATCTAAGATTGCGAATATCTTCCCTGGCCTCGAACGGGGTGGTTTCAAACGGAGCATGGAAAAGCTGTCCTCGATCAAAGACAGCCCCGAAAAGAACCCGACTGTCAAGTCCGAAGCGAGTCGTGAACCAGTAAACCCTGTCGAGGAACCATCCCTGGTCCCCGAGACCCAAAAGACTGCCGAAGCTCCGCAGCTGCCGAGCAGCCTCGAAGAACAAATCGAGTCTGCTATTGCTCATGTGAAGTCATACGATGAACTTTCTACGCAAAAAGAGTCTACCAAAACACCAGAGATTGAGACTACTACACCAAACGAGCGATCTTTGGAAGCGCCAGTCTCATTCCCAACGGAGACCCGTGAGATTCCACCTTCACAATTCCCCTCAGAACAATCCGGGGAGGAATTGTGCGAGCTCCGTCGATCTCCCTCGATCCACGGACGGCACCAAAACACCCCTCGCACATGGAGCCTGGATGAACCTAATGTCCCAGCCCCAACCTCCTCACCCCCTCGGTCTCTCTTTGGAGGACCGAGCGAGGACTCCTTCGGTCGCCCTCGAACACCGCTTGATACCATTGCGGAACAAGAACCACGGGAGGGCCGCCCAACTACCACGGGTCGACGCGGGACTCCCCGTCTGGACATCAAACCCGAGCATATCTTACCTCGTCCTCAAACTCCCGTTCGCAAATTTACCGACAATGCCTTTGATCGGGAATCCTGGCCTACCGACGAGAGCAAAAAAATTCCACGAGAACGCTCTCGAGAAAATTTCGGAGCTATCACCAGCACCAAAACACCGGAGCAAGGGTTTCAGATTTTAAAGCCCAGCACGAGCAGCGGAAAATTACGTCGCACGAAGCGCAGCGTTAGCGGCGATCTGCGGGCGGCCAGTCAGTCCCAGCCTTCCTCCACCGATCTCGACCAGCTTCCTTCTTCCTCCTCTTACGACCCCGTCACCGACAAGGGCAAACGTCCTATGCGAAATATGTCGGACGTCTATGTAAGTGATTCTTAATTTTCTTTCCTTTTTTTTTCTCTCTTTCCCCCATTTCACTCAATGTTTTGATTATTGTTTACTAATTCTTGCAGGAGGGTTGGGGCGAAACGCCAAGCTCCCCTCGGTCGCCCAGCCGACCGCCTAGTGTCCGTCGTCGCCGTAGCATGCAACACTTGCAAGACATCGAGACTCGTATCGACCAACTGATTTCCGAGAATCGCCTTTTGATTGCTGCCCGCGATGAAGCCGAAGACAAATTACGAAACGCCAGTGTCGCTCGCCGGAAGAGCGATCGCGCCCTCAACACCCGTGACGGCGATCTTCGCGACCGAGATGCAGAGTTGGAACAATTGAAGAACTCGGTGGAATGGCTACAAAAGGAGACATCTCGTCTCACTCATGAGAATGAATCAGTCACAGCTTCCAATACTGCCCTCGCCGCCGCCCACGCCGCCGAAGTCAGCACCGTTCGCGAGCAGTCTACCCGCGAACTGGATGATCTGCGTTCACAACACACCCAACTCTCCTCCCAAATAGATGATCGAGTTCGTCAAGAGATCGAGTCCGCGCTGGCGCAGAAGGACATTGAGCTCCGACGCCTGCGCACCGAACTCGAGGAGGCCCGCGACAAGGTCAAGGAGCTACAACAACAAATCTCAGCATCAGTACATGACAATGCTCTCGTCTTCCGCGATGAGGAATACTTCGATGCTGCCTGCCAAAAGCTCTGTGGCCACGTCCAGTCGTGGGTCGTGCGATTCTCCAAGCACAACGACAAGCGTCGCTGCCGCCCACTCGTCGAGCTGAAAGATGAGAAGATCGCAGACCGTTTCGACAACGCGCTGCTGGACGGCTCCGATCCCGACGCCTACCTTTCAGACCGCGTCCGCCGCCGTGATGTGTTCATGTCGGTGGTCATGACCATGGTCTGGGAGTACATCTTCACGCGCTACCTCTTCGGCATGGATCGCGAACAACGCCAAAAACTCAAGTCCCTCGAGAAACAACTGGGCGAAGTCGGCCCCAGCCGAGCTGTGCATCGCTGGCGAGCCACAACCCTCACCCTTCTCTCTCGGCGTCCCGCCTTCGCCGCCCAACGGGAGAACGACACGGAAGCAGTCACCCTGGAAATCTTCCAGACTCTCTCCCGGGTCCTCCCACCCCCTCCCACGTCGAGTCCCAACTCCTCGACAACCTCCGCAAGATCATGCGTGTCGCTGTGAATCTCTCCTTGGAGATGCGCACCCAACTCGCAGAATTCATCATGCTTCCTCCCCTCCAACCGGAATACGACACGAACGGCGATCTCGCCCGCCAGGTCTATTTCAACGCCGCCCTCATGAATGAGCGCAGCGGGCTGACCAACAACAACGAAGACCTCGAGTCCCAACAATCGGTCGTCCGCATCGTCCTCTTCCCCCTCGTCGTCAAGAAGGGCAATGATGTCGGCGAGGGTGACGACGAAGTTGTCGTCTGCCCTGCCCAGGTCCTCATCGCTCGCCCGCTCAAAGAAAAGAAATTCTCTGGAATGAGCGATCGCATGTCGGTCGATGCTTCGAGATCTGTCCACAGTCTCGCTCACAGCGTTGCCCCCTCGTCAATGATGGACATGAGTAATGTGATTTGAGGCGTCACACTCTTTTCATGATTACTCCCATCTGTGGTGCTGCTGGAGATTTCTTTGTTTTTTATGCTTGGGCTTCTTGTCTGGTGTTCTGGTAGCGGTTTGTCGCGAGGTCGATGACCGTGAACATTTGGCGTTTTTATGATTTTCCTTTATATTTTTGTTTCTTAACATGTTGTCAGTTTTGTATTTACCATGGCCTTTGACGTCTTATGAGTGATGAACTGTACTTCTGGCATTACAGTGTAATAATTTATCTATGTTTTTCTATTTGTCATAATGACTACTGCATTTGCAACTATCGTTTTCCCCTTCTACATCCATGGATCTACCTCAAGTGTCTTATCTGTAATACTGAAGTCATGATAGAATTCCACACTTTGCAAATTGTTTGGTCGAATGGATACTCAACGTCCTTATTCCCCATCTCCACCCGTGTTTAGGTAGCAATCTGAAGATCATCGTGAACGATCCACTTGCCCGGCCCAATCTACAGTGTTTGCCTCGGACCTCTCCGACAACAGGTATTATCAGACTGATCTGGGCTAATCCTCTTATCGCAACTCGAGATTTCGTTATGTCTGAGTCGTCGATCATAAGATTGCTTAATTTACCAACCGAGTTACACCTACAAATCATCAGCTATCTTGAATACCCTTCATGTCTGGTTTTGTCACAAACAAACTCATTCTTCAGATCCATATCCACACTTGAAAAGCCCACACGAGATGAACAATTATTGTTTCTATGTGCTGCAGAGAATTGGACCAAGTACGTACTGACTGTTTCCACAATCCATATACCTACCATTTAACATCTTTAGATACAAGGACCACTACTCATGCAGCATTTGTCTGAAACTCCGATCAGAGACGGCCTTCGATGATAAACAAACCAGAGCAAAATGTGAAAAAGGGTACGCTGAAAGCTGCTATCGATTCTGCTTCCGTTGCGGAATTGAAGAGGGATTATATGGGAACAGGAAATCCATTGTCATTGGAAACATCCGTTACTATCCTTGCGATATTTGCCATCAAATTGTGAGAAAACTTCTCTGCACACAGTGTAGGAGCTGTCGATCTTGCTTCAAAAAACGAATGGCTAGACAAAAGTCTCGCAGCAAAGGGATATGTTATTCCAAGTGTGGTGGTTGTGATGCACCTTTTATTTACCTACGTCGAGGCAGATGGTGAATAGTTCTGGATGTTATGCAGAGGATGTCATCCATGGATGGACAGGATCTTCTAGCCCTTTGGGCTGAAATAAATACTTGCTTGTTGGAAATTGTCATTGCTTTCAAAATACACGAGATTTTATTCTATGGCGCTGCTTATTACTAAATGACCTTTTTTCCAATGAACGCTTTTTGGCTTCCTATATTTGCATAGTTGAGACTCAAGGCTATCTCCATGTTTGGAAGCCTAAGCAGTTTTATCAATCCAATCTAGCTCATATAAGCTCTCTTGACCTCCACTTGAACTATGGCTGACATGTCTTGCAGCAAGTGCCAGGGACAGCCATTGCACAATAAGCCGGGAAGCTATGCCACCACATTAACATGAAAAAGATCAGCTTATGGAAGATTGAGAATAATGTGCAACTTACTCGGTTGGGCACGATTGCCACTTGATAAACTGAAATTCGATGAGTTGACTTTCCCCTAGTAGGTTCCCAAGATCTGATGAACGATCATGGTATCACACTTACAATGCAATTCACGCTGGGCTGTGTAGTCTGTAAATCAGAAAGGAGTCGCAGAATGAGTTTATGAATTTATAACGTACTGCAGTTTGCGGCGTTGGGGCTGCACACACTATGGTGGCAAGCGCGCAGACGACGGGCCAGAGGCGCATGTTTAACGTTGATTTTGAGGCTTGCTTGATATACGCTTCCCATTCCCTCAAATATACGCAAGGGATGGATACTTTATATGCTTGATGGATTGTGCTTTCCAATTCCTGAGTATCCGATTCGCTTGTCTGTGGTTAAATCCGGGTATGCTTACTGGTCTAATTTATGACAGCAGTCACCTGTAATAGCTTTTGAGACAGGCTAGACCTTGGTAACAATTAGCCTGGAAGTTCAATGAAGAATGGGAAAGAACCAATCTCACGATCTGGATCATATCAGGGGCTCTAAGCATCTACCCGTGGGATCTGTCGAAAACCGAGATGTCTGATGGACTTGAAATGTTTGTCAAACGCTACATAAGAATCTGCTGACTGCATTCAGCCGGTTGAATTAAGAAATATTATCTGATATAAGCAGAAAACCTTCGACCAAGCGCCAAATTATTTACAGGCAAACGAGGAAGCCTTGCTGGCATCCCCACCAACATAAGTCAAAATCTTAGGGTACGCGCACAAATTCGCGGTGCGCAAAGGTAATTCGGCACCGCTCGTCGCAGTAGGCGTAGCGATAGCCTTGAGCGTTTCCGGCGCAGTACCATTCTCAACCCAGTTCACAAGCGAGTCAAGACTGCTACCAGGATAGAACCCAATTCCGCCAGTGCAGTGCTCAGCACCAGGAGCCGCAAAGAAGCGATAATAGTCCTGAACATCGGCATCGAGCTCCATAACCTCTCGGTAATAAGTTTCAGTGCCATTGAAGAAGATGAGCGGATCCTTCATGCCGTGCCAGGCAATCATTTTACCGCCCGCCTGCTTGAATCCTGTGAGATCAGGATCGCGGGTTCCGATGATAGAGTTGTACTCGTTCACGGACTGGCGGAAGTGGTCAACGTATTCTGCGTAGGTGATCTTCGAGACATCAACAGAAGAGTTTCGGGAGAGGAAAATCTGTTGCCAGTCCGCGGAGATCTGGAATGGGACTCCCTTGCAGTCTTTTGATGGAGAAGTGCAGTTTGTACCGGCGAGACGGGTGAGAGGTGCATCGTGGGAGAGGCCGTACCAAAGGGAGGATCCAGAGGTATCCTGTGGTCCGGCCCACACGAGAGAAGCGTATTTGGCGGCTTTCGCGGTGATTTTGGCAGTTGTGTTGGAGGAGCACTGGATTGTCTTGCCGATGACGGTAGAGGCATTGAACTTGCAGAGTCCGGGCATGGAGATGATTCGGTCGTTCACGCCGTCGAGCTCGTCACATGCATCAATGGCGTACTCGGTCAATGCGTTGAGTTCACAAGATGAAGGATAGTAATCTGCGCGTGGTCAGTAAATGTCCATCAGGTGTTGAATATGGTAAATCATCTTACCAAGAGCGTGCATAAGCATCTGGGGCCAGTACTCAGCTGGGATAAACTTATCCCAGTTGATGGCAGGAGATCCTGCCAGAATACCATCGTACTGAGTAGGGTATCGCTGAGCCATCATATGGCCCTGACGACCTCCCGTAGAGCATCCGTTCCAATAAGCATACTTGTGAGGCTTTCCATAGAACATTTTCGTGGCAGCTTTACCCAATGAGGCGGCATCATCGAGGGAAACAGAGCTGAAATCTTGCATATTTGCCCAATTGATGTTTCCCTCGCTGGCAAGTCCCCATGACGCGACAGAGGCATTCTCATCGTGTCCACCGTTCGTCGAGGCAGCCGCATAGCCACCAAACACGGCCTGATTCAGCCGCCCGATAGTCCCCATAATCCAACCACCACCCCCAACGCCCATAAATCGACCATTCCAATTCTCAACGGGAAGCGAAATCCATGTAGTGACATTGTCATTCCAGCCAGGGTGGGTGTAATTCACAGTAAGCTGGCAGATTTCCACGGTCTTATTAGTCGATATCGGATAAGCGTTCGTGATATCGTCCGCGTCATATTGGGCCTGGCTGAGCCTTGCGTCGATGGAAAGGACATCAATATTGGATAGACCCAAGGATGCAAACGTATCACTTGAGCAGACCTTTTTCGTCAGGGTATTTGCTGACAATGCCGAGGTCAGGAATTGGGAGAGTCCCAGGAGGTATATAGAGCTGGAGACCATGTTCTCGGGTTCGGGAGCCGGAGCTCGGTACGGAGTATAGGAAGAGGATTTTCGGGAGATGATATCACGATGCGCTAGCTCAGAAGTTTATGAAAGTGCGATCAGGCCGATCTTTATACTCGTGCAGAAATTGAATGTAAGCAGCTCCCTTGGAACGCAGCCAGGAGAAAATCCCAGATCGGGGCTAATGAATCCACTCGGTGGGGGTGTTCATCGGACACGGGCGTAAGCGAGATTTGGCTGTACGCGATGGAGCTAGCGCTGATGATATTTTCTGGCTTTGGAACCATTGTGAATCCCCGTGGTCAAAAGAACCTTTTATATAGGTTTAAGCTGTAAGCTTGGAATTGGGAGCGATGGACAATCTACAACCGAAGCCGAAAGTCAAGCCTGCATATATGCGCCTGCATTAGCGCGATCCTGGGATGTATTTCAAATACCCAAATCCCGCTGTTACAGAGCCAAGCCTTCTGCAAAGTTGTCTAAAGTATGGTATGTGGCTTGAAATATTACAATGCAAGATACTAGCTGTTTTGATATGTCCACTTTCAGCCTTAGCGCGAGAGTTAATGCTTAGAGCGATGATAGTCTGCAAGCTTTCTCCGCACACGGATAATTGTCCCACCGTCCCTTCGGAGTTATGGGGCTTGTCTGCGTTGAAATCCGGTCATCTCATTTGATGCTCTGTCAACTCTACAAGCCGATATCAGCTTCCGAGCCTCTCATTCAGCTTACCAAGCTGCCAACAGTCGGGGTAGAAACGCGGGGCCCCGGAGTTTTGCCGGTATGACGACGCCTAGACTTCAGATTCTTACTGGCGAGAAGAAGAGTTGTTGCCGTGGAACACAGCCGCGGGTGTCTGCATAAGCCCTAGACTCAGCCCGGATGCTCTGAGAGATGCGAAGGTATCGGATAAGGAGGGGGAATCGGAAGGTCGAAGCACTGTCCGTGATCTCGGATAATTGTCAACATGATTGTGATGACTTTGTGGAGCTTTCTGGACGAGGTTTCTTGCTTCTTCCGTGGGTTGCTTGCCTCGCAACGGTCTCCTAGTTGCAAATCCGCCGTCGGCCTGCGAGATCTCTTCCGGCGTCTTGTTTAGACCCTGTCCGTGATTAAGTCAGAGCTTAGCCAATTCTTTCTCAATTTAATATATGGATTACCTTCTCCTTTTGTGCACCGGAAATAGCTGTAGGTACAGGACTCTGCAGATCTCGACGGAAGAGAGTCGAAAGAAATCACTTCAGATCTCAGTTGAATGACGGCCACTGTAGCGCAGGAATAACGAACAGCCACGAAGGACATGTATGCAGCTTCCTTTCCACTTCGTAAATGCGTAGCTTCCCGTTTGCTCGTGTCTTACTTCACTTGCGCTCCTTCCAAGACTCCAAGTTACCCTCCATGAGAGGTTCCCATCTTCAACCTCCTCATCACAACACCACCACCATAATCATCACCACCATCATATTCAGTCCACTTCTCTCTACTCTGATCCGCTTTTATACGCCATCCAATATCCAAGGAACACTGTCGGGCATTCGGCAATCTTCGATCGAAAGGTCTTCGGACAAACGTCCTGTGAGGCTCGAGTCATCAAATTTGAGATTTCGCTAGACCCCAAACCAACCCTTTGATCTTTCTCTTATCATTGAGATAACTTTCTTCTCATCATCACTGCAGCCACTACAAGATGTGCAATGGTGGCATGGTGGCTCTCCCGCAGGCCGACAAAATGGTGATTGTGGTTTTAATCAAGTTCAAAACGAAACCTGGCTTTCAGGTAGACATCGAGTTGTGGAAAGGGACACGAATCCTTTGTGCCACCGTGCGCCACCGTTGATTATATCTTCAAAAGACTTCGTCCAAACCTACCTTCACACATCGACGGTTTGGACGCGAAACAAAAAACCGTGCACTTCAAAGATCGGGTCTGCTCACTGTTCACTACTTTATTTTTCTTCCTCTCCTCGGTATGAGATTCCACAGAACGGGTCCTTGTCATCATCATCCTAAGTGCAATTGTGGCCCGTTGTGGCCCGGTACATCAGAATTTGTGCCCCCGCCCCAGAGGCCGAAACAAGAGACCGACAGGTCTATTTTTCCATTGGTGTGCGGCGTACAAGCATCTCCATGGAGTACTGAAGCGCCAAGAGCGCTGGAGCGTGAGTCAAAAGCAAGAAACCAGAGGGCACTCATAAATACTGACTCTGAGTGTGGACACAGTACAGTAGCCCTAGGTTGAAAAAGCTTACATTTGAAGCATCAGAGCATGAACCAGAACCCAATAGAGAAGAAGAGTGACTTCTTGCTCATAGTGGCGATGGTTACCGCTGCCTACCATGTGTCCTTCACTCCCGGTCTCGTGTGATCCATCGTACCATCGATCCCACAAATCACCTTGCATATCTGGCGGCCGATAGCGAGATTTCGTTTGCCCGTACTTCGTCGCAACAACAGAGGGAGCTGCGGACTATCCGCGGCTGGAACAAGTTCGCTAAGGATCTGCCATCGCGAATGCCCAGGCGAGACCCCGTGCTGCAATTCCGAAGCCCATGCGCCCTCGGAGCCCCGAGCCTCCTCTGAAGAAGCGCCAATCCAAGGTCGTCTCCAATATGGACAACTTTGCGCAGTGTCACCACCAATTATGCCATTGAACGAGAGTCATATGCTGCGGAACATGTCGGCACAAGAAACGACATTATCCTTTCCGCTCAATGGATGAACATCGTCGTGTGATGCTTTTCCGGGAATAAAAAGCATACATAGCTCCGTTTAAATCCCTCGTGTGGGAGGCTTTATGATTTCAGCACTTGTTGAGCCTAGTCCAAATCCGTCTCCGTTGGCTTACAACCTCAATGAGTGGTTCATGAGAAACCAGGAAGAGAAAGCTTCTGAGGATGTTAGCGCCTCGGCGGAACGTGACCGTGCCCCTATCTTTAGCGTAGGCAGCTTACATACAATATCATCATCGCCTGCCTCACGCTTCCAGTGTAACAGAGGAGGAGCTTTTGATGTGCCTCGCCGCCTCGACTGTGCATCTTCCAGGGTTTGACTACAGTGGGGACATCGGGATCTGCTAGTTTACTGTACTATCGAAGATCTTCATGAATTGACCTATATACATCCATGGATCACCCCTTGATCTGAGAGCACCTTGAAAACTTAGTAAATCTATCCAGGATGTTCTAGAGGTGTGAAAGCTTAGTAGTCTAATGAAAAGGTGGTAACTTGACTCACATTTGAAGGTTCCATGCTAGGCAAAAATTTCTTGTGGATGTAGAGTGGTTCAGTGCGTGAAGGATCAAAGAAAGCAAGGGATTGCGTCAGGACCTTGTGACACTGCTTCGGGAAGGTGATCTTCGTCCAAACCGGATAATAGTCACGTGTTACTAGATCGCCCCGCAGGAGACGAACTTCGAACTTCGATCTTGTTTGGCTTTTCCCTGCAGCAAACCCATATGGCATTGACAGTTGCAGTAGCCGGCGCAACTGGTGCCGTAGGAAGAACACTCGTTGAACAGATTCTAAATGAGAACAAATTTTCGGTGGTGGCTCTGACACGAAGAGTATGTTCCATTTAAAGCAAACCCCCTCAATTCCTCAATTCCTCAAAAGCATACCGGTTGACAATTGAACTAGGGAGATATCGAATCACCAGTCAATGGCGTACAATATGTACAAATAGACTATGATGATCACTCGACACTTGTGCAACAGCTAGAGCGCCATGCAGTACAGACAGTGATCTGTGCAATTGGCATGTTAGGAGATGACTGTTCACAAGCCCAAATCAGTTTAATCAAAGCTGCCGACGAAGCAAGCACGGTAAAAAGGTTCATCACGAGTGAATTTGGTTATTTTACACGCGAAGAGTATCGTCTCCCTAGCCCTCGCCCCGGTTATACTCCGGATACTCTTTTTGTATCTGAAGCTTACACACACCGACAGGAGACGGCATATTGATCCAGGGATTGACTGGTTCTTGGAGGCTGCAAATCTTCTCAAGAACAGCGGTTTGACCTATACTCGCCCGGTTTGTGGCGCATTCATGGATTTCCTGGGAATGCCACACGCTCGTTCAAATATTGCCCCAATGAACATTGTCGTTGATGTTCTCAATCGACAAGCTTGTATTCCAGGGGATGGAAATACCCCTATCACCATGATTTACAGTTATGATGCTGCGACCTTGGTTGCCAAGCTGTTAGAAGTCAATGAATGGTCTGAGTTCAGCTTTTGCAATGGGGATGACACAACTTTAAGTGAGGTTTTGAGGATAGCGGAGGAAATCTGCGGTGAGTATTATTCCCTGGAACGATGTGCAGTTTTTTTTTTCTAACTATCATATGCTATATGAAGGTGAAAAGTTCCAAGTCAAATATCTGGAGGCCGAGGACGTCAAAACAGGCAACATCCCTATACTAAAGGTTCCCGACGGAAGTGGCATACAGCCAAATGAACTTTTAGACTACAGTGTATTCGGATATCAACTTTACCTCGCAAGAGGCTTTCAGTTGCCCGAAGAAGAGAGAATTGGAAGCAGATTCCCTGGCTTCAAACCGAGGACTGTCCGGGAGTTTTTAGAGTCGACTTGGAGAGCTCATGTATAGTCAAGTCATTAGGGCGCAGGCGTTCTCAAAGCCTCGATCAATTTTTAGTCCGCCTTGAATTCTCAGGTTTCACCCTTGTATTGTTAATCCCTAGCAGAGCAAAGTTGATTATCTCAGAGATCTTAGTATTGGCGTCTCTCGACTTTAAAGCGGTACTCGCCTATTTCTCACCTAGATGGGGCCTAGCTCCGATCATAACCAAGCCACATACTGCTAACGATGATGAGTAATTACTATCTATAGCCCTGGAGAACCATATCTAATAGCTGTACCTGTACATACGACCACAGGGCGTGGTTCCCAGGGCCCATAGCCCATTGATGGTTGGGCCCAATCGAGCCTCGTGAAGAGCTCTAGTTAGTGCCTGGTTTATCATGCTCCAGCAGGGTAGATTAGTGTAGATCAGATTACAGTTAACTGTAAACTCCGTCTGCTGCCATCCTTGTTATGGAGTTAACAAGTGATAGATAATTGAGAAATTTGGTAAAAAAAAGCGAATGGAACCAATCTAAAAAGTAGTCCCAGGTCCATTACATTAGGTTGCAGTGATAATGCTATACGACGTTGTACGTAGAGATTTCATAGTTGTTTGCTGACCTCATCCGTTTTGGGGGAACCTTGGAAACCGAGGCCTTGGAACTTCCAGCTCACTCTTTCTTTGACTTGATCTCTTTGTTCTCTGCTCTCGAGACTTCGAATTCTTTGCAAGATCATAATTACTCCGTACTGGGTGTTCATTTTTAACATCGCGCTAACAGCTAAGCGGCTATAGCATTCCTTGTTTTTAGCCCCGATGTGCCTTGCTTTGCCACCCGCGTCATCGGGCCTGTGAGCTGTGAATTGTGATCTGGTGCCTGAGTACAACGTACCTCTGAGTGCGCTGTCAACCATGCCGATGTCGGTTTGCGATCAACAGCGCTAGTAAGATCCCACGGAAAGCCGGAGCTCTTGCATGCTGCGAGCATTCCTGTGACCCAGAACCCTGTTTGATTCGGCCAAGCTCCATTGGTTGTTGCGCTTCTGAAAATTCTCCTCGTTTCAGTGCGAATGCTCCATACGGGGGACACCTAACCTGAATCACCGCCCAATTACCAGAGCCGACAAGATGGATCCGCCCATGACACCGACACCTGGCAGTGCAGCCCGCCGACCGCCTCTCCGTTCCTCACATTCGCCTAGCCCAACGAAACGTCCGCAGCGCAAGGATTATCCACCCTCTGCTGATAACAGCGCTAGCTACCGCCCAATGGGCGATCGGGCCCCAGGTGGCCCGGTATCCGTCTCCGAGGCTACCAACGAGACCCGCTTCGAACCCCCCGCTGATAATGCTGGCAAAACCCCCAAGTCCTCGAAACGCAAGAAGAACCGCAATCGCAAACGCCGCAACCGCCACCAATCTTTTGTCCCGCCCGATCGCGAGGAATCTCATGTTAGTCCTGGGCAGAGTGTAGTCGGTGGAGGCGATTCATTGGAGGCCGATCGGCCAACCTCGAGGGACACCCAGTCGTTCTTCAAGTTGGGACAAAATTTGAGCAATACGAGTCTGGAGAGCGAAGCGCTCTTAGATCATCGGTATGTATGCCCTCGTTGCGAAAATGGTGCTGGTACTGATTTTTCTTTGTCTGAGTAGTGACCAACATTCACTCCGCCCCCGCCGTGACAGTCGCCCTGGATCATCATTGCGCCCTGGCTCGCTCATGAATACTATTTTCCGATCGAACGACGGACAATCCCGCTCGACCCCGAGAGCGGGACGAAGCCAACAATACCAGGACGGAGACAGCGAGGATGAGGCGGCCAATGACCGCACACCTTTGATGCGATTGACTTCAAATCAAAACTCCAATCGCTATGGGACAGACAACCGCCCAGGCTTGCTCTCGGCTCGTGCTCGACAACCTTCCGTTCAGACGGTCTCATCTGGCTGCTCGCCTAGAGACAATCGCAGCCCACTCTATTCCCCTGCCATCGACCGAGACTACGATGTCAACAACCCTCCATCCATTCCCGGGTCCCCAAAGCTGGGCCCGGAGATGAACTACGACGATGCAGTTGTAACCGGAGCTGACTGGGACTTCACGCTAGCACGGTCTTTGGAGAACCGCAGGGACTCGCTTAACCTCCTGAACGATACCTTGATTGATATTGATGGAAATGGAGTACACCCACATTCTGCGCCATCATCCCCAGGATCGCCCATGCTTTCTCCACACCAAGAAATGCGACGGAGGCGAACTGTGGCACTGCCCGCAGAGGAAGATGTGTGCTTCCCTACCGAGGCAATCTCGGAAATTGGAGATGAGGGGCCAAGACAGACGGGCGCTGAGGTCGGTGAGCGCCGAAGGCGTAGACACCGGCGGTGGCCTGATCTCTCTGCTTTGGAAGAATGGAGTCGTGAAGAGAAAGAGGGACGCAATGGAGATTTCGGAGCCAAAAAGATCAGCGAACCAATGCTCATCGAAGGTCGATTGCGCCCTCAGTACAAAACCTGGAAACGCGAGGAGGATGAGGCACCTTATAGGTTCACCTATTTCAACGAGGAGTTCCCCAGCACCATCCATGCCCAGACTATATCTGAGCTGGTGCAACCGGGCAGTAGCTTCCGGGATCTATTCATCCCAGAGCCTCCAGAGTTGGAAGACTCGTCAGATGATTCAGATGGCGAAGAGGGATCATTCATGGACAACCCAAACAATCACCCACATCTTACCAACACGGCATCTCATCCAGATGCACACAACCAAGCCCAAGTCCAGACCCAGGGCCAGGGCCATCAGACAAATGTCAAGCCCAACACAACAGTTCCGAATACCTCGATCCCTGCCACACGCGACACAGCCGACCTGATTTCTGGCAACGCTCCCCCGTCCGAGGACCCTCGCGTTTATCTGTCATCAGTGAAGGGCGTGCCGACTCCCATCGTGAGTTGTCGCCCGCACAATCGAACAGCCACCTTGATATGGCTTCTCGACCCAAACCCAAACGGTACGGGCCGAGGCCCACTTTTTGGCTTGACGTCCTCTCCCCCACAGACGCGGAGATGCGAACCATCGCAAAGGCATTTGGCATTCACGCCCTGACGGCAGAAGATATTATGATGCAAGAAGCCCGGGAGAAAGTGGAGTTGTTCCGAAGCTACTATTTCGTCAACTACCGCACGTTCGAGCAAGACACCAACAGCGAAGATTACCTCGAACCGGTGAACATGTATGTGGTTGTTTTCCGCGAAGGTGTCATATCCTTCCACTTCTCTCAAACCCCTCATCCAGCCAATGTGCGTCGTCGCATTCGCCAACTGATGGACTATCTGATCCTGAGCTCGGATTGGATTTCGTATGCTTTGATCGACGATATTACGGACGTCTTCGGACCGCTGATCCAAGCGATCGAAGACGAGGTCGACGAAATTGATGAAATGATCATGCAGATGCACTCGTCAAGCAAGGAGGGCTCGCCAAGTGACAGCGTGCTCCCATCATTCGCTCCAGGCGAGATGCTTCGCCGGGTAGGAGAATGCCGCAAGAAGGTCATGGGACTCTACCGACTGCTCAGCAACAAGGCAGACGTCGTCAAGGGCTTTGCCAAGCGATGCAATGAGCAGTGGGAGGTTGCACCCAAATCAGAAATTGGTCTGTATCTGGGTGATATCCAAGACCACATTATGACCATGACGGGCAACTTGACGCACTATGAAACGTAAGCTAAATCACTTCCAAGGCAAGCGCATGGCATCTCTAACTCTAACTAGGATCCTCTCCCGCGCGCATTCCAACTATCTGGCGCAGATCAACATTCTCATGAACGAGCGGCAGGAGCACACTGCCGACGTCTTGGGTAAGCTGACTGTTCTTGGTACGATTGTGCTACCCATGAACATCATTTGTGGCATGTGGGGAATGAACGTCAAAGTACCTGGTCAAGATATTGACAGCCTGAACTGGTTCTGGTGTAGTATGTTACCCTTGAAGTTCTAGTTTCCTTGTTTTCTTTCCCCGGTCACAATGCTAACCATTTTCCAGTTACCGCCGGATTGGTTTTATTTGCATTGATCTCGGTAGTGATTGCCAAGCGGGTCTACAAAATTGTATAGACAAACACGCTGTATCCTACGGGGCTTTGGTTCTTGGGGGTTCGACTGGATCGATTTCCTCACATTTGATTGTCACTTATTTGAACTTGAAATCTTTCTCCGGCTATAAAGACGCTGTCGGACACACGATTAACGATATATGGCACATGTATCGGTTCGTTCTTTGCTGCTTTTGGGGGGCTACCTTTTTACATATTGTTACAGCTTTGATAGAACTGCACTGTGTACACTAGTTTAATGGATAATTGCTATGACCCTAGTGTTTCTTTTCTTTTTTAAAAAAAGGCCCCCCAATATTGTTGATACCTAGGTATTGAGGAAATTCTTGCTGTTCTGGGAGGGGGAGTTCCCGGTTTTCCCTGTATACTTTCATGCCAGGATTCTGTCGGTGGCGCAGGGAGGAAACAGGATGCTTAGCCATACGTCTCAATAGCCTGAAATATCCGATTCTAGCGTCGAATCTAAGGAATCTAAGTAGAACCGCTGCACTACATACTCCGTACAGGTTATCTTCATCCTCACACCTTGCACATTATGGAATAAATAGAACACTATCGATCTGGTATAGTGCCGCTGAGGTCATCGTAGTGCCCTTACTTCGTGGCATTAATAATCGGGGCCACTAGCGGGTATTATTGCCACATCCCCCCGGACTTCGAGGAGTGACTTCATTCCCGTTCTCAAAGCCGTGTGCCTCTTTTCTCTCTTCTCTCTTCTTTCTTCTCTTCCTAACATCCATCTTTTGAACAAAAAGCCCATTCTCACACTCTTTATCCGATTTGATTCTAGACCGCGTCGACACTTGACGTGGACTGCGATCATTGGTCTCTGCCACGGACCCGACCCTCTCAGCCACTTTTCACCGTTCTGACCGACATCTCTGCAGGCGCATTTGGCACCTAACAGCCTAGACGCCACTCCTAAAACAAATCCAGCCAGTCAAGCCAAAACGTTGAGCCGGATCGGCGGTACCCATCTGCCCCTATCCCGCCAACCAAATCGCCTGGTACTCGGTTCTTTCGTTCTAGACGCTCTTGCTTGTGCCCTCGGAAGAAAGCATGTGTGTGTCCGCACCCTGACGGCCCACTTGGTACAGCTCCATATCTCCAGTTTCCCGCAATCCTTCGTTTTTCTTCGTGCGTTTCTGTACAGAGCCCCGTTTCCCGGCAAAACAGCATGTGGTCTTCGGCTATTCGTGCGTCACCCTCACATGTGTAACGACCCGTACTCTGCGCAACATCTCGATCGATCCGCGTGATATCCCATTCGCTATTGCCAAGAACAACTCATTTCTTCACCGTTGAGCTGTTCTGGTGCCTTGCCTTTTTTCCACCCTTTCCGAACCCGGTATCTGCCCAACTGACAGGCTCCCTCTGGGGTCTCCTGATTGATCGACCTCGCGTCACCCCGTCGTGTTCAGAGCCAGCATGGCTGCAGAGCCCGAAAGGCCGCCTCGCACCAACGGCACCTCTGGTCGATCCAGAGGGGTCAAGGATGCAGATGCGGCATCGGATCCGGTGCAGCGGTCGGCCAACGAAACTGCTGTTAACAACCCAGCTGCCAAACCACAGGTCACCTCGCAGGTGCCTTGGCTTTCCCCTAATATTCCTGCCCCTTCCACAACCGCGTCTACCACGAACTCCGCCGTTTCCTCCCGGGAGTCTTCTCCGGTCCGATTTTCCTCACGTACCCTCAACTCTTCCTCCCACAGTCGTGTTTCTTCACAATCCCGAAAGCCCAGCCAAGACCGAGCCAGTCCAGCCCGACACCACTCGAGCGGTCCGAATCCCGGTCATTCTACACATTCGCCATCCGCGAGTTTTTCCCGTTCCTCCTCTTCCCCCGTGAAACCGCTGGTTCTTTCCGCTTCGATCGAGTCGGCAAATGTTGCCAGCCCGGAGAAGAACAATATGCCATCATGGGCCGCGAATCGTCGCACCGAGTTGGAGTCAACTCTACCAAACACATCACACAAAAGATCTACCCTACCGGCTGACGATCCCACGAAGGTGGACCGAAATGCACCCCGGCCAGCCTCAAGAACCACCGGCGGACAAGGATCATCGCTGGAAACCGTCGACGAGATGACCAGCAACCCTTCCACCCCCTCGGGTGGCACAGCACCCCAACCAGTGACTCCGGAAGAGTCCCGGCTGCATCGCATCGACGAAGACCCAACCCCACGCGCTCCACAGCAACCCCAAGGAAGCGGCAGCGACAGCGGGGAAAACAAAGTGTCCGAGCCCAGGGAAGAGCCTCGACCCCAGACCTCAGCTCCCGCGAAAACACCCAGAACTTTAATACCCCAAAGATCAACTACCTCCCTTAGTGCCGGTGCTCGGGGAAAGCCTGCCGATGGGTCGGTCCGCAACATGACCGTTGAGACAGAGACGGTCAGTTCCATACCGCAGGTCTCTCTTGGCGTTGGAAACGGTGAGCGTGGTAACGCTTCTCGCTCCGAGACGGGTACCCTTCGCATGAAGCCATCCACCGAGACGATTCGTCCCCGCAAAGACAAAAAGAAAGGTCGCAGAGCGAATGCCCTCACCGCTGGTCCTGCATCAAGCAAGGCGGATATCTTTGAGGCCAAAGTAGCCAATGCAGTTGATGAGGCAGATGTCTCAGACTCCGACGAGACTTTCGTTTACGAATCAAATCCCCCAGATCCATACCCCAATCGCCCCCCCTCGCTATCATTCCCGGACGCCCAGCGCCACTTCCATGGTGAGCCAAGTGGATCAGCTATCTAATCGCACCCGGGGCTTGAGGGATGCATCGCATGGCGTGATCGGAAAACGCAGCATGAAGTTCACCGGTGCTAATAATAGCATTGATGGCGGAATCCCGGATCTTGATGGGGCTTCTCGATCTTCCAGGACGGATGGAACTGGAACTATAACCCCGCGACACCACAATATTGGCAGTCGCCATCATTCTCGGGGCATGCAGAGTGTTCTAGACTCTGATACATACTCCCAGCCGGGACCCCACTCGCAAAAGTCCCCTCGTCATTTCATTGGGACCCCATACCGTCAGTCACGGCATAGCAGCACCCGCATGTCTCCCAATCATCGGATGCTCAATGGCTTCAAAAAGGGTGGAGAATACGGTTCCTCCGATTATGAAGCAGAAGGCGCTGATGATGAACGCACACCCCTGGTGGGCAACCGTTCAGTGCGCAGTCGGAATGGTGGTCGCCGGCCCAACAGTGCAAGCTTGCGCCAGATGGAGTACATGGCGCAGCGACACCGCGGAATGATTTCGCGCTTTGGCTCTTGTGCCGTTATCTTCGTCCTATTATTAATTGTGGCTGGCGGCGCAACTTCATTCATTGTTGCGGCAACTCGGCCCCTTTTGGATGTCCAAGTCATCGCCATTCAGAACGTGCTGGCTTCGGAACAGGAGCTCATGCTTGACTTGAACGTGCAAGCTGTGAATCCCAACCTATTTCCTGTGACCATCGACGATACCGACGTGAATATCTTCGCAAAGAGCGGTTATGTCGGAACCGATAAATTTTGGCGCGACCATGGCGCCGAAGATCTAGATAACTTCCCACGCATTGAGCAAAGCAGACGTCGCTGGCAACTGTCGCAAGCCGTGCGTTGTATGGGCAGTGTGAATTGTCTGAAGGAAGCCATGGGCGGCCACTCAAACCCGCACACCGAGGACGGGGTTGACAAAGGCACCGACCCCCCTTCAGATCCAGAGGGTGATCCAAAATCAATGCTCCTCGGTCGCGTATTCCGCTTCGACTCCCCACTCTCATTCGAGTCCTCGCCTTGGAGCCACCGCACATCGAGCTCAAAAGGACAAATCCGGCTAAGCCGACCAGGCAACAAAACCGAAACAGGAGGCACAGAGCGCTGGGAGCGTGTTCTCCAACACCCCTTCGAGCTGACTGTCCGCGGCATTGTCAAATACCAACTCCCTCTCAGTTCTCGCTACCTTTCTGCCTCCATCAGTTCTAGTATCAAGGTGGTGCCTGATGCCGAGGACCCTGATACCCCGGGCAATTCCACTGCCCGGATCACCGCGAAACGGACTCCAACACTCCTTCCACTCGACGCTCGCTCCGCGGGTTCGAGACGACCTTTTACGGCATAAACTTTAGCGATAGATTCATCATTGACTCACGACAGCCTTGTTTTTGTTGTTTTCCTGTTTATCTTTTTCTGTAAGGAGACGAAAAAGCAAAGCGTCCTTTTTCCATGGACTCTTTTGGCTTACTGCTGTATACCCATTTGCCTTCGTCTTGTGTCTTGACTACTCCTTTTTTATTTGTCTAGAGACATCTCTATCCGAATGTAATCTTCCTACATCTCCATTTCTCCTATTCGTCGTCTCTCGGCATCTCCGTGTTTCGTTTCTTGTATCTATATTCGGTCTCGGTGTTATAGTTAGGATTTTGATGAACTTGAGCTATCGGCTACTGAATATAAGTTGATTGAAGCTCTTCCGGGGGTGTTCATTGTCTACCAAAGCGCTGCTCTCTTCTGAGGATTTGATGCTTCCTGCGCCATAGTTTGATTCAAGCCACAAAGTGGCTGGCTGACATACGATATCAGAAATGTGCCGAGTGAGGGATCAACCCGACTACCTAATCTTCTACATCACACGCATCATCATATCTCCAGTTTGCGTTGCAAGGAATCGCTCCCTGTTTTCAAGTTTTTTTTGTTGCCCTTTGATCTTCTCCTCAATCTGATGTTGGCACCGTCGAGTACTACCTGTTTTTTGGAAGGTAGGCATCATCAAGGGCATTGCTTTACGTGAAATATGTACCGACCTCCATTCGCGCGTTTTCGGTGCTACATTCAGAGTAAAATACCAAGCCTGAAGCAACACCACCGGTCAATCTCAAAAGCTCCAACGTCATTGTACGATCAGTGTCCCGCCAGCATGAGCTCTTCTCAGACAGGTAAGCACGCCCATCTGAGGGCGATTCAACGTAATGCTCATCCCTATCAGACTGGAATTCCAACGATGAATTCTTCAAATTCACGCGTGGCCACTTTATTGTAGATGAAGCAGAGAATCTTCGAAAGCGAGAGATCAGATTCGACCTAAACAAGCTCGCAAGTGTAGCGGCAGACTCGGTCGGCGCCACTCAATGCATTTCTATCAAGAAGTACCCCGGCGGCATGTTCAACAAAGCATTCCTCATGTCTATGGACGATGGCCAAGAAGTCATAGCCAAGGTACCTAACCCGAATGCTGGCGTTCCACACTTTACTACGGCCAGTGAAGTCGCCACGATGGACTTCGTAGGTTTCACCCAGAGCTAAATCATCGCTTAGTCCTGCTAACAAGACTGTTTTGGCAGGCCAGAAAAGTTCTTGACACACCAGCGCCTCGCGTGCACTTATGGAACTCGCGAGCAGAATCGCACCCTGTTGGGGCTGAATTCATCATCATGGATAAAGTTGGGGGGGGTTCCACTGTTCCAAGTCTGGGGAAGGATGAAATTACCCCAGAAGCTTCAAGTGCTTCTTGCCATGACACGTCTCCAGAAGCAATGGCTAAGCGTTCCATTCTCACATTACGGCAGCTTGTACTACACAGGAGACGTGCAGCCACTAGTAGGCAACCAATATGTCAAGGATGGCGAGACAGTCAAAGATTCAGAGTTTGTTATTGGGCCGACTACAGGCCGGGATTGGATTGATGCAGGCCGATCAAGTTTGGAAGTCGAAAGAGGGCCATGTACGTTGCGGCTTGTATTATCTTCGTCCAACCCGCTGATCAGTTTGCAGGGGCTTCTATAACGCAGTTTCTGCAAGCAGTTGGGACGCGAGAGATGAAGGCGAACCAGTCTTTGAAGCCTCCGAAACAGATTGCTTTATTCTGTGGCCCAAAGCTCTACCGACCAGACAAGGAAAAGAAGATTACTGCTCTAGCAAGGTACCGACAAATTGTCGACATCCTTATTCCAAAGAACACTGCCCTCACCACCCCTCGCCTCTGGCATAATGATTTGCACGATGACAACGTCTTCGTAGACCCGCATCATCCCGAAAAAAATTACGGGTATCATCGACTGGCAGTCTTGCCACATCTCGCCCCTCTTCAACCACAATCCCGATCCAGCCTTCCTCGACTGGAACGGCCTTGAGCCCGAGACTCTCGATCTGGCACCGCGACCAAAACTCTCCGGACTTTCCCCAGAAGAACGGGCCGCAGCTTTACACGAGTATAGCATCCAAAACGTGCTAATTGGATGGCGGAAACTCATGCATGCCAAAAACCCAGAGCTATATCAAGTGGTCGAATTTCGAAAGACGGCAGCGTACGGGTTGATATTTCTTGCTCATCGAATGTTCGAGTACGGCGAGACACATTTCCAATCGCTTCTGGTCGATTTGAAGGATACGTGGGCGGACTTACCTGCCGTCACTAGCGACATCCCCTTCCCCTTCGAGTTTTCAGAAGCAGATGTGGAACGTATCAAACTGGATAGTCATGGCGCAGTGGCGGGAACCGACCTTGTTGCGGAGGTCAAAGAGAGAATTGGTGATTTGTGGCCGGACAAAGGCTTCGTCGAGCACGAGCGATACGATGATTGCAGAGCCGCGCTTCAGGAAGTCAAAGTTCAAATATTGGAGCAATTGGCTGAAACGGACGAGGAAAAAGCTGAGTACGAGCGCTATTGGCCATTTGATTGATCATTTCTGTATCGAGAAAAAAAGTACAGTAGGAGATAGGTACGCTACAAGACGTCTAGACAAGGACTCAGTTGCACAGTTTGAAAGTAACTGAAATTTAGAGCAAATTCAAGGCTACATACACATCATAAATCATAATCGTCAACGCAAGGCATCGTTCTCAAAAGGGTAAATGAGCAAGCCAAAAAAGAGAATAATGTATCAAAAAGGACAAGGAATAGGGACACAGCCAATAAAGTATTGATCAAAAAAGCACGACGACCACCGGATTGAGGAAAAGAGTCATAGGGGAAAAAAAGGATCAAAGGTAGGACGAAAACAGTGCAAGCTTAGAATAGAACCTTCGTGAAGCGATTCACCAAATCTTCAAATTTCTGAACGGCAGGATCTTGATCAAGCAGTCGGCCTTGGCTATCGAAACGATTCGGTAGATCGATAGTTGAATCGGAATCGTCGGAGTTCTTGCCATCTCCACGACTTGAGTGCACGTAGTGAGGGGCAGATGAAGAACGAGAACGACTGTGATGACGATGACGATCCCGACGCTTCGGCTCAATGGTAGAAGTACTCTTATCCGACTCATAGCCATCGTCCGGATTCGAAAGATCAAACGCCACAGATTTCGAAGGGGGCTGACTATTTGATCTCGATCTCGAAGGCGTGAATTTGTTGTTTAGACCTAGGAACGGGTTAGCTCTTGGATTCAAAACCAAGGTTCTTAGAACCCACCCTGGTGGATAAGTGGGGATCTCACATTGTCTTCGGGTCTCCTCGGCCGGTATGGCTCCGGACCTGCGCCGTAGGTGTACGGCTGCGAGGGCGGTGCCGCACAAGGGGGAGGGGGGTAGTCAGCTGGGTTGTATGGGGCAGGTGTAGCGTTCAGGTTATGGGTAGAGTCGCCTGGGGGAGGTGGGAATCGATGGCCATTGGGATAGTAGTGGTTATCGGGCATTGGGGGCCCTGTTTGCGGGGAGGACGGGTATGGTGGGTATGGCTCAGGGTCGTATGATTCTTCGTATGGATCGCGAGGATGGTCATCGCGGTCACGGTCGCGGTCATCATAGCCTACGCTACTAGTCAGGGTGAATATCTCGTGAGAAAAAGAAGAGGGAAGACTTACGTGCGTGGGAATGTTCGCGCTCGCGCTCTCGCGACTTCGACTTGCGTCGCTCGTTGAACTTGTGCGCGGCGTAGCCGAGTCCTGAAGCGCCGAGTGCTGCGCCTGCAAGGTCGCGGGACCGACTGTGGTGCTTGCGACGTCGGTCTCCACGCTCGCGGTCCGAGCCCGAGGAGCTGCTGTAGCGACCCCCGCGGCTACGGCTGCGGCTGCGAGTTTGGCGTCGCGCGCCATAGGCTTCCGGACCTTCCAGGTAAGGCTGGCTGGCGCCCGGTTGGCCGTAGTAGTGCTCAGCGGGGATACTGCCTGCTACAGGGTCGTTACCGTATTCGATCAGGCCAGCGGAGTCGCGTGCCGGGTCTGGGTATGACTGCGACGGTGCGCGGCTGCGAGATCTGGAACGAAGTCGGCCACGGCTGCTTGCATCATTCTCGTCTTTCTCACCTTTCTTCTTCTCGTATAGACCAGTTGCAGCGGCCGTGGCTAGACCCGCTCCTACGATTGGGAGTGCTTGTCTGAGACGGCTGCGGCTGCGAGAGCGCTCACCCTTTCGGGCCCGTGAATGGCTGCGGACCTTTTCGACGATGCCTGCGACAGCTGCTCCGGCTAAACCTGCACCGGCCATGTGCTTGCGGCGCTCTGACATGGTTCTTTCTTCGTCCTTTTCGCCCTTGGCTGAGCGGCCTCGGCTTGCAGCGCGAGATCGCGAGCGAGTACGAGATCGGCTCTTGCGGTCTCCGGCATTGGACTTGCTGCGCAGTGCGGCTACACCTGCAGCAACTGCAGCGGCACCGACGCCGAGCTCGAGAAGAGTCTTCGCACGCGAGTGTGAGTGAGATCGGCTGCGGCTGCGGCTGTGACGACTGTGACTATGCAGGCTGTGTCGGCTGTGGCGGTGGGAGTGGGAGGAGCGGTCATCGTCAAAGGAGTGTGAACGATGACGGCTCTTGCTTCGGTAATACTCGCGTGCACGGGAAGCGGCATTAACAGCCACTGCACCCAGAGCACCGGCACCAACGGTCTTACCGATACGGCTGGCGCCGTGGCTGGTTTCTCCGTCTTTCTTGCTGCGGCTGCGCATCAGTTCCGCAGCGCCCGCACCAACCAAGGCGCCCTCCAACATGTGACGGCGGTGATGGGCATGATCCTCATGGCCGTGGGTTTCTTTGCGAACGTAGACCATGCTGTCATCACTGCTGTAGTCCTCGTCTCGGTTACGGCCACGGCGAGAAATCGAGTTCTCGGGGCTCAGATCGCGGCGGGAGCGACGGTCATCGTATTCACGGGTTCGACGGTGGCGATGATAGTAGTATGGATCCTCATCGCCTTCGGACCGGCGCACCAGGTCATATTCCGATTCACGGGGACTGGTGTATGAATGGCGGGCTTCTTGAATCAGTGATGGTTCTCTGGCAGCGGGGAACTGCTCCACTCGTCCTATGGGTTCCATGGATCGGGAGTATTGGCGATTGTCGTATGGATGCAGGTACTCACGTTCTTCGTAGTATCGCTCATAGCGTGCGGGGGTTTCATAATCCACCTCTCGTTCGTATCGGGAGATGCTGACGGGTTCATCGCGATCGGTCTTGCGACGAATTACCATCTCCCGCTCCCCGGTGTAGGGATCCTCGTGCCTCGACATGAAGTCTCGACGGTCGTCTTCAGGAGGAATGACGTAACGCTTAATTGTGACGGGACGGGACTCGTCCCAGTCCCGCTCGCTTCTGTAGGAGTATGACATGGGATGGGAGAAGTAAGAGAGAGGTAACAAAGAGATGAGAAGTGAGTTGTGTTGAAAGGCGAAGAGAGAAAAAAAAAAAAGTAGTCAGATGCACAATGCAAGAAATTGAGGGGAGGCGGCAGGGAAGTGGGGGTTTTGCAGAGAGGCTGTGATCGACTACTGGCCGGGGGATGTTTCTGGACGCCTGATTGGTAACGAGGTGCCTCAAGCGAATCAACGATCTGCCAAGCCGAAACCCGGATCCTAGCGTTGAATAATGATTCAGAATGATGAAAGGCACGTCTGTAGGGCAGGGCGGAGACTCGGCCCAACTCAGCCTCTGATCTGCAGGCTAGCAACTAGACCCGAACCCGGAAGTCTCGGGATCAAAACAAGAAAGTTGGAAGATGGCAGGATGAGGTGATAGTTTGGTGAAGATGGAAAAGAGTAGGTAATGTAGGTGGAAAAGATGGAAGAGGGGGAAGATAAAGAAAATGCCACGTGAGGCTCTCTGTCTTGTAGCAGTGGCAAAGTCCCTAACGGAGAGAGACAGGTTTATAAGTGAGAGTGGAAGAGTAGAGTAGAGGTGAAGTTGAGAAGTTCAAGTTGATACTTGACTGTTTGGCTCTTCCCGTTTCAACCCATGGGTCGCATCGACTGGATGAGGTCTATCCATGGTTCCGTGTCTGATACCCGGGTACATCTATACGAGCTACTATACTCCGTACTAACCGACTACATACTACTAACTACTGTCACTACTTCTTACTGGCATATGCATTAGACTTACATTCTGCATTCTGCATTCCATCTTGTCACTTGCTCTATCAAATCGAGCATAGATCATCCCGGCAGTTTCAAAAGTTCAACTGAACTGCAAATAGATTAAAACCATTCGTCTCGGGTCCAGGTTGCCACATTCTCCTCTCCCACTCTACAACGTACGGAGTACTCCGTACAATAGCACAAGCAAAACCCCCTGGAGGGGTAATGTCCCACTATGCGCCCGCGACACGCCCAGGGCCAGTCAAGATGCAAAACCCAATCAGAGACCTGTTCGTATAATCTTCTTCTCCCCTGCTTCATGTCACCCATGTCCCGGGCAATAAGAGGCGTACTACTCGGCTCGTACAAAGTACCGGGATTGCGCCCCGCGATGACATCATGGGGCGCGTTGGGCACGGTAGGCTGAGTTCTGTACTTCGCCCCAGTGGAGAAAGAGAATGCACGAAGAATTTCTAGAAGGGTTCTGAGACTAGCGTGAATACCCATAACGCTACAGAATATTCTGTTCTTTTTTACCCTCGGAGAAAATATCCTTTTCATGCAGAGTCCGTATTGCTGCCCAGGTGGATCTGGGGTGTATAGTGAAATTCACTTTCCTACGGGTTCCAACTTCCAAGGTTATGCTTCATAACAAGACTTGAAACAGACCGGGCGTCAGTTAAAGCTATAGGTGGTCCATACCCAATCTAGTTGAAGAAGATCATCGAGACTTCAGCGGGTGCTAAAACAGAGGCTAAATTAGTTTATTACGTGAGGCTTTAATGTCAACATTCTCGCCCGCTCCGAGGATTGGTGAGCGACTACACGTGCAATTTGCCAATTTTAGTGAATCGTCATCTTTGGACTTCTACTTGCTTGAATTGCCGCTTGCTAAGGCACCCGAGTTTCACTATAGTGTGTTGCTCTCATGGCTTTGTGGGGAACTAATGAGCCATCCCAGCAAACTTTGGTCGGAAAACTACAACTTCCTTAGTCTCCAAGCGAATAGACCCTCATTATCTTCTAGTCTTGTCTCATAAACCACTCCGGGATAAGTGAATACCCATTGTTATCTTTGTAGAACCCCTTGACCAAATAAACAACCCCGAAACCCATCACTCACGACCCACTCCCAAAGCCGCATTAACACCCGCCACGTCCCAATAAAACGGCCTCATCTCAGTCATAACCCCCCTGTCACAATCCACCGTAACCGCCTGACAGAACGGGTACTCCATTTCCTGACCAGACCCACGCACCTTGAAGTGCACCGTGGACAAGACAACGATCCGATCGGAACCCGGCGATTCGAAGATTTCCGGATTCCGCACATCAACGACCTCAAAGTAGTCAGCCATGCGACGGGCCCAGTCTTGCATTCCGCTGGGTCCGATATACACGCCGGCATATGGAAGGGCGGATGTTTGTTCCATGCGGAAGTCGGGTGCTAGGGTTGCTGCGATCCCGGTGAAGTCGCGTTGGTCCGGGGGTGAAGACATGTAGATGCGCTCTGCTTCGTAGAATGAGTCTAGGATTTGGCGGGGTGTGAATCTGATGTTGGATGACATGGTGGTTTGGTAGTGAAGCCTAATGAGGGGGGATATTCGGGGTTCTTGCGGTGTAGGTAGACAACAAGGTATGGAGGACAGATGTGGATATTGAAAGAAACTGATACAATCAGCAGTCAGAGATCTTTATCACTCGATATCTTGTATTTCAATGTGAATCGAAGGTGCGTAGGGCTGGGATCTGCAGTCGGAGAGTTTACAAATTCGTACTTCGGTTCGGGCTTATAGACAGGCCGCTTCTCCGCTTATAGAGCCCAAAGCGTCTGCAGGAACGAGTAGATCTTCGATAGAAAGAGGGAGTAGGATGAGAAGTGAAGAGAGGGCAGCGGAGAGAATTGGAGCTGTTATAGCAAGCGAGAAGAGAAGCAAGGGAGCAGCACCTCACGACAAATCACACCACCAGCACCACTGGACTTTTCACCACAGAATACCTTTCCCGATGACCAAGTCTTCGATGCTATATAGCCTCCTGTGGTAGATAATGGTCGGTAAACAATGACGATCATGCAATAGTCGTAAAAAGAAAGTGTGAATACAAGAGGGAATGTAGCACACTTTTCTACTTCGATCTAGCTAACAATGCGAGAAATGTTGATCGAAATACCATGCTTGGAATCTAATTTCAAACACTTTGCGGTATCACGCTTGATCTCTTTAAAATAGATCATTCAAGGTGACTTCACTCGTGCACTACACGTTGGAATCTCGCAAGATGGGGAGCTGTCTGCCTAATAGGAAAGTGGGTCTTGGTTCTATCACCTGTCTTCTCTTCCCAGAGCCTCATCGGACATTCAACTTCGCCCAGAGTAGATGAACTGACTGGAGTTACTTGACTGGCCAAGATAAAAGGTATCTCAGATTGATAAACAGCATTTATGACTGTGTGGCGGTGGCCCTAGGCCTGCAGAGCTTCCTAGTCAGGTGAGAAAGCGAGGTTAAGAAGCTGATAAGGGTATAGGTATATTGTCAAGAACAGGTGGGCTGGCCTAGCGGTGCAGCCACTGGGCAGCCCGGACTGGAGAGCCCACCTCTTGTCTCGTAGTATAACAAAATATATGCCCTTCTGGTAGGACCAGATGGGGGAATATTTTTGTCAACGTCACCTGTTCGACTCCCCCTTTGAGCTTTTTGCTTTTTACTTTTTGCCTTTCTGATCTCATTTCTCAGTATACATGTAGTAAGTTGTTATAACCAGCAACAATTCAGTACTTTGTCTCTAGGCACACGGACTCTTGAAAAACCCAAGGTTACGGATTTGAAATGGTACAACACAGAAAGAAATGAGTTATCAAAGAACCTATATATCCAATAAATACTGTCTCATGTCAAGCATCTCTCCAGAGCCTTCAACAGCCATTGTGCCTAAGCCCTGATTTTGAAGGTTTTAGGCGCAGGCAAAGAAACAGGAGTATCAGTTCGCGCCATCTTCTGAATAAGATGCTCAAACGAAGCAGATGTTTCAACGCGAGGGGTGAAAGGCTTGAAATCCCAAAGGTAGCCAAGAGTCCGCAGAATGGAAGAAGCAGAGTAGGAGACAACCTTTCCATCAGAGTTCGTTCCCTTCTGCTCGACCTGACCCTTGGCAATCCAGGGCGAGATGAGCAAGGTAGGAATACGACCACCCAGACGATCGAAAGAGAAAGTGTACTTCTCTCCGTTCGGCGCTGTTTCCGTGTAGGTCAGGTTGTCTGGGCGGGCTGCCTGGGGAGGGGGCACATGGTCGTGGAAACCACCGGTCTCGTCGAAGGTGAGGATGAAGAGAGTCTCATTCCATTGGGGACTGGCGCGGAGGGCGTCATAGACATTCTTGATCAGGGTTTCGCCTTCTGAGACGAGACCGGTTGGGTGCATGGAGTTCGTGCCGACGCCACAGCAGGAGGGGTCGATGAAGGAGAATTCAGGGAGACTGCCGGCTTTGGCGTCGGCGTAGAAGTTGTTCAGTGGTTCTGCTTTGTCGGTGTTGTTGCTGGTGAAGGTCCAGTCGAAGAAATAGGCATCGATCATATCGGTGCTTGTATAGTAGTTCTTCCAAGTGTGGTCGGTCTCTGAGAGCTGTTGGAAGATTGAGCGCTGCGTAAGGCCGTGGTTACTTGAGTCGAAGGATTCGTCGTTTGTACCGTGGCCGGCAGAGGTTCCTGACAGAACGAAAGCACGGTTGGGGTTGGTGGGCTGGTTGTTTTGTTAGTTTGTCACAAAAAAGAAAACCCAGGAGGCAAGTGCTTACCCCGGGGTGGTCCGAATGCCAGTGGTTGAAGGTGAGGTAGTTTTGGACCAGTGATGTGAACACCGGAACTTCTTCCTCGGTGTAGTAGTTCAAGACCTGCTTGGCCAGAGCCGCCTTGTCGACATCGTCGCCGTAACGACGCAGCTGCTCGTGAACAAAGCCTTGTTGATTAGGAGTGAGCTCGCCGCTGGCGATGGCCGCATTGCTCGGGGCAAATGTCCCGTAGAACTCAATGTTATTTCCAGTGACCGAGTGATCGGGGTCATCCAGAATAGAGTCGAAGTCTTTAGCGGAACTGCACACCTGGCCCGCAGACGCATCGGTCAAATTGTACGGGTTGCAGAAGGGGCCGTTGTTGATAGGATTGTCCAGTCCTTTGATGGTCTGGCCACCGAGGACATTGTCCAACGAGCGGTTCTCCATCTCAAGGATGACAACATTCTTGATCTTGTTCTTGAGATTGGCGATGGAAGTCGAGGAATGAGACCGGGAGTTGCCCTTGGGAGGGGCCGCGGAGACTGCGGCTGCGAAGGTCAGGAGACCAAGGAGAGCACTGAGATTCATTTTGAATCAAGGGAGACTCTTTTTTCCAGTCAAGGCGGGGTGTTTGGTCTTCTTCCCATGTGCAGGCAATGCTGCCCTTTTATATGCAGTCCTCCCCAAGTGCCATCAGTCACCCCCGGCATTCTTGAGAGCATTTCTCCCCCAAACGGCCCACGTGTTGCCCTAGAGCTCGTCGGCTCGATCGAGACGCGACCCGGACAGAGGCATGGGCTCGGAGACCCAGCGTGATAGGGGTACTCAATTCATTCTCTCATATACCCACGGGATGACAATGTCGATATGTGATTCATCTGATTGGCACCCTGCTTACTATCAGTATACGCAACCAAAAACAAGTGCACCGGCACCACGCCATGATTGGTCGCCACGAGTGGGATTGGCAGGTACACGATCCCGTGCGAGGTACCAGAAGCAACGTCTTGTCGGACGGTTGACTCCGAGCACCGTGCCAAGCATTCACCCAGGCCATCGGAGAGCGGACCAGACTGTGAAGAATGAGGCTAGGGCTGATGGGAGAAGAATTTGCTCGAATCAAATGGCTGGCTCCTTGCACGAGCAATGTTGGCTTGGGGCCGGCCTCTCCACACCGGTGCCGTGCGGAATTCCCCAGAGCCCGAACACAACAAGGTCCAGCATCGGAACGAAGCGCGATTCTGATCTCAACGACGATCATTGCGCAACTAAGCATTTGACATATTGGAGGTGGACTTCGCTTGGTAGGGTGAATGTCGTGGCTTCGGAGCGGGCGCTGATTGGCTGCAGAAGTAGTGATGCTTGGCGGCCTGGGGAGGTAGGTTTTAGGGCGTTGCACATAGACCTCACGAATCTTTTTAACGTAGTATTCGGGGAATATCCATGGATCCAAGCAAACAAAAGCTTTACGGGTGCTGTCCAGGAGGTGCTGATTGGATGAATCGAGATTATGGATATAACAATTATTCGACTTGGCAATTTATCTCACACGAAATCATAACACATGGCAGGTCGGAATCAAGCGCTCGATATTCCAAGGTTCACTTATAATAATTGGGTACCTTAAGCCCTTTGAACTCAAACGAAGTGTTCTCCCGTCGGTCGATGACTTTTCTATGGTGTACATCGCGGACCCGGGCACGAACATATTCGGTTCCAGTAGGCGCAGGCTCGGTGTTGGCTTTATCTGCCTCAGTGAGCAACCCAAGGCGCTCAAGGAGAGGAGATGGCACTGTTTTCATAATAGTATCATCACCAGGTCTAGCAAAGTACAGTAATCCAAGACGAGGAGTCTGGATCTGATCTTTCGGGGGCGTAATGACACGGTGGATTGTAGATTTGATGAATCCTGTTTTCCCAATTAGCACATATCAGTGGAAGGCATTCAGAGATATTACCGTTGGTAAGGAATGACAAAGTATCTGCTGCATTGCAGGTGATACCTCCCTCAACAGGTTTCACCCATTTCCATTCCTCTTCTGGGGTTCGGATCTGCAAGCCAGCGATATTCTGAGAGAAAAGCAATGTCAGGCTGCCAAAGTCTGTGTGACCACCAGTAGTCACAGACTGAGCCTTATCCCACTCTTCTTGGGTTCGAGTGTTATAGATCATGTATCGCAAGTGGTCATCTGAGCGCTTGTCATATGCGTGTGCGTTGACCAAGTAGTCCTCTGGTAGCTCGAGGATAATAGCCATGAGAACGAAGAGCTTTCGTATCACGTTCTCGAAGAGATCGCGGTGGAAGCTCGCAATCTCGTCATAGTTCTGACGCACAACCCTGTGTCTTGGCAGGTCGTCCCAGACTGGGATTGCTTTGGGGATGTTGAGCTACCAACGTCAGCTGGAGTCATTGAAAATAAATAAAAGTCTGAACATACCATCTCTACGTTGTCTTTGACCCCTGTATCTCCGATCCACCTCTCATTCTCGCGATAGCCGAAATACTCGCCCTCAGCGAAATTGCAAGCAAAGCTGCGCTTTTCCTCGAGCGGCTCTTTGAAGAACGCATTTCCTATACTGAATTGACGAAGGACACGCTCTTCGCTGATTCCGTGGCCAGTCACAACCCAAAAGCCGACTCGTGTCACGGCATCGTATAGTTGCTTGGCTAGTGCCTCTTTACCGCCGGGCTCGTCGAAGCGAGATAGATCGATCTCAACTAGAGGAGCCCACTCAAGCTTTTCTTCGGTTTGTGCTGGGCGAGTCCAAGCTTTGATGGGGATCTTCTCGGAAGTTCCCAGGATTTCTGGTTCTACAGCGGAAGGGGCCATGGTTGAACTGGTATAACGGTGAACAAGGTCAAGTATCACCGACGACAAACTCCAACCTTGGATTTAAATATGTGTGACAGTGAATACACTTAGTGCATTGGCTTTTCCGGATGTTGAGTTCTTATTCGTCGATGCCAGCCGGTTCTCATGTCTGCGGGGCTTTTTATGGTGTGATCTTATCCCAGATGGCGCTATATAAGATAAGTACCATGGCGGGGAAATCGTCGGATGGTTTTTTTCAGACTACTACCTAGGTATTGCATAAGCTGAGTTATGTTGCGGAGTTAATTTGGGGGTACACAGTGGGAATGGGTCAATCCCGATCTTTTCGCATCATCTTCAAAAGGTCCGGATCGAGCCCTGGCCATTGTGGCGATTGATGTCTGAGTTTGACTTCATATACCTTTTGATGACCGATCTGGAGACTCCATCCATGCAGTGCTTTTGTCAAGGAAGATCGAAGGGGGTATTCAGTTGTCTTGTTTCCACCTAAGGCGATGACTCCGTTAGCGCTCAAGACCCGCAATATCAAGAGTGACTTGCATACCTATGGCGGTACTTAGTGCAGCAATAGAATATCGTGCTCCTTTCATCCGCACTTCGAAGCTGTGCTTCAGTCCAGGTGGCCTGTCTATTTGAACAGTTGGGACATTCCATTTCCGTTATGGGTCCATCGCCGATGTCCTTCTGGGTGACAATCTGTGTTTCGGAGCGGAGCTTGTTTCTCAATCTCGAAGGGAAGTTTGATGACTCTGATACATGTTCGTAAGTGAGCATTGTATCTATGAAGTTCGACTGGTTAGCTCAGACAAAAGATTGTTGAGAGCAGCAATTCGAGACATACTAGTTGCGACTTTACCGCACAGCTAACACGTTATCTGGGTGGCAGCTGATGAAGCAAGTAAATGACCACAGTCCCCACAAAATTGGACCACCATGATGCTATCGTCGAGGCGAACAAATTAGATCGAGAAGGAAATGTCAGGTGGAGTGAGTGGGGCGAGTCAAAATGTCAGGTACCCACGCAGCGACAGAAGGCCCCAAACCAAGCAAACAAACATTGCAAAAGATGCAAGATGTGCAAATTTGGGGAGCGATGTGACAGGTTACATTAATCAGGTTGGTGCCTTGCTGCTGCGAATTGAAGATATCGAGTCCTGGAGCCCTGGAATTTACCGTGGGTTACCAATGAGTAATTTCAGAGAGGATAGACAGCAAGTTACCATAGCCATATAGTGCTAGGTCATCTTCAATTCAGTTCAATAGATACCAGCCCTGACACAGTCAAATTAAAGTACGTAGTAAAAAACAAGCAAAGATTTTGCTGGAAAAAGCAAGCAACACTGAGAGTGCAGGGAAGGTCAGGGGAATCAGGGGAGAGCGATAAGGCGAGCAAATAAGGAGCATTTTCGTCAATGTCACCTTGCTGCCTTTGAAATCCGCCCTTTCTCTAAGCTCCGAATACCTCTGAAATGTATGCAACGCACAATTGAAAATGGACAGAGGACGAGGAAGGGAGATGAACAGCAGAGTCAAGCTAATGTTGATATTCACATGTGGTTGGGGCCTGAGGCCACAAATGCAAAAAAAAAACACAAAAAAACCAACGTGGATGGGCAGTGACCACCGACACCAAATACATCACAACTGATATACATAGGCCCGCATAATGGCCGGAACTCAGCCGAAATCCGAGCCTGTCAGGCTCTATCTCCTTACTTACAACACCATCTGCACCATCCTCTGGGCCCGCATTCTCTTTGCCACCATCACAACTCTAATATCCCCCAACGCCTCATCAGTCTATACCCTCGAGCCATTGACTCGATGTGCTCAAACCCTGGCTGTGGCTGAGGTGGTCCACGCTGCGACAGGTATGTAATCCGCCCTCCTATCCCAGCTAACGGGTATCTAACCGACCAAACAGGAATTGTCCGCTCCCCCGTTTTCACAACCTTTACCCAGGTCTTTGCCCGCTCGGTTCAGGTTTGGGCTATCAATTATGCCTTTCCGACCGTCACAGAGCCCTCTGTTGCGTATGCCGCTATGCTCCTTGCCTGGGCAATGGCTGATACTATCCGATATCTCTATTTCGCTATCATGCTGGCGGATTTTCCAATCCCCGGGGTGTTGAAATGGGCCAGGTGAGGAAAATGGATCCATTTCAATATGCGAGCACGAGCTTACTGTTTCTAGATACTCCATGTTTATTGTTCTTTACCCTATTGGTATCGGCAGTGAATGGTGGCTGATGTACAACGCGACCACTGTCACGACCAACTGGGCTGTGGCGGGCATCTTTTACTTCTTCCTGGCTCTTTATGTGCCTGGTAAGTATCAAAAAATCTTCTACGCCTGGTTCGCAAAGCTAAAAGATCACAGGATCGGTAATGATGTATTCGTATATGCTGAAGCAGAGACGAAAGGTCTTAGCCCTCAGCGAGCCAAAGAAGGACTAATTTTTGCGGGATCCAATCGCAGAAGGTCAGGGTACTGACTGACATGTGTGCTGCTGGTCTTCAGATTGGCAATGATTCAAGTGCTCGTTCCTCAAAGTGTATGTGAAGAGTTCGGGGGTTTTCCTTCCGCAATTGAAAGCGCCACATTGCTTCACAACAACCGGTTCGCGGCAGGCTTTCTTGTGTCAAGGCCAGGCCTCGGCGAAAAGATGGAAACTCAATGATCGTTTGGCCAAGTGACCCCGATTGCTTCTAATCTTGAACTCCTGGCAGTTTGATTGGGTTTCTGCTTCCCGGGATACGAATATTCAACCATAGCAGATAAACCCTCCGCGGTCGAAATAACCCTCCGCTCCTATATAATGCCGCCATATCGAAGAATAATGAGCAAAATTTCGAATTCCCAGCAATGATCGGCGGGGATTTTGCAATCCAATGGCGCATGTCGTGATTGGACTATCTTGGCAAGCCCTGTCAAAGATGGAGTCACTTAAAGATATGATAGTCTGGAATTGATGCCGAGACGTGGCTCTTCGATCCACGGCATCAACCTTGGAAGATGGCCGACAAACATGACGAAAAGGTAGTAGCTACCAGTGTACCCTCAACACCACCAAACGAAGCCGCGACAAATACACACCATGCGGAGCTTGAAAAAAGAGTGATGCGAAAAATCGACTTCTGGCTCGTTGGCTTCTACTCCGTAGTCTACATCTTCCGAGTGATTGACTCGAGCAACTATTCCAACGCCGCAATCATCAATCTGGAAGCCGGTACTGGAATCAAGCAAGAGCTCGGATTCAGCGCCTCCGAGTGGTCCTGGACACAATCGATTTTCTCATACAGCTATCTGTTCTTTGAGCCGACGAACACCATCCTGCTCAAATATTTCAAGCCGTCTCGATGGATGTTTCTTTTGATCCTCTCGTGGGGAGTCTGCGCATGTGCAGCGGGAGCAGCACAAAACTTCGCGGGCATGATGTGTGTGCGCTTCGCCATTGGCTTGGCTGAAGCGGGCTTTTATCCTGCTGTTCTCTATCATATGGCTTTTTGGTATAAGCCCTCTGAGCTCCGCTGGCGAATCGCGCTGTTCTATTCGCTTGGCCAAGTATCAGGAGCGCTGAGTGGATTGCTAGCCTATGCGATCAGCTTTATGGATGGCGCAGGCGGACTTTCGGGCTGGAGGTGGCTGTTCATTCTCGAAGGTCTGCCGGCTATCTTGCTGTCTGTGATCGCGTTGTTCGGATTACCCGATTATCCCGAGACGGCGCGAATGTTGACTGAAGAAGAGAGAGACTTTTTGAAGGGGCGACTTTCCAAGGCCTCGCCGTCGGGCGAGGATAAAAGTTGGGACTGGGATGGGATCAAGGCTCTACTCAAGAGCCCGACACTTTATACGTTCTCTCTCTATTGGATTGGACATGGTATTGGTGGATTTGGTGTGAATTATGCTTTGCCGACAGTCATCTACGAGCTGGGCTTTACTACGACCGCTCTGTCGCAGTTGATGAACATTGTGAGTTATTACTTGTGCCAAAATCGAGCGAACTCATCTAACATCTAGATACTTTTTAGCCTCCATACGTTGCATGCTTCTTCTTTTTGAACATCCTCGGATATTTACTCCACAGAGGATGGATTAGGCCTTGGACCACTGCAGTTGCGAGTAAGTGTCCTTGCCTGTTCAGATACTTCTATCCCGCTAATCACAGAAACAGTTGAAAGCACAACAATCATCTGCTATATCATCCTGATCACGGTGAAAAACTCCGTCGTCAAATATCTCGCGTTGGTGGTCGCCACTGCTTGTGCCGGATCTGCATACCCGGTCATTTGGCCAGAGCGTATTCGCGCATTGGAAGGTACTGTGGCCGTTGGCATTGGAATCGGATATACCAATGCTTTGGCTCAATTCAGTGGAATCGCTGGACCTCACATCTACAGCACGGTCTTTGGGCCGACATATCACGTTTCGTACATCATTTGTCTTTGTTTCCTCTGCGCGTCGATCTCAGGTATCCTGAGCTCATGGCTTTTCGTTTGGAGGAATGATCGCAAGAACGATTTAGTTGTGAGATCCGAGAGCGAGGAAGATGCGTGATAGATTCAGGCCTTTTGGTTGATTAATAATTGTCTCAATGGCGTGATAGTACTGATACAACGTTGGGAAAAGCCTGTGGTTAGCAATACATAATTTCGAAATGAAATGAGAGAGGAAACAACCCTACAAGAACATGATTTTATCTTGCTAAGCTGTCTTCGTATGACCTCAGATGATCAGAGGCCGAAGCCCTGTAGGGCGCAGGAAAAGTCACCGGCGATGACAAATCTCTCCGCGCCACCCGATTATTAAGCTGATTTTCAATCCCCGGACTTTCGATCGTTCATTTTGTCTATAAGATCTGCTTTGTTTTCACTTTCAAAATCAAACAATCTCTTTGTTAATCTGATCCCTTCATTGAATCCACGACCTGTACAGAGTACAAAATGACTACAGCAACATTCAAATACATCGACCCCGCCTCTTACGACGCTCACGCCACCGAGCCATTCAAAAAGGCCTGGGGCAAAGTCGACGGGCCAGGTCGCTCATACAACCTCACAGATCGAGAGCGCAAAGTTGAGAATCTCCGAGGTCAAGAAACCGACTTCACCACCGACAACTCCGGCTTCGCGGTCTTCAACTCACCCGCCAATGAGCGCCAATTTACCGACGACGCCTCAGTGCAAGCGGGGTACTACGCTGAAGTAGAAGAGCTCCTCCGGAAAAATTTATCCGGCGTGAAGAAAGTCGCCATCTTCGACCATACCATCAGACGTCGAACTCCCGGGTCGGCGCGCAGCCCCGTTCAACTTGTGCACGTTGATCAAACGCCTGCAGCTGCGGAGGCGAGAGTGCGCCGTCATCTACCTGAAGATGAGGCTGAAGAGCTTTTGAAGGGTCGATATCAGATTATCAATGTTTGGAGACCTATTGAGAATCCCGCTACTGATTTTCCTTTGGCGGTTGTTGATTGGAGGAGTACGGTTCCGGATGATTTTGTGAAGGTTGATCTTCTTTATCCGAAGGGGTGGCAGCAGGGTGGGGAGGTCGCGCCGGATCCTGAATCTGTGTCTTCGACGGATGGTTATGAGGTGAAGGGGGAGACTTATGGAATTGCTCCTAATGAGGGACATCGCTTTTACTATGTGAAAGATATGACACCTGAGGAAGTGATGCTTCTCAAGTGCTTTGATTCCAGAAGTCATACGATGACGGATGGTCGGACTGATATTGCGCATGGAACTTGCCATACTGCTTTCTTTGATCCGCAGACACCGGAGGGTACACCTGGGCGACAGAGCATTGAAGTTAGATGCTTGGTCTTTTATGAATAGGCATGGACAGTATGGTATTTGCACGAAATGAGCGATGCGACGGTTACAAAATGATATATTTCACCCTTCATGCTTCAATAATCAAAGTGAGAAATCTTGAGAATTACTTGGTATTTGGAAATGAATAGATATGAAATTACCTAAGAATTAAGACTTTTATTCACTTATCGTAGCTCATATGACGGATAAAACCTTGGAAGGCTCCCAAACTCCACTGAATTAATCAAGACCTGTGTCATTATACTTTAGGGACCCGAGTCGTAAATGTATCCCCCGATGGCTGGACCCAATGAATCCCACGGTACCGAGGTAGGACCTATCCAATTCTGCGGATGCATTTGTCCAAATCCAGAATGCATAGGCGGCTCACTTGTCGAGGATCCAGTAGTTGGAACCGGTGAGCCGGATTGCGAATGAGGGTGCGACAGAACAAAGCTGTCGTGCATGCCCACAGGGGAGAGAGCAGACATAGAGGACATAGTGGAGATTGAAGAAAGAGGTGTATGAGCGGTGTTGAGCAATTGATTTTGCATATTTGCTTGTGTTTGCTGGAGCTGTGCATGAGCCTGGACCTGGGCCTGGGCTTGAGCTTGAAGGTGGATTTGAGAGTGGGTAGGATTATTGGGATTGTACTTTGCTGCGGCGACGTCGCTGGGAAAGGTTAGCTGTTGGCTCACTGGTAGATATCTTGGATGGTTCAGGGTTGCGTACATCATCTGCCGGAGAATGGGGACGGCTTTGCTGCAGAAGACGCTGCGGACGGAGACGGAAGCGAACATTTCCAATGCTCGATCGAGAATCTCTTTAATCTCTTTGTATTCTGATTGGCTTTCTGGGATCAAGAGAATGACTGCCAGAGTAACAGCGGCGTGGAAAGTATGGAAGCTTCCCAGTCCACTGGTATACCATTTATATGGTTTGAAGCATGATGACTCGAGTAAAGTCTGGAAGATTGAGATGGAAGCCTTTGCGGAAGCAATGCATTTAGCTCTTGAAGCGCTAGTATCAGGAGTTATATCACCCTGCAAGTAGCGGCAGAGGCTTGGACGATAGAGAAGAAGAAACATTTGGTGAATTTGGCTGTAGAGGATGTGGTGGTTTGCTTGATGGTGGATAGGCAAGGATTCGTTGGCGTCGGGTGTATAACGAGCATCCACCATTCCACATATTGAGATCATTTCTGCTTCAAGGGTGGATATTCCATAGCGAGATGTCCTCGAGTAGCTAAAAAGCGATTCACATATTTTGGATGAAATCTTGTTCAGTCGGAAGTTGAGTAGGAGGTATGTCATTTGAGTCGGACGGGACGCTGCTGGCGAAGGTGCCGATCTGGTCATATTTGGGCTGGTGAGGAGATCCACATCATCGATATCTGCGGGCATTCTCACATCTTGCGTCAGATTTTGTTGGTCTAAGCTGCCCAAAGTTGTGTTTTGGATGGTGTAGAGCATCATAAGCCCGGTCCACACTCGGCGTCGTTCCTCGCGCTCAATGGGGCCCAAAGAAAATCTCTCTGGATCAAGATGACAGCCCATTGATATCGCGACATGATTGGTGAATCCGAGCAGCGTAAAAATTGGTAGACCTCGGTGAGCTCGGGCGTACATGATGAGTACCAAGGCTTGTAATGAGTTGATTGAATGTCGAGACATCACCCCATCGGCGGCGAGACAACGCAATGCGGCAGAACGGTACCTTGACGACAGGACTTTGATATTCCGGCTTACCGTCCGCTCTCGTCCGAGATCGGACAGCAATGGATGGTCATCATCAAGTGCGGTCACAGCTATCGAAAGAATGGCGAACAGCAAGGCCAGCCATGATAAAGATACACTGCCAGGGTCATGGCAGAATTGTTGATATTCAGCTTCAAAAGTCAAGTCGTGAAGAATGTGGAAGACCTATTGAGTCAGTCAGAAGTACGTGTGAAGCCTATTCGCAAGGAACATACTGTAGAAAACACCTGGAAGAAGACATCCTTCAAAATACCACAGCAGCTACCAGGCGGGAGAGTGGTCATTAACTCCTCTCTCGAGATGGTCCCATTCTTAGCCAACGGGATCTGCAGATCGTCATCATCGTCCACAATATCCGAATCATTGTTCCTGAGGCACTCCGCAGCGGGGCTCTTCGCCACCAAAGACTCCCATTGCGAGGCAAGTGGCACGTAACGGACATGGCCGGAAGGCGAGGTATGCAACGAGCCAACGTTCTCCATCATAAAGCTGAAGTTATCCCACTCCAGCCCTGGACCAATATCAGACTCGGAGAAACTGCCAGCTGCACTCGTACCACCCAGTGGCGACACTGCGCCACCCGTGGGCGTGCCAGCCTGTGAACTCATTTGTCTCTGGAGCAAAGCTTCCAGGTTCCGAATCCTAGCCAGCAACTCAGACTGCATTGCGCTGTCCCCTGGTGATGACTGCTCAGCTGAAAGTCTGGGCTGGCCGAGGTAGATGCAGTCTTCGGCACCTAGACCGCGTCGTACGCAGGTCTGGCACGGCCGGCCATCGCGGGAGCAACGAATTTTGCGTGTTCGACAGGCCTGGCAGCTGATTGGTAGGCGCTTTCCTGTTGAGCGTGAGGCCATTTTGAAGTGTAAAGGTGGTGCACTGGACTGGTGTTGCCCAATTCGACAGTGGAGATGCGAAATGGTTGTTGAAAGGAGAGGAGCCACTTCCCAAGGAGAAAAGGGAGTCGATATTCCGCCGGGATCTCCGTTCTCTAATCTATACACAATAGGCGTTGTGGGTATTTGGCTTGTTGACTTCGTGTTGGGCCCATCAAGCTAGACGAAGAAGAGTAAAGCGCACTCTGATTCAATGGACAGGCGGGGGGAAGTGACGTTTTTTAGCTTTGATCAAAAGGGCAGGTTGCTTTCTTCTATACTCCCTCATCCGATCTGGAGGCAGCGCTATTCTTCCGGTAGGGTCTGCCACGTAGGGTTGCGTTGATCGGAAGGAATGGCTGCATAATGATTTAATCTAAACAACTCGCCCCTTTCTTCAAGAAGCAGGTGATAATAAAATAATAAAATAAAATAACGAAGCATTGACAGCATTTACAGGAATAAAGTGATAAATTCCATTAGTATTACACCACTATTGCTAAGCTGGTGACAGATGACAGCATCAATAGCGCTTGGACGGGGAGACCGATATGCACCATGCATGGAACACCCTTCTAGAAGGTGGGAACGGTTGGAATGGAGACGCAGATCAAAACCTAGGATAATCTAACTACAAAGAGTTTAGACTGGAACAGATCGCTGGGAATGTTAAGTCTCCAGTGGCTTTTTGATACGGCGTCCATCCATGGATCGGGCCTCGCTTAGGCCCTGTCAAGTGCATATGCCGGCTTTCAAAGACGGGAGTCTTCAAGTTCCCCTTATTCCGAGTGTAAGGCGAAATAATTCCGATTAATGCCTTTCCCGTGTTAATGTCAAATGTCGAAAGTCTACAGGGTACGGAGCACAGGGATGCAGGATCATAGCTTTTCAGTAAGTGCCGATTTGCCGATGTGCACTAGAAGAAGGCCTCAGCCACGGGCGGTGCCGATCATTCCTCCTTGCTTGGTCAGCCCTGACATTTGCGACCAGGGCTCAAGCGCTGAATCGATTGGTGGATATGCAGTGGGGAGGGCCTCATAGCCATTCCCATTGGTTAGGGCTAAATGTCCCTGACTGAGCCACAATATGCACAATGACAACAAGCCCTGGCGGTAAAGCGCCATACTTAGAACAGCCGACGTGTCACGAAAATTCTGATTGAGTTTCAGCTCGGAGATGGCAGTTATGATAATTGTGTCAGATTAGCTTTGTCTTCCCGTACTCCGTACTCGGCACATTGAAGCCCGCTGGGCCGGCACCGAAGCTGGAAATTGTACGGAGTATAGTTCGGGAGAGGGATCCGCTTCCAAGATTCGCCTTGAGAGAACCTTGGGAAATGTCTGGGCAAATAATGTAACATCATAGCATCCCTGGTTTATCTCTGCAATAATACTGTTCCCATAAAACTTCCCTGAGGCTCTCCAAGTCCACATGGTCGGATCGGCGTGTCAACCCATGGTGCGAACTATCTTTTAATTAGTGGGCTCGGACCTCGTGTGCCTAGTTGTCGGGATTCCCGACTACCAAAGGAAATTTCCACTTCTCGCGTTTTTCCCTTTTCCAGCCCCTGAAGCCTGGGTATCGGAAGTACAACTCCGGAGTATATTTGGAAATGATGGCACCTGTAGATCAGATATCAAAAGTACGGTGGCAAATTGGAACAGCTCCAAAGTCCATGGAAAAGAAAAATCTTGAAAATCAATAATGAAATAATCCACCCGCTATGGACATTTCTCAAATACTACCTGGGGTAGGACAGTTTCATTAGAATTGCTTTTTCCCTACTTTGTTTGAGTTTTGCGTGCAGGGTGATCATTGAGATCATCGTCTCGCGTGGCGACTAAGTTTCGGACGAGATGCTGCTATGCATCGGAAGAGGGAACCATTGGTCAACGCGAATTGCAACCCTCAGAATAAATGAGCTAAAGTCCTTCTCCATGTTTGAAAGATCGACAAGGATCCGCCTAGATCTCAAACGATGGATGTTGAAAGTGAAAATGATCTGTCTACTTTTACTAACTTTTACTATTACCTGTCTAGGAAGGCTCCCTGGAACAGACATGCAGATGTGAGTGCTAGCATTGTTCATGTCAAATGTCAGGGAGTCGCACTTGGGCCAATCAGCCTCATTTGACATTTAACATTTAGGCAAGGGGGACTCTATGCTTCCCGTTTGAGGAGGTCATGATATTCTAGAAGTATTCTATTCTGTGGGGAACTTTGAAATAGGGTGAATCACGAGTTGCCCAGCTGCCTTCTTTCGATGCACACCTCTATTTCCAATAATGCAGCCCAATATGCAGCCTAAATTTTCTTTAACCTGCCTGCATGTGCATACCATTATATGTGCCGAAAAGTACTCCGTAAATATTGCAGCTTCGGCAGTTCAGGAAGCGTGGTAGTTCCGTTCAACCAAGGGGTTTCTCGAACGGGAAGGAGGAAATGGCTCGAGGTCTTCATGCAAGGTACACATATACATTATATCTCTTGAGCCCCTTCGCCTGGTGGCTCGTGTCGGATCCATGTAAATCCCACGCGAAAAACGTTCTGCCGGTGCTGCATCGAATTGGAAGTGGACTGGTCTCGAACCCGTTTGCGGGTACCTGGCTAGCGCCCACCTGGTTAGATATGGAGTTAAATCTGAGAGTTTGAATCCCACTTTTCTATGGGAAAATAGCAGGAATGGCACTAATCTGCCGATTTCTCCCCCACCCCTTTTTTTTCCATTCTGCTGATATCATAATGGTGGATGCGCTTTGGTCTCTCTTGTTTTGAGGAAATTGCGTGGTTGCTTCCAAATCGACCTTGTTGATTCTGTGGCTCAGCCTGTGTAGAGTGAGCTATGTAAAACATTTTCTCTTGACTTTCCTTTCACTTTTCACTATCTTGATCGTTGTCGTCTATGGAATACATGACAGTCGCCTCGTTGTCCAGTGCGCGGCATATTTCCGGATCTAGGATGGACTGAGATCTGGCCCTCAATTTATCAAATTATTGTCTGTTACCGTAAGTGGAACCACGATACACGACAAGCGATCCAGACCCGCCATCTTCGATCCACTCACTTCCACGGCAAATGGTGGATTGCAGTGATTACGCTGATCAGACTGTTGCACCTTTCCAAAGGATAAACTGTCATCGCTCAGGCTCCATGTGTGATTTGGCTGACCTCATTCTCGAAGGGACTACCTGTACAGAACCTTCACTCGCGTCCATCTCCGTCGGTTTCCGGCCTCCGGAGTCTTTCAGTCCACACATATGCACTCAACCTTGAAACAAGCATCGTGAGATAACTCAAAAAAGATGAGCTCCGAGAAATATGAATGACGCTGGATTACGAAATACGTTGCATCGTTCTGAAAGTGATGCCGTACGTCCAACAAAAGCAAATGGCTTCGCTTTTTGCACTACACATCACCCATGAGTTATGTTTCTCCAAATCATCACTACAACTGCAACAGGGCATGCAATGGTGGCTTGATCACTTCCAGCAAACCAACAAAACGGAGGTTGTGGTGGACGGAGTTGTCATTCAAAAGTCTCCCATCCAAGCCCAGACATTTCTTCATCATTTCTCCCGGCTTCTTCTTTCTAGGACAGAGCTCAGTCGTTGAAACCTGTGACAGCAATGACAGCGAGAATAGCGAGGACAACGAGGACAACGAGGACAATGAGGACAACGAGGGATCTAAGATGGGTATTATTTAAGCATATGCTCGAGCTGCCAGGTATCAAATAACTAGCCAGGTGCCAACATTCCCTTTTTGATTGAACAAAAGTGGTGGGTACCAGCGAGTAATGGAAACATTATGTCACCAAGCAATCTTCCCAGGACATCGAATGACATAGAGCCGTAAATCATCACACTATCGTGCATAATGCTGCGAAGATAACTCGATCGGGGGCATGGGAGCCACCTCTGCCGGCATCTCATGCGGCTCTGACTTGGGACCCTGGTAGCTCACATAGCTGTCAGGGCGGTTTTCATAACCACCACTGGATATTTCTGCTGCCTCCGACTGATTCGGCATAGGATGAAACGCCATCGAGTTCTCGAGCGTCTCTGGAACGGAGGACTTGCGCCGTCGACGGCGAAGGAACATATATGCCAATCCAACAAATATAGCAGTGCAAGCAACCCCTACTCCAACGCCGAGGCCGGCAGCTTGTTTTCGGTTGAGGACCTCTGAGTTGGAACTTGTGCCAGATGACGCTGTGTTGGTAGGTGTGCTTGTTGGCCCGGTACTGGTTGAGACAGCTTTTGATGATGTTGCTGAAGGTACTGCAGAAGACGTCGTCGATTTCTCCAGGATATGAAAGCCTCTTGATTGGAGTGTCGGCGCGTCGCCGAATACCGTATCCGTGTTCACAAAGTATAATCCGTATTCTGGATTGATGGCCAGGACATCGGGATTAATGTTGATTTTCCAACTATAACCTCCGGTTACAGAGACGTCAATGGAAGCTACTCAACAACATGGTCAGATCATCTCACTATCATCGGCTTCTGCAAAAATGTTTCTTACCAGCCAAAATCCTGGAATAATCGGAGACGTTGAAATTCCATGACGCGACGTAAAGATTTGCGGTCGCTGTTCCTATCGTCTGATCGGTCCAGTAACTATCCCAGCCAGTCCATTGAAGGTCCAGTGTGTCTCCGTTGTAGAATGTCTCGGTAAAATCGACCAGCGTCCCGTCGGGTGTTTGGAAGTGGGATTGGAGATCCTCCGCTTGGATCATGCGCAAGAAAGAAATGAAGAATATTGTGATACAAGCTATTTTAGCCATGGTGAAGATGAGCGGGAGTCAAAGGAGCTCAACTCTCGGCTGCGCGACAGCCTCACGACACTGTCTCACGAGGAACTATTGTAGCAGATGTCAAAATGGAAACAACATTGTTGTAGGGGGCTGAGCGATTGTTTTGAGGGGTCTTTCCCGTCCGTGGAGCTATCTTTGGCGTTTTTTCGGCAATTTTCGAAAACCGGGGGCCAAACTATGACGAGGATGTCTGATCAGTATGGTCTCATGGCAAATGGGTTAAGCGGACCTGGTGCAATTCATCTCTGAGGACTTGACCAGTGTAAATCTGGCTCAAAGCCCAATCGAAAAGAAAAAGAAAAAGAAAAAAAAAACTCCATTGTTGTCGTGATTGATATCGCGATGAAAGTGCATTTTTTTGCGAGTTTTTGATCTGCATTCCCAATTCGGAATACAGTGGTGAGCCTTGCCGCGGCGAAGCGAGAACTCCAAATCTCCCCACAAGACTGTTTGATCCATTTCTCCGTGTGGAAATTAAATCTAGATTCCCAACCAACATAGCATTGCTTTTGTGCACGAAATTACCCATTATGGAGGACATAACATATCCAATGAATAAATGGCCACAGTCCGAGATCTTCATCCAACAAGGGGGTTCAATGATTTATTTTCCTTCGAAAAATTCTCAAAGGCGTTGCTCATATCTTAAATACGGAATACCAAGTAGAAGTGAATGTTCGACACCTAGTGCGATCCGTGGTCTAGTTATCGTTAAGGTGTGGTTGTGCCATGGTTCAAGGACGGGCACCCACGTGGAACTCCAACCTTCTGAGATTGATTGAACTTCCGAGGTTTGGATCATATTTGACTATTAAGAGTAAATATAAGAGGAATTGAATACAATATTGATCTTATCAGACTGCCTTCGCTGTCCCATCAGTGGACTCAATATGCTGAGCCTCGCCAACGACACTGACTGCCCGCTTGGCACCCTCATCCTGATCAACGACACGGTCACCAAATGCAGCAGCTACTTCTTCTAGTGTCTTCTGCTTTGTTTCAGGGAAATAGAAGTAAGCAATCGCCAAGAAGAATGCGGAACATGCAACGAAGACGTAATAATAGTTCTCGTGGATGTTGGCAAAAGCACTGGGGCCAGCCTCGGTGACTTGAAAGGAGTTAGAAATGCAAATATGCGCACAATAGAGGACAAACTTACTGGCAACGTTTACGATGAAGTGTGAGGAAGCTGCAATGCCCATTACCTTGCTGCGAAGAGCAATAGGGAGTACCTCGGCGCCATATAGCCATGTGGTACTGTTGAGCATGCCGTCTGAGAATTCGAGTTAGCGAGGATCCAATTTGGAAAGGTGGGCAACTTACAGTAGCAGACGACAAACAGGTAGATTCCGAGGATCGCGAATCCCTTTCCAATGCGATTATCCGTGTTCTGGAAACATCTTTGCATCACGGCGGCGTAGATCTCGATAAGGATAATACCAGCCAATCCAGCAATTAACATCCTGCGACGATTAGTCCATAGAAACTGTAAATAACTGCAGAGTCACTAACTTGCGACGACCCCATTGATCGGTCATGTACTTGGTCGTGAGAGAATTAGAGATGAAAGCGACGGTACCATAGACGGCAGCCAAAGCGAGAATCGTATGCGAGCCGATTCCAAGACTCTTATACAGAGTTGCTAGAAGAAGGTTAGCCAATCGCTCTAACCCACCATCTCATGTATAGCTAAACCCACTCTGGTAATACTGAATGACATTAACACCGGTCAAACTTGTCATCGTCTGTACAGCAATCGATCTGCAAAAGTTAGCCAATCAATCAAACCACACACCATCCCACAAATCCAACTTACACAAGGACTCGATGTCTGAAAACCTTGAATATCTCTCGGTAAGAGCTAAGCTCCCGCTCCATCTCATACTCAATCTGAGCTTGCATAAGCCCAAACTCTTCCTCCATTTCATGCAGCACCAGACCGCGACGAATCCTCGCGAATTCACTTCTCGCCAACTCAAGCTTTCCAGATCGAATAAGCTGTCTCGGCGAGTTCGGCATGAACGTCGCGAGTCCAATGAACATGATAATTCCCCACGGGATCTGGATTCCTAGTGGCAGGCGCCACTGCACAGGTCCATACGGCGCATAGCTGCACGCATACCCGACCCAATTCGACATCATTGTTCCGAAAGAGATGCCACAGCCTGAGATTCCTCCGATCAGGCCGCGGTACCGCGGGTCTGATATTTCGCTGAGGTAGATTGGGACTGTTGCGACCAGGCCACTGGATGGGTTAGCAGGGTGGGGTTTGGGGGTGGAGTTGAAGGTGTAGACTTACCCGACTGCATATCCGGCTAGGGCGCGACCAGCGAGGAACATGCCGATGTTGACAGAGGCTGTTTGGATTACCGTGCCGATTGTGACGATTATGCACATCATTTGCATGAAGCGGATGCGGCCGAGTTTGTCGCCGATGAAGGTTTGGGTAAGGGCGCCGAGGGCTTCGCCCGCAATGTAGACTGCCACCACCTGTGGAGGTTAGCTTAGTGTCGGTGGTGATAAAGGTGTACGAACAGCTCCTGTGAGACCATTTGACGGCTTTTGCATATAATCGATCCAGCTTTGGTGGGCAATTGCTAGGGGGTGTGAGTCTTGGTCGATGATATGGCTATTGGGAACTTACTCGTTGTCGCGATACCTGTATCGAAGCCCTGAATTGGTCACAATTAGCGATTCTTTCGCACAGTCATTTGCAGCGCGACTTACAAACAAGAACGTGCCGATAGCGGCAAAGAAAGCAATTCCTAGCGCGTACCACATCGCCATTGTGAAGGTATGATTCTCAAATCAGATTGAGAGTATCAAGGAAGCAAGATCTAATGAACCCAGGTGCCGAACAGTCTATTATCTACGCAGGCCGGGCAACATCCGATCAGCCGAGGAGGGGTCACACTGCAGAAAGGCAGGAGGTGTAGAGACCCACGGAGGAGGGCCGAGGGCGTTTTCTGGGGATGCGGGGAAAGACGAGGACTGGGGAAATGCATACGAGAAGCATCCACTTCTTCAGAGAATCATCAGCCCACTCAAGTGTGTGTGTGTTATCTAGCCCGTTTAGCCAGAATGATGTTTGGGGGTATCCGTGCCTTGGAATGCGGGTTCCCTGCGGAATGGCAGCTTCCAGGGCTGTCCCGGCTTGGAGGAGAGGCTTGGGGTTGCAGACATGGGTATGACGACTGACGACTCATGGCTTAAATGAATTGCCGGCCTCTATGATACCGCATGGACTGAGTAGCGCATTGTGACCAGGATGAGAGCGGGATACCACTTTTGGATGGCGTCTTGGCATTGCTTAAACTTTCGCTCGTCCCCCTCGCCTATCGGGATATGCTGAGCCGAAAGCCATTCGGTCGGATAGATGGCAGTGGGTTCATATCAAAGCCATAGAAACATAGAAGGTTCATATGGCTGGGCGTGGGGGATCAAATACTTTTGTGGCGTTAGAGTCCGGGGTACATTCTCGGGGTGACTCCGATCCTGCTACTCCGTATTGAACGCTGGAGACCTGAGTGGGACAGCAACAGTCAGTGATTTTTGGCTGCCTCGGTGCGACATTTGATGGCGGACTAGTGGTGATTGCATGTTGGGTCCACTGGCTGACAGCAGTAAGATAAGTGGAGTCGAATCAATATAAGGACTCCGCAGACTTCATGAGACAATCGAGTGGTGGTGGACCCGCTTGTCGGAGCCTTGGCCAGGTTGGGGGGGATCCCAGAGATATTCAACAATGATGGGCATAGCCGGGCTCCGCTGGAGTCACCTAAAACGCCATCACGATACATTACGATCCTAGCAGCACTACAGGGAGGCAAGATGTTCATTCAACGACTCATAATCCGGTAGTCATAGTGTTTTTGAATAGATGAATTCCTATTTCATTTTTCCATTGCCAATGTCATATATGCTCCGCAGCAGCGAAACACGTTGTGCAATGCAGGAAACCCAGAAGCCGAACAAGGAAATCGAATAACTTAGAAAACCAGAGCAGCACCCTTGGTCTTCTTGTCACCACTGTAGAGCAAAGTATATTAGCATACCAATCACCGATCACACAGAGTGAAAACACATACCCCAGCTCGAAGTGCTTGCAGCGCTTCAGGGCGAGCTGCTTCTTGGTCTTGCACTGAGTGCACTCAAGACGCAGGACAACCTTCTTGGTGGTCTTGGCCTTCTTGTGGAAGACGGGCTTGGTCTGACCACCGTAACCGCTCTGCTTCCGGTCGTAACGACGCTTACCCTGGGCGAAGAGGGAGGCCTGAAGATATTTGTATCAGTGGACGTTCGGACTCCCTGATGGTCGAAAAACACGTACCTTGCCAGCCTTGTACTGGGTGACCTTGTGCTGGGTGTGCTTGTGGCAGTCCTTGGACTTGCAGTACGTCCGGCGGGTTTTGGGGATGTTGACCTGGATATGTCATGAGCATTTTGTCTTGCGAGTGAGGTGGGAGGTCAATGTTCGTGTTCCGAAGTCCGATTCAAAATTCTGTCGTTCGCGAAAAGGTTTCATGTGTTGGCCGTGGTGTTGTTGAGTCGTAAAATCAGCGTGGTGCGCTGACGCTATTGAAATCTCAGTGCGGGACGCCATTTTGTGCACACATCTCGAATCCGGACTCATGTTTCGCAACCCTCGCCACTATGACTCCCAGATTTTTGTCCATTCTTCGTACACGTGAGATATCGGGTGAAAGCAGGCGTCTGGGGGTGGTGCTGGGTGGTGGTTTGCGAAAGTCGGGGAATTTGACGATTTCGAGGTCGGCCGCACAATGAAGACACAGTTCGTAGATCGAGAATTTCGAATGACGGGGCTTCGGATAGAACAGAACATATCCCAGATTGATTCCTTACCATTTTGACTGACTTGGCCGGATAGCTGGGTGGTGGTCGTTGGATTGTCGCTTGTCGGAGGAGAGCAAGGGCAATTCTTGGGTACTGTGGGATTTCACTCGCTTAGGCCCTATCAATGCGCTAAACCGCATTTGGTATCGCCAAGTGGTTGTGATGAGTCATCGTTGTCATATTTCTGCCTCAGGATACTTTTGACATCATTTCTATCTCAGCAAAAATCTGTATTGTTTTCTGAGCTACAAATTCTATTGCAAATATTTACTCAAGAGATGTCTCTAAACAAAGCCTTCTCCTAAAACAACACGCTCACCTTTTCCATACCATGTGGTACCCCAGATAAGTTCCAATCCCTTCTCATGGCCAACAACCCACTGGCCTTGCGACGGATCTCCCAGTCGTCTCCACACATTGGAGCGGAGTTCGCAATTGAGATCCTCAATTTTAGCAACTAGCTGTGCCGCCACATCATCAGATACTGCTGTTGGATCCAAGTTCTTGAATTTGGTTGTATTGGGTCTCACAACGCGAGCAATGGTGATATGCGCAGAGGGCACAGTATACCTAGCAGCTATTGGAACCCCCTTCGTAGTCACCTTGTCGTAAAGATCCCGGCGTAGATGGTGATAGGTATAACTATCATCCTTTCCACTGTATGCTGTGTTGTCATCTTCCCCAGATGCAGGAACAAAGCTCAAAGCAATGGCAGAAGTGTCGTAGCTGATGATGGGTTTAACCAGCCGAGCACGGTGATCAAGTGTGTAGTTTGCCAGATCATGCCATCCTTCCGCATCGATAGTATCAATGTATTTTTGGATTTGACCACTTGACTTTTCGGAGCTGATCTCCAATGTTGTCATGTGTAGGTTCTCAAATGGGACGAACCAAAGACCTACAATTGTTGTTAGAGTACTGCTCATTAATCAAAGCACTTGAAAGAAGTACTGACTGGGTTCATTCAAAGAAAGGCGAATCTCCTGTTGAATCTTGTACACCAATCCCCGTACATGTTGTGGTGGACGCGCCCAGAAGGCCAAGTTGTTTCGCGGATCAACATAGTTTGTCAAGCCTTTCTCTGCTTCGAGGACTTGGCGTAGTACTTCATCTTCTTTCCAGTCGTAGAACCCAGGTTTGCGCATCTGCTCACTGAACGCGGCGTTTCTGTTTGTTCTGTGTGTTTCATAGGTGGCTTGCAATGTTTTCTGTGGACTCAGTATCTCGTTATTGGCGGGTGAGAACCTGGCTTACCGAATCGTCGTTGCAAGAATCGATCAATTGTTGAAACTGATTTTCACCTCCAATGTTTATGTCTGCCATGATCGAAATTGAAATGTGATCCTGATCTGAGTGGGTTATCAGGACTCAGCGGGGTAGAGGCGCAATGCAACATTCCACGGGAGATATGATCAGTTAGCTATAGGCGATCACTTTCGCTAGAGTACACTTTGACAATTCAATTGAGGCAAAAGAGGGCGTTCAGTAAGCTCCACGCCGGATTTTGTGTCCTCCTGGCTCGTTTTTGTGATTTCATAATTATGTTTCTTTGCTCATGCGATCTGTAGTTCATTATATATATCGACCAATAACATCATTATTTCCCCTCTCTATCTTGGTAATACAAAAAGACGACTGAAGGTAGCGCAATTATCATACACGCAGATTACATGAAAAATATATCACATTGGCACCATCAGATATCACCAGGCCATTCAGCGACGAAACAAAGCCCAACCCCGTTGAGCCTCCGACGCAATCAGGCAACAAGGCCACCGCCCCACCAAAACCCCCGCCTCATTTGACTCCGACGCAACGCAATCTACAACTCAAACAGCTTCACAAAATGTTGATCAAGTAAGTTCCAACGATCCATCCCACCCCAGCGCAAAAGCTAACCAACTCCCAATCCAGAGTCCGCACACTCACCGGCAAGGAGATCGAGCTCGACATCGAGCCCGACTACAAGGTACGCCCGCCGGCCCAGTCCCGACATCCACGAAACCAGATCTAACAAGCCCAGGTCTCCCGGATAAAAGAGCGCGTCGAAGAAAAGGAGGGTATCCCGCCTGTCCAGCAGCGACTCATCTTCGGCGGCAAGCAAATGTACGTATTGGGAGTTCTCCGTTTCCCCGTCTTCGCGCCAAGTTGCAAGATTGCTAACAACACGCAGGGCCGATGATAAGACCGCTTCCGAATATAGCCTTGAAGGTGGTGCGACGCTGCATCTTGTCCTTGCCCTGCGTGGAGGCGCATAATGCGTTGGATCCTACAGTGAACTGCCGGAATTGAGGATTACGCTTCGTTTCGGTCCCGGTCGTTGTGGTGGGATTTGCATACTAGGCGTCCTGGAATCTATTTTTCGCTCGCGGGTTCCTTCCGCGGGTACTTTTTGTACTTTCTTGTGCTGTACTGTGCGTAGGCCGTAGGGTTGCGCGGAGCTGAGATCAGGAGGTGGAGGCGTAGATGAGCATGGTTGAGATATGAAAGATGGACTTGACCTTACTCAAAAGTAGGTTTCTGCTTTAGTGCGCTGGAGATCTTGGAGCCTTGGAATGCGCTTATCATTTGCTCGAATCCATGGAGGCGCAGGAACTCCTGGAAAAGGTCGATGATATCCACTCAAACTACAACCCAACCCGATCTCAGTCCAGCGGTCCATCCTTACAGCACCCGTGAAGGCCATTCTACGTCGGTGATTGAGGCCCCGATATATTTACAGTGAAGAATCGGAACAAAGACAAAATTATATAGCTTGGCAGCCGAAGAAGAAAAATCAAGTATAAAGCCCATATAGCTCGCTAGTGAGGTGGAACAACCTCGGGTATCGCAGAAAAGCAACCTGAACTCCCTTTCCATCCACCCAGGAAAGAATGACGCGACTCCTGACTGGATTGAGGGTGATCCGAAGATCACACTCGCCGCCGTTTGGGCGGCATGAATATACTGGGCGGCGGGCGCCGCCGCATGATAGGCCCGGAGGTCGACGGGCCCGAGGATGGAGATGGCTGAGGTTCGGGGCGAGATGAAGAGGAGGGAGGTGGAGAGGTAGCCCGACGCTTGGAGCCGGGATTTGGTTCGGCCCGCACAGTGCCACCAGTGAGTGCACGCAACTTGTCTTCGTTCCTTGCAAGCGTCGCGTGCTGCTGCTGTAACGAAGCCGCCACGCTTGGAGGCTTTGGCGGCGCATGGGGCTTTTGTTGTGCAGGCCGGCGAGCGACCTGGTGATCTTCGATCAAGGCACGCGGCGCACGTTGTACCTGCGACGAACGGTTGCTGAGGGCCTTTGTTGGCACGGTCAGCGCGTTGTTGCGCCTCGTGGGCTGGAAGATGTTGTTCTTCTTCTTGGGCCCGAATTCGGAGCGCGGTATGTGCAGGCCGGCGTCGGTGCTGATTCCGCCCATCTTGCGATCATAGGCAGCATGACGCTGCCTGGCACTGGGTCGGGCATGAGCCATCCGGTGGCTCTTGCTTTGGGGGATGATCTGGGGTGTGAGTGCGGCGCGCTTGTTGTTGATGCCGTCAATCGCCTTTCGCATCATCTCGGCATCGGCGTCCAGGGCCCGTTCGGTTTGTTCGCGCAGGTCGCAGTATATATTATACCAGTCATTTGATTCAGCTGGGAGCTGGTAGGTTTCCCAGCGGGGGATGTCTCGTTTGATGATGTCCATCCAGATTTCCGAATCTTCTTCTGCCAGATGGGGTGATGCAAGCTCGATGGTGCGCTAAGTTATTCGAATATGTAAGCGATCATTTAGAAATAGGTGCGAAGTGACCGCGAAGTCAGAACGGAGTGAGACTGAAGCGAAATGCAACGGAGTGAGATCGAATATGTATGACATACCAGTTTTTCGGCATTGTCCACCTTCTGTAATATAGGCCGGGCTAGAATGTATGGCAGCGCACCAAGATCATCCAGTGCTATATCCGAACGCAGTCAGTACGGGTTAATTTGTTGCAATCAAGGTGAATGCGTGTATACGCACCTTTAACATGGCGGATTGCCGTGGCCGTGGCCATCGAGCGGAGAGATCGAACGGGCATGTTTATAATGATTTGGGTTTCGTCCAAATGATATAGCACATGGATGACATGGGAGCAAAGGGGTCTGAACCGAAGCAGTTATACTTGCGCTGTTCAATAGGAACAAAGGTTGTGTAGATGACAAGCCGTTCGTCGGAAAGGAAGTCTGGGCTTTAAATAGACGCTCCTTCGGCCGCTCATTGGCCAGCCCCACTATTACCTGCCCAGGATGGATGTGCTATAGTCAACTAGATCCTGGACAATGTGCCAATCTTGAGATGGCCGATCTGATTTGTCACAAACAACCTCAAAATGAATAGCTGTTTTGATATTTCTAGCTTATCAAAACAACAACGGCCGAAAGAGGATGCGGCCAATGTGGAGGTTTGTACAGATGAATGACGTATTCCGTACACAGTGCTCGTAGTATAGATCCACGACTCTTAGCATGCCGGGGAGTTCTGGCTTGTCCACTGCTATAACTTTATATCTGATCTCAAGCTACTCACGAAGGCCCCATGAGATATTCTTTGGCTTCCAGTCCCCAATCCGGGGCCGTCGATAGTCAGCACGTGATGTCATAGACAAACAGTGCAAACCCGATATCACCGAGGGGCATGAGGTCAATCTGTCGAAATCGACATAGCGACTCATTGACTCCACTGATCAATTGCATATCCTACAGGTGAGTTATGTTTGTGCCATGGCTTTTCTTCCCGAGCAGCTAGTTCTGCCCCCACTCCCTTGGCTTTGCCGAAGAACTCTAGAGCTCCAATTTGGAAGCATTCGCAGCGGTGTCTGTTTGGTGGACCTGCGCCTAGAGCTTTCAAACCATGACATATGGAGACAGAACAGATTATTTACTGACAAATCATACACAGAATCACAATGGCTCCCCGATCCCAGCTCCAGATTACCACCTCCTCCATCATCCGTTTGGTGAAGGAGGAGGCCTCCTACCACAAGGAGCTCGAACATCAAGTGGAGCGCGTGAAGCGAGTTGAAGCCGAGACTGCCGGCGATGACGAGAACCGCGAGTATCTGCTGAAGCAAGAGGTATGTGCATCTCAATCGATCTTTCGTTTCATCCACGTGCTTGTACTGACACACACCTCAAGAACCTGTCTCTCGAGGAGACCAAGAAGGTCTTCCCCACCTTGAGAGAGCAGATCAAGCAGACCGTGGCGAAGCTCGATGCCTTGATTGTAAGCCGCCTCATTGTCTCAGTGTGGTATTAATTGACTGACTCCAACAGATCGAGGAGGGCAAGAAGGGATCCGACAGCAGCGTCGAGGACATCACTGCTGCCAAAGAAGCCATTGCTTCAGCTAAGATTGCGCAGCGCGAGATCTCATAAAAAAAAAAAAAGACATTCCCAAGATTACAAAGACGAAATACCCAAATGGAACTGTCTCCATAATATCATTGAATGTTAAAATTTCCAACGCCTTGAACCGGGTGAAACTCCTTGCTAGTGCTAGAAATGTACAAATGCATCAGGTAGTGTCCATCTTCTCTCTGTAATGGTCGGGAAGCTCCTCTCCCTCTTCAAGCTCGGACAGTTCACCGTCACTGACCGCGGATACCTCACCCTCATCAATCATGTTCGTGTCTTCATTGTTAGAGGCCGCATTTCCACCTTGAGCAGTAGTGACTTGGCGCAGCGGCGACGCAGCGCCCGTAGCCCCAGTCTTCTCAACCAGCAAAGCTGCATGTCGACCCTCTTCAAGATGCTGAGGCGGAGTCATCCCCTCACTGTCCGGACCAGGCGTATTGGCACTGCTCGCCTTGCCCTTAGACGTATTATCCCCCTCATCACCATCCTCACCCTCCTGCATACCCTCACGGCGCTCAACCTCCTCCTTCTCATCACGAATCAACCGACGAAGCTGCATACCCTCGTCGACAATGCGACCGAACTGCTCTCGCCGTTCCGCCCACGTCGTAGCATAGTCCCTGCTCTCGTTCTCTAGATCCGCAATCTCTGTTCGCAATTTCTGTAGATTTGCCGATTGATCTTCGCGCGGCTTCAATAGGCGATTGCTGGTGATTTTATCCGCCAGTTCATCGTAGGTCTTGCGCAAAGAGAGCAGTCGCTGCGCCTCTTCAAGTTGGCTGCGCAGATCGGCTGTGCTCTCTCGTACAGACTGCATCGTGGACAGAATCTGAACCCGCTCTGTGGCATATCGCTCGCGCTCCTTTGCATTGCTTGTGATGAGGAATTGTACGCGCGCAATACTGGCCTCGAAAGCGGCGAAGTCCAGTGAGATATCTTCCCGGAAGTGGCGCCATTCTTCGAGCTTTTTCTGTCGTTGGGCTTCTGCGGTCGCGCGGGTGTCGTCACTTTCTTCGGGTGGAGGGGTTGGGAGAGATGATTGGGAGACGGCAATAGATTCGGGGTTCAGGAGGCGCTTGGAAATTCGCTTGAAGGGCTTCTCTTCGACGTTGAGAAGACGCGATTTGTGTAGGCCATCTGTAAGAGCTTTAGTATTTGAATCCAAGGAGCAGGGCTGCAAGCCGAACCTTCGTCTGGCTGGCCAAGGAGGCCGTAGGACGCCATTGTGATTGATAAACTGGAGGAAGCTATGAAGCTCAATGTGGAATGGGCGGCGGGCGCGAGTTGGGGAAGTTCTGAAAAGTGAAGCCGAGCGGTCAGTTACTCCGCCCAACCTTATTGACGTCTGTTCTCCAACTTTCAACTGCGCTCCTTTGTCGCTGGGTACCTGTCAGGCTAAAAGTTCCACCATTGCCGCAAAACATAATTCAAGTCGGCTGGTCTGATCCAAAGTCTACAAAGACGCAGATCGAGCGGGTACTTGCCCGGGGGTAACGCCGTGCTCCGCAAAAGCTGTTTGCAAGTACGGCCTCGCGAAGATACAATCTGCGACCCGATGGACATTGTCACGCGAGCGTCCGTGGCTCCTGTCCCAGTTGCCCACTTGGTTGTTTTAAGATCCAGTGCATCACCACTATGACGGAGATCTACTCTGGGCTTCATGTGAGCCAGCGGTTTTCGTCTCTGGAAGAGTTCAAATCAGTAGTCCGCAGCATATCTGTTCGGCAGCACTGGGAGCTCCGTGTGGCTCGAAGCAACAAAAAGAGCGTAGTGATTGGGTGTCGTTCATCGGCAAATTGCTTCTTCCGCGTCGTGTGTCGCTCGAACAAGAATGCGACCTACATCACCAGTCTCCAGGACAGCCACAGTTGTCGCCGAAGTGCAGGTTCCCCATCAGCTACACCGGCTCGCTCTGAAGCTTCTCATGTAAGATTTCTGCTGGGTGAGATTCCCAAGCTCTTCGACATGAAGTCGAGGATAAAGGCTCAGGATGTCGTGGATGCCGTGAAACGCTACCACGGCTATGATATTTCTATGCGTCAGGCGCAGCGAGCACTCACCAAGGTCCAACCCCGACATTCTGAAGGCCAGATTGATCAAGGACTTGACCTGGACCTGAGCCCAGGGGAACGGCAATCGCCGGAGCAATCACCCGAGTCGCAAGGAGACGCGACGCACGACTTCGATGATATGGCAGAGAATCGATGGCTCCCGGACCATCTCCCGTCGTCTTTGATTGATGACGATAATATGCCACCAAGTGAACCATCCACCAACCGAATTCCTATACCGTCTAGTTCTCAAACTCTGCCCGCACAGGTGCAACAGCCATCGCTTCCCACAAACCCACCACTCGCTCACCAGCATCCAATGGCTATGCCACAGCCAGGATCTGAGTACCAAAACACTATCCCTATTCCGGTGGTAGCTGAGCCTCCCAAGGCACAGAGCTATCCCCGTGGCGATCACACCGCTGCTCCTCAAATGGTTCTGACCAATTTTAAGATCGAGTTCACCTGCACGACTTGCGGGTCATTGAACCAGAGCTTTTTTCCGAACCAAGGCAATGTCACCGGTGCTAGCTATTTAACACACGCTATGCCGAACCCTAGTAGTGTTGCGAGACACACTGGGCCTCAAAACGGCGTGGGCAGCAGCAACGTAGTCGGCGAAAATCCCACCTACGATAACAATGCATCGAACGCACCTTCCATACAAAGTACTTGGGCTGGTGGTGGTCTTGGAGTCCCAATTGGTCCAACACACACATAGCTCGCCATGCCACGAGCGCGTTGGCGAAGTTGAGGACCGAAGATCCGATTCAATTTTTATTTCAGATCTTCTCTTTCCCACTCTTTACTCGGAGAAGAAATTGTGAACTCCGTAAGATCTGTCCACTAATTTAGGGTTATCTTGCGTGAAAGCATCTGGCGACAGCACGATGCATTATATCTTGCCGCCCTAGCAATCTCGGAGATGTTGGACATTAAGGAACTTGGATACTCAGAACGCAGCAAAACACCGTTTATGGCAGATTTGAAGGGCATTAGCAAGCTGTCGAAGATGAAAATCTTGACCTCAGTATGCGTCCGCTGTATACCTCTCGCCATGCCGGAAGGCCATGCCGTGTGATGCTCTGGGACTGAGTCATATTATGGCTAATCTCGTTATGAATTCATGAGTGACGATTTTCAAATTTGCAAGAAATGATATCAATATAATATCCGGATTTGGCAAATCTACCAAGATTTGCTACTGAGTACTGTTCCCTACGCCTAAGGCCCTGGGTATATTCTAGTCCGAGAATGGTGAAATGCTGCAGCTTGTACCGTTCGCACGGCTCACGCCTGCTGTCGAGTCTAGTGTGGAGATGGGCCATGGCACTCCCTTGACCTATTCTATCTGCAAGAGCTCCCCGTACTCATGCCCAAGTAGATCATACTGAAATAGTACACCGAGCACTGGATGTGGTATTCCAGGAAGTACAAGGGATTTATTCCATTGGCCAAATGGACCGCAGACGCAGCCCATCCGCTCAACGGACATTCAGCAACGGCCCTGGAAAGCAATGGGACTTTCCCGATTGGGTCGTGACTCAGCTTTCGGAGGTCCGATCGGCCCGAAAAGGCGGATCCACACCACATCCTGTTCTTCACCAACCGCAATGAAGAAGACGCGGAATCAAGCCGGCATTCTCTGCAATGCACTACCAACGTGTTGGGCCAGAACGCAGAGCACACGAGTTTTTACCTGCGTCGGACGTGGCTCCGACGTGACATCCGCTCCGCGGTCCCAACTTCCAATCGACATCCAGCGCTCAGTTGCCCATTGAGAAACCTGTCATGGGGGAAAACTCTTCTTATCAATCCAATTGATTTTATATGACTCCCCGGTGAAGTTGGTTCCCCTTTTAAATACCATCTCATCCCCCCCCCCACCCCCAACATCTTGAACTTGAATAGCATCACGCCAAGCATTCATCTCAAGCCCGGAAAACCTTATTTTGTATTCCGGTCAACATTCCGACCCAAGATCTACGTCACGGCAAAGCGTTTCGTGATCTTTGAAAATAACATTGCTGCAATCGCGTGTGCCTCGGGGTGGCGCCGCCAGATCTTGAGATATGAATCGACAACGAGAGGCCGAAAAGGCCCTCCATGATCAAACAAACATTCTGCCATTCGGGCAGCTGATGGTTGTCTTCAGCAGTCTGGCGATCTCTCTGCTCATTTGTATGGTGGACCAGAATGGAATCAGTGTAACACTGCCAACGATCTCTCGCGATCTCAGTGCCCAGAACACGATATCCTGGGCCGGAACCTCGTCGTTGATTGCAAACACAATGTTTACAGTATTATACGGTCGAATTTCAGACATCTTCGGTCGAAAGATCGTCTATCTTTCTGCATTGTTGACCCTGTGCATTGCCGACCTGCTTTGTGGCTTGTCACAAAACCCGGCCATGTTCTATGCCTTCCGAGGTTTGGCTGGTATTGCTGGCGGCGGCGTCACCTCCCTGACCATGATCATCGTCTCTGATATCGTGACATTGGAGAGACGTGGAAAGTACCAGGGTATACTGGGCGCAGCGTTGGGTTTGGGGAATGTCATCGGGCCATTCATTGCAGCTGCTTTCATCATGCGGTCCACATGGCGCGGCTTCTTTTGGCTGATCTCTCCGCTGGCTGCTTGCTCTGCAGTCATTGGATACTTCCTTATTCCAAACAATGCAGGAAAGGGCAGTTTTTGGGGAAATGTTGCCCGTATTGATTGGTTTGGCGTGCTGGCGTCGTCTATTGGTATCATCTTTCTCTTGATCCCGATCTCAGGCGGTGGCTCATACTTCCCATGGGACTCACCCATGGTTATCAGTATGCTTGTCATTGGAGGACTCTCATTTATTGCATTCTTATTCATTGAATGGAAAGTGGCTACACTTCCCATGCTTCCAGGTGAGTTTCTTACTGAGGTCCGGTTGAGGTCATCAAGCTGATGTTTAAAAAGTGGTCTTTTTCAAAAACAAGGTTGTCGCTACGATCTTCTTGCAGAGCTTTTTGCTTGGAGCTGTTTACCAAGCCAACCTTTATTACCTTCCTCTATACTACCAAAACGCACGTGGTTGGTCACCTATTGTCTCCGCAGCGATGACATCCCCGATGGTCGCAGCCCAGTCAATCTTCTCCATCATATCTGGACAGTACATTTCACGACTGAAGCGCTATGGTGAGATCATCTGGATTGGGTTTGGTCTATGGACATTGTAAGTAATCGACATCCCGACTCCGTACCTCTTAATCATGTACTAACTCTATTTTTCAAGGGGATCGGGCTTAATGCTACTGTTCGGCGACAGTACCCATCCCGCCATCGTCGCCGTCATCGTGTTTATCATGGGTGCAGGAGTTGGTTTCACCTTCCAGCCAACTATCATCGCATTGCAAGCCCATTGCACGAAATCCCAAAGAGCGGTAGTCATTGCGAATCGAAACTTTTTCCGGTGCATGGGCGGTGCATGTGGACTTGCTATCTCAGCCGCTATCTTGCAAGCTACGCTCCGCTCAAACCTACCAATCAAGTTTGCATACCTGGCAGAATCCTCTTACTCCCTACCCTCAAGATCCAACCTCAATGCCACGGAATGGGCATCAATTTTGCACGCTTATGCCAAGGCCTCTCATTCAGTCTTCATACTGCAAGTCTGCCTTATCGGCATATGTTTCCTCGCATGTGTCTTTATACGTGATAGGGGCTTGGAGCGACCAAAGGAGCCTGAAGAAATTGAAGAAGAAGAGCGGAAGGCACAAGAAGAGCGAGATGCGGAGGCTGCCGTGGCAGAAACCCCGGATGAGGCTGGCACTTATCAAGCGCATGGGCATGTTGAGAAGCGCCCTTCTGCATCCACTCTCGCCGATTCATCAATGCCGGCCTCGCGTGCGGAGTTTGCCACCGAGAAGGAAACGCGGGATAACAACTAGAGTCTGACGAAAGACGGATCCATTTGTCGCATTTGTTCTTGTATTTGGTTACCTTGCATGAGCGGTGCATTACGTCGATTTTTAAAGAAGCATTGTAGATAACTCATAGATTAATACAACCCAATCATATACCCGGGAATTCCAGATCAATCTTGAACAAAATCCATAATAATCCCGAAGCGTAGACAACCTTGAAGACATGAGATATGTGAATCCCCTATAGATCGATCGTACGGAAACCGATGCGTGACTTGTCTTGGCATCCCGACACCTCCGATGAGAATCGCCTCATCTCCGAAACTGATTTTCAAGCAAAGCTAATTGGTTATATGACGCCGACGAAAGATGTATGCACTCGGGCAAGGCTCTGAGTCCCCAAGACATGGTACACCGCAAGATCATAACCCGCGGAAGCGAGGGCGTACGGCATGCACACGCTGCAAGACTCGGAAGCAGAAAGTGAGCTCCGATGACCAATCCACCCACTCCATAGTCAGAGGCTCATTGATGTTTAGTGCGACAATGAATACCCGACCTGTACCAATTGCTTGAAAGCCGGAGTCAATTGCGATAAATCTAGCGTGCGCGAAGACGCCGACCGTCAGAATGAGTGTGTGCAGAGGCAAAGTCACAGAGCATCGCTAATGTATCCGATAGTTACACACGCGTGTTGGAAGAGCGCGTGGCATTTCTCGAGGGCCGGCTTAATCAATCCGACTCAGACCGGAATGCTGCAAATCCCACGCCGTCTCTCATTACTCCCCACGCTCATACCATGCCACAGACCTCTACCCCGGGACTTGATAACAATCCTGTCGGAGAGATCGTGGGGCTGCTGGCTCTGAGCTCTTCTGAAGCTCCTGCATATGTCGGAGCCAGCTCTGGTCTTTCTCTTGCTGCGGACCTGGGCGAGATGGTTCAAACGAGTGTTTGGAACCAGTTCATCTCGAAAATGCAGCAACAACAGAATAAAAGCCTGATAAAAAATTCTCGGAATGCAACTGGTCAAGTCCATGGACCATCGGAGCAGCCTACTGCTCCAAAAATTCAAGATCGATCCAGGGTGGAAGAACTGCTGCCAGCAAACGTTGAACCACCCACCGACGAGATGGGGACAAGAATTCTCGACACCTACTTCACTCGCCTCCACTCTCGATATCCTTTCCTCAGACGCAAAGAGGTATACAAGATCCACGAGGAGCGATGGCGACTGGCGAAGACCAAGAGAGAGGACCTCACAAAGCCAGACCAATTTGCCATCTTCAAACTCAACATGGTGTACGCAATCGGTGCCACCATGCTTCAATTAACCGAAAAATATGCTTATACAGCACCAGAGGTGAGATCCAAACATATCGCTACAATCTACGAGAGCTAAGAATTACAGCGATTTTACAACGCTGCATTGAAGCATGTTCCCACAATGTGCGAGGCGCGATCTATTAAGAACATCGAGGCCATGGTTCTTCTTGTTGTCTATCATATCAGGACTGCATCAAGCCACGGCATGTGGTATATGATTGGCCTCGCCATGCGGACTGCCATTGACTTGGGTCTTCACCGCAAGGCGAACGAAAGCAATCTGGACCCCTTCACAACACAGATGCGACGAAGGCTTTTCTGGAGCGTGTATTATTTGGAGCGGGTGGTTTCAATGTCCCTCGGTCGCCCATTCAGTCTATCCGACCGTCATATTGACCTCGACCTACCTCTAGATATTGATGATGACATTGAAGATCCAGCGCTACTCACAGCACCACAGAACCCGAACACGACAACGACGCTAACATTTGCAATCTATCTATTTAAGCTCCGTCGCATCGATTCCAGGGTCCAACACAAGATCTACCGCGCCGACCGACCTCTATCAACCCTTCAACAAAAGATGGACCCCTTATATCTCGAGCTCGAACAATGGAAAGAATCTGCGCTCCTACGATTCAGCGGACCAGACCTCGACTACCCAATGCTTCATTACAACAGAGCCGTCCGACTACTCATCCAACCCTTCCTACCCCTTCTCTCAATAACGGACCCATATTACCGAATCTGTCTCCTTGCAGCAGGAAACATTTGCCAATCTCACAAACGCCTCCATCAGACGCTCGAATACGGCCACTCGTTCCTAGCCGTTCAAACCGTCTTCATGGCTGGCATAACCCTTCTATACGCTCTATGGACGCACACAGATCAAGTCTGGTCCATTCGCATGAGCAACGACATTCGCGCCTGCTCGACAGTCCTATTCGTCATGGGCGAGCGCGCAGCCTGGGTCAAGAAATACCGCGACGCTTTCGAATTACTGGTCAACGCAGCCATGGAGAAATTACAAGGCGACGAGACTGCTCGCAATGCCGGAATGGCTGAATTGATGACCGCTCAATATGGCATGAACTGGAATTCTACGCCTGGAATGCCTAATAGCGATAAATTCTCTTCTGTCAACATGCCTGGCCCTGCTCCTGATATGAATCCCCCACAAACGCAGGCGCCTGATAATGAGACTGAGCATGCGGTTAGGATGGCATTGCAGTTGGCGCCGTGGATCGATCAGAATGAGAATGATCCGCTCTGGATGCCGGATTTTCAGACTCTCGAGAGCTCTTCTGGGACGTTTTGGAGTCACGCTGATACACGGCTTTTTGATGCTCTTTGACGGAAACTAGATATTGATAGTTCGTTCCTAGAGATGAGAAAGCGACCATGATACCCATGCGCCCAATGCCCGAGCTTTGCCAAATTAGAGATACAAGCCTCAGTGCCGCGCTCACGCGCGGCCAAAAAGACGATGATAGTTGCTTGTAAACAGGAGTAGTTATCCATGGATGTATTGGCTTAATCTCGTATTTCGATTGGTAAAGGAAGAGAGTTCAGGTTATCATCAACTTCGGGACCTCTTTTCAACTGTCCTTTCAACTTTCTGTTCGGTTGTCCATCCAAGGTTCCGACTAATTGTCAAGTCATCATGAAGGGTCGAGAAAAGGAAGTCTTGGCTTAACCGTGAACAGAGAATTAGGGATTGGGGATTATTCATATGAGGGAAGAGCAAAGCCCGGAAAAAAGGGACATGATCCTCTCTAAAACCTTTGAATTACTGGCCGTAATTTATCGCCATTCTGAACTCAAGGTGGTATATCGGTGAACCAACTTGCGAGATCGGGCAAGTCAAATCTACCAAGGAATCCGAATTCCTCTTGACCAAGCCCCATTTCGTCCCATGTTGTAAAAGGGTTCCCATCCATGCTATTCAGCTCCTGGCGAAGACCATGATCGTCACATACTGGGTCCACATGCTGTGAAGAGGACTCAGGCCGACTTTGGAACTGATTGGTCTTTGGCTGCGATTGCGTTGTTGACAATAGCGGACCATCTCCGGGTCGGGAAGGAGCTGGAACTAAATTAGTATCGACATCAACAGTCTTAAACGCGAAAACAAACCGGAATAGTTCTGCACAATGTGTTGGTGTGTGACTTGTAAGAATTGTAGCGAGTTGCGGGCAGAAAGACTGAACATGGCCATGAAAGCTAGAATCTCCTCACATTTGCGCCAGCTCTCATCCACAAATTGCGAATTAACTTGTTCGCGAATCGAGTGACAGGAGTATGACATGATCAGGATGAAACCTGCAGTAGAAGTATCTGAAAAGCGTGAGTGAGTGATAAGATGAGGTGCATTGGAGGAAACGAACAGAAGCCATTATACCACCATGCATCAGTCACGCTTGTTCTGTATGTTTGATGAACGAGCGATACCAAGTCAATGGCAGCCATGACACAAGATGCGGCACATTTTGAATAAACGGAAGAGTATATCAAGTTCTTTTCCGCGGGAACTGGGTTGCTTTTATCACCAGAGTCTACGTCAGAGCGCCTTGAGGAGCTTGCTCGTTCATCAGAGCAAAGTTGAGTGAACATAGGGCGATACAACAGGAGTCGTAGGTGTATTGCCCTTCAAATCATCAGTGATTTTGAATCGCGATAAGGAAAGGTCCAAGGATAGTGAACATACCTAGCTCGTAGCACATTTTGTTGGCGTTTGAAGACAGACATGTCGCCACTGCCAGAGCGTTGCAACGGCTCCTTTGTCCAGTTCAATAGCGGGGGTACATTGGCCTCATACGCTGAGAGCTTATCATCGAGTTCCATCAGAACATCCAGACTGCAAAGCTTTGAGCCACGAGGTGAAGATGTGCGATTGCTGTTTGATCGGGTTTGCCAGGCATTGTAGACTTCAGATAGAATAGACTCAAGAATCTTGTATAGCTCAATGGTCGAGACATAGAACGTCAAATACCCCATTTTATGATCACACGACTGCCCACTGAGCTCACAAGGGTCACTTGCTTGAGAGCCAGTTCCCATCTCCGGCAAAGGCACAGGTGAGATATGAGAAGTCACACTCGGTCGTCCGTGGGTCATACTCACAATCCTATTTCCATCGCGTTAGCAAGTTTCCAAAGTATATCGACAACACTGCACCAACATATCCATTATGACGCAGCTATGCCATGTTCGTCGACGGATTTCAATTTCTAGTGGTTTGCAGGACGAGTGGGTAGTCGTTTCGTGCAACCCAAGTCCCTGACCGGCTCGACATGCAAGTCCAATCGCATTCCAGCATCGGTTTGGATAGGGCGTGCTTTGCAGGAGCAGCGAGACTATAAGAAGCGTTTGAACAACGCCAATAGTGCCTATGTCAAGAAGATCAAGATTCACGAAGCGCTTTGCCCGCAGGAAAAAGGAATAGACCGCTGCCTCACGTTCAGCAGGCGGAATATCGGAGAAATGACACCCAAGTGCAAAAATGCAGTTCAATGCACAATGAAATACCATGGAATTTGGACCACAGTCATACGCTCCCCCAAGGCCAATATTGAGTTGCGGCAATTCGGGCTTCGGCGACTTGTTCGACCCCCAGAGATTTTCATAAGCCTGCTCGAAGCTTGGTCGATGGAAGAAGGGGAACAGACAATGAACTCTTTCCCAATAGCATTCTAAGAGGTGGTCTGCCAGGGATCGAGGAGGTAGAGAAAAATCGTCGAATCGAAGATCGACCGATGGGTGTCCCAAATCTCGCCAGAGCCCGGTCTCAGGACCCTGCGTCCGAGAAGATTCGTTTTTGCTCTCACGCAGTGCCGACATATACGACTGCAAGGGCATCGATTCACCGGCCAGACGCATGAAGGAGGCTACCGAGGAATTGCCGTAGTACTGCTGCTCCCGAGGGGAGTCGGTGCCTGGATCATCCTCTGCGACAGAAATTGCACCCATTGCAGTGACGTTGCCGTGGGAGTTGATAGAGGGTGATGGGTAGATACTCCCTGCTCTCGGGCGTGAGGACTCAGGGGATAGATGGGAGGCGCGTGGTGTCCTATAGCTCTCTTCTGCATCTGAAATGTTTCGTTGCGGTGGAAACTTTGGAGCTTGGAAGGTAGAGGCCGTTGAGATTGGACTTGGACCTGACCCCGACACAACAGGCGTCGAGCCCAGCCCCAGCAATCCTTGTGCTGCAGCAGAAGTTCGAGATTCTGTGTCAAGGGTGTCCATATCGTCACCCATTTGACTTTCTGGTGCCCTGTAATCGCCATGCTGGGATGGTCCAGGGGGCACAGCCACACCACCCTTTGCGCATGTCTCTTCTAATTCCCGGATGCGCTCATGAAGTATTTTCAAGTATTCATCATTGCTGGCTGACCTCGCATTATCAATTTTGTATACACATTGCTCAACGGTGTACGAGCGGCGAGCGCACGGTCCGCATATTGGCTTTTCGCCGTCGCACCGGACCTTCTTGTCTCGACAAGTTTCACAAGCCAGCGCAATCTTGCGCCGACGAGGTGTTTCCCGCTTCTGGATTCCGCCTCTTAGGGGCATCTCTGCGACCGCGCTTTGTCCTGTCAGCCACGAGTATGCAATGTATCATGCGACCCACAGCATATCATGAATGAAGTATTTGATTGGCAATCCGGGTGGTGACCGAGAAGAAAGCCTTTGAGGATTGTTGGGGATGGAGCAATCCCGGGGCCCGGAATGCACCCGGAAAGTACGGGGGAGGCATCACGTGCCAAACTCTACCCCACGAAATCAAAGACTCAAAAGTGAGATCGCACGAGGAGCCGAGTAACTTCAATTTAGAGTTTCTTGCTTTTTCTGGGGCCTGGATCTCAATTTGTTGGGGCCTTGTTCTCGGATTTTAGTCGAGTCCGATTTTGGTCAACCTCATGGGTGGAGCCCGGGATGGACCCGGACAGCCTATATCCCGGGTGCATTCCGGAATTGACGTAGTACCCTGCTCCTTTGTTCTTTTATTCAAAAGAATTCCAATCTAATACAGATGCAACTAAATCAAATATAACCCCCGAGCTGTATACACGTGCCTTGTATCTGGAGTTGTCGAACATCCCATCGCCCAAGAGAATCTATACGCTCGACCGCCCATAATCACGTACGGCGACGTACCCGAACAACCAATCCAACCCACTGCGAATAAAACGAATCCCACTGGTTGAAGTGCAGTCATTGCTCGTTTGCTATAAATGAAAATGGAGTACGGCAATCAACACCCTATCATGGACCACGCGACCCTTTCCCATTGTTGTCCTTGGCAAGCCGAAAGTCCCCAGCCGACGATACCCCGAGAGCGATGGCCTGTTGAAGATGGCCTACAGTGGGGATCCGATCCCAGTTTTTGTTATCATGGATTTTCAAACCCTATCGGCACTTGGACAGAGGAGCGGCTCGTTCAAAACCTGATGCGAAACATGGCCAGCTTTTGCAACAGTGTCGACATCGGCTTCGACACCTCAGAAGCTATAGACGAACCATCTCAAAAGTCCACTCTCGATCTTCTGCAATTAAACGGACTATCTCTGCCTATGTTTCAACCCTCCTTGGTCCCCCACAGTGAAAGATTATCCGAAACACCTTCTTCGTCATCTTCACCACCACCATCAACACATCAAGCGCAGCGCTCCTCTCCCGAATCTACTGCGTGCTCACAGCGTCCGAGCTGTACGAGAGCGGAGAACAAGGGACAAAAGAAGAGGAAATGTGTACAGAGACCAGGGCAGAAGTTGTGTCATTGTCGGTCAGAGAAAAAGAGAAGGGAGATAATCGGAGAGCGATACAAAGAGCTTTGCCATATTGTGCCGGGGCTTGAAAAGCATTCATACACGAGAAAGTATGTTCTGGCGGAAGCGGCGATTTGGATTCAAAAGTTACTGCAAGGAAATGACGCCCTTGAGGCACAACTGCAGCAGCTGAAGGAACACGAACGGTTGAACCAGTTGAGACTATTCCCGACGGAGGAAGATGATGATTTTGAATGATACCCACCTGCATGTTTGACTTGTATAGTAAATGAGAATAATTCGCGAGCTGAACATTGGCATCAGATCTGATATCCTTGTCAGGGTAAAGCCGACGAGGCCATGTAAACAGTATGTACATGAATTTCTAGTAATATATGACGATATATCTTAGGCTGAAGTGCCATTCTCGCGCTCCTTCAAGACCTGTCGCACCCGAGGAAGCACGAAGCGCCCGTAGTCGATAGAGTCGTTAAGGTTATCGTAGCCACGGACGGAAATCAAATCCGCACCGAGGTCCACGTAGTCAAGCAGCGAGTCCGTGATTGTCTTAGGCGATCCCACCAACGCAGTAGACGCACCACGTGCATTTGTCGCAGTGACAGTGGGGTACCACAGCGCACGGTCTTGAATTTCTCCACGAGCCGCAATATCAAGAAGACGCTGCGAGCCTACATTCTGAGGAGGCGGCGCGTTGGCAGGGACCTTGCCTTGGCCATTTGCCCGGTGAGTGGAGAGCGCCTCGAGAGTCGCATGTGCCTTGGCCCATGCAAGATCATCTGTCTCTGCAAGGATGGGACGGAAGGTAACCCAGATGCGAGGTCTGTCGGACTCGGGACGACCAGCCTTGTCGGAGGCAGCGTAGATTCGGTCAATTTGCTCCTTTGTTTCCTTGAGTGGCTCGCCCCAGAGTCCGAAGATGTCGGCAAGGGAGCCTCCGATGCGGTATGCCTCGTCGGAAGATCCACCCACTGAGACAGGGATGGTTCCGTTTGTGGGACGCACACGGTTGCTGAATTGCTTGAATTGATAGTACTCTCCCTCCCAATCAAAAGGCTCATCGGACTTCCAAGCACGACGGAGGATCTTAATATATTCTTCCAGACGTCCGTAACGCTGGTCTTTACTCAGGAAGTCGCCTTCCTTGGCTTGCTCTGCATCGCTGCCTCCGGCGATGAAGTGGACGACCACTCGGCCGCGACTTAGCTGATCGAGAGTTGAAAGGGCCTTTGCGGCGACTGTGGGGTAGAGGGTGTTTGGGCGAAGAGCGATGATCACTTTGATATTTTTGGTCACCGAGAGAATTGTTGCTCCGATGGTGAAGGGGTCGAAGGAAGATGAATCATATGGCACCAATGTGTGATTATATCCGAAATCATCTAGAGAGCGCGCATAGCGAACGAGATACTCGGGATCGATGGGCGCACCGGGAATGGGCGCGAGCTCCGTCGACTCATTTGGGAAGGTGACGCTAATGAATTCGGGCATGTTTATTTCTTATTCGGACTGACAGAGAAGATCAACGGAATGATGATATGCACTATGTTATATATGTACAACATACTACTTGGAGACGGGGTGTATAGACATGACGCCAAACGCCGGTGGATTGCGTCTTAGCACGCAACAACTCGGCCACTGATCGGATGATTTGGCTGGCTTCGGACCATTATTCAAGGATTAATGTAACGATTATCTCCCCCTTGTCATGTAAAATAATTATAAATCAGCATTAAACGCCCATCTAGTGCAGCTATTGCGCAAGATGATCATGAACCATCGCAATGCACTATAATAACCTTGAAAGTCTGCCGGGGAACTTCCGCTGTCCCAGTCCAACTTGAGCGTTAGTTGCATCTTGGTAAAACCTTGGAAAGATTAAACAGGACAATCTAGGAGGGCGAAACTGACGCGATCGCTTGGCTTGTTGAGAACATATTGTCCTGTTTGTATAAAATTCATAAAGCCTCCACATTTAGAAACCCAGACGCTGTACTCAGACTTTTGAATTCATTTTCTCGGAGTGTTGCAGGTCGAGCTTCCCGAAGATGGGGAACCCAAGTAATACTCAAGTGGGCGTCTCTCGATCACAGAGTATAGACGCCGGGAATGTGTCCAGCTCTGACGATGAGTCCTTCACGAAACCTACCAAGACATGGAGGAGTATGGTGTGGGATACATGGGAACTTCCGCCGAAGGAGCGCTGGCTGCTCTTCAAGGTTGATGCATTCGTGCTCACCTTTGCGTCAATCGGCTATTTCTTGAAAAATATCGATCAGACAAATGTGAATAATGCTTTCCTCAGTGGTATGGAGGAGGACCTGCAGATGTTTGGCAACCAACTTGTGACAAGTAAGCGACAAATCAAGCCAAGCCTTGAACATATCATAAACTCTACAAAGAGGAAGCGCTAATACCTTTTTTAGGTACATCTATCTGGACAGTGGGATACGTTATCGGCCAAATCCCTTGCAACCTACTACTGACCCGAGTCTCACCACGGTGGGTTATTCCCACTCTGGAAGTCGGATGGGGTCTTGCGACAATCTGTACATCTGCAGTAAAGAATTACCAGGCTCTTTACGCTTTGCGATTCCTGGTCGGCTTTTTCGAGTATGTCGTCCTTTTCTTTCTCAACCTATGCATGGGAATCAAATTACTCACCCAATCCCCAGATCTGGATTCTACCCCGGAATCCACTACATGCTTGGATCCTGGTACAAACCACAAGAGATTGGCAAGCGGGCGATGATCTTCTGGCTAGCTGGATCAGTTGGCTCTCTTTTCAGTGGTTTCCTCCAGTCTGCTGCTTACACAAATCTCAACGGAACAAATGGCTATGCCGGATGTATGTATTGTATTCGGGTGCAAAGATCCAAACCCCTTGATTGATACTGACGAAGAACGATAGGGCGTTGGTTGTTTATCATTGATGGAATCATTACTCTCCCGCTTGCTGTTGCTGGATATGTCTTCTTCCCTAATCTGCCCCAAGGGGGTAAGAAAACATGGTGGACTACCGAAGAGGAGCACCTCCTCTCGATCAAGAGAATGGATGGTATTGGACGTGCTGGCAAATCTCCGTGGACAAAAGCGAAAGCAAAGAAGATTCTTCTGAGTTGGCGCACTTATCTACTTCGTGAGTTTTGTTGCCTTCTCAATCTCAGCAGCCGAGCACGCATTTTGGATACTAATTTATATTTTAGCTTTCCTTTATATCGTCTGGAATAATGGTATTCCTCAGCCAAGTATGGGCTATTGGCTGAAGAGCTTCAACAAAGACCCTCCCCCAGTTCCTGGAACTTCATACTCAGTGCCACAGATCAACAACTGTATGTCCCCAGCATCTGGCTCCCATTTTCTAGGAAAATCCACAAGGCAGAAGCTAACATAATCCCCAAGTGCCTCTTCCAACGACCGCTATTTTGATTGGTATGGGTTTAGTCTGGGCATGGGTTTCAGATGGACCATGCCGTGGTGCTCGGTGGCCATTTATCTACATCGGAGCCGTTATCACAGTAAGTCCAGATGGAGCACCCCTACCAACTTCTTTAAAACTCTGCAGATACTGACGAAAATACTTGAAATAGCTCATCATCAGTTCTCTGTTGCTCAAGCTACCTTTGTACACGGGCATGAAAGGCCGCATGGCTGTATACTGGCTGGCTAAAGTCGGAGTAAGTTACTAAAATGCAACGTAAAGCACTCCCCACACATACTGACCAAATTACAGGAAGGTGCAGGTCCATTGATTTTGAGCTGGATCAACGAGATCTGCTCTGATGATACCGAAATGCGAGCTTTGCTTGTTGCAATGGCTAATGACCTGGCCTATGTGGTTCAGGCAGTGGTAAGTGCCGAAAATCTCAATATTCAAGTACAAAGCTTACACATAAATGCAGGCGCCTAACTTTGTTTGGAAAACTACGGATTTCCCCCGAGCTGCCAAAGGGCATACTTACTCCATCGTGCTTCAAGTGTTACTGAGTATGACCCCCAAGGTGTCAATTCTTTGAGTTTTCCGAGCTGACAACGAGCCTCTAGTTCTTACTACTGGTCTAATCCAACTCCTGCTATGGCGTGACAAGAAGAAGGCCTCGAGGACGGATACGGAGTCACAGGCAGTCACCTTTACGGATGCACCGACCATTGATGCCCACAGGAGAGAGGAACCTGAAGATGGTAGGGACAGAAAAACTCCCAATAACTCCAACGTGAAGTACGTCGGGACCTCCTAGAATACGTGTCTCCTAAACAGAATGTTGGATTGTGGTACTTGTACCCTTCGACCATAGCCAAATTTTTTGATTTGCCTGTTCATCCTTTAATGCCTCTATTTCTTTATGGCATAATAATCTTTAGGTACTATTGGTCTTAGCTTAAAGGGGCTGCATAGTGATCGTATCATAGTCATACTGAAACAGGGTTCGGAATGCGAGTTTCAAAGCCTCCAGGGCTGCCCTGCCCAGGCAGCCCCCAAATCAATCTTTCAAATTTTCTGTTTAACCCTAGCCCTGGAGTATAATTAAACCCTGATGATATGTCTCGAAAAAAACAAGAAAGCCCCAAAATCCCGAGGTCAAAGTCTCTCCTTAGACCTTCGAACCCGTCGATTCTTGAATATCGCAATCCTTTTCTCATCGATGAGCACCCTTCCGTTTACAATCTCAGCAAGAAAACCGGTGGCGATTATCTCTGCCCTATCAAAAATACTCTCAGTATCTTCGTGCGAAATATCGTGAGCTGGAACTGGAATTGACATGGCCCGGGAACCTTTCAACATGTGTTGGGACTTAGCTTCAACAGTAGCCCTGCGATTCTGGATCTCTCTTATTACGTATTCCATAACCCATTCACTGCCTCCTAACATTAGGCCTGCGTAGACCGGCACTGTGACCCACCATGCATCCTTGTCTGGTGGCTCAATAACTGGATCGCCGTTGTATTTGGCGAAAATGTTCTTGTTCGCAGACATTGCAAATAGAAGACTCAATGATGTGTATCTCGGTGATAGAATGGATGTTTGAAGCTTGTATGTGTAAGTATTGGGTAAGTGTAACTCGGAGATGAGAATGTGTGAGAGAATGACTCGAAGAAGAGGCACATTCAGGGCTTTTTATATGAAAATCGATAGCAACGGGTGAAGCTCGTGGAACGAAAAGAAAGATAAAAGATGTACAATGGTCTTCCAAGATCTATTAAAGACATCATTGAGATACAGACTAATTCATTGATCATTCAAAGGCTTTCAGGTATCAGGCAAAGAGTTTTATGTGGTGTAATCTATCCGGATGTCTCATCGGGTGCTCATCCTTCGGATCGCGCCAAGAGCTGAAGGCCCCCCTGTCTTAGTCATGCCATCATAAAGAAGGCACAGAAGGAGGAGGAACGAAGAGACTGGCCCTGGAGGTGCCTAGTACTGCAATTTCTGCAATGGAAAGCCCCAGAGTTGAAGACTGTCAAGCAAGCAGGACATTGGGTATCGATCGTGATACAATCTCATTTCACCAGGGGCAATGAATCGACTACGAAATCTAGGAAGATAAATGAAGGCGGGAGGTTTTAAAGTGAATCAGGTACTAAGTGAAATTCAATTGACTATCACACGTAAGGAAATGATAAAGAGTGGAGTGGTATCAGGGTCATAATCATGTAGCGCCGGGTCTTGGCCTGACACATGCCCTGTTCAGTGTAAAAAGACTAACCATGGCAAGGAAAGATCAAAAGAGGAAAATCAAAAAGTCAAAGAAGCCGAAGGGAAATTATGAAATGTAAAAAGAATCGTCCTTAGCGCTGTGCCCGATCACACTCGGCTAAGAACTTGTAAATGCCGTCAGAGCCATCGTAGGCAGACGTAGTTTCCGGCTGACCAGCGCTGGAGACCTCAGGAAAGAAAGGGTTGTCACCAAGCTCGCTGATATTGATGCTTGAATAACTCGCAGAAGATGACTTCCAAGGATTGGCGCCGAAGAGCTCACCGTCGTCGAAACTGATAGCGTTGCCCGAGTCACGACTGAGACCTTTGGATGAAGGTGTAATACTTTCAGGCGTCATCATTCCCTGCCAGTCGAGGTCTGAACAGGATTGTGGCTTAGGCGCCTTCTCAAAGTAGTAATCTATATCGGAAGCAGGGGCGACACTAGGCGCGAAAGGGAACAACAGAGCCAGATCAGCACCCGTGCGAACGTCGAAGTCCTCATCTTGACCGATACGACCACGCTGAACACCGGCTTCGCCGCAGAGCTGCTCAACGGTTTCCGAGTCGCAGCCTGGGAAGTGAACACGGATGGTAGATCGGTCGTGAAGAATGACAGGAAGATCGCCAAGCGTGGAGATACGCTTGAGATCATTCATGACGGCGGCAAAGTCCTTCAATGCACGCGCAAAGTCTGCAGAGAGCAGATCCATGAGACCCTCAGAGTTGAGAGTGGCAGCAGAGCCCTTCTCCTGACCACCGAAGGCACTGAGAGCAGTGATGGTGGGGGAGACCTCGAAGTCGACAAAAGATCCCGAGGCAGTGCGTGGCACAGCGTTCATTTTTCGCTCGGCCTGATCTTGCAGCGAGCTGACAGTCTTGAAGCGCTTCTCTCCGGTACGAGGGTCAATGCCATCGAAACGGGCTTTCTGGCCCGACAAAAAGAAGGCACGCACACCCTGCGACACATTCTGAATGACCTGTGCAGGAGCCGCAGGGCCGTGAGAAAAGTACCGGGCTCCACCAAAGCGTCCGGCCCCGATGGCGTATCCACCTGCGGTGCGGCCCAGAGTACCGCCTGTCAGGTTGGGACGTAAGGTCGAAGCAAAAGGAGCACGACCGCTGAGCCGACTGAGACCAGAGACAACTCGCGAGGTGTCGCGGATGGGTTGCTTAACACCCAATCCAGATCGAATGGCAGAGGCGAAAGCACCGGCAGCGCGAGTGGAGAAGTGCCGGCTGCGAGCTTGACGGATGGCCGCGGCACGACTGATTGGCTGGCGGTTGATGCGAGCATAGGCTGGTTGGTAGCGTACTGCATTGTATTGTGTTTGTTCAGGGAACTTGGTTCGAATGGCTTTGGAAGCCTTCTCATAGGCGAACCTAGCACAGTGTTAGTCGAGTCATTGGGACCCCAATGTGAGAGAAGGGGCGACACATACCTTGCTGCCCTCCATATTTTGGGGAGCAGCAGGTGCCCGGTCGGAGGCGCCATGCTGGGTGTTTAAAGACAAGTTGTTTCCGTCTTGGTTCGTAGGACGGATGTTGACGAAGGGGGAGGGGATGCCTGATGACGCCAAGGTATACTTCCTTATCTCTCCGCTTGCGCCTTAGACGATCACGCGGTGGCTGTGCAACGCCACAGAGTAAGTGGGGACGGATCACACTGTTTGCACTGTTTGTACTGTTTGCACTGTTTGGCTCATTTGTCTAGTTTGTTACTGTGCTACTTTCACTTTGTTTTGCTACAAGTGACTTGGAAAACCAGCATGTCTTGTCATAGAAAATCATTCTTTTGGTATCTTAATGTTATGGACTTCATAAAATCATCAACAAGTTTACTCATCGTCACCGAAGAAGACCTTGATGGGCAACCAGGCGTCACCACAGACCTTGAAGCGGTCCTTCAGGTTGTCGAGCTGGTTGACCTCGTCATCAGTCAAGGACCAGCCGTTGATGTCGAAGTTACCCTCAATACGAGCCTTGTTGACGGACTTGGGGATAACACTCCAGCCCTTGGTCACACCCCAGACGAGGAGAACCTGCTGAGGGGTCTTGCCCTTGTTCTCAGCGATCTTGAGAAGGGTGGGGTCCTTGTAAAGAGGAGAGTCGGTGGAACCGAGGCAAGAGTAACCAGTGGAGTGGATGCCCTTGGAGGTGTTGTAGGCAACCAGCTTGGGGGAGGGGTTGTTGGGGTGCAGCTCAATCTGGTTGACGGCGGGGACGATCTTGGTGGTGGGGTGGTTGAGAAGCTTCTCCAAGTTCTGGATGCCGAAGTTGGAGACACCGATGTTGCGCACCTTGCCAGTGGCAGGGAGCTTCTGCATCTCCTGCCAGGTCTTGATGAAGTCCCAGTCGGGCAGGTGCTTGGACAGGTCGTTGGGGTCGGTGGAGCTGGGCCAGTGGACGAGGTAGAGGTCGACGTAGTCGGTGCCGAGATCCTTGAGCGAAGACTCAATGCCCTCGGGCACGCGAGCGTGCCAGGGGTTGTCCAGCTTGGTGGTGAGCCAGATCTGGTCGCGGGGGACGCCGGAGTCCTTGATACCGGCACCAACCTCGGCCTCGTTGCCGTAGGCGAGGGCAGTATCGATGTGACGGTATCCGGCGAGAAGAGCATCTCTCACGGCCACGCGGACCTCATTGGGCTTGGACTGCCATGTGCCCAGACCGACGGCGGGGATCTTGTCGCCGGTGTTGAGGGTGTAGGTCTTCCTATAGAGGCCACGGTTAATGGTTGACTAGAGGCAGGGCCGGTAGTAGAACTTACTGAGTGTGCTGGTTCGACATTTTGGGTAGATAGTAAGGAGTTTGAGAGCCAAAGAGGGGTGCAGGGGAGGCCTCTTATATAGAGGGGGTCAGTAGTAAAGTGGGCAGGTCCAAGAGCAATGATGTAGTATAGTGGGGTTTTGGCTATGACCACGTACGGAATAGATACAACCTCACCCGTATAAAGCAGGAATTAACCGACTAGCTCCACCTTCACAATCACGACGGATTACACTGTACAAGATTACACGCGGAACGCAAATGTGTCTTGTTTGCACCGGGTCAATGGGCTTATTGAATTGGTCATTTTGGCTAAATGCAAGAGAGTCCACCTTACCGCCCTCCAATCAAATCTTCCAATGTCACCCTCAATTCGGCCGTTCCCCAAGTGAGACCAATTTCCAGAATATTCCCCTCATCTCTGTCGTAATTCGCTCGGGCTATTAGCACCATACGGATAATATCGGCATTATACCCGAGTCTGGCATCCCACCCCTTGCAATTATCCCGATCGGCATCATGTCGTCGGGCTTCGTTTCAGCCGGAACCAACGAGCAGCCGATCGAGCGCGACGATGAGTGGCTCAAGGCACAGCAAGAATTGGAGGAGGAGCGGAGACGGAAAGCGGAGATAGGCAAACAGGATGAGGGCAAAAGTCTCTTTGAGGTGCTGGAGCGGAACAAAAGTGAGCCTAACTGGGCAAGTGTCTTGGACCGGAGAGGAAACCTGGCTGACATGTTAGGGTGATTTCTGTGCTCTGTAGTGGCCAAACAAGAAGCCTTTGAGGAGAAATCGCGTCTCCGAAACCAGTTCCGCTCCCTCGATGAAGACGAAGTCGACTTTTTGGATTCCGTCATGGAGTCTACGCGCGCTCAGGAAGCCGCAGTGAAGAAGGACACCGCCGACCAGCTTGAAGCATTCCGCCGACAGCGCGAAAAGGCAGAAAAGGTGTTACAGGATTCGCCGTTCGGGGAAGAAGACGAGGATTGGACCGCACCGCGGAAACGACGGCGCGAGAAGCAAAACTCCCTGTTCCCGAAGAAGCGCAAGGCCTCTGCCACGAACCCCACCGGAAAAGATACAGATAAAGAAGGAGATGACACAAAGACAGACCGGAAAGCATTCACGTCAAGTCAAGCGACCCCGGCTTCCAAGCCCACTGGCGCGACGACACAGCCCACGGCAGCTGCTGAGCAAAAGCCAGTCGCTAATCCTGGGCAGAAACCTTTGGTCTCACTTGGTCTAGGAGACTACGGCTCTGACTCGGATTGAATTCTTCGCGTGAAAGCTTTCATGTTGGTTCAATGGAAAGCGCGCTTGAATTTCTTTAATGTCAACAATTTGCAAGTGGATTGCTATCTGGCGTCGGTCATACAACACCGGCCAAATAACATCTTCAATAATATTTGCCTTTTGCCTTACTGACTAGCAACACGTCATTATCGTCGAGTCAAGTCAATACAATTCCGCATCTCAATAGAATGCATACAGACTCTCCATTTCCACCTCCCCTCTACTCAAGATGCTTAGAGCCCTGCTTTACTTCCTGCTCCTCGACCCTGTGCTCCAAATCGTGAGTCAGATACTGTTCCCTGCGGGTTCCAGGCACAATCCACGGCGAGTTGGTGAAAATCTGGTTCATCTCCTCAAGAGGCACCTGCTTGGTTTCCGGGAGCAGAAGCCAGAAGAACACCGCATTGGTAAAGTTACAAATGACAAACACGAAGTAGAACCGATACCCAATATTCGTCATCGCAATCGGGGTGACCTGACCAATCATCGTGTTGAAGGCGAATGAAAGCATGGTCGCGAGCGAAACACCCTTTGCACGCGTACGGGTATCGAACACCTCGGCTGGAATGATCCAGGACAGCGGGCCACAGGTTGCAGAGAAGGAGAAGTTGTACAGCCAGGTCATGATAATGAAGCCCCAGTGGGCACCTTGGTTGTTGGTTTCTGGTGGGAATTTGGCAAGCAAAACAGTCGCCACAATGAAGGTGACCATGTTGCCAAGGTTTCCTGTGATCAGCGTCCAGCGTCGACCGAAGCGATCAATGAACATCATACAGAGGAACTGCGCGATCAGTGCGATAATCGAGTTGATAGCTTGGTACTTCAGGGTATCTTCGCTGGAGATTCCAATCTGGCCGTAGATCTCGGGTGAGTAGTATCTGTTGGAGATTGTCAATTTTGTTCTCGAACAGCTTGAAGCAGAGGCGAGCTTACTGGATTGCTGAAACACCGGTCATCTGAACGGAAGCCTGCAGAGCGCAGCAAAGGAACAATCGACGGAAAGAAGAGCGGTGGGTGAACAGGTCCAGATACGACTTGGCCTCGTTCTCGTGTTCGAAAGTGATGCTTTCCTGGATTTGGGCATATTCCGCTTGCACCCAAGCGTCATTCTCATCGCCATGAGCGTGCAACTGAGCCAATGTACGCAAGCCCTCTTCAGCACGGTTGTGATCGATGAGCCAACGAGGCGACTATCTCTGTTAGCGGTGTTCTGTTCACATCCCTTGCAGAATTTACCTCGGGGAAGAAAGATATCAATAAACCCAGGAACACAGCAGGCGCAATTTGGATACCCAGAGGCACTTGCCATTGTGCGTGGTTGTCTGGAGAGATACCGGTGTATGTGCCATAGCCGATCCAGGTAGCACACAGCGCTCCAACTCCCAGCATGAACTGCTGCAGAGCTGTGACTCGGCCACGAATGCTGGGGTGGCAGATCTCGGCCTGATATAGGGGAATCATCATAGTGAGGAAGCCGACACTGGAGCAATTGGCGTCAGCCGATTTGTTTCTTTCCAACTGGCGCCTTCTTTCCAATCCATCTTTCGTTTGGAACCAAGGAGACATACCCGAATCCAGCAAGGAATCGTCCACTGTACAAGTATGCGATGGACTGTGCACCGGTCTGCAGACCACCTCCAAGACAGAATACCAGACATCCCAGTGAAATGGTCCGTCGTCGACCTACGAAGTCACCGACAGGACCGCCCATGCCGGCGCCAACGCATGCTCCGGCTGTGAACAGAGACACTACCAATCCTCTACAATGTCATTAGCCACACGGCACTTCCAAGGCTCTTGTATCACGATCAATCAGACTTACTTCTGTGTGTCATCGGGGGCAAACTTCGACGTGAATGATTGACAAATAATCACTTCGGCGATAACACCCAAGTCATCTGTGCAGATTAGATTAACTCGGCTTGTAGAAACCTTGGGAGTTAGCGGCGAGCTTACATCCATAGAGGAACGATCCAAGAGAGGCGAAGACGCCGACCAGGAACTATACAACAATTAGCTTTATCCAAATTGTAGTGTATACAGAAAACATACCTGGTACCACGCAGGGGACAGACGCATGGCTTGAAATTCTGACAGATAAATATGGGGAAGAAGATCTGGGGATGCTCCACACATCCGGGGACGATCATGTCTACATATACCAACCTTGATCGGCTCATATCGAATTGAACCGAGATTCAAGATTCCAAGCTAACATCGCTTCCCTTGGAACTAACTCGTGAAATCTTGAAAGGCGTCCGGAATCATGAGCTTCAGTCATGCGGGGAGTAGAAAGGGGTGGCGTCTCCGACGGGCTGTGATTGACGGAAGAATTCCCACTATGAAATGCAGCTCTCGCCAGGCCAATATCTTGCCTCGCTGGATCCCGAGGTTGCCCCATTAGTCTCGGCTTGGAGTGATGCTAGCCAGAATCGGCTTCGCCTGGGTGGTGGTCCGACTTTGCCAACGCGCGCCTCCAAAGGGTCTCGATTTTTCCCCGCAGGAGTTTTTCCACTTCCAGGCCTCGAAGTCGGTTATTTGCAATTCACATTTCGCATTCTGCTCTTTTTATTTCTTACCTGTTGACTTCGGGATTCTGTCGTGGTTAACTTTTAAGAGCTGCGAGTCTGTTTCTTTCTAAACAGTCACTGTTCATCTGTAATTCGTAGTACAATGGCGACCTTTACCAAATTGGATGACCGGGAGACCCCTGTGATCTCAATTCACCCTGAGAGAAAGATCTCCAAGATCAACCCCAATATCTACTCTGGCTTCACTGAGTATGTTCGATGATCTGTTTGTCTCTTAATTATGGACTGACCTGGTTAGGCACATGGGACGCTGCATCTATGGCGGCATTTATGATCCTGGCAACCCATTGTCCGATGAGAATGGCTTCCGCACGGATGTTTTGGAGGCGTTGAAGGGGCTCAACATCCCCGTCGTTCGGTATCCCGGCGGTAACTTCTGCGCAACTTACCACTGGCTCGATGGTGTTGGCCCCAAAGACCAGAGACCAGCAAGGTTCGTCCCCTATCCCATACTTGTAATGATGTTGCTGACATGATAAAGACCTGAGCTTGCTTGGCTTGGAACTGAGACCAACCAATTTGGAACCGATGAGTTCATGAAGTGGTGTGAGGTGGTGGGCACTGAGCCCTACCTTTGCTTCAACTTTGGCACTGGTACCTTAGATGAAGGTATGCTCCACAACAAACAACTCTGCTCTCACAAAATCTAACTAGATCTCTTAGCTCTGGGCTGGGTTGAGTACTGCAATGGAACTGGCAACACATATTATGCCAACCTGCGCCGAAAGAATGGTCGCGAAGAGCCCTACAACGTAAGTTGCAAAACCCCGTCGCTCAACGGACTATGGATCCTGACGACACCAACAGGTCAAGTACTGGGCTCTCGGTAACGAATGCTGGGGTCCTTGGCAAGTCGAGCAAATGACCCAGGAAGCATATGCACACAAGGCCATCCAATGGGCCAAAGGTAAACATCCTATCAACCCCATGGTGTGGGAAAGTGCTAATCAAGACTACAGCCCTCAAGCTACTTGATCCCAGCCTCATCTTGATCCTTTGTGGCAAAGAGGGCGCTACCTCCTGGGACTACTACACACTCAAGCACTGCCTCGTGCCAGCCCACTCAGCTCTGTCAACTAGCTCCGTCCCTTTGATCGACATGCACAGCATCCACCTCTATACATCTTCATCCTCGCACCTCCCCAACGTCACCGCACCCCTTGCCGCAGAGCGCGCAATTGAGATAACCTCCTCGCTCATCGACCTCGCTCGAGTGGAGAACCAAGTTCCCCCGAGCAACTGCGCCCGACAATCTGCTTCGATGAGTGGAATGTCTGGGATCCCATCCGTGCAGAGGGAAGCCTCGGTGCCGAAGAGAGCTACACCCTATCTGATGCACTGGCTGTCGCTGTCTGGCTGAATGTCTTCGTGCGCAAGAGTAAGGACGTCGGCATGGCGTGCCTTGCACAGACTGTGAACGTCATCTCGCCACTCATGACTACGAAAGAGGGAATCACAAAGCAGACGACCTGGTGGCCTCTTTGGCTATTCTCGCGATTCATGCGTGGATGGACTATTGGTAGCCATGTCTCGTCTGGGACTTATGAAGGCGAGACTACTCCGAAGTGGATTCGCGGTGCTGTGCAGACGCCTTGGTTGGACGTGAGTGCTTCGCTTGGCGAGGATGGATTCGTGAATGTCGCGGTGGTCAATATCCACGAGGAGAAGGACTTGGAAAGTCGGGTTGAGGGGGCGAAGGGAGAGGTGGAGGTTTTCACTGTTACCGGTGCGGAAGTCTCAGTGACAAATATGAAGGGAAAACAAGAGGTCGCTATTCAGGAATCGACCTGGAATGGAAGTGGAAGCTATGTCTTCCCCAAGCACTCGCTTACGCTTCTGAGATGGAAGGCTTAGATTCGGCATTATACAAGGCATCTGGGTATGTACTGAGCAATAGAATTTCATTCATAGATGTGGAATGTATTCATTCATTCACTGAGGCCTTAAAAGGCTGTTCTGGTAAAGTAGGTAAGGTCTATCCGTAGTTCACATCGTGGACAGCACCCTCTTCGTTGACGTGGATGTTGAGTCTGAAAGACCTAATTAGCAGGTTTCCTTGTTCTTCGACCTTGGTGGCGTGTTACCTGTTGGGGTCATGGTCCATAGTCTTCATATCACCAGGCTTCAAGACACGATGAGACTGTGGCAAGTCTTGTTTGGCAAAAGACTAGGCAGTGTTAGGGATTTGTGTACGAAGACGGCTCAAAAACAACATACTGTCTCGTTGCTGTTGTCTCCAATAGTCTTTCCCATCAACTTATTGACCCAGTCAGGTTTGTCACCCATGGATGAGTTGATTCCGGGAACGACGAGAGGCATGTTTTCGGTCGATCAGTACGTTAAAGGCAAAAAGAGATATGTGAAGTGAAGATGGAGAGTCAAGTTGTCCAAAGATATAAGCCACTCTTGATCAATGACGTAGTGTCTTTATTGGGACTAGCGTCTTATCAAATCGCCTCTCAGCTCTCACTGGCTACGAGTTTATAGATGATGTCAAGGGAGATATCAGGTCAGGGGAGTCCTAGATTGTAATTGGGCATCACTACAATCAATTAATTACTTCGCGATTTCGAGAAAGTAATAACGTATGGGTAGATTATTTTCGCCACGATATAGATTGATACCAACCCAACTTCCACCACCTCGGCACATAGGTATCTTATGGATTTCTCTCTTGAAATTTGTTGTTTTCTCATACAAGAACCGTTCGTCACACTGTATGGATGTACTTTACGCAGCGGACGATATTGAAATGTGCGCGGGCATGGCGTTGGAATCTGACGAGGCATCAGCTCAGCGTTTCGCTACAGACAAGAGGGCCCCGGCCGCCAACGAGGACTACAATTTGCAGAAAATCTTTCAGATGAACCCCATTCCAACCGACTTCAAATGCTCACTGCAGATCCCTTACAAACTTGTAGAGGATTTCGTACCAAAATTCTCAGCCGCCAGCTACGCCCATGCGACAAACGGCAGCCGCCAGCTCATGATAGAATCGCATCCAGCCTTCATATGTCTGATTTGCCATGAACTTACAAGGTTCCATCCTTGAACAATATAAAATGTGTAAAGAGTTCTTTCAAGGAAACTATATGGGGGAGATTCCCACAAGAGCGCCTGCTATTTTAATCTTGATCTGATAAAGCAAGGCATTACGCCCGTGTCCAGATGTTTCATGAGCAAAAATTGGCCTGCTGATATGAAGACCCTTCATCTAATTCTCATTGTGCCCAAATAAGATCATATTCCGCGCCTAGTTTGGGAAAGATCGGCGATGCATGATAGAACAGACCTGAGGCTATCCTGTTTGGGGGCGGAGTATAAGGACCGCGTTAATGCAGGGGCTTCTGCATGATTTGAAGGTGTCTCCTTGACAATATAGGTGATACGTTCACCCGGAGAGTCCCCATTGAGCTTGTGGCTGGAATCTGTTCCACATTCCCCGGAGTAGCTTAAACGGGCACTTCTTCACACGCAGGCTTATAATTTGATTGAAAGTATTATGAAAAGACACAACACTTCGGAAGTGAGCTCGTGGAATTCTCGATTTATCAGTAGGAACCGTTCTAGTTTTTTTTATCTTATATTATGTTGTGCAGCCTGATATTTCGAATAAAATGAGATAACCCAGAGGTGCCAAGCTGGGTGCAGGTATCGACAATAGGCTAAAAGATATTCAAAAAAATCAAGGGTAGCCTCCATAGCTTGCCTACCTATAAGGAAAGCTATGGCCGCCTTCCACCATTTCCTGGCGGGGATATCTCTTGGCATGGGCGTGGAATGTGACAATACGACAGTAACAGGTCAACCTCGTTTCATATTGAGGAAGCTTTGGACAAAGCAGAATAGTGCTCGGAGTTCGGCTGGGGGTTCCGCAGTAAGTCGGACTAGCATGCCTCACCTTGAGCTATATAAGGAAGGACAAGTAGAACCCAAGGGAGGAGAGTACTAGCAAACGCAAGATCAACGAAACCCATTCGGTCTATAGTTCAATATGCGATCTTTCATCAGTATTGCTCCTCTACTGGCTTCCAGCGTAGCTGGTGCTGCAATCTCAAACGCGATTCGAGCGACTGCAGCTTCAGTGAATCCGTTCTCTGGCTACCAGCTCTATGCCAATTCGTACTATGCATCTGAAGTCACCACTTTGGCATTGCCCTCGATGACTGGTACTGCCAAAGCTGCAGCAAGCTCAGTCGCCCAGGTCCCATCGTTCTATTGGCTGTAAGTCAACTCGCAGCTAAAGGAGGTGTAGCAATTGTCGAGTCTGACACTTTGTGCAGGGATACTGCCGCCAAGGTACCCACCATGAGCACCTTTTTGGCTGACATCAAAGCCAAAAACGCAGCTGGTGCTAGCCCGCCCATTGCAGCACAGTTTGTGGTGTATGATCTTCCTGACCGTGACTGTGCTGCATTGGCAAGCAATGGAGAGTATTCGATCGCGGACGGCGGGCTCGCGAAGTACAAGACCTACATCGATGAAATTCGCAAGGTGCTTGTTGCCTACTCAGATGTCCAAACTATTTTGGTAATTGGTCAGTGAGCACGATGTTTCGTTGATGAAGAGCATCTCAGGCAAGGAAACATGCTGATAATTCATCTAGAGCCTGATAGTTTGGCCAATCTCGTTACCAACATGGCTGTCTCCAAGTGTGCCAATGCACATGATGCATACCTGGAGGGCACTAACTATGCAGTGACCCAATTGAACCTGGCCAATGTGGCCATGTATCTTGATGCAGGTAGGCATTTCTCAAATTTGACGGCTCATGTCCCCCGAGAGCTCATTCGTGAGTTATCGAATGTCTCGGAGCTTTGACTCACATGCTCCTCATCTAGGTCACGCGGGATGGCTGGGATGGCCAGCCAATCTGAGCCCAGCAGCGCAACTTTTCGCAGGAGTGTATAACGACGCCGGACAGCCTGGATCTCTTCGCGGTCTTGCGACAAACGTCGCAAACTATAATGGCTGGTCTTTGTCAACCTGCCCATCCTATACCTCAGGCAACTCGAACTGCGACGAAAAGAGATACATCAATGCAATTGCGCCGTTGTTGAAGAGTGCAGGGTGGGATGCTCGCTTCATCACTGACACCGGTATGTGATATCTTCACAGCTGATCAAAACAGCGCTTATCAAATTGGACTTCTTAGGTCGCAACGGCGTCCAGCCCACCCAGCAAAATGCTTGGGGTGACTGGTGTAATGTCAAGGGAACTGGTTTCGGAGTCCGACCCACCACCAGCACTGGCGATTCGTTGACTGATGCATTTGTTTGGGTCAAGCCTGGCGGTGAGAGCGATGGCACCTCGGATTCTAGCGCGGTTCGCTACGATGCCCACTGTGGATACTCTGATGCCCTTCAACCAGCACCAGAAGCTGGTACATGGTTCCAGGTAAGCCAATATCGCGAGAGCAGTCTGAGATAGGAAGAACTTTGCTAACGGCGTAAAGGCGTACTTTGCCCAGCTGGTGCAGAATGCGAATCCCTCATTCTGAAAGCTTGAAAACATGGTGCCACGTGCAACCCTGGTTCAGCTGAGCTTCATAGGTGATCAGATCAGAAGGTTAGTTTAATGGAAGAGCCAACAATACACTCGGTCCGGCACATATCCTTCACGTAGTATACTCCGTAGTACCTACTCCGTACACATCTGGAGCAAGTCGCGCAGATCACCCGACGGCCAGGAGGCGGTCTGCACATCATGGCAGTATTCTGACCGCCCACAAGACGAATAGCTTCGATAACGAAATGCGGGATGCAGAGAACAACTCCCCCCGTTCGACATTGCACAACGTGCCTACTCGCCAGTCAAGATATTGTTGGATTACTGTGGTTACGCAAACCAACAAGCAAATCTACGACCTTTACTCCCCACAGGAGGCTCAGGTGCATGCGCACCTACCTCAACCACCCCACCTGTCTACCACTCTGACAGGCGACAACGTGCACAGACACCCATATCTGAGAAAAAGCGCCCACTGGCATCATGGAGGATTTCAACAGCGAGACGGATAGTGATTACACAAGCTACTGGAGAGACTGGGTAAGTGGACTTTTTTCCTACAGATCTCTGGTTTTCATGGCCGGCACGTCAGGGTTGGGTGGATGCGATACACCACTGCTGCTCGATGATGATTGAGTTAAGAAGATGTTGGAAGCCCGCGTGGCTGTGGTTTCCGACTGGGCAATGCGACGACCTAAGGAATATCGCCGTGGCGACAGCAAATACGTGGGTTGCAGGCGCCCCATCCACGTCTCGACTGTACAACGATACGACGACTAAGCAGCATCGCCGCAGCGACGGCGTGGGTGGAGTCTAGAGGCGTATCAGGTCGCAATTATCTTCCTTCGCCTTTCCTCCAACCTTGCTTTCTTCATCCAGCTGTTGACCATCGCCTCATCATGCCTTGGTCATCGCTACTCAGCTGGTCGGAATGGGCCATGTCCTTTGCCATCTTCGTGCACTTTGTGGTATACTTGCATTTCGCTGTTTACTATCTGTTCACTGGAGACTACGACTCTTGTGTCCTCAGCCTTTTTTTATGGCTCGGACTATGGGGGTGTGGTTTGTGATCATTCAGTTTGTATTCGGCCGCTCGATGGAGTTCAGTGATATGTGGACATGGTTTTTCCCCCGTCCTCCCCGGGGCCCAGACTCCAACCCGCGCGGCCCCAACAATGACGGCAATGGCTCTGGCGGTGTATCCGGAACCCCCCTGATGGGTACTACGATCCAGGCTTTAACATTAATTGGGGCTATGGACGTGTCGGCCACGACTATTATCATGCCCATTGTGAACTTTTCAACGCAAAGTGGACTGTGCTAATCATACCTTTGTGCGTCGTGCAGTTTGTCTCGTCTCGTGGCAATGAGTACTTCTGTGAGATCGACGAAGACTACCTGACAGATCGCTTCAACCTCACTGGTCTCAACACAGAGGTTTCTTACTACCAGTATGCGCTTGATCTTGTCACCGACGTTTTCGATCTCGACGCCGACGATGACCTCCGCGAGCAAATTGAGAAGTCCGCTCGCCACCTCTATGGTCTCGTTCATGCTCGGTACATCGTCACTACTCGTGGACTCGCCAAAATGGTATGCCAAGTCACCCAGCTTGCATGGTTTTCCACGTGAGACATCTGTACTGACTGTTGACTAGCTTGAAAAATACAAGAAGAGCGACTTCGGAAAGTGCCCTCGCGTTATGTGCGACGGCCATGCGCTTCTTCCTGTCGGTCAAGCTGACCTTCCAAACATGAGCACCGTCAAGCTCTACTGCCCAAAGTGTGAAGACATCTACAACCCCAAGTCCTCTCGCCACGCCTCCATTGACGGTGCATACTTCGGCACTTCATTCCATTCTATCCTGTTCCAGGTCTACCCTGCTCTCAACCCGGAGAAGAGCAGCCGCCGCTACGAGCCCCGTATCTATGGTTTCAAGGTTCACGCTGCGGCCGCCCTTGCTCGCTACCAGGACATGGAACGCGAAGACCTCAAGTCCCGCCTCGCCGAAGTTGACATCCAGCACCGTTTCATCGAAGACAGCGAGAGCGATGGCGATGCGTTCGAGTACGACGAGGATTACGCGGAGGGTCGTACTGAGCCCGCCAAGAACCAGGGCCAGGCCGGCGACGCAGCCTCTGCTCCGATGGAGATCGGTAACTGAGTATTTTCTCCATGCCCATGCTCCACGAACGAGATGATTCGGCGCAACGAAACAACATACATGGTGTGCTTCTCCTTTGCTAGGGATCTTTCATTTTCACGAATTACGGCGTTGTCAGGCTCGCATGGCTCATGTGCCAGGGTTTTTTCTTTCTTTGACTTCGTTTGTACTTAAATTACCCACCCAGTCCGTTCCAAGCAGGACCAATGAAACGAAATAACGTTCTATCGATCTTCCGTTGCGTGGCTGGCCTTTTATGTCGGTGATTCCACCAAACAGTACATTCACTAATCAACCTAAGTAACATACATCTAGGTGCTCTCCGGGTCACTGAGGGACCAGCCCCATTTCCCGCAGTTGCTCGAGAGCATAGATGATGGCATAAGCCAATTGGTCGCCTCTCTCCCAGGCTTCATCATGGGCGCCACTGATGGGCAAGACGCGGACCCGTCGATCGCGGTGCGACAATTCCTGGACAGGGATCTGAGCCTCAAGTTTCCCCCACTGTTTGAGACTTTCCTCCATAGCGTCAAGCTGAGACTCATCGACCAGCTCATCATCTTTGGAATGCGCCAGAACAGCTAACCTCCCAGACTTCCAGCCACCCTCCACTCCGCGCGAGCCAGCCATTTGTGCGGGCGATACTCCATCCCAGAGCAATTCATCGGCTCCAAACGCCCCCTCTATGAACTCCGAGTAGGCTGAGATATCAGGATGCGAGTCGCGCAACCGCCTCAGATCATATATACCCGCCACCCCGACAATGGCGGTAGGTTGTGCCGTCAACGGGGGCGGCAAAGGACCTGGCGAGGCCGAGACAACCCCAACGCTGATTTTTGGGTTCTCCTTTGTTTCGCTGAAGGCCTGCTCGCGATGGTTCGACACCGCGCCCATCACTGCCTGGAAGGCAAGCGTTGCGCCGCAGCTGTGGCCGACTAGTATATACTGTCCACCGAATGAATATGTATTTTGGAGGAATGCGAGAGCACCCTCTACATCCCGAATATGATCGGGGTGTTTCGCATCGCGGTAATCGTGGGGGAAGTGTTGATCGGGTCTTGGGGATGGTTTGGGTGTGCGCTTAGACGGTATGAGATTGAAGCAAAGCCGGCGATAGGGAGGTCTGGTGTGTCACGCAGTATAGACTCGGCTGCATTGAACGCCGTGTCCTTAACGGTTGGATCTCTCCAGGCACCGCCATGGATGAAGCTGGAAGAGTTGTTAGTCCGCGGAAATCATGGTCGGGATCAAAGATCGGAATTCATGTACATCACCCAGTACCCATCTTTGCTTGAAGCTAAGGGTGTCACAGAGACAACTTGGAGGTTATGGACTCGCCCGTAGGCTACAGTCCGAGATCGACTCGGCATTGTTAATTGGGAAATGCATCTTGTAGGCGCGAGTCATTTATGAGGGGGGAGTGGGACGGTTGATTACGAGCATTTGGAGATCGTTGTGGTGGGATACCACCCCGGGGAAAACGCTGGACTGTGTGTGTGGTTCTTTCCTTTCTCTTTGTTGGGCGAAATGTTCGCACAATTGTTCAATTTCTCACTACATCAACGTCCGCGATGGAGTCCGACACGCTCCCCGACGATGTGAATTCTCCGATGAGTGCCATGTGAGTGTAACAATACCGTATTGCCCCTCAATCTACGTGGGGAATATGCGTATTGGCCGTATTTAATTTCCATGCGTTTTGCGTATCGCACTAAACCCGATCAGGTCGGATGGGCTCCTTTCACACAAACCGACCAAGTCGACCATCTCGACCTTCACAATCGCCCAAAAGTTGCAACCTTACACAATGGCCGAGTACGTGATGTCCGATTTTTGATCTCAAGGCTTCAGACTAACCGTTCACGCAGAACCCCAGCTCCCCTCGCGGCCGTTCAGGTCGAGGCTTTGGTCAGTCTTCCCGAAGAAAATCTCCCCAGGCCTCGCCAGTCAGGAATACTGACGTCGGAACTTCCAGGTGGTGATGAAAATCATCAAGCACTGCTCTCAGACCTTCCCTTCCACCGCAACCGGTGCCCTCGTCGGCATGGATGTCGATGGCTCCCTCGAGATCACCAACACTTTCCCCTTCCCCGTCGTTGAAGTCCCCGCCGAGTCGCACTTTGACAACACCACTCCCAACCACGCCGCCGCCGCTCCCCGTGCTAAGGCCAACGCTGCCTACTCCGCAGAGTACATCCGCATGCTGCGCGAGGTCAACACCGATGCCAACAACGTCGGATGGTACACCAGCGCCAACATGGGCAACTTCGTCAACATGAACGTGATCGAGAACCAATTTTACTACCAGAGCCAGTTGAACGAGCGCACAGTTGCCCTTGTTCACGACGTCAGCCGCAGCGCCCAGGGCAGCCTTAGCCTCCGCGCTTTCCGTCTGTCCACCAAGTTCATGACTGCGTTCAAGGAGAACAAGTTCACCTCCGAGGAGTACGTGGAAATGCTCTTGCGCGGATTAAAAAAATATTGACTGGACGCTAATGACCATCACAGTCTCCAAAGCTCCGAAATGCGCCACACCGATATCTTTGAGGAACTGCCCGTCAAGCTCCACAACTCGCACCTGATCACCTCTTTCATTCACCAGCTGCAGTGCCCGACCAACAACGCCTCCACTGAGCTTCCCTCTTCTCTCGCTGCTCTTGAGTCCAGCCCCTTCAATAAAACCTCCACACTCACCCCCAACCTCGACAACCTGTCCCTCAGCATCGACCCCTTCCTGGAGAAGAACTGCGATCTCCTCCTGGACACCATCGAGACCCACAACACCGAGGTCAACAACTACCAGTACTACCAGCGTGTCCTCGGCCGCGAGCAGCAGAAGATCAACGCCTGGAAGCAGAAGCGCGCACAGGAGAACGCCACCCGTGCCACCCTCAACCAACCCCTTCTCCCCGAGGACGAGTGGCAGCGTCTGTTCAAGCTCCCCACCGAGCCCAGCCGTCTGGAGAGCATGCTCAACACTCGCCAGGTGAACCAGTACGCCAGCCAGGTCGACAACTTTGTCTCAACCAGCACGGGCAAGATGTTTGCTATCAAGGGCAACCTGCTGCCCAACGAGACCTCGAACTAAATGATGACTGTGGGGAGACACGATGCTTCTGGGATTGCATGACCTTTTTACGGCGTAGGGAGGGAAAATGTTCTCTATTTGGGATGTTAATATGACTTCCTCTTTCTTTTTTCTTTCTATGGTCAAGTCGTTAGGCCTGTCTACGACTTTCCCATAGAAGGGATTTTTTTATTTTGTTTAGATTACAACAATGAACAGGTCAAACTTCAACTTTCTATTCTCACTCTCGTCCCCAGCATTGGGGGACCTACCTCGAACTCACTAACAACAGTGCGATAAATCCAAAAACGAAGGCCAAAAAGAAAACTCAAATCTCTCGATATCACTTGTTCGCAGGGGCACCCTTATCTTCAGGAACATCCTCACTCTCGAGAACATCCACGCTATCAATCCCATGCTCATTCTCATTCTCATGAATCACGGAATACCGATGAACGATCTGAGAACGAGCATAGGCGGTGGGATCACGCATTACGAGCGGAACCGCAGCCTCGATCTTGCGAGCGACTTCGAGCTGGTTCCTAGAGCTCGAATCCTCTCTGAGCAAAGATGCACGAGCGTCTTCCAGAACTTGAGGCAGATCTCGACAAACCTGTTCAAACTCCGTGTCATCAGCGGTGATGGCCATCTGCTCGCACTTGGTGGCCAGAAGTTCGGCCTCGCTCAGGGCCGTGAGGATATCATACAGATTCTTGGAATGGAACTTGAGCGCGTAGACCTGATCCACGATCTTGCTCAGGAGAGCCTGGCGCTCGTAGGCGTAAAGGGTCTGTCCTACGTTGTTCGACATGTTGATGTTGGGTATACTTCGTTAGTAGCTTTGATGGCTGTAGATCAGTATACTTTGGTTGGATATGTGTCTGTGTGTGTTGGTCAGTGGATTGTGTGTTGATTGTTTGGTAATTGACTGTGGTGGTGGAGGAGGAGAGAGTATTACTGTCGAGGCACTGGTGGCTTTTATACATATCGAGCCGCTCGGTGGCATGGTTCTCGAAAGTGAATTGGTTGAGTAGAACAAAGAATTGGGAGAAAGACACTTAAATGGCTTTGTTGGCTTGTTGTGATGTGCAAAGGGGCTCACAAGGCCCATTGTGCTCTGGTACGAGAGTACGAAGCCGTCAAAGGAGAAGCTGACAACTTCCAAGGTTAGAAAGCCTGCGTGATTCTAATCAAACAATGTCCTTGTCTCCAAGGCTGAGATTGTGTCTCATGACTGTGGCCTTCGTATTGCTAATCTTCTCTCCAAGCTTGGGAGCGCTTCTTGCACCTGAGATAGGACCGAAAGTGCTTGTGAATACAAAGAAATCTCACAAATCACTGGTTGCACCACTCGGATTTACCAAAGCCACGACAGTAGTGGGAATTCATACCAAAGACATAGAATCTACCACCCCTCACCAGCAATCTTCAAAGGAACATGCAGAAGCCGATGGCCAGCCTCCGTCGGAGCAGGAAGTCTCCCAGCCCGTATGTTGATCTGTAAAGATTGATGAAGCAGCCTTGGAGCCGCAAGCTTCTCATCACGCTCTTTGCGCAGAGCCACGAAATGCTCCTCGCTCATACCATCTTTGAGATGCTTGTTTAGTTCCCTATGCTCCCGAACACTCAGCCAAGGCACGGGCTCCGTCCGACCTTCTGGAGGATAGTCATGACCGGTCCAGATTTTGAAATGGCCAGGGAGATCCAGTAACTTGCGACCTGATTGGAAGAGGTCTTTGGCATCACCGCCGGGAAAGTCACACCGTGCAGTACCTATATCTGCGTGGAAGAGGGAGTCGCCACAGAATATGTTATCTGGAGATGTCAGAATGGTTTCGTATGAGTACCTGCGATAAGACTTACCTCCAATCATATATCCCAGATGATCTGGTGTATGGCCTGGCAAATGGATAGCTTTTGCTGTCATATTGCCGATGGCAAACGTCTCGTCATCGTCAAATAGCTTGTCGAATACATGCCTGTATTCCCTGCTTGGAACGCCGTATCTCTGACTGAACAGCTTCTGCACTGCCTCAATACGCTTTCCGATGCAAATGGGCGGTTTGTGATCCTGGCTCTTCATAATATGTGTTTGCAGATATGATGCCGCACTTAGATGATCTGCGTGGGCATGTGTTTCGAGGATCTTATCAATTTTATAATTCCTTGCTTTGACCAGCGCGAGGAGAGAGTCGGCAGATCTTGTCGTGATAGCCTGGGTGGCCGGATCGAAGTTCAAGACCGGGTCGATGATGACGGCGGTTAATGTTGTGGGATCGGCAACGATGTATTGCCATGTACCTGATACATCGTCAAACACATCGTGTATCACCGGTTCATTTGAGATGGCGGTGGTGCTGTACGATGTCCGGTCTGTGCTCAAATGACCGGAAGAGGTGTGACCTCTTTGTGGATGTTTGGTTGTGCTTTGACTGGCAGCTCCCATTCTGATAGTGCTCAGCGATATTGACGCGATTAAGTCACTTCTGTTAGAAAGTTGTTGAACGGAACGCGATTGTCTGCCACCAGCGAAGGGGAATGATCGAGGGCTTTTGCCGGACACCCGCAACGCGCGCGATGAGATATGGCGGCAGATCTTTGATGATTGCTGCAGTGGGCTTGCCATACTGGATTATATAGACAAAGCGATAATGGTTTCGGAATATATGAAATTGAGGGTTTCAGCAAGTCATACTTGAAAGGTGAGGTACCGGCCGTGGAGGTCGGCGACTCGGGGCTCGGGGAGCACACACCCAACCTTGGAACGAGAAGGTCGCCGATAGACCAAAGTCATAACGGGGTCAATTTAGTCTCAGCTTCCAGGCCCTCAAGGATGACATTCTCTCCTACTCCGTATAGTGTGTCTGATTCATAATCGGATTCCTGGAGGTGGCAAGAGGCCCACTTCTCCCAGAACGGCGACCATAGGGGAATTCTAGGGTGTGTACGGAGTACTTCCACAACTAATGCTTAGTTCCATGTCTCTACTCTTTTGAAATGAAAATATAGCTCTTGCTTTCGTCGAAGAATATAGGAAACTGGTATGAACAGCTAGTTAAGACTGCTGAAGAGCGCTGCAGCAAACGACCCAGTGAACACATCAAAGAAGCATAGTGTTTGGTGGTGCTCAGTCGACCGGCCATGAAATATGTGCAGTTTGCATGACCATAGCAAATATGAATCCAGCATCAGGCCATACAAGCAGCAAGCAGGTATGTGCCTGACAGGAGTGAAGTCGAGATCGGCGAGTGGAGGCCGAGAACGTCCCCGGTATCGGAAGGGGTTGATCCGATCCCGCGATCACGACATCAGCTAACAGGCTTACTGCTTTGGGACTTTTTTGATATTCTTCTGAAAGCTCCTGATTTCTTAGTGTTTGCTCTTTAGCCTTTCAAGATGTTTCAAAGTCGAGCTTCATTGGCAGCTCGTGCTGCCCGTTCTGTGGCTTCTCAATACCGGGGCCTAGCGACCGCATCCCCTGCAGCCAATACCGCCCGCAGCCACAAGGTTGTAGTGGTCGGTGGTGGTACTGCTGGTCAATCTATCAGCCACCAGCTCCTTCACTCTGGCAAATTTGCTCAGGATGACATTGCTGTCATTGACCCTGCCGAATGGCACCACTATCAGCCAGGCTGGACCCTCGTTGGTGGTGGTCTCAAGAACAAGGAGGACCTGCGCCAGCCAATGCAGAGCCTGGTCGACTCCAAGTTCAAGTTCTACAACCAGAGTGTCGACAAATTTGCCCCCAACGAGAACTCTGTGACTCTGGAGAACGGCGACAAGCTGAACTATGAGCACCTCGTTGTGGTCCCAGGTATCAACATCAACTACGGTCAGATCAAGGGTCTCCCTGAGGCTCTCGCAGACCGTCACTCTACTGTCTCATCTATCTACGGCTACAACACCTGTGACAAGGCTTTCCGTACTTTCGACAACTTCCGCCAAGGAAACGCTATCTTCACACAGCCCGCCGGTGTCATCAAGTGTGCCGGTGCCCCCCCAAAAGGTCATGTGGCTTGCCTTGGACCTCTGGAAGAAGGCTGGTCTCTACAACCCCACCAACCCCGCTCAATCACCCGTCAAGATCAGCTACGCCACCGGTCTTCCCGTCATGTTCGGTGTGCCCAAGTACAACGCGATCCTCGAGCAGATGCGCAAGGACCGCGGCGTCGAGGGCCTTTTCCAGCACGATCTCATTGCATTGGACGGCAAGGCCGCCGTCTTCTCCACCCCCAACGGAGAGGTCACCCGTGAATACGATCTGCTCCACGTCTCCCCCAAGATGGGTGCCCACGCCTTCGTCAAGAACAGCCCCTTGGCCAACGAGCTCGGCATGGTTGATGTTCACGACAACACCACCCAGCACAAGAAGTTCCCCAACGTCTGGTCTGCCGGTGACGCGTCCAGTCTGCCCACCTCCAAGACCGCCGCTGCCGTCACTTCAGAGGCCCCCGTTCTCGTCCGCAACCTTCTGCAAACCATGGAGGGTAAGGCCGTCGACGCCTCCTACGATGGATACACCTCGTGCCCTCTTTTGACCGAATACGGCAAGGTCCTGCTTGCTGAGTTCAAGTACGGTGGTGAGCCCAAAGAGACTTTCGGTAACTGGTTCGGTATCGACCAGGGTGAGCCCCGTCGCTCATTCTACCACCTCAAGAAGGACTTCTTCCCCTGGGTGTACCAGAACTACATGGTCAAGGGTAACTGGAGCGGACCTAAGGGCTGGCTCTGAAGGATTGCAGCTCTGCGTGTACAATAAACAATTAGCGCCTCTTAATGTAAGAAAGTAGGTTAGCAAAAAAAATCATATATGTCTAGATCATTCCATGATACCGATGAAGAGAGAAATGTTGTGCAAACAAGCGCCGAGTCGAGCACAATCATCGATGACATCATCGTCCATCATATGAAGATAGATAATCTTCAAAATCCTGTAAGCACGTATTAAGTTCACTGCGCGTCATATTTTGATTATCTTTTGTCGGGTTCTTCTTGAAATCGCGAGAGCCAACATGTCTCTTTCGGGAAAATCTCCCACTTCAACCACAAAATGTACAACAGTCACACCGACATCTGGGCTGTAAGTCAGACCTATACTGGATGTGCTGTGAAGAGAATAACCACGTGCTGACACGAAAATGTCTCTTTCCCAAAGGCAGGCGCATTTGCTGCAGTCGTAGTTGACTTCGTGGTATACCCAGTCGACACACTCAAGACTCGCATACAATCACCAGACTACAGCAAGGTGTTCAAAGATGCGCACACCGGCACGATTAAGCGCCAGGTTCTCTTCAAGGGACTTTACCAAGGCGTGTGGAGCGTAGTATTCTCCACAATTCCTTCATGTGTGTATCACTACCTCCATCAAAGCACATCGAGACTAACAACATATCAGCCGGTGCATTCTTCACAACATACGAAGCCGTCAAAAGCATTCTCTACAACTCATCCACTCAAACCCCGGATAACAATCCTTCTGGGGGATCTCTCAATAATATTCGTTTGCCCTTCAAGCATTCTCTCCCAACACCAATAATGCACGGGATTGCATCCTCAACCGGCGAAATGGTATCCTGTTTAATGCTCACGCCAGCGGAAGTGCTGAAGCAAAATGCGCAAATGATTCAAAGTCAAAACAGCAGCCAACACGGAAACAAAAGCGCCATGCGACTGGTTTTATCTCGCTTTCGACACCGGCCCTGGCGTCTTTGGAACGGCTACACGGCTCTCGTGGGACGCAACTTACCAACAACGGCACTACAATTTCCACTTTTCGAGTTCATTCGATCGAATATGATAAAGAGATGGAGGGAGCGAAAAGGAAAAGAAGGTGACTCAAATGCGCAATCTGATCTTCTCATAGAGCGCGCTGGCTTAACTGGGATTTCGGCCGCCATGTCAGGCACGGTTGCATCGACGGTCACTACGCCAATTGACGTCGTCAAAACCAGGATCATGCTATCGGCGGCAAGCGAGGACACTGAGCGTGGGAAAGGTGGCTCAGACATGAAAGGGGCGGCTCGTTCCAAGCAGGGACCGCTTGCTGTCGGGAGAGACATAGTGCGCAACGAAGGAGTGAGGGGACTATTCAAGGGCGGGCTTATTCGGGCTGGATGGACGGCTGTGGCGTTGGGAATGTATCTTAGTTTGTATGAGGGCGGAAGATTCTACTTGGAGAATCGGCGGAGAGAGAGGGATGGTTTGAGTCTCCAATCTGCTAGGGAAGGCTAGTTTCATAGTAAATAAGCGTTGTCTTCCAAGGCTACCATGGATTTTGGTCGAGAGATCTTCCAAATCTTTGGAGACTTGAGCATCACTTCTACTGAGTATCCTTTGTTCCAAAATTTGCCCAAGTACGTGGAGAAACTGACAAGAGCGTGCGTCACAAAGAAATCCCCGAAATTAGACCTCTCGTAATAGCCATTGAAGTAATTAAAAGAGTTCTTTCCCAGCGCCGAAGGAAACAAAGGCTCTTTGATACCCAACATCCAATCCAGATGAACCAAAGTGTATAAAAGTGTCTCCGTCCCCACCCAAGATACATCAACACCGAAAGCAACAATTCCATTGCATACACAATATCATTGAGCCAATCCAGTAACCATTAACAAAAGCCACAATGGCAAGAACCAACGTTTCGAGATTCGTAAAGCCCAACACAAAAGGCTCCAAAAGACGGCGCCGTGATGCACCGGCCTACGAAGAGGAGATTTCGGATGCGGACAACGAGCTTTCCGATGACGAATTTGAGGGCGATGAAATGTATGGTCCTCACAGTACACCCGACGCTTTCGATGACTTCAGCTCCGTACTGAACGCTCTGCCAGAGCCTCAGCCTCTGTTCCATTTCCACATCTGTCGTGACTCACATCCTCTCCACGGTACAAAAGGTAAGTCTGATGGCTGGGCCAATGCCTCATACCTTCTCTGGGAAATGTGTGCTATTCTCGCTGCAGCTGGAACTGATTATGAATGGACTGTCAAGTTTGAGAAACACCTTCCCACATGGCAGAAGATTCAACAACAGGTTAAGACTTATGGCTTTACACATTTCTCGTCAGAGATTCCTGCCGCACCGGCCGACCTTGCTTTTGTTAGACTTCCCAAAGAAGACAGGAGCTTTGAGATTGAGCAAGACCCGCATGGAGACGTTCAGGATAGCTCGGATGTTTGGGCTCTTTGGCGTTACATTATCGAGATGCCTGTTGCGGAGGAGAAGTTGTTTGAGGTCAGACTTGTGGATTCTGATGTGTCCGTAAACTGATGGTACAGAGCTCCATACTTTCATATTTTGAATTTGTCTTGATTTGATAGCAATGATATGAATTTGAACTTGCCAGGAAATTGAACCCCTTCGTAGCTGGGCACCAAAGCGGTCGCTTCCTAAATGACACCAAGTTTCCCATCCCCATTTAGACTCCTAGTTCCTCCCATCCTGCGTCCACCCCAGAAGATGACTCGATCTTACCAGTAGATGTGTGATGCTCAATCGTCGCTCTCCTCAGAAACACCACGAGAAACCAGAGCTGTCGCAATTTGCTGACCTTCATAAATGTCCTTGCTAGAGTTGGTCTTCAATCCAAAACCCTCCATGAATCTGGTCCAGCCACCGCGCATGTTCACAGCCCTCTGCTCGAGAGGGGTAAGTTGTGGTTCTGTATCAAAGCAAAGTTAGTATACCCATTCAAATCATGATTACTGCGGAGTGGACTCAGTCTCGTACGACGTGGCTCGGTTGTAGGGCTAGTGTCAGAGCCATCGTCAGATAGATAAGCATGGAAATGCTTCTCGTTGTTGGAGACAGCCGGTCTCAGTGGCTGGGGCTTGATTTGGGAACCCACTTGGGGCCCCGACTGACCCGAGGAAACATTCGATTTGCGGCTGAGTGGGTTTCTAGGATTGCTCCAGCATTCCTTGGTGGTGTGGCCTCGGCGTTTGTGAATAGCACACCATGGCTCTTCTTCCTTCCTTGAATATTTGCTTTCGTGCAGACCACCCCTGTCAGTGTAGAACGGTGGCATATTACTCGTTCCGCTGGAGCTTGGTCTGCTTGGTCGGTCTATGTCACGACCCGTGCGATGGGATTCGGCTGTGAGAAACTCTGTGTACAAGGTAATGAGGTCATGCTCTTGGAAGGTCTTCCTATCCAAAGAGAGCGTGTTCAGCCATGGAACACATGCAGGGTTGTTGCTGACGGCTCCGATGAAGATGTGGTAGCAAAGAATTGGTGGCACTTGTTGGTCGGAAGGATAACATGCTCGAACCTCGGCTAGGTAGTAACGCCATTTGTTAAGGAAATTGGAAAAGCTTTCACCTGGTTGGTACTTGTAGGAAGTCCATCGAATCGACTTGACGCATGGGCTCAGTAAGCTGCTGTCTTCACAGACCTCGCGAAGAGACTCGTAAACCTCGTGTGCAGTTCGACCTTTGACGATATGATGAGACATTCTGTCATGGATGGTTGAGGTAAGGTAGCCTAAAGCCATCTTGTTCTTTGCCTCCCAAATTGTCTGGTGCTTTTTGCCTCTGGCGACAGACACGGGCGAGGAAACGGCGGAAGGGGGTAACTTTTCAAAATCAGGGGTGTCTCCGAGCAAGTCACCAGGAGAGAGAGTTTGGGGCTCTTTGCTGATTGGTAGCTTGGCTTTAATCATGGTTTCAATCGCTGCAGCTGCAGCAACTATGTCTTCGGGCCTTTTCTCCACGCCAGTGATGACCTCGAGTAAATTGCTGTGTTGTGCACCGAGCACTGCTTCAAGATGTTGATTCCATTCTTTCCAGTTGCTTCTTCCCTCTAGGATAGGGAAGAAAGGGCTATTGTCGAACCTGTCACGGCCTGACATGACCTCGGTAAAGTCGGAGATGGCGGGGATTGCGGCGATAGCGGCTTTGCAAAACTGAAAAAGTAGCTCTCAGTGAATGGCCGCAGTGAGCACTTGAATGCCGAAGAAAGATTATGGTACCAGTCAGTGAAGAAAGGAATCGCAGATACGGAGATGGTGGCCACTTGGATAGAGGCGTGCTCTTTCGCCAGCTTGCAGTGAAAGTCACGAGTATGAGAAGTCTGGAGGCTCTGATAATAGCGTCAAAGGTACCAAGCTTCTTCAAAGACTCTGCAGAATAAGACCAGATCGCAGTATTAGAGATGAGAGATAGATAATGGTTGCAAGTCCTGGAGGTTGATCCAGGGACGTTGATTGAAGGGTGGTAGTGATGGAGGTGAAGGAAAGATAGGAGTTAGCAAAGTCTATGAGACTAAAAAATATATCCCAATTATAGGTATAGCTCTCTGCTATCTTATGTTGCTCCTTGGGAGCTTAGCCGGGGAGTCTATCAAGGTTACCTTACTTCCATCCATGCCAGCCATCCTTTGCGCAAGAATCAGCCCAAAGTATCTCAGACCGAGTGTGAAGTGACATTTATTTTACATCACCTCAGCAAACCCCAAGAGCCTATCACGTCTAGCAACCAACAAAATCACTCGAATCTTCTTAAAGCTATTGGAGAATTTACCTCAAAGCGTTATTGAGAGCCCCGGAGGGCAACATGCTAAGGGTACGGATAGGGTTGAGAATACTAAGCTGTGTGTTGCTGTTGAAGAGATTGTTAGTATGCCAGTAGTCTTAAAGTGACATGAGCACATCAGGGGAAGCCAGGTAAGTCAAACAGCTTCTCTGGAGTTGTTTCAAATCAAGCCCTTTCGTCAGTCTCCCCACCCTCTCTCTTCCTCTCCTCATCTCACGATACATAGGGTTTCGTACATGTCTCCCCTCTCTCTGATGCCTTTCAATTCTTTTCCATTATAGGAACGCTTCCCTTCCAGACCCTTCATTAAAAGTTCCCAAACACTTTACTCGCTACCCTGTTTACTCAATGCAGTGTCATTTTTTGATGATAGCTCCCTTCCTCTAGTAGTACCTCTACTGCTCCTGTTTATAAGCAACTACCATGGTCTTTTTGGCTGCGTGTGAGGGCGGCACTGAGGCTTGTTGCAATTTTCCGTCCAATACATCTAACGTGAAACAAAAACCTTTAAATTTCCACAAATTTTCAGTGGGAGCTAAATTGTGGGGACATGCACGATGAGGGGTTCTCAGTTAGCCACCCTGAAAGTGACACTAACACAACAGATCTCCGATCTATATCTGCAAGTATTTGTTGAATTACCAAAATGTTCACATCTTCTCGTAACGCCCACCACATCCAAAAATGCATCTCAAAGTCCACCCAACTGAGATTCGTTTTGTTCGCGGACTTTCAGGATATTTTCACAAGGATCTCCAAGCAGTGAAAAACAGTCCGAATTACGACCCTTTGATCGATAACATCGCACCTGTGACGTCAGGTTTCGAAAATGTTGTTCAAGCAGGAGAGGTCATCTCCGTTCTAATTCGTCTTCCCAATGGAGCTGTAGCCATTGGCGAATGCGTAGATGTCATCTTCTCCGGAACTGCATCTCGAGATCCTCTCTTCATACCCAGTGAGCATCTGTCCCTGCTCAACGAAGTGATCAAGCCCAGGCTCCTTGAACTCGATGTCTCAACATTCCGTTTCAATTCTGTCAAAATCGATGAGCAGTGGCCGGAACTAGGCAACAAAAGATTGCACACCGCTGTTCGCTATGGTCTCAGTCAAGCTCTTCTTTCTGCAACTGCTCTAGTCCACCATTGCACAATGGCCGAGGTCGTTTCCCGAGAGTGGAATACAAGAATCAGCAAAAGGCCGATAGATATCCTTGCCTCTTGTCACCGAAACGATGATCTGCAACTGGATCGGATGATCATGAAACAGGTGGCTATGCTTCCACATGCCTCATTTGTCCATGTAAACGATATCGGCCCCAGGGGCAAAACGATGCTCGAATACGTGGCACATGTCTCTCGGCGGATCCAAGAGCGGGGAGATGCGGACTATCAACCCCGACTCCACTTTGATGTCTATGGAACAATTGGTGATGCGTTCCTGGAGGCGGATATACCGGACTTCTTGCGAAAGGTTGAGGAGGCGGCAAAGCCATATCAAGTCCTCATCGAATCTCCCATTGTTTCTTCAAGCAGGGAGTCACAAATTCTGAGCATGAAGCAACTGAGGAAGGCTCTTTTAGCTCGCAGGATCAACGTGAAGATCGTTGGGGATGAATGGTGCAACACCCTTGATGATATCAAGATGTTTGCTGAAGCCAATGCTGTTGAATTTATGCAAGTGAAAACACCGGACCTGGGTGGTCTTCACAACTCCATTGATGCAGTGTTGTACTGTTTGAAAGGAAATGTTGGTTGTTGTCTTGGGGGATCTGCGAACGAGACGGATATTTCAGCGCGGGCGACTGCCCAAGTTGCTTTGGCTACACAGCCGCAATTTCTATCGAAGCCTGGAATCGGGGCTGATGAAGGACTGATGATCTTGACGAATGAAATGACCAGAACATTGGCACTGATGAAGGACTCACAATGGTGCTCATGATATCTACAATCTGTACTTACGAATCGTATTCCATAGATCTCATCCCTTTTTCTACTATCTGCGTCCCTTCCAAATCTTCTATAAAATCTATATGTATCATCAGCGAAGATTCATTTTATTGAAATCCTTGATCTCTAATTCTCTGTTCACGATTTAGCAGAGACTTTCTTTACTTGACTAATTATGATTACTTTGTACTCGACGATAAGTTGGAAGGATAGCCAAAAAGACAGTCAAAAATAGGTCCCCTGTTGATGAATCGCAAGGCCCCGGTCTAGTTTCAAGCCCGGGCGGCTCCTTCAGGTACATTTCACACTAATTTGAAGAGTAAAAAACCTTCCAAAAAAGTATTAAGAGAGTACTCGAGGTTGTATCGTGTTTGTGGAATGAAGTTCAGTTTGGCAGGTGGTGGTATGGAGGTCACACAGAAGCCGCTTGCTGCAAACCTTTGATTGTCAGTTTCTCAGATGCAATATGTAACTAAGATACCATAGACACAACCGTAAACATTCAAAGAATGTTTGATATTGCGAGATGGTGGGGGAAATTTTGGAACGCAAGGTTAAATGGTCGTGGTCGTGTTGCGCCTTCCTGTGAACTTCTTCTTTCACTCCCACTTCCCACCACCCTCCTCGACTATTCTCCTCGGTCACCTTGAGCATCTCCCACCTGCTTTGATTGATGTTCAATTTGTCTCTTCTTATTCCACTAGCCCTGTCTGTGACTCCCTTTCAATGGTTACAACAGCTGTCATGGCTCCCAAAGAGCCAGCTCCTGCTGGTAATGCCCTGGCTGATCCTACATTGCTCCGCAAAATCGATGAGCTATACGCTTGTGGTGTGGGTGAATACGTGGATCTACCTCAGCTGGTAGTGGTTGGGGATCAGTCAAGTGGAAAGAGCTCAGTGCTCGAAGGACTAACCAAAGTGAACTTCCCCCGGGACAGTGGCCTCTGTACATGTTTCATGACTCAGATAATCTTTCGTCGTGAGCTGAGACTGAGTGAACGTGCCATCTCGGCCTCAATCATCCCCTCTGCTGAAAGTGACCCAAATGAGCAGCAGAGAATGCGGAGTTGGAGAGCCTCCGGACTGCAGTCTCTCCGCCCCGATGAATTTATGCGGACAATGGGCGAGGTGAGTACATCTGCTTTCTATAATTCTAGTTGGAGACTGAGCTTTTTGTGAAGGTTCATGAGCACATGGGACTTTCGACTGCGGAGGATGATGGGCGACCTACATTCTCGAAGAGTGTTTTGCAACTCGTCATTGAAGGCCCAAACGAAAATCATCTCACTGTGATCGACGTACCGGGTATCTTCAAGAACACCACAAGTGGCCGTACGACGAAGAACGATATCGAACTCGTTCGAAACATGACTTTGCAGTGCATCGCGAATCCACTCTCTATCATACTGGCGGTCGTTCCAGCAAATGTGGACATTGCCACGCAGGAAATCATTGAACTGGCCCGCGACATAGATCCCGAGGAGCTGAGAACCATGAAAATTATCACGAAGCCGGATCTGGTTGATAAAGGCGCCGAGGACAAAATCGTGAAGTTGATCAACGAAGGTAATGCGAAAGGTCAAATGGGGTGGCTCCTTGTTCGTAACTTGAGCCAGAAAGAGATGGATGATGGCAACGTCAATCGCGATGATGCAGAAATGATGTTTCATGAAACTTTGCCTTGGTACCATGTTGCGTCGGAGAACTACGGAATTGAGGCGTTGAAGACCAGACTCCAAGAATTGCACACGATGACTGTGCGTCGGGAGTTCCCAAAGGTATGCTGTTCCTAGTGTCTATGGTGTGACTTTTGCTGACTAGCCTATTCTACAAATCCTAGGTTCGGAATCAGATCACACAGAGACTCAACGAGGCAAAGGAAGCACTAAGTGCGCTTGGTGACAAACGGGATAAGCCAGAGCAACAACGGCGGGTTCTCCTGCAAGTGGTATCAGCTTTCCAGGAAATTACTCAACTCGCCATCTCCACAAACTATGGAGCTCACAGAATCTTCGACGAGAACCAGTTTGTCCGACTGGCAACACTTATTTCCACCAGGAATGCTCTCTTTTCGGACGACATTGACTCTTATGGTAATACCCATGCCTTTGGCTCGAAGGAAGGGGATTCTCCTCACGCTCCAAAGACCACGTCAAGTCGGAAGTATAGGGAGAGCCTTGATATAGGGGAGATCCTTACCGAAGGCGAGCTAGTTGAGAGTTCTCAGCAGTTCACAGTGTTTCCCTGGATCAAAGAGACCTACGAGAATGCTCGGGGCTTCGAAATCGGAACGTTCAACCATAACATCGTTTCGACATTGATGAAAAAGCAAACATCAAAATGGCCCGCTCTGTCTTGGGGTTATATCAGTGATATTATCAGTTACGTCCACGTCTTTGTTCAGACAGTTCTCCAAGAAGTTTGCAAGAACCGTCAAATTTGCGGAAGGATCCTCTCAATGCTCCGGGAAGATTTGATCCAAAGCTACACCCAGGCAATTTCGATGGTCGACTTCCTGCTTGCGATTGAGCGAGAAGGTACTCCGCTGACAATGAACCATTATCTCAACGACAGTCTTGAAAAATGGTAAGTGAGCCAGCTTCAATCTTCACAAAAGTGAAAAAGTGTGAAAGGAAAAAATCTAACAATGTGTGCTCAATAGTCGCCAAAAGAGACTCCAGGACGAGGTTTCATCCAAATCACTCAGTGGCTGTCAGCATGGAGAGGTTATCCGGATCTCGGATCTCGCTGCCCAACATCATATGAGCAATGTGGACCACACCGTTCAAGATATCCATGATATCCTCGAGTCATACTACAGGGTGTCACGCAAAAGGTTCGTTGACAACATTTGCATGCAGGCGGTCGACCATTATCTTCTGACTGGACCTGGGGCGCCTATGAAGTTGCTCTCTTCAACATGGGTCAATGATCTGACAGTCGAAAAACTTGAGCAAATAGCTGGTGAAGAGGCGGGAACCAAGCGCAAGCGACGACAGTTACAGATGAGAATTGAAAAGCTGGAGGCAGGCCGCAAGGTCGTACTGCTGTAAGCAGCCTCAAGGGCTAGATTTTGAGGCCTGGGTCATTTCCATACATGCATAACATGGATCGTTGGTGTGGATCAGAGACACAGAGGATAAAATTAGGGCTGGAATTGCTAAATGTGTTAACTCCATAATTAACGTGAAAAATGTTCTCATCTCCATATCGACGACGGTCATTCGTAGGTTTCATAAAAGTCCTTCTCTATTCTAATCTGCCCTCCAATTTATGTTCATGAATCTTGTAGACTTATTCAATAATACAGGAATCTTAGCTTACTAGATCCCCAAGTTGGCTAAAATATCCCAGAGGAGAAAATGAACACACTTGTCACTCTGGGGGCTGAGTCGAAGTCTGTTGGACAAGACTGGAAAAGCCTCTTTCAGCATAATGCATTGGTTGACAACATTATCATTGTAGCAGCCGAATGGTTTTGTAGTGACGAACGGATGGTCCAAGGCTTCGCAGGACATCATCAGAGCAGCACGGGCAAGATCGTCCAGGAGTTCGACACCCGACTCCCGCAAGTTGATTTGTGCCTCTCCCACGCTGGTGGGATTGGGCTGAGCTCGGATCAGACGAGCCTGATCCTTGAGAAAGGTCACGAGCTTGGCGCGAGCTTCTTTATACTCGGCAACGTATTCAGCCTCCATACTTAGCAGTTCCATGTGGGTGAGAAGACGGAGACCTTTCGGCCTGAAATTGAGGTCCTGCGAGCTTTTTTTTCTTTTCTTTCGGGGCTGTCTTCGCAGGTCCCGTCATGAAGACCCATAGCGCTTCCGCGTGGGACCTGGAGGTTATGCCCCAACAGCTGAAAGAACACAATAGCAACATCAACGAAGAGTCCGCGATTCGACTCCAAAGCGAGGTTGCTCTCGAGACAAGCTTTCATGCCAGTAAGACAACGGCCACTTGATTTTGTGTGGCAATGTGTCATGTAACAATCGAAAACAGCAGGCTTGAGTATTCGTTCGTTTCCATCCTTTTCACGCGAAGAGACACGCAAACAGGTCATAAAGAATAACTGTTCAATATGAGGGAGGTAGGTGCATACTCTTGAGGCGACTGGATCGTGGAAAGCAGCACAGAATAGCAAGCTTCGGGCGTTTGGGGAAAGAGTGCTTGTTAAAATCAATATCAGTCGCTAGCACCGAACAGATATAGCTCACCTTGGGTGGTGGATTCATCGAAAATCTTGAGCTAATTTGATATGTCAAGTGTGGAGAAGGAATAAGAATGCGGTGCCTGGAATTCGGGGACGGTGTGCCCAAAGTCATCGAGCTCAATTTGTACTTCCACGTGTTAAGTTGGGTGTACATGTGCCCACTGTCTAGCAGTCGGTGTGACCCTTTGAGCTTTGTGATCAAGATGTACCAGTATCAGACACAGTAAATGAGAATGAGGGTCAATAGGTCCTGTATCCACAAGCCATGACATTTCTCATTCATGATGCTAGACTTGTGCTCAGTGTCACGTGTTGGCGTTCAAACGGATCTTCACCTCAGATTTGGTCTTTCTCAGCGTCATTCTCACATCAAACTTGATGATCTGCAGTCCCCTACCGAGCCATGGGATCTGAGTCGGGCTCGCAGTGTCGTCTTGAGCTGATCAACCTACACGACAAGAAACAGTTCAATGAACTGCACCGCCAACGTGTGATGTGTGGCTGGGATTCCGATCCCGAGATCCTCAACGGCTGGAGAAATCGGGAAGTCTCCAAACGACTATTCTGGATTACATACTTTGATTCCGACAGTCAAAAATATATCCAAGCTGGTCACATATCACTCGATGCATTCTCCAAGCTACTGGAGCCCGGAGTTCTTGAAGACGATGAGGTCGAGCTGTCCATCAATTCATTCTTCATACTTCCGGAATATCGCCATCTGGGTCTAGGCAAGCGCGCTGTTCATCTCGTTGAGCAAGCCGCACTGACCAGGCCCTACGGAGACCCGCGCTGCCGATTCATTACACTCGTCGCGTTGAGCAAGAATTATATCTACGACGAGGCGCGAGAATGGCGAGGGATCTGGGAAAGATGTGGGGTTTCGGTGCCTTTGTTTAGCATTGAAGAGTGGTATGAGAAACTTGGGTACGTGAGCTGGAAAATGGAGACTGTCTATGAAGCAACAACAGTGGATGGTGAAGTCATCAAACTGTGGGAGGCTTTTATGAAAAAGGATATGCGTTCAGATTGTATTACGGGGTCTACTCAAGAGAGATTGGAGGGAGGCTGATGTCAATATCGACCTTGCATCAATTGCTTGGCCTGGCTGCAAGTGGTGATATGACGACGCTATACGCAGGAGATGCATGTCACGTTTGATGAAACAATAAATATGCAATTGGAATCAACTTCCAACATTGGAAGGTTAATTAACATTGGTTAAGAATCAAAAATTCAATCACATTTTTGTCGTCATAGTATCATAGGAGGTTCGTATCTGTCGTCACATCCTGTTGCGCGTGTATCACTGAACACAAAAAACAGCAAGGGAGGAAAATCGCTGGAATATACAAAAAACATTAGATCTGCCAAGTAGTAGCACATCATCCACGTATCGTTAATTTTTGGTTAGAGGTTCGTCAATTTGCGGAACCAACTCGGCTTCTTCGCCGAACTTGGTGCCTCCTGACGACTCCCAGGCCGAGACCTCGCTCGATCACGCTCATAATCACCACTCCCAGAGCTACTCTTCACACCTTCTCGACGTGAGCCCCTGCGTCGAGATCTCGCATCTTCCTCTTCCTCAGGATACTTCGCGCGCCGTCTAGCCTTGCGTCTCGCCGCTCGTCTTGCTTCCTCATCCGACGAAAGAGAGTGCGCATTCCCATTCCCCTCAGCAGGAGGAGGCATGTCAATGACAGTAGGCATAATCGGAGGCGGCTCAGGAGGCTCATCAGCCTGCGAATAAACCCATGATGAAATCTTGTCTTTGCCATTAGCGCCAGTCATGTATGGCTCATGTACCGGCTCAATAGGAACCTTCGATTTCCGACGACGAGCACGATCCTTAGGATCTTCACGATTGCTTCTCGCCCGTCGATCATCTCGCTCTCGCTCCTCGTAGGCCTCTGCTTCTTCGCGCGCACGTCGACGACTCATTTTCGCAGCCATCATTTCTTCATCGCGCATTCGTCGCCGCTCACGACGCTCAGCGGCTCTCGCTTGCGCCGCTGCTTCCGCCGCCTCGGCTTCGGCTTCTGCGGCAGCTGCTGCTGCAGCCTCAGCTTCCCGTGCCTCAAACTCTTCCCGAGCGCGCCTCTCTTCACGGGCAGCCCGTCTAGCGCGTTTTTCCTCACGGAGTCGATCTTCTTCTTCTTCCTCGCGGGCGCGCTGCTCACGAGCACGTTCCTTTCTGCGCGCGCGTCGCTCCTCCGTTTCGCGCGCTTCGATGTCTCGGACTTCGGCTGCGGAGGGCGCTTTGCGTGAGCCATGTCGCGAATGGCGTGCTGCGCGTCTTGCTTCACGGTCTTCGAATTCGGCTTCTGGTCCTGGGCCCGGGGCATCGGTCACAAATCCTTCAGCATCGGTGTCTGGACGGACTGATCCGCGACGACGATCGCGATCCTCGCGACGTGCTCTGCGTGCAGCTTCGCGTTCGGGGTCTGCAGGGTAGCGGGGGTCTTCGTCGCGGTAGGAACGGGACTTTCGGCGATCTGGCATCTCGGGCCGCTCCAGGCGCTCTGGTTTATTGGGTTTGCGCAGTGAACCGAGAAGGCCCATTAATCCGCCGCTTTCCTGTTTCTTTGGTGGTGGGGCTGTGTTTGCGCGCTTGAGGCGGCGCTCTCGGGGCGGCGCGTCGACAAAGGCCATATCATCGGGTCCGGAGATTACTTCTGGTGTGGGTTGCGCTTGCTCTGCGTCAACCATGACGGCTTCTTCGTCGTCGGGCCTGGGTCGTGACTATCGAAATGTCAATGCTGGTTCAGTTTCTAGGTGCGCTTTACATGCCTGTCTCTTCGACTTGCGTTTCGAACCTCTGGAATCCTCTTTGGGTGATTGGCCCTCAGCATCTTCCATATCGACGACGACAAGATCGTCATCTTCGGTCGGATACGGGTCACGAGCTAATAAGCCGCAAGTCAGCAAGATAAAAATAAGCGAAAGCGCTAGCTCTGGAGAACTTACCCGATTTGCGACGCTCCGTGCGCGGCCGCTCACGCCGAGCTTTCGTATTCATCCCCATTAATTTGGCAGCCTTATCTGAAACCTCAGGCTTATCATCAGGCGGCGGGGTAGGCATAGCTTGATCTTCATCAAAAGACGGACGTCGAGATGGTGCTTTTGAAGATGTGCCTTGTTTCCGAGTAGATTTGCTTTTGGACTGAGGCGTACCCAGAACCATGTTAGCCAAGGCTACGCCACGTTGATTCTTCGATGGTCGGCCTTCTCGTTCTCGTCGCTTTTCCCGATCGGAAGATGACTTTTCGACATCTGGCTCCGGCTCTTTAGGTCGGGACTTTGTCGATTTTGTACGAACTGGCCCTGGAGATCGCTCGCGCGTGGATTCTTTCTTCTTTGGCTCCTCATCGCGAGGCTTCTCCTTCTTGGTCAACTTCTTTGGTGGGGGCGCAGCGCCGAAGAATGAACCCCAGGTGTTCGTGTTACGATCAACACGAGGCCGTTCCTTCTTCGCAGGCTTAGGTGGCTCCTCGACTTCCGGTGGAGGCGTAGGTGGAGTGGCTTCCTCTGCTGGCGGCTCTTCAGGAGCTGGCTCCGCTTCAGCCTCAGGCTCGGGTACCGGTTCGGGATCAGCTTCAGCTTCAACCTCAGGTTCTGGAGCAGGTTCCGGCTCTGGCTCTGGTTCGGCCTCGGGTTCTGGTGCAGGCTCTTCTGGTGGCGGAGTGGGCTCACGAGCGGCCGCTGCTGCGGCTGCAGCTGCAGCTTTCTCAGCCTCGGCCTTCTTGTATTTTTTCAATTCCTTCTTAGACATCTTGGAAAGATCTGGTGCTGGTGGCTCGGGCTCGGGCTCTGGTGCTGGTTCCGGTTCCGGCTCAGGTTCCGGCTCAGGTTCAGGCTCAGGCTCGGGTTCTGGCTCCGGTTCAGGTTCAGCGTCATCTCCAAAGTCAGGGAACGCGCCAGGAAGCGAATCCTCTTTCTTGGTTTTTGACTTGCTCTTCTTTGTCGGAGCAGGCTCAGGCTCAGGCTCCGGTTCAGGCTCGGGGACAGGCTCCGGTTCAGGTTCAGGCGCAGGCTCTGGTTCGGCCTCAGCCTTCTTTTTCTTCAACTTCTCCTCCTTGAGCTTGTCTTTCTTGGCCTGTTCCAACTGTTTGATACGCTCTGCAACACTTAGCTTAGAGGCCTTCTTGGAAGTCTTTACTGGAACTGGCTCTGGTTCAGGCTCCGGTGCGGGTTCAGGTTCAGGTTCAGGTTCAGGTTCTGGCTCTGGCTCTGGGTCCGCGGGAGCATCTTCACCAACATCGATGAGCAAGTCTTCCTCCTGGGCAGGCTCTGGTTCGGGTTCAGGCTCCTTAACCTTCTTAGACTTGGATTTGCTTGTAGTTCCACCCGTAAAACTTGACCAAAAGCCTCCCTTGGATTTCTCCTCTTTGGGAGTTTCAATGGCCTTAGTCTTCTTGGTTGTCTTGGATGTCTTCGGCGCCAAATCTGCCCACACATCGTCGTTGAAGGATTCCGGCTCTGGGGTCAGACCCTGGGCAGGCGGACTTGGTGCAGGCGGAGGAGGCTCAATATCTAAACCCTTCTTCTTCTTTTTGTCCTTGGCTGGTCCCCATATACCCCATGAATCATCCTCGGCTGGTTTCTCCGGTTCTGGTTCTGGTTCAGGCTCGGGCTCTGGTTCTGGTTCTGGTTCTGGCTCAGGTTCAGGTTCAGGTTCAGGTATAGGTTCCGGCTCAACAACCGGTTCTGGTTCGGGCTCATTGGAAGGAAGCTCGAAATCCTTTCCAGGGATAGGAAGACCCTTACGAATCAGTTGCTTTTCGCGCTTCTTACGTTCCTTCGATGAAAGCTCATTCCAGCCTTCGTAGAGAGGATCGCTGTGCACAACTGGTTCCGGCTCCGGCTCCGGCTCCGGTTCAGGTTCAGGTTCTGGCTCGGGCTCAGGCTCGGGCTCAAGTACTGGCTCCGGTTCAGGTTCGGGGTCGACTTTGCCTTTTTTTTTCTTCTTGTCCTTAGATGTAATACCCCACGCACTGAAGGCATCGTCTGGCTCCGTGGCTTTTGGCGGCTCCTCTACAATGGGCTCCGGATCTTGAGACTTCTTGTCTTTCTTCCCCGCAGTACCCCATCCTCCCATCCAGCCCTCGTCGGCTGGTGGTGGATCTGGGGCGGGAGGTACTGGGTCCGCTAGAAGATCAATCTTCTTTTTCTTTTTGTCCTTTTTCACTGAGACACCCCAGCTCCAGTCATTGTCAGGCTCGGCAGCAGGTGGGGGGTCCTCTACCACTGGCTCCGGTTCAGGTTCGGGCTCCGGTTCTGGCTCTGGGGGTGGAGCTGCTGCAGCTGCGGCGGCAACCTGCTCTTCATACTCAGCCAGTACCCTCGCATACTCATCGTCTTCGTCTTTGTGCTTCTTCTCCATTTCTTTCTTGGCTTTCCGTTGTTCTTTCTTGGACATCCCTGTGTACCAGGCTTCCTGGGTGAAATCGGTCCTGGCTGGCGGCTCTGGACGTGGTGGTAAGGCCTCAGCTGCTGGTGCTGGCTCCGGCTCTGGTTCCGGATCATCGCCTTTCTTTTTCTTGTCCTTGGTTTGCAAGCCCCAACCATCTCCCCAGTCATCCTCCTGTTTAGTATCTTCAGCAGGTGAGGGGCCGAGGTCACCAAAGTCAAAATCGGCCTTTCCTTTCTTCTTCGTGGTTGGTCCCCAGGGATTGTTGTCCTTGGCATCGTCACCTGGAGCGTCCAGAGGATCACCTTTGCTGCCAGTGTTCCAATCTTTCCCCCAACCCCCAAAGCTGAATCCAGTTCCGCCGGTCTTGGGGGCCGGAGAATCGAAGTTCAGATCTAGCTGTGGAGCCGCATCGTTCAGACTGATATCTTGAAACCCTCCCGGGGGTGCTTCGTCCTGTTATATTATTTAGAATTTCACGCCGAGCAGAAAATCAGAGAATTAGTTACCTTTCCCTTCTTCTTCTTTCCTACACTTGCAAAACCGGCCCATGAGTCGTCGCCACCACCGCCGCCGTCATCAGCCCAGCTGAGATCGTTAGCAGCGGAAGCTTCTGCAGCTTTTCGTTCTTCTTCCTCTTTGGCGAGCCTCTCTTCCTCCTCTTCTTGTTCCTTCTTCTTTTTGTCTTTTTTACCGCTCGTGCTCCAATCGTTCCAATCATCACCACCACCATCTCCTCCATCACCACCGTCCCCATTGCCGTCTCCCGCACCTGCATCGCCCCCATCCCCATTCGCATTATCATCACCACCGTCCCCACCAGCCGGTGGCGGCGGGGGCGGAGGCGGAGGAGAAGGCGCTGCAGCCTTTTTAGGTGCGCCGCCGGCTTTTTTCTTCTTGTGTTCCCTTACACCAGTCACATCCCCAAAATCAATCCGTACATCCAGCATGTGATCCTTCAAGAGGGAATCAGACCGACTTTGTGATTTTTCCCGGCCTACAGGCACCGCGTAAACCGTCGACCTTCGCTGTGCCAGCGGTGGAAGCGCAGAGTATTCGGGAGGAAGGTCATGGACCACATCGTCGTAAATTGGAAGCGTGTCGTACGAAGGTGGCTCAGAGTAAGTCGGAGAGCGAGAACTTAATCCAGTGACCAGATCTTGTTTTCGGACCGAGGGCTCCTGCGAACGAAATACCCCTCGTTTCTCGAATGTCGTCCAGACCTCGTCGAGGATCTGATCCATCTCCATTTCGAGATTTGTGTCTGCGACATCGTCGACGGTCCAGGTGGATATGTGCCCCTCAATCGCCGCCATGATCAGAATGACATGCGCTGATGTACACAGCGTGTTCACTGGTTTGGGGCGTGGGATACACGCATCGATCGAGTGCGGCGAGGGCGCGGGTACGCTGTCCGGTGCGCAAAGTGGCAGTGGTCGTCGGTTGTGACAGGGTTGCGCGAACGGGACGGGATTCGGGGAACGATTTAGTAGTGTCGGAGTAAGAAGGGTTCACAGTTCGCCCTGGGACAGCACGACCGGCGCGAGTTCAGTGTCGGTATGCGGTGAATTCAGAGCACCGGAATATGGGTATCTCGGTATTATGGAGGGAAAATTGAAGTGCAGAGGTTAAAAGTAAGAAAAAGTGCAGGGAGTCTGGAGAGAGGGATAATCAGGCGGTGGAGGTGAAGATCATTCCTCCAAGTGATTTTCTCTATACTTCCGAGTCCGCGTAGGGTCTGCTTACTGCCTTGCTATTGACTGGTTCTTGAATATACCTCATTTAATTCTCTATTTCTCTTTCTCTATTTCTCTTTCTCTTCCCTGATCTGAGCTCTCTTATTCTAATTTGACGTGTGAGCGTTGAAACTGGTGTATATTCGAATAGCCAAACAAACCCAAACAAACCCCGGCCACCAAGACCGAGGAAGAGAGTGGCTGGGAACGGGAACACAATTATGCTTTCCGCGCCTGCACGGTAGCAGATGTAGTTGCAAGTTGCCTTGAATTGCATCTCTTCCAATCTGCATGGCATACATCGCAAGCCATGTTGCACAGACCGGATCGTACAGTGCACATGCAGCCTGACAGTCCTATCGATAACGAGGCCACCCCTCCATCAGCTCTGCAGGGGCTTGGAGATCTTAACCACCTTTAACCCTCTAAATCCATATGTCGCATGCAGTTGATATTTTTCACAGCTTTACTTGATTTTACTGCTTTTTTTTTTTGTTATTTATTATTTCTTTACTTCGTAACCAAGGACACACTCCCCTCTTTCCATGGATGATGACCCTGGTACCGTGGATGCCCAATAGTATAGCGGGTACACCCGTCTGCATAGAATGAGAACACTGCAGACAATGACTATAGTACGATAGCATCAGACTACTTGTACATCGTACTTTGGCATTCATCTACTCCGTAATTGTTGCTAATTGTAGCCTTTGAGGACTCCATTCCATTGTGGACTCGAACAATTAGACTCGATCCCTGCATGTATACTCCATAAGTAAAGATATCCACGAGTCACCCCAAACCGGGGACCACCGATTCAAGCCCAATACATAAAAGATCAGGAAATGCTAGAAAATTCTCTTCAGCCTGACAGATTCGGCGCAGACTCGAAAAAGAGGGCGTGCTGCAAGCGCAGCGCATCCATTGCTCACCGCCACTTGGGCTTCGGAGTAAAAAACCCACCAGTGCGGGGGCAGTGGGGGGGTGGCAAGGACCGACAGTCATTAGCTCTGACTCACTTTGATCGGGAGGGTGGATCATGCTACGAGGAAAGTGTACTGTATGTGCGATGCGAACAAGGGGGTTGATTGGGTAGCTGAAACAAAGGGAGAGGGTTGTGTGCGGGAAAGTCTCATTGAATATTTCCGAAGCTAGTGTAACAATACCATAAACAAACAAGTTCACACGAGAGACGCCAGGGGAAAGGCATTGTGGTACATTGACATAAAAAGAACAGAAACAGAGTGACTTTGGACGGAGTCGGTGGTGTATTGAATGGTTCGCGGAATCACCAGTCACCTCTACGAGGTGGATTTGGCGTTGCCTTGACGAACCACAGCAGGACAAGGGACGCCATAGACCCGCTCATACTCTCGGAAGTATTCTTCTCGGACCACAGCATACTCCTTCTCCAACTCCTAGGCAATTGTCAGTCCGGACGATCCGAGGTGTCTCTCCGGGGGACTTACATCTTTCTTCGAGGACGGGAGCGATTTCCACTGCTCGGCAATATACCTGACTTGTTCGGGTCTTGTGGTGACGTGCGATGGGAAGTCATTGGCCTCAAACTGGCTCTGGACGTACTTCAGGTAAGCATTCATCGGCCTTTTGAGCTGGCGATCATCTTTCAAAAGTCTGCGGCGGTCATTTCCCAGTTGGCTGATTGTCTTGCGCGCCATGTTGGCCTTCAAGATTTCAAGAGGAGTGTGCGACTTGATGAATTCTTCATAAGCGGTCTTGTTGGTGATGCGGTTTTGCGCGGCCTGTTCGGTGATTTGCTGGAGGGGGAGGTTAGCAGTGGATGGAAGAGGGGGTAGCTCGAGGAGACGTACCTGTTTCTCATAGCTGCCCAAGTTGTCCACTATCTCAGAAAGTTTCTGGAAACGAGTCTTTGGGTCCCGCTCCGCTGCCACCTCGGGGGCCTTGACCTGCATGGCGAGTGTGTAGAAAATATCAGGAAGAACCTTGGGCGGCGTCAATGCCACGGTTTTGAGGTTCTGGAGGCGCGCTCTGTGAGCCTTGCTTTCCTTGGCCTTCTGTTGCAACTCTGTCAAAGGCTTCTTCTTCTTCTTTGTCTTGGACTTTGCGGAAGCTTTCTTAGAGTCGGAGGCCTTGGGCTTCTCCGTCGCTGTGGCCGCAGAGGAATTGGAACGTGTGAGGAATTGAACTGCCAGGGGAGACTGGAGCTGCGGGCGCGGGTTGCTAGTGCTGGACAAACAAAGTCGACGAAGTTGATTCTGCAAGCTGGTCATCGCAGCGGGGCGCAGGCCAGCGCCAGCGCCGCGTTGCAGGAGGAGGGTGCTACCCCTGGTCACCTTCTGTGTGAACATGATGGAAGCTGGGTGCGACACAAGAGTCACAAGAGAGTAAACCTGAGCTTGGAGTATGTAGTAGCAAGATCTTTGAAGTAGCCAGTGAAATTGAAGAGCTAACTAACGCAAGCTAAGAAGGAGGTTGGCCTGGCGCGCGCCTGCCGTTGTTGGACCTATCCGGATCGGGTTAGCCTATATTACATAATAATCTTTCCCCCAAAGGTTTGCATCATCGCGCGGAATATCAAAAACGTTTGTCTCCAAGCGGCCTAAGGCCTCATTTAAACACATCGAATTTGTCTCCACAGGACAGCGCGTGGACTCCTTCCCCTTCTCTCGCTCCGTGTTCCTCGGTGCATTTCCTTTCAGTAACACTCACTAATCAGCCTGCAACAATGGCTCGCCGAGGGGATACTCGCTCACCATCACCTGTAGGCAGCACATACTCTTCATCCCGACGGCGCCGGGACGACGATCGATATGATCGCAGCAGGCGGGATGATGGGCGCAGCTATCGGAGATCCCGCAGTCCAGAGGTATGCTTGACTCATCATCAACCCACATTTCGCATTCGAAGAGCTAACTTGCGCGATTTCCAGCGTCGATACCGCGGTGGCCGTGCAAACCCCCGTGATAGAGATGGATACCGCCGTCGAGACCGCTCAATAGATCGGCGTGATGAAGACACTTACCGACCTCCTCGGAGGGACCGATCACGAGACCGCCGCCGCTCTCGAGACAGAGATGACGACCGTGACTATCACCGAGACAGAGATACCCGGGCCAGGCGAGATGACTCCCGCGAGCGTGATCGCAGACGGGGTGATGATTCTGCTGATCTGAGACCGAATCCTAGACGGGACGACAGTCGTGACCGTACTTCCAATAGACGTTCAATCTCCAAAGCCCCAGAGGTAAGCTCACCAGTTCCACGACCTTGCTTCCACACGAACAGTATTGATTGGGTTCAACAGTCGAAACAGTCCACGCCAGCCCCCACCGCTCAAACCGATGACCAGAAGAAGAAGGCAGAGAGACTGGCCAAGCTGGCGGCATGGAAAGAAAAGCAAGCTGCCGAGCGCGAGAAAAAACAGCAGCAGCAGACAGCCAGTCAAACTGCTGGATCACCAGCCGCTAGTTCACCACAGACTCCAGCTACGCCTGCTGAGTCCGAACCTCGTGGTTCATATGCTGGGAAATTCGACCCAAAGGCCATCGCTAAATCGTCCACCTCAACAGCAGCTGCCCCCGCTGTTCTTGGTACCGATGTGGCTCTCCCGAAATCCGCCAAGCAGTCCCTCGCCAAAACCCCCATCGCCCCCATCGCCGCTGGCACACAGCCGACTCAACCCTCTGGTCCCCTGAAAGCTAAGGGCAACATTAGTGGATTTGGGCTGGGCGCAAGACCTGCTCCTACCACCGAAAAACACCCCGCGCCCAAAACTCTTGGTTTCGGGGATGAGGACTCCACACGCAAGAAGTTGGAAAAGCTGCCAACCCCACCGTTGGACGGTCCCCAGGGGGAAAGCGCAGCACCTCAAGATGCCGGAGAGGACGATGATGTTGAAATGCAGGACGAAGGTATGGAGGAAGACGCGGAGGCGGTTGCTCGTGCAGCAGCAGAACGCCGAGACGAACGGCTGCAGAACGAAGCCAATGATGTTCCCCAGGATGACGGAACTAATGGCCAACCTGATGCAAGCGCCATGGAAGTGGATGATGCCGAAGAGATCGACCCGCTTGATGCTTTTATGTCCGAATTAGCAGGCGCTCCAGCCCCGAAAAAGACAACCGGTGCCTCTTTTGCGAAGAGGAAGGCCACACAGCAACCGGAGGCGATGTTCGGCGACGACGACGGAGTTGAGTTCACTCCAGTTGGGGACGAGAATGCCGGCGATGTTCTTGCTATGGCGGCCAATAAAAAGAAGAAAAGGGAAATCCCGGTCACTGATCACACCAAGACCGTGTATGAACCGTTCCGCAAACAGTTCTACACCGAGCCCTCAAACCTTGCTGATATGACGGAAGAAGAGGTTGCCAACCTGCGTCTTGAGCTCGATGGCATCAAGCTTCGCGGTTCTAACGTCCCAAAGCCGGTTCAGCAGTGGTCGCAGTGTGGACTGGGCGTGCAGACACTTGAAGTTATCCAGAAGCTTGGCTATGAGAAGTTGACCTCCATTCAAGCGCAAGCAATTCCCACAATCATGTCAGGTCGCGATGTCATCGGAGTGGCGAAGACTGGATCCGGTAAAACTGCAGCATTTTTGATCCCAATGTTCCGACACATCAAGGATCAGCGGCCACTTTCAAACATGGAAGGTCCGATTGGACTGATCATTGCTCCTACCCGCGAATTGGCTACACAGATTCACAAAGACTGTAAACCCTTTACCAAGGCATTGGGCTTGCGCTCGGTGTGTGCATACGGAGGAGCTCCTATCAAAGATCAGATCTCTGAATTGAAGCGTGGTGCCGAAATTGTTGTCTGTACCGCCGGTCGCATCATCGATCTTCTCGCTGCCAATGGAGGGCGTGTTCTGAATCTGCGACGCGTCAGTTATGTCGTCCTTGATGAGGCCGATCGCATGTTCGATATGGGTTTCGAACCTCAGGTCTTGAAGATCATGGCTAGCATTCGGCCCGATCGACAGACGGTCCTCTTCTCGGCCACTTTCCCCAAGAACATGGAATCCTTGGCCCGTAAAACACTGCATAATCCCGTGGAAATCACCATTGGAGGAAGAAGTGTGGTCGCACCCGAGATCACGCAGATCGTCGAAGTTCGTAACAATGATCAGAAGTTTGTCCGCTTGTTGGAGCTGCTGGGAAATCTTTATTCGGATGACGAACATGAAGACGACCGTACATTGATCTTCGTGGACCGTCAAGAAGCTGCCGATGACCTGCTCAAGAACCTCATGCGGAAGGGCTATCCGTGCATGTCGATTCATGGTGGAAAGGACCAGGTCGACCGTGACTCCACGATCCAGGATTTCAAGGCAGGAATCTTCCCCGTTTTGGTCGCAACCTCGGTGGCTGCCCGTGGATTGGATGTCAAGCAGCTGAAACTCGTCGTCAACTATGATGCACCGAACCATCTGGAAGACTATGTCCACCGTGCCGGCCGTACTGGTCGTGCTGGTAATACTGGAACTGCTGTGACCTTCTTGACTGAAGAGCAGGATCGGTATGCTGTTGACATTGCGAAGGCTCTTCGTCAAAGTGGGCAAGAGATTCCTGAGCCTGTTCAGAAGTTAGTTGATTCATTCCAGGAGAAGGTCAAATCTGGAAAGGAGAAGTCAATGGAATCTGGCTTTGGTGGTAAGGGTCTTGACCGGCTTGATGACAAGCGCGCAACCGAGCGAAAGCGTGAGCGAGCCACTTACAAGACTGGCGACGGTGACGATGAAGAAGAAGAGGACAAGGAGGACAAGGAAGAGGCTACGGAAGAGCGCTTTAACAAGGCTCTTTCCGCAGTTCAATCCGCTGCGGCTCCCGCGCCCGCCTCCTCTTCGCTTCCAGGAGTTCCAAAGGGAATTGACCTGGACGGCAAGATCACTGTTCATCGCACTGAGAAGGACAGCAGTGGCGGCAAGAATGCGCTCGACAAGGTTGGATCTGCCGTGGCTGATATCCACGCACGACTCAGCCGCGCAGGCGTCATGAGATCCGGTGTGCCCATCGACAACCGTGGACCTGACGCAGGAGCCTTCCACGCAACAATGGAAATCAACGACTTCCCACGTAAGTTCCCCTCTTCAACCCTATCACGGAGAACAATACTAATCACTTCATACTACAGAGAAAGCACGTTGGGCCGTCACCAACCGTACAAACGTTGCAAAGATCTTGGAGTCTTCTGGTACTTCTATCACGACGAAGGGTAACTTCTATGCAAACGGCAAGGAGCCTGCTGTGGGAGAACTACCCAAGTTGTACATCCTGGTTGAGGGTGAGACGGAGATTTCAGTCACCAACGCCATGCGCGAACTTATGCGCCTGCTGAAAGAAGGAACCATTGCAGCTGCAGACAGCGAGGCTCGTGCTCCTGTCAGTGGCCGTTACAATGTTGTTTAAATCATAGCCTCATTTAAATGAACATGTACAATACTTCCAGCCCTGTAGTCCAATTTCCTACCCTTGATATTGACATTAGCATCCAACTCTATAAACCATGCATATACCAAACGAAGTAAGGAGTCAAACGCCACTCACGCATAAACAATAAGCTTCATCTCTTTCAAACGGGATATCAATCTAACACACAAAGTGGAGACCAGCCCTGGAAGATCCCCAAATGACATCATCCCCAAAACAGATCCCCAAACACAAAAGGCCCAACACACGCTCAATCCAACTCTAACGCCAACCCAGTCAAATCCATAATCTCACTCCCACCTCCGCGCCTCAGCAGCGCCATCCGCATCCCTAACAGCCCTCTCCTCCCGACTAACCTCCCCCAGCGTCTGCGCCTGAGTCTGCGCCTTCTGCGCCGCCAATTTAGACCCCAACTTGCCCTTAGGCCCAGCACCTTCCGCGCGTTTCTACACTCATCAGCAACCCATCCTTTCAATATGTAGGTCTGAACTAATCGCATACCTGTGCGGCTATGGCGGCGTTTGCGCGCGCCTCGTCAGCCCCTGCCCCTGCGTTCGTGCTGTCGCTTTGACCTAGCGTCCGCCCGGGCGTGGCTTTCCAATTTGTCTTTGCGGGGACGGAGGCGCGGGGCGCGTCGTTCCGTGGACTTGTTCCGACGACACGGCCGGGCTGGCTGAAGTTGTCGGAGTCGTTGCGGGAGCAGATGTTGCCCATTGTGGTGGTTGTTGGGGGTTAGGTGGGTTGGGGGGTTTGCGGAGGCGGTACGGAGGAGAGTTGGCGCCAAGATATTTGGATCTATCATTTACACTACTGATAGATCGCATTCGGGGTTTGGTGTTTGTGATGTTGAGGTGCCGAATTCTTTGTTGGGTGTGTAAAGGGATATCTGCAGAGGTCTATGGATGTTTTGCATGGTGACGAATTTTCTAACGTCTGACTGCTGTGAAGTATGAGGTGTATCGGGTCTTTTAGGCCAATCAGATTTGGATGTCCATGAACCTTGGAATATACTTGCGCTGTTGTGCATGACAGAACATTCCAAGATATCGAGTCTGGACTCAGGGGTTTGGAGCTATTTATTGATTTTGTCAAGAAAAGTTTCTAACCTTGGAAGACCGCTGTTGGCACGCTGTTGGTTATATTATGGAGTAGCCCTGGGGCGATCTATACCCGTGGACTTCTGGCCACCTGGGAAAGGCATTGGGCTCTTGGATAGTCCCCTGACTCCTGGTGGTGATTTGACTTCACGGTGTCAAAATCCAAGACCCATTATTTAATACCATTATCTTTATTGGAGGGTATTGTCTGTATTTGTTGTTACTTCTCGAAGTACTCCGTACAGCCCTGGGAAGTAGGGCTGAGGGATTGCCCTATCGATAAGATAGCCCTGGGCCTGCCCACTTCCCCAGGCGGAGTTGTAGGCGGTGAGAAATAGTTTACTAGCCTTGCACGGAGTATTCTGTCTATCCTAAGAAAACAAAGAAACAACATATATCTGATGAGTGACACTCTGTCTGTTAGTCCAATGATATTGCAGAGGATACAAAGATAGTGAATATTCGGATACGCTGTACTCTATACTCCGTATGTGTCCATTCAAGTACTGCGGGTTAATGATGGCAGAATGATGCTGAGTCACTATCGAGGGTTGATAGGGGGAACTGATTTCCGCGGGGGAAAAAGAGGAAATCTTCATCGGAATGTTGGAGAAGAATGAGTACAAGTACAACGGAGTACAGCATTGAAGACCGATCGTCAACCATGTGGTCATAACGTGCAGCTACTGGGATGGTCAACGCGCGACATTCGATTCGCCCAAATTTTCAGACGATGACGCCCCTGTCCCCAAGGTCCTCACTGGTCTCCATCTCGTCTGCGTCCCAAGGTCCTCACCACCACCGGCTGCTAGTCAAACCCTACGAAGCCATGTCGCTTGGCCCCTGATATTTCCTCCAAACATCAATTTTTTACGACTCTCACAAGGTCCTCTCGACTCCTCACTTGCTGCATGTCGATTCAAGCCAATCTTCCGATTGCGTCGGTAGTTTCTATCCGACAAGTCTGAGCGAATGAGCCGTGAGAGACACCCACAAGAAACATTCATCGTCATTTCCCGGCCTGCTGGAATACTGCACTCGAGGTGGAACGTTGAACGAAAGTGGCGACATTATTCTCGGCTACGTGATTAGTGAAACGGGATATTGTACCTGACGGTCATACTATCCCACTAGCGGTCGCACCCATCGGTTCCTCAACTGCATTTCCCCTCGTCGTGTTCGTTGTACACGCGGTGGTGACTTTGTTCCTGGCGACCCCATTTTGGTCTCCCGCCCCAAAAACCCTACCCTCTCCTGCCTGAAGTGAACCGTGCACCATGGCGTCTCAACCCCCCAGGAGGCGAGTTCTGCCTCGAATGTAACTGGGAAGCCTTCCACATAGACAGCAAAGACACTCTACCCCCTCGGAGAACCCTCAGCATACGTGGAATTGCTCGGGTCACGAACTCCCTACACCCTTACCACCCTGTGAAGTCGACGAGGCCTGCTGTGATGTGGACGACTGCACGCTAGACTGTGGGTCAGGATGCGGCGGCTTCTTGGATTGTGATACTTCTACTGTCTGCTCTGCGACTCATTGCGAGGACGACAGTTGTGAAGATACTCACTGTGACGATAATCATTGCGAAACAGATCACTGTGAAGAGTCCAATTGTGAAAAGCCCGACTGCGCCGAGGATCATTGCGATAATATTGATCCCTTGTGCTTCGACGCTCATTGCTGTGACGGCACCGAGAGTCAAGACTGTAACTTTGATACCTTCTTCGGGCTCAACACCCCATTATCGCTGGACACTGGCGTGTTCCCGTCGACGATGGGTCAACACAATCCCGGCCATCCGATGAAGGGCATGGGGCACACCTTCCCTGGAACCTTCGATCCGAGCCAGCAACAAACCTTCCTTCATTCATACCAAGCACATGCCACCCACTGTGAGCAGGACGTGCCAAATCACTTTGAATGTCATGACTTCCAGAAGGATTGGCAGGCGATGTTCCCGGCTCCTCCGGTTCCAACCCAAAACGAGGTCAACCCGGCAGAGGTTTTCCACATGCTTGGGATGTGCTCCGACTTCTCTGTGTGTCAAGACCAACATGTACCAGGGCAGCAAACAACCTTTGATGCCTTTGAGAAACCCAAGACCAACACCTCCCCATTCAACTGTTATGATCATGACCACCACCACCATGTTCACGGCCACTTCAAGAACCCTAACGACTTAAACCTGCAAAGCACCCGGAAGGGTCCCCATCGCAGTCACAATCGTTGTCGCGCTCACCACCATGCTCATTCCCACCCATACTCTCCTTACTCGCGGCAAGCTCGCTCTAGTATCAGCTCCCACCTCCACTCCAGTCCAGGAGAGACCCCACCGCCTCTCGATGGCGGCGCTTCGTCTATTCTCACGACTCCTGATTTCTCAGAGGACAACGAGTTGCATGTCTGCAAATGGGCACCGACGATCCATGGAATCAAGGCTGTCTGTGGTGCGACATTTGCCGACTCGGGTGCCCTTCAGGACCATCTAATCGCCGCTCATATGAGTACCGTCGATGGAGCCAAGGGTAACGGATACTACTGCTGCTGGGAAGGTTGCCATCGCCCAAATGAGCCCTTCTCGCAGAAGTCTAAGCTCCAAGGTCACTTCCTTACCCACAGCAATTGTGAGTTTAATTTTTATCATTCTCGATACTCTAACTGGTTTCACTGACTTGTTTTTGCTAGATAAAAACTTCTCTTGCACAGTATGTGGCAAGACGTTTGCTAGACAAGCAACGTTAGATCGACACGAGCGCAGCCATCGAGGTGATAAGCCTTATGCGTGCAAACACTGTGGCAAGTCTTTCACAGACAGCAGCGAATTGAGTAAGTTACTTCAAGCTTCGTTCCTTGGGACCAAATTAACTGACGACCACAGAAACACATTCGCGCACTCACACAGGCGAGAAACCCTTCAAGTGCACTTGGCCAGGATGCAACTTTACAACAGGCGACGTGAGTAGATCCTCTGATCATTCATCATTACCAGAGTATCATTCTAACCTTCCTGCAGTCTTCGAACATGTCAAGTCACAGACTCAGTATGCTTCTCCACGTTATTGCAATTTTGACCTAATTACTGACTTTCCGCAGCTCACGGAGAACGAAGACATAAATGCCTCTTCCCCGGGTGTACCAAAAGCTTCACGCGTCCTGGTAAGTCGCATAACCGCCACTCGTCACCCGTCACATTCTAACTTCGCTTGTCTAGATCAATTGAAGCGTCACCAACGAACCACACACAAACACGAATCCTACTCGACCCTCCCATCACCTAGCCCCGACCCCTTTACCTTGCCCTCCTATGCTCTCGTCTAATGATCTACCTCTCCCAAAGATCCATTGTAATACGATTATCATGTTTACGACCCAACAGTTTTGGCGCTCCTCGCAGCCGGGCGTACTACGGATGGCCGGTAAACACTTTGTGTGGCGTTTGAAACTTATGAGAACCAAAAAAAAAGACAGTTGATACCACCCCCAGGCTTAATATTGCCGGGACTTTGCATTGATCGATTAATTCCAATTTTTTTTCCAACCTGAACTATGAGCATCCCAGGCCTGTCGAATTCCTTGGTTGTACTCCGTATCTGCAAACACTTTCATGACTTTGTGCAAATAGCGCGAGTGGATTTCTAACCCGATATCCGCGCTTCATCTCCAGCGCTGTACAGATTCCACCACAAGATGCAATTCATGTACGCAGTAGCTAGTCTCGATACACAACACAACTTCCAAGCCCCAACGTATCCCAAATCAAAATCCACACTTAATCCTCCATAGCCCTCTCCTCCAAAGCCTCAACAGCAGACCTCAACTCCCGAATCCGCTGCCCAACCCGTCTCCGCACCTCATCCTTAACACCCTGCGGAATCTCCGCAGGATCATAATTCGTCTCGATAATAGCCCCTTCCCCATCTCCCTCCCCTTCCTCACCGGGGCTCTGGTTCTGGCCCTCACTCTGCACCTCCCCAGCCTTAGCCGTGTAAAGCCCATAAACAGCAGAAAGCTGATTCAGGGCATCGCGAGCAGACTCCCGATCCGATGCCGCGTAGATGGTTGAGCTATCGGTGCTTTCAGTGGCGATTTCGAATTCGTCTTTTGCGACTTCGTAGAGTTCTTGGAGTTCTTCTACTAGGAGGTCTGCTTCGGCTTTGCCGCTTGAGGCGTTGAGGTTTGCGTAGGTTCGGATTTGGGTTGGGATGGTGAGAGGGTTTTGGTGGCGCTGCGGATGTTGCGGGCGCTGTGTGCTTAGGTTGTGGAGGGTGCGTGGGGTGGTGGTTAGGGAGGGTCGGACTTGTCGGAGGGTTAGGCGGAGGGTTGTGGCTGCTCGGCCTGGGCGGAGGATGAGGTTTGACATTAGGAGGTTTTGAAGTTTGGTATGTTCTTTGAGGATCTTGGAAGAGATATTTGGAAATGAAGATCAAGAATTGAGTTGAATTGAAGATTCCAAGGTTGGGAATTGGGAATTGAGAGTTGGGGACGGGTTCCAAGTCACCGGTGACAGCTGAGCTGTCTTGAGAGACCGACGATCGGCGATGACGTCGGCGGTTTATCGTGTCACGTGGAGATAAGGGTCTATGCAATTGTATTGGGTTGTTGGGACTTGCTCTCGCTTCATATAGCAATGAGAGGATCTGGTGTATGAATTCGTGATGCTTTGTAGCATATTTGATTAGATTAATATTACCGGGATGAGGTATATAACGCTTGGTATTCTCCATAAGCTCAATCCTAACCCCGATAGAATCCAGGTTCCGACCAATGACCAAGTGAATTCATTTATTTCTTTTGGTCAATTGGTTCTTTTGGTTCGTTGTTCCCGAGGTCTTGTTGCGTATCAAGCTGGCAGAAGAGAGTTAGGGACTAAGGGGGTTTAAATGCACTTAATTGAGATAGAGAGAATCACTTTTAGTTTATCATGCTATTTAATTTCTATCAATTTATATAACATAACGCTTGAAGAACCTCATCATTCATTACCGATCACATAATATTGAAAGATGACTAGGCCTTGATACCATTTTGAGTGCGTTCCGCTTCCTCGCTTGCCCTTTTTCCCGTGAAGGCTTCTTCAATCTGCACAAAAGTCCGACCCTTAGTCTCATGCATGTAGATGACACTAACAATGACAGTCACAACACAGCATCCACCCCACAAAAAGTACGCACCATAGCTGCTCTTTGCAAGCAACACAGGGGTAGTCAAAGCCACCAAGAAGTTGGAGACCCAGTTGCTTGAATGGGACAGTGTAGTCGCGGATGCACGGGTCCGCTGAGGCTGAATCTCTGCACTGTACACCTTAACTGAAATTCCCCAGCTAACGGAGTATAGCGCTGCATATAGGTAAATGCAGACAATGACAACCCAGCGACCTGCACCAGTGGATTGGTGGACAGCCTCTCCGGCGTACAGGCCGCCTATCAGGAACATCAGAATCCCCATTCCAACGCCTCCGTATATGATGCTGCTCCGCCGGCCCCATCCATCAGCGTAGATGAGTCCCGGAACTGTGACTGCAAAGATAACGATTGCCGAGACACCAGAAGCGAGGAAACTTGCTTCTGAGGAGGCGAGGCCGGCTTTTTGGAAGAGCTCGGGTGCATACTAATGAGGTTGAGTCAGTTGGCGGGTTTCATGGAATGTGGGTGTTGAGGATGGTCCGGACATACATATAGGACACCATCAATGCCACTCAGCTGCTGCATTCCCATCAAGAAGACCGCTAGAAGTGTGCGACCCCGAACGCCCTTCTCAAAGATCTCAAGAAGCTTCTTCCTAGTGTCTTCCTTGGCACCCTCTTCATTTTCAGAATCGAGCTCCGTGATCTCGGTATTCACTTGCACCTTTTCACGCTCCTCCGAATTCACGCCCAGCTTCTCCCATGCCTCCTCCGCCAAAACATATTTCCCATGCAGGCCCAGCCACTGGGGAGATTCCGGCAAGAAGCAAAGGGAAAGACCACAAAGAACCATAGACAAGCTTGCCAACACGATAAATGGCAAACGCCACGATAGCGAAGATTGAATACTCGATGTCCCATAGCTGACAAAATATCCCATGACCAAGCCCAGTGTCGTAGCCAGCTGAGGCCCAGTCGTCATAGCTCCACGGGTTCGAGTTGGAGAAATTTCACAAATCAGCACGACCAGATTCCCAAGGAAAAGACCTTCTCCGAGCCCTTCCACGATCCGACCAACGATGAACATGGACAACGCCACAGCTCCGGCTTCAATGGCTGCTCCAATTCCGAAGATAAATACGCCAATGGCAATGCCCTTTGGTCGACCCAGTCTATCAGCGACATATCCTGCGAAGAAGGATGAGAGGGCAGCTGGGATCAGGATGCAGGAAACGATTAGACCGTGGATAGTCGAATTCTCACTACCACCGAAGGAGGCCTTGAAGTCGGCCATATCGGTCACAGGGCCGATGGTACCTGTGTCCATCCCGAAGAGAAGGCCGTTGGCTGAGCAGAGAATGCATCCTAGTAAATATCTTGGTGGACTTCGAATACGCGCGGGAGGTAGTCCCATACTCTCGGCTGGGACGGAGTCGCGTAGAGTCGATCAAATAGGTGTATAAATTGAGTGTGCTCGGGGCTTCCGTTGACTGTGCAAATGGCAAGATCTTGCTTCTCAAAAATCAGATTCTTGGAAACTGGATGCGAGGGTACTAGAATTTATGTAGAAATCAACTGGAAGAAAACTCTTAGGCGGACTTTGTTTTTCCATTGCTGCCCAAATAATTGGTAGGTCTATCACTCCGAGCCCCACGGAGAGTGCATTTTCTAGATATGCGCGTATGACTACAAGATAGCAGATTTAGCGACATTGGGCGCCCAATGAGGTAGTTATTACCACCGGCTCTGACCCCCTGCACTCGGGCCGCATGCAATGCCGAACAGAAAGTATAGACACGAATGCATGTCCGGAACTTTGCTTTTTCGCATTTTAAATTCCTCTCTGTGCCGGGAAGAAAATTTTCGGCATTGCGCTTTGAGGCTTGAGGATCTCGAGGCATCGTGGAAAGTGAGCCGAGAGGCCCACAATTTGATCTTCATACACAGACACTTTACTGCTCAAGCCCGCAATTGGCTGCTCTGGTATCAGACGTCGAATATGCAAAAGATCCACAAATTCTTTGACCAACTCTTTTATTCATGCGTGACAGTGAGAACCCTTCCAATGTGGTTTGTATAAAGTGACTTCCCAAAATGGGCTGTGAGCCGAGATAGCGGTTAAAGGACGTGGGGGTGGAGTTGGGCAAGTTCCCCAATCAAATATTTACTGGCGCGACTCGTGGCTCGGGGACTCTAACTGATTTGATATTCTACACTCCAGGTACAAGTTATTTCGTCATGCGTTGTATAATTATCTCTCATTCGATTTTGTCAAAACTTCAACTGAAAATCGTGATTGACGGGCTTCACCTAGGAATGTACCCAATTTCGCTTCCACTTGCTTAAGCGGTTGCTTTTTCAATTTCCTCAATCTCTTGAATTACATGAGAGTCAAGACCAGGGGCTCTATCTTTCTTGGGTTCAGTGTTCCCGACTTCAATCAAATGTGCCTCTGTTGCGTTTGAATCTTCGGTGAACTCGAATTGACGCCATTCACAGTTTCGCCAGCCGGTACCTGTGATAACGAATTAGTATTGATCCCATGTTCGTGGATGTGCGCTAGCCTACTATGAGATTTGTCATAGGTAGCCCAATCTTCCATGAGGTAATGAAGGAAGCCACCGTGGGTTATCAGAGCAATATGTGCCTCTGGACGACTCCAAAGCCAGCGTCGCAGCTCTCCGGCACGCCGACGGACAGCAGGAAGAGTGGGGGCATATATGCCTTCCTATGATGGGTATCAGTCTCAAGTGTCTCATATACCCTTGAGATCTTCGAGGTCGAGGACCGACCTTTGAGTTCCACTCTCCATTAACAAGCGTTGTGTCAATATTCGCTTCGTCAAAGCCAGGAGCGGCCTCTCTGATAAGCCCTGGAGCGCTAGATTTGACAAAAGCTTCGTCCCGGCCGTAGTCACATTGAAAACCACTAATCTCTTGTGCATTGGGCACAAGGATAAAGGGTAATTGGCGTCGCTCTAGCTCTGGACCGAATGTCCACGCCGCAGTTTGGATGGTCCGTTGGAGAGGAGATGCAAAAACAGCAGAAATGTCCTTGGCGAATGGGAACTCCTTTCTGAGCTGAAGACATTGCTCTTTTCCCATTGCAGTCAGCAGGGGATCACGAAGATGATTGGCATTCTGCATGACAGGTCAGTCTTTTCTTCAAAACATGCGAGCAGGTACATGGCAAGTACGTTAATATTATGCTCGCCTTGGCCGTGGCGGATCAGATACAACTTTGGAGGCATTCCGACGAATTTTGAACAATTATGGACAATTATGGACAGTGGGCTACGATTAAGTAGTCTAAGTATCACACGCAATGTTCAACGCGATTGATTGTATCCATAACTTCTCCACATACTTCCAAAAGAGTCATTGCAGTGAAGATGGTAGTCAAGCCGAGTTCACCACCAGAAGACACCAATTGCGAAATTGATAGCAGGCCTGTCGAAAAGGGAAATGGAGCCGAGAGGGTCCACATGGCGGAACGTCATCGGCGAGTTTAGCCGGGCGACCAAGCCGAGACCACCTTTTAACCGATTGTAGAATTGTTCCCGAGCAACTCCCCGGCTTCATCGCGAAATGCGTTCATACACTGGGTGGTACGTGTATATTGATGATCGGAAATCTCATCGCTAATATGATTGGCATAGTATGACATGCAGAGGCCGCAAATTGAAATGCGACGAAGCCAAGCCAGTATGCGGCCCTTGCGTCAAGGCAGATCGGGAATGCCGATTTGAAGAGCGATGTATATTTCGCAATCAGAATGTTCCTTCGCCTAAGCGGAAACCGCAACGGAGGGCAGGGGCTCGGAAACGAAGAGTTCGAGAGGAGCCGGAAGAGCTTGGAGACCAAACATGGGTAGACGTACCTCATGAATGTAAGCACTGTCACATTACTAGATCTGAGATTCGCTAACCGTGTTGAAGTGACATTCATTCAAGTTGATGATCCTTTCTCTCCAGAGAGAGAAAACTTGCTGCAGAGGAACAATCCCGACACTGCCCCTGGGCAGGATGATACTTCAGCCCCGGGAGGCGAGGAGTGTCAGGATGGAGGCAGCTCCCCAGGTCCCACAGTTGAGCCCGACTCTCTACTAGAGCGAGTCAACTCATTTCTTCGACACGAGAGAGCGTTGGACGCCTATCAGGGATCCAGTGGCAAGCGACCTCACGGATCTCTGGGAGGGGCTTTGCTTAGCGATTCTCCAGGATGGCACACACCGTCGACAACTGTCACAGTTGATACGCCAGCAAGCGTTGGGATCGCTGCGGCAAGAGACGAGAGCTCTGGAAAAAATTCTGATTCCAAAGTGATTGTATCCCACATGCTTCGACATTTCAAGGAAGGTCCTGGCCAGTGGTAAGTCTCTCCAAGTAGGTCCATCATCATCGCTAACAAAATCAAGGATGGATCTGTTTGACACTACCGCTTATTTTTCATCGAAGGTCCCGGTGCTGGCAGCCACACGACCTTTACTGAAGTCCGCAGTTTGCGCTCTTTCCGCGAAGCATTTGCAACACGTTTATCGTGTCTCAGCCGCCGAAAATCGAAAAAGCTCCTTGCTGCCATTCGCCGATGAAGAGACGTGGCAATATCAATCTGCCAAAAACTATGACCAGGCGCTTGGGCTCCTGAAAACGGCTATCAATCGCGGAACCTATAATGATAGCCCTTCCGATAAGGAGGAAATGCTCGCCACAGTCGCGATTCTCTGTCTTTATGAGCTAATGGATGCCCCAGGTACTGCCTGGCAAGCTCACCTGAGTGCACTGCCTCTCTTCAACGATACATCGGCTTCGATGCCAGCGCAATCTTCAGTGATCATCCCCAAAACCGCGATCAAGGGCCCAATATTCTGGAGCTTGGCGAGACAGGATCTACTCTGTGCCTGTAAGCCTATGATTCTCAAAGTCATTCCGTGCTCAGCTAACGATAAACCTACAGTCATCAGTGAGACATACACCCGGTTGGATCTGAAAGACGTACGCCTGTGGCAAAATGTCGGCCTGGTAACAGATGAATATGGAAACTTGTTTCCCACACCCGCCGCAAGTCCATTTGAAACGCAAAATTCCCTCGGCATCGAAGAAGACATGAAAAGCAACGAACTCACCTGGCTTCTTGGCAAGATTGCCAATCACCTCACTGCTGGCGACTCGATAATTCCCGAGGATTTCATATTACCTCGCGAAGAGCGTCCAGATATCGGAGTCACACAAGAACTCCTTTATGACAGATGGGAGATACTCATGTCTGAGTTGGATAAGTGGTATGACTGCCTACCTTCAACATTCACGGAAGCCGCCCGCACAAGAGGACAGGGCAACAGTCATCCCGTGTATAATCTTGCCTTTGAAACGTTCGAGCAGATTTGGTTCGACTTACCACTGTGCGCTGCGACGGTACAGAGCTATCACCAAGCTAGGATACTTCTTTTGGTAAACCAGCCTCAGCTGTCGACGGCTATTCGATCGACGGTTTCTGCGAGGCTCAGGGCTTATCGCCATGCGCTGAAGGAGGCGCTCTATCACGCTCGGGAGATCTGTGGGATCAATCTTGCGAATCCAGCAGATCCTGTGCGGATCAATTCTGTGCAGGCTCTGTTTGTCGCTGGGCAGGTATTTCAAGGGAGACGAGAGCAAGATGCTGTTCTTGAGATTCTTACTGGTATTGAGAGGGACCTGGGATGGACCACTCAGTATCATGTTGCAAAGTTGGTTGATGAGTGGGGCAGACGTGATGAGATATCCCTTGAATAGGAATTGGGTGTATTCGAAGGGCTGGATAGATGACGATTTGTGCATTTACGATTGATGTTGATACCCATGATGATCTTTATTTGAGCGCAATGGTAGATTTCTTTGAAGAATCTCAGATACAATGCAAACTATCAAAGGGAAGAAGAACACAGAGGGGGGGAGAGAGAGAGAGAGAGAGAGAGAGAGAGAAACAGCCTGACTGCTATCACCCAGGGGACGGATAGGTCGCCCCCGAAGTCAACCCAACCTTTCTCGGGATCTACATTCTTGGATTGAACCCGAAGCTGTCAAACATAGGGTCGGAGGCTCGGAAGTCCCCGCTTGAGCAAGTGCCTTTTAACTTTTCTCATCTAGAAGCCTTCTCGATATAATTTCACGATGTAGTAGTTCTCCTTCTATCGCCGTTGGCATAGTCAGGAAAAACAGATCTATGATTGTGCAATCACAAATCTCCCCTTTACACTACGACTCAATCTGCATGCATAACATGCCCTCCGGCAGACCAGATCTCCAAATTGAACGAATATCTCGAGCTTTATTCTGAAGGTCCAGTGAAAATCAATGTCAGCAATCCCTTTGTCACTTCTTTGTTAGTTCATGGTGACTATGCTCGATTGCCTTTGTCACTACTCTTTGTCTCAGCTCAAGTCAGCTTTGCGATAGTTCATCAAAGTCTTTCTTTGCGAACCGAGCTTGACCATTCTATCAGGTTGTAATCTGAGGTGCTTAAATATCTCTCTGTTTGCCATCAAATTGTCTCCTTACATTCAACTATTAAACTATTTTGACTAGTTCAATACCAAACTCCTGCAATACACAACAAATTCACAACAAAATGTTTCTCAACACTATCTACGCTCAATTCCTCGCCGAATTCACCACCCCCATCGACATTCTCGTTCGCACGATCGACTTCCTTCGCTTCAAAAACCAGAAAAGCCCCCGTGAGATCTCAGAATATGAAACTGACAAGTATGAACGTCTTCAAAAGATATTCACCAAGCTCATCGACAACACATCCTGGGAAGAACTCTACGAAGGCGAATGCTTCGAATTCAAGATCGGTCTGAAAACCCAAGCTGACATCCTTCGAAATGACCCAAAGAAGCAAGGCAACGAGCGAATCAAAAGCGTTCACAAGGCGCTACTCGAGCTTTCCAAGCAAATCGCCCTGATCGGACAAGTAGCGATTGCAATGGCCGAGGAAACACCGGGATGTGATCTAGCTCGCAAGTTACCCTGCGAATGGCTCTTCTCGCAAACCGGTGAGGCAGAGGTTGAGCAGGTTTCCGTACTAATGGAATATGCTCTGGATAGTCTGGCGTTCGAGGTGAAGGCTGATCCATCTCTTGCTGTCAAGGCTGCGGAGCACCTCGAGCAGATTATCAAGGATATCGATGAAGAATTCCTACCCTAGAGCCTGTGGTTCTCCCTTTGACAATCCTGTTTTGTTGAGTCGTCGAGTATTCTGTTTTCGGGGGGTTATAGGGCCTGGAAATTGATCGGATGTTATCCAAGCAGCTAATTTAAGACCAGCCAGTGGCACCAGAAAGAGTGAAACCCATATAAAAACTCAATTCTGCTATATCTTTGGCCTTCATTTTCTCGCATTAACAGTCATCAAAAATTTCGTAAGCCAAAAATCATTAAAGAGCGTATTCAGTTCGTGTCTCATGCAAATCATGCGTTTCTTTCATAAACAGAACGAAAATCCCAAAAAAATCAAATGAAATCAAATCATCCATAGAGCTCGTGGTTCAGTAGCAGAGCTCGGCTATTAGGTCAAGCAGCATTTACTCCTGCTGACCAGCGTTGGCCTTGATGTTCTTGTCCTGGTTCTGGTCCTGGGGGTTGGCCGGGTAGTTCTGGTAAGAGCCGTAGTTCTTGTAGTTTCCGTAGCTCTGGTACTTGTTGTTCTGGGAGCTGGGGGTAATCTGGGGGTTGTTGACGTTGTTGTTGTTGTCGGCGGGCCAGTTGCGAGGAATAACGCTAGAGCTGGGGGCAATTCCGTGGTTGCGGTTGTTGTCATTCTGGTTCTGGTTGTTGTTCCAGTTGTTGCGGTTGTTCTCATCGTTGTTGTAGCCGTTCTTGTGGTTGTCCTGGTCCCGGCCAGCGTCGCGCCAGCTGCGGCGCTCGACTGTCTTGGATGCTACCTCGCGCTTCTGATTTGCGTGCCATTGGCCGTTGGCGTCAGTCCAGCCGTTCTGGTTGTTCTGGTTGTTGGGGTGCCACTGGCCGTTGGCGTCGGTCCAGCCATTCTGATCATTCTGGTTGTTGGGGTGCCACTGACCGTTGGCATCAGTCCAGCCGTTCTGGTCCTTGGAGGCTACCTCACGCTTCTGGTTTGCGTGCCATTGGCCATTGGCGTCAGTCCAGCCATTCTGGTTGTTGTTGGGGTGCCATTGGCCTTTGGCGTCAGTCCATCCGTTCTGGTTGTTGTTGGGGTGCCATTGGCCGTTGGCGTCAGTCCAGCCATTCTGGTTGTTGTTGGGGTGCCATTGGCCGTTGGCATCAGTCCAGCCGTTCTGGTCCTTGGAAGTAACTTCGCGCTTCTGGTTTGCGTGCCATTGGCCGTTGGCATCAGTCCATCCATTCTGGTTGTTTGCGTGCCACTGGCCGTTGGCGTCGGTCCATCCGTTCTGGTTGTTGTTTGCGTGCCATTGACCATTTGCGTCAGTCCAGCCATTCTGGTCCTGGTTGTTATTGGGGTGCCATTGTCCGTTGGCATCGGTCCAACCATTTTGATCCTTGGCAGCCACTTCGCGCTTCTGGTTTGCGTGCCACTGGCCGTTGGCATCAGTCCATCCGTTTTGGTTGTTGGCATGCCATTGGCCATTGGCATCAGTCCAACCATTCTGATCGTTCTGGTTGTTTGGGTGCCACTTTCCATTGGCATCGGTCCAACCATTCTGGTTGTTTTGGTCGTTGGGCCAGGTACGAGCCTTGAGGCCGGGGACCAGTGTAGCGCCGTTGTTGCGCACAGTCTCCGGGTTGAGAGGCTGGGCTACGACGGCTCGACGGTTCCACTGACCGTTCTGGTTCTGTCGGCCATTCTCGTTGTACTGGCCGTTTTGGTTGTTCTCACGCCACTGGCCGTTGCGGTCAACGTAACCGTTCTGGTTGGTTTGGCCATTCTGGTTGTAGCGGTTGTCGCCGTTGTTCGCAATGAACTGGCCATTCTGCCAGTGACCCTTGCGGTATTGACCACTGGGATCCCATTGACCGGTCTGGTCGTTGGGGTCAACCGGGAGGGCGAGGGCGGCCAGAGGGGAGACGGCCAAAAGAAGAAGGCCGTTGATCACGGTGTAACGCATGTTGAAAGAGGCAAATTTGAATGTTTTCAAAGGAGCCCGTGTGTCTTGGTGTTTTTGAGAGAGCTCTTTGAATTCAAAGCTCTCAGGAGTTGTCTGGTTTGAAGAATCGAACACCGGATTGTCGACCTGTATTTATATTCGAGTAGAGCGAGCTTTGAGCTTCAAGATTACGTAGCTTAGAGCTACTCATCCTGAGCTCAAGACACCATTGACGACATTGTCTGATCTCGGTTCGCGTGATTTTGCGGTGTGTTGATGCTGAGTCGCCATCGCTGCAAGGGACGACGTGCAAACGTGTGGTCGAGAACTGCAGTGCCTTGCGGGGGATAAGCGATCGGACGCGTGGTGATCACTGGGGATTCTAATGCGTTAGTCAGTAATATTGAATGTCGCTCAGTTTCAGTGGAGAGTTTTCAATGATTGCATGATGAACCTCGCATGGAGCTGCAGGAAACGCGTAGATCTCGGCCCCAAGGGGGTTAACCACATTCCACGAAAATCATCCGAACTCCAGCAAGCATGGTTGGCATCACAAAACATACATTGACACCATTCAATTGTCTGTCTTTGTTTCGCATGTTGTGATATCCCTTGGGGATATCTCATACGTCTGTGCACCACGCCTCGGTGCGCATGGTCTTGCTAAACGCGTGAGACATGCAGTGCATACATTGAATTGATTACGTTGGCCTTTGGCACAGCTCGAAGGCTGAAGCTGGGCAACATTGGCAATCGAAGTTGCGGTCAGAAGCGTAGGGGGCAGCGAGACTAGGCCTGGTGCTGGACGCCACTTCGATCGAAATTGTCTCCTTGTCCCATGCCAAATATTCCTGTTAGCTTTCATTCTCACACCTCATACCATCATGTTTTGCGACAGATACGATCCAAAGCCCGCGAAAGATGAGTCCGGGGAACGCCTTCTGGCGGAGGAAGAAGGAACTCCGTGGAGTGCCAATGAAGAATCTTCGACGAAAATCTGCAGAGGATTTGCAAATGCACTTTCACATATTACTGCACTTACATTATTCTTCCTGGTAGGGTCTTTGTTTGGCTTTTCCTGGCGTGGAGACCTGGATGGCCTTTGTAGTGCACATACTTCCCATTATTGTGAGACCTCTTCACTCACGTTGTTGTGATCTGCTTAACTCATTCGCTTAAAAACAATACAGCAACCGTATCAAAAGAGGTTGGTATCAAGTACAGTCCTCAACAATTCAATGGCTCGCTCCTCAAGGAAAACGAATTTCGACAAAGCGCCGGTCCTGAGGTAGACGCAGCATGGGAGTCATTAGGAGTCAATTGTTGGTGTCCATTTCTGTTGCAACCTGTCTGACTCTGCTGACTTGTCCACCCTTTTACAAGATCGCAGCATCAAGATACCGTCTGAAGATGCTGAAAGGAGCGGACTGGCCTCGGACCAGGTGAAAATCAACCCGAAATATGGGGGAGGTTACCCAGCGAATGTCGAAGGCCTGCATCACCTCCACTGCCTGGTGAAGATTCCTACCAACTATATTGCTCAAATTCTTGTGTGCTGATCTTGAAAAGAACCTCCTTCGCCAATCACTTTATTACAACTATGACTACTACCATACAAAGGGCGAAGGTCCATTCCTGAACGATGATTATATCGTCCGCCGGCATGTCTGTATGTTCCATCTTGTCTTTTCAAGGAGTGAAACCGTCACTAATGTTTGCCTCTCTTGTCAGCCCATTGTCTCGACATCCTTCGCCAAGAGCTCATGTGTACAGTTGATACTGGTGTTCTTGGTCAAGTTTGGATCTACCCCGAAAACCCAGAGCCTTACGTTGACTTCAACACTCAACACCGGTGTAAGAATTTCGAAGATGTGCGTCGGTGGGCAGAGGGAAATCAGTTGCCTTTAGATCCTCCTCTTGACTTTTTGGAGCCGCCGTCAGAGGGAGATAGAATTTATGATGAGATGCCTTAGGAGTGGAATGCCCAGGTGTTTAGAATTAGAGAGTCTTGAAAAATATCACTCACCCATCTTGTGACAGCTAGACTGCATCCCTGGATCCCTGGATCATGTCCTCTCCGGGGCTTGAATTCATTTCTGTTGTAAACACGCCTTGAAATTAACAGCCGCAGATTCCTGGCGCGTTCGGATTTTTAGTCTAAAAATTCAATAATTTTCAAGTTAACTTACTGTAAACTCTTGATTTTTCACAACGTCCACGGGTTCAACCTCATTTGTTGCTGCATGCCCAGGTGTTTGCTGAATTTGATGCCTGGTCTGGCAGGTAGGAAAATATATTTGCAGTGGTCCGCCCGGACGTGGGCCTCGGGAACATTTCCAAGGCTGGAGCCTGGAAGCATCAATATCCATCTCAAGATAAAGTGGTTTGTTTTGATGTGCTCGAGGTCGAGAGAAAAGGAACTATCGCCGGCAAGTCTCAAGTTGTTCTGATGTTTCACGGTTAGAGGTATGTTCCAGTGTTACGAGATTGTCCCCTTCTAGGCCTCCATGGTTGGGGGGCGGGTTTGGCATTCCCGAGGTCGCTGGGCGGCTTCCCCAGGGCCAAAGTTCCCACCCGTGGGTACCACCGACCTCGAGACCTCGGGAGTTTACAATGCTTCCATCAGCAAGCTCTGTATTTGGGATCCATGGACACTTGGCCTTATAGGTGTACACAGCTCTTTTATCGGTTAATATAGCTACTTAGACCAAAAATGTCCGTTGAGTCTAGATCCATGGATGGAAATGTCCAGGGTTTGGAGCCTTTCAGTGAGCTCTGCCCAGATGTGCCAAAGAGAGAGATCCCTGGGAGAAGAGCTTTGGAAGGGTCTTCAAGGTTTTGAATTATTGCTGTTTTAATATCCATTGATGTCCTGGAATCTGCATAGACTAGGTGCCTATGTAATAATGTCCTCTTTTGTCGTGAAAATATGACTGACCTCCTTGGCTGATTTCATCGAACCGACGACTGATCCGTTCGTAATTTTGACCGTATCTACCGAGCTCCCGTAATCGAATAGACACCCAATCTTGATAGATTCGGTCCGAGGTTGCAATCCCCGCGATGAACAATGGCCATGTTATCCGTACCAAGAGGCGTGGCCGGCTTCGATGCACCTTCAAACTCAAGTCGAGCACCAAGGAAACCGCGGTGGTCAATGGAATCATGTTATGCTGATTTATTTGGAAGTCTGGCTGGTTGTTCAGAGCATCCTCAAAGCAGAGGTGGAAATAGACAATAGTGCCGTAGAATGTAATAGCAGACCAAAACACAGTCTCCATCACGCGACGGTCGCCAGCGACGTCGCAGGAGGTGGATCTATTCGCTAATGCTAGGACAGTGTCATATTCCTAGATGAGTTAGTGAAAGAAGGGCTAGAAAAAACTTGATGACTCACAATAGACAATGTGTTGATCTCTTTAACGATCTTTTGGTAAGGCGAGCCTTCGCCAAAGTCTATATCTGGGCCTGCACTATGTCTGAACATCTCCGTGATTTTGAACTGAACCACATGACTACGGTGGTAGAGTGTCAAACCCGGAAGATTCTCCAAATCATCAAGCTGGGACGACATAGGATACCCATCACCCCAAAAGCGTGAGGGGGACTGCCTACTCAACCGATAAAGTTCAGGGAGACTGAGGGCAGTATTTCCGGTTTCAGACTTCAAGAAAAATCGAAAAATATCAGTGTCTAGCTTTGCAGTTCCTGAGCCGAAGAAAAGAGCTGCGGGCGTAAAGAAATAAAGTGTCCAAAGAAGGTAAAGGGGGACACATGTGCCACCAAGTCCATGTGTGGATCCTGAGGGTGGAGTAAGAGTAGCGGCCTCTGAATCAATTGCATATTCACCGATCCTCGTAGGATTTGAGTGGGCCTCCGGGCGCTGTAAGGGGTCCTGGCTGTCAAGGATGGCACCCGGGCGCGAGTGGGACTGAAGCAAAGGAACAATGTGGTTGTGGAGAAGCGTTTCAATTCCCCGAATATGGATATTAATGGCGGATGCACCACTGCCAAAGCGATTCTCGTAGTCTATCATTAACCAGAGGGTGATGAATATGGCCTCAATCTGCTGGGGAGATTTCACCTCCTGTTTGAGAGCCTCCCTCAGACTTGATAAGGCCCGACCGTAATGCACCCTGCCGTCCATATCTGATTGATCAGTGTTCGGCAGAAGATCAAGGGTAGTCTCCATGTCATAGAGTTTGGCCCGGTAGATCTCCCTCGCAGCACTAGCAAGCATCATGCTCATGACCATAGGCTCTTTGATCGCTATTTTGTGGTAGGTATAGGAGACGGTTGACCGTGGCCAGTGCTTCCCCAGTACTACGACCAAGATTGAGTCTTGGAGATAGCTGAGGCATTCGCGATCAAATGCTGACAGTGACAGAGAGTTGGCTGCCTGAATGCTCCGGCCCCGTACATGAGGTGACGCTTGAATCGAAGGTGATTTGCGCGCGTATGACGTAATTTGTAGATGAGATGTATTCCTTGCAGAAAGTGAGTGGTTCAAAGTGTTGTCATCATCCCTTGGGGAGTTCTTGACAGATTTGTTTGCTGAGGTACGCGTCGACCTGCGCGGGATTGGACCCCCATTCCACTCGCAGAGAATCCGTGCAGAAACGCACCGCCTACATTGTGGCTCCTCGTGCGTTTGACTAGGCAGCTTTTCCTCGTCGCACTTCACCTTGCGAATACGGCAAGTTCGGCAACCTGGACGCGCTGTTAGCCCCGGATGTTAATGCAAGGGAGAAGCCGCGCGGATCCTTGCCTGTCCTGGAACGGGTCTTCCCCGGTTTATGCATGTCTGCTCATCTAGCCTAGGCGAAGGCGCTGCAATGTCGCATCTGTCTCGGCTGGCAGGCGAGGTCTGGAGACGCTTAGAAGTACTAAGACGCCCAACAGTCAACCTTTGCGAGATAAGAGGGGAAAGAGGCGGGGAAATTGTTGGTCAAACGGAGCTTGAATCGGAGCCGAGTGGACGTTGCCGATTGGCCGCGTCGGCTAATGTTATGCGCTGCCGAGAGTTTATCGCACAGGACCGATTTGATTGGTCAACCCGGTGCTTTATCGTCACAATCGCCTACTCGTCTCGTATACTCCAACTGATAATGACGAAGATGTTGGGGAAGAGCCCTGAAGATACATAAAAAGGAAAATTGTGAGCGCCAAGTTCTCTTTTCACTATCAGCAACAGCCTCAAACATGCAATTTTCCGAATCACAAAGCCGCTTTCTCGATAGCGTGCAGGATGCTCTTGCCCGTTATGATTCGCAATTGAAAGATATCAATCACAAAGTCAGATCAATATTGATGAAACACAAAGAAAATTGCTGACTTTGGTCTAGATTTGGTCTAATCCGGAGCTTGCATACGCAGAGTATGATGCTCACAACCACATTTGTGAGCTTTTTGATAGCCTCGAGGATGAAGGATATTCAGTCACCCGCAAAGCTTATGGTCTCGAAACTGCCCTTGAGGTTGAATATACCCATGGCTCCGGGGGTAGAGTTGTAGCCTTCAATGCTGAATATGATGCTCTTCCGGGAATCGGACATGCATGTGGTCACAACCTCATTGCCACCAGCTCGATAGCGGCCTTCATTGCTGCGTGCGAGGCGATGAAGTCATCACATAATACATCGGGCAAAGGATTCACCCTCCGTCTCATCGGTACTCCAGCAGAGGAATCTGGCGGTGGAAAGGTGCGTCTGCTCAAGCAAGGAGCGTACAAGGATATAGATGCCTGCCTTATGGTACACCCGGTTCCGATGGTGCCGGGGAGCCCCGACTTGATGGGAATGGCGACTGTCGTTGAAGGTGGATTCCTTGCCAATGACAAAGTGAAGGTTACTTTTACTGGAAAACCAGCGCACGCCGCAGCTGCTCCTTGGGAGGGTATCAACGCGCTTGACGCTGTGGTCTCCGCGTACGTTAACATTTCCATGCTTCGCCAACAGATCCTCCCAGCCCAGAAGATCCACGGAGTAATTGTGAACGGTGGCGATCGTCCAAACATTATCCCAATGTCTGCGACTGTGGACTACTATATTCGTTCGCCAACCGTCAAGTCGCTTAAACCTCTGACAGAGAAAGTTGTGAAATGCTTCGAGGCAGCCGCAACTGCCACCGGGTGCAAGGTTGATTTCGACTGGTACGTTTACACAATTCAGCATTACCTTTCCCAAGAACTAACCATAATTTGCTAGGGGTATCTCATATGATGACCTGAAAACCAATATGCCGATTTGCGAAAGCTACGTTTCTGTAATGCGCGCCCTGGGTCATCATACTTTGCTGGATAACTCAACCCAAAAGAGCACTTTGGCCGGAGCTTCTACTGACATGGGTATGTTCTTCGAGCTTTTAATTATCCACACTGCCAGTATACGACATCGATGCTAATTCATGCCAGGAAATGTTTCCTATGCGGTGCCTGGATTCCACGGAATTTTTACAATCCCAACCGATGGAGTCAACCATACGCCTCAATTCACCAAGGGCGCTGGATCAGAGGAAGGGTATAAAAGAGCACTGTATTGCGCGGCAGGTATGGCTGTCGTAGCATGTCAGATTCTTGTTGACGATAAATTTGCCGCGGACGTGAAGAAGAACTTCGAGGGAAACTGACCTCGAGAACAAACTGAACATTTTTGTCCGTTTATTTACGTTGAAATCAATACTCCCTATCGAAACCAAAGTCTCCAGTCATACATTCCAAGGTTATGCCTTGTATTACATATAAACCCTTGGAGAAAAGACATTCAATCGCAAAGTAGGTGTCGACGACGCTGTGTGAGAGCCTCGGAAGTTCGTGTGTTGGAAGAAAAATCGCCTTGACCTCCGAGTCCTAGCTTTTTTCTTATCGATGGTACGCTGTATCTTATCTCGCAAGAAATATTAAGTTGGTATATGTTAGCTCTCGCATTGCCAAGGTCTGACTAGTTTGCCGAAACAACGAATAGGCTTATGAGGTGGTGTCTCGGCGCTTTGTTATCTAGACCCATGAATTTGCGGGGAAAGCTTTATTCGGGCACCAGACAGAAGTATAGTGTCCAGATGCATGTGAAGTCTTTTTTTTTTTTTGTTTTTTTTTTTTTTTTTTTTGTTTTCATAAATAGCAAGGCTTTTACCGTATTATGAGGCCTCCAAGACACGTTGAAGAAGAACATACACCTCAACCTTAAGTATACGGACATCCTTTTTCATTTTCGGGCTCAAGATGTCTGTTCAGTCGATCAAGGAAAAGAATGACGCTGATGATCTCAATCCTCCGAATATTGAAGTTGGAGCGCTGGGGTCTTCATATCAATTTTCACCCAGTGCAGAGAAGAGGCTTGTCTGGAAGATTGATTTGATGTGAGTAACATGACAAAGAGAGATGGGACACTTCCTGATTTTCTCCCTTTTATTCAGGGTACTTCCTATCATGCTGTTTGCGTACATGATGGCCTTCCTGGATAAACAAACATTGAATTACGCTGCCCTCATGGGCATTCGTGAAGATCTTCATCTAGTGGGCACCCAATACAACTGGTCGTCTAGCATATTCTACTTCGGCTACTTGGTCTTTTCGTGTGTACCACTTCCAAAATCCAACGTTGTCTGCAACTCACACCCTCTAGCTACCCAGCATCATTGTTGATGGTCAAATTTCCACTTGGAAAATATCTTTCTACAGTATTGTTAGTAACCTACCCAGTTTCTACATCATTACTGCACTTGCTCACCAACTTTTTAGTATCCTGTGGTCCATTGTTCTGGCATGCCATGCTGCTACTACCAATTTTGCAGGCTTGATGGTTGTGCGATTTTTCCTCGGGTGCACCGAAGCCAGTCTCTCCCCGGGCTTCACTCTGATCACATCCCTTTGGTATAGAACATCTGAGCAACCACTCCGCCACGGAATTTGGTTTTGCGGAAACTCTCTATCTCTGATTTTTGGAAATTTGATTGCTGTTGGTATCTTACAGATTGATGATCGTCTCAAAGCGTGGCAGGTGAGCAGCGGATATATTCCACAATATTGCTCTGGGTGAAAATCATTAACTTGGCTACTCCAGTGGCTTTTCATCATATTCGGAATCATCACATTATTGTGGGGTGTGGTCATGTTATTCCGGCTCCCCGATTCACCAGCTACGGCCAGCTTCCTTACCGACGAAGAGAAATTCATTGCGGCCGAGCGACTGAAGGCAAACCAAACCGGGTTCAAAAATTCGAACATTGACAAATCCCAGATCAAGGAGGCATTTATAGATGTCAAGACTTGGCTGCTTGCACTCTTGATATTGGCTGCAAACATTCCAAATGGTGGTTTCACAACGGTCAGTCGATGTTGAATACAGAATCAAACCCAAATAGCCGCATATTAACGCACTCAGTTCAATGGATTGGTCCTCCAAGGATTCGGGTTCTCGACCTTTCATACTCTTCTTCTTGGTATGCCAGGTGGTGTAATTGTGTTCATATTCGTGCTACTCTCGTAAGTTCTTCGATTGAACTGCTTTGTGATGCACACTGATAAGGCTTAGTGGTATCATCTCGTCAAAGATTGCCAACACTCGGTGTCTTGTTATGGTTGGATGCAATGTGATCAGGTAAGAACACGTTAATGATAGCGTGGGTCAAGGCTAAACAACGCTCCATAGTATTGTTGGCAGTGCCCTTGTCTATGCCACCGGCTCAGTAGGCTCTCGTTATGCAGGTCTCCTTTTGATGGGGATTTACTCCGCCGCAATGCCTATCTCAATGGCAATGATCAGCTCTAACATCGGTGGTTTTACGAAGAAAGCCACTGTCAGCGCAATTTACTTCATTATGTACTGCGCCGGAAACATCATCGGACCTCAGCTTTTCTTCGAGGAAGAAGCACCAAAGTATCAGGTATGTGCGAACATTCAATCAATCACTCTCGATAATTAGGGGTCTCACACTGCCTTACTTTAGAGCGGATTTTTAGCCATCATTATTTGCTTGGTCGTGTGTGTCATTGATGGATTTGCACTTCTTTTCTTTTTACGCTGGACGAATGCGAGACGCGAGAAAGGTCGTGTGGCTGACACGGCGACGGAAAGGGGGAAAAGCAAAACTCTGCTTCTCAAGCCCATCTGCTTGATACCACGGATCTGAAGAACGGTGAATTCAGATACGTGTACTGAGTTTGTCTCAAGGCTCCTTTTACTTTTATATTTAATTTAAGCTGGAACATGCAGGCTGCTAGAATGAGATAAGTTCATTTGATTTCATCAAGACATTGTCTCCAACACTGGGCCAGTATAGACATGTCTGGCACGTATCAGGTAATAAGCGACGGCCAGTATAACAGTCCCAAATGTCCCCACAACGCTAAAGTTCATCGTCGTGACAGTCGGTGAGATGTGCGGAGGCCAAAAGCTGAAAAAAACAACGATAATCATGTACACAACAGCATATGCATTGATCAGCGTGCCGATGACCCCGGGTACGTGGAATGGGCCCCAAACTAATTTGGCGCCAGGAACATTGATTGCTCCCTCGCTATCGTTGTATTGGAAAATATCACCCTTGCAACGACGATAGAGGAGCAAGGAGCCTACCATCAGGTAAGACAGGTATATGCCAGACACTGCCATTGACAGAATGTCCTGAAGCGCAACGTCTGATCCAATGTTGATGAGACACAGAAGCCATGCGATAGCTGTGGCTAAAAGGATTGAGTATATAGGCATCCCGGTAGATGGCAGTACCTGTTTTGATCTTTAGTCAACGGACCAAGCGAAAATGTGACGGGCAGCTTGAGGAACTTTCTGCCTACCTTGACCCATAATCGCCACCCCGGGACTGCCCTGTCTCTGGCAAACGACCAGATCTGACGTGACAAGGCGGCAAGAATACCCATCACTCCAAAAATAGAGATGATGAGTACAATGGTAGACATGAGTGCCGCTCCTGCTATAGATCCCGTGGCGTGTGAGAATATCTCGATAAATGGATACCCCGTTGGAGAGGCTAGAGCCTCTTCGATATTTCCCATGCAAAAGAGAACAGCAATAAGCATACTGAACCCTAGAATACCATTGATAAGCACACTCAGCATGATAGCACGCGGAAGAATGACGGCTGCGTTGTGGATCTCTTCGGCCATCTGAAAAAAAGTCAGCGTTCTTTACTGACATAGGAACGCGAAAAGACTCACATGAACAACCGCGTCACCGCCGGCAAAGGAAAACGCACAACCTGATAACCCGACAAACCAAGAAAGACCTTGTGTTGGCCATTCCCCACCGTTCAAAAACTCTCGGAAGACCTCCTGGTCGGATCGATGATCGGCTAGCACAACCATCGGTATGATAATTGCTAAACAACCGAGGACATGAACCACCAAGATACCTTGCTCCAATCGAGGAAAGAGTTTGCCACCTTTGAGATTCACAGCCAGTCCGACCAAAAGGGAGGCCCACATCACTAATGTGCCTTCCCATCTTTTAGCCTGATAATTGTTGTAAACGAGGATTGCGACGCCTTGGATTTCAGTTCCGGCCAGGTGGGCTGCCGCCGTGAATGCAGTCTGCCAGCCAATCACTGCAAGCCAACCTATTTCACGGCATTAGTTGCGATGGAAAAATGACTTGACATTTTGTCATTGTCGCACCAGTGATGTAACTCAAAAACCTCATGCAACCTTTTGGTGCGAGCATCGCGCACCAGTGGTATTGACCCCCTGAAGTCGGTGCCCTTGAAATGTCAGCGGTGAGTCTGCATTTCTGCAGATATACGGAGTACAAGCTCACATTGATGCCAGCTCTGCTAACACTGAGAAGCAACAGGCTGTACCGATCCAAGAGAATATGAAAGCATAGACTGCTCCCGCGGAGCCTCCACTGGCACATGTCAATTCAAGCTTGCACAACGGAGCGTGAATCCATACTTTTCCAGTGGTGTAGTAAAAGTGCTGGAAAAGAATCAGTAAAGCGACACGTCGACTAGAGATCTATCTGCTTACCCAAGCAGTCCTTCCCATGTCCCAAGAACCGTGCAGCTCAACCCGAGGACTGCCCATACGCCAAATGTTCGCTTGAGAACGAGTGAAGTCAGCTCATAAACAAGTTGATGTACCACACAGAGAGCATACTTTCAACACCGGCTTTTTCCCTAGCCGCTCAAGATAAAGTCTATCTCGCTCGCTGCTCGACGAATCTCGATCAGAGTTGGTTAAATGGGCATTCTTGGGTTCATGTGCCATGATGAAGTCCGATAAGTCACTGAGCTCGGGGTTGGAAAGACGGGGCAAGACAGGACTTGAAATAGTAAGATTGATTGGAAAATGGAGGCTCTGCTATTGATCTGGACACGAAAATGAGCTGTATCACGCCGATCATTCGGGTTCAACGGTATCTTTCCACGGCCAAATCATCATAGCGCTCACCCACTCCGCTGCACTTGCTTGTCTGGGAAGCGGGAGAAGCCTGCGGTCCGATATCCAATGGCAAAACGGAATGTCGATCAAATGGATTGCAGTGGATAAATGGTGCATGGGCTACGCGTGAGAGCCGAATCATATCGCGAAGCGTGCACATTCTATGCGGCTGGGTTGTGAGCCGGCAGGGGTGAAATCTAGGGGGCCATCAGGGGGCCGTCGGATGCAAGTGCATATTTCCACCCCCCCCGTGGACCGAGTTTGCTCGTTTCATTTTGATTTCATGCGATATCTTCCATGTGAAACTTGAGGTTGAGAAACTTGAATTTGGGTACTCCGTACTCTATGTTTTTTTTATTGTCCCATTTTCATACCTCCGTTGGCGCAGACCACACTGCCAGTGCACCACAGCCCATCCGGAGTACACAACATGCCAACAACACCAGCAACTTCACTGGTAAATGCCGGTCGCCGCCCACCCATCTTTTCCTGAATCAATCGCTTCTGCTCATCCGTCAAGCGAGCCAAAGTCTCTTCATCATTAAGGTCCAGCTTGCTCATCGGCGTGTTATCCTGATATCCCTGAATATCCTTCCAGAACTGGTCGCCGGTCGCAAAGTACATGTCTCCAACAACCGGGCCGGGGTTAACGGCATTGACAGTCGCGCGATCAGCGAGCTCACGGGCCCAAGTGCGCGTCATAGCCTCGATCGCAGCCTTGGTACCGCCATAGATCGATTGCCCGACGAATCCGAGTGAGGAGGATACACTGGAGATGCTGACGATGCGACCGCTGCGGTCATTGGGGAGGAAGGGGGCGCAAGCTTGTGTGAGGAGAAGTGGGGCCAAGACGTTCACCGCGTATTGCCAGGTGAAGTGCTCGGCTTCGATGGGACCCTTGGGGTCGTTGAGGTTGCGATCTTGAGAGACACCGGCATTGTTGATCAAAATGTCAATTTGAAGTTTGCCATCGGTCGTGAACTTCTCTTTCGCAGCGGCGAGAATCGCCGCGACGCCCTCGGTGGCATTGCTTAGATCGGCTTGCACGCTCTCGCATTTGATGTTATGGGTCGAGGTCAATGAGGCGCAGAGGGCTTCGGTAGGTCCACGGGAAAACTCAGAGGTGAAGTTGAGAAGCAATGAGCATCCCTTTGCCGCCAAGTTGCGTGCAATTGCTTCACCGATTCCTGCTGCTTGTTAACTCCGTCTCTTCTCCGTGCGGGGGAGATCCTGACCTCGCGATCCACCGGTCACAATGCCGAATTTTCCTTCAAGTACTCGAGACATGTTGTGCTAATGTGAGTGCAGAAGATGCGAATGAAAAGAAATAAGAAGTCCAAGGAAATGCGGAAATGGCCCTCTTCTTGAACTTGTATTTAGCCGAAATTCCCCACGTTTCGCGTTCCCCCACCGGCGGAGGAAAATTGCCCGATGCGGAGCCCCTCAGGAAACCCGGCTAATTTCCCTTTCGGGCCGACTCACTTCGGCTCCGCTCGCGTTTAGAACGCTTTGGACAATTTAGGCTTGGGCCGATCTCGTTGAAAGTCCCTGATTCGTCATTTTGTTGTGGCCAACCGCCTAGTACAGTATACCACGCTCTAAAAGAACTATTTGTTGCGATATGGGATTGACTACTGAGCACCGGAGAAGAGAATCTGACAGCTACGCTGTTCATCTAGCATGATAGTTACATTTTTTGCATCGTCTCCGTAGCCAAATCCACGCCTGAGTTTCTCCAGAGGTTCTTCAGTGCCAACAACGCCTGATACATGAGCATTGGATTGGTGTCCCAAATATCCTAGGTTAGGCTCAATGCCCACATTACTAGATTGCACCGACCGGGTGCATAATGACACGTTGGGACTACAGACTTAGAACCTGTCGCAATGTACTGGGTATAATTGTACAATCCTCGTGTTTCTAAACCCCACGCTAGATGTAAAGCCTATTCCGTGACACATCCCCTATACATTGTCTTGCGATGCTCCCCCATCTTGACAAGCAGAAGGCACTTCGTCACTCTTCTCATGCGCCACATTCAATATCGCCAGCAATCGATCAGCAGTCAGATGGTCATTCGACCCCTCCATGCGATGCGCGTATCGAAGTTTCCCTCTCTGGAAAATCCATTCGCCACCTTGCTGGTTCCAATTTCCCCCGCGCAAACCCGCCCACCCGCGCCTCCAGATTTGCTTCATGGTTTCAGCAAGTCCAGTGGGGAACGAAAAGTTCGAATAAGGCGGCGGCTCGGTGAATCCACCCCTCTGCCTCTTCATCTGCAGTTTCTCGTATATCCTCCCGGAATGGTCGGAATAGATTGGGAACTCGTCCGTCGTTTCTTCCATATATGGCCCGATGAGGGCGTGATCTCCGCAGCCAAGTATGATGATCTGAGCGGGTCTAGCGTCAAGTGGGACAGTGTCAAGTAGCTTTTCGGTCATTTGGCGGGAGAGGGTCCGGACGTAGTCTTGGTCGTAGACACAGAAGAAGTGCCGTACTGGATTTGAGTGGTCAGCCAACCTGTTCATCTAAGGTGAAGATTGGAGTTCAACTCACTGAAAATCACAATTGTCGTTACCGAGTAGCCTTTCCCCGCCACGAGCTCTCCGAATCGGACATTGTCGCCCTTGGCTGTCTGGATCTCGAGTTCATAAGCCTCGTGGAGGGTATCGTCTGTCAGGAAATCCGGTCCTTCATTTGGAAGATGAAACTCTGCCATGGTGAAATTGCAGCATTCTAGCGGGTATGAAGAACAATTAAGAACTTTTGAAAGAGCCTGGCCTGGGGCGTTCGGAAACTCTATGCTGACATCATGACCTCGTGGCAATGTGGGGAAATCAGGGCGGCGACTTAGTTTGATTACTTTATTCAAGCTTATTTGGAATTCTGCACTTCTGCTCCAGTCACGGGAAGACGTGGAATTTTCTGAAACCTTGTTATTGATCTATTCTCGAGCCTAGCCCGTGGGTTTGGAAATTAGGCGATGGTTTGGTCTACCACCATGGTCTCGGCCTGTTGAGATAAGTGATTGTCTGATTGATTCTGATTGACTTAAGGAGTTATCTTTAACAGGGGCGGGATGTCTCATATATATCTGTTCCTAATCCCTGCCATCAGGTTCAGCCACCGTGATACTCAACACTCCCACTCGATGGCAACCACCACCAAGAGTGCCAGCGACCATCCATCACGGTTGGGACGGGCCCCAGTAAAACCTTCAAAAAACCTTTCAAAGGAAAAGGAAGGAAAGGGTACCCGAACGGCCTCTGCCCGAGATCTGGAAGCGGCGAGGTGTCATTCAATGCCAAGCCCTCTGCGAAACCATTCAAATCGTTCTCGCGCAAGAGGCTTCGTGAACCCATCAGCAATTTGCTCGGTAGTTGGAATGTATTTCAGCTCCACTGTTCCAAGGTCTTGAACCTCTCCTTGCCACTTGCGTTGGATTTCCATATGCTTCGTGCGGGAATGGTATTGCGGGTTCGAGGACAGGGCGATGGCTCCTTGGTTGTCACCAAAAATGATCGTGGCGGTTTTTCCTTGTCTCATGTTTAACTCATTGAGAAGTCTTCTCAACCAGATTGCTTCCTTGGTTGCTTGTGTCTGGCCTAAGAATTCAGCTTCACAGGTCGAGAGGGCAACGACGCTTTGGCGCTTCGACTGCCAACTGATTGCTCCACTCCCGATATTGAAAAGGTATCCAGCTGTTGAACGTCTAGTGTCGCGACATCCACCCCAGTCTGCGTCTGTAAAGCCTTTCAGCATCTGGGGATGACCCTTGTACGTGAGCCTGAGGCATTTTGTGCCGTTGAGATATCGCAGGATGCGTCGAGCTAGTTTCATGTGTTGTGGTCCAGGATTTGCTAGATACCTGCTCGCCATGGAGACAGCATATGCGACATCCCCCCTGGTTCCAAGCATAATATACATCAGAGATCCGACAATGCGTTGGTAGGTGGTTCTTTGATCTGGAGGGCATCTGTATTCTGGACTATTCTCTGGAAGTGGCGAGGTTTCTATCGGCGTGCTGATGGGAGCGCTGTTGCTGATTTCGAACTGATGAGCGATCTTGTCAATATATGCTTCTTGACTTAGGTACAGTGTCCTGTTTTGACGGTCCCGCTGGGCGCACATCCCGAGGTAGTAGCTACACGGTCCGAGATCTGTCATTTGAAAACGGTTTCTGAGGCTCCGCTTGATCTTCTTTATTTCTGCAATGCTCGGTCCTACGATCAGGAGGTCATCGACGTACACCGCGATGTACATATTGCTCCGGACGAAGACCCCAAGATCAGAGCTAATTGGCTCGAAACCAAGATTCCGTAGGAAATTTGTAAGGGTCTGATACCAGATCCGAGGAGCTTGTTTTAGGCCATAGAGTGCTTTTCGAAGCTTGCAGACCCTTGATGTGCCGTCGGTCATGTGGTGAGGTTGTTCGACGTAGATCTCATGATCTATGTAGCCGTACAGGAACGCCGTTTTGACATCCATTTGCTCGATCTCTAAATCTAGGGCCGCCGCGATTGCGAATAGAGCTTTATAGCTCATTGGCTTGACGACCGAGGCAAAGGTTTCGTCATAGTCAATACCCTCTTCTTGTGTAAAGCCTCTCACTACCCATCGGCTCTTGTGACGGATGACTTCGCCATGCGGTCCTCGTTTGAGTTTGAAGACCCATTTTCCACTGAGGATCCGCCGATCTTTGGGAGGGTCAACAAGCTCCCACGTTTTGTTTTGGTTGAGCGAGTTCACTTCTTCAAGCATTGCTCTTTCCCATTGGAGCCAGCTTGCGTCGTTCTTGGCTTGATGCAGAGTCTTTGGCTCAAAAGGTTCTGTTTCCTTTGCAGCTACTGTTAAGAATGTTGGGATGACGTTCTCTTCAGGTATATTCATTAACGCAAGCTCTTCTTCGCTGTCACTAGATGTGTTTAGTGTGACGTGCGGAGCGCGAATTCTGAGTTCAGGGTGGTGCGCCAGTGCTTCTTGTCGCACTTCATGAACTGGGCGGTCAATTTGGAGTTCTGGAGATCGTTGCCATTCTCCTGAAACTAGACCTTGTTGAGCGTCGTCTTGTTGCTGGTCGCCGCCGGGTGGTGAGTCATTCCTCTGGATGATGTCTTGTAAATCACCTACAAATGATCCAAAGGTATCATCACTCCGTGTAGGCGACAAGGTCCTGTCTCCCTGTACAGCAACAGATGGCTGCGAGTCATCGTCACTCGATTGAGACGACGCTGGTGTCTGCGAGTCCTCGTCACTCGACTGGGTTAGCACTCGCGAGTTATCGTTACTCGATCGAGGCAGTATGTGCGAGATATCGTTCCTCGACTTAGGTAGGGCTCGCTCTGGTGGTGCCATCGACAACTGGCGCCCAGAGGCGGGCACGGACGCTTGCCGTATGCCTACCGACGGTTGATTTATTAGTCCCACCGTCTTACTCCCCCTGCGGCAGCAGCCGTTGCCCCAGGTGAGCCGTCTCGTCTGGCTCCCACATCTTCTATAGTCTGTGTGGAAGGAGCTGTAAGGACTTCGTGAAATTCAGCGTTTGGGGTCCCAACGATTCTTCCGTCTTCCAGCAGGATACGGTAGTTGGTATCTCCCTCATAGCCTAGTAGAATGCATGGCCTGGTTCTTGGCTCTGTGAGCTTCTTCCTCTGCTTGGGTGGGATCAAGTATTCCCCTTTGGATCCGATCACTCTGAGTCGTGATAGGTCCGGCTTGTCGCCGTACCAGGCTTGATACGGAGTCATGTTGAGCTTTGATGACGGCGACCGGTTGGAGAGGAAGGCTGCGGTTCGAGCAATTTCCGGCCAGAATTTAGGTGATAGTCTCGCATGTGCTAGCGTAGGTCCAACCCGATCATAAATTGTCTTATGGGCTCTCTCGGCAACCCCATTCTGCTGGTGTTGATCAACCCCTGTGACCTCGGCATGGATTGCCCGTGAGAACAGTATGAACTTCATCTCTTCTCCCACTTGCTCAGGGATTCGGTCGAGGCGTATTCGTCTGCACTTCCGTTCAGGGCGTTCGTTATGATCGAGGAAGAAACGTAGTGACTCTATGACAAATTCTTGTCGTCGTGGTATAGTGATAATCTCTATCCACCCCGTGAAGTCGTCGACGACGGTGAGCCAATAGCGACTGCCGTCAAGGCCCTCGTCAAATGGTCCTGCGACATCAATATGGAGAAGTTCCATTGCATGTTCCCCTCGTCTGCTTCGTCTCGAGCGTTTGTGGGGCTTTTCAATCATTCGTCCCTGGAGGCATGGGTTGCATGGTTGACGTGGTTCCATGTCCCGGATGCCGAAGGCCTGCTTCTTAAGCCGATGTAGGTTCGCATCGCTCAGGTGAGCCAGCCGATTATGCCAAAGAGCCATTTGTGGACCGACATGGTAAGAGGGAAAGGTGAGATTCGTCCATAGATCAAGTGCGTAGACTCCATGATATTGGCTGGCAGTGTATAGGTTCTTTGCGTTTGACTTGTTGCGAATACTAGCACTTTGGCTTGAGAATTCGACTTTTGCTCCTCGTTTGAGAAGCTGGAGCACCGATATGAGGTTTGCATGTGCCGATGGGACGTAGAGGACATTGTCAAGCACAAGCCATTTCCTTCTGCCTCGTACATTGCACAGAACATTGGCTGTCTCCACTCCCGAGGGAGTCGTGGAGGTATCGACGCTTCTCAGTGGTGGTCCATGGTACTTGTCCATCTTTACAAATCTCGAGGCGTTATTGCAGACGTGCTGAGCACATCCACTATCGACGATCCATGCGTCACGGATCGATAGGGTTTTTGTAGCCATCAATGTGGGGATGTGGTCGAATAGGGCGAAGTTGCCTTCAACGTCCTTTCCAAATGCTTTATTAACATCTTCTCCGGAGACCTTTGTCGCCATGAAGGTGGGCTTCTTTGGATCCCTTGGGCCACCGACATCATCATCTTCGTCATCCGAGGTGGGCCGCCGCTTCAACGGCTTGCGTGCGCCTGTATGTGAATTGCCTGGTTTTGACTTGTGACTCTTTCCGTCTTTCTTTTGATCCCTCGGTCTGGGGTTCTTGCTGAAGCACTCAGAGTCCACATGATATGGTTTCCGGCAGAGGGAGCAATATGGGACGTTATCGATCTCGATTCGACATGTCGTTCCGTCGGATGACGGTATGACTTTCTTGTCACCTGGCCCTCGAATTATAGCGAGAGCAGGAAGCGCTTGCGCCTCTGTTGGTTGTTTGCTCAATTGCCCCTTCCTATGTTCTTCCTCAATTGCCTTGTTCTCGATATAGTCGAACGTGGGTGCCGCTTTTGTGATGTTACCATTGGCATCTCTTTCGTTAACAAGGTCCATTTGCCGAAATATATGATCACGGAAATTTTCATACTCAGGACCTAATGCGTGCACGAAAAAGAATGTTCGCTCAATCTCGGAGCTCACGCAGTCAGGGTCAAGGAGAAGTTTCTCAGCATGGATCTTCCTGATCTCGGCTCCGAGGGCTTGAGCGCTTCCACATTTCTCTCTTGTGAGGGACATGTACTGTCGCTGGAGGTTCACGTAAGTGCCAGTGCCTTCCGGTTTGAAGTTGTCTTTAACTGCCTTTAAGAGTGCCTGGACTCGAGAGATCTCAAAAGCGTTGATCCTTTGTGCCGCATTGTGGGTCAGCTTTGCCGTGATCATCGCAGAGTAGAACTTTTGGCGATGAGTCCATTGCCGCGCTTCTTCCTCTTCTTCTATCGGTGGAGTTGTTCCATCGTCGGCAACGGCGGATATCCGAATGAACTCATTGACCTTCTGATTCCACTTAAACCAGTCACTGGCATTGTCAAGTATTGGAATGCCATTATAGAATGCGTTTAATCCAAACTGCTCAAATTTCGCGATGTCAGTCATGGTGTAGGTGGACGCTCCTCTGAGCTGAAGAATTCTGCGCTGGAGATGTCGTCGGATAAACTGGAGGTAACCGAGGAACCACGATCCGATGAGTTGAGAGAACGCGCTTCTAAGCCAAAGAGTTCTAGACTTGATGCGACACTAGGCGGGCTCGAGACGACGGAAGGGCTACGGTCCGATGAGTTTGGCGTAGGTGTGTGAGACAACGGGACGTAGTCTCTGTCTGACAGCCTGTGCAGGTTCAGATGGTACCTGTACGACTTGGAGAAGTGAGGGAAACGGCGCCGGTCAACTAGATATCGCGGTTTCCTTTGCGGGAAGGTTGTCGATCTGTTTGGCCGAAGGTTGTAGCGAATTGTGTTGCTGCTTTGGCCTACTGGTTCGTCTCCAGTTGTAGAACTCGGCGAGGGTAAGATTGAGGTCTCAGTGCTACTTTTCGCCTGGGAGAGTGGACAAGAAATAGGACGATGAAGATAACTTGGTCCCTGTTCAAGACCAGAACGCGTAGATTGAGTGTTGGGGGTACTGCGAGAGTCTCTTGTAGTGTTGTGAGGGGTGGTAATTGGAGCAGTGACCGCTGATGCTCGGCGTACGCGGTCTTCAGTGGACAGGCGCCAGTAGGCTCCTAAGAGTGCACTTGGTGAAAGTGATGGGAAGTATGACTTCTGGATTTGTGTAAAGCGCCAGCGACGAAGGTGCCGAAGGTACGAAAGAAGATTCAGCTCCTCGTCTGTCCAAGAGTGTCTGCTTGGCCGTTTAGTGCTTCTCCTTGGAGGTTGAGATGACCCTTTTTGAGGTCGAGACGGTAACCGCGAGGAAGCAGTTCTTGAGGTCGCTACAGAGGGCGACATTATTTCATATGCTCTAAAACTTGATATTGTTGCGATAATGTTGCGTCGAGGGCCAATGAATTAGGGGTTTCAACTCCCTTCCGTCAAAGTGTCGTTTCACTTGACGAATCACAGGGGGCGTCACTGTGATATCTTGCGACGATGTGATATCTGTGATAGTGATAGTGTGATAGTGTGATAGTGACAGTGATGGTGTGATGTCTGTGATTATCTAGTGGAGAAAAGTCCATCCACTTCATCTCATCCAGAGGGTTTGAACTCTTGATTTCGTTACCCCTTCGCCATGTTCCTGAATCCATATGGTCAGATCTTGGTGTTGATGAAGTTTTCACTTAATGGGGAAGCTTAGCTGTAGATGGCAGTCAAAGAGTTGTCTGTTTAAATTTCTGTTGCCGAGCTGCGTGCCTAAGGGTTGCGCCACTCGGGCTCATAACCTGTTGAGATAAGTGATTGTCTGATTGATTCTGATTGACTTAAGGAGTTATCTTTAACAGGGGCGGGATGTCTCATATATATCTGTTCCTAATCCCTGCCATCAGGTTCAGCCACCGTGATACTCAACACGGCCAGGGTCTACGAAGTATACATTCGTACGAATAAACAGCCTTGCGATTACGAATATTCGTAGAGGCTTGTGTACTGCAAATGCGAATGCGGATATCTCAAAAAGTTATGAATATGTATTCGTGTCGACCCCTACCTTCTGATTTATTTTCAGACACATTTTGTCACCAAACGAATGAAAACATCCTCGGTTGCACGCAGCAAGTCCTTAATCTCTTCCAAGGCTAGGGCTAAGGCGGTGGCGCTAGAACCTGCCGGCCGCTCTTACCTGTGAATCCCCCTTGCTCACTCTTCTTTCTGCCCAACTAAACCCATGTATCATGTTTTTGCGGTCGCGATTGTTGAGGCCAGCTACCGTGCAAAAAATGAAATTACAAAACCTCCCCCGGAAGTGCTATCCAACATTAGTCAGAAACCTTTGCTCATGAGTGACGTTGTGGCATTTTCACAGCAAAGTCGTGGGATGCATAATGTGAGCGACGTCTCTAACCGCCAAAAATATCATGTGTTTCAGATCGGCCGAGGAAAGCAAAACTTCACAGCCCAGCTTCAGGCCGGCCAGGACATGTTGCTAGAAATTTTGGCCACCCGACTTTGGCAAGCTATCTTCGTTGGATAATCTTATTCGGAAACGAACAAGGCTCCGGTATCTCTCCCCATGAAACCGATGTCATTCAGCGAGCTTTTTCGCCGGAGGATATCACCAGAATCAAGCAGGCTTTGACCAAAGCCGGGATTGAAGATCCCAGTGACCGAGAATCTATCTTGGCCATTCTTAAGCAAGATCCGGTTTGCTTTAGGTAGAATTTCCGGTGCGCATCCCAAGGCCCAGAAGCTCATTATGAAGCCCAGCTCTCCTTCTAGCCCCGAAGCAATCAAGTTCAAAGACGTGCTTGTTATGATGCTTGCTGCCAATGCTCCCAATCTCGAATTTCTGTCTTCATATCCCTTGGATATGCCCCGCAGTACGCTGAAGTCACTTTTCCAGCGAGCCGCTAAGTCGGGTGTCTCCTGTTTACAGAATTTAAGGAGCATCAGTTTCCACCCGGATGATGTCCTTGACCAAGGCACAACCTATGTGCAAGAGTCATACTTCTCTCGACTGGACATAGTGCGAAAGCTGCCTGCTATTGAGTCTGTCTCTTTCACTTTAGCTATGAGGGATGACGACCCCGGACTACCGCTTCCTCCGCGCTGTGCCAACTACAGCAAAATTCAGATCGACCACTCATGCATTCCGGAGCATGACCTCTGCCGAATCATTGAGTCGCCAATGACGCTGGAAAACTTCGTCTTCACTGTGGGTGGGCGAAAGTACCCCGAGGGGGGTATTCCAATCTTGGGCATGACGCCGCTACTCAGATCACTTTGGCTTCACCGACATACGCTTGAGGAGCTGGATTTGGATATGGAATATCATGCGACATGGCAAGAGTTTTACGATCCTGATTATCAGCTAGATGAAGACGAAGGGCTCGATGAGTACGAACAGGAATGCTATGAGGAACAGTACGCCAGTGAGATTCTCGAACTGGCCGCCCAAGAGCCAGAGGCCAGGCCATCATGTATCTCCTTGAAAGACTTCCCAAAACTGAAGCGGCTTAGCCTTGGCGCCCATGCGTTGTGTCATTTTGCACGGGGCGTGGGATCAAACCAAGACAGATTTCCCGATGATCGCATTGGCCTTCAGTCTTTCAACCTAGCAGAACATCTGCCTCCCAACCTCCAATATCTTCGTGTTTATGGACGGGGGGAGGGACCGCATGATCTCGACTTGTCGGACCACGAGCTCTATCTGGACGTGGATGATCAACTGGAAAGATTGTTGCGCGAAATGAATTCCAAATCATTGATCATTGAAGGCATTGATGTCTCCATCCCTAATGCAAAGACGGTTGACGAATGGGAAGATGACAACGATCGATCGCTCTACTGGAAAGACCCAGACGACGATAGATTTGACGCATGTTAGGATAACAGTGTCGTGAAATCGGAGGACCAATATCGGAGGATGTATGCCTCCATGGAGGATTACAACCCCCTCAAACCTGTGATAGCTCTATATTTAGACACTCTACCACAGAAATAATTCGATGTAGCTCCTGTTGGGTGAAGATATACAGACTCAATATAGCTAGGAATTGTCTCGTGGGAAATTATAGGACCTTGCATTTTCAGAGGGTAATAATAAGAACCGCAAGCCATGCAGAAATCTAGACCATTGTTCGCCCGTACAATTCTTGGGCGCCAGAAGAGTAAACTTTGACCAAACCCCCAGAGTCGAATTTTTCAACAAAATTAAGATGAGTCACTCAGTCTGGTACCCAGACTCATCTTGCTGTTCTTCCACACCTTCCTTTTTGCTCGCATCGAATGACTCTCGACTTGTGGAACCAAAGACCATGCTGAGGTCAGTCCCTCCATCATGTATTTGCCACGCAGCTTCGTGTATCGATCGGATCGGCGGTACACAAATCCACCCGGCAGCTGTTGTTCCATGACAAATCCAATGGCGCCTTCTTCATCGTAGCTTGCCTTCTTTCTCTGCCATTCAGCTCTGGTCCGGACTTCCCTGATGAACTCGCAGCACCCGAAATCAATCATGAAAACGTGGTATTGGCCGTTGAAGTCGGTTTGCACCATAAAGTTTCTCGGTTTGACATCTTGGTTCAGCACGCCTCGATCGCCGATGCGATGAATGGTTCGAATCGCATCCTCGCAGATGGTTTGCCAGGTGATTTTTGGGGCGGAAAGAGGTAGGTTGTCCAGACGGAACCCCTTGATATACTGTAACAGCATACCGGGAACATCAGCGTATTCACGAGGTACCGGGTCATGCGTCAGAGCAGGTGCAGAAACAGGAACTGTCACACACGAAAGGAGGCGGGGTATGCAATGCCCCTGCAAATCAGCCAGAGTGTTGTATGCCTCGACTTCCGTCTTGTAGAGATTGTCCATGGATTCATCAAAATTTAGTTCTTCAGAAGAAGAACTCGAAGTCTCTTTACCTGGACCGAGTAAGTGCTCCCTGAGACTGAGCTCGGTGATAGGCTCGCCCGCCTCACCATCCATAACAGACAAATGACAACTTGGCGTGAAGTCTGGGGTGCATGAAATCATCCTCTCATTCTCTCTGTGACCTGCTGCATAACGTCGGTCGAAGACTTTCAGCACCATATCGCCTTTCAGTTCGGCAGTAGGGCGGGTCGGTTGGACAACCATCGTCGATGACCATGTGAATGGGTGAAAGGTCCGCATGATTCTGACTTCCATCCTTGGTCCCCATTTCGGTGTCTTGAGCCGGAGTTCCAGTGTGTTTCCTACCACATACGGGCATCTGAGAGGTCCTGTTAGCGCGCCTATCAAATATAATTGTTGAGTTATACTGACCTGGATCTATCAGAGTCATCCATGAGGTGGGAAATGGACATCAGTGCTTGTGGCCTGAAGCGCTGCTGTGGGAGATGTGCCGAGTGTCCGTGAATCGAGCTAGGGTTGATAGACAGTGCAGTCCGTAAATTGCATTCAATGAGTTGTCAAGTGACAAATGCTTTCATTGTGATGACTGAAGAAATGGAAAGACTAGAGTGTATCACTTCGCGGAAGGAACCCTCGTAAAACACCATAAACGCTCCTTTTGGCAGTGACGCACGGGCATCACCACTCCATTAACTTGGAATATTGCGAGGACGAGTTAAAAAAAGATAATTATCCATTGATATTTAGAAAACCCTCACGATACTTTGTATACAGTGTTCATACAAGTGTAACCCATTCTATCCTATCTTTGTGTCCTGGCCCATCTTGCTGTCCTTCTCCACTCCAGTTCCAAGTGGTTTCTCCTTGCTCTCAATGATGGACCTTTCAATAGCAGCACGCTTTGCATCCAACTCCTCCAGCTCTTTCTTATAACCAGATAAGGCACTTTCCACATCAACATCATTGGTCATCCCAGTGCCTTCCGTTGTTTCAAGTTGATCGATGCGACGGGTCATCTTTCGGGTGCGGCAACACCAAGCGATACCAAGAATGAACGTTGTGAACCACATGAGCATATTGACTAGATCAATCCAGACAGCAGCCTGCATGCGAGGGAGTGATGATGTGGCAGTTCTATATTCACTGGTCTTCACACCAGAAGTGTATATGTTTCCAAAGACGCCCGTCTGAGCGAGCCAGAGCACAAAGAGAACTCCATCCCAAGTCGACCATGCAACGTGGATGACAGTCACAAAGCAGTGTATGATACAGGTGATAGCTGACAAGGCAGCGACGATTTCAGCGTACACCCATTCTGTGGGCGCCGCGGTGTTAGATTTCGTGGCTCGGGCGAGATCGACACCGTATAGACCGGCAACGGTGATTGCGAACACGAACTGGAGGGTACGGAGGGCGGCGCGGGGGACAAGGCCACAGACTCCGCCTTTGTGCCAGTATTGGTCAAGCTTTGTGGGGAGTCGTTTAGGCATAGTAGAATGGAGTGTGGGTTGGCAGGAGGAGCGATGGAAAGTACAGTGTTGTCAGGGGTTACTGCGCTTTTTGAAGTAAAGAAATGAACAGAGATTTTCGAATGATCTAAATTTATCTCAGTTGGTAGTTTTTTCTTCTCTCGGGGTTCCAGGGCTGTCTCTTCAATTTTTAGAAACTCGAGGGCTCTATAAATAGTGGATATGCTGTCTTCCGTTTCGGGTAATTCTGCACGTATTCGCGAAGAAAGCTCCACAGTGGAGACACAATCAGCTTAATGGGTCCAATGAAAAGTCTTTCAGACATCCTTAAGGCCCACTCCACCCACCGGCCCCGGGGGCGGACCACATCAGGGTCGTTGATGTACTTTTTGCAATGCCCATCTTGCGAGGGAGGGCGCACTTTGCCTTAACGTCATCTTCCCTTCCGAAAAAAAAATACGATTCTCTTCATTGGTTTGCTTGTGTCTCTTTCAACTCGGAGATCGTATAGGAGGTCACTTTCTTGCTGAATCAACATGGTAGATCTCACGCACTCCAGATCTGATGACGAAAATCGGGACCCTCCTCCACCATACGAGTCTATCCCAGTAAGGCATTTGGGAGATCATCAAACGGCTACCTGCGGAGAGCTCCCATGCCCCACGGCGGCTGTGCCGGAGCTACAATCAACTAACGATGGCCGTGTGGATGTGCGAGTCGGGTCCCGCTTCAGCCGCAACCTTGAATACCTTCTGATTGATCAACCACATGATTCATCATCATCGGCGCCAGACCTTCCGTTGCAGTCATCGACAACTGGTCCTGGCTTCGAGTTTGACTTAAACATCAACATTGTCATCCAGGTGGTTGGCAGCCGCGGTGATGTCCAGCCCTTCGTGGCTCTGGGGTCCGAGTTACGCAAGCATGGCCACCGCGTGCGTTTAGCAACACATGCTATCTTCGAATCGCTGGTCACCGACGCCGGGTTAGAATTCTTCTCAATTGGTGGTGACCCAGTCGAGCTGATGTCCTACATGGTACGTCATCCCGGGTTGATTCCCAGCATGGAAAGTCTGCGAGCAGGCGACATACAGAAGAAGCGTGCATCCATCACGGAAATCCTCAATGGCTGCTGGCGTTCCTGTCTGGAACCGGACCAGCGTGATAAAGTGCCGTTCGTGGCAGACGCTATCATTGCAAATCCGCCGAGTTTTGCCCATATCCATTGTGCGCAAGCGCTTGGGGTTCCTGTTCATCTTATGTTTACCATGCCCTGGACTGGGACAAGGTCATTTCCACATCCCTTGGCGAACCTGAAGTATGATGGAGCTGACCCATCTATCGGGAACTTAATCTCATATCACTTTGTTGAGTGGTTGACATGGCAAGGGTTTGTTTCTTTATCCAACCAGGAAATGTTTTGGTGAACTAACATATTCCAGACTTGGAGATCTCATTAATGTTTGGCGGAAAGATGTTTTGGATTTAGATTGCATTCCTGCCACAGAAGGTCCGAACCTGGCGGAAACACTCCAGGTGCCTTTCACATACTGCTGGTCATCAGCATTGATCCCCAAACCCCAAGACTGGGGCTCACATATTGGTACGTTTGAATACCATATTTTCTAGTGAAAGCAATTACTTACAAATCAGATGTGTGTGGGTTCTTCTTCCGTGAGTCAATAGTGTATGAACCACCGACAGAGCTCGAGACATTTCTTCGGTCCGGGCCACCACCAATATACATTGGTTTTGGAAGCATCGTTCTCGATGACACAGAACAGACCCTGAACATATTGATGGACGCTACAGAGCGGACTGGGGTCCGTGCTATAATAGCTAAAGGGTGGTGTCAGATGCAAGGTGCACAGTCACCCAACATCCACTATATTGACGACTGTCCGCATGAGTGGCTTTTTGAACGCGTCGCCGCCGTTGTGCATCACGGAGGCGCGGGTACGACAGCTTGTGGCCTGCGGAATGGTAAACCGACCGTTATAATACCCTTCTTTGGAGAGTGAGTTTCCCTTCATCTCACCGTGACATGAACCAAAGGCTGACCGAGATGTGTTCGCAGCCAGCCATTCTGGGGAAGCATGGTTGAGGCCACAGGTGCTGGCCCGAAGCCAATCCCTTATAAAACTTTAACAGCAGAGAACTTGACACACGCCATCGAGTTCTGTTTAGAACCAAGCACTGCGGCTGTGGCTCAAAGTATAGGCAACAAGATAAACCAGGAGAATGGCGTACGGGCAGCAGTGGACTCTTTCCATGCACACCTACCTCGTCGAGACATGGCATGTGATCTGATACCCGGGGAACCCGCAGTTTGGAAGTTCAAAAAGGGTCGGCGGACAGTCAAAATCTCAAAAATAGCAGCGTTCGCCTTGAGAGATCAGGGACGATTGCACGAAAAACACCTCAAACGGTAAGCTTTTCATGTTGAACGGGCCCTTTGTTGTCGAGTTTAGGAAAACAAACTAATCAGTTCGTGCATAGTTATCAAACCAAGCCACTAAGTATCGAGGTCCAGCGATGGGAGCCAGTCACCGCCATATCATCAGCTACCTTATCGACAGTCGCAGGCATGGCGGATGCCGGTGCGGGGATTTTCACCGACCCGTATAGAGAGTATCAACGTCTTCAAAGAGCCACTGAGATCACCGGTGTGTCATCAACAGCGACAGACGACTCTTGTGAAACAGCGGCACATTCAGATGCCGTCAGTGCCGCCAGTGCCGCCACCACCGCTAATGCCGCTCCGAGCGATAAGCGCTTGGCAAAGCAGATGGCACTTGCCTCGGCTATCAGCCTTGCCAAGTTCTTAGCAAGATCATCGCGCGGTGCCTTTGTCGAGATCCCTTTAGCCGCAACGGAGGGAATGCGAGCCGTTCCTCGCTTCTATGGCGACAAGGTCCACAAAAATGCGCCTGTGCAAGACTGGAGAAGCGGGATGACTGTTGCGTGGTCTGGATTTACCCATGGTTTGTACGAAGGCTTCACTGACATCTTCGTCCATACGTACCGTGGGAAAAAGAAGCGCGGGGCTCTTGGAGTAGCTGGAGGGTTGAGCAAGGGGTTGGTCAGCTTGGCGGTTAAAACAGGGTCGGCTACCATTGGCCTCGTCGCGTATCCTAACCAGGGTATCTATCGATCGCTACGGACTGCAATGCACAAAGGAGCGGCAGAACGGATAGATGAAGCAAGATGGGCAGAGGTGTGGCTGCTTGATACGGAGAGGGCTGCACGGGTGGATGTAGCTGCTTTGTGCTCGCGGTATGATGATATCTTGTCTACGCGAGACAGTGCGCTCCATTTGTGGCGCCCTTGAAATTTGGTTTTGATAACGGAAATCCTCGAGGGTAGAGTGAGGTCAAGCCTATATTTTTGCCATCCCTCCAGTATAGATTGCATCTACGGACTGTGTGTTTGTCGATTTCACTGTGGCAAAGATGTGCTGAGTAATCGCCAAGAAGGAGTCTTATTGATAGGAGTTGACGAACTCTTGTAAAGAAATATCACAAACCTTTCGAAGATTCCCTGCTGCTGGTCATGCAGATGTATCTTTCCGGGGAAGCCCAGAGCTTCTTGAATCGACAAATTACTGGCGAATGAGATGCGGCCTGAAGCGAGTGAATTTGAAGAGGCTCTCCCAGGGCTCATGACAACCGCCGCGTGTTGAAGACGCTGGGAAATGGGACACATCTGAGATCCAAGAGTTTCGCTGAACTATGTATCGCGGAGAGTTTCAGTCACTCTACGTGCAAATACTCGATATCGGCGATTCCCAGCTTGAAGATGCGGGATCTGCGCCCCAAGAACAATGGCATGCGTCCATCACAACGACTGCAAGATGAGAAGCATCTGATCTTTCAGGAGAAGAGTTGCTTATTCTCGCTGATTGACCAATTCGTGATCTAGCGGCGATATCTACAGTCATTCGGACAACGTCTAGCATGGATACGTCTCCCCATCTTCCACATAAGGGAGCGATTCTTCTATACTCGAGTAAATTGAGTCAATGGCTTTGGATAAACGACATCGATCCCTCGTTCTCTGCAAACCCCGGCCTTAATAATACCAACGGTCGATCGACATTCAATCCTGGAGCACGCCACTGCAGCCGAAATTTCGTCGGGAGAATCCATATTGTATTAACTAGGGGGATACCTGGACAGTGAGCAAAGAGGTTCATATTCGCCACGACTGGACTCAATTCGCCACATGAGCTCTTCTCAAGAGCCCGACTCAAAAGCAAGTCCTTTCGATACTCCGTACTGACAGGTTTACGATGAAAAGTTTGCCTCCTTGCAATTTACAGGGCGCTTGGAACTCGATACCAGGTCCATTCAAATGTCAAATGTCCACAACAATGAATTTTCGAATGTACATACAACCTCTAAGCAATGCTCTCGACATGTTCTGAAAGCTCGCCTTGGACCCATCTGAACAACTCTTCCTGGATATCATGATTCTGAGCGATCTTGGAGCCTGGTTCTTCCTTGCCGATCGGCCCATAGTATATCCCGTGTTTCGCGTCGGGGCTTACAGATGCAAATATCTGAGACAGGGCGCCTTTCTCTACTGGTGTTCCAGCGAGGCAGACTGCAATGTTGAGAAAGGGTTTGAGAAACATCCCCGCCGAAGCATGATGGAGGTTCGTCGAGACCATGCCGGGATGAACTGGAATGATCTTGACGGCCTTTTCCCTCTCGGCCAAAGCTTTAGCGTAATGAAGGTTGGCGAGCTTGGATGTGGTGTATCGCTCAGTAGTATGTCTGTTGGGGGCAGTCGTTCGAAGCTCTTCGAATTTATAAACGTCGTTGGGCGCCATAGCGTGGGCGGAAGAACCTAGCATCACCATGCGTGTCTGGTTGTTCAGTTTCGCTGTATTCCGCAGGGTTGGCAGTAGCAGCTGAGTGAACAAGGCAGGACCCAGAACATTTGTTCCGAATTGGGTTTCGTATCCGTCCTTGGTGAGACCCTCCGGGGTCATCATGATTCCGGCATTGTTGACCAGGATATCCAGGCGAGATTCTTGGCGGAGGAACTCTGCTGCAGCTCTCTTGACACTTTCGAAGGATGCAAGATCGAGTTCTAGAAAGCGAATATTGGTGATACTCGTGCTGTCTGCATTGAGGTCCGCGATAGCCTTTTCAGCCTTATCCCGAGATCTAGCGGCGAGATAGATGGTGCTCGGGTTGTGCTGGCTCAGCTGGCGGATAGTCTCATGACCAAGACCCGCATTGCCTCCAGTCACAATTATGATCTGATCACTGAGATCAGGAATATCTTGACTTCTGAAAGTAGGCATGCTTAGGTATAATCTCGATTGCACAATATAATTGCTCGGGTGCCGGTAGAACACAACAAGCTGGACTAAGGAAAGAAAAGAAAGAGTGGCAAGACGAAAGATGGAAGAAAATGTTGAAGTCCATTTCAGCGGCGAAGGATCTGCTCTTAAGACAAATTTATCTGACAACTTTGCTATACTCCAAGATCATCCACAAATTTATCCTGCCATACCCAAAAGCTCCTCGTGATTGGTCAAAATCGTGTCATCCAACAATCTACCTTCGCGAATCGACGGCTACCATTCCATTTTTGGTTAGTGGGACTACTCGTCTCCGCTAGTTAGTTGTATGTGATTGGCTCAAAAAGCGTCATCCAAATTTGGACCGGGTCGCCGCCACGGGTAATTATGGAACTGAGCGAACAGCCTCAAATCCCGATGTGTTGGAAGTTTCTCATCCCGGAAGTGTGGATGAGCGGCGAGGTAATGTGAAAGGGTAGTGGTTCGGAGTGAAATGGAACATCTCGCCGTTGAATTGTGATGCTTGGCGTCTGTCATTGTCCTCGATACGGTCGGTAGCAGACCTATAGATTTCATAGTCAGCCACGTGATGTAATTTGAGAAGATCATATTAAAGGGCATACAATATGAATGTATTTAGGATAATATTTATCGCATCAGCATGTGACTGAATTTTCACCTGGTATTGACTGAAGGACTCAGCTCTAAGATCCCATAAAAACATCCGCCATTGAAATTTGACTCGAGAAGTGAATTCTCGATGCAAGGGGAGCTTAAGAGCTTTACGATCTCGGGCCTCTTTTGCTGCATTCCGGTACTTTGCTGTTGCTTTCTCAAGGGCTTCGAGGGTTTCGTGACACGAGTGGATCATGAACTCTAACTGCTCTTGAACATTGCCAGCATTATGGTATGACCTCGGCAGAAGTGTATTACTTGCTCTTTGAACATGGCCCAGAGAGTATTTCAAGCCAAACAAAGTGTCTTCGAGTTCTCTGAGACCGCGTGGTGCATTCTTCCGACCAGATGTTGCAGCAGCGAAGAGTCGATAAGCAATCTGAATGCAAACTAGAATATCGCCTATTGAAAGACCAAAAGACATTGTCGTATGCTAAATGTTGAAGTGGACTCAAGTGCAAAATGGATTTGAGCAGAAGTGAAGACCCAGGAGGAGAAAAAATGGTAGATTTGCTCTTTCTTTATTAAATACTTGTACATCTTGAGGTATGATGGAAGAATTGCCAAAGCTTTCAAGTACCATAACCCCCCAAAAGTGTTTACCCACTGCCTCTTTTCCCACCAAAAATGGCCATTTTTGGCCATTTTTGACGACTTTATTTTTTGTAACCTATGGTGTAACAGGCTGTATTATAAAACTCAATAGAATATAACTACTGAAAGAACAAAACTCTTCTTTCCGAATAATCTATCATACATATTTGTTGAGTAGGTAGTGACTGATTGAAGTGTCAAGGGTAGCCAGAACATTGGAATGTCATTTGTATATATAGGCGCCCATAGTTAACCCCCCACCAAAATCGCTTCCCTTGGGTTTAAGAATTGGCCACTCTCAATAGAAAATTTTATTGAACTAGTTGGTATAAATGGTATAAATATTTACCAAATAATTTCTAAATTAAAAAACTAAAAAATATGTTAACATATAATTTTAGGTAGATCAGAGGGTTCCAAGATGGTCATTTTTGGTGGGAAAACAAGCCATGGGTAAAGACTTTTGGAGGGGGCTTGTAGTAAGGCAGCCGCAGACTCGCTATTTTTGCGACTTTTTGACAATTTGCGCCAATTTTGGCTACTGGGTACCGAGTAAAGAGAGGGGGGGGGGGGGACGTTTATTTGCACTCTGAGGTGCTGATGACAGACAATTATGTAGAGAGGCCATAGGCCCCAACCACACTAGATATAGATTGATCCTTTCGTAATATGAGATAGCCAGAATTTGATAATTCCCAGGGTTGCACACCACTGCACAACTATCGAGTGCAGAGACGGTGCTGTGGTTGATCTACGAATCGCAGGTAATGATGCTCCTTCCCTACAATTTACAATTGATCTAGATTGTGGTTTGTTTTTGTTTTTGTTTTGTTGGACAAGAGTTAGCGCATCCTTTGAGTAAATCTCATTATTATTACGTGGTAAATATTATCTTAGGATGTCAAATTTGGAATGGGCGAAGTGATTTTGTGTTTTAAATATGGATGCTGCGAGAACGATCAACTGGGCTGGCTCTAACGTAATTGTTAGGTTGTGTAGTTTACGTGAACTGACTTCTTTTAGACTGATGATTATGATTTGATTTGCACAGCTTGACTATACCATACAAGGCCCACTCACACGTTACTATCGCGTTACTATCGCGTCCTCCGTAGTCATTTGGTACTTTGGCACTGGGGGCTAAAACTTGCGTGCATGACGCCAAATGCTCAGATTTAGCCCCCAGTCACAATTGCGGCAAATGAATCATTTGTCGTCGAGATCACTGATTATCTTGCTCGCGGAGTCGGGGGCTTGATTGTGCAGAGGAATGATGGCAGATGTCATTTTCTCCTCCGTACTGTGGTTCTGCGTCGGTGGCCACAATCAAGATGACTACGGATGATGCTAAATGAATCTGGCTTATACCGCCATGGACAAGAGGCAGGTATAAGCGCCCGGGTGCTTTAGCTTGGCCTCAGCAAGCAGCGCCTGCAGTTGAATCACGACCATGGCAAATGGACAAAAAAATCCGATGAAACGCTAAGGGAACAGGGATGTCTGGCAAAATTGAACCTGCATGGTCGGTCACCTAGGAAGGCGCGTAGGGAGAGAAGAGAAGCAGTTGATATTCAGCCTTGTGGTCTGATGTCTTGTTTTCTTCTTTTGACTTCCTTTGGAGAGACAACATGCTCGGCGGACGTTACTCATTTTCAATATTTCTCACTTTCGCTCCTTTTCAGGGGCTGGCGAAAACATGCTTTGCCCCAGATGGCTCCGTCGCCGACCACAGTTACCAACCGTGCATTGCGATCGATGGGGTACATTCCATGTGCTGCTCTTTGAATTCAACTCATCCCGATACATGTCTACCGAGCGGCTTGTGTCTGAGTAGCACAGACAGCACCTTTGGAGAGAACCACTGGAGGGACTTTTGTACCGACGAGACATGGGAAAGTCCCAACTGCTTGAGCAAGACTCTATGCAACAAAGAAGTAAGTTCTCTCAACTAAAGCCCCCTCCTGCACGCTTATGTCCAGTCGTGAAACCAACTTTCCGCCTCTTCTAACAGTTTTCTCTTCATAGGCCGGAGGATCATCGAGCTGGACCGCGCGACTCGTTCAATGCGATAACGGTGCATACTGCTGCGGGACTGATAAGAGTTGCTGTTTGGAAGGCACCACACTCATGCTTGCCTCTACGCTCGTTCACATCGGAAATTCCTCTGTTACAACTACAACCGCAACCGCCACTGTGACCTCGAAGGCATCAGGACCATCGATTGTAGCCGTTGGAGTCGGTGTTGGAGCCCCATTGGCAGTCTTCGCCTTTGTCATGCTTGGGGTGGGGTTTCTTTGGGGGAAGAAGAAAGCGCAGGCAAACTACAGGACCATAGGTGTCTCCTACAACTCGGGGAATCATGCAAGCGATGGAGATCATATGAGCATGGGGCTCAGACATGGGGACCCAGGAGCGATATATGAAGTCGATGGGCAAAGATCTCCCAGTGAGCTTCCTGGAAGCAAAGAACCAGTATCCTGGAGAAAGCCTCCCGTTTGATAAATCATCATGCTTGCGGACACGTCAAAACAAGCCGACCACCCAAAAATTCAGGTCATTTTATTTCTTCTGCTATCATACACGTCAAATGATTTAAAAGTTCCTCGCATCGCGTCGGTCTGTCGCCTGCACTTGGACAACCAGTGACTCGACTCGACTGGCTTTTAACGCGACAAATACCCACTCTTAGTCCGATGAAGATGACTGTCCTCCGACCGCTTGATATCCACAACCAAGTCTTTCATCCGGCTGAGGGTCATGTTGAATGGCAAACATTGTCGCAATATGTGCAGATAGATGATGCCGAAGGTCCTCGGCATCATAAACCTTGTTGCAGACTGCGGCGACCAGATTGATTCAGGATGATTGATTGACTCCAGTAAAGCAAACACCTTTAATTAATTCTTGAGAGGACCAATTTCAAAAACAAAAACCCCAAGCGCCGCTCCTTCAAGGTTGTATTATTCCAAAGGAGCCTTCGGTATAGTTGTGCTCGGCCAAAGGCGGCAGAGATCAGCCCGAAGGAACGCCAAGAAGCGGAGGAAACCACAACCTCGCATCACAGCTGAAAGCCGATCGCCGCTGTCAGTTCAACGTCAAGATGCCCAACATCGCGCCCAGGGTCCATATTCTGGGCCTTGGTAGCATTGGCTCCTTCATCGCCCACTCTCTCCGCTCTCTCCCGAGCCCCCCACCTGTGACACTACTCGTTCACAGAAAAGATCTCTATCAACAATACGCGTCAAAAGACTGGAAGATCAATCTGCAGGTCGGAGAGAAAGGCGCGCCACGAGAACAACACGGCTTCGATTTCGAATTGATCAATGGCCCTCGTGTGCCTCAATCCCCAATTGAGAATTTAATCGTATGTGTCAAGGCGCCCGCAACAGCGTCCGCCCTTGAGCCTATCAAGCATCGCATTGGGCGAAATTCCACGATCTGCTTTTTTCAAAATGGTATGGGCCAGATCGATCGTTTGAACCAGCATGTCTTTGAAACTCCTTCGACGCGCCCCGCTTATCTGTTCGGTATCCTCCGGCATGGGGTTTACCTGAAGTCTCCAACCGAAGCCGTCCTTTCTGGGCTCAACGGCTGTGCCGAGGTTGGCGCAGTACCCTCTGAAGCATCAAACCCGTCACCCGAGAGCTCTACTATTCTATTGAACCTTTTACTTCAATCGCCTACCCTGCGATGCTCAAAGCTGGACTGGGCAGATCTCCTCCAGGTGCAACTCTTAAAGCTGGCCACGAACTGCGTTCTGAACCCTTTGACGGCTCTATTGGATGTCCGAAACGGTGAGATCAAGGACAACCCCGCAGTTGTGCCGCTCTACCGCAATCTTCTGAAAGAGATTTCTGGCGTCTTTGAGAGACTACCGGAGCTTCGGGCTGTACCTCATGATCCAAGTCGCTTTTCAGCTCTTTCGCTTGAGACTTCGATGCTGGATACGGTAGAAAAGACCGCAGGCAATTCAAGCAGTATGCGTGAAGATATCCTGAAGGGTCGGGCAACTGAGATTGAATATATGAATGGATGGATCGTCAAGCGCGGCGAAGAGTTGGGGGTTCAATGTCCCACGAACAGTCTCATGGCTCAGTTGATTCTTGCAAAAGGTGCACGAAATGCTAGTGGAGTTTGAAAGGAAACCTGGTGGAGCTCTTGATTCGATTAATCAATCTTTTAATCTAGACCTACGGGTAAAATCGATGTTCCATTCCAGGTTTGTGGTTCACCATACTGCCCAGGTGGCCGTGGTTCTGATCCCCAATCCCTCATTCTCTGTTCACGACGTAGCCAAGACTTCCATTTCTCGACCAATCATGATGATTTAACAATTAGTTGGAACCTTGGATGGACAGTTAGAAAAACAGTTAGAAAGACAGTTAAAAAAATGTCCCGAAGTTGATAATAGCTCACTTCCGTTACCAATCGAAATATGAGATTAAGCGAATACATAACTACGCCTGTGTATAAGCAACCATCGTCGTCTTTTTGGCCGCGCGTGAGCGCGGCACTGAGGCTTGTCATTCTATTTCTCGTTCTCCCTCTACCAGCGACCTTCAAACCTTGTTTCATTGTTGGCATGGATAGAAAAGGAAGATCTTTGGGGAAGCACCTCAGTCGCAGCAAATATATAGGCTATGGCTACTCCGTACGATGGTTGCAGTTTGCTTTCGTAGAGCTTCTCCCTGCCATGATCCCATCCGTGGACTGACGTTGGCGGACGCAAGGTTCTTGCCGACGGTAGTGGAATGAAACCTAACAATCGCTAACAGTGACCGTGACCTGAAAATCACAGAATTGATCCGCGAGAACAAACCGCCCACAGCCCTGCGGCATTGACCGATGTCCTCAGGCCCTTTGGGACGCCCCCGTATTTGTGGCTCTCGAAATTCACATCAAGGGTTGCTTTTTCTAGACAGTCCTTGAAGATTAATGCATGTTCATCGGTACGAAGCTCACACGCCTGGTCGAATAGTAATTTATGTCAAGGGAGCAAGCGATGAGTGTTGGCAATTCATCAAAACAGAAGAGGGTGAGACCGCCTTTGGCCCCACTTGGAACTCTAATTCCCAGTCTTGGCTGCCACTTTAGGACTAGCGTATATGCGAAGTAGGTCTCTCGATGATCAACTGTTGCATCTTGCAATTGGTTTGGGCATTGCCGATGCCTCTGATCATCTTCACACACATCCTGAACGACTTTCCATCTTCCAAATTCCCCAAAATTCAAGCGTCAAGTTCATAATGGGCACTGTACGCCTGGGACTGGAGATCCCATCAGCACACGATACCTACTATGATCACAATGGAGACAGCTTTTCAGAACCCATCTCTGGCTCTGTACGACTCACAGCACAGATGGAGGCAGAGCTGCATGGACTAGCTGATGTACAAGTGTCTCTGGTTCTTGTGCTATCTACCACAACGCAAGATGAAATCCAACGAAAACAGCAACTCTCAAATCGCATTTACCGTCTTCTTTCTTTAAACGCACCGTTGAACACCGTTCAGCCTACCCAAAGCGCCTCAAATCTGGAGCAACTGACGCTATGTCTCCCGACCGTTTTAGCCGACAGCCGTGTCGGCTACTCACCCGAGGAAGGAACTGTCTATAAGATCCCCTTCTTCCTACCCGTTCCCACCAACATCCCACCAACAACGGCTACAGAGCTAGGCAGCACAACACTCTGGATAGTTGCTTCGGCGAAGACAGCGGATGGGGATGTTATTACTACCAGACAGGAGATCCAGGTCATTCGTCGAATCGTTCCAGGGGGCGATCCCATTCACCACACTCGCACATACCAAACCTCGAATGTCATCAACGAAGTGACTCTCACGCAAAATGCCGAGACAAGTACTCGATCGAAGCTTCCACTGACAGCCAAAATATATCTCCGCCGGCCAGCTCGGCCTACTAACCGCTCGACGGAATTCAAGTGTGTGGCCGTCCGTGGTCTGCAATGGCGCGTTGAGGAAACCACCAGGGTGTTCACAAGATACAAAGGCTCTCAAACATCACCAGAGAACGGACTCTCCGAATGCGAACCAATTGAAGAGGCATCATACACGAGTGAACTATTCCACGGGGCTGAGAGTGGTTACTGGGGGACAGCGGACAATCCAATGATGAAGAACCAACCAATACGAGAGAAGGATTCGGCCATCGAAATACCGTTTGAAACCACAATACCTCGAGCCCTGGCTCTAGCAGCGGAAGTCAACCTTGGGTGTTACGAATCAAATCCCCGACCGATCAATGATTCCACGGCATATTCCCAATCACAAGACTCGTCGTCAACGTTGGGGGAACGAATAATGACGGTGGAACACCGACTCCGACTTGACGTTATTACGAGCGAGGACACATTTGGCGCCCAGGATAAAAATCTTGTCGATCGCAAACTGCTCGGGACTGCACGCGACACATCGTTCCCGATTTTTATCGTCGATAAGGCGCCCGTTGGTTGTGGAGCCGTTCTTTTACAGGCTACGCCCCCGTGTTATGCGGAACTTCCGGCTTCGCCGCCCCGTTACAAGCCGGATGTTTGAGATATCCCCTACTCTCCGTATGCCGATTCACGATGCACATGAAGGGGTGTACGACTGTTGCGTGGGTCTGCCACTATTCGCCCTATTTTCTGTTATTCGATTTTACCACCCAAGGGTGTGTATATCCAGCGTTGGTGTTCAGGACCGAAAACCGAACAAAGCAAATTGTTGCCGTCGTCAACTGCGTCATAGTGGAGTGGACTCCCTAAAACGGAAATATGGGGGGTGTTCGACTCCGCTGTACGGCGTAGTAATTTATGTTATAATACCGGGCAAAACTTTTCTCTAAACGGACCCTCTATCCTGATTTCTGATTCCTGATTTCTTTCATTTTAATAATGAAATAACAGACTGCCGTTTTCCCAAACATCTTCTTATTTTCTATTTTCTTCCTTTACCAACCACCCTCCCCCCATCCAATTTGGCCCTCGCACCCTCCCGAATCCTTGGAAATCTCCCTCGACAGCGACATAATTTCCTTCCCATTTGCGACTCAGCCTTTGCGACACTTCCTTAGCGACATTTACATGATACCCACGCACCATGGATAAATCCCACAAGCCCAACGCAGATGCCAGCCTAGAAGCCCTCGGCTATACCGCGGAACTCTCACGAAATCGATCAACATGGCAGGTCATATTCATGTGCTTTATCCTCGCCTCCGTGCCCTACGGTCTCTCAACAACAATGAGTTACGCCGTAACGGGTGGCGGCTCAGTCTGCATGATCTGGGGCTGGATCCTGGTCTCGCTGATCATGCTGTGCGTCTGTAGCTCTCTAGCAGAGATAACTTCCGTCTACCCCACTGCTGGCGGTGTCTACTATCAAACTTTCGTTCTGTCGCCTCATTGGTGTCGTCGCGTCACGGCTTGGATCTGTGGCTGGTCTTACGTCGCTGGTAATATCACGATCACTCTCGCTGTAAATTTTGCGACCGCCCTCTTCCTCGTGGAGAGTTTGAATGTCTTCGAAAATAACGGCGTGGGTATTGCTGAAAATTTCCAGGCTTATCAGACCTTTTTGATCTTTATTGCTATTACCCTTCTCACTCATGCTGTTCCAGCTTATGCCAATAAGTGGCTTACTTATATCGAGGTATGTGATCTCCAAACCCGCTTTGCCCTAGGCTGACTTTTGTTTTCTTACCATTCAGACTTTTGCAATCTTTTGGACTCTCGTCGGTGTCACTTCTCTGCTCATTACCATTCTCGCTGTTGCTCGCCACGGTCGTCGTTCTGCTGATTGGGTCTTCACCTCTTTCGAGCCCCAGTCTGGCTGGCCCGATGGATGGTCCTTCTGCATTGGTCTTCTCCAGGCTGCCTACGGTCTCTCCGCTAGTGGCATGGTGACATCGTGAGTTTCCCTTTTTTTTTCGAAGAAAAAAACATAAAAAAAAAAAAAAAAAAACGATCCGCCCTAAAGAAAGTTATCTAACCTGCAACCCAGAATGTGCGAGGAAGTTGAAAAGCCCGCAATCCAAGTTCCCCGAGCCATCATCGGTGGAATCCTGATGAACATGCTTGCCGGCCTCTGCTTCCTGATCCCCATTTGCTTCGTGCTGCCCGACATCGCCGCACTGGCCGCTATCCCATCCGGCCAGCCCGTCCCCACCATCATCAAGGACGCCGTCGGCAGCTCAGCAGGCGCTTTCTGCCTCTTAATCCCTCTCCTGGTCCTCGGACTGACCTGTGGAATCTGCTGCGTCACTGCGACTTCCCGGTGCACCTGGGCCTTTGCTCGTGATGGTGCAATCCCCGGTTCCGGCTGGTGGAAAAAGGTCGATGACCGCTGGGGCATCCCTCTCAACGCCATGGCTCTCGGCATGGTTGTTGAAATTGTTCTTGGATGCATCTACTTCGGTTCAAGCACTGCTTTCAGTGCATTCTCTGGAGTTGGTGTTATTTTCTTGACTCTCAGTTACGCTTGCCCTGTTGCTGTTTCCTTGTTCTTGAATGGTCGCAAGGAGGTCAAGCAGGGTAACTTTGATCTTGGAGCTCTGGGCTGGTTCTGTAACATCGTCTGTATCTGTGAGTTTTTCCCATTCCTCCCGGTTCCTCATTTAATATCATATACTGACATGTTCATAGGTTGGTCTCTTCTTGCCCTTCCGCTCTTCTGCTTCCCCACCACTGCGGCTGTCAGTCTGGAAACTATGAACTATGCCTGTGTGGTGTTCGCTGGTTTCTTGATTATCTCTGCTGTTTGGTATGGAGTTTGGGGACGCAAGAACTACATTGGTCCTGCGCTTGAGAGCTTAGATGGTCGGAATGGGTCTTTGAGCCATAATGACAGTGGGGATGAAGTAGGACCGAATAAATGTTAAGTCTGATGAGTAACTGGCAGTTGTTAGAGCCGATACGAGCTGGCACTCTTATTGGTTGATGTACATACTCTGTTCATTTCTATAGAATCTTACAACACAGCATATATTTTAGACATTTTTTTGCGTTGATTTTGTGTTGAGTATTTTTCCTTCTTTCCTTCTTTTTTGGAGTATTCGGTTGGTAATTTGCTTTGGACGCCGGTGTAACTTCGGCAAAACCGTGAGAGATTTTATCGTGAAACATTTGATCGGCATGTGTGGTTCGGAGACTACAGTAAGGCACTGGCTACCATCAGATAGAGCGACATGGCCTAACGCACGCCAGGCTTCTCTCACAGACTAAGCCTTGGAACTAAGCCCTTATCTACCCCTTTTCGTTCGGCCTGATTACTCCAACATGATCAAAAAATGCCTCAATGCTGTGCCCCTTGCCACCGTGTTCGGCGCTTAAGCGAGCTGACAACAGACTACGTTTCAAGAATTACGAAAACAAGAGCTATTAACGTATAGCTTCAATTGAAGAGCTACACGGTCACAATCGGCCCATGGGGCCTACACAGAGGTATCACGAATAAATCCCATCCGTACGCAGTGTTGAATGCAAGACCATCCCAGGTCATCCCACGCCAAAACAAAACAATAATAACACACCATTCTCTGGTGCAGGCCACTTTTTATGCCGTTGAAGGACAACCATTTTTGAGTTCTAAGTTGATGTGAACTCTTATGCCAATCATAACATCGTCGAAATCATGTTGAAAGTCTATTCAAGAGTATTCAAAATTCAAACGCGAGAGAAATTAGTAGCGGTAGATCTCGCTCTTGAAGGGACCGTTGACGTCGAGGCTGAGGTACTCGGCCTGGACGGGGGTCAGCTTGGTGAGCTTGGCGTTAACGTGGTCCAAGTGGCAGCGAGCGACCTGCTCGTCGAGCTGCTTGGGCAGAACGTAGACACCGATGGGCTTGCGGCCAGCGGCACCGAACTCAATGTACTTCTTGCCGAAAGCAACATCCTCAGCCTTGAAGAGAGCGATCTGAGCAAGGACCTGGTTGGAGAAAGAGCAGGACATGACGAAGGAAGAGTGGCCGGTGGCACAGCCAAGGTTGACAAGACGACCCTCGGCGAGGAGGATGATGTTCTTGCCGTTGAGCTGGTAGCGGTCAACCTGGGGCTTGATGTTCTGGACGGACTGGGAGTTGGCCTTCAACCAGGCAACGTCAATCTCGATATCGAAGTGACCGATGTTGCAGACAATGGCGTCGTTGCGCATGGCCTCGAAGTGACGGCCAACAAGGATGTCACGGCAACCAGTGGTGGTGACGAAGATCTGGCCAACCTTGGCGGCCTCCTCCATGGTCTGGACCTCGTAACCCTGGACAGCGGCCTGGAGGGCGTTGATGGGGTCAACCTCAGTGACGATGACACGGGCACCCATGGAGTGGAGAGCCTGGGCGCAACCCTTGCCGACATCACCGTAACCGGCGACGACACCGATCTTACCAGCGATCATGACATCGGTGGCACGCTTGATACCATCGATGAGGGACTCACGGCAACCGTAAAGGTTGTCGAACTTGGACTTGGTGACACAGTCGTTAACGTTGATGGCGGGGACCTTGAGCTTGCCGTCCTTGAGCATCTTGTAGAGGTGGTGGACACCGGTGGTGGTCTCCTCGGAGACACCGAAGCAGTCATCGAGCATCTCGGGGTACTTCTCGTGAACAAGGGAGGTGAGGTCACCACCGTCGTCGAGAATCAGGTTGAGCTTCTTGCCATCCTTGAAGGCCTGGAGCTGCTGGTCCAAGCACCATTGGTACTCCTCCTCGGTCTCACCCTTCCAGGCGAAGCTGTTCAAAAGGAAAGGTCAGCAATTGTTCCCTACTAGCGTGGGGACCTTGAGGTGAACTTACACAGGGACACCGGCGGCGGCAATGGCAGCAGCGGCGTGGTCCTGGGTGGAGAAGATGTTGCAGGAAGTCCAGGTGACCTCAGCACCGAGGTGAGTGAGGGTCTCGATGAGGACAGCAGTCTGGATGGCTAAAGGAGCGGTCAGTAAGGCTCTTTAGAGGGGTTCTGAGCGGTCAACATACTCATGTGAAGACAACCAGCAATGCGGGCACCAGCGAGGGGTTGGTCGGCACCGTACTGCTCACGGATGGCCATGAGACCGGGCATCTCAACCTCGGAGAGCTCGATCTCGCGACGACCGAAGGCGGCGAGGGACTATCAGGGGTATCAGCAATTGAGGAAAACAGACCGGGGCATCAGGAAAAACATACAAGGTCAGCGACCTTGAACTTCTGTGCGGGGGCAGCCATTGTGAATGTATGTGGTCAAACTGAGAATTGTTAGTACAATGAGTGCCAAATTGAGGAAATGGACGATTTACCAAAAATGTATGGATGGGGAGAAGAAGAGAAGAAGAGAAAAGAAGAAGGGGACCAGAGGAGGGGAAAGTGAAGGAAAACTCTCCGCCCCCATGGATCGCCGAGAAAAGTACAGGTACTGCCACTCACAGGCAAATAAGCACGCACATGCAAGTACCTCTACCCAGCGAGTCAACGTCCGTAGTGGGCTGACTTACAGAGTTTGGCGGGGTCCATTCTTACCTAATCGGGCAGTTCGGTAGCTGAGCCACCGACCGCCTGCCGGTCCTGCACACGTTTGCTACTTGTACTCCGTATCTGTCACATGATCGCTTGCTTACTACGCTGATTAGTAAAATATGAGTATTGAAAAAGGCTTGTATAGTCATAAAACGAGCACGTTGTCATCCATCGCCCGGGTGGTCTAGTGGTATGATTCGCGCTTAGGGTTCACCCAAAGCACAATTGCGCGAGGTCCCCGGTTCAATCCCGGGCTCGGGCCGATTTCTTTTTGCTGTTTTTGTACTTGTTCTTTTTTACTCCGTAATTTTTTTTTAAAAAAGAAAACTATGTTAGGCTAACCCATTTATATGTAACATAAGATATTATAGTAGGAAGAGCGCGCTGGCAGTCTGACATTGCAGACAAGATGACAAGGGTACTTAGTGTCAGGCTGGCATAGCTTCTGATCTTGAATGATATTGAAGGTCCAAATAACGACAATACTAATGATAAGAAGAGAAAGAAGGAAAAAGAAGAAGAAGCTATAGACCAGCAAACTAGCTAAATAATTGTGACTAAGCAACACCGATAGTCGTACCCTCCCATCGGTGAGCCAAAACCCAAACCAATGCCAAAACCCAAAATTTCCATTGAACCAATTCAATCTCTATTTATCTCTTACCATACCATCTTTATCAATAATAGGAAATAGCTCATCATTTTCATCCATGTAATCAGTTCCCCCCTTTGCAATTTCTGCCTCTTTTAGTGCATTATTAGCGCGACGCCAATAGTCTCTTCTTCGCGCCTGAGCATCTTCGAACCGAACGTCCACGCGCGAATCGGTCAGAGCACGGCGATGAGCTCTCGAATTACCAGAAATTGATAACAAGGGGGATTTTGATGTCCCTTTTATTATCCGACGGGATTTGGGATTCGGTATTCGGTGTTTTTGCTGTTTTTTAATTGTTTGATTTGCAAGGTTGAGTTCTGCGATAACTTGCTTTCCACCTTCAATAGCTCGTTTGATTTAGGATATCAAGATAGAGGAGCTTTCTATACGCTACTAAAGTATTATTATTAATAGCTGTACTACTTTAAAGATCTAAACTAGTTTATATACTCCTATCTAAATTACTACACATAAGAATGACACGGTGAATGGAAGGCCAGATATGGCCGCCTCGGAGGCCGTTTTAAGCCTTCCACTCACCGTCTCTGGGCTTGGCATCACGTGCATCTACGCCCACGGCCGGCTCTCTCTACTGCCACCCATGCTTTCCGTTGGCTGTGCCTGGTGCCTGGGCCCGACCGAGACCACTTGCGCTATAGCAACCGCCGCCGCGACCCGCCCTCAGTCATCCTCCTGAAGGAGAAGAACCGCGGATGGCTCCCCTCCTTGGTTCCCTTCTTCCCTCGGTGTTTATAAATATCGACTGCCATGACCCCGACACAATGTTCTTTTTCGCTACCAAGCAACTCTTCCACTCTCAGGTCGCTCTCTCTAACGGCACGGCACTCAAGTGTGAAGAGAAAACCAGTCTCTACCATTTACTTGTTCTTTGACTTGCCTTCGTTTCCTGTGCCTTCTTTGATCGCACCCACCTCCTCCTGCCATGTCATCTCATAGTTCTGTTCCGCCCGACGAGAGCGATACTTGCCCAGGCCATTCTGAGGTTTTTTCGGACCACGCTTCCGACACTGGTTCCTCCACCGAGCCCAGCTTCTTCGAGTCAAGCAGTGATTGTGAAGATGAGTCTGAAGATGAGCTCGAAGATGAGCTGGTATCGGAAGAGGAAGAGGAGCAACTTCCACCAGAATACTACCTCCACGAAGCCGAGTCTCTTGATGTCACCCAGCTTCGACAAAAACGCTACAGCCCGAATACCCAAAGGCATTTGGTTGATACGCAGTATTTCTGGGACCAGTGAGAATTCAGTACACCCTTCTACCTTGCTTGGCTCGCTGATTGTTCTAGGTTCTGCAAAGGCATGAAGCGCGATCCGGTGGAATGTTTGTTCTGGCTCTCTGATACCGAGGAGACGGTCCGCTTCCTCAAGGCTCTCTTCTCCTGGCGGTGTGACCAGCGACGGGGAAAGGATGGACGTCACACCGCGGGAGTGAATACCAAAAGCACGCTCGACGCATTTTGGAAGTGGTGGCATCTGATCTACACGGCCAAGGTTGGACATGTCGTCAGCAAAGATGTCCATGTTAAGATCCGTGACGTGAGATCCTGATTGAATATCTATATCGATAAAAATTGACCGGGCTGACTTTCAATAGGTGCTTGCGATAGTTGCAACAGAAAAAAGCCTTTCTCTGAAAGGTCGACCGAAAGTGACAATGTATGTCGAAGATGTGGCCGAGTTTGCACGAGTGGTTCTATCTACAACAGAAATGACCTTTCC